GCCCCCACCGCCGCCCCGGCCTCGACGCCACGCCCGCGCCGCTGCCGCGCGCTGTCCTCGGGCGCGGACGCCGCCGCCGCCAACGCCGCCGCCGCCAACGCCGTCAGCCCGTGGTCGGAGGGCGGCAGCAGGTCGCAGCTGTCCGGGTCGGCCCGCTGCAGTCCAGTGCATGTCCGCGGCGGTCGCGCATGGAACGTCCCTCTGACACTTGTTGTCCCGCCACCACCGCGTGTCTCGCGCAAACTCAGCCTCCAGGAGGACGCCTGCGTCCTGCGCGGGGGGGGGCACGTGTGCCACGCGTTGCGTCCAGCCAGCGCCGCGCAAGCAAGGCAAGAGCCACAACTGGCGGTGAATGCTGTGTTGGTCATGTTGCAGGGGCAGCGAGCAGCCCCGCACGCGACCCGCCTGCTCGCAGCTCCGCATTGCGTGGTGCACGAGGCTGGAGCAGTCCACGCCTGTTCTCGCACGTGTCCACTAGCCAGGGTCATGCGCACGCAGAGAGCCCTACCTAGCACGACCAGGCACGAGCGCCGAAACGCGCCTGCGCGACGAGTGAGCATACCTCTCGCCTCGGTCGGCTCGCGCGCCGTCCCTCGATGCTGCGCGCGAGCACGGGCCTTCCTCGAAGCTGCTGCCCAACTGCACCACCACGTCGATCGCTGAGCGACGTCGCCCGCTCGCGCTGAGTGCGCGCCCTGATACACACAGACATCCCCGCGCTCCTCGCCGGGCTCACAGCTGCCCGCACATCCGGCGCCCGCAACGAGGCTCAGGCCAGAAAGAGAGATGGAGAGCATCCACACCGCGGCTGCACGGTGCGTCTGCGTGCCTGAACCTCGCACGCCCTGTCAGCATCTGCCCTCGACAGCGGCACCGGCGCCTCCAGCGAGCCACAGCGCCCCTCACCTGCCCCCACCCACCTACCACCCAAGCCGCTCTGCCCTCCGCGGCGCGCACAAACAACCTCGCGCCCGCGTTTGAGCCCAGGCCCTCATGCCCGCACACCCCACCTTCGCGTGCAGCTTGCCCATCGCCCCCTTCCAGCTCCCCAGCACCCACCACTTCGCCGCAGCGCCAACTCTCGCTGAGGTGGAACAGCTCGATAGTAGTGAGCCGCTGGGGATCCCAGCACACGCGCTCCGATGCCATCGAGTGCCGCACTGCACCGGCCATACTCCCGCGCCCGTCCTCGAGCCCCGCGCCGCTCTCCCCGCGCGGCAACACGTCACATCCCTCCTGAGCAGAGTGGACACACATCAGGCACGCGGGGGGGCGCGAGAGCGGCGTGGCTTCATGATCGGAGTCCGACCATGTGAGACAGCTCGCCGCACAGAGAGTGGGCACGAGAACGGTAGCTGGTGGGAAGAGCGGCGCGCTTTGGAGCCGTGACTGTTGCTGCGCCCGAGGTGCGGGTCTCGCTGCACGCGTCGACTGCTTCCGCCCTCTCGCACGGGCTCGCCCTCAGCAGGGCGTCCATGCAGCTTCCCGCGCAGGTGTGCGTCGCCAGGCACACACACAGCAACTTCCCATCAACCACACACACACACATCCACCGCAACAGGTGATGGCTGGACTACACTGCCGGCGCCGCAGGCAGCTGTCGCAGCGCTCCGCCGGCCGGCTGAACGCGCGCAGAGGACCCCGTTGCGCCTCGCAGGAGCCGCACGACACCACGGTCTGTGACGTCGCAGGTGCAGATGGCGCGGTGCTGCGCGGGGCACGCGGGCGTGATCCGAGCGGCCCGCTCAACCGTCGGGGTCGGCTGTCCGCGTGCGGCGGGTCATCCCACTGGCCCGCCAACCCCCCCGCGCGGCCCGTCCCACTCCCCTGGTGGGCCCTTGCTCAGCAGCCCGCTGGTGGGCGTGCCGCGCCTACCGTTGACAGCCGCGCATCGCGCTCTGTTGCATCAGTATCAGGCTCGAGCCCAACGGCGTCAAACGCCTCAAGCATCGCACCCACTGCCTGCTCCCGGACACCATGGTGCGTGCCCCATCGCCTCGGCGACGCACGTCGCACCGCCGTCCAGAGCGGCAGTGGTCGCCGCGGACGGTGCATGTGCTGAATGTGCGATGCCTCAGGGCAGCGATGCACGGCCCGGTTGCGCGGCTGCGTCACGCGCCGCGCCCTGGAATCTCTACAGACTGCTCGCCTCGCGTGGCCGTGGCGCCCGGGCGTTGCCATGTCCGGTCGGATCGAAGTCGATGACGATGTGTCGCGTCCGATGCGCGCTGACCTGTCCGCCTCGATCGCGTGTGCACCGCAGGGCGATAGCACTCGCTCAGGTGGTGCAAACACGGTGCGTCGCCACACACCGCGCCGCTCGAGTCGCCTCCCACCTGGCCTGCCCTGCCTCTCAGCCTCGAAGCGTCGCAGCAGGCGTGCGGGCTTGCGCCCAAACCTCCCGCTCCGAGCGCGCTGTCGCCTGGTGCTTTTCCGATGCACCCGCTGACCGAATCGCATCAGATGCACCTCATGATCGAATCACCGCGTACCTCTGTGCGGCATGTACCACCGCCTGACCAAACCACCCGTGTCCGTCGCCGGCCGCAGGGCTCACCTGCCGCCCTCTTTCTGAGGGTCCTCGACGAGGTGCCTCTGGTGCTGGACAACCTCGACGAGGATACGCTCAAGTTCACCGCGTGCACGTGCTGGTCGGCACTGCTCGCCACGCTGCGACACGGCCGTATCCGGGACCACGAGCGCCACCTCGTGCCCGTCCTCGACGTCACGCTTCATGGCCCGCTGCTGGCGGGCCTGGCCGCCCGCGTCGGTCGCGGCTCGCAGTACGACGGGCTGCTGCGGTTCTTGGGAGCTCGGTTCCCGGTCGGAGACGCCACGGCCCTGTACGAGTCAGCGCGACACGCAGGCATCGAGGACGCTGACATGAGCACGCCCGAGTCGCGGTTGCGGGCGCTGGTGAAGATACTGGGTGCAAGCGAGACCTCGGGCGCAGAAGTACTACGTGTGGTGGGGCTCCACTACGAGCACGCCGATCCCAAGGAACCACGCCATTACTCCCCGCTCGAGAACCCTCCCGAGCCCGAACTCAAGTCAAGTGCCTCGCGCAGGCGCGAGGAGGACTTGGCATCCCTTCTGTGCTCGCTGCTGCGCTCAACCCCGGTCGCCGATCACCTCGAGCGTCTCTACATCGATGGGGGCAGAGCAGGGATCAACGTTCAGGGAGAACCAGACGATCTTACGTTCGGCAGGAAGATGGTGGCACGCATCATGAACGCGGCCGAGTGCACAAAATCGCTGCGCGTACTCAAGACCCGTGGAGTCTTCGTCGACGATCGGGCCGGCCATGCGATCGCCGGCTTGGTTCGATGCCTGAAAACAGCCACGTCAGGGGGACTGGAAGAGCTGGACTTCAGCGACTCAAGCGAATTTCTGAAGCCGGACATCGTCATCACGGACGGTTTCCGCGCAACTGTCAAGGCCTGCATCGATTGTTCCGTTCGGCGTCTGAACCTTTCCGGCCAGCCTTCACGACAGATTATCTACGTGAGGACGGCTGGCGACGCCGTTGCTGCAACTCTGGCAAAGACGGGACTCGGCTCCCTGACCCACCTGCGACTGTCGTGGACGAACATGACGGATATCTCGCACCTCGCGACGGCGTTCGCACGCCCGAACCAGCTCGCCGTTCTGCACCTGTCCGGAAGCAACTTTGGACGTTCTTGGATGGCCGCTGTTGCAGCACTCGTCGGATGCAGCTCCACGCTGACGGACCTCGACATTTCACGCTCAATTTGGATTCAGCCGGAAAGCGCCCAGGCGCTGTGCGACGCCATCGCCGCAAACACCGCCCTGCCGCTGCGGAGCCTCAACATGGGCGGCAACTGGTTCGGCAACGACGGCGCCGCGGCGGTGGGCCAGATGCTGGAGCGCAACACGTCGCTTGCGACGCTCGTTTTGCGCGACACCAACATCGGAAACCGTGGCTGGGAGCACATCGTGGGGGGGCTGAAGCTCAACAGCACCTTGCGGCGCCTAGATCTCACCATGATCAGATGGGGCCATTTGCGGTCGGCTGGCGTCATCGCGCTGGCAGAGGCAGTCGCCAAAAGCACATCGCTCTCGTCGCTCGCGTTCGGAGACGGCAATTTGCAGGACCCGGCTGGGGTAAGCAAAGCCATCGGTGAGATGCTTGGCTGCAACTCGAGCCTGAGGGTCCTGGAGCTGACGCTTGGCTTCTCGGACGAGAGAGCGTGGAGGGTTGCCTTTCGGGGACTGGCGCGCAACCGCACGCTGCGGAAGCTTGGTATCCACGTGCTTGGGTCCAGGGACAGTTTCTATTTGAGGGATTCGGACGAAATGGGTGACGAAGGCGCCGCTGCGCTCGCGTCCGCGCTCGAATCCAACCACACCCTCCGGACTCTCATCTTGCCCCGCCAGAACATCGGCCCGGCCGGCGCCACAGCTCTCGCCCGAGCGCTGCACTTCAACAAAGGGCTCCTTGACCTGGACCTGGACGGCAACAAAATCGGCTCGCAGGGGGCGTTGGAGTTTGCGCGGGCGCTGCGCATTAATCGCTCCCTGCGCCACCTCGTCCTCACCAGCAACCGCATCATGTACGACGGGAAGGATGCTCTGGCGCGGAGTATATCCGAACACCCAAACGCCAACGCCATCAAGCTTGAAATATAGAACCAGTAGATCGCGAGTATCCGGGTGGGCGCGCTGTGAGCCGGTGCATGCGTGCGGCGAGCGTGGGTACCGCGCGTGCGCGTGCGGAAGCTGCGTCACGGTGTCTGCTTGACCTCCCGCCACGGTGCGCATCTCCACGCCGGTTTTCAGCAAGTCGCCTGCGTGCCGCATGGGACGCCTGCGTGTGTCGCGCTCGACGCCAGACAAGACCGCGCAGCAAGTCAGGCGGCGACCACAACAAGGAGTGAGCGCTGCATGGCAGACACCGGCCGCGCCCGCGCTGTGAGCCCTGCGTCTCGCACATCACACACACCGCACTAGCACGCTTCTGCCCCCCCCCCACCCCTCCGTCAGCTCTGCCGCCCCGCCACGATCGTCTTCAGCAGCCCCGTCGGGTAGTAGTGCTCCGACCGCACGTAGCACCCCGGGTCCTTCGTCGAGTGCCCCGCCGCCTGACACGCCTCCCACTCCGGCCCGTGCGCCAGCGACGTCGGGCCCTGCACCAGCGCCGGGTGGAACGCGCACCGCTCGGGCGACAGCGCGTCGTTCAGCCCGCACCGCACGCACCGCAGACCCCCCGCCTCCTCCCCGCCCGGCCGCCCGTGCGCCGGCGCCGCCTCCCTCGCAGCGGCGCCCCCCGCGCTCCGCCGCGGCTGCGGCACCAGCTGCGCCGGCCGCGGCCGTGGCGCCCCGCCGCCCTCCTCGTCCTCCGCGACCCGCGCCCCCGCGCCGACGCGCGACGTCGCGTGCCCCGAGATGTACGCCGGCTGCGGCAAGGGCCTCCGCGCACCACCGGCCGCCCCGGACCCCCCCCGCCCCGCGCCCGCCGCCCGCAACGGGCGCGACCGCTCCTGCGGCTGCCGCGGCGCCGGCAGCGCCTCTCCCGCCCCGCCCCCCTCCGACGCCCCGCTCCCCTCCGACAGCGCGAGCCCCACGCCCGCCCCCAGCGCCCCCGCGTCCATCCCGTGCGTCGCGCAGTGCACCCGCAGCTCGTGCAGCAGCAGCCCCATCGCCTCCTCCCGCTCCGCCAGCTCCTTCGCCGCCGCGCCCTGCAGCTCCGCCAGCTCCGCGCGGTGCGCCTCCTCCGCGCGCGCCACCGCCGCCGCCGCCACCGCGTCGTGCACCATCCGCTCCTCCGTCAGCTGCTCCGCCGCCCACGTCCCCGTGCGCACGCTCTCCAGCTCCCGCGACAGCTCCTGCGCGCGCGTCCGCGCCGCCGCCACGTCCCGCGCGTACCGCTCGCGCAGCTCGCGGCCCCGCGCCTCGCTCTCCGCGCGCTGCTTCAACAACAGGTACTGCGCACTGTCGCTCGCCTCCTGCCGCAGCGACCGCAGGTGCACCGCGAGCCGCTCGTTCTCCGCCCGCAGCGCCTCGTTCTCCTCCTCCACCGACACCTGCGTCGGGTGCCCCAGCTCCGCCAGCCGCCGCTCGTGCCCCTCGCGCTGCGCCGCCAGCTTCGCCTCCCACAGCTCCCGCTCCTGGTCGAACCGCACGCGCATCGCCACCACCATGCGCCGGTACTGGTCCTTGAGCGTCGCCGGACCCCCCGCCACCGTCGCGAGCGCCCCCGCCGCCCCCACCGCCGCCCCGGCCTCGACGCCACGCCCGCGCCGCTGCCGCGCGCTGTCCTCGGGCGCGGACGCCGCCGCCGCGAACGCCGACCCCACGCCCGTCGCGTCCTTCAGCGCCGCGACCGCGTCCCCGAGCTCGCGCGCGTCCGACTCCGGCCCCACGTCCAGCATCCGGTCCAGTCGCTGAGTCAGGTCCGCCAGGGCCTCCGCGGGCTCCATCTCCTCCCGCCGCCCGCGCTCCGCCGCGCCCAGCCGCGCCTGCAGCGCCGACACCTGCCACTTGAGCGTCCCGCACGCGTCCTCCAGGTCCCGGCACGCCTTCTCCCGCGACGCTAGCGCCTCCTGCGCGCGCTGCTCGCGGTCCTCGGCCTCCGCGAGGCGCGTCCGGAGGCGCACGAGGTCCGCCTGGGCCTCCGCCGCGGCCGTCTGGGCCTGCGCGGAGGCGGCGGCGTCGCCGGTCGCGCCCGGGGCCGCGCCGGCGGGCGGGCGGGCGCTCGGGAGGGCCGCGACGGCGTTGACGAGGGCCGCGACGTTGGAGGAGGGGATCGAGGAGCGGAGCGAGGCGATGCGGGCCTCGAGCGCGGCCCACTCGGCCGGGGACGGCCACGGCTGGGTGCCGCGCAGGGCCATGGAGAGCAGCTGGGCCAGGTCCGAGGCCCGCTGCTGCCAGCTGTGGACCTCCTGGAGGTGCCCGTCGAGCGCGTTCTCCGCGGCTCGCACCTGCGGGGGCGTGCGGGGGGCGCCGGTGGCGGCTCGGCCGGACGGCGGCAGAAACACGGGACGAGAAGTTGGTTGCTTGTTAAGCGAACACGAACGCGGCCACACAGGGCTGGGAAACGATGGAGTTTGGGGGTTCGGTTGGCGAGGGCGTGCTACATCGCACGGGGCCGCGAAGGGATACGTGCCTGCTGCGTGAGCGCCGCGGTGAAGCGCGCCAGCTCGGCGCGCTTGTCCTCGTGGAGCTGCGCCTTGCGAGCAGACGTCGCCCGCGACAGCGCGGCGGCATCTTCGCGCATGCGCGCGATCGCAATGAGCCTCTCGTGCATGTCGATCTCGAGGCGCCGCTTCTCCACGCCCTGCGCGTCCCCGCCAGCGAGGCCGGCCCGCAGAGCTGCCCCAGCAGCGGAGCGGCGCCCGACGGCATCGCCGCCTCCATCCTGCCACGCTCTACGTCCCCACAGAATCACGGACCCCTACCGCGCAGCCACGTACCGATCCAGGCCCCGCCCGTCCGCGAGTCCGCGCCCAGGGCGCGCTCGTCCTGCACACGCACGCCGCTCGAATGCGAGGCTCCGCGGATCGCCGTGCGTGCCCCTTGACCTCGCGCGTCCGGCAACTCCGACGCAGGCAATCGTATGCGCGAGCCCCGCGGCGCGCAACGCCCACGTCGGCGCGGGAGCCGCTCGCGCGGGCCGCTGTCTGACATGCGGTCCGTCGCGCCAAGGATGGCCCGTCCGACGCGCCGCATGGCGCGGTTCCGGGGCGCGGAGCCCTCGCGCCGCTGCCCGGGAGCGCGGCCAAGTGCGACGCGGCCGCCAGCCCCGCGGTTCGGGGGCGGCCACGAGCCACTTCGACCGCCGCAGCAACGGGGGGTGTTGTCGCCCCATGTGTCCGGCGCTCTGCGTCTGACCGCCTCCGGCGAGCCCGCACGCGCGCGGCGGGCTCTGGCAGCCACGTGCGCACGTGCGGGGGCCCTCGCCGCGCGTCTGAGTCCATGAAAGTCATTTCGTCACAAAAAGAATCGAAGAAAAATGGTTCCGCGAACCAGTGCATATGTGTGCAGCCGCACAGGTACAGGCACAGCTGGGCGCGCGACCGGAAAGCCGCCCGCGGCTCGCAGCAGCTTCGAGTCCTCCAGCGACCACGCCGGCAGTACGTGGCTGGTGCACTGCCGGGGCGCGTCGACCGGTCCGTTGGCGGTACCGGAACGGTGCCGAGAGCGAGCCCAGATGCCGCGGAGTGCGCCGCCGTGCTCCCTGCCGACGTCGGTGGGCCCAGGCGAGCCTGACGGCGCACGGACCTGACGCGGTCTTCCGCTGAGAGACGGGCCCCGCGGACGGCCGTCCGATGGGACCTTCGTTGCGGCGCGGGCCCCGGTGATCCAGCACACGCCATGGCGGCATTCGAACATCGAAATAGGCAGTGAGGTACCGGGAATTCGCGTGGAGACGGAACGGGGCAGCGCTGGAAGCAGCTCACGCGTCGTAGTTGCCGGACGAGGGGCATAGACGCGCTTGCGCACGTACACCGGCGACCTCGGTGCAGATGTCGTCGACCGAGGACCTCGAGGAGCTCCGGCGGTGGAAGGGCGCGCTCGAGGAGGGGCTGATCAGCGAGGTGCGGATGCAGGGCCTCGCTGGCGCGCCCCGTGCGAGCCCGCCTGTCGCCCTGACGCGGCCGCTTCCACGCACCACGAGCAAGGCAGCAGTGCGGTCCAGAGACGCTGCGAGCCGCCCCAGGCTGCGCGGGCGGGCGCGCCAAGCCCTTGCTCTCAGCACCGCGGCCCTCCCGCGACGTCGTAGCGCGAACGAACCACGAAACCACGCCCCCGCGACCCTCCACTCTCAGAAATTTGAAACACGCGCATCGTCCGCGCGGGCCTCCGCACCCCCAAGCCGCACGCGCCCGCCCCAGCTTCCCACGTACCCGCCACGCGCCCGCCCGACCCCGCGGGACCCGCCCCGCCCCGCAGGCCGACTACGAGCACATGAAGGAGTCCTACCTCCTCGCCCAGCGCATCCGTCAGGGCATCCACGCGGGGTTCATCGCCAAGGAGGAGTACCACGAGTTGCGGCGGGCCTTCCTCGCCAAGCTGGAGGTCCCGAACGCCGCGCGAGCCCCGCCCGCAGCGGCCGCTGCGCGCCACGGCGACACCGGCCGGCACTACCAGAGCAACCAGGAGTCGCTGCACAAGCAGCAGCCGCCACCAGCGCAGCGCGCGCCGTCGCCCTCCCACGCGCCCGCGCCGCAGCCCCCGGCGCCGCGCGCACCGCCGTCGCACCCGCCGAGGATGCCGTCCGGTACGCAGCCCCGGGCCCGCGTCGTATGTCTTCTTTTCCTCTCTGCATCGTGCGTGCGTTGCGTTGCGTAGCTGGCCCGCCTCCGTTCGTCGGCCAGAGGCCGCAAGCTGCCCTCGCGGCGGCGGCGGCAGCTGGTACCGGCCCCGCCCGGCGTCGTGCCCGTGGCGACCGGGCGGTGCGCAGCAGCGCGCGAGGCGGAGATGTCGACCGCTGTCAGGCGGGGGCCTTCTGGTGACCGGGGCGCGCCGAGATAGCCGCCACGGACAGATACGGGGCCGACATGCCCGCCCTCGCGCCGGCGTTCCGCGTGGAAACACCCCCCTTTTGCTCCTGACTCATCAGACCACTCCCCCCACGCGTTCGGCCGGCCGCAGGGGGCGTGAGCGGCCCGGCGTCCCGCACGAACTCCGGTCCGAACGTGGCCGCCATGGGCAAGGTGCCGAACAACATGGCGGGCATCGCGTTCGACGGCAACATCACGCAGGAGTACCTCAACATGCGCGTGCGCTCCGCGTACCGCTGGATGATGTTCCGCATCGAGCGCGGGTGCGTCGTGATCGACGACTGCGGCGGGGGCGCGCCCGGCGCGGACCCGCTCTCGCACGCCGCGTGGGACGAGATGGTGTCGCGGTTCGGGCCGGAGCCGCGCTACTGCGTGTACGACCACAAGTTCGCGAGCGTGGACGGCGGGACGTTCAACAAGCTGGTCTTCGTCGCGTGGTCGCCGGACAACGCGCCGGCGAGGCTCAAGATGGAGGTGCGCGCCCGCGCCCGCGCCCGCGCAGAACGAGCCGTAAAAACGTTGGCATCTTGAGTGTTTGCATTCCCTCGCCGCACGGCCGTGTGCTGGCGCGCTGCGCGGCGCCGACGGCCTGGGCGCGTCGTGCGTGGTGGGTGCAGTACGCTGCGGGGAAGAAGGCGCTGAAGGAGAACCTCGAGGGCATCACCGCGGAGGTGCAGGCCACCGAGCACTCCGAGCTCGACTTCAACGACATGGACGCAAAGATCAAAGGGTTCGTCCGGAACTGACCCGGACGCCGCGCAGCCACCTATCAGATACCTATCCCGCGCCGCGGGCCGTGCGCGCGCTGTGACTCGACGACGCCGCGGAAGGCAAATCACAACCTGCGGCCAGCGGGGATTCGGGCTGCGCGTGGCGGTCGCACTAGTCCAGCTCCTGGATGAGCACGCCGCTGCTCTTCGCCGGCGCGCCCTGCGGCCGCGTTGCCTCGGACGTGACGTCCTCGATGACGATGGGCACCCCCCTCCCGGTTTGTTGAGACCCCCCCGGCCCCTGCCCGGACGCGCGGCCGCCGCCCTTCGGCTTCCCGCCTCCACCGAAGCTGAATGCGAACGGCGACTTCGTGGACTCCCCCAACACCTCCCGCTTGCCCTGACTCCCCTCCCGCTGCGGCGCGGGCTGTGGCTGAGGCGCGGGCCTCGGCGGCGGCGCGGGCTGCGCCCCGCCCTGCCCCCGCTGCGCGTCCTGCTGCTCACCCGTCTTCGTGAGCCGGTCCCCGACCAGCCCGGCCATGGCCTGGTAGAACTCCAGCACCTTTTTGTTGTCCTTGTACTTTGAAATGGCACCGGGGTTGCTCGCGACGTCCTGCACCGCCGCCATGACCTCCGGGTCGTCGAACCCCGCCATCAGCTTCGCGTCCGACATCACCTGCGGAGGGGTCGGCCGCGTTCACGCCGCGCGGTGGGGCTTGGCCCACGCGACGCTGCACACGCGCCAACCACGCCGGTGGCGCGCTGCCCGGAGCTACACGCGCGCTGGCAGGTACCGACAGCAGCGGGCCCGGCCCACACGGGGTTGCGAAACGCGGCCGCGCGTGCTCGCGTCGCGACCGTGCCATGCGGCGTTGCGCCGTTTGCGCACCTGCCCCATCATGTCCTTCGTGGGCTTCATCGCCTCGGTGACCTTCTGCTTGACCTCCTCGAGCCCCGGCACCGGCTCCTGCTCCACGCGCATGAAGTCCGGGATCGCCTTCTCGGCCTTGCCGCCCAGCCCGCCCGCGCCGCTGCTGCCCATCGCGCCCCTCTGCGCCTGCGGCCGCTCGGACACCGGCGCCCGCGGAGTCGCGGACCATGCCCACGAGATCGCCAGCGCAGCGGAGCCCCGGGGCGGCCAGCGCGCCTGCACCGGCGCGAGTGCTGTCCAATTCCACCCCCCGCTCACCTTCACGAACGGCATGTCTTCGCCCTTCTGGCTCGCTGCCTTGGTCTTCTTCGGCGCGTCGAAGAACCCGCGCTTGAACGCGCCCTTGCCCGCGCCGGACGACCCGCCCTGGGCCGCGCTCTTGCTCGCAGGCGCGCGCTGAGGCATTGCCGTCACCGTCGCCCTGCGCTCCGCCTCGCCCGCCGCCTCCTTCCCGACGGAAACCGCGGCCACCTGCTCCGCCATCGTGCTGAGCGACGGCGGGGGCTCGTCGTCGTCCGAATCCCACGTCATCGCCGCCCAACCCAACCAAGCGCGCCCAACCAGGCCAGCCGCGCCCGCCCTGCCAGCGCCGCTGCAGGGCCGAGATTCGCCGCAGACGCGAGGTCTCCGATGCGGTGAAGCTCCAGGGACGCCCGCGGAGTGGAATCATGCGCGGCCCGCGCGCGTGTCCCCCCAAATGTGACCGCGTCCTCCGGGGCCTCGCTGGAGGGCTCCCGCCGCGGTCCCGGGCCGCCCGGGACGCGCCGGCGAACGATGCGGCGCGCGGCGGCTTCCATGCACGCACTTCCGGACTGCTGCGCTGTGTTCTGAGAGGTGCGTCCATTACGTCGCCCGAGGTTACCGCTGTGCCCTGGGGCCGTGCTGCTCGAGCGCCCGTGGCCAGCCCGCCCCGCGTTCGATCTCGGCTGGGCCGCCAGAGCGCTGCGCAGGCATGCTCGCGTCGATCCAGCGCGCCGACAGCGCCCGTCGCGGCCGCCAGGTTCAATTCGGGCCAACCACAGAAGCAAAGCACCCTGCCTAGTTGGGCGGGACGGGCTTTGCACGCAAGTTTCTTTCGCGATCCTCGCTTCGCTTGCGTCCGTATTCGTCGGTGGCTCACCCCTGGGGGCCGCGAATCGAATCGTGCAGTCTGACGCATCGTTTTCGCTGCCGTGCACTCACCACCCAGTGGGGCTCCCCCGGGACGCCGGCCCGCTGCGCAGGCGACACCACCGACGGGCGGAGGATCAGAGCATCGCTTTGTCTTGCGAGCGGCGGCGTCTGTCGCGGAGCAGGGGCGCCATGACGGACCACGATGAGGCCAAGTGGGAAACGGTGAAGCGGGGGCAGGGGCGCGCGCTCTCCAAGCAGAACAAGGGCAAGGTGACCCCCTGCGCCGCGAACGTCCTCGCCACACAGCGGCATGTCGTGTCCACCCGCGGACCCGTGCCTCTCGCGCGCCACCGCCCCGCCCCACGCACACCGCCCTGGCCCCGCGCTGCGTCCGAGCACCGCGGAACACGCGCAGATGTTCCATCACGGAGGACTCCCATGCCTAGCCAGTGCCCAGAGCACCGCGTCCCGCCCGCCGCACATCGCTTCCTCGCCCAGCGCACGCCCAGCGCCCCGCGCGCTCTGCGCACACGCGCAACCTCACTCCGCACGGTGGTCGGGCGCACCGCAGCTCGCGCCCGGCGACGGCCTGATCGACATCAACTCCGCGGACTCGCGCGGCACGTTCGGCATGCTGGACGACCTCGAGGCGAAGATGGCGCAGTACGCGGCCCAGAAGGAGCAGAAGGAGAAGGAGCGGGAGAAGAAGACCTCCAGGGTGGCGGTCAAGGGCGGGGGCGTGGTGAACATCGCGCCGATCGAGTTCGCGCCCGTCGTGCCGCCCAAGGGGCAGGCGCAGAAGCAGCAGAAGAAGACGAAGGAGTCGCACGCGGCGAAGCAGGCGCCGAAGCACGAGGTGGCCGCGAGCAAGTGTGCGGCGCGGCTGACGCCCGAGGCGCTCGCGGAGGCGATCGCGGAGGCGGAGGCAAGGTGCGGGGTGCGCGTGCGGCGGCCCTGCGGCCCGGGACGTGCGTGGGGCGCTGACGATTGCCGACGCGGTGCCAGGGGCGACGGTGCTGCGTTCTGCGTGCTGCGCCGGAGGGGCTGTCGCGGCGTGCGCGCGGGCGGACGATGCTCGCGCCGCTGCTCGTGAGTTTCGTCGATCTTGCGCGTCGGGCAACATCACGTCGCGTTGCAACCTGCGCTGTTGGTGTTTTCGTGTCCTTGCCGCTGCAGGTACCCCCAGGAGGAGGACCGCGTGGCGTACATCGTGAACGCGTTCTCCCGGGCCTTCAAGGACTGCTCGATGCACTTCAACGAGATCGCGAGCGACGCGGCCGGCGCGGCGCCCTGGTCCTCGCTCCCCGCGCCCCTCTCCGCCGCCACAACCAAGTGGGCCAAGGGCCTCGCGGTCGGCGCCGCCGGGCGCGCGGCGTGCTCCATCCTGCACGACCTCGGCATGCAGCGCGCCGCGGGGCAGCGCGTGAACGTCGGGGAGCTCGTGGTGGTTGCCGCGCTGTTGCGCGCACAGCCCGGCGCGGCGACGACGTGCGTGGAGGACCTCCTGCGGGAGTCGCAGACGCTCACGGGGCCCGACACGACGGCGCTGTTCCTGTGGGCGCTGCGGCAGATGGCGAGCGCGTCCGTGCCCGACGCGCTGGCGGTGTGGGCGCAGGCGCTGCTGCCGCAGGTGCTCGGGCGGCCGTTCTGCGAGATCGCGCTGCCGGCCGAGCTGCGCACGGTGCCCGTCGCGATGATGCGCGCGGACTCGCAGGTGCGGCGGACCCTCGCGACTGCTGTGCGCTGAGACTCCTGCGCTCGCTCACAGCCCGCCTTGCGCGCCGGTCCGGGCTGACTCGCGCTGAGGCGACTCTGACTCTTGCTCGGCCGTCGGTGAACGGCGCGCCCCGCGCGAACACGCAAGCCCAGCTTGCACAGCACCGCATGTGTTCACAACCGTCGCGTGTGCTGCGTCCCTGCGTGCAGCTTGCCGCGCTCAGCTACGGCCTCGAGCTCCTGCGTCCCGCGGCGTCTCGTCGGCGACCCGTCAACGTCGCGGGCGCGATCCATCCCCGCCACCTCGTCGCCGCGTGCTGCGCCGCGCACTCCGCCTCGGCCAGCGCTGCCGCCCGCATTCCGCGCGCCGCGCGCCCGCCGCTCCGCGAGGCGTGCGTGCTGATGACGGACATCCTCGCGCGGGCCACCAAGGGCCAGGCAGACACGCCAGGTACGGCCACGCGTTGCCCAGGCTCGCAACTCCCCGCAGGACAGGGGAGGGGAGTTTTTCGAACCGAGTCCGACCGCCGCTCCCCGCGCCGCGTCTCTGCAGGCAACCTCCTCGTCGCGGTGCTGGACGCCGCGGCCGCGCACGTCGACACCGTCGCCGACCCGGCGCTGGCCGAGCTGGCGGCCATTGCGCTGCGCTGCCTCGAGGCCTCGCCGCAGGCTGCGCGCCGGTGGGAGTCCAAGCACAAGCAGAACGTCAAGGGCTCCTCGCGGATCCTCCAGGCGCTCGCCACGCGCTCCGCGGGCTTCCCCAAGGCTCTGCAGCAGGTCAAGGGGTCCAAGGCGTTCACCGCGCTGGTCGGGAACCTGCGGTCGCGGCACGCCGGGTCGCTCAAGTCGGGCCCGCAGGCGCTGATGAAGGCGGCGAACGCGGCGGAGGAGGCGTGCGTCATCCTGCTCGGCGGCAGCGCCGCTGCGCCGCCGGTGCCGACGCGCGGGGCGCAGGGTCGTGGCCGCCGGGCGGCGCGGCAGTCGTCGACCGCGACGGGCCTCGTCGCCGCAGCGGTGCTCGGAGCAGGCATGGCCGCGGGCGCGTGCGCGGTGGCGTACAACTATCTGCCGGCGGGGGAGCAGGTGTGCTTCATTTGACGCTGCGCGTATCCGTGCGTGCGGCCGCAAGTCCTCGGACCCGCGCAGGACGTTGTGCGCGCGCCAGCGCGGCTGGTGCTCCGGCGGGGGCCGAGAACCAGCTGCGTGGACCCCAAGAGGTGGCATGCTTTGTGTGCGTGAGTGCAGGAGAAGATGCAGGCTGCGTGGGCGTCGGTGTCGGCGGCTGCCGCGCCGCTCTTGAAGAAGCTGGAGCCGGTCGTGGCGCGTGCGGGGCCCGTGGTCGGGGAGATCAAGGAGCGGCTGCAGCCCGCGGTCGCGGAGGCGGCGCGGCGGGCCGGGGAGGGACTTGCAACGCTGCGGACGCGGCTGTCGTCGAGCGGGTGAGCCGGCACAGGACCTGCGCGAGCGTGTGACCCACCGTCCGCGCAGAACGAAACCCGGGCTTGTGGCAGAGACGGACTCCCCTCGGAGGGGTGTTTGTGGGGGTGTTGCAGTTGACACGAGTGAGCTTGCGCGGTGCTGTTGGCCGTCGAGGTGCGGTCGCATGGTGCAGATCGGCTCGGAGCTGCGCTTCGGGTCCTACCGGACACGTTCTCGGCACCGAGATGCGGCGCTGCGCCGCGGCACTCCTGTTGGCTGTGGCCCTGTGCGCGCTGATCAAGGCGACGGACCAGGTGCGACCCCGTCATCCTGGCGCTTGTTGTGGTGACACATTCGCAGACGGAGCTCGGCGGCCTTTGAATGCCGGAGCGGTGCGGGACGCCTGTCCGGGGCAGGAGGGCGATGCAGCGCGTGCCTGATTTCGCACATTTTTCATGACACATTTCCTTTTCGAGCGAGCTTGCATCGTTGGTGTTCTCATTCCTCGTCGATTCAGCGAATCTTATCGGCTCCGAGCGGAGGGTTTCTCGCGGAATCGTCGATCCCGTCTCTGACCCCCTGGGCGCTGCCGCCCCGCACTCTCGCTGCCCGCAGGCCGGCGCAATCATCGACGCCGTCAACGAACTCACTCACCGCGTCATTCTGGTCGGCGACGACAGGCTCGCCTCCACGGCGTGCGCGGCAGCTGCCCGCTCTGGCCCCAGCGTCGTGCATGCAGCCACGCTGGCGCCCCACCTTCGCGATGCGGACGCCCGCGGTGCCCCGACGACATGGTGCACGCTGCGGGCAGACGTTCCCGTAGACGACGCCTTGCTGCAGCGGCTTCGCGCAAACACGAAGGGTCTGCAATCGTTGGAACTGGACCAGGTGGCGTTCGGGGCGCATGGGCGGCTCGCCGGGGGCATCGCACGCGTGTCGCGACACGGAGGAGACTCTGCTGTCGCTGCAGAGCCCGGCTGCAGCGACGAGGCGGCGTGCGGGTTCCCGGACCTCCTGCACTGGCACATGCAAGCTGCACAATGCCCACGTCTTCGCTCGGCCAACGGCGGCGCCCGCATCTGTCTGGTGGGTGCGGCCGTGCGCCCATCGCTGCGACGGCGCCTCGGTATCCAGGAGATCAACCCAGCTGCGCGATGGGCGGATGATGTCGACCCCGACGCCAGGCTCGACGCTGGAGAGCTTCTCACAGCGTTCTCGGCTCGCCTGCTCAACCAGACAGCGCCCCACGACGCTTCTCCGGTGCATGCGACGCATGATCTCGTCGCTTGCAGCGCAGCACAGCGCGGAGACGCGACGGCGGCGCTGTCCGACGTGTTGAGTTGCATCGATCTCTGCAGCAAACATTGGGGCGACGACGGCCCAGGAACAGTGATCGCCGTGCCCTGGGGCGTCGCTCAGATGTCGCGCGCGACCGCAGCGATCGTCCGAGCGGCAGGCGCGCTCGGGTCGCTCCTCGTCGTACCTGCAGGAGACGCGGGGACGCACGTCGCACTGCGCCCGACGTGGCCGGCGGCCCTGTCGCGGCCTGCTGCGTCGTCCCCGGCGGGTGTGCCTGGAGACGGAGTCGCTGTCGTGTCCGTGGCCGCGGCGACGTACGGCGGCGACCTGCTGGGGTCGAGCAGCTACGGGAGCGACGTGGACGACGCTGCGCCCGCTCGGGCCGCGCGGCACGTCGGAGTCGATCTGGCCGCGGTCGGTGAGACACCAGTTCTTGGGCTCGCAGCAGGGACCGCCGTCGCGTCGATGAGGGTGGCGAGCGTGGCGGCGAGGCTTCTGCACACGTGTTGGACGCAGAGCGCCGCCACGTCGAGCAGCGGCGGCGTTCCTGCTCCTGATCTGCGCTGGCAGTGCGTCAGACGAGTGAAGGCGGCCCTCGAGTGGGGGTCCAGGCGGCGACCGACCGATCGAGACCTCCGCGGGGGGCTGCTGGATTGCAGCGCAGCGTTCGAACACCTGCGGTCGACTTCGAGCGGAGACGCCCATGGCGACGCTGGCCTCGATGACGTACCTGACGAGCTCTTCGACGGCGCGTACCGATCTAGCAGCGGCGGGTCGACGCGAGCTCCGTGGGCCCGGGCGCAACACGTCCCCGGGCTCGATTTCGAGGCCGCAGAGAAGCACCTGGAAGGACCGGAGCCAGGCGTCCAGCCAAGGGCGAACGGCGGGCACAGCCGGCGCGTTCCGGGGCCTGCGTGGACGTGGCCGGTGCTCATGGGCGCTGCCGCAACTCTGGTCCTGTTCGTTTTGCGCGCGAAGCCGCTGCAGAGGCTCTCGCCGACGTTGCCCAGGTCAATGCAGTCAGCGCACAACGCGACATCCTCTCAGGGCGCGCATGATCTGAGCGCCGCAGCCCAGTTCGAGGCCGGTGCGCTGGCGAACCTCGCGCCCACGCCACGTATGCTGCGGCTTCCGGGGCGAGCACGCGAGCGCCACGGGCCCCCAGTGCTCCACGCGAAGACCCCGAGACCAACCATGCAGACCGTTCTCGGGCCGGAGAGCGCCGTGTTCGGCTCGCCGAGCCCCGAACATCACCGTGGTCAGGGTGTCCCTGACTCCGGCGGGCCTGACGCGGGTCCTGAAGCGCACCGGGCCTGCGCCCGCGCGACCAGCATGTCGTTTGTGCGCAGCCACATGCGATCCATGTCGCAGGACCTTCAGCGCTCCTTCTCGCGCATCAACCCCTTTCAAAGTGCCACCAGCGTTCTGGCACCGGGCTGTTCGGGGCGCCCCGGCCACGCGCTGCGCAGGCACGCCACGCTGGGGCCCGGCGATCTGCTCTCCGCGCGCCGGACGCGGCAGCACGGGCTCGGACTCTCCCCGCTGGAGGAGAAACAGTCGCACCACGATCTCGAGGATGACGAGGAAGCAGAAGACCTGTTACGAAGTCATCCACCGAGTAATTCCGGGACGGCGGCTCGCCGGGGCCGGCACACCGTCGGCATCAACCAGGAAGCGAGCCAGCGCGACGACGCGGCCCCGGCGGAGGGCCCAAACAGGCAAACATCAACCATGCTTGGATTCGCCCTTGGAAGGTCCACCTCGTTCCGGCTGCACATCAGCGGCGGTTCCGGCGCCACGCGCGAGCTGCGCCAGCGCGCGTACTCGCGCGTATCAATCGACGACTGATGCCAGCGCGTCCCCCGCGAACATGCGCATGCGCGTGCAGTGCACACGACCGCCTCTGTAAGGATCACACGTCCGCGAGTTCTGTGCGCTGATGATGCTTGAAAAAAATCGATGGACGGGTTCACGCCGCCAGAATCGGCCGAGACGCCCACGCGGGTCACTCGCCGTCGCGGACTCCCGCAGCTTCCCGCAGCCGCTTCTCCGCCCGCTGCTTCTCCTCGAGGTCCGTCTTCGCGGCCTGCGCCTTCTCCATGTCGCCCGACCGCAGCGCCACCAGGTCCGCCCGTTTCCCGCAGTCGGACGGCAATGACGCGTCCCCAGGAGGCTTCACCAGCGACCGCACGGGGGCCTTACGCACGTCCACGTACGTCCGCGGCTTGCCGCCAGCGGCTTTCGCCCACGTGATGTGCGTCAGCCAGGACCCCGAGATGCTGTCGACGGGCGTGCCGTTGCGTTTGATCTCCCCGCGCAGCATGTCCGGCGACCAGCCATCATCCGCCCCTGCGAGCACGGACCCGGCAATCAGCCTGTCAAGGGCCGTCCGCCTGATGCGGCGGCGGGCCGGAGGGGGGCCTGCTTCGGGGCGAGGCGCGCACCTGACCACCAGCGGCTGGCGGCGCCCAGGAGGCCTCCCTCGCGTGGGGGGTCTATTTCGATGTCGGCCTGGAGGCCGTTCTGCTGATCCCGGAAGGTCATAGTACCTGCGGACGGCGCACTCGCGCGACGAGTGAGGTCGTCACCCGGGCGTGACGTCAAGACGGCGCGCGTGGACACATACGCACGCAGCGGCGTTGAGCCGAAAGAAGCGCCACGCACCCTGGTACTTCATGTAACGGTCCCCCATGATGATTCCGTACAGCGTCATGCCTGGCAGCTCCCACTCGATCGAGCTCCCGTCCACCTGTGGGCACAGCGACAACACGAGAATCAAACCCTCGGAACGCGGGTGGCCCGCACGGCTGCGCGACAGACGTCCCGGACACGCATGACATTCGCATCGGGCTCCCTCGCGCGTCGCTCACCTTGAACGTCACGCGGTTCACGCCCTTCTGCACCCCCTCGACGCTGTTCGCGTAGGTCTTCGCCCGCCACTCCCCGTGTCCCTGGAATCGGAACAGCCCGTCCTTGTCGAACATCTGCCAGCTCGAGATCGGCGGGTGGTGGCTGATCTGCTCCGCGAACAGCTGCACGCCGTCCAGCTCGGCCTGCAGCGTTTCGCCCAGCAGCGGGTTGAAGGGCTTCCCGTGGGAGCACTGCCGCACCAGGCCGGCGATCGCGAACGCTACCACGCAGCGCATGCGCTCCACGGGGTCCTTCTCCCGCGCCGCGGCCTTGAGCAGGTCCAGGTAGGCCCAGTTCTCCGCCATGCGCTCCAGGAAACTCCGGTCCTCGAAAAACGCCACCGGCATCGACACCTTCGTCAGGTTCAGGCCCTGCGGGGAGGACGATACGAGGCGCGCGGATCGCGGCGGACCGGGGCCGCGTGGACGAGCGCGGCGGCTGTCGTGCGACGTGGCAGTGCTGCGGTTGAGGTTTGCGTCGGTGCGCGGCGCTGTGAGGGGACGCTGCGTGGAGAGGTGGCGCGGAGAGTAGGCTGGCGCACCTGCTTGAAGACGGACAGGCCCATGGAGGTCGCCCAGTCCCACGCGAGCTTCCTGTGCGCTTTGACCGCGGCCAGCTGCTCTGGCGAGTCCCACCGAAATCCGCCCTGCGAGCACGCGTTTGGACGCCAGTTGAGTGAGGAGTGCAAAGTACAGGTCTTAATCGTGCGTGCGGATGCGCGGGACTGCCGCACCAGGGCGCCACGCGCCGCGGAGCGCGTGACGAGTGTGCGGGGCCACTCGGGGGCAGCGCGAGCCGAATGTCGGAAAAGCGACGCGATTTCATGCATCGACTCTGATTGATGTAGATGCAAGGGTGCATGGCGCACATCAAGCACTGCACGCACTTCCAGGCCGCGGCGCCCAGCCTGCAAGCCGTGGCGCGGGATCAAGGGGGGCGCGTACGTAGCCCTTCGTCTTCCCATCTTGCTCTTCGAGCCCAAACTCCCTCATCTGCGCCTCTAGAGTCGCCTCGGCGCCCATGTTGCCCCTCAAAGACCGCCCCCGCGGCGTAACAAGCGCGCTACCCTCGAGTGTTGCAGGTACGCGTGCCGCGCAACGGAACCCGACTCGCACGCCGCTACAGCACCTCCTCCACCGACACGGATCGAACTGACGCCGCAGGCACTGCGCGATCCGCACCGCAGCCCCGCGTGATGATCCGCGCGGGCCGCGTCCCCCCCGCCATCAGATGATGACAGCTGTCCGCCTCTGTGCGGCAGCGCGCCCATGCCGCCGAGCCAGCGCCGCGCGCGCCCCGCAGATACCGTGCCCCTGCCCCCCGCGCACGCCCTCCCTGCGTCCCCGCCGCCCCCTCCCAGGACCGCCACACGCATCACTGCATCCAACGGCTCGCCGCAGCACGAGGCACACGCACCGACACCAGCACGACCTAGCAGGGCGACGCGATCTCACACGCATCCGCGCCGCCTTCGTGGCTGGGGTAGTGGTGATACAACTGTGCGAAGAGCATGCAAACAAACCGGGCCGGGATCACCACGGCCGGGTCGAGTTGGGGTCCCGCGCCTCCCCTGTCGTTGGCGGGATGTTCTTGGGCTCCACCTGGACGTTCCGCGGGTTCCCTGCGGCGCGGAAGACACGCGGGCGCGATGATGACAACGCTGCACTGTGCAGCGAGGCGCGCGTGCGGCGGCCGGCGCGCCCGTGTCCGCCGGATCGCCGGGACCCGCGCAGCTAAGCGTCGGCCTCGTCATGGCGTCCGTGCACGACCGGGGGGAGGACCGAGCAAGCTGCACTGGCAGGGCGGTTCGCTCGCACCGGTGATGATATCGAAGCCCGTGACATGCATTTTCGTGTACAGGTTCTGGCTGCGCGCGGCCACCCGTTGCCGGAAGCGGTCGTCGCGCTCCTTCAGGTTGTCCACGTCGGGCCGCTGGCTGTCGTAGCCCATCGTGATCGGATTCACCGGCAGCCTGCAGCTAGGGGCGCAAACGCTTCCTCTCACGCCCCGCACGCAAGCTGCGCAGCAAAACCGCGCGTCGGGGCGCGCGGCGCCGGTCGGCGCGGCGTTGGGCGCAAGGTGGGCGCGCACCCGCAGCGGTTGTTCCGCGCCGCTGGCCGGTGGTGCAGCTTTTCGAGCCGCTGCTCCTCCGCCTTGTGCTCCCGCTCCATCGCGTCCCACCGCTTCTGCTCCCGGTCCAGGTCCCCGTTCCGCTTCTTGATCAACTTCTCCTCGTAAAACTCGAGACGCGCCTCCCGCCGGCCGTGCTCCTCCTCGATGAAGTTCCTCCTGAACCGGTCCACGTCCTCCGCGTAGTACGGCGCCTGCGAGCGCGTGAGGACAGCGGGCGCGGCGGCCGTGGGGCGCGGTCCGCGCAGCGGGCATGCTCGGCCGTCGCGGGCCCGGAAGTGCCAGCGAAGGGGTTTCGTGGCGCTGGAAGGATAGAACACGGAGAGAGGAAGGGGCCGCGGAGAGACGAGGTGTTGGTGCGGTCGGTGCTGCACGGGCTGCGCGTGTTGGCCGGACCGCGCTGTCAACAAGCGCTGCGGGACGCCCACGCGGCCCGTGCGGACGACGAACGGGCGAATCGTCCCGGTCGGCGCAACCATCAGGCAGGAGGCTTTCCTTCGCGGCCCCGCGGTCGCGACACGGGCCGCGTGCGGGCGCAGGGGGCGCAGCATCTGCCGCGGAGCAGTGCCCAGCCTCCCTCGCGGGCCGCGGGGCGCGCGCGGCGGCCCGTGGAGCGCGCGGGGCGGCTGTCGAGGTGACAGCGTGGCGTTCGGCGTCGCGCACCTGCTTGGTCGGCAGCACGGGGTTCGCGACGGGGTCGTGGCGCACGAACCCAAATTGACGACACTTGAGACGACTCTTTTCGAGGAGGTCCTTGTCGCGGTCCGCCAGGCGGGCCTCGCGCGACCGCGGGGCGACGTTGTGGAACGCGTTGCCCGTCGCGTCCGCCTCGAGCATCGTGTTGCGGAAGTGGCCCTGCGGGGGCGCGTGGCGCAGGCGAATGTTGGGGCGTGGGGGCGCGAGGAGGGCGCTGGGGCCGGCGCGGGGGCCGCGGACAGTGCGGTTAGGGGCGTGCGGGGGGAGCGGGGCGTGGCGGTGGCGCGGGCGCGACCCGGGGGAGCGGCAGGTTGGCAGTGCAGGCAACCGCGGTCTGGAGAGCCGTCCGCGGGCGACTCGTTGGGCGGGTTGCGGCGCGGATTCCGAGCCAGAGCGCCGCGTCGTTATTTTTTGTACGCGGCCAGACGGTCGAGCGGGACTCACCGCCTCGCCAAGCGTGCCGGTCGCGCCACCCATGACCTCTCTCGAGGTGGGGCGCTGCGTGAAGACATGCGACTTTAGAAACGTGTCATTCATCGTCCCCCGAGATGCAGCGCGCAGGACGACCGCCCTCACGCCTCCGGTATGGCCGCGCGCCCCGCCCCCGCCGGCCAAAGTCGTGCCACCTGCACTCCGGACCCGGGGGGGTCACCCCCCTGGCCGCGTCTCACGACGCCGTGCGTGCTCCCGCGGGACAATGCCGCTTCCCAGCGAGTGGAGAAAGACTACGAGGGGCCTGCGGTGCGTCCAGCGCGTCGGAATCCTGACTCAGCAGGCCGTGTGGGCTCCCGGAGTGCCAGGATGACGTGTTCGGGCGCTGTGACGCACGGACCGCGGCTGGCGGCGGCGCCTGTGCCGCAACGCCGAACAACTTGCCCGAGGAACGCGCTTTCGTCGCGCGTTGGATGCGACGGTACTGCGCGGTGCGCGCGGCCGGTGGCGTGGGCGCTGGGTGGGGGAGCCAGCGGGGTGCGGGGCAGGGCTCGGGTGATTGCCGCGGCGAAGGACAAGGACGACCTCGATGTTGTTGTTCCAACGAAGAAGGTGTCGCGTCTCGTCACGCGCGGAGGTGAGCGACACTGCCACCCAGCCACACCCGCTGCCATTGCACCCCCCGCCAGCAGCGCGCGCACGCCGCCCCAACGCGACGACGTAGAGGACAGATCACTTCCAACCTCCTCGCCCCGCCCAGCGGGGGCGCGACGCCGGCCTCGAGGGCTCCGCGTCCCCAGGCCACACCGCTGTGGACGCCACCGCCCAGCACACACACACACGCGCCCGCTGCGTGCAGGACGCAAGAGCAAGACGGCCACGAAGCGCCGCGCGAGCTTCTGCACCGCGCTGGCGAAGGAGCTGGCGGCCCTGCCGGAGACGCAGCGCCCGGCGATGCTGGAGCTGATTGATGACGAGTACATGGCCGCGTCGCTCGAGGTGCGGGCCCCTGCCGCGCCCCCGCCACGCGCACGCACAGCCCCTGCGCGAACGCACAGCCTCGCGTGGACGCCACGCTACCGGCGCACGTTCACGGCGAGAGACGCGAGGCGACTTTGCGACGCGGGGCAAACTGTCGCTCGGCGAGCCGCAAGTGACGCCGGGACTTGCTGGACGTGCTGTACGTTGTATGGTGCGGCGGTGCGTGCGTGCACCGACCGCACCGAGGCGCGAGATGCACGCCGCGCCGCCTTGGGGCAGCGGGCACATTCGCGGGCAGGCGCGCGACCGTGCTTCTCTCCGCCGGCACCGCAGGTCTGCTGGAAGCTCGGGCCGCGCAACAAGGGCCGGCTGCGCGAGGAGAACTACCTCGGGGGGATGCTGGGCACGCTCGGCGACGCGCGCCTGCAGGAGATCACAGATGCGGTGCGCGGGGTGAACCGGAGCGGGACGATGCCGCAGACGGACGTGCGCGTGGAGCCGCTGGCGCTCGCGTGGCGCCGGCAGCTGCTGGACGGCGACGCGGAGACGATGCGGGTGGTGTGCGAGGTGGCGCTGACAGCGGGGAACACCCCCGGGGAGGTGCAGGACCTCGTGCGGGCGGCGGCGGCGGAGGCGGAGCGGGACGACGAGGGGGAGGAGGGCGCGGAGGAGGCGCTGGTGGCGGCTGCGGCGGAGGCGCAGGAGGTGCGTGCGTGCTGCATGTTGTTGCCCGTGCAAGCAGTGGGGCGCCTTGGGGGCCGTGCGGGTCCGGACATCTTCGCAGTGTCACAGCTGGGGTTCGCATGCCATCGGATGGCGCGCGGTGGTCCAGCGGCGCGCTAAACGAGCCGCGAGCGCGTGCGGTGCGGCACGCAGGGCGAGGTGGTGCAGGTGGGCGGGGCGGAGGTGCTGGCGGAGTACGCGGAGCTGCTGGCGGGCGGCGGCGCGGGCGAGGCGGGCGCGGGGAAGGCGAGGGGGAAGCGTGGGGGCAAGCATCGGCGGAGACTCCTGCAGGCGCTGCGTCCCCTGGCCGAGGCGTACTTGCGCGACCAGGAGGGCGCGTAGTGTGCTCGGTGCGGCGGCTGCGGTATCCTGAGTGCTCGAGCAGCCAGGAAGTGCGATGTCGGGCGCGTGCAGGCCCGTGGGAGACGCGGTGCAACTTGGGCCAGCCCGGTGAGGCTACAGCGGCCGTGCGACGTCGTCCGGCGTTGATACGTCGTCGTCACGATAGGGGCGCGTTCCCTTTATTGCGAGACGCGCGGGGAGGCGGGCGATGTGACCGATCGGCTCAGCCGCTCGATGCCAGAGGACTCTGGGGCCTCGCTCCCCAAACGGATCTTCGTATCGATGCCGCGGCGCGCCTCGTTTGGGCCGGGCGGCAAGGGCGCCGCTACTCGCGGTCTCGACATTGTCATCTAAGCTTCCTCTTCGTATCCAGCGGTGCGTGCACCCCGTCGTCACCGCCACCGGCACCGACCCTGCTCCGCTCAGCAGGCCGCTGGCAGGGCGACGGGCCGAATGCGTCGCTATCGTCAATGCCATGAATGCGTTCTCGGGCTTGCAGTTCGCCGAGCTCGGTCGAATGCCGGCCCGGAGCGCGCAATACGGCGCGGTCGCAGATTCATGCTCAGCGCGCAGTGCAGTGCCGGCCAATCGGTGCCGATGGCGCACGCGGGCGCGCACCGATGTCTTATTCTGGCGCGTGGTGTGCGATTTCCGCAGGAGTCTAGTCTGAGGTTGGAAAGATGGCCATGATTGCTGCTCGCGCGTCTCTCCCTGTGGCGAAGCCCACCGTGGCCGCCCGCAACACCCGCTCGGCCCGCCGCGCCGTCGTGGTCAAGGCCTCTGCGGAGAAGAAGGTCCGCCGCCGCCCAACACAACGCCCTCGCGCCCCCGCGCATCGCCAATCGGCCCAGCCCTGTCGCCCTGCCTTTCCCCGCCTCAATCCCGCCCCTCCCATCTCGACCCGGCCCCTCGAACACCCCCGCGGCCCACCCCGCCCATCTCCTACTCCCCGAGAGCCGGAACCGTGCGGTTTCACGGACCCATCGCGGCCGTGCGGCCCCCCCGGACCTCACTAAGTGATTGGAGTCTTGCGCTGTGCGTGCAGGTCGAGAAGGTGGCCGCGGCCGTGATTGCCTCGACCGGCGCGGTGATGGCGAACCCCCTGGTCGCGGAGGCCGCCGTGACGCCGTCGCTGAAGAACCTGCTCAACTCGGTGGTCGCGGGCGGCGTGGTGCTGATTGCCATCGCCGGCGCTGTCACCGCGGTGTCGTCGTTCGACCAGCTCGACCGCTAAACGCGCCCCCGCACGCTCCCCGGCGCCCGTGCGCACCTGCACGATAACGGAGCGGCGGCGTGCTGGAGCGGAGACGGAGGGACTTGGCTGATCGTGTCGGATCGTTGTAGGCGCTGGATGTGAGACCTCAATCCTCGATCGCGCGCGCACGCTTAGAGTCACAAACTGGGAGTCTAGGGCACCTACGAGTGCGAGTGCGACAAGTCCAGCGCCTGGTCGATCAGCTTCGCCTGCTCCTTCCGGTGCACGTCCACGTACCCCGTCGACGTCGCGGCCGCGGGCGGCCGCCCGGCGTACTTGAGGCGCCCCGTGGTGTGGCGGTCGAGCGCGCGGATGCACGAGTTGATCCGCGGCACCACGAACATGTACGCCCCCATGTTCAGCGGCTCCTGCGACGACAAACCAAACACGCGCAGGCCAGTCGCGCCACGCACACTGCGACCGCCCCGGCGGGCGCAAGCAACATCAGAGATCAGGTGCAGGGGGGGGTTGGCGCGCACCTCCTGCGCCCAGACGATGTCCGCGTTGGGGTAGCGGCGCATCTCGCGGGAGACGAGGTCGAAGGGGAACGGCGCGAGCTGCTCGATGCGGCAGATCGCGACCTCGTCCTCCTGGCCGTTCTTGGCGCGCTGCTCGGCGAGCTCAAAGTAGAGCTTGCCCGAGCAGAAGATCAGGCGCTTGTAGCCCTCCATCGGGGGCGGGTGCGGCGCGCGGCTCGTGGCCTTGTCGTCCATGATGAGGCGCTTGAAGCGCACGCCGATGATGTGCTCGTCGTCGGGGATGTCGTCAAACTCGTACGTCTTGGACTTGCAGGCCGGGTGGCGCAGGAGCGCCTTGGGCGACATGACGATGAGCGGCTTGCGGAACTCGCGGTGCACCTGGCGGCGCAGGGCGTGGAAGTAGTTGGCCGGCGTGGTGATGTTGCACACCTGCCAGTTGATCTGCTGCGTCTGCGCGCCGAGGTGGCCGCCGCGGAACCACTGCGCCTGCTCGATGTCGGGGAGCGTGTACGGGTCCTCGTCGCACGCCTGGAGGAACCGCTCGAGGCGGGCGGAGGAGTGCTCGGGGCCCTGGCCGTCGTACCCGTGCGGGAGCAGGCACACCAGGCCCGTCTGCCGGAGCCACTTGGCCTCGCCCGAGGACAGGAACTGGTCGAAGATGATCTGCGCGCCGTTCGCGAAGTCCCCGAACTGCGCCTCCCAGATCACCAGCGAGTTGGGGTTCTCGAGCGAGTACCCCAGGTCGTACCCCAGCACCCCGAACTCCGAGAGGGGGGAGTTCATGATGCTGAACTGCCCCGCGGGCTGCCCGTCGTACACGCCGTCCAGCGCGCAGTGCTTCGCGCCGGTCTGCTGGTCGTGGATCACCACGTGGCGGTGCGAGAAGGTCCCGCGCTCGACGTCCTGCCCCGACAGGCGCACGTGGAAGCCCTCCCTCACGAGCGTCCCGAAGGCGAGGGCCTCCGCCGTGCCCCAGTCCACGTCGCCCTGCTGGTCCGTCAGCGCCGCGCGGCGCGCCTCGTACAGCTTCTTCACCGCGCGGTGCGGCGTGAAGTCGTCGGGGATGTGCGTCATGCGCTTGCCCACCTCCTCGACCATCTGCGCGGGCACGCCCGTCTCCTTGATGCGCGCGTGCTGGTCGGGCGACTTGAACCCGGCCCAGTACGACGCGAGCCAGTCCTTCTTCTTCGGCACGTAGCTCTTGGACGCCTCGAACTCCTTGCCCAGGATGTCCAGCACGGTGCCCGAGATCTTCTTGGCCTCCTCCTCGCGGACGATGCCCTCCGACACGAGCTTGTTGCGGTAGATGTCGAAGGGGTTCGGGTGCCGCTTGATCTTCGCGTACAGCTCCGGCTGCGTGAACATCGGCTCGTCGATCTCGTTGTGCCCGTAGCGGCGGTAGCACATCAGGTCGATCACCACGTCCTCGCCCCACGTCTGGCGCCACTCCGCGGCCATCTCGAACACGCGCACGACCGCCTCCACGTCGTCGCCGTTCACGTGGAAGATCGGCGCGTTCAGCCCGCGCGCGACGTCGGTGCAGTACGTGTAGGGGTTCTTCGAGCGCTTGTGCTTCGGCTCCGTCGTGAACGCGACCTGGTTGTTCACGACGACGTGGATCACGCCGCCGACGTCGTACTCCGGCACCGTCGAGATGTCGAGCGTCTCGTACACGATGCCCTGCCCGGAGAAGGCCCCGTCGCCGTGCAGCAGGATGGGGACCACCTTCTTCGTGTCGCCGCCCGCGCTGTAGAACTGCTTCGCCTTGGCCTTGCCGAGCACGACCGTGTTGACCGCCTCGAGGTGCGACGGGTTCGCGAGCAGGCTCAGGTGGATCTTCTTGCCGTAGAAGGTCGGGCGGTCGTACGACGTGCCCAGGTGGTACTTCACGTCGCCGCTCCCGAAGAACCCGTCCTCGCCCTCCGTCATGTCCTTCCCGGAGAACTCCTGGAAGATCTGCGCCAGCGGCTTCCGCACCACGTTGCCCAGGATGTTGAGCCGCCCGCGGTGGGGCATCCCCATCACCACGTGCTCCGCGCCGTGCTCCGCGGCCAGGTCGATCATCGCCTTCAGCCCCGGCACGAGCGTCTCCGCGCCCTCGAGCCCGAACCGCTTCGCCGCCGTGTACTTGTTCGCCAGGAAGCTCTCAAAGTGCTCCGACCACGCCAGGCGGTCCAGCATGTGCAGCCGCCGCTCCTTCGGGTACGAGAACTCGTGCAGCGACTCCAGGCGGTCGCGGATCCAGTTGCAGCGGTCGCGGTCAGGGATGTGCATGTACTCCATGCCGATCGACCCGCAATACGTCCGCCGCAGCCCGTCCAAGATGTCGCGCAGCGTGTGCGCGCCGCTCGCCTCCCCGAGGAACCCCGTCGCGTGCTCGACGCCCGTCGTGAACTCCCGGTCGAGGTCGCCGTCGTCGAAGCCGTAGAACGCGGGGTCCAGGATCTCCGGCATCGGCCGCTTGTGCAGCCCCAGCGGGTCCGTCTTGGCCACCACGTGCCCCGCGACCTGCAGGCGGGGGCGTGCGGCCGGGGAGCGCGTGGGCGGGGGTCGACGCGGGGCGCGGGCGGTGCGTGCTCGACGGCCGTGGGCCGACGGCGTCGCCGCGGGGGCACGATCCGACGTCGCATGCGCAGGTGGGGCCTCTGTTCGCGCGCGAGCGGCGCCCGCCGCGCCGCTGGGTGCGGGGTTCGTGAGGGTCTGGTGCAGGAGAAGGCAGGGGGCGGGCGTGCGGGGGCGCGGGGCGCTGCGTGCGGACCTGGTAGGCGCGGATGAGCATGACGAGGTTGAGGGCGTCGTGCACGGACTGCGGGGTGGTCTGGAGCATGCTCGAGTGGGCCTTGTGGCCGTGGCGGTGCAGGTGGTACGCCTCGGAGATGGCCTCGGGGCGAACCCCGGCGTCTGCAGGCGGCAGAGGGGCGCGGCGAGGGCCTCAGAGGGCGGACCGCTTCTGGGCGGCGTTGCGCGGGCGTGCGGCCGCGAACCGGCTCGCGGGCGCGAGGGGGTGCAGGGGGTGGAGCGTTCTTGCGAGGGCGGCGTCGGAGCTCGGTGCGGGGGCTCCGTGCGTGTGCGGCCAGCGGCCAGTTTGCAAGCGCAGGGTGAAGCGGAGGGCAGCTGGCCGGAACACGGCGTGCGAGGAGGTGGAACAAGCAGGACACGCATGTCGGATGCGGCTCGTGGCGCCTGGGCGCAGCAGCACTGCGTGGTCCGCGCGGGTCGCCGGCTGACGAGCGCTGCAGTGCTGCACTGCGGCAACCGACTTGGGGGCCGCGCTGCGCTGGGCGCGGCTCCGTCGCGTTCCGGGCCAGGGGGCGGCGGGAACGACGAGAACGTACGCGGAACAGCCCAGAAAAAGCGGTTGCGCGACAGGGGCGGGCGCGGCGGCCCCGGAGGTGCGCGAGGGTGCCACGCGGGGGCCGTGGCCGCTGCGGTGCGCACCGAGGGCCCTGAAGAAGCTCGCCCACGTGCTGTCGACGCTGGTGGGATCTTCCTTGTACATCTCGTGCAGGTTGTCGACGTAATGGGCGTTGTTGCCCTGCAGGAAGGAATCCTGGAGTTGCGACAGAGGCTTCGGCTCCGGCTTGGCCGCGCCCGAGGACGGCGTGCCGCCGATGATGCGCACGCCCGCGGCCTCAGCCTGGGAGGACGCCAGCCCCAGGAGGCGGCGGCGCCCTTGTTTGAGTGCGCACAGCATGGCGCGCGTCAACCAGCAGCGTCTCTGTGGCGGCCTGCCGGCTGCGGATCGGCCCGACCGCCCGCGATGCTCTTCCGCTGGACAGCGTCCGCAAGAAGGAGTGCGGGGGGGCCGGCCGCCGGCGCAGCCTCGAGCCGGTGGGCCGCCACGACGGCCCAGGGACAGTCCAGCCTCGTGGCGCTCGTTCCGCGGGACCATGCGTCGCACACGCTGTTTTCCCGCGGAGACCGCAGCATTATGAGTGTTATACCCCGCGAGTGCACCTTGCCTTGTCTCGTTCTCGCGTCCTACTCGGCGGGACGGCAGAGCGCACAATTTCACACTCCGATGTGAGCCCCCAGCTGGTGTACGCGGTCGAGTGCGCGCCGGGGGCGCTGCAGTGGTCAAACATGACTGCCTCTGCGTGAGTCGACGGAAAGGTTACTTGCTGAAGCCTTGTGCGGAGCGTAGCGGGAGCTGGACTGGCTGCGAGGGGGTTTGGCCGGCCACGGGAGCGCATGAACTGTCCCGTCGGCCTGCGGGCCAGCCGAGGGATACGATGCGCACTACCACACACCGCTAGTCAAGCGAAGTGTCGCGTCGGTGAGTCTCCCGGCGCTGCCGCAGCAACTACACCCACCCGCCCTCCCAAGACGGCCTGTGCGCCGTCCATGCACATTGAATGCGCCGTCAGACGCTCGCTGCGGTTATTCAACATACCCAAGTCGATGGGACGCGCCAGAAACGCGTCTGAATGTATCCGTGTACGGCGCTTGAACCGGCTGAGGCCCTCAGGCTGGCTGGGAGCTGCGCACGCCTTTCCGCGCGTGCCCCTGCCCTCAGCGGCCCGTCCGCCCCCCGACCAGCGACCTCACACCGCCCCCTCGCCCTCGCCGCGCCCATGGGTCTTCGAACGCGCTCAGGACCAGCGAATCTCGACTGCTCGTCCCTGGACACCGCCAGGGCCTCATCTGCACCGTCGCCCTCCCAAGCAGCCGGATCGCCGCGACTGCTCGCTGCTCGCATCCCCAACGACGGTGCCCGCACACCCCTTGCCCCACAGGCGCGCTGCGGCGGCCCGCGCGGGGCGGGCGGCGGCGGGAGGGCGTCTGCCACGCAGGGCGGCGCCGGCAACCTGCAGGCGCGCCGGAGCACGAGGACCTCTCGGAGTTCGAGGCCGGCGCGGTGGACTCCCTCCGCGAGGAGGAGTCCTTCATGGACGGGGACTTCTGGGACGACCCGGACGTCGAGGTCGGGGACTGGGACAGTTTCGATGAAGATGAAACATTCTTCTTTGACGACGACGGCTCAGGTCCGAATCGCGCGATCGCGCCGCGGCGCCCACGCCCTCATGCAGCCGCACGCTGTCCCGGCCGCGCTTGCGGCGGTCCCGCCTGGCTGCGCTCTGTAGGCGCGTTGCGAGGATGTACGTTTGGGTGCGGTGCGTGCAGCGCTGGCCGGGATCGACACGGGCGGCCAGCCGTGGGCCGAGGCTGCGCTTCAGGCTGCGAACGAGGTCCTCGACGCCCGCCGCGGCGACGCGAGCACCGCGCTGGAGCTCCACACGCTGCGTGCGACGCCGGGCACGCGGCGGCTCGTGCTGCGGCTGGACAAGCCGTCTGACCCGTACGGCTCGCCGTCGCTGGACGACATGGAGTCGTTCGCGCGGGATTTCAACGCGCGCTTCGAGGCGAGCGTCGGCGAGACGGTCGCGGGCGAGATCGAGGTGGAGGTGTCGTCCCCGGGGGCGGAGCGCCCCGTGGTGGTCCCCGAGGAGCTCGAGCGGTTCAAGAACCTGCCGATGCGCGTGGAGTTCTTGCTGGATGAGGAGAGCGGGCGGTCGGACACGCGCGTGCTGCGAGTGCAGTCGTGGGACGAGGAACTCACGACGTGGGCGCTGGCCGACACCAAGCAGCACCGCAGGGAGAGCAAGGGGCGGGCGCTGACGCGGAAGCAGCGCGAACTGCGGCTCGAGCTGCCTGTCTCGAGCATAGTGCGGGTCAATCTCTTCCTCGATGTGTGACGGCGATTACGCACCGCACAGTGTGTGTGGGTCAGGCGGGTGCTGGGCGAGTCGTGCACGGGCGCGCCTGCACGGCTACTTACAGTATAGACAGTCACGACGTCGTCGCGGCCTCGACGGGCGCGAAGAATTGCTCCAGCTGCGGCGCCGGCGCGCCACCCCCGCCCGACACGGCGAGCTCCAGCACGCCCGCTTGCTTCGGCTTCATGCCCGCCACCGCCGCTGCGACCGCCGCGAGGTCGTCCGCGCTCACCGCCGCCGAGCCGGCCCCGTTGCCCGCGCTGATCGTCACCTGGGACATCCCCGGAGCGTCCTGCACAGGCCCCGCACGCAGAGTGGTGCACGGGACGCCGCAGGACGCCAGCTGCGCCTCCCGCGCGTCCCCAGGCTGCGCGATGCTCGCTGCGATCTCGTTGCCGCCGAACAGGCCAAGGAACCCGCCCCCTGACGGCACTGCGGAGATCAGAATGATCTGAGACACCCCCGCGCTTGCTGCTACGTCAGGCACCGCGCCGAGCGACCCCGCGGCGATGACGGCGCGCACGCCCCGGAGCACGCGCTTCGCGAACGCGGGGTTCTTCATGTCGCCTGCGCGAACGGCGCGGACCAGCGCTGCTTGGGAGCTCACTTGGCACACCCCGCGTCGAGGCGCCGCGGGGCGCGGCACGGACGCAGGCGGCGGCGCAACAGCCCGGCAACGATGCGGCGCACCTGAGATGACCTCGGCGTACGGCCCGAACTGGTCCCTGACGGGCTGCGTGTTGCGCGCCACCGCGCGGATCTCCGCCCTGGCGAGAACAAGGGCGGTGAGCACGGCCTGGCCCATGCCGCCGTCCGCGTCGAGCACGAGCACCTTGTCGCCGCCGTTGCCCTCCTCGCCGAACTCCCCCCCCCCGTCGTCGTCGTCCTTGCCCTTCTTGTCGCCGATCAGCTCACTCGGCAGCGCGTCCTCCTGCCCGTACCACCTGCGCATCTTCGGACCTGCACGGCAGCGCAACGAACCGCGCTGTCACGCGGACCGCCCGGCGCGCGCAAACCACCCGGCCACGGCGCTCGGAGCGGTGGGCCTCGTGACGCTGATGTGGGCCGTGAGCGCCGTGTCACGCCCCGCGAGGCGCGCCCCGTGGAACGAGTCTGCTCGCGCGGCGTAGACAGTGGTGTAACTATGCCGCGGGTGCGATTGGATGTCGCTGCGACTCAGTGAGCTGCGCGTGCACCGGGCTGTCTTGGGCATCCTCACCAGCCAGCGCGAAGTCGAGCAGGTCTTCGCTGAACCCGCCTCCCTGCGACCCGATACCGATCCTGCGCTCCTTGTCATTGTCGTCGTCCGACGCCCGCACCAACACCCGCGCCCTCCGACTGCTGCGAGCGGGCTCGTGGTCGTGGAGGGCAGAGCTCAGCAGGGAAGCGGCTCGTGCGGCGGGCCCCGCACGCCAGGAGGTACGATGCAGCCACGCTTGTGTCGCTCAAGCCAGCCGGTAGTCCGAGGGCGAGCCGCGTGCGAGATCGAACCACTGGGCAGGAGGGAATATGCAGCGGAAAGACTCACTTGGAGGCCTTGGAGAGCTTGAGGGCGCCCGGCGGCGCCGCCAGAGCGAATGCAGCGTGGAGCGACATCCCTGAGACGACTCTGCGATGCGTGCCACCGAGACAGCGTACTTTTTGCGCTCGTTGGCTGCGGAAGGACGCCGGGAGGGACTCCAGGGGATGTCTGGGGGCACCCAGGCGCCCACTGCGTCGCCGGGGAGACATGTGGCGGCCTCGCGGCGGGCCGTCGTCCTTTCCGTGGGCACGAGGTTCGTCGTCCCATTCGGCCTTTGCCGTCTTCTGCGGAACTTGTGGCGTAGAGAGGCAGGAGCGCTTCCACCATGGTGAGACCCGTCGAAAAGTGCCGGAACGCCCGGTTCGCGTCGATGCTACGGACCCTTTCGAAATGTCCAGCGCGGTCGCATTGGCCAGGAGCGCGGCTGCCAGCAGCAGCGTCCCCGGCAAGCGGTGCCGTCGGCCCACCAGGCTTTGCGCGCCCCGCACGGAACTCGGACGCGCGATGTTCTGGCCCATCGTCGACCAATACATTTCAATCTCTGCGTTTCTGAATCTCCTCCTGAACCGGGGCGCTCCCCCGGGCGCTCAGGCCCCTTCACCTGGGCCAACTTCCCAGGCCGCCCACCGATGCGCCACCCCGTGCATACACTCCACCTGCCCAGACCCCAGCTCCTCACGCCACGCACCTCCATCCGCGCCGCACCCCGCGTGCCGCCCGACCCCCAGGCGCACGCTCGCGGCTCTCTTCGTGGTGGCGGCCATTCCACCGCCTGCCTCGCCGCGACCCCCGCCCGCCCAGCACGCGCCGGCCCGACGACAGCGACCCCACACGCAACCGCGCCGCGCCCGCCACCGCGGGCCGGAGCGCCCACGCGCGGCACCGCGGCGCGTCTGCCTGCGCAGCGCGCACTCTCTTGTTGTCGCGCGCCCCCGCCGCCAGCGCGCACGAACCCCCCCCGCCGCGCGCCCCAGCGTAGCTCCCGAGCTGACACATCCGCCCCGCGCGCCCCCGCTCCCGCGCGCAGGCGTCCAAGTTCTGGGGAGGAGGCTCCTCTTCGGAGGAAGAGAGCCAATACTCGGAGTCCGAGTCCGGGTGGTCCGAGTCGGGATCCGGGTCCTCCTCGAGCTCCGAGTCGTCGTCCAGCGCGTCGTCGTCCTCGTCGTCGTCGTCCTCCGAGGGGGGCGCCGCGCGCTTCCTCGCGGGCTCGGACTCGGACACGGACAGCGAAGATGGGTGGGGGGGCAAGCGCACGGTCAAGTCGAAGCGCACGAAGGGCCTCGAGGCGGTCCAGCAGGCGCGCGACGAGATCACGAACGCCGCCGCGGCGGGCGACTGGGCGGCCGTGAGCGGGTCGTTCGACCGGCTGTTGCAGCTGGCGGAGCGTGCGCAGGCGCCGAGCGCGCTGGGCGTGGTGCCGGCGCCGCCGCGCGCGTTCATCGCGGCGCTGGTGGAGCTGGACGCGGAGGTGTCGGGCGCGCTCGCGGACGAGGACGCGCGCAAGAGCATGAACCGTCCGCAGGCCAAGGCGCTGAACGTGATGAAGCAGCGGATCCGGAAGGCGATGGGCGTCGAGCCGTGGCAGGAGCTGATTCGGAAGTGCAAGGAGGACCCGGAGAACTTCGAGGCGGAGGGCGACGAGGCGGAGGGCGCCGAGGGCGAGGGCGCGGCGGGGGTGGAGGAGGAGGAGGTACAGAAGGAGGACCCTATCTTCAGCATGGAGCTCAAAGACATCACCTTCCAAATGGTCAACGAGCGCCTCCAGGCCGCGCGCATGGCCCGCGGCAAGAAGGGCACCTCCAAGCAGGACCAGCTCCGCATGCTCCTGCTCCTCCTCAAGGCCACCGCGTCCAAGGACGTGCGCTCGCAGCAGGCCGCGGTCCTCCTGCACCTCATCTCGCTGCTGTTCGACTTCACGCACAGCGCCGCCGCGCACATCCCCGTGCCGCTCTGGAAGCGCGCGGTGTACTACACCGTCGCGCTGCTCGACCTGCTCGAGGCCAACCCGCTCGTGGTCCTCGACGAGCTCTCGGAGGCGTACGAGGAGCGCACGGAACCCCCCCCGGGGGACCAGCCCGTCAAGGTGCCGGGCAACCTGGTGGGCTTCGTGGAGCGGCTCGACGACGAGCTGTTCAAGTGCCTGCAAGTGACGGACCCGCACACGAACGCGTACCTCGCGCGCATGAAGGACGAGGCCGTGCTGCTGGCGCTGGCGCAGCGGGTGAGCGCCTACCTGGCCAAGACGGGCAACACGGCGGGGCTGGCGCGCGTGGCGCTGCGGCGCGTGGAGCACTACTACTACAAGACGGAGGCGGTGTTCGAGGCGCTGCGGCGGGCGTCGCAGGAGCCGCTGGAGGTGACGGTGGCCGACGGGGAGACGCGGCTGGACTTCTCGATGGCCGAGGAGGGCGAGGAGGGCGCGCAGGCGTCGCTCGAGCTGCAGTTCGAGGGCAACGAGACGCTGCAGGACCTCGTGCGCAGCCTCTCGCAGACGATCTACCAGCACGGCGACGAGCGCGGCAAGGCGCGCGCGCTGCTGTGCAACGTCTACGCCGGGTCGCTCCGCGGCGACTTCTACGGCGCGCGCGACCTCCTGCTCATGAGCCACCTCCAGGGCAACGTCCAGCACATGGACATCTCCACCCAGATCCTCTACAACCGCACGATGGCCATGCTCGGCATCTGCGCCTTCAAGGAGGGCCTCGTCCAGGACGCGTACCACTGCATCGCGGAGCTGTACGGGTCCGGGCGCATGAAGGAGCTCCTCGCGCAGGGCCTGATCATGTCGAAGACGGCGGACCGCACGCCCGAGCAGGAGGCGCTCGAGCGGCGCCGCCAGATGCCCTTCCACATGCACATCAACCTCGAGCTGCTCGAGACGGTGCACCTCTCGTGCTGCGTGCTGCTCGACGTCCCGGCGCTCGTCCGCACGGGCCGCACGTCGATGCAGTCCAAGCAGTTCCTGCGGCTGGTCGAGAACCAGTCGAAGGCCAGCTTCATCGGGCCGCCGGAGACGGTGCGCGACCACGTGATGGCGGCCACGCGCGCGATGCTGCAGGGCGACTGGCGCAAGGCGTTCAACTACCTCACCGCGCTGCGGTCGTGGCAGCTGCTGCCCGACAGCAAGCGCGTGATGGCCATGCTCGAGGCCGAGCTCAAGCGCGCGGCGCTGCGGGTGCACCTGCTCAAGTACGCGCAGACGTACGCGAGCATCTCGCTGTCGCACCTCGAGGAGATGTTCGACCTGCCGTCCAAGGCCGTCCTGTCGACGGTGTCGGACATGATTATCCGCGACGACCTGCCGGCGAGCCTCGACCAGCCGTCGGGGACGCTGCAGCTGCACACGGTCACGACGCCGCCGCTGCACCGCGCCGTGCACGCGCTGCTGGACAAGGCGACGATCCTCGTGGACTACAACGAGCGCGCGGCGTCGTTCCGCGCCGGGGGGCTGCAGGACAACGACGAGGACGGGCGGCCGATCGACCTGGGCGAGGGGCGCAGGCGGTCGCGGGCGCGCGGGCAGTTCGCGCGGATGTCGCAGTTCGCGCAGGGCGGGCGCGGGGAGCGCAGGAACGAGTTCCGCCCGAAGGGGCGGCGCAACGACCGGCAGGGGGCCAACTACCTGGCGCTCGGGTCGTACGCGGGGGGCGGGGGCGGCCGCGGGCGCGGGCTGCGGCATGAGCGCGGGCTGGGCGGCGGCGAGCGCGGGCTCGGGGGCATGGTTGGGATCTAGGACGCTCGCGGCTTGTAACAGGATCGAAACGGGGACGCTTGACTGCGAAGTCTCGACTGCGTTCGGGCACTCTCGCTTGGTCGGTACTGGGCGGCGCGGTCGTGTTGCGGGGACACGGTGGGCGCGACGACGGGGTGCTACGGTACGGGAGGAGTCGGAGGGGGGGGGGTGTTTCGGTCAAAACATACAACTGGTTGTCAGACAGCTCAGGGAAGCAGGGCAGGGGGCTGTGGCTCGTTGCGGTGGCCGGACGCGGCGCCGCGGACACCTCGTCGGCGCCGTGTGTGCCAGTGCGCATCCGCTCCGTGCCGCGTGTAAGAGTGAGCTCAGTAGAGGACTGGCGTGGCACTCGGAGATCGTCGCTCTGCCCGCCGAATCGAGCGCCGCCTGCCCAGACGTATATCAAGTCATTTTGCGGGGCAGCATGCCCGTGAAGGACAAGGCGGAGCCGCTGGGGCTGACACCTGAGGAGGCAGCGGCAGCCGAGGAGAGCAAGCGGTTGGTGAAGGCGGCCGTGGATCAGTCCATCCTCGCCACCGCGCGACACATGCCCACTGCGGTACGTGCGCAGCGCTGGGCTATCAACTTGACCGCCAAGGCCCTCCCGAGACCACCACTTCTTGGATGCAACCGCCCAGACGGATTCCGCGCGAAGGAGGGGCGTTCGACCGCACGCCGCAATCTCTTCAGTTAGACCGTGATTCGAGGATGACATGTAGCCAACAAATCGTCGGTCGTGGCCGGCGTATCCGGCCCGTTCGCCGCTCCCGCTCATTCCGCCCCCCGCCCCGCCTGCTGCCCGCAGGGCTCTCTGCTGGAGCCGTCGCGGAAGGTCCTGTCGCTCGGCGGCCGCGACGTGATCAAGAAGGGCGCGGCGCGCAAGAACCGGTACATGCTCGTCCTGAACGGCCTGCTCGCGCCCACCTGCGGCGGCCGCCTGGGCACGCTGTCCAAACTCGACTCGAAGAACCCCGTGCTGTGCGTCGAGTTCGACGAAGGACGCCTCCAGCTCCAGGCAGGCGGCCCTCGCCCCCACGACACCTCAACCTTGCGCGATGCCTGCGTCCATGACAAGCTTCCTGTCTCACGACGTGGTGCACGTGAGCGTCGTGGCTGTGGCCGGTCGCTGCAGGGCACTCTGGTGTTCCCCAAGTCGCGGTACCTCGTGCTGAGGCAGGGTCCGAAGGACACGGTGCTGTGCGAGGACAGCTTCGAGTGCATGGTGGTGTTCTCAGAGTCCCGCTGGATCGGCAAGGCGGAAGACAACCCGAAAGACCTCCCGCTGCCCATGCCGGATAGCATCAAGGTGCGCGCTCCCTTGCCGCCGCACACGCGCGACCCTGCCGCCCGCGCCCTCCGTGTTTGCCTGCATGCGGGGCATCACGATCGACGTTGAGTTTCCAAGCTGTGCGGCGCGGGCCCTGATCTGCGCAGCGGAAGGTTCACGAGAACGTCAACTTCGACGGCGGGGCCGGAAACCGCGGGGCCGCGGGGGTCGACGCGGACGACGATGACACAGATGCTGATGACAGCAGTGGACAGAACGGGGCGGCGGAGGGCGGCAGCAGCCGGCGGCCGGCGCGAGCGGCGGCGCGAAGGTCCGTAGGTCCTAGGTCGCTCGACCGTGGCGTGCACTCTGCGCGCACGAGGTTGTCTTAGAACTTACAACGGCGCGCGTAATATGGTGCTCTCGTCTTCGGTTGCAGGGCGACGAAGAGGATGATGGACGACACCGACGAGGACGACGACGATGATATGGCTGCGTCGGACGGCGAGACCGGCAGCGAGGCACCGCCGCGCAGCTCGCAGAGGCGCCGTGCAGCCGCCCGCATCACGGTGGATCACGCGATCGACGTCGACGACGAAGACCACGACGCTGGCGGCGCGACAGAGGACGAGGGCGCAGGGAACGATGGCACCGAGGAGCAGGCAGAGGACGCGCGGCCCGCTTCACGTCCGGCCCGCCGACGTGCCTCCAAGCCCATCGTGCTGGTGCGCGGCACCCGCAACGCCATCATTGTCGCACGTTCAATCGTTTCTTTGAACAGGCCCACGACTGCGTACCTCGCGACTGATCGGTGACATGCTGCGGCCGCTTCGCGCTGACGTGCACCTCCTGCGAAGCAAGGCTCTCTGCGTCAAGTCGCGGCCCGCACAGCTTGGTGCACGCGCCGCGGTCTTGCACTCACGCCGTCACATATGAGTAGGGCCTCGCCGCCGTCCGTTTCGGCCGCCTCACTCGGTGGCAAGCTCCCAACAACGTGCAGGATGACACGACGGACGAAGACGACGACGGCGAGGACGGCAGTGTGTCGGAGCCTGCGTCGAGCAGTAGAGGCGGTCACCGGCAGCACGATGTGTCGGGCGCGTCTGACTCGGTGCTCGAAACACCCCCAAAGAAGAAGAGCCGAAAGTCTGCATCCGACACGTCCGCGCGCGCACCAGCGAGCCGGCCGTCGACGGCGAAGCGCGGAGGGGGTCGCGGTGGACGGCAGGGCGCCTCGGCCGGCGGGCGAGGCGGCAGGGGGGGGTCAGCAGCCAAGTCAGGGTCGAGTAGAAAGCGCAAGGCCCCCTCAGAGTCAGACGACGACTTGGAGATGAGCGAGTCGTCGGAGGAGGAGGAGTCGGAGCCGTCTGAGGCCAGCTGGGAGGATGAGTGAGCCGATGGGCGCAAGGCGCAAGCCATCAGAGCCATGATACATACAAGAAAATAGAATGACTGCGAACAACGAAAGAAAATATTCGCAACGCGTTGTCTCCACGTCCGAGTCGCAGCTCACCAAGGGCTCGCGTCTCGCGCAGCCTTCGTGGTCGCGGGAGACGGTCTTCGTGGCCGCAGCAATCAATCACAGAGCACGCGACGACATCAATTGCATGCTCGTCGCGGCGCGCAACAGCGCGCTCATCCTTTCCCCTTCGGCCTCTCCGCCTCACCCGCCCCCTCGCAGCGCAGGCCTTCGTCAGCGGTGGTCAGTCTCCCGCCAACGCCCCCCTCACCATCTATCCATGGAGTCAGGATGGTCCAGCACCGGCCAGTCCGGCTGCCACTCCCCGAGCCCGCCGCTGCTCGTGTACCCCGCGCCCACCTCGGACATGTACATCGCCTGCGCCTGCTCCACCGCCGCCGCCGCCTCCGTTGACGCGGACGCCAGCTGCTGCACCACCTCGTTGTCCGTCGCGTCCGTCGACTTCGAGTTCGGCGGCGCGTCCTCTTCCCGCTCCCCGGAGTCCCCGGCAGACCGCTGTTTCTCCCGCTCCTGCTCCGCCCGCCGCTCCTCCTGCAGCATCGCCTGCTGCTGCGCGACCAGCGGCCCCATCATCACCGCGTTGTACGTGTCCTGCTGCAGCGTGTTGCGCGACGGCCGGTCCCCGAAACGCCCGCGGTGGTTCGTTGCGAACCGCGACACGCTCTCCTCGCGGAGCACCGGGGGAACTCCCCCGAGCATCAGGGCGGACTCCCCCGCAAAGTTCCGGCGCGTCATCGTGGCCCCGTGCGCGTCGGGGCCCATGCTCATCATCATCGAGCAGCGCGCGTCGTGCATGCGCTGGGACTCGAGCGCCGCGTTCGCGTACGCGCGCAGCGCCTCCTCGGGCTGTGGTTCGATGTCGTGGAAGCGCGCCCACTGCACCTCGGGGGTCGAGCTCGACAGCCGCGGCGGCGACACGATCTGCGCGAAGCGCACGCCCCACTTGACGTCCATCGGCATCTTGTACAGGTGCTTCCGGAGCGTGTTCTTGCTCGTGACCACGCTGTAGCCCTCGGCGACGAGCACAATCTCGGTGCCTGCGCACGCGCCCGCGCTGCGCTCGCTTGTGAGCTTCGCGAGCGGAGACTCCGGAGTGAGGACGTGCGCGATGATCACGGGGAGGCGGAGCATCAGGTGCTCTCCGGTCTGCACTTCGAGCGACAGAGACTCGGCCCGGTATCCGTACTCGTCAGCGCCGCACGTGCAGCGCGGGACGGAGACCGGCAGCGGGGCCGGGGCGCCGCGGCAGCCCCCGAAGGTCGCGTTCGGCGAGCCTGGCTCCGACGGGAGGTAGGACGCGCGATCGACGGAGCGTCCTGCACTGCTCGGGAGGTCTTCTCCCTCGCTTTCGTGCTCACGCATCGGCGGCATGGAATCGCTCGCGCCGCCGTCTGTGACGTCGCCGAGTACGGAGTCGTTCGTGACCGGGACGCGCGGGTCCGCGCCGCTCGCGGCCTTCCGGCAGGCCCTGCAGGAGCCGTGGTAGGTGTAGAGCGTTGCCGTGACGTTGGCCTCGGTGACCTGGTAGCCGCGGGTGTCTCCGATCCTCCAGAGGAGCGCGGGCTTCCCGCGCCAGAGCCCGACGACGCAGTGCCGCGAGATCACGAGCGTGTTGTCGCCGGGCTTGGGCCACGGCGTAGGGCTCTTCGCCGACGCCTGGTCGCGCAGGACGAACCGCGAGGCCGCGGAGCGCGACATCGGCGACATGCGCGGCTGCCGTACGACGTCGTGGAAGAGCGAGAGGTCCACTTCGTGCCGCGTGGTGCCCGAGGGGGCGTGGAAGATACACTGCTGGAAAAAGTATCCCCAATTGATCTCTTGTGGCAGGTAGCTGCGCATGGTCATGAAGGGCTGGCCCAGCTCGCCGACGCCCTCGAACACCGCGATGATCTCGACGCCGCACGACACGAGCGTCGCGTGCGTGTGCCCGAACAGGGGGCTGCACTCGTCGATGGTGTGCTCGACCACCATCGGCAGCAGCAGGCGCCCGCGGACGTCGACGTCGACGGGGAGGTCGTAGACGCTCACGGGGATGCGCTCGCCCTCGGAGGTCGCGCGGCCCTTGCCCCCCACGTACATGTAGAGCTGGATCGACGCGCCAAGCACGATGCGCTGCCGGGTGTCGCCCACGCGGACCATCAGCTTCAGGACGCCGTCGCGGCGCGACAGGCAGGCCGAGTCAGACAGGAGGATGGTGCGCGCGCGCTGCTGGGCGTGCGAGAGCCGCGCGAAGACCGCCCCGACGAAGAAGGAGTTCATGACAAAGGCCACGAACGTTTGGATGATTTCCAACCAGACGGTGATCCAGCAGGCCGACGGCGAGCGGTAGCCGTAGCCGATCGTCGCTTGCGTCTCCACGGAGAACGCCAGGGCGTCGCGGAAGCTGGAGAAGTGCGTGAAGCACGTGGGGTCATGGCGCCAGATGCCCCACCTGCGAAGAGCCGAGAAACGGTGCGGGCTCGGCTCGGGTCGCGCCGGCGGGGTGCTGCGCGCTGGATAACGTAGGGGCGGGGGGGTGGGCGGGGGGCGCGCGGCGGCGGGGGGGAGGATGCGTGTGGTGTTTACCATATGATTGCGAAGCAGGAGAAGCTCAAGAGATAGGCTCCTAGGACTACAGGCAGGAGCCATCTGAGCGGTGTGTTCACGACGCTGGTGAAGAGGTCTTTTGTCATCTTGTGAATTGCCATTCTCCCTAGACTCTTGATCGTGTCGCGGTTGTGCACGCGCATGATGCCCGTTTTCCTGCGGCAACGAAGGCGGACGGTGAATGTCAACGGAGTGCGACGACCGTCGTTTTTGACGCGGCCGCCCGCGTCCGCGCCCGTCTCGGCGCGCCCCCGGATGCAGCGCAACTTAGTTGCCACGCTGCGGGAGAGGCTGTGTGTCGCGAGCGTTCCCACGTCCGCGAGCGGGCCTGAAACATCCCAGGATGGACCGCGGCAGTGCCCGCGCGTCCGCGCCCCACGAACCCGGTCTGATGCGAATTCGAGTATCAGGAGACGTGGAAGACACCGCGACTGAGAGAAACGCTGTGTTCGTCCGCGAGGCACGCAGCCATGGCCGCTTCCTGCCTCCGCCACCGGCCGCTTTCCCATGGGCGGTTGCGCGCGTTCCGGTCGCCGGACCTCCCATTTCTTGCGCGCGGAACACGGCCTAGTAGCGCAGATTCGAAGCTGCATCGCACGCTGGGCCGCACCTGCCCGTGCCGACGAGGTGCGGCGCCTTTTTGTGCTTCCTCCATGGCTCCCAAAACCCAGCCCCCCGGTCAATAGCTGGATGGCCTTTCACCGTGGCCTTGAGGTTCGAGACGGAGAAGACCGAGACGTGGCTCGTCCGATGCTGCTCCATCTGCCTCCCCCCCTTGCCCCTCTGCGGCCCGGTAGCGGGCGTCGCGGCCGCTCCTGTGCAGGCAATAGAGTACCTGGCCTCCCCTTGCGGCTTGCGCGCTCGGCTGCGCTCAGGCGCGACGTTCGCGCTGCTAGGGCACTTAGTTCGATACTCTCTGATCGCTCCGTGGCTCTAGTCTCGTTGGAATCTGCTCGAGCGGCGCGGGCCAGGCGCCTGTTGTCGTCGAGCCCCGTCGTTGACCGAAGTCCGACCACCGCCGCGGGGCCTCGTGCGACGGCCCAGTACCATCGACGCCGGGACACCGCGGCCAGAATATCGAGAGCAACGCGTTCGTGGAGGACTCGCCGCGGCCGCACAGCCCAGCGACCTGCCGGAGCGCACTGCCCAAACGGCTGCCCAACAGCAGCCGCAAAGCAGGCTCCGCGACACCCCCGGCACCGCGATCGGACAGCGCCACCACGCGAGCCTGCCCCAGAGCTGCCTTTACATGCCGTCTGCCGCGCACGTGCGTCGCTGGTACGTCGGCGCATCACTCAACAATAGACATCTTGTACGACATCACCTGCTGGGGCTGCTTCGGCCCCGCGGCCTCCAGGCCGCACTGCAGCGCGATCTGCAGGCTGCGTGCCTCCCCGGGGTCCTCCGCCACGCTCAGCGTGCCCGCCAGCGCCCCGTCGGGCGGCAGCTCAATGCGCTCGCGCAACAACAGCACCGTCTGCGCCCAGTGCGTCGGCGGCTCGTGCGGCGACGTGTCCAGCACCACCTGCTTCTGCTTGCAGAACCTGCGCCGACAAGAAACGTCCGCGCCGTGAGGGGGATCCGCGCAGGACCCGGCTGCGCGCCAAGCACCACGGCCAACCCCGCCCGCGCAGGCCGTGTCGCGCACCGCTCGCTGAACGCCGTCTCGAACCACAGGACGATCGACTCGACGTACTGCGAGCCCTTCGCGCCGGAGTCCGCGGGCAGCCGGAACGTCGCGGTGAAATTCGCATCCTTGTTCTGCGCGCGGCACAGGTCGATCTCGTGCACCCTCGCGGCCTCTGTGACGATGTCCAGGCCGTCCACGACGCGCACGATCGTCCGGCCGAGGCCCTCGGCCTCCTCCTCGCGCCGCATCGGGGCCATGTTGAAGCCGTACACGTCATCCCAGAAGTCGAGCCCATGCGACTTGCTGCCGCCGCCAGCAACCAGGATGGCGGCCGTGTCCGGGAGGATCGCGCCGCCGGGTTTGAGCCACGCGTCGCGCGCGCGCAGGACCGTCGCGAGCATGGACTCGAACACCAGCGCGTACCCCATCCATTCGGAGATCAAGACATCAGCTTTGCTGGTGTCTGATAGACCGGGGAGGTCCTTGAGCTGCTCGACGCGCCCCGCAACGATCGCCACGGGCCCGCCCTGCGACGCCGCGAGGCCGTTTGCCTCCGCGTTCTGTCTCGCGAATCCTGCACAGAGCACAGAGCGCGCACGAACCAAGGTTCAGCGCCACGCGCGCGGTTGCCGGCCAGCGCAGGCCGCGCGACGGCGGCGCCCAGCGCACCTGCGATGCGCTCGCTGCCGTCGATCCCGACCACGTGCCGCGCCCCCGCTCGCGCCGCAAACATCGACAGAATGCCCGTCCCGCAACCGACGTCGATGACACTCGCGCCAGAAAACAGCGCGCCGTTGCCCTCGATCGCCGCCCGGTACGCCTCCGTGCGGACCTTGTCCGCCAGCATCTCCCTGTGGATCGCGAACCCCGCGTACGAGCCGAAGTACGCGCGGTCGATCCGCGCCGCCGCCGTGGTTTGCATCGCGCCTCTTGGCCGGCTCGGACCGGCGCCCGCGGCGCCCGGGCTCGCTGAACCGCCCGCATCTTCGGTGGCGTCCACCGCGAGCGGCGAGGCCGAGAGGTTCGCCACAGCCTCGCGGAGGGCCTTGCACTCCTCGCGCAAGCGCAGGACCTCGCTGGCCGCGTCCTCGCCGGCGACCTCGTGCGCGCCTGCACAACGTCGGACACTCGATGGGACGCGTCGGAAGCGCCGTCTGGATCGCGCTGGCCGCCGAAGCCGTTCCCGTGAGCGAGTGTTTGTTGCGTGGCGTGCGAGACGGGGCGCACCGTCCGGGATGCGCTCGTCGAGGACCTGGCCGAGGTCGGCGAAGAGCAGGGGGTCTTCGGGGAGGACCGGGATGAGGTACTCGTCCTCGCCCCACGGCGCGGCGCACACGGCGGCGCCGGCCGGCACCGCTGCCAGCGCGGGGCGTGGGTCGCGCCCCGCAGCGACCTCCGAGCGGATGTAGTTCACCAACCGGATGACCTCATACTCGTCGAGTCGTTTCTGCAGCGATTGGGGCGGACGGCCGCCGTCGTTGCGCCGTGGGCGGGCCGTCCGTCCGCAGGAACTCTGCCGAGTGCGATTGCCAACGGCTATTGATGCCACGGGTCCATCAGAGACAATGAGAGCCCTTCCGAGCATCCGGCGCCTGGTCAACACCGCGACGCGTGCGGCACGGCGGCCGGCGACCGCGAGAATCGCGCGCACGTTCCTCGCGGCGCTGTGCTGGTCGTGCAGCGGCGCCCCTCACCTCTCGCACGTACTGCGCTATGTCGAACCCGTTCTCTTTCGCATCGTGGGCTATCGCGGCCCTGATGCTCGGCAGGACCTTCCCCTTCGTGAACAGCGACTGCGTCTCGCCGTCGTCTCCGCCGTCCTCGCCGCCCTCCTCCCACTGGCCCCACGCGCCGTCGCCCTGGTCCTCCTGGTCCTCCCAGCTCGCGTCAGACCCCGCCTGAGACGTCATCTTCGCGCTCTGCCGCACCGCGCCGGGCTCCGACCACAACATCGCCTCCCAGCACGGAAAACACCCCCCTGACTCCACAGCGTCGTATTCCCCACGCGACCCACCCACGTCCCGCCGCCGCTGCAGCCGTACATCGCGCGAGAGAGCTCCCCGCCATCGCGCGCAGACGCGGCCCCGTGGATCGTTTGACTGACTCACAATCGTTGCGTCGCACCGTCTACGCAGCACAGACGCCGGTGCTGCGCACAGACGGATCGACCCCCGCCGCAGCCCCCCGCGGCCACCAGCACCATCGCCCCTCGCGCCCGGCGGAGCTCCCCACACGCGCAACCGGCGCCCCACGAACACCACCACCCACCGGGCCGACCCCCCCCCCTTCACCCCCCCACGCAAACACCCTCGCTCATCCTCGCAAGAACCCTCCTCGGCGCGCCGCCAGGCCCCGCACCGCGCAACCGCAGCACGCACCGGCACGCACGCGCCGCCACAGCGCTGCGCCGTGCCCCACGCAGCCCCGGCCCTCGCGCCCGCACGCCCGCGCGGCTCCGGCCCGCGCCCGCCTACTCCAGGAGGTCGTCGTCGCCGTCGTCGGGCAGGGGCTGCTGCGCGGCCATCTGCAGCTCGGCCTCGTTCTGCTGCTGCTGCTGGTGGTCGATCTGCACCTCGGGGGGCGCCAGCGCCGTGTCGCCGACGAACTTGAGGTCCGCCTTGCCCGTGAGCTTGCGCGCGAGGTACTCGAACGGCCGCTCGTAGTTGTAGTTCGACTTGGCCGAGATCTCGTAGTACTGCAGGTTCTTCTTGCGGTGGAACGTGACCTGCGGGGGGGGGGGTATTGGGGTGTGTTGCGTGTGGGCGGAGGGCGCTGGGAGGGAACGGAGAGGCTGTGTGGACCGGGTTGCGCGCGTGTGGGGCCGCGGGCGTGGCGGGCGCGGCGGGGTTGCGGCTTGCGGTGTGGACGGTGGGGGCGGTCTGACGCGCGCGGGGTGCGGCGGAGCGGCGTTCGGCGGGCGGACCGAGGGCGTGTGAGCGGGTGCAGGGTGGCGCCGGTGGTGTGCGCGTGGTGGGGGAGGGGGGCGGCGGAGGCGCGTGTGTGGGCCCGCGGGGCGCGGGAGGCGCGAGGTGCCGCGCTGCCGCGCGCTGCACGGCTGCACGGGATGGATCATGCCGCAGCCGGGCGGGCGGAGGCCGCGGTCGGGCGCGCGGCGCGGCAGGGCGGCCCAGCACTGCCAGCGTGTCGCTGCTCAGAGTCAATGGGTCCTGCGCCCTTCGACGGGCATCATACCGCGTGGGGACGGCGCGAGCGGGGTGCGTGGGAGGAAGACGAGCCGGTCGCGGGCTCGGGGGGCGGCGCGGCGCGCCGTGGGGGTCGCGGGGGCCGCAACTTGCCTGCTTGGGCTTGACCTGGCGGTTCTTCACGTCGACCTTGTTGCCGCAGAGGACGATGGGGATGTTCTCGCACACGCGGCAGATGTCCCTGTGCCACGTGGGCACGTTCTTGTACGTCAGGCGCGAGGTGACATCGAACATAATGATGGCGCACTGGCCGTGGATGTAGTACCCGTCGCGCAGGCCGCCGAACTTCTCCTGGCCCGCCGTGTCCCAGCAGAAAAAGCGAATCTTCCCAACCTCCGTGTTGAAATCCAGCGGGTGCACCTCCACGCCGATGGTGGGCTCGTACTTTTTCTCGAATTCGCCCGTCAGGTGCCGCTGCAGGCAGCGGGGCGGTGTAGGAGCGCGGCGTCAATGCTCTCTCAATGGGGGAGCCGCAGCCTCGCGCGCCGGGCGCCCGTGCGCGGCGTTCTTCGCGGCACACGAGGCCCTGGCGCGTCTCCAAGCAAGCCACAAGGCGTTCGTTGCCCGCCGTCCACAGGGCGGAACGCAACTCGGAAAGCGCGCGTCGTGCATCCTCCGCGGCACGAGGACGCGCCGCCGCGGCGCCGCCGCGCCATCGCGGCGCGTGGGCCACACGGCACGGCGCAGCAGCTGGACGGCACAGCAGGCAGCGTCCGCTGCGGGCACGTCTGCGCAGGGCCTCGCGGCGTGCGAAGGCGCGCGGGGCGATGTGCGGGCGAAATTCGAGCGCGAGGGGATCGCAGCGCACCTTGACGAAGGTCGTCTTGCCCGTCCCGCCATCGCCCACCAGCACGAGCTTGAAGCTCGGAACGCCGTCGTTTGCAGCCATATTGCCGCGTTTCCTCGTGGGAGCCAGAAGCGTAAATGCAGTGCCGAAGCGCCCCGCGACGGATTCCCCTCGGCGCCCCCGCACGGCGGCGCAGGAGCAGTTGCCGGGTCCTCTCGGGAGTCCCCGGGGGCGAGTCTCGCGTCACCCGGGGGCGATACATGCCGCGGGGGGCGCCGCGGATGAGCACATGCGGCGGAGTCGCCATCGGACCGCCCGGGGCGTCGCAGATGCAGCGCAAGTCGGCGCGCGAGAGGCAGGCAGTTGCGTCACTTCCCCCTCTCGACGCATTCCTGGCCTCCCTGCCGAAGATAGAGGGCTCCCTGGCGACCGTGCCCGACGTATACTCGGTTCTGTCGCACCTGCACACCAAGGGGCTGCGGGCAGTCGCCAGCGTGTCCCAGGACGGCGCGTGCTACTTGCTGGACGCAGAGTGGCGCCCGGGGCAGGAACCGGTGCGTCAACGCGGCACATTCTCCTGTTCCCGGCATCACCGCGCCTTGTCCCCCCCCATGCGCCGCCGCCACAGCTTTATACCGCCACGCCGCGCAGCGAAGCACCCTGCAAGCGCACAGCCTCCCCTCCTCCGCGCGCAGGCACGCGGGGCCCCGCTGTCCCGTGCGGTAGCGCGCCCGGGCCGGTACCTTCCCGTCAGCGCCTCGTGCACCTCCCTGACCCCCTCGCGCCTCCAGGACCTCGCCCTCAGGCTCCCAGCGTCTGCCGACCCCGCCGCCGCACTCATCGTGGCAATCGTCGCCGCGGACGGCACCGTCATCCTCCAGCGCCTGCACAGCGGGATCCTCGCGCCCCCGCCGTCCGCGAAGACCGCAGGCGCCGCCTCGGACGTGTCGGACGACGAGGACATTGGCGACGAACCCCCCGGCGAGGACAGCGCGTAGCCCTCCTCCCGCAAAACACCCCCGCGCCCGGCGTGCACGGCGAGCCCCGGTGCCTGCGTCTCCTGACAGCGACGGGCCCCGGCGCGGCGATGGGCGGGGGGGGACTTTTGTTGCTCAAGGGCCATCCGTGCACGGGCAAGTCCAGCTTGGCGGAGGCGCTGTCGGGGCGGCTGCGCTGCCCGCTCGTGGACAAGGACGATGCGCGGGATCCGCTGGAGGCCGCGCTTGGCGGGACGGAGGCGGCCGGGGCGCTGAACGGGCTGTCCTACGACATCATGTTGCGATACGCGGGGCGGCAGTTGCAGCGCGGGCTGCTCTGCGTTGTGGACTGCCCGCTGGCCAGGCTCGAGCTGTTCAGGTGTGTGCGCGGGGGTCGTCGCAAGAACTGTTCGAGCGCCGCCACTGATTGATTATTCGTTCCTAGTGTTTTTGTACATATATGTCGTACGAGCGCGTGGTGTCGCTTGCTGGGGTTCGCGCAGGCGGTGCCAGGGCGTGGCGGAGCAGTGCGGCTGTGCGGGAAGGGTCGCGGTGGTTGAGTGCGTCGCGGGGGACGAGGCGGTGTGGCGGCGACGCGTGCAGGCGCGAGCGGCGGCGGACGCGGGAACGGACCGGGCGCACAAGCCACGGTCGTGGGAGGCGCTGCGGGAGCTGATCGCTGGGTACGCCGGCGCGGAGCAGTGGACGACGGAGGCGCTGGCGGCTGGCTGGATGCGCGATGGATTCCGGGATGTGTCAGGAGGGAAAAACACCCCCCCTGGGGCGGTGTTGCATATGCGGGTGGACACGAGCGCATCTGACGTCGAGGTGCTGGCGAGAGACGTGCTCGGCGGTCTGCGGAAGAACGGTTGGCCTGTTGAAACGACGTAGTGGATTCTGACCCCACCATACACGAGTTGGCAAGTTGCCACCTCTTATTTGGCTCTGTGAGCGTCAGGAAGGCATACTTGCGCTGCTGCCCCACTGCAGTGCGCATTGCAACAGGTCGGGCCGGAGGGCGGTACTCCGCGTACGTTGCTGCGACGGCGTGGCGTCCAGGGGGGCGGGGTTTCGCCCCGACAACCGAATCCGCCGCCGCACGTAGCCGTTCGCAGCGCGCCCTGCGACAGCAAGTCCGCATTCGCAAGATCGTGTCTCACTTCCCGGTGACACTGTGCACCGGAGCAGCGAGAACCATCACAATGGTTGCCGCGTCGTTGCTCTCGGCCACCCCTTTCCTTGGTTATTGTGACCTCCGAGGTCACATCCTGGAGTCCAGGATGACACGTTTGTCAGACTGAAAGTTCATTACAATGGCTTTTTGTACCCCATGGTCCACGTCTACGTGGGCCTGGAAATGCCTCTCCTCAGCGCACCTGAGGCACAAGGCAGGTCCTGGCGTGTCGTCACAGCGGCGCCGCTGTCCCACTCGGTCCTGTACGGTGCTGCATGTTCCATGAATCACTGTCGCTTTCGCTGTCGCGACACCAACCGCACCGCCCGCGTCGTGACGTGCCGCCGCACCACAGCGGCTGCCGAGCCCTAGTCCGAGAAGGGCAGCAGGATCAGCAGCGGGACCATGCTGACAAGCTTGAGCGCGGCGGTTACCAGGAACGTCATCTGATACCCCGTGGAGTGGATCAAGAGACCCCCCAGCGCGGCGCTCCCGGACCAGGAGAACGCCCGGATCCCGTCCGCCGCGTTCCAGATCGACCGCTTCGACGGCGGCACCGAGTCCATCATCACCGCCCGCATCAACGGGCGCGTGCAGTTCGCCGCGCCCATGCGAGCGAGGTGCACGGCCACGAGGACGTCGCGCTTGAAGCCCGTGCCCGTCGGGAGCTTCGCCATTGCGACCAGCAGCGCGAGGTCGAGTAGCCGCGTCGAAAGAGACACGCGGAGCCTGCCTGCACGCGCCAAGACGGAGACGCACCGGGCCGCCGCGGGTTGGACTGCTGCGGCGCAGGACATGCGGTACGGTGCACGGGGCGGGCGTGGAGCGCTTGGCGGGCACGCACCGAATTTGTCCGACACGTTGCGCGCCACGGAGGAGAACACGACGATCACCCACGGCGCCGCGACGCCCAGCGCCGACACGTACACGGGGCCCATCCCGCACGCCTCGTAGAAGAACAGCGAGAAGAACTTGAGCGTCATTCCCGACGCCAGCGCGCCCAGCGTATCCGATATCAATATCACCCATGGCACCAGCAGCCGCCTCCGAGCCCTCCACGTGCAGCAGCCCCCCGCGCCGGCTGGGGCTGGCCCCGCACGCGCCACTTCAATGTCCAGCCTGTCCTCGTCCATCGAGTCCTCCAGCAACGGCCGCTCGAGCGCAGCGGCCTGCGACGCGTCATCGTACACGTCGAGGTCGCTCGCCGCGTCGCTGCTCGCGTCGTCCTCGACTACGGGCCCGCAGCAGCACGCCCTCGCAATGCACTCGCACACGAGCAGCTCCTCGTCGAGCTGCTCCTGCGACAGCGACGTCGCCGACGCCACGCGCCCCATGTTGTCCCGCCGCGCCCGCCGGCGCCCGCGCCGCGCCCGCGTCGCCGGAAACGGACGCCACGCCGGCTGCATCGCCGCGCCGAGCTCCCCCATCGACGGCGGAGCCGGCATGCCCTGCAGCGCGACCCGGTGCGTCATTGCCGCGCGCCCCAGACTGGGGTTCGAGGACAGAGCCTCGCGGCGCTCCTCCGCGTCCAGCTCGTCGAGCCCCTCGCCGTCGAGCTGGAACGAGTCCCCGTCGTTCTCCACCCGGCTGCCCTCGCCGCTCCGGCCGCCCCGCAGCGCCCACGACGCCACGCTGCACGCCGCCACCGACGCGGCCGACTCTCGCGGGTGCGCGACGCCCTTCGTCGGGGAGTCCCACGGCGCCCTGTGGCCGCTGCCGCCCGCGCGCCCCGCGAGCGCCTCGGCGCCCGCGGAGCTGCGGCCGAGCACGGACGCCCCTGCCCCCGCAGCGTCGCCGGGCGCGGAGCCGCCCTGCGACGACCGTCGCGCGTGCTGCGCGCGGCGCTGCTCGGCCGCGACCATCGTCTTGCTGTCGTCGAACAGCAGCAGCAGCAGGAGCGCGGGGAGCATCAGGCCGAGTCCGACCAGCAGAACACGCCGGCAGTCGGGGGGGCTCCAACGGTCGCCGTAGTACATGAACATCGCGAGCGCCGCGGCCGGGCCGAGCGAGCCGGAGACGAGGAGGATCTGGTACTTGCGAGTGAACCAGAGCGAGCGGTTCGCGGTGTCGGTGCTGTCGGCGTAGAGGGCCTCCATGGGTCCGACGACCCAGCCGCGGTAGAGGCCCGTGAGGGCCATGGCGACGTACAGGGTGGTGATGTTGTCGCCTGCGGGGCGGCGGGACCGGGCGCGGCGTGCTTGGCGGGGGCGGCAGAGCGCGTGTGGGCTGCGGTGGTTGACGGGTGCGTGGAGTGGGGGTGTTCGGGGGGGCGCGAGGCTCGCGAAATGGCCCGGAGGCATGTCGTACCTCGATATATTTCGCTCCATCCGTCTGTGAGCGCGAGAAAGAAGGCGACGAGCGACGCGACGCCAAGGCCGAAGCCCAACAGCAACACCCGGTCCCGCCGCCATTTGTCGCCGAGCCAGCCGGCGGGGAACGCCGCCACCAGCTGCACGAGTCCGCTCAGTCCCTGCAATGCAGACCGGGCGCACAAGCGGTCAACCTGCGACGGCAATGGCACCACCGCATTGACGCCCAGGGGGCGATGGGGGGGGTTGCGCGACAGCTCCGGGGCCACGTGCCTGGATATAGCCCACAGTACTCGTGTCGTCGGTCAGGAGGAGGACCAGGACGCTGAACACGTCTCCGGCGCGCAGGTTCGCACTGCTGAACTCCAGCGCAGTCCAGCCTAGCACGACAGCGATATTGTGGTTCACTGACGCGTTTCTTGGCTCGCGGGGGGCGATGCGATTGCGAATCATCCTGTTGCGCCAAAAATGAACGCTCGTTGGACCTCCGAAGCTCGCCCACGGCCCAGAGAAACAGCAGCACCCGGCGTGGGCCCGCGCTGAGACGGGCGACGGGGGATTGGGGCGTCCACTGGGCCCGTTCTACAGCTACTCCATCGCTTCAGGCCCTGTACCTGAGGCGCAAAGAGGGCCTATGCACTGGAGAGCCACGAAGGCAATGCAGGGTGTGGGGACGCGAAGCTTGCGGGGGTCAGCCGAGCTACAAGCAAGCGCGTTCGAATAACCACAAGTAGAACCACGCTGAATGATCCGCGTTTCGGTCGCCGCGGACCCCATGTGCCCCCCGCGAGCCGGCAAGAACTCATCCTGAGTCCAGTATGACAAAGAGGGCACCGAGTCCACGTCATGGAGCCCAGCCTGCGCTTCGGCCAGCGCCCCTGCCCCCACTCAACACAGTGCAGGCGCCGAGACGGTCTCGCGGGTGCCGACCATCGGCAAGCGCAAGTGAACGGCACATGTGCAACTGTTTTCTCAAAGGGCCGTGATGACGTCCGCGGTCGGTGGAAGCCGCTGGTGTCTGGAGCATGTGCAGAGCTTGCGTCGGTCCGTCTTGCGGCCCGGGCGGCCCGGCAGTCTCTCCTTCTATCCGGAGCAGCCTTCGGGCACAGACTTCAGTGGTGCTGGTCGCACGACGCGGGCGAACACGCCTCATTGCACGTCGCGCTTTGCCCGGGGCTCGCGCGACACACAGCGAGGGCGGACAGGGCCGCCAAGCGCCAGCAGTGATCCCTCAGTGTCTCTGACGCCTTGGCATCAGGCGGGCAGTGCTCGCAGCCAACTAGCATCGCCCTGAAGCCGTCAAGAACGAAAGCGGAACGACAGCAGTCACACTGGTTGCAAGCATGGCGCGATGGATCGAGGCCGCTGGCGGCGCCTTCCTCGAGACTCGCGCGCGCGCGCCGAGGTGTCAGCAGCCACTAGGGTCTGGCGCACGCACCAGGGAGACATGTTCGTGCGTTTGACGGAGACGTGGAAGCATGCACGTGATGATGAACGGCCAGAAGAAGAGGAGGGGGCGGGGCGAAGAGGGCTGGGGTTGCAGATGAAAGGAAGTCTGACTTCCTTTGAATGAATCATTGCGCGTGACTGTCGCAATGTCGCCTGTTCCCCGCAAGAATTGGGGAGGCTTTGAAAGGCCTTGAGTCACGTTTGCACTCAAAGCGCGTGGGGTTCGACGGGCTTCGCACGCGGGTGGCAGGGAGCGCAAAATGCAAATTGCTTGATAACAAGCAGCAAGTGCGGGGCAAGGAAAGCCCAAAATCCCCGATGTTCAGGCAACGCGATCGTTGTCGTCATGAATCGTCATGTCGAAGGGTTCCTCCGCGTCCAGAGACTCCCTCGCGGTCGGCCTGCAGCGCCAAGACACAGGTGCAAGTCAGTGTGTGCCACGCTCCTGGGTTATACGCTATCGTCAGCACGCGCACGGCACCGATGCAGCTCCCGCACATCGATCACGCGCAGGAAGTTTCGCAACAACGTTCGCTGCAGGCCATCAGGCGCTCAGCGCAGGTGCATCGCTGCTCGTGAATCTGCGCGCGGGCGACGCACTTGTCGAGGACATCGCTGTGGCCGCGCCAGTCCGCGCGAGCTCGCCGCAAATGCGATGCCACGCCGTGAACCTCGGCTGCAGCGCCGTGCGACTCGCGCTCTTGGCTCTGGAGACTGCGCCTCGAGCTCTCGCGCCCCAGCGCCGTCGCTGAGTCGAATGCCGACTGCAGTCGGCGTCGCGAGGCCACGGGCGAGCGATGGACAGGGCTGTCTTGGCCCCCCCGGTTCGAATGCCGGGAGTGGAGGTACTCGGCGGCGCGTCTGTCACGCTCAGCGCGAGAAACAACCCTCGCGAGCATGCGGTGCGACACACGGCCAGCTTGCATCTCGCGCCGGGACGCCCGCTCCCGCCCGGATGCAGTCGCGTCGTCCGCGTGCCCCCGGGACGACGCTGCTCCGTCACCAAGGAAGCCGGGCGTCTGGTCGGCAGGACGGCGCGTGCGCACTCTTTGCAGCGTCCTGTCGCTGCGAGAGGCCACCAGGTTGCCTTGGACCTGGGCGCGGTACGTGCGCCCCCGCTGCAGGTCCCTGGCGGTTGTCGCACGTCGCATGCCTGGCGGTGGGAGAGCGCGTTCGACGCCGCGGGTGACGGAGGGGGCGCGCTCCCTCGATCGCCCGCGCTCGCTGTTGTACACGCTGCGGGTGCGCGCTGTGACGTCGGAGGGGCCCCTTGAGCGCCGGGCGGCAGAGATACCGTCAGGAGGGTCAGCTCTCGAGCGGGAGGTTGCACGGCCTCCGCGGTCGACGTTGTGGTTGCCGGAGCCAAGCTGCAGTGGTGGAGAAGGCGGGTCGAGTGGCGTGAGACCGGCAGGAGCCTGTATGCGACCAGGCGCGCAAAACGTGATAGATGCAACAGACGCGGCCTGCCGGGTGGCGGCCCACGGGCGTGGCGGCACGCGGCTGCGGCGGGCCTCCTAGAGATCGAGAGTACTGTCCGTGGCGAAGTGCGAGGCGGCGCTCCGAGGGAGTGCTGTGCCGCGCCGCTCCATCATATGGCCAAGGGGTGGGTCACGAGTCCGCTTCCACAACGGACGACATCGGACACTTTCTGGCATTTCTGGATCACCGAAGGGATGTTGTGGCGGAGCGTGTCCCTTGAGACCCACCTCACGCGCTTGTTCGGCTCGCGACGGGTCCTTGTTGGTCACCGTAGTAGCGAAACTGCCTTTCCGCACAGGAGGAGCCCGGCTCGAGCCCCTCTCCGGCAAATGAGGGCGAGATACGCAGAGTAGGAATCCCAGGAAACATCCTAAGCCGTGGCCTGCCTGGTCCTCTGGCGCCGCAACATGACGCTTGGGTGGCGCGGCCATCTCGGCACGGCGCCTAGGGGCTGCGCTCGCACTTGTATGGTCCGCGTATGCGCAACCCTCGCACAGCTGCCCGTCCTTGTGCTGCAACACGACGGAGCCGTCCGGTCGGGCTGCGGGGTGCTGCACTAGCGAGTCGGGCACTGACAGGCGGAGGTGCTTCGACGCGCGTTGACAATACAGACATCGTGCAATGCTCTGCAGGGCCGCTTGATGACATGTGCGGTCCCGTCTCTACCGACCTATTCGCTGCTGATTCATGCTATGAGCCGCAGAAGCTCTCGACACCTACCAGATCCTGACCCTAGACCTGCAATTCACCTCCCGCGCCGCTCAGTTCTCGACGCTGCCCTCTGCACCTCGCCGCCGCCATCCTGACGCCGTTGCGTGGTGCGTGCACGCGGTTCCGCGCATGCTGCGACAAACTAAGTGTTCCCGCGTTGGAGACACTGCAGCGCCGCTCGTGTTGTGGCCGCTCGGTGGGGCGTGCGACACCGCGCCGCGTCAGAGATCCCGAAGATCCTCGCGCGCAGACCGCCGCGCGCACGCCAGCGACGGCTAGGTGCGCGGCCCCCGGTCTCGGAAGGATGGCGCGTGCTGCGGGATCGGACCCGACCGATGCTTGACCAGCGGCGCCCGCGACGGCGTGCCCACGACGAGCGACAGCACGTCGGCCCTCGGTCTGCAGCGAACGTCGCGCCGGGCGCGTGTCGGTGAGGGTTCGCAAAGCCACACACACGCACGACATCTCCACCACCCTTCAAGTCGGCGGCCCGGCCGCTGCGCATCACGACGAGCGCACCGCGCGGCCATGCTCGTCTCGGCCGTCCCACCGCGTCACGGCAGGGAGGCAAGCCACACGTGCGGGGCAACAGCACGGCTCTGCAGCGCACCTTTTCTGGTCCAGTAGCTCGCCCACGGATCCGCTCTTCGCCGGCGGCCGCCTATGCGACACCCGCACAGGCTTGCTGCGCTGCACGCCCGCGCCCCCCGTCGTGCGCCGCGAAGCCCCCGGCCCTGCCCCGTTATTCCGGGCGTTGTCCGCGACGTCGGTTGCGGCCTGGAACTGCGACGTGAGCCGGCGCCGCGAGGACGCCAGCGAGCGGTGCGAGCGGGCACTGCTGCGCTGGCCTGCATCGGTCTCGCCGAGCAAGCTGCGCCGCGTGGAGCCCCCGTGCAAGGTTGATGCCATAACCATCCTGGCGAGCGAACGGTTCGAGACACGCGTCGCGCCCTGGTGCGCGGGCGCGTTCCGCATCGCTGGAGACGGAGCGCGCGTGTTGCGGCGGACCATCGAGGCGCCGGCGGTGTCTCGCCCGTAGGCGCGGTGTGTGCGCCCGCGGCGAACGTGGCGGCCGACGTCCGGGGTCGCGTCGTCGTCTTCGTAGAGCGTGGTGCTCGACAGTCGACGCGAGGTGTGCCGCCGGACCGCAGCGTGCGTCTCGCCGGCCTCGACGCGGCTGACCTCCGCGAACGGCCACTCGAGCTCTGGGTCAGCATCCCGCGCGTGATCGGCTCGCACGGTCGAAAACGAGCCGTTCTGCAAGCGTAGAGGAACAGAGAGAGGCGGCGGGGTCAGGTCGGCTCTGAAATAGAGATATTGTGAGCGCGTGAGGGCCGGAAAGAGATCTGAGCTAGGTATGCTTGCCAGCTCGCGAGGAACACCGCTCCGACAGCGCGCCAGGATCGCAGGAATGCAGCGGGCATATGGACATAGCCGTCAGCGAGCGCGTCAGGGCACGGCGCGCCGCCCACGAAGAGCCTGTCGGTCCCGACCGCCCGTCGGGTGCCGGCACATCGGAGCGCGGCGCGATGATGCCTGAGTAACGAGCGCCGTGTGCGAGGACCGGGTGATCTTTTTCTGTGCTGTGCCGAGGTCGAAGGAACCCACCTCGCGATCAACCCGGGAGGCACCTCTTCGTCGGGGTCCGTAGCTGCCGCTGTGCGGGGGCACTGCGTCCGCCCGAGCGTGCTCTCCCGGTAACCCCTTGTAGCTCGCCACACAGAGCAGACATCCCAGCAAGCCCATCTGGGGCCGCATCGGGGCGGCTCGGCGTGAGAGCAAGTCTTCAGCGCCCACCGGCCTTGGCTCAGGCATCGTGACGGACCATCCCACGGCCTCTCCGTCTCCGAGAAGGCTTGTCAATGTCTGGGCCTGCCACCTGCCGCCTCCCACCGATGTCCCCGTGGCCGCCGAAGCGCCTTCTCGCCGCGGGGGGGGCTGTTGGCCATGAACGGCACCTCGCGAGCGACAGCCTGCGACCTGCGTCTACGGAGGCCGCTGTCTTGCGACGGAAGCACGTGCCTGGTGTAACGAACACGGCCTGCGTGTCATGCGAGCCCTGCAGCGGCGTGTCTCCGCCGTGGAAGGGTTGGTGCCCACCGCAGACAGACACGCGTGATCGGATTCGTCCCGTTGCGACCTCGCACCGCGGGTCGGAGCCGTGGACGCGCCGCCCGCGCGAAGCACATGCGACGAGCGGGAGTTTCCGCGCGCGCGAGCGCAGCGTGGGACGCCGGCCAGCCTTACAACACGCGTTGCAACTGCACTCGGCGATTATTGGATGACTTTTGGCAGAGCTAGACCCCCCCCGCCTGGCTCTCTTGCGGGGCCCTCGAGGCCCAGCGGCCCCGCGCGACGGAGCCAGAGACCGTGAACATTGCGTTGCGTTGACACGCTTGTCTGCGTGAACTCAGTCGGGGCCGTACGAGCGACTAGGATGCAGGCCAGCGTTGCGGCCCGGCCCGCGCTGGGCGCTCGGCCCTTCAGCGCCAGAGATGCCCCGACAGCCCGCGCTGCGCCTCTACCAGGTGTCGGTCGGGTGGGCCCGCCGGCCGCGTCGAGGCTCGTGCAGGTGCGCCCGGCGAGGGCCCGTTGCTTTCTCGCACCCTTCCCCCCGGCAGTGCTGCCTGGGGACGCCCGCTCGGAGCGGGTGTTTGGCGCGAGTAGAAGGAATGGTGTCGTGGTGTTCTGTCGATGTGCTGTTCAACTTGTCTCTTGCCCGGACAGCGCGGGACGGGACGGCTGAAACCATGTTGTTTGGCCCGCACGGTGCGTTGCAGTCCGTGCAGCGGTCCCAGGGGGGCATGCAGGGGCGCAGCGAGGCGCACGTCGTCCGCGCTGAGGAGGGCAAGGTCGGGAAGGTCCAGATCGGCCAGTCGGGCAAGACGAACATCCGCCGCGCGGCGCTAGCCATCCGGCGCTTCGGCTACGTCTCATTCTGGGCGCAGCTCGGCCTCTCCCTGGTCTCCGCGATCGTCCTGCTCTTCTCCGTTGCCTTCAGCCGCGAGGCAAGCCTCCCAAACTCCACGACACGCCCCGCACCCGCGCATTACGCGGATCGAAGCAGTACACAACACGCTACGCGCGCGGTCACGCACGCGGCCGCCGCGGGCCACCGAGGCGCGCAGCACCCTTGACGCTAGCGCCGTAACGCACGCGCGTGACGTTTCGGCGCTCCCCGGCCCGCCCACGCCCCTGCAGAGCAGCCAGAGTGTCTCCCTCTACTTCACGCTGTTCGGCATCATGGCGAGCATCCTGTCGACGTTCTGGGCGTTCGGGTACACCCGCCTGGCGCGCACGATGTTCAAGTACGGCGCGTACCTCGAAGGCAAGCTCAAGAAGTCAGACGGAGTGAAGGAGGTCACCAAGTACAGGGTGAGGCCTATTGAGCACACCCCCTGACGCAGGCACCAGCCAGCCCGCCCAGGGCGGCCGCCTCGATCCCCTGAACCTCGGCGCGGCTCGCCACCTGCACCAACGCCCATCGCTGGCGTAGCAGTAGACGCTCCCGCACCCGACGTGGAGTGCAACGTGACGCTGCGCCGTTGCTGGTGTTCCCGGGGACGCCGCGCCTTCCAGCGACGCGCTGAACACGGGTGCTTGCTCCGGCGTCGTTTTGCTGCAGGTGTACCAGTCGTTGGTGCGTGGCGTGATCATCAACATGGCCGGCTTCGGCGCGACGGTGCTGGGGATGCAGGCGACCGTCGGGCTGCTCGTCGCGAAGACGCTCACGTCCGCCACCGCGAACCCGTTCCTCGCCGGCGGCGCCTCGTCCTGGAACCCCGTCCTGGCCCTCGACGTCTTCCTGGTGCAGGCGTCGGCAAACACGCTGCTGGCGCACTTCGTGTCGCTCTGCGTGAACCTGCTCCTCATGCGGCAGCTCGCGCTCGGCGGCGCGGTGTCGGACGTGCCGGGAACGGACCCCAAGGCGCAGCCAGCGTGAGAGACACCGGATGCGCGCGTCGCGGGGCAGGCAAAGGTTCTGCGGCCGCTGCTGTGGTTGGCGCGGCCTGGAGGTGTTGTGACGGGCTGACAGGTCGTTGCGCGCGGTCCGCGACGCGTCGTTCGGCTTCGCGAGCCGTAGCAACGCAAGACGCGCAGCAACTTGATGTGCAACGAAACACAGACCAGCACCGCACGGGCGGGTGGTCAATTGCCGTACGGGAAAGCCACGCACCCTACTCCCCGCTCCTTCCCGCACGAGTGCAACGCCCCGGTCGGCGCCGACCCCCCGCTGCCCCGGAGGACTGTTCTTTCCGCAACATTCCTTGAAAGAAATAACCAATTACAAAAATTCGTCTTCCTGCGATGATCGTGCACCTGACGGGATCTGGCCCCGCTACTCGGCGCCTCCGCGCCCCCTGCCCCGCCCCCGCCCGCGGCCCCTGCCCCGCCCCCTCCCCCGTCGGCTGAACACCCCCCCCCACGTCAGCGTGTTGGGGCGCGCGAGCAGCCGCGCCCCCGCGATCGACTCCAGGTCGACGTACAGGTCCAGGCGCGTCAAGCGCTGCCGCGGGGCCTCCGAGAGCGCGCAGTTCTTGCACATCATGAACTGCAGCGACCCCATGTGGTGTTGCCGCACCGGGTACTCCCCTGCCTCGCCGCAGTTGCGGCAGGCGTGGCGCCACCACAGGGCGCGGTGCGGCAGCCAGCGCGCCGCGATGTCCTCCCCGCGCGGCCGCCGCGCGAACCGCCACCCGCGCACGTCGCAGGCGCCCTTGAGGGCCTCGTCGCACGCCTGCGCAAGCTGCCTGCATGTTGCGAATTGCGCGGCCGGCGGCAGGTGTGCGGCGCGGTTGTCGTGACCGAGCCGCCTGCGGCATCAACACGCGGCGTTTCTTCCGCGGCGAAGCAAGCAAGTGGTCAGAGCGGCCGAAGAGGCCTTCAGGGGCGCCAAACGCAACGTCACGACATCCACTCGATGGTCGTGCACAACGGCCTCAGTGACTTGCGGGCCCACGCGCGGGGAACGTGAGCTGGCAGCGCGGAATCGAACCTGCAGGTTCCACAAGCTCGCATCGCGTCGCCAGGGCGGAGCTTCCCCGCAACACGGGCCAAGAGCTCCGGAGGCAAGTCCAGTAGACTCGTCTTGCGCCGCTCGGGCTGCACAGCCCCCCCTGCGCCCTCCGGCATCGCGTTTTCTCCAACTGCCTTGTGCGTCTCGGCGTTTCCTGCCTGCCAGCGTGTCGGAAACGCCCGTGTCTCGGCACACGCGTAGATAACAGCAATAAGTACGCGGCGGGCCCGTGCACCGGCGGCGACGTGCCGTGCAGGCGCGTCACGGAGAAGGTATCATACTCAGTGACTCCCAGGCCTCCTCGCTCGCCAGTATGACACGAGCACTTAACGGCACAACGGGGGCGCTCGCTGCTGCGTCGCAGCGATATTCGCGCATGCATCGGACGCGTCGCTGTCACAGCTGCTACCCCTCGCGGACGTCAATTGTGAACAGACTGCCTGCTACCACCACAGTACGGCTTCGCGTCGTGTCGAGAGCTGACGCTCCACGGATCGGCGCATCGCGCAGCCAGCTATGCTGCGGATCATCGCACGCCGTATCGTGCGCGGCGACCAGATCGCAGCGGCGTCGCGCGGCCTGTTCATTAGCGCCACTGGTGGGGACAGGGACGGCACCTGGGAAAACGAGGCCACGGACGAGGAGAGGCGCATCGCGCAGAAGGTCAGTCACTGATCAAAGACGGCATCGCAGCCGCGAAACCTCGGTTCAAGCCGCGCCGGGCCGCTGCAGCCACCCCGGAACAACACCCTGTGTCTCCTACCTCCCGTGGTCCCGCGCGCCAACGCCCGTACTGCCCCGTACCTCGCCGGCTTAGACAGTCCCACCCAGCGCACAGCACGGTTCGCGGTCGCCCCGACGGGAGGCAGCGCACAGCGCACGTTGCATTGTGTGCACTCTCAGGGGCGCTGCCTGCACGCACGGCGCGGCCCGAGCGAGACACGCGGCCCGCACGCGCCCCGCAGGTCGTGGACGGCGTCGGCGCGGCGGCGGTGGCTGTGCGGGACAGTTCCGGGGGCTGCGGCACGATGTATGAGATCATGGTGGAGTCCGACTCGTTCGAAGGGAAGAGCATAGTCAAGCGGCAGATGATGATCACCAAGGTCCTCAGCGACGACATTCCCAACTGGCACGGCTTCACGATGGAGACGGACGTCCCGGGGAAGACGTCGGTGTCGGACATCATCAGCGAGTTGCAGAAGCAGTGACCGAGGCGCCGCGACGCTTGGCCGCGGACGCAGCTCCCGAGCACGGCCGGCGCCGTGTCCGCTCTGTGAGTCCTGTCGTGGAACGAGGCGGTCGGCGCAGAACGGCGGCCGGCAGGGCGTCGCGCAGGCAGTGGCGGGAACGACTCGCGCCGCTCGGGCGCGTGGAGAGACGATGCGGGTTACACGGAGAGTCACCAACCACGTGCGCGCAATCACCGGGGCTCCGCGACCTTCTGGAACACGAACAGGTTCCCGGACCGCCCGCGCCCGAAGCGCACCTGCCCGTCGACGTACGTCGTGACCCACTCCGCCGACATCCGCAGCGCCTCCGGGATCTCGAGCGACAGCGCCGGCAGCGTCAGCGACAGCGGCCCGCCGCCCTCGAGCGCCGGCGCGCCCGGCCCGCCCCCCGCCTCCTCCTCCCACGGCGCCTCCTCGCCGCCGTCGAGCCGCAGACCCATCCACGCGAGCGGCCGTATGCTCCACGAATCGAACGTGACGTCCGCCTGCATCCCCGACCACCCGACCGGCACCCACTGCCCGCGAGCTGAGATGCGCCACGCCCCCAGCGGACCCAGGCCGACAATCGCCGCGTTGTCCGACCGCACGACGCCGAACTGCTTGTCCACGGTCAGCGTCTGCGAGATCCGCCGGACGCCGAACCCACCCGGGAAACCCGACAGCGCCTCCAGGATCCGTGCGGGGGGACTCCGCGTCACCACCGTGCCCTGCGACGCGTACACGAGCTCCCAGCGCCCGTTCAGCTCGCCGCACGGCACCTCCTCCGCGCCGGCACGCGCGCCCACGCGGCCGTACTGCGGCGGCGCCTCGCCGCGGACCGAACGCGCGCGCAGGTCCGACGACACCTCCCACGAGTACGGCCGGCCCCACGAGTCCGCCGACACCGGGGCGGCGTTCCGCACGCCCCACCGCGCGACTGGGTACGGCGCGGGGTCCCCCATCGGCCGCTCGATCGGCGGCATGCGCTCCAGCTCCGCTACGATGTCCTCGACGGCTAGGCGGTCGGCGCTCTGGGTGCCCGGCAGGACCGCGAGCGTGCCGAGGCGCTCGATCTGCCGCACGAGGCGCTCGACGAGCTCGCGGCGCCGCACCGCGGCGCTCTCGCGCTCCTTGCGCTCCGCGGCCCGCTGGACCAGCTCGGCCACCTCCGCGGGCGAGCGCGACGGCGCGGCGCCGGGGGCGGGCCGCGGGGGCGCCGCGGGCTCCGTGGGGGCCGCGGCGATCAGGTTCGGGCTGCGTGGGGACGCCGCTGCGGCGGCGCGGCCGCCCTTGGGCAGCGCGGAGGACGCCAGGGCGTCGTCGAGGGTTGAGGAGCCGTCGGCGGTGCGGCGGCCCCAGGCGTTGGCGTCGACGAGCGGGGGCTCCGAGGGCGTCTTGGTGGAGCTGCTCGAGGCGCTCGCGGCGGACGCGCGGCCGCGGGGGGGCGCGGGGGGGTCCCAGGCGTCGTCGGTGGTGTCAGGCTCGCGGCGGTCGAGGCCGCCCGCGGCGGCGACGATGAGCGCGGAGGCTGCGAGGGCGCCGGTGACGTAGAGGAAGATCTTGACGCCGCCCGCGGCGTCAGCGGCGCCGAGGGCTGCCGCGATGGAGGAGGCCAGGGCATCGATGGAGCCATCTGCGGCGAAGGCGGCGTCCCGGACGGCGCCGAAGCCTGTGTCGAATGTGCTTGCGGTCTGCGGAGCGAGAATGGGGGGCTGTGCGCGTCGTGGGGGGGCGGGCGCGGCTGGGACACCGGGGAGGGGCAAGGCCGCTGGGAGGCCGTTGGGAGCGGCCAACCGAGTAAAAGGCGGCGGAGATGCGCATTTCAATGGTATGATGGCGCGCTATGTCCGTCGGCGTGCGGCTTTCGCTGCCAGACAAGGCGGGGGAGCACGGCCAAGAGCGCAACCGTTGCTTTTCGTGACCGTCACTGCTTGCGTGGGTCAACAGGGTATGACATGCGCCAGGACGAATGTCAAGAAGACCGACCTTCGAGCCTAGCTGCTCAACGAGGCTCTCTGTGGCTGCAGCGCCCGTGGGGGGCGGGGTCGTAGACCCGGCTCCTTGTGGGAGGGCGCGAGCGCGCAGGCTACCACGGTCCCTCGGCCCCGAGCCCCGCCGCCGACCGCTCGACGTGCTGACTGCGCAGGGCTTGCGCGGGAGACCGCCATTGCGCCGCCCGCGCCCCGTTCGCGCACTCGGGCGCACTGGTTCGACCTCGCACGGCCCCGCCTGCCGTTGGCGGCCACCCCTTTGGACAGCCGGCGTGATCGCGGACATCGTACAGACATATGCGCCGGGATGAGGGCGCGTGCGCGCCATGCAGAGCCCGCAGGAGGCGCCTGAGTCCTCCCCTGACCATGCGGTGGCACGCACCCTGCGCTCATTCGCCTTGTCGGCGCTCGCCCAGGCCCTCCCGGCGCATTCCTGGCACCGCACCGGTCGCACGTGAACTCAGCTATCGAGCAGCGGCCCCGAGACGCCGCTTGCGGAACCCGCTGCCCCGGGCGCGGCGCTCTCTCTCAGCCCAAGTGGCATGATCGCGAACGCGTAGAATTGGGAGGCCGATGCGCTCGTTGTGGGCGCTGGTGGTGGTCCTAGTTCTGGCGTGGGGCGCCCTCGCCCAGGATCAGGTGACGGAGCGGGCCCCCGAGCCGCCGAGCGTTGCAGAGGTGACGGGCGGCAATGCGCCGGGCGTGCTGCTCACTGTGCCGGTCGGCCTGCCGAACGGCAGCGACGCGTCGCTCGAGCTGCGGGAAGGCGACACCCTGGACTCGGTCACCGACGGGTTCATCGCCAAGCACGGCCTCAACGAGACGGTCAGGGAGGCGCTGTTCCAGGAAGTGAAAAAGCGGGCCCAGAAACACCGCCTCGTGCCGATGCTCGCGGTTCCGCTGCTCCGCAACGAGAACGAGGTGCGTGCGCTACCTGCGCCGGCGCGGACCGCCTCGTCCGCGGCGCGTGCGAGCAGCGCGGCGCCCCTCATGCGCCTCCTAGTGGTGGCCGCGCGGCCCCCGCACCGCACCCGCCGCGCAAGGGGGGTCTCAGCGCGCCGACCGGGTCCCGAGAGCGTCGACATGCTGTTCGCGGCACGGGACCCGGGAATGGCGGTCCCTCGCGGCGGCGCGCGGCGTGGCTCAGGGCGAGGCCTTTCCGGCCGTGCCGGCGCAGGAACCGTTCGTGACGGTCGAGATCTACTCCGACGACAATCTTCTGGAGAGGACGCGCAAGGTCTGCCAGGACGCCGGCCTGAACGAGACCGAGACGCGCGAGGCCGAGGACATCGTCGTGCGCAAGGCTGCGGCCAACCGGCTCATCCCCATCCTGCGCATCGACGTCGAGATCGACGCCGACAAGACCGCCGTGTTCGAGGTCTACGCGAAGGACAACATCGCCGAGCTCGCGGCGCGCTTCGCGCACGAGCACGGCCTGTCGGAGGAGACGACCCGGCAGCTCGAGGACGCGGCCGTGGTCATGGCCAAGCGCAGGAAGCTGGCGCCGGTGCTCGTCATCCCCGCGGGGATCCAGCCCGCGGACTCGGAGGACCCGCACCGCATCGACATCGAGCTGTACGACGGCGACGACTTCGAGTACGTGGTGCAGAAGCACGCCGAGGCGCTGCAGGTGAGCGCCCGCAGCTTCGCGCACGGGGCCCGCGCGGCCGCGCTTGCCGCGCAGCTAGGCACCGGAGTGCGTGAAACCGCTAGCTGCGCCACCAGGCCGGCCCTCGCTGCGGCGCGCGCCCTTGGCTGCGGGGCGGTTATGTGCTGTTGACGGCGGGATATGTAGATGGAGATGTCGTCCGGAACGAGGCGCGCGTGTCGGTTGCGACCCCGCAGTTGACCGAGGAGGCGACCGAGCGGCTGAAGGACGCCGTGGAGGAGGCGGCGCGGGAGGAGGGTCTGTTGCCGGTGCTGTCGATCCCGGTGGAGGCGAACGGCATGCCTCTGGCGCTGCACGTCATGCGCGGCGACACGCCCCTGGAGTCGGTGGACCGTTTTCTGACGGAGATCGGCGTGGACCGCTCGACGCTGTCGATCGAGGACAAGCAGCCGCTCGCGGACCAGGTGCGGGAGGCGGCGGTGCGCGAGCGGCTGTGGCCCGCGCTGTCGCTGGAGGTGGACGTGGAGACGCCCGACGCGGGGGAGCCGACGCGCAAGATCCTGAGGATGTTCCACGGGGACGACGTCGAGGCCGTCGTGGGGGAGTTTGCGGCGCAGCACGCGCTCACGGAGGAGGGCCGCAGGCAGCTGCTGGCCGAGGTCCGGGAACGGGGCAAGGCGCGCGGCATCGAGCCCGTGATGAAGCTCCCCGTGCAGCTCCCGGACGGCAACCGCGTGGACTTCAAGCTGTTCCACGGTGCGCCGCATCACCACGCACACGCGCGCGCTTTCGCCGCTGGTTCGAAGCCTTGCGTCTCGGGTCCCGCGGCGGCGCGCGTGCCGGCGATTCGTGCGGTGTTTCGCGACGCGTGGCGCCGGTGTGGATGTGCGTGCAGGCGAGAACGTCACGGACGCGGTGCTGCGGTTCTCGGAGGGCCACGGCGTGGGCAAGTACTCGGCGCAGCTGGGCGAGCGGGTCATGGCGCAGGCGCGCAACAAGCGGCTCCTCCCGGACCTCAACATGCAGATCCGCATCGGGAACCGCGAGAAGCCGCTGCGGATCTTCCACGGCGACGACGTCAACGCGGTGATCGACGACTTCCTCGTCCAGCACAGCCTCGCCGGCGAGCAGGCGGAGGCTGTCCGCGACGGCGTCCTGCGGCACGCCAGGGCGCAGGGAATCATCCCGAGCCTCACCATCGAGTTCATGGCGCGGCGGCACGGCGCCCCGGACCCCGCGCGCGTGCAGTTCGAGCTGTTCGAGGGCGAGGCGGTCCGCGAGGCCGCGGAGCGCATGATCCAGGAGAACGGCCTGGACGTTCACATCGACGAAGTCCTCAAGCTCGTGCACCAGGAGAAGCGCAAGAAGGAGGCGGGCCCGGACGGGGCGCGCAACGCAGACAGCCAGGCGGCCCCGCGAGACGCGGACGCCGCGGTCCGCGAGGAGCTCTGAGCACGCCGAGGGGCCTTGCGCCCTGTGCAGACCGGGGGCTTCGCGAGCCGTGGCGCTGCTGCTCTGGTGCGCTGGACGCGGGCGGGGACGTGAGGCCGTGGGCCGGGGGACTTGGCGGCCGCACTGGTGTGCGGGCGGGGACCTGAGCGGTGGGGCTGGACGGAGATCGACGACCTTGTGATGCGCACGTGAGGGGGGGGGTCAAAGCAGCCTCCTGCGCGCGCGCGTATTGTGGCCTCTGGGGGACAGAGTCGTGCGGAGCTGCGATCGTCTGCGCTGGCACGGAGGGGGGACTGTTTCCTGAGTCTCACTTGTCGACGTACGAACTGAGTGCTGGACGAACGCCTTCTGCCGCTGAAGAGGCCTTGTTCCAGTCCCGAACGGTTAGTTCATGTATCCAGCTGTGCTTTTTTAACGCGGAGTCGGTCGGCGAAGGTTCCAGGAGATGTCGCCGGGCCGCACTTGTTGCGGCGCTAGTGCTCCGCGGCTGTGCTGCCCGCGGTCGTGGAGGCCACCGCTCCCTTCTCGCTCGAGAGGACTGCTGACGTACACGCGTGGCACCACATTCGCTTCTCCGTGCACGCGCCGACGGACGTGCAAGCCTGCCCCAAGGGCTGCGCCCGAGGGTGGAGAGGGCTCTGATGGACGGAGGGACGTCAGCTGGACGGACGGCGGTCCAGTGGACTACTACACGAAGCAGAAGAAGCGTATCGTCGACCCGATGGTGCGACAGATCAACCATCGCGTGCCCTGCGAGCGCAAAGACACACATACTTGCCCCGTCACTTGCGCATGGACGAGTCCCAGCTCCTCGACCCCAGCGTATCGACATCGTTCATAAGTGAGCACCACGTCATGGGTGCAGCACGGCCTAACAGCGCACCCGTGAGCCGCAATCGCCCCCTCCCCTGCTCGCCTTCACAGGGCCACCTCCTGTACGACGACACGACGGAGGCCGAACTCTACATGTGGAACACGGACACCAAGTCCCGCCTCGCGCTCCAGGTCGTCGCGCGCGAGTCCGGCCTGCCCGTCGAGGAGCTCGCAAAGCGCGTTGCCCGGTTGCGCCAGCTGCTGCCCGACTTGAGCGACGGCGCGGTCAAGGGCATGAAGCCAGCGACGCTCGCGCGCCTCGCACGCAACGTCGACGACATCGCCGAGCGCGTGCTGATGCTCAAGGCGGCCATGCCGGAGGTGAACGTGTCGAAGGTGGCGTGCGGGTACCCTCCAGTGCTCTCAATGGCGCCAGCGGAGGTGTCGGACAGGTACGGGCCCACGACGGATTCGTTTTCCACACGCAGGGCGATTCGTTGGCGGCCAGGAAATGCACGCCGATCGTGCGACCGCCGATGCGCAGGTGGACGCGCGTGCGGGAGCTGTTGTCGGGCGCGTCGGACCACGGCCTGCTGCGCATCCTCCACGAGTGCCCGGACGTGCTCGACACCGACATGCTGGAAGGCGCGATGGCGGAGCTCGGCACCATGATGGGCGACGCCGCGATCCCGGCGCTCGAATCGAACCCCCGGCTGCTGTATGCCGCAGAGCCTCTGGATCACATCCGCAACGACTTCGAGGATGTGGCGGCGGCGCTTTGGACGCCGCCGGGCGGCAGCGCGGAGGAGGCTGTTGCGGAGGCGGCGGGCGAGGAGTGAGCGGTGGCGGAGGTATCGCAGCTGGTGCGAAGCAGCGCCGGCGTCGCAGTCGCACGTGCGCGCTTGATGTGCGCTCGCGGGGCCATGTGAGGACGCGCGGGGCCATGTGAGGACTAGAAAGCAAAGATAATTATAATTATAATTTATGACATGTTCGATCAAGTGTCCCACGATACAGGGCCTGTGCCGGGAGCTCAGTCGAAACTGGGCTGGTCCGGCAGGCTGTCCGTGAGATCGATCGCCTGCGCCTCTCGCGCCCCGCCAGGCCCCGCCGGCGTCACCGGTGAGTCCTCCACGATCAGCTGGCGCCGTGCCTTCCGCGGACTCGGCCGGCCCACCGCCCGCTCCCCCTGCATCCGCGGCGTGGCCTTCTTTCCGCTTCCGCCCGCCCCGCCGGGCACCGGCGACGTCCCCTGCGTACACCCGCCACCAGCGCCCCGCGGCGTGACGATCACCTGGACATCGTCGTCCGAGGACCCGCCGTCCTGCGACGCCCTGCGCGACCCCTGCCGCCGCTTAGACGGCGTCAGCGGCAGCGCGTCGGCCTCCCCGTCGCCGTCGCTCGGTGCTGCGTTCGGCTCTTGTGTCCGCGCGACAGGCACGTTCATGCCCGAGATCTCCGCGTGCAGCTGCATCAGCCTGCGCTGCATCGGGCTTTGCGCGCTCGCTGGCCTCGCGGGGGGGACGCCCTGTGCCGGGGCCGCCGCGGCGCCGGCCCGCGCCAACGACAATCCTCCGGGGCGCGGTGGGGGCTTGGCCTGTGCGGCGACCTGCGGGTTCCTCCGGAGAATGAACCCGTCCAGCGTTGCCTGCTTGCCGCCCTTGGGACGCTGTTTGTCCTCGGCGCTCAAGCAGCGCTCGAGGGCCTCGGGACAGGCCCGTTGTAGCGCAAAGATGCGCGTCTCCTGCACTGGCTGCCGCTTGACGTACTCCGCGAAATCCTGTCGCGTCATACCCTTGACGTGCGTGCCCATGCGGACGTCCCACTCGACGATGAAACGCCACACGAGCTCCTTGTGGTGTTCCGGCAGCGCTGCGAGCTTGCGCACTTTCAGCCCGCGGAACACGGGCCTGACGACGCACTTCGGCTCGAACCGGACGCGCAGGTCCTCGGGCTGTTCCTCGACGTCGGGATGGAGGCCCACCGGGGGTGTATTTCCGACTCCCCCTCGCCGCAGCGCCAGCAGCCGCAGCGAGAACTCCGCGCAGATCCCCGCACACCACTGCAGCACCACGTCGCCCTGCGCGGACGCGACCTTCCTCAGCAGAGCCTGCATTCGCTGCACCGACGGCTCGCGGTACCAGCACAGCCTGCCGCGCGCGTCGAGCAGCAGCGTCCCCGCGGCCTTTGCCTCGTCGATCGCCTGCCCCGCGAGCCTCTGCTGCTCCCGATACACCGCGGCGCTGGCCTCCATCGCGTGCACGTGCGTCAGCCCGCCGGCAGCGGCGTCGCAGACCACGTGGTATAGGTTGCGGTCCGGCTCCCGCCGATGCCATGTGCACTCGCACTCCGAACGTGCGTGCTGGCGGTCCGCGCAGCCCTTGCCGCGCGGAATCACGAGCCCCGCGCGCACGCAGTGGTCGCACCGGTGCTTCGTGCTGTGCCGCGGCCCGCGCGGCCCGCACGCCCGCTCGCTCGTCTCGTGCCCGCAGCGCGAGCAGCCCGTGCACGTCACCAGCTGCGCCACCTGCAGAGCCCACTCCCGCCACGCCTGCCCACCCCGCACCCCGCTGCCGTGCTTGTCGCCCCGCTTGATGCAGTTCACTTCCCGGATCAGCGTCATCAAGTCATCGACCAGACCTTCGTCTTCTACCTTGTAAACACCCCCCTCCTCCGCTCCACCGCGCTCCTCGGGTGCGTTGATATGTTTGCGGATCGCGGCGAGGTGCGAGATCGCCCGCAGCGCGGACTTCTCGCCGACGCCGTGCACGCCCTTCATGTTGTCGTAGTCCGTCCCGGTGAGCAGCGAGAACGCCATCGCGGCCTCGCTGCCGCCGGACACGAGCCCGAACACCTGGCGGATCTCGCGCAGCCCGAAGTACTGCAGCATGACTTCGCGGTTCTTCACTTTTGCCGACGACGCGTCAAACATGAAGTCGGACTTGCGATACACGCGCGGGGCGCCATGCAGGAGCGCGTCGGCGTCCGGACTCGCGACAGCGTCCACGAAGCCGCGCTTGCACAGCGCCGCGCATGTCGCCTCCGCCTCGCCACGGGCCCTGCACACCGACGACGGTGTGGGGACTGATGGTCAATCGCGAGCACGTCGACAGCCGCGACGATCGAACCCCGCATGCGCAAGGAGGGTGGTCGCGCAGGCGCGGTGTGAGATTGCGCTGGGCCGCCGCTGGGTCGGGAGTCGTGTGCAATCAGGCCCGTACAAGTGGGTGGCTTCGTCAGGTCAGACTGACCTGATCACGGGGAGTCCGAGGGCCTCGAAGAGGTCCGCGATGCGCCTCTGCTTGTCCGCGAAGTTGCTGCGCCCCGCGCGCGCCCCTCCCGCGTTGATCCGCCTCGTTTCCCTCTCCCACGTGTCGCGAGGGATGACGGGAAGGCCCCGTGCCTCCCGGCGCCGATTCAGCGTCTCGAGCTTCTCCAGCGGCGCCGCTCCCTCGAGCACCGCGACGGGAGTGATGCCGTACCGCAGCCAGTTCGCGACGCGTTGCCGCGCGAGCGTGACGACGCTGGCGGTTGGTTCGCCAGAGTGGCCGCTGGTGTTCACGAACCCAGGATCAGGCCTCTCGGAATGATATACCCATATCGAAGTGTCGATGGCGACGACTTTGCCCTGCGGCTCGAAGAGCGGGCGCAGCACAGTCAGGGCGCTGCGACGCGAGGGCAAGTCCTGGTGTGAGCGTCTCAGCAGGGCAACCTACGTCTAGCTCCTTCGCTGCCCTGAGTTCTTCCTCGACCTCCCCATGGTGGAACGTCGTGTTACTACTGTACTCTTCGAGGCAGGCCCAAAGGCCGACCACGCCCATCGCTGAGCGGAACTGCTCGGGAGAGCTGACGGGTAACAACACGGACGCCGTCCGGCCGCGAACCAACCGCGTGTGCGTTGTCGGCGACGTCAACGCCCTATCACGTATCAGTCAGTCTCAGAACACAACAAAGCGAGCCCATATATCGCGGAAAAAATCCCTGCGCCCACGTCTCAGCCAGGCCATGCCACTGCGCGCTCCTGGCTCGCCACGGGCGATACAACCGCTGCGGTCTCCCCAAACTCCCTCGTGCGAACACCTTATCGCTTCAAACGTGTCCCACAGCACTCTCCGCGCCCAGCAACGTCGTCCACGCGAACCGTCTATGACGAGGGACCCAACAGTCCCCGAACCCCCCCCCGCCCTCCTCCTCCGTATCCCCGCCGGCGCCAGAGGCCCCTCCAGCCGCCTTCATCGCCCCGCACGCCCCCGCCGCCGTCACCGCTCCGCCCGCATGAGCGCGCGGCCCCCGAGGTGCAGCGCGCACCCGTCAACGCATACTGAAGCGCTCGTCCGCGCCACACGCCGCGCCCACATCACATCAGCGGCGCTCCTCACCCATTGTACGCGGACGACCGCCCCCCGGCCACGTTCGCGACGTTCACGCCCGCACCGACTGCCGCCGTGACCGCCGCAGCTCGCTTCTTGATGGCGCTGCGCGCCTGCTCCATGCCCTCCTCCTCCTCCTCGAACCCCGAGTCGCTCCCCTCCGGCAGCGACCAGTGGTCGCTCCCGCTGTCGTCGACCCCGGCCTTGCCCTTGGCCAGCCGCCCCTGCGCGCCCACGAGCTTGTCCAAGTTGAGGCCGCGGTTGAGCTGCTCCAGCTGCTCGCGCGCCCGCGCCTCGTCGCGCGCAGACACCAGCAGCGCCCCGTACGCGCGGCTGTCGCGCGGACAGTCCTGCGAACAGGCCACGACACAAAAGGAGATGCAGTCTCGCCTGACACTCTCAGCGGCAGACAAAGGCGGCCTGCCTCCGGCGGACGGCGCGCACGACACGCACAGCGACGCACGACTCGCGGAGCGCCGGCGCAGCCGCCGGACCGGCGCATGGGCGCGCAGGATCGACCAGCGCCGGCGTTGCGCGCGAGAGCGCCTCTGCGCCCGCCCGGGCCCCGTCGCACCTGGAGCATGCGCTTGACCTTGGCCTGGATGGCCTCGAGGCACTGTCCGAGGTTCTCGTCCGTCGCGATGGGGACGCGCGGGTGCATGTGCACCGTGTTGCACATCTCGGCCAGGTACGCCAGCCCCGCGCGCATCCCGACCGCGATCTTGGCCTTGGTCTCCGCGCCGCGCCGCGTGTGGTCGAGCTGCTGCTGCGCGTTCATCAGCTCGACCTTGAACTCCTCCATCATGGCCTTCGTCCCCCCCTTGAGTCCCCCCCTCGCGAACTTCAGGTCGTACAGCCCCGCCTGGACCTCCCGCGCGCGGTCCTGCAGGAGCATCAGGTCGTCCTCCGCCTGCTTGATCGACGCACGGACCTGCCGCTCCGTCGCGCTCTGCGTCTGGAACTTTGCGATGACCTCGTCCGGGTCCGCCACGCCCGTGGCCGCCTTGATGCGCCGGAACGCCTCCTCCAGCTCCCCCACCACGCGCTGCGCCTGCATCCGAACCTTGCCCGTCAGCCCGCTCACCACCCCCGCGGCCTTCGACTCCTTCGACGGCGCCTCGATGTTCTTCTTCTGCCGCTCATACATCGTCTGCGTCTTCCGCTGCGCCCGCGACACCTCCGCCTCCAACTGCACACGCACACACGCACACACGCACGCGCGCGCGCACGGCTCGTCAGCCGCTCGGGACCAGCGCCGCGAGCGACGGCAGCGTCGGCGCACTCGCACGCACACGCGCGGCGCACCTGGTCGAGCTTCTCCTGCCGCGTCGCGAGCTGCTCCTCCATGCCCTGCGTCTCCTTGATGAGCTGCTCCCGCAGCGCGACGAGCTCCGCGCGCGCCCCCTCCGTGCCGTGCTGCGCGCGCACCTGGTTCAGGTGCTGCCCCCGCACCTCCCGGTCCATGCTCCGCAGCGTCGCCTGCAGCGCCTCGAGCTGGTTGTCGAACGCCGTCGCCTCCTGCTTCAGCCGCCGCACGATGTGCTCGTACGTCGCGCGGATCGCCTCGGCCTCCGCGCGCTTCATCTCCATCTTGCCGATACTGTTCTCGAGGCGCCGGACCTCGCGCAGCGCCGGGTCGACCGCGCCCTCGGCGCCCAGCATCGCGGTCGCGGCGTCCGCCTGCCGCTGCAGCACGTGGGCGTGGTTCTGCGACGTCGCCAGCTCCCGCGTGAGCTCGCTGCGCTGCTCCAGGAGCTGGTTGTACTTGCGCCGGAGCTCGCTATACAGCGCCTCCATCGAGTCGATCTGCGCGGGGACGGGCGGGCGGCGGAGGGGCGCGGTGGGCGGCGCCGGAGCGGGCGTCGGGCGCGGGCGGGGCGGGGCGCGGGCGGCGACGCACGCACTTTGGCTTCGTCGTCCTCCGTTTCGGCCTTCTGTTTGGCCATGAGCGCGAAGTCTTGGATCTGGCCCCTGAGGCTGTTGCTCTCCTTCTTCAGGCGCTCGATGGTGGCCGCGTTCGCGCGCACCGTGGCCGCGTGCGCCTGCGCGATGCTCTCGCTCGTCGGGGCCGCTGCGCAGCGGGGGGGGAGGCGGAGGGGCCCGCGTTGAACGCCGTCGCTGGTTCGAAGCTGGCCAACTCAGAGCGGGCGCAAGGGACGCGGGTGGCGGCGCCGCGGGTCCGGGCTGGACGGGGGATGCACGCTGGGCTCCACAGGGCCGCTGTGCAGCCGTGGCGGCCCAGATATGCGTCTTTCGCGATGCCCGTCGCAGGATACGCTCGCAAAGAGGCGAAAGAGCGGCACGCACAGCGCGGGGAGCGCCGCGGAACGTCTGCCGGAGCGGTAGAGTGCACGCGATGCAGCCAGCGGGGTTCGAAACGCCCGCGTGCGGGCGTCAGGCGCCTCCGCATCGCTATTTCTGGGTTCTCGAAGCATTCCTCTGGCGCACAGCGTCCCGAGAGGTCGCGAGCGCAGCACCAGGGCGCGGAGAGCCCGCAGTGAGGCTGCTTCCAGCGCACTACGCAGTGTGGCGTCCCTGGGGCCCGTGGCAGGGAGTGGAGCCGCACGCGCGCGCGCACGAACTGGATAAATCAAGGAGAACGCGGAGGTCGGGTTTGGGTTGGTGATGCCGCCGCACGCACCCATCGTTGCCCTGTTATTGTGTTGCACTCAAACTATCTACAGTGCGCTCTTCGCCGGGCGCGAGGCTCCTCTCAATCACGCCCGTGGAGTCGCCAGGCCACTGTGAAGACGTCCCGATGCGCCGGCGGGGCTCCTCGACGCCGAGAGAGCGCCGGAGCGCCGAGCGACGAGGCTGGAAGGCACTCAGGGTGGCCGCGCGGCCTCGAACCGCGTCGCGGTGACCTCAGCGGCGGCGCGGGAGTCGGACGAATTCTCCACGGCCCGAGCATGGCGTCCACGCGGCCGCCACGCCCCCAACGAGCCGCGAAACCGCATCGAATGTATGGCAGACCAGGCCAGCGAATGTCCACCCACCCCCCGTCCTCGCCCGGCACCTCACCGCCCCGCCCGGCCACGCAGCCCCCCACACTCGCGCGCGCGGCCCCGACAGAAGCCTAGCGACCCGCCCTCGAACCCCCTCGTCCGGCAACGGCGTGTGCGCGGCGGCCTCCAAGCCCCCCAGCTGCCTGCACCAACGGCGCGGTCTCCGGTCCTCGCGACCGGCTGCCCGGTGCGTCGCCCCCTAGGGGAGTCTCCCCGCCGCGACGCGCGCGGCGAACAACCAGCCTCGGCGCCCCGGCGCGCCGCCAGCGCACAGAGTCGGTGGGCATGCGCGCGCCCCCACCTGCGCGTGCAAACGTGCGGGGCTGCCGGGCGCCCACGGCGCGCGGTCGCGGCGCGCCGGGGCGCCTGGGCGGTGGGTGCGGGCGGGGGCGCGGCGCGTGGGCGCGAGGGCGCGCGCCGGGCGCTGTTCGCGCGGGCGTGGCCTTGCCCACTGGGGTGCGCTGCTGCGGCCGCGGTGCAGGTTGCCCGAGACCCGGGAGTTGACCTTCGAGGGTCTGCGCGCGTCCAGGGCCGATGTTCAAGAACACGTACCAGTCCGGGTTCTTGTCCATCCTGTACAGCATTGGGAGCAAGCCACTCCAAATCTGGGACAAGCAGGTGCGCTGTGCGGTCCCCCGCGCGCCGTTGCGCCCCCGCGACTCGCGCGAGTCGTATCTGTCCTCTGCGTATCCGGCGCGGCCGCGCGCGAGGCCCGCCGCGCTCGGCCGTGGCCCCGGTGTCGGCATGCACGCGAGCCCCTGCATGCGCGCGCCGCGCCCGGACGTGTTCCGCCCCGCAAGGGCGAAACTCTCGCTTATTGTATTCTCCCGCGCCGCCCCGGGCGCCCGCACCGGGCTCGCCCGCCTCCAGCGCACCGTGCAACCGTCAGAGCATGCCTGGAGACCACGCCCGACCTGCCCGGCCGCTCGCACGCCCTGCTCCGCGCGCGCACGCGCCGTTTCCGCCGCCCCGGCCGCCCACGCATCCCGCCGGCGCCCCCTCGCGGCATCATGGGCGCGCGCGGCCCGCGCTCCGCGCCGGAAGCGCCCCTCAACAGGCTCCCGCGCCCTGTCGACCACCTGCAGGTGCGCAATGGGCACATCAAGCGGATCACGGACCAGGACATCCAGTCGTCTGTGCTGGAGATCATGTCCACTAACGTCAGCACCACGTTCGTGACGTGCCCGGCCGACGAGAAGAAGACTTTGGGTATCAAGCTGCCGTTCCTGGTCATGATTATCAAAAACCTCAAGAAGTACTTCACCTTCGAGGTCCAGGTGCGTGCCCCCCCGCGCACACGCCCCCCTTCCCCGCAGCCGGCCGCCCGCGCCGCGCCGCCAGCCGCCCGCCGTGCCGATCGCGCCCGCCACAGCTGCCGCTGAGCAGCTCGGCACGCCCGCCCCGCCCTGCCCCCGCGCGCGTCCCCGCGCCGCCTGCGCCGACCCCCACAGCCGCAACCCGCCCGCCGCGATCCGAATACGCGCGCCGCGGGGCCGCCCCGCGCCGTGACGCGGCGCGGCAGCAGTCGCTCCCGCGCACCCCCTCCGCGCCGCCCCCGCGCTCCCCCGGCCGACGTCCTCCCCGCTCGCGCGCCCGCTCGCAGGTGCTGGACGACAAGAACATCCGGCGGCGGTTCCGCGCATCGAACTACCAGTCCACGACGCGCGTCAAGCCCTTCATTTGCACCATGCCCATGAAGCTCGACGAGGGGTGGAATCAGATCCAGTTCAACCTGTCGGACTTCACGCGCCGCGCGTACGGCACGAACTACGTCGAGACGCTCCGCGTGCAAATCCACGCCAACTGCCGCATCCGCCGCATCTACTTCTCAGACCGCCTCTACTCCGAAGACGAGCTCCCGCCGGAGTTCAAGCTCTTCCTGCCCATCCAGAAGACGTAGCGGCCGCGGAGCGCGCGGCGGCGGACGGGGGCGCGCAGGGCCCCCGCGCGCGGCGTGGAGGACGCGCTGGGAGGGAGAAGAAAACACCAGAGGGGGCGCCAAGAGCTCCAGTGCGCAGTTCGGATCCGAATGTGTGTGTGACCCCACGTGCAACGCCGGCCTGGCTCCGTGTCTCATGGCGTGCGACGGCGCCGCGCGGGCTGCGGTGGGGGTGGTGTTAGGGCCTCCCCGGCGCGTGATGACATGTCGCGCGAGTGCTCCTAGCACGTTGCCGCCCTGATCAGGACGAGCTCCGCGCCAGGCGACACCGAAGGCGGTATGCGACAGTGAGATAATTCGCGAGACGTGCGCGCGCAGAACGCGCAATCTGGCGTTCGCATGCAGCGGCGCATACTGTCGCATACCGCCTTCGGTGTCGCCTGGCGCGGAGCTCCATGTCCGTGGGTCGAGCTGCCGGTGTGCCGAGAGGTGCTGTGCAGCCGTGGCGGCGAGGCGCGCATGCACGGCCGCGCATCGGCTCCCGCGTTTCGACGTCGCTCGCCCCCGTCCCCGCAGAGATAGAGTTCGCAAGCAAGCCCAGGAAAACCAGTAGTTCAATCGCGGCTCTCGTTGCGTTCGCATCACAGCGTCCCGGCCCTCCGCGGCGTCGGACCGCCCACTCCCGCGCCGCTCACGGCGACACGCCGGGCATCGGGAACCCCTCGGCCAGCTGCTGCACGTCCGCGGCCAGCGCGGCGATGTCCGACCGCGCCGAGGTCTCCACGTACGCGTTGAAGTCCTTCAGCTTCGCGGGCGCGGGCGTCGCGGCCTTGCAGCGCACCGCGATCTCCACGCCGCGGTGCACCAGGTCCGCCACGGCGCGGAAGTCGTCCTCGACAAACCCGCGCGTGGTCAGCGCGGGCGTCCCGATGCGGATGCCGCCGGGCACCATCGCGGACTTGTCGCCCGGGACGGAGTTCTTGTTCAGCGTGATGTGGACCATGTCCATGATCTTCTGCACGCGCGCCCCGTCGATGTTGTGCGACTTGAGGTCGACCAGCACCAGGTGGTTGTCCGTGCCGCCCGACACGACGTCGTAGCCGTGCTGGACGAGGCGGTCCGAGAGCGCGCGGGCGTTCTTGACGACCTGCTCCTGGTACGTCTTGAACTCGGGCTCCATCGCGCGCTTGAGCGCCACGGCCAGGCCCGCGATGGTGTGGTTGTGCGGGCCGCCCTGGAGGCCCGGGAAGACCGCGCCGTTGATGTCCGCCTCGAACTCCTTCTTGTAGAAAATCATGCCGCCGCGGGGGCCCCTGCGGACGCGGAACGCAACGCAAAAGACGCTCTCAGCGATCGTCAACCACTCATGCACCCCGGCGCAGAGAGGCCTCGCACAGCCGGCGACGCAGCGCGCCCGCCACGCCCTACGCTCACGTCGCGGAGCGAGGCCGCCGCAGCCGGGCCGGCCCTGCTGAGGCCTTGAGCGCACGCGCGGGCGGCGGGGACGCACCGGAGCGACTTGTGCGTGGTGGTGGTGACGACGTCGGCGTACTCGAAGGGCGAGTCGACGATGCCCGCGGCGACGAGGCCGGAGATGTGCGCCATGTCGGCCATCAGGATCGCGCCGACCTCGTCGCAGATCTCGCGCATGCGCTTGTAGTCAATGTCGCGCGAGTACGCCGAGGCGCCGGCGATGATCATCTTCGGGCGGAACAGCAGCGCGGACTCGCGCAGCTTGTCGTAGTCGATGCGCCCCGTCGACTCGTCGAGGCGGTACGGGAGGCTCTCGAAGTAGATCGACGTCGCCGACACACGCTTCTTGGGGGTGTAAAAGCCGTGCGTCAGGTGGCCGCCGTGCGGCAGGTCGAGGCCCATGATGCGGTCGTGCGGCTGCAGGAGCGCCGTGTACACCGCGAAGTTCGCCGGCGACCCGGAGAGCACCTGCACGTTGACGCCCCACTCCGCCGGGGCCGCGCGGAAGGCCTGCAGCGCGCGCTGCTGGCACAGCGTCTCGGCCTGGTCGATGAACTCGTTCCCGCCGTAGTACCGCTTGCCCGGGTAGCCCTCGGAGTACTTGTTCGTCATGCACGACCCCACGGCCTCGTTGACGGCGCGGTACGTGAAGTTCTCCGAGGCAATGAGCTCGAGCCCGTGGACCTGGCGCTGCTTCTCCGCGCAGATGATGTTGTACATCTCCGGGTCGATGTCCGCGAGCGTGCCGTCGTCGAACGCTAGCGGCCTGCGGAGAGCGGGCGCGGCCGAGGCGGTGGGCGCGTGGGGCGGTGTCGCGGCGCTGTGGGGGGTGTGTGGGGGAGGGCGGTCAGGAGCGGGGTGGATGGGGATGGTGGGGTGGGGGCAGGGCGGGCTGGGGTGTGTTTGGGCGCAGGCGGCGCGCAGGGTGCGGGAGCGGGCGGCAGCCAGCGCCTGTGTGGCTGGCGGGCGGCGCGTCGCGCGGGCGGCTGTCGCGGGGCTCGTGCCGGCCGCGAAGTGGGAATCTTGGCTCGCAACGATCAGGAGGGGACCGTCGCGCGGCGGCCCGTGCGGCGGGGGCCGCGGGGAGGCCGCTGCGGGCGGAGGCGGGCTGCGGACAGCGCCGGTGCGGGCCACGGCGCGAAACGCGCTGCCTGGGCGCCCTGACGGGGCGAAACTGGGCGCCTCCGGCGTGTATGGGAGTGATCCTGCCAGGAGGCATTCGCGGGGCGCAGCTGGAGGCGTGGGCGCCCCTGTCACGGCGCTGAAATGACGGGCGGCCGCAGGTGGTTGTGCTGCGGCCGGCTGCGCGGTCTGCGACCACGGTTTCGCCCAATCTGGTGGCCCCTTGAGCTGCGGTGCGTGTGATGTTGCTGTCATGGGGCGCGGGGCGCTCGTGAGCGGCGCAGGGGTCCGTCGGAGCGCGGGCAGGAGCTCGAGGGTCGGGGACAGGGCGCGTACTTGTCCGTCTTGCGCTCCGCGGCGACATTCCTACGGACCATGCGGCGCCCAGCCACAAAACGTGCCCGCTGGGCCGGCGCGCTGGCCAGCGCCCTGTTCGGCAGAGCCGTGCGGGCGATCATGTTGCTCAGTCCCGACCACCACCTAGCACCGGTCACCTCAGGTAGACAACCTCCGAAACGGATAGGCACAAACACGACTCCGCGATCCGCGGTCGCGCGACGCCCATTGACGCGCGGACGAGGACGGGCGGCCCAGGTTATACCCCTCGAGCTGCCGCAGCCCCCCCCCCCGCGCACAACGCATCGGAGCACCCCGGAGCGGCGCGACCGTCGCATGCCGGCATGCAACGCAGCCGCTCGCGCCCGCCCACCAGGTCAAGCCTCCGACCAGGACGACCCACACTCTTTCGAGATGTCAACGCAGGAGTGGCACCTGATACACTGCGCCAGCAACCAACCAGGGGATTGGCGGGCCACGTGTGCGAGCCCGCGAGTGCCCGCGTCGCTCGGAGCACGTTCACAGCTGCACGTGCAACAACACCCCCCTACTCTGCGAACCCTACTGTGCGCCCCTCCTTCTTTCCCGTCGCGGGCCGCGGGGAGCTGACGCGTCGCTGGTCCGACAGCGGCCGTCCGCTGCCGCTCGGGTCCTCCTCCTCGGGCGGCGGGCTCGGGGAGTTCTGCAGCGACAGCGGGGGTAGAGCGCACTTGACGGCGCAAGAGCAGGCGCTCCGCACCGCACGCAAGCGGCAGCGGGACAGCCAAAGCATCGGTGCGCTCGCCCGTGCCGCACCTGTGGCAGCACCGGCCGCGCGGAGGCCGGCAGCTCCTGACTCAGTTCCGCCCCCGCCGTGCCGACGACCATGCGCGCCACCGCGCTGCCTCCCGCGCCCCCGAGCGCCACGGACGGCCGCCCGCCGGCCGGGACCGTCGTCGCTGCGCGCGACACGGCCTCGTGCACGGCGTGGTCGGAGGTCCCGCCGAGCTCCTTGCGCAGCCACTCGAGCTCCTGCAACTCGCTGATGTTGGCGCCCGCGACCTCCCGCGACTTCTTCGACGCGGAGACGACCGCGAGCGGCTCCATGCCGATGTCGACGGCCGTCCGCGCCACGTGGCGGTCGGTGTTGACCCCGCGCCCGACGTGCGTGCGGCGGAGCAGGCCGGAGATGAGGCCCGAGGTGGCGACGTACGAGTCCTGGAGCCCCGACGGCCGCGGGCGGTCGTAGAGCGAGGCGATCATGTCCGTCGTGAGCTCGGACTGGTCGACCGAGTGCCGCATCTCGTACAGGCGGCGCACCGACAGCTCGTCCACGAGCGAGGGCCCGCGGGCCTTGCGCACCGAGAGGTTGAAGAACCCCGTGCGGAAGATGCGGCCGAGCTCCGTCTCGATGGTCGTCCCGAGGTTCTGGATGAAGCTGAAGCAGAACTCGATCACGCGCCGCAGGAACTCGTACAGCGTCTCGAAGAACACGCGGTCCTTGTGCAGGGACGAGAACGACGAGTGCTGCGGGCGGGGGACGCGCGGCGGGGGCCGTGGGCGCGCGTGCGGCCGGACACACGCAGGCGCTGCGCGCCGTCGCCATCGTGCGTGCGGGGTGGCGCTGGGGCCGTGCCTGGAGGAGGATGCGCGCGTAGAGCGGTCCGATGCAGCGCAGGTTCTCGAGCATCTCGGCCTTGAACGCCTCCTGGCCGCGCCCGCCCACCGCCTGCCGCGCGGTGTCGATCTTGCTCCATTCATTCATCGTCTTTGCTTTCACCGATATCTGCTCGAACCCCTGCAACCACGCACACCGCGCGGCCGCCCCGGTCTCCTCTACATACCGCACCATCACGGCGCCCGAGAGGCACCGCGGCGGGAGCGGCGCGACCGCGCGCCTGCGGTGGCCATGACGCAGTGCGGCGTGGGCGCTCCCGGCGCACCTGCCACTGCACGCGCGTGATGAAGTAGAGGATGAGCTGCCGGAGGAGCTCGTCGGTGTGCTCGGAGCGACAGAAGCGGCGGAACTTGGCCGTCGGCTGCGTGCCGAGGTCCTCCAGGGCCTGCTCTTTGACCATCTCGAGGTCGAACTTGATGTCGTTGCCCTGCCGCGTGACGCCGAGGGTGGCCGGGTTGGCGAAGCCCGCCATGGACTTGCGCCTGTGGTGCGGGTGCGCCATGGTGCCCGGCCGCAGCGCGCGGTCTGCGGACACGAGGGACGAGGTCGTGGGAGTCGGGCGAAGTGTATCTGCCGGCGAACGCGCTGCGGTGGAGATAGGACCTGCCTAACAAGCGGCCGACGCGCGTCCCCCGCTGGTGACGCGGACGTTCGCGCGCCTCGGCGCGATCTTCCGGCGGAATCACGCCTTGTGCGCTGCTCTCAGCGCGTCGCGCGCCCGGCACGCCGCACGGTCGAGGCTGGCGAGAGCTATGAGGAGCATGCATGGCTTGCACGGCGCGCTCGGCTCACCTCAAGGCCTATCTCAGCTCCCTGGAATCTTCAGCCACTATGTGTTCCCCAGCTAGGCGCGACGCGGTGCTCGAGACGCCGCGCGTTCGCGGCAGTGCAAGGTGCAGCTGCTGCTGGCCTGACCGACAGCCGGCGCTGCAGCGCGGCCTATGTGGTTCGAACCGACGAAATCCGAGACCACCTACGTCGTAGGACTGCCGCTTGAGCTATCCGAGACGCCGTGCGGCGCTTCAGGCCCGGCAAACAGCGGCAGACATGCCAGCTTACTGCCACCAGTACAGCCGTCCACGCGCGGTCCGTCCGACGAAATCGACGCCTTTGTGTCCGAAAACGGTCCCACTTCGCAATCCCGCCGCGGAAATCGGACGCGCAGGTCGCAGGACCGCCCCAAGAGCTCCCGGGCACCGGCGTGGCTGACTCACGCACACCTGTGCTGTCATACCGCTGACGGCGGGCGGCGTGCGGCGCGCAAGCCCGCGACGGAACAGCGCGCCCGACGCAGCGGCCGCGGCCCGTCCCGGCGAGACGCGCCCGTCGGCATCCCGGCGCGCAAAACGTCATGCACATGGGAGGGGTGACGTGCGTGATTTCGCGCCCCGGTCCGTGACGCCAGGATGCGCGCCGCGGCGCCCGCTGGGGGCCGACCGCTGGCGGCGTCTCGGCGCGCGAAGGTCCCATTGAATGGGGGGTGGTGGCGGTGTGGTCTGACATGGGGCTGCTGCTCCCCCCCCAGGCGTCGCGGGGGCGCCGCTTGATCGGCAGGGCGCGCGGGCGTGCGGCGAGAGGCCGTCTGTTGGAAGGACACGGCGTGTTGTTGGCCTGCGCGGCACCTGAGGCCGACCACTCTGCATCGATGCCACCGCCAGCTGGCGACGCGGGCGAGCTGCAGCGATGAGGCGCGGGGCCCCTGCGCCGAGCCTGGCGTCTCCCCGGCTTCGGACTCTCCCGCCCTCGGCCTTTCCTGGAAGCCCCGCCGCACGGGGGCTGCGGTGCGGCGCGCCCTGGCTCCGCGCGCGCGCTGCTCCCGCCACGAACATGCCGCGAGCGCCCATGAACGGCGCTGGCTTGCACCCCGCGCGCATGGATCCGAACTGGGGAGCACCGCAGCGCCGGGCAGGGGCGGCGGAAGCGGCTGTGGCGGGCAAGCTGCCCTGGAAGGAGCCAGGCACCGGCCGAGTCGAAAAGCTGGTGGCTCTGCTTGGGGAGAATCCGGGGACGACCGCGGCACTCGTCGCTGGCGTGATTGTCTTCGGCGTGCTGAACCGCGTTTCGTACAGGTACGCCGCGCGGATCCGCGGCTCGCGTCGGAACCCTCCAACACCACGCACCGCCCGCGCTGCTGCCCGCCGCCGCGCCCGTTCCCCGCAACAGCACCGTCGCTGCGGCACATTCCGCTCGCATACCTTACGAGCCCGACGCGGATCCCAATCGCTCGCGCCGCAGGGTCGCGCTGGTGCCCATGGGCGACTACGTCTTCTTCGTGGGGCAAATGTGCACCCTTGCGTACGTCGTCGTGTACTCCGCGATCCTCGCCGTCCGCACCCGCGCCGGCATCGTCACGCCCGCCATGCTGGCGTACCCGCGCAGGACGCTCTGGGCGATCGGCGCGATCGACTCGGTCGGGCTCGTGCTCGGCCTCATCGGCGCCTCGTCCCTCCCCGGGATCGTCCTGCCCATGATCGGCCAAACGATCCTGGTCTGGCAGGTCCTCTTGACCCCCCCCCTCCTCGGCCGCGAGCTCCACCCGCTGCAGCTCCTCGGCGTCGCGTTCGTCGTCAGCGGCGTCATCACCGCCGCGTGGCCCAACCCGGACGCCCTCGCGGCCTCCGCGGTGAGCAACATCGACCTGCGCGCCGCCGCCATCTTCGCCGCGTCGATGCTGCCCCCCGCGGTGTCGTCGATCCTCAAGGAACGATACTTCCTCGAGTCCGAGAAGGCCATCGGACAGAAGATCGACGTGTCCGTCGTCAACACCTTCGGCAGCATCGCGCAGGCCGTCGCCGTCGTGCTCTTGCTGCCGTGGATCACACACATGCGCGGGATTTCGCTGGCGCGGCTGCCAGAGTACCTCGCGTCCGGCGCCGCGTGCCTCGTCGGCCAGGCGCCCGCGCACCTCCGCGGCAGGGCTGCGCTGGCGGCGGCGGCCAAGTGCGCGCCCGCGGCGGTCGCGACGGCCACGTACGTCGCGTGCAACCTGTGCTTCAACCTCAGCATTCTGGGGCTCCTGCGGTGCGCTCCCTCGCCGCCGCGCGTCGCCTGCGAGTGCGCCGCCCGCATCGCGCGCCGCACGCACGGACCGGCGCCGCCCCCCCCGCGCGTGCAGGAACTCGGGCGCGCTCATCGCGTCCCTTTGCATGGCGTGCGTGCTCCCGCTGACGATGATCGCCTTCTCGTTCGACGTCCCGCTGCTGGGCCCGACCGGCGCCGTCGGCCCGACGTTCGTCGCCGGCGCCGGCACGCTCCTCGCCGGCGTCGTCACCTACAACATCCCGAAGTGGCGCTCCCTGCTGTCGCCGCTGCGCGCCCCGAACCGGCGCCTCGGCAAGGGCGGCTGCGGGAGCGGCCGCGAGGTCGTCCTGCAGGCCTTCAACTGGGAGTCGTGCAACACCGGCGGCACGTGGTACAACACCGTCAGGGAAAAGATCCCCGAGATCGCCGCGCTGGGCGTCACCGCGGTGTGGCTCCCGCCGCCCACGGAGAGCGTGTCGCCGCAGGGGTACCTCCCGCGGGACCTGTACGTCCTCGACAGCGCGTACGGCACCGAGAAGGAGCTGCGCGCGCTGCTGCGCGACCTCCGCCGACGCGGCATCGCCCCCATCGCCGACGTGGTGATCAACCACCGCTGCGCGCACCGGCAGGACGAGCACGGCGTGTGGAACACGTACGGCGGCCGCATCCCGTGGGGCCCCGAGCAGATATGCAGCAACAACCAGCGGTGGCGCGGGTCCGGCGCACCCAAGGCGCAGCCGGACTACGAGGCGGCGCCCAACATCGACCACTCGCAGGAGCGCGTGCGGAAGGACCTGCGGGAGTGGCTGCTGCACATGCGCGCGGTGGGGTTCGACGGGTGGCGGTTCGACTTCGCCAAGGGGTTCGCGGGGGAGTACACGGAGGAGTATTGCCGGGCCACGCTGCCCGTGATGGCGTTCGGGGAGCACTGGGACGACATGGCGTACACGGGGTCGGACCCGCACTACGACCAGGACGCGCACAGACAGGTGCGCGCGCCGCTCGGGGGCGGAGCACGCGCGGCACGCTTCGCCTGCTCCCCTCGTGTGTTCGTTTGGCCCACTGCGTGTTGTCGCGCGGCGAGTGTGCAGAAATCCGAGGACTGGTGTGCGTCGACGGGGTACTGGTCGTCGGCGTTCGACTTCACGACGAAGGGCGTGCTGCAGGAGGCGATCAACCGGAGCCAGTACTGGCGCCTGAGGGACGTGCATGGCAGGCCCCCGGGGCTCCTCGGCCTGGCGCCCCGCAGCGCGATCACGTTCATCGACAACCACGACACGGGCTCCACGCTGCAGCACTGGCCGTTCCCGTGGCAGGAGGTCCTCCAGGGCTATGCCTACACTCTGACGCACCCGGGCACGCCGTGCGTGTTCTGGGACCACCTGTACGAGTCGCCCGTCGAGTACCGGAAGGCGATCCAGGACCTGCTCCGCATCCGCAAGAGCAACGACATTCACGTGAGCACCACACGCACGCAACGCCCGCGCCGCGTCCCTGCGCCGTCATGATCGCGGGGGCGGGGCGGCTTGCCCCGCGGCCGCTTTGCGTGCGCGTGTTCGGTCGACGGACGGTCGTGCATGTGTCGCGCGTGCTGCGCAGGCGTCGTCCGAGGTGCGGATCCTCGAGGCGGACCACCACGTGTACGCCGCGTGCGCCGACGGCCGCGTGGTGGTCAAGATCGGGCACGGGTCGTGGAGCCCCAACGCAGCGGAAGTCAAGGGCGGACCCTGGAGCGTCGCGTGCTCTGGACACAACTTCGCGGTCTGGGAGCGCGCCCGCTGATCCGCGACTGCCAGTTTTGGCCACAGAATCTACAGTCTGACAGAACCCGCCCCCCCCCCCGCGCGCAAAGGGTTGTCTCCGGAAATGCGCGACAACGACGTGTGAAGCCACGGAGCCGTGCAGCGGACCCGTGTCACACGTCATCGCAGCCCCCGTGGTCGATCGCGGGGCGGCTGCACGCGTCGCGCGGGGCCACTCGCTCAGCGGGCGGTGCGTGCAGGGGCCGCCGGCGACCGTCACGCGCCGCGCCCGCTCTTCCAGACGATGCCGCCGAAGTACTGCAGCGCGCCGAGGCCGCGCACCTCCAGGTCGACCATGGGCGCCTCGATGCGCTGCAGCTTGCTCAGCTCCGGGTCCCCCCGGAACACCCCCAGCGCGTGCGCCTGGTCCTTGATGCGCATGTTCAGGAACTTGTCCGTCGCGGACAGCGGCACCTGCTGGTTGACCACCACGCGCCGCACCGGCACGCCCTCCGCCTTGAGCGCCGTCGCCAGCCGCGCGCTCTCCGCCGCCGCCATCTCCGTCGGGATCGCGACGATCACGAACTCCGTCCGCTTGGGGTCCCGGAACAGCGCCCGCGCCTCCTCCATGCGCGCCCGCAGCGTCTCCAGCTTCTCCAGCGCCCCCTCGACCTCCCGCCGCGCCGTCTGCTGCCCGTCGCCGTTGCCCCCCCCGCCCAGCACGCCGCCCAGCACGCCCCCGAGCCCGCCGACCGCGTCGAGAATCCTCTTCCGCAGCGTCAGGATCTTCCCCACCGACTTGTCCAGGAAGTCCGGGAACGACAGCAGCCGCAGCGTGTGGCCCGTCGGCGCCGTGTCGAACACCACGCGCTTGAAGTGCGCGTAGTCGGGGCTCCGGAGCAGCGCGACGACCTTGGAGATCGCCACCGCCTCGTCGACGCCCGGCGGGGCCGTCTCGAGCAGCTCCGACAGGTTCAGGTCCTTCAGCTGCTCCCCGAGGCCCCCCAGGCCCATGTTGGACAGGAAGCGGGAGAAGGAGCCCTCCTTCCCGATGGCCTTGAGCTCCTCGCGCGCCGCCGCCACGTCGATCTCCATCCCGTACAGCGGGATGTCGCCCATCGGCGAGTCCACGCGCACCGGCTTGCCGCCCGACACGTCCTGCACGCGCGCGCGCCGCAACGCCGACCCTGTTCGCGGCCGGAGCGGAGCGCAGACGCGCGCGGCCGTCCGCGGCGGCGTGCAGAGGCGGTGGCGCGGGCCTGCGGGGCCTTACCTGGTCGAGGGAGTCGGAGAGGGAGTGCGCGGGGTCCGTCGAGACGATCAGGGTCGGGAGGCCGTCCGCGGCCATCTTCGCGCCGAGCGACGCGGCCATGCTCGTCTTCCCCACGCCGCCCTTGCCCCCGAACATGAAGAACCGCCGCCCGTCGGTCAGCTCCGAGGACAGCGCGGTCTCGTCGCCGCTCTCGGCGTCCGACACGTCCGACTCGGTGTACCCGTTGTCCGGCGTCCACACGAGCGACGACAGGTACATCAGCGCCGGGATGCCGCGCACTTCCACGTCCATTAGGTCCACGTCGATGCGCTGCAGGGCCGCGAGCGCCGGGTCCGTCTCGAACCGCTTCATCGCGCGCTTCTGGTCCCCGAGCCGCTGCTTCAGGAACGCGCCCTGGTTCGTCTCCCCCACGACCTGGTTCACGATGAGCCGCCTGCGTGGACAGTTGAAAAAGGGGGGGGGTGTTTTTCCGCAGTGGCTGCGCACGTCGCGCCCGAAACGCGCCCGAAACACGCCGCGCGTCGGTCCGTGCTTCGCCCGCGTCCGCGGCATCGGCGGCGATCGGCGCCGTCGCGTGGAGAGCAAGGCGCAGGAGTGAGCCGCGTCGCTCCGTGCGCCGTCCGGCATCGCGTCGCGGGGGCCGCTGGTTCCCACCTGCAGGGGATGTTCTCGGCGCGCAGCTCCTTGAGCAGCCGGCGCGACTCGTTCGCCGCCATGAGGGTGGGCACCGTGGCGATGACGAACTCTGAGAGGTCGGCGTTCCGGAACAGGTCCCGCACGACGAGCACGCGGCGCTGGAGCTCCTCGAGCTTCTGCACCGCCTCGTCGGACTGCCGCTCCTGCCCGAAGATCGCCCGCACGGCGCCGGACGCCTGCGCGAGCCGCTTGCGCAGGCGGATGATCTTCCCGAGGGACTTGTCGACGAAGTCCGGGAGCGAGAGGAGGCGGAGGGTGTGGCCCGTGGGCGCGGTGTCGAAGACGATCCGCGTGAACTTGGCGTACTCCTGCGACTCGACGAACTGGACGACCTTGGCGATGGCGACCGACTCGTCCAGGCCGGGGGGGGGCGTGTCGAGGAGCTCGCTCAGGCGCAGGTCCGTGAGGGACTCCATGAGGCCCTGGAGGCCGACGGAGGACATGAAGTCCCCGATGTTCTCCTTTCCTGCGAGCGGGGGTTGACGTGGCGGTGGTGGTGGTGGTGGTGGGTGTGGTGTGGGTGTCTGGTGCGGGGCGAGGCGGGGCGGCGGCGGCGGCAGGGCTCGGAGCGTGCGCGCGGTGGCGTGCGTTCGGGGTCGCGGGCGCCGCGTCGTGCCGTTGGTGCGTGGGTGGTGGTGCATGGCGCACCTCCTCCGGAAGCGTAGTACTCCTTGAATTCCTGCTTGGCCTGCTCCGGATCGATCTCCATGCCCCAGATGGACAGGTCTGTGCCCTCCAGGGCCACCGGCTGGCCGCCGGAGACGTCCTGCGGTGCGGGCGAGGGGCAACAGCCCGCGTGGGTCCGCGGGCGGTTGCAGTCGCGCCGCGCGCGACGCGCGGTGGCGTTTCCGACGTAGATTCGGCGCGCGCGCGGTGGCCGCGACCTCGTCTCGGCGCCGGTGCATCAGGGGGCGGTGGAGCCCGCCGTCGCGCACCTGGGCGAGGGAGTCGGAGAGGGAGTGGGCAGGGTCGGTTGATACGACGAGCACGACGTGTCCCTCCGCCGCGAGCCGGACGCCCAGCGACGCTGCCATGCTCGTCTTCCCGACGCCGCCCTTGCCCGAGATCATCACGTACCGCCGGTCCATCCCTGCGCGCAGAGAGACGCGGGCGCTCTGCTGTGAGACCGCACGCCGCGCCACGTCGCGGCTGCGCAGCGAGAGCGAGGTCGCGTCCGACGCGCGTGTCGCTTGGGCCGCGACCCCGCCCGCGGCTCGGTCGAAACCCGGCGGGGCACGCAGCTGCACCCCCCCACCCGGTTCCTGCACCTTCCGCAGCAACTCGCACCTTTCGCGATCTCGTCGAACGCCGTGGGCGTCGTCGCGAGCTCCTGCGCGGAGGCTGTCGCCACGACGTCACGCCGCGCGCCCGCCGGCCCGGCCCCGGCCCCGCAGGAGCCCCGCACGCGCCCTCGGGTGCCACCGGCGCCGTGCAGGTACCACGTCGCGCCCGCGCACGGCCGCGCACGCGCCGCCGCGCGTCGCGGCGCGTGCGCGACGGGTCGCGTCGCTGCCGTCCCGGCGTGGGCGCGCATGGCGCCGACCATGCCCGCGGCACGCCACTACGGCCGCAGCACCACGTACGATGTGTGTGCGCGGCAGCTGCGTTGTGGGGTTGCCAGGAAGGAGCAGCGGACGTGGCGAACGGGTTCTGGCGTGCGCGCGGCGCGCGAGCGCCCGGCGTGCTCCGCGCGGGGGGCGGGGCCGACCGACCGACCGACCGTTCAGGCCTCATACTTGCTGGTGTTGTTTGTACCTGGAGGGGTGTCTGTTTGTGATTCGCTGCCCCATCTGCGGGCGTCAGATCGACGTGCGGCTGCGGGCGGCGCCCCGACGAGCTCGTCCGGAGCGGAGTCACATGCGCGGCGTAGAAAAATACACAACAGTAGCAAGATGATTTGATCACGGCGCCCGAACACCTCGCCGGAGGTCGCGGCGCCCGCGGCGCACAGCCTCTCCGCGCGCCCCGCCCAGCGTCTTCCTCAGTACATGAACCTGCCCGTGGTGCCGTCGGGCGCACGGAACGGGCGGTGGACGAACAGGTTCCACGTGGCGGCGTTGACGGCGGCGAACGCGGCGGCGGCGAGCAGCGCGGCCCTCGCCGGCGGCACGCGGAGCTGCACGGCCGTCAGGAGCGTCGGCACGGTGAAGTACCGCGGCTCCAGCAGCCCCGCGGGGACCAGCGCCGCCACCAGACACAGGTAGAACACCCAGCACCACGTGACCGAGGAGGACCCCAGGTGGCGCGGGGGGCGCCTGCGGGGGCGCGCGCGCGCACGTGTGTGTGGGCGCGTCACGTGCGAGGGCTGGCGGCGGCGTCACGTGGGAGGGTTGGGGGGGAACTGTGCGGTGCGGTGCGCACCTGACGACGTGGAGCGCCCAGCCCGCGGCGACGTACGCCGGCACGAGCGCGAACCGCGCGAGCCGGTGCGACAGCACGCGCCGCCAGACGTAGAACGAGTAGTGGCGGTTGTCTGCGAGCAGGTACGGGTGCGCGTAGGTGCCGCGGTGCACGGCGGCGGCCGCGGCGGCGACCGCGAGGGCCGCGATGACGACGTGCCGCGGCTTCGGCCGGCACGTGCGCGGCAGCGCCGCCAGGACGCCCGGCGCGAGCGCTGCGCACGTGAAGAGGGCGGCGTACAGCGGCTGCGCCAGGTGCGCCACGGGGGCGTGCGCGGCGCGGTCGCCGAGCGTCACGCCGCCGTTCGCGGCGACGAACGCGGCGAACGCGGCCGGCACGAGCGCCGGGAACCACACGCCGGCGCGGAGCAGCTCGGGCGCGGCGCGCAGCGCGGAGACGGCGTCGCGCAGGGGCTGCAGCGCGACCGCGAGCGTGGACTCGACGCGGAGGGCGGCCGCGCGCGGCAGCCGCCCGAGGACGAGCTCGGCGAGCGCAAGGCAGAACCACACCGCGTTCGTCTGCCGGTACAGCACCGCGACTGCCCCGAGCAGCCCTGCGCGCGATGGTGCGTGCGTGCGTGATGGTGTGGCGCGCGGGGTGTGCGTCAGGCGCGCGCGGGAGGGGCGGCGGGCGGGGGGGCGCGCACCGGCGGCGAAGGGCGCGCGGCACCGCGCGGCGGCGAACGCGAGGAGGAGCGCGAGGGTCGCGCCGGTGTCGGTGTAGAAGAGCCAGTGGAAGAAGAAGTGCGTCGGGAGGAGCGCGAGGCTCGCGGCGTGCGCCGCGAGCGCCGCGTGCGTCGCGCGGCCCGCGGCCTTGCGCGACTCGAGCCTCACGAGGAAGCACAGGGTGAGGAAGCAGGGCGCGGCGAGCGCGGCGGAGGCCGCGCGCAGGGCGCTGGCGCTGCACGCGTGCCGGAGCGGCGGGCCGAGGTCCAGCGCGCCCGCGAGGCTCGGCGGCGCGGCGCCGCGCGCGAGGGCGGCCGTCGCGGCGAGCGCGTGCGCGGCGGCGTGGCGGGCGACGGCGCGGGCCGCCGCGAGGGGGAGGGCGGCGAGGTAGGTGGCCGGGGGCGTGGTGATCATCGGGTCCCACGTCGCGAGGTCGCCCGCGCAGTAGCGCTGGGCCTGCGGGAACAGGGAGAGGGTGCGTCGTTGCGTCGGGGGTGGGGGCTGCTGCGTCGACGCGCGCGCGGGCTCCGGTGCGCGCGTCACCTGCGGGACGTGGAAGATCTCGTCCATGTAGGGCTCCGGCACCGCGTCGTCGAGCGCGGCCCCCGGCACCGCGGCGAGCAGGGCCACGCCCGTCGCGGCGAGGACCGCGGGCCCGGAGCGCAGCACGCGCGCCGCGTCGCGGTCGAGCCACCTCAGGAGCGACAGCACGAGCGCGGCGACGCATCCCTGCACCAGCAGGTCCGCCAGGAGGTCCGGGGCGCGCGCGCGCATCGGGGCGGTTGCGCGGGACGGTGAGCGCGCCCGGACCGCGCACGCCCGGGGCTCCGGGGCTACGAGGGCGCGCGGGGCGGTGCTCGAGCAGTCGAGCGACCCCGCCGGGGCGACAGCGTCGGCCGGAACGCGCGGAGGCGCCGCGCTGGGGGGGCCGGGCGCTGCGGGAGGCGCTGGTGTCGCGTGGCGGACTCGCGCGGTCCCGCCTCCCAGCCGCGCGGCGTCTCCGGCACGCGGAGAGCGATGCGACGCCCTCGAGGGCCGGCGCGGTTCCGGAGGAAAGGCATCCGGGGGGGGAATGGGGGGGGGTTGGCCCCCTCCACCTCAGAGGTGGGAACTCCCTCCGCGCGGCCCGCGACGCGACCGCGCGATCCGAATACGCGGGGAACAGCGTGGGTCGTCAGGTGACGTCGCATCTGGTAGCAGTTCCTGGCGGTTTTCTCGTCTGTGCGGTCGCGGAAACTCCTGGTGAGCCATCGACGTGGTGCATCATGGATATCTGATGCGACTTGGACGGCAGCCCATGTGCACGGTGAAAGCGACAAACGACGGAGATCCTGCGCCGTAGATTGATGAAATTATGTACACTGCCTGAAAATGCAAAAGTCGTTCACAATGCAATAAAATTCACTGTTGAAATATATACGACTATACCTGCTGAATGGCAGGCCTCCTCTATAGTCTAATCGGCTAGGATACACGGCTCTCACCCGTGAGATCGGGGTTCGATTCCCCGTGGAGGAGCGCGACATTTTGCGCGTCCCTACGCCCCCTGCGCGACGTGCGGCGTCGCCTGGAGCTGCCAGGAGGCAGCTGGGACGTCTGGGCGGGCGGCCCGGGGCCACGCACGCCTTCAGCACCGCTCTGTGCGGTCCGCAGACGCCCCCAGGCGCCCGTTCGCGCCTATTGCGCCTGGTACGGGGGCGCGGAAGCGCTCAGCGGTCGCGGGAGCGATCCCTGGGCGACACCCAGCCCTCCGCTGCGCTCGCGCAAGTCCAGCTGCCCACGTCCCGCCGATGCGCGACGGCCGGAGGGTCCCGCGCCGGCGCTCGCGGCTCGCCGCGGTCCCGTCCCGCCCGCCGACCGCGCCCGCTTCGACGCCGCGCGCGCGCGCCCGCCGCGGCACCGCCACGTGGCTGCCTGCAGCAAACACACACACGCGCGCGCGTCGTGGGCGCGGGACCGCACGACGCGGGGCGACCACCGCCGCGTGCCTCCGCGGTCGCGCGGGCCCGCCGCGGTCCCGTCCAACCCGTGCGGCGGCGGCCGCGCAGAGACACACACACACAGGCGCATGCGCCACACTGTGGTGCTGGGGGGCACGGTGCCCGGTTTCGGACCCGGGGCGCGGCGTCGCCGACATGAGCGGTGTACCTCGCTCGCCCTGCCGCGGCGCGCCGCCCGTTGCGGCACTCCCACGCGGTCACGTTGTCGTCCGAGTGTCCTACCAATGTCGCGGCGCGGGCGCGGGGGCGCGCGAAGGGCCCCGCGGGGCAGCGCGTTCGCGCACATTTCGTCGAAGTCCGCAGAAACGGCGGTCGTGACGCGACGGGGTCGCGGGAAGGCGCGGCGCGACGCTTCCTTGACCTACTGGACGGGCGAGTTGCGCAGGCGGAACGCCTGGCGCGCGCTCGGCGGCGTCTTTGGACGGGCTCGTAGGGACCGTAATTCGGCGTCCTGGGCGCGAAGGGGGGGCGGGATGAGGTCCTCGACGTCGCATCTGGCGGGGGCCCGCACGGGCGGGTGCGAACCCGGCCCACGCGCCGCGCCGCGCAACCATTTACTGCTTTCGGCGCATTTTCGTCCGCTTCAGCATGCATGCGGCGCGGCACGTGCGCGGAGCGCCCCCAGCGGGGCCTGCATTGCCCCTCTGCGGCCGTTGCCTTGCCCCCACCTCCCACGCGACGGTCTCGCCCCGCGGAGCCAAACCCAAGGCAGCGCGGCTGCCCACGCAGCGCCCACAACCGTCCGACCCTCCACGGCGCAGGTGGGGGTCGACCGAGCAGTACGACGCGCGCAAGAGCATGCTCGTGCGGGACCGGGCCCGCGAGCACGACTCCCCGGCCGCGCAGCGCTCGGGGCCGACGCCAGCGGTCGTCCAAGGGGGCGCGAAGGCCGGCAGGCGCGACGCGCCGTCCAAGTCCGGGGTCTCGTGGGTCGACAAGCTCCAGCAGGGCCCGGACCCGCAGCACCGTGGGCCCGCCGCAACGCGGACGGGGGCCAAGCCGTCCCCGCAGGCGGCGCCGCCGCGGTCCGCGGGCTCCGGCACCTCGCCCCCGCTCTCGACCGCGGCCACGCTCGAGGGCGACGAGCTCCACGCGGCCGTCGCGGCCCGCATCGCGGCGCGCATCGCGCACAAGGGCGGCGCCGCGTCGTCGTCGTCGGCCGACGGGACCGCGCCGTTCCGGCGCCCCACGGCCGCGACGGACCACCACCTGCCCGTCATCGCGAGCGGCGTCCGGTACGACACCAGCGACGACGCGAGCGACGCCACCACGTCCGCGCCGCGGCAGCAGCAGCAACCGCCGCCGCCGCACCTGTCGCGCAAGAGCTCGCGCATCAGCGTGCACTTCGGGTCGGGCGCGGAGATCGCGCTGCCGCCGCAGCCGTCCATCGACGCGGTCCTCGCGCGCCCCGCGAGCCGGCTGGCGCGCTCGAGCGCGACCGCTGCCGCCGTGGAGCCCAACGCCTTCCTCCTGGAGGGGCCGCGGAGCCCGCGGAGCCGCCCCCGCTCGCGGCAGGCGAGCGAGCGGGGGCCCGCGGTCGGGTCCGGAGTGAGCTCGCCGGCCGTGGGGCGGCGGCGGCACGCGCGGTCCTCGATAGAGGTGGGGCCCGGGGTGCAGCTGCCGCCGCTGATGACGACGCAGCGGAGCGACGGCGAGCCGCTGCGGGGGCACCGCGCGAGCGCGACGGGCGCGGCGGGGCTCCGGAACAAGCTGCTGAGCGACGCGGCGCGCGCGGGGGGGGTGTTGCGGAAGTCGGACATGGAGCGGGGGGCGCGGTCGTCCCTGGTGGAGTTCTTCAAGAAGATCGGGGGGGGCAACAGGAGGAAGTCGCGGACGGCCGCGGGCGACGCGGAGGACAGCGCGTCGACCCCCGGGCGGCGCGAGAAGCCCACGCCCCCGGCCGACATCGTCGTCGAGCGCGCACAGGCCGAGTACCTCCCGCCCGCGCGCAGCAGCCCCCGCACGACGACGCCGAACGACAGGTCGCACCGCGGCGCCAAGGCGCCCGCCGCGTACGCGCCGCAGAGGCCGCCGGCGATCCAGCTGCGCAAGAGCGTCGGTGTCGACCCTGCGCGCGAGCGCACGTCGGGCGTCGCGGAGCCCAGCTCCGGAGGCGCCGAGGGCGAAGTGTTCCAGCGGTCGCGGACGATCGCCGGCGCGGTGACGGAGGGGCCGGAGGTCGCCCTCGGGGAGGGCATGGGGCGGTACCGGGAGCGCGGCGCCCACTTCCTGGTCGGCTCGCGCGCGCGCGTGCTGCTCGCGGACCTGCAGGGGCTGTCCAAGGTGTGGACGGGCGCGGTGCGCACGACCGCGAGCTCCGACGGGAGCGTCCTGCGGACCGACGTGATCAAGATCGGCACCGGCGCGGACGCGACGACGGGCATGGTGCACCAGGACGTGCTGAGGAACGCGATCGCGGCGCTGGCGGGCAAGGCCGGGAAGAGCGGGCGCGCGGCGCACGCGGGCGACACGGTCACGCTGGCCGACCTGCTGGGCGCCGCCTACCCAGAGGCGACGCCGGTGGAGCTGTCGCTGCTCGTCGCCGAGGCCGTGACGAACTGCGCGGCCGGAGGGCAGTCCCGGCTCGGTGAGCGCGCGCGCCGCGCACCGACCGCCCCCGCATGCCCGCGGCGAGGGGAGTCGCAGCGCACTCATGCAAACACCCCCCCGTGCGTCCCTCGCAGGGCTGGAGCCGGCCGAGTTCACGGCCCTCAGCAAGCTCCTCGTGCAGATGGAGACCCTCAACGGGCGGCCCGGCGGCGGGATCCCCGTCCCGATGATGTCGGCGCTCATCGCGGAGCTCTCGGGAGATCACGCGGACAACATATCCATCACCGAGCAGCGCCTGGGCGCCATCGCACAGCGCAATACGGTGCGTGGCCGCAACCCCCTCCCGCGTCGCCCCGCGCCGCTCGCCCCGCGACCGCGCGCGCACACACCCCGCATGCGCCGTCGTGGCACTGCAGGGCGCTGGAGGCACGCTCGACATGCGCGCGGTGACGCAGTGGTGGAAGTACGTGAACGCGCACGTACAGAGCCCGATTCAGCTCGAGACGGTGGTCGAGCTCGTCGCGCCGAACTCGCAGCTGTGGCGGCGGTGCACGGGCCCCGTCGCGGCCGCGATGCCCGCGCCAAAGCACCTCGCGAAGCGCGGGTCGGTCATCCGGACCCTGTCGGTCACGCAGCTCGAGGCCTAGCGAGGCCGGAGCCGTGAGGCGCAACCGCCCGTCCGCGCAGTGCGATGCTTTTTTGCCTTCACACTTTGTGTTCCCAAAGTGTCCTTTAGCCATCCCCCCCCCCGTTTCACACGATCGTTTGCTTCCCGCGACCAGGGTCTTGCTCGCCGTTCGCCGCTTCGACCCCTCACCTCCCTCGCCGCACCCCGCACCGTCGTCTCCCAGACGCACACGCATGATTCCACTCGCCAGTCCCCCCCCTCCTACCCCCGCCGTCCCCGATGCGTGCTAGCCCTGCAAATCCGCGCGCCCGCGTCCATCGCGAGCGAATTGACAGACTCGGAACGGCATAGCATCATTGTTGTCGCGGCGCCTGCCGGCAGGCGCACACACACCAAATGCTCACGAGAGCACACAGCACAAGCACCGAGAGGCTCGCAACCTTCTCAATCTAGCAGTTTCGCGATGCGTTCCAGCGCGCCGACCGGCACAGGCCCTTCTTGCGCCCTCGCTCCCAACTACACCATGATGTGATGACGATGCGCGCAAGATGTGTGTGCGCCTCCGCCCGCCGACCGGAGATCGCTGCGCCTCTGCCTGGCTCTGGCACGCGGCTGGCGCTGCGCGCGTGCCGGCGCAGGGGAGTCCCCCCGGTGGTAGAAGTGTCCCCGGCGCCCGCTGTCGCCTCGTGGGGAGGTCGCGGAACGCTTGCGCCGCACCTTCCCGTTGAGCTCGGCTGGACGGAGGATTCTTCGGATTCGGTTTCGGGGAGGACACCATGGCGAGCCAGCTGACCGCCTCGTGCTCGTTCGTCTCGGCGTGCCCCGCGCGCACGGCGCGGCATGCCGCCCCGGCCCCGCTGGCCGTGAGGCAGACGGTTGGTAGGCCGCAGGTCGCCGCGCGCGTGGCCGTGGAGAAGCTCGGGCGCGACACGGTGCGCCTCCCAACACCCTCGCAACCATGCCCCTCCCCGAAGCCGTCCCTGCGCCAGCGCGCAGCGCACGGGCCGCCAAACGCGCCGTTTTCGCACGAGCGATCGACGCCCCCCCGCGCAACGCGGCCATCGCGCGCCACGACGCCCCCGAGACCGGATGGAGACGCTTGGTGGCTGGCCGATGGAGACGGGCGGGGCGCGAGCGCCGTCCGAAGTGGAATTTGCGCCGCCGCGCGCGCCCTCGCGTACTGAGAGGGCGGGCCGACCGCGCCATGCGCCTCCAGCTGCTCGCATCGAGACGCGCCGGGCCGCACACTTGCCGCACCGTCCGCGCCGCGCCGCTCGGCCCCTCTCGCCGCCCCATTCGCCGCCGGCAATGCTATCTGCACATTCACCGTTCGGAGACGCGAGTCGCATTGCGCGTCCGCGCCCCAGCCGCGCCCCCGAGCTCTAGCTTGCGCCCCTGGGCCCACCTCGCGCCCGCGGGCCCTGCGACCACGCAGTGGAACAACACGTACTACCCGAAGCAGGCGGACTCGGCGAACGTCACGAAGCCCTGGTACATCATCGACGCCGAGGGCCAGACGCTCGGCCGCCTCGCCTCGCTCGCTGCGCGGGTCATCCGCGGCAAGCACCTCGCCACGTACCACCCCGCGATGGACATGGGCTGCACCGTCGTCGTGATCAACGCCGACAAGGTCCAGGTCACGGGCAACAAGTACAACGACAAGACCTACTTCCGCCACACCCAGAACAAGCGGTCGGGTGCCGGTGAGCGCCCCACCCGCGCCCGCCGCGCGCGCCCCCGAACCCCGCCGCCCGCCGCGCCCCGCCCCCTGCCCGCGCTCCCCGAGGCCGGCGCGGCCCGGACAGCCCCCGCGCCGCCGCGTCGCTTCCCCGCGTGACCGGCCAGTGAACGTGCGGCGCGCTGGTCCTGCGCGCAGGCCGCCCCGGCGGCTGGAAGCTGGAGGCGTTCAAGGACCTGCAGGAGCGGCTCCCGGAGCGCATCATCGAGTCGGCGGTCCACGGCATGCTCCCCAAGGGCCGCCTCGGGCGCAGCATCCGCGTGCAGCACCTCAAGGTGTACAAGGGGGCGGAGCACCCGCACGAGGCGCAGCAGCCGACCGACATCACGCACCTCATCAACGAGGGCAAGAAGTCCCCGCTGGCGTGAGCCGCGGCGCTCATGTGACGACGAACCCTCCTTGTGCGCGTTTCGTGCGCGGGTGGTCAATGAACACTCTGCGTGCGCCGGGGGCACGCAGGCGCGCGCGCAGCGCGTGCGGTGTCTGGTGCTGGCACTGCCGAGGCCCGCTGCCGCCGACGCGGGCGTGCGAGGGTGCGTGGCGACGTCTTCATGTTGCCAACGCGCGCGCATCATGTGGGAGGGCATGTGTCAGGGCCGAGCGCGGCCGCTGGCACGCCGTGCGGCGCCGCGCTGCGACGGGTCGCGCGCGTCGCCTCGCGCTTAGCGACCCGCCGGTCCGACTGGTGTCGGGCGGCGAGGTGCGCGCACAGTGGCACCTGACGTGGGAGGGGTGTCGTTGGCGGAACTGAGCGCGCGGCATGCTGCGTTGCGGGGCGCCGTCGCGCACACAGGCCACAGAGGTCGTCGGGGGCCGGTCAGGTTCCTCGTCGGCGACGCAGCAGCGGCGGAGCGACGCCCTCGGTCGGTGGTCTCACCTGCTCGGGGTCCGCATGCGGTTTCTGGCGGGTGCGACGTCCGCGGCGGGCGCGGGGGACGCGGAGGTGGCGCAGAGGTGTCCGCTCGGGTCCAGCGTGCGGCCATGGCGCCAGCGCGCGCGCGCACCGCTCCGACGAGGCCCAGCCTCTGGTCTTTACCGAGCGAGTCATCACGGCTGCGCGTCGCGGCAAGGATGGTTCCGCGCCCAGAACCGGCACGGACGGCGGGCTAGAAGGTGTACGCACGTCGCGAGAGTGTTCCCGGACTACACGGACCTCCCTGAGGACGACACGAGTGGAAATAAGGTGCGCTGAACATCAGACAGATCCCTAGCTGTGGCGCCTGCGGCGAACTCCCCCGCTCCTGCGATGCGACAGTCGAGCCGCCTCGCGCTCCGTGGAGCAACGGGCCGACAGCGCCCGCACGCGGGGGAAGATGCGGCCCGTCGCGCGCGGAACGACGTCACGCAATCAGCACCGCCATCCTTGCGGGTCGCTCCGCGCCCCACGACGTCGGTTCCGCGACTCCTCACGATCCTGCGGCCCTACGCTCACAGACAAGTCCGCGGAGCTGCGACATCCGCGGATGTGCCGGGTCTTTGCGCGCGGGCGAGACACGCTTGCGTGGTCGTCCACAGGAGCGATTTCTCGACGGTCGCCGCCCGCTCGCTTCCCTGCGCAGAGCGCGGAGCGGTCCAAGGAGCTCCTCCTGAAGTACGTGCGCGACGTCAAGCCGCAAGTGATCGAGGACTTCGCGGACGAGGCGCCTCCGGAGGTGGTGGACGCCATGCGGCAAACCATCTCCAACATGCTCGGGACGCTGCCGCCGCAGTTCTTCAAGGTCACCGTGTCGACCGTCGGGGACAACCTCGCCCAGCTCATGTACTCCTTCCTCATGACGGGTGCGCCCACGCCCCCGCACGCACGCACCGCCCTGCTCCGCGCAGCTCGGCCGGCCGCGCGAGCTGCCGCGGACGCTACGCAAGCACAGCCAGCGCCGGGCCGTGGCGCCCGAACCCCGCCCGGAGGCGCCAGCGGCCGGCCTGATGCGCTACGCTGTGTGCGCCGCACACTGTGCCTTCGCGGACGCGCGTGACCGCCGCCGCGCTCCCCGGCCCGCAGGCTACATGTTCCGCAACGCCCAGTTCCGGCTGGAGCTCCAGGAGTCGATGGCGGCCCTCCCGGACGCCAGCACCGCTGCAGACGACAACGGCAGCGGCGCAGACGGGCGCGGCGACGTGTCCGCGGACGACGCGCCGTTCACGGGGCTGACGGCGAGCCGGATGATGGAGGGGGGCTTCGACGGGTACGCGCCGGGGGTGCAGACGGACGGCGTGACGGGCCACGTGCTGCGCTGGCACATGGAGCGCGGGGCCGAGGCGGTCGAGGCGTCCGAGTACGTCAAGCTGCTCGAGGCCGAGGTGCGCGGGCTCCGGACGGCGATCGAGCAGACGCAGGCCAAGGGGGAGGTGCGCACCGCCACGTTTTGTGCGACTGAGTCAGCCCGCCTCGAACGCCGCGCGGCCCGAAATGCCTCGGTCGGTGCGGTGCGGCGAGCGTGCGAGCCGGCCATGTGCCTCGGCGGAAGCTGCATCAGCCCCGGCGTTGTCTGTGCTCGCTGCATGGTGCTCTCCGCAAAGTAGTAATTGAACACCTGCGCGTGTCATGCGGTACCAGCTGCTGCGCTGGCGCGCTCCGCTGCGTGTCGCCGTGTGGGTCGCGCTCACGGGACCGCGCGTGCGCTGCTCGTCTCGTCCTGCAGACCCACAATCGGGTTTTGGAGTATCTCAAATCCATGGAGCCCTCGAGCCTCGAGCACATGTCGAGCGGCGTCGGCGAGGCGGTCACGGAGGCGATGACGACGTTCGTCGAGCGGCTCATGGGCACGAACGACCCGCTGGAGCTCCAGGGGATCGACAGCGAGTCGACGGCCGTGGAGCTGGCCCAGCTGCTCTACTGGCTCCTCGTGGTAGGGTACGGGCTGCGGTCGCTGGAGGCGCGGCTCGACATGGCGGAGGCGCTCGGAGCGGACGGGGTCGGCGCCGCGCGGCTGCAGTTGCCGCCGGGCCTCGGCGGCGATGGGGAGGGCTTGGTATGATTCACATATGTTGCATTACTGACTCAGGGAGGGCGGAGCGGACGAGGGCCTCGGCGCCCGTGTGACGCAGAGGAGCTAGGCAGTGCGTCGCTGAGATCCCTGCTGGCTGTGCGCGGCGGAGGGGAGCGCTTCGCTGGTGTTGTGCAGGCGTGGTGTCGTGGCCGCGCCGCCCCCGCGTTACTTCCCGCGGCCGTCGGCGCCCGGTTCCCACGCGGCGCGCTTCCGCCGCTCGCGGAAGAACTCCTTCATCGCCTCCGCGCACTCCCCCTCCAACACCCCCGCGTGCACCTCGAGGTCGGGGCAGAACGGGTGCGGCCGCAGCGGCGCCCGCGGGCCGGCGTCCGCGCTGCCAGCTGCTGCGCTCTCGCCCGCGCGTAGCAGCGACGCCCAGCTGCCGTCCGCGCCGAGCAGCGGGTTCTTCGCCCCGTACACCACACGACGCAGCCTGGATTGCAGAATGCCGCCGGCGCACATCGGACAGGGCTCCAGCGTGACGTAGAGCGTGCACCTGGCCAGGAGCTGCCAGGACCCGAGCGTTCGCGCGGCGGCGCGGATTGCGACGAGCTCCGCGTGCGCAGACGGGTCGAGCAGCTCCTCGGTGGCGTTGCGGCCGTCCCCGACGACGCGGCCGTCTTCGTCCACGACGACCGCGCCCACAGGAATCTGCACGATCGAGCGAACATTCCGCTGTGGTGCGGTGGCGACGACAGCGCGGCATGCCAGCGCGAGCGCCCAGAGAGAGCAGGAGCGTGGAGTGGGCACAGGCGGTCGCACCTCGCGGTTCCTGCCGGCCTCGCGCGCTAGCTGCAATGCGTGCTGCATGAACACCTCGTCGTCGGGCGACGAAGGGCCTCCGGATCCCGGTGCGCGCGAGACGCGGAGCCTTCTCAGGCCCAGACGTTCCGGACAAGAATCCGCCCCTAACAATGAGCCTCGCTCGCGGTTCAAGACACCTCTGCCTCTATGTCGTGGGATGAATGCGAGAGGACCCGCGTGTGGCCTCGGGAACCCCGACCCACCACGTGCAGGCCGACTGCATTCCCTCCTGCAACTACCAGCGACGTTTCCTCCTGCCGCCCTCCCGCCGACGGCCTGGAGACCGCGCGTCATCGCATCAGCCAGCGTCGACGCCGCGCCGGCCCTCGGCGCATCACCGCCAGGCCCGGGCCTGCTGAGCAAGATCAAATGAAGGCTGCAGTGAAACTCGCTGGTTCAGCCCGACACATGCCCTCCGCGGCCCGTGGCTGCTCGCCGCGCCGCACTGAATAGTGCAGCGGTCACGCACAGTCCGCGCTCCTCATACGCACCCGCCCTCTGAGGCTGCAAGTCGTGTATGTTTGTTTCTACTCGTGTTCTACCGTGGTTCGAACCGACGTGCGGGCACCGATGCGGCCTGAGCGCGCCTCCAAGCGGCGACGACGTGCTTGCCGATCACGGGCGGCTTGAACCAGCGCAGCGCCCCCCGCATTTACATATAAGTACTCGATGCGGCAACCGCCAACTTCAGAGCCTGTGCACACCCACGTTCCAGGCGCGAATCCGCACGAGCTCGCATGCGCCACGCGTGACCGCAGCAATCCGATGCGGTCAACGTTCACAGCAGCACTCCGCGCGACGCCAGCAGCGTCCGCAGCACCGCGCCTCTCTGCAGCACCGTCAGAGCTTCGCCGCCGGGATGCTGTTGATCTGCGAGGGGCACCGCGACACGGAAGCGCGCTTCGTCGGACCGCGCGGCGCACCTGCGCACCTGCGCACCTGCGCACCACCGCGACAGAGCACGCAGGCGGGCAGGGTTGCAGCCAGCGCACACGTGCGTGCGCCTGCTCGGCGGCTGCGGCGGCGACTCTCCGGCTGCGCGCCGCTGCAACGTGTCAGCTGCTATTACACCCACGAGCTCGCAGCCACGCCGCGGCAAAAGCACCTCGCAACTTCAGCACGCATCCCACGGCGCCGGGGAGGCCGCCGGCCGCGCTGGCACATGTCGCGCGGTCCTCCGCGCGCCACAGGCACGCAGCACGCAGCAGGCACGGGCGCGGGGGCTTAGTGGTTGTTCACCGAGTCGACGATGGCGTCCGCCAGGTAGTCGCACTTGGCCGACGAGAGCCCCGCGAGCGAGATGCGGCCGTCCTTGGTCATGTACACGTGCCACTTGTTCGTCATGTTGGCCACCTGGTCCGGCGTCATCCCCGTGTACGAGAACATCCCGATCTGGCTGGTGATGAACGACCAGTCCTTCTCGGGCTTCCGCTTCTCGAGCGCGGCGCGGAGCTGCCCGCGGACCGTCTCGATGCGCCCGGCCATGCCCTTCATCTCCGCCTTCCACTCGTCGAACATCCCCGCGTCGCCGATCACCTCGGCCACGATGCGCGCCCCGTGCACCGGCGGGTTCGAGTAGATCGCGCGCGCGATCTTCTTCATCTGCGACAGCACGCGCCCGGCCACCTCCTGCTCCGACACGACCGCGCAGAGCGCGCCGATGCGCTCGGCGTACAGCCCGAGGTTCTTCGAGTAGGACTGGCTGCAGAAGAACTCCAGGCCCATGTCGGCGAACAGCCGCGGCGCGAAGGCGTCGGCGTCGAGGTCGCCCGTCGCGAAGCCCTGGTACGCGACGTCGAAGAACGGGATGTGCTCCTTCTTCTCGCACAGCTCCGCGATCGCGCGCCACTGCTCCGGCGTGGGGTCGATGCCGGTGGGGTTGTGCGCGCAGCCGTGCAGGACGATGATGGACCCGTCCGGCGCGCTGGAGATGTCCTCGATCATGCCGTCGTAGTCGAGGCCGACCGTCTCGGGGTTGAAGTAGCGGTACTCCTTCCACTGCACGCCCGCGTCGGCAAAGATGGCCTTGTGGTTGCCCCACGTGGGCGCGGAGAGGTAGACGGTGCGGCCCGGGAGGAAGCGGTTGATGAACGCGGCGCCCACGCGCAGCGAGCCCGTGCCGGAGAGGGACTGCAGCGCGACGGCGCGGCCCTCGGCAACGGCGGGGTGCGACGCGCCGAGGAGAAGCTCGAGCGTCGCCGCGCGGAACGTGGCCAGGCCCTCGATCGGGAGGTACTCCTTGTTCTCGCCCTTGTCGAGCATCTTGCGCTCGGCCTGCGTGCGGTGCGGGCGCGGGAGCGGCGCCGGTGGGAAGCGGCGGCGCGCTAGAGGGCATAGGAGGGCGGGATCCGGGGCGCGTGTGCTTGATCGCGCAGGAGGTGTAGCCAGGAAGGAGGCGCGCGACGGCAACGGAGGGCATGCGGCGTGTGGGGCGGGTGAGCCGCCGGCGCAGATGGCCCACAGACGGCAGCGATGCGCTGCGCGCGGATGCGGCGCGTGGGCGGCGGGCGGACACGCGCAGCGATGAGCGGGCACGCGGAGCATCCGGCGGAGCGCGACGCGATCGCCGCGCGGCGCGCGCGCCGCCGGCGGGGGCGCGTCACTGCTGCCTTCTGGTCTCCCCACGGCGGCGGCGCTGCGCGCGCGAGGCCGTCAACGCGGGCGTATTCGCTCACGACAGATCGGTCGCCCGCAAGGCGCGGGAGCAGCGCGCCGGGAGGGCGCGCCGCTGGCGCCAGGTGGCGAGGGTGGTTGGGTCCACAAGAGGTCGCGATATTCCGGCTCAATCGGACACGAGCGCGCAGCGTTTTGGCCGCCATTGGCGGGCGGCGCAAGTCGCACCTTCTTGACCACCTCGAGCACCATGGGCTGCAGCTCCTCGGTGCGGTACGCGCCGACGCCCAGGTTGAGCTTCTCCGGCGCCGTGCTGGCCTTGAACGCCTCGGAGATGCCCAGGATCGGGTCCGGGGGCGCCTGCTCGACGTTCGCGAGCTTCGAGGCGCGCGGCGGCGTCATCCTGGCCACCCTACCGCCAACGACACCGCACTTGCTCTTGCCCTGCGGGGGTCGCGCGAGATGCGGGGCTATTGTGGATGTGCGGAGCTGAAATCCCGTGCCTACACCTCGCCCTACTCGGTTTGCCGCCGCGGGTCGCCCCGGGCGACCAAAGGCGGCGTCAGGCGCGCCCTGGACCGCTGACGGGATCCGGCGCGCCGCTGTCAGCGACTCGCGAAACGTCTAGAGCCGCGGTGCGGCATCCACGTCGAAGGCATCTGAGCGAATACATGCAGCATGTGCGCTACGAGGAGCGAGAGGCCCCCAGGACCGCGCGCAATCGGCCTAGTAGACTGACGTCGTTGCAGGGCACCGCGCCGCGCACGAGCCCTCGCCCACGCAGCCAGAGCGCCACGGCGGATGCGAGAGTATGAGGGGGCACGCGTGGGCGATGTCGCCGAGCGCCATCCCCGCCCGGACTGCGCCCGTACCTGCACTGCGCCCTGGCGGGCCTGGAGGGGCTTCGCGGAGAACATGGCGATCCTCTCGAGTTGGTTCCCTGACGAGACAGCTAGAGTGACGTGCGCAGGCTAGCCGCGCGCCCATTCGCCCGCGATGGCGCCGTGCGCGCGGAGTTTTCGCCCCAGGTCTGACCAGGCCCCGCCGCGCACGTCCGTGCCCCCCCACGCCGTCCAGGGGCGCTCGCGCCTCATGACACTCCGCGCCGCGCGAGCAGGGCAACTGACCGCTCGGCAACGAGCGAGATCACGCACATTCCGCCTCAGATAGCGCGACCGTGGCCTCCAACCTGCTCCAGCAGCAACGAACTGTGCTCCTGCGGCCAGCGCGGTGGACGCGACCGAGATACGCGCCAGCGTCTGCGCGTGTCCGAGGAGTTCTGCGTTACGGGCGCCTTCTCAGGGGATCACGGTGGACGCGTGACGGCGTTGCCTTGCAGTCCACTTCTCAAAGATGGCTCGCCGGCAGGATGTGCGCACGCTGTACGAGCAGATCATCGAGACGACGTGCTCGTCGGTCAAGACGGACTTCGTGAATGCCGGAGTCGACGAGTGAGCCCCCCGGTCGCGCCACGCGCCCCGCTCCCTTGCGCCGCCGTCGTTCGGGTCCGCCGCAGCCGTGAACAGCGGTCCCGCCGCCCAACATATGCAGATCCGTGCTGCACCAGATGCGAACGAAGTGGAAGCAGGCTCTGGAGAACTCTGGAGTGCTTGACGAGACGGGCGAGGAGTGAGTCCCTGCGCACCTATGCATCGTCGCTGGTTGCCGTCGCGGCAGCGGACGCTGCCCGTTCGAAGCCCGCGACAGCTCGCACTGCTGTGTCGTCGCGGCGCAGGCCCGAAATCCCGCAAGTAAAGAAGGAGGAAGGGGCGGCAGAGCCAGGAGCGCCCGCTGCGGCGCAGGCCGAGAAACCAGCCGTGAAGGCGGATCCAGACGCGGCCAAGCCCGCGCAGCCCGTCGCCGGAACCAAGCGGCCCCGCGAAGGTACGCAACACCCACGCAGCCTCAACCACAGACATTGACCCGCGCCAGCTCACGCACGCCCCCCGGCAGCCCGGTTGGGCCAACTTCCGTCCGCTCTACGCCCGCCCGCCGCCCCCCTGCCTGCCGCGCCGATGGACCGCCACGCCTCCGCGCCGGCGGCGCGCGCGTGCAGATGCAAAGCCCAAGGACGATGTGAGCGAGGAGGACAGTCTGGGCGACCTCGGCGGCGACGACGACGACGGCGAGGCGAAGGGCGACGAGGCGAAGAGCGCCGCGCCCGAGGCCGCGAAGGCCGCTGCAAAGCCGGAGAGCCCCCCCCCTGACACGGGCCCGTCCGCCGACGTGGTCCAGATGATGCAGCGCACGGCGAACGAGGCGGAGCGGCTGCGGAAGGCGGAGCAGGAGGCGGCTCTTCACCTGGACGAGCGGCCGCTGAGCAGCGACGACGACGACGATGACGAGCAATGGGTGAATATTGAAAACACGATGCACTGCTACGCGAAGACGCTCAAGAAGCCCAAGGGCAAGGCGAAGGACTTCAAGGTCGAGTTCATCAAAGGCGTGATGCGGCTCGACGGCAAGGACTACGTGTTCAAGCAGTGTGGGGGCAGCTTGAAGTTCTATGACAACTAGAGGCGCGGACAGAGCCAGGCGGGGGGTCAAGGACGGATGTGAGAGCGTGGCGGGATGCGAGGAAGTGCGGGGGACTCGGTGCGCTCGCGCGTGAGGCCTGCCGTAGCGGAGGTCGGTCACGGCCACGGTGGGCATGAGATCGCAGTGAGTGAAGCGCGGGACCACCGCTCGCGGGGACGGCCACGCCCAGCGTCTACTCGCATTGCTCGATGAATGATGCCGAGTGACGCGACGCCTGGGCACCAGGCGTCCCACGCAAAGTAGTAATTGACCACGCCGCGCGGCGCCGCCGACGCGCCCTCGTCACCCCCACTGGTCGTCCGTAGTCGCGTCACACAGGCCGTTCGCGCGCCGCTCACGCCGGCAGCATGTCCTCCTCTAGCGCCCAGTCGTCGTCCGCGCGCTTTTTCTGCGGCATCAGGCTCCCGTCGTCCTCGTCCACCGCCGTCGGCGCCACCGCCGCGCCAAGCCCGAACCCTGCGTCCGCGCCCATGAACGCGTCGTCCTCTGCTCCGCGCCCATTCGCCGCCGCCTTCCCCGCGCCGCGCTGCTGGTTGGCCAGCAGCGCGTCCAGCCGCTCCAGCTTCGCGGAATACTCCCTCTCCTCCTGGGGGTGTCCCAGGTCCCGGCAGAGCTGCACGACGAACGCCAGGCACTCGCGGTTGTCCGGGTGCTTCTTGTGCACCGCCTTGTACTTGCGCAGCGCCCCGGGCCAGTTCTGCGTCCGCCGCATGCAGCTGGCAACCATCAGCTCCCACTCGGCCTTGTCCGGCTGCAGCTGCGCCGCGAGCTCGAAGAACCGCTGCGCCTCCTCGAACAGCTCGCTCTTCGCGTACTGCGCGCCCAGCCACGTCAGCACGTCCAGGTTCGCCGGGTACACGCGGTGGGACTCCATGTAGTAGTGCGTGGCCTTGGTTTCGTCGCCCTGCTTCTGGTAGACGGCGCCGAGGCGCGCCATGACGCCCGCGTCGGTCGGGAGCTTCGAGAGGAGCGCCTCGAGCCACTTGATCGCGCTCTTCCAGTTCCCGGCCAGCTCGTAACACGTGGCGATCTGCAGAATCACGTCGGGCGCGTCCGGCATCATGTTGACCAGCTTCCGGAAGTGCGCCTGCGCCTCCTTGAGCAGCTTCTGCGCGCGCTCGTCCACGCTCAGGTCCTCCGTCCGCAGCGCGAGCTGCCGCTTCGCCAGCCCCAGGTTGTACAGGGCCTCTGCGCAGTCGACCTCGTACTCCGTGGCCTCCTCGTAGCGCTCGCAGGCCTCCTCGAGGCGGTCCTGCGCGACGAGCGTGTTGCCGCGCGCGACGAGCGCCTGCGCGTTGAACTTGTCGGACTTGACCGCCAGCTCGGCGTGCGTCGTCGCGTCGCGCATCTTGCCCTCGAGGAAGTTGATCGACGACAGCGACGACGCCGCGCGCGCGCGCTGGTCCGTCTCCTTGCGCTCGAAGGACTTGAGGACGTCGACCGCGTCCTGGAAGCGCCGCTCCGAGAGCAGCGCCGCCGCCTTGCAGAGCTCCACCTCGCCCGCCAGGTCCGCGAGGCCCGCGTTGGACAGCTGCTGGACGACCCAGTCGTAGCCCTCGCCGGCGCCCTGCCGCGACGCGGAGACCGCGGGGGCGACCATGCGCGCCGCCTTCACGATCACCCGCGACGTCTCGGCCTTGCGCTGTGGACGTGGGTGGGGGGCGGGGGCAGGGTTGGGGCACCGCGTCGGTGCGAGGGCGCCAGCGAGAGCGAGCAGCAAGAGCAGGCGTGCAGCGCGACCCGCGGGGCACAAGAAGCATGCAGCGCGACGTGCGTGCGGCCCGCTCACCCTGCGGAGCTCCTCCCGGAGCGCGTCGAGCGCGTCGGGGTTGCCCTCGTTCTCCTCCTCGTCTTCGCCCGCGAGGTCGTGCATCGGCAGCAGCAGCAGCGCCTGGAACCCGGACCGCATCTTGTCGACGTTGTCCATCGCGTAGGCGCACACGACGAGGTTGTACCCCGCGACGTGGTCCGGGGCGTTCTCCATGACGGACTCGAACTGCGCTAGCGCGTCGCTGTAGTGCCCCATGCGCAGGAACGCCACGCCGATGTTGCGCATCAGGCGGAAGCGCATCCGGTTGTTCGCGCCGTGGGGCTGCGACATGTTGTCCATCGCCATGCGCCACATCTTGATCGCGTTCGAGAACTTGCCCTGCTCGAAGTACAGCGCGCCCATGTTGATCCGCACGCGCGAGTGCAGCGGGTAGGCGCGGTCCTTGGCCAGCTTCGAGTACGTGGTCAGCGCCTCGCGGTACAGCTTCGAACGGTGCTGGCAGATGCCCAGGTTGAACACCACCGAGAACGTCAGGTCCTGGTTGTGCATGTCCGACAGCGCGTTGTCCTCGCGGAACCTGCGCACACACACGCCGCGGGGGGTGTTCTACGCCGGTCGCGGGGCGCGGGGGCGTGCGCGGGGGCGCGGACGGTGCGGGGCGCGCACTTGAAGAGCTGGCGTTCCCGCTTCCCCGCCGCCTTGGCCTTCTCGAGCGCGCCCGTCCAGTTGCCCAGCTTGGCCAGCTGACTCGACTCCTCCAGGATGATGTTCACCTCGAGCTCCATCTCCCGCCCGATCATGTCCGGGGCCTTCTCGCCGCGCGAAAGCGACCGGATCGGCGGCGCGCTGCGCGGGGCGCGGGCGCACGGAACGACTCAGTGCAACGACGGCGCGAGCCGACCTCCGCAGCGCGCGCGCGGACAGCGCCGCGGCGATTGCGGGTTCTGGACGGAGCGTGCATGCTGTGGCGCGGAGGGGGTGCGCACCGGAACGTCCCGGTGGCGTCCATGCGCGTCGCGGCCGCGCTGTTGTACCCGGTGCCGCGGTTCGAGGTCATTGGGCGGGGACCGTCGCCCTGGGGGGCGGCGCCGGTGCGGCGGCCCCCCATGGCGGTGGAGGGCGGTATGAACGCCGTGCCCGTGCGCCCCCCGGCCCCGAGGCTCCCTTGTCGGGCCGTCCCCGGCGGGACATAGGCTGTGCCGGGAGCGAAGCCCACGCGCGGCTGCTCGCTCAGGGGCGGAGCGGCCAGGGCGCCGCCGTTGGCGGTGGCATCGTAGCCTTGGTAGAGATCCGCCGTGGCCTGCGCGGGCGTTTGCGGTGGGCAGCGACCGTGGTGAGCTGTTACGATGATGAGCGGTGCTGTGGGCGCGCGCCCGTGCCGCACCGCGCGGTTTCCCGCCAAGGGCACGCGCGTGCGCGCGGCTGGAGAGATGTGCGCCTCGTGGTGCGAGAGACCCGGGCACGCAGGCGTTATTCGGGGCGCTGGATTCAAGCAGAGTGCCGTGCTGGCGCGCTGGAGCGCACGGGGCGCCTGGCGCGGGTGCTGGGGATGCGTGGGGTTCGGCGGCAAGGAGCATAGCGAGCGGGCGAAGTTGTGCTGACGGAGGGCGGGCAGACGCGCTGGTTCACGTCGCAGGCCCGAGGGAGCATGTAGGACGACACGCTTGGTCGGTGCCGGAGGGGACAGGCGCGATCTCGCGGAGTCGCGTGTCCGCGGCCGCGTGAGAGAAGTCGGTTTGGTCCGGGCGGGGCGCTGCAGCGGGGAGAGGGGGGCCTGGCGGGCCGCGCGCCCGCACCTGCATCGCGCCTGGTCGACTCGAGACCGTCTCTGCCCTAAATAACGCTTGGCCGCATCTACACTGTCTACGAGTTCGTCTCACTCAATCCGCGCGCCTCTCTAGCTGTGCGCAACTGGGCGCGGAATGCGCCGTCGCGGTCCAGTGACGCCCGCGGCGTGCTTCCAGGCAACCCCCCCCCCGCTCCCGCGCACACTCGGCTAGCGCTGCGATTCATCCCGGTCCGCCCCGGACATGCCGGGGGCCGGCTCACCCGGCACTCGCCTTGGAGGATCCCACCGCACCGCGCACTAAGCATCACCGATGCCTCATCGACACATGGAGCAACGCGCGCCAAGTCGGCTTAGTCGCGGCGCCTGGACAGAGCGCGGGCGCAGGGGATGCATCGCGGCCAGGGCGTCGATCTGCGGAAGTGTATCCAGTGGGTTCGGGCTGCGAAGGCTCGCCATCACAGGTACACCACATCTGCACAGCGTCAGCCAAACAGGCCCCAGTCCTGCACCCGCAGCGACGCGAGGATCTCCCGCAGCACCTCGACGCCGGCGTCCAGCGCGCCCCGCTCCCCCGGCGCCACCTCCCTCGCGCTCGCTGACTCAGGGCTGATGTAGGACGGCAAGTGAAGGCACGTGATGATGTCAGTCGAGGCGCGAGGTATCCGGACGACGCCGAGGAAGACCTCGACGCGGTTGGCCGCGGACTCGCTCTGCCGCCCCTTGGAGACCCACTGCGTGCCGTGCGCGAGGCACGCGGTGCACCCACGCTCGCTCAAGCTTGCGTCCAGCGGAACGTTGGCGTCGCTCTGCGGCGCGAAGGGGCGTTTCGGGGGCGGGATCGGCGCGCTGGCGAGGAGGTATTTTTGCGGTCGCGTGCGTGGTGGACCGGGGGCGGTGGGGGCTGCGGCGGGCACGTACGCCTCCGAGGTTGTTGTTGGTGGCGTCGTTGCCGGCACATGCGTCCTTCCAGTAGAACTCGGGGGCGTCGGAATCCGGAACAGCGGCGTGCTCGACCACCTCCACGACCAGGGAGCGGTCCGTCGCGCCGTCGGCCCACACCTGCAGCGAGGCAGTGCCTAGTCATGGTGGACAGCGAACGCGGCGAAAGCGGGGCGCGGAAGCGCTTCGCACTGCCTTTGACGCATCTTCGAACATGTGGGCGTCCGTGACGATGCGATTGAGAGGTCGAGAACCCTCGAAAGGGACGCGTCTGGGGCGCAGCTGGTGCTGCTAAGAGGACCGGTCAGTGCAGCGCACCTCTTGATGGTCCGGCACCGGACGGAAGTCGCTGACGTCGACGAAGACGCTAGGTATCCGCAGAGATATGGCGCCGCCGTACAGCTCGCGTTGGACCAGTTCCAGAGGCGCCTCCACCATCTCTGTCTCCTGTCTGTCGATCTACAAGGCGAATCTGTTCTTGTGAAACTGTCATTCAGCAACGAGACGAATGTGCGTGAGGTGGAGTCGTCAACCGCCCCATTGAATCATGCAGCACCGCGCGCTGACCAGCAACAACAGACCTGACGTGTTCGGTGTCGCAATTGTCCCCCGGGGCAGCTGCGCAGCGCGAGATTAGCGCCGGCCGCGGCGGCCGCACATCCAGTCCGTGCCCTCGGTACCCGAAATTACGGTTTGCGCTGTGCCCTGGCCCTCAGTAGTTCTCGCAAGGTCCTTTGCTTGGAGGTAGCTTCGGGGCCGGTTGGGCCCGCACTCGGTGCGAGAGGACGCGGGCAGAACAAATGCGAGCGGTAGCCGTGCTGCTGCTCTGCGTAGCAGTATTGATAGCCGGCAGATGCGCCGCAGGTGCGGAAAGTAGGGCTCTGTTCCATTTGCGCTTACTGGCGTTCGCTCACGACGTCACCGTGGTCGACGAGCGCACGCACGCATCGAGTCAGTTGTTTGCATGCCGCTCACGCGCTTGAACCCCGCGTCACGCCGCGCCCGAGAGCTGCGCACCGACCCTCACAGACGCTCATGTCGCGCCCCGTCCCTGGCCGTCTGCAGAGGCCTCGCCGGCTTGCTCCCTCCCCCAGGCGGCCGAGCTCAGCGCCGCCCAGAGCAAGCTCGAGGAGGTGCGGCGCCGCAAAGCGCCCACGCTGCCACTGCGACGCGCTTGACCTCCTGCGTGTTGTGCGCCCCCCGCCGTCCCCGCACGCGGCCCCCCCGCCCCCCGCTCGCAGGCCAAGAGGTCGCTCACGAAGGAGTCGAAGCGCAACGCCGCTCTCGGAGTCGACTTCCAGACCACCATGAACGCCCTCGCCCAAGAGGTAACCCTCCGCGCAACCTCTCCACGCCATGCGCCGCACCACTCCCGGCTCCTCCTCCGCTCCCTGACACACCGCCCCGGCGTGCACGCAGGACCTCGCGCTGTGGAAGGCGCGCGAGTCCGAGCTGGTCGAGGCGGAATCCGAGGCCGTGGCTGCGGAGGAGGGCGCCGTGTCTGCCCGCGCCAAGGTCCTGTGGGCGCGCGAGAAGGTCGCGAGCTTCCGCGCCGCCATCGCGCGGCTCGCGGACCCCGGGCCGTACAAGGCCGAGCTCAGCGGCCGCGTCGCCAAGCTGGTCAGTCAGGGCGTCACCGGCGAAGCGGGGAGTGTGGACCCGGACGGTGCCGTCGAGGAGCTGCACGACGAGGTTGTGGCGGCGCAGCGGCGGCTGGCGCGCGGGCAGGCGGCCGTGCGGGCGGCGGGGCACGCGAAGGACCTCGCGCAGCTGGAGCTGAAGGGTGCTGTGCAGCAGTGCAATGCGCGCAAGGAGGCGGCGGTGCTGCACATGGCTGCCAAGGTGCAGCAGGACGCGGAGAAGCTGAACAAGGATGCCGCGGACATCGAGGAGCTCATGGACAGCCTGAGCGACGACGGGGAGGAGTAGGGGGGTGCAGAACGTGAAAGCGTGATCACGTAATGAACACGTGAGACGACGACGTCGTCGTGGTGTTCACATCTCGCCGGCGCGGCAACGCAACACCCCGCGCATGCACAGTCTCAGCCCACGCCCTCGTCCGCGCCGCCCGTCACGCCCGCCTCCGCCTCGCCCCACCCGCCGTCACCTGCCTCTCCGTTCTGCGCTGCTCGCTGCTTCTCCGCCTGGAGCTTCCACGACTCCTCCAGCGCGCGCGCGAGCATGATCGCCTCCTCGTCCACGCCCCCGTTCGCCTCCCCGAACAACCCCGCGGCCCCCCCCCCCGCCGTCGGCGCACTCCCCCGCTCCTGAGCCGGCTCGGGCGCGTGCGGCACCGACGCCTGCTCGGACCCGGCCTGCGCCGCCCCCTGCCGCTCGCTGTGGCCGTGCGGGATCGAGGACAGGTCCTGCATGTCGCGGTCGCGCGCCAGGTGCCGCACCTGCTCCGCAACAGCGCCGTATCCCACGGACGTGGGATCGTCGTAGCGGCGCTCGACCTCCGGCGGGCGCATGTGATCGCCGACGAAGGACCGTCGGAGCTCGTGCTCGCCGGTCGGGGCGGCCGTGAGGCCCGCGGTGGCGGCGTCGCTGGGCGTGGCGCTGGGAGCGGAGCGCAGGCGGTCGTCGTCGTGCGCGCGTGCGGCGGCGTCGGCCTGCGAGCGCGCGATCTCCGGCGCACCGAGCACGTTGTGGAAGAAGATCGAGACCGACGAGTAGAAGAACGGCGGCCGGGGGGAGTTGTGGTCGCCCGCAAAGGTCACCATGTTCTTGTCACCCCCGTACGCGTCGTGCAGCGCCTTGCCGTGGTGCGCCGGCACGAAGTCGTCCTCGATCGCGTGCGCGAACAGCGCCGGAATGAACGCCCGCGGCGCGTACTCGATCGGCGCCACGGTGTAGATGTCGAACGCGGCACGCTTGCGCACCGACCGGCGCATCATCCCGAGGACAATCTTCTTCGCAAACCGCGGCACGTGGAGCTCCTGCTTCTCCACGATCTCGACCATGAGGTCCGTGAGCCGGCTGAAGGGGCTGTCGAGGACCATGCCCGCAACAGAGGGGTCGCGTTCAGCGTAGAGCATGGCGGTGACGGCGCCCATGCTGCGGCCCCAGAGCCCGATGGTGGTGACGAGGCCCGAGGAGCGGAGGTGGTTGACGACGCACTCGACGTCGTCGACCTCGTGTGCGCCCAGCGTCACCCACTCCCCCTCACTCTGCCCACTCCCCTCGAAGTCCAGCGCCATGACGGAGATTCCTTGCGGAAGGAGCGTGAATATCGCTTCCTCGGAGTCTCTCCGCGACCCGCTGCGGTGGAGTGGCGCCGCAGGGCGTCGGGGTGAGCGAGGAGGCGCGGCAAGGTGCAGGGTGGACCTGACCGGGACGCAATGCGCGCAGCTCGAGGGCCGACACGGTACGTGGTGGGCATGAGGGCGGGGGGCGGCCGATTGTGTCTCGCTCAGGGGCGGAGGCGTGGCGAACGGTGCCTCGAGAGCGCGCACCGGGCGCAGACAGTGGGGAGAGCGTCCGGGGTGCTTTGGGCGGGGATTTGTGCGCCTGCCGAGGCGGTTTCGGCTCGGGGACGCGTGGACGGGCGAGGTGACGCGCCTGTTGCAGTGGCAGTACACGACGCACGGCAGTTTCGTGCCCGCGGGCAGCCCGTGGGGGTAGTGGTGCGAGCACTTGAGCTTCTTGCCCCGTTTGTTGATGATTTCGACGTCATTCCGCACAAATCGCCGCCGGCCGATTATGAACGCCTTCCGCGTCCCTCCCACCAGGTCCGTCTCCTCGTACACGTCCCTGCGGCGACAGACGGGCCCAGAGAAGACTTCAGTTGTCCATAGGGGGCACAAACGAGCCGCCCGGCGCTCCCACCGGCCTTTCTGCTCGCCCCTCGCACGCGCCGTCCAGCACGCATGGCACGAGGATGCCGCCACCGTCGCGCTCACCTAGGCGGACGGCAGATGCAGTCTACTAGCTGGTCCCAAAGGGAGAACAACCCCATCCCGGCCCCCGCTCCCGCGTCCGCACGCAGCGACTTCCCGTCGCAGGCACCGCAATGACCAGAGAAGCTGTGCGGACGAGGCCGCGGCACGCCTCGGCGCTTACAGCGCGGTGGCCGGGGCCCTTGACTGCCGCTGCCCCCGCGCGTTGCCTGTCGTGGTGGCGCGGGAACGCAGCCTGGAACTGCAACGTAGGGTGGTGCCGGCCGCGGAGGTCTGTGGAGTGAGTGCGGGAGCGCGGCAGGATGTTTCGCCGCGTGACGCGGCCCGGGCTGACCTAAAGAGGGGTCTCGTCGGCTGTACGTCGCCTCCGGAGCACTACGAGGGCGCCGGCCGCACGGAGAGCGCGCAGTATCCTTTGAGGCCTCCGCGACGAGCTCAGAACGAGGGCAAATTTGCGTCGAATTAAGCCGCAAAAGCGCATAGCATTCTCTGCTCTTGGACGAGGCAGGCAGGGCACGAGCAGACATGGCGAACTTCGAACACACCGACCTGATGGCGGTTGGTGAGCACTGTGCGATGGCAGAGTGCTCCCAGCTCGACTTCCTGCCATTCAAGTGCACAGGCTGCCGAAGAACCTTCTGCCTTGAACACAGGCAGCCTGCAGCGCATCAGTGCCCCAAGGTAGCCCCTGTTCTCGCGCTGAATGCTCGCAACATCAGAGCGAGGGCCGGGTGCGGCGCTCGCGCTTCCACGTCCCGCAGCGTGCTGAGCTGCGCCCCTTGGTTTCCATGGCCTCGCAGGCTTCCGACGTCAACCCCGACGTCATCGTCTGTCCGCTGTGCGCCAAGGCCGTGCGAGTCAACCCGGGTGGCGACGTCAACCAGGCGTGGGACCTGCACGCCCGCACAGATTGCGACCCGAGCAACTACGCCAAGGTGAGAGCCGCGCCTCAACCTCGCCCACGGAGCGGTTGCAGAGCGGCACGCAGACCGCGAACCTGGCTCCGACGCGCGTCTTGTTGTCGCGAGGACGCGGCGCCAGCTTGCCGGTCCTGTCCCTGCCGTTTGGCTGCGGGAGAGCGCCATTTGACTACCCTAAGGCTAGCCGACGCGTCACAGGACCTTCTCCTGCCTTCTGCGGCGATTCTGCGACCCGGACCGAACCGCCGCGCCGCCCGCGCGCGTGCCCCGCAGGTGCACAAGAAGCCGCGCTGTCCGGCGCCCCGCTGCCGCGAAAAGCTCGTCACGTCGAACACGTACGAGTGTCCCACCTGCCACACGAAGGTGTGTTTGAAACATCGGTTCGCAAAGGACCACGAGTGCGAGGAGCGCGTCGCGGCGCAGCGCCGCAACAAGCCCTCGAGCTTCATGTCGATGTTCTCGCGCGCCGCGGCGCCCTCCGGCCCGGCCGCGCGCACGCAGCCCCGGCCGCAGCCGGCGGCGACAGCGACCGCCGCGGCACGCTCGCATCGCTCAAAGGCGATGGCGGTCGCGGCGGAGCGGCGCGCGGCGGCCACGCAGAGCCGCGGCGCGCCGCGCGCCGCCGGGCGGCCGCAGGGCGGGGGGGTGTTGGAGGAGTGTGGCGCATGTGGGCGGGCGTTTGCCACGACGGCGGAACTGGTGGAGCACGTGGAGACGGTGCACTTCGGCGTGAGGCACCCGAAGGCCACGGGCAACGTCGCGGTGTACGGCAGCCAGGACCGGTGTCCGAAGTGCGGGGTGCGGATTTTGGACCCGGTGGCACTGGTGGGTCATGTGGAGGGCTGCAGGCCGCGGACGGCGCAGCGGACGGGCGAGAAGGTCAAGTCGTTCTTCAAGACCTTCTTCTCGTGACGGCGGCCGCGGCCGACCGCCCGCGCGAACTAGGGACGCGGTGGGCGGCTGCCCTCGTGGCGCCTGCACCATCCAGCACGGACACGTGCGTCGCCTTGGGTACCAGGGCCGTGGTCCCGCAGAAATACCTATTGCCGCACGTGGGGCGTCGGGCGCGAGCTTAGGGCCGGTGTTCAACGCGTGTGCGTGAATGTATCTGTGCGCGTCCTGCTCAGGACGCAGGCTGGCAGTGTGAGGACGCTTCGACGGGCTCGGGGCTGATCGGCGGCTGTTGCGCGATGACGACAGCTGCACGTCGTGCGTCGCGCCGCGTACGACGGTCGTCAGGACCAACAGCGTGCACTGCGGGCGCCAGCGAAACAACGGGCTTGCGGCGATGTGGCGCCGCGAGGTACGTGCGATGGAAGGGACGCTGCGAGCAGGACGTCCATGGCGACCCGCTCGGGTTCCAGACGGCTGGCGCACGTGCGCCGAGTGCCGACACGTGGGTCAGGGGGGGGGACTGTCCCGAACTGTACGACAAGCGGCGCCCGGGGGCACATTGCTGTCCCTGGCTGCTCTAAGAGCAAGAACACTCGGAGACCACTGTCTCAAGCGCCGCACAACGGACTCTTCGACCCTTCGGCTTCGTGCCGCGAGCAGGTTCGTGGCGCCAGCGCTGCTCTAGCCCCACCCGGTGCGGGGGCCACGGGGGCGACTGACCGCGCCGGTGAGTGCGCAGAATCCGGGTCCTTTCGCGCGAAGAGCGTCCTCGTGTGCGAATCTGCGGAGAACCTCCCCGTGCACGCGCAATCGCGACTCGGCGCTGTGGCGTCGAGCGCACGAGTGACCGCCGCTGCGGCACCTCGACTGCCCCCTGGGCAACACGTGATGGTTCTGCGTGGACATGCAGCATATACACGCGCTCTGTCCGCCCCCCCCGCGGTGCCTCTGAGATGCGCGCCCCTCCCGAGTGCGTGTGGCACTGCGCTGCATCCCTGGGTCGGCGGGCCGTCGTGCACGCGGCTTGTGCCAGATGCGCCATCGCGATGCCGCGTATCATTGATGGTGGTGATGCGGAAGTGCGTTTTGGTTGCAGTGAGGGACCGGCGAGGGACGTGCGGGAAGCTCCACCTCTGCGTAGGCAAACGGGCGGCGACGGGTGAGATCTGCCGGAGACGGCGCGAGCTAGCGCCGGCCCGACTGAACTGTATGCACTCAACATCCTGACAAGGTCGAAGTCCGCATCGTTGCAGCGCAGCGCGAGCGGCCGCGCTGTTCACCTACAGGGTAGATTCCTCGCACACGCGCCATCTGCTCGACTCCACGTGCACCGCCCCGGCCGCCCTGCAGGCACTGGCTGAGTCTGTCGTCGTCATGGCAGCGGTCGCGGACCGCACGCGTTCGAAGGTGACGCAGTTGGAGCAGGCATTCAATGACTGGCAGCATGGCGATGCTGTGTACACACAGCCGTTCCGGGGCTCGAAGCCCCCCACGGTCGGAGACAAGGATGCTGCGCACTGGATGGACATCGAGGTGGTCACGCACTGCCTGAATCAAATGAGCATGGAGGATCGCGCCCACGTGACGCTTGACCATTTTCGCAAAATCAAGGTGAGGGGTAAAAGACGACGGCGCAGTTCGGCACTGCGGAACGTCGCTGATGGCAGACATGCGAAGCACGGCGACGTCAACTACAGCCGTCAGTGCCAACACGCCGCGTCGTGTCCGCTCGCAAGTGCCCCCCAATGCCCTCAGGCGGTCCGCCCCACGAGGTGGTCCATGCGCGCGACCCGTGGGACGCTCACTGACGTCGGCGAATGTGTGAAAGTGCTCTGCAGGAGGCGCTGTGCGATGACGGCAACTTCCGGGACCTCAGCAAGGAGCGGAACCGCCCGGCAGACGGTATCGAGCGCAAAACGGCGCAGATCGTCATGACAGCTGATGAGGCGGGGCCAAAAGGCGTTGAACTGGAAGGTCATCAGCTCTCCAAGGTCAAGCGCCAAGTGCAGTGGCTGTACAAGCACTGCAAGACGTTCCCGTGGAAACTGAACGAAATGCTGGCAGACAAGCTCGAAAACATCAGGGATCAGTGGGGCTTGTCGGTGTTGAACCGAAGCAACCTCGAGGGATCGCACAAGCCCCCGCAGACCAAGCCTTCGGCGGAGGACCAGACCGGCACCCCGCAAACGTACACGCCCGCGTCCAGCTCGCACACGGTGCGCAACGACCTCAGCAGGAAGCAGCAGGCTCTGGAGCAGCGCTTCGACGAGGCGGCATCTTCCCTGGTGTCTCATGCGCGACAGCCAGCTGAGCGGAAGGACGAGTCGCAGTGCCCGAAGCGCCCACACCAGGTCAAGGCGCTACAGTGGCTGTCGAGCCCGCGGGCGAAAGCCGGCCCGGCGATCCTGCAGCTGCCGTGCGGGAGCGGCAAGACGCTCGTGATGGGCTGGGCGATGCAGGAGGTGACGCGGGGGGGGAAGTGGGCGGTCGTGGTGGTCAACCCCCTGCGCAAGATCGCGAAACAGAATCTAGAGCGGCTGTCCGATTTCGCCAGGGACGCCCTCCACGTGCCAGCCTGGAGCGGGTCAGGGCAAGCAGGCTGGCACAAGAACATTACGAAGAAGGAGGACATCGAGAGGTGCATGCGGAACGACGCCAAAGTCGTGCTCCTGAGCTGTTGCGCGTCCAAGACGCTGGTGAACATCGCTCAAGCGCTGGTCGACAACGAGGATGGCCTCAACGGTCGGCGCATGCTAGTGATGGTCGACGAGGCGCACCACATGAACTCACAGTACAAGGATGCAGCGTCAACGAGTCAGCAGGGGCACGCCCCGTGGAAGCTCGTGCGCGCCGCCACGCGAGCCTTCCTCGTGACAGGGACGCCGCCACGAGCGCTCGAGGAGGAGTTCGGGAAGCCCGGGTGAGTTGCGCATCCCTTGTCGCGGTGTTTGCCGCATGCGACATCAACAGCACAGTCCGCTTCCACTGCGCTTGCGTTGAAAGCCTTCGCGTGGGATCTGTTTCGCAGGTACAGCATGAAACTCAGTGAGGCTATCGCCCAGGGGTTCGTTGCGGACTACAGGATGTGGACGCCAAGGGGCTCTGGTGGAGCAACGGAGAAGCCGAAACAAAAGAAGGGGTCAAAAAAGTCGACACACGCGGCATCAAGCAGCGGTGGCCGCGCCAAGGCATTTCCAGGGCTAACAGACCGCAACAAGCGCGCCTTTTTGGACGATTCGAGGGTCAGCGACGTAGAGGCGTTCTTCCGCGCTGCCGCTCTATTCTGCGCCGCCGGGATGAGAAAACAGGGCTGCCGGTGCTGCATCGCCTTCTGCAGTGCCAAGGAAGAGTGCGACTTCCTCAACGAGGCCTTCGAGGCGGCGTGCGGCCTGCTTGGGGCGCGCGCACACGTTGCAAAGATCATCTCGGATTCCAAGGAGGAAGAGCGCGAGAAGGCGATCGCCGAGTTCCAGGAGAACTCGAAGCAGAGCGGCACCCTGTCGCTGCTGTCCTCGATCCGGATCCTCGACGAGGCGGTCGACATCCCCCAGTGCGACTCGGTGCTCTTTACCAGCTTGGCCAAAAACATCACGGAATGCGGCGCCGCGAGGGCGATGCAGCGCCTGTGCCGTGCCGTGCGCGGCGGCAAGGGCAAGGTCGCGCACGCCTTCGTCTGGGCGGACCCTGACGGCGGGGATGAGGCCAGCAAGTCGTGGGAGGGGTTCATCGGCGCGCTGCAGGAAGGCGACGCCGGAGTCGCGCGCAAGGTGGGGAGTTTCGCTGTGTAGGACGGGGCGGGTCGCGGGCCGCGGGGACGTTCTGTGTGGAGAGCGTGATGTGTGATGGGAGGCAACGCTTGACGCTTCGCTTCCTGGTGGCCGCATTCGCGCCCGCTGCATACGCATCGCCGGCGCAGTTGCGAACGTGCGGACTAGGATCCGCTTTACACGGTGAGGGTGCTTGTAGGTCAGCGAAGAACCAACACGGATCGCTATCACGAATCGAAGGATCGCTGCCGATCAGCGAGGCCAAGAGATGCTGCAACTTGGCGGGTGTTGTTCCACGAACGCCGTGCGGAGTTTCCATGCGCGCTCGCTGTATCGCTATCGAATATCTGCATCATGCAATCGCGGTGCCCTGTGCACTCGCTGCGCGCACGTCCTCGTCGCCCTGTCACGCCAGCAGCACCACCAGCATCACGGCCGCCGCGACCACGCCCGACAGCGCGGCACGCGCGGCGCTCGACGCGTCGCCGCACACGATCGCGCTGTCCGTCTGAGCGTTGAGCCGCAGCGTCGTCCACCGCTCCACCGTCCCCAGCGTCTGGTCGTACAACACGTCCGACGCCGACACCTGGATCCGCCCGTTGAACGCCGTCCACTCCGCCTGCGCACAGACGAACGCACGGACAGATCAGCGCCTTCGCGCGCAACACACACGGGCCCGCTCGCGCCCAGCCGGCGGCGCGGAGGTCCTGTTGCAACAGAGCGCTCGCAGATCGGTTGCAGGTGCGAGAGCATCGCGGTTCGGGGGCGTCGCGGCGCACCTGGACCTCGTTCTGTCCGCGGTACGGCTTGGTCGTGGGCGTGGGGATCGTCCCCAGGTTCCCGCGGAGGAACCGCCCCTCGGCGAGCAGCGCGTTCAGCTCCACGAACGCGTCCGGGCCGGTGTCGTCGAGCTGGCGCCCGCCGGCGTTGATGAAGATCGCGTCCGGCCCGAACTGGTTGTTCGCAACGGCGCCGGACTGCGCGGCCGGGTCGCCCCCGGACAGCTCCGCAAACATCACGCTGTTGCTGTACGCCGCGTCGGGCTCCGACGGCCCGCGGCCCGTGAAGCGGAACCCGCCGCCGTTCGCGCGGACGAAGACGATCTTGCCGCGCGCGTCCGCGACGGTCGGGAGCTGGAACGAGCGCGCGCAGGGCCCCGAGGAGCCGTCCGCGGCGACGGTGCCGCCGCAGCTCGCGACGTGGAAGTCCCGGGCGTCGCTGGGCGAGAGGATCTGCGAGCGCGGGACGGCCGCGAGGATCTCGGCCTCGATGGCGTCCCAGTCCGCGGCGACGGCGGTCTCCGCGGTCTGCAGGCCGTTGGGCTCCCCGGGGATCTTTTGCAAATACTCCTCCAGGAAGCGCTCGAGCTCGTCCGGGTCGTCGCCAAGGACCTCGCCCAGCCGATCGCCGGCCGCGCCGGTCTGCAGGGAGCACGGGCGGATCACGCGCGGCTCGGGGTGCGCGCTGCAGTGACGCCAACACAGCAAGCTGGCGCGCGGGGCGGGGCGGGCGCGCGGAGTGCCGCTGCGCACGTGCGGTGCCCAGGGGGGCGATGCAGGGGAGGGACGGACCTTGTATTCGACGTAGATGAAGATGGGAAGGTGCGACGGGTTGCTGGAGCTCCAGTCGGCGACCTGGGTGAGGCACTCGACGAAGGTGTGGCAGTGGGTGTTGTAGTCGATGTCTGGCGTGTGCATGACCTTGAACCCGGGGCTGTCGAGCGCCTGCACGCCCGACGCGCTCGTCGCGAACACCGCCTTGGCCAGCGCCCGCCGTGCGTACCGGCCCCCGCTCGTGTCCTTGTACACGTCCAGTTCCAGCGCCCTGCGCGATCGGAACCGGCGACTCTCGTGAGGTGTGGCCGCGTGGGGGCCGCGGAGCGGAGAGAACCGGCTCGGAGCGAGCGAAATTGGCCCTGCTGTCCAGCTGGGCCGCGAGGTGATGCAGCGCGGGCGCGTTTCCCGGCAGCAGGAGTGGAATCTCGGCCGTATCGCAACGGATTTTCGACGGGGATGAGACGTGGCACAAGCGCGGGCGGCCGAGCCGCGGGCGCGCGGAGCCACCGCAGCAGCGGAGCAGGCACGTCTCTCGAGCCACGGAGCACGACGGCCGCGGAGCACGTGCCGCTCGCTTCGAGCGCTGGCCTGTCCGTGCGCTTATCGGTTCGAGGGCAGGCTTGCCGAGCGCCCCGGGCGCACGACGGACGCACCTGACGCCGGAGGTCAGCTGCGACTGCAGCGGAGGGTGCGTGTACCCAAGCACCTGCAGCAGCGGCGCGGTGGCCTCGTTCCCCTCGCGCTCGTCCCGCACGCGCGACCCGAACCCGATGTTCGAGACGCCGGCCATGCCGCGCAGCTCCTCCAGGCCCAGCCCGATGTGGTAGGCGTTGTGTGCGCCTTGCAACCTCAGCTCAGACAGCCGCAGCGCATCGCATTGGCCGGATCCGGCCTGCGCAAGCGCCGGACCCGCCAGGGCAGCGAGAATCCCCGCCGCCAGCGCTGCCCGGACAACCATCGTCCCACTGTCCCCGACGCCACTCGCCGTTGATCCACTCCGCACACAACAGTCGCCGTCAGCGGTCACCACGCGCACACGCAGCACAGGTCTCCCTTCGAGCCTACTAGTTACGTCGCCAGGTCGCGCGAGACATGCACGAAACGCCCGCGCGCGTCCCCCATCTCCCCCGCCGCGCAGAAACACTTTGCTCCCCCCCGACACAACCAGCGGCCCCACACGAGGCCCCTCGGCCTCCAGATCACGCGTCCGTCCGGCCGCAGGCAGCCAGTACCCAGGACCGCCCAGCCCGCGTCGCCGATCCACACTCCGCGCCACTTCCGGGACCGACACCGCATCCAGCCCGCGCTCCTCCTCCGCGCGCCACCATGCCGGCCGTCCTCCTCCCGCGCGCCCCCAGCGCGGCCATGCGGCCGTCCGCGACCGCGCGAGCGGCCGCGCGCGCGCCGCTCGCCGTGCGCGCCCTGCCGCCGCTGCGGAAGGCGCCCGCCCCGCGCACCCTGGTCACCGCCCGCGCCGAGGCCGAGGCGCCCGCGGCCCGTCCCGGGTACATCAACGTCCAGGAGCAGCTCGAGTTCGGCAAGGTGCGCCCCGGGGGCCGCTCCGACGTCCGCCGCGGGGCCGCTCGACGCGACACCGCGCGCCCTGCCCGCCTGGCCACAGCACACGCCCAGCACCAGGCCAAGCCGGATCGCGGTGGCTCGGGGCCTGCGACGCCCTTCGCGCGCTCTCCCAGTCTAGCGCCGAGCATACGACGGCGGGGCAGCGCGCGTCCACGTCGTTTCATGCCACATACACGTCCGGCGGGCAGCCTGCTTTCCTGCGCGAGACCGTCATGCTTGGCGCGCCGTGCGGGGCTTGTCGCGGCGATACGAGCTCGCGCTTGGGGGACATTGCGACGGAGAGTGCGCGGGGCGTCCCCTGGTGACATCGTTGCCGCTGTGCGCCCCGTGAACCCGCAGTTTCGGCTCGGTGGCATTGCCCTGCCCGTGGGGCTCACGCTGATGGTGTACGGGTTCGGCGCGTACTTCCAGATCCTCCCGGGCACGGACTTCTCCCCGCTGATGCTCGTGTACGGTTTCCCGATCTCCGTCATCGGCGCCGCGCTCAACTACGCCGAGCTGAAGCCGGTCACCTGCTTCGCTCAGCCCGAGGCCCTCGAGGCGCGCGACAGCCAGGCCACGGCCATCCAGAAGCAGGTGCGATGGGCTCAACCGTTCTCAAACGCACCTCGCTCCCGCTCAAAGCTGCAACCCGCGCCCCGGAGCACCCGCCCGGAGAGACATCGACTTCCTCCGACACACCATTCCCGGCAGTTCGCGGCCACGCAGCGCCGCACGACGCCAACAGCCGCCCCCCGCGCATCACAGCGTCTCTGCCCGCGTGATCCTCGGCCCCGCCTGCACCCGCACGCCGGCCGCCGTCGCGTCGACCAGTTGTTCCGTCGCCGAAGTGTCGGTGTCGCACCGCGAGAGCCGCAGGTGCGCGAGGACTGCACGCGGTACCGCTACGGTGACGAACAGCACCTGGACGAGGCCCTGCCGCGCATCTTCATGATCGGGCGCCCCGGCGGCATCCGCCGGCCGCAGACGCCCAAGCTGACGGGCCTGCGGGAGGAGATGCGCGAGGGCAAGTACACGCTGGTGATGGAGTTCGACTCGCCGGACCTGGAGTTCGAGGAGTGGACGAAGCGCGAGGACAAGATGACGTCGTTCTTCGGGCCGAACATCAAGGCCTTCGTCGAGCAGGGCGAGAGCACCACCGACGTCGCGCTCGTGCGCACGGACTGAGCGACGCGGGCGCGCTGTAACCAACCCGACGGGCCGACGCCGCCGCGTGTCCGCGCCGCCGCTGCCGCGTCACCCGCCTGCCGCATGCCCTGGGCAGCAAAATCGTCAACAACAACACTCTGAGTGTACGAATAGGGGCGCATGAGCGTGTGCCCATGTCGCTGCGTGGTTCCAAGGACGTGCCGGCGCTGTCGGCTAGCAGCGAGCAGGGGGCTTGGTCTGCTGCAGCGGCCGACGCGGTGCAGGGCGGGCCCGTCGCGCGCGCCTCTTGTGCACCGCCGTCGTCGATCAACGGAGCAGGTAGCTCGAGGACGGACAAGCGGTGCTCAGACGGAACGTGCCTCGCATATACCGCATCCGTCAACCGCTTTCGCACTCGGCTGGCACATCGCCCGCGAGAACCACGCCACAGAGCTGCGCACCACAACGCAAAGCACCACTCCACGCGAGGCGAACCACCCGCGTCACAGCGATCCGGCAGAGACCCAGGCGCTGACCCTGCGTCGCCCGTCGCCCTCCGTCGCGCCGGTCAGTGGTTCCCCATCACCTTGTCGATCACGACAGAGAACGCCGCGAAGCCCGCGCAGCCGGTGCACATCGCCCACGGGCCGCCCTTGTACGCGAGCGCCGCGCCGGAGAAGCACCCGGCGTACGCGCTGTTCCGCCAGTCGTGCTTGGCGCGCGCCTTCTCGACCACGCACTCACTCGCGGAGAACAGCAGGCCCACAGTGCCAAACCCCTTGGCGTACGATACCGACTTGGTCTTCACGCTCGAGTACATCTCCTTGAACACCTGCCGCGTCGTCTTCTTCTCGTCCATCACCATCGGCTGCGGGCACGGCGGGCACGCGTCTCCGTCGCGCTGCGTAGCGACACTGGGAGCCCCCGCCCGCGTGGCGTGCGCGGGGGGCGTCGTGCGTGGATGCGGCGGGGCGGTTGCGTGGGGCGTAAGGTCGCACCGCGTACACGCCTCCGCCTCCGGAGGTCTCCATCGTTCCGAAGAAGACGCCAAACCCTAGGCCAAGCACTGCGCCGCCCACGCCCGACATGACGGCGCGCACGCCGCAGTTGTTCATGGACTCAATCTGGGCGTACTGCTCGGCTGTCGGCATCTGGAACGGCGGAACGTTCTGCGGCACCCACATCGGCTTCACGGACGGCGTTGATGGCGGCGCTCCTGGCGGGGTGGGAGGCGTCGCTGCATCTGGGTCGCGCGTCTCCGTGCCCGTGGCAGTGGCCTCTGCGCTTCTCTGTGCTTCATGCAGCTGGTCTGGTGCAGAGGCGTGGCTCTCCGACATCGTGGCCGGCGGGCAGCGCGTCGGTGGGCACCAGGAAGGAGCTGCGCAGCGCTCACGCCCTCACTGCGTGACGACGCGCGATTGGACTTGGCAGGCCTTCTACGACTATGTAATCGTTCAGCAACTTCCGACTGATCGTCTGTTCGGACGGTGTGGAGCGGAACAGTGCGATGCAACACACACAGAGAGAAACTCGGCGCCGGACGTCGTATCTGCACGTCCGGGGAGACGTTTTTAGTGCGGAACAGACGCGGTGAATGTGAGAGTTGCCGTGTAGCGCACCGCCGCGATCCATAGAGGCCAGGTGCGGCCGCGCCAAGGAACTCCCCACACCACCGGAGACATGAGAACTTTGGTGCCTGAATAGAGCGCAAGGGGGGCTCATTGGCGGCGACGAGCGGCCGGACGACGTGACACTTGCACGTCGAAGCGCCCGGCCAAGTGCGTGTGCTGCACTTCTCCAGAGACGGCTCACACACGGAGCCACTCCGCGCCGCCGCGTCGTAAGCGCTCCTCTCTGTACAGCGCAGTATATACGTCCAAACGGTAGCTGTCGAGGTTCTCGTGCCCGTCCGATGGCGGTCGTGGCCACGGCGGCGGACCTGGAGCGGTTCGCGGCGGAGTTGGATGCCTTGGCTCCAGCGCTGCGACCGAACGCGAATCCGCGCGGCATGGACGATGCGGATCTGTTTGGGCTCGCGCGGGCGAGAGGCGGCAAGCATGCAGTGGAGACTCTGCGCGCTGCCCTGGATGAGGAGGCGCAGAGGCCGCGCGCGCAGGGCTGGAGCTGCGCTTTCTGCTCGGCCGCTGGTGATCCGTGCGTCGCGGTGCCGCAGGCGAGAGGCGGCGCAAGAGGCGGCGGTGATGACGATCTAGACGGAGATGGGGGACGGAGCTCGAGCGGCCGGCTGTTGTTCACGGTGTCGTGGCGGCTTCAGTTCGCGCCGACGCCGCTCCTCCTGCCCTCGCGCGGTGGCTTCGCTTGCGAGCTCTGTCGCACCGCCATGCGACCAGGCACGATCCTCGAGGCGCAATGCGCGGCGCTTGCGGCCGCCGCTGCGACCGGCGACGACGACGACGGCCTTACGGCGCCGGGCGGAGGAGCAATCGGCGCCGTGGCCGACGCCATGGAACACCTCGCGGCCGTCAACCAGTACGACCAGGTGCGCGACGGGCACCGCTGCTTGCGTCACGGACTCCGCTTCAGCTGCGTGACGTCCGATCGAGTGTGTGTGTTCAAGGACGGCCCCTGCGCGTTCGACATCGAACGCGCAGAAGGACACCGAATGCGCTCCGGGTAGCTCATCATGTGCGCATGCCTGCACGGTCGATCTAGGCGTGCACAAGTCAGGGACGGCTGGCACACCGGCACTTGTTCTTCAGGTTTCTACTTTATCGCGAACCTCCGCGTCGCCTGTGCCTTGCATGCAGAGCAACCCTTTGGAGGCACTTGCGCGCGCGAACGAGGTCGTGTCCCGGGCGCAGGCGCTGTCTGCGCTGGCGTCGGGCGTGGGGGGGTGGACCTTTGCTGATACATCGCACTCCCCGCTCGTGCCCGAGGGGTGCGGTCGGCGCGCCGCGGCGGCGCGGATCGCTGGCCTTGCAAAGGAGCTCGTTGCGCGCACGGCGGGCAAGCAGCGCAAGGGGGCGGCGAACAAATCGCTATCGAACAAGCGATCCTCCCAGCACAGGGAGCAGGAAGGTTCTGAGGACGGGGCGGGGCGGAAGCAGGGGCCGCCGAAAACGCCGCGGACGCAGGTGAAGAAGCGGCGGAAGCGCGGCGAGACGGACGCGCCAGGGACGGCGTAGGCCCCGCCCATTGTGCAGGGGCGGAAGTGGGGCGACGCGGCAGCGCCGCGCTTGCGTGTGATGCGCGAGCGATGCGAGACACGCGTGACACGACGCGCATCGCACACAAAACAGGGACTGTTGGTCAGTGATGCCGTGAAAGCATCTTCGTGCGCAACGCAGCGGGCGCAGAGAAGCGCCGCCGGTTTTTCCTGGCCCGCTTCCCCCACACTCGCTCGCCGCAGCCAGCCGCACCGTCACAGCCCACGGCGAGCCCGTCCCAGCGACTCCCCCTCCCCTCCATCAACACCCCGAGAACTCCCCCCCCTCCCACCACTCACGCTCCCTCGCCCCCGCTGCGCGTGCCGCGCCACGCACGCACGCCGCACACTCCCCCCACCCCCGCTCAACACCCCCCCGCCGCCTCACGCCCCGTCCTTCTTCGCGGCCTTCTTCTTGCTCTTGCGGCTCTTCTTCAGCGCGCTCTGCAGCAGCGCCTGGATCTCCTTGTCCTCGACCTTCTTCTCCGTCGCCAGCTCCGGCAGCGGGCTCACCGTCACCCGGTCGCTGCCGTTGCTCGTCAGCAGCGAGGTGCCCTTGATCTGGGCGACGAGCTCGCCGGGCCGCTCCCGGAGCACGGGGTACTGGTGCAGGAGGCCCTTGCGCTCGAGCTCGGTCAGCGCGAGCTTGACCTTCTCGCTCTTGAGCGCGCGGATCGTGAAGGGCATGGTCGGGAAGCGGCGGTTGACTTCGCTGAGCACGGCGCGCGCGGCCTGGAGCTTGCAGCCGGACTCGACGTCGAGCGCGCGCTTGTACACCGTCGTCTCCTTCTCGTCCTTGACGGCCGAGCGGCCCTCGCCCGTGGACACGACGATGTCGATGGCGTACACGCTGTTGACCTCGAACTCGCGCTCCTCGGACCGCATGTCCGGCGTCGGCCGGTTCAGAACTACGATGTTGCCGTCGATGATGAACTGCTTCATCTGGTGCGTCATGACGCCCTCCACGATGCTGCGAGGCGCCGCCGGGGGTAACCCACGCGAGTGAGCTGCTCTGTCCTGGTTCGCGGCACAACATGGGGGCCCGTGTGGCCCGCTGGGCGCTTCGACACAACGACTGGATGTGGCAGAGTGTGGGGGCGCGCAGGAACGGGCGTCGGGCCGGGCGCGCGCCTGCAGTCGAAGGCCTTGGCAATCTTCTCCAGGACAGGTGGGATGTCCGTGGTCTTCTTGCCGGGCTTGATGAGCCGGATAGCGGCCTCGAAGCACGTGTTCGCGCACGCGATCACGTCGGCCTTCCTCCCGTCGACCTGCGGCGCGGGGCGCGGGCGGGCACCGGCGGGTGGTTGGCCGGATAGCACACGAGGCCGCGCCGCCGAGGCACGGGCAGCAACGCGGCCCGCAGGGGCGCGGAAGGATGTGGCGACTGTGGAGAGTCCGCCGGCGGCGCGCGGCGGCGCTTAGCGCCCGAAAAGGGATGTTTTGGGCCCCGTTTGTGGTGGCGCAGAGGGTGGTCGCGGCCGCCGGTGGCGTGTGCGGCGTCAGGGGGCGCCCGCCGCGGTGGGGGGCGGGGCGGGCGGGAGGATCGCGTGTCGGGGCAGGCGTGGGCGCGCGGGGGTCGCGTGCGGAGGCGGCGTCGCGCAGCGGCGGAGGCAGCCAGCGGCGGCGGCGGATGAGGGCTCGAGGGGCCTTCCCGGCGCGGTGGGCGGGCGCCGGGCGCGTTCGGGGTGCGTCGGGGGCGCTGGAGCGCGCGTCTCACCTTGAACTTGAGGGGATCGTCGGCGCACACGACCGTGGTGGCGGACGTGGCGATGAAACCATTGATGTGGGTCCCTAGATCGATTTTGACGACGTCGCCCGCCTGGAGGGCCGCGTCGCCCTCCACGGGGCAGAAGTGGCCCACGACATCGTTCACGCTGACGCAGGTGGGGAAGGCGACGCCCTTCTCGACCTCCTTGCCCTTGAAGACCTTGGAGACCTCCTCGTTGATCACGTCGTCGCCCGCGACGCACAGCTCCCTAATGAGCGCGCCCGGCTTGCAAAGAGAAACGACCTTGCTCAATGCCTTGTTCGAAATGTCGGCGGCGCCCTTGTACATCGTCACGGCATTGCTGTCGAGGTCGTTCTCGACCCCGCTGCCGTCGCTCGCGTCATCCTTCATCGCTGCGGACTCGCTTACGCTGGAAACTTGCACGGAGTTTCCAGAAATGCCCGACGCCGGCGCCCGGACCGGCCCAGCAGCCCGCGGCGGCCGATGCGGGTGTGTTGCATCACACCCCGCGCACCTTCTCGGCCCGGAGCGTTTCCCTCACGCCGTGCCTTCGGTACCACCATCAGGAGAAACGGTCTCGTGGAGGTGCGCGCAGCCGCTGAACCTCCCACCCGCCCCGGGGCCGGCACACCACGCCAACTGACCAACCTCCTTTGACGGCGCATCGTTGACTGCGCTGCGGCGGCACGACCTCCCCGTCGCGACTGCAGGGGTGCCCGGGCCGCAGCACGGCCGCCGCAACACGCGATCCAGAAACCTCACTTCCACGACCCCTCTATCGGCGATGCCAAGACTGCATCTGCATCGCGGCCTCATCTAACACACAGCGCCCGTCCGCGCGCCGCGCCCTGTCCGTGCGGCGCGGCAGATATCGCTCGACGTCCAGCGCGACTTCCCTCAGCCCCGCGGTCCAGAACAGCGCCAACATGACCACTCGAACGAGAGCAACTTCACACCGCGCTGGCACGCGCCCTGCGGGCGACACGAGCAGCTATCTGGCGAGCCGCGCCGCGCCGAACGACCGTCTCGCCCCGGTCCTGTCGTCGGACTGCCTCACGGCTGGAAGGATGGTCCCGCGCTGGTGTGCGACTGCTGCCGGGGCGTCGCTGCTGAGCTCGGCGTCCTCGACCCGATGCTGCGCTTGAGCTGCGGCCGCATCGGTGTGCCGCCCGGCGGCGGCGGCGGCGGCGGCGGCGGCGGCGGCGGCGCCATCGGCGGCGGCGGGGGAGTCCCGGTCTGCGAACAGCCGACCAAGTGAGCGATGCATCGTTCCAGGTGTGCGTGCGATGCGGAGCGGCCACCGATGGATGGTCGCTCGGCGTGCGCAGAACAGAGAGACCCTGGCGGCCATCGCATGCAGGGCAGCACGCGACAGCCAGCTGTGCTGCACGGCGTCACGCACGCACCTGCTGACCGCCTCCGAGCGGCGTGCCTTCGCGCTCGATGGTCGGCCGCTTCAAGATCCCGCGCGGGGTGGGCGCCGTGGACCCGCCGGGGCTGCTGCCCTGGCCCATCGCTGCTGCCCCTGCAGCTCTCAGCGCAGCGCGGCGCTCCGCGGTGCGTGCAGGCCGCAGGCGCGGCGTCCCGCCCTCCGGCGGGGTCGGCGGCGGAACGTAGGCGCCGGGGGACGTGGGCCCTCGTGACTCAGGCCCCGGCCCCCCACGTGGCATGGTGTGGGTGGACTGCAGCTGGGGGGTCCCCGCAGCGCTCGCCCCAGGGATGCCACCCGACGCTGACACGGGCCGAGGACCGGTTTCGTCCTGCAGGGCACGGAGGGGGGCACGGTGGCGCGCGGCGCGTTGAGTTCGGCGCAGCCAACGTGACGGCGCATGTGGCCAGGCGAACGGCGTGGTTAGGCGCTTACCGCGAACTTCAGGCGCAGCCCGCCCACGTCGTCGCTCTTCTCCGACGCGTCGCCGTGTCGGCTGCCGCCCACAATGCCCGTGGCGGTCGTGCGCGTGCGCACCAGCCGCTCGCCCATGATAGCGCCGCGCTCCCTGCGCTGCGTCGCAACCTGCCCGACGCCCGCGCGCGCCGCCAGCGCGCCCCCGACCGACTTCTTCGCGGCCAGCGACTTGGTCTTGATCGCGCGCGGCGTCTCCTGCTCTGCGGTCCCCCCGTGATGCGACGGCAGCATAGACATCTTGACGTCCAGGCGCGCCCCGTGCGCGCTGTCGTGGCGGCTGCCGTGCTCGCTGCCCTCCAGGCGGTACATGGACGCACGGCTCGCCACGGACTGCAGGTCGGCTCCCAGCCCCGCCAGCGAGCGCCTGCGGCGCCCCTCTGGTGCACCGGTCGACGTCGGCGCCTCCGACACCAGGTCCTGCGAGCCCTGCACGCAGAAACAGAATGCAGCGCGCCGATCACGACGGATCCGACCCAGAATGAACCTCGAACAGACCACAAATACAACGACACACGCAAGTGAATATATTGCGGTCCGAGCACGCAGCAAGCGGCGCGCGGCACCCACCCACGGGTCGACGCCGGCCTGCGCGAGCAGCGCTTCGTCCTCGCGGTCCCCGGCGCCCTCCTCGAGCTTCGCGTCGATGTTGAGGAAGATCTCCTCGACGGTGTAGTCCTTCTCCTGCCGCCCGAGACGGACGAGGAGCTCCTTCGTGAACACGCGCCAGCGCCAGAAGATGAAGGCCGAGAGGCACAGCCACAGGGACGTGGAGGCCAGCCCGACCATGATCTGCCCGTGGTAGCACATGTTGTACTGCAACGAGTCAGGGGGGGGGGTGTGCAGTGTGGGGCGGCGCTCGGTCAGACCAGCAAGGTGCTCCGCGCGGCCTGCGTGCGCGAGATCCGTGCATCCCGATGCAGCGCGCTGGACGCGGCGTCGTCAAGCGCACATCGCAGTTACTGCAACGCGCGTCAAAAGCGACGGCGTGCGCCTGGCCCCTGTCGGCACGTCGTCAGCCACGCGCGGCTTCGGGCGCGCACCTCGTTGAACTGGCGGAACCCCTTGAAGCAGGGGAACTCCGAGCCGTACACGTCAAACCAGTACATGACGGTCCCGTAGAACATCCCCGCGAGCGCCCCGACGACGACGAGCAGCCAGACGGGGAACAGCGACACGAGGTCGAAGAACATGCAGCCGTCCTTGAAGGCCACGGCGACGCCGGCCACCACCCACAGGAGCTGCCACCCCAGGGGCTCCCCGACGCGGTCGTCGCGCTGCAGGAAGATGTTGTACCCGAACCACGCGATCGCGACGAGGTCGACGAGCCAGTTCGCGGGCGTGAACACGCGCCAGAAGCGCTCCTTGCGGCTCATGGCGCGCCACGGGCGCTTGCGCTTGGCGCGGAGCGTGCTGCGGTGCTCCGCGCGCTTCGCGAGGAGGCGCTCGCGCTGCTCCTGCCGCCGCTTCTCCATCTTCTGCTGGTGCAGCCGCGCGAAGTACTCCTCGGCCGTCAGCCCGAGCGTGGGCATCCCTGCCAGCGTCGTCTGTCGCGGCATCTCAGACTTCCGCCTGCCCTTCTGCTTCGGCGTCGTGGGCTCCGGAGCCTGCGAGACAGCGGCGGATGGAGGCGCCTTCGCCTCGCGCCCGGCCGCAGCGCACGGGCGACGAGCACACGAGCACGCACGTAGCATGAAGCGCTGCGTGTCCGCTGTGTCCGCTGCGGGCAGGGGCCGGGACGCACGTGCTCTTCGAAGAGCCTGGCCATCTCCGCGATCTTCTTCTCGCCCGCCATGCGCTGCGCGACGGTGCGCGCGACGTCCTCTTCCGCATCCTGGGGTAGCTGTAGCCGCGGGGGGGGGTCGTCGCCGCCGGCCTCGCTCGGGGCCAGGGACTGCTGCCGACTCTGCGATCGCGGTTCCGACGCGGAGGACGGGAGAGAGATGTCACGCAGCGGAACAGGCGCCGGTCTTTGAAGCACTGCTGGTTGCGTGCGGCCCCAGCGGGCCGGTGTGCGGCCCACGTGGTCCTTGCAGTGATGCACGCAGTACGTGATCGGAGCGGCTGGCCCGAGGGGGGCTCTTGCGGGCCTCTGCCGCGATGGACACGGCGTCCGCCTCGCACAAACGGTTGCGCAGGCATGCTCTGGCAGGCCGCGAGCACGGGGACGGAACCTCCCGTGGGCGACGCGCGCTCGGCCGGAGGGGAGCTTTTCCTATGAATTGCGCGCGGAAAGCGCGACAGCAGGCCTCGCGCCCCCGCGAGGGCAGCCGGACCAGCAGGTGGGTGGAATGCACGCGCGTGGCTGCAGGCGCGGGGAGAGGGGCGTGCGTTGGGCTGCTCACCAGCGCCGCATCCACCCCGGCTGCGCTCTTGCGCGCCCTCCTTCCTGCTGCGGTGCGCGGGCGCGCCCCACGCACGGACTGTTCAAGCCCAGGCTCGGCGTCCGCCATGGTGCCGCCCGTTCCGTCGCCCTGCTACCGCGCGGCCGGGAGAACCACAGCTGAGCTACTCGCTGTGCTGCGTGCAGACGGCCGGGTGCCTCGTGCACGCCGCGACAGCCAGTCAGATGCCCGGTGGAATGCAGGAACGTCTCGACCTCGCCGTGTCACCGCAGGCGGCCTGCGGGGCCGACGACGCAGGGCCTATGCTTGGAGTATATGCTTCTACACGCGAGCGCACGCTCGCGCGTTCGGAGTGACGGCTGCCACCAGGGTAGCAGGAAAGCTCCCCGGCGTTGCTGGCAAGAGCCGAGGACAGCTCCTCAACCTGTATCTGGTCACGCAAGCGTTCAACGACGCCCTCGCATGGTGTCCGCGAATGCCGGCTGTCCGGGCAGGGCACTCGCAACGTGCTGCGGCGCCTGAACGCTCCGCGCGGGCCCCAGGAACACGTGTTCTACCTGACAGCCACACCGCGCCACCACGCAGGCTGGGCTTCGTGTGGGGGCGCCAGGACGAGCCCACGAAGTTGTCCTGCCGGTCGACGAGGCCCTCGGTCCACGCCCAGCGCTACTGGGTCCGGACGGGGCTCGATGGGGGGCGATGATGAGAGCGGTCCGCTGCTCCGCCCGGACAGGGAGACGAGCGATGTGCGCGGGCCCTCGCTCGAGAGCCAGCGGCAGGTGCGTGAGGACGCGCCCAACCGGGGAGCCGCGAAGAAGGACGAGGGGCTCATTGAAGAGCTGTGGATGAGTGGTGCGCCTCCCACCGTGAACTGAGCTTGCGTCCGATCAGCGCAGACCAGTTCGGACGCCGCCGCGACGCGCCGTCGCTGCCCGGGACCGTGGTAGACCGTCGCCGTCGTTTCTGCATCCGCGCGGCCACGTCGCGCGCAGCGACGCCGCAGCAACCGTGTCGGCGTGAGACAATATCGATGGAGCCCGGAAACTGCGCAGCAATCGGGATTTCAGGGCTGGTAGCCCGCTGCTGAACCTGTTACACTTGGAGGCCGCACGCCCACGCGAAAGGCCGCTGTTTGTGCGCAGGAGCCTGGCGGGCGGCCCCCCTGTTCATTTTGGCGGTGCTGCCGTGGGCGATGATCTTCCCCTACCTCCCGCAGCTCATGGTCGACTTCTTCGCCTCGGAGGAGGCGGGCTACGACCTCACGTGCGCGGATTCCCCCGGCGCCGACCAGCCCCAAGCGTGCCGCGACGCCTACAGCACGGTGCGCACGTCCCGCCGCGCAGCCCGACGCAGCCGCTCCCCGTCGCCGGCCCGCCCGCCCACGGCCGCAGCCTCGGCAGCGGAGATCGTGCACGGGAGGGCCGCGCCCACCCGGATCGGCAGGGCATGCTGTACGCGTCATGTGTTGCAATACGAAAACCACCTCCGCGACGCACCTGCACATGTCCACATCGCGATCTACAGCGTCGGCCCAGTACCGCCACGCCTGGTGCGTAAGCTCCAGCTCCGTGCCAGCCCGCTCCCCCCGCAGGTCGTGACGTGGCAGGCGTGGAAGTCGTTTGCGTCGCAGGCGGTGCTGTCCTTCCTGCTCACTCCCGCGGTCGGCCGCTGGTCCGACCTGCGAGGCAGGCGCCCCGTCATCCTGTTCTGCACCTCCCTCGACATCCTCCCGCTCCTCGCGCTGCTCGCGTACCTCTCGGGCGCTGTCCGCCTGTACGCCTTCTGGCCCCTCTCCGCGCTGAACCAGGCCGTCAACAGCTCCGCCGTCATCCTCTCGTGGGTCTCGGACGTCGTGCGCCCCTCGCGTCGCGCCGCGGCGTTCGGCGCGCTCACCGCCGTGGCGGTGTTCGGGATGGCGGGCGGGCCGTTGGCGGCGCTCTTCTCGGGCCCGCGGCCCGCCACGGTCGCCGCGCTGTGCGTGCGGCTCGTGGGCGTGGCGTACGCGCTCGTGGCGGTGCCGGAGACCATCGGGCAGCGGCGGGCGCCGTGGAAGGTGCGGTGGGGCGTGGCGGAGGACGACGAGGACGAGGTCCGGCGGCGGAAGGGCGTTGCGGGCGAGGAGCGGGCCAGCGAGGGGTGGCGCAGGTGGCTGCCGATCGACAAGGGAGCCCTGGGGGTCGTGCTGCGGTCGCGGCTGTACCGTCGGCTGACGCTCGTCCTCATGCTGCAGGCTGCGTGCTCCGAGGGCCTCCAGGTGCGCAGAGGCGACCGCGACCTTCCTCGCGCAGCGCACCCGCGACCACCGACGATGTACGTCACTCGCTGCCCCCTGCCCCGCGCGCCCTGCAGGACACGCTCCTGCAGTATCTGATGCTCGTGGCGGGCTTCACGTCCAAGGACAATGCGGTCGTCCTCGTCGTCATTGCCCTGGGGGGTTTCCTGTCTCTGACGTTCGGCCTGCGGACCCTCCTGCTCTTCGTGTCCGAGCGCGGCGTCCTCCTCACGGGCCTCGGAGGCCTCCTGGTGCACCTCCTGCTCCTCCCGGTCACGACCACGCGCGCGCTCGCGTACGGGGGGCTCTTCGTTGGCCTGACGTCGTCGCTCATACTCCCTGCCATCAGCTCGATGAAGGCCAACGCCGCCGCGGACGACGAGCAGGGCGCGGTGCAGGGCGCGCTGTTTGGTGCCAGGGCAGCCGCGGCGGGGGTGGGCCCGCTGCTCTTCGCGGGGCTCTTCCACGCGACCACGTCAGGGAGCCGTGAGGAGGGGGGCGCGTGGCCGCTGCCGTACTTCCCTGGCGCGGTGTTCTTGCTTGGCGCGGCGCTGACGGTCGCTGCGATGGTGGTGGCGCACGGGATCAGGGCGGAGGACGTCGTTGGCGTGAAGGAGGGGGCGCGACGGCAGCGGGAAGCGGGGCGGTGCAGCGTCGAGGGGGACCGTCCCGGGACGACGCAGCCGCTGCCATGACGCGGCGTTGCTATTGCTGTGGAGTTGCACGCGCTGGCCAGTCGCTGGGTGTACATATCGACTTGGACTGGCAGGCTGGGAGCTGTTCGATACACGTCTGTAAAGGGCATGCAGCGGAGCGCACGTGCCTTTGGAAAGCGTTCCAGCAAAGCAAACGTGCTCGCTGACTGTCACGGCCAGGACGATCGACGTTGCCTGCCCTGGCGGGCGACCATGAGTGCGGCGCGACCCTCGTCCATCTGCCACGTCAGTCCTCGGCGTCCCGCGTCGCGATGGCCAGTGCGCGACTTCACTCCCCTGGCGCGGGAAGTGAAGTCCGGCGTGTGGCGCACTCTCGCTCGGGATTACACTGTCCCCGCAGGAGGCCTGCCGAGGGCGGCATCCGCGCGGCACGTGCACGGGCGCCCGGTCCCACGTCGCCGCTCCCGCCTGCGCCACCTACGTGTCCTTCTTCCCAGCCGCCTCCTGCTGCGCCTTCATCTGCTTCAGCTGCTGCTCCGCGAGGCTCTGCACGCTCTCCAGCGCCTGGGGGCCGTACTGCTCCACCAGCTTGGCCACGCGCGCGATGCTCTCCTCGCCGTGGTTCTCCACAACCCTGAACAGCACACGTGGCGGCCGGGGCACAGCGCCCACGTGAGACGCTCCGCCGCGCCGCAGCTCGCTGGGCGCGCACGTCCCGCAACGCGAGCGTCGTCCCCGCGCGGATGCTGCGAGGCCGCTGCTGGCACCATCGCGGCGAGTGCTGGGGAGTTGCAACGGCACTTGTGGCGCGATGCGCGAGCGGCGGACGGTCTAGGCGCTGTGTGGCGCGGCGGTGGGTGCGGGGGAGGGGTGGGCCGGTGCGGCGCGCCGGCAGTCGGGTTTCGAGGGTCGTGGGCGCACCTTCCAACCATGCCGATGAGGTCGTTGTTCATGATCGCCTCGAGGTTCGCGACGTACGGCTGGGCGCGCGGCTGCACGTACTTGGTCATGAACGGCTCGATGAAGCGCTCGTAGACGAACTGCGCGCCGCGGAACTGCGGGGACGCCAGCCACAGGAGGAAGATCAGCTTGGCCTCGAAATAGAAGGGAACGTAGGACAAGAAGTACTCCAGGAGGGTCTCGAAGACGCCGAGGAACGCGTACACGATCCAGTACGTCAGCCACTGCCGGTCGTCCGCTGGGTCCGCTGACTTGATGGCCACGACAGACGCGTATCTGCACGGGCGGGCAGCGGGGGAGGGGGGGTGTGCGACCCAGAGAGCGAGCGGGGCTGTCGTTCGTGGAGGTAGGGACGCAGAGGCCGGGAGTTTGGGATCCAGGGCGCGCTGTGCGGGCGCCGTTCGCGATTCGTTTTGGCGCCAGGGACGACTGATGGCGGAGCTGGCGGTGCGCGGCGCTTGACGCGCAGCGGGACATGCCCGGAAGCCGTTTCATGGCACGGGCAGCCGCGGTTACATATTTCCGCGAGGGGTGTGTGGCTGCGGGGACGGTGCGGGGCCCTAGAAGAGGGGCAACGCCCTGCACGGCCGCGACGGAACGCGGACCCGGAGCAGGCAGACGATCAGGCGGCGCTGCTCCCTAGATAAGAAAGAGTCCGTGGCGAGCGTTGAACATCATTCAAAGCGCCGCGCCAGGTCGCCGTGCGGGTTCGATGCGTGTGCAGTTGATTCACGTCAACGTCACGCGGGGGCGCGGGGCGGCGTCGACGGTGCGAGGGAGGCATCTCACGTGGGGTATAGCAGTGCCACAAGCGTGCACAGCCACTTGGAGATTCCCAGGCTGAAGAACATCGTGCCACGAGCGTACCCCTGTCTCTCAGCTTGCTGCGCTGCTGCCAGCCGCACACGAGCGCCAACTGGCCGGTTCGCGCGCCCGCTGTACTGTGGCCGTGCAGTTGTACCGCCGGCACCGGGCGCCGGGGCCCGACGAGCGGCAGCGTGGCCTCGCGGGCCTGCGGAGGTGTGATGGCTGCGGAGGCAGACCGTGGCGGGACTGGGCCGCGGGGCCGTTCATTGCGGCGCCCCGTCGCCGCGCTTGAGAGAGCAGACCAGGGAGACCGACGTCGGCGTGGTACGTAGCCCGAAGAGTGTCGAGCCGAACGGGGAAGCGCGGGAGCACTTGCAGCAGCGAGTTCACCTCCAGGGGGGGGGAAGTGTTGTTTGGGCGCCCGGGGCACGCCGTCCTCGAGACAGGTCTGCTGTGTGGTGATCTGCGGCGGACCTTGCCACGAGGTCGCGGAGCGGGGCCGCTCTGGCGGGGTTTGGACAGCGCATGGAACCAGGCCGGGCGCGGCGCTGAAGTATGGCGAGCGGGCTTGAGGCGCACGTGGTGCCTGCAGCGGGAGGTGGCAATGACACGATGGAGTACACGCGCGGCAAGGCCGGCGAGACGGACAACAAGGGCCTCTCTCTGGTGCAGCAACACGCCCTCAGGTGACCGGCCCGCACTGCCGCCAGAGAGCCGCATACGATTTGAATCTGCTTCGACTTCATTCTTCGATCACCTTTCGTTGTATCGTCATGCTGATCTCTCGCATATCTCCGTCTCATGCGCCGCGCAGGGTCAAAGAAGTGAAGCGCAAAGTTGCCGCGGAGAAGCTGACGGCTCTGACCCCGACGATGAGCCGTCTGACGCGCCAGATCGCGCTCGAAGAGACAGGCTACAACGTGGACAAGGCGCTGGAGTTCGTGCGCGCGTTCCAGCAAGCCCACCCGGACCAGCTCGACGAACTCAACAAACGCCGGCTCCGCTTCCTCGCGGAGCGCCGAAGCAGGTGACTGCGCACGACGCCCGCTGCCGTCTTCCCCGCCACGCAACGCCGCGCAGAAACGCTCGCTGACCGTCCCTTGCACTGCGAGCGCCCTCTTTCCGCCGCACGTATTCAACTGTTCAACCGGCACACGTGCCTCCTTCCGGGCCCCGCTACGTCCAGGAAGCGCGCAGAAGCTGCCGAGAAGGCCGGGGCCGCGGCGGAGGCCGACAGCGACGCGAGCCCCTCGGCTGAGTCATCCTCGGACGACTCATCCGGTGCGTCGGACAGCGACTCGTCGGGCCGCGGGAGGGGGTCGCGTCGGCGGGACAAGCGCCGCAGCAAGTCGAAGAAGAAGTCGCGCAAGCGCTCGCGGCGGTCCCGGTCGCGCTCCCGCGACCGCACGCGCTCCAGGAAGCGCGACAGGAGGGAGAAGGACAAGAAGGCGAAGCGCACACGGAGCAGCCGAGACGACTCCAAGCGGAGGACGAAGCGCAGCCGGCGGTCGCGCTCCCGGTCGCGGGACCGCGGGGGCGACCAGTTCGGCAAGTACGGCGTTCTGCGCGCGGGCGACGTGGACGCCAAGCGGCCCGAGTTCGCGGTGTGGGCGCGCGAGGTCAAGGGCCTGGACATCGACGTGCTGCCCGGGCAGGAGGAGAAGGAGCTGTGGAGCCAGTTCGTGGAGGACTTCAACACCGCGACGATGCCGAGCAAGAAGTACTACGACCTGGCGGCGTACGAGCAGCGCAAGGCGGCGCGGGCGGGCGCGGGGGAGCTGGCGCTGGGTGCGGGCGCGGGGACGAACGTGATGGAGGACGAGGCGAGCCGGAGGCGCGAGCTGGTCGAGGCGCGCCGGGCTGCGAGGGAGGCGGAGGTGCAGGATGCGTACCGCAGGCTCAAGGAGTCGGGGCGCGCGGGGGACATGAGGGAGCAGGACCGCCTGCGCGCGGAGATGACGGCGGCGTACCGCGCGGGCGACACGGAGAAGGCGTACAAGATCCAGCGCAGGCTCGAGCCGGACGAGCGGCGCTGACGTGCGCAGGTTGGGTTGCGGGCACGAGCGGCGATCGTGTCGCTTGTCACATCGGTTGTAGGCTCACGCGTCCCACAGAGCGCGCTGCTGCCCGCGCCCCCCCTCGCGTGCTAAGTAAGCTAAGCTGTTGAGGTGAGGTGAGGTGTCACATTCTTCGCGTCGTCAGCCATAAGGCTTTGGGACCTGAAAAGATCATTCGACTAGGTGGCGAGTCATGCTAACCCCCCACCGTTATGGTAGCAACAGGTTCGGCAGCTGTGACAGAGTCGGCCTGGAGCAGATCCTCGATGCCACGAGCAAAGATCGCCATGCCTCGCTGATTCGGCAGGTTCAGGAGATAACGCACTGCAGCGTTGGCAGCGGCTTCCGAGTCGAGTGTTGCAGCGCCGTGCAGATCCTCGAGGTGCTGGCGTAGACGGCGGTTGAGAGCGAAGCGGCGGCGCTGTCCAACAGTTACCGTGGACGACAGGGGCGCATCGGCAGCTGGCGGAGGTGGTAGCGTGAGCTGCCCAGACGAGTCCGTGGCCAGGCCCGCTCGTTCCCGGAGAGAGCGTACCGCCGGGGCGCAGCAGTCCAGCAGCAGGTGGCGGAGGTCCTCCGGGGCGGGCGATGCCGCCACGTCCACGCAGAAGCGGCAGACTTTCGATGGGTGCGACAGCGGTGTGTGTTGCCACTGCTGTTCCTGGTCCGCCATGGCCATCGTGGAGGTGCGCAGCCTCGTAGCTCCCACACGCAGGCGGGACAGGGCACGGCGGTCCGCGTGGTAGATCGCGGTGTCGAGCAGATGTGGAGGGATGGTGCGCGGTGGTGGCTGGCACCACCAGGCGTACCTGGCCCGTGTGCGGCCAAGCCCGTGCTGAGTGACCTCGGTCCGGGGATCCGGGGTTGCCGCGGGCTCGTGGTCCGGCAGCACGACCTGAGCGATCTTTCGTACCCTGCGAGTGAGTCGGAGGGGGCCCGCAGCACGAGTGAGGACTGGCTCGGCCGCCGCGCTGCTGCCGGATCGCGCATCTTCATCACGCCCGTGCTAGACCTCGGGCTGTGTGCCCGACCCTGTGATCAGGGAACCGGGTGTCGCTACGAGCAGGCCTGACAGCTCCAATTCGAGGTCGTGCCGCGGCCGTGCCGGCGCGTGCGCCCACGCAGCACAGCAGACGCGGCCCTCGACGCCGAAGGACCGTGCTGATCCGTCAAGATGCTCGTGTCACGCGGAAGAGGAGGTGCGGGGGCGACCGTGGGCACGCCAGCGGGCGCGGGCTGGGTCGCGGGCTCCTGCGGGCCGGTGGTGGAGCGGTCCGGGAATCGACCGGCATCCGTGCGCTCAGCCAGTAGCGAGCGCGACCTTGGGGGCGAGTCGTCGCGGTTTCGGCCCTCGCGTCCGCCGCATTCCGCGTGGTCCCATACAGGCAAGCGCAGCGTCGCCGCGGGCGCTAACGAGCACTGAAAGCAGGGGGCGCGATATGGAACCACCGCCTACGGATGTGTGCCGCCCGCGGCAGGTGTTTGCGGGCCGAGTTCCCGGGGGGGAAGGCGTCACAGTGCGCGCCGGCCGCTCGGCACCAGTTGCCCGGCGAGGCACACGCGTCACCCGGTACGCCCCGCGACCCCCCCACAGTGATGTCCACGACATCAGCCGCACCACCGAACTGCACGGCGCCGGGATCCCCGGCACCGGATGGCACGCCGGGGTGCCTGCTCGAAGAGAGGCTCTCTCACCCTGACTGGCGGGGCTCCGATCGCGTGGATGGAGGCGCCCGGAAGCAGTCCACGCACGGCCGGTGATGCGCCCGTCCTCCACCTTCTGCCATCATGCACCGGGCAGTCGCTCCGCCCAGCCTGGGCGGACAACTGTAATTGTGTCCACAGTGTGTTGAACACCCCCATCGCGCCGGCCGTCTTAGAGGCCGGCTGCGCGCCCAGCGTCGCAACTACGGGCACGCCGGCCCCTCTGCGGTAGGCGCTGCGAATCTAAGGCGAGGGGGCAACCATCCCAGAGCGATAATCGAGACTCGAGGTGCACACGAGGTGACCACCTGTTCCCTTGTGGCCGGCCACGCGCTCCGGACGGGGGGTTTGGAGCCCGTGCCGCCCCACGGACGCCCTGTCAGGCTTCTCCTGAGTCGTTGTGTCTCCGCAAACGGCGGAAGCGGCGTGTTGACGCCGAAAACCCGATGCGAGCCACAGTTGCCCCAAAAAGCAACGGCTTGAGGCGCTGTTGAGCGCTGAACCGAATGATAACCGAACGATTGATGCGGCATCTCCGTGCGCGCGCGCGGGACAACCATCTCCCGCGCTGCCGTCGGCAGGCGCGCTGCCCTTGACTCCATGGTCGCGCTTCCCAAGGCGCCTCGCGGCCCGATTCTGCGTTTCCCGCTGCTTTCATCGCGACGAATGTCTCGACTGCGCCCGTTTCCCCATGCGCGAAGACGGCGCCGCCGCGCCCCGCGATCCTGCTGAGGTGGTGGCCTGCCGCAACAGACGCTGCTCATCGCGCTTTCGCTCCTCCGCGCCCTCCATCAGTTGTTTCAAACCGACGCGGAACGGCCGCGACGTGGCGCGCTTCGCTCATACGCCCCCGCGGAGCGGCGCAGTTGTCCTGCGGCCCCCGCCTGCCCCGCGCGCCCGTCTCTGCGATGTCCGCGACCCATTCGCCTCGCCCCGATGATCGCGCAGGTCTCGCTCACTGGCTCGGAGGCCATCCCAAGCGTTCAGGACGCGGAGGACACCACCACCTCCATGGCGAACCTCAAGGTGAGTCGGCCTGGCACGGCGGCCTGGAACCCCGCCTTGCGCCAACGCGTCGTCTGAAAGGGGCCCCGCGGCCTTCCGGCGACTGCCCGAAGCGCGCGCCGCTGCCGCACTGCGCGATGATGCCCTTCGCACCCTCCCTCCCGGTGCTGAGGCGGCACGTGCGTCGTTCGCCCTCGTCGAGCCCAGCCTCCCCATCTCACCTTCGGGAGCTGTCCTCACCGTCGCTCCGCAGGCCCACGCGGGAGCCGCGGGCAGCCGCCGAGTCGACTAGACTCGGCGACATCGGCCAGCAGGCGTGCAGGCCACTGCCCATGGATCGCCGAGGCCGTGGTGGCCGAGGCCGTGGTGGCCGAGGCCGTGGTGCTGCACGTGGCGTGGTGACCGATGACCGCGGGCACGCGCGTAATCGCTTCCTCACGGAGCACGGGTTGAAGCGGCGTCGGAGCAGCAGCTCGTCCACACCGTCACAGTTCACGCAAGAGGACGCGATCAAGCTCAGTTTGTCAGGAGCGGTCCAGTTCAGCGGGCCTCTCCGAGAGGCGTTCTTGGAGCTGGTGCGCGCGTTCAATTTGTGGGTCAGCCAGCGCGCGGAGGTCGCCAACATGCTGGTGCAGCATGCCCTGCTCCTGGCCCTGGAGCGCGAGGAGCACAACCTGGACAGGGCTCTCAACATCAAGAGCGACGCCGGCGTGAAGAGCATGTACCTTCATGCGATGACGGGCACCGCGCAGGACATCCACTCCCCGGCGTTCGCCATCGGTCTCATGCCATCCTTCAAGGAGTTCGACAAGCTGGGGCTCCCGGCGACGCTTGCGGAGGGGGCACGCATGGAGGGGGACATTCAGGCCTTTAACAGAGTCGCCGGCGACCTGGCCCGCGCGTTCCAGAGCCTGTTCTCGGACGTGACCTTCAAGGCCCGGCAGCGCAAGGTCATCCGCGCCTTGCTGTGGAAGATGGCGCCCGACGACACGCGCGACGTGCGCAAGTGGCGTCTCCGGAGCATCGTGGACCAGATCAACGGGGATCCGCCGTCGGAGTACATGAAGCGCACCATGTCCAACAAGGCCTACAAGCTGACGCGAGACATGAAGAAGCTGATCAAGGAGCACCGCGCGGTCCTGAAACCGCGCAAGTGGGTTGAGCAGCGCGAGGCTTCCCGCTTGGTCGTCGACGCCGCCACCAGGCTGGGGGTGGGCTGGTACGAGGAGGAGAAGGAGGAGAAGGACGTCGTGTGGGACGAGAAGTGGCGCAAAGACCACCCCTGGGAGGTAGTGCGCTACTATGCGTTCCTGCTGAGGAAGTGCGACATCCACAAGCTCAAGCTGCGACGCCCCTTTACTCTGGCCCTACGCCCCCACGTGCGGCGCCAGTATGTGCCCATCACGCCGGAGGTCCTCCAGGGACTGCTTCGCGCCTGTCGCGCGCGGGTCTCACGCGCTGACTGGGAGGCGCACTTCGGCCCCACCGACAACGACCTCGACCCCCTCGGAAGGGCTGGCCTGGCGGCCTTCAAGGAGCGTGCGGCCAACTTCTGGTGGCCCAAGGTGTTCGTCATGAAGCGGAAGCTGCGGCGGGAGCGCAGGGACACCACGGTGCCGCGCGGCAAGGTGGCCAAGGGGGACAAGACGAGTGCGCGCGAGAAGAAGACGAAGTCTCGCTTCGAGGAGCCCGCGCACACTCCCGACGACGACCCGCACAGGCGCATGCGCGGGGCCGGTGGGTGGACGTTCTCCGGGCTGGTGGCGACGGACGGCGTCGGAATCGACTTCCACTTCAGCAAGAAGCAGCCGCGGCCGACGAAGGCGCCGAAGGTGTCACAGGGACAGAAGGCCGCCGGACAGAGGGGGGCGCAGGAGCCCGCTGGCGGCCCGCTCGAAGGTCAGTGCGTCGTCGGGGTGGATCTCGGTCGGATCAACATCTCCCAGGCGGTCGTCAAGCGCCCGGACGGGGAGTTCATCGTGCGCCCCGCGTTCTCGGCAGCCCGCTACCACACAGAGAGCGGCCAGAGGCGACGCGCGCGGCGCACGCGGGGCTGGGAGCAGGAACGGGTGGGTAGGGCCGGCGTGTTTCGTCGGGATCCGAAGTCCGTCGCGTCTCGCACGCGGTCGAAGCCCCTCCCCGCCAAGTTCGCCGAGGTGATGCATGGGCTCGCCACGTCCAGTCGCGCCGACATGGAGAAGGCCGTCAAGGCCTACGGCCCCATTCGCGACGACATCTGGCGGCTGCGCACGCAGCTCAAGTGGGCGCGCGAGCGCTTCAGGGCGCACCGGTTGTCGCAAAAGGCGATCAGCCGCGACCTGCGGGGCGCCAAGAGGTGCTGCGCGCGCGACGGAGACGGCAAAAAGCGCCCGCCTCACCTCATGGCGTGCGGCGACGCGGCGTTCCCCGGGACCGGCCGGGGATGCCTGCCCGTCCCGCTTGAGACGGTTCGTCGCAAGACCAAGCTCACCTTCCAGCAGGACTTCAAGGCCGTGGACGAGTACCACACCACCAAGGCCTGCCATGAGTGCCATAGGGAGACGGAGGAGGTGTACACGTACGTGGAGAAGCAGCAGGACGCGAGTCAAGGCACCTCTGGAGCGCGCAAGTTTCTTCGCCTCGTGCACGACCTCCGGTGGTGCCCCACCTGCGAGAAGTTGGTGCCGAGGGACGTCAACGCCGCCAAGAACATGGCGGAGGCGGCCGGTCCGGTCCGCCCGGCCTACCTCTGTCCTCCCGGCGAGGGCGGCGGCGGCGGCGGCGGCGGCGGCGGCGGCGGCGGCGGCGGCGGCGGCGAGGGCCAGCGCAAGGTGCTGCCGTACGAGGAGCCGCGCCAGGCCAAGTCGCGGCGTACGTGAGTCCCGGAGGCGTCGACGACTCCAGGGCCAGCGTCGCACGCGGCCCCGCGAGCGTGCGGGGCAACAGAAAAAAACCACAAAGTTCTGGTACTGGAGGACTGTACCAGCAAGGACTGTGTGCACGACCTCCAAGTAGGCGACCCGAAAATGTATCTCAATCTCTTTCGAGGACATCTTTCGAGGCGCTAGCGGCTGTGCCCTGACTACAGGGTGTGACCTTCGGGTCACGACCTATCTCCTGCTTGCGGAGGACGGGTTACAGTTGTGAATGGGAAGTCACCGGCGCCAACAATGCCCCTGTCTAGTCCTCCTCGCTGAAGTCCGACACGTCGGTGTCCGACGCGTCCTCGTCCTCGCTGTCCGACGAGATGTCGATGACCGCCTGCCGCGCGCGCGACGCGGCCGCGCGCCGCCCCGGCCGTGCCGCCGCCACCGGGGCCTCCACAGGCTCCTCCTCGGCGCCCGACTCCTCCTCAGACTCGACCTTCTTCTTGCCCTTCGCCGCCGCGGGCTTCTTCGCCGCCGCGCCCGCCTTCTTCGCCTTGGCCGCGGGCGCCGCCACGTCAGCGGGGGACTTCATGCGCATCATCTTTGCCCGCGGCGCCACGCTCGGCGTCTCGGGGTCGTGCACGTACCCCGCCGCGGAAGCCGCGGCCTTCTTGCCGCCCGCCGCGGCCTTGGCCGCCGGCTTGCGCTTCGCGGCCTGCTTCTTCGGCGCGGGCGTGAACGGGTCGTCGTCGTCGTCGGCGCTGAAGCTCGCGTCCGAGTCCGACGTGAGCTCGACCGCGTCGTCCTCGGAGTCCGTGTCGTCGTAGACCTGCAGCTTCTTCGCCGCCGCGCGCCGCGGCGCGGGCTTCTTGGCGGCGGGGGCGGGCTTCTTCGTCTTGGGACCCACACTCATGTCCGCCACGCGCCCCGCCAGCCGGGACATCAGCCCGCCCGCTTCGTCGTCCTCGCTGTCGGACACCGCGATCGCCTTCGGCGCCGCCTTGGCCTTCGGCGCCGCGCGGGGCTTCGCAGCGGCCTTGGCGGCGGGCTTGCGCACCGGTGCCGCCTCGGAGTCGTCCGACTCGAAGTCGCTCTCCGACGCGTCCGACGCGTCGCTCTCCGACATCGCCACGGCCTTCTTCCTCGGCTTCGCGGCAGGCTTCGCCGCGGGCTTCGCCGCCGCCGCCGCCTTGGGCGCGGCAGCCTTGGTCGCCGCGGCCTTGGGCTCGCTGGGCGCCTTGGCGGGCGCGGGCTTCGGGGGCGGGATCACGCGGCCGGCGGGCGGCGCCGGTGCGGCCTTGGGCGCCGGCGCGGCCTTGCTCGCGGCCTTCTTCGGCCTGGCCTCGTAGTCCGACTCGTCCGAGTCGCACATGTCGTCGTCGCTGTCGCCGCCGACGACGCGCGCGGGCTTCCTGCGCGCGGGGGCCTTCGCGCGGCCCTTGCCCGCGGCCTGGTTGCGCGCGGCGACGCGGCGGCAGCGCTCGAGGTCCTCGCGGGCCTCCTCGTCCGCGGCGTCCACCTCGTCCAGGTGCGCCAGGAACGCCGTCAGGTCCGACCGCCACAGGTCCTTGGCGGTGGTCGCGCGGAGCCGCGTGACCTCGTCCTCCTGCTTACGCGCCTCGCTCTGGAGCTGCTCGACGCGCTCGAGCGTCAGGCTCCACAGCGGCATCGACAGCAGGTAGTCGAAGGACGCCCCCGCCGACTCAGGGTCCGCGGCCGCGCCGTACTCGTCCGCGGCGGCGCGGCCCTTGGGCGGGAGGCGGTCGAAGCCCATCTCGGTCAGGTCCGCCTCCACGTCCGTCTTCGCGCGGTTCGCGATGCGCAGCCGCCCCGCGACGACCGCCAGGATGAAGCGCACGCGGTTGTCGAGGCGCCGCATCTCCGCCTCGGCCGCGTTGAGCAGCCCGCGGCGGCGGCGCTCGTAGTACTCGAGCCGCAGCGGGTAGAAGTCCTCGAGCACGTCCTCCGGCGACGCGTACCGCTTGATCACGCCCTCCCGGTCGAAGAGCATCATGTTGGTGGTTCCGATCGACGTGGAGAGCTTGAACTTCTTGTGGTGCCCCACCGCGCGCGCCTCGGCCATCTGGTCGTCGGAGAGGTACACCACGAACCGCACCGACCGGTCCGTGTGGTACTCCTTGTAGTCGAGGATGCTGGGGCGCTCGTCCTTGCCCTCGGGCTTGACCAGCGTCTCGAGGAAGTCCTTGTAGTCCTGCGTCCACTTGCGCAGCGGCAGCTCCGTGATCTCGAGCGTGTTGTCGTCGATCTCCGCGATCACGCCGTGCACCGCGAAGCTGTCGCCCTCCCCGCTCTTGCCCACGCGCTTCTTCTCCAGCCGCTCGATCGTCCCGCGGAACCCGCGGTACCACGGCTCCATCGGCTCGAGCTCCTCGCCGTCCATGAGCCGGAGGAGGTTCGCGGCCACGTCGCGCGGGTTGTAGTTCGGCACCGACGTCGACCAGCCCGTGCCGATGCCCTCGGCGCCGTTCACCAGCACCGTGGGCAGGATCGGCAGGAACCAGCGCGGCTCGATGGGCTGGCCCTCCTCGGTCTGCGAGGGCAGCAGGCGGTCGTCGCCCTCGTTGAACAGGTGCCGCGCGGCGCCGGCGAGCCGCGTGAAGATGTAACGCGGCGACGCGGCGTCCTTGCCGCCCTGCAGCCGCGTGCCGAACTGGCCCGAGGGCTCCAGGAGGTGGACGTTGTTGGAGCCGACGAAGTCCTGCGCGAGGCCGATGATGGTCGACGCGAGCGAGGCCTCGCCGTGGTGGTAGGCCGAGTGCTCCGCCACGTACCCCGACAGCTGCGCGACCTTGATGTCGGCGCGCAGGTTGCGCTTGAAGCACGCGTACATGATCTTGCGCTGCCCGGGCTTGAACCCGTCGAGCATCGACGGGATCGACCGCTCGAGGTCCGCGCGCGAGAAGAGCACCAGCTCCTTGTGCACAAAGTCGGTGTAGCTGATCCGCGCGGCCGTGTGGTCCAGGAACGTCCCCGCGACGTGCGCGTTGAGCCACGTCTTGCGCTCCTCGACGCGCTTCTTCGAGAAGGCCATGTCGAGCGCGTCGCCGTCGCCCGCGCCGCCCCACACAAACTCCTTCACGTGCTCGTCCAGGTTGGCGAAGTACTCCTTGGCCTCCTTCGCCGTCGAGGTACCGAGACCCTTGTAGTACTTGATCGACCACCCGCGCAGGTCCCCGCCCAGCGACTCCTTCCACGCCTCGTACTCCGGGAGCGTGTAGAACACCACCGCCTTCTTGCCCTTGGAGACCTTGACGATCGGCGTGACGAACTCGAGGAGGAACCCGGGCACGAGCAGGAGGCTCGGGAAGAAGTGGTGCAGGTAGTTCATGATCAGGCCCTTGATGTGCGACCCGTCGTGGTCCTGGTCCGTCATGATCATGATGTGCCCGTACCGCAGCGACTTGGCCGTCTCGTACTTCTGCGACGCGAGGCGGGGTGGCGCGGCGAGCGTCCGTGGGCGGACGGCGGACGGCGGGGGGTGCGGCGCCCGGGCGCGCAGGCGGCGGGCGTGCGCGGGGCAGCAGAGGGGGGTTGGCAGAGGGGGGGGTGATGCGCACCTTGCCGTGCTGGAGTCCGAGGATGAGGTTGAGGCTCTTGAGCTCGGCGTTGTTCATGATCTGCGTGTGGCTGGCGTCGCGGACGTTGAGCAGCTTGCCGCGCAGGGGGAAGACGCCGTAGCGGTCGCGCCCGACGACGGACAGCCCCGACACCGCGAGCGACTTGGCCGAGTCACCCTCCGTCAGGATGAGCGTGCAGTGCTCCGAGTTGCGGCCGCCGGCGTCGTTCGCGTCGTCCAGCTTGGGCACGCCCGTCAGCCGCTGCCGCTTGGCGCCGTCCTGCTTCTTCAGCTCCTTCTGCTGCTTGAACGAGTGCCACTGCATCACGCTGTCCACCACGCCGCAGTCCGCGACCTGCACAGGGGACGCGCGGACACGGCGTGGTCGGCCGCCGCGAGACAGACGCGCCGGGCGCGCTGCGCGACGGCGAGCGCGGCAGCGCAGCGGGCGGGCGCGCACCTTCTTCATGAACTTGTCGGAGAGCTCGCAGGTGGACCCGAACGCGGACTGCTTGAGCGTCAGGTTCTCCTTCGTCTGGCTGTCGAAGGCCGGGTTCTCGACCTGGGCGTTGATGAAGACCCAGAGATGGTTCTTGATCTGGAAGGGCTTCAGGTTGCGCACCGCGGTCTTGTGCTTCTTCTTGATCGCCTCGAGCAGCTTGCCCGTGATCTGGTCCACCACGTGCGCCACGTGCGTCCCGCCCTTGGTCGTCGCGATGCTGTTGCAGAAGGACACCTGGCTGAACTGCCCCTCCGACAGCGACACGCACACCTCCCAGCGGTCGCTCACGCGCTCGTACACGCGCGGCACGCCGTTCTGCTTGCCCAGGTACAGGTCCACGTAGTCCTGGAACGTCCGCACGGGCACCTTCTGCCCGTCGTAGTACACCGCCACGCCCTTCCCGAGGACGCCCGCGAGGTCGTAGGTCCGCTTGCGCATCAGGTCCACCACGTCGTCCTCGAGGTGCGTCATCCCGAACTTGGCCAGGTCCGGCTTGAACGTGATGCACGTCCAGTTGTCCTTGGACGAGCACGGCGTGATCTCCGGCTCCGACTTCACGGCCATGTTGTCGCGGAACGTCTGGCGGTAGCGGCGCTTCCGGGTGCCGTCGCACGTCTCGATGACGAACTCCTTCGAGAAGATGTTCGCGAGCTTCGCGCCGTAGCCGTTGCGGCCGCCTGCGCGTGGAGGTGAGCCATGAGTGAGGGGAAGCGCGCGGCGAAGGAAGGGGAATCAGGTCTGCGTTTGCGTCGTGGGCGGACGCACCGGTGATCTTCTTCTCGCTGTCGTTGTAGTTCGACGACGTGAGCAGGTGCCCGAAGATGAGCTCCGGCACGTACACGCCCTCCTCCTTGTGCACCTCCACCGGCACGCCGGCGCCGTTGTTGAACACGCGCACCGTGCCCGCAGCGGGGTCCACGTCCACGCGCACCATGTCCATCTTCGCGTCGCGCACCTTGTTGTCGGCCGCGTTCACGAGGATCTCGTCGAAGATCTTGTACAGGCCCGGCGCGAACGACACGTTGCGCTGCACCATGCGCTCCCCGTCGTGCACCCACAGGTGCATCTGCGGGCGCGGGAGGCCGGGGGACGGGTCAGCGCGCGGCACACTGGAGATTTCCGGGGCCCTCCGGTCGCCTTCGTGCGCGAGGGCGCGGGAACGGGCCCGGAAAAGCCCCGCGGGGAGCGATGCCGGGGCCGGCTGTCCTGGTCGGCGTTGGATGGCAAGGGCGCCTTGCCTGCTGCTTCTCCGTGGAGCCGATGTAGGTGTCGGGACGCAGCAGGATGTGCTCGAGCTGCGTCTTCTTCTGGTACGTCTCCTCGATGGTCTTCCCTGCGGCGGGACGGGCGCGCACGGCGGCGGGGCAGGGTCAGCGTGCTTGCTGTGGGGCCGGGCGCGCTCAGGCTGGCGCGTGGTGGCGTTGAGGCGCACCTTTCTTCATCGTGTTCGCCTTCTCGCCGAGGATCTTGCCCGCCTTGCCGCCCTTCGCGGCCTTGGGCGCCAGCTGCGTCGCGGGAGGGCGCGGGAGGGCGATTGTTGACGCTGGAGACGCGGGTCGCGATTCCGGCCTGGCCGGTCCGCATGTGCGCGTGTCCGTGCACGTTTCGGGACGCTCATGCAGCAAACATCCCCGTCTGGACAAAGGAGCGAGAAAGCGAGCTGGCGTGCGGCGGGGAGGCTCACCGAGACGTTCTCAGCATCATCGACGCAGCTCATGGCCGCGACTGTGACCCTGCGGCCTCTCTCGTCGCCTGCTCGGCGAGTTCAGACCGTCTCTGACGCGAAGCGTCGACCCCGGGGACGCCTTGTACGGAACCTGACCCGATGCCTCCACCTGTTATTGGCCTGAGCGCGTGAGAGCACACGCGCCGTCGCTTCAGCCCGTCCGCGCAGCCGTGGCGGGCGACTTCAAGCCCTGGTATTGGCACCGCGCACACGGGCAGCGCCGCAAAGCAGCCGGAAACCGAACCTGCGCGGCGCGTTCTTCCACGTCAGACGCACCATGTCAGACACGACAAAACTCCGCGCCAGCGCACCCACGGCGCCCCCTCCTCCGCGCCGCACCTGCAGACACGACAGCTGCGCGCGTTCTCGCGCCCGTGGCAGGCCCAAACCGTCGCCGAAAGCACCCCCTGCATTGGCCATGCTGACTCGTCCCCCGCGACGCGCGCACTCCGGCACTCAGCTCGACGTCACACGCCAGCCACGCCCGCCCCCGCCAGCGCGCCGTCAGTCCTGTCGCGCCCCCGTCGACGGGTCCACCGCGTCGGAGCCCCCCACGCTCTCCAGCGACGTCAACATGCCCGGGTTGCGGTGCAGGAGCGTCCGCCCCATCTCCTCGCCGTGCTTCGCCCCCTCGAACATCCGCTCGAGGGACGCCAGCGCCGACCGGAGCCGCTCCGGGCGCAGCACCACCTGCGGTGACGCCGCCACCACGCGCCCGAACGCCGCGTCAGGGAGCCCGATGGCGTCGCGCGCTGCGTCGACGCGCGCAGCCACGGCCGCGGCGTCCATCAGGAGCAGCTCGGGGTACGCGCACGCCACGTCGGACGCGTCGGCCGGCGCCGGGAGGGCGCTGCGCAGGGCCAGCAGCGCCGTGGCGGCGCGGCCGGGGTCGCGCAGGAGCGCCGCGATCGTGACGGGCTCCATGGTGTAGATCCGCGTGGCGATGTCGGGCACGACGGCGACGAGAGCGTCGTAGCCGGCCTCCCAGAGCGCGGCGGCCCCCCCCGCGGCGGCGTAGGGTCCGAGCGCGCTGGCGGGCAGGGCACCGAGCCGCATGATGAGGCGGTCGCGGTTGAGGTTCTCCCACTTCGTGTGGCGCTCGTTGACCTGCGTGCCGATCGTCCAGGGCGCGTCGGGGGTCCCCGCGGGCCCGCGCGAGCGCAGCAGCGACGCTGCAGTGTCCACGAGCTGACGGTGCGCACGGAGCCGCTCCGGCTCGTCGTAGCCGTCCGGGTCGCCGGGGCTAGCTTGGGCTCGAGTGCTGGGCGGCGGGGGGCGTCGCGAGCGGCCTGACGCGCCAGGCGGAGGCGGAGGCCGGCGCCCGAGGGCGCTGTGACCGTGCGCGGGCGCTGCCAGCATCGCGCCGGCTATCACTGGCTAGGGGCGCTGCTGCCGGCCTGGTCGTTCTCCTTAATGATCTCCTTGGCCTCGCGGGACCGCTGCAGGCACGTGGGCGTTCGCAGCGACGGTGAAGGGCGTGCCGCTCTGCGCGGCCAGGGTACACGCGGCGCTGGCGATCGAGGTGCCGCAGGCGACGCGGGTGCCCCCGATACGAGCAGGAAAAGGGCGGTGCTCCGGTTTCCGCGGTCCGACGGGGACCCGGAGGGCCAGAGAGCCGCGGCGCGGTGCGTTCCTGCGCCAGCCACAGCCACGCACACGGCCGCGCGTGGCCGCTCCGCGTGATTTGCGGCTCGCGCGCTCACCTCGAGGTAGCGGGCAGTGATGTCGACGGACAGCGCGGCTGTGCGGAGGGCCATCACCCCCGCGGCAGCCACCAGGAAGCCGACGGTGGCCTTGTGGGCTACGTCATAAAACTGCGGCTTCGTGTACGTCCTGCCGAACGCCCGCAGCGGGAAAAGCGCCATGTCCGCCTCGGTCGTCTAACACACGCTTGCGCACGGCTTGCAAGACCTCAGCCCGTCCAAGCGCGACGATGCCGCGCCACTCCTCTTCGCACGCTGCACCAGGTGTGTCTCGTCGGACACCGCGTCGCTCTCTCCGCTCCTATCGATGCACGGGACCACAACTATGCGCAGCTTCCTGTGCGCGTGCCAGCAATGACGCCGCTGCCACTGAGCTGGTGGTACGCGCCTCCCTGACACCGCGTACGACGCCAACACGCCCCGCTGCCATGTCGTTGGTGACGTCGCCCCAGGAGACACCCAGCCAGCACCAGGGTGGTCTCCAGAGCGTGTTCGCTTCCTCAGGCGCCAGCCGAGTGTCGGCTGCGCGGGGACCACTTGGACGTAGCAGCAGCGCAGGCGCCTGTTCGCACGCGTCCTCGGCCCCCGTGCCTGCACCACGCGGCCCGTAGGTGCGTGCGACCGGGGGTGACCTCCGGGGCCGCGCAGATGCCCGTTAATCGAAGCACGCCGCACTGCTGGGCGTGTGCTGTTATCGTTGCTGCGATGGGTCCAGTGCGGTGACGTGGGGGGCCCAAAGTTTGGGCTAAGAGCTCACGCCGGAGACTGGCGGGTCGACCCGAGCGGCGCGCTGTCCTCGCACGGCCACCTACTAGTAGGACTCCCCCGCTCGGCATGACATTCCTCCAGGGGGGGGTTTTGCAAGCGGCGGGACTGACGGCCAGCGGCGTGGGGCTTTGAGGGCGGAAGGCCGCCGTGGACGCGGCCAGTCGAGCCCGCCTCTGGCCCCACGGTCGTTCGCCGCACGTCCACCAGGATGTGCGCAGACGCACTTGCTCCCGTGTGCACGGTAAGCACTCGCGCTTGCGTCCCGGGCGTGTCTCGCTCGAGGAGATTGTGGAGAGTAGGTGCCACGTCGCGAGAGCTCCGCCAGCAGGGCGCGCGACGGTAGGAGCGGGATGGCGGGAAACTGCGCTCGCAACAGACCGAACTCGCGCGGACGAAGGTGGAGATGCCCGCGGTGAGCGACCTCCCCATGAAGTCATGTGCATCATGTGCGTCAATGAGGGCCACTCTCTGACGCACACACGATGCGCTTCCTCGCGCACGACGCTGGCCAGGTCCACGTTGCACGAGCGCCGCGCCACAACGCGCGGAAAACGAGCGAACCCGTCGGTTTCTGCTCTGCAGGATATCGCTGAAGCGGGCAGCCACAAATCCGCGTCTGGGACGGAAAAGCCCCCGCGACGCACCGCGGGTCCTGGCGCGCAAACGTGCCCCCTTGCCGGGGGGGCCACCTGCTTCGTCGACGGCGCCCGGGCATCGTGTATCGCCGTCTCGAGCACACACTAACTCTGCGCCTGCGCCGTCTGCCAGGCCGGAACCCGAAACGGCGAGGACGCGCCCTTGGTCATGTGGGGGTGGACTGTCGGATGGCCTGTCGCCGGCCCCTGCGGGCTTCAGTGGGCCCGGGGCAGGGCGCACTGGACCCAGTTCTGCAAGCACTGACCGGCGCGCAGAGGACTGGACGACGGGTCCCAAACATTGACGGCGCCAGGACGCTGTTGCTTTCCGTGGTGCTGTGGCGTGTGGTCTCGCCGGCGCTGCTGTGGGCCCGCGAGAATGACGGAGCTAGTGTTCAGCGCACGGGCGGAGAGCGCGTCTTCATTCGCCGAGGCAGGGATGCGGTTGGACCTTGTCGAGCACGGCGAATCCTTCGGGAGCAGCCCAGGAAGCTCGGGGGTGCCGTCCTCGCCGGCGTCGCTGCAGCTGGACGAGGTGAGCGCACACAGGGAGGAAAATATTTGTGTTTCGTCGCCTTGACGCGCCGGAAGTGCAGAAAGCAGCGGGTTTAGCGAGAACGGAGCGGTCGCGACACAAGGGGCACGTAGCGTGCCGCGGCCCGTCCATGCGTGTTCGTGGGCCAACAGCGCCCCAACGGGCCCACGATATCGTGCTTGTGCGAGGGCGACCGCTATTGGTAGGCCTTTATCCGCGTCGCGCCGCATTCCGCGATGATGACTCACGAAAGGACACAGCCTGTGCCCACGCGTCCTCTGCACGGCCTCGTGGGCCTGCGCGCGGCACCGCCCTCCGACGTGCCGGTCGACCGCGAACCGCATTGCAGGACGAGAAGCAGGAACGCAAGGGGCCGTTCGCGTGGTGCTGCACACCAGGCATGAGGCTGTGGTGGGTGCTCGCCGTCATCTTCGCGGGGACACTGATCGCCCTCTGCCTCGCCTTCATACCAGAATGGTGCGCCTTCGCCATACCCGCCTGCGCGTGTCCGAGCCCCCCCTCACCTCCCTGTATCACACACGCCCTCGCCGCTGCGATCCACGCAGGTCGAACGGACCATCGTCTCTGGAGGTCCTCGTCCCCATCGAGACGCCCGAGAGGGCTCCCGTGATCGCACAGGCCGTGTCTGCCGCTGGGTTGCCCAGCCTGGAGGGCGAACGCAGCTCGATCGACGCCCTGGTGCGCAGCCACGCCCGCTGCTTGCCTGCTTCTGCTGGCGAGTCTTGCTCTCACGGCGCAGGCTCCTTGCGTGTGCCTCACCCGGCCTCTCAGTCCGTCGCGGTGTGCAGCTCAACATCAAGGTCAACACAGGAGGCGCGCGCCGCATGATGCTTCAGGAGGCGACGGAGGCGGACATGCGGTTCGCGGTGTGCGAGACATGGAAGCGCGTTCTGGGCGCGCGGGGCGTGTCGTTCGTCGAGGTGCTGGCGAGCGCTGCGCAGGTCGCGGGGGGGGAGTTTGAGGTGGTGGTCAGGTGCGGGCCGCACGCCCTGCGCTGGGAGCTGCATGCAGGACCCAGACTCGGCCGCACGAGTGCGGAGCTCGCAGGCGGCCACACAGCCCCAAAACACCCCCGTCCGCGGCGTGCGTGCAGGGTGGTGTTTGCCGACGAGCAGGCGGCGCAGTCCGGCGCGGCGGTGCTGAGCGCGCACTACCGGGCCGTGACGGCGGCGGACATGCTGGACGCGAGCGTGGCGAGGGGCATCGTGGTGGTGGACGTGGCGAAGCAGGACAGCCTGCTGCTGTCGACGGCACAGGCACAGCCGACAGCTGCTCCCACGTCGACAACCGCCCCTCAAAACACGGTAGCTGCGGCCACCGTCAGCGCGATGACGACCGCTCCGCCTTCGACCACCTCTTTGCCAGCCGCCACCCTGGGCCAGGCGACGGTTGGTACACAGACGCCAGCATCATCCACGACGACGGCTGCGCAACTGACAACGGCTGCGCCAACCACCACGGCAGCGCCCACCACCACGGCTGCGCCCACGACGACGGCGCCGCCCACCACCACGGCAGCGCCCACGACGACGGCAGCACCCACGACGACGGCGCCGCCCACAACGACGGCAGCGCCCACCACCACGGCGCCGCCCACGACGACGGCAGCGCCCACGACGACGGCAGCGCCCACGACGACGGCGCCGCCCACGACGACGGCAGCGCCAACCACCACGGCAGCGCCCACGACGACGGCAGCGCCCACGACGACGGCAGCGCCCACGACCACGGCGGCGCCCACGACGACGGCAGCGCCCACGACGACGGCAGCGCCCACCACCACGGCAGCATCCACGACCACGGCAGCGCCCACGACAACGGCAGCCCCGACTTCGACGACGGCACCCCCGACTACGACGACGGCAGCGGCCACGACGACGGCAGCGCCCACCACCACGGCGCCGCCCACGACCACGGCAACACCCACGACGACGGCGCCGCCCACGACGACGGCAGCGCCCACAACAACGGCAGCGCCCACCACCACGGCGCCGCCCACGACGACGGCAGCGCCCACGACGACGGCGCCGCCCACGACAACGGCAGCGCCCACGACGACGGCGCCGCCCACGACGACGGCAGCACCCACGACGACGGCAGCGCCCACGACGACGGCGGCGCCCACGACCACAGCGCCGCCAACCACGACGGCGCCGCCCACGACGACAGCCGTGCCTACGACCACGGTGCCGCCGACCACCACGAGCGTCGCCAGCCACATTTTCCATGTGCTGGGGAACCTGACGGGCAACACAACAATCGACGTTCCTCGCATTCAAGCAGCTCAGCTGACGGTACTGGCCGTGCCGGTGACGGGGGCCGTCGCTGAGCGGCTCTTGAACTCGTCGTCGCCGTCGCAGATTCGCGACGGCGAGTACAGCTGCCCTGCGCTGTCGGCGAACCACGGCGGGGTGTATTACGGCGCGTTTTTCCTTGATGAACAGTTGCAATTCGTGCTCGAGTGGACGCTCAGCAGCCACGAGAACATGACCAGCTTCTTCCTTGCGTACCGGGCCGGCGACAACTACACGTACCGGGTGTACGACCCCGCGACCGGGTCCACGATTTCGTCAGACGGGCAGCTGCGCATGTCGCTTTCTGCGTCCATGCGATACACGGGCGGCTGCCCGTCGAGGCTGTCCCGCGACGATGGCGTGTGGATGGCAGGTAATCAGACCAGCCTTCTTCATGGCGGCACGAGAACCAGCTGCTTGCGAGGTGTGTCGTGCTACGGTTTTGGCACTTTCAACACCCGGGACTCTAGGGCATCGACGCTGTACTCCAATACGACGAGCTCCACGGGACGGATCAAGGCATACATTGTGTTCAAGGTATTGCGGACAGACATGCATCGCCTTTGGTCCTTGTTTATGGCCCTGTGGAGGCAGATAACGGTCTGCACCTCAATTGTGCGCTCATGCGGGCCGTCGAGATCGCTCAGTCGAACACTCCTATCTGAACGCTTGCAGGAAAACGCACAAGCCGGCGCGGCAACAACGCCAGCGTCCGCAACCACCGCAGCTCCCACAACGACGGCAGCTGCCACCGTGACTACGGCAGCGCCCACCACGACGGCAGCGCCTACCACCACGACGACGGCGCCCGCCACGACGGAGACAGTGGGGGCAACGACGACGGCAGCACCCCCATGACCATGGTGGCGCCTGCCACCGCAACGTCCACGGTGAACGCGTGCACCGTGTTGCTCAGCGCATCCTTCGAGTCAGACGTGGTGACGGCGCACGGATCCCTCGCAGCCCACGCGGCGGCTGTGCCAGCGGAGACCCCTCTTTCAAACAACACCCCGTCTTTTTCTTTCTCGCACCAGCGCAGTCTTCCGCGACGTTGATCTCGCAGCCCTGCAGCGACATCTCCCTGGAACTGCCGCCGAAGCGACACGTTTGTTCCGGCGCAAGTCCCGCGGACAGCTGTGGCCGAAAGCGCAGTCGTCCAGATGCACGAAACAACCTCACTTGCATGCAAACAACCTTGCAGTATGACGGGCGATCCTGCAGTTCCAAGGTCGCACGAACAGCACGCACATGTACGTGCGTCTAGCTCCAGGTCGAACACTTCGTGGCCGCACCACAGGGTGCGGCCGAGACCTCTGTGACCGGCAACGCAGAGCACTCCGACGTGTCCAGTTTGACTCGCTGGCTCGCGTGGAATGATGCGCCGGCGCGTTGAGGATTGGCGCAGCGTCCGCAAAACTGCCGGCGTCTTCTCGGCGTCCCCGTCACGGCAGTTGCCCAGTGAGCATGTGAACAACCCCAACGCTAGTTTGCTTGCGCGCCTCTCGCGAGGTCACGTGACGAGGGCGTCGTGCGCATCGCGCTGGTCGTGAATTCCGCGGTTCGGTCGCCGCAGGGCCGCGGCTGCCCGTCTCTCGATGCATAATTTGGCAACGTGCCCCTTGCTCCGCGGGGGACATACTGATCATACCAGCGCTTGAGACACGGACGACGGAGGATCCATATGCTGATGATTGCGTTCAGATGCGTCCGACAGGTTGTAGACCGCAGCGCACGGCGGGGCCGCGGCCTGAGTCATAGAGGGGTGCGGTGGTGTTGTGGCGCCGTGAGGGACGAGGGCTCGCTTCTTTGGGCGGTGGTGGGGCGCGCTGGCAGCAGTGGTACGAGGGGAGCTTGAACGCGGCGGACTGGACCGGTGTGCTCGACGTTGACGGACCGCGGGGGGCTTGCCTCACGAGAGCACCTATACCAGCGTGAGCCGGCGCCGTCCTTGCGCATAGCGGGCATTCGTCAATCCCGGTCACCATGTCCAATCATTCTGCTGCGCCTTCGGCGAAAGCCTGGTCATTGGGGAGAGTCGCGTGCGCAGATGACGGCCGGACCGATGCGGTTGAGTCGGAGGTCCCGTCCTCGCCGATGTCCCTTCCTCCTGGCGAGGTGAGTGATTAGTTATGGCTGAATACATTACGAGAATAGGCTACCGTGCCGCATTGCGCCTCTACGTTCCCGCATCTGCGAGCACAGGGCCCTCCATGCAAGGGTCACCCTGAGCCGCGGCAGGTCAACGCGTCGTTCCGGGACCGTTTGCGTCTCGAACACGCAGACCATGAGATGATGCCCACCCGCAGAGATCGCCCCTGGCTGTCGAAACCGGTCTGTGTGCCGCGTGAGGGCATGTCTTCATGAGAGGCCACGCCAAGTGCCTCCACCGCCCGCGTGCACCTCCGAATTTCCACCTGAGTTTCCGACCCGCGTTTCTCCACAGGATGAGCAGAAGGTCACCGAGGGCGCGTTCACATCGTCGCTGTGCTGCTGCAAGACCAAGCGCGGGGCGCTGTGGGCGGTGCTCGCGCTCGTGCTCCTCCTCGTCGCGGGGGGCGTCGCCGCCTCCGTCCTGCTCCTCTTCCCGGGAGGGTGCGCACCCCCTCTGAACCCGCACGGCCTCGCAGAGCAATCGTGCCTTTTGTGGTCCGTTCGTTGACGGCCAGCTCGCAGCGGTCACTGCATCATCGCACACGCGCTGCTACGTACCGTGCAGGGGCAGCGAGGGGTTCCGACAGCAGCCGATGGTCATTGGCACGCCGGGAGATGCCTCGGTGGTCGCCAGGGCCGTGTCTGCCGCCCGCTTCCCCAGCCTGCAGGGCTCTCACCAATCGATCGACGCCCTGGTGCGTGCATCCACCCCTCCAACTGCCTGCTCCCTGCGCTGGCGACCTGGTCCTGTCACCGCACCGGGCCGCGCCGTGCGTCTGACCCGGCCTGTCCGTCCGTCGCGGTGTGCAGCTCAACATCAAGGTCAACACAGGAGGCGCGCGCCGCATGATGCTTCAGGAGGCGACGGAGGCGGACATGCGGTTCGCCGTGTGCGAGACATGGAAGCGCGTGCTGGGCGCGCGGGGCGTGTCGTTCGTCGAGGTGCTGGCGAGCGCTGCGCAGGTCGCGGGGGGGGAGTTTGAGGTGGTGGTCAGGTGCGGGCCGCACGCCCTGCGCTGGGAGCTGCATGCAGGGCACAGGCGGCCGCACGAGTGCGGAGCTCGCAGGCGACCACACAGCCCCAAAACACCCCCCGTCCGTGGCGTGCGTGCAGGGTGGTGTTTGCCGACGAGCAGGCAGCACAGTCCGGCGCGGCGGTGCTGAGCGCGCACTACCGGGCCGTGACGGCGGCGGACATGCTGGACGCGAGCGTGGCGAGGGGCATCGTGGTGGTGGACGTGGCGAAGCAGGACAGCCTGCTGCTGTCGACGGCACAGGCACAGCCGACAGCTGCTCCCACGTCGACGACCGCCCCGCTGGCGACGAGCCCGGCCGGGTCCTCCGTGACCCAGGCGCCCGCAGGTGGCCCAGTCACGGCGAGCGCAACAGCCCCAGCGACCGGCAGTACTGCCAACCCCACGGTGGCGTCATCGGCAAGCACCAGCGCTCCCCAAACGACGACCGCTGGGGATGTGGCTCAGGGCGCTGCCTCCGGGACGACGGTGGCGGCGACGACCGCCTCGACCGCTAGTTCCACGGCCGCTGCGACGGCTGCGCCTTCGAGCGAGGGAGCTGCGACTCCGGAGCCCACTTTTGAAGCCGCTTCACCGGCGGCGCCATCCACGTCCGCGGCACCGACAGTAGCGGCCGAACTCGCGACAGCGAGTGCGCCGCCCACGACCACGGCCGCGCCCACGACGACTGCCGCGCCAACGACCACAGCGGCACCGACGACGACCGCGGCGCCCACTACCACAGCCGCGCCCACGACGACAGCGGCACCGACGACGACTGCGGCGCCCACGACCACAGTGGCGCCCACTCTTGCGCCCGTGAGCTTCGTTTCCGAGAGCGTCTTGGAGGCGAAAAAGACCGCGTGCGAGGCCAACAATGGCACCTGGTCAAACAGGGTGTGCAGCTCGGGTCTGAACTCTTTCAACTGGTGCGGAGCGGGCCGCAAGGTCATCGCGCTCACCTTCGACGACGGACCCGTCTTGCCGACGTCCTGGGATGCCAGCAGGTGCGCAGTGTCGCCTGCGGCCCGTGACGGAGCACTTCGGCGCGTCCCTATCGTGCCGTGCAGACTGCTCCTGGCAGCTCCAGGAGCACCTATCAATATCGCGCACCATCCTGATTGCATGCAGGCCGCACACACGCACGGTTCTGGAGGACCTCGCAGCCACTGGCCTGCGCGCCACGTTCATGATCGCGCCCACCGCGATCACCTACACCCCTGAGACGCTGCCGCAGAAGTGCGAGGTGCTCCGGGCCACCCTGGCCGCGGGCCACGAGGTCCAGAGCCACACGTGGCTGCACCGTCAGATGCCGTCCACCACTGACATTGCGGGGGAGCTGCAGACCGTGCAGGACTGGTACCGCAACTGCACGGGCGGCGCCACGCCGCTGTCGATGATTCGGCCGCCGTTCGGAGAAATCGACCTGCGCTCGGCGACGGCGAGCAACGAGGCCGGGCACATTGTGTTTACGTGGTCGAACAACTCGGACGACTGGAAGCTCGCCTGGTCGGACATTCCGACGGAGGACAAGATCGACCGCATCCTCGACCGCGTCATGTACGCGCTCGACGTGGAGACCAAGCAGCCCGTCCCGGTGAGTGCCCGAATCCGCGTTGCGGTCCTGCGGGCGCAGCTGTATGTCTTTCGCCGCAACGCAACGCAACGCAGCCAGTCGTCATTCATAGCGTCGAGCAGCCCGTACCCTACTCTTGCGTGGAGTGCAGCCGCGTGCGCTGAGCGCTCCGCTCTGCTCTGCTCCGACAAAAGCGGTGTTTTTGAAATGATACAATCTCACAGCACGCCTCATCACTCCTGGCGCTCCTCCTTTGTCGTTCGCAGGGTGTTTCGCGGCTGGCCGACATCCTGGCGGCGGGCGATTCCGCAACGCTTCTGTTCCACGACCAGGCGTACTGGCCGGGACTCCTGGCGCGGCTCAAGGCCGCGATTCACGCGATCGACCCCGAGTACACGTTCGTCTCGGCGTCCGAGTGCTACCACGGTTGCATCGACCTCGTCTGCAACGCGCCGGCGGGCGACCTTCGATGTGCGCCCGAGTACTGCGGGTGGTAGGCGCACACGTATGTGTGGGCACCGACAAGACGTTCTCTCCGCGAGCCGCTGCACGGAAACGATGAAGAAGCTGCAACGCATGCGCGCACCGCCGCGCGCTTCTGCGGCTCGCAGGACTACGCCGCCGAGCGAGGGGCTCGCGGCAACAGCTTCTGCGACACAAGGAAGATGAAACAGCGACAGCTGGCGCAAGCAGTGACTTGCCGTCAGACTGGACACGCAGGACACGCATAGACCATGCGCGAGGCGACTGCCACAGACGACAGTCATTCCCGCCGCAGTTTAGCAGGTTCGAGCGGCCTGCGCTCGCTTGCATGCAACACACCCCCCCAAGATACCACCCCGCCGTAAGACCGCGCGTTTGTGCGCGCAAGATAGTCTCGCCAGGCAGAGATCCCGGGGCCGCACCACAGGGTGCAAAATACGACCCAAGACCCCTCTCCCCCAACCTCCGGGGGCCCTCCCGCAGCTTACCTTGCCTCCCACGAAATTTCGACACAGAGTCGGGCTCTTTGACATCACCGCAGCAAAAGCCGGAGGACAGACGCCCGCCATAGGGCGCGCAAGCTTCCCGGGCCTCGCAAACGCAGAAACACTGTGACAAAACACAACACAATTGTCGTACGACCTCTGCAGGAGTCTGTCTCCGGGGTGCCCGCGTTCGCAGCCACCGGCACGGCACTCACAATCATGCCAACTGCAGCACGGGACAGCAGCTCCAGCGAAGCGAATCTTGCCGCGACGACACAGCCTGCAAGCATGCCGGCCTATTTCTGCGTCACGTGGCTCCAGAGGCGGCCCGCGAACGCGAAGCTCAGATCTCCGCCAGGCGCGAACGGCTCTGTCGGGCGGTGCGGTGCGGCGCCGGCGAGAGCGGTGGCTCGGCGTGCCAGCGACACACTGCGTAGCCCGATTGCACATTTGTCGACAAGGAACCGTTGCATCGGCGTCGTGCGAAGCCCGGACGGGCTGCCGCGGCCTTGGCAGAACTCGCCTTGGTCCAGGAGCGCCGCCGCTGGATGTTTCCCACACACGGGGGGTCTTTCCCGTACGTCATCGAGTGTCAGTGCCCTCCAGGGGCGCAGCACAGCTGCGCCACGTGCCACCTTCTGTGCGCACTTTCCTCCAGAGAAGGCATCGCACGCTGTCGTTGCGCCGTGATGGCCGTTCCGGCACGATACTGCCCCCCAGAGGTGCCCCTGGCGGCGAAACCTTCAGTGCGGTCCGCCGTGCAGCTGACTGCGGGGCGTTCCGGCGCCCACATGCGGCTGTCATCCTCCACATCAGATAGGGCGATCACGCGGCGTCGTTTCGGTGCAAAAGCGGGGCCGGTCAGGAGCCGGCTGCGGCGTGGGCAACGATGACGAGAGACGATCGCAAGCGCAACCGTGCCTGACGAGATGCCGCTGGTGAGGTGCGTAGCTGCTGACGAGCAACAGCAGCGCTCCGTGACTGCACAATTCCAGCTTCGAACGTCTCTGACCACGCGGGTGGACTGCCAAAACTCTCTCGCACGGCGCCAACTGCCGCCCATCGGCCTCCGCGCCGTTTGGTGCGAGAAAGAGCGGCGGGAACGCGTCCCGTATCGTCTACTGAGCGCTGTTCCACTGGAACCTGAACAACGCCCCCAAAGTCGCGTTCCCAGTCGCAAGGCCCAATTCACCACCCACGATTGCCCGACAGCCGCGTCGTGCAAGGTTGGGGGGCGCGTTTTGACACACGGCTCGACTCTCCTGTACGATGACATGCAGGTTGTCACCACGGAATCGCGGTACATACCCGTGGGCTGTCGCGCACGCGGACCCCAGGCCACATGGGGAGCACCATGGCGCGGCCGCGGCGCTGGCGTCTCGCCACCACGGACACGTGCGCCTGGCATGCGGGGCCCGGTATGCGACGAGCCCTGACGGGGATGCGGGAGGCGTCTGGCAGCCACGCGGCCCCCGCGTCCCCCGCGTGGGGCCAGGGCTACTCAGGGCGGGAGGGGTTCGCGGCGACCTGGCGAGACAGCTGGACGACATTGCCAGTGATCTCCGCTTTACCAAATGTAGAATGGTCGGACGAGGGCACCGAATCTCGTCTCGAGCGGTCGGCGAGGCGGGCCGTCACGTCGTGTCTGCAGACTGGAGCAGGTTTTAAGGAGGCACTCCGGGGCCCCCATGACGCCCTAGCGCCGAATCGCGACACGATTCGGGCCACCATCAAGGTGAGAGGCCATTCTCGCATGGATACTCGCAGTGACGCGCGTGAGGCTCCGAAAAGCAGCCTGATTGTGCCACACTGCTCCCAGTGCTCCTGCTGTATCTGGGTGCTGCTGCGAGCGATGTAGTACATTCTGCGTCGATTTTTGCGAACAACACGCCAACAGGCGCTGCTGCGAGCGTCTTTGAGGCCCCACATGCCGCGGCAGAGCGCCTGTGGCAGCCAGGCATATGCTCTCGGATCTCTGTCGGTATGGGCGGAGCGCAGCCTCATGAAGCCACGGTGTCTGCCTGTTCTGTGCAGGACCTGGATACGAGCACCTGCAGTGAGACCGGCAGGCCCTGGGGAGCGCTCGTGAGTGTGTGCGACGACGATGGGTGGGAGGAAACACCTCGAGGCGCTGGTCCTCGCAGCACTCCTGCTCGTGTGCGCACAGCTCGCTTGGGCGGACGGGCGCCTGTGCCCCGAGGGTGAGCGGTGCGTTGCCGTGCTGTCGGGCTCGTCAGTGGACCGCATTTCGGCTGCAGCAGCAGCACTGAACATGACTGCCTTGGAGCTGTCGGCGGAGAAGCTGAGCGCGCTGACGGCGGCGGACATGCAGCAGCTGGACGCGCTGGTGGTGTACGGGTCCAGCGCGTGCAGCATCGGCGGGCTGCAGGCCAGAGTGCTGGACGGGACGTTTGGCAACATGCTGCTGTCTCCTGACGTGATGGACAGCGTCGAGCCCGTGGATCTGCGCATCAGGGACGACGAGGAGTATGCGGGCGTCCGGGCGCTGATGAGCGACGCGGCGGTGGTGGGCTACACGTTCCGCACGGTGTACGGCTGCTCTGTCGGTGGGAGGTACGTGGCGTCGATAATGGCGTGCCACGAGCTCAAGTACGACCCGCTGCGCGCGATGCTGAGCTACGTGGCGTTGGGGAGTCTGCCCGGCCTGATGATGTACCGGATGGGGTATTCGGCCGCTTGTTCAAGAATGCGGGGCGCGTTGGGCGTGGAGATGAGGCGGGTGGATCGCATACCGTTCTACTTCAACAACGAGGGCTCCTTTGCCGTGCCGGTCGGGACGCGGGACCGGCCTGCTCCCGAGCCCCTGCCGGAGGCGCTCGGGGAGGTGAGCGCGGTGCTGGAGGCGGCGTGCAGCACCGTGCAGTACGAGGTGCAGTGTCAGATGCTGATGTATGGGGATAGGGAGCAGGCGGTGCTTGTGCTGGAGGATGCGACGGGGAAGGGGCTGCGGCCGTTCGCGGTTGATCCTGGCTTTGGGGCTGTCAAGGTGTTTTACCGCAGGGAGGGCGACACCACGGCGCCGTTCGAGCCGAACGTGACGGAGGTGACGTTTGTGGCGGCGCCGGGGCTGCGGGTGCCCGCCGAGGGGACGATCGGCAACGTGACAAGCACGATCACGGTGCCGGCAGGGTGTGGTGTGTGGGACGTGGACGTGGCGGTGGCGATCAGCCACGAGCACTCGGCGGACCTGGAGCTGTCGCTGGAGCACGGCGGAAAGACTGTACGGCTGGCGTATGACCAAGGCGGGAGCGCAGTGGACGCGTATGCGGGAACGGTGTTTGACGACAGTGCGGGGCGGCTGGTGCAGGGACCGGGCCCGTTCACGGGGCGATGGATTGGCGACGCGCGGACGGGGCCGCTGGAGTTTGAGTTTATGGACGCGACGGGGGAGTGGACGCTGGTGGTGGTAGACGACGAGGTGCTGGACGCGGGCATGCTGCACTCGTGGCAGCTGCGGCTGCGGTGCTACGGCGACATGGAGAGCTTCGTGCCGGCGGCGCTGGCGGTGAACGCTACGCAGGTGAGAGGTTTGGCCGCAGCAAGACTTGGGTGTGCTCTGCTGCGCCGGTGAGGCTCGCGCTGAGACCACGGATCGAAAACGGCCTCTTGCGATGACCGAAGCCAGCTTGCGGACCTCTGCAGGAGACCCCTGACCTTGTTGCTGGATCGTTCGAGGGCGCTGCGGACGGGCGCCTGTGCCCCGAGGGTGAGCGGTGCGTTGCCGTGCTGTCGGGCTCGTCAGTGGACCGCATTTCGGCTGCAGCAGCAGCACTGAACATGACTGCCTTGGAGCTGTCGGCGGAGAAGCTGAGCGCGCTGACGGCGGCGGACATGCAGCAGCTGGACGCGCTGGTGGTGTACGGGTCCAGCGCGTGCAGCATCGGCGGGCTGCAGGCCAGAGTGCTGGACGGGACGTTTGGCAACATGCTGCTGTCTCCTGACGTGATGGACAGCGTCGAGCCCGTGGATCTGCGCATCAGGGACGACGAGGAGTATGCGGGCGTCCGGGCGCTGATGAGCGACGCGGCGGTGGTGGGCTACACGTTCCGCACGGTGTACGGCTGCTCTGTCGGTGGGAGGTACGTGGCGTCGATAATGGCGTGCCACGAGCTCAAGTACGACCCGCTGCGCGCGATGCTGAGCTACGTGGCGTCGGGGAGTCTGCCCGGCCTGATGATGTACCGGATGGGGTATTCGGCCGCTTGTTCAAGAATGCGGGGCGCGTTGGGCGTGGAGATGAGGCGGGTGGATCGCATACCGTTCTACTTCAACAACGAGGGCTCCTTTGCCGTGCCGGTCGGGACGCGGGACCGGCCTGCTCCCGAGCCCCTGCCGGAGGCGCTCGGGGAGGTGAGCGCGGTGCTGGAGGCGGCGTGCAGCACCGTGCAGTACGAGGTGCAGTGTCAGATGCTGATGTATGGGGATAGGGAGCAGGCGGTGCTTGTGCTGGAGGATGCGACGGGGAAGGGGCTGCGGCCGTTCGCGGTTGATCCTGGCTTTGGGGCTGTCAAGGTGTTTTACCGCAGGGAGGGCGACACCACGGCGCCGTTCGAGCCGAACGTGACGGAGGTGACGTTTGTGGCGGCGCCGGGGCTGCGGGTGCCCGCCGAGGGGACGATCGGCAACGTGACAAGCACGATCACGGTGCCGGCAGGGTGTGGTGTGTGGGACGTGGACGTGGCGGTGGCGATCAGCCACGAGCACTCGGCGGACCTGGAGCTGTCGCTGGAGCACGGCGGAAAGACTGTACGGCTGGCGTATGACCAAGGCGGGAGCGCAGTGGACGCGTATGCGGGAACGGTGTTTGACGACAGTGCGGGGCGGCTGGTGCAGGGACCGGGCCCGTTCACGGGGCGATGGATTGGCGACGCGCGGACGGGGCCGCTGGAGTTTGAGTTTATGGACGCGACGGGGGAGTGGACGCTGGTGGTGGTAGACGACGAGGTGCTGGACGCGGGCATGCTGCACTCGTGGCAGCTGCGGCTGCGGTGCTACGGCGACATGGAGAGCTTCGTGCCGGCGGCGCTGGCGGTGAACGCTACGCAGGTGAGAGGTTTGGCCGCAGCAAGACTTGGGTGTGCTCTGCTGCGCCGGTGAGGCTCGCGCTGAGACCACGGATCGAAAACGGCCTCTTGCGATGACCGAAGCCAGCTTGCGGACCTCTGCAGGAGACCCCTGACCTTGTTGCTGGATCGTTCGAGGGCGCTGCGGACGGGCGCCTGTGCCCCGAGGGTGAGCGGTGCGTTGCCGTGCTGTCGGGCTCGTCAGTGGACCGCATTTCGGCTGCAGCAGCAGCACTGAACATGACTGCCTTGGAGCTGTCGGCGGAGAAGCTGAGCGCGCTGACGGCGGCGGACATGCAGCAGCTGGACGCGCTGGTGGTGTACGGGTCCAGCGCGTGCAGCATCGGCGGGCTGCAGGCCAGAGTGCTGGACGGGACGTTTGGCAACATGCTGCTGTCTCCTGACGTGATGGACAGCGTCGAGCCCGTGGATCTGCGCATCAGGGACGACGAGGAGTATGCGGGCGTCCGGGCGCTGATGAGCGACGCGGCGGTGGTGGGCTACACGTTCCGCACGGTGTACGGCTGCTCTGTCGGTGGGAGGTACGTGGCGTCGATAATGGCGTGCCACGAGCTCAAGTACGACCCGCTGCGCGCGATGCTGAGCTACGTGGCGTCGGGGAGTCTGCCCGGCCTGATGATGTACCGGATGGGGTATTCGGCCGCTTGTTCAAGAATGCGGGGCGCGTTGGGCGTGGAGATGAGGCGGGTGGATCGCATACCGTTCTACTTCAACAACGAGGGCTCCTTTGCCGTGCCGGTCGGGACGCGGGACCGGCCTGCTCCCGAGCCCCTGCCGGAGGCGCTCGGGGAGGTGAGCGCGGTGCTGGAGGCGGCGTGCAGCACCGTGCAGTACGAGGTGCAGTGTCAGATGCTGATGTATGGGGATAGGGAGCAGGCGGTGCTTGTGCTGGAGGATGCGACGGGGAAGGGGCTGCGGCCGTTCGCGGTTGATCCTGGCTTTGGGGCTGTCAAGGTGTTTTACCGCAGGGAGGGCGACACCACGGCGCCGTTCGAGCCGAACGTGACGGAGGTGACGTTTGTGGCGGCGCCGGGGCTGCGGGTGCCCGCCGAGGGGACGATCGGCAACGTGACAAGCACGATCACGGTGCCGGCAGGGTGTGGTGTGTGGGACGTGGACGTGGCGGTGGCGATCAGCCACGAGCACTCGGCGGACCTGGAGCTGTCGCTGGAGCACGGCGGAAAGACTGTACGGCTGGCGTATGACCAAGGCGGGAGCGCAGTGGACGCGTATGCGGGAACGGTGTTTGACGACAGTGCGGGGCGGCTGGTGCAGGGACCGGGCCCGTTCACGGGGCGATGGATTGGCGACGCGCGGACGGGGCCGCTGGAGTTTGAGTTTATGGACGCGACGGGGGAGTGGACGCTGGTGGTGGTAGACGACGAGGTTCTGCACACTGGGACGTTGCACTCGTGGACGCTGGACTTGAAGTGCTTCAGCCCAGCAGCGCGGAGTACTGCGTTGCCACCACCGTCCACCCCAGAGTCGGGCCCCGAATCGACGCTCCCAGGCGAGCAGGTCTCCTCTCCGCAACCATCACCTGTCCCGCCTACCACCACAGCAGCAACAGCGACCTCGCCCGCGCCCACTACGATGCCCTCTACGACCGCGGTCGGCACAACACCAGCACTGACGACAACAATCGCCGGGGCACCTGCTGCGAGCGCCCCAACATCGCCGCCAACAACAGCGCCCAACTCGACAAACGTCCAGGTTTTGGCCACCACGGCTCCTGCGCCTACGACGACAATCGTGCTTCCAACGACCACGACGGCGGCGCCAACCACCACGGCGGCGCCTATGACGACAGCAGCGCAAATGACAACAGCCGTAACCACGACGGCGCCGACCACAACACCCGCGCCGCCCGAGGTGATCTTGTCGTTCGTCACGTCCGAGGCGGACTGGAGCCCCTGCAGCGCCACGTGCGGCAGCGGGACCCAGACGGCGTCCGTGACATGCATGGAGCACGTGTTCTTCCCGTCGAACGGCACCTACACGCCCGGGACGGTCGTCGCCGACTCCCGCTGTCTGGACGCCGGGTTGGAGCGGCCGGCCATGCGCACTCGGCTGTGCATCGAGCCGCCGTGCAAGAAGCCGGTGCTGGAGTTTGGGGCGTTCGGGGCGTGCGATGCGCAGTGCGGCGGGGGGCTGCGGTACCGCTCCGCGTCGTGCGTGGACGCGGTGACGGCGATGCCGATGGCTCTGTCGGAGTGCGCGTTCTCGCACGCGGCGAACTTCTCGCTGATCACGGAGGCCTGCAACGAGACGCCGTGCGCGTCGTTCGTCCTGGAGTACCCCGACACGTGGACGAGGTGCTCCGCGACGTGCTGGGACCGGGCGAACAACGCGTCGATGCCCATGCAGACGCGAGCGGCGGTGTGCCGGGACGGGTCGACGAGCGCGCAGGTGGGGATGGGGAACTGCACTGCGCTCGGGCTGGCCGTGGACGCGTCGCTGCTGCAGCAGCCGTGCAACGCCGAGCCGTGCGTGACGTACGAGTGGCAGACCGGGGCGTGGGGCGCGTACACCAACGCTGCGACGGGCGCGGCGGCCACGTGCGACGCGGGCGACGGGTCGACATACACACAGAGTCGCGCGGTGTCGTGTCGGGGGTCGGACGGGAGCAGCGTGCCGGACGCGGAGGCAGCCAGCCGCTGCACGGCGCCAATGCCAGCAGCGACACGGTCGTGCTCGAACTCCTATCCGGCCGCGAGTCTGCAGCACCTGGCGCTGTGCCCTGGCCGCGATGGGTGCAGCGCGATGCCGTGTGCCTACTCGGCGGACACGATCCCACAGGGCCGCCGCAACAAGTGCATCCCGAACGGCGCGCTGTTTACGTGCGAGTGTGCGAGGGATGGCAACGGCAACGCTCTATACACGGGGACGCGGTGCGAGTCGATCGTGACGCCGGACTGCCCTGCGCCGGGGAAGATGTACGTGGTGAACGGCGTTGACACGTGCTGCCCGTCGGGGGTGTACACGTCGAGGCTGGAGTGCTGTCCGTTCGCCGACATGGTGGAGGACGCGAACGGGGCGTGCTGCTTCAGGGACGCGCGGACCGCGGCCGGCCGCGGGGACGTGCTGGACGGGTGCAACGTGTGCGGCGGCAAGGGCAAGGGGCGTGTTGGCGGGGAGTGCTGCGAGGGCACGGCCGACAAGCACGGCAAGTGCTGCCCGCCGAACAACCCCTTCACGGCGCTGAAGCAGGAGGTGGACGAGTGCGGGAACTGCGGGGGCGGCAACCGGGGGTGCAACTTTGAGGCCACGGTGACGTTCGACGTGCCGCCGTCAAACAGGAACCACCCGGAGCTGAACAGCAGCGTGGCGACGTGGGTGTCGGAGTCGACGGGCGCAGGGGGGCACCGCGTGAACGTGACGGGCCACACGTCGGGGTCCGGGACGAGAATGAACTCGGACGTGACGATCGGCGGCGTTCAGAATGACGGGGACGCGGCGATGAGTCAGGGCCGCATTGCGGGCTCGATCGCTGCGTCTGTGGCACAGGGCAAGGAGCTCAGGACCACGGAGCGCGTGTCCCGCGCCTCGCGCGCGCTGATGCAAACCACGCTGGGAACGGGGATCGGCGTGCAGGCTGTGGGGACGCAAGCAGTGTGTGGCAACGGTCGGTGCGAAGGGCTGTCCGAGACCGTCGTGGTCGGCTCGAGCGGGGTGACGGGAGGCTGCACCACCGTCGGGCCGTCCGGTGCGACCGACTGCGCGACGCCCATCTACACCTGCAAGGCGCCGGACTGGGCCCCGACGGTGGCGTGCGGCGGTGTCGGAGCATGCGTCGCGGACGACGCGTCTCTGCCCGTGCTGCAGCAGACGTCGATCTGCCAGTGCGACACTGGGTACGCCGGGGAGGCGTGTCAGGTCTGCGACACGGGGTACGCCGAGGCGGAGGGCAGCCGCGCGGCAGGGTCGCTGCGGTGCCTGCGTCTGACAGTGACGGCGTCGCAGGCGGTCGCGGCGACGGACCCGCCTGTAGCGCTGGCGACCGTCGGGCCAGCGGCGACGCAGGGGCCGGCAGCAACGCAAGCCGCGACGCAGGCTCCGGCGGCTGGTGCTCAGCAGCCATCGGCGACGACAACCCCGTCGTCGGCGGGAAGCGGGCCGGCGCAGGGGCCTTCGGACGCCGCTGTTTCGCCAGACGCACCCGCGGCCTCAAGCCCTGCGCCCACGAGCAGCGCAGCAGGGCCCGGCTCGCAGGCGGGCAGCTCGGAGGGCACCGCTGATTCAGGGGCGGGTTCGATGCCCAACATCTTCTTGATCGCAGGCGCTGCCGGTGGTGTCGCTCTCGTCATCGCAGTCACCGTAGCGACGGTGGTGATCGTCCGGCGGCGGCGTGCGCGGCGCTTCTCAGCGTTTGCGTCACTCTCGCGCGCACCAGCAAGACGGTCCGCGAGGGATGCCCTGGGTCACTCCGCTCAGATCGAGGACTTCATGGACGTCATGACCGGAGTCTGAGGGAGACGATTTTAGTCTACGTCGACGGTGGCTTCCGACACCGGACCTGAACAGATACATGCATGAATGCAATGATGCAAAAACATGTATTTTAATATGCTTCGCGGCTCGCAGTCCACCACGATTGACTGTATCGATGCGAAGCACGAGATCTTGTAATCCAGAACACCTGTTGCACAGTCGGCGTCCAAGCACGGCTCAACGAACATGCGCACCCACATGCATTGTGGAGGGACGGGACCGCGTGGTGCGCATCCGTCGCTGCCGCCATGGAGCTGCACAAGCGGGCAGGTGCTGCATGCTGGCTGGCTGTCACGCCTGCAATCGCCGGGCTCGAGGCGGTCTACGCCGCAGTGTTCTCTTGGCATTGGCACAGCATGTGGCCCACCGAGCTGGCCGAGTGACCGAAACAGCGACGCGCAGACGATCCCATGAGCAGCGTGACGCGCTGCTGAGAACGTTGTGCTTGTGGCTGGGCGGGCTCCTCACTCCGCAGGGGGGAGTGTGCTGGGAGAGTGTTGTCGATCGCCCCAGGGCAAAGACGCGGCGTATGAGTGCCGCGCGTCGCCGCTCGCCGCGAGTATCCAGTGATGGGCGTTCTGTCATCACACTTGCCCCTGAGCGGCCTCACAGTCGCGTCGGGCGCGCTCTTGATGCCCAGCCGCCAACTGAGCACCGCCGCGCAGCGTGCACCGCGTCGCGTTTCTGGCAAGAGCTGTGCGGGCTGGTCAACCACTGCCAGCACATCGTCTGGGATGCGCGGGCGTGGCTTGGTCGACCGCCAGGAGGGCGTCCGGCGCCAGGCGGGGAGGCGTGCCCGCCGGAGCGAAAGTGGGCGCGGGAGCGTATCGTGAGCCCGCTGGTGAGTGCTTGATCCTCGCACGCGCATCGTGAGATCATCCTGATACTGGCAAGCCGTATTGCAAAGGGCCGCGTCGCTCGCGTGAGACGGGTGCTGCCGCTCTTTCCAGCTTCGGCTCGTTTCGCCGGGACCGTCGCGACAACGCACGAAAACGCGAAGACAGCTTCATCGCCTGCAACCGTTCGAACGCCGTCCGCCCGCTCGGCTGCAGTACACGGACTGAACCGCTCTCACCGTGCCAGTGGTGCCGGGCTGGGGTTGGCCAGCGCGAGCATGCACTGCTTGGCCAGACGGGCGCACGGGCGAAGGGTCCGCACGGCGAGAGGACGCGCCGCCGCCGCACCCTCGCGCACTGGTGGCGTCCGACGGGGCGCGCACGCCCCCCCGCGCGCCCACGAGGCCACCCGCGGGCGGATGGCAGCCTGGCAAGAGCTACTACTCGGGCGGGTGTTGCGCGGCACGGGCTCCCTCGGCACGGCGGAGGAAGGCCGAGACGGCGCGAAGTGCCATGCAGCGCGCGCGGGCGCGGTGGCGGCCTGCGTGGCGGCGGTGCGCGCACGCCAGGACGGGGACGTGTCTGTTCAGGTTTCAGAGGAGTCAAGGGAGGGGCTCTGGGCGGCGCGCAGGGCACCAGGGCGCGATTTGGGCGACGGAGGCGGGGCGAAGAATGCATAACATCGCGGCGCGGTACCTGAACCTCGGTTTCAGGCACGGTCGACGTCCGGAGCGGCACCTCCAACGTTGCTCGTCAACGAGTCCGCGGCAAGCGCTCCCCGGGCTGGTTCAGGGGCGGGCGCTGGCACAGCAGCGCGCACGTCTTAGGTGGGACCCCGGAACGATGACGCATTTGCCGCGTTGGTCCGCTGGTGTCGCGTGGCAGCGGTGTCTGTGTTGGGCTGCCTGCTGCTATCCAACCGCGACGGCACGGCGCCCACAGGCCCGCATTGGGTCGATTGCGTCGCGTGCCATGCGTCTCGATATGCACGCATCTGAGCGACGTGGCTGACGCTTCATCTGCGCGCAGGATCACGAGCGGCGCGAAGGGTCGCTGAAGAGCAAGAGTAAACACACTAATTACTCTATCACTATTGCGAGGACATCCATCATGAGGAGACACGTCACGGCGCTTCTCTTCGCTGCGCTGTGCCTCGCGGTGGCGCACGCCGCTGCCGCCAGCGAGCGCGTCTGTCCCGAGGGGCAGCGGTGCGTCGCCGTGCTGTCGGGCTCGTCGGCCAGCGTGTTCACGACGGCTGCGGCGGCGCTCAACATGACGGCGGTGGAGCTGTCGGCGGAGAAGATGGCGACGCTGTCGGTGGCGGACGTGCAGCAGCTGGACGCGGTGGTGGTGTACGGGTCTGCGATGTGCGGCATGTCGGAGATCGAGGCCATGGCGCTGAACGGGACGTTTGGCAACATGCTGGTGTCGAGGGAGCAGCTCGTGACGGTCCAGCCTATCCGCATCAGGGTCGAGAGCGACTCCGAGCACGCCGCGATCAGGGCGCTGATGAGCGACGGGACGGTGACCGCCGACACGTACGAGACCACGTACGGATGCTACGTCAACGGCACGTACGTGAGCGGGTCCAGGATGTGCCACAGGCTGGAGTACCGTCCGCTGCACGCGCTGGTGAGCTTCGTGGCGTCTGGGAGCGCGCCGGGCCTGATGGCGTTCGACCGGGCGTCTCCATACGGCTGCTCACTTCTAGAGGAGGTAGGCCTTCAGAGGCCAGTGACATCACGTCCGAACGGTGACTTCTACGCGGTGCCGCTGGGGTCGAGCGGGACGCTGGCACCGGAGACTCTGCCGGCAGCGTTGCAGGAGGTGAGCGCGGTGTTTGAGGCGGCGAGGAAAATCGGGCTGAGCGGCTCAGCACTGGAGTTGTACATGCTCTCCGGGGGGTCTGCAACGCAGCTGGTGCTGGAGGAGGCGACGGGGACGGGTCTGCGGCCCTTCGCAGTGAGCTCGGAGACAGGCCGGGCCATGGTCTTCTACCGCAAGGAGGGCGGCACCACGGCGCCGTTCGACCCGAACGTGACTGCGATGGCCTTCACCGCGGCGCCGGGGCTGCGGGTGCCGGCCGAGGGGACGATCGGCAACGTGACGAGCACGATCACGGTACCGGCGGGGTGCGCGGTGTGGGACGTGGACGTGGCGGTGGCCATCAGCCACGAGCACTCGGCGGACCTGGAGCTGTCGCTGGTGCACGGCGCGAAGACTGCGCAGCTTGCGCGGGACAACGGCGGGAGCACGGCGGACGCGTTTGTGGGGACGGTGTTTGACGACAACGGGACGCGGGTGGTGAGCGGCGACGGGCCGTTTGCGGGGCGGTGGAGGGCGTCGGACGGCATCGGGCCATTGACGTTTGAGTTTATGGACGCGGCGGGGGAGTGGACGCTGGTGGTGGTGGACGGCGAGGTGCGGGACGTGGGCGTGCTGCACTCGTGGCAGCTGCGGCTGCAGTGCTACGGCGACGTGGAGAGCTTCGTGCCGGCAGCGCTGGCGGCGAACGCCACGCAGGTGAGTGGCACTCCTCGATCGTGATGGGCGCGGGCGGAGCTGATGCGGCGACACGGCCATGGGCGCGTTGCATGCACGGTGTGTGGGGCTGCGTTTAATTCTCGCCGCTTACAGCACAGTGTATTTGCGCCTCGCAGGATGCCGAGGATCTTGTTGCCGGCGCGAACGATGCCGCTGCGAATGCTCGGCTGTGTCCCGAGGGGCAGCGGTGCGTCGCCGTGCTGTCGGGCTCGTCGGCCAGCGTGTTCACGACGGCTGCGGCGGCGCTCAACATGACGGCGGTGGAGCTGTCGGCGGAGAAGATGGCGACGCTGTCGGTGGCGGACGTGCAGCAGCTGGACGCGGTGGTGGTGTACGGGTCTGCGATGTGCGGCATGTCGGAGATCGAGGCCATGGCGCTGAACGGGACGTTTGGCAACATGCTGGTGTCGAGGGAGCAGCTCGTGACGGTCCAGCCTATCCGCATCAGGGTCGAGAGCGACTCCGAGCACGCCGCGATCAGGGCGCTGATGAGCGACGGGACGGTGACCGCCGACACGTACGAGACCACGTACGGATGCTACGTCAACGGCACGTACGTGAGCGGGTCCAGGATGTGCCACAGGCTGGAGTACCGTCCGCTGCACGCGCTGGTGAGCTTCGTGGCGTCTGGGAGCGCGCCGGGCCTGATGGCGTTCGACCGGGCGTCTCCATACGGCTGCTCACTTCTAGAGGAGGTAGGCCTTCAGAGGCCAGTGACATCACGTCCGAACGGTGACTTCTACGCGGTGCCGCTGGGGTCGAGCGGGACGCTGGCACCGGAGACTCTGCCGGCAGCGTTGCAGGAGGTGAGCGCGGTGTTTGAGGCGGCGAGGAAAATCGGGCTGAGCGGCTCAGCACTGGAGTTGTACATGCTCTCCGGGGGGGCTGCAACGCAGCTGGTGCTGGAGGAGGCGACGGGGACGGGTCTGCGGCCCTTCGCAGTGAGCTCGGAGACAGGCCGGGCCATGGTCTTCTACCGCAAGGAGGGCGGCACCACGGCGCCGTTCGACCCGAACGTGACTGCGATGGCCTTCACCGCGGCGCCGGGGCTGCGGGTGCCGGCCGAGGGGACGATCGGCAACGTGACGAGCACGATCACGGTACCGGCGGGGTGCGCGGTGTGGGACGTGGACGTGGCGGTGGCCATCAGCCACGAGCACTCGGCGGACCTGGAGCTGTCGCTGGTGCACGGCGCGAAGACTGCGCAGCTTGCGCGGGACAACGGCGGGAGCACGGCGGACGCGTTTGTGGGGACGGTGTTTGACGACAACGGGACGCGGGTGGTGAGCGGCGACGGGCCGTTTGCGGGGCGGTGGAGGGCGTCGGACGGCATCGGGCCATTGACGTTTGAGTTTATGGACGCGGCGGGGGAGTGGACGCTGGTGGTGGTGGACGGCGAGGTGCGGGACGTGGGCGTGCTGCACTCGTGGCAGCTGCGGCTGCAGTGCTACGGCGACGTGGAGCGCTTCGTGCCGGCAGCGCTGGCGGCGAACGCCACGCAGGTGAGTGGCACTCCTCGATCGTGATGGGCGCGGGCGGAGCTGATGCGGCGACACGGCCATGGGCGCGTTGCATGCACGGTGTGTGGGGCTGCGTTTAATTCTCGCCGCTTACAGCACAGTGTATTTGCGCCTCGCAGGATGCCGAGGATCTTGTTGCCGGCGCGAACGATGCCGCTGCGAATGCTCGGCTGTGTCCCGAGGGGCAGCGGTGCGTCGCCGTGCTGTCGGGCTCGTCGGCCAGCGTGTTCACGACGGCTGCGGCGGCGCTCAACATGACGGCGGTGGAGCTGTCGGCGGAGAAGATGGCGACGCTGTCGGTGGCGGACGTGCAGCAGCTGGACGCGGTGGTGGTGTACGGGTCTGCGATGTGCGGCATGTCGGAGATCGAGGCCATGGCGCTGAACGGGACGTTTGGCAACATGCTGGTGTCGAGGGAGCAGCTCGTGACGGTCCAGCCTATCCGCATCAGGGTCGAGAGCGACTCCGAGCACGCCGCGATCAGGGCGCTGATGAGCGACGGGACGGTGACCGCCGACACGTACGAGACCACGTACGGATGCTACGTCAACGGCACGTACGTGAGCGGGTCCAGGATGTGCCACAGGCTGGAGTACCGTCCGCTGCACGCGCTGGTGAGCTTCGTGGCGTCTGGGAGCGCGCCGGGCCTGATGGCGTTCGACCGGGCGTCTCCATACGGCTGCTCACTTCTAGAGGAGGTAGGCCTTCAGAGGCCAGTGACATCACGTCCGAACGGTGACTTCTACGCGGTGCCGCTGGGGTCGAGCGGGACGCTGGCACCGGAGACTCTGCCGGCAGCGTTGCAGGAGGTGAGCGCGGTGTTTGAGGCGGCGAGGAAAATCGGGCTGAGCGGCTCAGCACTGGAGTTGTACATGCTCTCCGGGGGGGCTGCAACGCAGCTGGTGCTGGAGGAGGCGACGGGGACGGGTCTGCGGCCCTTCGCAGTGAGCTCGGAGACAGGCCGGGCCATGGTCTTCTACCGCAAGGAGGGCGGCACCACGGCGCCGTTCGACCCGAACGTGACTGCGATGGCCTTCACCGCGGCGCCGGGGCTGCGGGTGCCGGCCGAGGGGACGATCGGCAACGTGACGAGCACGATCACGGTACCGGCGGGGTGCGCGGTGTGGGACGTGGACGTGGCGGTGGCCATCAGCCACGAGCACTCGGCGGACCTGGAGCTGACGCTGGTGCACGGCGGGAAGACTGCGCAGCTTGCGCGGGACAACGGCGGGAGCACGGCGGACGCGTTTGTGGGGACGGTGTTTGACGACAACGGGACGCGGGTGGTGAGCGGCGACGGGCCGTTTGCGGGGCGGTGGAGGGCGTCGGACCGCATCGGGCCATTGACGTTTGAGTTTATGGAAGCGGCGGGGGAGTGGACGCTGGTGGTGGTGGACGGCGAGGTGCTGCACACCGGGACGTTGCACTCGTGGACGCTGGACTTGAAGTGCTTCGTGCCGTCCGCGCCAACCGAGACGAGTGCACCATCATCCACGCCAACTACGGCGCCCACCACGGCCGCGTCGTCGACGGCAGGCGGTGTGTGCACCGTCTCGACGTTGAACGTCGCTGCAGGATGGACGCTGACTGGGGTCAGCCCGCTCGGGACGGTGTACGTGCGCAACGGCAACGCCATTGGCAAGGTGAATGCGGACGGCACGGTGACGGTGCTTGCGGGCGTGGCAGGGTCGTCAGGGTTTGTGGACGGAGTCGGCACAGCTGCTCGCTTCCGTGGCATCGACGGCATGGCGTGGAGCGGGGGCGTGCTGTACGTGGTGGACTTCCGGAACAACGCGATCCGACGGGTGACCGACCCTGGCGGGGAGGTGACGACGATCGCTGGGTCGGGTGCGTCGGGCTTCGCCGACGGTGTGGGTGCCGCGGCGCGCTTCAACTGGCCGACGCAGGCGGTGGCGGGGCCCGTGGGGGGTCCGTTTGAGGGCTCGATCCTGGTGGCGGACCACTGGAACAACGCTGTGCGGGTGGTGACGCCGGGCGGCAACGTGACGACGCTGGTGTCGGGGGTCGGGATGCGCGACACGACGGGCGTGGCGGTGTACGGGGACCGCGTGTACGTGGTGGACCGCGACAACTACCGCGTGGTGGTGGTGGACGCGACGACGGGGGCGATGACGCCGTTTGTGGGGTCGGGCGTGAGGGGGCGCGTGGACGGGTTCGGAGCCGCGGCAGGTTTCGACGTGCCGCAGCACATTGTGGTGGACTCCGCGGGGTGGCTGTACGTGACGGAGCAGAGTGGTGTCGCGGTGCGGATGGTGAGTCCGGAGGGCAACGTGACGACGCTGGCGGGGTCGACGCCTGGGTACGCGGACGGTGCTGCGTCGGTGGCGCAGTTCGGCGATCCTTACTCGATCGCGCTGGCAGCGAGCGGGACGCTTTATGTCGGCGAAGGGCCGAGCTTGACCCCGGCCAGGGTGCGCCAGCTCACAGGCTGCACCGAGAGCGGAGCGCAGCCGGTGCCCACAGCGCCTGCGTTGACGGCAGCGCCGGCAACCACGGCGGCGCCCGATTTGACGGTGGCGCCCACCACGACGGCGGCATCGACGACATTCGCCCCAACACCCACGGCAGTGGCTGCGAGCGTAGCGGGATGCCAGGTATCCACCCTGTACGCAGCCGCTGCGGGATGGACCGTGGCTGGCGTTGGGCCCGACGGGTCGGTGTACGTCACGGGTGGCAGCCATGCCATTCAGAAGCTGCATGCGAACGGCACGGTGACGGTGCTCGCGGGCGTGGTGGGGTCAGCAGGGCTCGTTGACGGCGTGGGGGCGGCGGCGCGGTTCCGGCGGCCGGAGGGCCTCGCGTGGAGCGGGGGCGTGCTATACGTGGTGGACTCTGGCAATGACGTCGTGCGAACGGTCACTTACCCCGGTGGGGAGGTGACGACGATAGCTGGATCGACCTCGGCAGGCTTCGTTGACGGCGTGGGCGCCGCGGCGCGCTTCAACTGGCCGACGCAGGCGGTGGCGGGGCCCGTGGGGGGTCCGTTCGAGGGCTCGATCCTGGTGGCAGACCACTTGAACCATGCCGTGCGGGTGGTGACGCCGGGCGGCAACGTGACGACGCTGGTGTCGGGGGTCGGGATGCGCAAAGCGACGGGCGTGGCAGTGTACGGGGACCGCGTGTACGTGGTGGACCGCGACAACTACCGCGTGGTGGTGGTGGACGCGACGACGGGGGCGATGACGCCGTTTGTGGGGTCGGGCGTGAGGGGGCGCGTGGACGGGCAGGGTGCGGCTGCGAGGTTTGACATGCCGCACTACGTCGTCGTTGACTCGGCGGGGTGGCTGTACGTGACGGAGGACGGCGGTGCGGTGCGGATGGTGAGCCCGGAGGGCAACGTGACGACACTGGCGGGGTCGACGCCTGGGTACGCGGACGGTGCTGCGTCGGTGGCGCTCTTCACGCAGCCTTACTCGATCGCGCTGGCCGAGAGGGGCACGCTGTACATTGGCGAAGGCAATTCGGGGAGGGTGCGGGCGATGACGAACTGCACGGTGGCAGGAGCGCTCCCGGTGTCGACGGCGGCGGCAGTACCCACCACGACGGCGGTGCCCACAGCGACCGCCGTACCCACCACAACGGCGCCAACGCCTGGAACAAGCACGCCAAGTTCTCCAGTGCAGAACGCCAACTCAAGTCGGTTATGTCCGGTCGGCCGGCGCTGTGTGGGTATGCTGGAGTATGCGTACGGGACGCGGCTGAAGGCTGCCTTCGAGAGCCTGGGGCTCGACGTGCTGGAGCTGTCGCTGGAGAAGCTTGGGTCGATCTCGGTGGCGGAGGTGCAGCAGCTGGACGCGCTGGCGCTGGGCACGCAGGGCGTGTGCGACCTGCCGGGGCTGGAGGCGATGGCGCTGAACGGCACGCTGGGCAACACGCTGCTGACGGCGGGGTCGGTCGAGGACTACAGGGCGAAGGAGATGCGCTTCAGCGACGCGGCGGAGTACGGACGCGCGAGGGCGGTGATGCTGGACGCGGCGGTGGCGTCGGACAGTGCGGTGGCCGGGACGCGGTGCGTGGTGAACGGCACGTGGGACGATGCATATCAGGGGTCTTGTCAGGTTGTGTCGTGGGACCCGCTGGTGGAGCTGGCGGCGTGGCTGGTGGGCGGTAACTCGACGGGGCTGGCGGCGCACGTGATCGGCGACAACGACCGCTGCACGAGAGCGATCGGCCTCCCCACCGAGTACATGTGGGAGCCTGACGCGGACGGGCGTGCACAGGCGGTGCTTGGCCCCGGGGTGGCGCCGGAGGCGCTGCCTGGGGGGCTGCGCGGTGTGTGGGACGTGCTGGACGTGGCGTGCGGCACGGGGCTGCCTGCGTCGGAGGAGTGCGGTACGCTGGAGGGGTCTGTTTGGTATGACAACTATCCGTTCCCTGTGGTGAAGCTGGAGGCGGCGGCGTTGCTGGGGATGAAGCCGTTCTCGGTGGGGCTGAAGACGCGTACTGCGAGGGTGATGTATCGGCGCGAGGGCGACCCCGCGGCGCCGTGGCGGCCAAACGTGACGGACATGACTTTTGCCCGCACACCGGGCGTGCCGGTGCCGGCGGTGGGGACGATCGGCAACGTGACGAGCACGATCACGGTGCCGGCGGGGTGCATGGTGTGGGACGTGGACGTGGCGGTGTCCATCAGCCACGAGCACTCGGCGGACCTGGAGCTGACGCTGGTGCACGGCGGGAAGACGGTGCCGCTGGCGTTCGACCAGGGCGGGAGCACGGCGGACGCGTTTGTGGGGACGGTGTTTGACGATGAGGCTACTGTGGGGCTGTCGAGCAGCACGGGGCCGTTCACGGGCCGGTACAGGGCGCAGGGGGGCGCAGCGGGCTCGTCACCGGCACCGGGGACGTCGAAGTTTGAGTTTTTGGACGCGGCGGGGGAGTGGACGCTTGTGGTGGTGGACGACGAGGTGCTGGACGGCGGCGTGCTGCACTCGTGGCAGCTGCGGCTGCAGTGCTACGGCGATGCGGAGAGCTTCGTGCGGGCAGCACTTGCACTGAACGCCACGCAGGTGAGTGACGTTGTGTTGCGGCCGACGCCGCGTGTGGGTGGTGAGGTATCGTGCTGGGCGTGTGCTGAGCGTGTTGCGTCGCGTCGAAAATGGAAATGCAGGAGACCCCACCCCTGACCACGTCGAGTGCAAGCGGCGCGTCGAGCGCGAGGCTTTGTCCGGTCGGCCGGCGCTGTGTGGGTATGCTGGAGTATGCGTACGGGACGCGGCTGAAGGCTGCCTTCGAGAGCCTGGGGCTCGACGTGCTGGAGCTGTCGCTGGAGAAGCTTGGGTCGATCTCGGTGGAGGAGGTGCAGCAGCTGGACGCGCTGGCGCTGGGCACGCAGGGCGTGTGCGACCTGCCGGAGCTGGAGGCGATGGCGCTGAACGGCACGCTGGGCAACACGCTGCTGACGGCAGGGTCGGTCGAGGGCTACAGGGCGAAGGAGATGCGCTTCAGCGACGCGGCGGAGTACGGACGCGCGAGGGCGGTGATGCTGGACGCGGCGGTGGCGTCGGACAGTGCGGTGGCCGGGACGCGGTGCGTGGTGAACGGCACGTGGGACGATGCATATGTGGGGTCTTGTCAGGTTGTGTCGTGGGACCCGCTGGTGGAGCTGGCGGCGTGGCTGGTGGGCGGTAACTCGACGGGGCTGGCGGCACACGTGAGCGGCGGCAACGACCGCTGCACGAGAGCGATCGGCCTCCCCACCGAGTACATGTGGGAGCCTGACGCGGACGGGCGTGCACAGGCGGTGCTTGGCCCCGGGGTGGCGCCGGAGGCGCTGCCTGGGGGGCTGCGCGGTGTGTGGGACGTGCTGGACGTGGCGTGCGGCACGGGGCTGCCTGCGTCGGAGGAGTGCGGTACGCTGGAGGGGTCTGTTTGGTATGACAACTATCCGTTCCCTGTGGTGAAGCTGGAGGCGGCGGCGTTGCTGGGGATGAAGCCGTTCTCGGTGGGGCTGAAGACGCGTACTGCGAGGGTGATGTATCGGCGCGAGGGCGACCCCGCGGCGCCGTGGCGGCCAAACGTGACGGACATGACTTTTGCCCGCACACCGGGCGTGCCGGTGCCGGCGGTGGGGACGATCGGCAACGTGACGAGCACGATCACGGTGCCGGCGGGGTGCATGGGGTGGGACGTGGACGTGGCGGTGTCCATCAGCCACGAGCACTCGGCGGACCTGGAGCTGACGCTGGTGCACGGCGGTAAGACGGTGCCGCTGGCGTCCGACATGGGCGGGAGCACGGCGGACGCGTTTGTGGGGACGGTGTTTGACGATGAGGCTACTGTGGGGCTGTCGAGCAGCACGGGGCCGTTCACGGGCCGGTACAGGGCGCAGGGGGGCGCAGCGGGCTCGTCACCGGCACCGGGGACGTCGAAGTTTGAGTTTTTGGACGCGGCGGGGGAGTGGACGCTTGTGGTGGTGGACGACGAGGTGCTGGACGGCGGCGTGCTGCACTCGTGGCAGCTGCGGCTGCAGTGCTACGGCGACATGGAGAGCTTCGTGCCGGCAGCACTTGCACTGAACGCCACGCAGGTGAGTGACGTTGTGTTGCGGCCAACGCCGCGTGCGGGTGGTGGGGTATCGTGCTGGGCGTGTGCTGAGCGTGTTGCGTCGCGTCGAAAATGGAAATGCAGGAGACCCCACCCCTGACGACGTCGAGTGCAAGCGGCGCGTCGAGCGCGAGGCTTTGTCCGGTCGGCCGGCGCTGTGTGGGTATGCTGGAGTATGCATACCGGACGCGGCTGAAGGCTGCCTTCGAGAGCCTGGGGCTCGACGTGCTGGAGCTGTCGCTGGAGAAGCTTGGGTCGATCTCGGTGGAGGAGGTGCAGCAGCTGGACGCGCTGGCGCTGGGCACGCAGGGTGTGTGCGACCTGCCGGAGCTGGAGGCGATGGCGCTGAACGGCACGCTGGGCAACACGCTGCTGATGGCAGGGTCGGTCGAGGACTACAGGGCGAAGGAGATGCGCTTCAGCGACGCGGCGGAGTACGGACGCGCGAGGGCGGTGATGCTGGACGCGGCGGTGGCGTCGGACAGTGCGGTGGCCGGGACGCGGTGCGTGGTGAACGGCACGTGGGACGATGCACGTCAGGGGTCTTGTCAGGTTGTGTCGTGGGACCCGCTGGTGGAGCTGGCGGCGTGGCTGGTGGGCGGTAACTCGACGGGGCTGGCGGCGCACGTGATCGGCGACAACGACCGCTGCACGAGAGCGATCGGCCTCCCCACCGAGTACATGTGGGAGCCTGACGCGGACGGGCGTGCACAGGCGGTGCTTGGCCCCGGGGTGGCGCCGGAGGCGCTGCCTGGGGGGCTGCGCGGTGTGTGGGACGTGCTGGACGTGGCGTGCGGCACGGGGCTGCCTGCGTCGGAGGAGTGCGGTACGCTGGAGGGGTCTGTTTGGTATGACAACTATCCGTTCCCTGTGGTGAAGCTGGAGGCGGCGGCGTTGCTGGGGATGAAGCCGTTCTCGGTGGGGCTGAAGACGCGTACTGCGAGGGTGATGTATCGGCGCGAGGGCGACCCCGCGGCGCCGTGGCGGCCAAACGTGACGGACATGACTTTTGCCCGCACACCGGGCGTGCCGGTGCCGGCGGTGGGGACGATCGGCAACGTGACGAGCACGATCACGGTGCCGGCGGGGTGCATGGTGTGGGACGTGGACGTGGCGGTGTCCATCAGCCACGAGCACTCGGCGGACCTGGAGCTGACGCTGGTGCACGGCGGTAAGACGGTGCCGCTGGCGTTCGACCAGGGCGGGAGCACGGCGGACGCGTTTGTGGGGACGGTGTTTGACGATGAGGCTACTGTGGGGCTGTCGAGCAGCACGGGGCCGTTCACGGGCCGGTACAGGGCGCAGGGGGGCGCGGCGGGCTCGTCACCGGCACCGGGGACGTCGAAGTTTGAGTTTTTGGACGCGGCGGGGGAGTGGACGCTTGTGGTGGTGGACGACGAGGTGCTTCATGTCGGCGTGCTGCAATCATGGGAACTGCGCCTGACATGTTTCACTGGTGTCAGTTGGGTCGTGGAAGTACCTTCGCTTCCAACCACACCTCCCACGAGCACTGCGTCACGTTCCACGACGGCGGCGCCGACAACGACGGCAGCGCCCACGACGACCGCGGCGCCAACAACGACCGCGGCACCCACAACGACCGCAGCACCCACCACGACGGCATCACCCACCACGACGGCGGCGCCCACCACGACCGCGGCGCCCACCACGACGGCAGCACCTTCCACGACGGCGGCACCCACCACGACCGCGGCACCCACCACGACCGCGGCGCCCACCACGACGGCGGCACCCACCACGACAGCGGCACCCACCACGACCGCGGGCGCCCCACCACGACGGCGGCGCCCACCACGACGGCAGCACCTACCACGACGGCGGCGCCCACCACTACGGCAGCACCTACCACGACGGCGGCGCCCACCACGACGGCAGCACCCACCACGACGGCGGCGCCCACCACGACCGCAGCACCCACCACGACGGCGGCGCCCACCACGACCGCAGCACCTACCACGACGGCATCACCCACCACGACGGCAGCGCCCACCACGACGGCGGCGCCCACCACGACGGCGGCGCCGACTACAACACCCGCGCCGCCCGAGGTGATCTTGTCGTTCGTCACATCAGAGGCGGACTGGAGCCCCTGCAGCGCCACGTGCGGCAGCGGGACCCAGACGGCGTCCGTGACATGCATGGAGCACGTGTTCTTCCCGTCGAACGGCACCTACACGCCCGGGACGGTCGTCGCCGACTCCCGCTGTCTGGATGCTGGGCTGGAGCAACCGGCCATGCGCACTCGGCCGTGCATTGAGCCGCCGTGCAAGAAGCCGGTGCTGGAGTTTGGGGCGTTCGGGGCGTGCGACGCGCAGTGCGGCGGGGGGCTGCGGTACCGCACCGCATCGTGCGTGGACGCGGTGACGGCGATGCCGATGGCTCTGTCGGAGTGCGCGTTCTCGCACGCGGCGAACTTCTCGCTGATCACGGAGGCCTGCAACGAGACGCCGTGCGCGTCGTTCGTCCTGGAGTACCCCGACACGTGGACGAGGTGCTCCGCGGCGTGCTGGGACCGGGCGAACAACGCGTCTATGCCCATGCAGACACGTGCGGCGGTGTGCCGGGACGGGTCGACGAGCGCGCAGGTGGGGATGGGGAACTGCACTGCGTTTGGGCTGACCGTGGACGCGTCGCTGCTGCAGCAGCCGTGCAACGCTGAGCCGTGCGTGACGTACGAGTGGCAGACCGGGGCGTGGGGCGCGTGCACCAACGCTGCGACGGGCGCTGCGGCCACGTGCGACGCGGGCGACGGGTCGACGTACGCACAGAGTCGCACGGTGTCGTGTCGGGGGTCGGACGGGAGCAGCGTGCCGGACGCGGAGGCAGCCAGCCGCTGCACGGCGCCGATGCCAGCAGCGACACGGTCGTGCTCGAACTCCTATCCGGCCGCGAGTCTGCAGCATCTGGCGCTGTGCCCTGGCCGCGACGGCTGCAGCGCAATGCCGTGTGCCTACTCGGCGGACACGATCCCACAGGGCCGCCGCAACAAGTGCATCCCGAACGGCGCGCTGTTCACGTGCGAGTGTGCGAGGGACGGCAACGGCAACGCGCTGTACACGGGTACGCGGTGCGAGTCGATCGTGACGCCGGACTGCCCTGCGCCCGGGAAGATGTATGTGGTGAACGGCGTTGACACGTGCTGCGCGTCCGGGGTGTACACGTCGAAGCTGGAGTGCTGTCCGTTCGCCGACATGGTGGAGGACGCGAACGGGGCGTGCTGCTTCAGGGACGCGCGGACCGCACGCGGGCGCGGGGACGTGCTGGACGGGTGCAACGTGTGCGGCGGCAAGGGCAAGGGGCGTGTTGGCGGGGAGTGCTGCGAGGGCACGGCCGACAAGCACGGCAAGTGCTGCCCGCCGAACAACCCCTTCACGGCGCTGAAGCAGGAGGTGGACGAGTGCGGGAACTGCGGGGGTGGCAACCGGGGGTGCAACTTTGAGGCTACGGTGACGTTCGACGTGCCGCCGTCGAACAGGAACCACCCGGAGCTGAACAGCAGCGTGGCGACGTGGGTGTCGGAGTCGACCGGCGCAGGGGGGCACCGCGTGAACGTGAAGGGCCACAAGTCGGGGTCCGGGACCAGAATGAACTCGGACGTGACGATTGGAGGCGTTCAGAATGACGGGGACGCGGCGATGAGTCAGGGCCGCATTGCGGGCTCGATCGCTGCGTCCGTTTCCCGCGGAAAGCAGCTCAGGACCAAGAAGCGCATGTCTCACGCCTTGCGCGCGCTGATGCAAACCACGCTGGGAACGGGGGCGGGTGTGCAGGCCGTTGGAACGCTTGCCGTCTGCGGCAATGGTGCGTGCGAGGGCTCCTCCGAGACCGTCGTGGTCGGCTCGAGCGGGGTGACGGGAGGCTGCACGACCATCGGGCCGTCCGGTGCGACCGACTGCGCGACGCCCATCTACACCTGCAAGGCGCCGGACTGGGCCCCGACGGTGGCGTGCGGCGGTGTCGGAGCATGCGTCGCGGACGACGCGTCTCTGCCCGTGCTGCAGCAGACGTCGATCTGTCAGTGCGACACTGGGTATGCCGGGGAGGCGTGTCAGGTGTGCGACACGGGGTACGCCGAGGCGGAGGGCAGCCGCGCGGCAGGGTCGCTGCGGTGCCTGCGTCTGACAGTGACGGCGTCGCAGGCGGTCGCGGCGACCAACCCGCCAGTGGTGCTGGCGACCGTCGCACCAGCAGCGACGCAGGGGCCAGCAGCAACGCAAGCAAGTGCTGCGACGCAGGCTCCGGCGGCCGGTGCTCAGCAGCCAGCGAGCGCAACAGCGGCGCCAAGCGCATCTGGCGACTTTGAGGCTGCGGGATCGCCCACAGCTGGACCTGACAGGACGTCAACTACCGATGTCAGCTCATCGACAGGCGTGGAACCGGGCTCCTCCTCCGGGATGAGCCCGGTCCTGATCGCGGGCGTGGCAGGTGGGGTCGTGCTGGTTGTCGGAGCCGTCGTTGGGTCGGTCATGCTGGTCAAGTACAAGCAGTCGCGGCGTTCAGCAACACTGGCTCGCGTGGTGCCAGGCCACCGCGCAGACCGCGGAGCACCACCTTCGCCGGCGTCGCTGGGTCTGACAGATCTCTCTGCGAGCAGAGTCCGTACCACGATCGAGGAGATGATGGAGCCTGTCGACCTCGGCCGCATGTCGGACACCAGAGCTTCTGTTGCGCCAATCACCTGATTTACTCAGTCTTCTACTGGCGCGACGAAGAAATCAAGCACTACGCCTGCGCCGTTGAAATCAAATGCTGCCCAGGATGCTTCGACGAGGCGCAGCCGTCAGCAATAACTAAAGAGGCACGTACTGCTCTAAACATTCGCTTTTCGAACGACGTTTTCTTGGAATTCTACCGCAGCTTTGATGGCATCGATGAATCGTTGAAATTTCGCGCATGTGATTGTTTGCTCGACAGACGACACCCGTGATGAAGCTTCGCAGTCTCACCACAGGTCCATATCTCTGTCGCGCGAGGTCCGAGCTGCACCATCTCTGAACTGACGTTCGTGTCGACTCGCCAGGCTCACAGTTTCATTGCAGCACCAGAGAAGTTCGAGGGGCAGGCCGTATGATTGTCCCGTTCTTTCACGCGGATTCTTTGTCTCGGATAGTGGACGTGTGGCGACGTACACCACCACAGGAATGTTGCTGCTGGTCTACGCAGCCGCCGACGGCCTAGAACAGGCGGCGCCGCGGGGACCGCTCCCCCTCCACGGGGCCCGAGCTCTCCTCGCGCGGTCGACTGCGGTCGGTGCGAGCCCGCCCGGGAGAGCGCCCGCTGCTGCGGCCGCTCGCGCCGGCCTCCCTGCTCCGCACGGCGTTCCCGGCCGCCACGGGGCTCGCCTGCGCGGGAACGACGTCGTCGATGCGGCCGGACAGCGTCAGCGGCTCGCCGCCGCTCATCATGTTCGCCGTCAGCGTGATCCGCATGTTGTGGTCGACGCTGAGCTTGACGGCGAACCTCAGGCCCTTGGGCCCGCGGGGAAGGTTCTCGATCGTGCCCTTCGCGATGAGGCGGCTCGTCGCGAAGGGCATGGTCGTCTGCGCGAGGCCGCCCGGCGGGCTGACGTACAGGTTGAACGTCGCGTAGGGCTGGTCCTTGACGTACGTCGAGAACGTCTCGGAGTCCTCGAAGACCGCCGCGGAGACGGGCGTGTTCGCGGGGATGCACTTCCAGATCTTCCTCTGCTTTGCGCGCCCGTTCAACTTGATCTCGATGCCGACGTCCATCGGCACCACGTCCTCCACGTGCCAGTCGGGCCGCTCCTTCCGCGTCCATGCGTACCACGCGGCGCCCTCCGCGACCGCCTCGTTCACGTCAAGGTCGAGCTCGACGATGTCGCCAACGACGCCGGCAACGGCCTCGCGCACGCCCGGGTCGCCCGACGCGCCGCCCACCAGCACGGCGACGTCCAAGCCGTGCTGTCCTGCCTCATCCTTGAGCTCGCCTTTCTCGATGGCGCCGGCCAGGGCCGTCTTCACGACCTGCGCCACCCCCTCATGCATCTTCTGCACGGCAGTGGCGTACTCCTGGTACACAAACGTCGCCGGCCTGCCGCGGTTCCGGTTCGTCCAGTAGCTCGTGTGCGTGGTGCCGCCCGCTGCGACCTGGCACACGCCGATCTTGGTGTCCTGCACGTGGCGCATCCAGCTGCGGCCCAGGGCCATCCTGCGCACGTTCTGGACCGCGCCAGCCTGCCGCAGCCCGCCCAGAACCTCGGGCACGTCCTCGTCGATCTCCTGGAACGCGCACTTCCGGCGGACCAACGGCTCGAACAGGCTGTCGGCGTCGCGCCCGCCACAGTCGGGGTCGCCCGCAGTCGCGATGACCTTGACGTTGTCCGGCAGCGCGTGCGCCCGCGGCCCGGACGTCCCGCGCAGGATCGTGACGTCCGTGGTGCCGCCGCCGACGTCCGCGACAAGCAGCGTGTGGTCGTGCTTCGCGCCCGGGTCGCCGTGCCTCCACGCCCACGTCAGCGACGCCGCGACGGGCTCCGGAATCAGCTCCACCGTGTCGCCCGGGATGCCCGCGCTCTCGGCCGCCTCCAGCGTCAGCTCCCGCGCCTTCTTCGAGTACCCGTGCGGGACGGCGATCACCACCTTGCGGACCGTCTCCGCGGCGGTGAGCTTGGTCTGCGCGAGCACCCAGACGCGCCTCAGCACCTCCGCGAGCACCGCCTGCGGCTTGACCCGCTTGGCGCCCGGCGCCTCGGACGGCCTGCGCGCCAGCACGTAGCACGCGTAGCCGTGCTCGTCGTCCTCGATGAGGCAGTTCGCGCTCTCCCTGAGGCCCGTGGGCAGGTCCGCCGTGCCGCGCGCGAGCATGCGCTTGGCGTCGGTGAGGAGGAAGCCCAGGGAGGCGCCGGGGTTCTCGAACGCGCGGACCGCGCGGTCGCCAACCTCGGTGCACTCCCCGTCGGCAGAGTACAGCGCCGCGGACGGAATGACGCCGTCAGCCACCTTGATCGCAGTAGGCGCGCGCTTCCCGGGCTTGACCACGAATCCCTGGCTGCGAGGACGTGCGGGAGATCCGCCGTGAGTTGCAAGATGACGGTTAGGCCTTGAAGGCATCATGTGATGAAGCCGAGACCGGCGGCGATGGTTCCGACCAAGACCGACAGCGCCGCGGGGCAGAATCGCTCGGAAAGAGGGGGAGGTGATCCGGTCGTGCCGTCCGGAGCGCGCACGGAGCAGCTCTCCGAAGGCCATCGAAGCCTGCAACAGGCTCGCCCCGCCAGCGCTTGCGTGGCACAGACTCGCGCAATTGGCGAGCCCTCGCGGCTATCGCGTATTCGACAGTGCTTGCGGGGCGATCGATGTTGCGTAGATTCCTGAAACGACGCCGTTCGGGCGCGCTTGCATCGAGAAGTCTAGTTGCGCCGTACAGCGGCAGAATCGCAATCAACTCTAAATTTAGCCATGACTACGGAAACTCGTATGAATGTAGATCATGGTTCCGAGAGACAGTGCTTTCAAACGCGCTGAGCAAGCCAAGGAGCGCTGAGCAAGCCATTGCCAAGGGTGGGGTGCGCGCGTGTGATGCAACATCATTATCCTCCCACAGCAAGCTTGCTGCGTTTTCGTATCATGTCTGTACCTGTTTGTGGTCCCCAGATCCACGCCGAGCGTCACATCCTTCCTGCCGCGGGTGCTGAGCCTGCGCAGCGCGCTGGCAGCGTTGCTGCGCGGAGAGCTCACGAACATGATCGTTATCGACGACGACAAGTGGCCCTGAATGAGCGAGGAGTGAGAGGTGCGAGCCGCACCCCGCTGTCTTCTCAGGCGGGCGGGCGCCGCTGCAGACGGTCCGCAGGGGGACGCACCCCCCGGGTGTGGTTGCGGCAGATAGCCGACCACATTGCGCTTCTCGATCGCTTGAAAGGATGTTTCGGGGCTCTTTCGTTGCAGAACTGGCCATTACTCCTTCCCGACGCCCCGTTTCTGTGCGCAAGGCCCCAGGCTTGCCTGCAATAGGGTCACGCGCGGGCCGCCCCGCTTTGCCATGAATCGTTTCTCTCTTGTCTTTTCCCAGACAAAATTGTATGAGAAAGCTCATTCAAGTGTGATTCTGCTCCCGTGCATGGGCCAATCAAGGCGAACAGCCGCTGCATCTGCTGCAACATGTCACTACGCGGCAACCACCCCACCGCGGCGCAGCGCTCCGGCTCGAGGCCGTCCTGCGACGCCAGCAGCGCGTCAGCTCGCGTCAGGACGAGCCAGGAATCCCGCCCTGCAGAGAATCAGGCCAGCGCCAATGCGGCTTGCATTCGACGCGAACACTGATCGGCGCCGCACGTCGGTCGTCCAGTGCGCGAATCCACAGGCTCTGGATGCGTACGCAGCGCCCCCAGCGAAGCGGTGACGTCGGCTCGTAGCAGCGGGTTTGGTTCACATATCACATCGCAGGGAACTACAACTTAATAACTGATTGCATCAGCCGTGGCCGATACGGGGGGGAACGCGGCCTCCGAGATGATCGCAGGTGCGCGCTCGTGTGCACCGCACCCCGGCCGGGGCGTCGTGCGGGCTGTGCCGGCCGATCATCCGTGCCGGCGGGCCTTTGTGGCCCGCCCCTTGTCCGTCGATCCCTGGCCGTCGTCGCGCGCCCGGGTGCGGCTCGCGCGGGCCCGCCCCGGAGACGTTCCGGCGCTGCGGCCGCTCGCGCCGGCCTCCGTCGCGCGCGCGCTCCTCGTTTGCGCGGGGCTGGTCTGACCGGGGTCGTCGACACGGGCCCTGAGGACGAGGGGCTCGCAGCCCGGCTGTAGCAGCCTCGACGCCAGCGCGATGACCAAGTTGCAGTCAACGTCCATCTTGACGCTGAACCTCTGGCCCTGGGGCCCGGGGGGTAGGTCAGAAATCTCGCCCTTCTTGATGCAACGACTCGATCGGATGTCCATGTACGGGTTCTTGCGTCCGTTGGGCGTGTTCACGAAGATCTCGAACTCCACGCTGTCCTGGTTGTCTTCGGCCGTGGACCAGTCGACCTCGTTCTCGTAGACTGCCTCCGAGATGGGCGTGTTGGCGGGAATGCATTTGAAGATTCGCTTCTCCCGGCTCCCGTTGGGCTTCATCCCGATGCCGATGTCCATCGGGACCACGTCCTCCATGATCTCGTCGCCGAGGTGCCTCGCCCACGCGTACCAGCCCGCGCCCTGGGCGATGGCCTCGTTGACGTCGAGCGAGAGCTCAAAGTTCGGGCTGAGCGAGGCCGCGCTGAGCGCCTTCTGGACGGCCGCGCGGACCCCAGGGTCGCCCGACGCGCCCCCGACGAGCACCACGTGGTCGACACCGCCCCGGGCGTCGATCGCCTTCTTGTCGCGCGCCTCCTTGATGGCCCTGGTCACCGCGGCGGCGACCTTCTCGTACACGGGCCGCACCGCCGAACGGTAGTCCCTGGGCGCCAGCGAGACCGGCCGGCCAAGCTTCGTGCCCGTCCAGTGCTTCGTGATCTTGGCGTCGTCCGCGCCTGCTGCACTGCAGATCTTGAGTTTGAACGACTCCACGAAGGCCGTGAACTTGCGCTTCACCGCCGACCTGCGCGGGTTGTCGCGCCCGTCCTCGCGCTGCTCGGGGACGTCGTCGTCGACCTCCTGGAACCTGCACTGCTCGAGGACCAGCGGCTTGAGCAGCGCGTCGGCGTCGCGCCCGCCACACGCGGGGTCTCCAGCCGTCGCCAGCACGACCACGCTCGTCGGAGGCCCATCGAAGTCCGAGCTGCACGTGCCGCGCACGATCGTGACGTCCGTCGTGCCGCCGCCGACGTCCACCACGAGCACCACGTGGTGAGGGCTGACGTTGGGGTTGGCGAGCCATTTCAGGAACGTGGTGGCCGCCGCAGCGGGCTCCGGCATGAGCTCGACGCCCACCCCGGTCCCGACCGCCTCGGTGGCCGCCCAGAGGGTCAGCTCGCGGGCCTTCGGGATGTACCCGTGCGGAATCGCGACGACGACCTTGGAGACGTACTCGCACGACACCAGCTTGGTGTTTGCGAGCCTGACGAGTTCGCGGACGACGGCCAAGAGGACCGTCTCCGGCTTGACGAGGACGGCCTGAGAAGCGGTACCGGGGTTGCTGTCCAGCGCGAAGCACGCGTAACCGTCCTTGTTGTCAACGATGGGGCAAAAGGCGGCCTTCTCCAGGCCGTCCGGGAGGTGCTGTTTGGCGCGCGCGAGCATGCGCTTCGCGTCCGCGCAGAGGAACATGCCGCGTTCTCCGTCCTCGAACCTGGACTGAGCTTCCTTGCCCACGGCCAGGCACTCCCCGTAGACGTTGAAGAGCGCAACCGAGGGAATCACGCCGTCGGAGACCTTGATGGCGCTGAGCCTGTGGTTCGTCTCCTTGATCAGGAATGCCTGGCTGCGAGGACGTGGTGGGGCGGGCGCGGCGCCGGTGTCAGTCAGCTTGCGCGGCGGCCGAGCGGGGGAGGGGAAGACCAGCAACTGGGGTCGATCCAGTCGGGCATTCGTGGTTCTTCAGAGACACCCGTTCATATGTCTAGGCCGGGCGGCAGCAGGCGCGTTGCACGAGATAGCGGACGCGTCCTTGGACCACACACGCAGCGCGACGTGATCCCCGCCGATGAGCAAGCCCAGGACGGGCGAGAAACCGCCAGGGCCAGGCCTCCGGGGCCCGTGGGGCGCGGGGCTCCGGCCACCGGCACGGTCCTGTCTGTGCAGGGGCCGCAGAATCAGGCCGCCAGCGCCATCCACCGGACCGTACCGCGACGAGCGCGCAGTCGTCACCGACCACTGCTCTGGGCCACGCACACGTCGTCCGAAGCGCGCGCTGTCGCGTCGGCGGGAGATGCTCTTGCGCTGGCAGGTCGCACAGCGCCGAGCGCCGCGGCGACGTACGGGCCGAGCGTCGCGGCTCGTGGGCGTGTCGCTCACCTGTTCGTCGTGCCCAGATCGACTCCGAGCGCAACAGGCTTGAGGTCCGGCTTTGCGGCGCTGGCGCTCGACCTGCGCGGCCCACCAGACTTGCGCCCCTTTTTCTTCCCGGACTGAGGCATGGCGGTCGCTTCCTTCGCGTCGATCGGCGAGGCCGAGGCAAGGAACGGAGATTGCGGGCTGCGCGCGGCCGCCCGCGCCATCCAGTGCGCGCGGAGCCACCGTCGGGGCAACCTGCGCGCAGGACCCCTAGAGGTAGAAACGCGACGATGTGGCGCACGAAACTGCAGTGACTGGTCCTCGCAGCGACGCTACTCGTCGTGACCGCAACTACGGGCGCGTTTTCGCCCCGTAGCAGCCGCCCTGAACCGCACCGACGGGCCGAAAGAGCTGCACAGAGGAGCGTGCCGGCGCCCCGAGGCGGGAGGAAAATCTTGCCTCGCACCACACACGGGCGCAAGCGACGCAGGGAACCGAGGTGGAGCGGCTTTTGCGGCGCTGTTGCCGCACCAGCAGCGTCGCCTCGTCCCCCCGTGCCTCGCGTGATTTCACCACCGCCAACCGCCCGCCGCGGCGCCGCTCACCATCGGGACGCCACCGCGCGGCAGTCCCGAGCATTCCAGAACGCACCGGAGCGCTTTCCGGCGCTGCGTTGGTTGGACCCCCGCCCGCCGCGGAGGTCGGCCAGCGCCCGACGTGGCGCCGCACGCATGACGTGGCCCGGCGCGGCACGTCGGCGGGCGGGCGCGCGCGCCCACGGGCACTTCGAACACGCCTTGAACTATCTATTTCAGCGCTGCCGAGATGCAAACCAGCACGCTGTTCCAGCGCTCCACGGGAGGCTCCCTCTCCCGGCAAGAGAGCGCCGTAGCGCCGCTCCGCGCTCGCGGGTCGAAGAACTCCGGGCACGACCTGCCCCCTCAGTTCGTCCAGGAGGTCTGCGACCGCCTCAACCTGCACGAGACCGCGGAGACCCTCGCCTCGACGCGTCTGCAAACACTCTGGGCTGGGTATGGGTCGATCTACCGCCTCGCGCCGCGCGAGGCGAGCCCGGGCGTCTCCGCGGTCGTGAAGGACGTCAGGCCGCCGCCGATGTCGTCGGGGTGCACGCTGAGCCACGCCCGGAAGCTCAAGAGCTACCGCGTCGAGGCTCGCTTCTACAGGGAGGTCGCGCCGGCTCTAGCAGCGGCGCGCCGCACGTGCACGACCCCGCAAGCCCTCGTGGTCGTCGCGGAGGACGACTCGAGCGGAAACTTCCGCCTGCTGCTGGCGCTCACGGACCTGAGCGGGTGCGTCGCACGCCTGCCCGCGACGGACCTGGCAGTTGGACAGGACGAGCGCGCCGCGTTTCCGTGCCCGTCGAGCGCCCGAGGAACCCTTGGCGCGCCGCAAACGCCCCGAACGCGCAAGGTCCTTGCCGGACAGGGGCAGCGCAGGCCCTGCGCGCCGCGCGTGCTCCAGAGCCCGCGCGGCAACCACCGCCGAGGTTGCTTGGCGGCCCCGCCTCGATGCCGCAAAAGCGAGGCCCGCATCCGCGGCGGCTCGGCGGTCGCTACTGTACGATCACGGCGCCCGCGGTGACCAGCGCCCTACCCGCCTCCACGTGCAGGAAGTTTGCTCCATCCGGCGGCATGCTGGGCGCGGACGAGGCGCGCGCTGCGCTGGAGTGGCTCGCGGCGTTCCACGCGCACGGCTGGGGCCAGGCTCACACGGCCGTGGACATGGGGCTGTGGGAGGAGGGGTGTTACTGGCACCTCGAGACGCGCCCTGAGGAGCTGGCGGCGATCTCGCCCACGGGCCCGCACGCGCGGCTCGGGCGGGCCGCGCACGTGCTGGACGCCCGGATGCGGGGCATGCGCGACCCGGACGGGTCGGAGTGGGCGGGGCTGCAGGGCGTGCGGGCGGCGCGCACGTTGGTGCATGGGGACTTCAAGGGCGAGAACATCCTGATCGGGGACTCCGAGGGCGGGCAGGCGGGGATCCGGTGCGCGGCGTACGACTTCCAGTACTGCGGCGGCGGCCTCGGGACCAAGGACGTGGCCTACCTGCTCGGCAGGTGCGAACACAAAGACGACGTGTCAGCGTGCCGCCAGCTGACGACCTTGTCGCTGCAATCCTCCTCGCTAACGACCTCTGTGCGTGCGAGCACGCTCGAACAGCGCGCAACGCGAGCTGAGGGTGCGCCGCGGCTACCGCGGGCGGCCCTGACGTCGCCAGCGTGTCGATGTGCCGTGCAGTTCCGTGGATGGGCTGCTGCTCAAGAACGGCGGCGACATGAAGCTGCTGCAGCACTACCACAAGTGCCTCACAAAGCTGCTCCCGCGCAAGGCAGCCGCGGCGTACACGTTCGACACGTGCAAGCTGCACTACGCCCTCTGTGTGGCCGACTACGCGCGCTTCCTGGCCGGCTGGGGGTGGTGGGGCAACAGCGCCTACCTGCAGGAGCATGCAGAGGCTGCGCTCGATCAGCTGGGGCTGTAGCGCCCGCGATGCTGCACCGACTCTAGTTTTGATCTGCACGCCCTCGCCACATCAGCAGTTTCTGCGCCGCTCAAGCTCGGTCGCCGCCTGGTTGTCTCGAGATGATTATTTCCCTATACAACCCCCCCCGTCCCCCCGAAGAACACGGTGCCCCTCCGCGAAAAAGCTGATGTGTCGCGCGTCCACATCTCCCAAAACGCATCCCGCGCAGGGTGCACTCGAGCATGCGTCTGCCTGACATCCGTTCCGCAGGCGCAACATCATGCATGCCAATAGGCTGGCTAGCAGCCTGCAGCCGCATTCCCGCGAAGTGGCGAAGCTTGACGCGACGGAGGGGCTAGCTGCATCGCAGGAGGGGGCTCGGCGCGGACTGTCCGTCCGAGGTCGCAGAAAGTTGGTCTCTCCGTTGAAAATGAACATCATCGTGCTAGTTTTCTGTGATTACCTCGATACACCGCCCGCAGAAGCGAAGTACAAAAAAATCGTTTTCTACTCGCCGGGCAACGCTGTGAACGGGCCGGCGCGCATCGCGAACAGCCCGTGGATGGTGAGCCACCGCATCAGCATCAGCACGGCCAGTGCCGTCCAGGCCGTCGCGAGCTCCGGCGAGCACTGCGCCAGCGCCCCGAGGGGGCCACCAACTCCCGCCGCCAGCCGGGCCACACTCTCCGCACCGCCAGGGGCGAGCATGAGCAACAGCGGCAGGGCCGCTGCCGCGGCCATCAGGCCCGGCCCGTACCGGAAGCCGTTCGCCCCGTACAGGATGCCATCCCAGACGAACGCCAGGGAGTTGAGGGGCTGAGTCAGGGCGACGACGGGGAGCAGCGTGGTCACGACGGCCGCCACTTCCGCGTCCTTCGAGAACGTGCCCGGGATCACCGGCGCCGCGACGATCATCCCGAGCCCGAGCACGGCGCCCATCGCGACACCGACCCAGTGCGATGCACGTGCGGCCCGCAACGCTCTTGCCTCGTCACCCTGCGCAAGATCGCGCGCCATGACAGCCTGCGCGGCGATGGCGACCGCGTCGGCCGTCAGCGACGCCGCAAGCCATATCTGGAAGGCGACCTGGTGCGCGGCCGCTGCGACCGCCCCGCCCGACGCAGCGGTGGCGGTCGCGAGGGTGAAGCAGCCGATGTTCGCGCCGGTGCGCAGCAAGAGCAAGCCGGTCGGACGGACGAAGCGCCACACGTTCCCCGCGATGTCCCCCACGGAGGTAGACGCCCGCGAGAGAACGAGGTCTGGACTCTGGCGGTCATCCTCTGGGAGGTGTCGGAACAGGGCGGCGAGCAGCCCCGCCACGGCGACGGCTTGTCCTGCCACCGTTGCGCTCGCTGCGCCGCCCACGCCCCACCCGAGGCCGAAGATCAGGACGGGATCGAGGACGAGGTTGATTGCGTTCGCTGCGATCGTTGCTGCGAGCGGCGAGCGAGTGTCGCCGATCCCCCGGAACACCCCCTGCGCGCACCGCCGTGGTCACGACACCGTGCCTGATGGTGACCAGAGTCGACGCGGAACGGCGAGCACAACTTGAGAACTGCTGAGAGACAACACATTATGTGTTTCATACGTTTCATGAGTGGAATGCGCACCTGGATGACCAGCAGCGTGCAGCTCAGAGGTGCGCCCGCGGCCCTGACCAGGAGGAACGTCCTGGCTGCCTCTACGGCGTCGGGTCCAAGCGACGTGCCGCCCACAGCGCGCACCAGCGGCCCCGTGCATGCTGCCAGTGCCACAGCTTGGACCAAGCCTAGCGCGAGCGAGAGGGCCAGCGCCGTCGTCGCGCCGCGCACTGTCGCGGGCCCGAGCCCGCCCTTCCGCGCGTCCGGCGTCCGACCCGCGCTGTTGTCCTCGCCCAGCGAGGTTGCGATGATGCTGGTCGTGACTGACAGCAGAGGGTTGTTCGTGAGCTGCGCGGGGCGCGGAGGAATGCTGGGACGACGTGAGGCGGCCACGACGGGGCTGCTCGGCCGCTCACCTCGCGTCTGCAGGCACATTTTGTGCGCTCACCTTGGTGGCCGCGTTGAAGACGGAGACTGCGACGCCCACGCCCGCGAGCTGCGTGAAGCCCAGGCGGCCCACCCAGGCCGTGTCGACGAGCGACGCCACTGGGTCGCACGCCAAGGTCAGCAACGCAGGCAACGCCAGGGTTGCCAGCTCAACGAGCACGCCCGACGGAGGCGCTGTTTCCCGCTGTGAATCAAAATCGTCATCTTTCGCCCGAGCCGCAACATTTGACGAACGAACGCTTCTCCGAGGCCCATTAATTCGACCCCTGCTGCTGCGCCGCGCCTCACAGCACGCTCGACGCGAACGCCTCAGAGCTGTTCGACGAGAAACGCATCCTCGAAGATGCTGTCTTGCTACACATCTATCACGTGGGACTGTGTGTGAGTCTGTGCTTAGCGCGTGGAGGGCCATCGGGCGCGAGGATGGCCACCGCCGCGCTAGCTAGCGGCCCCCGTTCCGCCCTCGACCGGCCGGGCAAGTTTCAGCCACTCGCGCGCATGTGCGTTCCGCTGTCGAAAGGACTCAATATTGACGGCGCTTCGGGACTCCTGCCGGGCCGCCCGACTCGTACTGGGGACTACAGCAGTCGCGTGTGCCCTGACTCGACGCCCAGAGCACGACGTTCGAGCCCGACGAACGGGTTAACGGATCCCTCACACGCGGCCCGCACGGTCCGTCCGTCCTGCCCGCTGTCGCCCGACTACCCCCCTCGCACCCCCTGGGCAACCCCCCTACTTCCTACTTCCTCATCGCCTCGAACGTCGCGCGGATGGCGTCCATGAAGGGCTCCGTGAGGAGGTAGCTGCTCTCGGGCACCTTGGTCGTGCCGTGCACGCAGATGGCGAGGTCCTTGGTCATGGCGCCCGACTCGATGGTCTTGATGGTGGCGGCCTCGAGGTCCTCGCACCACTGGACGAGCTCCGCGTTGCCGTCGAGCTTCCCGCGGTGCGCGAGGCCGCGCGTCCACGCGAACAGCGACGCCACGGGGTTGGTCGACGTCTTCAGCCCCTTCTGGTGCTGCCGCCAGTGCCGCGTCACGGTGCCGTGCGCGGCCTCGGCCTCCACGGTCTTCCCGTCGGGCGTGACGAGGACGGACGTCATGAGGCCGAGCGAGCCGTAGCCCTGCGCGACGATGTCGGACTGCACGTCGCCGTCGTAGTTCTTGCACGCCCACACAAACCCGCCCTCCGACTTGAGCGCCTGCGCCACCATGTCGTCGATCAGACGGTGCTCGTACCAGATGCCCTTCGCCTCGAACTTCGCCTTGTAGTCCTTCTCGTACACCTCCTGGAAGATCTGCACGGACAGAGGCGGCCAGGACAGGAACTCGTTGGTGCGTGCGATTTCGGCTGGCAGGCGCGTTCAGGATCCCGCCGCGGACAGGCATGCACGCAGGCCATGTCGTACGGCGCGCAGGCAGCACACTGCGCGGCGCGCACCATGAGCCACTTCCCGTCGTAGCGCTTCAGGATGGTGTTCTTCGTCGACATGTACAACGGCCACCCGCGGCCCAGGGCGAACTCGAAGCACGCCCGCGCGAAGCCGTAGATCGACTCCTCGGTGTTGTACATCCCGAGCGCCACGCCGGGCCCCTTGAAGTCGAAGATCTCGTACGTCTTCGCCTCGGACCCGTCCTTGGGAGAAAACGTCATCGTCAGCTTGCCCTCGCCGGGGATCTCGAAGTCAGTCGCCCTGCACGGCACACGAGAAGGACCCGCAATCGTGCCTCGCGATCCAGCGGCAGCGCACTCCCGGGCTGGCACGACGCGGCGCAGGGGCCTCCGTGCTGTTTTAGAGGGCCCGGGCACCTGTACTGGTCGCCGAAGGCGTGGCGGCCGACGACAATGGGCTTCTTCCACCCGGGCACGAGGCGCGGTACGTTGGACACCACGATGGGCTCGCGGAAGACGGTCCCGCCCAGGATGTTGCGGATGGTCCCGTTGGGCGAGCGCCACATCTGCTTGAGCTTGAACTCCTCGACGCGGGCCTCGTCCGGCGTGATCGTCGCGCACTTAATGCCCACGTTGTACTGCTTGATGGCGTTCGCGGCGTCCACGGTCACCTTGTCGTCGGTGGCGTCGCGGTGCGTGACCGACAGGTCGTAGTACTTGATGTCCAGCTCGAGGTCCGCGTTGATGAACTTGTCCTTGATCATCGTCCAGATCACCCTGCGAGGCGGGGCGCGCGGGCGGACGCGGTCGCGGCGTCCACGGCGACGTGCTCCTGCACCGCGGTGGTGGTGGTTGGCGGCGCGCGGGCGGCGCGAGGACGCCTGCGCATCCAGCTGCCCAGATCCGCGATCCTGACTTGATGGACACCCTTCAAGGCGCTTGCGGCGCAGAGATGCCCGCCCTGCCGGCCGCGCGTGCCACGGTGCATGATGGCAGCAGGGAGGACGCGGCGGCAGGTTTTCCGGGCACCGGAGGAGCGCTCCTGCGCGCACCTGGTCATCTCATCGCCGTCGAGCTCCACCACGGGGTTCGTCACCTTGATCTTGGCCATGGTGCGGAGGCTTCCTGCGCAGGGGGGCAGGACGGTGACGGCTTGGTGACTCTGTGGCGCGCTGTCGCGTTTCCGGGGCCTCCGCGGCCTCCTCCGCTCACAAGCGGCACGAAGACCAGTATGCGCGGCACAGATCATGCGTGCATCCCGGTATAACTCTCGTGCGGCGCTCAACCACCTCGAGGGACACCTCGGCACCAGGTGAGTGCTTCCGCGGCCCGAAACGGCCGTGCTGGCACGCGAGCTCCACGAGCAAGTCATGGTGGTCCGAACCGTATGCTGCACTGTCGTGCGCGCACCTGCAACGGTCCTGTTCGGGGATCTGCTGGAGTAGAGAGAACTGGGTCCGATCACGTTGCTGAGCAGCGCAGTTGCCCTTTTTATCATGCTACGGGGGGCAGTGCACACCCTCCTCCTCCCCGCAGGCTCATGGCTCCCGCAACGCCCCGTTCATGGCCGTTGGCTGCACCCCCCCACTGACTTCGCCGAGCCGCGACAGCTTCACGAATCTCTCGTCAGGTGCACGCGCGGCGGGGCCCCGCGCAAAGCCCAAGCCTTTGGCTCCACTGCGGGCGACATCGCTCGGTCGTCAGCGGGCGTGCCACCATGGCACGCACGAACGCTGTGCTCAACGTCACACAGGCGCTCGCGCTAGCCCCCGCCCTTCCCGCCCTTCCCGCCCTTCCCGCGACGGCGCCCCTTCCCGCCACCGCCCACCCCCCCGCCGCCCCCCCCGCCGCCCATCGTCACCACGCGGTCTCCACCGCCACCACCGCCGCCGCCCTCGCCCCGGCCCCCGCCACCGCCGCGGCCCCTCCCGCGGCCCCTGCCCCCGCCGCCTCGACCCCCACCGCCGCCGCCGCCGCCCCCCTCGGCCTTGCGCTGCGCCCACGCCGGCATTCCGCGCATCGCAGCCGCCGCCCGCCCCTCCGTCCTGCCGCCGCGGTCCGGCACCGGTCCGATCAGCACGCCCTTCACGGACGAGGCAAGGCGGCGCTCGCCGCTCGTCACGCGCTCCGCCACGGACGCGATGTCCGCAAGGGTCGCCTTGTGCACATCCTGCAAGTCGCAGATGGCGGCGCTGAGGGGCGCACGTCAGGAGCTGCCCGCGTCCCACACGCGCGCCGCCAGAGACGCCGCCAGATCCCCGTCGCTGTGTCGACAGAGAGCGGGCGCCGCAAGCGGGGCCCGCGCGGAGGGCGCTCCCCGGAGCTGCGCACCTGGACGGCAACGGCCGGAGCGTACGACATCGCCGACGTGCTGCGTTCGGCGGCCTCCTGGACGCGCCGCGCGATGTCCTGGTCGTCGCGCGCGCGGTGGCTCCACCGGAACGACGACAGCGTCACCTTGGCCCGCTCGATCAGCATCTTGCGCCGCACCTCGTACTCCCGCGTCAGCATGCCGTGGATCTCCGCGAGCGTCGCCGCCTGCAGCCACACGCGCGCAGCGGCCGCCGGCTCGCGGGCGCCCGGGTCGCAGCTGACGGCCCGCAAGGCGAGACAGAGGCTGGGGCGTCGGTGCTGCTGGCAGGTTCGGGCAACACACCTGCTCGGCGCTGAGCGACGACGCCGGCACGAGCGGTGCTGCCGAGGCGCCCGCCGCCGGTGCCGAGCCCTTGAGCTTCCGCGCGCGCTCCGTGGCGGCACGGAGCGACGCGAGCGCGTCTGCGCCCGCCGGGACCCCCAACGTGGACCGGACGCGCGTCAGCGAAGCCGCCGCCTGCGCGTCGTCATCGTCGACGTCCATCGCGTCCTCCCGGGCCCCTGACGCCGCCGCACCGATGCGTCCGGCCTGCACCACCGCTGCCAACACCTCCAGCGCCCAAACCCGTGGGTGTTGCGTCGTGCCGGTGGCGCCCGCGGCCGCGCACGCCGCGGAGAGCGCTGCGTCGAGCTCGGCGCCGCTCGGGGACCCGCGCGCCGTGTCCCGTGCCGCCTCGGCGGCGGGCGAGGGGCAGTGCACGCAAAGTTCCGCCCCCAGCTCCCGGCAGAGGGACAACAGGCCGACGCGGGGCTCCGGCGTCGTGATGTCCGCCTCGGACAGCGAGGAGGGGCCGAGCCTGCGCGTCGGCGCGAGCGGGGGCGCGAAATGAGAGCATGGTGTGTGCGCGGTGTGAGGTCGGGCGCAGCGCTCTGATGTTGCGGCCCGGTGGGCTCAATGCTGCGCGAAGCCGATGCATTCGACCTGGTTCCATGCTACGGTGGCAAGTTCGATCCGTGTTTCGCCCCGTGCGGCGGAAGCAAGGCATTGGTGCTGTACACACGGCAGCGAATGTGCGGGGGGCCTTTGAGGTGCGCGGCGGCGATGTCACGCCGCTCCTCCGTAAGTACCCCGGGCGCGACGCGGGTATTCGGAGTCGCGACACGCGATCAAAAGGCAAGCCGTAGCGCACAGTTGATCCACGAGCTGCTCTCCGCTCCCACCGCGTGCACCGGGTTCATCTGCCTCCGCTCTTACCCTCCGCGCGTAGAAGCTTTTACGCGCGAGGCGGACAGCGGAGACACGGGGGCGTTAGGCGGCTCCGCCTGCCTGGACACCCCACGAAGCAATGCAGGTGAACAGAGCCACGCAGGAGGGCTGCTGCTGCGCGGTCGTGCTCATGCTCACTCACTTGGCATCGCCCAGCCGATCGAGGAGATCGGCCACCCTGTCTGACACGTCCATCCCGCGCCCCGCCCCACCGTGCGCGCCCGTCGCGGGCCCGGGGTTCAACCAGCTTGTGGCGCGGTTCGCGTCGCGGCGCCCGGTGCAAGGGAGGAAGAGCCGCGCGCCCTCAAGACGTGCTCGCGCCAGGGTCGCGCCTGTGGCAACGTCCTCCCGAGCAGGGCCTCCCGGGCGCGCTGGTGTGCGACACCTCCCCGGCCGTGCCAGACCGACCGGTCGTCGCGTCTCGTGCTCGACGCGGCGCCTTTGCCCGCCCGGCGAGGGGGGATCGCCCTCTTTTTCGCATTTGAGGTGGCGACGGGATGGCGACGCAGATCAACAGGAAGAGGAAGGTGAGACCGAGTGCTTGGCGGGCCGCCTGCTCCCGACGCGTCCCCGGGGCGCCTCGATAGCGACAGCGCCTCGAGCTGGAACATTGAGGCCCCATCGCCATGTCCGCCCCGCCGCCTGGGCTCGGGCCGACAGCCTTCGGGGCTGACGGGCGACCGAGGTCTTGCCCGGAGCTGCGCGCACGCGAAGGTCGCAATGCCGCGTTTTCGCGGACCGGCCGCACGCTGAGCGAGCATCACGCCCAAACTTGCGACTGCGCGGCGCGTGGTGCCACCTGCGAGCCCCACGGGCAGTGCGGCCGGCTGCTTTGGGTCGTTTTTGGGCCGCCCCGGGCTTCGCTGCGCCTCCGACGCCGCCCCGTCGATGATATCGTTTCGAACTCACGAGCCGTCATCGCGGCCGCCGCGTTGCCGTCCACACGAGGGCGCTCTCGCCTTTTTTCCCTCCAGAGCAGCGTTGCCGCGCATGCAGAGGCCGCTGCCTCGCCCACGGCCCTGCGAAACAGCCCGCCCACACCCCTGCCCCGTCCGGCATCCAGCCCGTTCACTACGCGCGCTCGGCCGCGCCGTCGCCCGCGCACACGACGCCCTGCCTCGTTTGCTCACCTCCCACCCCCTCCGCCCCGCCGTGCAGTCCGTCGCCGACGGCGTCTTCTACGCCGAGCTCAACGAGTTCCTGACTCGTGAGCTGGCCGAGGATGGCTACGCCGGCGTGGAGGTCCGCCGGACCCCCCAGCGCACGGAGATCATCATCCGCGCCACGCGCACCCAGAACGTCCTGGGCGAGAAGGGCCGCCGCATCCGCGAGCTGACCGCCGTGGTCCAGAAGCGCTTCAAGTTCCCCGACGGCTCCGTCGAGCTGTACGCGCAGCGCGTCATGAACCGCGGCCTGTGCGCCACGGCGCAGTGCGAGTCCCTGCGCTACAAGCTCCTCGGCGGGCTCGCCGTGCGCCGCGCCGCGTACGGCGTGCTGCGCTTCGTGATGGAGTCGGGCGCGCAGGGCTGCGAGGTGGTCATTTCGGGCAAGTTGCGGGCGCAGCGCGCCAAGGCGATGAAGTTCGCGGACGGGTTCATGATCTCGACGGGCGCGCCGACGCGCGACTTCATCGACGTCGCCACGCGCCACGTGCTCATGCGGCAGGGGATGCTCGGGCTCAAGGTGAAGATCATGAAGGACCACGACCCCACGGGCCGCGACGGGCCCGCCAAGCCCATGCCGGACCAGGTCCGCATCATCGAGCCCAAGGAGGACGAGCTCATGGGAACCAAGCCCGACATGAGCTAAGGCCGCGCACGGACGCACGCGGGGGGGCGTGCCGCCGCGCGCGCATAACGGGCCAGGGGGGCCTCGCGCGTGGCTGGACGCACATGTGACGACACTCGTTCCGAGGCCGACGCGCGGGGGCTGGCTGGGCCACCAACGTGCAGAGAGCGCGCATGCGCTGGCGGGGCTGTCACCGCGCGAGCCAGGGCCGGCAGTGCGGCGCGCGCCACCCCGGTCGGGCCGCGCGCACGACACCGCGTTTCTACGCAGTCGTTCGCGCCCCCCCTGCTGTGCGCTCCGCCACCGTCTACGCTTCTCCTTGGGCCCGTCGTCGCCCCGCGACCGCCGCCTGGCAGCCGCGCGCCCCTGCACACCGCATGACTGCACCTGCACGGGGGTGATAACCGTCCAGCGCCAGGGCCACGGCGTCACGCCTTCGTCGACTCGCGGCCCTACGCATGCTGCCGTCCTCGCCCGCGCGAGGTGTCCCGAGTCGCCCGTTCCAAGCACGTCTCACACCCGCGCACCGCTCACTGTCTCCGCTGCCCGCCCCGCTGCGGCTGCTGCTGCTGCTGCTGAGCCGCGGCGCGCTGCTGCGCCTGCTCCTCCGGGGTGGGCCCCAGGAGCTGCGCGATGATCATGGCGGCCGGGATGAGGTACATCCAGTACTTGCGCACAAACGACTGCTCCTCCGGCTTCCCGCGACCCTGCTCCTTGGCCTTGCGCTCCTGGAACGCCTGCCGCCCCGCAGCGTCCAGGCTCTTCTCTGCGCGGCACCGAACGACGGGCGCAGGAAGGTGGAGGACAGCGACAACACTGGCAATCTCCTGCGCGAGACCGCTGCGTGCGCGGCCGTCATGGCGCGGCCAGGGACCGCTCGGTACCAGGGTAGCGCACTGCGCCGCGTGCCGGAGCGGGCAGTGCGGGGGCGGCTCACCGATCGAGTCTGCGGCGCCCAGCGGCATGGTGGCTGCGTCCGGGACCGCGGCGTACTCCCCGGGCCCTGGGAGCTTGGTCGCGATGTGGTGCGCCGGCCGCGGTCCCACGACCACCACGTTCCACGAGGAGACGTCGAACGACGGGGTGTGCTTGGGCGTGTTGGCCCGGGCGCCCGACCCACGGCACAGCCCCGACGCGCTCTGCATCTGCACCGCGACCGGCCGTCCCTCGCCGTTGACATGGATCTCGATGACTGCCAGGCCGGCCCCCGCGAGCTGCTGGACGCACTCCAGCGACGCCAGGCTCGTCAGCGGTGTGTTGCCAGGGCCCTGCGGCACCGCGTCGAGCCGCCAGGCCCCGGGTGGGACCGCGACGATGTCACCAGCCTGTCCTCCTCTTTCGTCGTCGCTCCGGATGAGCGGCTGCACCGCGTGCCAGCCCTGCTCGCCCTCGTCGCTGACGGTCACGGAGAGCTGCCCAAGTCGCTTCGCAGGCGCTCCTGCGACCGCATGCCGCAGATCTAGATCCACCTGGACCGTCCTGGCGCTACAACATTCTAACAGAAGCCCGATGACGGCAGCTAGGAGCAGCGACAGCCCCCGCCAACGCGGGCCCATATCTATTGTCCCTGCCTGTGCAAAACAACCCAACGACCAGATCCAACCGTCGCACCACCGACCTGCTCGACCGTCCGAGCGTGGTTCGACCTTCGCGGGCGGCCAGGGAAGTAGACGTGCAGTTGCGTGCGCGGCAAAATGACGGCGGGCATTCAGCAACCCAAGTCAGGCGAACACCCCCCCTGACGCCATCACGTCACAATGCGTCACGACACCGAAATGTCGCCCTCGGGTTCCCCGGCCCCTGCGTGCGCCTCCTCCGCGAACGGATCACCCCCCCGCCGCACGTCAAAGTCCTCCGGGGCTGCCGCAGCGGAGGCGTCGCGCATGTCCCGCCGCGGGTCGTCCGCGAAGATCCCCTCCGCAGCCAGCGCAGCGATCCGCCCCGCGGCCCGCCCGCCCCGCTGCTTGCTCGCGCTGGGGGGCTGCGAGTTCAGATTCTGTCTGACTCGGCTCAAAAACTCCCCCTGCGCGTTCAAGTACTCCTCCGCCTCCGCCAGCGCGCGGCTCCGCACGGACGTCGCCGGCGCATCGCCCCGCGTCACCTCGATGGCCGCCTGTTCGCCGGACGGCAGCGCCTCTCGCAGCAGTGCGTGCAGGCGCCCGCGCAGGTCCTGCCGCCCGCGCGCCGCGTCCACCCCCGACCGCCGCCGCTTCTTGTTCGACCCCGGCGTCCGCGCCGGCCGCACCGGCGTGCCCTGCGGGCGCTCGCGCCGCGGAGGGGTCCCGGGCACCGCCGGGGCCGCTGCGCTGGCGGCGCTGCCCGGCACGCCGTCCAGCACGTGGCCGCCCGCCTCCGGGGTCGCCGCCGCGCCGCCGATCGGGCCCGGTACGACGAGCCGCGTCCGCGCCGCCGACGCAGCGGCGATGGCTGCGTTGTTGCTGTTGAGCAGCTCGGCGAGCGGCGCGAGGTCTTTCGCGGACATGCCGGCCATGCCCTGCACCATGAGCGCCGAGGCCTGGTCGTGCAGTGCGGTCCTGGCCTGCGCGAGGGCCTGCGCCTGCCGGGAGAGCGCGAGTCGCTCCGCGGTGACCTCCCGCCGCTCCGCCGTCAGCTCCGCGCGGGCGCGCTGCAGCGCCGCCTCGCGGGCGTCGAGCGCCTCGCGCTCCGCAGCGATCTCCGCGGCCGCGCCCTCCGCTGCCGCGGCGCCCTCGAGAATCTGCAGACGGGAAACAGCAACAAACTCGCAGTTGGGTTTTCATGGCCTCTCGTGGGGTCCTTGCTTTCTCCAAACTCGCCCCGCAACACGCACGCACACAGCCGCAGCGCCATCCCCCGCCCGCTCACCTCGCGCTTGCGCTCCTCGAGCCGCCTCTGCTCCGTCGCCAGCGCCGCCCGCGTCGCCGCCACCTCCCCGCTCTGCGCCTCCACTGCGGCCGCCAGCGCCATCAGGTCCGCCACTTGCTCCTGGAACCCCTCCCGCTCGTCCGCGAGCTCCACGCGCGACGCCGCCAGCGCGCGCTTCTCCGCCGCCAGCCCCTCTTGCACCGCCCGCAGCTCGCGGTCCTCCTTCTGCGCCGTCTCGCGTAGCCGCCGGCACCGCGCCTCCAGCCCCGCCATCTCGCGCCGCAGCGCCGCCTCCTCGTTCCGCGCCGCCTCCACCGCCGACTGCGCCTCGGCCCGCTCCTTGGCCAGCGCCCGCCGGTCGCTCTCCACCGCCGCCTGCGCCGCGCGCCGCTCCGCCTCCCGCGCCGCGCGGTCCCGCGCCGCCGCGGCCGCGTCCTGCCCCGCGCGCTCCGCCGCCGTCGCGCGCTCCTCGTTCAGCGTCGCCATCAGCGCCTGCAGCCGCGTGCGCTCCGCCGCCAGCGCCGTCTGCTGCGACCGCAGCGCCTCGTCCGCCTGCGCGCTGCGCTGCCGCAAGCTCGCCGCGAGGTCGTCCAGCTGCGCCCGCAGCGCGTCCGCCGCCGCCTCGCGCGCCCCGACCTCGCGCGTCCGGTCCAGCAGCTCCGCCTCCCTGCGCCGCACCCGCTCCTCCCGCTCCGACAGCACGCGCGTGATCTCCGACGACAGGCCCGCCTCCGCGCCGCGCATGCGGTCGGACATGCCGCCCAGCTGCGCGGCGAGCTCCTGCACCTGCTGCGCCTGCAGCCGCTGTTTCTCCACCACCAGGAGCTCCTGCTCGACGGTGCGGCGCTGGGCGGCGAGGTCCTCCGCGTGCTGCTTGCGGAGCGCGGCGACCTCCTGCACACGAGGGGACGCGGGAGCGGTGAGCGCGGCGGCGGGGCAGGGACGCAGCGCACGCGCAGTCACGAACGGGCATGGCGCAACCAGATGGCCGCACGAAGCGTCACGGCGTGCTAGCGGGAGTTACGTTCGTGAGCAGCGCGTCACTGCTGCGAGGCTGCATCGGGTCCGTCAGCAGCGCGCATGCGCGGTGGTCCGCGTGCGTGCGTGCGCGGTGTGGGCGGCAGGGTGGCTCACGTCGCGTTGGATCTGCATGGCGCGCTGGTGCGCCTGGTCGCGCTCCTCCATCGCCGCGCGATGCTTCTCCCGCAGCTCCTTGATCTCCTCCTCGTGCCGCCGCCGCTGCACCTGCCCGTCCTGCCGCAGCGTCTCCACGTCCCGCTGTGCCGCGCCACTGCGCCCCCGCAGCTCCTCCACGTCCGCCCGGGCCAGCGACAGCTGCTTCTGCGCGTCCTCGAGCTCCGCCCGCACGCGACCGAGCGTCTCCTCCGCGTACTGCGCGCGCGCCTCTGCGGCGGCCGAGGACGGCTCCGGTGTGCCGGGCCCCGCCGCGCCGGGCGTGCTGCCACTGCGTCGCGCCGTCGCGCCGCGCGGGAGGATCTCCGCGGCGAGGTCGAGCGTCCCGGATGCCCGCTGCGAGCGCAGCGCGGGGCTGCCCTGGCCCGACTGGGCGTTCGAGACCCCCCGGGGGGGTCGCGAGCGCGACGCGCTGGAGCCCTGGCGCGACAGCGGGGCCGGGCCGCCGCCCTCCGTCAGCGCGTTCGCGCTCCTCGCCCGCGTGAAGTCTGCGAACCCGGCCGACTGGTTCAGCATCGACATGTCGCCGGGGTTGCCGGTCGGCGACCGCGTGCGGCGCGAGGATCGGCCCGAGCCCCGCCCGGAGGCCGGGCCCGCGGTGGACGGGCGCCCGCGCGAGCGCTCGGAGTCGTTGCGCTGCACGCGGCGCTGGGCCGCCTTGGACTGCGGGCGGCGCTTCTCCGGGGACCCTTCCTGGGACCCCCCCCCGGGTGTCGACGCGCCGGAGATGAGCTGCGACGCGTCCGAGTCGCCCTCGGTGTACGCGTGCATGCTCTGGCTGGGCTCGCGCTCCGAGTCCGACTCCGACTCGAGCCCGAACTCCTGACGCGAGAACCCCCCCCTGGGACCCCTCTCCAACGCCCCCCCCGAGGGCCGCCGTGCGCCCGCCGGAAGCTCCGGAGGCTGCACTTCCGCGGCACCAACGAGTCCCGTCCGCGAGCGCCGGCCGTGCTTCGCCTTCCCGGGGGACGCCCCTGCGTCAGGCTTCTTGGCACTCCCCCCGTCGTCGCCGTCCCCGCCCAGCGGCAGCAGATCGTCGAGGCCCGCGTCGAATCGCGCGTGCGGCCTCCCCTTGTCCGTATGCTTGTTCCGCAGCAGCGACGCGGGCATCGCGGAGTGCGCCTTCGCGGGCAGGCCCCGTCCTCCGCGCGGAGAACCCCCCCCCAGCATCAGGTCCCCGGTGCTCTCCTGGCCGCTGCCGTCCCGGCCGCCCCCGAACGAGAACTCGTTGTTCGGCATCCCGCCGCGCGGCGACACCCCCTCCCGGCCGCGCGGGGAGGGCAGAATCGCGTCGACCTCGCCACTGGACAGGGTTGGCATGCGGCCCAGCGACAGCGGGCCTGGCGCGCCGGGCGACTCCGGCATGTCGAGCGGCGGCGCGTGCGGCGCCGGCCGGGTCTGGGTCGAGCCCACCGGCATCGACGCGGCGGTGGGCAGCAGCGCGTCGAGCGCGTCGGTCTTCGCCGCGGCAGTGTCGTTGCTGGTGCGGGCGGGGCCCGAGACGCGCGTGGCGGGGAAGCGGTCGATGGAGGACTTGGCTCGCTCGACGGCGGGCTTGGCGGGCTTGAAGAGCTCCTGGTCCGAGTCCGAGTCATCAAGCGGGAGACCTGCGGGCGGGGGTCAGGCGTGGGTCTGACGCGCGCTCGTCGGTCGTTTCGGAGGGACACCGTCGAGGACAACGCCGCGGTGTGAGCGCGGCCTTTGCGCGCGGAGCGTCAGCGCGTGGGACCCAGGAGAGGAGGCGGGGTGCGTTCTCACCTGTGCGCCGTTTCTCTGGTTTGGGCTTCCCGCGGGACGCCGCGGTGCCCGCGATGGGCCCTGGCGAGTCGGAGAATAGGTCGTCGATGCCGCTTCCGCCCGCCTTGGCCCCACCACTCGAGCGCCCAGGCCCCGTCGGGGTGGAACGGCCCAGCGTCGGCGCGCCCGACAGCGACGACAGCTCCGCGCCACCTGCACACGTCACTCACAGCGGTGTGGTCGCGGGGGCGCGTGCGAGGGGCTCGGCACACGCGCCGCAGCGCGCTCGCGGCCCCACTATGAGACAGTGATCCTTATTGTGCGCCTCCCGGGCCGCGACGGCGTCATTCTCCCGCGTTATATGGCCAGTGTGGACTCACCGCCCCTCATCAACGACGACTTGCTGCGTCCGACCACCGGAGGCGCGTTGCGAAGGCTCATGCTGCCCGCCAGAGCGCGCGAGGCTTCACCGCGCGTGCCGGTCCCGAGACGGGCCCTTGCGACCCTGCGGCAGCCAGGCCTCGAAGCCCGTCGCGTGAACTACGCGCGACTCGCGCGCGCGGGCCCCAGCGAGGCCCGAGCAGGCCGTGGCCGGGCCCGTTCCTGCGTCCGACCGTCTGCTGTTGTACCTGCCTTTGAAAGCGCCTGCGCGGCCGCCTCCGTCGGGGCCCGCGCGCGCGCCAACGGCCCGCGGCACCACCGCCCAGACGCACTACGCGCAGACGCTGCGCTTGAACCGACGTTTCCGCACCGCGCGAGGCAGCTGCGTCGAGCGGCCACCTCAACAATGGGACCTTCCGTGGCAGCGGGCCGCGCGCTCGCCACGGGAGCCCTCGGCGACCGCACGAACAGCCTGACGAATGGCTCAGTTCCGCTCCCCGCGAAGGCCGCGCCGGTAGCGAGCACGCCCGGCCTCATTCGTCCGCCGCAGCTGCGCCGTGACAGGAAGGTCGTCATCCCGGACATCCAGCTGTTCCCCGCTGTCCGCACGCGCCGCCGCGACCGTGCCATCCACAGAGCAGGGTCGGGGCGCGTCACTTCTACCCGGAAAATCGAGGTCCAGGTCCTGCCGGCTGACGAGGTGGCCAGGCTGTATCCCGCTGCGGCCAAGCGCTTCGGGTACGAGGCCGCGAACGCGACGACGGGCGAGCAGCAGCTGGAGCACGGCGTGTTCCGCGAGTCGCGACGCACCGCCGGGCAGCTCGCGCGCGTCGATGCTGCGGAGCTCGAGGCAGCGCAGCAGGCAGTGTGCGGGCCCGAGGGCGGCGTCTTCGTGTTCTTCCGCCGCGGACAGCCGCAGACGCAGCACCACCAGAACGATGACCGCCTCGAACACCCCCACAGCGTCGACGACTACGCTCACCCGGCCCCCCAGGTGCGCAGCAGCACCACGCTGCACCGAGCCCACCCGATTGCAGCCTCTTTCCGGCGTTTTCCGCTGCTCACGGTCCACTCAACGCCTCGACTAGCTCCAGGAGGGCATGCTGCGACGCTACCACCCGGCCGGCGCGGCACGGCGGGCCGCGCTGACTGTCGACTCCTAACTAACTGCACCCCTGACGCGACCACAACGCCCTGCTGCCCGCCCGCAGGGCCGCGAGAGCTTCCTGCCGCCCTCGGCCGTCCCGGCGCGTGGCGAGCGCGGCGCCGCGCACCCGTGGGAGGCGAACCCGAACTCCCCCTGGTGGGCGGGGGAGTGTCCTGACCCGGCGCAGGCCCCCGCGCCCGTCAGCCGCGACGTGCCGCCGCCGCGCCACGCCAAAAACCTTCTCGAGCGCGTCATCTCCGAGGCGTACGAGCCGGCGCGCGCGCACGGGCCGCAGCAGCACGCGCACGCCTCTCCGCAGCACATCGTGCCGGCGACGCCGCACGACGGCGAGCCGCACGTTGCGAATGCGTGCACGCAGATGACACCGGCGGAGGAGCAGCCGGCGACCCCGCTTGCGACGCCGCCCCAACTGACGCGGGAGGAGACCCCCCCCGTGCCTGACACCGTGCTCGCGGTGCGGTCGCCGCGCGTGCGCTCGCCGACACCGCCCAGCGCGGCGGCCACGGAGTTCGAGTTCGGCGTGGTGCGCGAGCGCCGGAGCGGCGGGGCGGTGGACGTGGTGGCAGCTCCGCAGGAGGGGGGTGTCCAGACGAGTCCCCCCGCGCAGACGCACGACGCCGCGGTCGGCGGCACGCCGCGCGAGGAGTCCGAGGAGCAGCACGGCGTGGACGTCGCCTGCGGCGACGACGGCGGGTTCCAGGACGACGGCGACGACGACTTCGGGGCGCCGCCCGACGGCGGCTCCGAGGAGGCGAGCATCGGCGGCGACGTCCCGATGGCGAGCCCTGGCCCAGGTGCGCCGCGTCCTGGCCGTCCGTGCGCGTCACTGTGCCGCGCTCGTGCATCGCTGCTGCGTGGGTGTGCGTGTCTGACTGCCCGTGGCGCGATGCGGTGGTTGCAGCGTTCGACGACGGGCCGATGGCGGAGTTCGGTGGGTTCGGCGACGCGGAGGACGAGGGCACGCTGTGCGAGCGCGGGCCGTCGACGCCGCGGCTGGAGACGGCAGCGCGCCCGCAGCGGCCGCGGGGCCCGCCGCACCAGCGAGAGCGCCGCGCCGCGCTGGCCCGCAAGTCGATCCTCGTGCCGACGCTTGGCATGGCGGAGGTCGCGGTGCCCACGCCGAACAAGGTCAACGAGGTGGCGGTGCGGCGGTCGGCGCGGGACCGCGTGGCGCCGCTCGAGTGGTGGCGCGGGACGCACCAGGAGGTGACACGCTCGGAGCACAGGACGCTGACGACGATCAGGACGCCGAAGGCCGCGCACAAGCCCACGCGGGCGTGGCCGGCGCCGTCCCCGGTGGGGGACCTCCCAGCCGACGCACCGACTCCGGCCGGGGTGTCCAAGGGAGGGGGGGGCGGCGAGGCGTCGCCGGCGCCGTCGTCGCTGGCGTCGCCTGCGCCAGCGCCGAAGCGGTCGCGGGTCGGCGCGGAGGGCGGGGCGAAGAAGCGCGGGGGGGTTAGGAAGAAGGGGGCGGGGAGGTCGTCGTCTGGGGCGACGGAGGACGGGGGGGTGAAGAAGGGCACGCGGCGTCCGCGGACGAAGGTGGTGCGGAAGAGGGCGGCGTCGTGAGCGGGGGCGGTGCGGGGGGGGTGTACCGAGGTCATGAACAGTCCAGTCAGACCAGGAAGGACAGGTATAACAGTTTGATCCGCCACGGAGCGGAAGAGCTGTCAAGCAGCTCCGTGTGAAATCAGAGACCACGCGCCGCAGAGCTGTACCTCCGTCCCGGCCCGGCGCATCGTCGAGTCTTGGCAGCAACATCGATGCCGCGCACCAGCTGTGCGTGACACGCAAGGGCTGGGCGCACGGGCGCGTCGTCGCGTGCGGCTGAGGCGTCTCCGGCACGCGACGAGCGAGGCCGGTGCGACGGCGCGCGAGGTCGAGCGGGACGCGAGAGTGGGGTTCACAGGGGGGGTCCTCGCGCCCCCGGGGGGTCCTCGCGGCCAAGGGGCGGCCGCCGAGGTCGTCTGAAAAAATAGCGCGCGTTCTGGCGAGCGTCCGGGATCGGACTGGCGCGCGGTTGCGTTCTCTAACGCTAGGGCTGGTGTCTGTCTTCGGGCAGTGCGTTCGCGGCGGAGTATGTGCAAGCGTGGCGGCGCGGGGGAGGCGGGCGTCGACACCCAGGGGCGGGCGAGCGCGCCCGCGGGTCCGACTCGGCGGCGCCGGCTCAGTCGGCGAACCCCGGCAGGCCGCGCATGGCGAAGCTCTCCTCCCGCAGCCGGTTCCGCTTGGGCGCGCCGACGCCGGGCACCTGGCAGTAGGGCACGCGCTGCCCGACGGAGGCGCCGCCGAGCCAGTCCGGGAGGCCCATGCCGGACCCGACGTACTCCAGGATCATGGGCATGGTGAGCATCATCATGACCTGCCCGACGCAGCGGCCCGGGTGCGGGATGTTGTACTGCCCAAGCCAGGTGAAGAACTTGCGGACGGGCTCCGGGTACCACTCGTACGGGTCGGCGCCGAGGTGCGAGCGGTAGACGTTGTTCATGGCCGAGGCCATGCGCGAGAGGCCGTGCACGGCGGCGGCGCGGAGGAAGCGGCGGCCGGCGTAGCGGTTGAGCGCGTCGCGGACCTCGGCCTCGGTCCACGCGCGGTCCGTCGGGAGCAGCGCGAGCTCGTCCGCGAGCGCGAAGGACGACTCGATGGCCTGACCCCCCCCCTGACCCAGGTTGGGCTGCACCGCGTGGCACGCGTCGCCGAGCAGCGCGACGCGCCCGTCCACCCACCGCGGGTCCGGCGCGAGGTCGTTCACGTCCCGCCGCTCCACGTCCTCCGGCCGCGTGCAGTGCAGCCGCTCGAGCACCGCCGGCGACCACCCCTGGAAGCGGTCGATCAGCATGTCGCGGTAGTTGTCCCACTCCTCGCACCGCGCCCACCTGTCGCTGGCGCCGTCCGGGACCTTGAGGAACGCGTAGTACTGCTGCTGCCCGTTGCCCACGTCCGAGGACACGAAGTACTGGTTGGCGCCCAGGAAGACCTGGTACCCGACCTGGTCCGTGTCCGTGTGGATGGCCGTGTAGTCGCACACCGCGGTGTAGACCGCGTACCCCGCGTACTTGAACGGCTTCTCGGGGTCCTCGCCGCCGCGCATGTGCGCGCGGACGCGGGACCGGATGCCGTCCGCGCCCACCAGCACGTCGCACGCCACTCGCTCCCCGCACTCCAGGACGGCCTCGAGCGGGGCCGGCGCGCCGCCCGCCGTGCGCTCCCGGGACTCCTCGTACGACACGACCGTCGCGCCGGTGCGCACCGTCACGCCCGCGTCCTCCACGGCCTGCCGCAGGAGGTCGAGGAGCGCGTACCTCGAAATGACGATAGCGAGCGGCAGGCCGTTTTTCCGGCACGGGGCGCGCGTGTCGAACTTGAGGTACCACTCCCCGTTGACCCCGTCAAGCAGGCCGTTCAGGCGGTCCCCCGTCACGGTGCCCTGCTCGATGACCTTGGCAGCCAGACCTGGATCTATGGTTTCCAGCGTCGCGAGGGCGTTGCATTGCAGCTGAATGGGGCCCCCGAACGGCTTGTACTCCTGCACCTTCTCCATCACCTCCACGGAGAGCCCGCGGCGCGCCAGGGCGAGCGCGGACATGAGCCCCCCGATGCCGCCCCCGGCCACAACGACGTGCGGCCGCCGGGGCGCCGCCTCCAGCGGCCGCGCGACCGCCGCCGCGACCATTCGCCGACAAGCGACGCGCCGCGCAGGACGCACCGCCGCGGGCTGCGCCCCGCGCGGCGCCGGCGCGCGCAACGCCACCATATCTCGCAGGGATCGAGCGCTGGCCAGACGCGAGGGATGCGCCGTGTGCGAGCCGGGCCCTCGCAAAGTCAGCTGTCGGAGCGGAGACGTCTCGCCTCGGACGCGCTCGGGGGACTCGTGAGGCCGCGACGAGGCACGATCGAGAAGCTACGGAGCCCTGTGTAGATACCCGGCGCTGTATTCACGCGCACAGGATGGGGGCTCGTGCGAGGGTGTGCGGGGAAGGGAGCTCCAGTTCTCAGGGTGACGAAACTGCCCGCGCTGCACGTTCCCCGCGCCCACGGAGGCCGCACCGGCGCGCCCGGATCCAACAGATCGAGACTGACGAGGACGTCGTTTCCCAATGGTCAGGTCGAGACGGGCCCGCGGGGCCGGCCCCGGGCGCTATTGGGCGGGAGGCCGCGGGCGTGGCGCCAGACCGCGAGCAGGGATCCGGGAAGTCGGACAGATGCTGCTACGCGGCCCCGCAGCGCGCCGCGGCGCGGTCGGACGCTGGTCGTGCGACGCAAGGGCTGGGGCGTGCGGGCGCGCGGGGGCGGCGCGGAGCCGTTGCGGCGTTCGGCGACGCGTTTCGGTGTGCGCGTGGAGGGATGACGGCGAGGGCGGCGGTGGCGGCGGGGTGAGGTGGGGCGCGGCGCTGGCGGCGGCGGCGCTGGCGGTTGCGATGGCGGGCGCGGCGCCGTTGTCCGCGTGGGGCGCGGACGCGGGGCAGGTGGGCGGGTGCATCCTTGGGAACTGCAAGGTGGCGCTGGCGAAGTGTTTGGCGGACGGGACGTGCATTGAGAACCTGGTGTGCGTCAACGCGTGCAACAACCGCCCCGACGAGGCCGCGTGCCAGATCCGTTGCGGCGACCTCTACACGTCGCCGGCGGTCGAGGAGTTCGACACGTGCGCGCTGACGGAGAAGAAGTGCGTGCCGCAGATCCAGGACACGGGCGAGTTCCCCGCGCCGGCGCTGGACGCGGTGGTCGAGCAGTTCGACATGAAGGCGTGGGAGGGGCGGTGGTACATCACGGCCGGGCTCAACCCGCTGTTCGACACGTGAGCCCCTCGCCCCCTTCGTGCCGCTGCTTCGCGCGCGTGGCGCCGATTGCGGATGAGTGCTCCAGCGCGGATTTGTGCGTCCCTGCAGGTTCGACTGCCAGCGCCACTTCTTCACGAACCCGTCTCCTGGCAAGGTGTACTCCCAGATCAACTGGCGCGTCAGGGGCGGCATCGGGTCCGTGCCAGGCGCGTTCATTGACCGGAGCGTCAAGCAGCAGCTGGTCCAGGACTCGCAAATGCCTGGCAAGCTCGCGGACACGGGCGGGGAGTTCCTCCACTTCAAGGACGACTGGTACATCCTGGGCGCGAAGTACGACGGCCCTGCCAACAGCGAGGACGACTACATCCTGGTCTACTATCGAGGGAACAACGACGCGTGGCTGGGCTACGGCGGCGGCACCTTATACCAGCGCGTGCCTGCTCTCACACCCCAGGCACAGGCGGCCGCGCAGGAGCGCTTGAAAATGGCGGGCCTGCCGAACGCACAGTGGGACAAATGGACAGGTGCGCCTCGCTGCGATCCCGTCGGCCCACTCCGCTCCTCAGACGCGCGCACAGCAGCCGAACGCCCGTTCGCGGTACCAGGCGGAGCAGGACCATCCCAGCCTGCCCCGTCGCACCGCGGTCCACGCCCGTCCCGCCCGCCCGCGCCCTGAGCCGGTGCCCAGCAATATCTGCAACCGAAGCGCCCCGCGCGGCCGCTGCTCCGGCGCTGCCTGCAGTGACGGACAACACGTGCGGTCCGCAGCCGCCCTCGCGCCTCCAGGGCGCCGAGATGGAGCTCGGGCGGGACTTTGCGCGGATTGAGCGGGAGCTGGAGCGCGACCTGACCCTGGTGGAGAGCGAGGTGGCCAGGGAGGTGCGCGAGCTGGGGCGCGAGGTGGCGAACGTGGAGCGCAGCGTGGAGGAGAGCGTGCGGCGCCTGGAGAAGAAGATCGAGGGGGCCGACCTGGGGTCGTTGATCCAGGTGGCAGAGCGCGCGGAGCAGCGCCTGGCGGACGCGTTCCGCGGGACGTTCGACCGCGAGGTCCAGGCGGCGCTGCGGAGCCGGAGGGAGCAGGAGACGGCGCAGAAGCGTCTCGACAAGATGATGCGCGACATGCCGATGCCCGGCGTGGAGGAGGCCATAGCGACCGTGCGGCGGGCCCCGTTGTAGGCGGCGCGCGGCGCCGCCCGTCGCGCCAGCCGATGGAGGCATCACTGCTCGGCTCTGCGCGCGCTGCATGAGATGATCAAGCGAAGCACGGTTCTCACAAGTTGTGATTTTAAATACCTCATTGCCACGACGATCCCGCGCCGCTGCTACCGGGCTACGGCGGCGTCGTTGCGCGCTAGGGCGACATCTACCGCACCCAACAGTCGCTGCACCTCCTCGGCGTGCCCCTGGAACTCCGCCGACGCCCCCAAGGGGCCCACCCACGCAGCCAACTGCACCAGGGGCTGGCGGGCCGCCGCGAGGTCCCACCGCGCCGCAGCTGCCGCGCGCTCAGACGCCCCCGTGCCTCCAGAGTCCCTCATCTCCGCCTCGGCGCGGCGCACCGCGAATCCGAGCAGCTCGGTCATTCCCGCGAGCCCAAGGCCGCAGTTCGCCGCCGCGTTGCGCTCCACCAGGGCGAAGAACTCCCCGCCCGTCGCGCACAGCTCTCTGCAGTCCGCGATGCCCGCTTCGGCCGCGCCCAGCTCCGCGATGAAGAGGCGCGCGACCCACCCGATGTTGAAACCGTTGCACCAGTTGTGGTTGATGGACTGCAGCGCACGCGGGAACCCCGGGGCCGCGAATCACGCTCTGCGCAGCCGCCGCGCCTCGCGCGCGCCCCGCGGTGCGTCGCCGCGGACCGCGCCGCGTCCCATGCAAGAGCGCGCCGCGTCCCATGCAAGAGCGCGCCGCGTCCCAGCAAGAGCGCGGGCCGCACCAGGGTGTCCTCCACGTTGCGAACGTCGTGGAACCATCCGCTCGGGACGAAGATCGCCTCGCCGACGCCCTGCGTGACGACGACGGCCGCCTGGCTCGCCGCCTCCAGCCCCGGAAAGCGACGAGCAGTCGATTCGGGGATCGCTGCGGAGGCCCCGCACGCGCAGCTGGCCGCGACCGCGTCCGCGCAAGCCGACGCGCTGCTGCCGCGGAGAGATGCGAGCAGGTGTTTGCGCCGCGGGCACGAGTCCGCGTGCTTGCGCGTCAGCGAGGGGGCGACGTTGCCGTGACTGTCCAGAAGGTGGTGCGTGAGGTCGGGCGGCACGAGACGCCACGCCTTCTTGCCGGCCAGGTTGACTGCGTTGCGTGACAGTGGAGGGGGGTCCTCAGGCTTCCGGGCGCGCAGCGACGGCACGTGCGTGCGTGCGCCTTGCAGCAAGGGCTGCTGAGGCGAGCAGCGGCGCGGCCGGGGTCGCGGAGGCTCACCTGACCAGCTGAAGGAGCGCAGCACGTCGGCATGCAGCGGCGTCGACGTGCCCCGGGGCCCCAGGTACACGAACCGGTAGTCTGCTGTCGACGCCTTCAAACCCGCGCCCCTCGCCGCCCGCTCGTCGTAGAAGCCGTTCAGCCAATCGTCTGCGAAGTACTCCGGTGTCTGGTACGCGGCGTACCCCGGGAACTCCGCGACCATGTGCCAATCCTTCAGGTACAACAAGAAATGACCGGCCGCTTGTACACCGTGGTGCCGCTGATGTCCTCCTGGTTGGTCCCCTGACGCAGCGGAGTCAGGTCGGGCGGAGCGCGCCGCCCACCAGGCCACGTACTCCGCCACCGTCATCTCGCGGATCTCCGCCTCGCCGTACCCGTCGTCGACGCTCCCGGGCACGCACGTCGCGCAGACCTGCACCAAAAGTTGCCCACATATCTCGTCTGCCATCTAGACACGCATGGCTCCCCGCCTGCCAGGTGCCCCGGGCCGCCCTCAGCGCCGCATCGCACCTTCGCGGATCCAAAACGCTCGCGCAGGAACTCCAGGTCGATGGGCGTCGAAGTTGCGCCCGTGGCTCCCTTTGTGAAGTCGCGCTGGCATGGCCAGTCTGTCGTGACCCCCGCGATGAGCACGGGGAGGCCGGGAGCCATGTAGTGCTGCACGAAGTCATCGTAGCTGAGGTCGGCGGCGCGCACGCGCGCAACATCAGGGACGAGCGTCGCTGCTGGTGCCTCGGCGGCGGTGGCCGCAGCGCCCTCCAGAGCGCTGTCGCGCTGTGCTGCCGTGCCCGGATCGAGGCGTCGTGAAAGCTCATGCAGGATGTGTGCGGACGCGCGTGGCCTCGGCTCGCTCATTGGATCGGCAGGAGCGCTGCGGCCGGACGCTGCTCGCCCCCCTGCAGCAACCGGCGTGCTTAGTAGGCACTGCCTACGCACCCACGACTCGCATCTCGCGAATGACCATGATACAAGCGATACATTCGGGCACAGTGCGGGCGCCGGGCCCATGTCCCCATCGTCTCGGCGCGTGCACTGCAGCACCCGGGGACTTGGCGCAGCTGAGCTGGCGAGGTCCGTCACACGGCCGCTCTCCTGGCACCTTGTGCTTCCCCTGCGACGATCCGCGGCTCAACCACGACGCGTCCGCGACCTGGCACGTGGCGGAGACGCGGGATGTCGACGGTCGCGGTCATCAACGAGCCGGTCGGCTCGATCGCTCGCCAGCGGCAAAATGTTGTTGCCGTTGTCGGGAACGGGCCCATGGGCCGCGCTCTCGCAGCGCGCTTGGTCGAGGCCGGCCTGGCAGTGGTAGTTGGGTCGTCGACGAGAGACACGAAGGGCTACAACCTCCCGTGCCCGGTGGAATCCATCGCTGAAGCGGTCGAGGTATTCCTGACGAGATCGGCGCGATACCAGAGTGGTTGGGACGATCGCTCGCACGCATGCGTAGACCTATTTTGAAGCCCAAGATCCAACGTGCGCGCCGACGGTGCAGGAGGCCCATGTTGTGTTCCTTGCGGTGCCAGACTACGCGCACTTGCTCGTCATGAACGCCGCGGACTTCTCGAATCGCGTGGTCGTGGACGTCTCGAACCGCCGTGAGCGGCGCTCGTACGGCAAGTCGATCGCGGAGTGTCTCCGAGACGCGTGGTCCGAGCACCACCAGCGCTGCGTGGTCGTCAAGGCCTTCAACACCGTCTCGGCGTACCACCTGCAGTGGCACGCGAGAGGCCGCAGCGTGTTCATCGCGGGGGACTCCGCAGCGGCGAAAGCGCAGGCGAGCGGAAGGCTATCGAATAGTGTGCTGCAGAGCTTGATATATGTTTGTTTGTCCATGGATGACGGACGCTTGGCCTTCGCTCAGTGTGGCACGAGCGTCGCAGCAATCGATGCAGGTCGCGTCGCTCGCGGAGTCCATGGGCTTCACGACGGCTGACGTGGGCGGCCTCATGTCGGCGCGCAAGTTGGAAGACATCCCTCACCGTCTGTTCCCGAGATGGGGTGTTGCCGGACTGATGGCGCTGGTGACCTTTGCTGCGTGGCTCGTCTACAACATTCTGTGGTAGGCCTCGCAGCCCTGCTGCCAGTGCAGCTGCAAGGTGCACCGACCCAGTGCCACCTGCAGCAACTCGAGGACTCTTTTCGCGCGTGCGACGTCGCAGGTATCACGTGTGGTCCTACGGATCTGCGAATCCCTTCCTGCCGGACGAGCCCCTGTTTTCCTACCAGCAGCTCCCCGCGAAGACCATCAACGGCGCCGTGGCAATGTCCGCGGCATCGCTCCTCTCGCTGGTCTTCCTCGCGACGGCCGTCGCACGCGTCTGGCAGATGTGCCGGCGCGACTTCGACGCCGCGTTCCCCAGATGGCTTGCCGGGTGCGTGTGCGTCCCGCGTAGCAACGCACCTGCACATGCGCACGCGAAAGATCTCGCACGCATCCATCTCCTCAATCGCGACTCGCGTGGGACGGACGCCGTCGCAGGTGGCTGGCATGTCGCAAGGAGATCGGCCTGCTCGGCGCGCTGCTGGCGTGCGTGCATGTCGTCATTTCTCTCGCCCTTCTCGACCCTTGGTACTATCCGTCTCTGTACCGCGTGCGTGCGCCCCGGACCCGCCGCTCCCCGTGCCTGCACAGGCTTCGCGAACCGAACTTCCCCTGGAAGCGGGAGAGGAGCGGCGTCGATGGCGGACAGCAGCGCGACCGGGAATGGACACCGCCGCTGTCGAGTGCCTGAGCTTGCGTTCGGTTCCGCTGTCGTGCAGTTCGTCGGCCTGGTGCAGTCCAGTGCGGGGCGGCCCCTCGGTCCAGCTTCGCTCGCCAACCGCCCGCTGCTCACCAAGTGGGGGGAGTCCTTCGTCCTGTCGGGCTCGGTCGCGCTCCTGCTTCTGGCGCTGGCAGCGGCCTGCTCGATACCCTCCGTCGCCGCAGGCCTGTCCTGGCGCGAGGCCGACCTCGTGCTCTCGAAGGCGACGATGCTCGCGCTCCTGGCTGTCTCAGCGCACGCTCTGCTGTATTTCCTCTCGTTCGAATATTGCAGCATGCCCGCCGTGTGCCGCGGTAGGTCCCCGAACCCGCACGCAACTCGACGTTACGGTACTCCCGCAGTCCTGACGGGCATCAGAGCGCCGAGCAGCTCGAAACGCTCACCACGCGACCGCCGCACCGATCGCACACTGCAGTGGGGTTCGAGGCCTGGACGGCGAAGTGGCCTTTCGGGGGCGTGCCCCCGATCTCCTTCATTGCCGCGTTGTTCACGTTCGGGGCGATTCTGGCCCGGGTCCTCGCGAACCTTGGCGCGCAAGCACTTCGCGCTCTTCTCGCGCGTCGGGCGCATGCACGTGCCGCCGAAAGCAAGGGCGACGCAGACGCCCGGCAGGGCGTCAGCACACCTGCCTGAAGCCACGGGAGACGCTCAGCGTGCATGTAACAGCGACGGCAAAGCCCCGTCGAGACATTTAGATAGCATCACGTTTGCGCGACTCAGTGTGTCCGACAGCGGCCGCGTCGGCTCCTGCTCGCCATCACTGCTTCTCCTCGCCAGGACGCGGCACCCAACGCGCCTGCTCGAGGTCCCCGCCCTCGGTGTAAGATTCAGCTACCCCGGGGATGTTCAGACCAGACTTCAACGCCTCCGTGCCGGACGCCACCCACCGACCCGGGGGCGGCTTCCTCCTGCATCTCGCGGCGGTGCGCACAGATCGACTGCTGAGAGGACGAACGCACAGCGACGGTGGGTCGTGTGACGCGCGCTGTTGTGTTGGCGGCGATTGCCACCGGGGGCGGGGGGCGCTGCCTCACCTTCCGCTCGTCGAGAAAATCCGCGTCCATGCGCTGTACCCGCCCTCCACCTGCACGGCCGCGGTGTACCCCGCCTCGCCCAGCAGGCGCATCGCTGATTCACTTCCGTGCGTGCCGTCTTCGCACGCCACGAGGAGCTTCGTGGCCGGCGAGGCTTTCGCGGCGACCGCCTTCATGAAGTTCGGGTTCAGCACCTTCTGCTCCTCCTCGCCCTTGGCGTAGATCGGAGCGTTCACCGTGCACCGCGGTGGCTTGGTGAGATGCTCCTCGTCATAGGCTCGCTCGCTCCGAACGTCCAAAAACAGATACCGCTCCCTGTCCAGCATCACCTTACCAGCCTCAACGTCCACCGTCTTCCATCCAGCTGCGCACTGCGCCACCAGGCTTCGCCGAACCGGCCTGCGGGGGTGGGTGCTCCGCAGGTGAGCTCACCCGCACGCGCGCTGGCTCGAAGCGACCGCGAGCGGCTTGGCCGCATGCGATCATCCATATCTCACCTCACGCCACGGGGGACTCGGCGAGGGGCGTCCGCCAGCACCCGCGACGGGGCACGCATCCTGCACGCCGCGTGGGACTGCAGCCCCGCGGGGCACCGACTGGCACACTTCGACGCCATCGGTGGCTCGCGACGGGTCGCACAACAACGCCCAGTGTACTGCGGCACCCCTGTCCGGGTCGGCAACGACACGACACGATCACACAAGACCCCCCCTCCCCTGACTCAAGGCCACCTGTCTTCGAGCTCCCGCAGCCAGTCGGGCACCGGAAGCTCCTCGCCCCTGGCTGCCGCCGCTACCGCCAGCCCCCACGCGTGGAAGTGCAGCGCTGCGACGCCCACGTCCTCCTCCCTCGGCTGCCACGCCCCCCCCGCCACCTCCACGATGAGCGCGGCACACATCTTGCCCCCCGACGTCTTCCTGGGCCGCGGCCGCAGCTGCGTCGCGCGCTGAATGTAGGGCATCCAGTCCCCGGCCTCGAACGCCTCGAGCGGCATCTCGACGGAGGCCCCAGCTGCCGCCATCGACGCGCGCAGGTACGGCTCCTCCGCGAAGTAGTTGCGCGGCGTGGCCACGTGCGGGGTCCCGGTGCTCAGACACTCCGCGCAGGTGCCGAAGCCGTTCTTGCCGACGACGCACGCGGACGCCGCCACGACGGACGGAAGGTCGATGTCGGGCGGTAGGAACTTGAAGCGCGGGGGGAGTGCCGCGCCCTCGGGCATACGCCCCGTGACGCAGCAGACCCAGCCTTCACCGGGGTCGAACGCCCTGCGCGAACGCACCTCGTAACGCGTCGGTAGGACGCACGTTACAAGACAATTTCAAGAAGGAAAGTCCTGGCAGTCATGGCGTTCGATGCGTTGCGGCGCGCTTACCCTGAAGCGACCGTTTCTGGCATGTGCTGTCCGCCGACGGTGACGAGGACGATCTTGTCCTCGTCGGGCACGCCGAGCTGGCGCCTGATCTCCGTTGCCGACACCTTCACCGGCCGGCACACGTAGGGCAGCGGCTGGACGCGCCGGAACGCCGGCATCGGGGCCACGCCGAGCCCGAGCTGCAGACACACTGTTGCGTGCGCGTAGCCCTGCGAGATCCTCGTCAGCATCCCGCCCCACTCCTCGCAAACTGCACCCATCACGCCGCCGGAGCCGTTGCCCGCGCCCCGCTCGCGCGCCAGCTGGATCGCCTGGATCTGGTAGATGAAGTCCCAGGTGAAGTTCCCCACGACCACCGACGGGATGCCCGCAGCCGACGCGGACTCGCACGGAATCGATGCCACATCCTGCGCAGGTTCCAAACACATCTGTTGTTGTTGTGTCTCGGGCAGCGACGTCGCCATCGGCGCCGTCCGACGCAGATGATAATGATGATAATGCGAGGACGCTGGCGCACCGTGACGACGACGTCCGCGCCGACGTCGCGCAGGAACGCCCTCTCCCGCTCAAGAATCACCATTCGGTTTTCGTCGATCTCGCGGTACGCCCTCAGCGTCGCTGCTGCGTCCGTGTCGAACGCGGTCTTCTGGATGCAGCCTGCGTCGAACACGGCGGTCCGCATCTGCACGGAGCCCGGGAACACACATCGGCATCTCTTCCGCGGCGCTGTGGTCAGGTGTGGGCATGCGCTCGAAGCTCGACGCGACTGCGTGTCTTACCTGGACGTTCGGGTGCTGCGGTGCGAGCGCGAACGCGTTCTTGGCCGCGCACACCAGGTGCAGGGTGCATCCCGTCTTCAGGAGCTCGTCAGCAATGTCGAACGAGCGCGTCACGTGGCCGAAACCGTGCCCGGAACAATAGTAGACGACTGTGGGATGCGCAGGTCGCCCGGCGTCGCTCATGGCTCGCCACGGCCAGCGTGCGGGAATCCCTAGACCCCGCCTGCAGCGCTGCCGCGCCCCGTGGGGAGCCAGATACGCGGGAAACGTGAAGCTGAACGTCGCGGGGCTGGTGCGTAAGTTCTAGAGCTTACGATCGAGGTTCACCATCTGCCTCTGATACCTTCAGCGCGACGCCCCGGCCGCTGCGAGGTGCACCGCCGGCAAGCACCGGCGCCTGCGATCGTAATCGAATTCTAAGCACCCTGATATTCGCGCACTGAGATGCCAAGAAACTTGTGTGGCAAGGCACCGGCTCCACGGCGGCTTTGAAGCTCCATCAGGCGCCCCCGAGTCCGACCCCTACCTCCCCTGAGTCATGCATCAGCGGCGGAGGCCGACGCGGTGGACCCCGCTGCGGCCGCGCACACGCGGCGACGCGGCCGCGCCTGCCGGCATGGCGTCGGAGTGCGAGGCGCGCGCAGGTTCAGTGCGTGGGCTGCCGCGTTGCAATGTCAGGTAGGGCACTGCGTCGCGGCGGCTGTCCAGCGCCGAGTGACGAGCTGCGCTCCGACACGCACGCCGCGGCGCACGTGCCTCGCGCGTCGCGAGGCCCACCAGGACGTGCTCCGCGGGTCTCAGTGCTCGTTGTGCGCGGTTCAAGGAACTGCGCTGGTATCGGGCCTCCGGTGCAGCGACGGTCGGGGGACGCCCTGAGAGCTCGGCACCGGCATGCCCGACGGTGGGGGAGCCAGCCCGGCGGCTTCGATGCGCGGCCGTCTCCGTCGCGCCCACAATTGGTGTCGGGGAAGGCAGGACTAGGTATTCGCGCGAGGGCGTCGCGCTGACGTCGCGCAACGCCAAGGCCCAGCGCGTGGCGAACACCTGTGGCATTAAGTGAGAGCCGATAGCGTCAGTTGTACACGGCACGCCGCGTGCTGCACGGGCAGCCGCAGCGGGGGTATCAGTCGGGCACGAGCCTGCCCGGCGCATTAGAGGCCGCCGCGCGGGCCGTACCTGCCTCTCGCAAGTCTCCAGCTTCGAGGACGCAATCACCATGATCTCTCTGCGCCTGTCTGCGCCCGTCGCTGCCGCCCAGGCCTCGTCGGCCCCGCGCAAGGCCCGGTTGTCGTCCTCCGCCTACCTCGGCGCGGCCCGCAACCTGAAGGCTCGTGCCCTCTCGGGCGCCGCCAAGGCCCAGACTGTGCGCCAGTCCGTCGTCGTGCGCTCCAGGTGCGCTCTCCCGCCCCCGATGGCGAGGATTCCGCTCGTCGCTAGCACTCTCGGCCCACCTGCCGGCTGCCGGCGGTGCGCCCGCTCTGAACGGATCGGACGGGCATCGGCGGCCACTTTCACCCGCTGGCCGCCGTTCGCGGGCGCAGTTGGTGCCGCGGCGGCCCGCGCCCGCCCCTGAGTACGGCCATCTGTCGAGCGAGCACCCTCGGCCGGCCGTGCCGCTCAACCGCCCTCCGCCCCTCGTTCCCGGCAAGAGTCGAAGCACCCATCGTTGCGAGACACGCCAGCCGCGCAACACACTCGTCCAGCCCCCCAGTGGGCGGTCGCGGACAGAATTCCTCGCTGCCGCGCTACGCTCCGCTGCCCGAACACAAGAGCCCCTTCGTGCGCTTGCAGCGCGATGGCGGAGACTGCTGACGGTCTGCAGACGCCCCACGGCGGCAAGCTGGTCGACCTCATGCACCAGGGCGACGCCGCTGCCCTCAAGGCCGAGTGCAAGCACACCATCGAATGCTCGGACCGCAACGCCTGCGACGTCGAGCTCCTGTGCGTCGGGTGAGTTCCGCACCCTCCTGCCAGCTCGCTCGCGGGGCCCGAGCGCCCACGCACCCCCCAGTTACGCTCGTTCGTGGCCCGCACACAGCGCGGGCTCGGGCACCTCCCGTCGGGGCGGCGGCCGCGGCAGGCAGGGCCGTTGTCGCCCGATTTCCTGCACCTTCCCCGCAAGGGCGTCACGAAAAGCCGCAGGGGTCGGACGCCGCGCGGCGTCGTTCGCGGTGCGGCGCCCCTCGGACGCTGGCTCCCTGGTGCCGCGTTCCCACCCCGCACGCGCCGCTTCCACCGTTCCGCAGCGGCTTCTCCCCCCTGGAGGGCTTCATGAGCGAGGAGGACTACAAGTCGGTGGTGGAGAACATGCGCCTGGCGGACGGCAAGCTGTTTGGTCTGCCCGTGGTGATGGACACCTCGGACGACTCCATCGCGGTCGGCGACAAGGTCCTCCTGACCTACAAGGGCCAGGACATCGCCGTGATGACCGTCGGCTCGAAGTGGTCCCCCGACAAGGTGCTCGAGGCCAAGAACTGCTACGGCACCACGTCGCTCGAGCACCCGGCGGTGCGCATGATCTCGATGGAGCGCGGCAAGTACTACATGGGCGGCCCCGTGGTCGGCCTCGAGATGCCCAAGCGCGAGTTCGTCGCGCAGACCCCGCGCGAGGTCCGCGCGGACCTGCCCCCGGGCAAGGACGTGGTGGCCTTCCAGTGCCGCAACCCCATCCACCGCGCGCACTACGAGCTCTTCACGCGCTCGCTCGGGGCGGACAACGTCGGCGAGGGCGCGGTGTGCCTGGTGCACCCGACGATGGGTCCGACGCAGGAGGACGACATCCCCGGGGACGTGCGGTACAAGACGTACGTGGTGCTCAAGGAGGAGACGCAGGACCCGCGCGTGCGGTGGGCGTACCTGCCGTACTCGATGCACATGGCGGGCCCGCGCGAGGCGATCCAGCACATGATCATCCGGAAGAACTACGGGTGCACGCACTTCATCGTCGGGCGCGACATGGCGGGCTGCAAGTCGAGCCTCACGGGCGACGACTTCTACGGGGCGTACGACGCGCAGGAGAACGCGCGGAAGCACGCGGCGGAGCTGGGGATGGACACCGTGCCGTCGCTCAACATCGTGTACACGGAGGAGAAGGGCTACGTCGAGGACGAGGTCGCTACCGCCGAGGGGCTGCACGTGCTCAAGCTCTCGGGGACCAAGTTCAGGCAGATGCTGCGCGCGGGCGAGGACATCCCGGAGTGGTTCGCGTTCAAGAGCGTCGTGTCTGTGCTGCGCGAGGCGCAGAACAACTGAGCGGACAGAGGGCATGTGATGCATCCATGACCGCGCAGCGGGTACGATCGTGGTCTTGCTGGGAACGGCGTTGGTGACCAGCTGCGCCGGCCTGGGCGGGGCGCAGCGGCGTTGCTGCAGCACCTTCGAGCCCGCGCTGTATGGGATGCGCGCAGCACTCGCACGTGGGGCGCGAGACAGAACAAGGGAGGCCCGCAGCAGGTGGTGTCTCGCTCGCCGTGGCGTCGCCCTGGTGGCTGGGTGAAGCGAGTGGCGACGTAGCTGGTTGAGAGTTGAGGTTTTACACGACGCAAAGTGCACTGCTCATCGACGCGTCTCGCACGGGCCTGACCTGCCGGAATCTTTCCCTAATTTGCTTTGATTGGTGATTGATGAATCCTACGCGGGAACCGCCGCCGCGGCGTTGTTGCTGCTGTTGTTGTCCGACCCGAAGAGGTCCGGCACCTGCACCGCCACCTCCGTCGGCGCAGGGTCGTACGGCGGCGAAATCAGCTGCTTGCGCGCGACCCAGGCCTCCTTGAGCACCTTGCACATCAGGCCGAACGCGGCGGGCCAGCAGCGCACGTCCCGCACGCACCGCGCCGCCACCATGCGCGCCACCAGCCACATCCTCTTCCGGTACACGCGACGCTGCGTCTCGGAGACCGGGCCGAACCACGCGTCGCCCTGCCCCTCCCTGCCCTTCGCGATGCGGCCGAGGATGCCGCGCGACAGCATCGCGACGGCCACGGCCGTCCCCATCGCTTGGCGGAAGCGCGCGCCCTCGCGCCCCGACAGCTGCTTCAGCACCCCCTTGACGCCCATCTCGCGCCCCACGACGCGGCGCACGCCAGCCGACCGCGCCGAGAGCAGCAGCGCCGCGGACCGCCCGCTGCTCGCCGCCGCCTCGTCGCCCGACTCCGCGGCACCAGTCAGACGCCGCAGCAAGTCGAGGCGCAGGCCCCCGCCCTCCCGCTCGGGCCGGAACATCAGCCCGAACAGCAGCTCCCGCGCCTCCTGCCGCGGGTCGCCCGCGAGCTCCGTCAGCGTCGCGAGCAGCGCCTCCTGCACGATCTTGAATTCCGGATCCGCCGCCAATGCGAGGCCCTCCATCGTAGCGAGCGATCGCGCGACGAGGGTGTAGTACGGCGGCAGAGACAGCCGGTGCACAAACCCGATGTCGGCCATAGCGCCCGTGACGGCGGAGAGAGTCATCCGCGACAGATCCGGCATCTCCGCGCTCTGGCCCTCAGCGGGCGGGCAGCGCGAGAGGAACGCCGTGCGCGCCGTCTCGGCGACGGCGTCCTTGTTCGACGCCGCCTTGAGCATCCCGAGGCGCGAGAGGTCCTCGACGAACGCCCGCCACTCGCCGGTGGCGATGTGTGCCAGCGCCGACATCATGGCGACGCGGTGGTGGGCCGGCACGCGCGTCAGCAGCCCGAAGTCGAGGTAGAACAGCGTGTCGCTGTCGTTCGCGAGCATCAGGTTGCCTGGGTGCGGGTCCGCGTGCATGACGCCCGTCGTGACCAGCTGGCTGACTGAGCACTGCACGCCGGTGCGCACGACCGCCTTGAGGCGCGCGCGGGCGGCGTCGGCGACCTCGGGGTCCTCGGAGCGCGTCTGCGTCACGAGCTGCGACACGCCGCTGCCGGGGACCCACTCCGTCACCAGGACGCGGCGCGTGGTGTGCTCCCAGACCACGCCGGGCACGGCCACGCCGGGGATGCGGCCGGCGTGCGCGCGCGCGAACTCCTCGGAGTTCCGGCCCTCCTCACGGTAGTCCAGCTCCTGATACAGCCTGCACGGTCGCGACACAGTCCCTGAACGGTCCAACACTCGCACGGCACAGCGACGCGCCTGCACTCAAGCTTCCAGGGCGGCGCGACTCGCACGCAGGCGCGGGGTGCGCGACTCACCCTGCGCCGATCTCGTCCGCGAGCTCGCCCAGGTCGCGCCGCACTTTGGCCGCCTTGCGCACCACCCCGAGCGCCTTGCGCAGGAGGTACACGTCGAGCGACACGTCAGCCATCGCGGTCGGCCGCTGCACCTTCACCGCGACCTTCCGCCCGTCCGCGAGCACCGCGTAGTGCACCTGCCCCAGCGAAGCCGCCGCGACCGGGCGCAGATCGAACCGCGCGAAGGGCCCCACCGCCACCGAGTCGCGCCCAGCTCCGCCCGGCATGCCCCGGCTCGCCCCCGGGAACTCCTCCATGAGCACGCGCACCAGCTCCTTGCGCGTCATCGGCGGCGCGCTGTCCTGCAGCTCCGACAGCCCCTCCGCGAGCCTGTCGCCCAGCACGTCAGCGCGCGTCGCCATCGTTTGCGCAAGCTTCACGAACGTCGGTCCGAACTTCGGGAGCGCGCGCACGAGCGCATCATCGACCCTCGCGGCCTCACCGTCGGGCCGGACCGGCGTCCCCTCCGCTCCGGACCGGAACCGCGCCAGGACAGCCTCCCACCCCCCCGCGCGCGTCACGAAGGCAGTGAGGCCCGCGGCGACCCCGACGACGCGCGTAGCGGCGAGCCAGGGACGCTCGCCGAAGAACTGGTCGGCCAGAACGGCGTCATACTCCCGCGGCAGGTCGTCCAGGGACGCCACGTACAGGTCGCTGTGCAACGCGTCGTCGTGCGGCGCGTCCGGGATCTTGCGGACGACGGCGTTCGGGTTGCAGCTCGGCCGGTAGCCGTATCGGTCGTCCGTGAGGATGCGCTGGTGCATGGCGTCGCTGTAGAGGCGGCGCGCGCCTGATTCCACCGCTCGCGCGTCCCCGGCATCAGTCGACGGGGCCGGCGCGGGGGCCGTCGATGCGTTCGCGACGGAGGGCGCGATGGCGGCGCGGGGGGCGAGAGACGAGGCGCCGAGGTGCGCCGCGGAGCGGGGCCGCGCGCGCAGGCACGTCGGCGCCGTCGATACTCGAGAGGCACTGGCAGCGTGCGCGTCCATCTTGGGTGCGCGCTGGGGGCCTCAGGGCCTGACTCAGGGCCCGGGGGTGCCCCTCTGTGGCGAGGGGGAGGCGCGCTGACGGCGGGACGGCCGTCGGGGGCCGCGGAGAGGCGATCCGATCGAGGGCAACGGCCTCTGAAAGCTACAATGCGAGGATCCGGCCGCGCGGGTGGAAGCCTCGGAAGGGCCTTCCAAGCAGCCCGGCGAGTTTGTGTGGGCTACGAGGTGCCGCGCGGCATCGAGCGCGGCCGTCGAGGTCGCTGTGGCGTCGCCGCGAGAGGTCCCCTCCCCTGCCAGTCTGGCGCACGCCCTGAGGCAGGGACTGGGCCGCGGCGCGCGGCCTTGAGGGGTCGGGCCGGACCACAGTCGCGCGAATGCGCCCGTACGGATAGGAACTTGAAGGGAAGAAGGGGTTCGCGAGCTCTGCTTTGATATTCTGGGCGTCAGGGAGCTGCGTCACTGCAGCAGCCAGTGAGGCAAGGAGCGGCGGTTGCTGGCCGTGCGGGGGGTCCGGAGCGCGGTCATGGGCGCCGTCGGGGATGTCGTGAAGGAGGGGGATCATGTCGTCCTGGATGTCAATGTAGGAGACAAGCTGGTGCTCGCGCAAGCCAAGCCGAACGGGTGCGGTCAGCCTTCCAGCGCCCGCAGCGGGCCGCGCAGCCACGCCCGCAGCGGACCAGTGCGGCGCATGCATCTCTTGAGGACGACGGGTGATTCTGTCTCGGAAAATGGAGTCCTGCTCTCGCGTGCTGCGCAAACAGAGCGGTCGTCCCAGGAACAGACGGCGCCGTCCTGTGTGCCGTCGAAACGCACCGCTCGTGCCGCGCAACGAGCGCGCTTCCCGGCACGGTCGCCCCGCAGGAAGATCAAGGTCGGCAAGGCGTACGTTTCTATCGGCAACATCATCGGCCAGCCGTGGGGCGCGGTTTTCGAGCCCGCCAGCAACAACAGGGAGCTGGTGCGCGTCGACGACCCGCGCCAGCCCATCAACGTCATCGACGGGACGCAGAAGGACAACCGCGACATCCTCTTCGGTGCGTCGCAGCCCCGTCTCCAGCGGCCGCCCGCTGCACCTTGCGCCGTGCATTGCGTCCTCGAACCGCGCCCCAGCCCCGACGCGGCCCGCCCCGCCGCACCCGCCAGCGAGGAACGCCCCGCCGTTTCGTCGGGGGGCGATCCGCCCCCGCTCGGCCAGCACTCACAGAGCAGCGGTTCCCCACCCGTGCAGCGGGCGACCAGGCACTGACCGCGGAGGACATCGCCGAGATGCAGCGCGCCGGCACGGCGGGCGCGGAGATCATCGACGCGCTGACCAAGTCCTCGGCGACGTTCGAGGCCAAGACGGAGTTCTCGCAGGAGAAGTACCTGAGAAAGAAACAGAAGAAGTACACCGCGAAGGTCACCGTCCGGCGGCCGACGACGCGGCACGTCGCCGCGCACTACTTCCTCCACGACCCGAGGAAGGTCCACGGCCTCCGCACGGACTCCCTCGCGCTCATGCTGGCGCAGGCCAACGTCGGAGCGCACGCGCGGGTGCTCGCGGTGGACCAGACGGGCGGGCTGCTGACCGCGGCGGCGCTGGAGCGCACGGGCGGCTTCGGGACGGTGTGCGGCGCGGTGCTCGCGAGGCGGAAGGGCCTGCTGGACGCCCTCCGAGTGATGAACTTCTCACAGGAGGAGTTGGAGACGGTGCACAGCTGCCTGTTGTGGCAGCTGTGGAAGGAGCCCGGCGCGGACGTGGAGGGGAACGATGCGGGTGGTGGAGAGGGGGACAAGGGGGAGGGCGAGGCCGTGAAGGGGGAGGGTGGCGAGGGTGAGAGGGGGGGAGTGGCGCAGAGGAGAGGGGGGGGGTTTGCGGTGAAGAAGTGCACGGACAAGGAGGTGCGGGAGCTGGCGGAGAGGAAGTTCACGAGCTTGCTGGTGTGTGCGCCGATGCTGCAGCCGCTCCCGGTGCTGCGGCGGCTCTGGCGCGTGATGGAGCCGTCAGCATCCTTCGCGGTGTGGGCGCAGTCGGCGCAGACGCTCGCCGAGACGCTGATCGGGCTGCAGCAGGAGCAGATGGCGGTGGCGATGTCGGTGCAGGAGTGCTGGTGGCGGGAGCACCAGGTCCTGCCGCAGCGGACGCACCCCAACATGAACATGTCGGGCACGGGGGGGTTCGTGCTGTGCGGGACGTTCGTGGCGCGCGACGACGACGAGGCGCGGGAGGAACACCCCGAGAAGAAACAGCGCGTGGAGTAGCGGGGGGTGCGGCGAGCCGGAGAAGCTACGAGACCAACTTGCGCCGCAACTTGTGACGCGCTGTCCTGAGACGAAGCCCGCCCCGGGCGAGGCCCTATCTCACACGGCGGGCAACAGTACGGCGTCGTCGGCCGGCGGATCAGCGGCCCCCTTTGCTGCGGATGCGGTCGATCAGCGCGGGCAGGTTGGCCTGGAACTCGACCCACCCGAGAGTCGTGCCCTCCCTGGCCGGGTCCCACGAGGCCGACAGCACGCCTGCACAGAGACACGAGCGACGCTGATGCGTGGGCCCCGCAGCGTCGGGCAGCTGCATGCGTGGTCCCAGGCGTGCAAGGTCGCGGTCGTTGGGCGCGCACCGTACGAGATGCCCAGGAGCGCGCCGCCCCACGTCAGACTCGACGTGATGTAGACGGCCCAGGTCGGCACGTCGATGTCCTTGACGACCTTCAGGTAGTAGAACAGCGGGTACACCGTCAGCGACACCAGGATCGGCAGCCCCGTGCACGCCACGATGCGCTTTAGCATCCGGTCCCCGACGACCTGCAGCGCACGCGAGCAGCGAGGCGTGAGCGGGGGCGACGCGCAGGTGCGTGGAAACGACACGGCCGCCGTCGATCGATGCATGTCCTCTTGCAGGTGGTGGGGGGGAATTGGTCGCGGACCTGGGGCAGTTCGGTGTCCTCGAGGTCCGGCGGCGCATTCTGCCACTCCTCGTACTGCTCCTTGTATTGCTCCACGGACTTCTTCTGCTCCTTGGGCGACACAGTGCCCTGCCGACTCGTCACCTTGCCCCGCTTGTTCACCTGCACTCAATCGGCCTATTCGGGCCACGGTCGCGACTGCGATCCGTGAATGTAACGCGCCAGCAGCTGAACCAGGACCGTGGTGTCGGAGCCGACCCGTGCGGCCACGAAACTCAGATGTCCTATGCAGGGCTCCTTCACGGCGCCCACAGGCAGGTTGGGGTGGCTTGCATTGTCGCGCCGGGCGTAATAGCAAGCGCTCTGGCCGCACGTACCTTGGCCTGCTCCGCCGGAGCCTGCGTCGGCGTCGATCCGAACCCTTTCCTGTCCTTTGCAAACACCGCCACGCTGCGCCGCCGCAGCCCCTGCAGGATGCAAGCGCGAGCCCTCGTCGGCGGCGCAAAGCCAAAGCTAGGCGTGCGACGACGCGTTACTGGACGGCAGGCACGTCCCGACCACTTGCAGGGCGTGAGGGCCTGGGACCAAAGGCGTCCAGAGAACACACCTGCGACGCGCGTGCCGGCGTCAGGCACGCTTGATGCAGCGTGTGAGTCATGGTGTTGATCTCAGTCGGCGAGAATTTCCGTCGCAGCCACTCTCTTGCGCCCAGCCGCCGAGACCTTCCTGACGAGAGCTGGTGTCCGCCTCGTACACCCGCAAGAGCGACGAAATACGCAACGTTGCGCTTTGAATGGGACGATCAGCACGTCACAAAAGCGTGCGCGTGCCTGGCGCGCCCCCGCCGCGGCGCAAAGGAGCGTTCGCGGGCAATTTTATCCAGGCTGAGTCGACTAGCCCTCAGCTGACGACAAGAGCGGGCGGCCCTCCTTCTGTGAGGCTTGAAGGGCGAGACCGGCCACGCGGCCCGGGGCACTAGGACTCAGGCCATCGTACCTGCGCCGCTGACAGCGAAGCGCTGTGCGGAAACGCGTCGGGAGCGCCTTGGAGGACAACACACACGCGGGGGGGGCACGGCCGTCGCGTGGTGGGCGGGCGAGGACGCGTCCACGCGTGCTCGGCCGCTGCTCGGCCTGCGTAGTGCGCCGGTCTGGCCCAGGAAGTGGCGCTCCTGCGAGCGGGCACGGGAGAGAAAAGTGAACTATGGCGCTGATGCAAGGCGGAGGTACGCAGCCCGGGGCCCGCAGAGCGCGCACAGGTGCTTTCGAAGGGGTCATCGTGATCTGAACTTTCGGCCGCCCGCGCTGGCAGTGCGGGAGATCCCGCGCGCGTGGCCCGGCGAAGAGGCCGGGGCAGAGCAAACTCTGTTGGGCAACTCGTGCAACGTCGCACCGCGGCCGCTGCGCTTCTCGCGTCGCCCCGCTGCGAAATTTCGCTCCAAGTGACCATCGCATGTGTTGAGTGCGGCCCTGTCGCTCTGTGGAGAGCGCACGGGCGTTGGCGCTGCCGCGGCTCGTTTGCCGTCGCCGAGGCCTCGCGTGGGCGCCTAAGTCGCGCGAACGGCGGGTGCTACCAACGACATGCTTCTGTGTGCGCCGGAACGGCACCACTGGCGCCGCTTGTGCATCCCGCCGTTTGCCCCGGTCACAGCCCATTCTATCCAATCCGCCTTTGGCCGCTCCACGGGCCCCGCGCCCCCTCACGAGCGCCTGCCCCGCCCTACTGACGCAGGTGCGAAGGGCCCGGGCGAGCGCAAGCTCTGGGACAACTTCCCTGAGGGCTTGCGCGTCATGGTTGTGGACGACGACCCACTCTGCCTCAAGATTATCGACACAATGCTCAAGCGCTGCAAGTTCAAGGTCACCACCTGCTCGAACGGCCTTGAAGCTTACAGGTGCGCCGCAGCCCCGCCCAAATGCACCCCGCACCGAGGCGGCACACCTCGCCCAAGTGGGCAGCTAGGCCTGGCGCCTGTGCGCGCGGGCGCGCGGCCCAGCGGCCGCCGCCCCGCGTCGGCGCGTGCGACCGAGGAGGATCCGTGCCCCGGCGGAGGCTCGACAGCCTGTGTCGCGTCACGCGCCCGCACGCGCTCGCCCAAGGCTGGCTGCTGCTCTGACCGCCCTGCGCCACGGTCCCGTGCGTGTTCGCAGCATGCTCAAGGCGAACCAGGATAGCTTCGACATCTGCTTGTCGGATGTGCACATGCCGGACATGGACGGCTTCCGGCTTCTCGAGCTCATCGGTGAGTTGTCCTGCTGCCGCCCATGGCGCGTTTGCGCCGGCGTGGCCGGGGGATCGGCCGCGCCGCTTCCCGTGCCGGACTCCTCATGGTCTATACCTCGCGCTGCGTCACGCACACAACAGCGAGCGGCGCCGTGCGGGGCGCGCAGCCACCAACCACATTCCAGGCTCTCGCGCTGGACCCGCCCGTTCCCGGCCCCCACGAGCCTCGAACGCGCCCGTTCCGTTGCCTCCAGGTCTGGAACTCGACATGCCGGTGATCATGATGTCCGCGGACGACAACGAGAAGCTGGCGCTCAAGGGGGTGATGCACGGGGCGGTCGACTTCATGCTCAAGCCCGTGGAGTTCAAGACGATCAAGAACATATGGCAGCACGTCATGAGGAGGTACATCGACAACGGGCCGGGCAACGCCGAGGAGGAGAACTCGGACAACAACGGCAACGCCGCCACTGCGCCAGGTGCGCGCTGCCACCAACCACTGCGCGACTGTGCCGGCGGCGGGGCGTGGTGTGCCCGTCGTCAATCGCGCACCATCTCCGTGATCCATTTGCCACAGCCCCGCGCCGTCCTGGCTGCGCGTTCGGCCCCGCGTGACCGTTTCGCTGCAGCTGCACTGCATGCTGTGTTAACGGCTCGTGCTTCGCGGTCCCTTCCCGCCCGCAGACGCGCACATGGCCGAGGCGCCTCCGACGTCCGCGCCGGCGACGCGGTCCGCGGAGAAGGCCACGGGCAGCGGGTCGTCCGGGCAGCAGCCCCCCGCCGTGCCCACGCGCACCAGCCAACGCACCGCGAGCCGCAACGAGCGCGCCGAGCGCGACAGCGCGAGCGGCTCCGGCGGGAACGTCCACGGCGCGGGCCACGACGGCCCCGCGGTGACGGGCAAGCGCGGCAAGGACCGCAGCACGACGGAGAACTCGCACGAGACGCCGCGCGCTGCAGCGGTGGTGGTGCACACCACGACCACCGCGGGCGACGGCGGGCGCGCGCGGCAGCAGACGAAGAAGCCGCGCGTCGTGTGGACGGTCGACATGCACCAGAAGTTCGTCGACGCCGTCAACCAGCTCGGCGTCGACAAGGCCGTGCCCAAGCGCATCCTGGCGTTGATGAACGTCAAGGGCCTGACGCGGGAGAACGTGGCGTCGCACCTGCAGAAGTACCGGCTGTACCTGAAGCGCGTGCAGGGCGTGCCCGGCGGCAGCTCCCGCGGGCGGAACACGGGGGTGTGGTCGCTGGTGCCGACACCAACGCAGCAGCAGCAGCAGGGGGGGAACGCGGGCGGGCAGGGGGGCGACGGGGCGGCGGGTGGCGCGGACGCGGGGAAGCAGGCGGGCGGGACGGGGCAGCAGGCGGGCGGGGGCGCGGCGCCGCCGCCGTCGGGGCAGATGCTGCCGGCCAGCATGGCGATGGCCAACATGGCGGCGCCGGTGCACGTCCAGGGGATGTCGAGCCAGGCGATGATGATGCCGGGCGCCGGGATGATGGCCGGGGGGCCGCAGGGGATGCACGGGCACATGGGCGGCATGGTCCCGATGTCGATGGGCCCGATGGGTATGAACATGAACATGGGGATGAATATGAATATGGGGATGCCGATGAGCAATATGAACAACATGAACATGGGCGGGGGGATGTCGGCGCCGGGCATGATGCCCATGGGGCACCAGGGCGGCAACAACATGCCGCAGGGCAACGTGCAGCAACAACACATGGGGGGCATGGGCAACTTCGGGGAGGCTGGGACGAGCGGACAGGGGCCCATGCAGTCGGCGGGCGACCTCGGCGGCTTCGGCGACATATCCCTCGGCGAGCTCGGGTCCCCCGGGAAGCTCGCCGGCGACGGCGGCCTGCAGGGCGACGATCTGCACATGGACGACATCATTTCGTCCTTCCTGCAAGACGAGAAGGGCGACGCGGCGGGACTTGGCCTACTCTAACACACCCAACCCCCTCCGCGGCAGCCAGCCGCGCCCGCGCTGCGGCCCCGCCCCGGGGCCGTCACGGACTCCGCATGTTTGCACATTATCGCTCTTGCCACCCCACGCATGACCTGGCTCGCCTTCCGCGGCCCTCCGCCCCCAACGCCTCCGCCTCCATCCCGTCCCCACGGTAGCTCCACCGCGGCCCCACACGGTTCGGCATGGGCAGCGCACTTCAACGCATGCGCGCACTGCTCATCACAGCCTGAGTTCCGCGTTCGTGCACTGCTTGCGCCTTGCGCGGTCCCGGTGAATTGTCGGGACCACCGGCGATGCTGGCAGCGCTACTGGAGGGAACCGGTCCCACCCTTGCGAGCAGGCAAGGCGCCAGAAGCCGGTAGGCAGCGGGGCCCGCGACGGAGAACCGCCGGGGACGTGCATTGTATTTTTGAGAGAGCTCGAGCAGAAGGGGCGACGTCCTGAGCACCGTTTCGACAGTGCTCGAACCTGTAATTTCAACACAGGCGTTGCACAATTGGCTCGAGGAGCCCGCCTCACCCGTGCCGCGCAGGACGACGCTTGTGCTCTCGCGGGTCGTACTCTGCTCGTAGGGTACACAGTGGACCGACCTGTTGCCAGCTCACACGCCGTCAGACACCCCCTAGAACGCCTCCAGGTCCTCGTCCAGACTCCCCAGCTCCGGGTTCTTCTCCTTCCGGCCTCGATACCGAGTCTCGGTCTCGCTGCGCTGCCCCTCCGCGCGCTCCTTCGTCGCCATCCGGGCCTCCGCGGCGGCCTTGGCGGCCCCGGTCAGCAGCTGGTCGGGATTCCTGCGGTCAAACACAATCGCACTGCGACCCGCGGCGGGCGTCCCCGCAGCTCCAGCGGGCCCATTCACCGCCGTCGGTGGCGGCTCGACCCGCGTGGTCCCGATGTCCAGCATCTGCACGCAGAACCGCAGCGTAGACCGTTCGTCACGTTCCGTTGGCGCAAGGGGTGCATGCCGGACGCGGGCCGTGAACGTCGTTCTCGTCGCGGGCAAAGGGGGGGGCTGCGATCCCCGCGACATCGCCGCGCGGATGTTCATACCTTCTTTTTGTCCCCCCCCTTCTCCCACGGCCGCCGCTCCTGCGCCTCGAGGCGCGCCTCGCCACCGAACGCCTCCTGCGCCTGCGAGATCATCGAGGTCTTGATCGCGTTCCGCAGGTACGCCACCTCCGTCATGTTGGCCTCGTGCACCATGCGCAGCACGCACTCCCCCATGTCCATGGCGCCCTCGCTCGTCATACTCACGGCCTCGTCCGCGCCCGCCTCGCGCAGCCGGACCAGGTCGCGCAGCGTCGACGCGCGCGCGATCAGGATCGTCGCGGGGAACGCGTTGCGCAGCCGCGCCACCGCGGGCACGTTGTCCGCCTCGATCTCGGAGCGACACACCACGATGGCCGCGGGGTCGTCGATCCCGGCGGCACGCAGCACGTCCGGGCGCGAACCGTCCCCGAACACCACGTTGTACCCGAGGTCCTTCGCCGCCTGCACACACACACGACATAAGGAGCGCCGTTCCAGGACCAGAACGACGCGCAGACAGACACTGGAAGAAGAGTGCCAAGTATGGGTGGGCGCGGGGGGGGGGGAAGGCGTACCTGCACCCGCACGGGGTTGGTGTCGAACGCGATGACGGGGTGCTGCTGCAGCGAGGAGAGCTGCGTGGTGGCCATGTTCTGCACCACCTGCCCCACGTGCCCAAAGCCGACGAGCACGATGGGCGGTATCGACGTGCCCTCGGTGGCGGCCTGCACGTCCGCCTTGCCGTTCGCCTCCACGTCGATGGCGTCGCCGCCGCGTTTCAGCCGCTCCGCCTCCTCCTTGCGGTTGATCTCGTCGTACGCCCACCGGCCGACGTCCGCGAGGGCGGGCGTGAGCGCGAGCGACAGCACGAGGACCGACGTCAGCAGCGTGTCGAGGTTCTCCGGCAGAATCTTGAGGTTGGTGGCCAGGGAGAGCAGCACGAAGGCAAACTCCCCCCCTTGACTCAGCAGCAGGCCCGTGCGGACCGACTCGGCGCGCGTGAGGCCGACGAGCGGGCCCGTGCTCGCGATGACCGCGAACTTGATGCCCAGCAGCCCGGCCAGGAGGCCCATCGCCACTGGGAAGTACTGAATCAAGAGCTCCACGTCGATGGACCGCCCAGTCGAGACGAAGAACAGCCCGAGGAGGATCCCGCGGATCGGACGCAGGTCCGCCTCGATCTGCGTCCGGAACTGCGTCTCCGCGAGCAGCACGCCCGCGAGGAACGCCCCCAGCGTGTCGCTGAAGCCCAGCGACTGCGTGGCAAACGACGTGCCCGTCACCGCCAGCAGGCACAGCGCCACGAACGCCTCGTTGCTGCGCGCGGACGCCACGACCGCGAAGATGTACCGCACGAGGTACCGCCCGATCAGCACGATCACCCCGAGCCCCAGCAGCGACTTGGCAGCCTCGGGCGCAACCTGCACGCGGGCGCCACACAGGCATCGTGGGTTGAGCGCCGCCGGAGCCGCGGAGCTGTCACGTGCGCGGCCCGGCAGCACCGGCGTGGCGCGAAGGGGGCCGCGCGGGGCGTTTCGAGCGTCACCTGCGCCAGGACTGTGCCTCCGCCCGAGGAGATGGCGTTGAGGCCTCCGTTCTGTTCCACCAGGGGGAGTAACACCAACAGTGGTACGACGGCGATGTCCTGCAGGAGGAGGATGCCCAGCGTCGCCGCGCCGTACCGCGTAGGGAGCTCGCCGCGCTCTGCGGGTCGTGGGCGGGGCCGCGGCGTGTGGGAGCGCGCAGGGGACGTTGCGAGTTGAAGTTGTGGGGGGGTCGGGTACGGGAGGCGCACCTGTGAGGAGCTGGAGGACGAAGGCGGACGAGGAGAGGGAGAGCGCGGCGCCGATGACGACGGCCTCGTCCGTGGTCCGGATGGCGACGAGCGAGTGCGGGGCGCCAGCCACGGCCTCGAGGAAGTGCGTCACGACGCCGTTGCCGGCCGGAAGCGCGCACGCACAGAAGAAGAGGGTCGTGAGCACCATCTGGAGCGTCCCCAGGCCGAACGCGTACTTCGCGAGGGCCTTGAGGCGGTCCGAAGACAGCTCGAGGCCCATCTCAAACAACAGGAAGAGAACGCCGAGCTCCGACAGCTTCTCGATCTCCTGGAACTCCCGGAAGAGCCTGCGTCATACCAGGCAGCCGTTCATGCGTCGGCGGTCGAGGCACGCGGCCCGGGGCGACGGGTGCAGGGACCATGCACGTACCCACAGCACCGCACGCGGTCCCTGCGCTCGTCTGCGGGCCGAGCTCGAGCAACGGCCATCCCGACGCGAGGGACCGCGCGGGTGTGCCGATCTGGCTCGGCGTCGACGCGACAGGGCCGCATCGGCGCACGCGGTGCGGCCTGTTCAGACGACAGCCAACCTGCCCTGTGGTAGACCGTGCCCGTTCCGGGCAACCGCGGCACGGAGCGGGACGACACGCGGGGCGGGGGCTCACCCGAACTGCTGAAGCACGAACCCAGCGCCCAGGAAGCCCAGGATCGGCGACACGCGCAGCTGTTTGCAAATCGGCACCACGGCCACCGTTGCCACCAGAAACGTGAGCACGTCGTACCCCAGGGGCACCAAGACGTCGGGCCCCGACCCCACCGTGACGCGGCCGCGTCGTTCCCGCGATCCGCGCCCACGCCCCGCCAGAGTCGACCCGCACATCCCCGCGGGCGCGCCCCCCCTGAATCCTCGCACACCCTGCGCGAGCCCCGCTCCGGGCCGCGCCGCGGCTCCGCAGGGCCGCACCGCGCGGGCCGGCGCCCCCCCGGCGCGCTGGTAGCGCATCGAGCTCGCGAGGGCGGCCCTCTGCGGCCGGGGCGGGCGGCATCGCGCCGGATTCATTCCAGGCGCCTGCGCCAGGCCGGGCGCTGTGGCGTGGCGCATGGCGCCCCGCTGCCGCGTGGTGCGCGGTCAGACCCGACCAATCTCGAGATCACGTCTGTGCGAGCGATCACGGACCAGCCGCGGTGAGTCGACAGAAGGAGGCGCTGAGGCAATCGCCGCTGAAAGCGAAGCCACGCTGTTGGCCGGGACGTGACGCCGGAGACGCGCAGCGCAACGGCGTGGCAGCCATGTAGTGGCGCGGGGAGCCGGGCCCCCGCCCCCAAAGCACGTCCGAGCGGTCAGCGCGCTGCGCGGCCCATGTCAGTCAGTCCATGTGTTAGCAACACCCCCCCGCGCGCGCGGTGCGGGCACGGGCACGAGGATGCGCTCGCGTACACCTGCCTGTTCGGCGCGACGCCGTCCGTCCGCGCGGGGGGCAGCGCACGTGACACTCTCACACGCAGGTCGCGCGACACGCGCGCCGTCGCGGTGCCTCTGCCGCCCGTGCACCCCGCGGCCTGCCCTGGAACGACGCCTCCACCTCCACGTGCCGCTCGTGGCTGCCGAGTCCACCGGGGGCGGGTGGCGCGCTCTGCGTGTGTGTGTGTGCAACGGGTGTGTGGACCAGCTCTGCACTGGAAGACTGGCACGTCGCACGGACGACTCGTGGCCGCGAGGCGCCGGACCTGTGCTGGCACTGGCGGGCCGCGGCTGCACCAGTGCCCAGCGCCGGGGGCGGCAAACACACCCGCGCGCTCATGACGCCGGCGCCGGGGGCGGGGGGCGCCACGCTCTGCCCCCGCTGGTGCCCCGCAGCCACGGACATCTGTTGCAGTCGAGTCGGACGGCTGGTCTGCGCGGAGCAGTGCCAGGCCCGTCCGCCCGACTCGGGGTTGCACCTGTTGTGGCTGCCAGTACTACTGAGTCTCAGTAGCGGGCCATGTGCGGCCCGTACATCCGCTTGCGACCACTCACGGCCCCGGGCCAATCGTGTTCGGTGCCCAGTACGGTTGGGTGGATCGCACGCTACGCGAGTGCGAGCTCCGCGACGTCTCTCCGAACCAACCGCTTCTTCGAGAACCGCTCTCGCGCGGCGGTGGCAGCGGCGACAGGTATGCCCTTGGAATGTGCTTATGTGACTATGTTCGTGCAACCTGGTCGAGGCGGCGGGTGGAAGGCCCGCAGCGCCGCATTTCTGGGGTTAGTTGGTTTTCCGTGCATCGCTCGCCCTCGCGCAAGAGGGGGCGGACCTTGCGGCCTGTTCTCCGTGGAATTTTGATCTTTCATACCATCGAAATCGACTCGCGTCGTGCGACAATGTCTCAGGCACGGCTCCATCGCTGCGGAAGAGCCCTCGTACCGTGCTGTACTGTTTCCGCGCCGTTCGCCCCCCGTCCGGCTCAGTGCGCGTGGCCCTTCTCATGCTCACCGTCTCTGACATCGCACGAACCGCATGACTGCGCACCGAAGCGCTTCCGTGGTCCAGTGCGGCTGATCTTCTGCTGCCCTTCCGCGCGTCCGGTGCGCGCAGGATGGATGAGCTCAGGCGCGTCATCTCCGACAACCCGGTCGTGATCTTCACGAAGACCAACTGCGCGTACTGCGCGGAGGCCGAGCGGATTCTCCGGGCTCTGGGCGCCGCCCCGCACATTGTGAATGCCTTCAAGGCAAGTCCGACCTTTCCGCTTGCTTTCCCCCCCCTGCCCCCCCCACGCGATCCCTGCAACATGCGAGCGATCCAGCGCCGCGTATGGAGCGCTCGCGCTGGGAATGTGGCCGTTGTCGGGCCAGCAACGGCACAAACCACCAAAGAGACCCGTCGCTCAGCCCCAACACCGGTTCGTGCGCGCCGCAGGACAACAACGGCGCGGCGCTCCGCGCGGAACTCAAGGAGAAGACCAACCACACGACCTTTCCCTACGTCTTCGTGGGCTCCGATTTCGTGGGCGGCTGCGCCGAGGTCAAGCAGCTGTCCACCAGCGGCCAGCTCCAGGGCAAGCTCGCCGCCGCGGGCGCCCTGCGCGACGCCAGCGGCTCCAGCGACTCCTCCGACCCGCAGCTCTACCGCCCGTTCGGGTCCTGGAAGGCTCGCCTCGCGCCCGCCCTCTTCCGGTTCCCCCACACCGTCGACGGGCACGTCGTGCGCGTCTCCGGCGTGCTCACGTGCTTCACGTCGATCGCGCTGGGCATCTGCGGCGGCCTCGAGCAGCGCTGGGCGCACTACGCCACCGCGGCCTTCTTCGCCGACTTCGTTCTGCGCTTTTGGGCGGGCAGCCGCGCCTCGGCGATCGGCACCGTGGCGCAGCTCATCTGCGCGCGCTGGAAGCCGGACTGGCGCAATGGTCCGAGCAAGCAGTTCGCGACGTTCGTGGGCACGATGATGACGGCGATGGGCACGGCCTTCTTCTTCGGGTCGATCGAGGAGGGGGCGCTGCGGTGGATCGGCATGGCGTGCCTGCTGATCCTGGCGTTCTTCGCGGGCCTCGAGGGCTTCCTGGACTTCTGCGCCGGCTGCTGGATGTTCTCGATCGCCATCCGCCTGGGCCTCGTGCGCGACTCGGTCTACCACGTGCACGTCCACGAGAAGGGCTCGCAGATGGCCGCGTGGATGTTCTACCACACGAACTACGGCCTGGGGGAGCCCGAGGAGAAGGTGCACCGCGTGCGCGGCCACGCGGAGAGCGAGGTGGACGCCAAGTACAAGGTGAAGACGGAGGAGCACCGCCTGAACGGGTTCGGGCCGATCAAGCACTGCAAGCTCATGTTCTTCATGATCCCGCTGTCGATCGCCGCGCTCGCCATTGCGTTCAAGGAGGCCGCGGAGGGCGGGAGCGACCTCGAGGTCGACGACACCACGTGGCACACGGTGGGCCTCATCGCGGCCGGCACGTGGTTCGTGCTCGCGGTCCTGACGATGGCCCGCGCGGTCATGTACCCGCACAAGATCTGGACGGAGCTGGACTGCCTCGAGCGCGGGAACTTCGCAGCCGTGCCGTTCATGTGCCTCCTCCTCTTCGCGGCACTGATTCCCACGGACAGCGGGGAGGTCGCCAAGGGCATGGACGGCCTCGCGCGCGCGCTGTACTGGATCGGGTTCGTGCCGACGTTCCTCGTCGCCGCGACGCGCGTGACCAAGTGGATGAGCCACCGCTTCACGCTGGACCACGTGTCGCCGTCGTACCTCATCGCGCCCGTCGGGCTCCTGCTCGCGACGCTCGCGTCCGGCGCCGTCGAGACGCTCGAGGGTGCCGGCGGCGAGAACCTGGCGTACTCGGAGACTGGGTTCTTCGCATACGGCTTCGCGGCGTTCTCCGCCGCAGTCCTGCTCCCGCTGACGTTCCACGCGTACGTCATGAACGCGCACGGCAACGACGCGATGCGCTTCGGCGCGTGGATCTGGGCCGCGGCCCTCGCCGTGCTCTCGATCGCCACGGACGTCGTGACGGGCTCGTTCATGGGCGTCGTGGCGCGCCTCTTCTTCTTCGCGGGCTTCGCGCTCAGCCTGGCGCTGATCCTCGCGACGTTCTCGGGCTACCTCGGGCGCGGCAAGTGGACGCCCGAGTGGTGGGCCACGGGCTTCCCCGTCGCCGCCGTGGCCGCAACCCTCGTGCGCTACCACAAGTGGCTCCTCCTGAACACCAACCGCACGGGCTTCTCCGAGTGGCTCGCGTGGGGCGGCCTCGCGGTCGCCTCCGCGCTCCTCGTCCTGCACGCGCTCTGGACCCTCGTCGAGCTGGCCAAGGGGAAGATGTTTGTGTCGCTGCCGCCGTTTGCCGCCATCTCGATCATGAAGCTCACGCACGACGCGATCCGCGGCGCGGAGGCGCGCATCAAGGGTCTTGCCGAGGGCGCGGGCTCGCACCCGGCCGCGCACGCCGAGCTCGCCACGGAGGCGCGCATGCTGGCCACGATCATGGCGGAGCACTCGAAGCACGAAGACACGGTCGTGTTCAAGGAGGTGTCGGACATCCTGCCCGGGGCGATGGACGCGTACGAGAAGGACCACGAGGAGATCGACAAGGTCGTCGAGCGGCTGTTCCACGACGCCGAGGGCCTGCGCAAGGGCGGCGGCGCGGCAAAAAGCGTCGAGGAAACCATCAAGGAGCTGTACAAGGTGACGCTGCCGCACCTGCAGCAGGAGGAGGAGAACATCCAGCAGCTCGTGAGGAAGCACCTCCCGCTCGCGCTCCAGAAGCAGCTCGTGCGCCGCGTGTGGGAGGCCACCCCCCCCGCGACATGGATGGAGATCATCCCATGGGTGGTCAACAACCTGCCGCGCGAGGACCAGCGCGTCAAGTACCTCCGCGGCTGGATGGACGCCATGCCCGAGCGCTGCCACCAGATCGGCCGGTTCGTGTACCTGGGCACGTCGGCCTCCGCCTGGGCCACGCTGCGCGTCCAGGTCCCCGAAATGGTGCCGCGCGGCGCCCCGGGCTGGTTCCACCTGTGGTAAGCGCGGACCGCGCGAGCCGCACCTCCCCGTCCGCCGCGTCGGATTGGATGGATGCTGCGGCTGTGCGTGAGGTGTGGGTGGCTCTGTCCTCGGTGCGTGCGCTGGGCAGTTTCGCGCACAGGCCGGGCCACACCACTGTTGCTTGAGGCGTGAGCGCGGCCCACGGGCCACCAGACTCGACTGTGCGTGAATAGCAAACTAGCTTGCTGAGGGCGGTAGGAAATGCTCGACTGATTGTGAACCTGAGACTTTTATTTCGTTTCGTGCGCGGGTGATCAATTACTACTCTATGTGAACCTGGTGCTCGGGGGTCAGGATCGCCGAGCACGACCGCGTCCCGCGCCTTCTGTTCGCGACATGGTGCGAGTCGGATCCTCGCGGTCCGGATGGATGGATGGAAGCGCATGCTGCTCATGACACATTTCCTACCCGGATTGCTGTGTGACTCTCGTCTGCCGTACCGTTTCGGTCGCTCAAACACGCTCGCGGCGAGGGTCTCTGTAGGTCAGCGGACAAACAAGGACTCTTGGGGGTGTCCGAGGGGGCCTCCGCCATGTCTTGTCCCAGACGACGCCCCCCTCGTTGCTGTCCCACGCAGACGCGTCCACCAACTCCTCGCTCAGATATACGCAGCTTGGCCATCGGCACAGCGAGCGAACGTGCGCATCGTGTGTGTCGCACGTCCGGCTCGGGTGGACTGAGGCAGATCAGTGCACGCGTGCCCGGACACGCGCTTCCTCCCAGTGATTTCGCGCCAGCCACTTCCGGAGTATCTACAGAGATCAAACATGCGATAGCGACCCCAAGCGGCCCATTGGACGCCCGCTGGTCGCGCATAGAGCGTCGAGTTTGGCAGGAAGCAGGGCTGATTCCTCGCCATGGCGTCCTCTGATGATCCCCGCGGTCTGCCGTTTTTGGAGTACCTTGCGCCTGTGGTTGCCGTGGTGGCTCACCCGGCCGTGCGCCAGGCATGTCAGGAGAGCAACTTGTCCCCTGGTCAACTTCTCAGGGCCTTCGGAAACGTGCCCGTGGACCTCCCGATCCGAACATCGGCCGAGCGCACTCACAGGTAGACTCTCTTGGCCTCCCACTGCCGACGTGCGGCCTTGGCCTTGCAGCAGGTCGCGCGGAGCACAGCCGTGGTGCTCCCCATCGCTCCAGGGCCCCCAACGCCCATTCCTTAGCGTGTTTCTGCGGACGATCACAAGTCACGACATCACCGGAACATTTCGCGTCCGCCGCGCGCATTCCCCGCCCCAGCGCCGCCGCGCGTCCCCACGAGGCGCCCCCCACTCAGGATGCCACCGGCGCGCCCTCCCCGCAGGCTCCAGGACTTCCACGTGCGCTTCCACGACGCGACCTCCTGCTTCCGCCCCCCGATGGAGATATCCGACGCCGCCACGCGCGTGTCCGTCTCCGTGGCGGCCTCCCGGGACTCCTTCCTGACAGCGAGCCCCCACGGCCCCCCGCGCACCACGCTCGGCGCGTCGCCGTGGTGCGAGGCCTTCCTGCGCGAGGCCGGGCGCATGCAGTGCTTCTCGGACCACCTCGCGTTCGACGCCCCCTGCGCCCTCCTCCTCCTGCTCCCGCCAAACATCGACCCGCGTCAGGCCGTTCCCGCGGCGCTCGAGTCCCTGCAACGGCGCCTCCCGCAGCTCGCGCCGCACGTCCGCGCCGCGCTCTCGAACCCCGACACCCCGCGGCTCGCGCTGCTCTGCCACACCTCCGCGGCGCACAGCCCACCCCCTGACACCGCACAACTCTTGGCCACCACAGAGCAGCTGCTCGGCGCGTCCCGCGCGGCGCTCTGCACGCTCGGCACTCGCCGGGCAGACGACGAGGCGGGCCCCGCGTGGGCCGACCGCTGGGACGCGCTCGTCGGTCCCCGGCTGCGCGGGGGCGGCGCAGGCGAGCCCGAGGGGGATCCTGAGCTCCCCGCGCCGGGGGGGGAGGCCGGACTGAGCGACACGGGGCTCGTCGCGGCGGGCGGCGTGCCGGGACGCGGCGCCAGGGTGTCCGAGGACGACGTCGCGTCGATACAGGCAGCGTTGTCGCGTCTGGTCGCTGGCGCACTGGTCCCCGTGCTGGAGGAGCGCTGCCGGTCGCTGAGCCAGGCGCTGGCGTCGCGGCGCGGCCTGAAGAACCAGCTCAAGTCGTGGTTCTCCGGTCGGCCCAAGGACGGGTCCGCGGCGCCGCTGCACCAGCTTGCGTCCGAGCACGGCGCTGTGGCGCTGGCGGTGCAGGACTACGACGCCGCGGCGTCGTCGTACCGCGTGCTGGTGTCGGAGCTGAAGGGCAGCGCGTCGAAGCGGCATCTCGCGGGCGCGCACCTCCTGCACGGCGCGGCGTGCCTCCTCGCGGGAGCGCCGCACCGGGAGACGCATGGGGCGCTGACGAGCGCCGCGGAGGCCCTGCGGGCGCTCGGGCCGTCTGAGGCCGCGGGGGCCGCGCTCGCGGCGGCGCTGCTCGCGTGGGCGACGATGGCGGCCCGGCGCTGGCACGAGGCGGTGCGCGCGCTGATTCTCGCCTCGTTCGAAGAGCAGCCCCTGCGCGGCGCGGTGCTCCTCGAGCAGGCCGCGGACTGCTACAAGCGGCTCGGGATGCGACGGAAGTGGGCGCTGCACGCCGTGCTCGCCGGCCACAAGTACCGCATCGCCGGACAGGCGTCCCTCGGCGTCCGATCCTACCTGTCGGTGGAGGGGGTCTATTTGGAGCGCGGCTGGGACCGCATCGAGGAGCACATGCGGCGGTTCCTGCTCGGACGTGCGGCCTCGGAGGGGGACGACGCCGCCGCCGCGAAGCACGCCGCGAGCCTGCTGTCGCTGCCGCACCCGCCGCCGCACGCGCAGCAGCAGTGTCTGGGGCAGCTCCTGGACCTCGTGGGGCGCCTCGGGGAGGCACCCGTCGCGGTCGAGGGCCTCACGCTGCCGCGCGTGTCCAACCAGGTCGTCGCGGTCCGCTCGGAGGGGCGCGTCACCGTCGGCACCGCGAGCGCGGACGCGTCGGCGGCGTCCTGGACTGAAGTGGAGGGCCCGCTGCTGTGCACGCCCGCGCAGCTCGCGAAGGCCGACGCCGACCTGCCGCCGCCGCCGCCGGACCCGACCGCGCGGCTGCTGGAGCGGACCGGCGCGGCGCGGGCCTGCGTGGCCGGGGAGGACATATCGATCGCGGTGCTGTTTACCAACCCGCTGCGCATCCCGCTCGACATCACGGGGGCGCGGCTGGTCGCGGAGCTGACGCCTGACGAGCAGGGCCACGAGGGGGTCGCCGTTGAGCTCCCTGCGCGGTCGTTGGTTCTCGAGGGCCGGCAAGACATTGCGCTGCCACTTGCGGCACGGCCGCTGGTGCCCGGGAGGCTCGTCGTGCGTGGCGTGGAGTGGGAGCTGTGCGGCAAGGTCTCGGCGTCGATCACGTTTCCGACGCGCGCCAAGAAGGCCGGCGGGCTCGCGGAGCACGACGGTTTGACAGTGTGTGTCCTGCCGCCCATGCCGCGGCTCAGCTGCCGGTTCGACCTCCCGGAGCGCATCTACACCTCTGAGCTCCGCGTCGTCTCCCTCGCGATCGTCAACTCGGGGCCGTGCTCCATCCAGGCGCTGCGGCTCTCAGTGCCTAGCGCCGCCCTGCAGCCCCTCCCAACTGCCACCATCGCCCGGACCGGCGCCGGCGACGCGGCGGCCCAGAGCGCGCCCCGCACGGTCGTGCTGAAGCCGCTCGGGCACGGCGTGTGCGCCGTTCGCGGCGCGGACGACGCCCCGGTGGTTCTGGACCGTTGGGAGGAGCTGCGCTACCGCGCCGCGTTGTACTGCGCTCACGCCGGGCACCACGCCGTGAACGCGGCCTGGTACTTCGAGCCCGGGCCAGACAGCGCGGCGCCGGGTCCGAACTCGATCGCGTACCGCACGCTGCGCATCGCGGCCGAGGTTGTCGCGGCGCCGGCGCTGCGGTGTCAGGCCACGGCGGCGTACGCAGGCCCCGGGAAGCCGAAGCCGCGCGACGTCGAGATTACGCTTGCGATGAAGAGTGCCCACGGATCGCGCGCGCTGCGCATCGCCGCGGTGTCTGCCGTGCGGGGTCCATCAGTGAAGGCCGAGGGGTCTGACAGCGCGGCGGGCATCCCAGGCGCGCCGCTCGTGCCCGGCGCGACGGCGACGCTGCACGTGTCAACCGCAGAGGACACAGAGGCGAGCGAGGGCGCCGGTGTTCCGGCCGCGGTGGCGGGGTGGTGGGATGCGGAGGCAGGCGGCACGATCGACCCCCGCGCGGGCCGTGAGGCCGCGGAAGCGGTGATTGCGCAGGCTCGACAGAGCTGCGCGCATCCTGCAGCGGCGGACGCGGCAGGGCCGGTGCTGGCGGTGTGGTGGGAGGCGCTCGAGGGGTCTTTGAAGCCCAGGGCACACCAGCGTGGCATGTCCTTTACGAGCGCTGACATGCAGGGGCGACGGGGTGCCTGCGGCGTGCTCGTCGTGCGCAGCGAGCCCCCGGATCGCCACGCGCTGAGCCAGGTGCAGGTGGCGCTGGGGGGGCCTGCAGGATCGGGTGCGCGCGAGGTCATCGTGCCGGTGACGCCTGGGGCGCCGCTGAGGCGGCCGCTCGAGGCGCACGTGCAGGTGCTGGCCGCGAACGTCGGCAAGGCGCCCGTGCGCGTCGAGGTGTGCGGGTCGGTGCTGCCGCAGCTGCTCACCTTCTCGCCGCAGCACGCCAACGTCCACGGCATGTGGGGCGTCGACCGCGACGGTCAGGACGACGCGGACCCGTACAGGGCCTCTGCGTTTGCGCTGCGGCCGCAGCAGATGCTCCCATGCGCGCCGGCGCAGTGGGTCGGAAGGGTGGTCAGCGTTGAACCGCAGCTCGAGGGCGGGGCGGTGTTCCAAACCACGCTCCAGCTGCTCATCAACACCAGCACGCCGGGCCTGTATCCTGCCCCGCCGATCACCGTGCGCTGGAGCGCGACCCGTCCGTCTTCCCGCAGCCGCGCCACGGAGGCCCACGAGGTGACTGTGCCGGAGTTCGCGCTGCGACTGGTCGACGCCGCGCAGCTCGCCGCGACGGAGGAGTCGGTACCGGCGTCCCCTCCGCAGGCAGCGCTGCCCGATGTCGAGAAACTGTCGCTGCGGGACCCTGCTGGGGAGACCCCCCAGGTGCCTGCTGCCGAGGCGGCGCCGCCTGTCCAGGAGCCCGAGGTGGCACCGGCTGGCTCGCTGCTAGGCTTGGCAGGGCTGGGGGGGGAGGAGGACGCGGGCGGCTCGTTCGCCGACGGTGCAGATGCCTCAGTTGTAGAGCCGGGGGGGGCTGGGGAGCAAGAGGGTGGCGGGGCGGACGAGGGCCGGGGCGACTTGCTGGACCTCGAGGATTCGTCGCACGGCGAGGTCGACTTGCTGACTGGCTTGGGGAGCGGCGAGGAGGGCGGCGCAGGTGCTACCGACAGCGCTCTGAGCGCTACAGTCTTGGGCGGCGCAGAGACGGTCGGAGGCGAAGTGGACTTGTTGGGACTGGGCGGCGAGGACGAGGTCGCGGAAGGGCCGGGCGGCCCGCGTGATAGGGATTGAGTTGAGGACGGCAACTGTGAACCACGGATCCAGGTTTTGGCCGCCCTCTGCACCGCAAAAGCCGCAGTTGATGACGCCCAGCAGCGGGCGTGAGAAATGTTATCCTGGACGGGGGCGCGGTGCCGGGTGTATGGAGGATCGAGTGGGCTCACAAAGCGCTGGGGGGCTCATCATCAGATGTTCCCGTGACGCAGCTTCAAGCTGCTTGCCCTCTCGTTCACGGAAGAGTTGTTGCTAGCATGTGCGCGGGGCTCGAGAAGAGCTACGCGGGCAGGCTCTTTCGGAGCAGGGTTGAGTGGTGGGAGGGTGGGGTCGTGGGGCCTGTCCAAGAGTCGGACAAAGTCACAGGCGATGGATCCGCAGGATGCCAATGACAGGGCCAGTCGTGCCTGGCGGGGCCGGACGGGGAGGCCGCCATGGCAGCGTCCTCCCGCGTCTCGTCTTGAATTGTGGCTGTGCGTCGAGCGAAGACGTTCGCATCCCGGAGGAACCCGCGCGACGCCTGACCTGATCGCGTGCTGACGAGGGATTCGGGAGGTAGGGGGAGGGGAAGGGGGGGGGAAGGCAGGAGAGGGAGCGGGGCGGGCAAGAGAGGGTTGTGACCACGGTGACATGGTCGAATTGCCCATGGCAGCGCGCGTCGTTGGAGCACCCGCAAGGACAGAAAGCCCTGCGAGCGTCGTCGCAATTCGACGTTGCAACGTCGTCGGGAGGGCCTGGCGCAGGCATCGATGGACGCAGCCAGAGGGCGTAGAGTAGAAAGCTAGAAGGACTGGAGTCCCCTTGGAGAACGAAACGAAATACCCCGCAGCCGCAAAATCGTTTGCGGCGTACGTCTTGCTTCACTCGTCCTGCGTGGGTGAGCCCGCGGGGCGTCGTGGTCAGAGAGGACATCGTCATGGGATGCGCGGGCGGGTGCGCTGGTGCGTCGGGGTCGCGGGGCGCACCTTGACGTGGCCCAGGATGCGCGGGCGCGCGGTTTCGATCACGGCCATGATTTCCTTGACGAGGCCGTCGCTCATCTGGAAGTCCTCGCGCACGGTGGTCTCCAGGTGCCCCGCGACCAGGTTGAAGTGCGTCTCGTTCAGGCCGAGGTTCTCGCGGATGGGCTTGTGGATGCGGTAGAGCGAGGTGGCGTACACGTTGGGCCCGCCGAACGCGTGCGTCACGAACAGCGTGAAGTGCTTGTTCACGCGGTCCATGTCGACGTTCTCAAAGAACTTGGTCAGCGTGGGGTCCTCCAGCAGCCGGTCGAGGAACTTCGTCGACACCTCCGCGATGGCCTTCTCCGCCTGCAAACGAACGCACCGTGCCGCCACTCCGTCAGATCGACGTGCAACACACTCAGCGCGCACACCGCGGCCCACGCCCCGAACGAACGACGTGGATGCCGAGTGCGCGTGCGTCCCCCGTACGAGCACCCTCCCAGTCGCGCGACCAAGCACCGGTCTCGTCCTGCGCGGCATCGGGCGCGCGTCGCACCGTCCCCTCGCCCCCGAGCTTGTCGTACAAGGTCTTCTGCTCCTCCTCCTTGGGAGCCCCCCCGCGGGACTGGAGCGGCGCGGTCCCGGAGTCAGCCCGGGTGAAGTGCTTCGCGCGCCGGTTCGGCAGCACCTTCCACGCCTGCTGGTTCCCCGTCCCGTGCCCCGACCCCGCCGCGCTGCCGTGCTCGCTGCGCGCCGCGTGGTGGCTCGGGACGGGCCTGGGGTCGGGCGCGCGCCCCATGACCTGGTCGCGGAGGGTCTCCAGGAGGTCCCCGACGGTCGTGATGATCGCACGTGAGACGTTGTGGTCCTCCATGGCGCTCTTAAACTCCCCCACCACCAGGTCGAAGTGCACGTCCTGCATGCCGTCGTTCTCGCGGAGGTTGCGGTGCGCCGCGTTGAGGCCGCGGCCGAGGTACCCCTCGCTGCCCGGGGCGCCGAAGGCGAACCGGACGAATTCGCGCAGGCGCGTCTCGTGGCGGTTGTGGACGGTGCTCCTGAAAAAGGGCGAAATCTGGGGGTTGCGGCGCAGGCGCTTGTAGAACGAGGTCACGATCGCGGCGATGATCTTGTCCGCCTCGCCGGGGTCGCCGAGGCGCTCGTACACGGTGGTCGCGGAGTCGGCCTGCAGGGAGAGAGGGCGCCCCTCGCGTGGGGGGCGCGGTCCCCGTGCACGCCCGCTCCCCAGCAGAATCGCATGGTCTGGCAGGGGCGGAGCGAGGGCGCGCAAGACACCGCTCGGGGAGGCGGTGAGCTGCCGCGGGCGGCGCGAGGCGACTCAGGAGAATGTGGCGCTTGCGGGGCGCGTAGTGCAGCAGACGGAAAGCGCGCGTGCGCGAGATGTAGCCTTGTATCGCGACGGCTCAGGTACGCGGCGAAACCCGCGGATGATGGCGCAGGCGCGCTGTACGCAGGGGATTGCTGCAGCCGGGCACGTCGCGACGGTGCGTGCGACGCGTGCATGCGTATCAGCCCCAGAGCTGTCCCGCCGCCAGGACCAGCGAGCGAAGCGGGAGCTTCGCCGAGGGCCGGCCGCCGTTTTGCAAGCCTATGCGTGGGAGGAGGCTCACCTCTAGCGGCCCGCGGCCCGAGGCAACGACCACGGCGGCATCGGCTCCGCCCTGCGCCTTCGCTTCCACGCCCCGCTTGCCACTCCTCTTCGGAGCAGACCCGCCGTCATACCAGGCCTGCGTCGGCGAACCAGGGTACGCAGGCGCGTTGCCACGGAAACACGCACGCTCAGCACCTGGACCTCTCACGCCGCACGGGTCGCGCCATGGTCGAGGTCGGAAGGGGGCGCACCATGAGGATCTCGACCAGGATGATCGCGACAGACCAGCTGCCGAGGACCACGAGGGTCGGAACCGACTCCTTCCACTGCTCCACAGACAGCATGATGGGTAGTGCGCAGGCAACAACGCAGCGAGCGGCGCCGCAGTAAGCCACTTCGACGGCTGGGTCCTGCGGTGGTTGTGCGTCGTGTTCGCGAGGAGCGCCGCGCATGGAGCGCCGCACGCCGCCAGGAGGAGTCCTCACCTCCAACCTGACACGCGTGACATACTATCGGGCGGCGGCGGCGGCGAGGTTGTCATCGCGAGCGCTGCGCCGGCCCCGGGCGGCACACGCGCTGGTCCGTGGCTGCGTCGCGGCTGCGCGCGCGGCCGGCGCGCTGCAAGCTCGTCGCGGCCCTGCTCTGAGGGCGTGACGTAATAGATTTTCTCGATCGTTGGATGACAAATATGAGTGGCTCTGCAGCCCCAGCTCCGGATGGCTGCGCAGCGGGGAATTCGACCTTCAGTACCGACCGCGCCCGGCGAAGGATGTCAGTCGGACACACCGCCAGCCCCTCGTTCGCCTCGCGACCCTGTCGCGGGTCAGCGGGCCACCCAAGTGCGGGGTACCCATCAGCACCTGTCTGGTGCGCGAGGGATGCCGGGATGAGCGACGGTGGCGAGCTAGGCGCAGCGAGGCGCCCTACGCTCTCGCATCTTCGCCAGTTCCAGTCGTTCTGCGATTTTAGACGCAGGTCCGGGGCTCGGAGCCGCGGCCTGCCTCCTTGACATCTCAGCCAGCAGGCCCCCCCGCCCGCTCGCGATTGCCAGCGCGCGTGGGCCGGCGGGCGCATGTGGTGCCGGGCTGTGCGGCAGCGAGGCGCTCAGGCGGTCACAGGTGGGACCTCGGGCAGCCAACACGCTGCAGTTGACTTGCGATGCTGACGTGACAGTTGGGGGCTCGATGCGGGCCCGCAGAATGTCGCGGTGCCCTCGATGAGCCAGAGACCGCGCTTGACCACGGTTCCGCGGTCTCTGAGATATCTGGCCCTCTGGGTGCGGCCCAGCACGCAGCAGCAGCGGCGCCAGCATAGCGGCATGGTTTCAAAGTAGCTTTGTTTCGCGAAATTCAACCGAAGTCTACCACGACTGCTCTCGCGCTTGATCTCTCGTCACATGCACCAACTGCAGGCGCTTCTCGTTGCCTATGCAGACCACTTCGGCCACGCCCGCGCGCGCAGGCGCCGCCTCTCCCGAGCGCAGAAGCTATACGTGCGCGATTCTCCCTCCCAAGGCACCGGAGACGTAACGAGGCAGCACGAGGCCACGCAGTCGGCTATCTTCAGCGGTCGGGGCAATGCCGCGGCCCCTGCGGCCTTCCGAGGGCCCCTGCGACAGCGAGGATGCCCCCTCTGGCATGCCGGCATCCACGCGCAGCCACAGCGCGTTCGGCGGCCGGTACGCCTTTTCGTTCAGCGTACCCACGGCAGTGAATCCACGTCCGCGTAACGCTGCGGCACCCGCGGTCCCGCCCTCCCCGGGAACGCACACTTCCCCGCCAACCGACATCGAGGCACCTGCGCACGAGGAGCGTACCCCGGGCGGCGATGCAGCCCTCCGGGTCCCGAGACAGCTCGAGCACCCCGTGCCAGCAATGTGCTTGTTCCCGCCCGGCGCCCCGCCGTCGTCGATCGCCATCATGATCCCAGCCTACCGCGAGAGCCCAGAGGAGGTGCACTTGAGCCTGGATTCGTACACGGAGGAGCGCATGTCGCCGGACACGCGCGCGCGGCTCGAGCTCTTCGTGATCCTCGACGGACACGACGAGGCGGCCCCGGAGGAGGACAACGAGACGCTGATGACGATTCGGAGCCTGCTGATTGCGCGCGCGACGGCGGAGGTGGAGGTGGTCGACACGCCGTACTTCCGCGTGTACAGGACGCGGTACTGCGGGATACCCGCGGCGCTGTACATCAAGCGCGCCCTGCTCAAGCGCGGGAAGCGGTTTTCCCAGTTGTTCTTCTACGAGATGACGCAGTTGCGGCGCGAACTCGCTGGATTCGAACCCTTCGCTGTCTTCATGGTGCGATCCGTGCCCGACGTCGGACGAGCCGTCGCGTCCTCGCTTGCAGCGTGGGCCTCGGCTATCGCGGTGGTTGTCGTGACAATCTTTTTTAAGCGATGTGTTTGCCGCGCAGAGCGACTCGGACACGCAGCTGGCGCCAGGCGCGATCGAGCGCCTTGCGAACCATCTGCTGCGGGAGCCGAAGGTCGCTGCGGTGACGGGTCAGATGCTTCCGGCCAACGTGCGCGGGACGTGGGGTTCCGCGGCGCTGCCGTGGCCGCTGGCGAGGGGCGTCTCGTCACGCGCTGTCGTGAGCCAGTACTATGAGTACGCGTACAGGTACAGCCGATCGGAGCCAGGAGCGGCCGTGCGTGCCCGCGATATGAACATGTGCGTCTTCCTTCCACACAACCACACAAGGGCCCGCGATAGCAATGACTTCCTCGCGTCGACCTGAGTCTATGCAGTGCACTTGTGGACAAGCCTTTCGCGGCGGCGTGCGGGGCCGTTCTCGTGCTTCCGGGCGCGTTCAGCCTTCTGCGCTACGACAAAGTGCACGACTGCTGGCCCTGCTACAGCGCGCGGACCCGCGTCGGCGACCTGATTTCTCTGAACTGCCTCGAGCTGGGCGAGGACCGGTTCCTGACGACGTTGCTCCTCATGGCGGGCCACGAGACCTCGCACGAGGACGGCGCCATCGCCTTCACGCGCGTCCCCGAGACTTGGCCCGATCTCCTGGTCCAGCGCCGCCGGTGGTTCAACAGCGCGATCTCGAACGACGTGCTGCTCGTCTTCAACTGGCGCGTCCTCTGCCGTCTCGACAAATTCAAATGGCTGATCCACCTCTACATGCTGTTCAACTTCGTCAACGGCGTGTTCCTGCAGCCGGCGATGCTGCTGGCGCTCGTGTCCACCGCTGACCTGCCGCAGAGCTTCGAGATCCGCGGCCACGAGTTCAAGTACCGCAGCCACTGGACGTTCTGGCTCGACGTGCCGTACGGCCTGTGGTGCTACCTGCTGCTGTGCCTCACGCTCGTCGCCTTCGCCGTCGCGATGGTGCTGCACAAGACCATCCAGCGGACCTGGTCGGTCAACTTCGTCCTGGCGCCGGGCCTCGTGTTCGCCAACACAGTCGTGTTTTTCCTCAACATTTGGTGGCTGGTCAACGACTCCTCGCCGTCCGTGTTGATCTTCGCGACCGTCGCCATGGCGCTTCTGGTGGCGGTCCTCGTCGCGCGGCGCGGGCCAGAGACGCTGCCGATGCTCCTCGCGGCGTTCATGGTGCTCGTCGCCCACCACCCCCTGCTCACCCTGCTGGTGCCGGTGTACGGCTTCAGCGCCCTCAACAACGGTGAGGCCCGAGGGCGAAGTCGCTGCCCCTGCCTGCGCTCTCAGCTCCCGAAGCGTTCGCCGCACATCGCACGCATATGTCCCTGCAATGCTGCAGGTTCTTGGGGCACGCGCGAGACCGCAGCGGACCAGCTGCGACACGAGGCCGAATTGGCCGCGGAGCAGGCCGAGGCGGACGCCGCGAGGTCGATCGGGCGCGCGGTCATTCGGCAAGACCTTGAGTTTCAAACAGGACTTGAAAAACCCGCCTTTCGCCGGTCCGGCGTACAGAGCATGGCCGGTCGACCCGTCCCCGACGCCTTGTCTCCGAAGTCAGCTGCGACCGTCGGCACATTCCCCGGCGCACGGCGCCGCAAGGTCGACAACGCTGCTCGCCCTGCGGCGACGCCGGACGCCCTGGCAGCGCCGCCAGGGTACCGGGTGTCGACAACGGCGGTGTCCCTGTACTCTCACCTGATGCAGGAGCACCGATCGCGCCGCGCGACCATGACGGGCGCAGGCAGCACCGCGCGTGCTCCACGCGTGTCAGCGGTCACGGCCCCTGGTCCAGTTGTTCAGGACGTGCCACTGAGCGCACGCGTCCCGCAACAGGCGGTCCGCGCGTTCCAGCAGCCGTTCACGGCTGGAGCCGCCCTGCTGAGCGTCCAGGCGCCCCCTGACACCCCCCCCCTTCCCGTCAGACCCAGTCCCCTCGCACACGGCAGCGTGGCGTCGCCGGTCCGCCCGATGTTTCTCGCGGGAACCCCGACCGTCGGCACGCCCCTGCCCCAGATGCCCGAGCGCCAGGGCGAGGTCGAGAGCGACGCGGAAGACCCCCCCGCTGACTGGGCAGTCAATGACGCCACGTCGCGTCTCCTCTTCTGCCTGAACGAGCTCCCTGCCGAGGTGGCTCTCGCGGAGGTCGCAGCCGACTTCGTCCAGGACACGGGCGAGGGGGCCCGCGTGTCCCCGTCGGGCGTGCGGCTCCCCATCGCCCCCTCGGTGCCCTTTGCAACCATCGACAAAATTTGCAACCCACTCTACAAGGTCTCCGTGCAGACCCGCCGCTCGCTCGTCTTCGCGCTGTGGCTCAGCGCCATCATGTTCGCAGGCGCCGGCCTCGCTGTCTGGAAGCTCCGCGCCCAGAAGGACGCCGCCGAGGATGCGGGAAGAGCGGCAATCGACAGTACGTCGCCCCGAGCGCAGAACGTCGACCACGGCCCGTGTCAAGCACGAGATGTCGACAGAGCGCGACGTACCTAACGGGGACTCTCGTGTTCGTTGTGCGCGCGCAGGTCTGGCGTGGTTCCTCCTGGTGTTGTACGGGCCCGTGCCGAACGTCCTGAAGTCCATCATCGCGCTCGCGTGGGCGGGGGCGCGCGGCGGCGGCCGCGAAAACTTCTCGTGCTGGCGCTGGAGGCACGTCGAGCTCGACCTGGCAGGACTGGACAGGCACGCAGCGGAGAGGTGGGGGATGACTGTGGACGCGGCGCCGACGACGGACCGCGCCCCTGAGGCACGGGGCGCAGGGCCGGGGCAGCCACGGCCGTGAGCCATCGATCGGCGCGTGGCAGCCACGCACGCTCCCACTAATACCAGCCCTACGCCCCCATGTGAACATTGACGCGTTTCTTGTCCGGCGGGGCCTGCAGGGGGCGTCACAGGCCTCACGCGGTCACGTCAACACCCAGGCTGGTGGCCCACGGCACGATGGCGTCGAGCATCTCCTCGACCTCCTGCCGCTGCGGGTCCTGCAGCAGCCCGACCACCTCGCGCAGCGCCTCGTTGCGCTCCTTGCCCGCCGCCACCATCTGGCACACCCCCGCGACAGCCCCGCGCTTGCCCTCCCAGTACTCCGGGTTCGGGTCCAGCCGCTCGAGGACGTCGAACGCCTTGGCTGCACACACGTCCATGCGCCGGCGCAGGGTCAGAGAGGGCCCGTGGCGCGGTCGGGAAGCCAAGGTCGGGGACAAGGATCGTGGCAGGCGGGCTGGTTTGCGGGCGCGAGCGTGTGCCTGCGGGGGGGCGTGCGCGCCTGCGAAGAGGAAGTGTCCCATGCGGTAGCAGTCGTTGGCGATGAGCTGCAGGAGGTTGTACGCGTCGTCGGGGGTGTCGATCCGCTGGTACAGGTCCCAGGCCAGGTGCGGGCGGCCCTTCATGATGTGGCAGCGCGCGAGCCACGCGCGGTGGCAGTACTCGCGCCGCATGCCCTCGTCCTTGACCTTCTGCAGCAGCTCCGAGGCCTCGCCGTACTCCCCGACCGCGGCCTTCGCGAGGCCGTAGTTCCAGTTGAACGCGTCGTCGCGGTCGCTGTAGGGCTGGATGCTGTTGAGGTAGACTAGCACGTCCTCGAACTGCTGCAGGAGGAAGAAGGTGGAGGCCATGCACTGGCGGCCCGGGATGGTGTCGCACTCCGAGGGGCTCTGGCCGACGAGCTGGAAGCACTGCTGCGCGATGCGGAGGTGCTCGACGGCGCCGTTGTGCGCCTGCGCCAGCAGCGCGTGCGTGACGGCCTTGAGGATGTACTCCGTCGGCTGCGTCGGCTCGATGTCCTTGACGATCTTCGCGGCCTCGTCCACGTCGCCGTTGCGCAGGTGGTAGATGCACAGGTTCAGGGGGGCCTCCGGGGGGACGTCCCCGAGCTGACTCAGGACCTTGAGGCCGTTCTCGCCGCCGCGGAAGACGACGACGTTGTGCCGCGTGAGCGGGTTGTCCTCGAGCTTCGCGCCGCGCTTCCGCAGCACGTCGTACTCCGCCTCGGCGCGCGGTCCGTCGTAGAGCTTCAGCTGGTTGCACGCGCGCAGGTTCACCGCCGCGACGCTGTCCGGGTTGCTCGACAAATACACCCCGAGGATGTCCTGCGAGACGTCGAAGTAGTCGAGCTTGCTGTAGCACATCGCGACGTACACGTTCACCGCCACGTACTCCTTGCGCTCCAATAACAGGTTCTTGTACAGGTCGACCGCCTGCTGGTAGTGCCCGCGCATGAAGTGCACCGCCGCGAGCGACAGGTTGTCCTCCGTCGCCTCCGTCAGCTCCTTGTGGTACTTCATCACCGTCGCCTCCTCGCCCGCCTTGTTCGCGCAGTGCATGAGCAGCCTGCGGGGGGGCGGGGCGCGCGGACGAGGGCGTCTGGCGGGCGGACGGGGCGGCCTGGGTCGGGAGGGAGGGCGCGAGGGGCGCGGGGGCGTCTGCGCGCGGGCGGGGGGGCGCACCTGGTGCGCAGGGGGCACTTGAGGCCGCGCATGGCCGTCTCCTCGGCCTCGCGGTACCGCCCGAGGTAGTACAGGCAGCACCCGATGTAGATCTGGAGCATCTCCTGCTGCTTGGTGTCCACGCTCGGCATCTGCGGGGCGTCCAGGGGCCGTGGCAGCAGGTTGGCCCCACATCTGCACCCGCCCCCGGGCCGGGTGCGCACGATTCGCTCGGGAGGACAAGACCTCCCGCAGGATATCTTCGAGAGGGAGCTCGGACAGGCATCTGGGTCGCGCAGCGGGCCGGACACGGGCACAGGGCGAGCCACAGTGCTCTCGAGGATTTCTGCACCGGACGCCGCGCACACGTCCCGGACAGCGGCGCGCGGGCGTGTTGCTGACCTGGAGCAGCCTCTCGTAGCACTTGAGGGCCTTGTCGTGCTCCCCATTGTGGAAGTGGCAGTATGCAAGCCACTCCAAGGTCTCTTCCTCCGACCGCGCCTGGCCGAGCCGCTCGAACTCCAGCAGCGTCGCGGCGCCGGCGTAGTCACGCTTGGCCAGGAACTCGTCCAGCGTGGGCACCTCCTTCTCCTTGCTCTTCTCCACGGCGCGCTTCTGCTCGGCCGCGGCCTTGGCGCGCGCCCGGGACGGGATCATCGCGCCGCGCGAGCGGTCCTACGCGCGCCTCGAAGAAACGCGGTGCCCGCTCTGATCTGTCGCCGCGCGGCTGCCCCGTGACGGCGCGGAAACGCCCCGTTCGCGGCCCAGGCGACCGCAAAGCCGGCTCGCAGGCTCCGCTTGAATGTGTGTGCTCGAAAGCGAGCGGTATTCCGCGAGTGTTGCGGCGCAGGGCGGGTGGTTCCGGTGGTGCGAGCGACGGAGAGCGCGCTCGCGGGCGGAGGGGGCGCACGGGGGCCGGTGGCCGCCGTAATCGACGTGCGAGTCCGGCCGAGTCTGTGGGGCCGGGAACGGCGCTCCGGAAGGCACGGGCTGGCGAATCGCGAAGAATGTGGACTCGTCGGTGCGGTTGACGCCGGCCTCGGCGCCCGAAGACGCCGGCGCGCTGCGCGTCGCCGCGCAGTCCCCCATCTGACGTGAGTCGACGGCCCCTGCGCGACCCCGCCTCTACAGGGCGCGATAGGTCCGCGCCGGCGCCGTCCACGCACATTCGCCCGCCCGCCATCCCGCTGAACGCGCCGCAATCGTGTTTCGCAATCCGCATACCGCGCGCTCGCCCAGTCGCGCACGTCCCTTCTCGGCCTCGCGCCTGCGCTCGACGCAGCCGTAGCGAAGGATCTCGCGGGGCGCACCAGCTTCCTGAGCACTCGACGCGCGGACACGACCAGCGCCATGATCTCCCGGGCCCTCAACGCGGCCCCGCAGCGCGTCTCTGCGCCCGCTAATCCCCGTGCGAGGGCCGCCCCGAGCGCACGCCCGGGCCGCAATGCCCGCGCCGCCCGGCCGCGCGGCCTCACCATCGTTGCCTACCAGGTGCGCGCCCCCAGCCGCCGCGTCGACGTCGCACCGCCGCTGCGCTCCCTCAACCACCTCCCCCAGTCAGCAGCCCGCGGTCCGCCGTCGTCCGGGGCCCAGCCGCCGCCGCCGCCCCCTCCTGCCCTCCACCTGTCCCCGCCACGCCCCGCAACCACTCAATACCCCCCCATGCCGCCCTACCGCGTCCAGCGCGGCGACCTCTAGGTCCAACCGTCGCCCGTCTGCGTTCGCGCCGTTCTCCGCGGCCTCGCGGCCGATCGTCACGTTTCTCGCTCCGACGGATCCTCCGCTCGCAGGACCCCGAGACGCGCGACACCATGCCGCCCAGCCGCGCGCCCTCGCGCACGGAGCTGGCCGCGCTGCAGGCCTTCACTACGGTGCTCTGTGACGAGGTGCCGCTGACGCGCCAGACGAACGCCGCGGCCGTGACGCCCAGCATCCTCATGGCGGTCGTCGAGAACCCCACCGCGCCCGGCCACTTCAAGTCCGCCGTCACGCAGGCGCGCCTTCCGCCCCCGCACAACTGCTCAACTGCCGCGCCACGCGCGCAGGGGCGACGCCGCGCCGCTCGATGCCCGCGACGTCCGCGGCGCCCTCCAGTGACCGCGAGTACCCCGCACTGCGCCAACGAGGCGCCCGCTCGCCCGCCCCGGGGCGGAGAGGCGAACCCTACGCTGCGTGCATGGCCCTGCTGCCCCTCACGGAGCTCCGCGGGTGCGCGGTTGGTTGTGCAGAGCCTGGCGACGCCGAACAAGGCGCCCGGGTACGAGAAGATCGACCCCGAGCTGGCGCGCGCGGACCGCGGGATGGTTGCCCTGGCTGGCGTGCTCTTGAACAACGTCGACGGCAAGATCTCCGCCGACGTCAACTGCGTGCAGTGCGGTAAGCAGCACGCCCCGCAGCCACCCACGTCCCTGACAATCAGTCGCAGCGCGTCTCGCAGTGCTGGTTCCAGCGGGCCCTCTGCCGGCGCAGAGAGAGCACCATGCAGACACTCGTCGCCGCCGCGGACGTCGAGCAGCTGCACGCTGGAGCTGCTTCCGGGCATGTCTTGGCCGCAGAAGCGGGTGATGGCCCTAGCTCGTGTCGAACGTCGGCCGTGCCACGCCGTTGGCTGCGTTCAGCGCGGTCCGGGCCTACACTCACTTCTGCGACGAGGACATGCCCGGAGGTGGCTCTGCGGAGCGGCTGCTCGCCAGCAGTTCTGACGTGCGCGGCTTCAACGCGCGTACCGCGCGACCGAGGTTGTCGCTGAGATGTGTCGGTTGCGTTCCGACGTGCCCGGCCGCCCGCGCCCCGCCCGCCGCAGACAACGAGGACGACATCGTGGAGCACGCCCTCCTGCTGGCCTCGCTGTTCGAGCAGCACGGCATCCCGAAGTCGAAGCTCATCTTCCGCATCCCGGGCACCTGGGCCGGCATCCAGGCCGCCGGGAAGCTCGAGCGCAGCCACGACCTCACGACCTGCATCGTCTTCGTGCACACCTTCGCCCAGGCGCGCGCCGCCGCGCAGGCCGGCGTCTCCCTGGTCCAGGTCAACAAGGGGCGCATCTCGTCGTGGTTCAAGCAGAACCCGGGCGTCATCCGCGACCCCTCCGGCCCGCGCGAGGACTCCGGCGCCGTGCACGGCGCCCTCCCCGCCGGCCTCGTCCGCGAGGACGACCCCGGTCTGCGCACCGTTGCGAAGATTTACAACTACCTCGCGCGCGCCGCTCCGCGGACGCAGCTGATCGTGTCGGGCATCCGGAAGAAGGCGGACGTGTTCGCGATCGCGGGCGTGCCGTACGTGGTGTGCCCGGACCGCGTGCTGCGGGAGCTGCGGGGCGCGGCGACGGTCGACGGGTACAACGACGGGCTGCACGGGGGCGACGCTGCGCCGGGCGTGAAGCGCGTGCTGTCGCCGGAGGGCGCGAAGGCGGTGCGGTTCCGCGACGCGGAGATGGTGCCGTTCTCGGAGAAGGAGTTCGACGCGGAGTTGAAGAAGAGCGTCGTGGGCGCGCAGCTCCTGCGGGAGTGCATGCAGCGCCGCGAAATGAACCTCGCGCAGCTGCGGCCGCTGATGTCCGGCCTCGTCGTCGGGTCCGAGTAGCCGCGCGGCGCTGCGTAGCGTGCAGCCGGTCTGTAATGACCGCGGGACGCGTTCCTGTGTCGCCGTGGGTGGACCCTGAGCGCCCCCATGCTGATGCGCACAGCCGTGCACGTGCGAGCCTCAACGAGCCACTCGTGATCGCGGCGCGACGCTTCCTTTCACGCGAGTACGCCTGGAACGAAGCTGCCCCGATCGGGACGATGGCACACCTGCATGCCGCAACTCGCGCAGATAAAAAAAAAAAACATACTACTTTGGCGACGAACGGTGTGTGACGTCGATCAGTAACACAACGCGCTGCTTGCTCGTGCGCGCCTACTGCCCGTCGAGCCGCGCGACCGCCCGCCAGCCGATGTCCCGCCGGCAGAACCCGTCCTCCCAGTCGATTTGATCCACCGCAGCGTACGCCCTCTCCTGCGCCTCCCTCGCGTCCCTCCCGCTGGCCGTGACGCTCAGCACCCGCCCCCCCGCAGCCACGATGCCGCCGTCCTCGCCCTCCGCGGTGCCGGCGTGGAACACCTTGGCGCCCGTCACGCCGTCGAGGCCCAGAATCGGGGTCCCCTTTTTGTACGACCCCGGGTACCCCTTGGCGGCCATGACAACAGTCAGCGCCGTGTCGGGCGACGCCTCGACGGTGATCTCGCCGAGCTGGGACCCGCACGCGCGCACCAGGACGTCGCACAGGTCCGACTGCAGCCGCGTGAGCAGCACCTGGCACTCGGGGTCGCCAAACCGCACGTTGAACTCCACCAGTCGCGGCGCGCCCGTGTCGTCGATCATGAGACCCACGAACAACACGCCCCTGCAGCACACAGCGCGGGAAAGACGCGTGAGTACGCGCGCGCTGCGAAACGGCGGGGCGGGTCGCGCACACAACTGCTACAAGTGTGTGTGTGTGGCTCTTACTTGTAGGGGCAGCCTGCGTCGGCCATGCCCTTGACGAGCGGCCGCACGATCTCCGCCATCACGCGCTCCTCGATCTCCGGCGTCATCACGGGCGCGGGCGAGTACGCCCCCATGCCTCCGGTGTTGGGCCCCTTGTCGCCGTCGTACGCGGGCTTGTGGTCCTGCGCCGACATGAACGCGATCGCGTCCGACCCGTCGCACAGCGCGAAGAACGACGCCTCCTCGCCGCTCAAAAAGTCCTCGACCACGACCTGCGAGCCCGCGTCTCCGTACACCTTGTCGACCATCATGGCGTCCACCGCCCCCAGGGCCTCCTCGACCGTCATGGCCACCGTGACGCCCTTGCCCGCGGCGAGGCCCGACGTCTTGATCACGATCGGCGCGCCGCGCTCGCGGATGTACGCCTTCGCCGCGTCCGGGGACGTGAACACCTCGTACGCTGCCGTCGGGATGTTGGCCGCCTTGCAGATGTCCTGCGCGGCCAGGGGGGGCTGAGCAGCTGGCGTTGCGCGGCGCGCTTATCCAAGGCGACGTCTGGTAGCGGCCGGGGGAGAAGGGGGACGAGGGCGAGGAAGGTATTCGGGAAAACATGACTGCGGACGAGCTTCATGTACCTTCATGAAGGCTTTGCTTCCCTCGAGGCGAGCGGCGGCCTTGCTGGGGCCGAACACGGGGATGTTGGCGGCGTCGAGCGCGTCGGCCATGCCGTCGACGAGCGGCGCCTCGGGCCCGATGACCACCAGGCCGATGTCGTTGGCGCGGCAGAAGGCGGCCACGGAGTCGTGGCTGTTGATGTCGAGGCCCGGAACGACGGTGACGTCGTCCTCCTGCGCGATTCCTGCGTTTCCTGGCGCACAGAAGACGAACCCGGACGACGGGGACGCGGCGAGGCGCCAGCTCAGCGCATGTTCCCGGCCGCCGCCCCCCACGACGAGGACGTTCGTGGGCTTCGCGTCGCCGCCAGCGGCAGCGGATGCCCGGACGCGCATGCTCCTCCCCGACGCCGTCCGAGAGGGCCGGTGCATTGCGGCGCGCCTGCGGACCAGGGGCACGGGGACGGCGAGGAGGACGTCAGAGATGCATTCGTGGGGCGCTGCGGCTCACGTTCGCGCCATCGTCGAAGTCCGGTGGCTCGAGACGAACCTGAGAAGCACGACATCCCGGTGGATATTGGCTCGCGGAGCGCAAGCGGCGAGCGAGGGCCTGCACGCGGGCTGGAGGGCCGGAGCGGCAACCAGCGCGGCGCCGGCCATGGCTGTCATGTTCGAGGCGCGTTCGCCGTCGCGGAAGCCTCCCAAGAGCGTCAGGCTGCAGGAGCGTCGTGGCAGGGCAGTCCAATGGGGCGCGCTGTCCGTGGCGGTACAAGAGCCAATCCCGAGGAGTCTGTCATACAGAACGTCGGCGCTCCACGTTGATATCGGGCCTCGGCGACTCCGACATCCTTCAGTGCCCCCGCGGCTCCACGTGTCGTCCAAACGAGTGAGGCGCTGTGTTCTTCGCCATGCGAGCCCTTACCTGGAGCGCCGGGCAGCTGCTCGTGCAGCCACGCGTGAGCCACTCAGCCACACATGGTCGGGCGAGGGCGCGCCTATCACACAATATGAGTCTCGCGGCGCGAGTGCGCGGCGCTGCTGTCCCCTCAGGCGCCGAGGAGGGACCAGAAGAGGCTGTGCTGGATCCTCTGGGCGCCGCAACGGCGCCCATCGAGGACGCCGGGCCTTGCCCTGGCTCGGCACGCACGCTTCAAGACCGTCTCGAGTCGTCAGACTTGCCCTGGATGCCAGCGTACGCAGTTCCAGGCGACACGGGCGCCCCGTCCGAGGAAACCCTCCGCGTGGCCTCCGACGTGCAAATGAAGCTAGGCGACTGGAACGCGCGCGGAGGGGAGATCTACGCGAAGGTGTTCGACTCCTGGGCGCGCGAGCTGAAGCAGCTGCCGCGCGTCGAGGCCTCTGTCGAGCGCTGCACCGCCACCGACGCGGGCGAGCTCGTCGCGCGATGGCGCGTGACCTGGACGCCCGCGTCGCTCCTCTGGCTCGAGAGCCTCGGGGAAGCGATGGGCTGGGAGCTCGACAGGTGGCCGCGACGCAGCCCGCCCGCCCCGCGGCACATGCACGTCGCGTGTGCGCAACAGGCGCGCGCTGCAAGCAGACCTGGACACGCGCCGCTCTCTCAACGCACCGCAGGCGCGACGTCCTGGACAACATCAGCAAGGTCTCGCAGTTCTCCTGGCGCGCGCTCTTCAAGCTGCTGGGCACTGCGTATGCCACGGGCAAGCTGCGCGTGCCCATCGCGGCCGTCACGGGCGCGACGCGGGTCGCGGTGCGCGGCGACGACAGCGCCGTCACGTCCGTGCGCGCCAGCATCGACCAGGTCGACGCCCTGCTGTCAGGCCGCCTGCGCAACCGCCGCATCGGCCGCGACCTGCAGGCCTTCCTGGACGTGCTGTGGGTGTCCGGCGTGGGCATGGAGCAGCTCGAGCCGCTCGACTTCTCGAACGTGCCGGGGATGGGCCAGTTCGACATCGACGGGCTCGACGCGCAGCAGCGCGGGCAGGCCATCGAGGACGTTTCCGCGTTCCTGTTCGTGGCCACCGCGGCGGTCCTCGTGTTCGGGGTCGGGGTCGCGGGGCTGTACCTGCAGCACCTGAGCCAGGAGCGCGCGCTCAACGAGATCCTCGCATCAGGGATGTGACGTTTCGATCGTGACACGTATATTTTGTTTCGAGGCGCCGGCATCGACGCAGGACTGTTCCGTGCGCGGCACGGCAGGTGCCCTGATCCGCTGGGCAGCGGATGTCGTCCAACGCCCAGGAGCCGCGCACTCAGCCACCCCGTTGTTTCCTCAGTAGAACATTCGCAGTCTTGTTGCCCGGGCGCCTTGAGGTTCCGCGGGGTGCGGGCGCGCTCAGATCCTGGGCCAGGCATCCGGATGGTACGGGGTGTTGCACAGGGGAGGCAGTGGGCGAGCACTGCGATGTGGGTGATCCGCGGCGGGGGCAAGCCTCCAGGAGGAGGAGGGAACCGGGCCGCGCACGGGCACCGCCGCGTGTCGTCCTCGCCGCGTGCGGGCTCGAACTTCGCCGCGCTCTCGCACGGCGCGTCAGCGATTAAGTCGGGGCTCGGGGTCGCGATGGGCCTGTTCGCCACGGGCGCGGCTGTGGCAGCAACAGGGAACAGTGGGGCCTCCGCGCCGTCGCCGGAAGAGCGTGAGGCGCGGGCCACGGGCCCCCTGCCGAAGGGGCTCGAGAAGCTGAAGGCGATGTCGAACGAGCAGAAGCATCCGAGCTGTCTCTGGGACACGCCGTGGCTGTCTCGGCTGGTCAGCGCCCAGGACAGCATCATCGTCGAGGGCGGCGGGGCAGCGAAGGAGGTGGCGAACCTCCCTGGCGCCGACGACCACATGGTGCGTTCTGCGCTGCCGGGGGCGTCCCGGGGCGTTCGCAGCGACAGGGGACGCCACGCCACGCGGTCGAACACCCGCGCTGCACTCACTCACCGGGCTACGCTGACGCCCACGAGCCATCGTTCGCGTAATCCGGCCACGTATACACCCACCACTATCTGAGGCACTGCTCCATTGCTCCAGCGTGCCGTGCCAGTCGCGCGCCAAGCAGCTTGGCCGCCCAGCCTGTGTCGCCGCGGCATCTCGCCTCCGCCGCCCGCCTTCCGCGCCGCGCCATCTGCTCTGACTGCCGCCCCGTCGCACCCCTGTCCCGCAGTTCCTCGCCATGAAGCGTTCCGGGCAGCTGCGGTCCTACACGTGCATCTACGAGCGCAGCGCGGGCCGCTACCACACAGTGTTCGACCTCGGCGGCGAGGTGTGCGGGTTCCCGTCCGTCGTCCATGGCGGCCTGAGTGCGAGCATCTGCGACGAGACCCTCGGCGGCCTCCTCTTCGCCCTCAAGATGGAGGGCGACCTGCCGCGGGGTCCTGCCTTCACTGCGCGCTTGGAGGTCGACTACCGCAAGCGGGTGCGCGCCGCAGGTTCAGCAACCGGTTCATTGCCTCGCGGGTGCCATGAGGTCGGCGCCTGCGTGAGGGAGCGAGCTTCCGAGGCTCCTCCCGCCGCGTCGCGGGACGTGTGCTGACTTGCTGCGGAAGTGGCTGCCTGCAGGTGCCGGCGGAGTCGCTGGTGGTGTGCACGGCGGAGCTGATCGAGGTGGATGGGAGGAAGGTGTGGATGAAGTGCGCGCTGCACGACGGGAACGGTCCGGGCGAGGGCGAGGGGAAAGTGTTTGTGGAGGGCAAGGCGCTGTTTGTGCACCCGCGGACGGACAAGATGGTCAAGGAGGCTGTCAAGATGGGCCCGAAGATCGTGGCGGGCTACGTCGCGGACAAGCTCGGCGGCGGTCGGTAGCGACGCCTGCTCGCGCCACGGCAGCGCACGCGTGCCATCGCGAACCCCACGCGTGGCGGCGCCAGGTGTGCCGCGCAGCTCCGCATCTGCGGGCGCTAGGATCGCCCGCAGCACATATTCCGAACCGATGACGGATTCTTCACCCCAACGCACCCTCGTCGACAGACGCACGCGGGCGCCGTGTAATGACGCGACGAACGGCGGCCTAGCGCGTTTCTCCGCGCTCGCGCCTCGCGCCACCTATCGCACAAGGCGTTCCGCGCGGAGAGCCGCTCCGCCGCGACCGGGTGCGGTCGCCCGTCGCCGGGGGGTGTCGGGGCAACAGGACTCCGGAGCGGCGTGTGCCTGCCTGCGGCTACTGTGCGGCTCGGAGGACGTCGCGGGCGCGACTGTCGCGATCGCTGCTCGGAGCGTGTCGAAAGCATCGGGCCTTTGTTGGCTTCGGTGGCCTGTCGGGCGGTGGCGGATCCAGTGCGGTTGCATCCATGGCTCAGTCGGTCGGGTGCCGCGCCGCGATCGCGGACGTGCGCGCTGGCAGGACGGTTCAGGCTAGGCCGTTGACGTCCGGGACGGCGTTGAGGGCGAGGAGGCAGCGGAGCTGGGTTGGGGCGCGGGCGCAGAGCCTGGAGAGCTCAGCGGAGGTGGAGGTCAATGTGCCGATCGAGGAGGCGTTTAAGATGTGGGAGGACCGAGAGGACATTCCGAGCTGGATGCCGTGGATCCATGAGGTGCGCACCGCCTCGACGTCCCGCGCGTTATCGCCTCGACAAGAGGCAGATGGCTGTTCGCCACGCGCGGCGCTGGTTCGCGACGATGAGGCCTCAACAGGCGCCGCGCGGAGGCACAGATAGCTGCTGATCGCTGGGCGGTGCGAGGAGCGACTTCATGCCCCCCTCGCGCCGCATTCGAGGAAGATTTGGGGGGCCGCGCGGTAGAGGGCGAGCGCCCGCGCGAGTCGACGCGAGCCAACGCGCCCGCGGCACCCACGCACGCAGGTCAAGGTCGATGAGAGCGACGAGTCCCTGTCGCGCTGGATCCTGCGGACCCACCAGTTCGGGCGAGACTGGGAGCTGTCGTGGCTGGCCAAGAACCTACACCCAGTGCCTCTGCAAAAGATTCACTGGCGCTCGGTTCCAGGGTCGATGAGCATCGGCATCGAGGTCCCGAACAGGTGCGCGCGTGCTCCGTCGCGCCCCTGGACACCGCGAGCAGACGATCATGTCTTGCAGTTGTGGCTCATGCAGTTGTTGCTCTCCCGCACGGCTGCTCGACGCGGACGCCGCGGATGCCGCCACCGGCTGACCGCTACCAGCGCCCTGGCTGTGCCGCGGTGCAGGGGCCAGGTGCGCTTCGCCAAACGGCCAAACGGGTGCTTGGTGGGCCTCAGCATCCAGTACGAGGTGCCCTCGCCGCTGGCGCCGTTCGCGAACGCGCTGACGCCGCTCGTGAACAGCATTCTGCTCGCAGACATGGAGCGCTTCCGGGACAAGGCGCAAAGGCTCCACGCGCAGCAGGAGAGCGTTTGACAGCATATGTGACTTACTATCAACCGCTGACTTCGCCCCGCGCACCCACGCGGCCATACTCACGCCCGGCGGGAACCTCCAGCTCCCTCGCGCCCGGCGTGCTCGCCTCGAGAGGCGTGCGCGACGGGGATGACGTTGAGGGGGGGGTTTTGGTAGGGACTGTGTTGAGTACCCTTGCGCCCCTTCGCGTCAAGGCCAGGCCCGTGCAAGGGACGACGCGAGGCTCCCGGCTGCCCCCTGCGCGCCATCGCGCCCTCCGTTGCAGCCTGGTGTCGGCTTCCACGACATCAAGCGGCACCTTTCCAAGGCATGGTTAGGTCTGCCACGTAGGCGAGACTTCCACGTAGGCCCGAGACTCCACGAGCGGTGGACGAGGAGGACATACGTAAAAGAGCACGCCGTGGGCATTGGTAGCGCGAGGTGTCCGCGAGGCAGGCTGGGCGGCCTCGTTGGCAGGGCATGAAGCAATCGGCCTCCAGCGAGCAACCACAACCGCAACACCGCCCCGCACACACGTACTCGCCTCTCGAGATGGAGGAGGGGCGTGTGGGCGTGCCGTCGCCGCGGCAGGCGGGCAAGCGCGAAGTCTGGACGGACACCTCAGGCGGCATGCTTGCCCTGCTCGTTGGCGCCGTCGTCGGGACGGGCTGGACGTACGGCGTGGTTCTCAGGGGTCTCGGTCTGGAATACACCCTGGTCTTCGCGGTCTTCTTCGCGCTCATACCCACGAGCCTCGTCATGCTGAGGATCACCGACCCTGGCAGCCTCCAGCCCAACGCCACGTCCGACCCCGTGATCGCCACGCTGCACGACATCGAGGAGCGGCAGCGCCTCGAACGCGGGAACGGTTCCACGGGTGCGGCCCCTCGCACCGCCGCTCCTCCGGACCAACCGCCACACCACCATGGTCCGCCCGACGTCACGTCACGCCCGCCCGCACCCGCTCTCGCAGGCGGTGTCCCGCCGGCAGGCTTGGCCGGCGGGACGCACACGAGTCCCCACGCGTCGGGCTACACCGGCCGCGTGTACCTTCTGTCCGGCGACGTCGTAGTCGACGGAAAGACATACTTCCGCGATCGCAAGGGTCAGTGGGCTCGCAGCACGACCGGCGGGCACGACGGCGCGGAGCGGTACTGCGCCACGTGCCACCTGTGGCGTACGAAGGGCGTGTCGCACTGCAGCGCGTGCGGGTTCTGTTTCCGGGGGTTCGACCACCACTGTGGCGTGATCGGCGTGTGTGTGGCCGCAGACAACCACCGGTGGTTCTCGCTGCTGCTGCTGGCGGGCGCCGGGTGCTCGCTGATGTCCTGCGTCGGCGCGATCGTGCGGATCGCGCACGACTTCGACGGTGCGTCCCGCGCGCTGCGCCGCGCTCGTGCGAGCTGGGCGTGCCGCGGCGCGCGGGAGCGTGCGCATCTGTGGCGCGGACGACATGCTTGACCTTGTCAAGAGGACCGTGGCGTGTTCCGTTGTTGTGCTCGCAGGTTGGGAGGGGTGGGAAATATACTTGTGGATTCTAACGATACTGACAATGGGATACATTGGGCTGTCGCTGCTGCTGTTCGCGGTCGTGCACGTGACGTTCATGGTGTGCGGCGCGACGACGAAGTCGTGCTCGTTCGGGGAGGACGGCGACTGCAGGCAACACCCTCCCTGCATGCCCTGGGGCGATCGTTCCCCCGCCCGGCTCGCGGCCATCGTGCTGCGTAGGTGCTTCGCTCCGGTGCGCGCGCGGCGACGATAGCGGCGCCGCGGCCGTGTGATGCGCCGGATCGACACCCCCCGCATGCTGGTGGACCTCGGGCGAGGGGACAGTTCCAACACACAGCGAGAGGACACGAACACCGACACTCCACGATGCAGCGTGCGTGTTGACGGCAAGGGCACGAAGTCTGTGCAGCAGCGAAGGCCGGCATCGGCACGCAGTACGCAAGCAGCGACCGGCCGGTCGCCACAAGCCGCGCCTCGCGAACCGACCTCCGCGGCGAGGGGCGTGGAGTAATTGAACGGCGACTACACCAGACCGTGCGACGAGCCGCGCGACAGTACAGGACGTCACAGCGGCGCCACGCAGGCGCGCGGCCAGCACCTTGCGCGCGCCCGCCCGCGGTCCCCGCGCTCCGCGCCTACTTACTTGTTCACGACCGTGTCGAGCAGCATGCGCGCGACGGTGTACGGGTTGACGTTGGCCGACGGGCGGCGGTCCTCGAGGTAGCCGTAGCCCTTGAGCGACACGGGCAGCGGGATGCGGATCGACGACCCGCGGTCGGCCACGCCCGAGCGGAAGGTGTTGATGTCGCACGTCTCGTGCTTGCCCGTCAGGCGGCGCTCGTTGCCGGACCCGTAGGCCGCGACGTGCTCGGCGTGGCGCTTCGACAGCTTCTCGACGGCCTCCTCGATGGCCTTCATGCCGCCGGGCTTGCGCATGCTCTCGGTGGAGAAGTTCGTGTGCGCGCCGGTGCCGTTCCAGTCGCCCGGCATGGGCTTGGGGTCGAGCGTGCACGCGATGTCGAACTCCTCGCCGATGCGGTAGAGCAGCCAGCGCGCCACCATCACGTGGTCGCCGACCTCGAGCGGCGGCGACGGGCCGACCTGGAACTCCCACTGCCCGGGCATCACCTCAGCGTTGATGCCCGAGAGGTTCAGGCCGGCCTTGAGGCACGCGTCCAGGTGCGCCTCGGCCAGCTCGCGGCCGTACACCGACTCCGAGCCCACGCCGCAGTAGAACGGGCCCTGCGGCGCGGGGTACCCGCCCTCGGGGAACCCGTACACGCGCGAGGTCTTGCCGTCCATCATGGTGTACTCCTGCTCGAAGCCGTAGAGCGGCTTCTCCGCCTCGGTCTTCTCGTTCATGATGGCGCGCAGCTTGGCGCGCTCGTTGGTCGGGCAGGGCGTCTCGTTGTCCGAGCAGAAGACCTCGCACATGACGAGGACGCTGTCGTCGCCGCGGATGGGGTCCGGGCACACGAACACGGGCTTGAGGACCATGTCGGAGTTGTTGCCCTCAGCCTGGCCCGTGGAGGAGCCGTCGTACGACCACTCGGGGAAGTCCGCGGGGTTCATCGAGGTGACGGGCGTCGGCATGACCTTGGTCTTCGAGCGCATCTCGTTGAAGATGAGGCCCTGCGCGCCGGAGCGAGGCGGTGGGAGGGAGCGGTGGGTGGAGCGGCGGGACGCGGGCGCACGCGGGGGGCGGGGGGTCGCGCGGGGCAATGCGGGGGCTGCCGGGCTCGGTGGTGGTGGATCGGGCGGGAATGGGGCGGGGCGGCGGGCTGGTGGCGGCGAGGGGGGGCGGGAGGCACGCCAGGGAGGGGAGCGGGCGCGCCGACGCCGTGCGAGCGCTCGGGGGGGATCCGACGTGGCGCGGGGCCGAGGCGAGAGCGAATCATGGCTTTCGCGGTCTTGGAGCGGCGGACATTGCGCGCAGAGAGCCGCAAGGTCGGTAGTTGGTCTCGTAAGGGTGAAGGCCCGCGCGGCTCGGTGGGTCCGGAACTCACCTTCTCCTCGGAGCCCTCGGCGCCATCGTACCAAATGTACTCGCACTTCTGCGCCAGAGCGTTCACGCGGCACACCAGCATGCGGCGACCAGCCTGCGTTGCCACCGAACAGGAGCGCACGGGAGCGCGTCACGCAGCTGGCCAGCGGGGTCGTCAGTCGCATCGCGCTGACTGCTCGGACGAGGCAGGACGCAAATACACGCGTGGTGACCACGATCGACGTAGCGTACCGAGCGGTTGGCCGACGCCTTGTGGGCGACGCGAGCGCCGGCGAAGCCGGAGGCCTGCAGATCCATGAGGGACACGAAAACGATTCAGTTCGATTCAATCATTCGTGCGACGCGGCCGAACATCCCGTGCGAGATTCCAGGGCGACGGAGCAGCGGAAAACAGGGCACGGCGCAGTAACGGGGCACTCACGCGCATGGTGGGAGCCTTCATGCCGATCATCCTGTCTGTGTTGCCTGACTGTCCAGAGAACGCCGCGAGGAGCGTCATGCCGCCCCTATATAGCGCGCGGGCGCGACGTACGGGGGGGACACACTGGGGCGTGATGCTGACGTTGCGCCGGCGCAGCCGGCCCGCCCTCCCCGGGCAGAGATCCTCGACACCAGCAAGCGTCAGGCCACTCCCGATCGGCGGCAGCGGACCGCGCGCCAAGGCGGCCCCTCAACGCCGTGTAACCGCCACAGCAGGGTAGCGATCGAGCCGGACTTCTAGCGGCGCCCGCAGCGCCGGACCGCAACCGAATCGCTCGTCCGTGCGGCCACGAGCCCCTCACCTGCCGCCTCGCCGTTCGATGGGGTCGTCAGGGAGCAGCCTGCGCGGAGCGGGCACCGCAGCGATCCGCCGCGCAGCGCCACCCTCGGGCGCTGCGCGGGCCCCGAAAGCGGAACCGCCCGTCCCTTCCGGAGCGAGCGACGCAGCCCTGCGCACCGCAGCGCCGCCGTCGACGGACGCGAGGGGCCTGGCGCCGCGACCGCAGGACGGGCACTACCTTGCGGAGCGCGACCACAAGCTCGACGAGCACCTCCGCGTCGTTCAGTCGGCGATCAAGGACCGCTACGCGCCCACCGTCGATCTCAAGGTGCGCACCGACCTCGTCCGGTCCGTTGCGGGGCGTCCCTGCTCGCACAAGGATGCTCGCGCGCACAAACCTGCGCACGCTGCGGACTGCGCGGTGGCGCGGTAGCCGGCGGGCTCGTCGCGCGCGACGTCGCTCCGAGCCGCGTCCTCGGGCGCTGCCTCGCCTCAGACGGTGCGCGGCGCGTGCGTTGCCCGTCGGAGCTCGCAGGCGTACGAGGAGGGTCTTGTTCTGAAACAAGGCCTCAAGGCGCGGCGTGCGCAGGAGAACGCCGAACGCCTGTCCGCGACCGATGCGATGCGGCTCATGCAGGTGCGCGCCCCCGCGCCACGGCCGGCAGCCGCGCTGCGAACGCCATGCGCAGCCGACGCACGCCACTGCCTCGGCGGCGACCGTGGGTGACCTGACGCGACCGCAGGAGCTGAGGGCCTTCCAGATCGAGCACGCGGAGGCGCTGGCGGCGCGACGCGCGTCGCAGCTGCAGGGCGGGGCCGACGCGACGCCGTCAGCGCCCCCAGAAGCGGTGAAACGAGACCTGGAGCGCATCGCGGGGGAGTTCGGCGTGCCCCCGAGGATGCTCGCGGACGTCGCGACGTGGCTCCAGCAGGCCGCGCCGCGGCACGCGAGGGCCCCGAAAGTGTGAGGTTGCGCCCCTGCAAGCTGACGCCGCCGCGCGCTCGTGAGCGCAGGCCCTCCGCCAGTCGCACGACTGCGCCGCCCACCTCGGCGCGTACCTGCCTTCCCGGCCCTCGTCGCGAGCCGCATGCAAGACCAACTGAGTTTCTCGCCGTCGTCCCCAGCCGCCCCTCACCGGCCACCTCGTGAGACACGAGCTGCGCGCCTCTGTGCGCCGCAGTCGCAGCAGCTGGCACGTTCCTCACACCGACAGCTCACCACGGCGCCGCCCACCGCGGCGTGCCCGGCTCAGTAGGCCACACTGATCATCTCCACGTAAACCTCGATCCCTGAGTCAGGCGGCACCAGGCACTTCTCCTTCCTCCCCAGCAGGCACGCGATGCCGTTGCCCCCGTGCGCGACCTCCGCCGGCACGCGCACCACCCGCCGCCCCCCCTCTTTCATGGGCGGCATTCCCTCGCAGCCCAGGATCGCGACGTCCAGGCCCTTGGCCGCGCGCAGGTTGATGTCGCCGTCCTCGCTGTCGATCGGGTACGTGTAGCCCTTCTTGCTGTCGTACGTGCGCTCGTTCTCGATCCCCCGCGCCACCGTCGTCACCTTGACACCCCCCCCAGACTCGCCTTCCAGCCCTGCAGGCACGCCAGAAGGACATCGACTCATCCGTCATCTCGACGGCGGTACGCTGCGAAGCCGCGCGACCACCCCCGCCACGACATCCTGCGCTACGCAAACTAATCATCGCCGCCCTCTGGATTTCCGGTTTCAGGTCCGGCAACGCCGCCAGGGCGCCGCGTCGCGGCGGGCCGGGTACGGACTCACCGGTTCCGACGGCGAGGTCGCAGAACTGCACCGTCGACCCCTCGTACGTCGCGTCCACAAGCTTCGTGCACCCGTAGGTCTCCGTGAGGGGTTTCGAGCGCGCGTACGCCCGTCCGGAGTTGATCGTCGAGTCGTCGACCTTCGCACGCCGCGCGGGCGCGGCGGGGGGGCGTGCGGCGAGGAGCGCGAGGGGCGCAGCGAGCAGCACCGCGCGGCGGCCAGCGCCTGCAGGTGCAGTGGTGCTGAGGCCGATGAGCGCGATGCGGTCACGTGCGCGCGTTTTTCTGTGGGGAGAACGAGTGACTGTGCGTGTCCTTGCCTGCCAGGGTCGGTTCGGGCGCTCGGTGCGCCTTGCGGCCTGTGGAGCTGGGTGCAGGGCCTGAGGCCCGCTGGTGCCTCGATGCCGCAGAGGCAGCGGCCGTCTTGAGCTGCGGCATATTAAACCGGGGAGGATTGAGGGATCGCGCCGGATCGAAGCCCTCACAGATGTCGCCTGACGACGCCTTGTGCCTTGTGCCGGCCCCTGAGCCTCCAGGATTGGTTGGGGGCACACCGCGCCACAGATGGTACACGGAACAGCGCTGCTGGCCGGAAATGCACGAGAGCCGCCCGGGTCCCCGCATTGGCCCCTTCTCTGCGCGGGGGTCTGCTCACGCGCGCCCTGACGCGAGATTGAGCAACCTGACCACCAGTTCCACCCGCTGGTATAACGCGCTCGCGCGGCGCTTCGAGGGGCCGCTGCCCCGGGGGCGCGCGCAGACTAATGAAGAGGACGGAGGGCCTGAGACAAGGGCGGTGTCGCAGCAGCGTGGAGAACTAGCCTGGCAAAAGAAGTGTCCGTTTCTCAGTCCCCGGTGCCAACATGGCGGGCACCGGCGTCGCGGCGGCCGTGGAGCGTGGGTCACGCCCAATAGACATGTCGGAGGAGCTGCCGTGGTGCTCGCAGTTCTGGCTACAGGTGCGCGGAGAGCGGCACAGAGACACGCAGTGCTCTAGAGGCCCGCGCGCCACGGCTCCGCGCGAGGCGCCGCGCGGCGGCTGCAGGCGCTTCGTCTTCACTGCACAAGACCGTCTCGATCGCGCGTCCCTGACGCGAGCGTTGTACGTGGTCTGTGCAGCGCAACCCGCTCACGCGGTCCACCGTCCTCGACTACATGTACGGCTCGCCGTTTTACGACAAGCGGGCCAAGGACAGGCAGATTCTACCCGCGCAGCTCAGATCTGCTGGCCTCGGGTTCGATTACCGCGTCAAGTCTAGCACCGTGAGCCCACTGCCCAGCGCACTGCGCTCCCGCACCCCATGCCCGCGCGGCGTGCGGCGGCGGCGGAAGCCCGCGCACAGCCCGCCGCCCCGCGCGCCGAATCCAAGCACCGTCGACTCCCGTCCGTCGGCCGCGCCGCCGCACCGCGTGCCTGACTCATGCGCGGGCATGGGCTGCAGCCGACCGGGCCGTGCCTCGCGCGATCCGCAGGGCGCGGGAGATTTTTTCCTCATTGCGCGCGTGGCCGTGGACCCTGAGACCGGCGAGGACGGCGAGGAGCAGGCCCTGTATTCGGTGCTCCATGGGTTCGTGTCACAGGTTCCGTCCCTGGCCCGCATCCTCACGTCGCGCCTCCGCCTGGCCCAGGACTACCTCGCGGACGGCCTGAACCTCGCGGAGGAGGCGATGCGGGCGATGGAGACGCGCACGCACGACAAGAAGTCGCGCGCGGAGGTGCGTGCCGCCGTCGGCGACGGGGCGTCCCGCCGGCTCGCGGAGCGCGCCCTGCACCATTTGTCGCGGCAGTGGGCGGAGGCTGTCCCGCGGAAGGTCGAGGAGGCGGCGCAGCGCGCGCGCGGCCCCGCGCAGCCGTCCCAGGCGGAGGCGAAGCCGGTGATTGTTGGGGAGGGGTCGCGGAGGAGGCCGCGGGAGGAGCAGGATGGGGACACGCCGGACGCGAAACGTCAGAGATCGTGACGCCCCGCTTCAGCGCGCCGCAGACGCCGCGTGCGGCGCGCACGACAGCAGTATTCTCATGACAGTACTAACATTAAAAGTAATATCATTCATGTCAAAGAGTCTCGCATGGCATCGAGTCGTGGACGGCCTGCGAGGCACTGCACAGCGCCGTGCTCTCCGATCAGCGACGCGCAGGTACGGCTTCGTGCCGCACGTGTCACAGCTCCAAGCAACAGGGGGCCTGCAAGCAACCTCGCTTGCGCACGTCCCCGCCGCGTCCGCGCGCACGCGTCCCCGTCAGCCTCCCACCTCTGCGCTGCTCGTCAGCAACTTCGCCGCGTCCACGCCAGCATCCTTCACTTGCCTGGCTACGTCGAGGAACACGGCGATCTTCTCCTCCGTCTGCACGAACCACGACGGCGCGCCCGCTCAGCGACAGCGCCCGTCCACGCCCACCGCCCACCGCGGTCCAGCCAGCGAGCGCCGCGGGCTCCTGCCGCGCCGCCGATGCGCGGCGCGCAGCAGGCAACCGTCCGGCGCGTTCGGGCTGCGGCGCCGCGGGGCTCACCTCTAGCATGGCGATGGAGTCTCGGATCTCCGTGACGGTGTCCGAGTGGCTGAGCACGAACGAGTGCAGGTAGATGTAGGCGAACACCGCCATCACGACCTGGCAGTCCATGCGGTCCGTCATGCCGCCGTGCCCCGGGATGCTCTCGCCGAAGTCCTTGACGCCGAGCGCGCGCTTGAAGCCGCTGGCGAAGAAGCCCCCGAACGGCGCGATCACCGACGCGAAGAGCGCGATGACGACGCCGTGGGCCTGGAAGGCCGAGAACCGCACCTCCGTCGTCAGGAAGGTCTGCGCGATGGAGCGCGGGACGAGGGACGAGAACTGGTCCATCTCCGTGAGCACGGAGCCGGGGAGCATCCCCAGCAGGTCCTGCCCGCTCACCACCTGCGAGCAACTCCACCACGAGTGCGCCGCAACACATCAGCCGCCGCGTTCCGCGCGTGCTGTGCGGACAAATCGCCTCGACGACCCCCGTCGCGGTCCTGCGACCTGGACAAGCCCGGGCAGCGCGGGCCGGCCGGCCGCCGACGCACAGGCGCCCATGTGTGTGCGTGCGTGGGTGGGGTGCGGTCGCACCTCCCGCTGGTAGATCGGGTCGATCTCGCACTCGACCCAGCTGTACACGGAGAGGTCGGTGCGCGGGCAGACCATCCACTGGTACTGTTGCAGGAAGGCGGCGAGCCAGAACGAGAACGCCATGGTGGCAAACATGCCGCCAACGAAGCCCTCCCAGGTCTTCTTGGGCGACAGGCGCGGGATGAGCGGCGTGCGGCCGAGGAGCATGCCGCAGAAGTAGGCCATGATGTCGTTCATGATGACCAGGGAGCAGGGGAAAATGAGCCATATGATTCCTTGATTGAAGATGAGCGCCACGAGGAAGGACGAGGGCACGAGCGTGTACAGCAGCACCATGTGCGTCCACGCGAGCTGCCCGAAGCGCTCCAGCACGCGCCCGCTCTGCAGCGACAGCACGAACGCCACGAACCCGAACAGGTAGAGGGAGAACGACGAAAACGTGTGGTAGCGGACCAGCCACCGCAGCGCCTTCTGCAGCGCCGAGTACCGCACGATGAACGGGTAGTCCTGCAGGGAACGCGGCGGGCGTGGCGTGTGCGCGTCGGCGGCAGGCACGCAACACACACACACACGTGCGGCGGAGAGGACTGAGCGCGCCACGGACGGCGTGGGGCGCGGGGGGGGGCGGGGCCGTACCCGGATCTCGACCATGAGGTTGCGCTTGCAGAAGCGGCCGTACATGTAGAAGGAGGCGGCGTTGAAGTACCACCACTGGAAGTTGCCAAAGAAGCCCTGGCTGAGGGACTTGTCGCCCTCGGTCCCGACGGAGCGACGCGCGATGAGGAAGAGCTCCTTCGCCATGGCGATCTGGATGCCCACGATCATCGCGAAGAGCGCCACGTGCCCTGCGAGGGCGCGACCAAGAGCTGGGCCTTGGGAGCGTGGCCACCGAGCGCGCATGCGCCGCAAAATTGCGGTGCGGCGCCCCGCGGGCGACACATTCCACTGTGGCGTCGCTGCGATCACTCTGTCAGCGCGCTCGATCCATATTCCGAGCGCAGCCGTCTGTCATGGGGCTTGAACTCAATCCAGGGACCCCTGACGCAGCGCGTGGGGCCCGGCGGGACAGCAACGCCGCCGTACAGAATGCAGAGGGTACGACGAGGGCAGGCCGCGCGTGTCGCCGGGGGGGCGTCCGCGAGTCTGTCTCACCTGCGTAGATGCACACCACGAAGCCCACCACCATGGCCGTCCCCGAGAGTGTACGGACCAGCATGCTCCTATATTTTTTACGGGGGTGGTTCGTGGGGTCCTTGATGCTCTGCCCGGGCGCCCCATCCGCCTTCTTTGTGGGCGCCGCGCCCGGCGTGCTGCCCTGCACCATCATGGCAGAGCACATGGCTGCATTGCCCGGACACCCATTCATTCGCGGCCCCAAGGCCCCCCCGCACAAGCCCGCAGCACCAACGAGCCGTGGGCGGAGGCAATCGTCGTGCGACGCGCAATGGCGGCGAGGTGACCCAAGCATTCGGCGATGCGACCCACCTGCATCGTTGGCCGCTTCGTCCGGGGTAGAGGCCCGCTCTTTCTCGTCCGAGAGTCCCGCTCAACTTGCAAGCAAACTAGAAAAGGCACAGGTACCGGCGACGTCGCCCCGGGTGCTACCTAATCAGGCAAGGTCCATCCAGACAGCTGCGAGACACGCTCGTCCCTGAGACAGCCGCTGCGCGCTATCACGCTGCTCGCGCCACGACAGATCGCTTCTGTCCAGCCAGCGCTCCCGCTTGCCCAACGTACCGCGCGCCGAGGCACGTGCTAGCCCGTGCTGAGTCAGGCCCGCAACACACATCGCAGAGACCTCCAGGGGGGTCGCCGCGACGACCGCGTCGCCGCCACCGCAAGGCCCTCGTCTCGCGTGGACCGTGCATTCCAGCCGGGCACAACTTCATCTTCGTCTCCGTCGCCCAAACACCAAAAGAGCGTTGCGAGTGCAGCAAGACGTCGTCGTAAAGTTCCGACATTCGCCATCTTCTGAACCTCGCGGATCAGCGAGGCATGGCGCTCTCCGTTCGGGGCACCGAGGAACTCGCCGCACGCTGGCTCCGTCACAGCTGCCGAGCCTGCCGCCACTGCAACGGTCGGGGGCCGACATGACTCGGCGCCTCGTCGAATGGTCTTTGCAGGTCGCGGCGCCTCATGGCCGGCGCCGCCGAGAGCTCCGATCGCTGTCACAAGGCGTGCTTGCACAGCGGGCACGTGCGGCTGATCTCTAGCCACTGCGCAAGACATGTCTCGTGGAACTTGTGCAGACAGGCGCCCACAGCCACGACCTTGCCCCCTGCGCCCGCACCGCTATTATGTCTATGTATATTCAGTTCGCTGAGACAGATACTGCACGTCCTGTCCTCAGCATCCGCGCCCCCACCATCCGCCGCCTCAACGGCCACACACCCGCGCGCCATCGCCGCCTTCGCCGCAGCGCGCGCCCCGCCGTCTTCTGCACGGCCACCGCGCACACGCGAGCCGGAGAACGTGAGTAAGGCATCGACGCTTGCCGCACGCGAACGGCATGGCATGACGGACCATGCCATCCTATCTACGGGGCGCCCCGCAACACCTGTCTCCGCGGAGTGCGCGCCGCACCTGTCTCGCTGCGCGCGGCGAGGAAGCGGAACATCCGCTCGTCGCCCCTGTGCGGCCACGGCAGCTCGGCAGCCCACTGGTCGTACTGCAGTGACACACTCCCCCCCCCCTCGCGCGCCGCCGCCGAGTCGGACGGCCCCGCCTCCTCCTCCACGCGAGACGGCGGCAGCAGCAGCCCAGATGCCAACGCGTCGCCGCCCGGCAGCGCCGGCGCCGGTGCACGGCCGGGCTTCCACCCCCACAACGCCGCACCGTAGCCCTCGCGCGCGCCTCGCGCGGAGCGCACTCGCGTCCCGACGGCAGTGCGGTCGACTGCGCGGCTCGCGCTGTGCGGGCGCTGCCGGCCCGCGGCGCCCCCCGCGGTCGCCGGGCGCGCAGGCGCCCTCGGACGTGATTCGCTGCCCTCTGTTGCAGCCGTCATGGCCCGCACGCGCTCGACGAGGCCGTCGACGAGCACCGCCATGCTGCCCCGCGCGTGCGGCGTTCGCACCGGCGCGGACCCGGGGCCGGATTCCAGCATCTCTGACGCAATGCGCTGCAACGCGCGCCAACTTGCACCGCGCGTGACGTCGGCGGGTGCAGGCTCCGTGGGCTGCGGCGGCGGCGGGGGCCGGCCGGGAGGATCGTCGGTCGCTGGGGCCATCGGCGTGGCGGCGTGCGGCCACGGCGGGCGCCGCGGGAGGTCCCGGGAGCGCGCGTTGCCTGTGCGTGGCCGCTGCGGGGGGTCCGGCGCGTCTCGCGGCGCGCTCGCCGCCGCGTCAGGCGGCGTGATGACAGAGGAAGGGATTGCGGTGGAAGAGGGCGCTGTGTCGGTGCTGGAAGGGCGGAACAGTGCGGAATCGTTGGCTGTGCGTGCAGCCCGCGTCCCTGCCGCTCGGGCCGAACGGGGTCGCTCGGGCTGCGGCTTGGGTGCTCGCGTTTGAATCTCTGTCCCTTGGCTTTCCGTTGCGGCCCCGCGCGCCCTGCCTCGGTCCGCTGCGCGCGAGGCGCGTCGCTGGCCAAGGCTCCCGCCGGGAGGACCGAGGTTCCGCACGGCCTGACGCGGCGGCCCCGACGCGGGAGTCTTCCCTGGTGCTTGCCGGTCAGGCTCGACGTTCTCCTTGTGATCGCCGTGCTGCGCGTCGCCTCCCGGGGCATCGTGCGCGTCCCACTCAGCGCGGCACCGTCCGCACGCGGCGTTCGGGCCCAGCGACCCGCATCTTGGGCAGCCGTCCTCCCCGCCGCCACCTCCCCGCGCGAAACTACGCTCCGCAGGCCCGTGCGGCTGCGCCCGCGAGCTGGCGCGCACGCTTGCACGCCGAACGGCCTCCATATGCTCAACGTCGTCGCAACGCACGCCTACTCCGATTCATCGTGCCCGACAGAGACACGCATCGAAGGCACTGGCGCGCCGAGGCGTCACGCCGCCGTACGACCCGCGAGCGCCGCACAATCCCGACTTCTACCGCAGCGCCACACCCCCCGCGATCGATCCGCGCTGGACGCACCGCCGCGACGCCCTCACACGCGGCGCACCACCGGCGGCCCCCGCGACCCGTGTCACCGCAGCACGCCGGCGTGGTTGATCACCACGGCCTTGAGCGGCTTGCCCCACTTCCCCCGCGCCTTCACGGCCCGGTCGTCCCCGATCGCCGTCGCGAGCGCGTTGAACGCCTGCACGCGCCCGAGCGGCTTGATCGCCGGCACGTTCGCGATGTCCGCGACCGTGTCCAGCCCCTCTACGACCTGCCCCATTACGATGTTGCCGTTGTCGAGCGCAGGCGCGGGGCCGGGGCCCGTGGTGATGAGGAAGGCCGTGCTGCGGTACCACGGCCGCTCGCGGAGGAACTCGTCGTCGTCGTTCGCCGCGAGCGCCAGGGAGACCGTCCCCGGGCGCAGGTGCCGTAGCTTGAAGGCGCGCGAGGACGTCTCCTCGTCGTTCGGCGCCAGGACGCCCTCGCGGAGGTCGACCTCGCCCATGCGCTTCGAGCCCTGCTTGCCCGCGAGGATGAACTCGCCCGGGAACAGCCGCGCGAAGGTCGTGCCGTCGTAGAGCCCCGCGTCAACTGCTTTGACGAAGTTGCTGACCGTCCCGGGGACGTGCTTGCCGTAGAGGCCGATGACGACGCGCCCGAGCGGCGCGCCGTCCTGCGCGGCGGCGGTGCGGGACGCGGCGCGCGGTGTGAGGGCGGCGCGCATGGATGAGTGACGTTTGGGTGCAGTCGCAGCGCGGGCGCGGTCGCGCGCGACGTGGGGCGTGAAGCGGGCGCGATGGCTTGCTGGCGGCAAGGGCAAGCGCACAGGCGAGCTGCGCGCCGGTGGCTGCCGGGCGTCACCTGGCAAACAGCGCTTTTGTCGCCAATGGCTCGGTCCTGACGGTACGCCGTCTCGCACAGCGAAATGTCGAAGAAGACCTTGTCCGTGATCGTCAGGTCGATAGAACTGTCCGCGGTGGTGTCGACCTTGTAGTCCGCCGCGTGTGCCGGGCGCCCCGCGAGGCCCGCGAGCACCGCCGCTGTTGCAGGCAGCATCAGCCCGCACTCCCTCCGCCGTACCGCCCTGGCCTCGACGTGCCGCGCGGGCCTTCGCGGCTGCTGTAATGTGCTGCTCGCGCCCGCCCTCGCGCCCTCAAGGCGGCCGCAGCAGCGTGTGGCGCACATTGAGTGCCCCCTGAGCTCTGAGATCGGTTGCTGCGTCCCCTCACGACGCTCCAGCCGATCAGGGAAACGCCTCTGTCGGAATGAAGGGCGCGGGCAGGGCGCCGGCCACGCAAGGCGCGTCGAGCGCCCAGCCGTGAGACCCCCCGGTCAGTCATCGGAAATTTTAGTAGCAGCGATGAGCGCACAGAGCCGAATTCTCGACTCCCAGGCCCCGAAGCGCTGTGTCTCACAGCCCGGGGCTGTCCCGGGGAGCTTGCGGCCACGCTTTCGGCCCAGGCGGCGCACGGCGGTGCTCATCCGCCCCCTCGTGTCGGCGTCCACGCGTCGTTGTGTGTCGGAGTGCAGCCCACTACGACGCGAGCCAAACGCGTCGTGGCACGTAGCATTCTGGGCAACCCCCTGGCGCTTCGTCGCGAGGGCCTCATAGCCCGCTTTCCGCGTTTCCCGGGGACCACTTTCGCGTCACCTCCAAGGTCGCTTTGACTTAGACCCGGGAACCGCCTGGGCAGTCCTCGCCGGCCCGCTCACTAGAACAGGATTGCTCAGGCTGCGCCGGACCCGCCCGTGACCGCGGAGTGTTGGCTCTGCCACACTGGGCGCGCACCTCTGTTCGCGTCACAGCCCAGCGCCGAACACACCTTCCCTCTGTTCCCACGAAACAGCCCAGTGATGATGGCGCGTGGTTCGAGCCCTGCGGGGCGGAGAGTCCTCGACGGTCCCCATCCGCCTCACTAGGCGGGATCTGTTCGACAAGGGACCATGTTGCGAGGCACGCACGCCATCTTCGCGCTCTTCGCGCTGGGCGTGCTCTCGGCGCGATTCGCTGCTGGTCAAGTCTGTGTTGCGTCGAACGCCCCGTGCACCGCGGCGTCGGGATGTCAGTCCGAGCACCGGAGTGCACTGCTGGCTTTCTACGCAAGCACGGGCGGCACTGCGGACGGCGGAACGTGGCATCGCTCGGAGGGGTGGCGGCAAGCAGCAGCCGGCCAACCAGACCCACCATGCACCGTCGACGTGCGCGCCCAACCACGCGTATCCCGCCCGTCCCGTCGCGCGCCCCGCCCGCACCTCCGTCAATCCTCCTTCGCACGCCAGCGGCGCGCTGCGTCTCCGTTCGCGGAGGCAGGCACTTCCCCACCAACTCGCCACGCGTGCGTGTCGCCCCTCAGGCCCCCGCCCCGCTCTCCGCCGCACCGTCGACCGCGCAAGCACCGCCTGTCCTCACGCCACCTGCAAGCGAGCCCTCCCGACGCGCAGGGCATCGCGGCGCCCGCCCACTGCTGCTGGCACGGCGTCAGGTGCTGCCAACTCGATCCAGCGCTCGCGGACCTGCGCTGCACGGCATCGGAGCGCGTCTCCACGCTCTTCCTGCCAGACAACGGCCTGACGGGCAGCCTCGACGCAGCGCTGGCCGCCCTCGCGCCCCTCTCCACCGGCCTCCAGTGGCTGGACTTCAACGTCAACGCTCTCTCCGGTCCGGTCCGCGTGGCGTCGCTCGCGGCCTTTCCGCGCCTCCTGAAGCTCACTCTCGGCTCCAACAAGCTCTCAGGAGGCCTCAGCGCTGACGTCCAGGCCCTCTCGTGCCTCAGACAGTGCGTAGCCCCCCCCGGCGCTGCCAGCGTCGAACCGTCCCGCCTAGGGGCTTGCTCGCGGTGCTGACCCACGCCCGCGCACCGTGTCCGCTGCCCGCAGGCTCAGCCTGGACTTCAATCCGCTCGGCGGCACGCTGCCGCTGCAACTCGGCACCATGCCAAACCTGCGCAGTATCTCCGCGAAACGCTCGCAACTCACCGGGACGGTCCCAACGGCCGTCTTCTGCTCCGCGAGCCTCCAGCACGTCACGCTCGCGCAGAACGACCTCGCGGGGACCCTCCCGGCCTCCCCCTGCGCGGCGCCCATCCCCGCGCTGGAGCTGCTCGACCTGTCTTTCAATCGTCTGACGGGCAGCCTGCCCGCGTGGCTGGCGGACCACGGCGGCCGCCTGGGCACGCTCGACCTGTCCTGGAACGACCTCTCCGGCACGGTCCCGAGCAGCGCCGTCGCTTTATTCAGTGCCCGCTCCTTCCACGTTGCGGGGAACGTGGGTCTGACGGGCACGCTGCCGGCGCCGCTGAACAGCGCGTGGCTTGAGACGCTCGATCTGTCGTACACGGGCCTGACCGGCCCCCTGCAGAACCCCTTCGGCGAGCTCCCGAAGCTGCGCCGCCTGCGTGTGCGGGACGCGCCCGGCATCGTGGGCCCGCTGCCGGGGTCGCTCGCGAGCGCGTCGTGGCTCGAGGAGATCGATCTGCGCGGCTCGGGGCTGCGGCACCCCGAGGGCTCCGTCAACTCGCGCGGCGAGCCGCTGCCGGAGTGGCTGACCTTCAGCAGCACGCTGTGGGTCCGCACGGACGAGGAGGGGGGGGTGTCGGGGATCGAGTGCCCCGAGGTGACGCTGGCGCAGGCGGACACCGCGGCGCTGGGCACCGCGGCGCAACTTGGGCTCGAGTTGCGCACCACAATGCGACTCGACCCCCAGTACTATGACTTCGTGGGCTGCGCGTGCATCGAGGGCGACCTGACGCGTGAGCCCCCCCCCGCCGGCGCGCTCTCGCTCCGCAGCGGCCTGGTGGCCCCGCGGTTCGCGTCAGGAACCTCGCGCGGCCGTGTACGCGGTGGTGCCATAGTTGTGGTATGACGTGTGTGTGCGGCCTGTGTGGGTTCGCTGTGCAGGGGAGCTGCGGCCGGAGGACGGAGTGCTGCAGGTCACGTGCCATCACGACCACATGAGCACCCGGCTCGTGCTGCTGATTGCGCTGCCGATCGGCATTACGTGCCTGGTGGTGGTTGTGGTGTGCGTGGTGCTGTGGGCGATGCTGCGGCGCCTCCGCACGGGGCGCGGGCGGCTGCCCTCGGGGACGGCCACGGTGGTGGTGACGGACATCAAGGGGTCGACGGAGCTGTGGGAGTGGGCGCCCGAGGAGATGTCAGATGTGCAAATCATTCACGACGGGCTCGTGCGCGCCGTGCTGGACCTTCACAATGGCTTCGAGCTGTTCACCGAAGGCGACTCGTTCACGGTACGTGCACGGACGCACCCGACGCGCCGCAGCGGTGGCTACTTCGCGCAGGACGCCCGGTAGTGATGTGCTGAGCCGTTCGCAACCGCTCCTGCGCGGCGCAGGTGGCGTTTCACCACGCTCTGGATGCGGTCAGGTTCGCGTTCGATCTCCAAGTGGCCCTGCTGGCCGTCGCCTGGCCCGAGCGGATCCTCCAGCACGAGCTATGTGCGACGGTGCACCCCTGCAGCAACACGGAGAGCGCAGACCCGATCTTTCGGGGACTCCGCCTGCGCGTGGGCATCGCGTGCGGCACCTTCGACCGCGTCCAGGGCGCCCCGAACGCGTCCGGCCAGGCCCTGACCAACTCGCAGCTGTTCACCGGCACATCCGTTCACCTGGCCACGGCCGTGCAGTCCGCGGCCGACGGCGGCCAGATCCTCATCGATCGCAACACCTTCGACGAGGAGATCGCGCCGTCGCTTTCGAAGCTCGAGAGCTTCTGCCGCGAGATGTCCCTCACACCCGCACTGCGCATGCGCTCGCGGTCGCCCAAGGCGGAGGCGGACGCGCTGCCCCTCAGCCGATTCAAGCACCTCTTCGGCCGGACCGTGGACCAGTCCCGGACCGACTGGTACACGCAGCGGTCGTCGATCGACGCCTCAAACGTGCGCGGCAGCACCCTGATGGATGGGTCGGGGTCGCGGCCGCGCCACTTCTCGCTCGTCGGGTGGCTCGGCGGCGGGCGGCGGCGGTCGCGGCCGCTGATGTCGCAGCACTCCGCGACGGTCGCGCGGACCAGCAACGAGCGCCTGAAGGTGCACGGAGGCCTTGTGTCGCGCGGGCGGTCGCAGGGACCCCTGCCGTCCTCGCTGCAGCAGAGCAGCACCACCGCGGGCCACTCCAGCACCCCGAACGGCCAGACGCCGCGGCGAGGGTCGCGTCTCGCGCCGAATGCAAACGCCAACGTGAGGCCCAAGTGGGTCGACCCGTCGCCCTCCCCAGCGTCGTTCCAGACGCCCGCGCACCAGGACTCCGCGCCGGCGAGCCCCGGGCCGAATCTGCGCGCCGCGGAGACCGCCACCTCGCACTCCCGAGGGTTGCTGTCTGGGGGTTTGTCTGGGATCCAGGAGAACGTGTCCGAGCGCAACCTGAGCGCGCAGCAGCCCGGCCAGAGCAGCAACGACGCGGACCACACGCGGGGCAACGCGCTCATCAACGCAAAGTCCTCCACAGGTGCGCAACGCGACAGCCTCTGCCCCCACATGCTCCGCGCCTGCGCTGCACGCGCACGCCGGCCGATCACGTCCGATCGTCCACGTGTCCGTCGGCCGGTGACGTCGCCCTCGTTGCTCGGCTGGCGACGCGACGGCCGATCGACTGCACCACGAACTCGGCGTGGTTTGTTTTGGAATGTTTGCGTCCCTGGAATGCTTGCGTCCTCCTTCTCAGAGCCCGTCCTCGCTCGTGTCGCGCAGATGGCATCAAGCCGCGCTTCGTCATCCCCATGGTCATGAACCTGGGCGAGCACGCCCTCGAGATGTTCGCCGAGGAGGGCGCGGTCGGGCTGATGCAGATACTCCCCCCCTTCCTCGTGGCCCGCACGGCCTACTTCGACCCCGTGAGCTCGACGCGCGCGCTCACGTCGGGCTTCACCGCCGCGCCGGGCGCCGCGCAGTACATCGAGTCGGTCGAGCGCTGCATCGGGTTCGGCGAAGTCCCCCCCCAGTTGTACCCAGAGACCACCGTCCTCTTCTGCGCCGTCGACGGCTGGGCGCGCCTCCGCGACGCGCTCCAGAACAGCGACTACACCCTCTGGCTGTACGTCTCGCTCGCGAAGGCCACGCTCGGGGCCTTCGGCGGCGTCCTGTGCCGCCAGAAGGAGGACGTGCTCCTCGCCGTGTTCACCCGGCCGGACGGGGCCGCCGAGTGGTCGATCATCATGCAGGAGCTCCTCATGCTCGTGCGCTGGCCCGAGGGCCTGATCCTCGCCCCCGAGTGCGCCCGGGAGGAGGTCGACGGCGTGTTGTGCCATCAGGGGCTGCGGACGCGCATTGGGATCTACATGGGTCGCCCGCGGCAGATGCTGCCGCACCCGATCACGGGGTTCCCCGAGTACTTCGGCCCGTTCATCAACCGCGCCGCGCGCCTGTGCCACTCGCTCGCGCGCCCGGGCCAGGTGCTGCTGTCGAGCGAGGTGGTCAAGGGAACGATGTTCGCTTGGGCGCACACCATGAACGAGCTGTCGTCGCGGTACACCGACGAGCAGGTCGTCGCGGTCGCGGGCGTGTCGCCCTTCGCGCTGTCGCTCTTCGACGGGCCGGGGTCGTACACCGCCCACGTCCTCGGCATCACTCAACAGCACCAGCACCGCATGCGGCGCGACTCTTCGTCGGCGACGGGCTTCCCGGCTCGCGGCACGCCGTCGCGCGGCACGTCCGTGCGGAGCGCAGGGCAGGTCGCGATCCAGAAGCGCCGCACGGCGGCGGGCGCCTCGGAGACGCGGGACAGTCTCTTTGCTGTTGAGACAAAGGAGTCTTCGCCGGCGCTGCCGCGGCGGAGCATGGACTCGCACCCGCCCGTGACAAGCGCGGCGAACTTCCCCGATCCCGGGCGCGAGCGCGCGATGAAGGACGTGGGGCCGTTCCGCTGGACGGCGTCGTTACAGGCCCGGCGAAACCCGCCGCCCCTGCGGATGGTCGCTGCGTCGACGGACGGCGTGGTGTCGGACAGCGGGGGGCGCATTCTGCCGTCGAAGAGCGCGCAGCAGAGCGTGGCCGAGGCGGGCGCGGACACGGAGTCGGGGAACTTGCGGAACATCCCCCGGGGGAGTACTGGGGGGGACCTATTGTTGCACGCGAGGTCGCGGAAGGGCTCCACGCACGAGGCAACGTCCCGCGCGGGGCTCGCGCAGGAGGTCTCGGTGATCCTGCAGGGCGCGCAGAGACGCACGCGGCAGGGGAGCATGTTGGGGAGGCAAGAGACGGCAACATCGGGTGGTCTGGCGACCCCGGGGGCGGGGGCGTCGCGGCTGTCGCGCCGCAACCTCCGGCCGCTCAACACGCAGTTCACGATGAACAGCACGCCGATGTCCACCGCGGAGGGCTTCGACCGGCAGCGTCGCCGGCAGTCGTCACACGCCGCAAACCCCATGCTGCCAGGACAGCTGCCGATGACCGCGAACAGCCAGGGCGTGCTTCCGGCAGGCCGGCGGTCGCGCCGCAGCTCCGCGGCGGCCACGGTGACGAACAACGCGTTCCTGCACTCGCTGTGGCTCGAAAACATTCGCGGCATGCTGGACCCGGAGGCGCGCGACGGGGCGCTGCTGCAGCGCCCGGTGCAGCTGATCCACCGCGGGACGTTCCGGCTCAAGGGCGTGAGCAGCCTGATCGACATCTTCCAGATGAACACGCAGGCGCTGTCCGGCCGCGTGTTCGACCCGCCCAAAAGCAGCAAAGGGAAGCTGGTGTCGGCGGGACAGGGGCTGGTGGACGTGGTGCGGTCGCCGCTGCCGGACGTGGGGCTGGACCGCATACAGGCGTCCATCGCGGCGCGGGAGCGGGAGCGCCGCGTGCGCATCGAGGCTCGCGGGAAGAACAATGCGGACCGTCCAGACCGTAGAGCGTCGTTCCAGTCCATGAACTCTCGGTCGTTCTCCGCGCGCGTGGCCAGCGGGAGCCAGAGGGATGCCGGACTGGGGAACTCGGTGTCGCGGGGGAAGAACGTGACGCCTGCCGGACTGCAGCCGCTAGCAGCGGCCATTGCTGCACAGAAGAGGAGGGGCATGAGGTTCGACAGCATCGGCGACCAGGAGCCGCGGACGTCGAGCGCGTCCAAGCACGCGTCCTGAGCGCGGAGCGCCGCCATTCCGGCCAAGACTTCGACGACGGGAGCCCCGCCGATCCAGGAGAGGACGTGTTGGGTATCTCATGCTTGTTGTTGCAAGTGATAGAAAGAGAAAAAGAATTACTATGCGCGGTACGATTGGGCCACAGGCTTTGCTTGCGTCCCGAAATGCACAGCGCTGTGCCAAGACTACGCGGCATGCCATGTGAGAGACGCCGGACCGAACGCAAGGCGCTTTTCAAAGCTGGCGAGTCCGCACAGACAGGAGCAAGGCGTCAGCAAGCTCGTTCGCTTCGCTGAAAGCTCGTCATTCAGAAACGAGCTTGAGTCATCCGGGCCCTGAATGTTCGCTCACCCACAGGCCACTGCTCAACGCCAGGATCCTTGGACACCGAAACACGGCTCTCGCGACGCGGCAAATCAGGGCGTGCGGGCGCTGACCTCAGCGGACGGGTGCGTCTAACTGAGCGTTCATCACACGCCAGCGCGAGCAGCACGCGGGACAACCAGCTGTCTCGGCCGACGACGCCCGGTTTTCACTCGTCCAGCAGCTTCATGATCTGCTCCTGCACCATGCCCATGTTGAGCACCGCGAGGCCCCACATGCGGATCAGCGCCAGGCACTGACTTGCCTTGACGGCGTCCTCGTGCCCCACACCCGCCATCATCTCCTCGCCCGCCCGCTGCACCGCCGAGGCCAGCGGCTTCTCCCGCAGCGACCGAATGATGGTGCCCATGCGGCGCGGGAGGTACCGCTTCGTGCTGCGTTCGATCACGATGCTCCGCCGCAGGTACATCCACAGGCGCGACGGGTCCGCGGGAACGACGAAGCCCGGCGCGGCCTGCGATAGCCCGGGCTCGGAGAGCAGCATGAAGGCCAGCAGCATGACGACCACCACCGTGCGCGGCGGCTTCGAGTAGCTCTTGATCTCGGCGAGCTGCTTGCGGAGCTGGCTCGAGTCCTGGATGCGCAGCGACACCTTCTGGACGACGCGCTCGAGCGCCGTGCGGAGCTTCTGCGCGTCCTTGATCTCGGCGGGGATCTCGAGCTGCATCCCGGACGGACCGAGAAGGACTTCCTCGACTCGTTTCATCAGCTTGGCTTCCGAGTTCAGCGCGTTGGTCAGGGCCTTGCCGACCGCCTCCGCGATGCGCCCCGCGATCTCGAGCTGGTCGCCGGCGACCGGGCGCGACGACACCTCGCTGTCGCAGCACGGGCAGACGTGCCCGGGCAGGTGCGTGCTCGTCACCACGCCCACTGTCTGCTCCTTGTCGTCGACGGTGCCGATGATCGGGGTCGCCATCGCCATCTCGTCGATCTGCCGCACGCCCTTCGCCATGGCCTCCTTGCACTGCTTGCCCGTGCTGATGGCCGCACGCCGCGCGAGGTCCGCCACGGCGTCGCGCTTGGCTTTGTGTGCTGCGCTGACCGTCATGGTGTTCGCCCGGGCCTTGCCTCCCGCGGCCGTCTTGTCCGGGGTCGCCAGCACCTCGGGCTCCTGCGGCGCGCGGGTGCCGTCGTCGTCGTCGTCGCCGCCGTTCAGCCAGCGGTCGAATGCGATCTCCGTCGACCCCAGCACCTCCATGCTCGACAGGAAGAGCATCGACGCTTCGTCCGCCCCGAGCTCCGTGTCCTTTTCGCGCTCCTCGTCTGCAAAGCGACGTACACCACACCGATGGCCACTCGGAACGGCAGGAGGCAGGCAGCTGCATGTACGCGGGCAGGCATGTTTTGGACACGGCGGCGCCGGGCCGGCGCTTGCTCGGGACGGCACGCCTCAGGCGACCCTCGCGCACCTTCGATGACCTGCCGCACGCTCAGCGTCACGTTGTAGATCTCGTGTGCCTTCCCGAGGACCTCCGGCAGCAGGTCCCTCACTTCCGCGGTCGTGTCCGCCTCCTCCAGCGTCGCCAGCAGGTTCTGCAGGTTCTCGTACTCCGGGTGCTCGCGCCGCAGCGCCGCAGCGTCGTCCTTGGCCAAACGCGCCTGCATCTCAGCCTGCCTGTTGTCGTACGCCGACACCGCAGCCGCCTTCTCGGGGTCCAGCGCGGCCAGCACGCCGGCCTTCAGCGCCGCATTCTTCCCGCGCAGGATCTCCGCGATCGTTCCGGCGTCCATGTCCGCCACCGCCGCCGCCAGCTCGCTCGCGATGCTACCGATCTTGTGAATGGCTGCCTCCATGCCGTGCCCGCCCTCGGTGCCCAGATCGATGCTTCCGGCCGTCGAGCTCGTCCGCGCCGAGTGCGACATCGCCCCCGCGAGCCGCCGCTGCCGGCTGGACATCGTGCGCTGCGTGGCCGCGTCGTCAGCGTCCTCGCCAGTGGGAGAGCCGGCGGCCTGCCCGGCCGCGCCCGTCGCGGTCCCGTGCTGCAGGCTCCACATCAGCGCGTCGAACTCGTCGTCGCCCTGCCGGAGCATCGCCTCGGCGCGGCGGAACTTGTCCACCATCGCGCGCAGGACCTCGGACCGCTTCGCGGCGTCGCCAAAGCCCTGCGCCTTCGCCGCGGCGACGTCCCCGTTCGTGAAGGCCTCCGGGGCCAGGTCGTACGAGACGCGGTCCGCCAGCCGCGCGCCGTCGGCCTCGTCCATCATCGAGAAGATCGCCGCGATCCGCTGCACCTGTCCCGACCGGATGAGCGCCACGAGGTCCGCGGCCTGCTCGACGCTGTCGTGGCAGATCTGCCCCAGCAGCGCCGACACGTCGTGCGCGGACGCGAGCTCCAGGATCTCCCCCGCCGCGCCGCGCGACAGCTCCCGCAGCGCCTCCGCCACCTCGCGCGCCGGCTTCAGTGCCAGCGCGCACGAACTCGCGACCAGCCCAGACTCCTTCATCCACCCGGCGAGCTCCTGCCCGCCCCGCACCTTCATCAGCTCCTCCTGCAGCGCGGGCCGCAGCGCGGAGAACGCCAGCTCCTCCACCTTGCTGTTTTGCTGGTCCAGCAGCTCCTCGAGGTTGCGCACCATGGCCATCGCGGCCTGCGCCTCCGCGCGCGCGCGCCGGCAGTCCGCGTCCAGCGCGGCCTTCGCGTCCGCGAACGTCCGCATCTGCTCCTTCGCGCTCCCGGCCTCGCGCTCCAACGTGGCCTTCTCCAGCTTGACCTGTTCCAGCTCCCGCACCGCATCCTTGTAGTTGTCGCGCAGGCGCTGCTGCGCGGCCTCCTTCTGCTCGAGCTTCTTCCGGACCTCGACCTTGAACGACGACACCTCGCGCTGGCTCTCCATCTGCCGCGCCTTGTCGAGCACGCCCTGGAAGCGCGAGATGACGGCGTCCTTGCGCGCCTTGGCCGTCTGCTCGGTCGACATCTGCTCGATCTGCTTCCGGAGCTCGGAGATCTCCGTCTCCGCGGCCTCCTGCGTCTCGCGCAGCTGGTCCTGCAGCATGACGACCTCCTCGCTGAACAGGCGGAGCTTGTCCGCCAGGAGGTCCTGCAGGAGACCCTGGAGCAAGACTGCTACGGGCTTGAGGTCCTGGATCGACCGCGGGTGCAGCTTCGCGGCCCACTCCGCGATCTGGTGGATCTCCACGACGTCGCCCACGCGCAGCGACGAGAAGTACCGCCACGTCTCGGACCCTGGCGTGAACTCGTCGTCGGCGAGGGGTGCCGCGGGGAACGCCGAGGACGGGCGGTTGTCGCCGCCGCGCTTGACGCGCAGCGCCGCGCCGCCCACGACGGGCTGCTCCTTGCTGTACGGCACGAACGCGTAGTGCAGCCGCGTGAAGCCCAGGTTGGGGGAGTAGGTCGTGGTGTCGACAGCGGGGTCCTCGAAGTCCCACGTGGTCGTCACGTCGTAGTGGCCGTAGAAGGGCAGGTCGCAGGGCTCCTGGTTCTCCGTGCCCGGCCACGCCTGCCCCTCGAGCCGCTCGCCGTGGCGCTTGGCCGTCTCGCCGAGGTTCTCCTTGTCAGGGGGACTTCGGCTCCATCCTGACTCGGTGCTTCGCGCGTGGCGCCGAGGGTGCTGCCGGGGCGGAGGGTGCTCGAGGGCGTCCAGGGGTGCCCCTGCGGCGCTGTGGCGGGGCGGGACGCTGTGACTCCTGGGGGTGCCGCCGAGTTGTACGGCGCGCGCTGGCCCGCGGGCGTCTTGGAGAAGAACCCGCGCGCGGCGCGCTCGCCCTCGAGGGGGAAGAAGTACCGGGCGAACCTGCGGAGGGCCGGGGCGACGCGGAAAGCGGTGAGTTGTCTCCTTGTTGCAGGGCATACGGCGCGATGGAGCGGGAGGCAGCCGGGAGGTGGCGCTCAAGGCTGTGCTGAGGGAGGCAGGAGTCAGCGGAGGGTCGAAGGCCTGCTTGAAAGGGCCTGCCGGGGACAGGCGAGTCCGAGAGCATGTGCTGGCTCTCCGCAGGCCTCGCTCGGCTCTGAGCGTCGCCGCGCGCTTCGGGATGGACACCCGAACGCTACTTCTCATCTATAAGGAGAGACTGAAAGCGGCAGGCACCCCTGTCGGGGCCGCAGTCGGCGCACGCGGCGCTCTGACCGTCCTCTGACTGCATGCCTCTGACACGCGACATCGGGCCGCAGCGATCGTGATGCGACCACGCATCGTCACCACATGGACTGAGGTGCGGGTGGGGTACGCTCTCCGGGCGCCTCAGGCAAGGACCTCCCGGCGCGGGCCAGGCGAGGCACAGGCTGTTGAGGCGACGCTCTGGGGGCGCGCTGGCGCGACACGCGGGGCAAAGAGAGCGCGGTACGCGCGGACGAGCAGTCCGCCGTATGAAAAGCTGGGCCGAGCCTGAAACTAGCGTGTCGGGGCGGGTGCCGGGACGAGCCGGGATGGAGCAGGTGCTGTGCAATGCAGGCCGCAAGCGCGCCTGACGGTGTGTTCGACAGGGTATCGACCCCGAAAAACGGCGAGAAAGAAATGAGGAAATCGCATCAGCCCGGAGTCGTCCCGTCGAACGCCACTGTACGGCGCGCAGGAGCGGCCAGGCATGTTGCTAGCGGGGCCGGCCGCACTCGCTGCCGTGACCAGCGCAGCACGCGAGAGCGCGCGCGCGCCGTCGCGGCCGGAGCGCACCTGACAGGCTGCGAGGGCTCAATCGCATTGTTTTCGACGCCCATCTTGACGCCCGTCGCGCGAACGCCCTGTTGGTACTCAGCTACTAGCACGACCGCAGCGCTCCAAGCATACTCGGCCCCCTGGCTTTTCTTCTATCTGCCGAGGTCGTGCAGCCCCACACTGGCCGGCGCGGCCCCGAAGCACGCCCAAGAGCCCCGGCAGCGGACGGAAGGGCCCTGTGGGGACTGTGGGGGTGACAAGGAGGGTGCTCCGTACATGGGGTTGCAGAGGCGAGGGCGAGGTGCAGTGGGCGTTCCACTGCACTGCCACGAAGCAGTGCCGGGTTCGACAGAGGCGTGACGTGGCGTTCGAGGGCGGAACGGAGCGCAACCAGGCGCAGCAGCGCCTCGACGGGCCCGCGCCCCTCCGGCGGTGCGCGAGGCCAGGATGTCGGGGGGGCTGAACAATGCGGACTTCCGCAAGATGCTGGCGGAGGGCCGGCTCGGGACCGTCGCGAAGGAGAAGAGGGAGAAGGCCAAGGAGAAGTATGCTAAAAAGGCAAAGGTGCGGCCGTTTGAGCCGGATGGGAAGCTGTTCCGACCCCGCTGCCGCCCTTCGTAGTATGTGTCGTCACGCACGTGCAATGCCTCTCTCTGCGATCGCGTGTCTCGGCCGCTTGGATGGTGTCTGCTGCCGAAGCAGAGCTTGCGGGGCGCGGCGCGGCTCTGGAACGCCTCCGCCCTCCCTGGCAACGCAGGCGCGGAACCAGAAGATGGAGAAGCTGCGCGCGGCGGGCGACGCGGAGGAGGAGGAGGGCGAGAAGTACCGCGACCGCGCTGCAGAGCGCCGCCAGGGCCTCAGGAACGAGTACGAGGAGGACGAGCAGCAGCTCCAGAGCATCTACCTCGCAGCCGACGAGAACCTCACTGAGGTACACCCACCCGCTGCGCGCCGGCCCCCCGCGCGCCCCACCAGCACGCACCGGACCGTCACGACCGCGCACTGTGCACGCCCGCAGGAGGAGCGCCGGCAGCGCGCGTACGAGCTCTCGAAGCACCTCGGCGGCACTGAGTCCGCGACGCACCTCGTCCGCGGCCTCGACAAGACCCTCCTCGAGCGCATGCGCGACAACCTGCGGCGCGAGCAGGACAACGAGGCCGCCGCGGCCCAGCGCGCCGAACAGAGCAGGTCCCTGGCGGAGTCCACCACGTTCCGCACGCCGCTCGGCCGCAGCGTGTTCGAGGCGCTGTTCCGCCGCGCCGGCGCGCTCGGGGCCGCTGCGCAGCGTTTCTTGCCGCGACGGATGGCGTTCGTGTACGACCTGGACGACGACGGTTCGGGGCCGACGGGGGACGCGCCGTCGACGCTGCTGCGGCCGAAGGCGGACTGCCCGCGGCCGCCGGAGACGCTGATGGGCATGTGCGACGCGGGCGTGTTGGATCGCATTTCGCGCGCGATGCGGTACATCGTCGACGCGCGGAAGAAGAAGACGAAGAAGGACGCGCAGGCGGTGCGGGAGATCCTGAGCGACGCGCCGGGCGCGGGACAGCCCGCGGCGCCGGCTGTGGTCGCGCAGCCCGCGGCGGAGAAGCCCGCGGGGCCCGTGGACGAGGAGGAGGACATTTTTGGAGACGCAGGTGCGTAATTTATGTGTGTGTGTGTGCGGGCGCGGCGTCGTGCCCACCGGTGGCCGCACCACGCTGCCCGCGCTGTTTTTTCTACTTCCGATGCACATGTGCTCCGTGCGAAGCGGGGTCCTTGCCGCTGATGAGAAATAGCATCGTACGGTGCGCCGGACGCTTGGTCGCGTCTGCGCACCGCGCCGTGGGGCGCCGCGTGCGCGCAGTACCGACCCGCGGATTCCTGCGCAGTAGGGACCCGCGTGCGGCGCCCTGGCACGTGGCGAAACACCACATTGCTACTAAACCCAGCTCTCTGAGGCACCCCCGCGCACATATGCATGTCCGGCTCACGGCACCCTCCGCCCGCGTCAGCTGCGCGCAACAACGACGCCCGCATCTTGACCTTCGTGGTGCACTGTTGCAACGTTCGTGGACGGAGCGAATCGCCGTCCGCGCCGCGTGAGAGAGTAAAAGGAATGCTAAGAGCGTCGCGTGCCTTGCAGGGACGGACTACGTGTGCGACGTGAAGCCGAAGGCGAAGACGGGCAGCAAGGCGCGCGACAAGCTCGGCGGGTCCGTGTTCGGCGACGGCGGCGCGGCTCGCGAAGACCGACCCGAGCGCGCCAGCGCACAGGCTACCGCAGGCCTGCCCTCGCGGGACGCCCTCCCGCCGCCTCCCCCCCCCGGCGACGCGCCCCCCGAGGCCCTCCGCGACGCGCGGCGGCTGGAGGAGCTCACCCGCGACGAGCGCGACGCGGGGCTGGCGTCCGTGTGGCGCAGCGACGACGCGGCGTGGCGGCGGCGCGACCGCTCGGCGATCCGCCGCGAGTTCGAGGCGATGCAGGACGGGCGGATGGAGGTTGACGACGACGGGTACGGCATCGACATGGGTGGCGCGGGGTTCGCGCCGCTGGGGGCGGAGGACGAGGAGGATCTGTCGCAGGCGGACACGAAGGGCGCGGCGCGGCGGGAGCTGGGGCGCGCGGACTTCGCGACCGAGGGGGAGTATGAGAAGTATAAAATGTCGCGGGAGGCGGTGCCGAGCGTGGCGTACCAGTTCGGCGTCAAGGGGAGCGACGGGCGGAAGTCGGCGAAGCAGATGCGGCGGGAGGCGGAGCGCAAGTTGGACAAGGGGCTGAAGGAGGTGGAGAAGATTATGAGAGAGAAGGGCACGTACCACGAGGGGGCGTTTGGGGGCGGGGACCGCGGGGGCGACGGGGACGGGGACGCGGGGCGGCGCAGGCAGAAGCGGCTGAAGATATGAGGACGCGGCGCGTGTGAGACGCGGGCCAAGGACGTGCGTTTGCATCAGCCACAAGGGCGCAGGTGTGTTGTGGGGTATGACAGCTTTTCGCATGACAGGCCACGCGGGGGACGGCGGTGACGAGGGGAGCTGAGTAGCGGTCGGCGCGTCGCCACACAACGCGGACAATGCCGCAGACTCAGTCACCGCTGTCACCCAGCCGGCTGCCGACACCCCCTGGTACAAGCAGCCTAGGACGTGGACCAGCACTTCGGCGCGTCGGCTGGCGGGCGTCGTCCAGTACTCGCGCGGCTCGCCGCGTTGTTGCTGACGACGCCCGCCACTCACTCTAACTGATTGCAGGTCAGAGCCTTCCCTTGGCACATGATGGCACGCTCACATGGCATTTCGCGCGAGTACTCCTAGCACGCTGCCGCCTTGATCAGGACGATAGCACACCCGCATTTCGTTTCGTGCGCGGGTGGTCAATTAACACTTTGGGTGCTGCGTGCGCCGCTGAGGCTGCGTTCGGGTTCTCGAGCAGGTGCACATCGCGCTGCCTCGCGCGGCGCGCACAGGTATCCATCGAGCGTCCAACCCGTCCGTCAACACTCCAGGGGCGGTGTCGGGGCCTAGCTCCTGAACGTGCGGAGCAGGCCGGCCGTCGCCCACGTCGCGACGACGTTGCGGTGCGGGTGGTGGCACAGCCCGATCGCCCCGCCGTCGTGCGCGTTGAAGGACCCCTCCAAACTCCCCCCCCCCAACTCGAAGCAGTACACGAATCCGTCCTCGGTCAGACAGTACGCCAAACCCCCCCGCGGGGACACCGCGCACGCCACGAAGTCCTTGACCTTCACGCTCGATCCCTCCCTCCTCGCCGGCAGCGCGCGCACCACCATGCCCTGCAACAAAAAAAACAACGCCGCTGCCACGCACATGTTGAGCCGACGCGAGCCCGACAGCGATCGTACGCGCACGCACTGCCGTCCGTGGGCCGGAGCTTCGGCTGGGGCGCACGCGCACCTCGAGGTTCATCACGTGCGCGGTGGACGACCGGTCGCACACAACCACCAGGTCCGAGATCCCCGGCACTGGAATCGCCGCGTTGATGGGCAGCTCCCCGCTCCCCTCGGCGCGCGCGGGACGGAAGGAGCGCACGCAGTCGCAGGACTTGGCGTCCCACAGCCGCACGGTGCCGTCTGAGGACCCGGTGAGGACTTGCCCGCCGTCCCCGCAGTAGGCGACGCTGTTGACGTAAGACGTGTGCCCGCGGAACTCCTTGAGCATCTTGCCCGACCGCAGGCCGTGCACGCGCGCGGTGCCGTCGAACGAGCCGGACAGCACGTGCGACTTGTCCCAGGACAGCGCCACGCTGGTCACGCCCTGCGTGTGGGCGCCGTCGAACCGGCGCAGGCACTGCCCTGCGCTCACGCGCCACACCTTGATCTGCCCATCGCTCGACCCGGACGCGAGCACCTCCGAGTCCTTCGACCACGCCAAGCACAGCACCGCCGCGTCGTGCAACATAAACGCCCCCTCCTTCTGGTACGACAGATTCTTCCTCAGCTTGCCCGTCGCGGGGTCCCACAGCTCGATGAACCCGTCCGCCGACCCCGTCGCCAGCGCCTGCCCGTCCGGCGAGAACGCCGCGCACTCGGGGTGGTTCTTTTTACCCCCAAGCTTGATCTCCATTTCCTGCTCTTTCACCGGCGCCTCGCCCTCGTCGCGGGCCGTGGCCGCGGCGCCGCGGAAGAGGTCGTACGCGACGCCCGGCGGCAGCGTCCCCTGGTGCTGCTGCCACCGCAGCGCCTGCCCAATGAGCGCCACCAGGCGCGAGGGCGGCACCACCGTCACCTCCTGCGACAGCGCCTGCGCGATCGCCGTGCGGCGCTTCGACTTGCTGCGTCCGGCGTACAGGTCCCTGCGAAGCAAGACACAGACAAACACACCCCCGTTCAGCAGCACAGGTAGAAACACTCAAACAGAGACGTGAGGGGCCGGGTGGGCGGCGGGCGTGCGGCGGCGCGGCGAGGCGCTTGCCTGAGGTCCGGGTGCTCCTGCATGCACAGGCGTTCGAGCTTGAGGTACCGCTCGGGGTCGTCCCTCTTCAGTGCCTCAAACACCCGGGTCTGACGCAGCATGGCGCGCGCCGTGTCGACCTCCCGGACCTCCGCGAGCTCCAGGACGATCTGCGCGGGGTCGCCGCAGCCGCGGGGGTCGGTGCGAGGTGACGCGGGGCGGTGGGCGGCAGAGTTGTGCGTAAAGAAGGCACAGCGACGCACGATGCGTGGTGATGGGTTTGGTGGGCGTGCACCGACGTGCGCGTGTCGCACAGAGCTTGCATGCGCAGGGAAGGGGGGGCAGGGACGCCGCACCTGCTCGTATAACGCGACGAGTTTGTCTGTCGGCAACTTCAAGGTGGCGATTTGCGGCAGCACGGCGTCCCAGCGCCCGTGTGTGATGTCCGTCACGAACTGTTCGATGTTGTCCACCGTGTTGAGCGACACCTGACATTCTCTCTGCGGGACAGGCGCGCGGGCGAGCGCGGAGGTCACCGTGAGCAGCGCAAACGAGCTCCCACTGACGCGTCGACACGTCTCACGCCCGTTTGGACCACCTGTGCGGGATGATGTGCAAGACAAGCGCTCACTGCGCAGCTCGGCGCGCGTGGCGCGCGTTCAGCGGCCACGAGACACGGGTGCGGGCTGCATACCTGAATGGCATCGAACGAGTCGTGAAGATTGTTCTCCTTGCAAAACTGGAGAATGATCTTGATGACACTGCGAACGTGCGAGCGCGTTTCCGTCGTGTTTGATGCACAGGCGAGCACGAGCTGCGGACCAACACTCCAGCACGCGAGCGGACGCTAGCGCGACCACACTCGCCGTCGCGAACGGGCACTCACTCCGTCGCCTCAATCTCTAATTGGCTGGCCATCGTTCCTTCCTCTCCGAGCCGCCGCGCTCGCGGCGTGGGCCCCGTGCGACAGCACTATGCCAGCAACAAGCTGCTCGCGTCACCTGCAACAGCGCACACCCCGTCCTCGGCGCAGCGTCATCCAGCAAGGTGGTTGTCCGCACGGCCAGCGCACGCTCCTCCCCGAAACGGCACCCCATCACCCGCCAGCGAACACCCCCACACCCCCCCCCACCCCCCCGAGTACGCGCCCGGCGACGACGCACGGCGCTCGCACGCAAGCCCGTCACCTCCGCACGCCACAGCGCTCTGCCCTCCGCGGACCCGCCCTCGCACCACGGGACGCAATGCACAAGCAGCACCGCCAACCAACGCCCATCTCACACGGCCGCGACGCCAGCGCGTCCCCGGCGATGTCCGGCGAGCGCTGAGCCGCTCGGCAGCGGCGGTCGACCACCTCCCCCAGTTCACCGTTGTTCTCTCCCTGCGCGGCGCTGTTTGCAGAGACGGGACCCAGGGGTCGCCAGGAGGGACGTGTACTGCGCGACGGCGGCCGCGAGCTCCCCGCTGTCGTCGCCGTCGAAGCGCGGCGCCATGGCCTCCGACGGCAGCACGTTGGCCGTCAGGATCGCCTCGGCCTCGGGCGGGAGCGCGGTGGGCGCGTCGAGCGGCAGCGCCCTCCTCCGCTTGCTGGGCGGGGCCGGATCGGCCGCGGGAGCTGCACTCAGGGGTGCTGCGTTCGCTGAGCGCGGCAGAGGTGAAAAGTTTGCCGGCTGGCGGGCGCGGGTGGGGAGTGTGCACACCTGCGAAAGCCTGGCGCGCTGGTTGCGGTGCGATCGCAGCGAGGATGAAGGAGCCTGCTGCGACCTCGAAGTCCTCAACGAGCGCGTCGTCGGGCTCCAGCAGGGCGAGGTCGCCGCCGTCCGAGCACCTGCGAAGCACAGTCTCTCAGTACTTACGGCGCCGTTCGCACTCGCAGCGCTTCCTCCGGTCCCGGGCGCGCCCCGTTTGATCCGTCGGAGCTCCATCATGTCAGCGGGCGCGTCGTCTGTGCGGGCAGCGCGCGGAGAACTCACCGAGCCCAGAGGCTGAGGTAGGTTGGGTCTGGGGGCAGCAGCGAGGCCCCGTGTGGTCCCGCTTGCGCGAACGCGTCATGGAACGCCTCGCATATGTCACGCTTCATCCGCGCGACTTCGTCCGCGGGGTCGACGCGCACTTCGCGCACGTCGCCCGGGTACATACGCACCCGCACCGCCACGAGACGCTTGTTGCGCGGCATCTCCGCGCGGCATGAAGCCACCGCCCCCCGCACTCTCACGCCTGCATCGTGAGCACGTCTCCCGCGGCACGCGGCCGCGCGCGGACCGCGTCAAACTGCCCCCGTGGTAGATCCGCCTCGCCACGCAGCCAGCAGCGCCCGTCGCGGCCGCTCGCGGCGCCCCTCGCGATGCGTGCCGTCACCGCGGGATGGAAAGTGGCGCGGCGGAAGTGACCGGGCCCGGGTTCGATGCGGCGCCGCGATGCGGCGATGATGTCATGTGGCGGGCGCGTGGCACGAGGGCCGGGGGGGAGTCTCAGTCCCGCGCATCGCGCGGACAAGCCGTGCCCGGCGGCGCGCTTGAGTGTCCCTCACGCAGTCGTGCACCGCGGCGCGCGGCGGGAGACGCTCGCTGATCGCCGCTGCGTGCCGCTGAGCCTGCCCGAGGCTGCGACGGGGCGCTACTTGCGGCCGCGCGAGCCTCGTAGCGGGCAAGAATGCGTGGTTCGGGACGTGGATCGTGCTGCCGGGGCGCATCGCCAGGGTCCGTCCGTCCCGGCCGCTGTGGTGACGTCTGGCGCGCTGGCTCTTGGCAGGGGTGGTGCGCGAAGCCGAGCGGGCGTGCGCGCGCGACGAGTGCGAATCTGAGGAGTTCCATCGCGTCACACGCCCTAGAGCGCACAAGATCCACGCACACACCGTGCCGTCGCACAGCGCGGCCTCAGTATGCGTGGTTTTGGCGGAATGCGTTTCGAGGGCCCTACGCGCCGCGACGTCGCTGTGATGTACACTTCACGCCAGCCGCACTGCTGTCCTACGCATCCAGGGTCCATCGGGCACGTAGAAGGCCATGTATATACAAGCCGCCCTCCGTCCCGCCCCCTTTTGTGCCCTGTCTAGGGGGCGCAGATGACGCGCGGTCGACCGCGAACGCGCCGCACCCTGCCGCGCGCCGCCTTCTCTCACGCGCCTCGAAGGCGTACGCGCCGTCCAAGGCCCGACATCGGCCTTCAGGGCCGGCTCCGGCCCAGCGAGAGGGGCTCCTCGCTTTGGATGTCGACGACCTGCCGCGCCGCGCCTCGCACACGCAGCGACGTGCCAGTCTGACCCGCGCACCCGTTTCTCTGAATATATAGCCCGCGGCAGAGCCGCAATTTGCCGATCGCCAGGCCCGGCTCGTGCCGCGGATCTGCAACACTCACTGCCCATTGGACGGTGGCCCAGTCCCCCTGGCATCTTTCATGAGACGAATGGGCGGCCGCGAGGGCCTCGCGGGCCACTTCCGCGCCCCCACCCCGCGCCCTCGACAACACAAACGCCGCTGCACCGCTCCTCGCAGCAACACGAAGCGCGTCGTGCCGCGCATCGGTTCCCGCCAAGGGACGCGCCCACAGGCTCTCGTCGGAACGCGAAATGCGGGCCGAGGCCAAGTCTGGCGAGCGCAAAAAAGGCAAGTTCGAATACCACTGCCGCGCCACGCACGCCCGCGCGGACCGTGGTACGCCCCACGGGCGCCGCGCGCCCCATCCACTCTGGTCGGCATGGCTCGAGTTTTAGGGCAAGGCCCCTAGCGCGCGCTCCGGGGGCGGCCAGCAAGGCCGCGGGGCGCCGCCGCTGCCCGCGCGGGCCGGGTGCAGCCGCCACGCGGGGCCTCGGCGCCCCCCGACGGCCCGCCCGCGCGCAACGCGCCCCACCGTGAGTGCGCTTGACAAGCGCGTGGCGTGCCCGGGGCGATCCGCGGCCCGGGACGACATACCCGCCCGTGTCGCCGCGCACTGACGGCGATGTGGTTCGTGCGATCCGCGCAGGGACGCCATGGAAGGAGGAGGAGCACCGGCTTTTCCTGCTGGGGCTGGCCAAGCTGGGCAAGGTGCGTGGATCCCCGGGGCGATCGCCGCGCGGTTTCCGCGCGACCGAAATGGCGCCGATAATCGAAGGAACCACCGGAGCGGAAAATACCGCGCCGGCGCGCATCCGCGAGCCCGCACCGTTGGATAGTGCGGGGCGCCAGTTAGTTGCCGTCTAGCGGCTCCGCAGCGCGCTCGTTGCCGCTCTCCGCGCCCACCCTTGCTTGATGGGCACATGATTCACCGTTGCGCGGCGCAGTTCGCCGCTCTGGCCCCCGCACAGCCGCAACGCGCCCAGCCAATGGAGGGCGCCCGTTGAGAATGCGCTTTTTCGCCTTTCCGCCCTTTCCGCACCGCAACTTCCGCCCCCGCCCGCGCGAGGCGCCCCCTCACCCACAGCCCCGCCCAAAACCCCGCTCCCGCGCCCCCTGCCCGCAGGGTGACTGGCGGGGCATCTCCCGCCACTACGTAACTAGCCGCACCCCTACTCAGGTGGCCTCGCACGCGCAGAAGTACTTCATCCGCCTCCAGTCCTCCAAGAAGAAGAAGCGCGCCTCGCTCTTCGACATCACCGCCGCGGACGACCCGCGACTCCAGCAGCCCGGCGCCGCGACGCTCCCCCCCGCCCCAGCGCCCCCGCGCAGCAGCGCACGCGCCCCGGCGCCCGCCCCGGCGCCCGCGAGCCCGGAGGACCTGCGCAACGCGAGCGAGCCGACGTTCCCCGGGGCCTCGCCCACGACGTACGTCGTGCAGCACCCGGGCGGGCGCGTCGCGGTGCTGGCCCCGCCGCCGGCAGGCCTGCACCCGACGTCGCTGCCGATGGGCCAGGCGCCCGCGTACGTCGTGAACCCGCCGGGCACGTACGGCCTGATGTACTACCAGCTCTGCGCCGCGCCGCCGCCGCCGGCGCAGGCGCAGGACGGCGCGGAGCGCGAGGATGCTACGTCGCGCCTGTACCGCCCCACCGCGGGGCTGCCGCGGCCGCCGAGCACCGGGTTCGAGATGGACGGGCCCGAGGCCAAGGCGTGCATGTCCGGCACGGGGCTGCCGCTCACGTGCCGCCTCCTCGGCCTCGCGTGGGTCGCCAGCGAGGAGCTGAGCAAGTCGGATGGCCTGGGCATGGACAGCGGCTCCGGCGCGCAAGGTGAGCGCTCGCTGCGACGCGCCGCCGGCCCGGGCGGCGGCGCGGAGACTGCTGCGCGCGGCGCGCGCCTCGCGGCGGGCACCGCGGGCGGATCCGCGCGTATCTTGCGGGTCGCGTCGATTGGTGTTTGTTGAGCCAATCGGTGCAGCGACGATCGGGATCTGACGAATGGCTGTGCCTCTCGAGCTGCAGGCGCGAAGAAGGATGCCGAGGACAGCCTGGGCGCGAGCACGCAGCAGGCCTCGGAGGGCGGCGCTGGCGGCACGGCGCGCGCCTGCCAGTCGCACGACGCGGCGCTGATCCAGCAGATCGACGCGCGCATGCACGGGCCTACTTCTGCAGAGCCCGCCGTCGCATAGGCTACCCCCCGCCCCCCCGACCCCTCAACGACCCCTCTTCCCCCGAGCCGTCTACATACGTATCACGAAAGCGGAGCGAGAGCGCCGGATTGTGGAACGACGGAGGCGCTGCCTGACCGCCTCTTCGCTCTTCGCTCGGCCCCAGCCTCTCGTTCCCCCGTCGCTGTGCCGAGTTTCATGGCATAGCCGCAAATTGAAGCCTCCTGTACCTGCGTTCTTGCCGACGCGTCGACGACACCAACCCCGTGGCTTAACCACCCGCGCCCAGGGCGACGATCACATCACATTTGCCCGCAACGCCCTCCACATGCCACGGCGCATGAATCCCGCGCCCGACGCTGCATCTCAGCTGACGGCACACGCGCCTCGGCGCGCGCCCGTGCGCGCCAGGGCGCCGGTAAGCCCCAGAGCCACCTGGCCAGGGCCAATGAAGAAGACACGCAAAGATCGACGTGATCCCCCAACAGCGCGTTGCTCAGTTCCTACCTGCTCTCCCGAGCACCGTCGGACACTACCTGCGCTACCTGGATGGTTCCCGTGGTCATCGACCCCCCCCCCGGATCCTCAAGCCCAGTTCCTCTCTGCGATACCTTGGACCTGGAGGGGTCGTCTCCTTCTTCGCCTCGTCGCCACCGCGGCTTCCCCTCGCCCTCTTTTCCACGACCCACGCGTCAGTGCACGTCGCGCTCCGCTCACCGAGGCCGCGCTGCCCACAGGCCAGTGTGGATGCTGGCAGCGCGCCCGGCGGGGAGGGACAGTCTCGCCCCTTTTCCCAACTGACCAAGCCCCTATTCCACCTGATTCCGACAACACCCAACCTCCCCCTTCCTCCCCGCCCCCCCGTTTGTTCCTCCTGCTACCACGTCTCTGGTCGTCCCCAGCGTCGTCTGGACGGGGCCGCTTCGCAACACCAGTACTCACGCGCGCAGGCACATGCCAGCCCACTGCCTGGTTCGCCCTACATCTCGAGTCGGCGGAGAATCGACTCCTTAGTCGCGATACGCTTCCTAGTGTCGTTTGCGTGCCACAGCTTGCACACACACACACACACACACACACCTGCTGGGCGGCAGCAGCAACTGCCTTCCTTCTCAACCTGTGAGCCGCAGCATACCAAACGCACGTGCCCGTACGTCGGGAAAGACCAGCGCGTACTCAACCAGATCGCAGTGGTCCTCGGAGGACTCGGCCAACTCGTCTGGAGAATATTAATTCTGAGGTCGTGTCCTGGCAGGTGTGGATCCGCGAGTCGCGTCGTGATACTTCATCACACCCGCCGCCCACTTGCCCGCCGCCATTCCGTCAGCGCCGACCACCGCCGATGCGGAACGACTCGGTGTTGCTTGCTGCGACGTTGCCCGACCCTAGCCTCCCCGGCTGCAAGCTGGTGCTGCGGCCTGCGTCGCCGTACTTGCCCAGCGCCGCGCTGCTCGCCCCCGCCGCGCCAGCACCCAACAGCTCGGCGGGCGGCCGCCCAAACACGTCCGCTGCGGACCGCCCCCCGGCACTCCCCCCCCTCCGCGGGGATCGCGACCGCGACCTGCGACGGCCCTCGTAACGAGCAGGACTGCGCCGTGGCCCGTCCCGCCTGTCCCACTCGCGCCCCCGGTCCCTCCCGCGCTCGTGCCCGGCGTCCCTGCCGTGGTACCCGTCCCGATTGTACCCCCTATAGTCCCCCCGGTCCCTGCTGTCACGTCTGTCCCTGCTATACCCCCCCCTGTCCCTGTCCCGGCTGTGCCCGCGATGCTCCACGTCCCGCTCGCCCCCCCTGTAGTCCCTGCTCCGATCGTACCCCCTGTCACGCCCCCGGTCATACCCGTCTCTGTCCCCCCCCCTCTGGAAACCCCGATCCCTCTCCCTGTCCTGCTCGTACCCGCCACGCTCGTACGTGCGCTGCCCGTAGCCTCGCTGCGCCCCTCGGCCGTCCGGCGAGCGCCCACGCTGCGCCCGGGGGGCTTCGCCATCGCCCCCCCAGCCGGCCGCCCTGTCTGGCCCGCCCGACGTGGGCCCCGGGCCGCCCCTACGAGCGTCGCCCGCGCGCGCCACGGCATTCTCGCGGTTGCCGCGGCGGTTCGGCGCGCGCTGGCCGAACGCAACCGACAGGGACGCCTTGACGGACGCCGGGCGCGAGCCTGACTCATGCCCGCGACGGTCGCCCCCGCCCGTGCCGCCGTTCCCCTTGGGCTGATCCGGCAGCCCGAGTTCTCGGCACTTCTGCGAGCACGTGCGCGGGCTTCCGAAGCGCTGTGGGGGCAGACGCTCGCTGCGGGGGACTCGCAAGCACAGCACCGCCGGAGGCGGGCGGCACGCACCTCCATGATCTTGCGGCGGATGCCTTCCGGGCAGCGCGGGAAAAGCGTTTCGAAGTACTCCATTTTCAGAAGGATGTCGCGCACAAACTCGCCGATGGTGACCTCCTCGCCGAACGGCGACGGCTTGAACTTCTCCGGGTCCTCCAGGTACGGGTAGAACCAGTCCTGCAGCGCCACGTCGCCGGCTGGGGTTGGGGCGCTTCAGCAGAGGCGTGCGGTGATTCGGAGCGGCGGCGCCAGTGACATAGACGGTGGTGGTCGCTCCGAGGTGCGCGATGGATGACGGGCGGGGCTGCTGGTGGCGCTGGTGATGTGGATTGGGGCGGGGCGCAGTCGTTGGGGACGCACCGGGAACTTTCGCGGGTCGGCTCCGAAGCGGATGAAAAGGAAGCCGATGGCGCGCACGTACGGGCAATCCGTCGTGTCCAACATCGCCTGAATGTCCTTCTCGCTGACTTCGAGCTCGAACAGCCTGCGGCGGAGGAAGAAACCGTGACTACCTTTCGCGAGAGCCTCCAGAGTCGTGACGTATGCAGCAGCGCCGCGCCAGGGCTGCTCGGGCGGCGTGACATGGACCGTGCCCGGCGTGCGGAGTGGATGTGGGTGCGAAAGATGCAGGGTAGGGCCGAAAACGCTGTTGAGCGCGCGCAAGGACGGCGCGGGGGCAGCGTTAGCAGCTGGAGGGTCGATGGAGCGGCGCTCGCATCGCAGAACGCGCTGACCTGACCATAATACAGAAGCACGTCGACGGCCCTCTTGCGTTCCCGCTCATCCAAGGCTCGCAGTCCGTCACCGCGTCGTACACCTCGTAGACCAGGCTCTCGTAGTCCAAGCCCCTCTTTACCAGCTCCTGGTAATACAACGAAGAGAGCACGTTCTGAAACAGAACCTTCTCCATGTTGAAGGTGGCCTTGTGCGTGCCATAGATCTCCATCGGGTCCCCCATCGCGCCCGAGGCGCCTCCACGCAGCCTGGCCGCCCCTCGCTCACCCCGCGTCTGACACAGCGACGCGCCAAGCGGACGTCCGCGACCGCCCAAGTCTTCACCGACAAATCGTGCACCCGGCGCGCCGCTGCGCCTCCCCGTGCAACCCTCAAGCTGGCGCAGGGGGAGTCGAGGCACACTACACACTCCCCTGACGCACGCGACGGGCACAGCGGACCGCAGCCGCACCCACACCCCAGCGGGATGCTTCGCTGCCAGGAAGCCCTCCCTCCCGCGCGTGGCCTTTCCTCTCACTGCTGCTAGTCACACTGCGTAGGATGCGCGTCATGGGGTCACTGCAGGAACAGGCGCCGCACGTGCTCCTCGCCGGCGGGCGTGTGCGTGATCGGGCAGCACCGGTGCTCCCGCGTCCACGCCATCAAGCACGTGTAGCAGAACAGATACCCCGACCGCGCGCACACCGCAGGGTTGCTGCGGGTCTGACAGCACAGCGGGCACGTGCGCGGGTCGGCCGGGATCGAAACGTGCCGCTTCGCGCCGCCCGCCTTCTCGCTTCCCGCGGGCGGCGGCGGCGCAGGGGACGGCGCGGGCGGCGGCGGCGGCGGCGCCGCTGGCGGCGCTGCACCTACGTGCTCCTCGCCCGTGACGTACCACCACTCGATCGCCTTGAACGCCAGCACGGAGATGACCAGCGCGCCCTGCGCGCAATCAGACGCCCAGTGCGCCGCCCTGCAGCACGAGGGATCCACGGAGAGTCGTCAGTCATGTGCGATGCAGCGCACCTCGCCGGCGACGCGTGTGAGGGCCGCGGGGCGTGCCTGACGGCGAACTCCCGGATCGGGCCGACGATGTTGCCGGCCATGCGCGCCTGCGCCGTGGCCTGCGCTCGCGCGGCTCGCGTGCGCGCCTGCATGAGCCGCGCGTCTGTTGCGGTGGCGCGCCGCAGCCGCACGCCCGCGAGGCGGTGCTCCGGCGCGAAGTACGTCCCGAGCTCGAGCAAGTACGCCACCTGGTACGCCAGCCGCAGGCCCTCCCAGCCCACGTGGACGACAGGGTACAAAAACAACACCACCTCAGGCCACGCGGGAGCGCTGGCAACGGCGCCGTCCACCCACCTCCGCACGCGGCGGACGGCGCGCAGGGCGACGGTCGTCATGTTCGCGGGCGGCGACGCCGCGCCGCCCTGCCCGTCGCGCTCCGAGGGCGTTGCTTCGCTGGGCGTAGTCAGCTCTCTGGCGAGGGGGGTAGCGCGGGCGTCGAGGTCCCCGCGGAGCAGCTGGAGCTCGCGGAGCTCGCGGTACGCGCGGTCGAGCTTGGTGCAGATGTACGGGAGCCAGACGAGGACCATGAGAGAGCTATGTCGATGTTGCAACCGCAGCAAGGGAATCCCCGATATCTGAAGTGGCGCTGGCGCCTGTCTGCCGTCGGCCGCGCGCCGCGCGGCGCCCGCGTCGCGCCGCCGCTGCTGCAGGAAGGGACGCTGGCCCGGTGGCCGTCGCAGGCCAACCGATCGACATTGCATGCGTGCATTCTTTGGCGAGGACAGCGCAGGCTGGGTCCGGGGGCGCACCGTCGAGGGGACGCGCTGCAGGCCGTAGAGCGTCTCAGAGAAGGACGCGTCGCTGCCGTTGAGGGCGGACGCGTGCACCAGGTGCAGCACGAGGGCGACGAGTTCATCTTGCACGTCGGACAGCACGCCCGCCCACCCGTGGCGCTCCGAGGCCGCCTGCGCGTGGATCGAGGGACGCCTCGGCGACTCTCTACTGCCTATTCCGTCAGGCGCGGCGGTCTTCGAGGCGCCGCATGCGTTCCAGGCGCGAGCGACGGGCGCACCGTGATGGCGTAGCGCACTGCCTGCGTCAACGAGGCCTCGAGGCGCTCCGCGGCGGCCATCTCGAAGAAGCTGGGCCTCAGCGGATGGTCCTCCGTGTCCATCAGGCTCTCGCCCAGCGTGACTTCCGCGGACGTGTCCATTCTGGGGCTGTGCACACGCACTGCTAGTTGCTCTCAAGCAGCCCGTTCACGCAACCTGTCGGCGCTACTCTCGGCGCCGCTGCTCCAGTGCTTCACCGTATATCGCTCGCGACGTTCGTTATCATGAACCCACGACGTTTGGAGCACCAGAGCCGTGCTGAGATGGACGACTTGTCTCCGACCCGTGTCGCCGCCGGCTCATCGCACACGCGCTTCGCTCCTACGAACACGTCGATCAGCGGCCTCTGCTGGCCGCCACCGCCCGGGCTGGCCGTCAACCAGCCGCGCACGCTCCCGCCCGACCTGCGGCGCGTCCACGCCACCCAGGGGAGTCCTCGCCCCCCAGGCGCGCGCGACGGGCTCGAGGCCGCGCGCCGGCGCGGAGCACCGGGAAGAGCGCCGCTGTCGGCGGGCCGCTCGCGCCCGCGTCGCGCCTGCGCGTGACGATGCCACCTTCCCTGGGCGCGGGGTCTAGCTCGCCCGTGACCCCTGCAGCGTCGAACTCCGTCGGACTCTCCGGCCCCGGCCCCATGTCGTTTCTTCACCGCGTTCCGGGGCGCGCGTGCGCGATGCGTGCGCGTCCGCTGTTCGCGCATGCCTGCGTCGTGCGGGCAAACCGCCAGGGAGCACCACCGCCGGCGCCGCGTAACCGCGCGCTCGCGCCGCCGCTGCTAGCGTCCGACGGCATCCCATGGCTCCAATCACGCCAGCCACGCATCGCCTGCGGGCGGAGCGTCCGGCACTCTGTCGCGGCGGCCAGTCTCGATTCTCACACAGGCTTTCCGTCCTCCGAGCGTCGCGTCGACTACGACGCCGTCCTGGACACCCTCAGCAGCGAGCAGCGCGAAGTCATCGACGCCCCCCTCGGCGCGCCGCTGCTCGTCAACGCCGGGCCTGGCTCGGGGAAGACTCGCGTGCTGGTGGTGCGCGTGGCCGACCTCGTGCAGCGCCGCGGCGTGAAGCCGTGGACGGTCGTGGCCATCACCTTCACGAACCGCGCAGCCGTGCAGCTCAAGCAGCGCCTCCAGGACATCCTCGGGGACCGCGGCAACCTCGTCACGGCCTGCACATTCCACTCCCTCTGCGTGCGCACCCTCCGACGGCACCTCGCCGACTTCAACGCGGCCGGCCGCACCGGTCCGTTCACGCCCACGCGCGGCCCGCGCACGGACCGGACATTCCGCCGACCTCGGGTTCGTCCGTCTGACCTGACAGTTGGCGCCGTGTTTGTGCGTGCAGGAGCCTTCACGATCCACGACCAGGACGACTCCGTGTCGCTCGTGCGGACGTGCCTCGTGGAGGACCTGGGCTTCGACCCGAAGGACAAGAAGAAGTCCCGGACGGTCGCGAAGGACATGCAGCGGCTGATATCGCTCGCGAAGAGCCACTTCATATCTACGCCCATGACGGACGGCGCCGAGGCCGTCGAGGTGCTCCTGGGCGGCGGGGCCCGCGGCGAGCCCCTCCAGGGCTACAGCGGCGAGCTCACCGACGATGCGAAGCGGCGGCTGTTCGTTAAGCTCTGGGCACACTACCACCGGCGGTGCCAGCAGCTCAACGCCATCGACTTCGACGACCTGCTCGGCCTCACGGTCGCGATGATGCGCGCCGTTCCGGACGTCGCGGACGCCGTCCGCGCCAAGTACCACCACGTGCTTGTCGACGAGGAGAGGTGCGCGCCTCGCGTTGCTGCTCTCCGTGCAAGCATGCTGCACAGGCCGGCCGGGGTGTCACACGGCGCACATGGCCGAGTGTCGAGTCCTATTTATTTCCATTTATTGATTAATTGTTTATTCATGCACGAACGCCAGCGCCGCCAGCATTAATCGCCTCGCGTGGCCGTGGCAAGTGCAGGTATGCCAACACAGCGGCTCCGGTCGCGAACGCGCTCTTTGACGGCTTCGCCGCCGCGCTGGCTGACGAGCAGATCGCCAGCGAGGTGCGGCACATCGCGGAGCGCGCCAAGCAGCAACTGCTTGCTGACGCAGCAGCGAGGCTGGAGGACGAAGCGCACGCGCCGGCCGTCGCGCTGCTGGCAGCGACGCTCGTCGGGCGTGGCGTCGAGGACGTGGGGGACTCTCAGGACCTGTCTGACATCGCTGCGCTCTGTCCCCCCCTGCCAGACCACGTCGCGCAGGCGCTGAAGCCGCGCGCGCGTTCCGCGCTGACCAAGTTCCGCTGCATGATGTTCGCGCTGGCAGTTCTGCTGCGCCTCGGCCCGCCAGGTATCGCGCGTCGCGTATACAAGCTGATGCTCGGCGTGACGGGATACGCGGAGTTCCTGGACCAGGGCAAGCTGGACCGCGGCAGCGGCGCGCCGTCGCGCGAGGCGTCGGAGCGGCGGCGCGAGAACGTGAGCGTCGTCGCGCAGGAGCTGGGGGCGTTCCCTGACCGCGTGCGGCGGGACGACACGACCGAGGTGGAGCTCGCGAGTGGGCTTGACACCGTGGTCGCGTTCCTACAGGAGGCGCAGCTGCAGACGCAGGGGACGGAGGAGGCGACGCAGGGCGACGAGGTGCGCCGATGCCGCACGCGCCTGCGTCGTCGTCGTGGTCCCGAAGTTATATCTTTGCTCGCATTGCTTGTTGTTGTGTGCGGCTGGAGGGGGCGCTGCATCCCTGCGTGCGGGGGTGTGCCGGCGTCTCGGGCGGCGCGGCTGCGTGTGCCGACTGTTTCGCGTCGCCGCTGCGTCGTTGCAGGACAAGGTGACGCTGGTGACGATGCACGCCGCCAAGGGGCTGGAGTACCACACAGTGTTCCTGTGCGCGTGCACGGACGACATCGTGCCGCACTACAACACCGACAACGAGCCGGAGGAGCGCAGGCTCTTCTACGTCGGGGCCACGCGGGCGGAGCGCAGGCTCCTCGTCACCTTTAGCACCCTGCACTATCTAGACACCCACCGCCTGACCAAGGTCTCGCGCTACGTGACGCAGGCGCAGCGCCGTGGCGCGGACGTCGCGCCCGTCACGAAGGTCGCTGAGATGGTGCTGCAGCGGTCTCAGCAAGCTGACGCGCCGGACGCACACGCCCCGTCACAGCACGTGCCCCCGCACGGCAGGCGCACCCGCGGTGCTCCCGGAGGCTGGACGCCCCGGCGATGACAGCGCTGCGCTGTAACGAAGGCATCGCGCCGTACAACGCGCTATGAATGCGACAGCGTCGATCACAACGGCACGCGCGGCCGTACGCCTCACATGTTTCAGGGCCCAAAGCCCACTTCAGCGCGGAGGTATGCACCTGCTTCAGGCTCGCGTGCACCCAGCGACGATGAAGCTGGACGCCGGGTGCACGAGAGCCTGAAGCAGGTGAATACCTCCGCGCTGAAGTGGGCGGGCGCCGTCCGGCTCACCAACGGGGCGCTCAAGGACCTGCGGGGGTGGGCGCGCATCGGCCAGCGCGAGCACACTGGGCCGATCTGGTTGGATCCTCGGGAAGCGACGATGAAGAATGTGACACCTCATGCTGTCACGATTATCCTGGCCCTGGAGTCAGGTCGCAGTCGTCGAACATCGTCGCCATGTTGAGCTTGCGCGCGGGCGTTTCCTGCGCCGCGTGCGCCGCGTGCAGCCCCGCCGCGGGCTTGTCCCCACAGGTCACCGCGCCCCGCGCAGGCGCCGGCAAACTCCCCCCCGCGCCCACCGCGGCCCGCGCCACCGCGCCACCCGTCGTCCGCGCACCGTTCGCGTCCCCGGCAACCGCGTCGCCCGCCTCGTTGATCCGCCGCCGCGTCCTCGGCGGCTCACTCCCGCTGTCATTTCCCTGCCCCGCATCGCCGTTCGCGCCCCCGCCGCTGCCCGACGCCTTCTCGTCCTGCGACCGCCCGTGCGGCAGCCGCTCCATCGGCGTGTCCGCGACGCCGCCCGTGAAGTACGGGTGCGCCAGCACCTCCGCCACCGTCGGGCGCGCCGCAGGATTCCACCGTAGCATGCGCCCGAGGAGGTCGAGCGCCGCGGGTGACGCGCCCGGGACGATCGACGACAGGGGCACGGGCGCCTTCTGCGCTCGCATGGGCGTCGCGGGCCGCGGTGCTCAGGGCACGGCCGCGCAATTTGTGGAAAACATGTTTGTCGCTCGTCCAAGAGGGCGCAGACGTGCGGGGGGACTCACCCGCTCGCGCGGGACCATGACGGCGTTCGGGAGCGCGGTGAGGTCGGGCCAGTCGGACTTGGTGGGCGACCCGAGCGTGTCCAGTATCCTGCCCAGCACGCCCAGCTCGCTGCCCGCCACAAACAGCGGCTTGCGCCGGTACAGCTCGGCGATGCAGCAGCCGAGCGCCCACACGTCCGCGGCGAGGCCGTACTTGCGCGCCCCGAGCAGGAGCTCCGGCGAGCGGTACCAAATGTTAAACACTTGAGGGGAGTACCTCGTGTTGGGGGACCCGAAGGTTCGCGACAGGCCGAAGTCGATGAGCTTGAGGCGGCCGTCCTGGCCGAACAAGAAGTTGTTCGGCTTGATGTCTCGGTGGATGACGTGGCGCTCGTGGCAGTGCGCGAGGCCCAGCGCGGCCATCCGCGCATACGCTTTCACGTCTGCGAACGCAGCGACACGAACACGCGAAGCTGTCTGGCTGGCGCGAACGCAGGCGGCCGCGGCGCGCGCTCGCGGCGCCCGCGCCTCCGCCGGCAGGGCAGCGTGCGTGCGTGCGTGCGTGCGTGCGTGCGTCGCACCGGCTTCCGACACGCTGAGCGATCTGTCGGTGATGACGTGCTCGAGGTTGTTGTGGCAGTACTCAAGCACGAGCCAGATGTTGTCCTTGTGCACGAACGAATCGTACAGCCGCACGACGTACTCGGAGTCGAGCTCCTGCGCAAACACACGCACACCGCAGCGCGCATGTCATCATCGTCGTCTCAGAACGCAAGCCTGCGTCGTTCCCGCCCGCGTCGGGTCTCAGGCAACTACCGCACGCGCTTCGGTGCGCGGCCGCGGCCACAGGGCCCCGGCAGATGCCGCCCGGCGCCCGAGGCAGCACAGCACCCTTGGAGTGGGACCACGGCGTCGCGCGGCGCGTGCGCGCGTCGAGGCAGCGCCGGCGGACCTTGAGAAGCTTGATTTCCCGGATCGCCGTGCGGTCGATGCCTTCCTTGTCTCTGTGCCGCATAAGGACCTTCTTCATCGCAACCACGCGCCCCGTCGCCCTCTCCACGCCCCTGTACACCACACCGTACGTACCGTCGCCCAGCTTCTCCCCCTTCTCGTACCTATCCATCCTGCCGCCCGCCCGTGCCGAGCTCGCCCTCGCAGCCCCACTACGGGCCCCGCGCGGTGCCCTGACGAGAAACAGCGCAGAGCGGGAGCCGTGCGGGGGGCGAAACGGGCCCGCCTGCCTGCCGACAATCCACAGCCGCCGAGGCCAGGCCTCCCGCGCGCCAGCGGGATTCCGACCCCGAGGCCTGGCGCGACGAGATCGACGGCCACACAACGCTGGGGAGCTCTTCCGCTATTACGCTCCGACGCGGGCGCGCTCAGGACCGAACGCCTGCCGAGCGATGAGCGGTCGTGTGTTCGGTCCGGGCCGCGTCGACGCGGGCGGCAATGTGGTCCCCGGCTGCGCGTCTGCCCTGAGCAAGCAGACAGCCCCTGGAGTCAGGTTGCTCGCGAACGGGGGACTTCACAGCGTGGGGCGCGGCGGGCCCGGCACTGTGGGCCGACTGCGGATCGGGAGGCATTGGACGCAGCCGTCAGGGGCAGCTCGGTGCGCGGGACTCGAAGCTCGGTTTCACCCCCAGAGTGGTTGCATCTTGCGCAGCTTGCGCGGGGAGTTGGGCTTTTCGCGCCGCGCTAGCGATAGAATGAAGTCGGCTCGTCTCAGCACGCGCGCGGCGGCCCCCGCTGCGGGGCGCGCGACGGCTAGGAGGTGCTCGGGTCAGAAGCCCCGTTCTCATCCATCGCTCCGGGCGCTCCCTCAGGGCTCGGGCGAGCAGCCGCTGATCATCAGCGGGCAGCCCACGATGGCTCCTCGCACCCAGGACATGGCAGGCGACCCGTTCGGCCTGCTGCTGAAGAAGCGGATCATTTTCCTGGGCGGCGAGGTGACGGACTTCTCCGCGGACGCCGTGGTGTCGCAGCTGCTCCTCCTCGACGCCCAGGACCCCACGGAAGATATTAAGCTCTTCATCAACTCGCCCGGCGGCTCCGTCACCGCCGGCATGGGCATCTACGACGCCATGAAGATGTGCCGTGCCGACGTCTCCACCGTCTGCTTCGGGCTCGCAGGCAAGCGCCGCCCCCGCCACCTGCTCCACCGCCCGCACATCCCGGCCCGACCACCCCCCCACCCACGTCCGCTCCTCCTCTGCGCCCACGCACCCCCCGAAGCTCCACCACCCGGGCTCCCCACCCACCGCGCCTCCCCGCGCTCGCACGCCGTCAACTCAGCCCCGCCCCGGCCCCCCGCGCCCCACCCACGCCCCGCGCATCCCGTTGCGCACCGCGCCGGGCCTCCTCCGCCGCTCCACGCCCCTCACGGCGCTCTCTCACCCACGCATACACGCAGCCTCCATGGGTGCGTTCCTGCTCGGCGCCGGCACGAAGGGCAAGCGCGCGTCGATGCCCAACTCGCGCATCATGATCCACCAGCCCCTCGGCGGCGCGTCCGGCCAGGCGGTCGACATTGAGATCCAGGCGCGCGAGATCATGTACCACAAGGCCAACCTCAACCGCATCATGTCCGAGTGCACCGGGCAGCCGATCGACCGCATCGACGAGGACACCGACCGCGACAGGTACGCGGCGCCGCCGCGCGCGCGCCCCGCTCGCCGCGCCCGCGCCCGGCGTGCGTGCGTGAGTGTGTGCGGTGTGTTGCGACGGCGGCCGTCCGGCGGGGTGCGCGCAGGTACATGTCGCCGATCGAGGCGGTGGAGTACGGTCTGATCGACTACGTCATCGGCGGGGAGGACAAGACGTACAAGATCACGGGCGACACGCGCGCGTTCCCTAAGACGAAGGAGCAGTACGTGTCGGGGGGCGACGAGGCCGAGGACGGGTCGAGCGGGTCGCGCTTCAAGAAGCCGCTCGAGCCGTACACGGACGGCATCAACAAGGACCTCGACCGGAAGTGAGCGCACGTGTAGACCGGGGGGGTGCCGCATGTGACGTGCGAGACGAGCGCTGACGCGACTGCGGGCGACGCGCGCGGCGGAAGTCGCTGGCGCGCTCGCCCGGCCGCGCTGCTTCCTGTGTGCGGTTGTGGATTGCACGCGAGCCGCCATGGTGTGTTTTTTTGTACCGGGGGGTGTAAGATGTCGGCCATGATGCGCTACATGCGTACGCATCGAGGTTACTGCATGCGACAGGTCCTGGCGATCCACCGCGCCGCCTGCCGGACGCACCCGAGCCCGCATTTTGGCCCTGCCACGCCGGCGGGCCTGGCTGACCTCGTGCGTCTCCACGTGCAGTTTGCAGACCATACTGGCCAACCTGCTGACAGGGCGTGCCCGGCGCCCTGCAACTCGTCACCCTCATACATGATCCCGGCGCTGCGAAGCTGGCTCGGAACTATCCAGCCATGCCCGCACACATGACGCACTCTGTTACCCCCCCGATGGTTGACATGTTGGCCATGCGCGTATTCCGTGGCCGCTAGACCGAGGTATGATCCCTTTTCGCATGACAGGCCACGCGCGGGGGACGGCGATGACGAGGAGAGCTGAGTAGCCGTCGGCGCGTCGCCACACAACGCGGACAATGCCGCAGACTCAGTCACCGCTGTCACCCAGCCGGCTGCCGACACCCCCTGGTACAAGCAGCCTAGGACGTGGACCAGCACTTCGGCGCGTCGGCTGGCGGGCGTCGTCCAGTACTCGCGCGGCTCGCCGCGTTGTTGCTGACGACGCCCGCCACTCCCTCTAACTGATTGCAGGTCAGAGCCTTCCCTTGGCACATGATGGCACGCTCACATGGCATTTCGCGCGAGTACTCCTAGCACGCTGCCGCCTTGATCAGGACGATAGCACACCCGCATTTCGTTTCGTGCGCGGGTGGTCAATTACTACTCTGTGTATGGTTCGTGAGGGGGCCCTGACGGACAGGGCGTTGAGGGGGGGCGGAGCGGGGTCGCATGGACAGACTGCTCGAAGCGCGCACCCCGTTCGCGTCGTTGGCCTGGTCGCTCGAGCGAGCAACGGGCGCAATTAGTCGATTACGAGCGGTGTGGAATTTTTAAGATCCCGAAATGCGCCCCTGGATCGACGAAATAGCACGTCAATGACGCACGTACCAGTAGATACTCAGTGCGTGGTGCCGTGCGCTGGGTCATCAGCATGATGCATCATTCAGCGGCCACGTCCTCCCGGTTCGGCATCGCCTTTCTCAACCGGAGAGGTCCGTGTGCTTCTCATGGAAGGTCGCGTTCGAATGCCACGCGACGCCCCGCGAGGAGGCGATCTCCTGAACACCGTGCGTGTCGCTTCGGAAGCAAGCGGGGCCGCGCCTGCCCAGCAGCGAGCGGTGAAATGGGGACACTCAGCGGCGCTGAACGCCGCGCCAAGGCCCTCAAGGGCGTCGTGCGAATCTTCGCAGTCTCCGACATCCACGTAGACTACCCCGTGAACCTTGAGTGGGTGCGCGCGACCCTCTCCGTCCCCCAGCACGCTGCTGAGAGTCCCATGCTTGCTCCTCGCTGCCCGACACCGCACGCCTTGCACCTCGCGCGCAGGTGGATGCCCTCGCGGCGAGGACCGACCTCGCGAACGACGTCCTCATCCTCTGCGGCGACGTTTCGGACCGCCTGCCACTCCTCCGCCACACTCTCCACCAGCTGTCCTCCGCCTTCGGCCTAGTCGTGTTCGTTCCGGGCAACCACGAGCTCTGGGTGCGCGGCGAGATCGCCCGCGGGGACCCGGTGGACTCCCCCGGCCGCCTCGCGTGGATCGGCGACACCTGCGAGGAGCTCGGGATCGCAATCAAGCCCGTCCGCGTAGGCGCCTGCATGATCGTGCCTCTGCTGTCGTGGCATCACAAGAGCTTCGACACGGAGCCCGACGTGGACGGCCCGACCGCGCGGCTGTTCGCATGCGCGGACTACAAGGCGTGCAGGTGCGGGCCCCGCCGCGTCCACGAACACAATCGGCTATGTGGTTTTTTTGTTGTACGCGACGGCACAGCGGCGCCCGCCGGCGATCGAACACGCACAGAGCAAGCCCGCGTGTCTGTGCTCGCAGGTGGCCCGACTGGGTGCCGGGCGCGGACAGGAACGGGTCGGAAGAGCTCGCCGCGTGGGTTGACGCGTTGAACGACGTCGGGCGCGACGTTCCGGGGAGCAGCGACGTCGTGGGTGGATCTGAGGGGGCTCAAGATGTGGCGCGAGCGCTGGGCCGGGGGCTGACGGCGCTGGGCGCCGCAGAGGTTGCCAGGCAGCACAGCCTGCATGTCATCACGACGGCGCACTTCCTGTCCGACATCCGCCTTCTGCCGGAGAAGAGGTTCCTGTATCTGCCGGCGCTCGCGAAAGCGTGCGGCTCGCTGCCGCTGGCCGCGCGGCTCCGCGCCGTGCGGAACGCCGCTGGCGGCGGCTGCGGTGTCGCGTCTACGCATGTGTTCGGGCACAGCCACTTCGCGTGGGATACCGGTGCGGAGGACGCGTGGGAGCGCGGGGCGGGGCTCGGCGACGGCGCGAGGTACATGCAACTCCCGCTGGCGTACCCCGACGAGCGGGCGCGCCGATTGCCATCCCTGATGCCTGCGCCGGGCGTGCATGCGGCGCGCGGGGGCTTCGAGGCCGACCGCGACAGCATCGAGAGGGCGTGCGAGGACGTGGATCACGTCCGCTCGCCGTGGCTGCCCGCGTGCGTGTACACCACGCTCTGTGGTGACAGCGACGCAGGGGGCGCCGAGGCGGGCGAGGCGCGCTCCGTCGTGGGCCCCGCGCCGCGCATGGCGTGCAGTTGGAGCTCGTACTACGAGCACCGAGCGCGGACGCCCGAGGACGTGACGGTGGCGCCGTGGGTGGCACGGCGGCGAGCACGGCGGCGTGAGGACCTCAGCTGAGCGCGACGCGCCCGCCAGGCTCCGCAGACCTTGATCCTGAGTCCGCAGAGCGTCGAAAGTGAGCCGCGGTGCGACGGGCCGGCATCACGCATGCGTTACAAACACTGCTCCACCCTCCTGGTAGGGATCGCAATATGACATGCCGCTTGGCGGTATAACCACGTCAGGCCCGCAACGTCCTGGCCGACGCAGCGCATGCTGCGTCCCACCGCACCTCACTGCCAGGGCGGGTGTAACGAGCGCGACGAGAGCGGGAACGAGCACGACGCTCCGTGCTGTCGCTCACCCTCGCCGCCCCCTCGAATGAAGCCATCGCATCCGGATCCACGGCGCGGCGCGCGACTCCGCCCCTCCTCGCCCTCCCAGCCCCCCGCGCGTCGCACCGCCCCTAGTTGTGCAGGTTCGAAGAACTGTGTTGCGCCGCGTGCTTCCCCAGGCCGCCCGTGCCGTACTTGATCGACCCGTGCGCGCCCCCGTACTTCTTCGTGCTGTGCCCGCCGCGCGCCACGCCGCGGTGGCTCCCGCGCAGCGCGCTCGGCGTGTCGTCCGGGTCCTCGCTGCTTGCCACCCCCTTTACCTTGGACCCGCTGGGCTTCGCGTGCCGCTGCTTCCCGTACGCGCCGGACCGCTGGTACCCGAACCCGCCGCCGTGCGCGCCGTGCGTCGCGTGCTTGCCGCCGTGACGCGCCTTGCTCACGTGGCTGCCCCCCAGGGCCCCCGAGCCTGAGATGGGGGGCAAATTGCTGCCGCCGCCGCCGCCGCCGCCGCCGGCTCCGCCTCCGCCGCCGATCGGGTGCGTGTCCTCGTCGCTCTCCTGGTGCCACGGCTTCCCGCCGCCGCCGCCGGCGTTGGGCAGCGCGTGATCGCTCGTCCGCGACGTGCCCTTCCCCGTGATCGACGGCAGCGCGCCGAGGCTGCCCTCCTTCGACAGCCGCCCGCCCGTCGCGTCCGACCGGCGCGTGCTGTTCAGCAGCCCCGCGCCGCCGCTGCGCGCGCTGTCGCCCGTCGCCGGAGGCATCCCCAGCGTCCCGTGCGACAGCTCGGGCGTCAGCAGCGAGCGCGTGCGCTTCTCCGCCTCGCGCAGCTCGCGGAAGTACGGGTGCCGGAGCGCCTGCCGCGCGGAGATGCGGTCGTCGGGGTTGTACGCCAGGAGCCTATGCATAAGGTCCACGCACTCCGGGGACGCGTGCGGGATGAGCCGCTCTATGCCGGAGCCCTCCTCCGGCGCGAAGTGCACGTCCATGTGCGTCGAGAGCTTGCGCATGCGCGCGAGGAGGTCCTGGGAGGGCGTCCCCATGATGCGGTGAATGCGGTTGATCTGATCCAGCTCGTTCTGGCCCGGGAAGAGCGGGAAGAGGGAGACGATCTCGAAGAAGACGCAGCCGACGCCCCACATGTCCATCTTGTACGAGTAGTACCCGTCGGTGAGGAGGCACTCGGGCGCGCGGTACCAGCGCGTCGAGATGTACTCGGTATAGGGCTGCCGGGAGTGGATGCCGCGGCAGGAGCCGAAGTCGGCGAGCTTGAGCTGGTCGTCCATGATGAGGATGTTCTCCGGCTTGATGTCGCGGTGGAAGATGCCGTTGCGGTGCATGTGGTCCATGGCTTTCAGCAGTTGGTACATGTAGCGCCGCACGCGGTCCTCCGCGACGTAGTGCCGGCGCCCGCGGATGAGCTCGTAGATGTTCATGTCCATGAGCTCGAAGACGAGCGCGAGGCGCCCCGTCGGCTGGTCGTAGAGCACTTCGAGGAGCTTGATGATGTTGGGGTGCGGCGACAGGCGCCGCAGCGCCTGGATCTCGCGGAGGCTGTTGACCTGCTCCAACGAGTCGAAGTGGTTCTTCATGCACTTGATCGCGCAGTACCGCCCGTTCTTGATGCATTGCGCCTTGAGCACTTCCGAGAACGTTCCCTCCCCCTTCTTGGCGACCAGCCGGTACTCTGCGGGCGCGCGCGGGCCGGGACGCGGGCGGTGGGCGGCGGGACAGGCGGCGGGGCTGCGGCGAGGGCGGCCGCGCGGGGGGCGGTGGCGCCTGGAGGCGGGTACGAGCGCGCGTGTGTCGGGGACATGGACTTGTGCTCCGGGAACGCGGCATGCGCCGCGCAGGGCGTCGCGAAACCAGCGCGGAGCCTAGGACTGTGGCTGTGAGCCGCGAGGGCGCATCAAACGCATCGAGCTGGCGCGCAGGGCGGCAGAAACAGCGGCGCGATGAAACGGACATGGTGTGGGCCCGGGCAGCGGTGCGCGCGGCGCAAGCGGCGCCCGGGGCGCCGGAGCGACACAGGCGCAGCAGACGCGGCGCGCCGGGGCCGTGACCGCTCGCGGGACGTCCTGCTCAAGCCGCGCATAGGAGGCACAGCGCAAAAGGCACAGCGCAGCTACCAGGCGCGGGCGCGCGACTAAAAGGCGCGCCGTGGGCGAGGAGGTTGCTCCAGCACCGTAGAAGCGCGTAGTGGCGGCGGACGCCCGGAGAAGCGCGGAATGTCGCAGCGAGGGCCGTGTGCTAGAGGAGCAAGCGGTGCATTGGCCGCGCGCTCGCTGCAGGTCGCGGCGAAGGCGACCGATCCGCGAGCGAGTTGGGGGGAAAGTGCGGTATCTAATTCGGGATCCGCTGGCGCTCGCGTGGTGGCCACGGATTCCTCCGCGGGCCGCGCGAGTAGGTCCCGCGTCGCGCGACCGCGCCAGGGCACGCTGCGCGCAGCGCGCAGCGACGGAACGGTCGGGCTGCGGGAACGAAACGGCCTCGGGGAACTCACTGTGCATCCTCCCTGCCTCGCCTCGAGGGCACGGCGCATGTAGATGCAGCCCCTAGCGTGCCCGCTGTGGTCCGGCTCCGAGACGCCACGCAGCCCCCGCCCTCTCGCGCTGAATCTACACAGGGCGGTCGACGGGCTGGTGCACGCCCGGCCCGACCCGGCCGCACGTTTCGGCGCAGAAACCCCCGCACTCAGCGTCCGTGAGGCCAACGCAGAAACCCGCCCGCCTGTGACGCGAATCAATCGATCGATCGCCGCACGGGAACGCCCAGTTCGCTAGCTATCTCTGCGGGCGACGCGCGGAGCCGCCAGCCCTCGATACACGCAGAAAAACGACCCTACACTCATGTCTGACTCCATATGCGGTCCGACTGAATCGGTCCTCCGCAAGCGCTCCCGTCGTGGCTGTGCGGGGCAGCTGTGGCGCCGAGGCAGGCCGCTCGAGCTCGAACTCATTGGCCGCGTCTGCACGCCCCATCGAAACGTTCGTGTGCGGCGGCAACGTAGGAGGTTGATTGACGACCCACCGCGCAGGTGATCACAGGGGTGCAGGCATATTCGCCCCGCAGCAGCGCCCCCCGTCCCCGCGACAGCAGCGCGCCGTCAGACCAGCCCCATCACCGCCACGCCCACCACCGGCACCACCAAGTTGTCGAGACACGCCGTCGTAGCCTCGAACGCCGCCGCCGCCGCCGCCGCCGCGATCGCCCGCCCCGCGACGCCCCACGCCCACCCACGCGCCAGCGCGAGCGCCCAGATCGCGCAACACCCCCCCAGCAGCCCGGCGGCGAACCCCTCCCATGTCTTCGAGGTGTCTCTGCCGACGCGGTGGCGGCCGAAGCGCGCGCCCGCCGCGCCCGCGAACGTGTCGATCACGCCGAGCGCGAGGATCCCGACGAGGCCGACCGCCTCCGCGCCGCCCTGGCCCCACACCAGGCCCACGGGCGACACCCCCCCCCTGCCGTCGGATGCCGGCCCCTTGACCAAGTCCCCCCACCCCTGCGCGGACCCCGGCGCGCGCGCGAACTCCTCCGCGAGGTCCCGCGTCGCCACGCGCGCCACCCAGACCGGCAGCGCGCACCCGAGCAGCAGCGTGGCGTGCGTCACGACCAACGCACCGCGGTCGCGCCGGTCAAGGAATGGCGCGAGGAACGCGCTCAGGGGCTCCGACGCGGCCGCGGGGCCGCCCACGCGCACGGCCTCGACCGCCAGCATCGCGGCGAACGCGCCCGCGAGGCACGTGGCCAGGAATGCGGACCGCAGGATTAGCCCCGGTAGAAACATGAAGATCACGAGCACGTGGAAGCCCTTCCTGCGCACGACGTTGCAGTTTTGGGCGGTTGAAATTGCGTCGATGATTTTTCGCGTGATCTGAGGTGATGTCAGGGCCGGCGCGCTCACCTGAGCACGACCGAGCGCGCGGCTGTTTTGCTGGCGCCGCCCTGCGCCGCCCAGCGCAGGGCCGGGACGCTCACGGCCAGCAGTAGGGCCCACCAGGCCACGATCTTGCTCTCCGTGGCGCCGGAGAGCGCGGCGCGGGCAACGTGGAGCGCCGGAGTCACCAGCGCTGCCCCCAGCGCTACCCATTTGATCCACGCAGCCGCGACGACGAAGGGCGCGACGCCGCGCCGCCTGCCGGGCCGCCCAAAAAAGCACTCCAGGCGGAGACCCGGCGGCGGATGCTCGACGGCGGCGTGGTGCGCCTTGCTGCGTGCCGGACGCAGTGAACTCAGGAGCCCGTCGACCGGCACGGGCTGCTGCGCGTGCGGCAGCTCGCGCGAGGTGGGCACGAACCTGCGATTGATACAGAATTCATCGCGGCGCGCAGCGGGTGACGTTGCGTTCCAGCGACGTGTGCCATGCAAAAAGGTCGCGACGGTGGATACACGTTCTTGGGGCAACAGCGGCGGCGGTAACGATGGCTGGCGCTGCGCTGCGTACCTGCCCCAGACGCCGAGGAACGTCGCGGTGATCGCGCCCAGCGACAGCGCGCCGCAGCACGGCAGCAGGACTGAACGCAGCACGGGCAGCTCCGCCCCTACGCCGGTCGCGCGGCACGCGTCCGTCGCAGAGCGCAGCCACGGCGCAGCCACGAGCGTCACCGCGCTGCTGGCCGCCATGGCGGTCTCGCCGATGGTCAGCGTCAGCGGGAACGCCCGGCACAGTGCGTGCGTCAGGCCGGCAGCGGCCGCGCCGGCCACGCCCGTGGCGGCGACCGCGCCCCACGTCGCGAGCGCGCGCACCTCCGTGCGGTACGAGGCCGACAGCGCGAGCGCGGCGCAGGCGAGCACGATCGCGAAATGCCACGAGGAAATCCCATGAGCGTCCCAGCGGTGATCCTGCGGGCGACGCGACGGTGTTCACGCTCGGCACGACGCAGCGACAAGCACGTCAGCATGCGCATCGCCGCCAGCGCCTGTCGCGAACGGGGACTGCGTTGTTCCTGTGTTGTACTTGACAGGGGGGGGGGTTGGGTCCGAACCTTGCTCGCAGTCTCGGCGTTGCGTCGGCGGCCGAGCGCCTGTGCGCGCATGGCGAGCATGATGACGCAGGCGGCGCCGCAGCACAGCTGCAGCGCGAGGATGGACCGCAAGTCGAGCGCGCACCCGGAGCCCGACGACTCGATCGCGTCGTCGCCGCCGCGGCCCAGCTGCTGCAGCAGCGCCCACCTGCGAGTCGGAGGGGGGGCGGGCGCGGGGACTGAGCACCGTGCATTCACAGCCCCCCGGAGTCGTGTGCTTCTGAATATAGATGTTTGTGGGTGAAAGGATATATATATCGTTAATGTTGGGTTGCGGGGTGTGGCTGTGCGGTCCGCGCGTGTTGTTTCGAGGCGGCGGGCGCACCGTTGCAGCAGCAAGGCGGAGGAGACCCAGATGGGCGCCATGAGGCACACTGGCAGACCCTGGGCCGCTTCTGGCCGCGGGAAGTAGCCCAGGGAGTCCATGAGCGGCCCGACGGACACCTCGACGTCGCAGGATGCGAGGAAGAGCAGCGTCATCGCCATTGGGAGCTTGACCTCGCCTGCGGAGCACGGAAGGAAGCCCCGGACAGTGACGAGAAAACTGGCGGTGCTATGTGACGCTCATGAGCGACGACCACGGACATGAGTGCGGAAGGCTCGGTGCGGAACGGTAGCCTGCACACTCGGTGTGCTATGGGCACGGGCAGAGAGGTGTTGCGCGCGGGCTTACCAGCGAGAGCGAGCTTGACGTAGAAGGCAAGGGTCAGGAGCCCAACCAGGCCCATTTCGAGGATGCAGACCTTCATCTTGCACCCTAATAGGCGCAATAGGCTACCTAGTCCCGACATGTGCCACCGCGTAGCGCAACTCTCGCACACGCCCGCTCGTCGCGGGCTCCAACCAGGGCTAGGTCATGAGACCACGCCACGCCGCACAGACATGCGCCTGTCGCGCGTCGACGGCCACCACGCTCCAATCACTCGAGGCTTAGCAGCTGCCCCAGGCGCAAGAACCGCCCTGCTCCGCCTGTGCCCCTACTGCGCACTGCGCTGTTCCTCACAGAAGCCGCGGCGTCGCGCGACACGCTGAACTCCGCTCCTGCCCCTCTCACAAAAACACGGCCGAGTACGACCGCAGCTCACTCCTCCGTGGCAACGCGGGCCCGGCGACCGCGGCCGGACGCTATGTCAGACATAGGTGACTCGGTCAGCATGCTCACACACGGGCCTGTCCGCCAGCCTCTCGCCTCCGCGCCGCTGCGCGCTCCGCGGCCCTCAGTCGCGCCTGCGGCGAGAGGTTCGCACGCGCGGACGGGCCCAGCGGGCTGGGGACGGGCAGCGGGGGCCGCACGTACGCCTCTATGCCGCGCGGCGCCCAGATGCGCACGCGGATCGAGCCCCGCGCGCCGGGGCTGAAGATCGAGATCCAGCCAGGCAGACCCGAGCACGCGAGGTCCGCCAGCGCCCCCTCGGAGCCCGTGGCGCGCACAGTGGCCTCCCGCGCCACACGCAACCCTCCGCGCTTGTCCGCCGACTGCACGCAAGGCGCCGACGCGGCGGGAACGAGAAGCGGGGAGGTCAGGCGGACTGGCAGCGGGGGCGGATGGGAATTGTGACGAAGGGGGGGGTGTTGGGGGTGTGTTGACACAGGGGTTGTACCTCGGTGCCGTACAGGTCGAGCCTGTCCTCGACGTCCTCGTTGCCCGGGGACTCGAGGTATTCCATGGCCTGGGCGATCATCGCGCGCGGGCCGAAGAATGCCAGCCGCGTGTCGCGCAAGTCCCCGGCGTCGACGTCGATGCGCAGCAGTCCCCCCCACAGGTATGACACGATCCCCGGCCCGACCGAGCCGACCGGGGCCGCGACGAACGCGCGCAGGCGACGCGTCGGGTGCAGCAGCTTGAGCTCCTGCGCCGTGCCGTCGCGGGCGGCGTGGTGGAGTGACCAAACGCACGTTTGCTCCACTGCCGTCGCGAGCGTCGGCGCGGGCGCCGCAAGCAGGTGCGCCGCACGATCGCGAGCGCGCGTACCTCGGGCGTGAGGATGTGCGGCAGCCGGTGGTGCAGGTGCAGCCCGGGGGAGTCGAACAAAACCCCCCCGGAGGAGAACGCCCGGATCGGGATCAGCGACAGCGTCGTGCCGGGCATCGGCGACTCCATCGGCACGTTCTTCGTCGCCCCGATCGCGTTCGCGTCGAAGTTCCGCGAGTGGAACGACGCCAGGTCCACCAACATCGCGCGCACGAGTGCGCTCTTCCCAACGTTCGCCGACCCGAGCACGTACACGTCGCGCCCCCGCCGCGCCCGCAGGATCGCGGACACCGCGTCCTCGACGCCCTGCGATCACCGCCGCGCCGACCGACCGCTCAGCGCGCCAACACGCACCACGCAACAACACCCAGGGCCCTGCACGCGCACGGCGGCACCGCGCCCGCAAGCTCGCACGCGGGCGCGCCGCACCTCTCGCGTCCGGGACGACACCAGCTCGACGCCCACGACCTGCAGCCCCTTGGCCTCCGCCAAGTCCAAGAGCCATTCCGAGACCTCCCGCAAGTCGGTGCCGCGCGGCAGGAGGTCCGCCTTCGTCCCGACGAGGAGGAGCGGGTTCGGCCCGACGAGGTCCCGCACCTTGCCCATGAAGCTCCCCTGGGCGTCGAGGAGGTCGACGACCATGACGGTCAGCGCGTAAGCGCCGCGGACGTGGCGGAGCTCCTCGCGGAGCTGTTCGGGCGCGATCGTGCGGCCGGAGTCGAGGGAGCCGCCGCGGGTCGCGAGCGGGGTCTCGGCGAAGCTCATGTCGCCGGGTGGCCCGGAAGTCGAGAAATCCTTGACTGCTGGGACCATGGAGCCCTGGGATAGGGCCACGCAGCGCGTGCACAGGATCTGCGAGGGCGCGGGGGCGCGAGTGGGGAGATATCGATGGTGAGCTGGCTGTGGGCGTCGGCGGCGGGGGGGTCGCGCCCTGTAGCGCGCGCGCGAGGCCGGAGCGGAGCACGCGAGGGTGCGGCGAGGTGGAGTCGTTTGCGCGAACAGCGAGGGTGTGCGGCGCGTCGCGCGCGGCACATTGCCTCACCTGGTCAAGCTGCTTGTGGCGGCGCTTCGTTTCGTACTTCTCGCGCTCCACGTAGCCCGGGGCGGCCGGGGCCTCCACTTGCAGCGCGATCCCGCAGCCGTAGCAGTGGCCCTTGCGCTGTTTCGCGAGCGCCGACTTGCTCAGGCGCGGACGCTCACGGCGACCTCGCGCCTCGCCGCGCGCATTGCCAGAATTGCGCCGATACGGGCTCCCGCCCGCCGCCCACTCGTCCTCGCTGCTTCTGATAGCGCGAAGCGCGCACAGGCGCCCTTGCGGCGCGCTCGGGGTGCGATGCGCCGAGAACACGGAGCGAGGCCGTACGCAGCCCGCTCCGTTCAGCACCCGCGGTCGCTGGCATCGCATGCCAGAGCAGCCCACTCTGCGTTGCGCAGGGCCCACCGCGCGGCAAGGCGGAACTCCGGGGGCGTACATAGCGCGTCCGCCGCTTCACGGTGTACACGCGCCCGGCCCGCCGCGCGCACACAGCCGCGCTGGCGCGCCTCGCCCGCCACGGCGACACCCTCCGGGCCCTGCAGCTTGCACCTTCAGCGCCCCGGTGCAGCGAGCCCGGGCGCCACGAGCCCTCGCGAGCACGTCGCAGGGGCAGTTCTCCCAGACGTGGACCGTGTCTTCGAGAGACAGCCTCATACAGCATCCTGTACGGGCCACGCACAGCGTGTTGCTGCCAACCACCTGAGCTGCTTCTCCGTGCCCGCACGAGCGTCCGCGGGCTTTTCCGCGCCTGAGGGTCGCTGTTCCTCGTCGCCATGCTCGCTATCAAGGGTATGAGCGCCGCCGTGGCCGCCCGCGGGTGTCGACCGGCCCGCGCGCGGCGCATGGCTGTGCGTGCTGCAGCCAAGCCCTCGGGGGACGCGGGGCGCGCGTCGCACGTGGCGCACATCAAGCCCGGCGAGACCAGCGAGCAGGCGGAGGAGCGGCGCGAGCAGGAATCGATGCGCGTCCAGGAGCGCGTCAAGTACATCACCTGCAGGGAGGTGGGTAGTTGCCTTGGCCCTGGAAGCCGCCTGCTTGCCGCGCGAGGGGCAGGGCGCGCAGCACCGCCACGCACATTCCGTGCTCGCTGTTCACGACGAGCTGCCCGCGGCGTACGGGGCCCGCGGGGCGTCGGACCGCGCCGCGCGCCGCGTACCCTGGCCCGCCTGGCGCGCCTCCTGCCCTTTTCCCGAAATCCCGCGTATCCCGCGCTCTAAACGGCGTTTCCGCCGCCGCTCACACCAACAAACATCGCATCCCTGCTCGTGGCGGCGCTTTCCTCGGAATTCAGCCCGCGAGCGCCCCGCCGCGGCCCAGGCCGCTGCCCGCCGCCCTGCAACGCTCTCGTCCGCGCACCGACCGCCCGCGGCGCCCGGCTCCTGCAGGACTACGACCGCGAGATCGCGGCCGCGGGGTCGAAGCTCGTGCTCCTCGAGGTCACTTCGGACAACGTGTGTCAGACCGGACTCAAGGAGGAGGTGGAGTCCAACTGGCGGCGGAAGCAGTCCGACATCATGCAGCCCTGCGTCAACCTCAAGCACTCCTTCCAGCGCGTCGCCCGGGAGTGCGACGACGCGGTCTTCCTCGAGATCATTGGCGACATGGGCCCCGAAACAAAGGTGCGCGACACACACAAACACACACACAAACACACACACACAAACACACACACAAACACACACACAAACACACACCGCCGGGGCCGCGGGGACGACCGCGCGCGCGGGGCCTCGATCGCAGCTTGCCCCCTCTGATCGACGAGCCGGTCGCGGTCCAGGCAGGGCCTGTCGCTGACCTGGGCCGCCGCCTGGTCGCCGATGAGAGCGCGGCGAGCTGCGGTCGAGACCCCGCGCGCGCCACCGCGCGCGCCGAGCGTGCGGCTGTGCCCACGCGAGCGCTAGTTTCGCAACGAAGTGCGCGTTCGGGGCCTGACACGCGTGCAAGCGCGGAAGTGTGTGTGTGCACAAGCAAAGGCGCGCTGCACGCGCCCCCGGTGCCGCCGCAAGCGCCAGAGAGGCTCCCGCACGGCGTCCCTCGCAGGCGCTGTGCAAGGATCTGGGCGTGGACACGATTCCGTCGCTGCTGTTCATCCGCGAGGGGCGGGAGCTGTGGCGGCACGCCGGGCACCTCAACGCCGCGGAGGACCTCGGCGAGGGCATGCTCTTCTACAACGACACGCTCGCGGGCAACGAGAAGGCCACGAGCTTCGTCAAGGACCTCCACTCCGGCGCCGACCTCCAGGCCTTCCTCGCCTCGCGGCCCAAGGGCGAGGTCACGTGCGTCAACGTCACGGTGTCGACCTCCGCGCCCTGCATCCACGTCTACCCGGCCGTCGTCTCCCTCGCGAAGCACTTCCAGGGCTACTGCGGGTTCGCGCGCCTGGACATCGACCTCGCCGCGGACGGCAGCGAGATCCTGAACAAGTATAACATTCTGGATGTTCCGCTCTTCATGTTCTTCCGGGACGGCGTGCAGATCCACCGGTTCTCCGGCGGGTCGCGCTCGGACCTGCTCGGGCAGGTCCTCAAGATCGCGCCCGTGCCGCCGCCGCCCGGCGCCGTGCAGGCGCGCTGAGCGGGGCAGCGACAGCGCTGCGCGGGCGGGCGCGGCCGGGCGGCGTGCGCGAGGGCGCTGGCGTGCGGCGGCGGCGTGGTCGCGGGGCTGGCTGGCCTCGGCAACGATGTATATTTACTGTGAGAGCTGCGCGTCGTTTTTATTATCATAATGTGTGTCGGTTGGTGGGTTTGTTGCGTGCGGGGGGTGGAGCCGCTGCGGTCACGGGCGGCGGCAGCGGGCGGCCGGGAGGGCTGTGCGGGGTAGAACATGCTGGCCGGTGAGTCAGGGAGCTCGCTCCGCTCTGCTCGGGGCGCTGGTTGGTGTTCGTTGTGCGTCGGCGCGACGTCTGCGTGTTGAATTGCCGTGTTGCTGACTGTGCGTTTCTAGGGCCTGCTGCTGCGCGGTCGCGTCGGTTCGGGGGACCTGGTCCATCTGCGTGGGCTTCAGCGATGGTGCGGGGGTCGGCCGCGGCGCGCGCGGGCGTGAAGGATATCGTAGATGGCGTGAAGAGCTTCTTCCGGCCTCCGTGGAAGGTACGGGCACCGACGAAGCAGCGCGTCGAGCCGGGAGCCAACGCAACGACTCAAGGCTCACCTTCCGGCCTCACATGGGATTTCCCACCCTGTTCCTGCCACTGTACCGCTCAACGAGCCCACGACATGCTCACGGTGGCACGGTTCGCTCCTGGAACCGCGCCTGGAACGCCCGGAAGCGCCCTGGGGATCCCGCGCGCCTGCTCTCGGCCACCAGCCCTCTTCACGGCGGCACAACGCGCTCCATCTCACCCGCGCCGCCCGCATTCGCCGCCCAACGCGCAGAACACGGGCCCGCCGGCGTCGCCAGAGTGGAAGGAGGCGGTGCCCGACGCCAAAAGCTACCGCGCTGTGGCCCCCGGCAACCAAGCCGTGGCCCAGGTGCCCTGGGCGGAGCCCGAGAACATCTACGACATCAAGTACTTCCCCCGCGACAAGCGGCGGTGGGGCTCCGCGGGTACGGCCACCGCTTTCGCCCCTCTTGCTCCACACACTCCTCCCGCGAGCACGCGCCGACCGTTGGCGCGGCCCCGCCCTCGCGGCGGCCACGCGCAGCCAGACAGCTGCTCGACGCGCTCGCTGCGCCCGGCCGCGCGGCCCCGAACCATGCGGCTCACACGTCGTGCTGCGCGCAGGCGGTCTCAAGGTCACCGCGACGCAGGTGCGGTCGCTGCGCGAGGGCACGGCGGGCCAGGACATTCCCGGGGGCACCGTCAACACGCGCGGCTACCCTTTCTCGAAGCCGAGCGCGCCCCCGCTCAGCTGGATGGCCAGGCGCAGCACCGAGGATCAGCACAACAACGGGTACACGTGACGGCGCTGCGAACGGCCGCCGGCCCGCCCCTGTGACTCTCCTACGACCGCTCACGCGCCTGGCGCGAGTGCCTCGCGGCCCCGGGCGGCGACGGGACGCTGCTAGCCTGGGTTGGGTCGTTGCGTCGCGTGCGCGCTGCGGGCGTTGCGCCGGCGGGCGCGCGCGCGGCGGTGGTGGGGGGTGGAGTGACGGTGGCGCGCGTGCGCCGCGGGGTGTTTTTCGGCGGCTTCCTGCTTGCCCGGAGGCCTCTGAGGGCAAGAGTCCACTTTTTCTCCGCCCGGCGATTTCGCGGCGACATCGGGCGCGGCTGCTCGCGCGGCGGACGGAGATTCGCTCGGACAAGCTTGCCGCGAAGCTGTAACGACTACGCTCGAGGCTGCGCCAGGCACGAGGCTCTAGCGTCACTCCAGGCACGTTGCCATCGTCGGAACGGGAGGATTACGGGGACCATGGTGAGGGCGCCCCGCCCGATGCAGTGGAAAATTATCCCGCGTGCCAACGCGCACAGTCGCGCGCGCCCATCACGTCTCCTCGCGACGGGCACGGCAGGCCACCCCGGCGCGCACGACAGCCGCACTCTCTGGCCGCACCACGCGCCCCCGCGCCCGCTTTCCTGATTTCCGCGGCCGTTCCAGCACGGGTCAGAGCTGAGGCTTCACTACGCGCACGTCTCCGTCCCTTCACACCCCCCTGCGACGTGACGAGCGCGCTGCTACCATGTCAGCTCTCACAGCGCCAGCTGCGCGGCGGCCCTGCGCGAACCCGCCGTTTCTCTGGGCAGGCACGTTGCTCTCGTCCTCACTGAGACGCACGCGCGCACGCAGCCCCTCGTCCCGCGTGTCACGGACGCTAGCCCCGAGGCCGTTGATCGTGGGCTGCCGCCTCGGGTCACGCCTTCCGAAATCGTGCCTGCGCCGCCGCGATGGCGCGCGAAACTCCGCTGAGCGGCATGTTCGACCTCTCATGATGCGTTGCAGATGGGCCTCAACGTCCGCCCGGCCGCGGGGAGCGTCGCCGGCGGCCTCCGCCTGGGTGCGCGTGCAGGCGGGCGCGTCTCCGCGCGCGTCACGCCCCGCGCCCCCGCGCGCCTCGTCGCGAAGGCTTCCTCGCCGGTGGCCACGCCCGCCACCGGCGGCCCGGGCGGCCCCACCGACGGGTCCGGCGGTGACGGGGGCGGAGGGGGCGGCGGCGGCAGCGACGGCAACAACGCGAAGCTCATGGCGATCCTCGCAGCCGCCGGCAAGTACGTCTCCCGCGCCCCCACTCCACGGCCCGCCCCGCACCGCACGTGGGCTCTCCACACCCCCCCTGCCCTGACCCGCGTCCGCACGCCGCGCGCCGCCCCGCAGGACCCTCGCGGACCTTCCCGCGGAGATCGCGGCCGCCGTCGAGAAGGGCAAGATCAGCGTCGAGCTCCTCGAGCGCTACCTCGCCCTGGAGGCCAACTGGCTGTACAAGCCCTTCATGAAACTGGGCGCCGGGCTGCGCGGGCGGCTGCTGATGGACCCGGGCTTCCTGCTCAAGCTCGGCATCGAGGTCGGCGTCGGCATCGGCACGAAGACCGCCGCGGAGGTTGCGAAGCGCGGCGACAACTTCTCGAACGAGCTGGACTTTTACTTTGCCAACCTGGTGATGGCGCTCATCGCCGACTACATGCTCGTGTACCTCCCGGCGCCCATGTTCCGCGGCGTCGCGGGCCCGCAGAAGGCCGGCCTCATGGCCAAGCTCCAGAAGGCCTTCGCCGACTGCCCAGGCAACATGTTCCAAAAGGTCCCCGCGGGCCAGGAGCCGTGGACGCTGACGCAGCGCCTCGGCGCGCCGCTGCGGAACGGCATCCAGCTCGTCGGTGTCGGGTTCATGTCGTCGATGATCGGCGTGGCGCTCACCAACTGCCTCCTGTACATCAAGAAGGCTATGGACCCGACGTTCGTGTCGAACCCGCCGCAAAACGTGGCGACGATGGCCGTGATCTACGGCCTGTACATGGGGTCGTCGTCGAACCTGCGGTACCAGACGCTCGCGGGCCTGCTCGAGGAGCGCGGCGTGGAGGTTGTGTTCAAGAACATGCCGGCCGTGCGCGCGGCGCTGACGTTCGCGCTGCGGACGGGCAACACCTTCCTCGGCAGCCTCCTCTGGGTCGACTTCCTGCGCCTGTGCGGGCAGCAGAAGTGAGCACGCGCCACGGGCGCGTGTTTGTGACCCGGACGAGCGCGACGTACCTGCCGCTGGCGTTTCCGCGTGCATGCACGTCTGACGCGGGGCTGCGATGTGTCGGCCCGCGCGCGGGCTTCGATGCCGCACGGGACGAAGCAGGGAGCACGCAGCACCGATCGTGAACGCCTCAGGGCGCAGACGTAACAGCATCGCGGCGTGTTCGCATCATGTTTGGGGCGGCACGCACTCCGCCAATCCAGGAGGAGCCAGCGCGCAGTACAGACGGGCGCATCTCGCCCGCCCGCATTCCGCTGGACGTGAGGAAACAAACCGCTACAACTTAGTCATGCGACCCGCGAGGCCGTGCGAGGAACACACGTCATCGAACAGCGTCATCCCGCGCGAGCTTCGGCCACACACAGCCGTTCGAAGGCAAGGCAGATCGGCATCTTACGAGCGGAACAGTCAACGTCAGATTTCACACTTAACAGGCGCCCTGAGTGACGCCCATCAAAGCGCGTGCACGCAATGCAGTCTAGTTTAGGAGGCGACAGGTGTCGATCCGCTCACGCCTTCTTCTCACCGCACGCGCCCTTGCTGCAGCATCCGCCCTGCGCAGCGTCGTGCTGCGGCGTGGCCTCGTCGCACGTGCCCGTCGGCGTCGAGCTCGACGTCTCCGCAGCGGCGCTCTTCTTGCTCCCGCAGCACCCGCCCTCGGGCTTCTGCGTTGCCGCACCGCTGCATGCGGGCTTCCCGGAGGAGCACGAGGGCTTGGGCTCCGGAGTCTTCTCGCTGCCGCACTGCCCCTTACTGCAGCACGCCGGCTTTGACTCGGTCGTGGGGGCCGAGCCGCCGCTCTGCTTGCTGCCGCAGCAGCCGCCCGCCGGCTTCGCGGCCTGCTTGCCACCGCATGCGCTCGCACCGGCGCCGCACGGAGGCTTCGCGGCACCGCAGGTGCCCTCGTCCGCGCAGCAGTCGACAGTCGGCCGCACGTCCTCGGGCCGCGCGGCTGCGTCGCCGCACTTGCCCCCGCTGCCACAGCACGTTGGCTTCTGCACTGGCGCCGAGCCGCACTGCTTGCTCGCACAGCACGGCTTCTTCTGCTCCGCCACAGGCGCAGAGCCGCTCCCGCACTGCTTGCTCGCACAGCACGGCTTCTTCTGCTCCGCCACAGGCGCAGAGCTGCTCCCGCACTGCTTGCTCGCACAGCACGGCTTCTTCGCCGGTGCGCCGCACGCGTCCTGACCGGTCCCGCAGCTCCGCGGCGCGCAGCACCCGCCAGAGGGCGCCGCGCTCGAGCAGCCGCCGGCCGCTGGCGCGCAGCAGGGCCGCCCCTCCTCAAGGTCAGCGATCGCGGCACCCTCGCCGCAGCACAACTTCCTGCACGCAGCGCCGTCCTCGGGCGCGGCGCCCTTCCGCTTCGAGACGCGCAGGATCGACATGCCGTTCAGGACGACGAGCAGGCTCGCGCCGACGTCCGCGAGCACCGCCGCCCACAGCTGCAGCATGCCGAGGAGCGCCAGGACGAGCGTGACGGCCTTGACGGCGATCGAGAAGGTCAGGTTCGCGCGGATGCGCCACACGGCGCCGCTGCCGATCTCGATGGCCCGCGGCACCATCGTCAGGTCGTTGGACAGCACCGCCACGTCGGCCGTCTCCATCGCCACCGCGGAGGCCATCGCGCCAAGCGCGATGCCCAGGTCCGCGGCCGCGAGCGCCGGCGCGTCGTTCACGCCGTCCCCGACGTGCGCGAGCTGCCCCTTGGTGCCCTTGCGCAGGCGCGCTACAGTCGTGACCTTGCCTGCTGGCAACAGCTCGGCGTGTACGTCCGCGGGCGGGATGCCGACGATGGCGCCGACGCGGTCCGCGACCGCGCGCGCGTCGCCGGTCACCATGGCGACGCGCAGCCCGCGGCGCTGCTTCAGGGCCGTGACAGCGGCAGCGGCGCCGGGGCGCACGGCATCCGACACTCCGATCATGCCGTGCAGCGCGCCCTCGACGACGACCCACACGACGGCCATCCCGCGCTGCTCCCACGCGCGCGCGAGCTCCCTGCTCCCGACGAGCGCGCCGGCCGACGCGGGCGTGAGAAGATCGGCCGCCATGGCCTCGTTGCCGACGGCCACGCGCACGCCGTTCACGACGCCGCGCACGCCGCGGCCCTCGACGACAGCGAAGTGCTCGACGTCGTCCAGCGCGTCGACGCCGCGCCCGCGCGCGTACGCCACGATGGCAGGCCCCAGGGGGTGTTGCGACTTGGCCTCGAGGGACGCAACGATCTCCAGGAGGCCCAGGAGCGCGCCCGTGGCCTCGGCGCCGCCGCCGTGCTGGCTGTGCAGCCGCTTGAGGTCGTTGTACGCCGCCCCCGCGCCGGCGTCCTCGGCGCCGGCCTCCCCCACTCCCCCGGGGCTCCCGGGGGTGTGTAGGAGCTGGTCCCACGCCTGCTCCCCGACGGCGCCGCCGTCGCCGCACCGCGCCGCGCCGCCCGGGTCCCCGACGGCCACGGCGCAGACCGACAGCGAGCGCTGCGCCAGGGCGCACTGCGGGTGGAAGCGGTTGACCTTGAAGATGCCCTCGGTCAGCGTGCCCGTCTTGTCGAACGAGACGGTGCCGAGGTGGTGCAGGCGCTCGAGGAACTCCCCGCCCTTGATGAGCAGGCCCTCGCGCGCGGCCTGCGTCAGCGCGCACACGTTGGTTACCGGCGTCGAGATGACCAGCGCGCACGGGCACGCCGTGACGAGCACGACGAGCGCCTTGTACACCCACTCATCCCACACGTGCGGGTTCAGCCCCGCGCCGATGCCCGCGAGCGCCGCGCAGCCCAGGAACACCACCGGCGTGTACCACCGCGCAAAGCGTTCCACCATGAGCTCCTGCTTCGACTTCTGCGCCTGCGCCTCCTGGACGAGCCGCGCGAGCCGCGCGACGGCCGAGTCGTGCGCGACCGCGCTGGCCTCGACCTCGAGCGCGCCGGGCCCCAGGTTGAGCGTTCCCGCGGAGACGGCGTCGCCCGCGACCTTGCGCACGGGCCGCGACTCGCCGGTGAGCATGCTCTCGTCCATGTTGCTCCAGGACGCCGACACGACGACGCCGTCGACGGGCGCCTTGCTGCCCGGGAGCAGCAGCACCACGTCGCCCACCCTGACGTGCTCCGGTGCCACCGCCTCCCCTGACGTCAGCACCGCGGACTCAGGCGCCAGCGTCAGGACCTGCTCGAGCGCCTGCCGCGCGCCGCCGAGGGCCTTGTTCTCGAGCCACTGCGCCATCCCGAACAGCACGACCACCGCGCCCGCCTCGAGATACTCCCCCAGGACGACCGCGCCGACGACGGCGACCGACATGAGCACGTTGATGTCCAGGCTGAGCTTGTACACCGAGATCAGGGCGCGCCTGAAGATCGGGGTCCCCGCGAGCACCACGGGGGCCAGCGCCACCCACTTGAGGTACGACGCCGAGGGGATGTAACCAAAGTAGGCTACCGCGAGGAGGGGCACTGAGAGCGCGAGGTTCCACGGCGGCCAGCTGCCGCCGCCCTTGCCGTCGCCGGCGTCGCCCTTGAGCGTGGCCTGCAGCCCGACGCTGTTGAGGGCCGACACGATCGTGCCAGGCTGCGTGGAGGCGCGGTGCTGCACCGTCACGAGCTGCGCGACGACCGAGACGTTGACGCTGGTGATGCCCGGGATCCTGCGCAGGGCCCGGTACGCGATGGGCTCCTCGGACGGGCAGCAGATGCCCCGGCAGAGAACTTCTGTCGTGACGACGGCTGCGTCATCGTCGTGCCCGTCCTCGTCCTCGTGCGCGCTGCCGGCGCCGTGCTGGCCGCGGCCGATGAGCGGCTGCGTGATGGAGGTCTCGGAGATGCCGCAGACGTCGCTCTTGCCGGCGCGGAGGACCGCAACGGGGCCGTGGTCCACCAGCACGCCTTTCGCCTTGCACGTGTCGTCTGAGCAGAAGTCGCACTCGTTCTCGGGATTCACGTGCTGCAACCTCCCTCGCACGATGTAGTCGAAGTGGTCGCCGTGCTTCACGCGCACGCAGTCGCAGTCTGCACACAGAGCACCACAGGCCGGGGGCGGACGCGTCGGCACAGGGTGCGGAGCGCAGGGAAGCAGGGTCGCGCACGATCCCTGCTACGCGATCTTGACCCTGGATCAGCGAAGTGGATCCGAGACATGCGCAGGGGCGCGGCGCGGGCCGCATTCGAGGGAATCGAACCACTGCGTCGCCGTGGGGCCCCAGAGGGCGCCTCGAGGAGCCTCGCGCGGCTGGTGTGGAACCGCAGAGGCGTTGCGAGCAGCTTCGGTCGCGGAAGCGCGTGCGGGGCGCGCCGGAAGCGCCGGGCGGAGAGCCGCAGCCTGGTTGATTTCAGGGGGGCGCCGCGCCCGAAGAGGAGCTGCGTTGGGCAAAGCGCGCACCTCCGTCGTGCCAGCAGTCGGTCTCCTTGACAGGCATGCAGACCGGGTACTTCTCGAACGCGAGCTCGTGTTCCTCGACCTCGCCGTGGTGCGTGATGCACAGAAGCTTCCCATCCACGACGTGGCCGATGTGGTCGCCGTGCTTGATCACCGTCTTGTCGCACGCCTCGCCGCTGCATCGAACCAGCCGGAAAGGCGCGAACGGATCCATCGGGCCGTCAGGGACCGATTCTACGATCCCGAGTGTGCGAGGCGACGCCAAACGCTCGTGCGCGTCGCGACGACGCACCTGCAGCTCGCCACATGCTGCACGATCTCTCGCGATGAGCTCGACTCCAGCGTGCTGCTACCGGAACCATCCGACGCGTGTCCCTTCGTCATAGCTGCGCAGCTACCCTGTTCGTGACAAAGCACCCCGGCCGTCCCGCGCTCAGCCGCTCTACTACAGGTGTCCGGAGCGACCGGCCGTTCGAGTTTCTACTTGTGCGCCGCGCGAGGCACCCCAATCTTGGCCGGCGCGCAAGGAGGCGGCACACAGCCCTGCGTCAGTTGCACTCAGATGCACGCTGGCGTGTGTCGGACCCTTGGCTCAAGTCAGGCCGCCGCGACGCCGTGCACCGGCGCCGCCGACGGCGACGCGCCCGCCTGAGCGTCCACTCGGCCACGCAGAACGACTGGGCCCCGGGTGCGACCGTGGCGACACAATGTCGTCATGACGGAGCAGTGTTCAGGCACCGCTCGCGACCCAACGCGCCCGGCAGGGGCCACGATGAGCGGACAGGGGAAGGCTGAGTGGCGGCGGGGGCGGCGGGTGGCCGCACGCGACGGTGAGGGACGCAACAAGCTCTCGAGCGCCGGCCGTGGCATGCGCAAGACACCAGGGACCTTTGTTGTACTTCGCTGACCTGCGAGCATCCGTTGCCGAGCGATGACAGGTGCGCCAGGTGCTGTTACAGTCGTCCTCGCTGGGGTTCAGAGTCGCGCAGCCGGCAGTTGCTGCCAGGTCGCATGTGATGTGGACACGTGAGCAGTGGCAGCGTGGCAGAACAGTCGCCGGAACCCGGTGACTGACGCAGCGCCGGGGACCTCCGGGATGCAAGCGGCGTCCGGTAGGGTCTGTGGGGGCGCCAAAATCCACGGAAGACTCGGGTGGTGTCGGGAACGAGGGACCGGGGAATTTAGTTGGGGTGGATAACCGATTTGAGTGTGAGTTGTGCGAGGAAAGCGTGTGTGCGTCTACGGGTGTGTACGAACTCTGCGATGGGCGAGTGCCCTTGCGCGCAACATTTGGCTCGCGTGCACGCAAGCGATTGGCGCCGCCGCGCGTGGAGTCGAGCTCCTGTGTGGTTCCAGGAGACTGTCAGGCTGTTGGTGTCTGCTGGAAATCCGTTGGAAATTTGAAGAGATCCGTTGGAAATCAAGCGACCGGATTCGTCGTGCATGTGTCGACGTCACGGTCTCGAAAGACTATAGCGCGCATCAATGCGCGCTGCGTCGGAACGCTGGTCTGCGCGGCAGATCCGAAGGATCCTTCCGTTGCAGGGGGGTGGCAGGCACGGGGCCTGGGAGGCAGGGAGGAGGGGGGCAGGGAAGGGGGGGGGTCGATGAGGAGCCGGTCCGAGAAGCGACGTCCATCCCGAGCGTCAAGCAGTTCTGTTATAAAACGACGCTGCGAGTGCTACCTACGGGTCCCATGGCATGGCAGGACCTATGGTGTCGCCGACTGGGCCTAGTAACGGGTATTCAGGTGTTCTGTGTGATTATTAGTCTTAGGTCATAATCATGGTGCGCGCCAGGTCGTTCGGCGGCCGCAGGCGCACCAGCGGAGCTGTCAGCGCCCGCGCCGCGTCGCGACCCGCGGCACTGCGATGTCGGGAATATGCAGGTTCGAGCATGACTGCGCCGCCTGTCGGGGCGGCAGAGGACGACGCCCCGGGCCCGCGACGCGAGGCCTGCGCGCCGGCGCGGCGGCGGCGGCATCACGAGGCCTTGTGCTTGTTCTTGAACTCCTTGGGCAGCGGCAGCGAGGTGCCGTGCGTGACCGACATGAAGAGCTTCATTTGGGAGTAGGCCAGCGGGTCGTGGAAGTACGGGAACGGCGCGCCGAGGCGGTGCGCGACCGCGAACCCGGACATGACGGCCACCTCGTGCGTGTTGGCGACCGTCACGGCGCCGGCGTACCACGTGCGCTTGGTGTTCTGGATGAAGCGCACAAACGGCACCCACTTGGCGAAGTGCGTCCAAGTGTGCGCGAACTGCCGCGTCCAGCGCTTCTTCAGGATCTTCTTCTCGTCGATCGCGTCGATCGTCCACCGGTCCTTCCCGCGCGCGTCCAGGAAGATGGTCTGGTACAGGTTGCGGCGCGCGCCCTTGGCGTCCAGCAGGTGCGGCTGGTACATCGACAAGTTGAACGACATCTCCACCTTCGACGGGTCCTCCGGGTCCGTCCGGATGAAGTACATGTCCTCGTTGTCCGCGGCGTGCATCTCGTACTCCTTCTCCATGTAGTCGTGGTCCTCGTGCGTCACGATCAGGTCGTCGAAGTAGCGCACGTTGGCGAGGAGCTTGCGCTCGAGCCACGAGGGCGACTTGAGGACGTCGCGGGTGACCTCCGTGGAGCACGTGAAGACCACGTCGTCGAACTCGGCGACTCGGCCGAACTTGTCCGTGACGCGCGTCACCTTGGGCCCGCGCTCGACCGACGCGACGGGCCGGTTCACGAACACGCGCGCGGGGATCTTCTTCGCGATCGTCGTGAAGATGTTCTCCAGGTTCTCGAACGCGAACACGTCCGGCTCGCCGTGCAGCAGCCTGCGGACGTGACAGGCCGAGCCGGGGTCGCGGTGGGCGCGCGCGGCGCGGTCGGGGCTAATCGCCGGAGTGGGCGGCGCTGCAGGGTGGAGGGGAGGCAAACTATGCGCGGACGGGGCGGGGCCCGGGACGCCGCGGCGGCGCTGGGCCGCATTCGGCGCAGCTGTATCGTCACGCACCTCTCCGCCGAGTAGTGGAACAGGGCGAGCTCCTTGTCGCGGAAGACGCGCGCGATGATGGCGGCGCTGACGTAGGGCGTCTGGTTGCCCGTCCCGAAGAAGAGCGCGGTGAGCGGGAAGACCATGCGGTTCGCGAAGTCGTCGGAGAAGCCCCACCATTTGAGGACCTTGTTGATGGGCACGAAGACGAAGATGAACTCGAAACGGCTGATCCACTTCAGGGCCTTGCCGAACTTCTCGATCTCGGGCTGCAGGCGCTCCGCGAGCTTGCTTGGCGAGTGGTTCGTCCACGCATTGTCGCCCTTGCCAAAGCACACCCTGAACTTGAGCGGAGACGACTTGAAGCCGAACTCCTCGAACATTAGAAGGTTGTTGCGGTAGCTCGGAACGCCACCCTGCGCGGAGGGGCCCGGAAATCCGCCTTTCGCGCCGTGACGCGCCCGCGAGGGCCGCGGACACCGTGCGGCTCCACCTGCAGGCGGGCGCGCGTTCCCGGCGGACCGCGCCACGCGCGCCGCGGTGCGCGGGAGCAAACGTGCGAGTGCACCAAGGCGCGCGCGACGAGGGCCGGGAGCCGCGCGTGCGGGGCCGCGCAGACCGGCGCCGCTGGGCAGCTTGACTGCCACACAGCTCTCCTAGCCTAGCTAGACAGCTATCCGGGCGCTCACCTGGACCTGGTCGTTCATCTCGAACTCCATCCCGTCCGAGCTCTTCACGACGCACGACGTGGCCACTCCGCCGGCCGTCGGGAGCGCTTCCCACACCTCGCAGTCGAATTTTTCTGGGTGCCGTGAGAGGCTGTAGGCACAGGCCATGCCGGCCGCGCCTGCCCCGACGACGAGCACGCGCTTCTTCGCGCCCGCCGGCTTCGCTGTGGACATACCGTCGCCCTTCGCGGCGTCGGCGACGTTCACGGTCGCGACCGCGCCGCCGGCCCCGCCCTGGGCACAGTCAAAGAGCACCATGCTCTCACCAGTCGCTACACGAGGACAGCCGTTGCACCGGCCAAACTGTCACCAACGAGCAAACGATCACGGCCTCTCGCGGCTCCGTGTACAGCTCCTATTAGCTCACTATGCGCGGAACGCACTCTCGAGCAACAACTTGAGCAGCCGGGGACGCGGCCTGCACACGCCACGCTTCAACGGCCCCACGCACGCCCCACAGCCACTCACCTCCCACTCCCCCCGCGCCACTCCCCACCCGCCCGCCCCCGCCCGCCCCCGCGGCCGCGCCCCCGCTCCCCCACGACCGCCGCAACGGCCCCACGCGGCCCTGCGCCGCCCGCACGCCCCTCCGCGCCGCCCGCGCCCACCATGCTACGCCACACGCCCACCACCAGCACCACATCGCTCGACGGCACGCGCACACACAGCGCCGCGCCACCGTCACCGTCCACGCAGCCCCTCGCACCGCGCCCACCCGCGGCACCGCACCGCCCGCCCCCGTCGCCCAGAGCGCGATTTCACACCCGCGACGCACACACACCCGTCTGCGAACAGCTCACTGCTTCTGCTGCTCCGCCTCGCGCGCCGCCCGGCGCGCCTCCCGCTTCTTCTTGTCCTCCTCGATGTCGCCCATCATCTGCTCGAGCGCGCTGTCCGGCATCTCCTCGAGGCGCTTCTGCATCACTGCCTCCTCGTACTGCTCGAGCTGCTTCGCGTACGTCATTTGCTGCGGAGCGGCGCGCGGGGACTCTCGGCGGTGGGCCGGCGGCGGCGGGCCGAGGGGCCGGAGGGCGGGCGCGGAGCCGTGCACGCAGCGGCGCTGGGAGAGGCTGGCCGCAGCGCAGACGAGGGCGGTGCGCGGGTGGCGCGTTGGGTGGCTTACCTTGGTTGCGACGCGGTAGAGGTAGGTAGAGATCCAACCGACGCAGATGCCGAGGAAAATGATGAGCTGTACCCAGTTACCTGCCATCCCGGGCTCCATGCCGGTCGCCTGCGCGCATCAAGCCGCATGAGGGACCGTGAGGATCAGATACGTGCGCGCGTGTCGCGAGAAGAGTTGGCGGCTCGCCATCGCGTCGCACGGGCCCGCTGTGTGCCCAGGTGAGGCAGAGCGCGCCCGTGCGCCAACCGGACGCCGCGCCGCCGCGCGGGCGCAGATTGGCATCAACATGTACAGAGCTACCCAGAATTCCCGTTGCGCGCACCTGCAGGCCGTAGTACAACCCGTAACCGAGCGCGATGAGCCCGCCTCCAATGAGCAGCACGTCGAACCGCGTGTACCCGAACGGCGTGTCCTCAGGCCGCCCGCTCCCGTCGCCCTCAGCAGCACACACGATCCGTGCACCCCTCCGCGCCGTCGCCCGCCCTTGCGACGCGCACGGCGAGCCCCCTGCGGCTCGCAAGGACACTACTGGCACGAACAACTTCAGGGCCTGCCAGCCGGCTCACGCACCCGACGCGGGAGTTCAAAGCATGGCTGCATCGCTCTAGGCAGGAGGCTGCTCTGGAGGCGGTCCGCTGCGCTCATGTTGCCCTCGCGCGCGAGGAGGGACCGCACCATGGATGTAGGGGCGCGGGGCAGCAGTCGCCGCCGGGGCGGCGGCCGCGCGCCGCGCGCCGGTCGTCCGGCGCGCGGCGATGCCGCTGCACGCGGAGGGCGCGCGCAGGGTCTGCATGGTCGCGAGCGGGGACCTGAGAGAGCGGCAGAGCAAGATGAGAGCGCTCGGCAACACCTGAGAGCGCGGGGGTTTGCCGGTGCGGGACCGCCTGGCAGTTCTCTGGCGGGAGGACGCGGGCGCCGACCGTTGTTCGCCGCATCCCGCCGCGGCGGCGCGCCGCGACCTCAGCTGGGACACTCCGGCCACGGTGTCAGCTCCGAACCGCTCCCTTGCCGCACCTGGCCCCAAGCGCCCGCCCCGGCGCGGCGCTGCGGCACCGCGGGAGCCCGGTGCCGGCGCAGCGAGCCTCTGCACCCCTCGAGGACTTCGCATTCTTCATCCCGCGCCTCAGGTTGCACGCTCCATGACGTTGCGGTCGCCGGCGCGGCGCGACGGCGCGCTGCAGCCCGTGAGGTGCCCGGTGCGAGAATGCATGCTGAACACTCCGCAGGACGCGACCACGCCCTCGCCACCGTTCAAGGAGCACGCGGAGGGCCCGGGCGCGGTGTCCCTGCGCTGTTCACGCTGCCTCGTCCAGCTCGCTCCGTGTCGCTGCTGCGGGGAGCCGGTCTCGCGGGCTGCTTGCCCCGAGGTCGCTCCTCAACGAGGCGCGGAGCGGGGGAGCGGTGCGCCCGGCACGGCGGCGTGCGCGGCCTGCGGGATGCCCGACCCTGCCGCGGTGTTGCCGGCCGCTCTATTGAGGTGCGGCCTCCACGCCAGCGCCGTCCTGCAGGACCAGCGGCCCACGCCGTATCTGAGCGTGCGCCTGCGCGGGGTCCTCGGTCGCTTGCTCCCCGCCGCGCGCCGTGCGCGCGCCGAACGCCTGGAATGTTTCCCGGGCTCTCGTCGTTCGCCGAAGGGCGTGGTGGCCGATCTGCGACCGCAGGAGCATGCACTGGCCGAGCGGCTGCGAGCTGAGCGACCGAGAGGTCATCCAAGCCCAGGCGGCGCGCGCCGGCCGCGATACATACGCCGCGGTGCTTCAGGCCCGCATGGCAGCGGTCCGCCGCGCTCTGCGCGCGACCCCGCGCCGTCCGGCGAAGAAGCGCAGCACCAGCGACCGCGACGACGCCCCTTCGGAGCCTCCGTCGGCCCCCGGCGACCCCAGCCCCACCCCCGCTGACGCAAGGCGAGCTGCTCTGTTGCAGCACGGGCTGAGCATCCGGACGCGCTTGCAAGCGCTCGCGGAGCACGACGAGTGGAAGGCGGGCGACGACGACGCCGCGCGTCCCGACGCCCCCCTCGGCGACGCGGCGACGCAGGGCCTGTCGCTGACGTCGCAACGCCTCGTGCTGTCCGCCGGCGGCACGGCGGAGGCGGCGACGAGCGCGGCACGTGCAGCGGACGCGTACACCGTGGCGGTTGCGGCGGTGCGGCGGTGCTCGTCCGACGCGTCAATCCCGGACAGGCAGGCCCGGTGGATGACGTCAGCTCTCGCGGCAATCGAGCGACAGGGGTCGCCGGAGGCGGCCTCGCCTGGTGCGCGCCTGGCGCGGGCTGTCGCGCAGGGGTGGCGGGAGTCGCGTCGGGGGGCGGTGGCGGACGCGCGGGCGGCGCTGCGCGCGTGCATGTGCAGTGCGAGAGACGCGATGCAGGGCCTGGTGGACGTGGCGGCGCGGGCGCAGACGGCGCCTTCCGAGGCTGCGCGAGATCTCGCGGCGTGCGTGGCGCGGCGCATTCGGGCCGCGGGTTCGGAGCGCGGGGCGACCGACGTAGGGATCCACGCGGGGGATGTGGGGCGCGCGCTGGGCGGGTGGCTCGAGATCTATCGGTGGGCATGGCGGCGCGAGGGCGCGCTGAGGTGAGGCGAGGCGTCACGTGTTTCGCGCCGCCGGCCATGAGGCGTCGGGACCTGCAAAGATCATTCGACGAGCTGGCGAGTCATGTCGGCCCCCGACCGTCGCGGTAGCGGCAGGTGCGGCAGCTGTGAGGGACGGGGGAAGGCGGGGCTGTCGATCGCGCTCATGTCACGCCGTGGGTCGGGGCCCGCAGGAGGCATCCTTGCGTGACGCTGGTGGTGCTGTGCGGGCCGCGCAACGGCCGTTGCGGGTGTGTGTTGCGGGGCGAGGCGGTGCCGCATGCGGAGCGTGTATTCGGGGCGAGGCAAGTGCGGAGGGCCGGCGGTCGGAAACGCGCCGAGGCGCGGCAGAAGGGGCAGTCGTCCTGACACACCGAGCGCGTGCGACCACCGTGCCGCGATGAGGGGCGGCCGCGTTGGGAGCGCCGGCAAGTGCCGCGTTGGCTCTGAACCGAACTACGTCGTAGCTGCGAGAGATAGCCCCGCGGTGGTCCCGGCCGCGAAACGGAGCTTGCGACCGACGCATTAGCCGTTCGCGTCGACTGGGTGCGGTTTCCGCGCGCTGACGAGCGTACTTCGTGTCGTACGACGGCGAGCGCGAGTTCTGCGGAGCCCGTTGCGACCCACCTGCGCCCGTCACCACTGCGCATTTCCCTCCTACGGGGACTGCTGCGGCGGGCGCCGAGGTCGCGCTGAGACCCGACGTGTCCGGTCCCTGAATAGCAGTCTCGGGCCTCCGCGGACCCGCGTCGCGTGGCGCGCCCCCATCTGTCCACGCCGCCGAGTCGCACCTCTCACGACGCACGGCCCGCGCAGCCGTGGGTCTACCCCCTTGAAAATCGACGTGTAGATGCGATTTTTCATGTCAAGACTATGCGGCTAGGTGAGTCGGCTCGCCCACGAACGTGCTCACGGCACGCAATCCGCGAAAGTCAAGAGCATGCGGCATGCAGGTGGAGACGGGCGACGCGGGTGGCTCAGCCGCCATGTCCGCCACGTCCGTGCGCTCCTCAGCGCTGCAGAGCGGCACACGCGCCCAAACGCACGCTCGCGTCGCACGGGCCGCGTGCATCACGGCACGTTGGCCGCGAGGGTCATCGATGCGCTCCGCGCGAAATCCGGGCGTCCCAGCGCGCTCCTCCGCCGTACCGGGCTGCACCATTGCAGGATGAAGCGCAGCGATAGCGAAACGAGGTCGCCGAGCGGCACGGACGACTCGGCCAGCTCGGGCCAAGGGGGCAAGGGCCCAATTCGCTTCCTGAGTTCGCGCGGGAGCTCGAAGCGCGTGTCCCCCGCCGAAGACCCCGCAGCGCAGACGGCGTCGCCATGGGCCGCGGCGCTGGAGAAGCAGAAGAGCCGCGCGCTGCCGGACAAGGCGGCGTTTGGGGGCCACGGAGGTGGCTTGAAGAACATCATCTCGTCATATCTCGGGGCGTCGCGGATGCGACGGCGCCGCGTCGCGCAGGATGATGACGCGCGGTTCGCGGACCAGAGCTACGATCGGCACTGGGAGATCCGCCTGGCCGCCAGCGGCCCGTGGACGGCGTTTCTCATCCTGCTATCTTGCCTGCTCTCACTCACGGGCATCATGATCCTCGACTACGTCAACTGGTCGCGCATGTGGACTGAGTTCGGGCTCGTCATCTTCGTCGGCGGGATCTGGGCGTTCGACCTGTGGCTGCAACAGAGAGCGTGGGAACAGGTGTGCTGCCAACCCGCCTGCGTGCTCCTCGCCGCACGCCTTCCGCGCGGCACGCCAGGCCGGCGGCGAAGGCGTCGCGCGCTCCGCGCGTCCGGTCGTCGCCGAGCACAGAACGGCTCGATTCCGCCGTGCCTGTTGTGTGTCGCAGGCACGCGTGACGTGCGCAACGGCGCTCACGCGGAAGATCCTGAAAGGCTTGGACATCTTCTCGGTGCTGTGGTGCTTCTGCGGCGCCTTCTTCATCTTCGTGTGCGGCGGCTACTACTTCGACGGCTTCAAAACGGGCAGCTGGTCCGGCGGCATGGAGTCCCCCACCGTGCTCAGCATCGACGGCGCCAAGAACTACCTCGTGCTCGGGACCCACATGATCCACATCTACGCGACGGTGCGCGCCACGCCCGAGCCCCCCCGCCGCCCTCCCGGCCGCGCCCTGCCCCCGCACTGCTCACCCCGCGCACCCCGCATCACGTGCCGCCGCGCAGGTCGTAAAGGCCGCCTTCATGATCAAAGCGGTCGGAGCCATCCAGCGCTACCGCGTCTGGTGCCTCCACTTCTGCGAGGGCGAGCTCCGCAAGGACCCGGCCTCGCCCAACGTGGTCTCCCACGCCGCCTTCTTCATGCACACCCTCACCGTGCTGGTCGTGTTCATGGTCTGCGGCTGGTTCTTCCCGCACCTGGGCAGCGGCGGCCTCCTTGACAACGCCGGCTTCGAGATCCTGGCGGTCCTGGAGGCCTTCGTCGGCCCGGACGGCGCCATCGAGGACCGGTCGGGCCTGGAGTCGTTCCTCGACGTCTACGGCGCGGACCGCGGCGGCAGGCTGGTGATGCTGTCCAACGTCGGGTGGGAGCTGATGCGCGTGAGCGTCGGGGCGGGGGAGAACCAGGAGCTGTACGTGGTGGGACACGACCACCTGCACTTTGAGGAATCCAACATGAAGATCATCGTGAGGTCCGAGAACCACATGGCGGAGGCGTACTTCGCCCTCAACGGCGTCCGCCCGGACATGATCGGCCCGATCGTCGGCTGGCACGTGCTGTTCATCGTCACGGTGCTGGGCATCAGCGTCCTGGTGACGGCGGGCCTGATCAAGCACATCCTCCTCCCGCTCAACCTGATGTACGAGACGCTGATGCAGTCCGCGAGCATGCTCGAGGAGACGGGGCTCCTCGGCGAGCGCGAGCTCAAGGCGGACTCGGAGGCGGACGCGCACAGCGCCGACGTGGCCATGCAGAAGGTGGCGCGCGCGGTGATGCTGCTCGCGCGCGCGGCGCGCAGCGGGGGACGCGGGATGATTCAGCGGCTCATTCAGAGCACGGGCGGCAGCGAGGAGCGCCAGTTGGCGGAGCAGTGGGTGCGGCTGTACGAGGGAGGCCCCACGGCGTATGAGCGGCCGTCGGAGAACGGTACGGCGGGGAGGAAGACGAGCGGGATCGGACAGAGGATATCGCATCAGCACGAGGGTGCGAGCTCGTCGCCAAGGACGCGGCGGAAGTCGGTTCCGGGGCTCGCGGGGACGGTGTCGGTGGCTGCCAACGGGGAGGCGCGCGAGGTCGGGCGCAGGAAGACGGGCCGCTACGATCGCAAGCTGCGGCCGAGCGAGGCCGAAGCGGGCCTGGCGGCGGACGCCGCGGCCGCCGTGGTCGCCTCGGCGCGCGACAGTGGCATCCCCGACGCCCCCGGGGTGGTCAGCAAGGCGCCGGTGATTCCCGCCGACCTGTGGCACCCGGGCGCGGCGGACATGGGCAACTTCTCGTGGAACGTGCTGCAGCACGACGAGCAGGACAACGTCAAGCTCGTCCTCATGATGTTTGACCAGCTGGACCTGATTGTGCCCAAGCCGGGGGGGCTCGTGAGCCTGCCGGTGCTGGAGGCGTTCGTGCGCGCAGTGGCGGACACGTACGCGGACCACCCGTACCACAACTGGTGGCACGCGGTGGACGTGACGCACAACGTCTTCGTCATCCTCCAGCAGTGCGCCGCCATCAAGGGCGGCATTCCTGCGGTGGAGAAGTTCGCCCTCATGATCGCGGCGATCGCGCACGACGCGGGGCACAAGGGCGTGAACAACGCGTTCCTGACGAAGACCGACGACCCGCTGTCGATCTTCTACAACGACCAGTCCATCCAGGAGCACCTGTCGGCGTCCATCGTCTTCCAGCTGAACAAGGAGCCGGCGACGGCGGTGTTCGGGAAGCTCACGCGCGCGCAGTTCATGCGTGCGAAGAAGGTCGTCGTGCACGCCATCCTCATGACGGACATGGCGCAGCACTTCAGCCTCACCTCGAAGGTGGCGGTTCTGGCCGAGGTCGTGTCGTCCGACTGCGCGCACGAGAAGCCGTCGAACGCGTCGTGCCTCGGGGAGGCCAGCTGCTTCGCGAAGAAGCTCATAGCCGACGTCGACACGCGGGACACCACGCTCGCCGCCGTCCTGCATGCCGCCGACATTCTGCACGCCTGCAAGCCTTGGGACCTCGAAATGGACTGGGGCATGCGCGCGCTCGAGGAGCTCTTCGCGCAGGGCGATCGCGAGACGGACATGGGTCTCCCCGTCGACCCGATCATGCGCCGCGACGGCCAGGGCCCCGAGGAGTCTCAAATGGGCTTCATGGACTTCGTTCTGGCTCCCTTCACCAAGGCGCTGGCGGACCTGCTCCCGGAGCTCCGCGAGGCAGCGCTCGTGCCCATGGTCGACAACTACGCGGCGTGGGCGGCCGCGGCGATCGCGCGGCTGCAAGAGAAGAACCCCGAGGGGGACTCGAAGAAGGCGCAGCAGCTGCGGGAGAAGATCGAGCTGTTCGAGGACAAGTACTTGCCGGCCGACGCGCAGCTGGAAGCAGAGGAGGAGCTCAAGGCGGAGGCGAGCATCGAGAACGCGGCGCGGCCGAAGCAGTCGACGATCGTCAACGCGTTCCAGCGCGTCCGGCAGTCGCTGCAGATCGACCGCCCCAGCATGGACCGCGGGGGCGCGCGTCTGGCCCCGACTTCGTCGATGCGGGCCCGGCAGAGGGGCCTGCTGAAGACCCCTTCGATGACGCGGAAGTCCCCCTCGGGCGCGACGGCTGCCCCCGCGCGCATGTCGCTGCAGCTCCCGCGGTCGAGGCTCGGGTCGCAGCCCCCCCAAGGCGCGTCCAAGGCCGAGGAGCCCCCCAGCGCGCCGCAGCGCAACGGCGTGGCGAACGTCGAGGCCATCATGTCGAACCTGCTCTCCAGCACTGGGTCTGCAAGGAGGCTGAACGTGCGCCAAGATCCTCCCCCCGCGGGGTCCACGGGCTGGACGCGCGAGGAATTCCCCTCGCGCACCCTCGAGACCATCGGCGAAGCGGGGCAGTGACGCAGGAGCCTCATGTACGCCACCGTGAGGGACTGTGTGCGGCGGGTTCCCAACCCCCCCCCCGTGCAGCCCCATCATGGCAAGCAGGTGCCTCGTCCGCCACGCTCTCTTTCCCCCCCCCCTTCCCCTCCTCCCCCTCCCCCAGCGACTCTCCACGCGACTGTCCCGGCAGGCCCAGCTGCACGCTAACTAAGAAGATGTCATTCGAAGCAATGCCGTCATCTCCCAACTGTTGGCGCATGTTTCATACTTTGTTCACGGAGCCATCGTGCACCTCAGTCACGGTAGCTGCGATTGCGGTAACGATGGTTCGGCCCTCGAGTGATCCAACTCCCACGAGACCACATCTGCCTACTTCTTCGGATACAACGCCTCCGACCGCCTGCCATCCTAGTTCCGAACTTTTGCCCCCTACCTACCTCGCCCGCCTGGACGCGCTTCGCGTCGGATACTGTCCAAGCCGTGGCGGTGCCCAGGCCGCACTGGCCATACAGGCTGGCCCCAGGTCCAGGCCCCACGGATGCTGACTGAAGCACCCAGGACAAAAACTGTTGCTTTCCCCCGCATCCCCACTGCCGCGCTCCCTCTTCCCCTCCCCCGCTCCTCCCAGGGCCCTCCCCCCCTCCCCTCGTTCCGAACGCGAGGAGTCCACTCACGATCCTCCGCAATCTGACATGTTCCTCGACGAGCTGCCAGCCCCTGTGGTGGGCCACGCACTAGGGAGCCTCCTCTTCCGACCGCACCTGACGCCCGTCCAAGCGACGTTGGGTCTGTCGCGGCACACACGACGTACTTGTGCGGGGGAGTTGCGCGGTCGTGACAGAGACCCCCAGCCTAGCATTCATTCGCAAGCCTGCTTTCGATTTATGGCACAGACTCGCCCGCCACAACGTGGGGGCGTCCGTGTGAGGCATACACAGCGACGGAAAAACGGGCGCCCGAGACTTTCCGTGCGACGACGTCGTCGCGGGATGTGCATTTCGCCGTCTTTCAGAGTGTTAATTGACCCGCATTTCGTTTCGTGCGCGGGTGGTCAATTAACACTCTATGTGCCCGTCGTCGGCTGCCCCTCGCGCATGGCCCAGCGCGTCGGCCACAGGAGACGAATAGATCCTGCACCGCTCGGTAACAGCGGGCCCGGATCGGGGCCATGCAACGGTCCACCGCTGTCGGTGCCGTCAGCCGCCCCTCTCCTGGGCGGACGTGACCCGCAGTAGGCACGACTGCTCTGCTGAACGCTCTTCACAGCAGCTGCGCCATCGCTCGCCACAGCGCTGCCTCAACAAGAACCATCCGCCCCTCACCAGGCACGGCCAGTGGGCTTCATCGCAGGCTGCTTCGGCGACGCTGGCCCTGAGGCCTCCGCATCGTCCCCGTCGTCCCCGCCACTGCCGCCCGCTGCATCCTCAGCCCCGTCAATGCTCCTCGCCGCCGCGGGCTCAGCCTCCACGCCGCGCTCGTCCGCCTCCTGCGCCCGCCCCGCCTCCGCGTCCCGCTGCTGCCCCGCGGCCGGCTGCGCGGGCTGCACCGACAACGCAGCGCCGATCTGTCGCGCCATCGACACCGCGACCAGCAGCGCGTGCGACCCCCCGCGCAGAGCCGCCTGCGACGTCGTCATCGCCACTTGCGTCAAGAACACCTGAAGAACCCTCCCCACGGCGAGACAAGCCTCCAGGAACGCCCTGCTGCGTGCTTTCCAGCGCCGCACCATCCAGCGGGCAGAGAGGCTCCGTGCGCGAGAGCCGAGCTCCTTGTGCGCCGCCTCCGCGTCCTGCAGCGCCTCTCGCAGCTCAGCGAGCAACGCGCCCGACTCCTGCGACACCGAGCGGCGCAGCACGATCAGAGGCCAGCACAAGCACGCAGATGCAAACGCCACCGGCCTCTGCGCTCCCGCAGCGACGGGACCGCACAGCCGCAGTGCTGGTCCGGCGTGTCTGGGCGGGCGAGGCGCACCCGTCGAGCCGCTCGGATGTCGGCCATTTCCGCCGCCTCGGGTCGCGGCACCTCCGTAACCATCTGTATCCTTCCGACCACGGCGTCGCGCCCCTCCGCCCACGCGTCCGCGACGGGCGCAGCGCCCCGCTTCGTGCCCTCCACCTGCGAGCGCTCAGCACGTTCGGACGTCACGGCGCTGCGGAGGGGGCACATGAGCGGCGCGCTCAGGCAAGCACCGCGCGCACCATCACGCCTGCAGCCACCACCAGCCCGCGCAGTGTCGCGAGCAACGCCAGCGTGCCCAGAACGAGCCCGGCCCCTGCAGCGAGCTGACCACCGAATCCCGCCGGCCGTGGCGCGTCGCCCACCGTCGCCACGGCCTCGCCAGCGCCGTCCGCCCCACGGCCTCCGCCCCCGAACAAGCTGCGCGTCACTGTTCGCAGCAGCTGTGCAGGGCCGTTGGCGCCCAGTTCGAGCTGCGGGGCGCCCGGGGCGGACCGCACGGCATCGTTAAGGAACGCCAACAATGACGAGGTGTCACGCTGGATGCTCCCCATCTTCACGGGCGCCCCGTTGGTCCGCGAGAAGGCCACGACCGTAGGGAACGTCCGCGCGTCCAGCGACCTGCGGCAACGCGGGCGCGGGCGCGCCGTCCCCGATTGACTCCGTCATGCTACGAACAGCCCGCACATCTGAGGCCCTGGCGGGAGCGGGTCGCAAGGCGGGCGCAGCGCGGGGGTTCCTGTCGCTCAGCCATGTCCCGAGAGGTGCTCTGCGCAGCCCGCGATCGGGCAGCCCTGAGCTTCAGTTGACCTCACCTAAAGGCAAAGGAGCGAGTTTCCGGGAGGTCCCCGCGGATCTTCGCGACTTTCACTGACGGGTCCATGGCGAGGCCGGCGGCGAGGTGCTCGAATGCGTCCGACATGGTGCGGCAGTGCGGGCACCACGGCGCGTACACGACGAGCAAGGTGTCGTGGGGTGCTGGGTTGTACGCAGAGGCGCGCATGAGAGCCTCGACGTCGGGGACGCTCATGGGCGTGACGTACGACGAGCTCTCCGGCCACAGATCCGCAATGTCGCGTCTCCCAGCGAGCTCAGCCGCCGCAGCTGCGGAACAAGCGACGGAGCGACGCATTTCACCTTGCTCGTCTCTTTGCGAAAGCGTGTCTTCTGAGACGCGGCCGCCCTTCCTTCGCAGCGCGAACGATTGACATCGAGGCACGCTACACGTGGAAGCTGACAGACTGCTCGCGTGTCGCACCGCGCGGCCCCTCGGGCGCCAAGCAGCATGTGTGCGCACAGGTTGGTGCGGGCGTGCCTGGGTCGCAGCCGGCGGCGTCGCTGGCGTCCTTGCGGGCCTGTCCGCGCTCCTTCACGGTCCGCATAGCCGAAATCGTCGGGTCTTCTGCCCGGTTGAGGACCCTCGCGGCCGAGCGGGCGTGCGAAGGCAGCCGGATGACCTCCCCCTCATAAATGGTCGCTTCCGAGGCGCCCTCGGGCCAGCGGTTCGCCCGCAAGATGTCCCTCACGTAGATTCCATGCGAGCGCGCGATGGACCACAGGTTGTCGCCCGGGCGCACGACGTACGGGTGCGTCACTGGGCCAGATGCCCCGCTGGCGTGGGCCCGCACGTCACGCGGCCGCAACTCCGGCCTCCGCCGACAGCCTGTCGCCCTACAACTCGGGCGCGGGGGCATGTTCGCGGCACCGGAACCCGCCGCCGACGCATGACGCCGCCCCGACGGCACGGCCCCACACTGCGGCATGGCCCCGAGCCAGCGCGCGCGTCACGCCTCTTCCACTTCAGCCCCCCGCTGCGTATGTCGCGAGAGCGTGCGGGTATGTCCACGCGCGACGACACGCCGCGACATGTCGCCCGTGAACGCACTGCGCGGCGCACCGAGCCCGGGCGCACCACGCAAAACGCCCCCAGGGGGACTCAGCGCCGTCGCGACCCGCGCGAGCACGCACGCACGCCAGGCCCGACTCCCGCGTGCAGCCCGCGTGCTCCAACGAAGCAGTGCATCACACGTGCGCGGTCCACCCGCCCCGCGCCTTGCCCCGGGAGCTTGCCCTGCCACTGCCGCCCCGCGCACTCCCGCCTCTTCCCGCCCCGGCGGTTCCGCGCCCACGATCCTTCCCTCTCCCGCCCCGGCCCCGGATCCCAGCGCCCCGGCCCCCCGCGCCCGCACCGTGCGTGTTTGCGCCGCTGCCGCGACCTCTGCCAGGCGCCGCCGGGCCGCGCCCGCCGCCCTTCTGCGCCGCCCCCTTCGCCTTCTTCTTCGGCCCGCCTCCAGCTCCCCCAGCTCCCCGCTTCTTGTTCTTCGCACCCTGACTCTCTCGACTGCGGGGCTGTTCTGCGGCTCTGTGGCCGACACCCCCCCCCGTACGCCCGCCGCCGCGCCGCGCCGTCTTCACGCGCTTGCGCGGGGGCTCCTCGTCGCTGGAGCTGCTCACCGTCAGCACGGCCTCCTCTGCCGTGCGCTTCCCCGGGTGCGCCGGCGCCGCTGCGGGCTTGCGCCGCGCCATCTGCACAATGCGCAGCGCCTCGGCGCGGTGCGCGTCGTCGTGCAGACGCCCGTGCGTCAGCGCGCTCGTCACGTCGATGATCGACGACAGCAGCGGCATGTGCTCGTCGAAACGAATGTGGCTTGCGGCAGCAACGCCGCCGGCGCCGTTCGCCCCCATGCTCGCCTCCTGCACGGCCTTCCACGCAGCCTGCTCGTCGAAGGGCGCGTCGGGCGCCGTTTCGTTCGCCCGCGTGGCCTTCCGCAGGCGCGCTGCAGCCCGCCGCAAGCACTCCTGGACGTCGCCGATGTTGTACGTGCCCGCCGCGACGTCTCTCCCGTCCTCCTGCGGATCCTCGACCGCGAGGCCCCATGGACGCCCCGCGCTGACCCACTGGTGCAGCTTGCGGCACGTCCCGCCGCGTCTGACGCTCACGGCGTCGCGGCGGTAGTTGAACTCGGCCCCGAAGAACTGCAGGAACGACAGCAGCATGTCGCCGAGGTCGTGCGGAAGATCGCTGGGCAGCGGGGACGCTGACCCGCCCGGGACGCCGCCGCCGTTGAGCTCGAACGCCCCCGGTTGCGACCCCGACCTGTCGGCATCGCCGCGGCTTCGTATCTGCGGCGGCGGCAGCCCGGTGTGGCGGCGTGAGTGCAGCACGCGTCGTCAGGAAGCCGCGTGCGCGAGCGGACCCCGCGCTGAGCCGACGCGGGACGTGCAGTGTGGCGGTGGTGTCGGGGGGGTTGGGGCGCACCGCGGCGGGCACCGGGTACCCGAGGCGCACGAGGTGCGCGGCGACCATGGAGAAGAGCGAGTACGACGAGACCCCGCCCGTGAACACCTCGTTCAGGTTGTGTTCGCGCAGCAGCGCCTTGGCCACGAGCAGCACGGGGCGCGCCGGCCACAGCTCCGCCAGCGACCGCCCCATCAGCCCGACAGCCGCCTCGCCGTTCGCGACCCCGAGCGAGATGTCCACGGGCAGCACGGCCTTCGACCCGGGCGCCCGCATCCTCGACTTGATAATCGGAATCTTCGCGGTGCCAATCACGTAGCCAGCCTGCACAGCGCCCATGCCCTGGAGCGTCGCGAGCAGGTCGTTGAGCCGCCCGACCAGCCGCGGCCGGTGCTTGCGCGCGAACCCCGACGCCGGACTCAGCATCAGTGCGTCAGCCTCGCCGCCGAGGATGACGATGTCGAGGTCCGACCCGGGTAGCGCGAGCCCTGTGGCGCGGGAGCCGAAGAGCGTGGCGCGCGCGGCGCGCCCGAAGGTGTGCGCGGCGGCCTTGTGGACCATCGCGACGACGGCGTCGACGTCGCGCCGCTCCGAGGGCGCGGGCTCGCACAAGCGCGCAAACAGGCCCACCTCCCTGTGGAGGGCCGAGAGCGCGTTGCTGTCCGCGATGACGCGGCCCTCGACGACGGGCCGGCCGCCGGGCGGCGGCCGCTCGCGCGCGAGCGTCGCGGCGGGGTCCGGCGGCGAGGCGGGGGCGGATTGCAGAGCATGGAATGTGTTGCCGAGGCGGCCCGGGAGCGGCGGCGGGGAGGGCTGCCGGTCTGCGTGGAGGCAGGGGGAGGGCGGGGTGAGGGCGGGGGCGTGCGGGGCGGCGCGTGGGTGCGGTTGCGGCGGCCAAGGGCGGGCAAGCGTACTTGTCCCGTCAGGTGGTGGTGGTTTCTGGGTGGCGCTGAGCGGGGACGGGCTCGGCTGCGCGCGCGCGCTGCGCTTCTGGAGGCTCTGTATCTTGTGTAGTCGCCAGGGCGGGGCCACGCCCTCTGGCCACCGCTCGCCGTCGGAGCCGGAGGGGCTTTCTGCACCGTCGGTGCTCTCCCTTGCGTTGGCGTTGCCTGGGGGCGCTTGGTTGGTCAAGTGGAGCGACAGGGCGTCTCCTTCATCAGAGGACGAGATGACGATCGCGTCCTCGGCCGTGCTCGAGCGCTCGCCTGCGTCGCCGTGCCCCCTGTGGGGGGGTAGGCTCTCAGCGCTGTCTACGGTCGAGGCGCTGCGAGGCATCGCCCTCAACGAAGACGCCCGCTAGCCGTGATCACCATGAACGCGCTGTCCCTCGCGCAGACCCCAGAACGGACTCAAGCGGGAGCCACCGCCCTCCGCTCGCTGCTGGTCTTGTCACGAGTGCCCAACGCCAGCCCTGTGCCGAGTTGGGCGCCGTATCTCACGCGGGCCCCCTGGCCAACGCACGACGCAGTCACGTGAGGCCGTTTCCGTCGTCGGGCGCGGCCAGCTCAAGTCGGACTGCGAGGTTGTTTGCTTTCCTCACTTCCTCCGCAGCGAAACGTCCTCCGCGAGAAAGTTCGATATTGCACCACCCCCACTGCACCATGCGAGGACTCAGCGACGCCCTGGCGCCCTATGGCGCCCGCCAGACGCCGCCGCGCCGCAGTCTGCCGCGAGACTGCCCCCAGGGCACGCCCCCCCGCGCCGCCGCGCACGCCAATGCCGCGGCGGCGCGCGGGGCCCGCGAGAGAGCTCCGCGCGCGCCGAAGAGGCCGGAGGTCGAGCTACCCGCACACGATGAGCAAGACGTTCGCGTTCGACGATGCCATTGAGGATGGGTATTCGGCGCAGCAGGTTTTCGGGCAGGGGACGTGCCACACGTACGACGACGTGATCTTCCTGCCCGGGCACATCAGTTTCGGCGCGCACGAGGTCGACCTGGCGTCGCACATCACGAAGAAGCTCAAGCTGCGCGTCCCGGTCGTGAGCTCGCCCATGGATACAGTGACCGAGGACACCATGGCCGTGGCGATGGCCATGTGCGGCGGCATGGGCTTCCTGCACTACAACTCGACCATCGAGGAGCAGGCCGCGATGGTCAAGAAGGTCAAGGCCCACAGGCACGTCCCCGGTCGCGCTCAGTGCTTGCAGAGGATGATGATGGTGCCGCCCAGGATGCGCGCAGAGCCCGCCGCTGGATTCGTTCGCGCACGCGCTCGCTCCAGCAAAGTACGGTCATGCGGCGGACAGCGTGAGAGCTCGAGACGCGGTCCCTCGACGCCCGTAGCCGACTGCAAGTTGGCCAGGCCGGCCAGGCTGCGGCAGTCGCGCGTGCGCTCACTCGGCGCCTCGTTCCAGCTCCGCGCAGTCCGGGCTACGTGTACACCCCCGTGGCCGTCTCCCCGAACGACACGCTGGTCACGCTGGACAACCTGAAGGCGGCGCGCGGGCACTCGTCGGCGCTGGTGACCGACACAGGCGCTATGGGCGGGAAGCTCCTGGGCATCGTCACGACGCGCGACATCGAGTTCGTCGACGACCGCATGACCAGGATCGGCGACGTCATGACCAAGGATCTCGTCACGGCCCCCGTGGGCACCACCGCGGTGGAGGCCCTGGAGATGCTGAAGACGACGCGCAAGGGCAAGCTGCCGGTGGTCGGGGCGAACGGCGAGCTGGTCGGGCTGGCGACGAGGCGGCACTTCAAGGCGCACATGGCGTTTCCGCCGCTCGGCGCGCCCTCGACGGACGCGCAGGGCCGCCTGCTGTGCGGCGCCGCGGTGGGCACGCGGCCGTCCGACCGCGACCGCGTCAAGGCTCTCGCCGCGGCCGGCGTCGACGCCGTCATCCTCGACAGCTCGCAGGGCGACTCCACCTTCCAGGTGCGCCGCGCCCCCCCCCGCCAGCGCCCCCAGTGTCGCCGCCAACCATCCCCCGCGACGCCCGCCTCCGCACCGCCCCGCGCGCAGGTCGACATGATCAAGCACATCAAGAAGAAGCACCCCAACCTCGAGGTCATCGCGGGGAACATCGTCACGTCGCGGCAGGCCAAGACCCTCATTGACGCCGGCGCCGACGGCCTGCGTGTCGGCATGGGCTCGGGGTCGATCTGCACGACGCAGGAGGTCTGTGCGGTCGGGCGCGGGCAGGCGACGGCGGTGTACCAGGTCGCGCGGTACGCGCAGGCGCAGGGCGTCCCGATAATCGCGGACGGTGGGATTCAGAATTCTGGGCACATTGCAAAGGCTTTGGCGCTCGGGGCGAGCACGGTCATGTGCGGGTCGCTGTTCGCGGGGACGTGGGAGGCGCCCGGGACGTTCTTCACGGACCCGGTGTCCGGCTGCCGCGTGAAGCGCTACCGCGGCATGGGCTCGCTCGAGGCCATGCAGAAGGGCAGCGAGGCGCGCTACCTCAGCGAGACGCAGACGCTGAAGATCGCGCAGGGGGTGTCCGGGACGGTCAAGGACAAGGGGTCGATCTTCGCGCAAGTGCCGTTCCTCGCGCAGGCCGTGAAGCAGGGCTTCCAGGTATGACGACGCCGTGTCTGTGCATGTACCAACCAATGCGGAGCGCGGGCGTGCTGCTCGCGGCGTTCTGGTGTCCGCGGCGGCTGAGCTTGCCGCGTTCTGCGCTGCGGGTTCGGTATGAGTGGCGTGATCGAGCACGTGCGGCGCGCACCCTCTCTCGTGTGCGCAGGACATGGGTGTGCGGTCCATCGCCGAGGCGCGCGAGGGGCTCTACACCGGGACGCTCAAGATGGAGACGCGGTCAGGCGCGGCGATCGTCGAGGGCGGCGTGCACGACATGCACGCCTTCGAGAAGAAGCGATGGTAGGCGCGGCATGCGGCGAAGGGGACGTGCAGCGGCGCCCGCGGCACCTGCGCGTGGACAGGTAGCTTGAGGGCGTTCCCGGCCAACGACAAGCCTCGTACACGTGCGGGTGCTCACCGGCTGCCCGTGCCCTGCGCCCTGATGGCGTCAGCAGGCGCCTGTGCGCGATGTGATCAGCATGACGTGTCGATTGGAGGCCACGTTGACCGAGGCAAGGAGTGGCTGAGAGCAACGACGCGGTGGAGCACCCGCACGCAGTAAGCGCACGTCAGCGAAGGACCCCGTCTGTTAGTACTTCGCTGACCTACAATCACCCTCACTGCGAGGATACTTGAGCGACCGAAGGCAGCTGTGCGAGCGAGACGCGGGTGACGCAGGGGGTGAGTCTTCGGGGCCCTGAGGCTGTTGGGTATGCACAGCTCACACCATGGCCATGGACGGCGGCGCAGTCGTGCAGTGGGAGCAAGACGCGCGCGAGCGGGCGAAAAGGAACAACATGCCGGGCATGTTGAAGGGATTAGCAGACGGAGGAGAGGCATGGCGATGGTGTCCCTCGGGGGGCTTGACCGTCAGTCGAGTCGGGTGGCTGACCGGCAAGTGCTTGTTGTGTTAGTTGCGGTGGGGGCATCTTGGCGACACAAACGACAGAGTTGGTGAGGCGGTGCTGCGACCCGACCAGAGCGTCAGCCTCGCTGGTGCGAGGGGTCTGGCGGCTAGCGGGCAGGTCACCGAGGTCTGGACAGTGTTTGAGGCGAGCAATTATGGGCGGCGTGCGCCGGTGGGGCGAGATCGTCGCGAGGACAAAAGGGGGGTTCGGGAGTCCGGGAGGGGGAGGGGGGGGAGGGAGGGGGGTATGTTGGCCGCTGTGTGTGTCAGTGGCCATGTGTTAGAGAGAGGAGATGTTTAGGAGTAGGAATGCAGCGTTTCGCTGTCCGCCGCAGCATTGAACCGCCGCACGTTCGGGCGTGCTGCCGACAAGTGGCCGTCGCCGCACATCTCGCGGGGAGACTTGGCCGTGGCGGGTGTGGTGAGCATAGGGGAGATAGAGCGGGTGCGCACCCGACCGGGGCGGGCCGCGGCAGCCACCGTCTGGCGCCTCGCGGAGCGTCATCCGTGAAGTCCGTCGCCACAACGCAGGGCGGCCTTCACGAATGCGTCGCGCGTCGACAGACGTTAGAGGAGAGAGAGAGTGAACCGCACGCGAGGTGGGCCCTGGTGCGTGACGGTCCGTGCACTGCAACGACGCCCGGTATGGGCTCCAGTGCTAGAAAGTATTCCTCACGCGTGGGGGAATTGTAAGAGGGCAGGGGGCGGGGGGGGGGGGAGGGTGGGGGGGGGCGCCAGTATCTGGCTAGGAAGCTTCATGCTGGCTGGTGAGAAGCCAAGTTCGCTCGGAGCGAGGTTGGGGGGGCAGGGTGCCTTGCAAGGGTCGAGAAGTCGAGGTGGCAGGGCGCCGGGGCGTTTGGTGTTGATCGCACCGTGATTGTTGTTGCGTCGAGGGGGCGGCACTCGTGGGTGCGCCACGGCGGTGCCGCCTCCAGGCGCAGGGCTGCGGAGGGCCGGGGCGCGGAGCCCGTGGCGGACCCGAGCCTGGTGGGCCGCCGTGTGTTCCTAACCTGGGTGGTTTCGGTGTCGGCGCGGGGCCGTGGGCCTAGGTCGCGAGGTGCAGCAGTGTGGAGCGTGCAGCGCGCGCCCCGCCAATCGGGGGCCGCCAAATCATTGTGGAGGGGGGAGCAAGACATCGCCGCCGACGATCTGAGGCTGAGGGGCGGCAGGCCCGGGAGCGGCGTGGCAAGCGACGGGGGGGCAGGCGCCGAGCAACAGCCTGCGAGTGCTGTGCTCGTTCTGTTTGAACACGACGCGGGTGGTGGGGCGCCGCCGAGCGTGCTCCCCAGCGCCCAGGCGCGGCCGAGTGCGGGTCGGGAGGGCCACCGGGGAGGCGGGGGGGGGGGGGGCCGAGGGGGTTGGGGGAGTCCGGGGGGCATCGGGGAGGTCCGGGGGGTAGGGCGGGCAAAAAACGTGCAGGGGTAGGAGGACAGTGTTTGGAGCGGGGACGCGACAGGTGCGCGAGGAGCGAGGTTGCTAGGAGGATAGTCAAGTCAGCCAACGCCGTGTTCTTGTCCACGGTTGGCGGCGCCGCCTTCGCTGAGGTCGGCGCGAGAAGGAATCCACAGGGCCATGACGGGAATCGGGTGGGTGGGGGGGTGGGTGTGCAAGGGGGGGGCTCAGGAGCCCGCCTGCGAGTGCGGCACGGCGGGCTTCCCGTTGCCGTGCGTCGCGGGGGCGCCCGTCCCGCCCTGCCCGGCCGTCGCCTCCATGTGCGCCGCGATCATGCGCAGCAGCGGCGAGCTCTGCCCGTGGAACATCGCGGCGCCGTCGTCCTTGTCGCCGTTGTACTCGTTCCCGCTCGGGTTGTTGCTGCTGTCGCCGCTGCCCGTGTCCTGGCCCGAGTCCCCCGAGTTGTTCCCGCTCGACGCGCCCCCGGGGCCCTTGGCGCTCCCGCGCGACCGCGCCGTGCCCTGCGACCCGTCGCCGCCCGACGGCGTGTCGTTGCCGCCCGTCCGGTCCGACACCGAGTACGAGTCCGTCGGGGCGTTCGGCCCGCCCGCGACCGCCGCGCCCGCCGCCGCCGCCCACTGGTCGCCCGGCAGGCTCCCGCCGCCGTACATGGCGTGCAACATGCTGATCTGCTCCGCGAGCAGGCGCTGCTGGTCGGCGCCCTCCACGCCCGACGCCCACGGCGACGGCGCGTCCGGGATGTCCGGGAGGCCCGCCGGCACGGGCGCGACGGCCCCGTGCGGCATGGACGGCAGCGAGCTCGGCCACGGCGCGGCCGAGGCCGGCACGCGGCGCGACGGGTCGGCGTGGTGCGCGTGCGCGTGGCGCTGCTCGCGGCCGTGCCCGCCGAGGCCGAGCGCGCCGATCTGCGCCGCGAGGAGCTCGGCGTCCAGCCCCGCGCTCGTCGCGCTGGCGGGGACGCGGGCGTTGCCCTGGAGCAGGAAGTTGAGGCCCGCGGCGAACGAGGGCTCCATGAGCGGGTTGACCACGCCGTGGGGCGCCGGCTGCGCGGGCACGTTGCCGAGGACAGGACGCCCCTGGACGGCCTGGGGCGGGAGCGCGAGGCGCCCGCCCACGAGCGGGCCCGGGGGCGACGCGCTGGCGGCCTGGCCCACCGCGGGCGCCCTGGGCGCGTGGGAGTACTTGCAGAGGATCCCGCGGGAGCAGCGCCCGTTGAGGAAGTCGCGGCACTGCGGCTGCGAGGAGCTCATGCGCTGCTGGACCATGACCGCCAGGTCGTGGGAGTAGCGGCACGACGGGCCGCGCTTGCACATTCCCTTGCAGAAGTCGAAGCAGACCTGCGGGGCGGGGCGCGGGGCGCGGGGCGGGCTCGGGCGGCGGCCGGGCGGGAAGCGCGGCGTGGGAGATACATGCCCGGGAGGGGGGCGCGTGCGGCGGCGTGGGGTGGGCGCGGGGCCGGGTGGCGCCCTCGCGGGGGCGTGCGTGGAAAGTTTGGCCCGTATTTGGGGGCGCGGCGGGGTAGCACGCCTCGGCGAGCGCGAGGCGCGGTGGTGCGAGGGGAGATCGGAAAGCCGCGGCGACGAGGCGGGCGACACGCCGCGACCGCGGCGCTACACGCGTAAACAGTCGAATCTCGCGGGTTGCGGCGTGCCGTGGCGGCCGCCGGCGCGTGCGGGGCGGGGCGAGTGCAGCGAGCCAGTAGGCTCTGGCTTGCGGGGCCGGGGCGCCTCGTTGCGCCGTTCGTGGTCACGGTGGGGGGGCAACGCGGACTTACCTCGACACCCTTCGACGGATCAACCGGCATGCGCCCGTAGTAGCCAGCGCGTCGGCTCCGGTTCGGCAGCGCTGCCTGCCCTGCGGGCTGCCCCAGGAGGCCGAGCTCCCGCATCTCCTCCCACAGTTGCAACTGTTGAAGCTGCGTCTCGATGCTCGACGCGCCGGGAGGCGCCGGAGCGCCCGCAACGGGCTGCTGCGGGATGCTCTGCTGGTTGCCCAGTGCGGTCCTCTGATCCCCGTAGCCATTCATGGCGACCGTCACCGCGTGGGAGCTATTAGGAAGACTCGACAGTGATCTGCGGGCGCACCAAACCGGCCGGGGAGGGGCAAGTGAGCGCCTGCGCGCGTGCTAAGGACAGCACTGGCCGTATATCAACCCGCCGGAACGCGCGCACGCCGCCGCTCGCGGCGCGTCCGGCGCGCGGCGCGGCGCTCGGGCGACGAACGGGCCCGGGGCCGCCGGGCCGCGCCGCAGCGCGCACCTCGCGCGGCACGCGCGCGGGTGGCACACAGTGCCCAATGTATCCAACGCGCGGGCGCGCCTGGGGCGGCGACGTCGCGGCGCGTGGCTCGCACCTGTTCTTCTTAGAGTACTTGAGGGTCCATGCAGGGCCGGTGCGTCCACGGAGACGCACGCGCGAGGCCGGCGGCCGCCGCGGCGACCTCTGTGGGCTTCAATCGAAGGCCGCGATGGAGCGGCGCTGACCGCGAAACCCCCGAGAGAGCGGGCCCTGACCCGTACGGTGCGTGTGGGGCGCGGCCGACGGGCTTGCTCGGACGCGGGGCCTCGGGAAACCGCGCGAGGCTGCGCTGGTCGATGCCAACTGATGGCACGCTCAACACCCGCGCGTGTGGGGGCGGGCTGCGGTAGCGGATGCGTGAGTAGAGCTTCGCAGTAGGAAAATTCGTGTGATGTGGCGCAGGCGCGCCGCGCCCGCGCGCAACGAGGTCGCGCCCGGCCGCTCGACTGGTCGGTCGGTCTCATTGACGATGACATCATGAACCCCAACGGCGGTGCGCCGCCGGCCACGCGGGCACGTCGCACGCCGGGCCCCGCGCGCTGCGCACTTGGCTGCACTTCTAGCCTGCGCGAGGCCCGCCGCGTGCACGGAGTCTGCGAAGCTCGACTGGGACCCAGCTGAGACTCCGAGTGGCGGGCAGCGGTGGCCCGAAGCCAGCGTGCGCGGCGCGCGACGGCCTCTTGAGTAGCTGTGCGGCCTGGAAACACGGTTCGCCGACGACGACGACGGTCCCGGCGCCGCCTGCGAGCCCCTGAAGCAAGCAGCGTGTGCAGGGCCGGAGAGCGCTGTGAGACCAGAGCTGCATCGCCGCGAGGCGCGCCGCCCTCCTCAGAGTCCTTTGCCGTCGGGATATCCGCGGAAAACGACGAAACGGCCGCTCTCGGCGAGGGACGCCAAGTCCACGACATACAAGGAACAGAGGCACCGCCGCGCCCGACGAGCGCGCAGCGCTCAGCGCGCCGACGACGCGAGGTTCCCGATTGCTGAAACGCGTCGTGACGACGCGCCCACTGCTCTGGCGCAACGACGCGCCCGGCCACTCCCGCCGCACCGCCTCGTGTCGCGGGACGTGGCGCACGTGCGCGTATGCGCTGGACGGCCGCCGCTGCGCGACAGGGCCGCTCCCTTCCGCCGTGCCGCGCGAGGCGACGCAGTGCCGCACCCGTCGCCCCCCTGATGCGCCCGGACGTCCCCCGCGGGGCCACACTGCTTGGCACACCCTGCGCAGTCACTCAGGCGCGCGCGGTCGATCCAGGGCGTGCGCGGGTGCGCAGCGCCGGTGCTGGCGCGAGCGGCACCGCGCCGTGCCGCGGCGCCCAGCGCACGCGTTCGCAACGCCTCCCCGGTATAACTGGCGTCAGTGGACGACCCCCCCCCTGTGACGGCGCCCGCGCTTCCTGGGGCTCCAGCACGCGCCGTGATCCGCACATTCAGGGCCCGCTTCACGCCGTGACGGGCTCGCAGCACACAACGCGCCCCCGCGCCAGCGACGGCGACCACGACGACGCCGTTCCCGGGACGCTTGCACTCTAGACACCGCTGCACGTCGGGGACGCGCCAGGAAGCGCGCGGCGGTCCGATGAGCGCAGGGGTGTAGGATTCCGTAGAGATGAGCGGGACGTGGGGCCGCGCCCGCGCGCCCGGCTTGAGCGGGTCGACGGCGGGACGCGCACGACGCAAGTCGCACGTGACGCGCGCGCCTGCGCACGTGGCGATCCCGATCCCGGAGGACGACGCGCAGCTGCCCGAGGAGGACCTCGGGCTCCCGCCGGGCACGGCCATCCTGGACGCCGGCGGCGGCGCGGCGCACGCGACCCGCCACGGTGACCCCCACAGCCTGCCGCACGAAGGCGGCGGGGAGGGGCCGGACGCGTCGCTTGCGGAGAGGGGGGAGTTCTCGTTCAAGGTGGAGGATTCCGGCGAGGGCCCGCACTTTTGGGTTGCGCGGCGACAGAAGGGCGTCGCGACGCCGGACTGGGGGTCCGAGGAGGAGGAAGACGGCAACACCACGGGTGAGACACACCGTAGGCGCTCGATGCGTCGCGGAGGATCGAGAATGAGCGCCTCGGCTGCCCGCGGTGACGGCCGGAGAGGCTAGTGCCATGTGCCCTGGCCCCCTGACCGCCTGTTGCGGGCCGCTGCGCCGCGCGCCGTCGTTCGAGGCAGCGCGCGGCTCGACGAGTGCGAAAGGTCGACGGTTGGCCTGGCTAGTCCGGCCGTCGAGGGCGCGTGGGCTGCGCAGGGGCTGCCACTGTGGCACAGCAGGGCGACGCCGAGCTATGCTGGAACGAGCGCGTTTCCCGCCCGGTTCGTTACGCAGGAACGGCGACTCCGGCCCCGTCGGAACAGGCTTCCGAGGACGACCTCCGGCGCGACGTGTCGGACCTTCTGATGGCCCTGGAGGCCGGGAGCGCTGCCACCGCACACAGCGCAGCTTGCAGCCTTGCCCGGCGCCTGGGCGCTCAGCGGGGCAACCTGAGAGGCGTGCCGGGGGCGTGCTACCACGGCACGATCACAGAGAGCACCGCGCGCATCGTCTACTCGCAACTCGCGGACGGAGCTTGGCAGAGGGTGGTCGCGTCTGGGCTCCTTCGCAAGGTGCGCTGCAACCGCGCACCAGCGCGATTCCCGACGACGACGGCCGAACGGAGACACACAGTCGAATGTGCGGCCGTTCGGTGTTGTTTTCCACGTCGGCATCGCGTATGCACGTCGCACGGGCCTCTGGCTGGCTGCAGTGCAAGAGACAAGCCCTGAACGCCTTGTTGCGACCGACACGGCGCTTGCAGTCGACGGACACGCATCTCAAGTCGTACCTCCGGGACCTGGTCGCCGCGGCGGCCGCGCTGCACCGCACCGCGTTCGGGAATCGCGGCCCGAGAGCCTGGGCCGATGCCGGGATGGGCCGCGCCTGCTTCGCGCTGCTCGACGAGGGCCTGGAGGGCAACTCCGTCTCCATGTCCCTCGGCGTCGATATCCTCGAGGTGCGCTGCGACCCTTCCCCCGCGCGAACCCCCCCCCGGCCGAGCGCGGGCGCCCTGGACGCTATCTGAGAGACGCGTCGCTGCAGGGGCCCCGCCGCCGGTCGCGACCCTCAGCGGGGCCGGCCACGTCGCCCACGTGCTCGTCCGGTATCCCCCACCACGCGCACGGCGCGCTCGCGGTCCGACGCAACGCGAACGGTGCGTGCAACAAGCGCAGGGAATGTTGTCCGTGGGGTTCCGGGAGACGCGCGCCGAGCTGTTCGAGCGCCTCTACGTGATCGTCCAGTGCCTGATCCTCGAGGGCAGCACCGCGACGGCCTCGGAGCGCGCCCGCCTCGCCGGCTGCGCGGCCCGGGAGCTCGCGACGCTGTCGCGCGACGAGGCGCGCCGCCTCACGCCCGAGACGCTCGACGCGTGGCCGCGCGTCGTCGCCTGGAACATCCAGAACGCCAGCCTCGTGCGCCTCAACGACCCCGCCGCGTTCCCGGCCGCCACCCTGCGCTGTGTCGCCCTCCTGCCCGCCAACGCCAACCTCGCAGCGCTCCTCGCCCCCGCCGGGCGCCCCACGACCGCGCCGTCTGCGCACATCGAGCCCGAGGGCCGCCCGTGGACCGCGCGCGCCGCCTCGCCCCGCGCGCACGCCGGACCGTGCTTCGCCGAGCTGCTCATGCGCGAAGCAGAGGCCACGAGCCAGGCGCTGTGGCGCGAGGCCGCCGAGGCGGCCCCCGGCGCGGCGCGCGCGTCGGAAGAGCGCCGCGCGGGCGCCGAGGCGCAGCTGCGCGCCATCGCGGACGAGGTCCGCCGGCTGGCCGCGAGCCTTTTGGAGGCGTCTGCGGCGACCAGCGCGGGGCAGCGCGCGCTCCGGAGCGCCCTGCTGCGCGGCGGCTTCCTGCGCGCGCTCCTCCGGTGCGTGACGCCGCTTCCGGGCCGCGCGAGCGAGGGCGGACGGTGGGTGCGCATGGAGGTTGTCGAGCGTCTAGGGCCGCACCCGGACGCCCTGCGACGGCGCGACGAGGCGCGGCGGCGGCGGGAGGCGGCGCGCGAGGCGCGGCGGAAGATCCTGGAGGCGCAGCGGGCCGCGCGCGAGGCCGAGGAGGAGGCTGCGCGGCGGGCGGAGGAGGAGGAGCGCATGGCTGCGCGGGCGTCCTCGGAGCACCCGTCGGAGAAGTCGGCGCGGGACCTGTCCGAGCTGTGCGACGACATCATGGGCATGCTGCTCGGGCGCGGCAGGGACGCGGACGAGGGGGACGGGAGCGACGACGGGGCCCAGGGGGAGTCCGGCGCAGAGGGGGGGGTGTTGGAGGACGGGGAGGGCGAGGCGGGGTCGCGGGGGACGGGGAACGAGGAGGGCGAGGACCTCGAGGCGACGTCGGGCGTGCAGGCGGAGATGAGCCTCGCGTTCGGGCTTGCTGCCACTCCTGGGGGGGGAGTCCGAACGACCCCCCGGTCGGCGCGGCTCGACGCGACGGAGCGCCTGGGCGGGCTGGACGGCCCGGGAGCTGCCTCGCGGCCGACGACGGCGGGTCTGCAGAGCACGGCCTCGAACCCTACGCGCCCCACGACGGCGGCGATGCCTGCCTTCGCGGCGCGGCCCGGCGGGCGCCCGCAGACGGGCCGGCCCGGCACCGCGGCGACGGGGTCGTACGCGGGCGTCCTCGGCGACACAGGCGGGCTGAGGAAGGTCAGTTTCGGCGCCGCCGCGGCCCCGATGGCCCTGTCGCCCAACATCGCTTCGGCCTTCGGGCATTTCGACGACATGGACGAGTGGGACAGCGACGAGGAGGAGGAAGAGGAGCTCGATAACGAGCACGTGAGAGTGACGCTCACGGAGGGCGACGTGCGGCCGCTGGAGCACATGCCGGACGACGCCAACGAAGCGCTCACCCTGGCGCCCCCGGACGGGCGCGCGGCGGTGGGATCGTGGATCCTGCACCTGATCACGTCGCTCGAGGAGAGCTGCACTCTCGAGTCGCACAACGACCAGGTCAAGGCCCTGTCGAGCTACCTCCGCATGGCAAAGGGCCCCATGGTCTCGACGCTGTGTCCGATCGCAACGGCGCAGATCCTCTCGGCCGCGGGCGTCCTCTGGCTCCGCCGGGTCAACCTCGCGATGGAGCACGCCGCAGTCACGCGGGGCCGCTCGTGGGCGCGGCGGCGAGAGGTCGGCATGTCGCTGCTTGCGCGCGCGTGCTACGAGGGCGCGGAGCCCGGCGGAGGGTCGCAGCACGGCGCCGTGCTGCCGCTGCTCACGGAGCTGCCGGCGACGCTCATCGACGAGATCGCGGTGGCGTGCGACGCGCGGTTCGACGACGCCGTCGCCGCGGTGGAGCGCCCGCGGTTGGCAGAGGTGCTGGACCACATCGCGCTGCTCCCGGGGAAGAAGGCGCGCGGGAAGGAGGCGATCGGCGCGACGATGTGGCTGCGCGAGATGCTCGGCGTGGATCTGGGAGGGGATTGGCGCGCTGCGGGGCTCCGGGGCGGCCAGGGCTCGCGGCCTCATAGCGGCCGCGCGGGGGGGGGCGCCGCGACGCACCGGCGCTGCCCGCTCGTCCCGCTGGTCCCCATGTCGGTCCTGCGCGGAGACTTCACCCTCGAGAGGCTTTGGAGGGAGCGGCTGCGCCCAGCGATCAAGCTCGCCGCCCAGTTCCAGCGCGAGCTCGACAACGCGCGCGCCATCGGGGCGGCGCGGCCGCGCGCGCCGAACCGCGGGATCATGTGGACGCCAGCGAAGGACCCGCGCCCCGTCGAGCCCAAGCCGCCGCCGCCGGAGCCGGCGCCGAAGCCGGAGAAGGCGAAGAGTCGCAAACCGCGACGGCGGAAGTTCACCATGCAGCTGGGCTCCGAGGCGTCGCGCGGGTCGATCCTGTCGGGCCCCTCGCGCGGCGACGTTAGCGTCGGCTCGACCTTCCGCGACCCCTCGCGCGCGAGCCTCGCCCGGGGAAAGTCCGGGGTGTCGTCCATCGCCAGCCAGAGCCGCAGGTCGATCACCAGCGGCGGGCTCTCGAAGATGATCGGCGCCGGCGCGTCCGTCGCGCGGGGCATGTCGAAGAAGATCGTGCGCATGGAGTCCGCGATGCCGGGCGTCGGGTGGGCTCCCGAGGAGGACAAGCCGGCGGCGACGTCGTCGCGCAACGAGGGCGACGCGGAACGAATCGCGAAGAAGAAGACGCGCCAGCGGCTGCGCTTCGCATCGGAGCCCCCGGAGCCCGCTGCGACGTCGCTGCAAGAGCCCGCGGCGTCCAAGGACGACGACGGCGACGACGGGCACCGCACGGCGTTCACGTCCGACGCGTCCCGCCCGACGACGGCCCCGAGCTCGATGTGGGCCGAGGAGTTCGACGGACCCGTCGGGCACCCGTCGCTGCCCCCCGCGGAGGACGAGTGGCGCGACACGTGGATGGAGCTGGAGCCGCAGCTCCTGCGCGTCGTCATGCTGCTCGGTCAGGGCGACCTCCTGCCGTGGGACATCGTGCAGCTCCCCACGCACGCGGGCCTCGTGCCAGCGCTCGCCGGGCCCGCGGCGAACATGGTTGCCGAGGAGGAGGTCACGCTGGACCGCTTCGCGGCCACGACTGGCGGGCGGTACGGCCGGGCGTGGCCGCCGAAGCACGACATCGAGTGGTGGGAGCAGGCCGGGACGCAGGCCGACCCCTGCCCGAGCGACGTGCACCCGTGGTACCTCCGCCCGGCGCCGGAGCTGTCCTCGGGGACATATCACAAGCTGCGGGGCACCATGGGGTTGCCGGAGGCGGGGTGCGGGGACGCGCGCGGGCAGCTGCGGCGGGCGCGGTCGATCTCGCCGGAGCGGCGGGTGTGGAAGACGGCCGACGCGCGGCGGCCCATGACGGTGCCTGCGCGCGACGGCGAGAGTGCGCCGTCGGAAGGTGACGGGACGGTTGACGGCGCTGCGGAGCTCACGTCCAGCGACGAGGAAGACGAGGAGATCGGCGGCTCGCCCTCAGCGGCGGCAGCGTCGCCCAGGGACGCCAGGAGTCCGTCGCTCGGCCCCGCGCCCGAGGGCGACGCCACCTCGGAGCACCAAGGGTCGCAGGCGCCCCGGGAGGGTTCCGAGGCCGGGGAAGCGGAGCCCGCACCAGAGCAGGAGCCTGCACAAGAGCCGGAGCCGGAGCCGGAGCCGGAGCCGTCGCTTCCGCGCGCACCGATTCCTCGCGGCCCTCCGCGGAGCGCTCTGCGGCGCAGGGAGGCGCGTTTGCGGTCGGCGCAGGGTTCGCGACCGAAGACAGCGCCCGGCGGCGCGGACCCCTTCCTGCGGCACCGCGAGTCGGCGCGGCGGCGCCCGAAGCCCGAGCTGGACGGCGGCTGGAGCCACGTGTTCATTGCCGCGCCGCCGACGGACCCGGAGCCGCTCCGGTTCCCGCCCGTGTTCCGCACGGAGTCGGCGCGCTCCGCGCTGTTCCGCGTCGATCGCAACAGCGTCAACACGCTGCCGGAGCGCTGGTCGCTGTTTAGCCAGGAGCGGCAGCAGGCGCACAGCGAGCGCGGGCAGCTCCGGTCGTACGTCGGCACGCAGTTCGAGGTCGTCCCGCCGCCGCGCGACCCCACGCCGCCGCCGTCGACGAACCTCGCGCACAACGGGTCCGTGTCGTCCATCAGCGACACCGAGTACCCCCTCGAGGAGCCAGAAGGAGTGCTTGCGAGCGAGCCGAGCATGCCGGACAAGAACGAGGAGGACCTCGCGTGGGAGGCGTCGCTCGGGCCGGAGGTGTGGGGCATGCGCGCGGGCGAGCTGCCCGAGGGCGTGGACCACAAGACGTGGGCCGAGCAGCTCGAGGAGATCCCGCGGCAGGGGCACCGCGGCGGGGAGGTGCCGGTGAAGCCCGGGGAGCTCATGGTGTGGAAGCCGCCGGTCGACAAGGCCCGGGAGCAGATTGACTGGAAGGCGAAGCTGGCGCAGAAGAGGAAGGGAACCAAGGTTCCAAAAAAGCCGGTGAAGAAGGACCCCCTGGCGGACCTCGACGACCGCGTGGAGCGGTTCTACCAGGAGATGGAGGCGCGGACGGGGGTGTCGATGCGGCCGCAGACGGCGCCTCGTCCCGGCCCTCAGGCGGCGACGCTGCCGGGGGTGGGTGGCAAGGACGGTGGCGCGGCACGGCCGCCGCGGACGGCGCCAGGGGGTTCGCGGGCTGCGCAGGCGCGATCGGGCGGGCCGTCTCGCGGGCCGCAGGCGCCTGCGCCCCCCCGTGGGCGCCCGGCTACCGCGGGTGCTCCGCCTGCGGCCACGCCGGTGCTTGGGCGGCCGATGACGGCGGGCGACGTTCCGGAGCGGCGCCGGTACATTCACCCGGACGTTGTGGTTCCGTCGGACTCCAGCTACGCGGCGCCGTCGCCTTACTCGAGGAATTTCATCAACAAACTCTCAGAGACAAGAGATGTGGATATGGCGTTGACGGAGCCGCTGCACCGAGACTTCCTGTACACGGGCCAGGGCGCGTCTGCGCTGCAAGAGCGCGGACACCGCGGCGTCAGCGCGCGGCCGCGGCGGCTGGAGTGAGGCGTGAAGATGTGCACCGTGACTGCTTGGTTTTTACTAGCGGTCAGGTTTGTAACGTACGAGCGACGTGGTTGTCAGCTAGGTGGCCAGGATCGGCGGGACGGGCCCGGGGTAGTCGTGGTCGGTGGGGCTATTCCGCGGCAGCCCTTGCCAGCTGCTGGGACCACCCACGGCAACCTTGGTGTCACTATCGTTCTCAAGACAGCAGGTTTGGTTCCTCGGCTCGCACGCTGGCTCCTTCAGACCGCGCCCACTGGCTCGGCGAACGGCCCCAGGTCCGGCGGCAGCCGAGCGGCGCGGCTGTTTCCGAGGAGGTCGTTTCTTGCCCTGTCGTCGAGAAGCGAGGAGCGCACAGCCTCTGGGGCCTCGATGCCGCCCTGGATGCGCGAGTCCGTGACCGACATCCTCACGTCGTCGCCGTGAACCTGCTCGCACGGGAGACACGTGTAGAGCTTTTTTTATAACTGGTTGCGACGATGTTTTTTTCGGACGCTCATCAACGGTGGGGGCCAAACGAGCGTCGTGAGACGGGGCCCTTGCAGTCCAGGTGCTCGAACTGCGCGTGCTCAAAGACGCGAGGACCTGGCGATCCGCGACAGATCGAAGGCGGTCGGAGCTGGGTCTCAACCCGCCGGCGCCTCCGACCTGAAGAAGATGCCATGGTCCCCGCAACCACAAAGCAGAGCAGTTCGTAGTGCTGTCCTGCTCGTGCTGACACAGACGCAGGTGTAGATCGGCGACAGCGCGCGCGGCGTACCAGGAGTCCCGCGCTCTTGCCCCCCTCGAGCACGCATCGCGACGCCGTGACGGCGGCACGCTCCCACGCAGCGCACGCGCACGTCGCCTTCGACCCGCCGAGCTGGGTGTCGCTCAGCTGCACCTTGGCCGCGCCGCTCGCGTCCACGCACGGAGCCCCATTGTCGCCGATGCAGGATCGCGAGATGGTCACCGTGGCGCTCCCCAGCACAGCAACGCCCTCCTCGCCGTTGTCATTCAGCACAGAGTCGTCGACCGAGACGGTCGCGTCCTCGCCGACCCACAGGCCCTGGCTCCGGTTCTTTTCGAACACGCAGCGGCGGACGGCGACCTTCGCGTCCCCGAAGGCGCGCAGCCCCACCCTCCCGCACAAGTCGCAAGCCCCAAGCTGCACGTGCGCGTGCCCGCCGACGTCCACGCAGGCGTCGTTCGCGCAGCGAAAGACGCACCTATCGATCGCTACCCTGCAGCGGTTCTCGACTAGAACCCCCTCGCGGAAGCCGGTCATGTCAACGGTCAAGTTGGACAGTACACAATCGTGGGTGATGTGGAGCGCAGGGCAGTTGGCGCGGTGGTCGTAGACCGTCGCGCCGCCGTCCGCGCTTCCCGCGATGTGGACGAGCTTGTCGACCTGCGGCGCTTGTGGGCGCGAGCGTGCCTCGTGAGGCAACTTGTGATAGTTCCAAGGGAGCGGACGTACGTGGTCAGGGACGAGGCAGCGGCGCGTTGTGGCCCACCTCGACCGTCTTGCCGCATCCGTTGTGCGTGCCGGGCAGGAGAACGATCCGGTCGCCGTCGTCAGCTGCAGCGACTGCTTCGGCCAGCGTCCGGAACGATAGCTTCTTGCGCCAGGCGAAGTCCGCCACGCCGGCCGGTTTCTCGGCGCTGCCGTCGCAGAGCTGTTTGAAGCCGCCGGCGCCGTCGGGCCCGTCGAGCGCTGGGTTGTGCGGTGCTGGCCCGCCCAACCAGGCATCATCGCCCGCGTCCCGCACCTCGATGACGTCCCCGTAACGAAAGGCCTCCGTGTCTCCGGACAGGAAAAGATCGAGGGAGAGGCGGGCGATCGATTTCGCGACGGCTGACCTGGAATGCGCGTGCGTTCCCCTCATGAGCCGTTTGGCGACCCACAGCGCTGTCAAGGCGCCCTTCTTGTCTCCGCTTCGCTCCAAAACCTGGACAAAAAGCGGCAATAGTCGACGATGAGTCAAATAGGCTTGAAATCCGGGCACGTGCGTGGATTACGGCTTTTCAGTCTCACCTCCGCAAGCATCTGGCGCGCACGCGGCCATCTTCCATCGATCGCGATGGCCCTCATGGCGTCGGACCTCGCCCCCTCGATCTCCTCGAGACGCAGCCGGGCTCGGCAGCGGTTGGTGTACAGAGCCGCATCATCTGCGCTCTCCTCGGTCACTGCAACACCACCTTCCGAGGCGGGCCGCGCGAGCCGGGAAGCGTCCAAAGCGTCGATGATCGACGTGTAGAGCGCCTCGGCTTCGACGTACTGGCAGGAGCGGAGCTTGTCGTCCGCCCGTCTGCGTGCCTCGATGTCGCCGTGTGCATCTCCGCGCGCACCTTCGCGCTCCGAGGGCATCGCTGTCTCTGCGCGACCGGGCGATGCAACGCACCTCCCGTCCACGGGGACTCTCCAGGGAGGACGCGGTCGGTCGGAGCCGTGAAAGGCGGGCCGGCGGGATGTCTGGGTGTCAGGGTACAATACCTTGCCCTGACGCACCGTGCGGCGCGATCTCCGCCTGTTCGGGCCGCGGACGCACGGCACGCACACATACCAGTACGGTGGGTACATCTCAGTGAACGGAGTAGTCGCGTCCGCGGCACCACGCAAGCATTGCTGCCGACTATGGGGCTGCCCAGCTCCTGAGGCCAGGACAGGACTGCGTCCGCGGTCGGGGGGCGAGGGATAGCGAAGCGCGATCCTGTCCAGTGTGGCGACCGCACAGCAACCCGACCGTCCGGCCGCTGCGAGGCCTGGCGCCACCTGAACGGCTGCTGTTCGAGTCCGCGCTATGGCGCCGAGGACGCGCAGCGGACAGCGGTCCGCGGCGCACCATGTCTTCTTCCACGACATCAACCTCATGCAGAGGATCGTGCAGCACCTGATCAAGTCTTCCAAGCCGCAGGGGCAGAGCAAGCTTGGACCCCGGCAGGAAGTGCAGCGATACGGAACGCGGAACCGATTCCTGGCAGGTGAGCGACCTCGCAGGCATCGTACGGTGCCATCAAAGGCCAGTACCATAGCACATTGGTCATGTCGACGCCGCAGCAAGCGTGACAAGCCACCCTGGGCACCACTGCAACGGCCGTCGGGCTGTACGCCCCTCGTCAGGCGGTCACACGACCATTTCTTCCCGAAATCCTCGTCTTAGCGCCTCGCTCTGCCGATTTCGTGCACGTTTTGGCTCCGTAACTCCCGGATTACGCCGCCGCCGGATGAGACCCCTCTAGATACCATACCCGGCCGCACTCGGCCGCCCGATCCCCCGCGAGCACGCACGAGCCGTCGCCGTCCCAAACACGCGCCACACTTCCGCGCTACTCCTATTTCGCCCCTCATCGTGGCCTCGAGAACCTCGAAGCGGGACGGCAACCACCGGCCGGCGTGTGCGCCTGCCTGCCCCTCTCCTACGCGCACCGCCCTCGCGGCGACCCTGCCGCCCGAGCCAGCAGCTCGCCCAGGCAGCGCAACGCAGCCGCGCCCGCGCACCACCTCGCAGGCGCCCTGGAGGAGACATTCGAGTACACTGCCAGTCTGACGCAGTTTGCGTTGTGCTCCAAGCGCTGCCTGGTCACGGTGCTCGTCTCCTGCACCGCCGAGGCGCCCTTCCTGCTCGGAGGGCCCATTCTCAGGGCCGCCTGGACAATACCCCTCCCCTCGCCACACAAGTGAGTCAGCCTGAGATGCACAGCACCCACAGCTGCCTGATCGCCTTCCGGTCCCCGCACCGCGCGCCCCCTCCTCGTGTGCCGCGTGCCCGAGCAGCCGCGCGGCTCCAGGCAGACCCCGCCGCGCCTCCCAGCGCCAGGCAACCACAGCGTCCCGTGTTGCTATTTCCTGGTCGCAGGTTGGTGATTCCGGCGTGCCCGGGGCTCATCCTGGAGCTCCAGAACGACGGCACTGCGTGGCCGGACGACCTGGACGACCCCGTTGACGAGAACGAGTGGGCGGAGGACTTCCGGAAGCGCAACTGGCATCTTGTGGAGTCGACGGCGTGCGCCAACAAGTGGCTGCTGCAGCTCGTGTCCGGCGTGCGCGTCATCGCGCCGGTGATCGGAGAGCCCGCGAAGCTCCGCCGCGACGCGCTGTCGTGCGTGGCCGCGCCGCTCGCCCGCCTCGCCCTCCAGGGCCTGGACGCGACGCGCGTGCTGCACGTCGCGCTGGTGGTCGGGCGCGAGGAGCAGTACCGTCCGCTGATGCACGACGGCCTGTACGACAGCGAGATCGACGACAGCGACGTCGAGGACATGTTCGATTGGCACGGCATCATGGATTTGGACGACATCTTCGACACTGAGTCTGACAGCGAGTCAGGGAGCGACTCCGGCGGCGAGGGCGCGGAGATCGTCGAGGTCGGCGAGGCGACGGGGTCCGGGAGCGCGAGCGGAAGCGGGAGCGGGAGCGAGGGCATTGTTGACGTTGAGACTGCGCCGCTGTTCTTCCTGGACACCGACGACGAGAACGGGTCGGACTACCAGGCGGGGAGCGGGGCGGGCGAGGGCTCCGGGGGGTCCGGGAGCGGGGATTCGGGGAGCGAGGGCGGGTCCGGAGACGGCAACTGGTTGAACATCGAGGTTATCATGGACGGCGGTTCCGAGGGGGGGAGTGGCGGGGGGAGTGACGGAGGTGGGTCGGACGACGACGGGAACGCGAGCGGCTCGGACGGGGAGTCGTCGGACAGCGACGGCGCGGTCGCGTTCCAGGAGGACGAGGCTACACGGACCGAGGCGGGGCAGCTGGCGGTGCGGATGCGGGAGGCGCTGGCGGCGTTCGAGAACTGCCAGTCGCTGGTGCTGCGGCTGAACGACTTCGAGGTGCGCTTTCCGGCGCGCGCGGTGCTGGACGCGGCGGCGAGCAGCATGCACCGCCTGCAGAGCCTGTACCTGCGCTACTTCGAGTACACCGACACGTTCCACCCGGGCGTCGACGAGAGCGTGCGCGACGCCCCCGCGCCGTCCGAGACGCTGGCCCGCCTCGCGCAGCTCACGTCGCTGCGGTACCTCGGCGTGGACATGGAGTGGGCGTCCGACGACGAACAGGCGCCCGACAAGCGCTGCCTCTCGCACCTCTCGGGCCTCCAGCACCTGCGTTTCCTGTCGTTCGAGGTCCCGGAGATGTACGAGGTCGAGGCGGAGTGGCCGGACGTCGTCCAGGACATTCGCGCGCTGCCCCCCGTGGCGGAGCTGCGTCTGGCGGGGATCCTTCACAGCAAACCGCTGCAGCTGCGCGCGCCCGAGAGCGGCTCGGGGGCGCCGGAGCTGCGCTCGCTCGTGCTCTCGAACACCGACTTCGTGCTGCAGCCGGGCGTCTTTGACAATGCCGCGAAGCTTGCGCCGACCCTCAAGTCGCTGGAACTGTGCGCGTTTAGCGAGGCGGCGTTGTCGAAGAGCATGGCGCTGACGGGACTGACGCGGCTCGTGCTGCACGGGCTCGTCGTGGAGGACGAGGAGCCCGAGGAGGAGGCTGCGAACGCGCCGGAGGTGTTTTCGTCGCTGGAGCGCGTGTCGGACATGCGGGACCTGGCGACGCTCGAGGTGTTCGCCGAGATGGGGACGCTCAGCCGGAAGGCGCTCCCGGCGATCGGGCACCTCCCGCGCCTGACGGAGCTGGAGCTGCACGTGGAAATGCTGTACTGGCCGCACCTCGAGAACCTGACTCAACTCCAGTGCCTGACGCGGGTGTCCGTGGCCCAGGCGTGCACCCCGGGCACCGGCCTACCGAACGAAGAGAGGGTGCGCCGCGCCCGCCCACCTCGTCAGCGATCGCACCACAACAATGCCCTCTGCAATGTTCTTGCTCCAACCCACAGGCGTCCCCGGCATCCTTCGACTTCTTTTTTCTGTTGGTGCTTGGTCTCCTTCGTGATCTCCTCCACGGCCTGAGGAGATCACGAAGGAGACCAGACACAAGACCGACGAGAAGTCGAAGGATGCCGGCGACGCCTGAAGGAAGGACAGCCGGGGCCCCCATCGCTCGCCAAACATGCGCTCGCTGCCTCAGGTCAGCAAGCGGCACAGGTCGGGGCGACGGGGGCGCACCCGGCCACACGTATCTCTCCCCCCCTCTGCGCGCCCCTGCAGGCGTCGTGGGCGTGGTTCGCGAGCCTCCCGCGCCTCAAGGAGCTCTCGGTCATGCCCAGCATCGAGACGATGCTCCACGACACGTTCCCGTCCATGCGGCGCGCCCGCGCCCTGCGGCACCTGTCGCTGACCATGGTGACGAAGCCGATGATCCACGTCATCGCGGGCATGACCAAGCTCGTGAGCCTCGGCGGCATCTACCACCACATGGACTCAGACCAGCACGAGGGGTTCCCGCTGCACCTGGACTACTCGGAAGGGGAGGTCACGGAGGCCGACGTGGAGCTGCTGAAGAGGGTGCTGGCGCCGTGGAACTACAACCGGCTCAAGATGATGGTCAACCCGCCGAGCGAGAGCGAGAGCGAGAGCGAGAGCGAGACGTCGAGCAGCAGCGGGCAGTGGGTGATGGGCCCGGAGGACGGCCAGGCGGACTGAGGGCGGGGGGTGTTGCTGAGCGAGACTGTGAGTGAATCCAGCGAACAGATCCGTGCACAAGAGGACCGTGGTGACAAAGCAGGAGCGACCGAGCAACAACGTGAGGATGCGCGATTGCTCTACAACGGCAGACGCTCTCAGGATACACCCACGCCACGATCCCTCGTAGGGTGTATCACAGCGTCGAGCGCTCCATTACGCGTCGCTCAGTCACTCAAGCCCACTTCTTCGCCAGGTCCTTTTGTTTCCCAACGCGCACCAACACAGTGGCCAGAATCACCATGGCGAGCAGCGACACGACGACCGCGGCCACCGCGAAGTCGTCCGCCAGCGCGTCGAACTGCCCCGCCGGCAGGTGGCGCCGCGCGAACAGATCCAGCCCGTACACGAACACCACAGACGTCGACTCCAGCTGCGTCGCGGCCGCCACGATGCCGCGCAGGCCCGCGACGCGGTGCTTGTGCGTCAGGCAGCTCATCGACGGCGCCGGCAGCGCCTCCTGGTACGGCAGCATCCCCGCCTGCCGCACCGCGGCGATCTCCTTCTTGATATCCGCCTGCGAACGGCCTATAGACTGCAGGACCGGGCGGCGGGGATCGAGGAGCTTGCGGTCAAAGGCGTAGACCTGCCCCGCGGCCGTGCCCATCAGGACCTGCTTGTTCGCGACGCCCATCGAGGTTCGCGTCGGCGCCAGCGCGACGGCGTGGTGCGGGGGGAAGTAGGTCTGCGAGCGCGCGCGCACGGGCACGCCGTCCAGGGACGACACCGGCTCGGCGTCCTGCTTGCCGAACAGCGCAGAGAGCAGCCCGGAGAGGCCTCGGGGCGCGGCCTTCGACCCGTCCACGAAGTCCACGACCGCGACCTCGGAGCGGCCGTTGGCAGTAGACCAGTAATGGTAGACCACCCAATGCTCGCCGAACAAGGCCTGCACGGGGCCGGTGGCGCCCGCGTGCTGCTGCGAGAAGAGCACGCGGCCCGTCACGGTGTCGACGGCCTGGACGAGCAGCCCGGGGGCGGCGCCGTCGGCGACGGAGTCGTCGTTTGACACAACCACGGCGGTGTTGGGGTTGGTGTATTTGAAGGAGAGGGCCCCGGAGATGGAGGGGCGGCTGCCGGAGTAGATCGGCTCGGTGCGGTCGCGCGCCACCGCCGCGAGCGGCCGCCCCGCGGTGGCCACGTGCCAGACTGACGTGGCGGAATACACCCCCGACTTGGGTCCGTCGACGTGGCCTGACAGCAGGTACCCCGTCAGGCCGCGCTCGGAGGGCAGCCAGGTGTACAGCGTGCCGTTCGCGACCATCTCGCGCATGCTCTTCAGGACGCCGCGGTGCCGCGGGAACACGTGCGCAGTGATGGTGTCCGCGCTTGCGGTGGCGTCGCCAGGCCGCAGCAACACCACGCCGTGGATCTCGTAGTCGCTCCCGCGGTGCATGTTCCGCAGCGTGAAGACCTTCTCCGGCACGAACGTCAGGGTGTGCGTCTCGGTGACGCGCCCCGAGAAGGTGTCGATGAAGCTCAGGCGCGACACCCCCCCCTCGCAGTCGCGGAGCACCCACACCTGCGCGCTCTGCTCGAAGCTGTGCGACTCCTTCGCCGGGCCCATGTCGCGCACCGCGCACCGCTGGTGGTGCAGCACCGCGCGCCACAAGATCCTGCCGTCCCCGCTGTGCAACGACACCACGTCGCCGTTCGAGAGGCCGAGGATGAGCTGCCGGCGCATGCCGCGCTCGTCCGCGGTGGGCAGCCACGCGTCGGACGCCCGGCTGCGCAGCGCCGCGAGCATCTGCACATCGCGCGGCGTCCCGAGGCCCGCCGTCACTTTCGCCGACGCCACCGCCATGGCGAATCGCTCCGCCGGCTTCAGCGGCTTCGCGGTGCGGGAGTCCACGAAGAAGAACGACATCTTCGGCGGGAGGTCCGCGACCGCGGCGACGTTCGCCGCGCCGAGGAAGTCCGGCCGCGTCCACACCGTCATCACGTTGCCAAGCTGCACGTTGGCGCCGTAGGCGCGCGGGGAGAACCTCCGGCCGTGGTAGGCGGACACGGTGCCGTCGTCGAGGACGGCGACGTAGCTGAGCGCGATCTGGTTGCCCTCGGCCTCGCGGACGACCGTCGCGACGGCGCGGACGGCGTCGGCACACGTGTACAGCAGCTTGCGCTGACTCTCCCGGTAGAGGCGCTCCTTCTCCATCTCACGCCTCACGATGCTCTTCTTCTCCTCCGCAGTCATCTTCTCGAACTTCTCGGGGTCCTGGTCGAACACGACCTTCCGGCTGCGCCGCGCGCAAGGCGACACAGCGCACGTCAGCACCGGCCCTGCGCGCGACCGCGAGCGAGAGCGAGCGGAGCAAACGGGCGAGGGACTCACTCTGGTCGCGCCTGCCGGAACGACAGCGGCGCCGCCCAGCACGCGCCGGCCTCCGGGCCGTCGACGGACTCCCCCGCCATGACGCGGCCCGCGTTGGTCTCGATGACGGTCGACGCGAAAGACCCCCCGTTCGCGGGCCCCACGTCGACGATCGTCACGAACACGCGGTCCCCGAAGCGGAACGCGTCCGAGAAGAGCCCCCGCGACACGGAGTGCAGCGCCTCGGGCCACCGCTTGGCCGCCTCGCGTGCGGCAGCACTCTTCGCCCGCAGCTTGCTCGGGAGGTCCGCGAAGCTCATGAGCCCGCTCTTGACGTCCTCGACCTTGCGCTCGAGCTTGCTGAGGCTCGCGAGGCGCGTCTGGCGCTCCAGCTCTAATTCGGCGAGCTCGAGATTGTCTTTCACTGGTTGCCAGGAACGCGTCTCGTTGGTGCTCGTGCGGACGACGAACGCGATGTACCCCTCCGCCATCGCGCACTGCAGCGAGAAGAGGCCCTCGCCGAGGCCGCGCACCTCGGGGCTGCACGCAGGAGGGACCGAAACGCCCGCGGGGGTGTGGTGCCTGTCCAGACCGACTGGCGGGGGCGGCGAGGCCACGTAGCTGCGCGCGGGTGCGTGCAGCTCACCTGGTGCAGGTCGACAGCCGCTGATCGCTCAGGTCGTCCAGGGTCGTGGCGTTTGAGCTCAGCAGAGACCATACCTGCATGCCGTCCTCGCTGAGCGCCAGCACGTCGGAGCCGGACAGCGCGATCGACGACAGCGACGTGTCCAGCTTCACGCCGCCCTCCTCCGCGCTCAGGACGCGCGCCCCGGCCACCCTGGCGGTCGCGACCTCCACGTTGGCCAGTGCAGCGCCCCACGGGCCCGCGACCAGGAGCCGCACGGCGCCGTTCTCCACGTCGCCGATCTGCAGTGCCGTCACCTCGGCTCGGTCCATCCCGGCCGCGAGCCCCGACATCGGCACGCTGCCCGCCACCGCGCCGTCGGACGCGTGCACGACAAGCAGCCCGTTGCAGGTGAGGACGACGACGGCGTCGCTCGCCGCGGGGAGGTCGCCGGGGAGCGCGCGCAGAGACGGGGCAGCGGTGCACTGCACCGCGGGCTGCGCCTCCGATGCGGTGCCGGAAATAGCAAGCGTGGTTTCCCACATCATGCTGCCCGATTCCACAGCGAAGGCCTTCGCTCGGGTGCCGTCGCGCGACACGACGAAGACGGAGCCGGAGTCGAGCGCGGCCCAGGCGCCCAGGTCGTCCGGCTCGGACATGACGACGCGCCACGCGAGCCGCCCGCCCGCCGCGGGGACGTTGGGCACGGCTGCGAGGACACCCCCCTCCGCGCTGAGCACGGAGTGCTGCCCGGCGATCTGGACGCGGTTCACGATGCCGAGGTTCTCGCGGTGCCAGTCGTGCAGCCCGGCCTGGTCCTCGTACATCGGCTGCGAGGCAGAAACCTCTGGAATCATCCCCGCGACAAACAAAAGCACGGCCACCGCGCACCACAGGCGCCCCGCGGCCATCTGGAGCCCCGCGATGCCCCGCCACATGCTAGGTGGTACCGGCTGGCTCTCGCACACGGCGTGTATAGCCCGCGCCGGCCGTCGGGACGCGTGGGGCTAGGTCCTGAGCGCTGCCGCGGTGGGCGCCTCGCCGCGGGGCCAGTGAGGAGTCTGTGGTCCGGCGGGTTCGCGGCGCCGTTTGTGCGTGTGTCGGGGAACTCCGCGGCCCGGTCCGCTCCGTAAGTCAGGGGTCACCGGCGCCGTGGCCACCTCAGCGTGCGTGTGTGCAAGAAGCGGCGCGCGTGCCCGCACGAGTCCCAACCTCGCTCGTCACGCAGCCACGGAGCTGCAGCTGCCACGGCGGCGTCGCCCGGTGCGCATTTGGCGCGCCCGGGACCACAACCGGCGTCACACGCCCCCCCTCTGCTGGCGTCCTGGGCCCGACTGCGGCTTTTGAGGCGCGATGCGTGCGCTCATGGCCCGCACGGCCCCCGCCGCGCACCGCAGACGCGTGCTGCGCGACCAGCGCACCCTCTCCGATTGCCTGCGCCCTCAGTCCCGCTCCGCCGCACCCAGGGAGCGCGTCTCTAAGGGGTCTACACGAGACATTGGACTCTGGACGTCGCGTTCGTGGACGTCACTTGCCCCCGATCGCCGCAGGACACAGCCGCCGATCGAGGACACCTCAAACAGGACCCGCTGGGCCCGCCCCGGCCCCGGCCGCGGCCGCAATGTCCCGCCACCCCGCCAGCAGCGTGACCCGGCCCAATGCGCACGTCGTGGCGCCCGTGGCGACGTTCCTGTCCAGCTCCGTCGAGGAAGCGACCGGTGCGCGGGCTCCGGACGCCCCTGAGATCAAGTGAGCGCCCGCGCGCCCCCCCCGCGACCGCGCCGGGACTGCCTGGCCTGGAGGCTGCCCGGGCGCACCGCCAGCCGCGCCAGGCCCCGCGCGGCCCTCGCGGCCCACGCCGCGCGGACAGTCCCGCCCACACGCATTGTTCCCGGCCAAAACCGCCGTCACACGCGGCCGCAGCGCACCACGCGCCCCGCAGTGCGCCCGGTCGTTTCAAAGCCTCGGCCTGCGGGGGGAACCACGCCCCGCCTCGCCCGGAACCACCCGCCCGCACCTCCTTCGATCCACGCCCGCGCCCTGCCCGCCGCCCCCGCCCCCGCGCGCCGCCCGCGCCGCCCCACCGCCCCCGCCCGCGCCGCCCCACCGCATCGCGCTCCCTACGCCCACCCTGCACCCTTCGCCGCCCGCAGCGCCCGCGCCCGGATCCGGCCTCCGCCGCACCTCGCCGGCACCTCCATCAGTACCCCACCCCAGCCCGCGCGCGCGACGCCCCTCACGCGTCCGCTACGGGCCGCTCCCGCGATCTTCCCCCTGCTACGTGCGTCCCAGCGTGACTCGCGTCCCTCTGTGCGGCCGCCGCAGGACCTACAAGCTCGGGAAGCGCAAGTACAGCTACAACGAGATCGATATCCGCCTGATCGACATGGACACGAGGCGCACGCTGTGCGTCGCCGAGGCTCGGCGCATGTCGACTGGCAGCGGGTCTATGTTTGCGGCGCCCGCGCCGCGGTCCGTGCAGGACGCGTCCATCGCGTACGCCGCGCGCCTGGAGACCGGCCTGATGGTCTGCGTCGGGATCTGGGCGGTGCGCGAGGACCCCGTCGCGACGTGCCGCGCGTTGGATGAGCTGTGCCACGCGCCGGGCGGGCCAGCGCCCGCGCACGCGACGCCGGGGGCGGGGGCCTCGGTGCTGGCGTCGCCCGGGATGCGCCAGGCCGCCGCGGCGCTCACGGGCCGCCGGTTCCCGCCGGACGCGGCGCCCGAGGGCGCGGCGGGCAGCGGCGACGCCGAGGCCAGCAAAGCGTTCTTTTGGGAGCCTCTGAAGCGCGAACAGTGCGCCAAGGGGTGCCAGGGGCCGATCCTGCGGCCGATTCAGCGGTTCGGCCGCGCGAGCACGGGCCGGAGGCCCAACGACGGGATGGGCGCGGGCGGCGCAACGTCGGTGGCGGACCTCCACCGCGGCGGCGCGCTGAAGGACCCGAAGGTGCGCACGCGCACCGCATCGCGGCGCGGGGGCATCTGCGACCCGCCACGGCCCTCGCGTGCCCTTCGAACCGCGCCCGATCGTTCTCGTCGTGCATGGGAGCGCAGCGGGCTCTCGGCACGCGTTTCCTCGTGGCTTCGTTGGACGTTCGCGGTGCTCTTGCTGTCTCTGCGTCGCGCACGCGCCTGACAATCGCGGCGGCCGCGGCGCGCCCGTCCCTGCAGAAGGTGTACGTGTCGGTCGACGAGGCATGCACACACATTGACGTGCAACGCATCCGGCTCCTGCTGGCCGTGTACGAGCACGCCACGGGCTGCATGATCGCGTCCGGCGTCACGGAACCCATCCGCGCCCTCGCCAACAACGACGTCCCGGACGGAGCCGCCAAGATCTCCGTCACTGTGCCGCTCGTGCCCGGGGCGGGCGGCTTCCTCGCGAACAGCGCCGCCGGGAACGCCGCGAGCACGCCCACATCGCTCGCAGCGCCGGGCGCGACGCGCCGGCGCCGGTCCCTGCGGCCGGTGCTCGCGAGCCTGAACACGCTGGGCGACGTGGGCACGCCCTACACCCCGCACTCCGGGCGCCGCGGGCAGGCGTCGGGCGGCGCGGCGGAGCTCGAGTCCGTGTCGGACACGCCGATGAGCACGCCGCGGTACCCCGCGGTCGCGCCGTCGGCGAGCCGCGGGCGGTCGCCGCCATCGGCGGGGAACGCACTCTCGACGCCGCCGTCGTCACCGCTCGCGAAGCGCAGGCGCTCCGCCGCGTCCGTGTCGCCGCCGCGCAACGGCGCGAACGCGGCCGCGACGCCGCGGCCGCGCGGGAAGGCGCCGGGCCTGGCTGGTGCGTCGGGTGCGGTGGTGTTGGGGGGGCCTGGGTCATGTTTCAGGCCGTTTGGCGGCGCGGGCGGGCAGGCGGCGGCCGCTGGCGATGAGGGGCCGATGCTGACGGGACGGGGTGGCCGGGAGGGAGCTGGCGGGCTGGGTGGCGGGGAAGGGGGGGGGTCTGCGGCGGAGTCAGACCAAGGCGTGGTTGGGGAGGTGTTGCGGTCGCGGAAAGGCGCCCTGGGAGCGGGAGGCTCGCCGCAGAGGGCCGTGGCGCCTGCTGGGGACGCTGAGACTGCGTAGCGTTGCGAGTGTGCTCGTTTTCGCGGTCGTGGCGCACAAGTGCACACTGTAATGCGGCAGAGAATGACCCCCGTGTTCGCCGACGGTCGTGGCGCTCCCTGCCCGGCGCCAGAGCAGTTTCCCGCAGGAGCGTGCATGTGTTGCGCGGGAGCAGCACCCGCGCCCGGTAGAGACGGGCTCGTTGCGTGCCAGTGACGTGGTGGCCCCAAGGACGGCCATGTGGCACTGCTCCGCGTGCGCAGCAATGGGGCGTCATGTGCGGCGCGGTAGGGCAGCGGCCCGAAGATCCCCGAGTCTCGCGTGCTGAGCACCCATTCACGCCCAGTTGTCCGCTGATGTCGTCAGTCGGGCCGCGAACGTAGATTTCAAGACCTCGTGCGATGACTGGCTCGCGATTTGACCCTCACACTGCCGACGAGAGCTACTCGACGGCGACCTTCTCCGAGTCGCGGCGCCGAACGAATGGAAAGCCGCGCCAGCGCGCGTCTCCGCGCCTGACCTTCGAGATTCCCGGCGTGATGCCTGAGATGGGCCATGGCGACAAATTCCGCCTCCCTGGCCGGATCTCGCGGTGTCACGGGATGCTCCTGATGCTCGTCGCCCTCTTCTGTGTCCCAGTGGCTGTTTGGAGGTGGGGAGTCTTCGCGAGGCAGCCGCACTGGGACTTGCGTCGCCCGTTTGTGTCTCTAGCATCAGATGGCGCGGGCGCGGCGAACCACGTCGTTCCCCGCAAGCACGGCGGCCCCGAAGCCTTGATCGAGTTCTCCAGGAGCGGGATCTACCTCCCCGTGGCACAAGCGATTCGTCTTGACCTCCCAGGCAAGGCTGATGTACAATATCACACAGAGAGCTACGGCCGCCGCTTGCGGGCCGCGACGCATTCCTCACGCACGCGCAACCTACGACAGACCAAAGCGCTCGCTCCTGCGCCAAGTTGCCCAAAGTGGCCCCGCCAGCGCCCGACAAAACGCGCCGTGTTTACACAGAGTATCCGCACGTCATTGCAAACGCTGCCGCTACAAATCCCGCACGTGCGTCGCTCTGCAGTGCACCCTCGAGAGCAGCAGTCCTGCGCCCTCGTCAGCGCCTGCGGGACCAGTCATAGAGCACGTGAGGGCCCGAAGCGGGCACTCGGGGACTCTACGCGGGCTCTGCGCGAGCAGCTTGACGTCGCACAGGACGTCGGCGCGCAGGACGCCGCACGCGTCGACGAAATGAGCCACGAGCGCGACGTCGCGCAGGGCATCCCCGCGCTGGCGCCCCAGGCCCGCGACGCGGAGACCGTCCTGACTGACGCAGGGGACCTTTTGAGCCCGCCGCTGTCGAGCGAGGACCGCGTGCGCCTCCTCGTGGCGATCCTCTCCGTCGTCGGGAGCGACTCTGCGCGCCGGAAGCGCGACGCCATCCGCACGACGTGGATGCGGCTGGGGTCGACGCTTCCCAATGTTGACCTCAAGTTCATCGTCGCGCAGCCCCCGCGCGACCTCGACGCCGACCTCCTGGCGCGGGAGATCGGCGAGGAGGTCGCGGTCCACGCAGATATGGTGATGGTGCGCGGCGAAGAGAGCTACGGGGCCCTTCCGGACAAGGTGTTCAGGACGATGGAGTTTGCGCTGTCTCTCGACGGCCCCGCCCGCTACACGCACGTCCTCAAGACCGACGACGACACCTACGTGCGGGTCGAGCGGTGCGAATCGCTCCTGCGCTCGTGGGCCTCCTTCTTCGCAGGACCGGCCTTGCGCCTGATGACCCGCAGCGCGCGCTCAGTTGTCGCTGTCGCTGCAGGGTCCTGCGCGCGATCTCTGGCGAGGGGCTGGCCGAGGAGGCAGGCGGGTCTGTGCCAGGGCAGCCCCTACCCCCGCCGCGCATGTCAGGTCTCTACATGGGCTGCTTGGAGAACCGCCTAGGCTTCATACCCATCCGCAGCCCGCAGTCCAAGTGGTACGTGTCGCACGAAGAGCTGCCGGACAGCGAGGTGCCGTGGGGACAGAAATACCTCGCCGGGTGCGTTTGCCCCTTTGACATGACATAAAGTAGTAATTGACCACCCGCGCACGAAACGAAATGCGGGTGTGCTATCCCTGACGTAACGAAACCCGGGGGGGTGTTTTGTTCCCCAGACGCGACTCGTTTCGTTCCCTGCGCGGTTCGATGTTGAAACACATCCCCGTCGCAGCGTGTCGCAGGTGGGGCTACGTGTTGTCGCGCGACCTGGTCAAGCACGTGCTGCGCGTGCGGGCCAGCTTCGACGCCGACCCTGCCTCCGCGCCCGTGTGGTACTCCCTCCGCTGGGAGGACGTCCTGGTGGGCCTGATGATCGCGACGGACGCGCGCACGGGCGAGATGCGCGGCGCGCCCTTCGTCGACCACCCAGGCTTCAAGGCCGCCTGGCGCGGCTGTGCCAACTCCACCATCGTCAAGCACCTCGACATCGACTCGCCGATGCTGACGCGCGGGCTGTACGAGCAGGACATCTCGGGCCTGTGGGACGTCAAGCCCGTGCAGTGCTCGACGGGACCGTTCTTGCCCGGCGATTACAGCGCGTGGAAGCTTTGGCGCAACAGCTTGGTGGCAGAGCCGATCTGACTGCGAGGCGGGCGGCCACGAGCGTACGCGAGGCGGCGGGAGCGAGTGGGCGGGGTCATGCCACGTTGGGGGTCGACTTGGAGCCTGCGACGCCCACGCTGCGGCCCGAAACGTCCGGGCGCGAGGCCTGCGCTTTGAGTTGGTCGGCCATCGACATGCGCCGGTCTGCGCGCGCTTCCCCACGCCCTTGTTCCTCTGCGGTGGCTCCGGCAGGGGCGGGGGACGTCATCGGCAACGCAGCACGCACGTCGCAGCGTTGTGTGACCGCTGAGCGGCAGCAAGGCACAGGCGCCGCCTCAGGTCATCGTTCGCACGGCGTGCGACCGGGACGTCGTATGTATTTTCATTATGCATTTTAGTTATGCGTTGTATGTATTTGTTTCCTGTTTGTGCTTACCTCCGAGTTCCACCGCGAGCTTCCGCTTCTCCGCGTTCTGCACGAGCTTGACCAGGTCGGCCGACACCAGGGGCTGCTGCGAGGCCATCGCCGTCGCCAGCGTCGACCGCGCAGGGTACCGCAGGTGGTGCACCAGGCTGCGCTCACGCAGCAGGTGCTGCTCGTGCAGCGGCAGCGTCGACACGGGGTCCACCGCGTCCAAGCTCGACGCCACGACGCCGCGGTTCCGGCTCGGCGCCTCCCGCGCCTGCCGCTCGAGGTGCTCCCTGACGATCGCCATGCTGGCCCGCGGCCCGACGTTGAGTCGGTTGTTGAGCCACAGGGCCGCCTTCCCGACCTGGCCTGACGCCTCGAGCTTGCGCATGTACGTCTTGACCTGCACGGCCGCGAGCTTGGCCTGCTGCGACTCGCGCTGCGCCAGGTCCAGCTCCTCGCGCGGCTCGAACGCGTACGCGCGGAACGGCGTGATCTTCGCGCCCGGCGGCGGCCGCGCGAGGTCGCGGAGGTCCTCCACGTCCTCGTCCACGAAGTCCTTCAGGTCCACGTGCGTCACCTTGCGCGCCGCGCGCTCCTGCGCGTCCTTCTCGTACTCGGCAACCACGTCCTCCACATCCCTGCCCAGGTCCTCCATGTGCGATGCCATCCACGCCTCCTGCGCCTCCCGCGCTTTCTGGACCTTGATCTGCTCGACGGCCTGGTCCACGTACACGCGCGCCTCCTCCCACGCCCGCATCCGTGACTCCCGGGACAGGATGCCCCCCGCGCCGCCGTGCGGCCCGCCGTCGCGCATGCCGAGCAGCATGTCGTCGATCTGGTCCATCGTCAGGTCGAGCATCTCGCGGCGCGCGCGCCCGCCGCGCGTGTTGCGCATCATGTGCGACACCTCCATTCGGCACACCGCCCGCGGCGGCACCGGCTTGGCTCCCTTCACCAGGGTCTGGTACCCCGTGCTCAGCGCGGCCAGCCCGCGCGCGTGGGCCTCGTTGCGCCGGCGGAGGCCCGCGGGCGCGGTCGACGGCGCGCCCCACGTCGGCGCGGGCGGGAACGCGCCCGTCGGCGACGTAGCGCCGGGCAGGAACCCCTCGGCGTGGCGGTTGGTGACGCGCTCGGCCGCCGTGGCCGGCGCGAGCGCCGTGTGACGCCCGCGCTGCTGCTTCGGGGACGTCCAGCGGGCCTCGTGGTTGATGAGAAGCGCCCCCGGGAGCGCCCCGATGCGCGGCGGGCCCTGCAGGGGGGGGTGGGGACGCTGCGGTGGTGCGGGCGGGCTGGGAGGGCGGCGCGGGCGCGGGCGTGGGCGCGGCGGGCGTGCGCACCGTTCTGTTGTGGTCCTGGTGGTACCAGGCGAAGAAACGAGTGTATTTCTCCGGGAGGGGTTGCTGCTGCGCGGGGCGCGCTGCTCGGGACCGCGGGGACGCGACGGCGTCCGTGACGAACTCGTCGGGGATACGGGACCCCTCGCGGGTGCCCGCGCTCACCCCGCTCGGCGCTCGCCGCGACGCGTCCCTGGAAGGAGAACAGCGGCACGAAGAAAAGGTGAGGTGCTCGGCGCTGCGGATCGAGGTATTCCGCGGGCGGCGTGCGGCCGGAAGAGCGAGCGGACAAGATAGCCTCGTTGCGGCGAGAGTTGGGCTAGGATGTACATCGCTGCGCGCCGTGCGAGGCCAGCGTTGTGTTGCGGCAGAGCTAGGCCCGGCGGGGACCGACGGAGACTCGTCACGGGCGGGAAATCGCAAGCTGGGCGGGACATTTAGGGAATCAAGCTCCGTATGACGCGCTAAGCGCGTCCGTCGGCGATGCGTGCTGCGCAAGGTCGGCTGCCTGCACTGGCGGCATGCCGTGACACGTGCCGGCGCCCAGAGCCGGCAAACCGCTCCACGCTGCGGCCGCGGACATCTCTGCCCAGACGGGCGCGTACCTGTCGGTTCCCCGGCGCCCGGAGACGCCGCTGGACTGCGCGGCGGGGCTGTGCCCCCCTGATGGCGACCGACGGGCGCCCGGGGCCGCCGCGTCCCTCGCGCCTCCTGCGCCCGCGCTGCGCTCCGCGGCTTGCTGCTCGACCGACGTGCGCTGCCGTCCCGGGGAGGTTTCGAAGAGGCGCTGCATGCGGAGCGCTCTAGGCTCCCCAGGACCCTCCCACTCCAGCTCCTCGTTGCCGTGGCCTGTGGCGCTCAGGCGCGACTGGTGCTGCGCGGCGCTGTCGAGAATGCACGTGCCTCCGAGCGGGCCGGGCGTGGACAGCAGCATGTCGCACGCCTTGCCCTCACGGACGCCCCACGTCCGGCGTGGCATGGTGCTGTCCTTCGAGGCGCTCGCGCGCTTCGCCTGGTGCGACCTGGCGGTAGCCGCGCGGCCCCACGCCTAGATTATCTCCTCGTGCGCGCGGAGGCGGGCAGAAAGGCGCGTGCGTGCCCGAAAGGGGGCGGCGTTCCTCGTGGTCAAGTGAACGGAGGGTTCGCGCGCTCCACAGGTCCTCTCCGAAACGCCATGCGCTTCTTGGTGGAACGAACGGGCCGCTGGGGCTACGTGGAGCGTGATATGCACGCGGTCACGGCGGGGCAGGCCCTGTGAGCCCCGCTGGAGCGTGGCATGGCGACGCCAGGCGTAGTCGTGGGTCCAGCCCGACTGCAGATATTGGGTTGACGAACTCGGATGTCGCACAAAGCCTCGATGCACAGCGGGCACAGACCTGCGCCCACCCAGCACGCTCGCGCAGAACCCGCATCGTCGCGCGCTCGACAGCGACGATGCATCGCCGCTGAGCCATCTGCGCGCGACCTGCGACCGCGTGATCGCGTGAATTCGGCGCAGACGCCGCGCCCAGCCACGCACCATCCTCGTCGCCGTTGCGGCCGCGCACCGAACGCTGGCGGGTCACATGGAGCACGACCTCACGCCCACATTCTTCAGGTCCCCCGACGGCCATGAGATGGCGGTGTATGACCTCGGCGGGCGCGGCGATCCGGCGCTGCTGTGTCACTGCAATGGATTCCACGGCCCAGCCTACGCGCCACTCGCGTCACGCATGACAGGCACGCCGCCCCCCGACCCGTCTCGGCCCCTACATGGCCAGGCTGCCGCATCCGTCACGACGCGTCGCGAGCGCTGTGCGCGGGCGTCCCTTTTACACAGGGGAATCTTCACCGCCGTACACGTCGGAGAGAAGACAAACGTTGTGTTTCTTCGCGCTGCAGGACTGTTCCACGTATACGCAGTGGATTTCCGCGGGCACGGCGCGTCTCGCGGCCCCATGACGACGTGGGAGGACCCAACATATCTGACCATGGCTGACGACCTCCAGGGTCTCATCGACGCCCGCGGCTGGCGCGGGCGGGTCTGCGTCTTCGGCCACAGCCTCGGCGGTGCCGTCGTTCTCTCCGCGGAGGCCCTGCGGCCCGGCACGTTCCGCGCGGTGTTTGTGTACGAGGCCGTCTTGCTGACGCCCGCCCAGAAGGGTGCGTCCGGGCTGCGGCCGCCGAGCCTCGCCGGAGCGCCGCAGAGCGAGGTCGGTGAGGCGCGCGGGGCCACGAACGGCGGAGAGAAGCTCGCCGCGTTCGCGCGGTCGCGTTTGGATGCGTTTGCCAGCGTCGAGGATGCGCGGGCAGAGCTGGGGTCGACGAAGCCGTTCTCGCACCTCGACAGACGGTGCCTCGATGCCTTCATTCGGTGCGCCCCGGACGCGCTGTGCCTGGAGCCCTCGGTGCAGTGCGAGCCGGGATAGCCCCCGCGTTGTAGTCGCCCCAGCGCGTGGTTTGCTGCGCCGCTCGCGTTGCAGGTACGGTCTCGCGACGCGCGAGGACCCGGCATTCAAGGCGATCTTCCCGGACGTTGGCCCGGCGGTCGAGGCGCGGCGTCAGACGGGGCAAGACACCCCCCCAAAACCGCTCGCAGCCAGCACTCCCCCGGGGGAGCGCCGCGTGGTGTGGGTCCGGTGCCCGCGCGAGGTCGAGGCGCGCATCTACGAGCTCGCGCCTGGCCAGGAGCGCTACCAGCTGTTCGAGAGGCTTCCCGCCATCAAATGCCCCGTCGCGGCCGCGCGGGGCCGCCTCACCAGCGGCGCGCACGGGGCGCTCGCGGAGGCGGCGGCGTGGATCGTGGATCAGGTCAGCGGGCCGTCCAGGCTGTTTCGCTTCGACGACCTCTTCCACATGGGCCCGCTGGAGAGCCCTGACCGCGTCGGCGACACAGTGGCGCGCTGGTTCGCGCAGTGGGCGCCGGGCGCGGAAGCGGGCGCGCCGACGCGGAGCAGAATGTGAGGGCGACCAGGCGGAGCGCGCTCCGTGGGCCCGTGCGTCGTTCGTGGCGAGCAAGACCAGGTTGCATGCGTCGCCTGCGTCAGACCACCGACTTGTGCCGTCAGACGGGGGGCGCGGACGCGCCTCTTGGGCAGCGGGCGCAGCTTGCTCGCCGCAGAATGCTCTCGCGTACCTAGCTCGCGGAGAACTGAGCTGCGGCGGCGCGCAGGGACCTGAGCAGTGCCCGCAGGCAGCGATTACGGAGCCCGCGGGCTGTTCTGCTCCGCGCAGACGTCTCGCGCGCTTGCGGGCTGTCGGCCGGGTAGGAGAGCTACTAGACAGCTTACGGAGCAGCTGGAAACAGGCGCGCAGGGGCGGGGCGGTGAGAGGAGCGCGGGGCAAGGCCCAGTCCAGCACGGGCCCCCGCGGGCTGCGTTCGAGGGCAGCGGGCAGACATGGACGGCGTCAAGCCCTTGATCGAGCCGAAGCTCCTTCATGTACGCCCAGGCGCCGGGAAAAGGACCGCGCGCCACGCTTCACGCCGCACTTTGCGCACTCTGCCACCTGCAACCTTCGGCCACGCCTCGCGCATGGCGCAAGGCGGCCCCGCCGTGCCGCAGACGTGCTCTCGCTCACCGCCTCTGGCGCGTCCGACGCTCCCCGTCGGCAACGCGGGGCAGGGTGGTCGCAGCCACGGGCATGCATGCCTTGTGCTCTACGCGCGCCGTTCGCGGCAGGACCGTCGACCTCGCGTCGATTTCTGCGCCCCGGTGCGTCGACGAGTTTCCGACGCGCGCTGTGCACACGCCGCGGTGCGCCCGCAGACCGTCGTGGAGCGCTATGAGGGGCAGGCTACGTCGAACGGGCTCCCCCAGGGATCCGGCGTGGCGACGTTCCGCGCCGGCCACACGTACGAGGGCGAGTTCTGCCAGGGATACATGCACGGGCTCGGCAAGTGAGTCTGCCCCCTTCACACCCCCCTCCCAGCACGCACGCCGCCCGCCCCCTGCCCGGCACCACACCACGCGTCTCTCGCGGGGGTGCGCAGGTACTCCTGGGTCAACGGCCTCGTCTTCGAGGGCCAGCTGGAGTGGGGCAGCATCAACGGCGACGGCACCTACTCTTGGCCCGACGGCGCGACGTACACGGGGCAGGTCAAGGACGGCAAGTGCGACGGCTCGGGCCAGATGGTCCTACACGGCGGCAAGGTCATCTACAACGGCAGCTGGCGCGCGGGCCGCCGCCACGGACAGGGCACTCTGCTGTGCCTCGGCCCCGACGGCAGCCAGTACGAGGGCTCGTGGGAGGCCGGGAAAAAGCAGGGATGGGGGACTATGACGTACCACAGCGGTGAGCGCCCGGCCAGCCCCCTGCCCCGCGTGGCGGCGAGCACCTGCGCGGGCCTGGCTGGCCGGTGGGGCGCCGGGCGCGCGGCGCCGCTGACGCGCGTTGCTGCTGCTGTTGGTGCGCGCAGGAAACCACTACTCGGGCGGGTGGCACCGGGACCAGAAGACGGGGGAGGGGGTGATGGTGTGGCAGACGCGCGAGGAGGAGTACCGCGGGGAGTGGGCGCGGGACCTCCCGAACGGCCTCGGGCAGTACTTTTGGTGGCTCACCATCCCGCGGAGTACGCTGCGCCCGTCGCGCATCCAGCAGTGCAACTACTACGTCGGGGCGTTCAAGGACGGGCTCCGCAGCGGGTACGGGCGGTTCCACTACGCCAACGGCGCCAGCTACGAGGGCCTGTGGAACGACAACCGCCGCCACGGCCGCGGCGTGTACATCCTGGAGGACGGCACGGTGCTCGCGACGACGTTCAAGCTGGACCGCCCCGCTGTGCCGGTACGCCGCGCCGCCCCGCGCGCCGCCCCGCGCGCCGCTCGCGTGCAGTTGAGAGCGCGGGGTGACTGACAGTCGTGGATTCTCGACTGGTGTTGCGCAGCTGAACCAGATCAAGCCGCCGTCCCCGGAGCCCAAGGTCCGCATCGCCGACCTGATCGCGGAGTCCTTCGAGGACCCCGCGGTCGCCAAGAAGCAGGTCGCGAGCGTGCTCCTGCGCTACATGTCGGAGCTGCGGTCCATTTACGACCAGTACGCCCAGCTCCCGGTGTCGGGCACCGACACCGGAGTCCCCTCCATGACTCAGCCCGCGGCGATGACGCAGCGCCAGACCGGCGACGGCACGCGCGAGTCCGAGTCCGGCGGGCCCGTGCCGGCCCTGGCCAAGGACGCGCCGCACGCGGAGGGCACCACCGAGGCGTGGCACGTCCACTCCTTCCGCCTCTGCCTGGCCCACTTCTGGCGGCTCCTGCAGGACTGCCGGATCCCGACGGCGGCGCTGCCGCTCGCGGTGATCGACACGCTCGTCGCGCGCGCGAAGCGCCTCCCGAGGGAGATTGAGGCGCTGCGGAAGGACATGGCGGCGGAGGGGCACACGATCCCGCCGGACAACGACCCGGGCGTGCACGACCCGGGCTCGGAGCTGTCGTTCGTGGCGTTCTGCGAGGCGCTGGTGCGCGTGGCGCACGTCCGGCTGTCGCACCTGCCGTCGCTGGAGCGGCGTGTGCACACCTTGTTCGCGCACCACATCGTGCCGAACGCCGGCGCGCCGTCGCGGTCGGAGCTGCGGCAAATGTACGAGGAAGAGGACGTCCAGGCCGTCATGACCGAGCTCGACGAGGACCTCTACGCGTTCTACCAGGCCGCGAGCGGCGCCAGCGGCGCCGGCGCCGGCGGCCAGTCCGGGGCGCAGGTGCAGCAGTTCGAGAGCGCCGGCTCCGCGGAGCCCATCCCGAACTTCCACTCCGCGATGTCGTCGAACGTCAGGCAGGACGGCGGCAAGGAGCCGACCAAGAATCCGCTCAAGCGCAACGAAAGCACCATGTCGCGCGCACCAGGGGCGCCGGCGGCGCCGAGCTCGTACGCGCACTCGCTGGCCCGGAGCAAGTCCGCCGTCACCATCGGCCCGGGCCCGCGGTTCCCCGCGAACGAGACCAGCGTCATCGCCTCGGGCCCCGTCCCCTTGGTGCGCGACGTCCTGGCGGCGATCTCCGCGCGCGGCGTGCTCTCAGGCCCGGTCAGGATCCCGCAGCCGGAGCCGGAGCCGGAGCCCTCCGGGGAGGAGCCGCAGCCGCCGCAGAACCGCTCCTCGGTCGTGACGGAGACCGAGGGCGAGGACACCGTGGACGTCCCCCCGCCGCCGCCGCTTCTGCCGGGCTGCGGCGTGGACCTCGCGGACGCCGTCGAGGTCCTCCGCATCGTGCAGCACCCGGGCGACCTCCCCGACATCTTCACCGAGGAGGAGGCCGAGCTGGACCCCGCCCGCGTGCCCACGCCGCCGGACGAGCCCGCGCCCGGCGCCGAGGCCTCCGGGGTCGCCGGCGAGGCGAGCGGGAGCGGCGCGAGCAAGCCGGACGGCGAGGGCGACGGTGCGGAGCGCGAGGAGCCGCAGGAGAGGGACCACGAGGAGGCCCCGCTGACAATACACCTCCCTGTTATGGATGCGGAGGTGTTGTACCCCGAGTTCGTCGAGGCGGTGGCATACCTGGCGGAGCGCGCGGTTCCGGGGGAGATGTCGATGGCGGACAAGATCTGGTCGTACGTGGGCGGGGGCCTGCTCGGGCGGCCCGGCGCGACGTACCCCCCGTTGCTGGGAGAGGACGGGGCGGTGGAGGCGCGGCGGTCGTCCGCGGGGATGGAGGAGTGAACGCGGCGGTGGCCGGTGCCGGTGTGACGCGACTGCCGAGGGCGCGTGCGTGTCACAGCGCACGTCCTGTCTTTGCGTGGGTGTCTAGTTGCTTCGTTCTTCTATGCTCGAACAATCAATCGGATCATCATAATCATGATTCTAGTCAAAACCATCACTCGAGGGCTGTTCGGCGGCTCCAGCGCCGCAGCAGCACGGCACACGACGCCATGCGTGCTCCGCGCTTTGTACGAGTGTTGCCAGCACGGCGCCGCGCTGTCCGGGACGCCGGCGCGGCCACGCGTTGCCCACGAGCGCACGCAACGGACGGCTCCTCCTCGCGCGCTGGGGCGTCAGTGCGCGAGCGCGATGGGCCCCCCGAGCATTTCCTCGACGGCGGCGACGACGGGCTTGGCCGCGGCTATGAACTTCGGGCCGTGCTCGTGCAGGCTGTCGGGGCTCTCCCCGACCGTCTTCATGAACGCAGCCGTCTTAGGGACGAACCACAGGGACGCCTTGACCATCAGCTGGATCGCGGTAGGGTGCGTCGGCGCGAGCGCCTTCTCGTAGGCCTGCACGTCGCCGGCACGCGGCGCAAGGCGGGTCGCACGCAGAGGAGACTGCACGGCTGTGTCTGGGCTGCGCGCCGCAGTGGGCGCACCTCCGCGATGGCAGCCGAGAGCTTGGCGCTTGGGTCGTCGAGGAGGTCTTGAATAAGGATTGTCATGAATCGGATGCCGTTCTTGAGGCGGTCCAGGTTGCGGGCGTGCGAGCCTGCCTTCTCCAGCGTCCCGGCCGCTCGGTCCGCCTCGACGAGCTCCCTGAGGGTTGGGAGCTCGGTTGCGCAGGAGTGCAGGTCCAGCTGCTTTTTCTCAAAGTCCTCCCTGGCGAAGTAGAACGGCTTGCCTGCGCGAGCGTGGAGCTGGCACACCAGTCAGCTCCAGGAAGTGTCAAGTTCAGCGCCGTCGTGGCCGGAGAGGTCTCTGGTGGGGCACAAGCGCCGAAACGAGGCGGGCGTTCGTGTGGGGCCGTGAAGCGCGGGCACGGAGGCGCCGCGGTGTCGTCGAAAGCGCTTCGACGGCCACGTGAACATCGCGTTCGACGGCCACGTATCCCGGGCGGGGCGCTGCTCAGTCACGGGTCATGGAATCGACCCAGGACGCGGCTGGACGGCAGCAACCCCGTCATCGCACCTAAGGCGCCGACCAGCGGTACGATCCTCTCCGCAGCGTCCGCGAATTCCTTCGTCCGGAGCTCTGCCGTGGCGTCAATCGCCGCAAAGCCTTCAGCAAGATCAGCGAGCTGCCCCATCCTGTGCAGTCGTCAATTTCGAGAGATTTTCCGCCGCCCTGTTCAGGAATTCATCACCCAGTCGAACCGCAGCCCGGAGATGCCGGCAGATCCGTGCGGTGTCACTCGCGCGGCCTCCTTGTTCCCGCTGTGACTACGTGCAGTCTTCGCCCAGCTCGCCGGCTTGCTGGTCTCCCGCGACGACGCACTGGGAGAACCGAGCCAAAGGTATCCCGCGCAGCCCGGCAGGCGCCTCTTCTCGCCGGGCCTGGCCTGCTCCACGTTGACAGACTGCACGCGGGAAGAAAAACGGTTGCCTGCGTCGCCCGCGCATGTTTGCTTCGCAGCCGGCCCGCGCGCTCGAGTGTTCGCTTGTCGGCCATCCACTGCGTGGACGTGAACAGGGGCAAGACAGGATGTTCAGCGCCAGCTCTCTCGTTGGGCAGCGGGTGGCCATGCCCGCCGCGCCGGTGCGCGCTCCGCGCGCCCAGCGGATGGTCGTGTCTGCGGGGGCGACCTTCGGGGAGGGCGTGAAGGAGTCGCGGATCGGGAAGAGGCCCATTGACGTGCCCAGTGGCGTCACTGTCACGGTGAAGGACCAGGAGGTGAAGGTCAAGGTGCGTGAGTGCGGAGCTCCGAGTCCGAGGAAGAGCTCTGATTTCACGGCCGCCATCGCGTTTCGCCGCCTCCCGCTTCCACCCCGCGCGACGCGAAACGAGCCCACTACTGGCTGCGAGCGGCCTGCTGGGCGTCGCGTGCGCTCGCGGGGTCGGCACAACCTCCTCCTCGTCTTCATCTCTCCCAAAATCATCGATTCCTTTCGCCTGGCAAGCCGCTGCGTGTCCGCGCGGGCCGGCTCGATGGATGGGCTGCTCCTGGTGGATGAGGCTCACGCGCACGCAAGAGCCGCCGGTCGCGGGTTGGATCGACCGCGGTCCGCAGCGGAGCACACCCGTCGAGCCTGCACCCCGCGCGGCCCGACGCGGACCAGCGCCGCTCCGATCGCCCTGCACGGCCGCCACCCGTGCCCCCGCCACTCCCACAGCCGGCCGCTCGCAGCGCCGCGCCACGGCCGCGCATTTCCACTCCCGTCCTCCGGCCGACCCCTCGCAACGCCTGCTCTCCCCAGACCTCCCGCCGCGGCGCTCCCGGGCCACGGCCTCCCCGCGGGGCCGGTTCACACACCAGCGCCAATGTGCGGGTGCCGCGGACGTTCTGGGGCCGTTCGCGCTCATCTGCGCCCGCCCGCGCGCGCTCGTCCGCAGGGCCCGAAGGGCGAGCTCTTCCGCGAGCTGCGCCCGGAGGTGACGGCGGAGGTGGACGGGCAGACCCTGTGGGTTCGGCGGGCCTCGAACGACCGCAAGGCGTTCGCGTACCACGGCCTGTCGCGCACGCTGTGCAACAACATGGTGCTCGGTGTGTCGGAGGGCTTCAAGAAGGAGCTCAAGCTGGTGGGCGTGGGTTACAGGGCTGCGGTGTCGGGCAACACGATCAACATGAGCCTGGGTCTCTCGCACCCGGTCGACGTCGAGATCCCCGAGGGCATCAAGGTGTCGGTGCAGAAGAACACCGACGTGACCGTGGAGGGCATCGACAAGGAGGCGGTCGGCACGTTCTGCGCGCAGCTCAAGGCCCTGCGCCCGCCCGAGCCGTACGGCGGCAAGGGCATCCGGTACGCGGACGAGCGCATCATGCTCAAGGAGGGCAAGAAGGGCAAGTAAGCCCGGGCCCCGGGACCGCGCAAGCCCCTGTGAAACGACACGTACTGCGCGCCCCACACACCTGCCGCCCCTCGCGCTCCGCTGCGTCGCGGCGGACCCTGCGCCCGCCCTCGCCGGCGGCTGTCGAAGCATCCGGCCCGCTGAACGGCGCAGACGTTCTTTCCCCAACACCGTGACGCTTGTACCAACAAAACAAAACACCTCCACACGAGTCTGTCTAGGCGACAACGGGCGGGCGTGCGCGGGTTTTTCGGCACGCACACGGCTCACGCGGCGGGTTCACAAGCATAGCATCGCATCGCATCGCATCTGCCTCCCCGGCGCCCAGCGCGCTGCCCCCGGCCGTCCTGCGCGGCTGCTCAGCCCTGGAACTGCTGCCCCGGCGCCATGAGCATCGGGTTGGCGTTGTACCCGGGCATGAGGTAATTCTGCTGTCCGTCGGGGATCCCGGGCCCCTGGCTGACCAGCTGCGCGGGCGCCGGCAGCGCCAGCGTCTGACTGGCCTTCATGGCCGCCATCATCTCTTGCGCCTCCTTCTCCGTCTCGTCGCCCTCCCTCTCCTTCTCCCGCGCGAGCCGCTCGCGGCGGTCGGCCATGAGCACGTCCACCTTCCCGTGCAGGTCCCGGAACGACTGGACCATGAAGGGCATCACCACGTCGGACAACCCGTGCAGCCAGGCGAGCTCCATGGCCACGTCCGGCGGGACGAGGTCGTAGCACGTGAAGAGGCACGCGGCGAAGCACTCCTTGAGGCCCTGGTCGATGAAGAAGCGCAGCATCTCCTCGACGATCTCCTTGTCCTGCGACTCGCTGGCGTACTCCATGGCGTCCCTCCACATCTGGTCCTTCTTGAGCAGCTCGATCGCGGCGCGCCACTTCTGGACCTTGCGGTAGATCTGCGCCGCGATCTTGCGGAACTCGAGCAGCGCGTGGCGCTCGAGCTCGGCGGCCAGGCGCGCCTGGTCGTAGTTGTCGAACGACGCGATCGACTCCGCGAGCGCCTCGTGGTCCTCCTCCTCGACGAGCAGGCCGTTGACGGCCTCGTTCACCGCGGCCAGGTTCGCGGGCTGCACGTGCAGCAGGTAGGGCTTGATGAGCGGGAGCTGCCCGCGCTGCCGCAGGATGCCCACGACCTTGGCGTGGTCGATGCGCTGCTCGAGGACGCGCATGGCGTCGTTGAGGAGGTCGGGGTGCTCGTCGAGGTAGAAGTGCACCGCCTTGTAGTACAGGTCGATCGACGACACCTTGGCGGCAATGTCCTTGAAGAGGACGTGCTCCCACGCGTCGGGGGAGTGCTCCATGACCACGTTGAGCGCGTTGTCGTACTCCTCGTACTTGACGTACAGGAAGGTGAGCGCGGCCCACTGCGCGTACTGGTCGCACACCCGGATGAGGCGCGGGATGTTGATGCGGTCCGAAAAGAGCTTCAGGTGCTCCATGAGGCGCTCGGGGCGGTACCGCGCGTACAGGGCGCCGAGCTCGGTGAAGATGCCCATGTGCGCGCGGTCCGACCCGATGCCGGCCTCGAACAGGTCGAGCAGCTGGTCGATGTGGTCGCGCTCCTGGTAGAACTGACTCAGCTCGTCCATCTCGTCGGCGTTGACGATGATGTTGAGCCCGCACAGCTGCGCGAGCTTGAACTCGCCGAACTCCACGCACGCGTAGCACACCTCCTTCCACGTGCGGATGGAGTTGGCCTTGCGCGCCGCGTCGACCGCCTGGCCGAACTCCTGCATGCGCACGAGCGTGCTCGCGAGCTTGCCCCAGTGCGGGATGTGCTTGAACACCACCTTGGCCGCGGGGTACATCTTCGCCTCGAAGCACATGTCGCCCACGTGCTCCACGTCGGCCATGTTGGGCGCCGAGAGCAGCTCCTCCAGCGCGACCAGGTTCTCCGTCTTCGCGTACGCAAACATGAGCTCGTTGTCGACCTCCGCCTCCTTGACCTGCTTGCGCACCATGAGCAGGTACTTGACCAGCGGCGCGTACTCGTCGTGCTCCTTGGCGGCGCGGATGACCGCCACGAAGTCCGACGCGTCGTTCGCGCGCAGGTACGAGTCGATCGCGGCCGCGGGCTGCCCCGCCGCGAGCTGCGCCGCGGCCATCACCGACCACACCGCCGGCTCGTCGACCTTGGTCGTATACTCCAGCGCGCGCTCCAGATCCTTCAGGTGGTCCACCATGACGCGCACGGCGTCGACGTGCAGCCGGAACTTCTTGTAGATCGCGCAGCCCTCCTCGAAGAGCTCGTACTCGATGGCCACCTCGGCGACCGCGGGCCCGTCGAAGTTGTCGAGGCGGTTGACGTAGTCCATGACGCGCGAGGGGTCCGACTTGATCGCGGTGATGATGAGCAGGTTCTGGAGGTTGGGGTTCGCGGAGAAGCTCGAGTTGTTGAGCACGATCTTCTCGAGCAGCTCGATGAGCTCCGCCTGCAGCTCCTGCGCCATGAAGGCCTTGACGGCGGCCGACACCTCCTCCGGGTCCTTGCACTCGGGGAGCGCGTGCGCGACGACCTGGTCGATGAGGGAGCGGCGGTGCTGGTTCTCGTCGTCGAGGACCTTGCCCCAGAGCTCGCCGTCCTTGCGCCCGACGACGTAGCGCGCCTGGACCTTGAAGAGGCTGTTCTTGTTGGTGCACGCGAGCAGCGCGTCGTCGCACTGGCCCTTCTTGTACGCCTCGCACGCGAGGTGCGGGTCGCGCTTCTCGGCGAACTTGCCGACCACGAGCGGGTCGTAGTACGGGTTCGTGCTGATGAAGTGCTCGGGGTTGTTGTTGGTCTCGATCATGATCTTGCCCAGCGCGTTGTGGACGTGCACGTCGGTGCTGCCCTCGTTCACGAGGTGCTCGAGGAACGGCAGGAGCTGCTTGAGCTTGTAGCGCTCCTCGAACACCGCCACGAGCGGCTCCACCTTGAGCAGGCTGCGCACCGACACCACCAGCGAGTTCACCAGCTCCGACTCGGCGTCCGAGTCCAGCAGCGCGGCGGCGACCTCGTGCGTCTTCTGCGGGTTGACCTTCTGGCAGAACCCCTCGATGTACCGCACGTGGTTGTTCGTGTACAGGTACTTGGCCATGTCGTACACCATGTCGTGGCGGTCGCACACGTTGATGAGCGGGCGCATGTCCGGCAGCTTCGCCTCCATCAGGAACGTCTTGACCTTCTTCGGGTCGTAGTGGTCGCTCTCGCGCGTGATGCGCTCCACCTCCTTGTACTGCTGCGTCTTGGCCGCCGCCTCGATGTACCGGAAGGTGATGTCGGGCTCCGTCGTGGTCGCGATCTCCGCGGCGAGGAAGTGGTACACGCCGGCGTACCCGTGCGGGCGGAACTTGTCGAACATGGCCAGGATCGGGTCCACGCCGAGCTGCTCGCGGTATTCCTTGCAGATAAGCACCACGACCTGCAGGTTCTGCTGGACGTTGGAAGAGAGCAGCTCGCGGCAGCAGTCGAGCGCCCAGTCGGTCGAGAGCGTCCCGAAGTACTCGACGAGCTCCTCGGGCTGCATCGCGTGCGTGTTGACCACGCAGCGCTTGATGTCGGGGAGCTCGGTGTAGTGCTGCAGCGCGCGCATGTACAGCCCCGCGCGCTCGCACTGCTGCGCCACGCGCGGCCGGTCGTAGAAGGAGAACCGCTCCGACGACAGGATCGCGTCCGCCACCTGCGGGTTCGTGATCAAGTTAATCTCGATGACCTTGGTCTGCAGCACGGCGTCCTCCTCGCGGTCCTCCGAGAGCGCCTCGAGCAGGAACGCGGTGGCCTCGCGGATCATGTTGCGCTGCAGGAAGAGCTCCGCGACCGTCGCGGGCTCCACGGGCGGCGGGGACTGCTTCGCGAGGCCCTTGGCCAGGTTGAGCGCGCCCTCGGGGTTGTCCTTCATGAGCGCCTGCAGGAGGTACATGTAGTCCGGCTTGACGCCCGTCTGGCCGGTGTACGCCATGAGGGACTCGAAGTCGCCCTTGGCGGCCAGGAGCGTCACCGCCTTGGACGCCACGTTGCCCTTCTGGTACATCTTCAGCGCCAGGTCCTGGTCGCCGGCCTGCGCGAGCATGTCGCCGAGCTGCTCCGAGGACGTCAGCTTGTTCTCGTTGAACCAGTTGACGAGCAGGTGCTTCTTGTTCTGCGCCAGGACCAGCCCCGCGAGCTCCACGCTCTCGCGCTCGTTCAGCGCGCCCTGCTGCAGCAGAATGCCGAAGTACTGCAGCAGCGGCGACGCCTGCCCCGGCTGGACCTGCACGCTCTTGAACCGCGCCATGACCTGGTCCGTGCGCAGGATCCCGCGCGGGCTCCGCGCGGCCATCTCGGCGGCCTCCCGGTAGTTGCCGACGCCCATGAGGCGCTCGAACTCCTGCACGATGAGCGAGTCCGCGCCGGGGAGGCCCGCGCGCGACGCGAGCGCGAGCGCGACCTCGGTGTTCTGGAGCTGCCCGGAGATGTAGGGCACGATGGTGTCCTCGTTGACGCTCAGCAGGAGGAGCTGCCCGCGGCGGTTGACCGCGTACACGCCGCCGACGCCCGGGACGTCGCACGTGAGGAAGACGGCGTCCGTCGAGAAGCGCGTGCGGTACACCGCGGTGCCCGTGGGCAGGTCGTATACGAACACCAGCCCCAGCTTGGTGGTGACGAAGACCAGCGCGTGCTTCGCCGACGCGTTGAGCGCGACGGGGAAGTCGTTCTCGAACTCCGGGGGGAAGAAGAGCTCGGCCTGCTTCTTGAAGCCCGTCTGCCCCGGCGGCGCGCCCAGCTCGATGACGTGCAGCTTCGACTGCAGCGACCCCGAAGACGCCGTCTTCTGCGCGATCGCGATGCACTGCGTCGCGCGGTCGCGGCCGGGCAGCTTGCACTGCGCGAACGTCGCCGCGTGCGCCTCGAGGTTCTGCTCGCGGGACTGCTCGATGGACCACAGTTGCATCTGCCCGCGCACCAGCTGCGGCCTCTCGGCGCTGCCCGGCGCGATGCCGACCACGACGCACCACTTGCCGTCCGGGGAGACCTTGTACGAGATGATCTGGCACTGCGCGAGGTTCTGCGACCGCGCGAACATCCGCTGCGGCGCCGAGTCGCCCTCGGTCGACCAGTGGTAGACCGTCGTGGCCGTCACCAGCCCAATCGTCGTCTCGTCGACCCACTTCCAGAGCACGACCTGCTCGTTCAGCGCGTGGGCCTTCAGCTTGGCCTTCGTCTCCAGGTTGAACACCTGCAGCGTGTCGACCTCGTTCTGGAACGCCCTGCGCCGCGGGAGGGGGGGGGTTGCGCGGGCACGTGGTGAGGGCGGGCCGCGCGCGGGCGCGAGGGCGCGATGCGCGTGGGCGCGGCGGGCGCGGAGCGGCGGGGGCGGGTCGCGGCGGCACCTGACGGCGATGATCTTCCTGTTCGGGTGCATGATGACGGAGTCGGCCTGCATGGGGCGGCGCTGGGGTTGCATGGGCGTCGCCATGTCAACGATGGTGAGCTGCTTCGGATCGCCGGTCTCGCGGACGCACACGAACTTGTCGGACTCCATCGTCACGGTCGGGAACGCCATGTACTGCTGGTTGATGCCCAGGCTCGGCAGCTGCAGTGACGGGGGTGGCGGTGGTGGTTGGCCGGCGCCGGGGCGTGGCGCGCGCGATGCGGCGGCGGCGCCGCAGGGCGCGTGGATTGTGATCTGGGCGTCGCGATCTCGCAGGGATCAGCCGCGCAGACGGGCGTGCGTGCGTGCGAGGGGCCGCGAGGGGTGGGCGGGGCAAGGGCGCGCGCGCCGGGCCGGCCGGGCGCGCTTGCAGGGTGCGGCCGCGGAGGCCGGCTGCTGCGGAGTGCTGAGGCCGGGGTGGCGGGTGCGCGGCGGGGGGCAGCTGCCCGGGGCGGCGGGCGGGGCGCGGGTCGCTGGGCGTGTGGCACTTCAGGTCCAGGAACGCTGTGGCGGGCCACCGGGGCTGCCAGCGGGCTGTCAGGGGCGCGGGTGCCATGGTTACGGCGCGAGAGAGTGGGCGGTTGGGCGGAAAACGGCACATCAGGGACCGGGGAGTCTGGGTCCACGGCTTGGTCGAGGAAGGAGGTTGGGGGGCCAGCAAGTGTCTCGCGACGGTGCAACGGGGCGGAGGGGGGACGGCGCCGCGTGGATTGAAGGTGGAAGGCGCGGTCGTCGCGTGGGAACGGCGTGTTATTCAGCGTGCGGCGAGGATCTGTGCGCCGAGGCAGTCGCGAGCGAAGCTTGCAGCGCCGAACCGCGACATTCGCCGCCGCGGTGGCCGCGCGGGCGTGGACACGTTGGCCTCGTGCGAACTCACCGCCAGGACCTCCTGGACCTTGATGGGAGCGGAGGCCATGGTGTCGAGGTTGCTAAGACTGCCCGGAAGGCGCGGAGAGCAGCGTCGCGGCGCTTGTCGCCGGCGACTTCCTCAATATGCTGGCTGGAAAAACCTCCCAGCAGCGGTAACTTGTACTAGGCGGCCTAGCCCGGGCGCGCACGGTGCGACCTCCAGCTCAGGCCTTCACCAGCCTCCTCAGACCTCTCCAAGGACCCAATCCCCTTGTCGAGGCAGCAGGGAAGCCGAATGGTTTGCGACGCACCGCCGCGCCCGCACCCCAACAACGCCCCGCGCACGCAACGCACGGCGTTCTGTCTGTCTGGCGCCACTTGCTGTTTGCACCTCCGCCCGCGCTCCACACGCCCGCCTCCTGCGCTCCCGCCCAGCGCCGAGGCCTCCGCCCAGCACCCGGCCTCCCGCACGCGCCGCGCACCCACGTCACCGCGCCAGAACAGCGCCACGCGGCCATCCCCTTGCATCAGGCGTGCGCTTAGATGGCAGGCAATTCCCGCGGCCTGCCAGGCCGCAGACCACCGGCCGAGGGCGCCGAGCGGCGCGGAGCTCCGGACGTCCCTGGAGCTCGCAGCAAGGGCGCTGCGGGCGCCACCGCGGCCCGCGGGCGCGTGTGTCGGGTCCACGTGGTGTTCTGGGTGTCAGTGCGCGCGGGCGGGGGACGCGCGCCGGGGCGGCCGCGCAAAGCGTCCGAGGCGGACCTCTCGCGCTCAGACATGCGTTGGAAGCGGCCGCGGCGGGCGAACTGGCCGCGGCGCACCCGCCCGTGCAAGCTCAGTGACGCGCGCCAACACAGGTGAAATCGCCGGCGCGGTGCTCGGGGAAAGCGCAGAGCCAAGCGGCGCCGCTGCTGTGCACAGCTATCTACGCGCGCGTACGAGCGCCGCGGCGCCCGCCGCGAGCGCGCGGGGCGATGCGCACTGCGGGTGCAATACGGTGCTTCTTGGGGAGTGAAAGCGAGAGACCCCCAGGGCCCGGCGGAGGCGTCGAGGGCCGCGCCCGGGCGCGCGCGATGCAAGAACGTGCTTCCGTGCCAGGCTACGCACCCTGGGATATTCGCGAGGGTCGTCTGGGCGCTCTTTTGCCACCAGAGGCTTGTGCAACGTCCAGGGCGGGCGCAGTTTCCTGACCGGCGTGGTCCGTGCTGTCGTTGGTAGGCTGAGATCGTGATGCAGGCCGCAGGCGTGGCGCGGCCGGTCCAGCGGGCGGCCGGGAGCGCGGCTGCGCGCGGAGCTGCGGGGCGGCGGGCCCTCGCCGTGCCGACGCGCGCGCGCGGCCCGTCGAAGACGGCGATCGGGTCGCGGACGGCATACAGAGGGGCTCTCTCGAGCGGCGCGTCCAGCAGCGCGGTGTTCCGGTCCGCAGGTGCGACGTGCGCGGCGTCCAGGCGCTGGCGCCAGGCATTGGCTGGGCCCCCTCTGAGCGCTCTTCGGGGGTGATCGAGGGCCTCATGGATATCGTGTTCGACGCGAACACTTCGTGTCCCATGAGTGCGACCAGTGGCTGCTGAAATGGCTGCTTGGAGCCGTGCTGCGCCCCACCTGTTGGTGCACTTGGGTTCTCGCTGCGCCTCGCACACTGCTGGCGGCCGTCTCGCTCCCTCATCACTGTCTGTCGGTCGTTCTGTTATCAGACTTCCCTCAGAACACGCAACGCGGCACCGTCGCCCTGAATCAGCGCCGCAGTTTGCGCCTTTCCAGCCAGGATAGGTCACGGCGCGTCCAGCGCCCACACGCACGATGCTGCGTGACAAGTGCGCGCCTTCTCCGCACAAACCCGCCGCCTCGCTCGGAACACCGACGCTGCGCGCAGGCACCGCTCCGAGCCGGCGCAACGTCAGGGTCGCTGCCCGCAACGGCGACGTCGACATCGCGGACCGCGTCATCTCCTCGCTCGTGTACCTCCTGCCGCTCATGGACGGCATCCGCTACGGTGCGCCGCCGCCTCACGCCGCAGCCCGCGCCCGCGTCCCAAGCGCCCACGGTGACGCCCGCGCCCACGAGTTGCGACGCCCTCCCGTCCGCGCAGGCCGGTACTTCTTCATGGAGTTCCCGTCGTTCGCGCGGCTGCTCTCGCCGCTGGAGCCCCTGGTCTCGCTGTACTACGGCATCCCGTTCGGCGGCTTCGTGCTGTTCCTGGCTGTGCAATTTGGCGTGGTGAGCAACCTGTCGCTGTCGCGGTTCATCCGCTACAACGCGATGCAGGCCGTCCTGCTCGACATCCTGATCATCATCCCGGACCTGTTCCTGCGCATCATGGGCGCCCCCACGTCGCCGGCGATGGTGCAGCTCCGGGTGTCTGCCTTCAACACTGTGTGGCTGTTCGTGTTCGCGTGCGTGGCGTACGGCATGTCGTCGTGCCTCGTCGGCCAGAGCCCGCGCCTGCCGCTCGTGGGCGACGCCGCGGACCAGCAGGTGCCGCCTTGATGCCATGTGACGCGAACGAGAGAAGTGGCCGTTTGGAACCCCCGGCAGAGGCGAGGCTCGCGCCTGCGTCGCATGTGCGTCCCGTGAGCTGAGCGCTCGCTGATGCCGCGGGGGTGGCCGTGGAGGAACGTCGCCGCGACGCTGGCGCGGCATTGCTCTAGCTGGGCTCAGAGAGCGCTTGCAACGAACTAACTGTCCCCTGTTCGCGGCTCACTACGCAAGCGCGTTCGGAGCAAGCACGCGACCAGCGCGTCCTGCCTCGGGGCTCGCGTGCGAGAACACCCCTCCTGTTTCTGACATTCGAGCACGACGCCGCCGTCCCCGTGCGACGTCGTCGCACCCTGTCGTGCACAGGACAATCGGGTGCGGGCAGCTTCGGCCGGCAGCTCGGCCTGCACGCCGCGGTGACGCGACGCGGTCATTCTGATCACATCGACGACGGTCGCAGCGGTCGATAGACCTGCTCGAGAGACAAATAATGCAACGACATCTTTGCACGGAACGCACCCGACGTGCGCACGCGCGTCACGAAACCTTGCGGCGTGTCGCGGCTATGAAACGTGGATCTTGCGGGCCCACAGGCACACACTCGATCGAAGCGCCACGCCCCGCGCGGAGCAGGGGCGCAGCCTCACCTCACCTCACCGCGCGGGGGCCGAGTCCGTGCGCGCGACGGGCTGCAGCGCCCCCGGCCCCGCTGCGCCCGCGACACCGCCCCCGCTGGACCCCGATCCGGTCTGCAGCAGCCCCGTATCCCGCATGAGCCGCTCGACGAGGCGCTGGTTCTCCTCCAGGGCCCGCAGCAGCTCGCGCTCGCGCTTCCGCTCCTCCTCCAGGCGCTGCAGCATGTCGGCGTGCCGCGCCAGGACCTGCTCGAGCTGCCTGGCCTGCGCCTCCGGGACGGGCGGCGCCTGCGCCTCCGCGCCCGAGCCGTTGCGGGTGGGCTTCGCGCGGTGCGGCCGAGGCCCCGCAATGGCGTGTCCGAGGAAGATGTCGGCGCGGTTGCCCATCACGGCGGCGAGCCCGCGGCCAATCTTCTTCAAGAAGGACCCTGCGGAAGGGAGGGGGGGAGTGTTGAGCTCTTTGGCGGGGACGTGAGCGAGGCGCGCGGGCCGCCAGGTGCGCTGCTGCCGTGGCGGCAGGGGCGGCTTGCGATCGTGGGGCAGCGGTGCGCGTGTGTTTTCGTACCCTTCTCGGGCGGCGACGCTTTTTCGACGCGGAGGGCCGCGGCGGACTGCTGCAGGAGGTTAAGCGCGCGCTCTTCGTCGACGCTCGGGAGCGGGGGGGCGCCGGGCGCCGCGGGCGTGGTGCCGATCGGCGCGGTGGCGCGCAGCGGGAGCGCGGGTAGCGGGGGGAGTCCCGTCGAGTGCGAGCGCGCCGGGCCAGACGTGGTGACCGAGTCCGTCTCGGTCGAGTCGTCGCAGGCGAGCCGCGCGCGCTTCTTCGCCGCGGCCTTCGGCGTGTGAACCGGCTCGATCTCGCACGCCTCGGCGTCGCTCGCGGTGCCGGCCTTGCGCGAGGCGCCCGTGGGCGACGGCGTGGATGACTCGCCCTGGTGGCGGTACTTCTGCAAGTGCGTCTTCACGTGCAGGATCGTCAGCCCCGGCACCTCCATCCGGTCCACGATCTGCTTCGGCGTCGCCTGCCACGGCCCCCCGAGCTCCTCGACAGCGCGGACAAAGACGGCGTGGAGCTCCGCGCTCCACCGCAGCCGCGGCCGCCCGCTGCCCCCGCGCACGAGCTGCATGTGCTCGACCTGCACGCCCGACGAGCGCGTGTGCCGCGCGGGGGCGTCGCCGCCTGAATGGCTGTGCCGCGCGTGCCGCGCACGCGCGTCGGCGGCGGGCCGCTCGGTCACGGGCGCGACGTGCTCGCCCGGCTCCACGGCGTGCGCGCTCGCGCAGCCCATGTCGAGGCACACCGTGTGCGCCGCGGACCGAGGCGTCGGCCACGCGCAAGCGCCGGCCATGGTCGCTTGGTGCTGCAGGGGGGGGACGTCGTCGACGGCGGTGGAGAGCTGCCCGCGCGACGCCGTGCGCTCGACGTCGCCCGCCACGTACGGCGCGTGCGCGTCGCCGAACGGCGGTGCGGGGCTGGTGTGGAGCTTCAGGGCATGGTGCGCGAAGGGGCTGGGCGCCAGCACGCCGTCGAGGTCGTCTTCGGGCCCGAACGCCGTCTTGAAGAAGACGTCCCAGTCGTCCACGTGGACGTCGTCACCGTCCATCGCTGCCGGCGCGGAGCGGCCCTGGGCGATGCCTGCAGGGGCGGCGAGGGTGGAGCGGCGCGTCGCACGTGCGTGGGACGATTCGGGCGGCCGTGCCGCATGCATTGGGCCCATGTGCGCGACATCGCGGTTGAGCTGCAGGCGCGTCGGTTTGGCGCGCCCGGTGGCGGGGAAGGGGCCGTGTGTGCGTGCACGGCGCGCAAGTCTGCTGCGCGGTGACGCCGGCAAGCAGGTGGCGCGCTGTGGCCTGGCAGCGACGCGACATGGTGGTTGATCCGCAGGCGCGTCGATTCGGCGCGCCCGCCCTGCCTGGCCGGGCAGCGCGTGGGCTTGAAAGACGGAAGCGTGAGAGCAGCAGCAGTTCGCGTCAGAGGCTCCGAGGGGCGACGAGCTGCTGCGCTCGGTGTATGCGCGCCGCACAAATGTCGTTCTGTCGAACAAGCGGAGAGCTGTTCGCCCGCTTTGCGTCGGCTTCCCCGGCCGCACGAGATGCGCACCTCGGCGACAGGCCGCAACGGAAGGCCGATCGCTGTCTCGATCAGAGGGCAGCCGTATCCATCGACGTTCGAAAGATCGGTCGCGCGGAAGCTGCCACACAGCGCCCCGCAAGCTGGCGCGCGCTGCTGTTCAGTGTTGGAGGCGGCCTGCCCGCTCGCGCCGCCCACGCCGTAACGGAGCCGCGGACCAATGACGAGTGGTGCGGCAAGGCCTGGTCTCGCACGTCACTGCCATGCGCCGAACGCCCGCTCGTCCTATCGCGGCGTGTCGATGATCAGTCATGCCTGCTCGTACAACCAGTAGAACCGCTCACCACGCTCGCAGAACAGCCGCGCGCGCGACAGGGCGCACGGGCCACGCGGCGCCGTCGCTGCGGCCGCGGCGCGCTGCACGCGGCGCTGCCTCACCCTCCACACTAACCGTCCTTGACCGCCACAAGCACACACACACAAAGTGCACACACCCGCGTGGCGGGTGCCGCATTCTTGAACCGCTGCCTGGACCGGGGGCTCATAGTCTGGGCGCTCCGGGCGTCGTTGTGACCTGCCCGGTGCCGCGAGGCGCTGCAAGGGAGAGCGCTGCATCTAGATGCAGTGGACACGCGGGCCGAGGCACGCGCGCAGGGGGCGCCGCAGCGCTGCCCGCGCGGAAGCACGCAGTGCAGCGCGGGACTGCACCGCGAGAGCGGACGTGGGCGGGGCGCCGCGACCTTGCCTGCTGTGCGTGGCGCAGTCACGTGTGCGGCACCGGCCGGCGTCGCGCGCGTCTCGGGGGCCCTGAGCGGGATCCGGCCGCCCAGGCGTGCGGCAGGCGCGGCGTGCGCGGTGCGTCCCTGAGAGGGCGCCCGGGCGCGGCCGCCGGCAGCCCGCGGTGTTGTTGCTTGCTGCGGCGACAACACACACACACACGCGGGGGCGTTCCGCGGCCAGACACGGCGCGTGCGACGTCCTGCGCCATGCCAGGACCGAGGATGGTCCGCGCGGGGGGTGTTCGCCGGCCGCCTGTGCCTGGGGTCCCCGGCGGAGGAGCATGGGGAGTCTCGGCAGCGCACACTCTGGCCTTCATGGCCGTGGCGGGGGGCCGCGCTAGCCCTCTTTCCACCCCAGCGTGCAAGCGAATCAGGATGGGGAAGGCTGTCGTGATTGATTGCCGGGGGCACCTCCTCGGGAGGCTGGCCTCGATCATCGCGAAGCAGGTGCTCTCGGGCCAGCAGGTGGTGTGCGTTCGCACGGAGGAGATCCTCATTTCCGGCGGGCTCATCCGCCAGAAGATGAAGTACGAGCGCTTCCTGGCCAAGGGGCACAACCCGAACCCCCGGCGCTGCGGCCCCTGGCACTTCAGGGCGCCGGCTCGCATGCTCTGGCGGGTCGTGAGGTGCGCACCGGCCGCCTGCGGGCGCGCTACGCGCGCGGTGGATTCGTGTCATTTCGCTGCACCTTCCGCGGGGGCTCCCGCGCTCACCCGCGATGTTTCGCGGCGCTGCAGGGGGATGGTGCCCCACAAGACCGCTCGGGGCGCGGAGGCGATGGGCCGCCTGAAGGTCTTCGAGGGCATCCCGGCGCCTTACGACAAGGTGAAGCGCGTGGTCGTGCCGGACGCCCTGAAGGTGCTGCGCATGGCGCACGGCCGGAGGTTCTGCAGGCTCGGCGACCTGGCGAAGGAGGTGGGCTGGAAGCACGCCGACACGGTGGCCGAGCTCGAGGCTGCCCGTAAGGCCAAGGCCGACACCTGGTGGCAGGCGGCGAAGAAGAAGCAGGCTGCCGTCCGGACCGCGTACAAGCAGGCTGCCGCCCAGGTCAAGTAAGTACGCGCCGGCTCCGCGTCCCGGCCCGCGCACCGATCTATAATTTTGGTCGCATGGCCCACGCAGCGTCACAGCGTCGATGTGACGACCCCTTCCGATTCCCGGGTTCGTTTCCTCTCCCCTGGCGGCTCGCGGCCTCTGCGGTCCACGCGAGTGGGCCCGCGCGGCGCCGGGCACATGAGGGGGCACGTCACAGGCCCGAGGCATCGCCTCGTCCCGCGTACGGGCGCGTCGCAGCCCACCTCGCGCCGAGAGGCCCACCACCCAGCAGCACCAACACAGCACGCCCGAGCGCCTCGCACCTAGGGCGAGAGCGACGGCGACCCCCCTGGCCACGTCACCCATGATCAGGCTGCGCACCTCGCGCGGCGCCGAGCCACCACACGCCGGCCTGGCCACGCCACGGCCCCCACGAGGAGCCCCACAACGCCGCTCAGGGCCTGGCAGCCGCGCCCCGGCGCCGACGCCAGCCACGCCCGCGCCCGCCCCGCTCCCATCCCGCGCCTGCACCGCGGAGCCCCAGCGACGCCCTTGAGGGCCAGGGCGGGCGCATGCGGTTCCACTCTCGCGCGTACGCGCACCACCGCGGCACCCGTCACCGCCGGGCGGCCCCGCGTCCGTCCCAAGCCGCATGCCGCAGCCGCCAGCGCGCTGTCGTCCGCCGATGGCCAGCCGCGGCGTGGCAGGCCTACACCGGGTCCCAACACAAGACAGCAAGTGTGCCGCCTTATCATGCACCAGTCACAGCGACCGGTCCGCCGATGCAGAGGCACGGCCGCGCACAGCCGGCGGCCTCCCCTGCCCCTGCTGCTCGCGGGCCGCCGTGCGTCCAGCACGGGGCGTGCGCGAGACGCCCCTGTGTTGGGCCGCCGAACGCCTGGAACGCCGCGGGACGTGGAATGTGCGGCCGGCCCGCCCCCTCCGCGCCCGCGGCCAGCGCCTGCGCTGCGCGGGGTGCCGGGCAGGGTGCGAGCGCGCGCATTGTCGTGCGGGTGCGAGCGGTGTGGGAGGCGGTGGCCAATGCGCGGCGAACACGAGTCCGAAATTCGCGTCCTCGCCCGTGGGGGGCGTAGCTGTCGAGTCCGCGCTGCTGGAGGCCGGGTCGCGGCCGGGGGGCCGCGTGGTGCGCGGCAATGGGGTATAATCAGCAACCGTAGTTGAGCGGCGGCCGCGGCGTCGCCGCGGCGTGGGTAGAGGGCCCGCCGACCGCGCGAGGTGGTCACTTCCACGCTCCCTAGTTCCCGGGACCGTGCGTCCGAGCCGGACCGACGGTCTAGAAGGCGGGAATCGAGGTCCGCTTACCAACGGTGATCACCCGTTCCGATCCCGAGCCCCGGCGTCTCTGGGATCGGGCGCGTCGACTACATGGACGAGACGATTACCGTCAAGGCCGCCGACATGAAGAGCCTGCTGGAGGAGCTCATTGCGCTGCGGGGCGGCCACGTCGCGCGGGAAGCTCCGATAGGAAACGGGGCGGTGGCGGGCGACGTAGCAGCGCCCCCCGGCAAGGCGCCCCTCGCGAACGCGATCGGAACTATCATCCAGCAGCCCCCGCCCGTCAAGCCGGCGCCGATCCCGGCGTTCTCGGCCGCACCGGCGCCCCAGCTGACCCCGGCAGAGGCACTCCTCGCGGTCCTCGCGGCGCAAAACAGCGCCTCCGCGACCACGCCCGCGCACCAGGACCTCGCCCTCCTCGCCTTCCTCGCCCAGGAGAGCGAGGCCAAGGCCGCCCGCGCCCGCCCGGCCCTCCTTGACGGCCACCCCCCACCGGGCACCCAGCCTGCAGGCCTTCACCCCGCGCTCGCCGCGCCGAGCTTCGGCTTCCAGCACATCCAGCAAGCCGGCTTCCTGCAGCCCGGTGCTCTCGGGTCGCAGCTCCACCGCTCCACGCTCTACCGGGACCAGATTTTCGCAGGCCACGCCACCTCGACCGCACCCGACAAGCTGGTCGCGCTCGGACAGCTCGCGGCCTTCTCCGCGCCCGCGAAGAAACCCACGGCCAAGCGCCGCCGCGTGGCGCTCTCGGACGACGACGGCGAGCTCAACGTGAGCACCCCCGCCCGCGAGACACACGCACACCAGCACGCGTCGCACCGGGCCGCCAGCGCCGGGCTCCCGGACGCCGGACGTCGCGCGCGCTCCCCTGGCGCCCCCCGGCTCGCGTGCCGCGGGCGCGACTGCATCGCGTGTGTCTGACTGACACCGCGCGCCGTTTTGTCACGCAGATGGAGAGGGAGGAGCGCCGCAATGCGAGCAGGAACCGCCGCGCGGAGCGCGCGAAGCTGCGCGAGGCGCAGCAGGAGGCGGTGCGCGCGGAGGCGTTCTCGCGCCCGCAGAGCTCGTACCGGGGGGTGTATTGGCAGAAGGGGTACCGCGGGTGGGTCTCGATGATCGATGTAGGGAAGAAGTCCATCGGGCTGGGGTACTTCAAGGACGAGACCGACGCGGCGATGGCCTTCGACGCCGCCTGCCACCTCCTCGGCCGCCCCCCGCTCAACTTCCCCGACAAACACCCGGGGCAGGAGTGCATCAAGTCTCCCACGGGGCTGCAGCGGCTTCTCGCGCTGACGAAGGGCAAGGTGCGCGCGAAGGTCGCCGGGAACGCGGCGAACGGCGGCGCGAGCCTCCGCAAGGCCGCGGTGAACGCCGCCGCGGCGACGGCGGGCGGCACGCCTGCGTTGTCGGCGGACGCGGTGTCGCAGGCGACGCCGGAGCCCGCCGTGGCGGCCGCGGCGGAGATGGCGGCCACGGCCGCGGACCAGCTCGAGGCGCTGGTGCCGGAGCTGCTCGAGGACGTGCGGCTCGCGGCGGGGGCGCCGCAGTCGGCAGCGCGCGCCGAGGCCACGGCGGACCTGCTGTGCGCGGCGACGAAGAAGCTCGGGCAGGTCGCGGCGTCGGCGCTGAACGCCGCCAGCGCGCTGAACGAGGCCGCGGCGAACGCTGCGCGCACCGCGGCGGCCGCGGAGGTCGCCGAGGCGGCGGACATGCGCGCCATCATGGATCTGTCGGGGTCGCAGGGCACCGACGACCACTCGACGCCCGCGGCGACCGACGGGGGCGCGGAGGGCCCGCGGGACGCGCAGCGGTCGCAGGACGACGCCAACTGCGGCGGCGGCCCGTCGGATGCCGCAGGCGGCGCAGGCGTGCCGAGCAGGATGGCGCCGCCCGCGCCGGACGTGCCGGTGTCCGCTGCCGGGACGCAGTGAGTGCCGTTGCATCGTTTCGGGCAACAGTCAGAGGCTGGCTTCGACGACATGGCGCGACGTGCTGCGAAATTCATAACATGCGCACGGAGAGGGGGAACGGCGCCCTGGCGCTGCCGCCGCCCCCCGACGCTCAGCTATGCGCCCCGCGCGAATAAGATAGCGCCACCCAGAGAGCTTCGCACCGCAGCCGTCGCGCCCGAGCCATCAGGCAGCCGTCCAGACACGTGTGAACACACGCGGCTGTCCCGAGCCCGGTCCCTGCACTGCGCGCGCCACCGCCGTCGACCCCTGCTGCCCTGGCACCGCTACGCTGTCCGCTGCGATGGCGGCGCGTCACGCCCCCCCCCCCCAGCTGCGCCGGCACCGCGCATGCATGTCGTACACGGCCATGGACGGCACCTCCGCTGGGCGCGAGCGCCGGGCGCTTTGGCGTTGCTGTGCGAGGGCGCCGATCCTGCAGGGCGGTCTTTGCGTGCGCCGTGGGACTGCTCCGCTTGGGTGTGCTGGGACAACGCACACGCGCACACACGTGCGCACCGGGCCGCCGCAGCAGGGCCCGTCCGGGCGAGGCGGCCCGTCCAGCACCGCGCACGCGCTGTCTCTGCAGAAGAAGCCCAGCCAGAGGACGCGTGGGGGTGTGTTGTCTGTCAGACAGAGGCGGGCCACGTCTCCCCCGCTCGGGCCGCGGCGACAAAGGAGAGCACCGCGACGCGGTAGACGCCAAAGTTGTGCGTCCTTGGCCGGGCGAGCCGAGGGTTCAAGCGGGTCCGCGGCGCGGCGTTGCGGCCAGATCTATCCGTCGTCGGTTTCGGGATGGCCGCCATGCTTCGAGGAGCGCCGCGCAGCGCGGCGCTTGCAGCGGTGCGGCAAGGACATGATACGTCGCGCGGCCCGGGCCGAACAGCTCCCTGTGACGCGCGTCGAAGCGCGAGGTAAGAAGCCTTCTGGGGGATTTCTCTCCCAACCTCGTGGGCGCCGCCGCCGGGCAGACCGGCGCCATCGACTGGGCGCTGCCCCCCCGTCATTGCCAGCGAGATCCCCCGCGCTGGCCCGCTCAAGCGCTGACCCGCCGGGCTGTGCTGCGCGTGCAGGCTGGTGTGCCGCGCAGAGGGCGATCGAGGCCGGGGTCCTTCTGAGATTGAAGGTGTCCAGGGCATGATTGGTCGCTCTACGAAGAAGCAGGTCGTGAACTGGGATGCGTTCGGCCCGATCCAGTCGGACGCGAAGGAGAAGAAGGCGCCCAGCAGCGACCAGAGTGCGTCCGAGGCAAAGGTGCGCCCGGCTGCCGTCGTGCCGCGGCCCTCTCGTGCCACGCGCGCCGTTCGCAGCTCGCGCGAGCTGATTTCGAGGCGGACAGCCTCGGTTCGCGCGAGCGCTGGTGCAGCTGCTGCTGCGCTCGACGCGCGACACACACCTCGCGGGCCGCCCGCCTCGAAGCGGACGCGCCGGCCACTGGCACGACCAGCGGAGCCGCGCAGCTAGGCGCACGCCGCACCGCTGCCCACCGCACCGCGGTCGCACCACGCAAAGTATCAATTGACCACCCGCGCACGAAACGCAGCAAACCTGGCACCACGACAGTCGCCTTGCGCGCGCTCACACACGCGCCCCGCGCCGCCCGCTCGCAGGCCATGGCGGACAGGAAGGCGGCCAAGCGCGCGGCGGCCAAGGAGGCCGGCACGGACGACCAGTCGATCGAAGAGGTCATGATGAAGTCCGACCTGTTTGACCGCGAAATCGAGGGAGCCGTCAAGGAAAAGGCCAAGGTGAGCCCGCGCTCCTCGCCGCCCAGCCGGCGCCCCGCCGGCGCGCGCGCACCGCCGCGGCGGCGCCCGCTACGACCGCGGTGATGCGCGGATGCAACGGGACGGGTGCCGGGTGCGTGCGCGGCGCAGGCGGAGGGTCCGGCGACGTGCCGCGCGGCGCTGGACATGGGCATGGAGCTGTACGGCGAGGGGGACTTTAAGGGGGCGTTGGGGATGTTTGAGAAGTCTCTGGACCTGCCTGGGTCAGGGTTCATGCGTATCGCCGGGACGGTCCGGGAGTACGCGTGCCCGTCGGAGGGCGAGGAGCAGGCGGCGCTGTACAACATGGCGTGCGCGTACTGCCAGATGGGGCCGGAGGAGGGCGGCCCCAAGGTGGAGGCGGCGCTGGCGTGCTTGAAGGGCGCGGTGGAGGCGGGCTTCGAGGACGTGCGGGCGATGGAGCAGGACGCGGATCTCGCGGCGGCCGTGCGGGCGCCCGGGTTCGCGGAGGTGCGGGACCTCGCGCGGAAGATGAGCGGGGGTGTTGGGGGGACTGCTGGGGAAGAAGAAGCGCAAGGCGGGGTTCACGAACAAGCCGTGGCTGCAGTGGTAGCGTGCGAGGCGGGCCAGCTGGGAGCACGTGGGCGACGCCGCAGACGCCTCTCGTGTGATGCCAACATGCGATGTCGGCGATGAACATGTTGACGCAGCCTGCGTGGGCGACTGGGGTGGATGCCGAGCGCCGACCCGCGATGATCGGGGCTGTCTCGCTCGCCCTGAGCCACCGCGGCGTCTACTCCTCGCGCGTTTCGTTGTGCTTTCGTCATACTACTAGCAAAGATAAAGGTATTACTTTATCTTTGTCACCTATTCGGACTAATAGTACTAGTACTGGTCCATGTGCTCAGGGGACGAGCCGGTCGTCTTCGCACTCCGGGATCCACAAGGAATGGAAGTGCACGTCCTCTGCGTCGGGACGGTGCGCCGCCGCGTTCTGAGCGCGCCACAGCAGGGACACGTGCGCCACGAGGCCCACGCTGCTGCGCGCCCACCTCTCCTCCTGAGCGGCCTCGTCGGCTCCCGCGACGATGCACCCAACTGCAGTCGAACCACGAAGCCGCTGGTCAGGTCGAGGAGCCGCAGCGACGCGATCGATCGGCGGGGCCCGGGGCGGCGCGGTACGGGGGTGTGAGGCGCACCCGACACGGTCCGACACCCGAGGGAGGAGGCGTACGCCAGGTCCGGCGCGAACCCAGCGTCCTCCGACACGAGAATGATCGCGCCGTCATCCTCATGCGCGAGAGCGAACGCGTCGATCCGTGCCCGCAGCGCCACGTCGGCCGCCTCGGGCGCGTCATTCACCACCAGCACCTCCCAGCCTGCGGAGCAGACGGAGCGCCGCGGGGACGTCTAGCAGCGCCTCGAAGCGCCCGTGCAGCCCGTGCGCACCGGTGCGGGGAGCCAGGCCGCGGGGGAGGGCATCCTCACGTGCGAGGCGGTCCCGCACATGTCGCGCCCCGCTCGCGCCCGTGCGCGACACGGTGGCCTGCGCGAGAGCCGTGACCTGCGTCACGCTGCGCGCGTGCGACGGCACCAGCGACTCAACGTGCTCCGCCACCCTCGCCAGGGCCTGCAGGGGCAGCGACGGGCGGGGAGCGTAGCGGCAACAACACGCGGCGCCGTACGGCTGCCTGCGCGGGCCCGGCGACGACAATGCGTGCGTGCGTGCGTGCGTGCGCGCACCTCGAGGTCCCCGCCGCCCGGACAGAGGTTTTCGCAGTCCCAAAACACCCCCACGTGTCTCCCCTCTGGAACAACAACGTCCTGCGTGCCTCCCCGCCACCGCTCCACGCCCTCGCTGCCCAGCCGCACCCGGTGCGGCTCGATCCGCCAACCGCGTCGCGCGTCCGCCTGAGACGCGTCCGGCCGCCCGCGCCGTTTGTTGTGCTCCCACAGCACAATGTGCGTCAGCTCCGGCATGCGCGACCGGCGCCAGCGCGCCAGCTGCCGCTGCCCGCGGTCGCTCAAGATGAGCCTGTTCACGACGACCACGGCGGCGCCCACGTGCCGCGCGTACACCACGTCGCCCGCGAACCCGGAGTCGTTGCTGACCAGCACGATCCCTCCGTCTGACCTGTGCTCCGAGCAGAACCTCGCCACCGCCCCGCGAAGCAGCGTGTCTGCGGATTGCCGTACGTTCTGAGCCGATACAGCCACACTCCACCCCGCTGCTTCGAGCTCCAGCGCGGAGGGCCTCCTGCTGCCAACCGTAGCCGTGTTCGCGAACGCCAGCAGCTCGCGGACCTCTGCGGCCCGCGCGAGATCCTCTATCCTCTCGCGAAGCCGCACGTGCTCCTGAAACCAATCGAAATCGCCGCGCGGGCGCGAGCGCTTTAGCTTTAGCTCCGGTGACGCACTTTGCGTCCACACGTCGTGTGCTCCGCGTGCGCGCACCTGTCCGCGCGGCATGATGTTGTCGCAGTCCCACATCACCGCGACACACCTCCCCGCGAGCAGCCCGTCGAGAACGTCCCGCGCGGCCGCGGCCCCGGCAGCGGCGTCGTTGCTGCGCGGGGAGAGCGGCAGGAGCCGCCCGCGAGCCCGGCAGCGGACGCGAGCGCGGGCGGGGCGCGCGGCCCAGGTGTCGCCCGTGCAGCGCGCCGCGTCGCGGGGCCGCACGAGCGTCATCGCATGCTGCGGTGTCGGGGCGCGCTGACCAGCAGGCTGGTCGCAGCGGGCGACGGCGGTGCGGGGGGCGGCGCAGCGACGTCCGGCGCGCCGGGCGGGCCAGAGGTATTTTGTGTGAGCATCGCCGGCGCGAGATCTGCGGCGGGGGCCCCGCGGGAGGAGTCGAATGAGGGGGGGTCAAGCCGGGTCAAGGTGAGGCGGGCCGGCGCGCGACGAGGGCCTCGCGGGCCGGCGCGGGGCGCCATTCCGTTCCCCCCTCGCGTGAGAATCCGCAAACCAACGACTACTGTGCGCGTCCCGCGCCCAGAGAGAAGCGGCGTCGGCACTGTCTGCAGAGTCGACGAGCGCTCCCCTGCCTCTAGAGCGCCGAGACGCGACCGTCCGGCGTGCTAGCCTAGCGATGCTAACCTGCGAGGACCTCGGCGGGCAGGCGGCGCCTCCCGTCGCGAGCTCGCGGCCGCTGGACGTCGATGGCGACGAGCTGGCGCAGCTCAGGAGCATGTACGAGCTCGGCCTGACGAGCTCTCCGTCGCCCTTCGCTCGCGTGGACATCTGCCCCGACTTCGTGAAGGGCGCGTGCCGGTGGGGCTCGTCGTGCAAGCTCGCGCACCGGCACTCGCCTACTGGAACCAACACGCCGTGCGGATCGGGCGACAGCGACACGATTGAGGGCAACGCGTCGATTCCTAACGGCGTTTTCGACAACTCCATGCACGCGCAGCCCGCGTTCGCCCCCTCAGGTGCGGTCGACCGCCCACTGGCACCGACGCCCGCGAGGGGCGCTTTCCGGCCCCGCCGGCGCCCCTCCGCGCGCGCGCTGCTCCGCAAAACGCCGCACTTTACACAACAAGGCACCGGCGCCGCGCGCGCGGGCCCGCCGACGCCCGACGCCACCGTCTCGCCCTCCGGGTAGCGCGCCATTTACCGACGAGCGCGCAACATGCCGCAGGCCCTCGCCGCGCACCGCGCGCACCGCAGCTTGCTTTTTCTCTGCCAGATTAACCCGTGCCGCGCGGCGCACCGCGTCGCCCGCGCCCCACGCGCCCGCCCCGGACCTCCGTCCACGCTCCTCGCTGGACCACTGGTCTCGCGCCTCGCCGCTCGATCCGACCCCGCCCGCCCCCGCCCCGCGCCCCGCAGGCTACCCCGCACAGTTCGGGTGCGTGGAGTCGAAGAACCAGCCCGGAAACGGCGTCAAGCCGGCGAGCTCGCGCACGCTCTGTATCGACTATACGCGGGGCAAGTGCCACCGCGGGACGCTCTGCCGCTACGTGCACGACGCGTCCGTCATGGCGAGCGGGAGCGCGCCGCAGCCCGGCATCTGCAAGGACGCCCTGCGCGGCTCCTGCTACCGCGGGTCGCAGTGCCGGTTCCTGCACCTCAACATCACGCCCGAGCGAGGGCCGCACCTGGCGCCCGCGAAACGCGCCAACGGCTCCGGGCCCCAGCGCATCCCCTTCGCGCCCTACCAGCGGGGGCCGGGGCCGCGGAACCAGTGGCAGGCTCCCGGCCCCGCCCGCCCGGTGGATGGCAGGCCGCCCGCCGTGCCCGCGGGATACCCCCCGCAGGCGCTCGCGATGCTGGATCGGCTGCCGCTCGGCGACGCGGCCGTGGCGCACGCGCTCTCGACGCAGATGCAAGCGCAGGACTTCGCGCCGTACGGCCCGCCCGCCGGCGCGCCCCCGCCGGGCGGCGAGTGGCGCCCGCCGTCGACGCAGCACCGCGTCGACCTGCTGGCGATCGCGCGCAGGCAGGCGGAGCAGCAGGCGTGGGGCCCGAACGGCGCGCCCGTCCCCATGGAGGGCTGGGCGCCCGCCGGCGCGCTGCCGCCGCAGTGGGGGCAGTGGCCCGCGCAGCCGCTGCCGCCGCCCGCGCAGCTGCACCTGCCGGCGTCGATCGGGGGCCCGCAGCCCGAGCGGCTCGACGCGGGGCGCGGCGGCTCGATGACGCCGCCGCACTCGCAGACGCAGCTGCCCGCGACGCAGACGCCGGTCCCGCCTGAGATGGCCCAGGCGACGGCGTCGGCGTCGGCCATCCACGAAGAGCTCAGGAGACTCATGTCCCTCACCTAGGGCGCAGGCGCTGCCTCGGCCCGCACAGCTCGCAGAGAGTGACCCCCCCGGTCGCCACCTGGCCCAATTGGCCACACCCCCCGACCGCCCCCTCTCCCCGCCCCCCTCAACCATTCGTCTCGCTCAGCCAAGGCTCGAGCGCACTCCGTTTCTTCGATCCTCCTCAGTCTTCCTCGTCCGCCCCCCACCTTTTCAACTCCATGGCCATGTTTGCAACATCTGCCTGCCATCCTCCTCCTGCCCGGCCGCCACTGCCTGCCTGCGCCCCCAGACGCGTTCCCGAAGCTGGCCGTCGACCCAAACAGCCGGCAGGAACTTCCTCCGCACCGTACGCTCCGTTGGCCCCCCGCCGGCCGCCTCCGCGGCGCGTCCGCCTGGGCCCGAGTACTCTACAGCGACGGCGAGCGCAATGATTCGCGCCTCGCCGCTCTATCGCCCGGCCACCACGCAGGCCTGCGCTCCGGATCACGTCGCCACGACGGGGCGCACCCCGCGCGTGCGTGACCTCCGTGACGCGCAGATGACCGCGTGCGCGAGGGGCCGCCCCCTCGCCGACGGCGTCGCTCGTAGAACACACTTCCCAGCAGCGGCCGTCCACGCTTGTTCCCCCGCATTCGGCGCTCTCGCTCGAACCACGGTGTCGGCCTCGATTCCCCGGCACCCGCGCACCTCGCACCCGCGGTTGTTCGACCAAACTGCGCCCCTGGCCTCTCCTCAAGTGCCCCCTCCGTCGACCCCGAACAGCAGCCCCCCTGTCGTCTCCCGCAGCCCCTTATCCTGTCAGACCTGGGGTGGAGGCGTCGTGGACAACGTCCACGAATGTGCCGGCCGTGGCACACACGCCTGGAACGCCCTGGCCGCCACGCGGCGTGTGGGCCCACGCCCGCCGCCCGGTCAGGGCTCGCCACCCCTAACGACCCCCCCCCCCGTCTTTCCCCGACCCCCGCCCCTCATTGCAAGCCTCGCCTGCAACGTCCGCGACGTGCGTCGCGGCGAGCGCGGCCTTCGGGCGCGCAAGCTCCAGAGACCCGTAGGCGCGCCTCGCCGCTCCTCTTCGCATGGCGCAGCCGCTATCTGTTCTGTAGCGTCGACTGTCCTCCACCCGCCCACCATTTCGTACAAGCTACCGCGCGTCCGACACTTCTCTCTCGAGCAAGAGACGGACGCAGCTTCCCGCTGTCACCCTGCACGTGCCTACCTCGCTCTCGGGGTACGCAGACTGACAGGGCGGCCCCAGCGGACGCCCCCGAAGTCCTGCACGTCTTTGGCCCACCTTGCACACAAGACCACCCCTAGCAAGAGCCCTCCGGGCGATCCCCGCGTCCGTCCCGCGGCCAAGCGGGCGCGGATTGTTCACTCCCCCCCCTCCTCTGCCCCCCCCTACGCAGTCCTGAACCCCTTGGCTCTGCAGCAGCCAGCTCTATTAGAACCAACAGCACACCCTTTCCCCCTCATAGCCCCACGGCAGGTCTGTGTAGCGCAGCGCAGCCCGATTCCCCTCCCCCCCTCCCCCCCGAGCTGCCCAACGCGCATTCAACGCGAGCCCGACCTTTCGCCCCGTCATCTACTGGGGCGCGCCGAGCAACCCGTACTCGGCCCGCGAGCTGCCGGGGCCGGCATCGTTTGGGCGTCCGGCCCCGCCGCGCCCGCTCGACGTTCGAGTGCCGCACTGACAACCAACGACCCAAGCGCTACTGTTGCTTGGCCACTGACGCTCCCGCGCAGACCGCCCCGCGCCGGCCCGGTGCGGGCGCTGCGAGACTGGCACCCCGCTGCGCGGCGGCGCCCTCCTGATGCGGCGACAGGTCCGTCGCCCTGTAGGAGATGGAGCCTTGGATGGTGGCTCGAACACGCGTGATGTCAGGCCATCCCCTGCGCCTTTGTTCCCTCTGTAGCAGTCCTTGGTGGGTTGGACCGACCTACCCCCACACCGCCACCCCGCCCCCTCGCCAACGGCCGCTTGGTCGACAGCCCCAGCGGCCTCGTTATCAACCAAGCCGCATCCTGACTCGGGCGGGGGGTCAGACGAAGACAATCCCGAACACTTGAACGTCCAGAAATTGATTCCACACCTGCGCGATGCAATCCCCCCCCCAACTGACCCCCCGTCACCAGATCTGAGTGCCACTGTTTTGTAGTCGTCGCACCCACCGACGCGCCCTGTGACCCACACCTGCTACTCCACCGCGCGCCGCATTGCACACTTCTCGCCCGTCTCACGTCATGCGGGTGTGTCGTTCGAGCAAGGGTGCTTGTTGGTCAGCGAATTACTAAAACAAAGGCATGCTCGACTGCCCACTTTCTGTCTGCCCTGCCTAGCTCGCTCTCTGTGCCTTATCCGCCCTACTGTGTCGGTCTCCGTCGCCCTCGTGACGCGGACTTATTCGCAGGCCAGCCAGGACTCGAGTGACGGGCGTCATGCCGCGAACGAGGACTCCTGGACGTCGCTGTACCAACCTTGGAACGTGGTGCGCGGTGGCTGGCCAGTGCTCCGTGCCGGCGCTCGTGTCTCTTCGCAAAGGGCAGCTGCTACTGCGGGCAATGGCCATGCGGTCGCGTCGGCTCGGCTGGCGCCACCACAAGTCGGCCAAGGTGTCGGTACAGGACAGCTCTTCTCGCCCTCGCACCCTATCGATTCGTGGCCCGAACCGATTCCCGCGCTCTCGCGGCACACCCTGGGCAATGCCTGAGCTGCCACACTCCTGCTCTGTTCCCAGACGGCACAATCGAACAACTTCTGAAGTCTAGTTCACAAAGACTTAAAAACGCGACCACTTCGTTCAGCCTGCCGTCAACGCCTACCACCCTCCTCATACTCGACGTCCCCGGGGCCCCGCGTCGAGGACCCCTCACTCCGCAGCGCCCCAGCCGCGCGCTGGCCGCCCTGCGCGGACCGCTGCGCATCCCGCGCCCCCCGTTGCTCCAACCGCATCATCTCGTACTGCTCATGTCTCCGCTGGTGCTCGCTCGAAGCGCCGGCCGCCGTCGCCCACCCCGCAGGGGGCACGTTCGGTATTGAACCCCCCTCTGCCAACCTGCACATCACAACGCGCTCCCGGCCGCTCCGTTGCAAGCCAGCCCGAGCCGCACAGCGCACGCAGAGGCGGAGCGTTCCTCGGCATGGCGAGAGGGGGGGGTGGATTTCCGCACCTGTCGTCGACGATCTCCTGCGCGTCCCCTCGGTCCGCCCCCGCGTCGTTGCCCGCGCGGTTGTGCTCCGACATGACGTGCTGCTTGCGCTCCTGCGTGCCCCCGGCGCCGCCCGCAGGCATGCTGTGCGTGGTATGCGCCGCCTTGTCGCGCCCGCTGTCGCTCGGGGGCCTCTGCGCCGGCGGCTGTTCGTCGCCCGGTGGTGGCTCCTCCTCGTCGATGCTGCACCCGGCCTGGTGCCACGGGTCCCCCGGACGCCACCACGTCAGCTTGCGCTGCTCCGGCGCGGGCGCGCGGAAGTTGATCCGCGGCGGCGGCAGCGGAGAGCAGCACACCGCCAGCCAGTTGGCCCAAATCGACCTCAGCCCGTACGGGTGCGTGTCCTGCGGACGGGACCGGGCGCGGCTCATGAGGTGAGGTGAGGTGTCACATTCTTCGCGTCGTCAGCCATAAGGCTTTGGGACCTGAAAAGATGTGCGGCTGCGCTGTGCTGTCGCTGTGGGGCACGGCGGGGGTCGGTCGGTGCGGGGGGGGGGAGTCGCACTCACCCTGTTATACCGGAAGTTCTCATACGTAGTGCGGTACCCGCTGACGAGGAAGATGTGGAAGAAGGTGAGGGGGAAGACGAAGGTAGCGGCGGGGAGGACGTAGATGAGGAGGACGAGCGCCGCGGCGCCGCTGGGCTCGGAGATGACCTTGCCAAAGGACGCGGCCTCGCCGGCGTCGCTGCGGTGGTTGGCGAGGAGCCGGAGGTGCAGCGCGCAGGTGACGGCGCCGTATATCACGAAGAAGAATGTGGAGAAGACGAAGAGGAGGAAGGGGCGGTAGTTGCGCCGCGCAACCGTGGTACCTATCCACGGGCAGTGGTGGTCGAAGCGGTCGTAGCAGTTGTCGTTCACCGAGCAGTGGTGCGCGCGCGGGGGCTGGAAGATCCGCGACGTGTCGTTGTACCGCACGATCACCGGCCGCCCGCCGTTCACCTGCGCCACGGACCACACAACACACGTCGGCTACGCCGCACGCCAGGAGCACGCAGCGTCCGCGCCAGGCGCGGTGCGGAGGCGGGGGACGCACCGGGACCTCGTACGCGCGCGCCATGCCGGACTCGAGCGCCGGGGGCATGTCGGCGGGACGGCGCGGAATGATGCCGGGGTCCATGCAGCCGGTGCGCACGATGAGGGAGACGATGAGGGCGCCCCAGATCGCGGTGATCGGCGTCAGGGCGTACGACGCGCTGCCCCACGCGTCCGTCTCCGAGTGCACCATCGCGGCCATGACCACCGTTGGGAGCACCACCAGGATGGCGGTCACCGGCATGATCTTGAAGTCCGGCCCGGCGACGCAGCGCCCGCCGCAGAAGAACCGCTCGTTTCCTTCCCAGACCTGCGGGGACGCGGGCGGGTGCGCGCTGCCTGGGCCGTGCGGGGCCGCAGACCCTGCGGGCTGCTAGGTGCGTGCGCGAGCGCAGCAGGCCGCGCGGCGCAGGGAACGCGCTCGCAGACATGCATGATTGCGGCGAGATGGAGCGCGTGCGAGGGGAAGGACGGCCCCACGCGGTCCGTGGTGGGCCGCAAGGGGCGCGGTGGCACACGGTGAGCGACGCGCGGGCCAGTTTGCGCGGGTAAGCACCTCGTAGACCATGAAGTCGCGCACGGAAGCGCCTCCACCGTGTGGTGCGTCCCCTCGCTCCGCCTGCGCGGCCCCCTCTGCCGGCGGCATCGCGCACTGGGCCCTTGCCAGAGCTTTGCGCAGTGCCCAGGCCCGGGCGCGTCGCTAAGAACGTACGCTGCTTCCTGGACGCCCGTATCAAGGTTTTGCGCCTGCAGCCCGCGTCTCTGGCTCTCGGCAACCGCTGAAGAGCACAGGTGAGGGCCTTGGCCACAAAGAGCCACAGACACGTCGCGCCGGGTCGGGCCAGAGGGGGTTCAGCAATACCCGCACGCCCCGAACTATCGTCTCATTCGCATGCAGCACGACTCATGCGCGGAGCCAACCTGAGCCGCCTGGCAAGGAGCCTCCCAGCACAGGCTCGCGATCCCTGCTGCGCCGCGACAGAGACGGAGTGCGCGACCGAGCCTGCTCGCCAACGTAGTGGCCCGGGCTCCTCACCCGCCGCCCTCTTCCGCGAGGCGCCCGCTCTGTCGCCGTCAGACGAGGCCGACCTGCAGTCTCACACTCACTCCTCCCCCCCGCAGTCGTGTCAGCACCGTCGGCAGCCCCGGGGCAGCCGGGGCCTCATCGGGCCGGCCTCGCGCACCTGCGCGTGCATTGAACCGCAGGGACCGCCCACGCAACTATCTACGGAGGTGGATCCATCACGCACTAGTATCAGGTCGCAGCCACCCGCTGTTGTGTTTCGTGACGGACTGGCTCGCGACAGAGAGAGGAGCGGCACACGGGAACGCAGGCGCGCGCGAGCGGCGCCGTTCTGGACCACGTGCTGCGCGCAGGGCGCTCTCGCGCGCTGAGCCACACCAGGCTGGCAGTGGGATGCGGCGGGTGCTGCAGGGGCTCGCGAACACCTGCGGACGCGCAGGGCTCGGGGTCGCCCAGGCCGCCCCCGAAGGCGCGTCCGGTGTCGCGCGCTTGAGCGGCGCTGCGGCCCCGTTTGCCCAGCAGGGCTTGTGCCCCTCTCTGGGCGCGTTTCCGCGGGCCCACGCCGGACATCGATGCGGGGTTCGATTCTCCAAACCAGTGACATTCTCGCCGCGCGAAGTAGTCGGCAGTCCGGGCGCTGCGGCGGGCGTGGGCGGCCAGAGGGGGCTGCACGCGTCGCCAGCGTCGCGCGATCGCGTCGAGGGGAAGCGCGCGGGCATGGGATGGAAGGCGATCAAGAGGAAGAAGCGGCTGCGGCAGCGGGATGAGCGACGGGAGCGCCAGGCGGCGCACTCGCAGAGGCCGGAAGCGCGCCGGGTGGTGGTGGGCTTCGCCGATGCCACCCAGACACCCGACCGTGCCGAGGAGCGCGTCGCAGAGGCCCTGCGACCCTTCGGCCTCGCTAGCGCCTCCGTCACCCGGGCGGACGACGGCACCCTCGTCGCGGAATTCAAGTCACGCGAGGGCGCCGAGCGCGCAGTGAGGTGCGCCTCCACAGCCCCCGCAGCCGCCCCGCGCGGGGCCCCTGCAATGCACGACGCCGCGCGACCCTCCCGCGGTCGCGCTTCTCACCACGCTCCCCCACACCGCCTCGCGTGTTCCGCAGGACGCTGCACGAAACGGCCCTCGCAGGGTGCGACGCGACTCTCCGCCTCGACCACGCCCTGGCCGGCGCGATCGACCCGGCCTACGTCCCGTTCTCGCGACCGCTCCAGGGCACCACCGGCGCGGACTTCCGCGCCGCCATGCGCAGCGTCGCGCAGTCAACGGGCCTGCCCTGGCCCGTGCCGGCGACGGACCTCCTGAGCCGCATCGAGCGGGGCGCCGCGCTCCCGGGCCCGCTCTTCGCCGCGACGGGTTCCGAGGACATCGCGCGCGCCGTGATCGCGCGTGCGCGCGCCCGCGACGCCAGCCAGCCGCTGTCCGCGGCCGCTGCCCGCGCGCTAGGGTACGCAGTGTCGTCTCTCGGGTGGCGGTCCTGGCACGACGCGCTCGCGCCCGGGACGGCCGCGGAGCTACTCTTCGCGCTGTCGCGGCTCGACGTGCGCGTCAACTCGACCAACGCGGTGCGCCCCTGCCTTCCAGACTCCCAGCACGCCATGTTGCACGCAGCCCCCGCGCGGCGCGGCACCGACCTGCGTCGCCGCCCCCGCATCGCCGCCTCGCAGGGCTTCCTTGTATCGCTCGAGCGCACGATCCACGAAGGCGACCCGCGCACCCTAGAGCCGTCACAAGTCGCCAGCGCACTGCGCGGCATCCTGGGCCTCGGATGGGCCGGAAATCACGCGCCCATGGCCGCGCTGGCCGACGCCGCGCTGCTCAAGTGCGGCGCCATGACCGACGAGGAGCTCGCGGGCGTCCTGCGGTCTCTCGGCGCCGTTGGCGTGCACCCAGGTCCCGAGATCCTGTCGGAGTTCCTGTCGCGCGTGCGGGCGGCGGCGGCGCAGAAGGTGAAGCCCGGGAGCAAGGCGCTGCCGGTCGACACGTTCGGGAGCGTCGAGGCGTTCCTGGACGCGCTCGTCGGGGTGCTAGAGATGGAGATGGTGCCCCCCGAGCAGCGCGGCGAGCGCGGGCGGGCGGCGATGGAGGCGTGCGGCCAGGACCCCGTGCGGGCGCGGGCGGCGCTGGCGGCGGAGGGGGCGCACTTGGAGGGGATCACGAAGGTGTGGGGGCTCGCGAACCAGCTCCTGGCGGACGGGGCGGGGGTGTCGTCGAGTCAGGCGGCACTGGTGTCGTTGCACTGGGTCGTCGCGACGGGCGCGGCGCTGCGGGAGGCGCACGAGCGCGGGCTGTCGTCGCTCGACCGCGGCATGTTCTCGCACGGCCAGTGGTGGATGCGCGCCCCGGGGCAGTGGGTGAAGAGCTCCGCACGCCTGTGGTGGGGATACAAGTGCGTGAGCCCCCCCGCACGCGACGCAACGCACCGCGCAGCCCGCGTAGGCACGCCGCGTGACCGCCCCTCTGTGCGCCGCTTGCAGGAGCATGGCCGACGCGATGAAGGCGTTCGAGGTTGGCGTCAGTCTGGCGACGCGGCGCCAGGCGGAGGAGACGTGGCTCAAGTGGTGGGGCGACCGCAGCATGCGCATGCCGACGGAGGACGCGGCGCGGCAGCGCGAGGCTCGGCAGTCGTACCGCGCCCTGCTCACGGCCGCCACGCACCTCCTGAAGCAGTCCTTTCCTGACGCAGCGGACGGAGCGCTGACCGTCACCGGCGGCCTCGACTCCGGCGCCGGCTGCGTCCAGCAGCGCTCGCCGTTCACCGCGAACCGCGACCAGCGCTTCGACATCGTCCCGCGCACGGGCGACAAGGCCCCGGTGCCGCTCGACATTGTCGTACTGGGCGCGGAGGGCACTGCGTACGAGGGCGTGCGCGCGGCGGTGGAGCCGGACATTCCGCACCGCGACTGCCTCCCCCGCTGGCCGTCCAGGACGCTCGGCCGCTTCACGTGGCACCCACTCGGCCGCCGCGTGCTGCGTTGCGTGCAACTCGAGGCACGCGGCTACCGCCCGTTGCGCCTCGACGCGGCACTGTTCCGCACGGGGCACGAGTCCGCGCGCCGCGACGCCGTCCGCGAGGCCCTGCGCGCCGCCGTGAAGGAGTCGATGGAGGGCGCCGGGCGTTTCGCGGAGGCGGAGGCGGTCGGGACGTACGTGGGTGCCATGCACTCGAGCACGGTCGATCTGGACCCGTTCGGTCCAGGAGGGCGCCGACACCCGCTGTACAAGCCGAAGTACCGCCGGCCGACGTACAACGACCACAACAGCTGGCGCAGGCACCTGCGCGATCGCTGATCGTGCTGCGAGCTTGTGGCTGCCGCGTGTGCGTGGGGACGCGGAGCGCGTCGTGTGAGTGTGCGGCGGACTGCGGTGCGCGGAGGAGGTAGGGGGGCGCGTGGAGCGTCGCTGGAGTCCATGTCTGTCCGTCCGCGACTTGATGAGTGATAATAAATCGTCGATTATTGATGTTCGATTCGTTCGTTGGTGGTCGTGCAACGCGTGAATGAAAATGATCCGACCCGCCGGGGCCGAGGCGGGCCAGTGCGCCGTCGGGCGTGACGAGGTCGGCGCTCTGCGCGCGCCCCGCGTGCCCCGCGAGGCACCCTTTCTGGAACGTGCCCACGGCAGACGGGACGCCTCGAGTCCTGAGCAAGTGTCTGTCACTGGTCATCAATGGTGGCCGCGGGCGCCCGCACGCGCGACTTTCTTTGCATCTGCCCGCGCGGCGCTGCTCTCAGTAGACGAACACAGGCGTTCGTCCGCGCGAAACGGCCAACAGAGCCACGAACGTGCGTGCACGCGGGCACGACTGTGCGCATGCAACAACGGCGCTAGCAGCCTGCCGCGCGGTCCGGCGCGGATCGTTTGCCTCCGCCCGCGGCCCTCCACGATGGTGAACTTCGGGCCGTCGGATCCCATGCCAAAGCGCGGCAAACTCTTCCGTTCGCGGTCAGGCGTGCGCGTCGCCCCGGCAGAGGAGGGCGCCGGTGCAGGCGCGCAGCAGGGCGCCTCGGCCCCCGTGCTGGTGTCGAACGCGCTGACTGTGCGGAGCGCGAGGATCCGCAGGCGCCAGCCCGAGCCGGAGGGCGAATGGCGGCCGGGCGTGGCCACAGGCGTGTCGGCAGCAGGCATGCAGCACCGGCCGGCCCCTCGGCCGCACACCTCCGAGGGCTGGCGGGACGGCGCCCTGCGGGGAGAGAGCGCGAGGACGCGTCCAATGTCGGCCGTGACCGCCGGGATGGGGGCGCTGACGGGCTGGGGCGAGGAGGGCGCTGGTCCGCGAGGCACTGGCGACACTTCGCCCGCGTCGCCCCGCAAGAGCCGGGATTTGTCCGGGCGGAGCTCGCGGCCGGTCACGACCCCCGAGAGCTCCTCGCGGGGCATGGCGGGGCCGTCTCGGCCCGGGACGGCGCAGCGCATGGAGAGCCAGCTGCATGTTGTGCATGAGCAGCTGCCCAGCGAGGCCGGTTTTGCGTCCAGGCTGGACGTGTCGCAGGCCGGGGTCCACGGAACACACACCAGGTCAGTGCGGCCCGCCGCGCGTGCCTGTCGCCCCGCACGGTCGCGCCGGTCCAGGACCGCCAGTCATCGCGTCGCGCTACCGTCGCGTTCCTGCGCGTGACGTAGGAGTTTCTCCTACGCTCTCGTTCAGCGGAGCACAGATATCGTGGAACTTGCAACAGAGCCGCAAATCAGATGCTTCTCGACGCTATTTGCGCCGCACAGTGCTTGACGGCGACGCCCGCCTCACCCTCGCGATTCCCGCAGACGCATCGAGATCTCTCTCCAGCGCGAAACCAAGCAGTACACGTGGGACGCCGGCGGCCACCGCCGCCCCGTCTCGCCGGGACAGAGAGCCTCCCTCTCCCCCATCGTCGTCCCCGGGACCCCCACCAACACCGTCGAGGCCGTGCGCCAGAACGCCTTCGACCTCCCCACAAGGACCAGCACCTCCGAGAGCACCACCCCGCGGCGCAGGGGCGCCAGTCAGGTCGAGGCGGTTGTCCGTGCAGACCTCTCGCCCACACACAGCTCGCGGCCCCTCTCCGGCGCCCGCTCGCGGCCCGCGACGCCCGCGACGCCGGGGCGCCGCAGCCAGCTCCATCTCTCCGCGCGCGTCTTCGCCGACGCAGCGGACCGCGCCTCCGCCGTCGTCGACGAGCCCCCACCGCAGGCCTCGCATCCCGCCAGGGGATGGCGCTCGTGGGGCGCTGACGCGGACGATCCGCTGCAACGGTACGCCCCCCCCCTCTCCGCCCGCTGTCGGTGCGCATTGCTCTTTGCAGGTCCACGCGGGCCGCAGAGTGTCCGTGTTGCGACATGGCATGTCCTGTGCGCGTGTGTGTGCAGGCCCCCGCCGCACGCCGGCGCCGACGCGCGCGCGTCGCTCGCGGAGGAGGTGCGGTCGTCTGCGCGGGAGAGGGAAAGCGAGGTGCCGGACGCCCCGGTCGCGACGCCGCGCAAGCCAAAAGCCCCGCCGTTGCCGCCGCCAACGCAGACCCGGCGCGAGTCCTGGGCGCTTGCCCGGCCGCCGTCGAGCCGGCGGGCGCAACGCGGCTTCCTCGCGCCTGCCGGAGACGCTCCCGCGCAGCGCTCTCGCCCTGCCTCGGCGCACCCGCAGCCCGCGAGGCCGCGACTCGACAGCAGCGTCGTATCGACAGCAGGCACCCGCGGCCCGCGGCCGATGTCGGCGCTGGCATGGGCCGGCACTTCGCGCCCGCCGCCGGAACTGCGACCGTTCGGCCACGCGGCTCGCCACGCGCCTATTGTCAAGGAGGTGTGTCCCCAAACCCCCCCCGCCGCCGTGACTCGTGCCTCCCGCCTTGCGCGCCCACGCCCTGCGCCACCCTGCCCGCGTCGCTCGTCAAGTTCCGCGCCTGACGCGCCGTCGCTCCGCCGCATGTCCCCGCAGCGGCCCAAGAAGCGTACCGCAGGGAGCGTGCCGCAGCCTGGGCGCGCGGCGGACTTCTCGGAGCCTCTGCGGCCGAAGACAATCCTGAGCGCCGACGCAGAGGCCCAGTGGGAGCGCTATCTGATCCACCGGTCACGACGGCACGAGTTCGCCGTGGCCTCGCTGCTAGACGTGCAGACGGACCACCTCCTGCGCCACGTGTCGGACCTCAGCGTGCAGAAGGAGGGGCGCAAGTCCAACCAGGAGGGGGATGTGGAGTTGGCGGGGAGCGACGCGGGGGCGGAGCTGTCGCCAGCACAAACCGCGCTGACAACCGCCGACACGCTAGCGCCCGCGACAACGGTCATCGACAAGCGCTCGGTGCTGCAGAACGCGATCTCGGGCATGCCGTCGGGCACCGTCACGGCCGCGCAGCTCCGGGAGGCGGCCCAGCAGTTCAAGCAGCAGCAGAGCAAGCTCGTGGGGGGGGTGTTGAAGTCCGCGCTGGGCAACAACAACGCCGCGGGGACGCGCCCCGGGACCGCGGACACCTTCGCCGGCAGCACCCGTGCGCCCTCGCGGTCCTCGCCCCAGCGCCCCGCCCCGGGCTCCATGTCGAAGGCTGACATCATCGAAGTCTGGCGCAAGGCCGAGGAGGCGTACGACCGGCTGGCCCCGCGGTTCGACGAGTTCCACCGCACGCGCGGCGTGCAGGGTGCGGCGGCGGACCAGTCGGAGGCGGACCTGGGCGAGACGCCGGTCGCCGGGGCGACGGAACAGACGCGGACGACGATGGAGGGCGGGGCGGCCACGCAAGGGTCGACGGCGTCGCCGCAGGCGCAGCGGTCGGGTGGTTCTGCGGGGCCGGAGCCGTCGCTCCCGGCGGCGCTGCCGCCCGGGATCGGTCTGCCGACGGCGCGCGTGGCCGCTGCTCAGACGGGGGACGGTGCGGCGCAGGTGGGAGGGGTCTCTCACGCGCCGGCGCCGGAGGGCAGCGCGGCGCAAGAGAGCGACCCTGCGCTGTTCGAGCGGCTCGCGGACAAGTTCCTGAAGTACGCGGACTGGGCGCCGAGGGACGAGAACGGTACGCGTTGTTGCTGTGCTTGTGGTTGATTTTTTGTTTGCGCGGTTGCGGTGGCGGTGGGTGGCGCGTGCGGGCCATCGCTTGCCTCACGATCGCCCCGGTCGCTCCTTTCCCCGCAGAGCCGGAGATTATCTTCCTTTCGTACCGCGAGAACAAGCGGGGGAGGAACAGGGTGCTGGAGGCGCCGATGTGGGCGATGAACGACGTGTCCGGTCGCGGGGGCGTCCTCGACGCGTTCAAGAGGTCCATGATCGTCTACGAGCAGCTCGAGGACATCCGCGTGCACGAGGCCGCGCACCTGGAGGAGAACGCGCGCATGGTGATGGAGCAGTCGTCCGTCCCCGTGAAGACGATCGACTCCGTGGTCGCCGTGCTGATCCGGAAGATGAAGCGCGAGGCCGCGGAAGCGAGCAGGGCCCGCCGCGAGTCGATGCCCGGCTTCGGCACCTTCATGGGAGAGGGCGGCGAACGCACGGGCATCTTCCCGCTGCGGCCGTGGCTGCTCGACGACCTCCTCGGGCCGACGCTCACGCGCAAAGAGAAGGAGCTCTTCGAGCTCGACAACCTCATGATCCCCGATGGGAACGGGTGGCGCAAGAGCATCGTCGAATCGGCACGGCACGAGGCCCAGGCGCTGCTGCGCAAGGCTGTGGCGCTCCCGCCCGGGCGCAACTGGGGCCCGTCGGCGCGGCTGCAGGTGGACCCGACGGAGCTCGTCGACCACACGCTGACGGGGTCGCGCAAGCGGCTGCGGAAGCCTCTCCTGGGCATTGTGCAGACTGGCGAAAAGACAAAGGGAGTGGCGCCGAAACTGATGTCGTCGCGCGCGGCGCGGCTCTGGGACCGCGCGGTGGGCAAGGTGATCGTCATGCTGCACGACGGGACGATGCAGGACATCAAGAACGCCGAGCGGTGGAGCACGCGCGTGCGCAGGCTCTCGCAGCGGGGCAGCCGCGGCGTGTCCATCATGCGGCGGCGGACGCGCCGGAAGTCGATGGCCGGGAGCGTCGCGGACCTGAACTGGCGGGACCAGCTCGTGCGGCGCGGGCGCGGCGGGGTGATGGAGGCGCGCGGCGGGTACGGGAGCGAGAGCGAGCTGCCAATGTGGCGGCCGAAGGAGGTGCACGACGTGTTCTCGTCCAAGGTGCGGCACGCGCCGCGGCGGAAGCCGCAGGAGCAGAAGGAGGACAAGGGCATCACGTGGGACGTGGAGGGCGGGGCGCAGGACGAGGGTGCGCTGGAGCGGGGCCGGCGGGGCGCGGCGGCGCTCTCCGCAGCCATCCAGGGCGTGGTCGGCACGCCAGAGCCGCCGCCGATCGAGGAGGAGCCCGAGGAGAGCCCGCAGAAGGCGGCGGAGCCGTCGCGGCCCGCGTCGGCCGTGAAGCAGCCGAGGAAGAGACAGGGGTCGAAAAAGAAAGGGAGACGCGTTTCGATATCTTCTGCGGTGTCGTCGTCGAGGAGATCGGTGTCCCGGCGGGAATCGCGCGCCGTCACGGACGCGGCCTCCACCGCGGAGACGCCCGTGCGGGAGTCGCTCGCGGCCGCCAAGCGCGCCGCGCTGTCCGCCGGCCGGCAGCGGCGAAGCTTCAGCGAGCGCGTCCAGGACAAGATCACGGCCACGGCGAACTGGGGCCGGACGCTCGGGCGGCACGCGCGCCCGGAGGAGCGCGCCGGCACCAAGGCGCGCCAGGGCCCCGCGAAGCACGACGCGTTCGACGATCCCCGGTTCGTCATTTCACAGGAGGTGGCGACCGCGGAGCTGCGGCGCGCGCTGGTCGCGGAGGGCGTGACGTCGTCGTACGCCCGCGACAAGTACCTGGCGTACCTGCGGCGCAACAGGGCCGCGGAGATCCCGCGATACCTGACGGTGACCATGGACGCCGCCAAGCAGCAGCGGCGGCAGTGGGCGTTCCGGGCCAAGGTGGCGAAGGCGCAGCTCGAGGCGCAGCGCCGCGAGCGGGACGCCTTTGGGGAGGAGGTGGCGTGGATGCACACCATGTGAGAGCTGTTGCGGCGGCTGGGGCGATTAGTGCTGTAGCGCCTCTCGTGCGTCGCCGTGATCGTGTACCCTCTCAGCAGGGACTGGGCGTGCGCACAAGTCATTGTTGCCGCAGTGTGCAGCAGGCGCCCGCTGCGGAACGATCCTGCGGCGCTAGCCTGGGGCGTGGTGCAGCGCGAGTTCGCCGTCCGCAACGGGTGAGTTCTCGCTGTTCGCGCGGATTTCGCGCCGGTCGCCGTCCTGACAAAAGGAGACGTGTACCAGATACGGTCAGACGGTATCTCAGCTCGCTCCGGCATCGACGGCTCCGGCACGAGCACGTCGTCCGCACATTCATCTTCGCGCGGCAGCGTCACAGCCACCGCGCGTCGCCTGCTAGAAGCCGCGGCGGGCGCCCGTTGCCCTTCCATTGCCCAGAGCACAGCGTTCGCACCATACGACGACCGGCGCGCGACGGCCCGGCGCGGAACAGCGTGAGCTCTCAGCGAGCGCCCCGGGTCGCGTGAGCGCGTCGAGATGGAGGCGTTGGACCCCAACATCAAGGCCTTGCTCACTTTGCCATCCGAGCAGCTTTTTCTCAAATATGCGGGGGGTCCGGAGAGCGAGAAGAGCATGGTGGAAGAGGACCTCCAGAAGCTGTTCGAGGATTGCTGCGTCGACGTACGGCAGCCCGCCCGCGCCCGCCAATCGCACACGGCCCCCGACCATGCATGGCTGTTGGAGCTCCGGCCCCTGCACGGGCAGGCCGCCGAGGAGGGCTACCGAGCGTCGCGCAGCCCGTTCTGCACCTGAACCGCGGCGTCGCGGGCCGGGAAGGCGCGTGCGCACCAGCACGCGCCGAGAGCCTGCCGGGCAGTTGAGACCCAAGCCCTGGGCGACGGCGTGTCTCGCACGGACCGCCTGCCTCGCCTGCGTCGCGCCGCAGGTCGCAAACATCGAGGAGGAGTTCGCCTACGCGGACCTCAAAGGCGACGCGCTGCTCACGCTGGACGAGTTTGGGATCTACCACCACAGCGTGCTGAAGAAGCAGGCCGGGCTCCAGGGCGCCCTCGAGCAGGTTTTCCAGGCCTACAACCTCTGGGGCGGCAAGGTACGATCGCCAGCAGCACGCTCCGCCGCCACCCGCGGCTCCTCGGCCCGGCAGCGCCACGACGCAGCGGCTCCCTGCCTGCGCCAGTTGTGCTGCGCGTGCGATCGCGGGGCAGCTCGGGAAACTTCGCGGCGGCGCCAGACCGCCCTCCGTAGCTGTGCGGCCACGTGGGTCACCGAAAGAGCGGAGTTGCGCCCGTTTCTGCGCAGATCCCGGACAGTATGGACGCGAGGGGGTTCGCCCACGTCTGCAAGGACTCGAAGCTCGTGGGCTCGGGTCTGCGCCTGGGCGACATCGACATCATCCACTCCAAGGTGTGCGCGCCGCCGCAGCCTCCCAGCGGGCGCAGCGGGCCCGGACAGCCGATGCTGACCACGGTACGCTGTGTGCCCGTTGCCGCAGGTCCGCGAGAAGGGCGAGCGGCGCATCTCGTTCGAGCAGTTCGTGTACGCGCTGGGGCTCGTCGCGGAGGCCCGCAAGGAGCCGATCGACACCGTCGTGGCGCGCGTGGCGCGCGCTGGTGGCCCGCAGGCCCACGGCACGACGGAGGCCGACACCGTCAGGCTCCACGACGACAAGTCGACCTACACCGGTGCGCCCCCGCCCCCTCGCCCACGCCCACGCAGCGCTCCCCTCGCCCACGCCCACGCAACCGGCAGCCATCACTGCATGTGTGTGCGGCTGCGAGCGTCGCCGTGCACAGGTGCGAACGCGCGTCCTCCTTCGGCACGCAGGGGTGTACGCGCGGGGCGGGCCGAACAACTTCGACGGCCCGGCCACGGGCGACCTCAGCCACATCACCAACCGAAAGGCGGCGGACGTGCGCGGCGTGACCGACGAGGCGCGCGAGCGCACGACCGCGGGCGCGAAGGGCCCCGCGCGGCCCACCCGCGGGGCCTCGAAGAGCAAGCAGCTGCTGGACCAGATCAAGTCGGCGACGGCGGACGCGGGCGGGATCCAGATGGCCGTGAACGAGCTGTCGCGGAAGCTCGCGGACACGCCGGCGAGCACGAAGGTGTCGAAGCGGAAGCAGATGTCGGAGGAGAGCAAGGGCTGGATCCACGTTGCGCTCGAGCAGACGGGCGACATGGACCGCGACCTGCGCGCGGTGTTCGAGGCGTACAACATCTTCGACGGCGGGGACCAGGCGCACATGTCCGGGCGCGCGTGGGTGAAGATCTGGCGGGACCGCGAGCTCGTCCCGAAGCCGCTCTCGACCACGTACCTCGACTTGGTCTTTGCCAAGGTAAAGGGGGGCCCTGCGGCGCGCCGGCTGCAGTTCGACCAGTTCAAGACGGCGCTGGACCACGTCGCGAACGACCACTACGGCGGGAACATGCCCGAGGTCGCCGTGCTCGTCGTGGAGGGCGGCGGGCCGACCGCACAGGGCACAATTCCTGTCGACTCCGAGCCTGCGCCGGCGCCGGCGCGCGCGGCGAGCAGCCTGTTCCCGCAGGCGTCGGACGCGTCGGCGCTGTCGCGGGCGACGAGCCAGGGGCTGGCGAGCGGCCGTGGCGCGGGCCTGGGGCGCGCCGCAAGCAACGTGTCCAACCTGAGCGGGGGCGCGCCGAGCCCCTCGGTGCGCCTGGGCAAGGGCGTGATCGACCGGCAGATCAGCAACATGATCGCCGCGAGCGACGTCGTGCCGCCCAACCCCAGCGACTGGTCCCCGGACATGACAGCGGTGTATGACATATACGAGCAGTACAACGCGTTCGGCGGGAACACGGACGTCACGCGGATGGACGGCCGGACCTTCGCCAAGTTCTGCCGCGAGAAGGGCCTCCTGCCCAAGCCGCTCCTGCCCAACGACTGCGACCTGGTGTTCGCGTCCGTCAAGGCGCCAGTCGCAAAGAAGCTGGTGCGCCCCGCGACGGCCACGCACGACCCGCCCGCCCGCCCGCACCTGCGCTGCGCTGTGCTGCGCGAACGCCGGCGTGCCGCCCGCTGCGCTCCCGTCGGACCGCTGGCTGACCGGGGGGGGTGTAATGGTTTGGTTACTGCGCGCAGAGCTTCGGGGAGTTCTGCGTGGCGCTGCAGAAGCTGTCCGAGCGCAGCAACGGCGCGCTGCCGGACCTGGACATGATCCTCGCGGCCGTGGCCAAGCTCGGCGGCCCGCAGACCATCAGCACCACGCCGGACAACGTGCGCTTCCACGACGACAAGTCGACCTTCACGGGCGTGTACCGGCGCGGGGGGCCCAGCATGGACGACCGCGCGAAGGTCGGGAACACGTCCTTCCTCGTGGACCGCGACAACAAGGCCGACGTCCGCGGCGTGCCGAAGACCTAGCCCCGGTCGTTGAGCCCTGTTGTTGTGCCGTGAACGTGTGACACGTGGCCAGGCGGCTCGGTGGAGGCCCGTCGCGCGATCTGGCTCTGTCGGTGCGGTGCTCGAACGATACTTGCAGCACGCCGGGACCCGTGAGGACCCCTCGGGACCTCTCCAAGTGCCCGGGGGTGTTATTCGCCACCACGGGCCGCCCACGGCGGGCGGTACGGCAAGCGTTTCGTTTGCGGCGCCCGCCGCGCGGTTCAGTCTGTTGTCGGCGCGTTGGCGTTGGTGTTGGTGCCGGCGTCGGCCAGCGACAGGCTCCCGTCCTGCAGGGCATCGAGCAGCGGATCCTTGCGCAGGCGCGCGTGCTCGTGCTGCCACCTTCCCCGCACTCGTCCCTCCCGACCAGTACACGCGAATATGGGGAGCGCAGGCGAGGAATCGGCCCCGAAAGCCGCGCAAGCCGACCGGACCTTGGAGCATGTTGACTCGGCCGACGACATCTGCATGATCTGCTCCACGAATTCCGTCGACTTGCGCACCACGCTGTCCTGCGGCTGCCGCTCCGCGAGCTTCTGCGCCGACTGCCTCTTCAAGTGGCTCGGGAGCAACAACAGCCGGTGCCCCATCTGCCGCACTGCGCCGGTGCGCCCTCGCGTGCCGCAGCGTTGCCGCCCCTCGCGTTCCCGGCCCGCGCGCTGGTCTTTCCGAACGGAGACAGACGAAGGATCGCAGAAATCTCGATGCTGAGGTCAGGTGAGGTCAGGTGTCGCACACTTGCGTCGGCACAAGGTTTGCTGAGTGAGGCGGCGCGATGCAGGTGGCGGTTCCGGGCAAGAGTTCCGAGAAGTGCGACGAGGGCGCGAGACATCTCGCCGTGGCCCAGGCGAGCCAGTTCGAGGACAAGGAGTCCCTCAAGAAGGCCGTCAACTGCTACTTCAACGCCATCGCCTGCGACCGCAATGACCCCCAGGCACGCCACACCGCGTCGCCGCACACCGGCCTCCGACGCCGGGTCGCGCACCGGCCCACAGTCCCCGCGCGCCCGCCTCCCGCGCGCAGGGCTACGTGGGCGCGGCGTACATCGTGCTCCTGCTAGGATCCAACAAAAGTGCGATGCGGTACCTCGAGGCGGCGCTCGAGGTCGCCCCGGACAACAAGGACGCGCAGAAACTGATGGCGTACGCGAAGGAGCAGGTCGAGCAGGGCAACGAGGGCCAGGAGGTGATCCACGAGGACGAACAACAACAGCAGTGTCACGCCGACGGGGATGTGCCGTCCAAGGGGCGGAACCGCACGCTTTGACGCGCCGCGGTGACGCACACGGCAGCGAGCGAGGTGGCGCGGAGGGCCGCGGGCCGTCCTGGACGGGCCACGGAACGAATGACGTGTCCCGAGGTGGCGAACACCCCCGGAGGGGTCCGTGTTGCGGGGGGGGCGTTTGAGGGGCGTCGAGGGCGGCGACGGCTTGCGCTTTCCCGATATTGACGGGACTGGCTCGGCGGTGTACTTCCGGGCACCGTTGCGACGCTCCCTCCACGTGGCGCTCGCCTGTGTGACTTTGATGTCACGAGGAATGCTGGTTGGTTGGCTCGTGCTGCTGCTCGCGGGCCTGCAGCTGTGCCGGGCCGTGGACCCTTGCCCGAACTCGATCACGACCCTCAAGCTGCCAGAGGATGGTAAGGGCGGCGTGGACGATATCTCGCCTGGAGTGTGTATACGTATGCGTTGTTGTGCGAGCGGCCCGAAGCACAGCCGCGTCGTTCCCGCACGGCCCCTTCGCCCGCTTTCTTGAACGATGCCCGACGGAGCGTCGATTCGAGGCCGTTCGGTCCCGCCGGGTGCAGGTGCACGGGCCTGCCGCGACGGCAACTGCTACGGGTGCTCCTGCGCGCTGATCAACGCCATGCTCGAGGAAGACCCGCTCGTGTTCGAGGGACTCGCGACCGACGCGGCAAGAATACAGGTGCGCGGGAAGCTGCCGGGTCCGTGCGTCAGCGCCGAAGCAGAGCCACATCATATTTCTCTCTCGTTCATCGTCCCTCGAGCCTCGCCCCGATCGCAGGACCGCGCTATCGCGTGTGCAAGCACGTTCGAGGCCGGTGAGTCCAGCGAGGCGCCCACGCCTCCCGCACACGCCGTCAGCACGCCCCAGAAGCCATTCGAAGCACCGCGCATGCTTCCAGCGCGCCGCTTTCCGCCGCACCCGCAGACCTGGGCCTCGGCCGCGACCAGCTAGCCTTCCTGGACACCTGCGTGGACGATCTGAGCCAGGGCGCCCTCGAGGCGTACGGTCCCGGCCTGCTGAGGCTGCAGACCGCGATCACGGAGCAGGGGGGCTTTAACGCGTTCCTCCGGTCCATCACCACCAGCACCAGGCACGCACGACATTCGCGTGCCCTGACGTGCACCCACGCGCAGCCAGGTCCCTCACAAGCCCGTTCACGCGTCGCCTTGCGTCGTGACGCGCTGCAGGATCGTGCTGGCCGCTGTGTGCGGCCGGTGCCCGGTGCCCGTGTCCGCGGTCGCGAAGGACCTCTCCGAGCACTGCGGCGCGGGTTCCAGCTGCGAGGAGTGCACGTGCCAGCTCGTGCAGGTCTACGAAGAGGGCGGCCAGCAGCTCACCGGGTCCGTCGACAACCGCCTCGCGGAGTTCACCAGCTGCAGCCTCAGCCGGCTCTCCTCGCTGCTGAACAGCGGCGTCGACCCCGCCCTGTACATCAGCCTGCCGAGCTGCGGAGCCAAGGCGCTCGGAGCCGCCTCGGAGATACCCGAGGGTGTCGCGGCGTCGCACGACGCGTGCTGGGCGCGCGTGCGGTGCCCGGAGGGCGTCGGCCTGCCCGGCGACGGGCTGCCGCCGCTGTGTCGGGACGGGGGCTTCGACGTCGAGGCGTGTCGAGCGGAGCTGTCGGCGCTGATCAAACCGGGCGCGTTGCTGGAGGACTGCGTGTTGTCGAGTGCTGGGAAGCTGCTGCGGGCCGGGATGGGCGCCGACGGCGTGCGTGCGATGCTCGCGGAGTGACGGCGTGCGGACGGTGCTGCGCGGAGTGCAGATCTGATCCGAAGATTCGTCACAAGGTGCTCGACATCGCGCCGCGCATGCGCGGCAGACTGTCGCTTCTGCCGACGCGTCCGTCGACGGTGCGCTGTGTGATGACAGCGTAGCGCGCCGACGCAGGCCGGGTTGGCGGCAGCGGAGGTGTCCCGCGGGCGGCGCGCGTCCGCACAGCTTCGCTCCTCGCGCAGCGCTCGCGAAGCCGGCCACCGAGGACCAGAGCGGGCCTGTTCGCAGCGGCACTCCTGCAGTCCGCAGCCGTCACCGCGTTTTCTTCCCCTCTGCGTGTGCTTTCTGTTTTCGTCGCTTGGCCACCGCATCCCCCTCCTCGCGGACGTCGTCCGCGTCCCCGTACATGATCTGGTTGTACGCGATCCTGAAGATCAGCCACGACCAGTACACGTGCATGACCTGCGCAGCACGCGCGAAGGATTCATTCCATTTCAAGGTCCATCGGCAGCACCATCCTGCGCGGCGCGTCGCGGCGCGCCCCGGCCGGCGCAGGCGCAGCTGCACGCGCGCTGCGCGGCGCAGGTGACTCTCACCTGCAGCGCGAGCAGCAGCGCGGAGAAGAAGAGCCACGTGGCGGTGAAGTGCAGGAAGTGGGGCTTCGTGATGTCAAACAGGTGCGACCCGACCGTCCAGTGCTCCGACTGCCGCCAGCCCGGGTACGGCGTTTCCGTGAGGCCGAGGGCGCGGTGCGTGACGAAGAGGACGCTGTAGACGGGGAACAGCGGGTAGTACACAAGGCGCGCGAGCACCCAGACCACGATAAAGACCACGAACAGGGGCACGGGGGGGCCGCCGCGGTACTTCTGGAGCTTGGCGAGCTCCATGGCGACGTCGCAGACGTCGTGGCAGAACATGATGACCACGCCGACTTGCTGCACGTTGGCGATGTGAGAAAACAATATGAGGCCCAGGGTGCAAAAGTGGTGCGTCATCATCACCGAATAGTCCTTTCTCCGCATCTGCGAACAGGGGCCGTGCCGGTGGTGGTCTCGCGGGCCGCGGGGCGCAAGCCGGGCCGGTCGGTGCGCCGCTGCGAGGCTTCACGGCGTCGTGGGGACCGCAGTGGTGTTGGGCGCACCTCGAGGAACATGAGGGACGGGATGGCGTAGAAGTAGAACCCGCACTCGACGTTGTAGATGGCGGCGAGGGAGCCCGTGGGCCGCGCGCGCTGGCACGGCAGCGCGTAGCAGCCCTTCCAAAACTCCTTGGTCGACCAGTCCCAGGCGTAGTCCGAGTCCTTGAAGGCCAGCCAGGCGCCCACGGAGAAGGACAGGTACACGAAGAACTTCCAGCACGACTCCTCCCACTTGAGTTGCAGCTCCGTGCGCTCGGCGTCGAGCTGCGGGGCAAGGCAGCGGCGCAGCGCTGTTCAGGACCCTGTGCGCCGCCCGAGCGATGTTTCAAGCGCGCCGACGCACTCCACGCGCATGAACCAACAAAGTCCGCCTCAGTGATCATGTCGACGAGCTTTTGCGTGGCTCGTGGGCTCGCAAACTGAGAAGGTACAGGCAAGCGGGACGCTGGGCGCGGCGGCGCGTACGCGGCTCCCACGGCGCGGAAACACCCGAGCACCGAACGCTGCGTACGTCTGCCATCCCGCAGTCGCCGTGCAAGCCGCGGTGCGTCGAGCCAGCGCCGCGGGGGCCGCACGCGGCTGGCCGCAGAGGCACTCGGGGACGCTGCCCGGGTCCGGGAGGGCGCTGCACCTTGCGCTTGCGCTCGTCCGCGGTCAGGCACATGATCGAGAAGAGCGGGCGGAAGACGAGGTACGTCATGGTGGGCCGGAGGACGAAAAAAGCGGCGGCACATAGGAAAGTAAGGACAAACATGCGCCCGAGTTCCACTATCTCAATGTACTCGCCGAACCATTGCGGCACGAGGCTGTCGATCCCGGCTGCGGCCCACTGGATGCACAGCTCGGCGAACTGGTGCACTCTCACGGCGTGGGTCGTGGCACCCAGGACCAGCCATGAGGTGGCCGCGGCGAGCATGGTGGCGGCACGCAGACACGCGCGGGGGTACCAGCGACGCGGGCCGGCGGTGCGGCCGTCCTCGTGTGGCCGCCTCGCGCGCCCCGGCGCGCACTTGGCGACCTTGGGCGGTGGCGCAGGCTAGCATCACGCCCCCGGGGGGGTTCGCTGACGCGAGCAGTTTGGGCTCCGTGGTCGCAGCGCGGACGCCGCCTCAGGTCTTTCGTGCGGACGCACGCCGCACGGGCTGCCACGGGGCGAAGACTCACAGCACGGATGCCACAGATGGGACACGTGCAGAGCACAAACGGTTCAAACAAGGAGGGGGGAGCTTGGATGCGCGCGCCCGGACTGTGACGAAACACGCACGTAGCGCTGGGTATAGCCGTGGTGAACAGCTCGAACGGCGCGCAGGGCCGCGCCAACCTGAGGGAGCAGCAGCAGGCTGTTGCAGGCGATGCAACAGCCCCGCCGCGACCCCGCTGCGGCGCCGCGAACCGGCCGCGCACACCAGCCGACGCGCACCGCCACCCCCGCACACCACGAGAGAGGGGGGCACTCCGCACAGAAGGGGGGGACTCCGAGTTACACTCCCTGGGGTGCCGCGGCAGCGTGCACCGCGCTCCGCGCCGGGGCCGCCGGCAGCGCTACGTCTGAGCATCAAGCAGGCCTACATCTTCGACATCTCCTCGCTGCGCTGGTACGCGGCGTACACAGCGTTGATGACGGTGTTGCGCAGCGACCCCGTCTCCAGGGCGTGGATCGCCGCGATCGTCGTGCCGCCCGGGCTCGCCACCTTGTCCTTCAGCTGGCCGGGGTGCTCGCCCGTCTCCATCACCATCTTCGCGCTGCCCAGCACGGTCTGCGTGAGGAAACCAACACCAGGAACGTCGGCCTTCCTGTTCACGCGCGACGCTGCACGGGACGCGGTCGGGGCGGGGCGGCGCACCTGCGCGGCGAGCTGCATCGCGATGTCGCGCGGGAGGCCCGCGCGGACGCCGCCGTCGGCCATGGCTTCGATAAACATGAAGACGTACGCAGGGCCCGAGCCCGACACTCCCGTGACGGCGCCGAGGAGCTTCTCCGGGACCGTGAAGCACTTGCCGACGGCGCCCATGAGCGTGAGGACGTCCTGCTCGTGCGACTCCTCGGCCTTCGCGCCGAGGCACATGGCCGAGGCGGTCTCGCCGACCATGCAGGGGGTGTTCGGCATCACGCGGACGCACGGGGCGGGGCCCGCGGCGCCCTCGATCGCGGAGAGCGGAACGCCGGCCGCGATCGACACGATCAGCTGCGGGGTGCGGGGCGGGGGGGGGTTTTGCGGTGTGCATGGTACGTATGTTGCGTGCGGGTGGGTTGGGGGGGGGGGTTGGGGTGTGGCGCACCTTGGAGGAGTTGAGGACCTTGCCGACCTCCTTGAGCACGTTGGTGACGTACTGCGGCTTCACGGCGATGAAGATGATGTCGGCTTCCTTGACCAGCTGCAGAGCGGCAGGGAGCGAGGGGGTGTGTCGATCACCAGGCGGCGTCCGATGGCTCGGAGCGCTGGCAGGGACGCTGTGATCCTCTATGGCGCGCTTCGCTCGAAAATGCGCGGAATGCGCGGCGGGGCTGTGCGTGCCGGAGGGATCAGTGCACATCTCCGCGCCCGCGCACCACCCCAGCGGCTCTCGCGCGGCCGGAGCGCTTCAAACCGAAGAAATTCGTCAGCGCCGTTGAACTATATGTCAAGGAGGAGCGCAGGCGCGGCCGTTCGGGCGCTGTGCGCCGCGGCACCGCGCGCACGGGCCCCCTGGTGGGATGCCTGGTCATGTGAAGAGCGGGGCCCCGAGGTCGGTAGAACGGCGCTGATGCGACCTGGCGGCGTCGTGCGTGCGGTTCTACACGCGCGAGGCTCGCCGTCCGGCCGCTCCCGGCCGCGCTTCGACCCGCCGGAACACGCGCCGGGGCCGCCGCCCTGAGCCGCCAGGGCTGTGTGGTGCACAGCGCGTCCGCCGCGCGTGTGTCGCGAATGCGCATCCGTCAACGCAGCGAGCAGCGATGATCTGACATATGTGAATCGTTCGGATGCGTCTCGCGCGCGCGTGCGGCGCCTGTGCGCCGTGCCGCGCAAAATGCCTCTGTGCAGGGACTGTAGCGCTGCCCGGCGCATCGCGGGCGGCTCCGCGGTGCGCGGGGTGCCCGAATGCTTGCCTGCGTGTTGTCGGAGGCGCCCGTGGCCCCGAAGCTCCGGAAGACGTCCTTGCGGCCCTCGGACGGGTCCCAGCAAATCATGTTGGTGCCCTCCGCGACGCCCTTGTCGATGAATCCGCGCGCGAGGGCCTCCGCCATCATCCCGGCGCCGATGAAGCCGATCTTCTTGCTAAGCGGAGCCATTTTGCGTGGCTGCTTGTTGCCCGTGGTGCCTGGAGTCGCGCCTGGGTCTACTGCCCCGGCGCTCGCGTCGTCGGTGCTGGAGGGAGAGGTCTGGTCGGACTCTGAGTCGCGCAGGAGGGCCGAGGTACACGTCTGGCGGAATGACGCCCGCGCGCCAGCCCGCGAGGCATCGTTTCCTGCCGCCGGGGGGGTGAGGGCACGCTGACATGCCCCGGGGTGGTCCCCGGGGCGCAGCGCCGCGCCCGCGTCGCCAGCGAGACAGGGAACCGATCCGCCTCGCGCGCGCGTCGATTGCAATCGCACACCGCCCGGCGCCGGCCGCTTCCAACAGGTGGGCGGTTGCGCTCTCAGCCACGCCGCTGCCCCGGCTGCCAAGTGCTCGAAGCGGCTTGGGCCGCATCGATCGACGTACGTGTAGAGCAGCTGGGGCAGCCCGCGTGCTGCACGCACCATCGCACGTGGCAGCCTCTACAGCAATGGATAACGCCAATCTGAGTAGAGCCGATCCTAACTGCTGTGTCCTGGGCCTCCACGGCGATACACCTGCCCGCCAGCGACGTGTGGGGTCCCCCCGCGCGTCTGGCGGCCCGGGCCGCCCGCAGCCAGCTATCCCTGCCCGGCTGCGGTAGAATACGGAAGATGGAGGGGCTGTATTGCAAAGCGTGCGGCAGGGGGGGGAGTCCGGGGTGGGACGAGGGCCGCGCGCGCGCGGCACCTGCGCACTGCGTCCGGCTGTCGTTCGCGACGGCTCCATCGGGCCCGGGCTCTCTGCGGCGCCCGGGTGGGCCCCGAGACCAATGCGGGAATTCACCCGCGTCACGGCGCCCGCGCGCAGCTGCGCCGCTGGAACGCGCGCCTGCGACGCGGGCAGGCGATGGCTCCATCAGGGCTGCCCGCAGGCGCGGCCAGCAGCTCGTCTCACGGACGCGGGCCAGCGCTGCGGTGCGTCGCTGTCGCGGTGCCACTTCTGGCGCCGTTCCACGCCTGTCCGTCCCCGCTCGGCATGGGCGCTGGGGGCAGAGCGCTCCGACATATCAGGCAGGGAAGGCGACCCGTACGGCGAAAGCAGGCGCGGCGAGGGCAGCGCGCAGGGGCGGAGGGAGCCGACGGGCGCCACCACTTCCGACAGCAGCGCGGCTCCGAGAGGAGTCCAGGGCCGCGAGGATGCGGATGTGCGGCAAGATTTCTCGCTGGAGGACGACTTCATGGGAGATTACGGCGGATCTGCGCGGCGAAGACGGAGCAGAGGCCGACGAGAGGGGGCTGGCGCGGGGGGCGAGGGGTGGGGCGACGACGCGTGGGACGCGGGCGTGGACAGCAGCTGGGAGGCGGCCGGCCGAGGTGTGCCGTCGGACTGGAGCGCGGCAGACTCCGACATCCTCATCCTCACGCCTTCCGAGGCCCGGAGGTATTCGCCGCGCCTCCACACGCACACACGAGCGACCGCCGCGCGCGCCGCGCCCTCGCGCCCCCCCGCGCCGCCAACGGTAGCAGGAACGCGTCGCTGCCCGCAGGGTCCTCCCGCTCGTCCCCGTCGGCGCGCAATTCCAGCACTTTGTAGGTGACGGGACCCAGGTGCTGCAGCGCGTGGCGATCGGCGTGCTGGCGGCGGTGGTGGGGTCGCAGGTGCCGCTGCTCGGCGCCGTCGGGCTCGGGTTCCCGCTCTGGGCGCCCTGGGCGCAAGCCGCGGCCCGGAACTTCCCGTTGTCTGGGTACCCAGTGGCGGGGCTGTGGCGGTGCCGCGTGCTGTCCGCGGAGGTCGTGCGGGTGCCGAGGGTGTCGTTCGAGACGGTGACGGGGTCCGGGCGCGCCGGTCCGGTCGAGGAGGTGCTGCGCGTCGTCGTGGGAGACCCCGGGGGGCCTTCCGCGGACATCGAGGTGCCGATGCGGGGGGAGTATTACGACGTCAGGGAGGGCGACCCGTGCGAGCTGGTGGCGGTCGCGGAGCGCCGGACGATGGCGGGGATGCGGATCGTGCGCGACGCGTACCTCCCGCTGCAGGGGGTCTTTTTGGCGGACTACCCCTACCTCGACCGCGCGTCCTTCCTGGCCGTGGCCGCGAAGGTCCGCGACGGTGGGTAGATGCGCACTCGTGGCGCGCACCGTTCGCCCCGCGTGGCTCCCCAAGGCGCCCCGGACCTAACTTGTAGACATACGATGTGAACCGATCTCGATTCTGATGTGGATCCAGAAGTCACTCGCGTCCGCCGCCGCGGGGCCGCGGTCTCCGGGGCCCCTCCACGCGAGCGCGAAGCGCACGCGGTCGTGGGGCTGCGCCGCGCGCTGGGAGCGGGCCTTGCGGAGTGATGTCATCTGCACAGAGGCTGGGTCGGATCACCGGCCCGTCTGACTGCGTGAACGCGCGGGAGACGTCCAGCGGGCGAGGATCGTCGCGCGCGCCGTCGACGCGCTGTATCGCGGAGCTTGGGAGTCCCCCCTTGCGTCAGGCGAGACGGGCTGGGTACGGTGCGTGTGTGTAGGCGCGCGATCGCCCGCAGCAGCGACACTTCCGGCTGTCGCAGCGCCCGGTACCTCGGTCACACACTCGTCGGAACCTGCCATGATCGGACTGTCCGCTGCGCGTCTCGCCGCCCGCCCGTGCGTCCCCAACCCGCGCTGCCCTCTGCCCTGCTCCGCGACGTGCGTGGCCGTCCTCCATACGCACCTGCGATACACGACTGCACTTTCAAAGCCGTATACTCGGCATCGCGCGAAGCCATGGCTCCAGAGGCCTCTCCGAGGAGTCACCGCCGGCCAACTGCTGAGTTGGTGCTTGTGGTTCCTTCTGCCCGAATACGTCGCCGGCGTGCGACGGCAAGCGCAGCCCGGCCTGCCACGCCCCCGCTGTACGCAAAAGCCCCAACAGAACGCCAACATCGCGCCTGGAATCTCCTATGCAGGGTGATCCAGCCCCCCCGTCACTCGCTGCGTTTGGCCCAGGCTTCAGCACGTCTGCCGCGCACGCAGCGCTCTCGCACGATGGCCACGCAGGCTGACGCGTCCTGGGTCAAGGACGACAACCGCCGCATGCTCCACGTCGTCTACCGGTGCGCGAGCCCCCCACACGCCCCCTCCAACACTGGCAACGTCCCCCACCGCGGCCGCCCACCAATGCCACCGCGAACGCACCCGCGCAGCGTCGGCGACATGGACGCGACGATCGAGTACTACAAGAAGCACTTCGGCATGCAGCTGCTGCGTTACCGCGACATCACGGAGGACAAGTACAGCAACGCGTTCCTGGGCTACGGACCCGAGACGACGAACTTCGCCGTCGAGCTCACCTACAACTACGGGTGCGCGGATCCCCGCCCGCGCGCTCCGGCCCGCCCGCTCGCGCACGGCCGCCCCCCGCGCGCTGTGACCATGTGTGCCGTGCGCTGGCGCTGTGTGGCCGCAGCGTGAACTCGTACGACCTCGGCACCGGGTTCGGGCACTTCGGCATCTACTGCGACGACGTCGCCGCGGTGTGCGAGAAGATCAAGGCCGAGGGCGGCAAGGTGACGCGCGAGGCTGGCCCGGTGAAGGGCGGCACCAGCGTCATCGCCTTCGTCGAGGACCCCACCGGGTGAGCACCGCGCCGCGACTGCCTCGTGCGGGCTCGGGCACGTACACGTCCGCAGCGTCGCTGACGAAGCACGAGCGTGTCTGACGTCACGTTGCATAAGTGCGGCACGTGTCTGACATGTGCGTTGCAGGTACAAGTGGGAGCTGATTCAGAAGCCGGAGGCGAAGGAGAAGCTGTGCCAGGTCATGCTACGCGTCGGCAACCTCGACCGCTCCGTGGAGTTCTACGAGAAGGTTCTGGGCATGCAGTGTCTGCGCAAGAGGCGCAACGAGGACTACAAATACACCCTCGCGTTCATGGGCTACGGGCCCGAGGACGCCAACACGGTCGTCGAGCTCACGGAGAACGACGGCGTGGACTCGTACACCCCGGGCGACGCCTACGCGCAGATCGCGGTCGGCACCGACGACGTGTACAAGACGGCGGACGCCATCAAGGCGGCGGGGTACGAGGTGACGCGGGAGCCGGGGCCCGTGCCGGGCATCGGGACGAAGATCGTTGCGTGCAGGGACCCGGACGGGTGGAAGGTCGTGTTCGTCGACAACAAGGACTTCTTGGCGGAGCTCGAGTGAGGTGGCGGCGTGGGGTCGGAGCGGTCGTTCGAACGGGCTGTGACGCCGTGCGACCAGGCAGCTGGCTGCGCGGTGCGCGTGCGGCCGCGGCGTGTTGTCAGGTCTGTCGCGGTGGTCGTTCGTCACACGGGAATGCGATTGGAAGAGGGGGGTGTTAGAAGTCTGTGTTGAGGTCTTCGAACAGGCGGTAGTGCGACTTCATGCCCAGCTTCTGGTACGTTTCCTGCGCGCGCGTGTTCTCGTCGTCCACGTAGAGCCGCAGCCCGCCGCCCCCCGCCGCTCTGCACGCCTCCTTCACGTGCTGATACAACGCCTTGAAGTGCCCCCTGCGGCGGTGCTCCGGCGCCACGTAGACGCTCTGGACCCACCACATGCTCGCGTTGCGCCAGTCGGACCACTCCGGAGTGATCATCAGCTGCGCCACCACTCTTCCGTCCTCCTCCAGGAGAAAGTACCGGCCGTGCGGGCTGTTGGGGGTGAGCACGGCCGCGACACCTGCGCGACAGTCTCGCACGGCCACGGTGTGCGACCTGACGGCTGCATTCGTGCGGAAAGCGGCAGCGCAAGACATCTACTGTGGATGGTTTGTTTCACCTGGAGTGACGACGTTCTTGTCCAGCGTGATGTCCTCCGTTTCCTTCGCCATGGCCATGTTGAACGCGACCACTACGTCCAGGTCGCCGGGCGTCGCATCGCGAATCCTGCCCATGCCGAGCACTCGGGTCAGCGAGTGCGCACCACGCAACGCCCCTCTGCGCGACGTGGACGGCGCGATGCTGTGGTGGTGCGCGGCAGCTCCAGGTCGGTAGAGTACGCAGGTCGGGCTTGCGCCGCCAATGCAGGGAAGGGAAGCAGCCAGTTGAGAGAGAGAGGCGGTCTCCTGAGGTAGGTTAGAGGCTCCAATGCGGCTCGCAACGTCGCGAAAAAGCCTCCACAGTGATCGCTGGAGCGCGCCACGTCAGTGCCGCGTGCACAGATGTATCCGGATAGCACGCTATAGTCTCGTGCAGGCCCGGACGAGCCCTTTGGCCACGGGCTGATCGTTCGCCTCTGAATGCGGCTGAGGGTCGTGCCTGCACGACTCACCAGCGCACAAGTGCCTCTCTCGACCTCTCAACAATCAGCTCGTCGCCAGATCCACGGCTAGCCCGTCAAAGACAGCACCCACCACGGAGCTCGATGCCACACCTGGTTTGTGTCGCGCACGGGCAGTGACTGCGGCAGCTGTCGGCCGCAGGGTCCACCAACGCTCTCCACGGTGCATCCGGCGACGCAGCGCGACGTCGCTGCGGCAACGCCCTGCAGTCTGACACAGCAACACCATGTTATACTACATGCTTAGTAATACCTGCGGCGCAGTCCGTCTGACGGGCCGGCAAAGCAGCGCCGGGGCGCTTCAGCGATTGGCGTCGCCCTGTGCAGCACGCGCGCTGCTTCTCGGCACCTGGCCAGCTTCTTCTCTCCGCTGACAAAACCCAGGATGGACATGACACACCTCTCATACTTCACGCCCCCGGATCGCAGCGCGTTGGTGTTTCGTTGCGTTCAGGGCGCTACCGCGGCCGTGCCTGGTGGCTCTCGCCGGCCCACCTCCCTCGCCCGCCCGCCACGCGCCCGCGGGGGGGCCTTGAGCGACTCCCCCCCTTGCCCCGGCAGTCATCCATGCGCGCCGCTGCAGCGCTGCGCAAGATTCGAATTCCAGGATGTTCTGCGCGGCCGTCTCTTCCATCGCTGTGCCGGCGCCTGCGCGCGCCGCCGGGGCGGCCCCGCGGGCCCGGGCTGCCGCCGCGCGCCGCGGCGCTTCGCCGGCGGTCGCCGCGTGGCCGTGCCGCGCCGCACGGGCCGCTGCAACGCGGCGGCCACCGAGAAGTTCCACCAGTGGTACCAGCCCGCGGGCCAGGGCCGCGGCATCTACACGGGGGACGACGGGTCCCTGTACTGCGATAACATGAAGGTGGACGACATCCGGAGTCAGGTCCCTGAGTCCCCCTTCTACCTGTACAGGTGCGCAGCGCGCCGGAAACGCTCCTCGCGCACCGCGTGCGTGCTCAGATTGGCGATTCGGCCGCGCAGACGTGGGGAACGCGGCCACGGAGCTCTGTGCTGGCCAGAGGCTTGCTCTCTCCGCGCGGTGCGGCTGCTGGGTCGCGTCACGGGCCTGAGCCCCCACTGCGGCGCGGATCCCTGCGTGAGGGGTGCTGGAGCGGCCCGGGACGCGCCGCGGTATCGCGTGGCGGGCGCGGGGCGATGCTGAGGGTACGTGGCTGTGGTCGTGCTCTCGCAGCCAGTCCGTGCTGACGAAGAACTACACGGCGTACAAGGAGGCGATGAAGGACATGGACTACATCATCGGCTACGCGGTCAAGTGCAACAACAACCTGCACATCATGAAGCACCTGAACAAGCTGGGCACCGGCGCCGTCCTCGTCTCGGGCAACGAGCTGCGCCTCGCCATCGAGTCCGCCGGCTTCGACCCCGCGAAGTGCATCTTCAACGGCAACGGAAAGCTCCCCAAGGACCTCGAGTACGCCGCCAAGGTTCGCCCTCTGCAATGCGCAACTCCCCCAGCACACACTCACCGTCCCGCGACCCCCGACGCCCGTCACCGCGCCGCCAGCTCCCCGCGTCCTCCCCTTCTCGCACTGACCCTCGTCGCGTCTTGCAGTGGGCGGCTGACAGTGCTTTGCCGCCCTGTGTTGGCGGCATCCATCCTCGTCACAAGCCTGCATGGCCGAGGGCAGTTGAGCATCGCGGCGCGCTCACGCCCCCTTCCTCTCACCCCTCGCGCTCGCAGACGGGCTGCCTCATCAACGTCGACTCGGAGTTCGACCTGGACAACATCTCGGCGGCAGCCAAGGCCGCGGGCAGCGTGGTCAAGGTGCTCCTGCGCATCAACCCGGACGTGGACCCGCAGGTGCACCCGTACATCTCCACGGGCAACAAGAACAGCAAGTTCGGCATCCGGAACGAGAAGCTACAGGACTTCTTGGACAAGATCAAGGGTGACCCGAACCTGGAGCTGGTGGGCGCGCACTGCCACCTGGGCTCGACGATCACCAAGGTCAACGTCTTCTCGGACGCGGCCGAGATCATGACGGGCATCCTGCGCGAGATCCGCGCCCAGGGCTTCGACATTCAGTACCTCAACATTGGGGGGGGTCTCGGGATCGACTACGAGCACGACCCGAGCAAGGTGCTGCCGACGCCGATGGACCTGATCGACACCGTGCGCGACACGATCAAGGAGATGGGCCTCACGCTCATCATCGAGCCGGGGCGCTCGATGGCTGCCACGTCGTCGGCGTTCGTGTGCACCGTGACCGGCGTGAAGACGAACGGGAACAAGAACTTCATCGTTGTCGACGGCTCGATGTCCGAGCTCATCCGCCCCTCGCTCTACGACACCTACCAGCACATCGAGCTCACCGGCGCCAACAGGTGAGAGTTACACCCCCCTTGACACCCCCCGCCCCCGCGCACGCCCTCGCTCGACCACGCGGCACCGCGACATCCGTGTTCTGCGCGGAACCGTTGCTGCTGCAGCTCGGAGGTGAAGACGTATGACGTGGTGGGTCCGGTGTGCGAGTCTGCCGACTTCCTGGGCAAAGAGCGGGCGCTCGCGACGCCCGCGCAGGGCGACGGCCTCGTCGTGCACGACGCCGGCGCGTACTGCATGGCCATGGCGTCCACGTACAACCTCAAGATGCGCCCCGCCGAGTACTGGGTGACGGAGGACGGCGAGCTGAAGAAGATCCGTCGCGCCGAGACGCTGGACGACCACGTCGCGATGTTCGACGTGTGAGCGGGCGGGCGTGTGATATTCCGCGCTGCGACGTCCGTTTGCGTCTCACATCACGCTCTCTGTCATCGCACCACGCGCCGCGCTGTTACGTGTTGTGGCATGCGCGCTCCGGCCCCGCCACGGCGCCGTCGCTGCGCTGCCTGCTAGTTCTCGGCGCGGGTGCCGCGGCCTGGCTCGCGGCCAGACCGCCAGAGGATCAATGCAATTCAACCGCGCCTCCGCGCCCATCCCGCCCACCGCCGCTTGCGGCCTGCACCCAGCCTCGTACATCGCCGACGTGTCCCCGCCGGCACAGCCCCCCGCACCTGCAGCCCGCCTCACTCCAGCCCCGCGAGGATGCTCTGCGGGTACGGCAGCTTCGCCACCTCCATGAACTTGGGCGACGAGTACTTCTTGTAGACGGCAATCAGCGACCCAGTGGGCGCCTTCTGCATGAGCTTCGCGAGGCACTTGGTGCACAGGTCGAAGTCGTCGTTGCGCGGGCTGTGGCCCGAGTGCGCGGCCAGCGCCGCCGGCCACGGCTCCGCGGCGCCCAGCGCCACGCGCGACGCATACACCGCGCACGCCGAGATGAGCGAGCCCGGGAACTGGAGCATGGAGCAGTCCGGGAGCGCGAGCTCCGTCATGTAGTGCGCGAGGTGCGTCGCCTGCTTGTCCGTCGTGCCGGCCGCCTTGAGGTAGCGGGTCAGGAAGCACAGCGCCGTCGGCACCGTCAGGTGGAACTTCAGCGCGTTCAACATCACCTTCTCCATCTGCGCGCAGAGGGGACCGAAAGCTGCGGCCGTCGCGACAGCCTCCGCGCGAGCGGACCCGGCCCGGCGGCGCAAACCGCGCCCACAGCAGCTGCGGTGGCGACGGCAGTGGGGGAGGCGGGCGGGCGCCGCACACCTGGAGGATCTGGTCGCGCGTGTACGCCTTGTCGGAGATGTAGACGAAGTCGCGGACCTCCGGGGCCCAGATCTCCTCGTACTTGGACGCGATGAGCATCGCGGTGACGCCGACGAGCTGCAGGTTCTTGCGCGTGACCTGCTTGTGCGCCAGGAAGCGGTCGATGAGGTTGACCGCGAGGTAGAGCGTCTCCGGAACGAGCTTGAACTTGAGGTGCACCTCGATCAGCCAGTCCACCAGGATGGCGCGCATCTTCTCGTTGATGTCGACCTGCTGCCGCATGTAGTTGTGGTCGACCATGTACTTGGCCTCCGTGCGCTTGAAGTACCTGCGCGGACGCACGGACGCGGCCGCGGGGGCCGTTGCCGGGGCGCCGGGCGGGTGCGGGGGGCGCGGCGCAGGCAGCGCGACTGCGGCCGCGCGAGGTGCGCGCGTGCGGGAGTGGTACGCGCGCGCCCGGGGTGAGGCAGCCGGGTCGCGCGGACGCGGGCTCCGCGGCGTGCCGCGCGGGGCGGCGGCGGGCGCGCGTGTTATGCACGCACGCGTGGTGCCGGGGCCGCACCTGTAGATTTCCGACACGTACTCGACGGCGGCGAGCGGGTTGTTGCGGTCGACGGAGTCAATGTCCGGGAGCTGGGGCTCGGCGCGCGCGGGCCGGCGCACGGACGCCTGCTCGGCGATGTGCTCCTGCATGCCCGACCACGACATCTGGCTGCTGGGCTTCTCGGGCCTCGCGCTCTCCCGGAGCATGCTCGTGCGGTGCCTGGTCGCATACTGGTGCGCGGGGACCTTCTGGCCCGGCTGCTTGACGTTCAGGCGGTTCAGGTCGCCCGCCAAAGAGTTGTTTGTGAAGTCCTGGAGAGGCCTGCGCGCGGGGTGGGCGGGGGGCGAGCGGGCCTGACGGGCCGCTGGGGGCGCAGAGGGTGATGGGGAGGCGCCGGCGCTCCGGGGAGCGGGCCGCGAGGGGCGGGGGAGGGCCTCCCGCGGGCGGGGCATCCAAACGGGGCCGGGAGACAGCTCAACAAGCGAGCTCCGGGCGAGCTGCGGCGCGCGGGGTGCTCCGGGCGGTCTTGCGCGCGTCGCCGCACGGAAGAGATTAGATTGCGCGAGTCGTGCACTCGACAGGGCGGGTGCTGGCCGGTCGAGGCGCGGGGAGGCATGCACGACCGAGCACCTCGTGCGCGACTCGGTTGCGGGGAAGAACGGAGGGCGCAGCGGACGGTGGGGCGTCTCTGTGGCGTGAGTGCGCGGATGGGGGCGAGAACGCGGCCCGCGACGCCCGGAGGCGCCGCAACACGGGCATGCCTCAACAACGTCCCCGGCTGCCCGCGTGTGCCGGGGAGGTTTGCGCTGGCGCGCGGGAATTTCCCGGTTTCCGTGATACAGGGGCGTCGACTCCGCCGGCTTCACGGGTGCCGGGCGCAGTTCGAGGCCGGCAGCGACCTTCATCTATGGTCGGTGCCTTGTCCCGGCGTGGCTGCGCGGCAGCGCATGTACGGCCCGGAACGGCCGCACGCTGCGGCATGTCTCTCACCTGCGACCTCCCCCCGCGGCGCCCTCCTTGGCGGCACGCAGCACGCCGGCGGCATTCTCGTCCTGGTTGCTTGGGGCGACGTGCATACTGCCACCGTCGCTTCGAGGACCCGGGAAGGGGCTGGAACAATGTCCCGCGGGGATCAGCGAAGTGGCGTGCGCCTCGGTGGGCCCAGCCGAAGTTCGCAGACCCTGTGTGGGGCGCGAGCCGCGAGGCGGTTCAGACTGGGACTGAGGTGGTGCGAAACTCGACGAATCTCGCAGAAGAAAGAGCTGCTTTGCAATGAAACAGGCTATTGAGGATCCTTGCGTCGTAGAAACACTATTCTTACCGATCTAAGTCATTCCGCACGTCGGGAGCGCGCATGCAACTTCAGGTTGCCGGAGACAGCTGCACGCCCCCCGTGCGCGCCGACGCGGGCACCTCGCTCCCGCCTCCGCGACGGCCGGGACCCTCCCGATGCCGCAAGGCTGGCGCGCCTCCGCACCCGCATCTGCGCGGCGATTTCGGCAGCGCACGGCCCAGCGTGCTTCCGCCGAGTTGTACTGCCCCAGGCGAGGCGTGGCGACCAGGGCGCGCCCTACGAGGGGCTGCGCGCCGCCTGCGGCCGTGCATCGCGCAGCAGCCCGCGTACGAGAGCTTCGACTCGCCGCACGTGACTCGAAGCGGGAGGAAACGCCCAGCGCTGCCTGCGGGGCAGCCTTGGAACTTGTGACGCCTCGTTCGTAGGCGTGCCGGGGCGGCAGGCGCCGACGCGCACCGCGCGAAGGCGACGATAACCAGGCCTGGCTCCCGATCCGGAGTTTCGGTGGTCGCACGGCTGTGAGCGTGCAGCGGACGTAGTGCTTCGCAGCAGCCTGGACGGTCGCGCGTGACGTCACCATGAGCGCGACGAAGAGGGCGGAGGTCCACTCCGGACCAGGAGACACTCTGTCTCCCGTCAAGGTGCGCCAGAGGCGTCCCCACCCGCGCAGTAGCTCGCCAAGTGCCGGCCACTTGGCGCTGGCACGGGCGCCCTCGGGGCCAGGCCCGAGCCGCAGTCGCGAAAGCGCTCGAGCGAAACCCGAGAGCCAGTCCAGGTGTCCGCGGCGGGCGGCCCGCGGCGCCCATCAGCGTCGCGGTGGCGCGCAGCGAGGCGCGCATCGCCTGCGGAGCGGACGGGTTTCCCCCGGGCGCAGCGCGGTCGCGACGGGCCGCGACGGTGCGCGCGTTGCGCTGCAGGAAGGAGAGGTCAAGATAGACATCGAGCAGCCGCCGAGCAGGTCGTTCACGCCGGCGCTCGCCAGCGAGAACGGAAACACCAAGCAGGCCAACCAAGACCCCGCGTTCCACCCGGTGCGTCCTCGCCCGGGCCCGATATCGCCTTTTCTCGATGAACCACTTCCGACACCTGCGCGGCGCGTCGAAACATCGCGAAGATACCCCGCCGGGGCGCGCACGAGGCGCCAACCGACCTCCGCTGCCCAGGCTGCCCGCGGCCGCGCCCCGGCGCCGTGCGGCGCCGCTTCCGCGCGAGACCCGCGGCGCAGACGCCCCCGCTCCGCAGTCGCAGATCGACGGCGACGAGGACGACGACATGATGAAGCGCACGGCGGAGGAGTCGAAGAAACGCCGCCGGCACATCTTTTTCAAACAGCTCCGCTGGGCGCTGGTCACGATATCCATGATGGTCTTCGGCGCCGGCATCTACCTCCGCGTCGCCCACGACGACTGGCGCGTCGCCGGCCTCAGCGGCTGGCGCTGGGCCATGTTCCTTGGAATCCTCGTTCCGTGCCGCGTCATCTTTCGCATGGCGATCAAGATCTTCCTCTTCGGGCTCCGCAGCAAGGCCTTCGAGTCCTTCCACGAGCGCATCGCCTACTTCGTCGCGCCCATCGAGTCGCGCTTCGTGTGGATGCTGCAATTCATCACTTACGGTGCGCCGCACCGCCGCGCTCGCACCTGCGCGCGCCCGCGCAGCCAGCCCCCCCGTGCCTCACCGCGTCCCGCGCCCGCCGCCCCGCGCAGTCGTGCTGTGGGAGACCCTGATGGGCGACAACAACGGCCGCCTGTCTGGCGCGTACGAGCCGATCTATCGCATCCTCGCGAGCATCCTGGTCTACTGCGTCGGGCGCTGCTGCTCGATGCTGCTCACCAAGTGGTTCAGCGCGCACTTCAACCGCAAGACCTTCTTCGTTCGCCTGAAGGCGACCCTGCGCACCGAACTCGTGCTGTCGACGCTCGCGACGCCGCGGAAGAAGGCCAAGGCGCACCGCGCGTCGCTGGGGTCGGCCGCGGCCCCGGCGAAGGACGCGCACCGGCCGCATTCCCGGAGCGGGTCGGTCAGCGGGATGAACAGCGCTGGCGGGAAGTGGCCGTCGCAAACGTCCATCTCCGCGGGCAACAGCACGACGGAGAACGCGTTCAGCCCCGACAAGCTGCTGCAGGGCGTGCAGGAGGTCCTCGCCGACGCCGTCGAGCACGCGCCGTCGGCCGCTACGGCAACCTCCGACGGTCGCCCAAAGGTGCGTGCGTGCGTCGTGCGACAGCTCGCCGCGCCCCGCGCTGCGCGTGGCGTCGCTGTTCTCGCGCGTGACCGGCGCGGCTGTGTCGCTGTGGTGCAGGCGGGGAAGAATGCGTCGAAGCAGTGGGTCTTCAGCGCGCTGTTGGCGCACCCGATGGACTTGCAGCGGAAGGTCGACGAGTGGGGCATCGACGACGCGACCGACGCGGGCGGCACGCACACGCAGGTGCAGAACCTGGAGAAGTACGTGCGCAAGCACCAGCTCGGGATCAACTTCGGGCGCAACCTGAAGGAGGCGCGCATTCTGTCGGACAACGAGACCCTGGACAAGGTCTCGCGGCGGTTCGCGCGGTTCGTGTTCGAGAACATCCGGCCGGCGGGCAAGGACTTCGTCGAGCGGTGCGACCTGGAGAAGATCCTGCCGGAGGGCATGGTCGAGGAGGGCATGGCGATGCTCGACGTGACGCTGGACGGGAAGGTCACGAAGGAGGACACGCACGCGGCGGTGAAGGCGGTGCTGAAGGAGCGCATCGACCTGTCGAACGCGCTGCGGGACACCAAGACGGTCGTCGGGACGCTCGGGCGCGTGGTCGCCGCGTGCACGAACATCGTGGTGGCCTTCATCGTGCTGTGGATCTTCCAGGTGGAGATCCTCGAGCTGTGGCTGTCGTTCGCGACCGCGACGCTCGCCTTCACCTTCGTCTTCGGTGCGCCCCCGCCCCCGCCCGCGCCTGGCGCACGCAGCCCCGCGCGGCGGCACCCGCTCACCGCGCGGCCGCATCCGCTCCGCCGCGCAGGGAACACGCTGAAGAACATCTTCGAGTCCGTGCTGCTCCTCTTCGCGACGCACCCGTTCGACGTCGGCGACGCCGTGCTCATCAACAACGACTTGTACTACGTGATGGAAATAGCCCTGCTGCGCACCCACATGCGCATGGCGCCCGGGCCGCAGGTCTGGTTCCCGAACCACGTGCTCAACTGCCTCCCCATCATCAACCTCACGCGCTCCGGGCCGCGCTGGGAGCCCTTCGAGTGCTGGGTGGACGTCGGCGTCGACACCGTGAAGATCCGCGAAACGATCACCAAGGACCTGAACGACATGATGAAGGGCAAGCCGCAGTACTTCACGGGCGAGTTCGCTGTCCGTTGGCTCATCGCGCCGGACGGGAACAAGATTAAGCTTGCCATATGGTATGGGTGCGCAAACAACGGGTCGGACCTCGGGGTGTGCGGTGAGGCGCGCAACCTGGTGTTCGAGACGTGCATGGGCACGCTCACGAAGCTCGACGTGAAGCCCGCGGTCAACCACAACGTCGCGATGGGCGCGGGCGCGGGCCTGGGCATGGGCGCGGGCGGCGTGGCCCTGGGCGACCTGCTGAACGACGAGTCGACGCGGCAAGCGCAGGCGGCGGCGGCGACGATCAGCGCCGAGGGCCTGCGCCAGCGACGCTGAGCGGGCACGACGTGCCACGTGCCGCTCGCCATCACCAGCACGCAGGCGGAGCGACGCGGTCGTCGCCACGCACGCCTGCTGGGGCCGCAGCGCTGCTCCGGGCCGCGGGCCCCCGCGCGTCCCTTTCTCGCCTCTCCTGACCAAGGCCTTCAACACCCCCTATTATTTTTCTTCTGACACTCGTATCCCCGCGCTGGCTGGCGGAAAACACGCCCCAGGCGGGATCGACCCCTCCCCCCCACCTTAGCACGACGATGCATACATACGCGCCCTCGGCGATGAGAGGCGCAGACGTCCTGTGACACGCACGATGCCGCCCGTCCAGTGCACTGTCAGGTGTCGCTGGGAGCTGACCTCGACTATCTGCTGCCGGCCTAGGACTACTGCGTCGCCGTCACTTCGGGCCCCTGCGCGCGCAAGCAGACTCCGCCCAGCGTGCCTCGCAGCAACATGAGTGCGGCATCTTCCATGACCTGCACCGACGCGAGGTGGGGCTGCAGGGCGTCACGGAAAAGCCTCGCGCCACCTGTAGTGCTCACCCCGTGTCACGCGACGCCGTTCCGTCGCAAGCTCTCAGTCTGACGGTGCGAGCGCTTGACTCAGAAAGCACACACACCTCCGAGGTCCTCGCTGTGTCCTGCCCGCGCCGCCATGAGGCTGCGCTTCCGCGGTCGCAGGTGTCGACTCGACTAGGACCAAGCTGAGTCTGCGTGCGAACGTTTTAGCTTCTCTGCCACGTCGCGCGCTCTGGAAACGTTGCGCTCTCGTTGGCCCGCCCCGGTTCGCGAGGCCACGGTTCCAACAAGGTGCCGTGGGCGCCGGACGAACTTCCTGCGGCTAGCTGGTAGTACTGGTGGACTGACGGCGCTGGAACGATGGATCCGGAGGAGCTCACGGCCCTGATAGTCAAGCGTGTGGTCGAGGCCGCTGTGCCGGTCACCACGGAGCTGGCCGGCTCCGAGACGAAGCTCGACTCGTCCGACATCGACCTGATCACCGAGGCGACGAAGCAGAAAGTCGCGGGCGAGGTCCAGGTCATGCTCAAGGCGGCTGGGCTCATGAACAAACCTGCATCAGCTCCGGGTGCGTCCCTGGCCGCCCGCGCGCTCCGACCGCCCGTCGAGCACGCACGGCCCGCAAGCGACGCAGCCGCGCCCTCCGTTTTACCGCGGCGCGCGGAACACCCGTGTCGAGCGAATACCTAGCCTGCGAACACACACAGCCCCGCCCCGCGAACCTACGCGCCCATGCAGCGCCCAAAGCGGAGCCAAAGGGCCTCGGTGGAGGTCTCGCGCCCAAGAAGCCGAAAGACAGCGGCCCTGCCGCCGGACTGGGCGGAAAGGGCCTGCCCAGCCGGGCGCCCAAGCCCACAGGGCAGGCCATCGCGGCGCCCGCGGCCGCCCCGCGCGCGGCCGCCCCGAGCGACCCCATGACGGCGCTGTCCGCAATGATGGGAGGCGGCGCGCGCCCGGGCGGCTCCGGAGGCGGCATGCCGGACCTGTCGGCCCTCATGCAGGGCGGCGGCAGCGGCGGTGGCGGTGGCGGCATGGGCGGGCTGATGGACATGGCCGCGAAGATGATGCAGAACCCCGGCATGGCGGTACGATCCCGCTCGAAGCGCCGCCGGCCCACGTACAACACGCTTGCTCTCCCGCAACGTCAGCGCGACGTCTCGCGCGACCCGACGCGCCGGCGCGCTCACCGCGCCGCGGCACGTCCTCGCGCCGCGCACGCAGGACGTCATGCAGAAGATGGAGCAGGACATGGCGTCCGGCAAGGGCATGGACATGGGTGCGATGATGAACGCAGTAATGCAGGGGATGGGCGGGGCGCCGGGGGCGCCGGGGGGCCGCGCGCCCGCGCAGGCGCAGCGGCGCCAGGTCGTCAGTTGGCGCGACGCGCTCAAGAAGATGCTTCCTTCCGCCGCCGGTGCGCCGCCGCCCCCGCCCCGCGAAGCGCAGCATGCCGTCGCGCGCACGGCCCTCGGGACGCGGCGCGTCCCGGTCGAGACAGCGCGGACGTGCGCGTGCTGTTCGCTGTTCGCTGCAGATGCGGAGCGGTGGGAGCAGATGGTGGAGGCGGACATTGTCACTATGGCGCGCAGCAAACCCCAGCCTACGTTCTCGACGGCGTACATCGCCGGGGAGCGCGAGTCCAACGAGGGGCTGTCGCTGTTCTGATGCGGCGTGGCTGTCCGCGACAGCGGCGCGGGTTGTTGTTGCGCTGTGAGGCGGAGATGAGCGAACGGGTTGCGTGGTGTGCGGCGCTCGTGGGCTGCGGTCGCGGTGGTGCGCCGCGTGTGGCGGTCCGGCGGCGGCGTGCGCTGCTGGGGCTGCGCGGGCGCGGCTGCTGCCGGGAGACTGTCGCGTGGGGGATGTGTAGCCCTGGTCTGAGTCAGACAGTCTGACGGCGCATCGCGCGGGATTTTGGGAGCGGCTGCCCCCCGCTGCCGAGTAGTACTCAGGGGTGACTCGGAGACGCGGAAGGCTGGGTGCGCGATGGCGTTCCCGCGTCGCGCCGGAGCGCTCCTACACTCTGCGCACTCCGGTGTTGCGCCCGTCCTCGCCGAGGGCTACCTGGCCTCTTGCTGGACGTTGCTGAAGGTGCTAGGTCTTAGACGGTGCGCGAGCGCACCGCGAAGCCAGTTCGATGACCGCACCCGGAGTCCGCGAGGCGTTGCGGACACCGCTGGCGCTCCAGGCCCGCGCGGCTCGGTTGGTGGCGTGCGAAGGGGGCACGCGGCCGCGGCCGGCATTGGCGGAGCGCGATGCTTCCACGCGTCGGCTCCCGGCCGGATGGCGGGCGAGGATTACTACAAGCTGCTAGGGGTGGACAGAAGTGCAAATGAGTCGGAAATCAAGAAGGCGTTCTACAAGGCGGCGAAGCGGTATCACCCTGACGCGAACAAGGACGATCCCGACGCACAGAAGAAGTTCACGGTGCGCGCCTCGCCCTGAGTCGGGCACAGGGCCCGGACGGCAGCCATGGTACTTTCCGGCCAGTCGCCCTCGCGCGGGGGCGTGCAGCGCGCCCGCCGAGAGTCACTGGGCAACGGAACGCGCCGTCATGGCTCGGGATGGCGCGAAACAAGCCCTGGAACTGCTTTATCTCTCGCATCGGAGCCGCCGTGCGGCACGACGTGGCGAGGTGTCTCCCACGGCGGCGTGCCGCGGTCGCCCACGCGGATCCGTGCGCGGATATCGGCGCGCAGGAGATCAAGAAGGCGTACGAGACCCTGCGGGATCCAGAAAAGCGCCGGGTGTACGACCAGCTGGGCGCGGAGGGCGCCGAGAGGATGGAGCAGGGGGGTGGGCCGGGGGGAGATCCGTTCGGGGGCGCGGGCGGGCCGTTCGGGGGACCGTTCGGCGGGTTCGGGGGCTTCGGGGGGCCCTTCGGCGGGCCAGGGGGCGGATTCAGGTGCGCCCGTCCCCTGCACTCCCGCGATCTCAACCACGCAGTGTTTTCACACAAAAAGCGGCAACACCGTGGCGGTTCCGAGCGTCCCGGTCCCCGCGGCTCTCCGCAGGGACATGGACGATATTCTGAACCAGTTCTTCGGGCAGCAGTTCGGCGGCGCGGCCAGGCGGTCGTCGCGGCTGGACATGCGCCTCGGGCTGCGCTTGTCGTTCCTGGAGGCGTGCAACGGGTGCGACAAGACGCTCGAGGTGGGCGGGCGGTCGCTGCGCGTGCAGATCCCGCCGGGCGTCGAGGCCGGGCAGCGGCTGATGATGGAGGGCCACGGGCGGGAGGATCCGGCGAGCGGCGCGCGGGGTCACCTGTTTCTGGAGGTCATGGTGGAGCCGCATCCGGTGCTGCGGCGGGAGGGGAGCGACATCATCGCGGACGTCACGGTGAGCGTCGCGACGGCGGCGCTGGGCGGGCAGGTCACGGTGCCGACCATCGATGGCGACGTGGTTGTGCGCATCAACCCCGGGACGCAGCCAGGTGCGCACGAGAGAGACCCTGCCCCGCACGCGAGCGCATAGGCTGTCGCCCGGCTGTACCGCTGCGGAACGAGAGCGGCAGCGAGGTGCTAGGGTTTCAGTGGGGCGGTTCCGCCGCAGCAACAAAGTGCCCGTGCAGCAGCGAATCGCGGACGCGATGGGAGCACGAGCTTGGCGCTGCGCACATAGAATAGGGTCTGCCATGCGCTTTTATGGCGACTCGCGGGCTTGAACACGGTGAATGGCCACCTAAGACGACATGCAAAACAAAACAAAACAAGGGACCACCGTTGCCAACGCCGCCGCCCCTTCGCTGCTCGCTGGATGCAGGACAGCGCCTGGTCCTGCGCGGCAAGGGCCTGCGCATGCCGATGCGCGGCCGCGCGGACCAGTACGTCGACGTGGACGTGTCGGTGCCCAAGCGCCTCACTGCGCGCCAGAAGGAGCTCTTCGAGGAACTGCGCGCCGAACTTGAAAAGAACAGCTGACGGCGCACGCCGGAGTCGCGCATACGCGCCCCGCTGTGACCCACGCGGCAGCCTCGCCCCCCGTCCCCCGCGCATGCAATCACCTCGAGTCATGCCGCTAGCGACAACTGGCCGGCGACGCGAGCCTTGGAAGTCGATCACACGGCAGGTCACGACTCTGCCGACCGCAGCGCCAGCGTCCACTCCACGAGGAGCAGCTCAGAGTCCTCCAACAGCCCCGCGGCCTCCACCAGCTCCGCCACCTGCTCCCGCTCCCTGTTCGGGCTGTCCCGCATCCCGTGCGCGATCAGGTCGCCCTCCGCGCCGCCGAACTCGAGCGGCAGCCCGCGCACGAGCCGCCCGAGCGACGCAGCGGCGTCACGCGCTAGGGGGATATCACGCGCGCGCACTGCGGCGCAGGCCTGGACGAGGAGCGACCGGTGGCGCTTCGCGATGCACGCGGTCGCGATGCGCGCGGCTGTCTCCGCAGGCACGTTGAAGTCCCGCGCGGCACCGGTGATGAAGTCGGCGAAGTCCTCGCCGCCGATGTTAGCGCGGCGGCCGGCCGCGGCGGCCAGCGCGGCCTCGTCGCCGAGGAACCGGAAGATCGCGTCGCGGCCGCCGGGCGTCGCGGGCGTGACGGGCCGCTGCGCCCTCGCCACGAGGTACCTGATCTCCAGCAACGCCGGCAGCGAAAAGTCCACGCCGCGCGACTTCCCGTCTTCCAGAGCGCGCAGCGCCGCCCGGGCCTTGCGGTGCGCCTCTGCAGGCATCCGAGCGAGGGCCCTCCGCAGGAATCAGCTCGAGCGCGTCGCGGGCGCGGGTGCTCCGAGCATCGCACCGCCGACCCACTGGCAGGAGCATTTTGCAGGCGCACCTTCGCGGCCGGTCTCGTCGAGCGCCGAATTCGCCGGGTCGAAGCTCGCAGGCTCCACCCACCACGCCGGCAGCTTCTTGGGGGCGGCCTGCGGCCTCGCGGCCTGCATTGAGGACCCTGCAGCCCTCTGTCGCAAGCGCCGCGCCTCCTGCTCGTCCTCCTCCGAGAACATCCCGCCGAGCACGGCGCCGTTGCCGCGCCCGTCCCTGCGCGCACGGGGACCCACCGTACCGGCGTGAGCGCGCAATCAGCCACCTGCGCACACGCCAGCTCCGAACCTCCGCCGTCGCGCCACGCGGCGCTCCAACGCACCTCGCAGGGCGGTCCTCGATCCACACGATCTTGCCCCCCAGCGAGCGGTCCCGCACCCACCGCCCCCCGCGCCGCCCGTCAGTCTTCCCGAGAATCCCCGCCAGCCATGCGGGGACCCGCGCGCCGCCCGAGACCCACGCCACGAGCAGCAGCGCCGCGCCCGCCGCGGTCCAGCCGAGCCACTCCGCGCCGGCGCCGACGCCGCCGCCCACGGAGCGCCGCGGCGGCGCCGGCGGGCGCATTCCCGGCAGCGTCGCCGTGCCTTTCGCCGCCCGCGTCTCCGGAACGTCCCACTTGGAGACGCGCATGCTGCCCTCCGTGACGGCGCTCGTCTGCGCCGCGCGCTGGGGCGCCAGCGTCAGCGGCTTGGTCGCCGGGGGCGCGGCCGGCGTCTCGAGATGCGACCGGGTGGCGTGCGTCTTCGCCTTCGCCCTCGCTGCGGGCTTGTGGGTGGTTTTGCGCCGCGCAGAGGCTTTCGTCTGCGAGATATCGGCGAGAACAGGCGCTCGTGCGTTGCTCGGTGCTTCGGATGTCCAGAAGCGTGCTTGCGAGCGAGTGCAGACGAGGAGGCAGGGTGGCAATGCGGGCGCTGGGGGCGCAGATCGCGGGGTCGTGCCGGGCGTGCGGGCGGCGTCGTACCTCGCCCTTGGCCTTGGCTCGCGCGAGGTCGTGGTCGTAGAGCCGTCTGGCCTCCCTGCCGGCCGCCACCGCCGGAGAGGCGGTCGTGGCGGTGAGCACAGCAGCGACCCCTGCGGCCGCGGCCCCGACGGCCGCTTCGCGCTTGTTTTCCGGCGCAGCCTCGGGGCTGACATCGTGGGCGGCGTCCTGGCCGGGCCTCCCGATGAGAGCCCTGCATGGCGGGCAGTGAGGCCTTCGAGAAGACGAGCGTGCCTCTGCGGGCGGCTGCTGCGCCCAACCACGGCGCGGTGCCGGGCCAGAAAGCGCACTGTACGCTGCGAGAGAGGCCATGTTGCGACTTGGGCGGCACGTACTGGCAGATGTGCGACGTCACGCGCTGCGTGCTTGCGGTGCAACAAGCAGGGACCAGCGACGTGCCTCGCGCGCCCGCACGCACGACCGGCTGGACTTGATGGCGATGTACGGTGCCCAGGGGGTTGTTCTCGCCATGTAGGGGGCGCACTTCGCGCCTCGAGTCAATATGGGGGTGTGCTGGGCGCTCGCCTGACTGTGAGACGCAGCGGTGGGCCCGGCCGCTGTCTGCGCCCCCGAGGCATCGTCCGAGCGAGCTGAGAGCGGCGTCCACTTCCCACATGCATCCTGCGCATCGGACACGAGAATCATCGCTCAGGACTCGCGCGCGGTGCTTGGAGGGGGGGCTGCAGCCCTCTGGCGGCCTGCGGGATGGACGACATCATGGACTTGGACCCGGACAAGTGCCGGCTGAAAGGTGAAGCCGTGCATGCGCTTGCGACGCCGCATTCCCGCAAACGTAGCGTGACGAGCCCGCGCCAGGCTCTTTTTGCTGCAACCTTCACCGCAGTGACCCACACGCCCGTGTGTCCAGCAGGCGACGGCCCGCTGCCATCCGCCGCGCGCACCGCTTTTATGTGTGCCGTCGGGCCGCGCCGTTCCGTTACGACGGTTCCACGGCCACTCAGGGGCGCGTGCTACGCGAGTTGCTCGCCCCCTTGCCAGCACGCCCGCGCGCCCCGACGGGCCCGATGTGCGTGTGCCGGCACTCGCGTACGCTCACAGATACATCGTGGATGCGCCGACGATGCGTTTCATGCACGCGAGAGACCCGTCCGCGCCCCCACGACGTGGCGTTGCAGGTCCGGGATACACAGGCGGCCCCGCGGGGGCCCGGCTGAACGTCGACGTCACCCTCAACAAGGCCGACGGCTCCCGTCTCGTGTGCGGGCACGCCACGGTGACGGCGCGCGTCATGCCCGCGCGCGGCGGGCCGGACGCCCCGCCAGCTGCGGAGGCGTCAACAAAGGACAACCACGACGGCACGTTCGTGTGCGTGTACACCGCGCCGCCCCGCGGCAACTACATGCTGCACGTCGAGGTCATGGGCATGCCCATCGCCGGCACCCCGGCGCCGCTCTTCATCGGCCCGGAAGACAAATCGTACAAAGGTGAAACGACATCCACCATTCCATATCTTCCGGCCCGCCGAGGTGCCCAAGCTAGCGCCGCATCGCCAATCGCGCCGTACCGCGGCCTGACGCGCCCCCCGCGCCAACACCCCCCAATACACCCCCCCCCGGCCGCGCGCAGACTACGTCGAGAAGGGCGACGTCGCTGCGAGGGACAAGGACGCCGACGCGGGGCCGGAGCAGCTCGGCGCGAAGCAGCGCACGCCGCCGCCGCAGGCGGCCTCCGAGGCGGCGCAGGGGGGGGGTCCGAAGGAGGTGTTTATGGGCCCCGGGACTGCGGCAGGGTTGGTGCACGCGCGGATTTTCGGGATGCTGGTGATGAACGCGCAGCCGGAGCAGGTGCAGGAGCTCGCGAGGGACCGGAACGCGAGCGCGGTGTTCGTCATCGGCGACGGCGTCCGCCAGGCGCGCACGCGGCACGTCGAGGCCTTCATGAGTCAGGTGGGGCCTGTGCTGTCCGTGTCGGACGAGAAGAGCGACGCCGGAAGCCTGCGCGTGGAGCTCGCGTCGCCGCTCAAGGCGCAGCAGGCGCTCGCGCTCAGCGGGCAGGAGTTGGCGATGGAGGGGCGCAGGGTGGTGGTGCGGGTGGTGGCGGCGCCGCCGTCGGGGCCCTCGCTGGCGCTGATCCAGGCGATCAAGGTACGCTGTGCGGCGGCCGCGCTGCCGAGCGTGCGCGCTGCGCCGTTGGCTGCGTTTCTAGGAGCTACGTTCCACGCATGCGGTGATGTTTGTGTTTGGCTCGACGGAACGCAGGCGGCGGAGTCGCAGGGGCAGCAGACGGCGCAGGAGCAGGCCGGGGCGGCGCCGGCCGCGGCGGGCGGCGACTTGATGTCGCGGATGGCGGCGATCAAAGCGGCGCTGTTGCAGCAGCAGGCGGAGGCGGCGCGCGCCGCGGAGCGCGACGGCGCTGCGGAGAGGAGCCGGAGGGACTCCGAGCGCGACCGCGAGCGGGGCCGGGACCGCCATCGCGACCGGGACCGCGACGAGTGGGCGCGGTCAGACCGACGCCGGCGGGGGAGTCGGGAGCGCGACGGTGGCGCGCGGAGGGACGGGGAGCGGCGGGAGGGCGGGGAGCGGCATCGCAGGCGCAGTCGGAGCCGGAGCCGGGAGCGTCGGCGCGGGCGGCGCGACGACGACAGGGGGGGGTCTTCCCGACGGCGGCACGACTCTAGGGAGCGGGGGTCTCGGCGTCGGAGTAGAAGCAGGAGCCGGAGCCGCGGGCGCGGGGAGCGGCGGCACGAGCGGCGCGAGGGGGGGCGGGATCGGGGGCGGCGGGGCGCAAGCAGGGAGCGAAAGGGCTCGGAGGCAGCGCCAGAGGAGGGTGGGGGTGGTGCGGCGGGGAACGGGGCCGGTGAGTCTTAGGGCGGTGGTGCGGGCGGGTGGTGCGTCTGTGACGCTGGCGGCTGCGGGTTCGGGCGCGTCGCGCGAGGTCTCGGGCCTGGAAATCGCGAAAGAAGGGAATTGGTGTAGCACGAAGGGAATTGGTCTAGCACGGAATTGGTGTAGCACGAAGGGAATTGGTCTAGCACGCTGCCGCCTTGATCAGGACGATAGCACACCCGCATTTCGTTTCGTGCGCGGGTGGTCAATTACTACTCTGTGTGTCGTGTTGTGCTGCGCCGGGCCTCGAACATGGGGCTTTGGCGCAGTGCCAGCTGAGAGCTACCTCCCTACTCCGGCCTTCAACCGTCGGCGTAGACGAGCCTGCCTCCGGCTAACTGACTCCGCCGTCTCACGTCCGTGGCTCACCGCCCGGCGTGCTAGGAACGCGCAACTTAGGTAGAGCTCTCCCCGTCATCGTCGCCCTCCCGTCGTGGCTTGATTACTGCATCCTCGGTCTAGTTCCGCACACCACCCTCTTTTCACCCCCAAAACCTCTCACCATGCGCACTCCAATCGGTCGCCGACGGAGGAAACGGCTCCAAGCAGCGTTGCGTCTCAGCGACCAGGCCGGCACCGCCGAGGCGCGCACGCTGCGTGGCCACCTTTCGAATGGCACCCTGTTCCACCATGTCGCAAATCTAAATGACCACGACCCGAACTTTCGACCCAGCATCACGCACGCACGCCGCATCGCGGCCGCTATTGCTCCGCAGGCATCTCCCCGTGCCTGGCCCCCTCCTAGCCCCCACCACACACCCTCCCACCCCGCCTCCGCACTAGCCCCTCGACCCTACTGGGACTACGTGCCCCGCGACGAACGGGCGCCCGCATACCCGCACCCGTGCCCCCCACCGAGCGCTCCTTTCCCACCGCCCCCGCCGGCGCTCTCGGACCTCGCCGCGCTACCATCGGTCACGGCAAACCCCCCGCTTGCGGCGCGCGGGGTTGTCTATGTCCTCTTGTGCCGGAAATACCCCTTCTTTTACTATGTCGGGGAGACATACCGCACAGCGATCGAACGACTGCAGGAGCACTTTGATGCAGCATTCACGCACCATCCGAACGCCGTGCACACCCCGCTTTACGAGTTTATGCGACGAGTGTGGGCGCAGTCGCCGAACGGCCATGTCCCGTGGCGCGACTTCACCATCGTGCCCCTCTTTCGCATCAATTTCGCACGCCAGGTGCCCATCCCGCCGGCGACTAGCCCGGACGCTTTGAAGGCCTGGTTCCACAAGTTCCGCACCTACTCCCTGGCCTGGGAGCAGACCATGATACGCTGTCTGGGCTCCACATACCCCGGCGGCCTCAATTACTGCAAGGGCATGTGGAATTTCGGCTACGGAGCTGGCCACTCTGATGCTGCCCCATGGCCTCTATCCCCCCTGGCGTTCCAAATCGCCGCTGACCCCCACCCCGTAGCGATCCCCCACAACGACTTCCCCGTCCCGCCCGGCCCGAGTGGGCTCCCAGCGCTGGCGACCCTCTTCCAGCCAACGTTTGCCATCTCCTCCACGCATCAACGTACCATCCACCTCGACGCTGACAACTGCCTCACAACTACGGCACCAGCGTTGTCCCTGCCCCCCGCTATCGCAGGCATGTCTCCGCGCCTCGGTACACGCGAGTATATCTACCAGACTCGCCTCCTTCTTGACGTTGTTTTGTTCCGCCGCGCCGGCGACACAGAGCACGATCATTGGAGACGCGCGGTGAACCATTGCACGGCAGCGAACATCGGAAAATACCTCTTCTCCCTCCATCACTGCGTGTCGCACATGCATCCCGATGCGCTTAACCTGGGTCTCGACGAGCCCTTTTACACACAGCAGATGTTGGACAGTGCCCGCACCGTTTTGCAGGCCGCCATCAACCACCACTACCCTCCCGTCGCAGACATCGACCTCGGGAGCCGTACCCTCATGATCCACGACTTCCCTACCCCCCTGGCTAGCCTCGCCCCCCTCGAAACCCTCGTCAATAATGATGACTTTCTCAACCTCTTACCTGAGCGTATCCGCGAAGGTATGGATGGCTTGTTTCTGGTGGCCCCGCGCTATTCGGTCAGGTTTCCACCGCTGTCGCGCTCGGTGTGCACGCACAGCGGAGTTGCCAAGTTTGCACGCAGTCGCCTGTACGACATCATGGCGACGCAGTGCGACTGTGCGCAACACCAAGGACCGGACCTACGACGCCACTTCACGCTCGAGGACCCCTACTGGCAGATCGACGGCGAGCCTGTGCGGCACCTCTGCACGCTGGACCCTGCTGCGGCGGGCATCCAGAGCACCGCGTACCGCCGTTTGTTCGCCGTCGGCGGTGCCAAGCACCGACACGTCCCGGAGCTGCACCAAGCCACGAGCGCGACCGTAGCTAGCATCGTTGAAGCCTACCAGAAGCCGCTGCTCGGGTGGACGAAACGCGTCAGCAAGGCCGCCGACATGGACGCGGCAGCGTGCATGCCGTACATTGATGCTATACTTGCTGCTACGCAAACGGCACTCCAACCCGCTCTTCAACCCGGGTTCCGCCTTCCATGGCCCCCGCCGCTGGCGGACATTCAGCCCGACGATCGCGTGGCTCTGCGGCGAGACGCGACACGCCTCACCATCACGACCATGGACAAGAACGCCGGGAATTTGGTTTTCGTGTGTCGGCGCGCCTACATCGAGGTCCTCCTGCACGACCTGCACAGCAACGACGCTTTCGCTGTCAACGAGCCGGCAAATGCCAACATCACGCATGCCAGGCACGTGGTGAACGTCGCTAACACGACGGAGGCTATGTTGGACAACCTGCAGCTACCAGGAATACGCACCGAACGCGAGTGCGGTGGTCTACCGCACTACTACGGGACGATGAAGCTTCACAAGGCCAAGGTGGACGTGCGGTACATCTCGGACTGCTCGAGCGACATCACGCGCCCCGCAGCGCAGCTGCTGACGAAGGCCCTCGGCGCGCTCATGTGCCACGCCACCCTCGTGGAGGTCTGGAGCTCCATCTTCGACGGCGTCCCGGAGGACCTCTGCAGCAGCTTCGCGCCCTTCTTGGTGGACTCCAGCCGCGGCATGCGTGACATGGTGACCGCGTATCTACATGACAACCCACCACGCTCAGCGATACATGCTCAACAACCACCTCTGCTGCTGGGCGCCGACATCAAGCGGCTCTACACGCACATCCGGCACGAGACGAGCGCGGACCACGGGACCGGCCTCATCGACTGCGTCATCGAACACATCGACGCTGTTTTTGCACTGCATCCAGGGCAACACCTCCTGATCGACTTGCAACCCGCGTTTGACGCGAGGAGACGTGGTGGTGGGTGGCGCAGCTGCCGGACGCGGACGGCATGGTTGGGAAATGGGCACCGAGCATCGAGCAACTTCATGGTCTCGTGCACATCCTCGTCAAACGCGCCTACGTGGTGTTCGGGGGCGTCGTATATCACCAGACCTGCGGTGTGCCCATGGGGCTCTCGGCCTCCCCCCACCTCGCGAACTGCTACATGTTCCGGCATGAGCTCGCGTTCCTCTGCCAGTTTCGCGACCGCTGGTTGAGCACTGGCGACGTCGCTTGGCTGAAGGTCTTGGGGTCTTTCCGTTATTCCAGGCGCTACATCGACGACAATTTCTCTCTCGCGAACGCACTGTACCGCTACTTCAACACCCACCCCCGCCCCCCCACCCCGCCCCCCGAAACCCCGTCGTCGATCGTAGATCTCATCTCTGGTATACATAACATGTACCCCCCCTGTCTTGAGGTCGAATTTGACGCCCCAGCGAACCCGCTCGACGGTGTCTCCTTCCTAGACCTCCGCGTGCGTCCGCATCCCGAATATCAGGGCTTCCTCCTGATCTCGCACTATGACAAACGCGGTCTGTTTCCTGAGAACATTCACCTCATACAGTACCCCCACGCTTCGTGTGCGCTGCTGCGACGACACCTTTACAACATCGTCCGCACCGAACACATCCGCGTGTCCAGCGAGGTGACTGACCGCGACAGCTACGTAGCCAAGATGTCGGCCATGATGCGCTACATGCGTACGCATCGAGGTTACTGCATGCGACAGGTCCTGGCGATCCACCGCGCCGCCTGCCGGACGCACCCGAGCCCGCATTTTGGCCCTGCCACGCCGGCGGGCCTGGCTGACCTCGTGCGTCGCCACGTGCAGTTTGCAGACCATACTGGCCAACCTGCTGACAGGGCGTGCCCGGCGCCCTGCAACTCGTCACCCTCATACATGATCCCGGCGCTGCGAAGCTGGCTCGGAACTATCCAGCCATGCCCGCACACATGACGCACTCTGTTACCCCCCCGATGTTGACATGTTGGCCATGCGCGTATTCCGTGGCCGCTAGACCGAGGTATGATCCCTTTTCGCATGACAGGCCACGCGCGGGGGACGGCGATGACGAGGAGAGCTGAGTAGCCGTCGGCGCGTCGCCACACAACGCGGACAATGCCGCAGACTCAGTCACCGCTGTCACCCAGCCGGCTGCCGACACCCCCTGGTACAAGCAGCCTAGGACGTGGACCAGCACTTCGGCGCGTCGGCTGGCGGGCGTCGTCCAGTACTCGCGCGGCTCGCCGCGTTGTTGCTGACGACGCCCGCCACTCACTCTAACTGATTGCAGGTCAGAGCCTTCCCTTGGCACATGATGGCACGCTCACATGGCATTTCGCGCGAGTACTCCTAGCACGCTGCCGCCTTGATCAGGACGATAGCACACCCGCATTTCGTTTCGTGCGCGGGTGGTCAATTACTACTCTGTGTCTGAAGACATGCCGCAGCTGCTGGGTTGTCTGCCCGGGGCGGCGCGATGGGCGCTGCGCGCGTGGTGCGACGGGGGAGCAGCGCGCGGTGGGGGCGGCGCGTGGCGGGGGCGGTGCGAGGCCGGGCGCGTGTACAGCAGTTCGGGCTCCATCTTCGAGGCATTTCGAGACCTCCATCTTCGACTGCAACGCGCAACTGTGCGCCAGACTGACTCTGGCTGCGCTGCGTGTGCGCCTGCGGGCGCAGGAGCGTCCGCGCGCCGGCCGTGCGCGCCCAGATTCCTTTCGCATCGCTTCCGGCGGAACGCAGGCAAGTGTGCGCCCGCGCTCGATCCCCGTCGCCGCGCACATCATCCACGGCTGCCCAACCGCCCCAGCCGCGCTCCGCGACCCCGACTCCCGGCCCCACCGCACCGCAGGCGGAGGGCGAGTGAGCGAAGATGGCGCGCAAGGGAAAGGCCATGCTGCCGGCCGCGGCGGGCAAGGCCCCCTCGACCCCCGAGGAGCGCAAGGCGTTGTCTGAAGAGCTCAAGAAGAGCGGCAACGAGCGCTTCGCGAAGCGCGAGTTCGCCAAGGCGCTCCAGTACTACGACCAGGCTCTCAGGTGCGCACCCCGCCGCGGCCGTCCGGCGGCCATGCAGCGCGCAGGCGCGCAGTGGCACTGGGTGGCTGTCCGAGCGCACGCGGCGCGGGGGCGCGCGACCGAGGCGCTTTCGCGGCGGGTTCGCGCAGGCTCGTGCCGGACACGACGACGGAGAGGGCGGTGCTGCACCACAACAAGGCCGCGTGCCACTTCAAGGGCCTGAGGTACAAGGAGTGCGAGAAGGAGTGCACGAATGCGTTGGTGGTGCGCCGCGACCCCCCCGCCCGCCTCCGACGCCGCTCTCGCCCTCTCCGCCGCCCGGCGCGACCCCGCGGCGCGATCGCGGGGCGCTGAGGTCCAATGCGGACCCGGGACGCCCTTCAGTTATCCAGAAGAGAGGTGCCGCATGCTGCCGCCAGGGCAATTCCGCCCCGCTTGGACCGCGCTGCCGGGCGTGTCCGCGCTGATCGGCGCCCCCGGCGGCGCGAAGCGGCAACGCTTGCGGCCGGAGCGCGCCGGTATCGCCGGCCAGGCCCTCGTGCCGGCTGCTGGCCCCTTCTGCGCCCCGCTGGGCCTCCGCGCCGCGTTCCGGCGGCGAGATCATCGCCGATGCAACCGTGCTGGTACCGCAGGCCGACAAGGATTTCGTCAAGGCGCGCGTGCGGAGGGCCAAGGCCTACGAGCACCTGGGCAAGTACCAAGAGTGAGTCTCCCCGCTCCACACCGATCCGCGCGCGCAACGCCGTTTTCGCCTCCCCGCGCGATTCCAGCGTGGACTCGGCCGCGCCGTGCGCGCCCGGTCATCGGCCCCTGCCGCCGGAGCTCGCCGCGCGGGCCCAACTACCCAGGGCGTGGCTGCCGCGTTCGCCCTGCGCGCGAACGCGGGCCGCCTGCGCCGGCGCTCGCCGCCGAGCGCCGCCAGATCGACCGCTCCGCACATCGCGACCGCTCGTCCGCGAGATCGCCGCGCTGGCGCGCCCGCGCGCGACCTTTCCCATTGAGCGCCGCTCATCGCGCCGCCCGCGCGCGCCGCCCGCGCAGAGCCCTCGAGGACTACAAGTACATCAACGCGAACGCGGAGACGCGGACGGAGGAGTCCGTGAAGAAGGAGAAGGAGCTCGACGGCCTGGCGTCGGGCAAGCTGGCCGACCCGTCGAAAGTGCGGTCCGCCAAGGCGCAGCAGCCCCGCGCGGCCAAGCACGAGATCCGCCTCGTGTGCGGCGGCGACACGCGCGTCGTCCTGTTCCACAACGGCATGACGTACGCCGTGCTCCTCGACGAAGCCAAGACCAAGTTCCCCGACAAGTGGCCGTTCAAGCTGACGTACCGCGACCGCGCGGACGACGTCATCACGATGACGAGCGTGAGCGACGTGGGCAAGCTCCTCGAGACCGAGATGGCGCGCGCGCTGGCGTCGGCGAGCGGCGAGGGCAAGGGACCGAAGCTGTCGTCGGGCGGGGGGGTGATCGCGACGGTCACGGTCGAGAAGGTCGGGAGCGAGGGCGAGGTGCCGCCGCCGCCGGACCAGGAGCGGAGCTCGCTCGAGCAGCAGAAGAAGTACGTTCAGATGCTGGAGAGGGTGACGATGGAAAAGGCGGAGGCGCACCGGGAGGCGCAGCGGCAGGCGGCGCTGCAGCGCACGGAGATCGTGGAGATCGACAACTGGCTGGTGCAGATGACGGGGCTGATCAAGGACCAGCTGGGGATCGACCCTGACAGCTACGTGGAGCTGACGCACGAGGGGTATGAGAAGGTGACGGCCGCGGCGGACCGCGCGATGAACTCGGACAAGGCGATCCCGGTGTACCACGAGGCGATCGACAAGTTCAAGGAGGGCGCCGCGCAGTGCATCATGCAGTGGGGCGGCGTGCACGCCAAGATCGCCGCCAAGCACGTGGACGACCTCTCGCGCGCCGGGGTCGACGCGAAGAAGCTCACGACGCACGAGAAGTACAAGCTCGCGATCAAGGAGTTCGAGGAGGCCGAGAAGCGCGTCCAGGAGTCGTTCACGTACAAGCCCGACTTCTACGACGGCGCCTTCCAGATGGCGCAGGTGCTCTTCGAGAAGGCGAAGCTCGCCGCGGGGCTCCTCGTGCCCAACCCGAACACCAGCCCCGAGGCCGCGGAGGAGGCGGCCGCCGCGGGCGAGGCCGGCAAGCAGAACGACGCCTACGAGAAGGCGCTCGGGCGCCTCCTGGCGCAGAACGTCGAGGGCGCGATGCCGCTCTTCCAGAAGGCGATCGAGTGGTTCGAGAAGAGCATCGCGTTCCTCCCCGAGGAGCAGCGCAACGAGGACCTCCGCGCGAAGAAGGCCGACGACGTCACCTTCAAGGGCCAGACGCTCATCATGTCCGGCAACGTGATGTACGAGGTGCGCGCGCGCTCCACGTCGACGGAACGCTGACAGGCCGGCTATGATGCATACACAGTTTATCCGCGCTTCCGAGGCTCTGCCGGTGGAGAGGAAATGACTGAATGGTTGAATCACTTGGCTGAGCCGCCGACGCGCCTGTCTGTCTGCTACGAACCCGCGCCGCCGTGCCGCACCGATGATGAGCATTACTGCGCTCTTTGCTGACTCCCGCGCGGCCCCGCGTGTCGGGCCCCGCTGTGTGGCGCCCGGCGCGGGGGGGCGCGCGGGCTCCTGGCCGCGGCGTGCCCGGCCGGGATGCGCCCGCGGGCGGGCGCCGTGCACCTTGTCGAGGGATCGGACAGCCCGGCGCGGAACAGCGCTGTCGGTGACTGGTGGCGGCACCCCCGCTGGTGATGCTTATACTCAGCCAACTGAGGTGTCGTGTGCGGGGGGGGGGGTGGGTTCGTATCGCCGTTTGATGCATGCGGGGGCCTCACGCATCCCTTTCGCCGTGCGTGGATGCAGGTGTCGCAAGTCAAGTCCGCGACCAAGGCCGCGGATTGGAAGGATTGGTTGAAGAGGGCTGTGGACTCGTTCCTGCAGTCGGGCGCGGCGATCGAAGACATCCGCGCGGCGCTGAAGAACCACCTGATGAAGGACCAGGTCGAAGACCTCATGCCGCCCTCGCCGAGCGACGCCAAGAAGCCCAAGGGCCTCCCGGCGCTCAAGAAGAAGTGATTCCAAGAATGTCGCGGGAACGGAGACTCCGGGCCAGCTAGGCGTGCGTGCTGCGGGCTCGGACTCGCGGCCGCAGGCGTGGAGCCGCAGGACCGAAGCTGCCTGAGTTTGGCGGCGTAGGTGGGACGGCGCGCGTGTGGTGCGGAGGAGTAGGTCGTTGAGGCGAGGCGCGCGGTCCTCGCGGGGCGGGCGCCGTGTGCTGCGGTTGCCGGGGCGAGGGGGCGGCCTGCGGTGTGATGGTCGTGGCTCCGCTACAAACACATGCCCTGTCGGGGCAAAACAACCATTTTCACGCTGTCACCTCCACTGTGCGCTCACGTTCGCTAACGGCGCGATCGCTGACTCTGGCGCGTGGCTGGCCCATGAGCGCTCCACGTGCATGCGTTGCGGGCCCGGAATACATTCGCAGCTTCCCTCTCGGCCACACACGCTCCTACTAAGCGTTGCCAGGTTTGACGCGAGTGAGTCCAGACGGCGGACAAGCGCCAGAGGCGACGTACGAGTCGTTGTCTTACATTCAAATGTCGCCACGAGTTGATGTGGCATGTTGATGCGGTGCCGTTTCAGCGTGGCGTCTTGCTCGGAGTACGCCAGGTCCCCCGGACCTAGCTGACCTCCACGTACAGAACGTTATTCGTTTTCCTCGCTTGCGTCAGCGAGGTGCTAGGATGTGGCATGCAGGAATGCAGTCGTTGCTAAAGCAACGGTTGTTGTTGTTCGCGGGAGCGGCGGCAGCCCAACGCCATCGCCGAGCTGTCCCGCCCCCTCTGTGGCCTCTCTACACCAGCGGCGCGGCTTGGCCGCCGCGGCCCGGGGTGTACATGATCCCGGACCCCTGCTGCCGCCGGGCAGGTTCCGCCTCGGGCTCCGCGAGCCCCATGGTGACCGCGTCGTTGAACCGGCCAACCGTGTTGCGGCCCGACACCTGGGAGGGGCCGTACAGCAGCGGCGCGGTGGGCTTCGTATCCGAACCCCCGCCCTCGCCAGCGCTGTCCATCAGGTTCGTCATGCGCGACTCCACGTCCGTGGGCTGGCGGGGAATCACGTGCTTCTTGCGCTTGATCACCACGTAAACGATGCCGACCACGATGACTAGGAACACCGCGCCGCCGACCGCGCCGCCCGCGATCGGCCCGGCGTCGACGCCCCCGTCGTCCGACCGCGGTGCCGAGAAGGGCACGGGCGTCGGCGCGGGCGTCGTCGCGCTAGGCGCAGGGCCGCCGTTGCCGCCGGTCTGCGGCGCCTGCACTGCGAGCGACGTGACCGCCAGCGACGTCGCCGGGACGCCGGCCGCCTGCAGCGCCTGGAGCAGCGCACCCGAGTTGGCAATTGCCTGCAGGCTGGACCCGCCGCTCGAAGCCAGAGCCGCCGTCGCATACTGGAGGTTCATCGTCAGGCTGACGCCGGTCTGCATCAGCCCGCGCGTCTGCGGCTTGCCGGGCAGAGCGATCAGGAGCGAGCGCCGTCCGACAGTCTGGCACCCGGTCTGCCCGCGTCCCGTGGGCTTCGGGTTCATTGCGTTGACGATGGCGTCGACAGCGGCGTTGACCTGCGCCTGGTCGCACGTCGTGAGCCCGTTGATCGTCATGGTGACGACCACCGTGTGCGCCTGCGACGCGGGGATCGTGGGCGCTGACGTCGGGCCCTGCGTGGCCGTGGGGCCCTGCGTGGCTGTCGGACCCTGCGTCGCCGCCTGCGTGCTCGCCGCAGGCTGCGTGGTCGCCGGGGCCTGCGTGGCCGTCGCCGGGGCCTGCGTGGCCGTCGCCGGGGCCTGCGTGGCCGTCGCCGGGGCCTGCGTGGCCGTCGCCGGGGCCTGCGTTGCGCCCGCGACCGTGCTCGCAGCCGCGGTGGTCGCAGCCGCAGTCGTTGCACCGCCTGACCCTGGGGCCGCAGTTGCGCCCGCAGCTGTCGTAGACGCCGCGGTCGTCGCTGGCTCCGTCGCCGCAACCGTCGCGGCGGACGTCGTCTGTCCTGGAACTGTCGTCGGCGCAGAGGTCGGTGCCTTGGCCACGTTCGTGGGCAGCTGCGTGCTCGCCATCGTCGTCGCGTCGGGCCCCGAGGTCGGGGGCAGCGTCGTCGGCGGCGGCGGCGTGCCGCCCTTGACCGCCAGCCCCCCTGACTCAGTGATGTTGGCCGCCTCCTGCGTGCTGTTGACCACGCCGGCCTCGACCAGCAGGTTCGGGTCCGACACCTCGATGTTCGCGTCGACCGTGAGGTTCGTGATCCCCACCGCGGTCGCCAGCGCCGTCACCATGGACCCGTCCTCGACGGCTGTCTGCAGGTTGCTCACCGCACTGGACAGAGACACGTCCGAGGAGTTCACCACCGCGAACGTCGTCGGCGGCGGCGTCGTCGTCGCAGAAGGGTCCGCGGTGGAGGTCGCCGCCTCCGTCGCCGCGGCATCCACCGTCGACTCCTGCTGCGTCACCGCCGTCGCCAGCGCCAGCTCCTCCTGGCGGAGGGCCTCGCGCTCGGCCTCGGGGAGCGCGGCGATCTGCGCGTCCTCCTCGCTCGAGATGTTGTCCACGCCCGGCTGCGTCACCGTCTCCATCGGGCCTGTGTTGCTCTTCTCGGCGATCTCGATGGTGACGGTGTTGCCGTCCTGCGACAGGTGGCGGCGCCCGGGGTCCGCGACGGCGTTGACGAACTTGAAGCGGCTGGGCTCGATGTTGAGCAGCGCCGCGAGGTTGCGGATGACGTCGCCCTGACGGTTGTAGAAGGCCTGGTTGGAGAGCGACAGGCGGAGCGACACCGTGACCACGCGCTCCGTGCGCGCCTCGACCTCGGCGCCGCCCTTGAGCTTCATGTACAGGATCGTCCGCGTCTGGTCCCAGAAGTACGTCCCCGACGGCGTGCCGTCGCCCACCTGGGGGATGCTCGTCGCCGGGCTCAGGCGGTTCGGCACGGTGCGGGACTGCCACAGGTAGCGCCGCTGCGTCTCGAAGTAGTTGATCTCGAGCACGACCTCGGCGTTGGGGTCCGCGTAGGGCAGGTAGTACCGCATGAACTTGCCAGGCGTGCCCGTGAAGTCAATCTTGACCGTCTCGCCGATGGGCACGAAGGTCCAGAAGGACGACAGGCGCTTCTGGCAGGTGTACGCGAAGCACCACCCGTGGTCCATGGCCGTGACGAGGAGGTCCGACTGCCCGGTCGAGTTGATGAAGACAGGCGAGAAGTTCCGGTCCTCGCTGTCGCGGTCCAGCGTGTGAATCACGAGGAGCTGCATGTCGCCGTGCTTCCCGCGCGGCGCCACCGACGTCGGGCTGTGCCCCGCGGGGCAGAGCGACGCGCCGCCGCCGAGGTCCGAGCCCCAGTAGCAAGGGCCGCCCTGAGTGAACGAGCTCACGTACGACGGCTTGTCGAAGTTCGGGTCGCTGTGCGCCATGCCCAGGTAGGGCGTGAGCGTGCCCTGGTCGATCGACGGGCGCGGGCCGGACGTCTGCGCGCCGTTGACCGACCCGCGGATGCCGAAGAAAGTGCCGTCGAGGTCGTGGAAGTGCGTGTGCTTGAGGCCGTCGCAGTTGAGCGGGATCACGCTGCCGTCGGGGCGCGTGTAGTCCGCGAAGCCGCAGTCCGACAGCACGCGCCACTTCGGGCTCGGCTCGATCATCTGCACCATCCCCTTGTTGTTCACGCGCACCTTGGCGCTGTTGCGCAAAAAGTGCGGGTGGAAGGCGTCCGGGGCCTTGGCGTGTGGCGCCATGGCGTACGAGGCAATCGGGCACGAGCCCAGGCCGATGCCGGCGTTGTCGGCCGGGTCGCCACCGGCAAAGTGCGCAAACGTCACGCCGTCGAGCGTTGCCTTGCCCAGCAGCGTGGGGTTGCCCTTGAGGCCGTCCCACGGCTTCTTCTCCGGGCCCGGCGTGAACGCGACGGCGAACGTCGCCGACAGGAACCCGTACGCGACCTGCTGCGGGTTCTTGTACGACTGCTTCGACAGCGACTGGTGGCAGCCCGTGTCCCCGCGCGACGTGCACAGCGTGCACGCGGAGCCGCTGGTGTAGCCCATCACGAGCGAGTCGCGCAGCTCGACCTGGTGGTCCCACTCGATGGAGTTGCGCGTGACCCGGCCGTCCGACTGCACGCCCGTGTCGCCCTTCTTCAGGAGCAGGATGCCCGCGTGCTTGGTGTCGGCGACCTTGATGTTGTTCAGGATGACGTTCTCGCCGCCGATGCCGCGCATCGTGAGGATGCCGAAGTCCCAGTTGCGCGCCGCGGTGAACCCGTCCACCGCGGTGCAGCGTCCGCGCGACTGGCGCAGGATGAGCCCGACCAGGTTGGCGCGCGCGGTGTTGTTCGCGAACATCGAGTACGGCGTGCCCGACAGGACGCACGGGCTGCCCGCGGCGTAGAACCCGAGGCGGTCCGAGCCGGCGGCCGTGTTGCCCACCAGCACGTTGCCCGCCACCTGCGCGTCGAAGCTCGCGACCAGGTCGAGGTCGAAGCCGCTCTTGCCCTGGCTGCTCTTGTGCGAGCCGAGCGCCAGGTTGTTCGTGACGAAGTTGCGGCGGCCGCCCACGAGCAGCACCGTGGAGGCGTCGTTGCCGCCCCAGAGCACGTTGTTGTCCAGCCAGACGCCGCCGGCCCTGGCCGAGACGTACACGGCGACGCCGAAGACGTGGTCGAACGACGACAGCTCGATGCGCACGCTCGTCGTGTTGGCGTGCGGCATCGTCTCCCGGCGCAGCCCGCGCGGCACGTTGTCGTGCACCCGCAGGCACGCGCGCTCCTGGAACCCAAACTGGCCGCAGTGGTGGAAGTTCGCGCCCTTGATGTGGACCTCCGAGCCGGGGCCGACGACCATCGTCGAGCCGTACACGTCGCCCTTGAAGCCGTGCGGCGTGTACGGGTCCGGCGGGTGCATCATGCCCTGCGCGGCGCCGTCGTGCGCGGCCACCTCGATCGAGACCGTGTCCAGCAGGCCGAGCTCCGCGCGGATCGGCAGCGTCTGGTTGCCGAGCGCCTCGAGGAGCGCCTCGTGCCCGAACCGCACCGCGTCGACCAGCGTCGAGCTCGAGTTGTGGTTGTTGTTCAACGATGCCCGCACCACGACCTCGGCGCCGCTGTTCCGGATCTCGGAAATCACCACCTCCTCGGCCTCGTACGGGTTCCACGACGTCGACGTCAGCACCGCCGTCAGCGTCTTCCCCTGCGCCACGGCCGCCTCCTGCGCCGCCTGCCACTCCGGCACAGGAGGGTCCACCCGCAGCAGCACGCCGCCCGTGCCCGTCGCGTTCCCGACGATCGAGTTGCCCGGCGCGAGCTGCGTCCACCGCTTCGCGACCTTGCGGCCGTAGAAGTTCACCGTTCCGTTCAGCACGGCCAGGAACTTGTCACCCAGCTTGAAGGCCTCGGTGACGCTGAACGAGTTGATGGCGTTGCGGCTCCCGGTGAGCAGGATCTTCGCGTTGAACTCGAACGGCCTGTCCTCGGAGTACCCCACCTGCAGGTGGCCCGTGTCCTTGACGATGATCTTGTTCGCGACCAGCGTGCGGTCCGCCCCGTCCTCAAACGTCAAGTTGCCAAAGATGGTCAGGACCTCGAGCGCGGGCGTCTCGTCGATGTCCAGCCGCAGCGTCCACCCGTTCGGGATCGTGATGTTGTCCCCCGCCTGCGGGAACCGCGGGGACCCGTCGTCGGCCTCGAGGTAACCCTCCCAGGTGGTGATGTTTGACCAGTAAAGGATGCCCTCGCGGAGGTCCGTGACCGACTCAACGATGTCCGTGCACCCGCCCACGGGGCAGTCGAACGACCGCAGCGACATCGAGCCGCGGTTGTCGCCCGCCGCGAGCACGTAGAGGTTGGTGTCGAGGCTGTGGTCGCGCGTGCGGTTGTACAGGTTGGAACGGTGCGGGGCGCCGGCCTCGGGGTACGCGGTGCGGCTCGACTGCACGCCGGAAACCGTCCAGCGGTTGTACTGCTCGTTCGTGCGAATGCGGAACCACACGTCGTCCTCGCGCCGGCCGTCGTCGATGGTGTGGATGTTGAGCGACGTGGGACCAACCTCGGGGATGATGTTCCACGAGAGGTCGTACTCGCGCTGCATCGGGACCGGGTCGCCCGCGCGCAGACACGTCTCGTTGACCGGGAACCCGAGCGGGCGGAACGGCCGCGGCACGCGGCGCAGCGCCTCCGGCCCGCACACCTCGTCGCGCGTCACGTTGTACGTCCCGACCGGCGTGTAGAACTGGTAGCCCCCGGCGTTGTAGCTCGACATGGGCTTGCGGCCGACGCGCTGCTTCGGGTGCGTCGCGTTCCCGTCCGAGATAAAGAGTTCCCGGAACCTGAGAGAGCTTGGGTTGTGGCCGTTGAGCATGAAACGGCGAACCTCGAGGCCCGCCTTGGTGATCGTGTAGCGGCCGTGGTCCGCGGACACGACGTCCTGCGGGTGGAAGATGCCGCTCGGCGCGTGCAGCGAGCGGCCGGCCTCGCCGAGGAGTGTGCCGTCGACGTCGTACAGCAGCCCCTGGAACTGCCACGCCCACCCGCCGTGCAGGATCGTCTGCGTGCCGGACGTCGAGTCCACGAGCGCCGGCGGGACCGTCGTCACGTTCGACATGTACGTGTGGAAGCCGCCCTGCTGCGACTTGCACTTCCCGCACGTCTCGAAAGCGTAGTACTGGCCGCCGGTCCACCCAATCATCGTCACGTTGTCCACGCGCATCAGCGACCGAAAGTCCGGCGCCTCCGCGGACTGCACGATGTGCCCGCGGATGCCGCGGCCCGAGACCCAGCCGTTGCTGGCCGTGCCGGTGCGCCCCGCGGCGGTGCGCGCGACGATGATGGCGCTCTTCGTCCCGGCCATCTTGTCGAACTCGCCCGCCTCGCGCATCTCGACGTGGTTGCGGTAGTCCACCACCCACGTGAACTCGATGCCGCCGCCGTGGTCCTTGCCGTTGATCTTGTGGGCAATCGGGCCGGCGCCGTTGTCGAAGACCGTCATGTTCTCCAGCTGCACGAGGCCGACCTGCGTGAGCACGACGCCCTTCACGCCGTTCTTGTACGACCGCTGCTCGCGCAGCACCGCGGGCACCGAGTGCGACGCGCTCGAGCCGCCGCACCCCTTGCCCATGCAGTCCACGCGGGCGCGCTGGTTGCTCGGCGTCGCGGAGGGGTACCACTCCGGGTGGACGCGGACGCCGTAGAACAGGTTGGAGTGCGCGGTGTTGTTCGCGAAGTCGCCCAGGGGCATGAACTTCGGGAAGACTTCGTTGTTCCGCGACGGGCCCTCCGGGTTCGTGAGCATGCGGAACCAGAACCCGTACCCGAGGGAGCCCGCGGCGACGTTGCCGTAGTAGTAGTTGAGCGGGTTGGTGATCCAGAACGACGCGGGCGTGGTGTCCGTGTTCAGCATCGCCCACGAGCGTCGCGTAAAGATCGCCAGGTTGCGCTCAAACGTGTTCTCGACCTCGATGCCGTCCTCGAGGAAGAACGCGTGGCCCATGTTGTTGAACGCCACGTTGTCCCGCACCGCCACGCCGTGCGAGCCGTGCACCGTCAGCGCGCGGTTGAACGTGTGGTGGATGGCGTTGCCCTCGATCGTCGAGTTCGTCGACCCCTGGAGGTGGAAGTGGATCGGGTACCGCCCGAGACGGAACGCCTGCCCCGCGCGCCGCACCTCGATGTTCCTCACCGTCATCGGCGCGCGCTTCCCGAGGTTGCCGACCCCGCCGTACTGCTGGCGGTACACCTGCGGGTCCCTGGCGCGCGCGATGATGCTGGAACGCATGGCGCCGTGCGTGTGCTGCAGGATGTGGGCGCCGAACTGGAACCGCGAGCTGCTCTCGTCGCCCTGGAACACCACGTTGCGCGTGAGCACGCCGACTTCGCACCGGTGGTCGAGCAGGTGCGACGCGTGGTCGACGTAGCCCTTGGGCGTCGGCGAGATGACGTTGCCGTCGAGGTCCGTGACGACGCCGAGGTGCGTGTAGCGCAGCGCGGGCGACACCGTCACCGTCGACGTGCCGTCGGTGTTGTTGGTGATGGCCGTCACGTTCACCTCGTCATGCTCGCCCGCGATGATCGAGCTCGACGCCAGCACCAGGTCGTCGCCGACTTGCCAGTTGGTGTGCGACTCGAGCGTGATCTGCGTGTCCCCCGGGTTCGCGGTCGCGACCATGCGCGTCCACGTAGGGTACTTGGGCTTGCCATGCATGATGAGCTCGCCCTCGCGCACCGCGATGACCTTGCTGCCGTACACGGGGAGCTCCTGCGTGTCCACGGGGTGCCCGTGCATCGTGATGGTCGCCTGCCCCGGGAACGGCTCCTCGTGCGTCCCCACCGACATGGTGCCGCCCAGAATCAGAATGTAGTCCGCCTGGAGGTGGATGTGCTTGCCCGTGCGGACCGCCTCGGTGTCGAAGTCGAGGTTGCCCTCGAGCACGATGAGCCGCAGCCGCGGCGGGCTCTCGTCGAGCACGACGTTCTGGTTCGCCGGCACAAACACACTGTCGCCCTCCACGGGCTTGTTCTCGAGCTTGCCGCCCCAGGTGCTGAGGCGCGACCAGAGGTCGACGTACTGGTACGTCGTGAACGTCGTGGCGGACGACGACGGCACGCGCCGGGCGAACCCGGCGCCCGACACGTGCACCATCACCGGCTGCGGACCCGCAGGCAGCCTGGCCGGTTTGCTGACGCGGCACGTGATGTGCGTGTCGTTCGAGATCGTGAGGTCGAAGCACGGGATGTCGTCCCCGATGGTCACGAAGTCGGTGTTCGTGAGCATCGTGCCCCACACGTTGATGCGCGTCCCTCCCTGGCTAGTGCCCCGGTGAGGGTCGACATTGACGATGGTCGGCGTCCGCGCCACGTCCGCGATGAACTGGCCGATGACCACGCCGGGCGTGCCGTGCGTGGTGTACAGCGTGATGTTGTGCGTGCCGGCGGGGTTCGCCGGCGTGGTGAAGGTCAGTTGCGTGCGCGAGACCGACACGATCTTCGCCGTGTCGTTGGCGACGAGCACCGTGACCTTGCTCGCGTCGAGGTCCCAGCCCGCGCCGAACACGGTCAGGTTGAGCCCTCCGGCGGTCGACCCGCGCAGGTCCGTGTCGGTCGAGAACAGGAACTGCCCCGCCTGGATCTTGATCGAACTCACCTCCAGGTTCACCCGCACGGCGACGGGCGCCGCGGCGCCGTACACGGGCGTGCGCATGAAGGACGTCGACGTGATCTGGAACGTCGCCGGGTCCTCGGCGTAGCTCACCGCCGGAACGGCCGTCTTGTTGAAGGCAAAGAGTTTGGCCTCGTACTTGGCGGCGGGCAGCGCCGGGACGTTGCACGACACCTGGAGCTCGTTCACGGCGTCGCCGGTGACGTTGGACACGGTCGCCGAGTCGCACGCGAAGGGCTTGGGGTCCACGAACACGAACGGCGCGGCGGTGCCGGAGAACACCGTCTCGTCGTACTCCGGGTCGAGGATGAGCTCGACGTAGTACCCAGCGTCGAAGTCCGCGGGGGGCACCGTGATGTTGAGGAGCAGCGGGGCCGTCAGCTGCGGGGGCAGCACGAGGGAGTCGTTGGCAAGCTGCGCGGCCGGCGTCAGCGACGACGTGAAGCGGAACGTGTTGCTGCTCCGGTCGTTCGTCTCCCTGTACCCGAAGGAAGAGCTGTAGCGGCGGAAGGGGGGGAAGTACCGCGCGCGCACGCGGCGGCTCGAGGTGTAGCCGGCCCAGGACGGCGTGCACACGAGCTCCGTGGTGGTCGTCATCGTGTAGTTGATCGCGCAGGGGTAGGATGTCCAGTCCATGTCGGCGATGAACGTGCGCTCGAGGCCGCGGCCCGGCTGGCGGAACCACGGCAGGCGCTGCGGCGCCGTCGGCGTGGTCGACGCGTTGATGCTGCCCGGCGCCCGCAGCACGCGCTGCGTCGTCTCGAACGGCAGGTCGAAGCTGTCGCCGAAGTCCGTCCGGCCCAGGAAGTCCTCGGGGAAGCTCCGGATCGCGTCCATCGAGTGGTTGACGAAGCCCGGGAGCCCGAACGCCGAAGCGCGGAGGTACTGCGTTCCCCCTCGGTTCGAGCCCGTGTCCGCCTCGTCGTAGATGTCGTAGACCTCGAAGTCGTACCGGAGGAGCTTGACGGCCCGGTCCTCGTCGCTGCTCGTGTTGTACCAGCGCTCCGCGAAGGATGCATATCCATGCGGGTGATAGTACGGCGCGATTTCATAGTCCATGTCGAACTCGCGGTCGAAGCCCGACCAGGACGACCAGGCCAGCGCGGGGGGGTCGCAGACGACGGCGTGCTCGGAGACGCCCCGCACCACGCACTCGAACGTCCCATTGACCAGGATGCGCGGCGCAGTCGTCAAATTCAGATTCTCGCCGAACAGGATCACCTTGTCTGTCGTGCGCTCCAGGTCCGGGTACGTGCTGCCCCGCTCGCGCCGCGGCGACGCGAAGAGCGCGCTCTCGACGTCCTGCGCGGACGTCCGGTTGAGCGCCAGGGCCACTTCGTCGGCGGTGAACGAGCCCAGGTACTTGCCCGTCACGCGCGGCGTGAGCGTCGCCGAGTACATGTACTGGCAGAGCTCGTTCACCGTGTTGGCCTGCTTCAGCGCGCGGCGCGAGTTCGACAGCGCCTCGAGCTCCACGCCCGCGGGCGAGCTCCACGCGCCCGACGCGCACCGGTGTGCGCTGGGCACGCCGCCAATCACCAGCGACAGCGTCGTCGACGCGCCCGGCTGCGCCGTGTACAGCCGGTCGGTCGGAATGTCCACGAGGCCGCTCGCGCCGGGCTCCCTCCACCGCATGCGCATGCGCGCCGTCCCGGTGTATTCGTAATACTCCAGTCGCAGCGAAATGAAGCCGGCAGACAGGTTGACGTCGAACTCCGAGCTCCAGACGCCCGAGCCGCCGAACGCCGAGCCGCCGAGGACGAGCCGGCAGCGGTCGTCGCAGTCCAGCCGGATGCGGTGCGTGCCTGCCGTGCGCACGTGGAGGAAGCCTTCGGTCACCGTGCCGAAATACTGCGTCTGGACGGCGCCCTGCGGGGCGCCGGAGCCCCAGTAGATGTTGAGCGAGTCGACCGTGTACCGCAGGAGCGGCTGCATGCGCGCGAAGTTCGGGAATTCCCTATCTCCGATGGTGTTGGCGTAGTACGACTGCGCGAGCTTGCCGGCGATGGCGGTCGTGACGCACTCCGCCGACCACCGCGTGGCGCGCGTCAGGCGGCACGGCGACCCGGCGATCGTCAGGCGGTTCAGCACGTTGAGCCGCGCCCACCGCGCGGCCGCCTCCGGATCCCAAATGCCGTACCCGCTGTCGAGGATCTGCGCGATTCGCGCGCCGTCCTCGCCGCCCGAGAAGCCCGCGCCCGTCACGTTCACCACGAGCGTGGTGCCGCCGGCGATCGAGCCCGTCGGGCGCGAGGCGTTCTGGCCCGCGGCGGGCGACTTGAGCTCAACGGACGTCACGATGGCCGCGTAGGCGATGTTCATGCCGCGCCCCGTGGGGCCCATGAGGGCGTCGCCGACGGCGGAGAGGACGCCGACGCCGTACTGGCCGGCCGGGAGGTCCGGCGCGATGAACTCGATTCGGCCCTGGTTGATGAACGTGGTGGTGGCAAAGTGCTTCTTGCCGTTGTTGTCCTCGATGTACACGCGGGAGTCGCTGCGGAGGCGCGCGCCCGTGATGTTCGCGACGAGGCCGCCGTACGTGACCGGCGCGCCGTAAATCCCCGCGGACGGCGGCGGCAGGTCCGCCTCGATGTTGCGTGCCAGGGGGGTTTCGGCCGTCGTGTAGCTGTAGCGGCAGGCGTCGTCGGTGGTGCCGTTGCAGTGCGAGCGCAGGGTCTCGTCCCAGCCCCAGCACTGCAGGCGGCGCAGCGGGTGCAGGTTGTCGCCGCACGACACGGCCTCGAACAGACCCTTGCTGGTGGGCAGGAACTGGCAGTTCCGAACCGCGCCAGGGTCGTTGGCGTCCGAGTTCTTCGCGCAGTGGCGCTGCGTCGTGCAGTAGAGCTCGTGGTCGTTCGACTTGGAGTGGTCCACCAGGCACTCGATCTGACCCGAGGGATACGTCGTTGAGACGGGAACCGCGACGAAGACGACCGACTCGAGGTCCCCGCGGCTGTTGTTCCGCGACGCGAAGCCCCAGCCGTCCGCCTTGAGGACCGTGCCGCCGTTGATGCTCCCTCTCACCGGCGCTATCTTTCGCACCTCGATTTGTGGTTCAAAGACTGTTGGAGCGGCCACGATGCGGCCGTCGCTCAGGTGCGCCGTCAGGAGCCACTTGCCGATCTCGAGGAGCGGGACCTCGACGAGCGTCTGGTTGCCGCCCGCGAACACCGTGTTGTTGATCACCGTCGTGGGCCCCGCCGTGCACGGCGTCACGCTCGTCGCGTTGTTCGAGGTCGAGTTGAGCGACGTCGAGTTCGCCGTGGCGTTCGCGGTCGAGTTCGTCCCGTTCAGGCACGAGGAGAACTGCAGGAACTTGGTCGTCTTGAGCCAGCTGTAGTTGCCCGAGAGCGGATGCAGCTTCACCGGCACGCGCGCCTTCTGCCACGGCATGTTCTTGAACGCCCCCACGTTGCGCGTCAGGTTGCGCGTCGCGAGCACGGGCTCCGCGGGCATCATGTACAGCCCGGTCACGTTCTTGAGGTTCAGGCCCCAGGTGACGACGGCCACCGTGGCGTTGGTGCCCGGCAGCGCGTTCTCGCTGGGCGGCGCCGCGTAGTTGTTCAGCGGCGTCAGCACGCCGGGCGCGAACATCTCCGCGGCGAACGAGTACGGCGTCGCGGACTCGAAGCTCGGGTCGACCGTCGAGAGCGTCGTGTTGAACCCGTACGCCACAAACGTTTCCGTGAACTCGCTCGCGGCGGCCAGGCGGCGACGGAAGAAGGCCTCCATCGGGTGCTTGTCCTCGACCTCGCCCGTGAGCGTCACCGCGACGCTGCGGTTGCTCCCCACGGGCATGCTTGACAGGTCCAGGAGGCACGCCAGGCTAGTGGCCGTGCACGACACCAGGTGGCACGGCGCCTCGACGCCGCTACCGCGGACCGTGACGTTGTGGCGGAGGCAGTTGCCGGCGTCGAAGCCCGAGCCGTTCAGGTTCAGGAGCGTGAAGCGGCTCATAGCGGTCGCCGACTGCGGCGTGAAGGACTGGATGTTGAGGATCCGGAGGCTGAAGGAGCCCGCGGTGCCCGACGTGGGGAGCTGCGCGAGGCCCTTGCCCTTCACGCCGACGCGCACGGGGTGGCGCCCCGCGGCTCCGCCGGCCTGGACGGTGCACGTGAGCTGCGTGGTCGTCGCGGCCGTGACGAGGCAGTCCGCGCCGCCGATGACCACGGAGTTGTCCGCCGCGGTGGCGCTGAAGCCCGTCCCCGCGATCGTGACCACGTCGCCCACGGTGCCCTGCGCGGGCGAGACGGTGGTGACGCTCGGCGTCGCAGACGCCGCGTACTCGAACCGGCAGTTCGCCGAGGGCGCGGTCGCGTTGCCGCACGTCGCGAGCGCCTTGTTGACGTAGGTGAGCACGTCGGAGCCCGTCCTCGTGTTCTCCGGCGACACGACGGGCACGGGGGCGCGCAGCATGTAGCCCGGGATCGGCAGCAGCTGCCGGCGCGAGCTGAACGTCGATAGCACCGTGGTCTGCGTGCTCAGCACGTTGGTGAAGTTCGACGTCGCCGTGATGTTCGCCGGCGCCAGCACGTACGGCACCGCGATCGGATCGAACCGAATGGTCAGGTAGTAGGACTTGCGCACGTGCTGGACGACCTCGGCGTTGGCGTTGCCGAAACGCTCCCAGTACCAGTGGTTGTTCGAGTCCTCGAAGTCGAGGCGCAGGCCCGGGCCGAACCCGAGCCCCGCGAGCGCGGTGCGCAGCTCGCCGACCGTCGGCTCGCCCGACAGCGTCGTCTCGTTGTTGTCGCCGAAGCTCACGCCCGGCCACGAGATCGTGATGGTGTCGGACGCCTGCAGGTCCTGGATGCCCGCGCGCGTGCGCTGCGTGACCGTGTAGCTGCCCAGGCCCGCGGTATCGGCGCACACAGGGTTGTAAAAGTACGTCTCCACTGCCGTCTCGTAGTACCGGAAACCGACGTAGATGCGCATCTCGGTGGTGCCGTTCGCCGAGGTCCGCTCGACGTGCACGCGGGACGGGCGGTCGTTGTCCGACACGCGGTCGAACCAGTTGGAGAGCTGGCTCTCAATGTTGTTGTTGGTGGTGTTCAGGGTGGGGATCACCAGGACGTTCAGCAGGTCCGACTGGCTCGCGCGGTCGTCGATGCGCTGCAGGCAGAACGGCGCGACGAACGTGGAGTCCGCGGCCGTGACGTTCATCTCCAGGAGCGTGCCGTAGCGTTCCACGACCACCTCCAGCCGCTGCTGGTTCGGCACGGCGTCCGGGAGCACGACGTCGGACGGCATCTCGACGCCGACGCGGCCGTGCTCGGCGCCGGACCCCTGGTGGCGCGCCAGCGAGAGCAGCACGTTCTCGCCGCGCGTGAGGTTGACGTCGGCGCTGCGGTACTTGAAGTCGTTGTACGACGAGTACGACCGCGACGAGGCGACGTTCTCGGTGACGACCTCGCCGGTCGTCCGGTTCGCGCGCTCCACGAAGAGCTCGAACCAGTCGTCGCTGGACACCAGAAAGTTGTACGTGCCGTTGGCGGGGACCTCGAAGAACGCGCGCTGCACGTCGAGCAGGTAGTCGTCGTTGGTGCGGTCGTCGTCGATGAAGCGGTTCGAGAACGGGCCGAGCGCCGTCCGGTTGACCGCCGGGGCGCCCCACGAGGGGTCGCTGGCCAGCGCGCCCGTCGCTGCGTCTAGGTATATCGCCTTGGCGGACGAGCTCGAGAGGCTGCTGCGCTTGGAGCCCGAGACGCCCCTCCAGGTCCACGTCTGCATGCCGCGGCCGCCGGGGACGAGGCCGCGGACGGCGGGCGGGCGCGACGGCGAGGCTCCTGCGGCGCGCGTCAGACAGAGCATCTCCGAGTACGACGACTGCTGCACGACGCAGTCGACGCCCCCGACGAGGACGCGCACGGGCTCCTTCCACGTCAGCGGCTCGCCCTCGGGCTCGCGCGGGGTCCGGTCGATGCGCGGGAACCCCTTGCCGGTGATGCGCAGCAGTGTGGCGCCCGCGAGAGACCCGGTGGGCGGCTGGATCGAGTGGACCTCGGGGGCAACCTGCGCGGACGAGACGCGGGGCGGCGCGGGTCGTCCGGCGCCATGCGTCTGCTGTGTTGGGGGGTGTAGAGCATTCAATTCAACGCGCAATGCGAAAGGGGGGTGTGAAGCGCACCTCGAGGAAGAAGGGGAGGCCCTCGACGTCGCTCTGCAGGAACTCGGGCTTGACGAGCGCGTCGCCGCGCGGGTTCGAGCCCGGGCCGTTGACGCGCAGGGTCACGTTCTTCACTCCCCCTGCGCCGCCGACGGGGTCGTCCTCTCCGCCGAGCTCGCACCGCACGAAGTGCAGCGACCTGGTGGCGTCGTACGTGGTCCCGAGCGTGCCGTTGCCGTCCAGGGTCCAGTCGCCGGGGAACGGGTCGAGGCTGCAGAGCGTTTCGCCGACTTTGACAAACTCGATTTCGTCCACGGGCGGCTCCGAGCTCGTGATCTCGAGGTTGTCGCCCAGCAGGACGAGCTCCCCGCCGGGCGACGGGCTTCCGGGCTGGACGACCTCGAGGTACGGGGTGTGCCACGACGCATACTCGAAGCCCCAAAAGAGGGGGGAGCTAGGGCCTGGGATTTCCGCCCGCGTCACGGCGTCAATCGAGCTGACGGTGATCTTGACGTGGAACTTGCCCGCGACGAGGGACGGGGAGGTGTCGCACACGACCTGCGCGGGAGCACGCGGGGCGGGCGCGGAGGTTGACCCTGCTGCGCTAGGTGCCGCGAGGGGCGGCGGCGAGGGGCGTTGCGCGGGAAGGCGGCCGCACCTGGTTGGAGGACGTGTAGTAGTCGATGACGTGGCAGGGCAGCTCGCCAATTGAGACCCGGACCACCGTCGTGTAGAGGTCACCAGGAATGTTCTCGCCTCGGATGATCAGCCTGCGCCAGAGTGCGAACGAGAGGGCGCGAGTGGATCAGCATGGCCGAAAGGCGCGCGGCGCCGGGCGCGGCGGGTCGTCGGCAGCCAGGGGGGTCGGGGAGGCCGTGTGCACGGGGATGCCAGTTGTCACCGCTGCAGGCCCTGAGAAGCCGCGAGTCGCCTGCTTTCTGGCGCTTTCACGGGCAGGCATAAGTCAAGCATGCGCCGGCGGTGGTTGAAGGGGGCCGACGACGCGAATACACGCCAGAGTCGGCGCTGTCGTCGCCGAGGTGAGGGCACGGCGTCGCGACCCAGCGCGGGCGTCAGAGACGGGGCATCGTGGCCCGTACGCGCCGCATTAAAGCGCGTCTTCGCAAGGCGCGCCGGGGCCGGGCCGGCGTCGCGGGCAGCGCCGGTGCGGCGGGCACGATCCTACAACGACCAGGTGAGGCTTGTGCGTGGGATTCGCACTCAAGTCGGGCCGATCGGGGCTGTCGACCTCACCTGGTGCCACCAGCGAGACTGCCGTAGTAGGTGGAGAGCGAGGTGATCTTGGGAACGTCCAGGGCGCTCGCCAGCCGCAGGCAAGCCACTGCGACTAGCAGCAGCAGCTGCACAGCCCTGCCTGCGGTCGCCATGCCGTCAGTCACGACGCGCACGGCCCAGGCAGGGCGTATATATCGTCTGAGACCCTCAGCGGTGGTCAGATCCACACGCAGCCACGCGCACGCGCGCCACTTCGCGGAGCAAGGGTAGAGGAACCAGCGCTGGGTGCGGAGAGCTCTCGCACCGCAACGACTCGAATGACGCGCCAACGCAGACTCTATGCCTGCTCGGTCGCGCTGCTGCAACAATCTGGCGCGCCGCGCCCGCCCCGGAGCCCCAAGATGCCTGCCCCCTCATCCAGAGGGTGAGTAAGCCCTGGCAAGCCCGCCCAAAGTGCCACCTGGCACCTTCTTCTCCCGGCCCCGCGCGCGCGCGCGGTCCGGACGGGGCAAACGCGCACCCGAGCGACAGGCAATACGTTGAAGACCTCGGTGCGCGCCGCTCCAGGCCATAAGTCGAGACCGGCCGCTGTCTCGGCCCTCCCCTCGTACAGCGTGCTGGCGCTCGACCGGACAGATTGCACGAAAGCCGCGGCCGTCGTCGGTCCGGAGCGGCCCGGCTGCCCGCCCCGCGTAGCGCACAGCGAGGGGGACCGGGTGCCGGATACTGGCGGCCCGGTTCCCCGATGACGTGGGTCGAAGGACGCTGTCGATGGGTGTGTGGGCGCACGCGCAGCGGGGCGACTGGGGGGTGTCGGCGCGGCGCCGGACGGGTCGGCTCGTTTCACACGGCATGCGCGCCCGGATGCGGCCGGCGGGCGCCTCGGCAGCCGCTCCGGCGTCCCGCCGCCGCCCGGCGAAGGTGATTTCACCTGGGCGGGCAGCAGGAGCTGCGCGCGGCGTCGCGCGGGCTCACGCGCCCTCGACCATGTGCCTCCAGCGCGGGTCGACCTCGTCGGGGCTCTTGGTGACCTGCGCGCGCCGGGGTCGTCGCGGCGGAGCGGTCACATGCGTGCAGATGGCATGTGAGGGGGTGTTGCATTGCGGGGTGGTTGCGGGCGCACCTGACCGCCCTCGAAGCCCAGGAGCTCGTGGTAGCGTTTCTTGATGCGCTGCAGCTGCGCGGGCGGCTCCCGCCACTCCCGCATCACGGCAGCAATGGCGCGCGCTGCGTCGGGGCTGAGGGGCGACATCTGGGCGGCCCGCCCTGGGGTGGGGTCGCCGGCCTTGATCGCTCGCGCGACAGCAGCCTTCTTCTGCTTCGCGGCCTGCCCTCGCGGCCACATGTTGTGCCGTTTCAAGATGACGCGCGCCCGGGCGAAGGCGACGGCGCGCAGCAGAGCCGCCCAGACGAACGACCAGAGGTACCGGACCGGCTCCGGGATAACGTGGTACTTGAAGTACATCGGAACGAACCAGATGGTCGCGAAAAGCGTGCTCTTGCGGCTTCGCTCTGCACGCACTCCGGAGATGAAGCCGCTCGTGAGTGGCGGTGCTCCGCACCGCGGTCGTTCCGCACGCTACGCTGGCGGACCGGCGATGTCGTGGCGGGCAGAAGAATCTCGAACGCTGTCGCGGGTTTAGCCGGGTCAGAAGCACCAGTCCCGCGCCGCGGGAGCAGCAGCAGCAGCTGGCGCAATGCGTGGGGTCCGCGGACTCACCCAGCTTCCCCGAGTCCTCGACCCACTGCTCAACGAACCGCTGCTCAATCTGCCGGCGCGACTGGTTCACCAAATACTTCTGCCACCTCCGCTCGTCGCTCACCGACGCTACTCGCACCCTGCGCTCCACCACCCGTGGCGCCCCGCAACGCGCCCTCCTCCCGCATCCTGCCCCCGCAAGCCCGGCGGATGCAGGCAGCACGCTCACGCCGGCGCTCGACTGCATCTAACCCCCGTTCCCGAGCTCCAGCCTGCGCACTGGCACTGCCTACGTTCTACAGCCCGCCGACAGTCCGCGTTCAGGCGCCGCACGAAGTTCCGTCCGCGACCACTCCCTCGCACTATCAATGCGCCGTCTGCATCTGCGCGCTGCGAGCGCCAGGGCAAAGCCTCGAGCTGCCGCAGTGGGCGCACCGCCGGCGCTGCACCATCAGACGCAGGAACGCGAGTCCCCCCCCCCTCCCCCGCGGTCCCGTCTCGCGCCGCCACCCAGTTCGCCGCTCGCAGCGCCACCCGCGAACCTCGCGTTGCGCCCCGGCCTTCCGAAACAACGCGTCACTAGTCAAAATATTAATTAAGTAGTAACATAGTCAACAGGCCGTGCGGATGCGTGCGCGCAGCGCAACGTGCCCCGCGGGCCGCTGCGCGCCTCGCGCCTGGCTCGCCGCAGGCGCTGCGCGTCGCGCGAGTCACACGGCGCGGCCCCGGCGCCAACGCGGAGTGCGGTGCGCTGTCGCTGCTACGAGTGCCAGTCGCGCACGATCTGGTCGTTTCGTTCGTTGTGCGCGGGCGCCTGCTGCGTCCGCGCGTTCGCCATCCGCTGCCCGCCCGCCGCGCCCACCCCGCGCGACTGCTCCTGCGTAGCGCGCGTCTCAGCCGCGCCAAGCATCCGCTCTCGTCGCTCCGCCTTCTCGGCCTCCGTGAGCGTCACGGGCTTCGACCCGCAGCAGCCCATGGTCTTCTCGCCCGCCGGCCTGCGCCCGGGGGACGTGGAGCGTCGTGCTCGCTCGGATCGCGGCGCATGAATGCGGTGGGGCAGTTGTGGGGCGCGCTGCTGGTTCGGCGCCTCGTCGCCGCGGTGACGCTTCTCGCGCAAGAGGTCGGAATATCCAAGGAGGAAGCGTGGGGCGTGCGTGAGGGTTGACATTCGCCCGTGATACGACGGAACGCGATGTTTGTTGCGACTACACGGCTTGCTGCGAAGCGTGGGCGGCGTGGAAGCACGAGCAGGGCGTTTTCGTGCGCGATACGGCGGGAATACGTCTGGTTCGCGTCGAGACGCGACGATTCCGGCCTGTCATCGAGGCGGGCCCCACCTGGACGCCTGTCTTGGTCCGCCACTGAACGAGCCTTGGGCTGTGGAGCTCGGTGCCCGTCAAGGGTCGTTCGAAGGCACCGCGCCGTCTCAACGATACAGTCGTCCCGAATCTGTGCCGTGCAGGCCCGCCAACGGCCCCCCTCGTGCCCAGGGGCGACACTTGTCAGGCCCCGGGAGGTCCCGCGGGCTGTTTTCTACCCGCTGGCCCGCCCAGCGTACCTGGGGAGGGCGGGCGGCGTCGCCGCCACGTTCACGGCCGTTCGTGCATATCGTTGAGTGCGCGGTTCCGCAGGAAAGAGGCATCATAGCCTGACGCTTTGTGCGAACGCGGCACGCACGGCCTCCGTTGGCGCGGGAACGGGAGGCGGGAGTATGAGCCGAATGCTCTATGACGACGACGACCCTTGGGGCGCGGAAGATCTCGCGGAGCCGCAGGTGGGCGCCACGCCCCGCCCCGCTTCTCCGCGCGCTGGCGCAGCACCAAACGCGTCCCACCACCCCGGTCGATCGGCCGCGTCTGGCCTGACCGCAACGACGCGGTCCTCCGGGCGGGCTGTAACGCGCGCGCGCGTCCGTCCTTGCCAAAGCGACCCCGAGTGTGTGCGCAGGGCTAGTCTTGCTGCTCACAACTGGCAACCGTCACCGCTGCCGAGGCACCGCGCCGCCATTTCCCCGCGACAGCGCGCGTTCGATTCCACGCGCCACTACAGACCCGCTGAGCCCCCCGTGTTCCTAGACCTGAGCTCGTGTTCGCCGTGAACCACGAACACTCGACTGCAATCGACACGCAGGAGCCCGGTGCGGCGTGCGAGGCCCGCTTCGCGACGGCCGACGCGGTCCCGGACGCCATAGCGGCTCTCTCGCACCAGCTCGCCGCGCAGGGCGTCCCAGGCGCGCTCGTCGTCCCGCACGACGACGGCTCGAACTGGCGGGAGGCCTGCGCTGCCCTCTGCAACGCGCTCCACGCGGCTCTCGCGGACCGCCAGGCGGACCTCGAGCGGTCCACGGAGGCCGCAGACCGCATCGCGAAGCTCCGCAGCGACCTCCTGCACCAGCAGCAGGCCACGCAGCGCGCCACCGCGAAGCTTGAGGCACGCGAGCGCGAAGTGGGGGAGGGGCTCGTGAGGGAGCACGCGCAGGAGATCGGGCGGCGACAGGAGCTGCACCGGCTCACGCAGGCGCACGCGGACCTGCAGCGGCGGGCGGCGGCGCTCGTGCAGCGCGACAAGGCCCTGCGGGCCGAGATGCGGCGGCGTGAGGGGGAGACGGAGCGGCTGCACGACCGCCTCGCGTCGCTGCTGCGCGAGCGGGCGCCGCCTGCGGCGGCCGACAACGGCTGGGCGCCTGCGGGGCGCGCGGGCGCGGCGCGCCGCAACGGCGGGGGTGCCGTCGAGGGCGGCGACACGCACGCGGACCTGGCGCCCGCGACGGAGGCAGACATGCTAAAGGTGCGTTGCGGGGCGCTGCGTGCGCGGGCAGTGCCGTGCTGGCCTGGCAGGAGGGGGGGGGTTCGAACGGACGGATGTCGCGGGAGGCGCGCTTGCGTTGGGTTGAATGGCTGCAGGGCGTGATTGCGGCGTACGAGGACAAGCACCGCGAGCTGCTGTTGGAGGTGCGGGAGCTGCGCGCGCAGGTCGCGGAGCTCGACGGGTCGCGCGCGGGGCGGGAGGCGGAGCGGGCGGCTGGAAGTGGCGCGGCGCTGGCGTGCTGACGGGTCGGGCGTCCGCGGGGCGCGGGGCGCTCGCGGCGTGCGTGGCGAGAGCGCGGCCGGTGCGGCACCGGTGCGGTGTGTGTTTGGGCGCGCGCTGTGTGTGTGCGGGCGCTGTGAGACGGCAGTTGTAATGAGTCTGATTCGGGCGCCGGGTTTCTGCGAGTACGGCGGCGGCCGCGGGCTCGCGCGCCGTCCTGCGAGGGGAGATTGACGCGGAGCTCGTCGCGGGCGGTCGCGGGGCCGTTTTGGTCGACCGGGACGGCGGGGCCACCCGATCTTGCCGACGTGGGGGCTGGGGGTCGTTTCGGGACCGGCCGCGCGGCTCGAGGAGGTCGCAAGGGCGGGCGGCGGTGCGCGGCGCGGCGAGTTGAGTTGTTGTTGTTCGACGACGTTGTGCCAGCGAGAGTCCCTCGCGTTCGGGCGGCTTCAGGCGTTCGTAGATACTCGTTACGACAGGATGGCTCCGCTGTGCGGGCCTTTGGTGGGTTTGCGCGGCGTGGACGACCGCGGCGCTTCGTACACGGTGACGCTTCTGATCGAGGCGGACGAGACCAATTGGGACCAGCCCGCGCTAGCGATCGCCGACACGGAAGCGGTCAGCGAGGTCGCGGACGGCGAGTTCCTGGAGAGACTTCACGGCTGGTCCGTATGGCGCTTCACCATAGAACATATCAAGCTAGCGCACAGTCCGAGACGCGTGCAGTACAAGGTTCGCAACCGCCCGCTATCGCGCTGGCAAGTGCCCGCAGTTAGGCACGGCGGGCGCGGGGCCGTAGTGGCCCGGGGCCTATCTGCAGGGGCGCACACTCACGGCATCATGCTGCGGCACACTGCAGATCCTCAAGGACGCCAATTCGCCCGAAGTCCTGGCGACAGGGTCCCTACACCTGCCCGCCTCTGACAAGCCGATGGACGTCCTTTCCTTCGCATCGAGCTCCCAGGCCGCCCACGAAATCCACCCGACTTTCCAGGTACGAAGGGCACCGCCGCGCAACGGCGCAAATCAGGGCCGCTCCCTCTCCCGGAGCTCTGTTCCTCTGCTCCGTGCCTCTCCCCGTCGCATTGACGCGCCGTGAGAGTGCGTTATGGGCGGATTCCGGGCCCTACGTCATGTACCACACTCTATGCGGCGCACAAGTACAATATTGACGCACAACTCGTGCTGAACACCAGAAACACGCGCGGTCACGTTTTGGCGTAGCGTATCCAACCTCGTAGCGCGCGCCACCAGCTGCGCTCGCCCGACGCGCAGCCCGCACGTTTCCCCCCTTGTCTATGAGATGCGGGCGGGCCCAGACGCGCGCACAACAGCCGCACGGGCCACAGCCACGTGTATCGCCACACGCTGCTCCTTTCCGCCCTCCCCCCCGGAGCTCCCGCACGTCTCTCCGGCGCTCACCGCCCGCGCACGCTCCCGCCGCGCTCGCAGGACCTCCCGAACGTCGTCGCGGCGTCCCCGCACCCGTGCGTGCTCGTCCACCTAGGGTTGCCGTGCAGCGTGGCGAGCATCGCCGAGCGCGTCGCGCGCGACGAGGTCGTCCGCGCGTGGCTCGACAGCGGCGACGAGCAGCCCAGCTACGACGTCGTGCGCGCCGCGGAGGGCCACATCCTCGCCAAACTCGCCGACGCGCTCGAATGGGCTGGCCGCGTATCTGGCGACGCCCTCAGCGAGCTGCCCGTGCTGTGGGTGCACGACCGGCCCGATGAGTTCGACGGCGACGCGGTCGCGCTGTTCCGCGGCCCGCGCGGCGCCAGGTTCCGCGCAGCGTTCCACAGGGTGACGAGCAACTTGCTGCATGCCGGCGTTGCGCAGCCTGCACCCGGGAGGCTGCCGGGCGCGGTACCGATCGGCGGCGGCGTGCAGATCCAGCCCTGGCCGCGCGGCGCGAGCGTGCGGCACGTCGCGGGGACGCCGGAGGGGCGTGCGCGGCTCTCTGTGGTGGCGTCGTTGCGGCCGCTGCTGCGGCCGACGGAGGACCGCGAGGACGCGACGGAGGAGCTCGGCGCGTACGCTGCCCTGACGAACTCGCGCGTGAGCGTCGTCTGCGCTGCGCCGTCCGGCCCGCAGGCCGCCTCGGACACATTTTCATACTCCTACAGTCCCCTGGTGGACGCGAGTCAGGACGTGCACAGCATCCTCCAGGTCGGGCTGTCTCCGGGCGGCGCCCAGCAGGGAGAAGGCGCGGGCGAGGCGCCGGTGCCGGTCTGCTACGGCGTGCGCCCCGCGGAGGTGTCGGTGCGGGCGCTGGTGGGCTTGCGCGGCGACGCCGTGCGCTGCGGGAGCCTGCAGTGGTGCAAGCTCTCGGCGACGCTGGCCGCGGACGCCGGGAAGCTCGGGCGGAGCATCGCCGTGCAAGGAAGCCGCGCCGAGGGCGCCGCGGTCGCGCGGCGCGAGGGCAGCTGCTGGGCCGCCTTGGCGGGCCGGCGGCAGAAGGTGTCTCCGAAGCTGGTGCCGCTGGGACGCGACGACCTCGTCGTGCAGCTGCACGGCTCGTTCGACGGATGCAACGCGGCAACGGACGTCTTTTTGGGCGCTGCGGCGCTGACGGGCGTTCCCGCATCGGACCGGCGGTCCCCTGCGTCAAGTCGCGCGACGACGTCCACGGGCGAGGTCACGCACATCAACATGAGCGGGCGCGTGTCGAAAGGCCGCAACAAGCTCGTGCCGCTCGACAGCGCGCCAGACGACAAGTCCCACGGCGGCACGTTGGTGCTGCGGTCGGCCCCGCTCTCCGACAACAGCGGCGTGCTCGCTTCCACGGCCACGCAGGCGGTGCAGCCGGTCGTTCCTCGACCCACAGGAGGGTCTTCTTGAACGAGCAGCGCGCCCCGCGCACTGCACAACCCCCACCCCCTCCTCCCAACCCCCCTGCAACGCCATCACGCGATCACGACTACGCGAACGGCTACGAGTGCGACTCAGTGCCAAGCATGACACGGTCGCTTGTCGCGGCAACTTTGCCCGGCGTGCCGACTAGGATGCAATACCGCCTTGGACGGCAGCCTTGGGCTGGAGACGACAGCCCCACCGCCCTTTTCAATGCGCCCGCGGCGCGCACGAGCGCGACGACACACTGCGCATCACAACGCACGCACTGCTGCTTGATGTGTGCCTCTTCATTCGGCTGGTCAGACTACTCAGCCCCGACATCTTGCAGTATCTAAGACGGTGCTCTCTCCTTCCCCCCCCCCGACTACGCAGGCCAGCCGATCACCGCTTTGCACCACGCTCAACCCCTGTTGAGGGTGGAAATGACAACTTCCTGTTCCAAAATCTTAAAACTCCAACCTCCCCTTTCTTGCACCCCTGCCGCCCCACGTGGGAAATGATCGAAGGCGTTTTCCTGGACGACCTCAGCCAGATGACAGTGCAACGTAGACGTTCGTAGATCATATCACAGCCGGTCCCTGCCCCAGTTCGCTGTGCCCGCTCAACGCCATCAAGCTGAGCCGGTGCGCCTGCCACAGACCCTTTCGTGGCGACGCGATCGCCGGGCAGTGTTGAGTGGGCCGGACCAACATGCTTGCACACTGCCGCCAGGTGCCCCGCCTGCTGGCAGCAGTGTCTCCGGCGCCAATTTTGGAGCAGACTCGCAGCCCAGTGGCGACGTTCTTTCGCAGCGAACCATGCTCGTGTGACAATCGGGCTGCAGGGGCATCGCACGGGGAGGTGTAGGCGCGACGAATCGCCTGTTGCAGTGAGATCGTCCAGCCTTGAAACCCAGGGTCCGACGGTAGCAAGGGCCGTCTCGCTCCGCTCGCGACGACACGGTGGAGCCCCGAGCCTCACTCAGCAGTACTGCGCATTGCGTCCGTCGCACACCCGCGGTGGCACTCACTCCCGCAGGCTGGCACAAGCATGCGTGCACTGATGCTCGTCAGCGCCAGGGGCCGCGCCGTGGCTGCTCGCGTTCGGCGGCGCCCGGCAGAGCGTTCGAAGCGCGACCAGGCACAAAGTGTTTAACACTGCTCGTAAATTACTAACAGTCCTGCAACGCCGAGAGGAGTCATTCTCGACGCGCCCCACGCCCGCACCCGTCGCCCGGGCCCTGCTCCGGTGGCGCCCTCGGCGGTGGCTGCGACACCTCTTGACAGAATGCAGTGGCATGGGCCTGCGCAGCACAAAGACTTGCATGTTGCTGTTGTGTCACCGAGGCGCGCCGGGCTTGCATGGCATGCGGGCAGCGCTGGCGCCTGGACGCGCGCGGTCCAGCGTCCGTCCCGGGACGGGTGCGCGGGCCGGCGCGAGCGCAATCGTTGCTGCGTCGCACCTCGCATCGCTTGTCGCCCTCGACTCGGCAGGCCTCGAACTCCGCCTCCTCGCACGCCTGCCGGTCGGCGTAGGACGAGCCTCCGCGGGGCCTGCCTATCCGCGTGAAGGCTCGGATGCGGTCGACGATCGTCGGCTTGCACTTGTTCGCCGCGGCCAGTGCGCAGCTCTGCGCCACGCCGCGCCGGCAATTCGCGCCGACGTGCGTCTCACAGGTGGCGCGAAACGACTTCCTGTGCTGCTCGTCGCTGCACGTGACGTACGGAACGGACGCAACGCTTGAGGGCGCTTGCGAGCGCCTCCAACTCGCCACGGAGTGAGGCTGGCCCCCCAGAGCGGTCACTGCTGCGGCTCGTTGCGCTTGTTCATTGCCTCTCCGCTGACATACTGCACCAGAGGCGCTGTAAGTGACTGAATGCGCTGCGCGGGCGCTCTCGGGACACGCGCCTGAAGTCCAACAGCCCGTCGGAGGTGGGGCTTCGCGGCGCGTCGCGGGGCGGGTCGAAGAACACGATGCCGAGTCTGCGCAGGAACGCGTCATCATTCGACATCCTATCCGTCAGCGCCGCCCCGCCGTCCTGCCGCCATCCGCGCTCCCTGCCGCGCCTTCAGGCCCACACACCCTATCACCTTCCCGGCACCTTGCCGCGAAGCAGAAGTCGATGCACGCGCCTACAGCGTCGCCCAGCAGCGCGCAAGACGCATCACAGCGCGCACAAGCTCTCCAAACACGAGCGCGCGACCTAGCAACTTCCCCCCTGCCCGCGTCAGTCCAACCTGACTCAGGCGCCAAGTTCTCGCGCGTCCGACGGAACGCGCTCAGGCCTGCGGCGGCGGGCTGGTGTCGCGCGCCCTGCTCCACCACATCTTCGCGAACGTCTGCGACACGACTAGCGGGAAGAGGATTGTCGCGTCGCCGTAGACCTTCACCGGGTCCGCGTCGGTGCGGATCTTGCCCCAGGAGATCGCCTCGTCCGGGCGCGCCCCGGAGTCCGATCCGTCCCACTCTGCAGCGCAGACACAGCCGGCGCGCACGCGCGTGAGGGCAACGGCACTCGCGCGGCGCTTGCTGCCAGGAACCAGCTTCCGGCGCGCGCGGGCGCGCGTGCACGGCGCGCGGCGCACCCGTGGCGGTGGAGATGATGACGCAGTGGTTGGTGCCGTTGCGCATGAGGTTGGCGTTGAAGATGTGGTGTTTCGGCAGCCCGCCGCCGAGGATGATCGCGCCGGTGCGCAGCGGCGGCTTGTGCCAGCAGCACAGGTCGTTGAGCAGGCGGATGTCCTTGACGATGTCCAGGCAAATGCCCCCCTCGCTGCGGTACGTGTGGAAGTAGAGCATGTCGCCGATGGACCCGTCAGTGAGCGCGGGGCAGAACACAGGGATGTCGTTCTTCCAGCACCAGTAGTACACCGACTCCTCGTTGTCGATCTCCTTCCCCAGCCGCCGAATCATCGTCGACGGGCTCCACCGCTCCCCCGCGTCCTGCTCCTCCTTCATCGCGTCGAGCACGGGCATCATGAACTGCTCGAACTTGACGTAGTTGTCGTTCGGCACGAGGAGATTGCCGATGCGGTTGAGCCCCTTGTGGCGCAGCTCGCGGCCCTGCAGCGCGAAGTCCCCCATGTAGGTAGGAGCCATACACTTGATCAAGTCCTCCTCGACTCCCCCCGCGGTCGTGACGAGGCAGTCGACCATCTTGTGCTTGCACAGGTACTTGATCACCTCGCGGAGGCCGGACGAGATCAGATTCGACGTGAACCCCAGGAAGATCTTCGCACCTGCGCAGGGTTATTATTATATTATATTATTATATTATTATGCAGCGTGGATACGGCCCGCGGTGGGCGCGCGCGCGCGCTGCGTGCGAAAGCGGGGCAGCTCGCGGCCGGCGCGGGCCGGCGGGCGCTGCGGAGGGCGTGTGCGGCGCAGGGAAGGGGTTGTGCGCGCACCGGTGCGTTCGCGGACCGCAGGATCCTTGTACTTGCCGTCGCAGAAGTCGGACCAGCCTTCCTCGGGCTCTCGCTCGTCGCTCAGGCGCCACGAAATCATCTCGCGCAGCTCGGCCATGACCTGCCCGAGGGATGTTGCCTGCGGGGCGTGGTCGCGGGTGATTGTCAGGCTTGGGGTGCGTCGGAGGCGCGGGCGAGCGGCGGGACGGGACCGCGAATGGCTGAGCTATCCGTGCTGGGCGCTCTTGCGTTCGGATTCAGGTCGGACTGCCGGGACGCGTGCGTGGTCGATGAGAGCTACCTGGAAGCCTGACGTCAGCATGGAGCCGAGGAGGGCGTCGAGGTCCCGGCCGTTGTCGAAGTCGTGGCCCCTCACGGTCGGCACGTACTCGGGGATCTGCTCAGACTGCACCAGCACGGCCTGCAGGGGGGAAACAGCAATGCTGCAGTTGGGGCCGCGAAAACCCGCGACGTGGGTGATCCAGCCTCAATCCGCGCCCATGCACATGGCCATGAAGTAAGGCTTCCCCTTCAGCGTGCACACGCCCTCGCTGACCGCTCCTACACCGCAGCAGGAGCCAGGCGGCACAATGCCATGGCCAGGCGGCAGACGTGCCTGGGCAGCGGGACCGGGCTTGTCGCCGGCCTTGTCCGCCATACTCGATACTTCTCTCCTGATGCGACGCGTGCGGCCGCCCTGGAGCGCGAAAGCGATGCCCTGGCAACACCTGGGCCACCCACTGCACAGATGGATGCTCCTCTCTCCTCTGACGGCACCAGCTCTCCTCGCGGGCAGCGTGCCGTATCGGAATCAACAACCTGTGCTATGCAACCTTGGCGCCCTCGGCTGGGCCTCGTCACCCGCAGGCGAGGGTACAAATGACTCATTCTGAGTTGCCCCCCCCCCGGTACAAGCAGCGTGCCACGTCAGGGCCGCGCAGTCGGGACCAGTGCCGCGAAGCTGACATCGATCGCGGGCCACGCGCCGCGTCACATGCCTCGTCTACCCACGGGCGCAGATGCCACTTTGGTGTATCATGCCGGCACAGGACATCCTGCGCCGCCGGAGCACGCAGCGCGCCCGCGTCCTCCGAGCGCGTTCCTCACTCCTCCGTCACGGTCACGGACTTGGCCAGGTTGCGCGGCTGGTCGACGTTGAATCCGCGTTTGACGGCGAGGTGGTACGAGAGCAGCTGCAGCGGGATGACGTTGATGACGCCCTGCAGGCAGTCGACGGTCTGCGGCACGCGGATGTACCGCGCCTTGTCGCCCGCGTACGTCGCGACCTCGTCGTCGCCCTCGTTGCAAATGACGATGAGGCGCCCGCCGCGCGCCTTGAGCTGCTGCAGAACGGACTGGTTCTTCGCGTAGCACGCGTCGCGCGTCGCGATCACGATCAGCGGCAGGTTCGGGTCCACGAGCGCCAGCGGCCCGTGCTTCATCTCGCCCGACAGCAGGCCCTCGGAGTGGATGTACGACACCTCCTTGATCTTCAAAGCGCCCTCCAGCGCCGTCGCGTAGTTGTACCCGCGCCCGAACAGCAGGATCGACACCTCGCTCTTCAGCTCCTCGGCGAGGACCGCGATCTGCGCGGCACGCGCGCGCAGTCGCACGGCAGTCATGCGGCGCTATGACATAAAATGCACCGCGCATGGCCAGGCGGGCCCGCAGCGCAGTTCGCGATGCAGCGGGGGAGGGCGCGCGACAGGCACACCCGAGCACCGCGACCGGGGTGAGTTTTACCGAGGGTCCTCGCACCTGTTCGTTCAGGAGGAGGGCTTTTGCCACCTGGTCCGGCAGGTCCCGCAGGCCCTGTGCGATTTCCTCGCGCCGGCGCAGCATGTGCAGGGAGTCCTGGCTGAGCATGAGCGCCATCATCGTGATGGCCACGACCTGGCACGTGTAGGCTTTGGTGCTGGCGACGCCGATCTCGGCCCCCGCGTTGACGAAGATGCCGCAGTGCGTCGCGCGGGCGATCGCCGACCCGACCGTGTTCGTGATGCCGAAGCACAGCGCGCCCTTGCTCTTCGCGTACTGCACACACAAACACAAACAACACACCCCCCCGGTTCAAGGCTCATACCAACGCCGGAGCCCCGCCGGCAGCGCGAAGTTCCGTCGCGGGGGCGTAGCACGCCGCACGCGCCGCACGGGCTCCGTCGCGGGAGCGGGGGACTCACGTGGAGGGCCTGGAGGGTGTCTGCGGTCTCCCCCGACTGCGACACGAAAACGACGGTGTCGTCGCGGAACATCGGGCAGCGCCGGTCCATGAGGTCCGAGGCCAGCTCCAGCGACACGGGCAGCTGCGTGAGCTCCTCGACGAGCTCGCGTGCGCACAGCGCCGCGTGGAACGAGGTGCCGCATGCGACAAACATAATGCGCCGGGACCGCAGGACGTTGTGGATGTTGTCCACGAGGCCCCCGAGGTGCACGAGGGACCGCCCGGCCAGCTCCCGCGGGTCCAGGCCCTGCACGCCAGACCGAGAGAGGGGGTGTGTTTGGGGTGTGATGCCATACAGGTGCGTAACAGACAGACGAATGCGACCTGCGCACCGGTGACGCCGCGAGGCCACGCGGCGCCGTCTGTCGTCCACAGTGCCGCGTCGACGCGTGCGGGGAGCGCGGGACGGACGCGAACGTGAAGGTAGGGGGGGGGTGTTACCTCTAGGGACTTGAGGTCGGCGCGCAGACGCCCCCGCATGCCCTGACCGATGGCCTCGGGCTGCTCCATGATTTCCTTCATCATGAAGTGGTCGTACCCGCCCTTCATGATCTCCGCCACCTCCATGTTGAGCGTCTCCGTCACGCGCGACGCCGGCGCGCCGCGCACCTCCGTCGCCGGCGTCCCGGACGCGCCCTCGGCCCGCGAGGACCGCCGCGCGGCCTCCGCGGAGAACATCGTGATGGTGTTGCCGGCCACGTGCACCAAGTCGTTGTCTTCCAGCACTGCCACCTGCTTCGTGTGCTCCACAATCGCCGACGCGTCGGACGCCAAGAACACCTCCAGGGGGCCGTCCGACGTGTAGCTCATCAGGTCGAACCGCGGCGCGGAGCCCCCGGGCGTCATGTGCGACGCCGTCTTGATACCAACCAGAAGCGGCGACCCGCGCTTGCACGCCACGATCTCCCCGGGGTAGCGCTTCGACTTGATCAGCAGCGCGAATGCGCCGTCGAGGCGCGCCATGACGTCCAGGACGAGGTCGCGCAGGCTGATCTTGCCCTCGTGGCGCTCGTAGAGGTAGTGCAGCAGTTTGGGGATGACCTGCGCGCGAGGGGGGGGGTGTTGCCTCGCGTCAGACCGGCTCTGTCGTCCCTGGCCGCGCAAGCGCGATGGCACGAGCGAGGGCCGGGCCGCAGCGGGCGGGAAGGCAGTTGAACCAAGCGCAGACAGGATGGAGAGATAGATAAATGATACAAGGGTGGTGATTGATGGGCGGTCGCACCTCCGTGTCGGTTTCGGAGACGAAGGTGGCGCCCTTGGAGATGAGGTACTTTTTCAGCGTGGCGTAGTTCGTGATGATGCCGTTGTGCACGACCACGAAGTCGTTGTTGTCGCCCGACGTGTGCGGGTGCGAGTTCACCGTCGCGGGGGGCCCGTGCGTGGCCCAGCGCGTGTGCGCGATGCCGCTCTCGCCCTCCAGCATCGCGTCCCACACGGCGGGGTCGTCCCCGAGGTGCTTCTGCGCGGGCCGGGTGACGGTGAACAGAGCCGCTGTAAGAGTGCAAGCCAAGTCGGGAAAACTCGAACTCGCTTGCGCGCACGAGCTCTAGCCGCGAAGGCGGCATACCGCCGCGAGGGGGGTTCCCGGGCGCTGTGCTTCGCGCTCTGCAGCGCGTCAGCGCGCAAAGCCGCGGCGCGCCGTGCCTGAAGCACGGCCGCGGGACGGCGGAGCGGGCCAGAGCGGGACACCCTGTGCGCGCTCCAGCGTTAGGGCGCCGGGGCGTTCAGGGCTCGGCGCGCCCTGCCACGGAGCGCAGCGCGCGCTCCGGGTCGCGCCATGCTCGACGGGCGCAGGGGCACCGCGGTGCGCGCGTGAGCGCGAGGCACGGGCCCGAGACGCTATGTGTGCCAGCGTGTCACCGGGGCGGGACGCGCGCTTGCCTTGACGCAGGTGGCGAGCTCATCGACCTTCCCGACGGACTTGACGATTTGGATCGCACCGTCGACGTCGAAGGACAGCCCCGCGGAGTCGTAGCCGCGGTACTCGAGGCGCCGGAGACCTGCGCTCGCATGCAGTTACTGGCGCGGTGTTCTACCGCGCGAGGACGCGGCAAGCGCGTCCCTAGGCAGCCGGGGGCCAGCCAGTCGATCTGACCATACGTGCGAGGCAGTGTTGCGCGAGATCGGCGCGCAGGGGCGCGCCGCGAGGCAGTTGCTACGCACCGTTGAGCAAGGCGTCCAGCAGCGTGCGCCGCGAGCGCTTGCACGAGATGAAATAGTACCCGAAGATGCCGCACATCTTCTACACACTGCAAAGCGCGGGCCTCGGGGACGATTCGTGAGCGCGTCGCGGGGGCGCGCGACGCCTGTGCTACAGGGGCACGAAGCCGCCCGCGGCTGCCCAGGCGCGCGCTCGACCACGCGGCGCACGCCGCGCGCTCAGGCCGCCCCTGGGACACCCCGCGCGACCCTGTGCGCGCGCCACCGCTGCGGTTCCGGCCCACCGTGCGCCGAACACCGCGGAGCAGCTTCCAACCACGCCGCACGGTCGCGCGCGACAATCTCGGGCCCAGCGGGCGCGCCGACGCAGGGACTCGCCTGCGCGCAGCGCCTGGGGCTGCCAGCGGTGCCTCGTGGCCGTCCTGCGGGGCGCCTGCCGCGATCCGTACGCCTAGGACGTTGGGTTTGTGTCGCGCTGTGCACTTTTGCCTCGAGGCGTGAACACGGCCGCCGGCGGGCCGGGCGGGCGATGCAGGCGTCGAGCTGGAAGTGCGGGGGCTCCCGCGCGCCGCGCAGCTCTAGCCCCGCGCGCATGCCGCAGCGCGTACGTCAGTTTCCTGACAGCGGGCGGGAGGGGTCACCTGACGCCGGCGGCCACGTCCGCGGGCTCGCACGCGCGCCCGCCGCCGCGGCGCGCTACGCCGGAGAGCGCGCGGCGTCCGGGCGGCCCGTGGCGCGCCGGCCCGCCGCGGCGAGCCTCCGAACAAGTCGCGACGCAGCTGCTACAACGACCGCCTTCGCAGACGGGACATCGGGTTTTCAGCTCACACTGGCGCGCCAGGGTCCCCGCGTCGCCTGCGTCGAGGCCCGGCACGCGGCCTCCCGCCCCGCTCACGCCGCGGCCGCCCACGCAAGCTGGGCTTAGGGACGACGGCTGGTTTCGGGGCGTCGGCGGGCCGGGCTGCCGGGACGATCGCCGCCGCGGTGCTCCTGGGTCCGCGTGAGGGGTCCGGGCCGCTCAGTCGCGCTCGGCGACCTTGACGGTGATGTGCGACACGCGCTTGCGGATGGGGAAGCCACGTCCGCGCGAGCGGGGCTGGAAGCGCTTCATCACGGGCCCCTCGTCGCAGTAGCAGGTCGAGACGTACAGGCTGGACTTCTTCATGTCGTTGTTGTTCTTCGCGTTGGCCGCCGCGGACACCAGGCACTTGAGCACAGGCTCGCACGCCCTGCACGCGGGCGCGAGCAGCGAGGGTGAGCGCGCCGCGACGAGCAGCTGGGCCTGAGAAGCCCCGCCGGGCCGGACCGGGCGGCGCGGAGCCGGCGCGCGCGCACGCGGGGCGGATGGCCCGTTGCCGTCAGCGCCACCCGTCGCCTGGCGGGCGGCCCGGGCGCCGTGGCGCGCGGGACCGCGCGGCGATGGGACGGAGAGAGCACGACGTACCTGTAGGGCATGTATTCGAGGATCATCAGGGCCTCCTCGTAGGACTTCCCACGGATGGTGTCGAGCACGCGGCGGACCTTGTTCGGGCTGCCACGGACGTAGCGCAGCACCGCGGCCACCTCCTCCTTCTGCACGGGCACCGCGGGGACGCGGAGGCGCGTTGGCCGCCGGGATCGTCGCGCGGCGGCGCGCAGAGGCTGCGTGCGCGGGGTGTGTGTGTGCCGCCCTGTTGCCGGCGGTTGCCGCGTCTAGGTGGCCGGCGCGCCCGGTGCGTTCGCGGCTGTCGCGCGTGCGCGTGGGCGTGCGGCTGGGAAGCGCGGCGGCGTGCGGAATGACGCGCCCGGCGGCGCGGGCTGGGCGGGTGGCTGGGGCAGCCTCCGAGGCGGTGGTGGTTTGCGGTGCGCATCGCGGCGCAGATGCGCCAATGCCGTTGCGCGATGAGGAGCTGGTTGGGGCCGTGCCCGCGCAGGGGCGTCGGCGGGCCGGAACGCGGCTTCGCGGGGTGGTGCGGCGCACCTGCTCGAGGGTGGCAGCGGCCATCACTCGCGGCGCCGCGGCGGCGACGCGCGCGACCGGGCGGGGGCGGAACGCGGCGGGCGCCGCGAAGGTCGACCGCGTGGACGCGAGGGCGCGGGCCTGCGGCCGGGCCGCGACGGGGCACATCATGAAAGCGGAGGCCATTTTATCTGCGGAGAAGCTCCGGTGCGCGCGAGGCGGGGGGGGAAGTGCTGCGCCGCTGCGTCGGGCGGAAAAGACGTCGAGGTGCGTCCGGCACGAAGACGGATTGAGCCGGGCTGAATTCGCGACGCGACGGAGGGTCGGTCGACGTGCGGGCTCCTGCTGCAGGCCGGGGGCGACTGACGCGAGCGTCGAGCACAACCTGGGCAAGAGTGAACGAGGTGATGCGCACCGGCGCCCTTCGTGCCCCGGCGGAATGCGCGGCGACGCCGTGCGGCGACGCGGACAGTCAGGGCCCAGACCCCTGCCGGGCTGGGGCCGGCGGGGCCGCGCGAGCGGTCGATGCAACGCAGGGCCACGGCGCTCCTCGCACTGTCCGACCCGCGGGTGCGAGCCAACAGGCAAGAGACCCTCCCAAAAGCCCAAACAAGCGAGCGGTGGTGTGCGGTTGCCACCTGGTGCCGCGGGCGCGACCCTGGCGGCTCGCGTGGCGATCCGGCCGCGGCGCCGCGTCGACGAGACCGCGCGGTGCTCCGCGCGCACGCCCGCTGACGCCCTGGACGGTGCTACGCGCGCTGCAGGAGGGAAATCTTGGCTGTTGGGTGTCCGAGAGATCCGCCGCCCCGTCCCCCGCGAGCGTTCGCACTCCGTCTCGGGAGGCCCCTCCTATTTGCCGGTCAGGAGGCAGGTAGGCAGCCGCGATGGGCTGTGCGGGCAGCAAGGAGCCGTCTCCCACCCAGGGGGGGCAGGCGGAGACAAAGGCCATCAAATACGAGGGATCCGTGCGGGTGAGAGCCCGCTGCGACCTCCCTCGGTGACCCTTGACCTTGGTTCGTGCGAGATACCCCCCCTGCGGCGCCGTCCGAGCGACCGACACGCGACGCGGCGCCGTGGAGTGTCCAGCAGTGAGCACGCGCTGCCGCTCCCGGCGAACGGGGGCCCGGTCGATCCGTTCCGCCCGGCCACTGCAGCTGTTCGATGACAATGCGTGTAACCATGGCTGCCGCCTCCCGCCAGCGGCGCCTCCCGCGCGGCTCTGCGCACGTTCATTGCCGCCCGGTCCGGCCCCGCTCGCCGCCCCGCAGCAGCGCACCGAGGCCGAAAAGTCGTTCGCGATGGCGAAGAAGGCGAGCAGCAAGCCGGACCCGAAGCTCGGCCTCGAGGAGATCTTCGAGTGCGAGAAATTCCTAGGCGAGGGCGGCACGGGGAAGACATATCTTATGAAGTCGATTGAGACCGGCGAGGAGGTCGCGGTCAAGGCGATCAACCGGCCGGTGCTCAAGGACCTCATGCGGCTCATCAAGCGCGAGATCATGATCCAGGCGGAGCTCGGAGAGGGCCACCGGAACATCGTCAACCTCTTTGAGGTGCTGTTGACGCCCACGCACCTGTGCCTGGTGATGGAGTACGTCCCGGGCGGGTCGCTGACGTCGTACATCACGAGCAAGTTCCCCGACAACGAGGACACGTCCGGGAACGCGCGCGGCCTGTACATCACCGAGGCCGAGGCCTGCTATTTCTTCACCCAGTTCATCAACGCCGTCGAGTACTGCCACACGCACAACGTCATGCACCGCGACCTCAAGCTCGACAACACCCTCCTCACGTGCGCCCCCGCCCGGCCCGCCCCCGCGCTGACAGCGCGTGCGCGCGTCAGCTTTGTTGCGCCAACAGCTGTGCTGTACACGCAACGGTGCGCGCAGGGGGAAGCACCCGCCGGTGATCAAGATCTGCGACTTCGGCTTCGCGAAGTCGTGGAACCCCGCGATGGCCGAGGCCGCGAACACCTCAACGCAGATCGGCACGCCCGTATACATGCCGCCGGAGGTGCTCTCCACCGGCATGTCCGGCAAGGCGTACGACGGCAAGGCCGCGGACGTGTGGTCGTCCGGCGTCATGCTCTTCGTCATGCTCATCGGCGGCTTCCCGTACGACCACACGACGAACCCGGACCCCGACAACCCTGCGGCGCAGCGCGAGGTGCTGCTGCAGCAGATCACGACGTCGTGGAAGGACTGCCACGCGCAGCCGTTCATGAAGCGGCTCGTCGACAAGCTGTCGCCGGACCTGCGCGACCTGCTCGACCGCATCTTCGTCACGGATGCCACGCAGCGCATTACGATCGACGAGATCAAACAGCACCCGTGGATTGTGCGGGAGATGGGCGCGATGCCGGAGGAGTACCGGCAGGTGCTGGACGCGCTCGCGGACGAGCAGCGCGCGATCAACCGCAAGGTCGCGCGCAACAAGCAGCTCGCGAAGGAGATTGCGGGCGCGGCGCAGTTCCGCCAAACGAAGCTGACGCGGCTGCTGGACGCGGCGCTCAAGCCCGGGAAGGTCGCGGCGATCAGCGAGGACCCGATGCAGATGACGGCCGGGGAGCAGGTCGAGCGGATCGACCTGCGTCAGGGCATTGACCACTTCGTGAAGGGCTCGGTGTCGTTCGCGAAGCTGCAGGCCGCGATGGGGCCGGACCCGCTGGCGCCGTCGACGGTGGACAAGAACCCGCGCGTGTCGGCGGTGCCGGAGGAGCACCATGAGAACGGGGGCAGCCGCGAGGAGCCTACGTCGCCCAACCGCGTGTGACGGTCGCGGAGTGGGCAGCTGGGGCGGGCGCGGCGGTGCAGCGGGGCGTTGTGACGTTGCGCGGGACTGGCGGCCGCCGCGCCCGGACTCCGCCCGCTTGCGCCCTGTCTGCGTCTCTTCTGCCGCGCCAAATCGATTGCTATGATATCATGTTGTAGCTGGTTCGTTTGATGGCTGCAAGTCATGCGAGCGTCGCGGCGGGGATGCCTGCAGGTCAGCTAGCAATCAGAGCCTCCCGTGTCGCGCAGCACGCGTGGCGATTGTATCTGACGCAATCGTGCAGGGCAGCAGACGTGTTGGTGGGGGTCACGTTGCGAGACCGTGCTCTCCGTCCCGGACGCGAACCGTCCCAGGAGACGGGCGCGCACGCGGCGCTCGGGCCCACCGACACCGCAAACCGGCCAGAGACACCAGCGTCGTTGCCAGGTTTGCACTTCGCTGACCTACAAGCACCCAGGTGCTCTGGGCGGGCTTTCTGCCACGGTCTGCCTCCGCAGGACGTCCGCCACCACCAGCGCGATCATACTGCGTGTTTCCGGAGGCACCGCACGCATCTGCGAGGCATCACAACGTCGGTGCGCCTCCACAACACCTATTGCGCAGCCCCTGACAGCGGCACTCCAGGCAAGTCTCCCTCGCTCCCGAACGCCCCCTCGCCGCCCCCAGCAGCGTCAGCGCCGCCCCCCGCCATCCCCATCGGCCCCCCCGGGGACCCCACCACCCCGTGCGGGTGCGTGTGCGGCACGTAGTGATTTTGCTTGCCCGGCTCCTCCACGCGCCACAGCTCGACCGCGCGCACCGCGAACTCCGCGCTGCTCGCGAGGCACGGCGATCCGAACGTTCCGCAGTTGTTCGAGTGCCCCTCGCGCAGGTCGCTGTCCAGCCACAGCGCAAACGCGGGGGACCCGCCCAGCGCGAGCGACTCCGCGAACGCGAGCTGGAAGAACTCGTTCGGAACCTGCGCGCCGCGGACGCGGGCCAGCGGAGCGCGGTGTGTGCGATGCTCGCAGCGGTGCGCAGCGTCACGTTGCGCGTGGGCGCGGGACGCACCTTGCGCTTGCCTGTCTTCTGCTGCCACTTGAACGCGATTTGCTTTGGCTCCAGCTGGAAGACGAACGTCTCGCCCGTGCCGAAGTACCGCGGCCGCACGTGCCAGGCTTCCGAGCAGTAGGCGCCGAAGACGTGGCCCGGCATGTCCTGGACGACGAGCACGCACGGCCCGTGCTCCGGCGACCTGCGGTACAGCGTCCCTAGGGAGAAGCCGTGGTGGTGCGTCGAGAACGTCAGCGACCAGCGGTGCAGCCGGTGGCGCGCCGGGAGCGCCGCGGCGAGCGCGTGCACGTGGTCGGCCGTGAGGATCGCCGACGGCTGGTCCAGTTCGGGCGGGTGCTCTTCCTGCACGCCGACGCACATGGACGGCACTTGGTCGGTGCGGGGACGGAGCCGCAGTCCGAAACATCCGTCTTTCGTCATTTGTGTCTTTGGGCAGGCGAGGGGCGTGGCCGCAGTGCGGCGGCGCGAGGCGGTGCTGCGCGGGCAGCGCGTGGTGCGGGCGAGCGTCTGCGGGGTCGTGTCGTGGGCCGCACGTCGGGCGCGAGATACACGATGGTATCCTCAGGCTTGGTGTGGAGTTGGAGCGCCGGCGAGCTGCCGCCGACGCGCTTGAGCCCGCGGCGCCGGAGGAGGAGCTCGACTTCGTTGTTCTCCTCCGAGCTGTCCTTGAGCTTCGCGCCGCGGCCGTCTGGCCTGCGGTGGCCAGAGAGCGCACGCCATGAGGCCCTCCGTTCGATGCGTTATGGACGGAAAACCGCGACGCGCATCGCCCCGGATGATTGCGATTGAACTGGGTCACTCGCGGGGGTGAGAATGCGCGGCGCTCGATGCGTGGCCGCCGCGGACGTCGCATGGTAACTGAATGCGACGTTCCCGCGTCGCGCCGTGGGCCGTAGGGCGCACCTGCGTCGCTGAGGGCCGCTCGCCAGCCCGACCCACGACCTCCAGTCCGACACGAAGCACGGAAGCAGGAAAACGAACGCCACAAAGTGCTTGAACAGCACGACGCTGCACCGCGCATCAACACAGCGTGGCCGACGCGCGTTTCGGCCGCTGCGAGGCAAAACACCCCGGCCAGCCCGCATACACAGCACAGCGCATCGCGCCCAAGCGGGCCCCGCGGCGCAGGCCGCCGTGGGCGGCTGTTTTCGGGGGTTGAGTGTTGTGGGCGCACATGATGTGGAGGAGCGGCAGGACGAGGGGGACGTCGTGGAGGAGCCCGCCCTGGCGCTGCCGGGCCCGTGCGCCGGCGAGCGCAGCCAGGTTCCCTCTGCTGCCGTGTCTGCTGCCGCCCGCGAGCCGCCTCGCACTCTCAGAGTCGCTGCCGTCCGCCATGCCGCCTGTGGCGGACTTCGACGGCCTGTGCCGGTTGGAGTGGTGCGCTATACCCCTCGACACGCCGACCATGGCCCTTCGCCGGCCCCGCGGCCCCAGCAGGCGCGCGCAGGGGGCACTTGCAGTCTCCGTTGGTTGGGGTGAGAGAATGTCCGCCCCCTGGCAGAAACACGGCGTATTCCCGGCGCCCACCGCAAGTCGGCGGTCAGCACGAGGCCCCGCGCCGTTGAAACTGCCCGGCGAAGCCGGCACCGGGGCGCCAGTCCAAGGATTGTACCAGCCGCGTCAGGGCCCTGCGAACGCGGGCTGCGGCCCCTTTCACTGCGTTTACAGGCCACCGCGCGGAGGCACTTTGCACGAAATGCGCCGTTCGCGCACCTAACAACCTAATAGAATCGCAACCATGGCCCCAGCAGCGTTCAAAGAATCATGAAGGCACCGCCCCGTCCTGGACGCGCGGGTCCCAGTCTCCGCATACCACGGCGCTCGGCGTGACGTCACATCGCCCACAGAGGCGATGGCGCGCAGCCGAATGCACCGAATCGCCGCAGCGCTCTGCGCTGCCCTCGCTTCTGGACAGCTGCTCCCCCCAGCACGCGCTGCGAGCCCCGGCAGCGCGAAACCCGGGACGATCGACGCGGTAGTGGCAACAACAAAGCAACCAAGTGGTCAGGTGCGCCTCTGCGTCCCCATACAGTCCACCTGTAGCGCGCATTGCCTCGCCGAACCGCCCCCGTCTCCACTCTCCCGTTCACGCTGCGCGCGCGGGCATCTCCGCGCCTCCCGCGCCCCGACAGCGTCGCCACCCGCCACCTCACCCCCGCGGGGCGCCGGTGCCGAGCGCGCCGGGCCCGCACCGCGCTGCGCCCGCAGCCTCCCTCCCGCGCCCTCTCTCGCCCACGCCTTGCCAGTTCAGTTCGCGCCCTGCGAGCGGCGCGCCTCGCAGGTGTTCGTCGGGCTCCTCGACGGCTCCCTCGTCGCCCTCGACGCGGACTCCGGCGACGAGCTGTGGACCTATTCCCTGGGCAAGCCGCTGGTGTCGTCGGCAACGGGCGCGTCCGTCGACAGTGACGCGCCGAGCCTCTTCCCGGGCACGGACGGCGCGCTGTACTACCACCGCAGCGCGAGCGCGGGCGGCGCGGTCACGCGGCTGCCCGTCAGCGTCCCCGAGCTGGTGGACGCGTCGCCGTCGGTCACCGGCGACGGCGCGGTGATTGTGGGGCGGCGCACGACGACGGTGCACGTGATCGACGCGCGCACGGGCACGCTGATTCGGACGTTCCAGGGCGGGAGCGACGAGGACGAGGTCGGGTTCGACACGTGGGAGTCGGCGCAGGCCACCGCGGAGGGGGGGGGGTATAAACCGGGCTACGTGGGTAGAAAAGAGTTCGAGCTGCGGTCAGTGGACCTCGCGACGGGCGCGGAGCGGTGGAACGTGACGTACGCGGAGGTGACGCAGCTCGGCGGGCAGGCGGGGCTGCCGGCGGACCCGGCCGCGCCCGCAGGCATGCTTGGAGCAGGGGCGGGGGGTGTGGGCGGCGGGGCGCTGGCGGCGCGTGGGTTCGTGGCGGGCGCGGACGGGAAGCTGACGCTGAGGGGCGCGGACGGGGAGGAGGCGTGGTCGCGGCAGTTCGACGCGCCGGCGGTCGCGCTGTCACTACGAGAGGAGTCTGGCTTGGTCTGGACGGAGGACCTGTCAGGGAGGGGGGGTGTTCGCGGGGGGGACGTGATGGTCGGGGAGCTGCCGTCGCTCGGCGGCGCGCCGACGATGTTCGCGCTGCCGGCGGGGGCCGGGGACGGCGCGGAGGGGGGGAGTCAGGATGGCGGGGGGGGGCGGGTTGTGCGGTTCGGCAACGACAGCAAGCTGCAGCGGGAGGGGTCCGACGCCGCGGGCGTCGGCCACCTGAGCTGCCCGCCGCAGGACGGGCCGTTCCAGCTCGCGGGCGGCGCAGACCCGAGCTACGCGTTCCTGCCGGACCTGAAAACCGGACAGCTGGGTGGCAACGCGATAGACGGCGAGGGCGTGCTGCCCCGCCTCGGCGACGGATCGGCCGGTGACGGCGCTGGCCGGGGTTTGGCGGCGGCGTTCGGCGCCGGCACGGCGCTGTTGCTTGCGGCACTCGCGGCGCTGGTCTGGCGCGTGCTTGCGCCGCGGCGCGGCGCTTCCGCGGGCACGAGGGCGCGCGAGGCGGAGGGCACGAAGGAGGAGCCGGTCGAGGATTCCGCGGCGAGCGGGGACGCGACGGATGCCTCGCAAGCGGATACTGGCGGTGGCGGGACCGGGGAGGGCGCCGGCTCGAAAGCCGCGAAGAAGCGCGCCCGGAAGAAGCGCGCGGCGGCCGCCGCGACCGCCGTCGAGGTCGCGGCGGCGAACACGGAGGACCCGCAGCCGCCGCCGGCGTCCGCGCGGACCAAGCCGAGCGGCGTCGGGCACGACGGGCGCACCTGGGTGGGCCGGCTGCGCATCGACGAGAGCAGCGCGCTCGGGTACGGCGCGAACGGGACGATCGTGTTCGAGGGCGAGATGGACGGCCGGCCCGTCGCGGTCAAGCGCCTCCTCCGCCAGTTCTTCGACCATGCTGAAACGGAGATCGGCACGCTCATCCGCGCCGACGACCACCCGAACATCGTGCGGTGCTTCGCGATGGAGGAGGACGAGCGCTTCGTGTACCTCGCGCTCGAGCGCTGCAAGTCGTCGCTGCAGGAGCTCGCGGACGTCGCTGCCTCTGGCAGCGTCGCCAACGCGGAGCCGGCCGTGCGTCTCGTCGAGCCCGTGTCGCGGGAGCCGACGGCGCTGGCGATGCAGCTCGCGCGCGAGATGGTCGAGGGCCTCCGCGGCCTGCACGCGCGCGGCATCGTGCACCGCGACCTCAAACCGCGCAACATCCTTCTCACCGAGTCAGGCCGCGCGAAGCTGTCAGACATGGGGCTCGCGAAGCTGCTGGTGCCGGACCAGTCGTCGTTCGCGTCGATCGGCGTCACGGGGTCCTCCGGGTGGCAGGCGCCGGAGCAGGTCGCGAGCAGGACGCTGCCCGAGCACGAGCAGCGGGTGGGGGCCACGCGACGCCTCACGCGCGCGGTGGACGTGTTCTCCCTCGGGTGCGTGCTGCACTACGTGTGTACCGGCGGGCTCCACCCGTTCGGGCGGGACCTCGAGCGCGACACGAACATTATGGCGGGCAACGCCTCCGTGGTGGCGCTGGGACATATGCCAGAGATGCAGCACTGCGTGCTGTCGATGGTGCAGCGCGACGCGCGGGACCGGCCGAGCATCGAGGCCGTCGCGGCGCACCCGTGCTGGTGGACGGCGGAGAAGCAGCTCGCGTTCCTGATCGACCTGTCGAACCTCGTGGAGAACGACGAGAAGGAGGGGGGGGGTCTGGGGAGGACTTTTGAGGAGGCCGCCGCGGCGACGATCCCCGGCGGGAACTGGACCGCCGCCGTCGACGACGTGCTGCTCCAGAGCCTCGCCGCGCACCGGCTGTACAACGGCGGCAGCGTGCGCGACCTGCTGCGCGTTGTGCGTAACAAGGCCTCGCACTGGAACGAGCTGGCGCCGGAGACGCGCAGCGTGCTCGGATCGTATCCCAACGGCTTCGTATCCTACTTCAAGCAACGGTTCCCGATGCTCGTGCTCCGGGCGTACTATTTCGCACTCCGGCACGTTGCGGCGCAGGAGCCGGTCAACCGGCACTTCGCGGACGCGGCCGCGGCGGGGCTGCTGTCCAGCGAGGCGCTGCTCGACCGGCTCACGGCCGCAGGGAAGGCCGGGGCCAAGGCGGCGCCGCCGACGGCGCCGCCGCGCAGCGAGACGGCGGCGGCGCCGGGCCGGGCGGGAGGGGCCGGGCGGCGGCGGCGGCGTCGGCGGGCGCGGAGGCGAGCTCCTCGCAGCGCGGCGGCGCGGCGGCCGAGGGGCCGAAGGTGTGGGAGGTGCCGAAACTGCCATCGCGGCCCGGCGCGCGGCAATGCCAGTTTTACATTCGCACGGGGTACTGCCGGTACGGTCTGCAGTGCCAGTTCGACCACCCGCCGGAGCTCGCCGTGGAGTACAACGCGTACGGGCTGCCGATCCGGCCCGGTCAGCCGAACTGCGACTTCTTCCTCAAAACAGGGAATTGCAAATATGGTCCAATGTGCAAGTTCAGCCACCCGGACGTGCAGTTCGCGGGCCAGCTGCCCGCGCACATCGATCAGAGGGTGCGGACGATCATGGCCGACGCGCCGTCGAACCTCATGGCCTGACAGAAGCGCCATTGCCGCCGCGCCTGCGGTGTGTGTGTCCCCTTGCTCGCTCGCGAGCGCCTCGGCGTGCGGCGCCGCGTGGGCCGCGTTCCGCGGGCTGTGTAAATACGTGCGGCCGTCACGGCGTCACAGCGACCTGCGCGCGCCCTGCGCCTGGCACTGTGCAGGTGTGTGTGTGCCGTCGCTCGGCCTGCCTGCCGCGAACTGCTGTGCGAGGCTCGTCCGCCGTACACTCGCGGCCTTCGAGCCCCCTCGCGGCGCGGAGCATTTCCTCCGCATGTAGGCCTTTGAGCACCCTAGCAAGCTCCTTGAAAGCTGTTCAACACGACAGCCTAAATGCGCTTGCGCGCGCGGTGCTGGGCCCGCTTCTCCGCCCGAGCTTGCCGCTTCCTCTCCGCCTCCGTGTCCGGCCGTCCGGCGCCGGGCAGCTTCGGCCCACTGCCCATAAGCTGGAACAGGAACACCAGCACCAGCGCAGGCACTGCAACGCACAGAGACTGCCGGATCGAGCGTGACACGCACGCGCGCAGCGCGCCCGCTCGCGCGCGGAAGTCGTCCCTAGCGGCCGCCGCGGTCCGTTCGCGCGCGGGGGGGGGTGTGGGACGCACCACACAGATACAGGAGCCATCCTTTGTCCGACAGGAGCGATACAACAAACGTCAGGGCTGTGATGTACAACACGTCGTGGTAGTACCCGACCATGCCGCCCTGCGATTGCGGCGCACGGCGGCCCGCTCCGTCGCGCGCCCTGCCCCCGGTGCGTCATTGACAGCGTCGCCAGCGTGTGAGTGTGCGGGGGCGGCGCGGCACCTGGGAGAGGTTCGTTCCGGCGTCCGCGATCGTTCCCGTCTCGTCGTAGATCGGGACGGCCATTCTCCGGAGCGAGCCGAGCAGCGTGCGCGACACAGCGGCCGCGAAAAGCGCCATGGCAATCAACGTCTTGCTAGTAGTGTGCCACTGCAGCCCGAACCGGACCACCGCGTACACCGCCGCCGGCAGGTACACGATCCATGTGAGAATCGCGAGGCGCCTGTTGTTCGCAGCGACCTGCTGCTTCGCGCCCTGCTTGGCCATCGCCCGGAGAGGTGCCGCTGCGGATCCCGCCCGACGCGTTCGCCTCTCGGGCGCAGCGGTGGAACGCGGAGCGCCGCGCGCGCTCCTGCCCCGGTCGAAGTGGAGCTGCTCGACGTGGAAGGGCCGGCTCGGGCGCGCCCCGCGGCGTGGGCTGCGCGTCTGGGGACCACGTCTCTAGGGGCCGCGAGAACAGGCCGCGTGCGCAACCAGCGGGCTGTTCACCGGGGGGACGCGCAGGTCAGTCGATGATGGCGCACGCGCGCGGGCGACCGTGGCATTATATCTGCCCGACGCGTCGCAGGGGGGGTCTACAGGAGGCGATCGTTGGTGGACCGTCCGACACGGCGTGCGCTCGCGCACAAAGGCGGGCGCGTCCGGCCGACCGCCCGCAGAGCGAGTTCGCATATTACTTTCATCGCAGGGGCGGAGCGCGTCACCGTTGGTAGCTTCTAGACGACGGCAACCGCTTGGATCGAGAAAAGCGACCCTCGATAGACCGTTTCCGCGATGGCGTGCGGTGGCTGCGCGATGCCATCGCTGGCGCGCCGGACGGGGCGCGCCACCGCTGCCGGGAGGGCCGTTTCGGGGGGCTGCGGCGCCGTGGTGCGCCCCGGAGCGCACGGACACGCACTGCGCCCCTCCTCTGTCGTGGCCCTGCGCCGAGAGCTCCGGCTGCGGGCACAGGCGAGGGACGCCGAGCTCTCGAGCTCCGAGACCTCGCCGGCTGAGACCCCGCGCGAGGCGGCGGCGGGCGGGGAGCCCTCGCAGGGCCCGCGACCGGCGCCCAAGGAGCAGGCAGGATCCCGCCTTCCAGGTTTGGCCGCGGGCACGGCGCTGCTGTCGGGCGCGGGCATCATGGGCACCGGCTTCGACGTCTCCGGGCCGGGGTCGTACGCGGAGGCCATCCTGGTGCTCTGTGCGATCGTCGGAATCCACGAGTTCGGCCACTTTTCTGCCGCGCGCTCCCTCGGGATCCACGTCAACAAATTCTCGATCGGTTTCGGGCCCATCCTGGCCGCGTTCGAGAAGGACAACGTCGAGTACAGGTGAGCCGCCGCGCCCGCCTGCCCTGCCACCGCCCTGCGCGGTCGCGCCGCGCGCGCCCCGACCTGAGGCCTGGCTCGGCGGGACAGGGTCCGGGCCTGCCGCGACGCGCCAGGCGGCGGGGGCGGCCGCGCGCCGGCGCGAGGGGCGGCGCATGTGCGTAGCCGGCCGCTGGGCGCGCGCCGCGCGCGCGGTGCGGCGGTGCGGGCGCGCGCAGCTGCGTTTGCCACCCTCGCACACAACCTCTCATCGCGGTGCGTGTGTGCGCGCAGCCTCCGGGCGTTCCCGCTGGGCGGCTTCGTGGGGTTCCCGGACGAGGACCCCGACTCGGAGTTCGAGCCGGACGACCCGGACCTGATGAAGAACCGCCCCGTGCTGGACCGCTTCATCGTGACCAGCGCGGGCATTGTGGCCAACGTCATCCTCGCGTGGTCGGTGCTTTTCGCCCAGTTCGAGGTCATGGGCACGCCCGACGTGACGTACAAGCCGGGCGTGCTCGTCGCGCAGACGACCGAGACCTCGCTCGCGCGGCAGGCCGGCATCCAGCCTGGGGACATTATCACGAAGATCGGCAGCTACAACGTGGGGGCGAGCGAGGCGGCCGTGAACGAAGTCGTCCAGACCATCAGGGATTACGCCGGGCGCGACCTCAACGTCGAGTACCTCCGGGGCGGCGCGCCAGGCTCTCTCGTGCTCCGCCCGGACCCCGCCGTCGGCCGCATCGGCGTCCAGCTCGGCCCGAACGCCGACGTGAAGCGCGTCCCGGCTCCCTCTCCGCTCGCAGCCGCCAACGCGGCCACCGAGCAGACCTGGAAGCTCACCCGCACCATCGCGAACGGCCTCGCTATGTTGTTTAGCAACTTCAGCCAGTCGGCACAGCAGCTCTCCGGGCCCGTCGCGATCGTCGCGGCCGGCGCGGACATCGCGCGCGCCGACTCCTCGGGCCTCGCGCAGTTCTGCGCCGTCGTCTCGCTCAACCTCGCCGTTGTTAACGCGCTCCCGCTCCCGGGACTCGACGGCGGGTACATGGCGCTGCAGGCCGCGGAGGTGCTGCGGGGGAAGAAGCTGCCGAACGAGGTGGAGCGGGGGATCATGGGCACGGGGTTCCTCATGCTCATGACCGCGGGGCTCGCGCTCATCGCGCGGGACACGGCGAATCTGATTCAGTGATAGCAGGATCAGGATCATAGCATCGTGATCAGCCAGCCCGCTGCGCGCGCCCACCCGCGCGCCCGCAGGATCGCAGCTGTCCATATCTCCCGCGGCCCGGGCGCCCTCGGCGCCGCTCGCGGCCGAATGGGCATGTGTTTGTAACACTCTGACGTCTGCGGCTATTTTGAATCGTAACGGACCCCGCGGCGCCACCGCCCCGCTCCGCCCGAGCCTCGCCTGCGTCTCCCCGCTCCCCGCACGCGTCTCCCGGGCCTCAACCACCCCCACATCCCTCGCGGCACCGTTCAACAACCTGTGTGCAGCTCTCCTCCGTTCCAACACGCAACCGCCGCGACGCGCGCGCTCCGCCGCACGTCCCTCACACCGCGCTCACTTCCTGCGCTTGAACTTCGCCTTGGACTTGAACGCCTTCACGCCCTTGCCCCCGCGCCGCAGCCTGTTCTCCTCCGCCTTGGACACCCCCGCCTTCGTCTTCGGCGCCCGCACCGCCCGCGACCGCCCGCCGCCGGCGTACACCTTCGTCCGCCCGAGCTCCGCGAGCGCGTCCTCGCCCGCCCCCCCCCCAAACAGCCCCCCTTTGTCACCCTTCTTCTTCTTCCGCTCCTGCTTCTTCGCCCCGCCGCGCGCCGCCGCGACCTGCCGCGCCGCCACCTTCGCCGCCATCCCCGCCGTCATCCCCTGCGCCATCAGCTGCTTCTGCACCGACTTCAGCCCCCGCGCCGCCCCCTTGGTCCGCTCCATCTCGACCTCCTCCGCCGACAGCTTCCGCCGCTTGATTCCCGTCGCCTCCTCCCGCTGCCGGTCCTTCAGCCGCTGCATCTTCATCTCCGCCTTCCGCGCCATCTTCGCCGCGCTCTTGTGCTGCTGCGGCGCCCTCCCACCCTCCGCGCCCGCGCCGCCCGCGCCCGCGTCGTCCTCGCCGCCCTCCACGCCCTCGCCCGCGCGGTGCTTCTTCCCCTCGCGCTTGTCCTTCTCGCTCTGGAACCACGTCCGCGCCGGCCGCGCCATGATCTCCTGCTTGTGCGTCAGCATGTTCTCCGCCTTTGCCACCTCCATCTCCGCCTTGCGCAACGCCCGCTCCTCGCGCTCCTCCGCCACGATCGCGCGGTAGTCGTTCTCCAGCCGCTCGAGCTTCTTCTGCCACGACGCGACCGCCGGCGCCGGCACCACGCGCGCCTTCAGCTCCCCCGCGCGCCCGCCCTTGGTCACGCCCTTCACGATGGCCTTCAAGGCCGTGCGGTCGTCGTCCGTCGCGATCGTGACCGCCACGCCCGCGCGCCCCGCGCGCGCCGTGCGCCCGATGCGGTGCAGGTACGTCGCGACCGACGGGGGGCAGTCATAGTTCACCACGGACTCGACACCCAGGATATCAAGTCCTCGGGCCGCCACGTCAGTGCAGAGCAGGAACGCGACCTCCCCGCGGCGGAACCGCTCGAGGCTCTCGAGGCGCGCGGCCTGCGTCATGTCGCCGTGCAGCTCCGCGGACGCCGCGAGCCCCGCGAGCGCGAACAGGATCTTTGCGCGGTGCGCGGCCTGCTTCGTTTTGAAGAACACGATGGTCCGCCCGGCCGCGAGCGACCGCGAGCACAGCGCGAGGAGCACGGCCTCCTTGCTGCCGGCGCCCGCGCGGCCCCGCAGCCGCACGACCTCCTGGCGGAGGTCCTTTGGCGCCGCGCCCGCGGCGTCGGCAGCGATGCGGACGGGCTGGTGGAGCGACACGGCCGCGAGGCGCTTCACGGACTCGGTCATGGTGGCGGAGAAGAGAATCGTCTGGCGCTGCTTCGGACACAGCCGGACTATCTCGTGCAGTTCGTCTGCGAACCCCATATCGAGAAGGCGGTCCGCCTCGTCCAGGACGAGCGTCGACAGGTCGTCCAGGTCTGCACGCAGCGGGGGGGAGGGGCGCTGAGAGTGGGCCCGGCGGCCCGCGGCGCGCTCGACGGGCGGCTGGCTGTCGTTCGCGCGGGGCAAGATGTGTGTCGCGATGAGCGCAACAGGTGTGCTGTGGTGTGCTCTGCGGCCTTCTTCGGACCGATGCGGTGGATGGATGGTCGGGGCAGGGTGCGAGACGCACCGCAGGCGCGCGAGTTGCGCAGGATGTCGATCAGGCGGCCCGGGGTCGCCACGACGGCCTCGGGGCGGGAGCGCAGAACGACCTCCTGCTCCCTGAGGGGCAGCCCGCCGACCGCGAGCGCGGCGCGGATGTCCGTGAACTGCGCGAGCTTCGTGATCATCGAGTGCACTTGCACCGCGAGCTCCCGCGTCGGCGACAGCACTAGGAGGTGCGTTGCGGCGACCTGCTTGTTCCGGAACAGCATGCGCTCGAGGATCGGCAGCGAGAACGCGGCCGTCTTGCCCGAGCCCGTGATCGCGCTGCCGCAGATGTCGCGCCCCGCCATCGCCAGCGGGATGCACGCTGCCTGGATCGGCGTCGGGGCCTTGTAGCCCAGCGCCGCGCACGCGCGCACGAGCGGCCGCGAGAGGTTCAGGTCCGCGAAGGACTTGGCCGTGAACCGCGTACCGCCGGGCGTCTCCGCGAAGTATCCCGCCTTGCCTGCACCCGCCCCCGCACCAGCACCTTCTTCGTCCTCGTCATCGCTCTCGCTCTCGCTCTCGCTCTCGCTCTCGCTCTCGCTCTCCTCGGAGGAGCTCGACTCCCCGCCGTCCTCGTCGCTGCTCGCGCCCTCGCTTCCGCTGTCGGCGACGCCCTCCCCCGCAGCAGGCCCCGCCGCCGGGGCGCCCTCCTCGCTCGCCTCCTCGCCCGACGCGTCCTCCTCCTCGCTGCTGCCCCCTCCGCCGCTCGACCCCTCCCCGGCGTCGCTTGACGCCACGTCGTCGTCGTCCGATGACGCGTCACTCTCGCTGTCCCCGCTCGCGTCGGCCGCCGCTCCGCCACCGCGGCCGCGCCCGGCCCTGCAACGACCGAGCGGAAACGAAGCAGCCCTGAGCGCTTGAAGGCGCAAAAATCCATACAACACTTGGTGGGGAGTGATGTGGATTTTAGTAGGATTATAGTACTAGGAATTATGTGCTTGTGCGCGGGAGCGGGGGACCGACCTGCCCTCGTACTTCTCCTCGATGTCGCTGTCGTCCTCGGAGCTGTCGCCGTCCGACCCGGACTCGTCGCCCGAGCTGCTGGCGTCGCCGTTGGCCGCGGCGCTGGCCTTGTGCGCCCTGACCTTCTCGTCGACGGTCGTGCCGCGACTCGCCTTGTCACGCTGGGCGCCTCGCATGGCCTCTGCGTTTGCGCCGGGCGCGGGGACGTGGGCGCCGGACGTCTCCTCTTTTGCAGATGCGTTCTAGAGGTGAAACTATCGACGCGGGGACAGCGCCTGGGATTTTTAGAGGCCGCAAACGCCGCGAACAAGGAGTAGAAATGATAAGCAGGGTGTAGGCGTGATTTTCCTGCGGTCAACTGGCCGGAATTCGTCGTGGCTGGCCGGGCGGCTGCCTTGCGGAGACGCAGCGCTTCGCTGGCCCGTGAGCGGCGCGGAGGGCGTTGCAGGGATGCGGGAACGTCGTCTCCAAGCAATGGAAAGCACACGGTGGTCTAGGACCTGAATGTGCCCCCGCGGCGCGCGTGCTCGCGCGGCACGGCGCTGCGCCTGGCGGGCTGCGCAGCCCTCTCTGTGCCGCACCTGAGAAATCCCATGGCGCCTGCCCGCGCTCCTCGCCGTCGCCGATGTCGAACGTGAAGTCGGCGGCGAAGTCCCCTCCCATGGCGTCGACCGCCTATCAGCCGCCAGGCCACCTGCGCACACGTGCAGCCTCCCCACGCCCGCAGCGGCTGAGCTGGCCGAACGGCCTTCTGGTGCGCTCGTTTCCTCGCAACCGCTATCAGCGCATTATCCCGCGCGGTGTGCCGGCGCTCGCGAGCACTGCCTGCTGCGGCAGCATGAACAGTGAACGTCTGCCTAGACACCGCTGCGGCCCTGTGGTCGCAATGGCGCACTTCCGGATCCCTGCGGACTGCGCAGAGGGCGAAGCGTCAGCGCGCATTGACGCCGGCTGCGTCTGACGCCGCAGTCTGCGGCAGACACGCCCCCCTGTGCCGTCCGGGGGCGTCTGTCGTGCCAGCCCGTCGAGCGCCGGCATCGGCAGGGAGCGGCACGGATGCAGCGCAGACTGCGCAAGCTGAGCAGCCGCATCCGTCGCAATGCCCGCGTCCGCCGCGTTCACCGCTGCCATCGCGGCCAAGCCGGTCGTGCGTCCAACCAACGCCAGGCGCTCGCTGCAGGTCTCCGCGAGCGCTGTTCCCGAGTCAACGGTAGGAACACGACATACCCTCCATCGTCACAGCGTTTCAGCGCACCACGCACCTCGATCCGTCGTGGAGGCGCCCCTGAGCGCAAGAACCAGCTGCGTCGCGCGCACCGCGTGCACGTCGCACCAGCGCCCCGATGCGCCACGACCTCGGATCCGTCACTTCTCTGCCTGCTCCCGCAGGGTCGCCGCGCAGCCATCGCCGGCACGGGCGCGGCGCTGTTCGCGGCCACTGCAGGCCCGGCACTGGCAGCCTACGGCGAGGGCGCCAACGTCTTCGGCAAGAAAACGAACGTCACGGGCTTCCTGCAGTACGCTGGCGACGGCTACTCGATGCTCGTCCCCAGCAAGTCAGTCCAAACCCCCCCCCTTCCGCCGGCAACACACCACCGCACGGACGCTCACGGTCCAGCGCGCCGCCCGCGCCGCGCTCGCAGGTGGAACCCGAGCCGCGAGAAGGACAACCAATACGTCGTCGTGCGGTACGAGGACAACGGCGACCAGGCCAACAACCTGTACGTGTCGGTTGAGCCTGCGTCCAAGGCCGACATGAGCGAGTTCGGCGAGCCCCTCAAGTGGCTCGCGTCGAACGCGCTCATTCTCGGGCAGCAGAGCTGGGTCGGCGACACCGTGAGCGAGGGCGGGTTCGCGCGCGGCGCCACGGCGAGCGCGTCGATCCTGGACGTGTCCGACGAGAAGGACAAGAAGGGCAGGACGGTGTACAGGCGAGTGGATGCGCCGTGCCGCGCGGGCGCCGCGTCGGCGGGGCCGTTAAGGGCCTCTCGCTGCCCCGGGGGGTGTCCTGGACTCGGTGCGACAGAACAGGGTCGTGTTTGGGGGTGTTTTGTGGCCTCGCAGGTACCACGTGCTGACGCGGTCGGCGGACGGCGACGAGGGCGGGCGGCACATTCTGATCAACGCGGTGGTGTCCAACGGGAAGTTGTACGTGCAGAAGCTGCAGGTTGGCGACAAGCGCTGGTTCAAGGGCACCGACAAGTTCGCGCTGGGGTCGTGGGACAGCTTCACCGTGGCGTAGGACGGACGCGGGGCCGTGAAGAAGTCGTTGCGGCTCGTGTTACATCTCGCGCGCGCGCGCCGGACGGCGACGTTAGTCGTTGCGAGGGATCGGACGATCCGCTAGGGTCTCACTGCGTGCTACGCAGCCAGAGCTGTGTCTCCGGGTGCAGCGCGTGTGGGGGTCGATGAGGAGCGTGTTGAAAGATGCAGAGCAAAAAAGTTCTTTTTATTTTTATTTGTTTCTACCCCTCTCTCGAGGCGAACAATTAGAAGGAGAAAGAATGTTGGGCCTACTTCTTCGAGATGGACCGCATGATCTGCGCCTCGGTGCCGTACCGGCAGCTCGCGGCGCGGAACAGCTTCCCCTGCACGCGTGGCGAGCGCGGCGACCCCGGGCCGTCCCGCTCGACGACGGACGCGGCCTTGGTCAGCCGCGAGCGCACCACGCCGATCGCGCTCGGCGACGTCGCCTTCTCCTGCTTCATCGAGTCCGCGCGGATCACCACGGGCGCGCCCCGCACCGCCGGCGCCGCGTTGCGGTTCGCGGCGTAAAACCGCGCCGCGAGCCTGTCGTGCCGCGACGACCCCTCCGCGCTCTCCTCGTCGTCCTCGGGCGCCTCCATCACCTCGGTCGCGTACGTCCGACCGGACTCCCCCTCCGCTCTGCTCACTTGGCAGAATTCGCGCTCGGTGGCCGCCTGGGACGTCCGCGGGCCGTCGTCGGACGTGCGCGCAGGCGCCTCGTCTGTCGTGCGCTTCCGCGCGGCGCCGGGGCCGTCTTCGTCGTCCGAGAGGGCTGCAGCGCGGCGGTGCGAGCCTGGCGGCATTAGGTAACTAGGTTGCGGGGGCGGAACGTGGCGACTGCGGGGCTGAAACGCGCAGGTAGGGGACGTGAATGGTCACGAAGGCTGCGTCTGCGCTGCACGTCTGCGACCTGGCCCGCGAGCGGCGGTGCCGGCGCCCGCTGGCCAAAACGTTTCCGTGCCACTCCCGCAATCGGCCCGTCCGAGGCATCGACGAGAGTTACCGACGACGGGACGGGATGCGTATGTGAATCATCCTGCCGCAGCCTGAGCGAGAGCCTGAGCGAGCTGCTGAGCGGGCCGCACGGCGCTACCGAGCAAACACGCAGTCGGTCGCGCTGCGCGGGTGGCACAGCGCGCCAGGCGCGTGTTTTTCCCGCGGACCGGATGCATCGCTTTAATACGAGCGCGGCGCGGCGCGGTCGTCGCGTGGCGCCGTCGGTGCTCACCGACAGAGAAGTCCTTGCGAAGCATCTCCGTGAGCTGCTTCAGGGGATTCGAGTACTCCGCGGACTTCCTCGGCGGGAAATCGCCCTCAGCTATACTGAACGGGTCCATGGCGCAGACGACGACGCGGGGGGGCCACGGGAGGCTCGCAGAGAGCGTGCTCGTCTACACCGAGCTCGAAGAAAGCGGACCGTCGAACGGGGCCGTATCAGAGAGTTTTCAGAGGTTTTAACGCTCCTCGTACAGGTCCGTTCCGACTGGCCGCGTGGCGCCGCGGGCCAGCCCGATGCACAGCAGGGGGGCCCGCCCGCCGCCAGGACACCTTGCCTTCACGTGTCGCCAACAGTCCACCAGCGGCAGCGACCGGGGACGCCGGGGCGGCGTGCGCGGGCGCTCTCTGCGTAGGAAACGCTCCGAACATTCCCCCGCGCGGGGTTTCGTAGCCCTGCGCGGCCGCCCCGGGGCGCACGCGGGGTCGCCAGCACCTAGACGGCCCCTGGTGGGCAGACCGGGCCGCCTCGGCTCGCGCAACGGGCACGACACGCGCCCGCGACCCCCGCCGGCGTGCGGATGTCCAGCCGCGGCGGACATCAGAGCCGAGGCGACGCACTGGGGTTCCTTGTTGCTGTCCATACCGACAGGTTACGACAGGCGTGAGTCACACTCCCGCGCGCATCAGCGCGTCGGCGCGACGCGCGCGTCATCGGAACGAGTTCAGATGGCGGTTGCTGCGCGTAAACAGGCGCAGACTAGCCTTGGCGTGGTCCTGGGCGGGCTTGGGGCTCTCCTTGGGTCTCGGGCTCTCGGCGCCGTCTTCCGGCAGCTCGATGTTGAGCAGGCGGGCGGACGTCGTCCCCGCGAGGCGCCCCGGCGCCGCGGTCCCGATCTTGCGCCCGTCCGCGTCGACGACGACGAGCCCGAGCCTCAGCGGCGGGACGCTGTCCGAGTCACCGAACCGTTTGGCGTACTCGGTGGCGAGCACCGGGCGCTCGTTCGCGAGGAAGTGGCGCTTGCGCGCCTCGAGTTCGGCGCGGCGGATGGAGGGCTGCGCCTCCAGGCGCCGTGTCGAGGCTGGAGTGTGGGCAGAGTCGGAGGCAGCGGCGGGCGAGTGCGGCACCGAGGCGGTGGCGTCGCCGTGGTAGGTGTGCGCGAGCGCGAGGTCGACGTCGTCGGAGTCTGCGGGCAGCGGAGACGGTCGGTCGTCGCGCGAGGGTGTGCAGCCGCGTGAGCGCGCATCGGACAGGGAAAGGCGTGACAGCGCGTGTGGCGTTGCTGCGGACTTCACGGCGCAATCTTGCCCACAGATGCCATGAATACGTTCGTGAAATTGAAAGTGATCGGGTTTCGCGCGTCGCGAGCCCGCGTTTCCGGTGTTTGGGAACGGCACATACCTCCAGTCTGAAGTATGTCGTCTAGCGCCGAGAGCTTCTCGTCGAGCCCGCCCGCTCCTCGCAGCGTCATCAGCGATTGCGACTTCGTGAGCTGCCGCATCGTTCCTCCTAGGCGGCCAGGGACGCAGCCCTCCCGCGACAAGAAAGCAGCTCGGGGCAACACAGAGCGCGGCGGTGGCGCGTCGCTAGCTACGAAGTTGCTACGAAAGATGCTATGACGCCCTTTAACAATCACTCTTCGCGTCACGCGCGCCCGACGAAGGCGCCGCGGCCCGCGGGCCTCGCCGCCGTCGCTTAGGGCCCCAGTGACCTATCACGTTGGGCTCTCACTGCCCTACCACGCGATCCTTCGGCCGAAAGGTCGCCGGCGCACGCGCCACGCACCGCACGTACGGCTCAGAGGCGCACGCCCCCGTCGCACCTGCCCGATCGCGGCAGGCGCGCTGCCCACGCGACTAGCGCGCACCGCAGGGCAGAGCTCCCGCCGGCGCGGCCGCAGGCGGATCGCGGGGCGCGGCGCAGCGGGCGCGGCGCCGAGGGCTGGGGCCAGTCTGCGCATCGCGCGGCGCGCAGGCCGCGTGAGGAGTCGGCCGCAAACAGGAGCTGTTGCCGTGTCACAGTGCACACACAGCGGAAGGGCGCCGCCCCGCGGAGCCCGCGCGAGGGCGCTCCTTCGCCGCTCGGAGCTTGCCGCGGACCGCGGGGGTGCTGGAGCGTGGCGGGAGGGCGGCGGAGGACGGCGCGGTGTGCACGAAATGTGGTGCTCGAAAGGTTGTGTGTTGTGTTCGCACTGTTGGCGTGGCGTGCCAGCAGACGAGATGCAAAATGCAGGTGCTGCCCGCGCCCACCTGAGGGGCGATGCCGGGGGGTCGAAGGTGTAGGGAGCGGCGAGCTCCGCGGGGGTGAAATTCTCGGAGGCGCATCTTCAGATATGCTTCGGGCGTAACTTGGGAGACGGGATTTGCCGACCGTGGAGACACGAAACGCGTGTCGCGGGCTCGGCCTCAATGTACACGTCTGGGCGGCCCGGGCGCCCGCGTCACTTCATCCGCATCGTCTTCGTGAAGAGCACGCGCTCGGAGACGGCCGTGCGGCTGCGGTAGAGCTTTCCAACGCCGGCAGAGGTGCCGGGGCGGCTCATGTCGCGGTCTCCCTGCGCCGGCGTCGCCGCGCGGCTCGCTGCGTCAATGGACTCGAGGTTGAGGAGCCGCGCGGACGTCGTGCCGGCCAAACGGCCGATCCCGGACTGCGAGAGCCGCTGGTTGGTCCCTCTCTGAACGACGACGAGGCCCGGGCGCAGTGGGGGCACCACGCCCGTCTCTGAGAACTTCTTGTCGTATTCGTGAGCAAGGACGCCCTTGTCGGACGACAGAAACGCGTATTTCGCGGCCTGGACGTCGTTCCGGGTGAAGGACGGCCCCGCAGACAACATGGACCGCCGGGACGACGTCGCGGACCGCGCGAGCGGGCGCGCCGGGGCCTCTGTGGCCTCAACCGGCTCAAACCGCCGGTCCAGCTCGTCCGCCACGGTGTCGAAGTCTGCGCGCGGGATGCAGCACGGTCCTCAGCATCGGTTGGTGACGTACACGTCGTGCGGGACGCAGCACGATCCTCAGGATCGGTTGGTGCCGTGCATGTCGCGTGAGCTGCGCCTGGCCGACGAGCACGTGCGCCGCCACGCTCCACGATCCACACTATGCAGGTGGGCGCGAAACGCGCTGTCCGGGGGCACGCCAGGCGGCGCCTGGCGCGCGGGTGCGCAGCCAAGCCCTCAGCAAGGACGCTCTGCGCTGCGGGCGACGCCGCCAGGCCACGCGCCGGTCCCGCGACGCATGTGCGGGTGCGCGCACTCAAGATGTCGTGCGCGGCGCCCGCTGCCCGCGCCAGGCGCGCGGCGGAGCCCGGGGGCGCACCTGGCGCGTCCCCACCGTCCAGCATCTCTGCCATCGCCGCGAGCTTCGCTGCGAGGTCGGATTCGCCCTTTTCCGGCTGGGGCTTCGACGAGGAAGGCCTCGGCTGCGCCGCCATCATTGGCGCGCGGCTGGGGAACCCGGCGCGTGGCCCTTACCGCGTCCCAATGCACTGAGGCCTTGCCGCAACGCTAGTGAGGGGAAAATGACTGTTCCGCGCCGCTGGCCGCTGCTCTCTCGCGCCGCGCGAACCGCTGAGAGTGCTGCCAGCGCCGCCCCCGCCCGGCAACACGCTCCGTAGCCGCAGGAAGCAAACACCACCACTTGACGTGGCAACACACCGCCCCGGCCCCCCGAGCGGTGCCCTGGGCGCAGCAGGAGCCGCGGGCGGCTGCCACGCGCACCACGTCGGTCCCGTGGCCATTGCGTCGATGGCTTCAGTGCGGGGGGGCGTTACGATCGTAACGAAGGTCACAGACCCCCCCCTCCGAGCCCGACCCGCCCGTGCGGCCCCAGCCCCGCCACCGCGGACCCGCTCCTGCGCCCGTGCGCCCCCGGGCTCGCCCCCGACGCGCCCCCAAACAGCCCCCCAAGCCACCCACTCCCCCCTTTTGTCCCCCCGGGGGCATACCACCCCGCCCCCGCGTCCGCCGCGTGCTGCTGCGCCGCCTGCTCGATGCGGTGCTGGTCCGCCGAGGAGAACCGCAGCAGCTGCGCGAGCACCGGCAGCAGCGGCGACGTCGGCGGCAGCTGGTGCGACACGAACCCCTGCACTAGCACGCGCTTCAGGTACGCCACATCAATACCCCCCCCGGGGCCCTGGCTCGCGCGCAGCTCCGCGACCTCCTCCTTCAGGACCGCCGCCGCGCGCTCCTGCAGCGCAACGGTGCGCTCGGCCTCCTCCAGCGCTCTGCGCAGCGCGCGCAGCTCGCTCTGAGCGGCCACGTCGCTCGCGCGGGGCGCCGGGGTGATCTCGGGCTGCACGCTCAGCTGCCGCGCGGAGCTCTGCCGGCGGTGCAGCTGGCGCTCTTCCTGCAGCGCGCGGACGTCGTCCTCGTGCCGTGCCGTGGCCTGCGACACCTGGTGCCGCAGGGCCGCCACTTCGCGCGAAAGCTCCGACGCGCGCTCGCGCCACGTGTCGACCTGCCGACGGGCCTCATCGAGCTGCAGCGGGGCACGGGGTCGAGCGCCGGCTCAGCAACGGCGGGCGACGCGACCGGGGGGGGGTGTTGATGCAGGGGGGACTTGCGCGCAACGCACCTCGCGAGCGGCGTCGTCCCGGCCGGCGAGCGCGTCGCGTACGGCCTCCTGCGCCGCGCTCTCCGCGCCGTGTCGCGCCTCCGCGAGCTCCGCCAGCAATGCGTCCTCCCGTCCCCTGCACGCAAACACAAAAACACACCCCCCTGTTCAGCGCCGCGTGTCAGCCGCGCAGGCGCCGCACGCATCGCAACGCACGCCCGCGCCTGCGCCGCACCTCATCTCCCGCGTCAAATGCTCGATGCGCGCGTCAGCGTCCGCCTTGGCCGCCGACGCAGCCTGCCCCGCCGCCTCCAGCGCCGCCACCTGCGCCTCGAGCTCCGCGACCCTCTCCGCCGCCCTCCCCGCCACAGCGCCGGCCTCGGCGCGCGCGGCGGCGGCCGCCGCCGCCGCCGCCTGCCCCTCGCATCGCTGCACCAGCCGCGACAGGAACGCCGGCCACTTCCGCCGGTCACCGCCGCCGCCCACCGCGCGCTCCAGGTCCGCGAGCGCGCCCGCGCGCGCCGCCGCCGCCCGCGACTTCTCCAACGCGAGCGCCTCCTCCGCCCCGGCTAATCCCCCCTCCAACTCCCCCACCCTCTCCTGCAACACCCCCACCGTCGCCAGCGCCTGATTCAGCTCCTCCAGCGCGGCGTCGCGCGCCAGCAGCGCCGCCGCGGCCTTCTGGCTCTCCGACGCGCGGTCCCCGGACCCCTGCGACACGCTGCGGTGCTGCTGCAGCTGCGCCTCCAATTCCGCCACCCTCCCCTCGAGATGCGAGCAGCGCAGCCGGAGATCCGCGGCCTGCTCCGCGTCCCCGCGCAGCGCAGCCATCTCCTCGCGCAGGACGTCCGCCGCGGCGTCGCGGGCCGCGATCTGCTCCTCCGCGTCACGCAGGCGCGCCGCGAGACCGTCCAGGGCCTCGCTGCCCGCGGCCGCCGGCGCCGCGTCGCCACGCTGGGCCTCCGGTGGTTCGCCGTCCTCGGCGCCGCGCTGCGCCCCTGCGCCCCGCACCAGCGCGCTCTCGGAGATGGTGCCTGACTCCGCCAGCGGGTCCGACTCGGCCATCGAGGCTGACTCAGGGGCGTCCGAGCCGGCGGCGTCGGCCGCGGAGGCCCCGGCGCCGGCGTCGGACGGCGGCTGCGGCGCCGGGTCGGCTGCCTCGGCGAGCCCCCACCCGCCTGCGTCGCCGCCTGCTTGCGGGGCGTCCTGCTGCGCGCCGGCACCCGCGGCGTCACTCTGCGCCGCGGCGACGCGGGGATCCTCCTCCGCCGCAGCGTCGTGCGGCGCGCTCGCCGGCGCCGGGGGCTCGGCGTCCGCCGCACGCGCGTCCATGCACGCGTCACTCGGCGCGCGCGGTGCGCCGCGGTCGCCGTCCTGCGCGGTGCGCGGGGCAGCTGCGGAGCCAGGCGAGGCCACGGACTGCTGCGGAGACTCGGCCTGGGAGGTCCATTGATGCATAAGTGCCTTGAAGTGCTCCCTGGACTTGTCTGCCGCCTGCCGAGCCGCGACGGCGGCCTCCGCGGCGCCGGCGTCGCCCGAGGCTCGCGAGCTTCCCTCTGAGAGCCGGAAGGCGTCGTGGTCGCGCGGTTGCGTTGCGGGCGCAGTCGCCGGAGGTCGCATGGGTTTTGTCGGCGTCGTAGTTGCGCTGGCGGCGTGCGGACGCGCCCCGTGCGCTGCGTGGGGATAGGGCGGGTGTGGGGCGCCTGGAGCGCCCGAGTAATGCGCGTTGGCCGCCGCGTCCATCGCGTCGCGTGCAGCTTCGACTCCCTTCTTGGCCCACGTCATCACGGAGAGCGTGCCGGTCTTGGTCTTGGAAGAAACAGCTTCCATCTTCTCTCTCCAACCCGCCTTGGCCTGGTTCGAGAGCCAGCCCCTCACGGCGGAGCCCCCAGGAGCGCCCTCCCTGCCAGGCATACCAGCCGCGCTGCCGTCGCGGCGGTCCATCGTGCCCGCCTTGACTCTGCGGGACGGTCGCTACATACAGTGTCTCTGTGAGCGCGCATGGCGCGACACGCACGGGGGCCACGTCACGGCGCACGCGAGCTTCGTGAACGGCGTGCTGGCTACAATCGAGCCGTGCGACGTGCCTGAGAGGATCACGGTCCTGAAACTCGCCCAGATCGAGTCAGCAACTCCAAAACACCAACGCAGGCGCGCTCATACCGCAAGCAGCTCATCGATCCGCCTCAGTTGCTGCCCGTTCTCTTCGTCGATGCTTACACAACAGGTTTTGCCTCGTTTCACGGACGCCGGCGACCACGACGTGAGACTGCCGCGACGCCACGAGTCGCGCGCGTACAGGGCCGCGCCGCCAGCGGCAGCTGCTTACTGTGTCGCACTGGGACACCCCCCCCCCCTGCTGCAACACCCCTCTCGCCGCGGGCTGAATGCGCGGGCGCGCCGCGCCGCCGCGGCAAGCCGCTGCGACCAGCTGCGGAGGCAACCAGGGCGCCGCGGCAGCCCGTCCATCGCGACACGTGTTCGTATCATCACGAGACGCTTGCAACTTCAACTTGTGTTGGCGGGGGGGGGCGTGAATAGCACGCGTTCGGGAAGTCGCGCGGCATGGACGCGCGGCTTCCTGTGTTCGAGCGCGTGGGGAAGCGGCGGAGGTCCGACCAGGTCGTCACGCGGCTGATCCTAGTAGTCGCAGCGCTAGGCGTAGGCACCCTCTGCACGCTCCTGCTCGTCACGAGCAGTTTCCGCGAGAACAAGGGCCTGGAGAAGATGGGACTGTCCGTTCTCAGCGTGCCGTCCGCGGCGTTCTGCCACCGGGTGCGCGTCCCGCGCTCGCGTCGACCGCGAAGCTGCGTTGTGCGTGCACCACCGTCCAGCAGAGCGCGTGCCGGCCCCGTTCGGTGCCCCACGCGGCCGTGCGCCGGCGCCGAGTGCAGAGCGCGCCGCCGCTGGTGTGTGCGGACGGCGGGGACGTCGACGTGGCGCCGCCGAACACGCGGGAGGCCATCGCTGCGGCCCTTGACGCGGGTGTGACGTGCATCCAGCTGGACCTCGCGCGGTCGAAGGACGGCGAGCTGATGCTCATCCACGACGAGGACATCCTGCGCCTGCTCGGCGCGGACAGCAAGATGGCGGTGAGGCCCCGCAACGGGCGCTTGTTTGCCATGACGGGCCGCACCGTGCGCCCGCGGCCACCAGGTGCCGCGAAACGGGTCCGGCGGCGTCGTTCGTGCACGGATGAGGGCCGGGGCCGAGGAATCCGCACCAATGCGGGAGGACCCGCGGAGATTGGCGTCGAGAGAGCATTGCGTTGCCTCGCGCGCCCCCGGTGCGCCCCGAGCCCGCTCCGCACGCGCGTGACGCGCCCCCTGCACCATCCCGTACCCGCAGGTGGCCGATCTGCCGGCGAAGGAGATCAGCGCGCTGCGGTACGACACGGGGGAGTCGCCCGCTGACGCTCGCAGCACGCTCGAGTGGCTGGTGGCCGACGCCCGCGCGGAGCACGTCATCGTCGACGTGCGCGCGCGCGTGCAGCCGATCGCGCACGCCAAGCTCGCGGACATCGAGCGCCACAGGGTCGCGGAGGAGCTCGCTGAGTCAGCTCTGGGACTGATCGAGGCCACCCGGTGCACCAAGTGCATGGCGTGGGCGTCGGACGAGGCGGTCGTGCGCAGGATCCGGGAGCGCAATAACAGCATAAAGGTCCGGCGCCCCGCCGCTCGCCCCGCCCCGCGCGACGCTGTGCTGCGCCGTGCGTGGTGGCACCGCCGCGGGCGTGGCCGTGCTGGGCGTTGCGGCCCTGGACGCTCGCTGCGGCCCCTGGCTGGCGTTTCCCCGAGCGTGCGCGCGGCGCGGCGTGCGTGCAGACGGGCTACGTGATGCCGAGTTCGGGGGGGGTGGGGGGACTGACGGAGGGGGAGCGGAGCGCGGGGCTGTCCGGGCCGCACTTGGTGATGGACGGCGCGGGGCTGGGCGCGCAGGCGGACCTGGTGACGGTGGCGGGCGACGCGGACGGCGACGGCGACGGCGCGGCGCACGCGCGCTTGGTCGAGGAGGCGCAGAAGACGGGGCGCGCGGTGCACGCGTGGGTGGCGGACTCGCCGCGGGCGATGGCGCGCGTGCTGGACGCCGGCGTGGACGCGATCGTGACGGCGCACCCGAAGGAGCTGCTGCAGGCCGTGCGGCTGCTGCGGCGGAAATGCGAGGCGATGGAGAGCTGGCACGAGACGAGCTTCATGCACATGTGACGCGGACGGTCGCGCGGGAGTGCCGGGGCTCGCACGGGCGCGTGAGTCACCAGCGTTGTTTGCGGGAGGCTGCGGCGGTGGTTGGGCTCGTTGTGCGGGGCGCGGAGCCGGCGGAGGTGCCTCGTGGCTTGTTCTGCAGGTTAGGAAGGGCACGGGCGCGGGCCGTCGGGGTGCGTCGACGAGCGACTCGCTCGTGTAGCTCGGAGCGTTGTACTGTGTCACACATCATGGCATGACTGGATGCCGCGTGGCGGCCGCGGGGGCGGTGCGGGCCAAGGGACGGCCGCGCGCGGCCTTCCAAGCACAATGCTCGACGCGGGAGTCCACGAGAAGTGAGCTGAGGTCGACCAGGACTTGACTGGAGCTGAGAACAGCTGGCGCGGTGGTGCTGTTTACGTGGACGCGGGGTCGGCCTCCAGGGCCGCGTGCGGACGCGGCCGTGAGCTCTCCTGCGCGGGTCTGAGCGAGTGCGCGCGTCTGGCGCGCAGGCGGGCCCTCTCGCGGCCGCGGAGCGGGCCGGAGCGCAGCTGCAGCCGGGGCCTCGGCACTCCACCAGTGAGGCCTTCCTGCACGTCGGCGGGGCCTCGCGGGCTCAGTGGAACGATCACTCGCCTCCTGGTTCATAGTCCTGCGCATTCCACCAGCAATGCGGGCGCTGGCGTCCGACAACGCGACAGGCGGATACTCTGCGACTCGGAAGCTCGGGAGCTCCGCGTCTTCCGAGACGCGCGGCCACGGCTCCGTGCGTGCCGGGGGGGCGCTCTCTGACATACTCAATTCCCCGAAAGGTGCGCGCGCAGCCGGCCTCCGCGCCGCGTACGGCGGGCTCGCGCGTCCGGGCACTGCTCACAACGCACGAGGGCCTGAGCCGGCGCGCGCCCGGCCTCCCGGCGCGAGACGCGCCCCGCGCACCGTCCTCGCGTGCCTCGAGAGCCTCGCGGGCAACCCCGATCCGCGTATCCCCGTCCAATGTGCAGGAACTGAGAAGAACAAGCTTTACCACTTCAAGTCGTGGAGAGCCTCGGCCAGCAACGCCGCGACCAAGGCGCTAGGCGAGCGTAGCTCGCGACAAGACACCACCGGCTCGTACGCCGCCTTGACTAGGTGCGCGCCTCGACGGGCTGCGTGCGCACCGCGCTGGGAGCGCACCGCAGTGCAGGGCCCGCCGCGCGCGGCCTCCAGGCGGCCGCGTTCCGGCTCTGGGGGCGCGCGAGGCTTCAACGACAGCCGTAGAGCACGATCGCACCCGCCGTGGTTCCTGCAGGGCCGCGAAGGGCGCCGCAAAAGGCCTCGCAGAGTCGCTGAAGGTCACCGCGAGTAGGGGCGCGGACAGGTGCGCAATTCCCCGCGCGTCCGCCCGCGATCGCGAGCTCTCGCGCCCCGCTGCGGCCCGTGGATTGGCCCGCGCCGCAAGCGGCCCCCCATGCACCGCGGCACACGATTTCTCCCCCACGCAACGCCTCGCCCTGCGTGCCGGCGGCGCGGCGCGCGGCAGTCCGGCTCATCCGACGCCTCCTCCCCACCCACCACGCAGGGCCGCCCGGCAGCCCACGCAGCCCTCCACCGACGCCCCGGCGGCGCGCGAGGCACCGCACGCGTCGCTCGCTGCGGGGCGCGCAGGCCGCGTGCGGACCGCGCAGCCGGCCTCGGCCCCGCACCACACCGCGAACGAGCCAAGCTACGCGGCCCGCGCGTTCGAGCACGCGTCCGTCCCCGCCGCGCTAGCAGACTCGGCCGAACGCCTGGGCTCGCTGGCGTCGCCAGGCACGCCGGCCTCGCCACAGACGCGCCGCGGCCTCTTCCACGCCTCGAGCGCGCGCCGGCTCGAAGACCAGCTCGCCGCCGCGGCGCGCCCGGCCGCCCCCGGCCCCGACGCCCTCGGCGCGTCCCCCGCCGCGTCGCCCACCGGCGGCACCTCCGCGGACATGGAGCGCATCTCCCTGCCGGGCGGCGGCGCCGCGCAGCCGCCGCAGGAGCCAGGCACGCCGACCGGGTCGTCCCCGACGCGCGCCCGCCGCGCCCTGCACGGCTACGCCGCGAGTCACCACCCAGGCGCGCGCCTCTCTCCCAAGGGCGCTGCCGCGCTGCCCGGGTCGCCGTCGCGGCGCGCGCCGCACGCGACGAGCCCCTCGCGGTCGGCGTCCCCGGCGTCGACGCACGCCGTCGACTCGGACCTCGAGACGGAGATTGGGGGGTGTGTGGACGGGTCGCTGTTCGGGGGGGGGTGCTGGACGGCCGCGGAGGAGCTGTGCAAGGCGCTGGTGACCGCGGAGCACCTCCACCCGCCGCGGTCGCGCTCCGAGCAGCCCACGCGCGTGGTGTATCTCTCCGGGCTGCCGTTCCTGGTCAAAGAGCGGTTCCTGCTTGGGCCGCCCGTGTCGCAAATGGACATGGGCGACATCGCGAAGGAGAAGCACGCGCTCAAGCTGGAGCTCAAGGGCGTGGACAGGGAGTTCGCGGCGCGTGCGGGCCGCAAGGCGACGAAGGGAGAGAAGGAATCGCTGCGCGCGTGGTACGTGCGCTACTGGCGGCTCAAGCACGCGCTGTCGCGGGGCTCGGCGGCCGGCGCCGACGGACCGGTGCCGGAGAATGTAGATATATGAGCGGGTAGTCTACGTGGGGGGGTGTCGCGGGAACGCTCCGCGGCCTGCGACGGTGCGTGGCGGTGGCACGCGGGCATGGGATGCCCTGGCGCCGCCGGGCGCTCTGTCGCGGCTGAGGGGGTTCTCGGCGACCTGTGAATTGACTTCTTCCGGCTGATATATATATACCCCCCCGCGCCCGTCAACTTGTAGGTCAGCGAAGTACAAACTAGACCTCCGTGTTTTGGCAGTGATTGTATCGCGGTGCTAGTTCTTCACTGACCTACGGGGGTGCAGAGGACCCCCCGGCTCCACGGGCATCGGCCGGTGCGAGCGCGCGCTTGCGGCTTCGAGGCGATGGTGCGGCAGGGAGGGACACGTGCGGGCAAGTGCAGTGGATGGCCTCACAGCTCCGCAGCGACAGCATGCTGGACGAACGGCCTTTATTCTAGGTTGCTCTACTACTCGGAAATCTCTCGTCAGCTGCCAAACCTGCCTCTAGTGGCGGCGTGCATCTGGTCAGTCCAGGGGGGGGGGTCTTGCCCATGGCACAAAATCAACGGTGCCACGCGGGCAGGCGGCGGCGCTGCCCGCCGCCCGCTGCCTTGCTTCTCTGCTCGAGCACGCCGCGCGCGTGCCAGGATCACGTCCGGGGCGCCGCCGGGCCCGCGCGCCCGCCGCAGCCCCAACACGTCGCCGCCGCGCGGCCTCAGGGCGACACCTTCCGCTCCGCGCCCTTCTCCTCCACCACCCCGTGCGTGCTGCCACCGTCCGACCGCGCGGACCCGTTCATCGTCCCCACCGTCCCCGTCGACACCTCCTCGGGCGCCACCCACCCCGCACAGTGCAGGTCCACGCCCTTTCTGCGCGCCGCCAGCGACTCCTTGATCGCCGCGATGTAGTCCATGTGTTCCTTGAACCCTGCGTCCGTCACGCCCAGCCCCCCGACCCGCGCCATCTCTCGTCGCACGCCCTCCGCGTAAAGCGCGGGGTCCGCCCTCTCGCGCGCATTCGGGACGTACAGCGGCATCTCCGTGATCTCCATGCGGTTCCACGGCGCGCACATGAGCAGGAAGAGCTGCCGGACGATGCCTATCGACTCCCACGTCGGGCTGACAGTCACGGGGGGGTACTTAATGATGTAAGGCTTCACGGCCGTGCCGGCAAGGAACGCCCCGCGGTGGAAGTGCAGGAGCTGCTGCCCGTTCGACGTCGTGCCCTCGGGGAACATGCACAGCGGCCGGAAGCTGCGCCGCGCGGCCTGCCGCTCCGCATTCGACACGGCGCGATCCGCGACCGCCTTGGACACGTTCGCGACGGTCCGGCCCAGCGCGCGCGCCCGCGCCTTGTCGCGCTCGACGTACAGACACCCGAACGTCTGCGCGATCGCGCCCAGGAGCGGCGTGCGCGCCGTGCCGGCGCGCGCCACGTACCCTGGGCAGTGCAGGTAGCAGTGGACGACGATGTCGAGGTACGAGCTGTGGTTGCTCACGGCCATGATCGGACGCTTGCGCTCTCGCAGGGGCTCCTTCTCGCACCCTGCGGGGCCGGTTGCGCGCGCCGGGGCGTGCCGGTTACGTGCGTCTAGGGTTGTGCGCGTACTGGTGTGCGCGTTGCGGGGGTTGGGGGGGTTGACGGGGGCCTTGCCTGGTAGAGCGCGGTATTCAATGTAGTGGAAGCCGAAGGCGAAGAGCAGGAGGCGCGAGCCGTGCTGTGCTATGAAGAGCGCGAGTGGCGCCAGGGGCCGGATGGGCCGGGAGAGGAGGATGAGGACGAGCCAGAGGACGAACGGGACGGCGACGAGGGCGAGGCGCAGCGGTATGACCACGAGCGCGAAAAGGACGAGCCGTGGCACCTCCCAGGCGGGCCACTGCCCTGGCCGCCTCGCCACGGTGCCAGCGACGCCGTACTGCGGGCACGAGAGCGGGGCCGCGGCGGCGTTTCGCGTGGCGCGCTCGACGGAGGAGACACCGCGCAGGTCGCGCCGGGGTTTCCGCGTCTCGCGTGCACCGGAAAACGACGGAGGAGGGCCGGGGGCAAGGCGGCGATCGCGGGGCGGCAACGCGATGCTCGCGCGATCGGACGCGAGCCGCGCGCGCAGCAGTTGCGCTGCGATCCGCGCCGGGCGCCGGAACGGCGGTTCGCGCGGGCGGCGGCGCCGGCAGAGCGGCAACCCCAGGGGAAACCTCACGGGGGCGTGGCAGCATGTGCCCGGGGTCTGCGCGCCCCGGACGGGGCCCTGGCGGCGGAGGGGCGCAAGGGGCAGCCCGTGCGGTGAGCGCGCGCGGCGGATGCGGTCCTGTCGGGCGGGGGAGGCCGGGAATTCCTCGATTCGCGGAGGCGGGGCGCTCGCACGCAGCGGGGCGTGAGGTGCGGAAAGCTGGGCGGCACGCCCGAGGTGAATGCGTCCGCAGGGCGGGCGCGGCGCCCGGCAGGACGGCCCGCGCCGGGTCAGCGGGCCACGGGGCCCGCTGCTCGCCCCGCAGTGGTTGTTCGGGGTGCCTCGCCCGCTGCGGCGTCCCCGGGATCAAAACCCCGGGTCTGAGGTGCGCGGCGGCCGGGCAATCGACTGACGCGTCGCCCGGGGGTTTCGGCGGCGGCGGAGAGGCCGTCGGGCGGCGTGCGCGGGGGTCCTGGTTGCCAAGCAGCTCAGGTGATGGGCCCTCGGGGCCGCGGGGGGCCGGAGGGCGGCGGTCGCGACTCACCAGGTCGTCTGGACGGGTGAAAGCTTGCCAGCCGGGGCGCTCCGGGGGGATTTCGCCGTTGAGGAGCCGCGCGTAGGGGAAAAAGGGCCGGCCATCTTGCCGCCCCTGGTCCTCGTCGGGAATGCGCTCGTACGCGCCGCCGTTCGCAACGGGCGGTTCGACTACCATCCTAGCTGCATGCCCTGCGAGGCTGGAGTCGCGCGCGTCCTCTGCGACCCCAGGGCCTCGCCTGCGGATTCCGGACGTCTCGTCAGGTCGCTCCGCGGCGCCTGCTGCGTCCAACCGACGCATGCAATCGCACTCGTATGCAACAGCTCGCTGCCCCACCCGCCGCGGGCGCAGCCCGATGACCCCCGTCGCGCCCGCCAGGAGGACTTACGTAGCCTACGGTAGGTGCATGGGCCCGCCACGCGCCCACGAGCCCGTGCCGTGGCCGCGCGCCGCCAGTACAGCTCCGGACATCCTCCTGGCCTCCCACAGCGCCAACTAGCGGACCGTTCCTGCCCGTCCGGCGCTGTCGTGTTCGTTTACACCGACCACACTTAGGTCGAGAGCGTCGCGAGGCGGGGGAGTCAAATCCGCCGTTCCAGCGCTGGCCGGCGGGGGACCGATGCCGCCCGTCACGCGGCGGCAGGCGGCCCTGCACGGGTCGCCAGCTCGACCGGCAAACGGGAGTGCCAAAGCTGTTGCAGAGACGGGCGGGCGTGACTCGAGCTCGGCGCCTAAGGCGCGCTATCCGGATCCGCGATGGGACCACTTCAAGATGGCCCTCCTAGTCGTGCTATACGCGCTGCAGGGATTGCCCCTAGGTGCGCGACGGGGGCGTCTGCTCCACCAGCGGCAGTCCCCGCGCCCTCGTTCGCGCAGCTCGGGCGGTGCTTGCCACTGATGGGCGTTGCCTCTCACGGAACGAAGTCTACAGACACCGTTTTGCGCTTGATTCTCGTTCGCACGGCGACAGGCGCATCTGGACGGTCCTTGCCTCGCGCCACTGTTTCTGGCACGCCTACGGGCGCGGGGACGACGGGGGCGTGCTTCCCCTCCTGGCCGCAGGTCTCAGCGCCGGCAGCATACCGTTCCTGCTGCAGTCTTCCACTTCGTTGACCAAGATCGGGCTTTTCTCGATTGCTGGCTACCCGTACTCCTTCAAGCTGCTCTGGAGCCCCATCGTCGACACGCTGCACCTCCCGCACCTCGGCAGACGACGGTGCTGGATCGTGCCCATGCAGGCACGCCCGCGCGCCGCCCTCGAACGCGCTCACACACCCGCGGACCCCCCTTTGCAACAACAGCGATGACATAGCAATGCTCGTCTGCGGTGGTTGCAGATTGTGTCTGGGCTGCTTATGTTCGCGCTGGCCGACAGGGTGCAGGCCTTCGTCGACGCGTCCGACGTCGTGGCGGTCACGGCGCTGTTCTTCGTCCTGGTGCTGCTGGCAGCGACGCAGGACATCGCAGTCGACGGATGGGCGCTCGAGCTGCTGTCGCCGGCCAACGTGGAGCACACGTCGATGTGCCAGACCGTCGGCATGAACATCGGCTACTTCTCGTCCTTCACCGTCTTCCTCGCGCTCAACGACGCGGCGTTTTGCAACTCCTGGCTGCGCGACGCTGCCGCGCGCTCCGACACGCCGGTGCTGCCGCTGTCGACGTTCCTTCGCATCGTCGGCTGCCTGTACCTGGTCGTCACCGCCGTCGTGCTCTTCGTGCCGGAGCGGAGCGACTCGGGCGCCGGGAGGCACGGCACGGAGGCTCCGGAGTGGACGCAGGTGAAAGGGGCCTACGCCCAGCTGCTGGGCGTGCTGCGGCTGCCGGCGCTGTGGCACCTCGCGGTCCTCCTCGTCGCGTACCGCCTGCCCGTCATCCCCGCGGAGCAAGCGGGGAGTCTCAAGCTCCTTGGGAAGGGGGTGTCCCGCGAGACCCTGTCAGGCCTGTACGTGGTGCAGTTCCCCTGCGAACTGCTCTCGGCGGTGCTGGCCGGGTGAGCGACCACCCTCACGCACGCGCGCGCACCCCGCCCAGCGCCCCGCGAGCCCGCGCAGCTCGTTCCCTCCCAAGCAACGCGCGACGTGCTTTGTGTTGCGCTGCTCCGCAGGGTGTGGGCGCAGAAGAAGGGCGTCGCACACGCGTTCGGCTGGGGCATGGTCATGCGCGTCGGGACGGCCGCGGCCATGACGTCATTCATCGCGGCATTCCCGTCAGGAGGCCCCGCGCCGGAGCTGGCCGCGGCGCCGCTGCGATACGCGACGCTCCTGGCGATCTCGATATCGTACTCCTTCTCCTCCACGCTGATGTTCACCTCGCTCGGGGCCCTGTTCGCGAAGATCTCGGACCCGTCGATCAGCGGCACATACCTCACCCTTCTGAACACCGTCGCCAACGTGGGCATCAGCATCCCGAAACCCGCGATGTTCGCCTTGATGGACTGGTACGCGTCCTGCGCTGCGGCCGAGAGCAGCGGCCCGCCTCGACTGCGCGCGCCGGTGCGGCGAGAGACGGCATGCGTGATGCTGATGACGCGGTGCGGGGGGGTGTTGCGTGCAGGACGACGCGAGCGGTGTGCGAGATCGGGGGGGTGAGCGCGGAGCGGAAGGCGGTGCTGGACGGCGACTGCCTGAACATGGAGGAGCACGCTGCGAGGGGGGCGGGCGCGGCGTGCGCGGCTGCGGGCGGCAGCTGCAGCACGACGGTGGACGGGTTCTACGTGGTGAGCTGCGCGTGCCTGGTCGGCGGGATGCTGGCGCTGCCGCGCATGTGGCGGATGATTGCGCAGGCGGAGGGGCGGCCCCTACGGGAGTGGAGGGCTACGCCTAAGGTGAAAGGGCGATGACACAGGGGACTCTGTGACCGCGATAGAGCAAGGAAGCGGGTGGCCGGCGTGCGCCGCGCGCAGGCGTCCTTGCGAACTGGCTGGTTCCGACAGCGGCGGCGGCGTCCTGACTCAGGGTATCTGGGCAGACATAGGAGCAGGGTGGGAGGCTGGCCCAGATTGGGCTGTGCGCCGTCGGCCTCGCGGCAGTGTCGCATCCTCACTTCACGAAGATCTGCTGCTAGCGATAGCGCTTGGCTCGGGTTCAGTCGTCACATTGCGCCGCGGGACGAAACGGGCTTTGCTGTTTCTCTCTCCGTCCTTTTCCGTTGATTAGAGGTGGTACCGAGGGGATATCTGCGCGGCAGTGGAGGGATGAAGGCCCTGTCCCATGCACAGCGAGCGCAGAGCGTCTTCTGCGGCCGTCCAGCGTCGAGCCGGCCGGTGCTTCACCGGACACCCGCTCGCGCCCCCACGGCGGCGGTGCCCCCGAAAGCGATCTTCCTCGCGACCATGCACATAGCCCTCCCGATGTACGCGGTCCTGGCGTCTCGTCCGAAGGTCCGGCCGTGGGCTGCGCGCGCCGTCGCGTCCCCTTGGCCGCACCTGTGTTTCGCGGCCCTCTACGTGGCCGCGCTGGCGTCGCCTGCGATCGACTGGTCGTCACTGAGCATGTTCACGCAGGTACGCGTCGCCCTCCGTCGCGCGCAAGCGCCAAAATCGACCAGAAACGTGGCATCCGTGCCGAACGCGCCACGAACGCAGCGCAACCGCCGAGCACCTTGCCTGCGGTCCACGATCACGCAAACCCGATCGACGGCGACACGAACGCCATCGCAGCTGTGCGGTCTGCGCGGCCGAAGCAGGTTCACGTCGGCGGCGGTTCACGAACGTGCGTGTTGTGTTCGCTGGCGTTGCAGGCCGCCCTCCCCCGCGCGGAGTGGTTCGGGGCGTTGTTTCAGAACAGGGCGATGTTCGCGCTGGCGTGGGTGCACCTCCTGGCGCTCGACATGCTCCAGGCGAAGTACGTCGCCACAGACGGCCTGCGAAGAAACATCCCCACCGCGCACTCCCTCGTGCTGTGCTTCATGGTCGGGCCGCTCGGGCTGGTGAGCCACACCATCACGTCGTGGATCGTCGCGAGGCGCTCGGGCGATCGCGCGCCGGGCCTCGGCGGAGCTGCCAACTGACCTACGCGCACCCTCGCCGCGAGGACGCTTGAGCGTGTTCAGCGAGGCCTGAGACGCGCCCGCCGCCTGTGACAGCCTGCAAGCCCGTCAAGATCCACGCAGCAAAGGCGAGCGTGCTGCGGCACGCGTGCGGATACTCAACCGGTCGTCGTGCCGTGCGTGCCTTACACTCAGAGTATTAATTGACCACCCGCGCACGAAACGAAATGCGGGTGTGCTATCGTCCTGATCAAGGCGGCAGCGTGCTAGGAGTACTCGCGCGAAATGCCATGTGAGCGTGCCACACTTACACTCCACCGCGTCGCGGCTCTCGGCGACCCTTTCCTCGGCCAATGAGGTGAGGTGAGGTGTCACATTCTTCGCGTCGTCAGCCATAAGGCTTTGGGACCTGAAAAGATCATTCGACTAGGTGGCGAGTCATGCTAACCCCCCACCGTTATGGTAGCAACAGGTTCGGCAGCTGTGACAGAGTCGGCCTGGAGCAGATCCTCGATGCCACGAGCAAAGATCGCCATGCCTCGCTGATTCGGCAGGTTCAGGAGATAACGCACTGCAGCGTTGGCAGCGGCTTCCGAGTCGAGTGTTGCAGCGCCGTACAGGTCCTCGAGGTGCTGGCGTAGCCGGCGGTTGAGAGCGAAGCGGCGGCGCTGTCCAACAGTTGCCGTGGACGACAGGGGCGCATCGGCAGCAGGCGGGGGTGGCAGCGTGAGCTGCCCAGACGAGTCCATGGCCAGGCCCGCTCGTTCCCGGAGAGAGCGTACCGCTGGGGCGCAGCAGTCCAGCAGCAGGTGGCGGAGGTCCTCCGGGGCGGGCGATGCCGCCACGTCCGCGCAGAAGCGGCAGACTTTCGACGGGTGCGACAGCGGTGTGTGTTGCCACTGCTGCTCCTGGTCCGCCATGGCCATCGTGGAGGTGCGCAGCCTCGTAGCTCCCACACGCAGGCGGGACAGGGCACGGCGGTCCGCGTGGTAGATCGCGGTGTCGAGCAGATGTGACCTCCGGTGATTGTCCATTACACGCCCACCCACCCTCCAGCAGGAGACACGGCGGAGGGCGACGCGACATCGTCGAGCGCCGCACGGATGGGCCGCCCCCGTGCGGCTCAGCCGGACCCGTCGGACGACACGGACGACGACGACGGAGCTGCACCGCCGGGCCAACAGCGGCGACTACGACAACTTCAACTCCCCCCGCACATGCAGCCGGGCCGGCGCGACGCAGGAGCACGGACCGCCGCGCGCCGAGACCACGCAGCTCGGACCACCCGAGGCAGGGGACGTGCAGCACGGGACGGCCGCACACCACCTCGATCGCGGCCCTCGCTACCACCGGCATCCCGCAGCACTGAATCGAACCGCTTGACTGTTCGCACGCTGGACCGGACCACGCGAGGGGGATCCCGCGCTACACCGAGGCCGAACTACTGCGAGGACTCCTCGGCTGCCACTGGCGACGACAGCGAATCAGAGTATGAGGGGTCGCACAACGCTACTGCGTCTTCAACGACCTCCCTGACGGACTCGGATGAGCCGGGCCAGCGGTCGCAGCCACGGAGCACCCGGGGACGGGGGCGAGGCGGACGATCACGGGGTCGCGGGCGGCGCGGGGGAGGCAGGAGCGGCGCGGGCCGACGGGGACTACGCACGACGTCGACAACTCGTACGAGCACAAGGCGCGCCGAACCCGCAGCCCACCGCCTCCGCAAACGCGAGCTACCGTGGGCAGCGCACATCGCGGCGGCCATCACTCAGATAGGCGGCACGCCAGGGACCCCGCAGCAGCCACACCCTGCACCTGCTGTGGGCAGGGTACGAAAGATCGCTCAGGTCGTGCTGCCGGACCACGAGCCCGCGGCAACCCCGGATCCCCGGACCGAGGTCACTCAGCACGGGCTTGGCCGCACACGGGCCAGGTACGCCTGGTGGTGCCAGCCACCACCGCGCACCATCCCTTCACATCTGCTCGACACCGCGATCTACCACGCGGACCGCCGTGCCCTATCCCGCCTGCGTGTGGGAGCTACGAGGCTGCGCACCTCCACGATGGCCATGGCGGACCAGGAGCAGCAGTGGCATCACACACCGCTGTCGCACCCGTCGAAAGTCTGCCGCTTCTGCGTGGACATGGCGGCATCGCCCGCCCCGGAGGACCTCCGCCACCTGCTGCTGGACTGCTGCGCCCCAGCGGTACGCTCTCTCCGGGAACGAGCGGGCCTGGCCATGGACTCGTCTGGGCACCTCACGCTGCCACCCCCGCCCGCTGCCGATGCGCCCCTGTCGTCCACGGCAACTGTTGGACAGCGCCGCCGCTTCGCTCTCAACCGCCGGCTACGCCAGCACCTCGAGGACCTGTACGGCGCTGCAACACTCGACTCGGAAGCCGCTGCCAACGCTGCAGTGCGGTATTTCCTGAACCTGCCGAATCAGCGAGGCATGGCGATCTTTGCTCGTGGCATTGAGGATCTGCTCCAGGCTGACTCTGTCACAGCTGCCGAACCTGTTGCTACCATAACGGTGGGGGGTTAGCATGACTCGCCACCTAGTCGAATGATCTTGTCAGGTCCCAAAGCCTTATGGCTGACGACGCGAAGAATGTGACACCTCACCTCACGGGGTTCAGGCCCGGCTCCTCGTCGGCCTCGACGCCCAGGAACCGCTCCAGCTGCGCCAGCACGCTGTCGACCTGCTCCATGGCCGGGATGTGTGCGGCGCAGTCAACGCAGTACAGCTGCGCCCCTGCGATCTTGCCCGAGATCTTCTCGGCCTCGCGCCGTCCGGTGACGATGTCGTCGCGCCCGTACATCACCAGCGTCGGCACGTGGATGCTGCTCAGGCGGTCCAGCACGCCTGGCCACGCAAGCACCCCGCGTGCTGCCTGCGCCAGCCCCGACGCGTCCCAGTCGAGCCGCCGCAGCAGCAGATCCGCGACGGCCTTGCGGCTGGGCTTCGCCGACCTGCTGATCAGGCGCGGCGTGTTCCGCACCACAACCCACCGCCCGCACGAGCCCGACGAAAGCATCCATGGCACCGCCCTGCGGCCACGAAGCCCCACGGCAAGCTCCCAAGCAGTGAGAAACGTCGCTCGTCCGGCTCTGTGCGCGTCCGAGAAAGCGACATTGCTTGCTTCAATTCCGCGCTGGTGATTACGAGTCAGACCCACGTGGGCGCGCGCACCTCAGTGAATACTCCCCGTAGCGCCAACCCCAGGGCGACGCGCGGGTCGCGACGAGCGTGAGCGACCGCACGAGGTCGGGTCGCTCCAGCGCGAGCACGAGCGCCGCCATGCCCCCTATGCTCGACCCGACGACGTGCACCTGCGACCGTCGGCGCTCTCACGGGCCGTTTGGGAGTGCGGGGGGGCCTCGGCCGCCCCTGCCTCTGCAGGCCGCACGGGGCAACCCGGTCTGTATGTATGTCTCACCGGTCCACATGACAGCATGTCCAGCAGGCCGCCGAGATCCTCGCCGAAGTCCTCGACCTTGATCGGCGTGACCGGCTGGCGGCAGCTCCTGCCCTGCCCGCGCAGGTCCGGCGCGATGCAGTAGAAGCCGAGGGCGCCCAGGCGGGTCATCATGGGCAGGAACTCCTTCGAGCAGCGGAACAGGCCGTGCGCGAACAGGACGGTCTGCTCAGCGTCCCGCGGGCCGGCCTCGATGTAGTGCAGGGTGAGGCCGGACTCGAGGATGACGTCCGGCATCGCGCAAGGGGAGAAATCGCGCGCTGCTGCTTCCAAAGAGAAGTGAGCCCGCAGTGACGCGTCTGCGGGGTTCAGTTGCGGCGTTGTTTCGTGTGTCCAAGCTGCGCCTGTACCGGATGTGCGCGGACCGCGTCGCTGCGGGCTCCAACTGCTCTGGGACGCACCCGTGGTGGTGGTATGAGAATTGTTTGAGGGGTCCCATGGTGAGCGCGACTGCGACTGCGACACCCGGCGGCGGCGCGGTCACGCCCGCAGCTCGAGGCCGAAGACCCGGCAGGCATTCGCGGTCGTCAGCGCGGCAACCTCCTCCATCGTCATGTCAAGCGCGCGCGCCACCGCCTCGCACACCAGCGGCAGCAGGGCAGGTTCGTTTCGACGGGGCCTGCACCCGGGGGGGAAACGGCGCCGCGTTGGCCGCCTGCGGGCCCGCGGGCCCGCTCCTCCTCCGCCGCGCGGCAGTGCAGGAACAGCGGCTTCCGGCAGGAACAACGGCCAGTTCAAGTTGGGCGCCCACCGCGACGGCAGGCGCCCACGCACCTCTGCCGCGAGGGCGTGATGCACCGCGGCGTCAGCCACGGCGCGTCCGTTTCGATCATGAGCCTGTCGCGCGGAATCACGTCCCGGACCAGCGCCGCGAGGCCCTCCCCGCGCCCGTCCCGCTCGTCGCAGATCCAGCCCGTCACGCCCACGTAGCACCCGAGCGCCACGAGCCGCTCCACTTCCTCGCGCCCCCCCGTGTAGCAGTGCACCACCGCGGGCGCCCGCAGCCGCGGCGCGTACCGCGCGAGCACGCGGTGGAAGTCCTCCTCCGCCGCGCGACAATGCAGGAACAGCGGCTTCGCGACCTCGACCGCCAGTTCGAGCTGCTGTTCGAACCACTGCAGCTGGACGTCGCGCGGCGAGAACATGCGGTCGAAGTCGAGTCCGCACTCGCCTACGGCGACGCAGCGCGGGTGCTGCAGGAGCCGGCGGAGCTCGGGGACGGTGTCGGCGTCGCAGGACTTGGCGTTGTGGGGGTGCACGCCGGCGGTGCTGTACAGCGCTACGGAGCCGTGCGCGTGCTCCGCGACGACGGTCTGCGCGCGGCGGCTCGTGCGGAGGCAGCAGCCGGTGATGATGATGCCTGCGACGCCGGCCGCGGCGGCGCGGCGCAGCACGTCGTCGACGTCGCGCACGAAGTGTTTGTCGGCCTGCGAGGACACAGGCGGGGGGGGTATTGTGGGTTTCTCCGCAAAAAAGACGGAGAGTGATTGCTGCAGTGCACGCACGCAGAAGCGCCCGACGGCCTCGGTGGCCGTGCTCGCGACGCAGAATGCATGATCTGGATACGCTGCGTGCACCGAGCGGGCCGAGGGCGATCTGCCCCGAGGTCCCAGCGCGTGACCGCTCTCGAACCATGTGCGCAGCTGCCGGTGCGTTCGGCGTCAGGTGCGCACCAGGTTGACGCCGATGTCGACCATGGGGAGCGGTTTCTGGTCCGGTGCGTACTGGTACATCGCAGATTCGACCAGCTCGCCGCTGACTCGTCCGAACTTGGCCTCGCGCGGCTGCTGCACGCTCTGCTGGCGCCCGGACCCGCGCCCGCCGCGCCCGGCCTCGGCGACGCCCGCTGCACCTCTGCCTCGCTGCGACATGTCTCCGGGAGGAACGCGACGCGTTCTGCGAGCAAACAGAGTGTTCGCGCGGCTCAGGCGAGCGAGTGTGGCCACCTGGGAAGGTGAAAGCTGAGTTCGACCGCTATGGGCGATGTGAGTGAATTTAAAGGCTCTTCGACAACACAAGCTGACAGCCATTGTGCTCAGGCGCGCCTCTGCCGCGGCTCGAGGCGCCGGCCGCCCATGTCGACGCGCAGGCCCGGCAGTGGGGCCCTGGGAGAAAAACTCTCCACAGGATAATAGTCCCCCACTGGGAACGAGCGGGTATGACGACCGGATTCGCGTCGCGGGTGGCGCATACATGTCTGTCGATCGTCCGACATCGGATCCACGACGCTTCGACGCGCACACGCACACTGCTGCTGGGTAGTGCCTGGGCGCCCGCCCGCTTTCGCTGCGGAACGTTGCGACCCTCGTCTCCGCGGAAATGAACCCTCAGATGATGGTGGCGCAGGCGAGGCCTTCGGCTTTGAGCGTCAGGCGCTGCCCGTCGTCTGCGCGAAGCTTGTGCGTGGGACCAAGCACGGCCCGGACGAGCCCCGAGAAGCACGCAGCGGCCCTGAGAATGCCCCCCCGGCGAGCAGACTGCCTCGTTCCGCGGGTCGCGGCCGTCGAAGCGGCGGCAGTGAACGCGCAGACGGTGGTTTTGAGCGGCGGAGCAGGCACGGCCCTGAACGCTGCCGTTTCTGACGCGTCCCGCCCCTCCCCCGCCTGATCTGAGCGCGACCTGTTGAGAAACCCCCCGAACGGCGGCGTCGGAGCTCTGACCGTCGCTCTCCTCGCGACCCGACAGCCTGGTCGTTGGAAGGCCCTCCCTGGCGGTTTGCTCTGCGCGCCCCGATCGGACACCGTCCGCGTCGAGCCACGCGCCTCCCTGCGGCTTACGCGATCGACCACGCGCCTGGATCCTAGCACGCACGGACCAAACCCCCGCGTCGCCACTCGAGACACGAAATGATGCAAGAGAATGTCAATAGCGCTTTTTGGCGCCCATCTCGCATCCCGGCGCCTCAGCGCGCCGGCCCCGCACTCACGCGCCGGCCAGCGGTCCTACCGATGCGCAGGCTGGCTGCTGGCGGGCGCTGCGGCGGTGGCTGCGGGCGCGCTGGCGGTGGCGCTATGCTGCATGATCCCGTCCATGCTCGCCGCGGCGCAAACCGCGTGGGAGCTGCGAGCGCTCATCCGTGCGATGAAGGACGAGGTGCGTCGCGCAACGGCCCCGCAGCGCCACGGCGTGCGTCACTGCCTCTCTGACTGCTGCTTATCGTAAGGTCGTTGTTGCCGCGGCGTGCAGATGCCTCGAACGATGGCGGTGCTGCGGCTGTCGGGCCTGGAGCTCGCGGACGCCGCGGAGGAGGTCACGGGTCTGACGGGCGACTTGGCGGAGGGGGTGCGCAGCACGGCAAACATGGCGACCTTGCTGAACGACAGCGTGCTCGGGGCGCCGCAGCTGGCCAAGGAGCTGACGCAGGACGCCGTGCCGGCGATGACGAAGCTCTTGGCGCGGCAGGTCGAGGCGACGGCCAAGCTGCAGCACACGGCGGAGATGCTTCGCGGGGCGAAAGTGGCGGCGCGGCGCGGGCGAGCGCTGATGGGGACGGTCGGCGCGGCGCAGTGGGTGCACGGCGTCACGACGGCGGGGCAGCTGCGGGCAGGGCGGCGGCGGGCGGCCAAGGGCAGGGGCCCGAGCACGGGCAAGGGTAGCGCGCAGCAGGCCGGATACGCGTGACGCGGCCGCAGTGCGGCGAGCGTGTGAGAGCAGAGAAGGGCACGACGCGGCGCCGGTGGTCGTGGCTGCGCAGGTGACGTGAGGCTGCTAGCGTGCATTACTGCTGAGAGCGGATGGGTGTGATGATAGCGCGTCCGCCCGCGTCGACTGCGGTAGATCTATCGCGAGCTAGCTAGAGGCGTGGCGCGGAGTAGGCTCGGTTGGCTGCCGACCTGAGGCCTGAGACGGGCAGTCAGTCATGAGAGCTAGACTCCCCCCCCGCCAGCAGGTCCTTCGCCGCTATGGCCACCTCCTCCCGCGCCCGGCGGTACGAGTCCTCCATCTGCCCCCAGTACACGTCGCTCGCGCCGTCCCACAGCTGCACGGCAACGCACAGGCACCCCCTGATCAGAAACACACCGTTCGCGCGCACTCCTGTTCCGGCGACCCCGCATCCGCGCGGCGCATCGCACGCAAACGAACCGATTCTTCTCCTCCATGCAAACACAGCAACAAAGCGCGACCCTCACGTTGAACCCGCTCTTCGGGGACCGGACCACCGCCAGCGCAGGTTCCTCCGAGATGTCGTCGACGCCGCTGTACGGCGAGCTGCGCGTGATGACGTGGACGAGCACCGGCAGCTCCGGCTCGTCGTCGCTGCTGGTCGACGCGCGCAGCTCGCGCCACGGCCGCAGCGCCACGCGGTCGACGGCGCCGCCGTCCACGAAGGGCCCGTTCGGCAGGCCCGGGACGTGCACGGGCTGGAACACCTTCGGCACGCACGCCGACGCGGCCACGACCTCGGGCAGCGACCCGGACGACACGAGCCGGTGCTTTCCGTCGCTGTCCACCACACCGATCACCAGCGGCCTGCGCGCAGCGCAGCGGGCCGAGGCGCGACTCAACGCACCGTTCCTGGACAGAAACACGCACGAGCGGAGCACGCACTGCGGCGACCGGGACCGCTTCGTGTCTTCGGGACATGCACGTACATGTCAAGTTCTTCGAACGTTGCTGGCAACAGTTCCCGGAGCCGCTCGATCGCCGGTTCCATGATGAAGGCGCCGTTCCAGACGTCCGGCAGGCCCGGCTTGAGGAGCTTGATGGGCGGCACGCGCATGAGCTCCTCCGCGACGCGCCGCGGGCTGTAGCCGGCCGCGTAAAGGGCGCCGGTCATGGCGCCCGCCGAGGTGCCGCAGAGGCTGTTGATGCGCAGCCCGGTGTCCTCGACGGCCTGGAGGAAGCCCGCGTGGCGCGCAAAGGCCATCCAGCCGCTGCTGAGGACCACGTCGACGGCCGGGCCGTCCGCGGCGGGCGCGGCGTTGCCGTCTGCATGCGATGGGGGCGCGAGGTGGGCCGCTGCTGAGGAGGGATGATGTGGGCCGAACGTGGCATGCAGCGCCTAGTTCGAGTGTGAGTCTGCGCGTAGCTGCGAGACCAAGGCTTTGTGCGGCCGCGGATGTCCGTGCAGGCGTCGGGGCATGATGCCCTTTGCAGCAACGGCGAGCGTCGCCTGGGGCGGCAACGGCGCTGCAGCGCACCTGCGGTGTTGTCGAGGGGATCAGACAGCGTCGCGGCGCATCGCTGGAGTCCGGGACGCGCGGGCCGCCCCGGGCGCGCGGCCTGCCGGAGCGCAGTGCGGCTCGCGACGGGCCGCGCGCAGCTCCCGGCTACCCTCCCGGCGATCATAGATGCACGGAGAGAGAACGTAGGAGCTAGATGCGACCGCGCAAGCGCCCCGTGGTGCCGCGGACCCACCGCTATCCGCGCAAGACCTAGACCAGGGAAATCAGCGCAAGCTGAACAAGAGGCGGAGAGCGCGGGCCAACGACAGACACAGCGCGCCAGCGAAGCTCACCCGTGCTCGCGTGAAGGGCCTCGCCGTGGCGCGCCTTGCCGCATCGAGCCCCGCGCGGAGGCCGCATGACGCGCCGCGCGTCTGTCGGGCGGGCGCTGCCGCGGCCGAGCGTGGGGAGATATTGGGCGGTGGGCGCCCTCGCTACCGCGAGTGGACCGTTGGCTGCCGTGCGACGCGGCGGACGTCGCCGTTCCTTGCCTGGGCGCGGCGGATCCGAGCGCTTCTGTACTTGGGACAGCTTTGGCGGGATTCCGTGGAGCTGGGCGCGACAGGGGCGTCCTCGCGCGGCGCGGGCCCTCGTGTAGGTTTAAGCGTGGCGCTTCGCCGCGGCAACGGCCCTGAGCGGGCGCGCGCGCGATGCGGCGGGCGTGGGCTTGCCTTCAGGCCGCGGGCGCACGGCAACTGAGTCAGCTCGTCGGGCGATCGTGCGGCGACGCTTCCGCACCCGCGAGCAGCGTCCTGCGCTGCGCCCACCCGGCCGCGCACACCGCGGAGGCGGCCTGTGGCTGGACGGGTCGGACAGCGCACGCCAGGCCGTTCCCTAATGGCCTCCAGACGCGCGGTATAACGCACTGCTCGGCGGTTCTGAGGGCGAGTGACGACCGCTCTGCTAAGAGCTCGAAGAAGGGCAAGGGGAGAGGGGCCGGGGAGGGCGGCGGTGCCAAGGGACCGGGGGAGGAGGCGCCAGCCTCGAAGAAGAGCGATGAGGGCGAGCAGGAGGGGGGGGGGTTCATGACCGCGCGAGAAAAGTACCCCGGGCTCCCCAATTTGGTCATGCACGAGGAGGACAGCCAGCCCCCGCGGCCCCTGAAGGAGCTACCGGACTGGGTGGAGATGGAAGCAGCCTTCATGGCCGCGCAGGCACGCCACCGTCGCCCTCCGACGCCCGCGCCCTCGCTCCCACGCAAAATCACCCGTATCCCCAGCGATCCGATCGCTGCAAGACGTCGGGCTGCGACAGGAAGCCCGCTGCCACGCACAAGGCACTGCTCCACGCGCAGCGACCCCAGCGCCGCACGCGCCCGCTCCGCCCTCAACCCAGCGCCCTACACGCTCATCCGGAGTGCCGCACGCGCATCCAGCGCCCCCGATCCGCAGTTGCAATCTAAACACCCCCCCCCCCCACCACGTGGAGCGCAGGACCCCCTGAACCCGTTCAACTACTTCAGGTTCACGGGGTCCGACATCGGCGAGCCCGACGAGGACCTGGACGACCGCGCGGGCGACTTCGAGATCCGTCTGCCCGGCAATTTGCGCAGCGAGGTGTCGTTCGAGGACATGATGGCCGCCGACGCGCCGCGGCTGCGGAAAATCCTCAACATCAAGAGGTGCGCGCTGCAACGCGGTTCGCGGCCCCGGTGCACGTGCGAGCAGCGCGAGCGGACGCGCGGGGCCTGCTCGCGGTGTGTGTATGTGTTTGTGTGCACAGACACCGACGTTCTGTGTCCCTGTGTGTGCAGCGACCCGGAGCGACGCAAGCAGCTGAAGCTGTTCCTCAAGGAGCGCCTCTTCATTCAGCCGATCCCCCTCACGGAGCCGCGGGCGCCCCGGCGGCAGCTCAAGATGGTCGTGCTTGCGCAGTCCATGTAAACACCTCCCCCCCTGACACGCACACGCACACGCGCGCCCCGTTGAGCAGCGCGGCGTGGCTTGCCTCTCGCGAACTTCCCGGCGCGCCGCCGCCGTGCGTGCAGGGTGACCAAGGTGACGAAGGGAGGCGGGGTGATGCGCGCGCGCGTCCTGGTGGCGGTCGGCGACGGGTGCAACCGCGTCGGGCTGGCCGAGGCCAAGGCGAACCGCATGCTCTCCGCGGTCGACAAGGCCTACCGCGCGGCCTCGCGCAACCTCGTGCGCGTACCGAAATTCATGCTGCAGACTATCCGAGAGCCCGTGCGCGCAAAACAGACCGCGTCGATCGTCGAGGTGCGCCGGATAGCTCGCAGCGGATGCGCGGGCTGCGCGAAGAGCGACATCGCGCCGCACGACGGCTCCGCGCGTGCTCACCGCTGCGTGCGTGCGTGTGCGAGAGCTGCTGCGCAGATGTCGCCGGCGTACCAGGACCGCGGGCACCGGTGCAGCGAGACGATCGGGATGCTGTGCCGCCTCGCGGGCGTGAACAACGTCCGCGCCAAGGTGCACCGGTCGCAGAACAGGTTCAACTCTGCAAAGGCGGCCTTCAAGTGTCTGCAGAGGCTGTCAGACAGCTTCGAACAGGAGCTGAAGGCGTACTCGCCGGACCGGCGGGCCGCGCTGCTGGAGACGGCGTACAACCCGGAGCCCGCACCGAACCCGCGCGCGCCCGGTGGGGCGGGGGGGGATGCGGAGTCAGGGCAGGGTCTTGTTGGGCGGGAGGACTGGAGTCACATGTCGGAGCATTTGCCCGGCGGAGCGGAGGGGCGCGCGGAGCCAGCCGAGCGCCTCGCGAGCCAGCTGAGCGCGTGACACGGCCCGGGCGCCTGGTGCGACCGCAGTGCTTGTGTTGTGCGTAGCCGATGTCGACCATCGGAGCGGCGGCTGCGGCGTTGCCTGCGAATGGACCCTTGAGAGTACGGCGGAGGCAGTCGTCGACCGGGCCGGCTAGCGCGGGGGGGTGTGATTGCGTCAGACTTGATTGATGTGGTGTCAGACACACTCTGGCCCGTCTCCGCGCGCCTTGAGGGCTCGGGAGCGCGCGTGCGGGCCGCACACGAGGTCCGTCTCATCTGTTCTTCCTGCCCTGCACGCGAAAGGGCGGGCCGATGAAGTAGGCGCGGAGCATCATGGGCAAGCGGCGGCGCGAGGCGCCAGAGCCGGAGCCGGACCGCGACGGTGGGTCAGACAGCGAGCCCGCGGACATCCACGACAAGCTCATAGTACAGAAAGCGAAGAAGAGAAGGACAGAGGGCAAAGGCGGGGCTGCGGAGGCGAAACGGGAGCGGGAAGGCCCCAGCCGCCCCACTCCGGAGGACGGGAGCGATCGCAAGGAGCGGAAACGGGGCAAGAAGCGGCGGCGGGAGAAGAGCCGCACCGACGAAGACGAGAACCCGCGAGCCGGCGATGCAGCCAACGACCGTGCCGCTGCGGACGCCGCCCCGGAGGGAACGAACAGCGGCGCGGACGGGAGCGAGGGCGGGGCGCCCGCGGGGGTGACGCTCATCGACGGCCCGGAGGACCGCAACCTTGAGATGCAGGCGCTGCTGCGGGTGCCGCGGTACTTCACGGAGGCCACGGGCGCCACGGAAATCATTGCGAGTTTCCGATGCCACCGCTGCGGGAGGGCGGGGCACATGGCGCGGGACTGCAGCGAGAAGGCGAGCATCCGGCCGTGCTACCTCTGCGCGCAGGTCGGCCACAACGCGCAGGTGCGGACCCCGCGCTCCTGCCACGGCCACGCCGCTGTTTGTCATCCCTCGCGTCAACCCCCCCCCTCGGCACGCACCGCGCCCACTGCCGGCGCGACGTCCCTCGCTGGCCGCGCAGGCCTGCCCGAACCTGCCGTGCTTCCGGTGCGGGCGTCCGGGCCACATGGCACGTGACTGCACCAACAAGAGCCCCAACCCTAAGGGGGTTGCGTGTCTGCGGTGTGGCTCGCCGTACTGCGGGTCGGTCGGCGCCGGGGACGCGTTCCGGAAGGGCGGGAAGTGTCCGCTGGAGGGGCCGACCGCGCAGGACCTGGCGCGGGTCGCGTGCTATGCGTGCGGGGAGACGGGACACATGTGCTGCAAGTTGCCGGACACGGGGGCTCCCGGGTCGGCGTGGTGCTTCAACTGCGGCGAGAAGGGACACTGGGGCTGGGAGTGCGAGCGGCCGCGGCCGCCCGGCGCCGAGCGCCTCATGGCGGTGAGCACCGCGGCTACGCTGTTGCGCTGTTGCGTGGAGCGCCGCACGGCGGCCTGCTGCGCCCTGCTAGCGAGCGCGACGTTCCGCCGCGTTGCTGTTGCGCAGGCGCCGATTCGGGCGGAGATGCGCGACGCGCGGGAGGACTCGGGGCGCGGCCGCGGCAGGGGCCGGTTCAACGCGCACGGCCGCAGTCAGGGGTTATACCACACGGGGGGGAGTTTTGCGTGGAACCAGGAGGGGGCCTTCGAGGGCGGCGGGCGGCGCGTGGAGTACAGCGAACACCGCGGGCGAGGGGGGCGTGGCGGCACGACTGCGTGGCGGGGGGGTGGTGGGGGGGGGTATAGCGGCGGGCGGGGGGCTGGATACGGGGGAGGGCGCGGGGGAGGTCGCGACCGAGGCGGCGGGTGGGGCAGGGGCGGATATGGAGGCGAAGGTGGGTATAACAGGCGGCAGGTATACAACGAGCATGGTGGGTCCCGAGGGGCGCACAAACGCTTCTAGAGCCTGCGACGCGGAGCCACGGGATATATGGTGGGGCCGTGTGTGTGAGTGGGGCCTCGTGCGTCGCCGCGGGAGTGCCCGGGGGGTGTCGGAAGGCGTGAGTCAGGGCGGAGTTCTACTTTGAGCTGCTGACGTGGGCAGCCATGCGTGCGCAGCAGGGCCACGTAGGCCCGGCGCCTGCGTCGCCGCGGGCACGCGTTGCGCGCTGCCAGGAGAGAACACCACCCAGCGCTTCGCGACGGAAGGCGGGCACAAGAGCTGTACACGTTGTGCAGTGACGAAAACCTCCCGCATCACGCGTCCTGTGACCGTCGCGCGCCGCCAGCGCGCCGTTCCGAGCTTTGCGTCGGCGTGGGCCAGCGGCGGAACAGGGCGGGCGCCCGTGCGCGGTGAATAGCCGGCAAGGGGCTGGTGCTTGGCGCGGATGGGGTGCGAAATTAGCCGCCCGGCCGGCCAGCGCGCCGGAGCCGGTGGCGTGAATGTGCAAGGTACGTCGTCTGCCCGGCAGCGCCGGGGCGTCGCGCGGCGCGGGCGCGTGAGCGCGGGCGTGCGGGAGGGACGCGCGGTGACCCGCGGGCACGCGTGACGCGCGCTGGACGTCCCGGCGCCGCCCATGCAGCGTGTCGGCGCGGCAACTGATCGTTCATGCCTGTTCCTCCGATTTCGCCAGAGCTGATTGCGCGACGGGTGCTCGCACAGCGCCTCGCGAGCGTCCCGCTGTCCGAGGGCGGGTCTGGCCCGGCTAGCTCGCGACACACGCCATCCCCCACTGCGGCGGACGCCACACCGCTCGACACTGACAGGAAGCGTGCACTGACGCCACCACGGCATCGATTGCAGGCCAGGGAGCGGCGAATCCGCAGCAGTCTGGCCCCCCAACATACAAGCTCGTGCTTCTTGGAGACACCGGCGCCGGCAAGTCTTGCCTCGTCCTCCGGTACGCCCGCGACGAGTTCGATCCAGCGAGCAGGTACGCGCCCCTCGGACGCGCCCACACGGCCGACACTTGGCGAGGAATCTTTTGCCACAGCTCCGCGCCCCGTTTCCGTCGCTGGCTTCCGCACAGGCCGCTGCTCCGCCCACACCACCTCGCTATCCCCCTATCGCGCCCGAACAGCGAGCGACCGGCGCAAGCGAGGCCGCACATGCCCCGCGACAGCTCCCCTCCGCCCATGTGTTCACACGCGCCGCCCGGCCCGGTCCGCAGGGTCACGGTCGGCGCCGCGTTCCTGGCGCACAACGTGCGCCTCGAGGGCCACGACGACCCCATCCGGCTCGACATCTGGGACACGGCGGGGCAGGAGCGGTATGCCAACCTCGCGCCGTTATACTACCGGGGCGCCGCGGCCGCGCTCGTCGTCTTCGACGTGGGCTCGCGGCGGACGTTCGACCGCGCGCGGCACTGGATCGAGGAGCTGCAGTCCCGCGCGACCAACCCCATGGTGGCCTGTTTGGTAGGAAACAAGATTGACATCGCGGAGGGACAGAGGGAGGTGTCTCGGGCGGAGGCGGAGGCGTGCGCGGAGCAGATGGGCATGCTGTACCGGGAGACGAGCGCGAAGACGGGGGAGGGGGTGTCTGAGACGGTAGAAATGGTGGCGGAGAAGGCGGTGCGGTTACGCAACCTCGGATTCGGTGCGGCGCCGGCGGCGGGGGGCAGCGGACAGGCGAGCGGTGCGCCGCACGCGGACACGGCGCCAAGTTGACGCGGCCGTCTGGGCGCGTGGCGTCACTGCATGGCTGTTACACGGCGTTGTTGCATCGCGGTGTTATGCGGGCTCCTGCTGCGCGAGGGTCGGCTGTGCAGCTGTTTGCGCGTGCTGGAAGCGCTAGCGGTGCTGGAGCGGAGCTCGTTGGCCCGCGTCCGTCGCGCACCGGGGCCCTGCGTGAGAACTGTGTGCGTTGCGTGATCATTCGCCGTTGACGAGGTGCGCGATGGCCCACACGACGACCTGCACCTGGATGGGCGCGTTCTTCTCGTCCACGGTGTCGTGCGGCCCCTCGTGGAACACCTCCAGCGAACACCCCGCGTCCTCCAGGGCCCGCTGCACGTCTGCGCGGCTCGCGAAGCTCTTACTCTCCGGACGCGACCGGTCGATGAACGCCACGTACGCCGTCGGCTTCCTGCGCGATACCGCGCACGCGCAGCGCGAGCGGGCCGTCGGGGCGGGAACACGGGCGTGCCTAAAGCGCCAACGCAACCGGCGACTCGCAACAACATGCCCGGCCGGCCCTCGTGAGACGTCGGCTGCGCGCGCGGCGCGCTGACGTGTCCGCCGCGGTGCGTCTTCGTCAGTCTGAGCGCACCTTTTGGAACGGAGCAGGGACGCGATGGTGGCGGCAAAGGGCTCCGCGGTCTCCTTCAGGAAGACGCAGTCCGCGCCGATGACCACGTCCGCGTCGTGCGGGTCGTTCGGCTGCGTCTGCGTCGCCGTCGGGACGCTCCAGTCCAGCGGCTGCGCCGCCGCCGTCCCCGCGCCCACCGGCACCGCGCCTTGCCAGCGGCGCGAGGAGCCGTCGGGGGTCGACGGCGGGGTCATCGCAGGGCGCTCCGCGCCGGGCCCGCTGACCGCCGTGCCCGTGTTCCGCGTGACGTTGTTCCTCAGAATCCCTGAATCAGGACAGGGGGGGTTTCGTGCCAGTCTCCACAGGACACTGCGTCTCGAACGCGGGGCCAGCACATCGCCAAGCTACAGGGCTCTCGCAGCGCCACCGCATCGCTCAGGGGCAGACGTCAAGGGTGCGATGACGACACGTGCAGCTGTTTGTTTGTTGTTGCGTGACTGGCATCCCCCCGTCCTGGGATGCCCTGGCGCACCTTCCACGACGGGTCTGAGGTCCGTGAGGAGGACGTGCGCGCCGAGCGCCGCCGCGCAGAGCCCCGCCAGGCCCGTCCCCGCGCCCAGTTCGACCACCCGCTTGCCCCGTAACGTTGTGCCCAGGTCCCCCTGCGACCGGACAAACGGCGACCGACGCGACCTCCCATTCACGCCGAGCGCGTTCTCGTATTCGCGATAGACATGCTGCGTCGGTATCTTCTAGTGTTCACGCGCGCGGTTCGTGGCGCTGGTGTCGTTTGGCCAGCCGGCTGGCTGTTACGCACCGCGAGGAGCTTGGACATCGCGGCTGCGCCCTCCCACAGGCTGTAGCCGGTCGTTCCAGCGAGGGTGTAGTCTGGGTCGAAGAGGTCGTGGTCCACGTAGTCATCGCACTCCAGGTTCCGCCTCGCCACGACCACCCTTGTGCCCGCCCCTAGTTCCCACTGCACGAGGTCCACCAACTGACTCATGCGAGCGCTCTCCCTCTCCGCGTCCTCGCTACTCGCCCACGACTCGACAGAGACAGCTGCACGGCCGTGAACGGCCTCGCGCTGCCGGATTGGCGCCCTGCTGAGCTGGACCCACGGCACTCGCTGCGCAGCGACAAGCGACCGATGGACCCAGTTGAGCGCGACTTTGATCGAGGCTGCCGCAGACGAGCGCCAACGACCCCTCGGGCGATGCGGGGATGCCGCGGGCCGCGCGGGGGAGTGCTGACTAAGATTCCCCCTCAAGCTACCAGCCCGACACACCTCCGCCCTGCCGCGGCCCCCGGAACGCAAACGGCGTCCGAAGACCCAGTCTGTCGTCTAGCTGTCCGCAAGTGGTTGAAAAGCGGCCTTCGCGCGGCCGTCCGACTGGTTAGTCAACGGCGACGCCGCAGCCCCGCGCCGCGACGCGGACGCTGCGCGCCACGCCCACCGGACCTCGCCCGCGCCCCCGGACACCCTCGCTGCGGCGCGAGGCCGCACGCGGCGGCTCCGGCCCTCCCACCACAGCGGCACACCCACACAAGACCTGTACACTCACATCACGGCCGTTTCCCCGACCCACTGCACCTCTCCATGCCCGCGCACCGCGCCGACCCTTCCCGCACGCGCCCTCCCGCGCGCCCCCGGCCCACGTCACCCTGACTCAGGCCCCACCATCGCCGTTATACACCCCCTGCCTCATTGCGCGCCGCGGCCAGCGCGTCCGCGAGGAGCGCGAGCGCCGCGCCCTTGTCGCTCGCCAGCGCCGTCCCCTGCTTCCGCACCTCCGCCACCCCGTCCAGCACCGCCGCGACGGCCCCCGCCAAAGGCCCGCAGGTCGCCACCCTCACCCGCGCCGCCGCCGCCGCCACCGCTTCCGGACCCGCGCACACGCACCCCGCCTGCCGCGCGCCGCCCACCCTGTACGCCCTCCCGGCCACGCAGCTCCCCGCGCCGCCGCCGCCGCCACCCACGCCGTGCACCGTCACCGCCACACCGTACTCCTCCTCCCCGACGAGCCCCGCCGCGGCCGCCGGGTCCCGCATCGCCGCCAGCGTCCTCCCGCATCCCGGGACATCTCCCAGCGCCATCGCGACGTCCGCCGCGGCGGCCGCCGCGCCGCCGCGGCCGGGCACCGGGCGGCGCCTGCGCGCACACTGCAGCACCGCGGCGGCGGACGCGTCGAGCGACGCGAGCTCCCCAGGCGGCGCGTGGCCGCTCGCGTGCCGTGCCGCCGCGGCGCCCGCCGCCAGCGCCCACGCGGCGCATTCCAGCGGGCGCCGGCCCCGCGCTCCTGCCGCTACGTCAGCGCCCTTCTGCATCCAGCCCGCGAGCCGACCCGCCTCCTCCGTCGCCCCACGCAGCACCTCGGCCTGGAACACGGCCGGAACGGTGCCGACGGGCGCGGTGCGCAGCACCGCCGCGGTCCCGGCCGCGGACGAGCTGTCGAGCCGCGCAGGCGGGCGCCGCCACAGGGTCGCAAGGACCTCCTGCCACGCCTCTGGCCGGCCCGCTCCGTCGCCACGCTCCCAGCCATCGAGCACGGCCACCAGCGCGGCCGCGACCTGCGCCGTCCCGAGCGGCACGCGCCCAAGCGACGCGCCATCCGCTGCGTCCGCCGCCGCCGCGCGCGCGAGCACGCCGGAGAGCGCCACGACCCAGCTGCGCGCGAACGTCGCGTCGCCCGCGCGGGCCATCGCCGCGAGCAGGCGCGCCGCCAGCCCCGACGCCCTCGGCACCCCGCCCAAACACGTCGCCAGCACGTGCTCCTGCACCAGCGCCCACGCCGCGCCCCCGCCCGCCGCGCAGCCGACCGCCCCCCCGAGCAGGTTCCGCACCATCAGACCCTCCGCGGCCCGCGCCCGCGCCGCGTCCCGCGGCTCCGCGCCGCACGCCACCGCCGCTGCCGCTGCGTCGAACGCCAGAGGCAGCACTACGTCCACGAAGCGCCCCCGCGCGCCGTCCGAGAGCCGCCCCGCGTGCGAGAACACGCTCGCGATCGCCAGCGCGCACGCCGGGTCGCCGTGGCACGCGCCGCTGCCGCGTGCGGCGTGCCGCAGGCGCCGCAGCCCAGCGACAACCTGTGCGGTCGCCAGCGCGTCGCCCGCGTCCGCCGTCGCGGCGATGAGGCCCGTGACGCGGAGCACGAGGTCGCCGGTGACGAAGCGCGTCAGGGCGGTGGCGTTCCGCGCCGCGCCGGGGTCCCCCGCGGCGGCGGCGAGCTCCTGACTCATGACCGACACGGCAAACTGCGTCAGGCGCTCGAGGCCCCGCGCGGCCGCGTGCGGGGCGGCGCGGCCGACGCGGAGCAGGTGGCTCGTCCAGAATTTCAGGACCTTGACCTGCTGCTCCGGCGCGAGGTCCTGCTGCGGCGCCGCGGCGGAAATTGTGCTGTTGGCAAGGAACGCAAACACGTCGCACACGATGGCGCCCAGCCCGCGCTCGCCCCCGGGCAGGTCCGCGGCGTGCCCTGGCGCCATGGGCTCGCCGTGTGGCGGCGCGGGCGGGGCGTGGTCGTGCGCTCCGGGGCCGTCGCTGACGCCGGACGCAGCGACGATGTCTGCAACGGCCGCGCAGAGGGTCTTGAGGGCCGCGTAGGACGCGACCTTGACGTCCGAGGGGTGCGGGACCGCGGCGAGGTCCTTGCGGCACGCCGCGAGAGATGCCAGGAGGCGTTCGAGGGCGGCGTTGCGGGCGCGGACGTTGCGTGTGTGTTGCATCGCGTTGCTGCTGGCCAGGACGACGAGGCCCTTCTGGCAGGAGGTCCGGAGGAGGGTGAGGAGCTCCTGTTGTACCTTGTGGAACCCGTCCGCGCCGAGGTCGTTCGCCCACGCGCGCGTGAGGCCGCATTCCAGGACGACTGTGAGGTGCCAGAAGAGGCTGAGACCGACTAGCGCCTCCGCGCCGGGCGGGTGGTCGACCTGGTAGGTCCCTTCCGCTAGGTCTGTCACCAGGGCGCATGCGCGCGACACGCAGCCGACCATGGCGCTGACGAGGGAGACGGGCGGGTCACTCAGGACGTCCGGTGGCCTCTTGCACGCTATCGCCGCCACCTGCGGGGCACGAGGTCGGCCTCCGAGCCGCTGAACATGAATTTCCGGTCCTGTCCGGCAGGTGCGTACGGCAAGCCGCGCGGGGTCGTCGCTGGCGAGCCGCACGCGCCGTCCCCGCCAAGCACTCCCTGGCTGGCAGGACCGCCGCGTCGCGCTTCGCTGGGCTGGCGCGCGCGAGGCACGGACGCTCGCACCTGTCTGCTCACCGCCTCGACGAAATACAGGTCCTCGTACGCCCGCAGGCATGCCAGGCGCCCCAGAGCCAGCTGGGCAGCCTGAATGCACTCCTCCACTCTCGCCGCGCTGGGGCCCTGCACAGCGTCATCCAGGTCCGTCGCGCACTGACGAAGGCACGAATGCATCCCCAAGCTCCCCGTCCGCGACGGCGAGAGCACGCCTGGCTGCGTCATCGCCCACCCGGCCTGCGCTGAGCTGTGCTGCGAGGCCTGCGCGCACGTCACGCCGAACCACCCACACGCATCGCGATTTTCTGGTTCTATTGGGCTCTGCCGTCGCCGCGCGGCGCAGCCGGGCCATGAAACCGACACAGCGGCCTCGTGCGGCCCCGCCGTGCAGCCCGCGTGCAGTCGACATGACAAGCGAGTCTGTCCTGCTCCAGCCATTGGAGTCGAAGGCGCCGGCGGCCACGCACATTGTCTCCTGGCTCCCGCGAGGCGGAGGAGCGGCATCGACCACCTGCGTCACGGTCGCACCGGCGCGACGCGAGAGCGACAACAGAGCTGGTTGCTCTGCGGCGGATTCCGGCCGTAACCGACGCGTGTCGAGGCGATTCTTCCATTGATAGGACTGACATCTAGTTGCATCATGCCTATGGTGCTTAAGGGGCCGACGACAACGGCAGTGCGCGGCGCACGGGCCCCTGCGCTGCACTGCTCCCTGTTGCCGCGATGCCGCGCGCTGCGACGACCTCCGCGGCCGCTCGTCGCACCGAGGGCCGCGAACGAGGGCCAGGATGCCATCAAGGTCGTCGGTGTGGGAGGATGCGGCGTCGACTACCTGGCGTCGGTTGCCTGCTACCCCAAGCCCGACGAGAAGCTTCGCACCCAGGTTCGATTCGCGCCGCGAACCAACGCGCTTCTCGCCGCGCGCACATCATGTGCAGGTCTCATACGACGGTCTCGACCGCGTGAGCCGACGAGCAGCGACCGTCTCGCTCCACGGCAGACACAGTGCTAGCATCCGCCTGTGGCGCTGCAGGCGCTGGAGGTGCAGGGCGGCGGCAACTGCGGCAACGCGCTCACGGCCGCCGCGCGCCTCGGGCTCGCGCCCTACGTGCTGAGTCAGGTCGGGGGGGACTCCCTCGGCGACGGCATCGCTGCTGAGCTAGAGAGCGAAGGCGTGAACACGGCGGGGCTGCTGCGCGAGCCGGGCTTCCCGTCGCCGTTCACGTACATCATCGTCGACCGGGAGGGCGGCACGCGGACGTGCATCCACACCCCGGGGCCGGTCCTGGCGCCGGAGGCGGTGGACAGGGCGCAGGTCAGACAGATCGTGGGGGGGAGTAAAGTGGTGTACTTTGACGGCCGACTGACCGAAGCGGCCATCGTGGTGCGTGCCGAGCCCTGCGGCGCCCGGGCGAGACGCGCGGTGGACCACCCTGCTGTTCTGCGGCAGGAAAACCATTGTCCTATTAATTATAAGAAACAATTGTACTAAAAACTCATAATAATCCTTGTTGCGACGGACGGGCGATGGCCGCAACGGTGCGCAGGTCGCTGAGATCGCGGCGGAGGTGGGCGTGCCCATCCTGGTGGAAGCGGAGCGTCTGCGGCCCAACCTGGACGTCCTGATGGGGTTCGCAGACTACCTTTTTACGTCCGAGAACTACCCCCAGGACCTGACAGGGCTGGACAGCCTCGGCGACGCGATCCTCGTCCTGCTCTCGGCGCACCCGAAGGCGCGCTTCGTGCTCACGACGCTCGGCAAGCGGGGGTCCGTGCTCGTGGAGCGCTGCGACGCAAGCGGCGCCGGGGACGAGAGCACGCTCGACGACGTCGTGGCCGCACTCAGGTCCGGCGCCCCCGCCGCGTGCGCGTCGTCGCCGCTGCGTCCTGCTCTGCAGCGTGCACGCTGCCTGTGGATAAACAGCCTATAAAAACAGTCTATATAAACAGTCTATATAAACAGTCTATAAACAGTGTGGTGTTTTGCTGGTGTGGTGTGTGGCGCAGAGAGGAGCTCGATGGTGGCGCGGGCGCGGGCGGCGGCGCGGGCTGCGTGCGCGACGGTGGCGCGGTCGAGGTCAGGGCAGGTGGGGTTGTGTCGACGTCAGGCCCCGTACGTCTCGTGCCCAGCGCGAGGGGCGATGCGGAGGCCAAGGCGCGTGCCGCCGCGGCCGCCGCGCGAGCGGCCGCCTCGAACGCTCGGCCGGGAGAGGCGGACTCGGGGTACGGGTCTGGCGGCGATGCGGAAGCGGTGCCAGTGACGGCGCGCGTGTACGTAGCGGGCGCTGCCAGCATCGTCCGAGGCGACGTGCTGGACACGACGGGCGCAGGGGACGCGTTCATGGGATCGACGCTGTACGGGCTCGCGAAGGGGCTGCCGCGCGACGCGATGATGCGTCTGGGAGCGGTGGTGGCGGCAACAAAGTGCACGAAGCTGGGGGCGCGGCCCGGGCTGCCAATGCGCAGCGAGATCGACCCCGAGCTGCTTTGACAATACGGACACATTGCGCCCAGCATGATTTCTCGATCTGTCGCGACGTGCGCGGGGGGGGGGGGACTCGGCATCACATGCATTGCAGCCGACAGCTGTGACCTCTAATTGTCGTACACCCGGCACTCGCCCTCGCTGACGTTGCTCTCGTCCTGGCAGAACGCGTCGATCGGGTCGCTGACGTCCTTCCCGCCCACGCCGCCCGCCCCCGCCTTGGCCCTTTCCGCCGCAACCCTCTTTTTGTTCGACGGCACGTCCTCCGCCTTCTCGGGCCACGGCGCGCGGTCGAAGGTGATCGCGAGGTCCCGGAGGTCCTCGGCCTCCTTCGCGAGTTTGCTCCACGCGTCCCGGTCCGTCAGCGTCCACGACCAGTTGCCCTCGGCGACCCCGGGGGTGTTCATGCGGCCCTCCTCGTTCCCGAGCCGCATGACGTCCTGAAGGGTGAACAGCGCCGTGCGCGACACGGACTGCATGCACGACTTGATCAGGTCCCACGCGGGGTCCTCGCCCGTCACGCCCAGGTACCTGCGGAGCACAAAACCATCAAAACACAAATCATAAATAAACATTCAGGGTGAGAGCGATCATGATCATAAACTACATACTACCGGATATCTCACGTCACGCTGCATGGCATGACACCGGCGTGGCGCGTTTTCGATCGCTCGAGCGGGCCCTCACGTCCTGAAGTAGTCGCGTTCGCTGCCCTCAGGGATCCGGTCCCACCACCCCTGACACGTGTCGTTGTCGTGCGTGCCCGGGTACGCGAACGAGTCCTCGTAGTGGTTGTGCGGGAGGTGCGTGTTCCGCGCGTCGCTGCCCCACGCGAACTGCAGCACCACCATCCCCGGCGCGTCAATCTCCTTGCGCAGCTCATGCACGTCCGGCGTGATCACGCCGAGGTCCTCCGCGAGGATCGGCACCTTCCCCAGGTGCCGCTCCAGCGCCTGGAACAGCTTCGACCCCGGCCCGCGCTTCCACACCCCCACCATTGCCGTTTCCTCCGTGGCCTCGACGGCCCAGTAGCCCGTGAATCCACGGAAGTGGTCGATGCGCACCTGCGCCGCGAACGCACCGGGAACGTGGGCGCGTGAGCGTGGGGCGACGTGCCGCGGGCACGCCAGCCGCGCCGCGTGGGTTTCTGGCACCGCGCACCTCGTCGTGCAACGCCATGGCGCGGCGCATGCGCCGCGTCCACCACTGGAAGTCCTCCTTCTCGTGCGCGGCCCAGTCGAAGAGCGGGGACCCCCACAGCTGCCCCGTGTCGCTGAAGGCGTCCGGCGGCACGCCGGAGACCAGCAGCGGCTTGGCGTCGGCCGACAGCTCGAACAGGTGCTGCGAGGCCCACACGTCCGCGGAGTGCCCGCCGACGTAGATCGGGATGTCGCCGATGATGGACACGCCGTGCTCGTTCGCGTACGCCCGCAGGCGCCGCCACTGCTTGTCGAAGAGGAACTGCTTAGCCACGAAACGGTCGATCGACGCTGCGTGCTTCTCCCGCACCGCCTCGAGCGCCGCGGGCTCCCGCAGCCGCAGCTCCTTCGGCCAGTCGAACCACTCCTGCACCGCGCCGCTCAGGGCGGGGCGGTCCGTCGCGACGATGCGGTGTGCAGATACAACGCAGGAAAAGCGCAGGGGGGGGTCGCTGCGCGGCGCACGAGCGCACCGTCTCCACGCAGCCCTCGACGCTGTCCGCGATGACGCGGAACAGCGCGCTGTCCTCGATCCAGCTCTCCTCCGCGGCCCTCCACGCCTGCATCTCTGTCGCCAGCTCAGCAATCGCCTTCGGGCCTGCGTAGTCCGGCGCCGCCGCGTCCACCAGCCGCTGCGCGGCCTTGTCGAGCAGCGGGTCCTTCACCTTGGCCACGGCCGCGAAGTCCACGCGCCCGCACATCGTCCCCGCGTGTTTCTTCCCCAGGAACGTGTTGGGGTCCGGCGCCTCGCCCTGCGGGCCTCAAATCCGGATCTGGCGGTCACGCGCGGCGGATGATGAACGTACCATGCAGGCGGCGGCGCGGCGTCGGTCGCGGCGCGCGGGCGCGCGCGTGGCGGGAGGGTGCTGTTGCGCGGCAGTTGACGCGCACCTCCTGGAGCAGGCCCCACTCCTCGAGCCACTCGGTGGAGATCATGAGCGTGTTCCCGCAGAGCCCGTCCTCGCCCGTGTACGGCGACCAGTACAGGCGCTCCGGCGGCACCAGCGGCAGCACCTGCCACACCGTCATCCCGGCCTTGGCCAGCCAGTCGACGAACTTGAACGCGCCCGGGCCGACGTCCCCGCAGCCGTACGCGCCAGGGAGGGACGTGGGGTGCAGCACGATGCCCGCGCGCCGCTCCTTGGACGGGTCCGAGGGCGGAGAGCCGTAGGAAGCATGCATGACGGCACCGGTGGCGTAGGAGGCGACGCGCGCGAAGTCGAAGGGTTCCGGCTTCTTCTCCTTCTTCTTCGCGGGCGGGGCGTCCTTCTTCGCGTCCTTGGCGCGCAGAGGCGGCATCGGACGCGCGCGCGGGGCCGGGACGCGCGCGAGAGGCGACGGGGTGCCGAGGAGGGGCCGCGCACGGCGGGTCGCGCCCCGAAGAGTGGGCGCACGCGGCCTCGAGACTTCGGCCACCATGTCCATGTGTGCGACGCTGCGGACCCCCCACTGCGCGCCCGCCCGTGGGGTTTGCGGAAGCTACTGCACTCGCAGATCAACGAACGCCGCGCGCCGCTCGGTCGTTGCGCTGGAAGAGATCCGGACGAGCGCACAAGAAGCAGTGTAGGCTGCACGAGGCAGGCGAGGTCTTCTGTGCCGGATGCGCCCAGCTATGAGCAGGTCGCGGCCAGTTGGATGGGTGAAACAAGTCGCGCACAGCGCGGCCGCTGGGGCGCGCTGTTTGCGAAGGCTGCACTAGCTGCGAGGCACCCAGTTCCTCCTCGGTGCAGGGAGGCGGTTGAACGCGTGTTTCGCTGCGCACGCACGATGCATCACGCTTCGTGAGGCACATACCTTGGCGGTGCCGTGTGGCGAACAGATGGATCGATCCGCTCCACCCTGATCGCTGGCCTGATCTCTGGGACGAGGCCGGCGCGTGCGCGCCCAACATCGTGCGCGCGCGGCCCTGGGCAACCTGACGTGTCACCGTGCCTTGCTGACAGCAGTGCTCCGCTGACTTGCGCGCTCGCCGCGTCGCAGGGGCGCAGACGGCGACGCGCGCCCCCGAACCAGCTCAGATAGCGCGTCACTGCCTTCGTCGACGAACGTTCACGTCCGAACGCTCACGCTGCGCGACGACAAGGCTCCGCGGCTCCTTATGCGAAGAAGCGCGCGTGTGCGGAGCATGCAGTCGCATACGGCCTGAAACTGAGTACCTCGGACAGGTGTTGAGGTTGTTCGTGTATGAGTGGGTGAAAGTAGTTCGTGGTTCCAGCGTATCGCGCGCACAAGGCGTGCTAGGCATTTCACCAGGCGAAGCGGGCCCAAACTCCACAGGGGGCGCGCCTGCGTTCCATATTTGATTCATCGCCACATCCTATCTCTTTTCTCGATGAAATTCTTCCAAACACTCACGATAATATCGCAGCTTGCGAGGAAACCAGCCGTTTGCTGACTGCGACGTTCGCCCACGGCACGATGGCGGCCGCGAGCGGCGCCGGCTGGGCGATGCACCGGCGCCTCGTGTCGCCAGAAGGGCCAGCTGGCTGCCAGTGGGGCTGGCTGCTCGGCCTGGCCACTCCGTCGGGCACAGCCATCCTGTACGCCGTCGGAGCACCGCGGCCCCTCGACGACCGCGACTGGCGCCTCGCCCGCGCCCTCTGCGCCGTTCCCGCCGGCCTCTCCCTCGTCGGCCTCTGGACGCGGCGCAGCGACCAAGACATCGACCCTGAAAGGCACGACACCCCCCCCCTGCTCGCCGCCGAACATCATGTCACCACCGCCGCCGCCTGACAACGCGCCCTCCGTCCTACCATCCCGCAGATGCGTCCGAGCATCCGCGGCAGCCCTGCTCCGCCCGGCCGCCCCCTCAGACCCCCCCCCCGACGATGAGACACCCCCCTTAGTCATGGGCATTGCATACCCCTCCGAGGAGCAGGCCATACGTGGCGTGAAGCCAGCGGCCTTCTCGGCGCGCCGCGACGAGCCCCGCACGTGGACGCGCGTGTCCCCCGCGGACCTCGCCGCCGCGGCGCGCCCCGCGGACGCCCTGGACGGCGTCGTGCGGCAGCGGTGCGCTCTCGTCCGTGTGCGGCACTCGCGCGTCGTCGTTCCGCACGAGGCGCTGCTGAAGGCGACCGGCAGCCGCCTGAGCTGCGCGGAGGCGCTCGCGGTGCCGTCGCGGCCCCGAGAGGGCGGCTGGCTGCGACGATTTGAGGGAGAGGTGGGCGGGGCGCTGCGGGCGGCGGTGGGGCCGCAGCAGCCGAGCACGCTGCGAGGCCCCGGCGGGCTGGAAGTGGGCGTCGACTGCGAGGTCGATTTGCCCGGGGAGGGCCCGCGGGGGCGGTGCGAGGGGGGTGTTTTGGTGTCCCTCGACTTGCTGGCGTGGACGCCGCGTGGCGCGGCGGCCTCGGACGCGGCGGCGCGGGCTATCACAGCGGGCCTGGCGCGGCAGATGGACGACGCGTGCTGCGCGCTCCTGCAGGCGACGGGGCACAAGGCGCGGGCTCCCCGCGCCGCGGGTCGTGGCATCGGACGCGTGCTTGCGTGCGTCGCCTGGCTGGCCCATGTCGCCGCAGGGCTGCTCCGTGCCCTTCTGCAGCTCGTCGGGCTCGCCCAGCCACGTGGCGGCGCGCAGCAGCTGCCACGCGCGATAGCGGCGCTGCACTTCGCGATGCGAGAAGACGCCGCCGCGCCCTCCGTCGGCGTCGTCACGGGCGCGTTCTGGCTGCCCGGCCGCGCGGAGAGCCCCGACGAGGTCGCGGGCGAGGACGGCGATGCGCTCCACGCACTCCGGAAGGACCTGCACCGACGCGCCGGCGCCGCGGCATCCGCGCCGCGCTTTCGTCTCTCGCAGGCGCTCGTCTCCTCGTCCGCCGCGCCATGGGGGCGAGCTGCGGGTCCGGCCGCCTGCGACGCACTGCTCGACATTCACTGCGACGCCCCGCAGCCGCGGCGCTTTCGTGCGGCCGGCGCGTCCCCTCCGCGCGAGGTGCAGGGGAGCTACCTGTACTTGCACTACAACTGCGGGGGCGTCGACGACCGCGGCTGGGGCTGCGCGTACCGTTCGCTGCAGACGCTGTGGAGCTGGTACCTGCTCAACCACTACACGCGCCGGCCGGTCCCGACGCACCGCGAGATCCAGAGGATGCTCGTGCGGCTCGGGGACAAGCCGCCGGCGTTCGAGGGCTCCCGGGAGTGGATCGGCGCCGTGGAGCTATCGTACGTCTTGCAAGCAGGTGAGCGTGCGCCGTGCAAACACTCCCCCCCCTCCCACCCCGCATCGCCGCGCACACGCAGCTATCGCGCCGCGTGCAACGGAGCGCGAGACGTCGTGGGCGCCCGCGCAGAGCTCGGGGTGACGTGCAAGATCCTGCACGCGGCGTCGGGGCGGGACGTGCCTGGGCTGGCGCGGGAGCTGTGCGCGCACTTCCGCGAGCACGGCACGCCGTGCATGGTCGGCGGCGGCGTCCTGGCGTACACGCTCCTCGGGGCGCAGTGGGACAGCGCCACTCCACGGGGGGGGTCCCTGCTCGTTCTGGACCCGCACTGGGGCGCGGTCGACCCCGGGCGGCGCGGCGCGGCCGTGGCGGGCGGGTGGGTGGCGTGGCGACAGGGCGGGGACCGCTGCGCGGCGGGAAACGGGCCGTTGTTCGAACCGTCTTGCTTTTATAACATATTGTGCCCGCAGCGGCCGAGCGGGCCGTGACCGCGTGCGGTGCGGCGGGCCGGGCGCTGAGGCGCGGGGCGCCGGCGCCGGTGTGACGGCGAGCAGGTTGCGGTGAGCGCGGGCAGGGGTGACTGCATGGCCCGTGGAGAGGCGCGTCCGTGAAGCGCTTGCCGTCATCGGCGATGGGAATTCGGCGGTTATACCTTGAAACGGGCGAGCGGGCGCCGCTTTGCGGCCCGCCCTCCCAGCGAGGCGCGCGGCAGCGTCAGCCGACTGTCATGCAGCCGGGGGGGCCGAGCTCGCGCTGATTGCCTCCGCGGCGGCCGGCGCTCGTTCCTTCCGATAGAGAGCTCAGGATGGTGCGCAAGGTGACGGCTCGCGGCCCCCGCAAGGGCGGCAACAAGGCGAACATCTGGGCCTACTCGGCGCCGGTGAGCTCGCTGCCCCGACGGCGTCCACGGCCGCCGCGCACGACGCGCCTCGCAATGCAAGCTTCTTTTTGCGCGTCCCCGGGGCCCGCCACCGCGGCCGCCACCCCCGCGTTCGCGAGCCCGTCACCCCCTCTGCGTCCCCGGTGCAGGTCGAGAAGCCCCTGGCGGAGCTGAAGGGCAAGTGGTACCCCGCGGAGGACAAGGCTGTCGAGAAGCCCGCCGCCGCCCCCCAGAAGCCAGCGAAGCTCAGGTGCGCAGCCCGCGGGCGCCTCTCGCACTCGCGCCAGCAGCCTCCACCCCGTGTTCCCCGCGCCCGGCGCCCCAGGGCGCCCGGCACGGACGCGTGCGACGCTGCGCACGTGCCTCAACGGCGTCCGATGCCCGCCCGGCCGCGCAGGGCCTCCATCACCCCGGGCACCGTGCTCATTCTCCTGGCGGGCCGCTTCAAGGGCAAGCGCGTCGTGTTCCTGAAGCAGCTGGAGTCGGGTCTGCTCCTGGTCACGGGCCCTTACAAGGTGAGGATCGCGCCCTGCCACGCCGCCGCGTCTAACGCGACGCCGGCGGCGCGCGGCGCGCCACAGACTGCGCCTGCTGCTCGCCTCGTGCCCCCGCGCGCCGCGCGCCGCAAGGCGCCCCGATAACGCCCCTCCGCGGCGTGCTCGCCGCCGACTGCCCCCGCCCGCGCCGACCTCGCGCCCCTTCACGCCCAGCGGCGCGCTCTCTCACCCCGCCACCCCTCGCCACCCCGCCACGACCGCCGCTTCCGCGCCCCTCGCGCCCGTTCCGCGCTCCCGCGACCTCTCGTCTCCACTGCGCGCAGCGCGCGTCCGCGCCGCCCCTCCCGCCCCGCGCCCACGCCGCACGCCCCGCCTCCCCGCAGTTCAACGGCGTGCCCCTGCGGCGCGTGAACCAGGCCTACGTGATCGCCACGAGCAAGAAGGTGTCGCTCTCGGGCGTGGACTGCGGCAAGGTGAAGGACGACTTCTTCAAGCGGCCCGTCGTCAAGACCAAGCCGGTGTGCCCCCCACCATCACCACACACACACACACACCCGCGTCCGACCCACACCTCGCACGCCACGGCGCACCGCGGCCCTTTCCGACCCGCACACCTCCGCACCTCCCGCCCCGCCCTGCGCCACGCGCCGTGCGCTCTCCGCCGCGCGTACGCCCACGCCGCGCCGCCCCGCGCCGTTCCGCCGCTGCAGGGCGAGAAGGAGTTCTTCAGCGGCGCGCCGGAGAAGAAGGCCGTGCCGTCGGCGGTGGTGGCGATGCAGAAGGCGGTGGACGACAAGCTGGTGGCGTCGCTCGCCAAGGACAAGGACGTCAAGTCGTACCTCGCCACGCGGTTCTCGCTCCGGTCCGGGGACAGGCCGCACCTCATGAAGTTCTAAGTGGCCGCGCGCGGACCGGGCGGGCGCGGCGCGCCGGGGCCCGCTGGGCCTGCGCACGGTGTGTGCGCCTCCTGATGTGACAGCGCTCGCTGCGGAGGTGGCGAGGGCCGCTGCGTCGCCGCGCCTCGTAGCGCGCGGCGTGCACGGTGCCGCGCGGCTGTTCCGTGGTCCACCCGCACGAGGCACGAGCCGTGTGTTGTATGCGCTTAACCTGGGTCTCGACGAGCCCTTTTACACACAGCAGATGTTGGACAGTGCCCGCACCGTTTTGCAGGCCGCCATCAACCACCACTACCCTCCCGTCGCAGACATCGACCTCGGGAGCCGTACCCTCATGATCCACGACTTCCCTACCCCCCTGGCTAGCCTCGCCCCCCTCGAAACCCTCGTCAATAATGATGACTTTCTCAACCTCTTACCTGAGCGTATCCGCGAAGGTATGGATGGCTTGTTTCTGGTGGCCCCGCGCTATTCGGTCAGGTTTCCACCGCTGTCGCGCTCGGTGTGCACGCACAGCGGAGTTGCCAAGTTTGCACGCAGTCGCCTGTACGACATCATGGCGACGCAGTGCGACTGTGCGCAACACCAAGGACCGGACCTACGACGCCACTTCACGCTCGAGGACCCCTACTGGCAGATCGACGGCGAGCCTGTGCGGCACCTCTGCACGCTGGACCCTGCTGCGGCGGGCATCCAGAGCACCGCGTACCGCCGTTTGTTCGCCGTCGGCGGTGCCAAGCACCGACACGTCCCGGAGCTGCACCAAGCCACGAGCGCGACCGTAGCTAGCATCGTTGAAGCCTACCAGAAGCCGCTGCTCGGGTGGACGAAACGCGTCAGCAAGGCCGCCGACATGGACGCGGCAGCGTGCATGCCGTACATTGATGCTATACTTGCTGCTACGCAAACGGCACTCCAACCCGCTCTTCAACCCGGGTTCCGCCTTCCATGGCCCCCGCCGCTGGCGGACATTCAGCCCGACGATCGCGTGGCTCTGCGGCGAGACGCGACACGCCTCACCATCACGACCATGGACAAGAACGCCGGGAATTTGGTTTTCGTGTGTCGGCGCGCCTACATCGAGGTCCTCCTGCACGACCTGCACAGCAACGACGCTTTCGCTGTCAACGAGCCGGCAAATGCCAACATCACGCATGCCAGGCACGTGGTGAACGTCGCTAACACGACGGAGGCTATGTTGGACAACCTGCAGCTACCAGGAATACGCACCGAACGCGAGTGCGGTGGTCTACCGCACTACTACGGGACGATGAAGCTTCACAAGGCCAAGGTGGACGTGCGGTACATCTCGGACTGCTCGAGCGACATCACGCGCCCCGCAGCGCAGCTGCTGACGAAGGCCCTCGGCGCGCTCATGTGCCACGCCACCCTCGTGGAGGTCTGGAGCTCCATCTTCGACGGCGTCCCGGAGGACCTCTGCAGCAGCTTCGCGCCCTTCTTGGTGGACTCCAGCCGCGGCATGCGTGACATGGTGACCGCGTATCTACATGACAACCCACCACGCTCAGCGATACATGCTCAACAACCACCTCTGCTGCTGGGCGCCGACATCAAGCGGCTCTACACGCACATCCGGCACGAGACGAGCGCGGACCACGGGACCGGCCTCATCGACTGCGTCATCGAACACATCGACGCTGTTTTTGCACTGCATCCAGGGCAACACCTCCTGATCGACTTGCAACCCGCGTTTGACGCGAGGGAGACGTGGTGGTGGGTGGCGCAGCTGCCGGACGCGGACGGCATGGTTGGGAAATGGGCACCGAGCATCGAGCAACTTCATGGTCTCGTGCACATCCTCGTCAAACGCGCCTACGTGGTGTTCGGGGGCGTCGTATATCACCAGACCTGCGGTGTGCCCATGGGGCTCTCGGCCTCCCCCCACCTCGCGAACTGCTACATGTTCCGGCATGAGCTCGCGTTCCTCTGCCAGTTTCGCGACCGCTGGTTGAGCACTGGCGACGTCGCTTGGCTGAAGGTCTTGGGGTCTTTCCGTTATTCCAGGCGCTACATCGACGACAATTTCTCTCTCGCGAACGCACTGTACCGCTACTTCAACACCCACCCCCGCCCCCCCACCCCGCCCCCCGAAACCCCGTCGTCGATCGTAGATCTCATCTCTGGTATACATAACATGTACCCCCCCTGTCTTGAGGTCGAATTTGACGCCCCAGCGAACCCGCTCGACGGTGTCTCCTTCCTAGACCTCCGCGTGCGTCCGCATCCCGAATATCAGGGCTTCCTCCTGATCTCGCACTATGACAAACGCGGTCTGTTTCCTGAGAACATTCACCTCATACAGTACCCCCACGCTTCGTGTGCGCTGCTGCGACGACACCTTTACAACATCGTCCGCACCGAACACATCCGCGTGTCCAGCGAGGTGACTGACCGCGACAGCTACGTAGCCAAGATGTCGGCCATGATGCGCTACATGCGTACGCATCGAGGTTACTGCATGCGACAGGTCCTGGCGATCCACCGCGCCGCCTGCCGGACGCACCCGAGCCCGCATTTTGGCCCTGCCACGCCGGCGGGCCTGGCTGACCTCGTGCGTCGCCACGTGCAGTTTGCAGACCATACTGGCCAACCTGCTGACAGGGCGTGCCCGGCGCCCTGCAACTCGTCACCCTCATACATGATCCCGGCGCTGCGAAGCTGGCTCGGAACTATCCAGCCATGCCCGCACACATGACGCACTCTGTTACCCCCCCGATGTTGACATGTTGGCCATGCGCGTATTCCGTGGCCGCTAGACCGAGGTATGATCCCTTTTCGCATGACAGGCCACGCGCGGGGGACGGCGATGACGAGGAGAGCTGAGTAGCCGTCGGCGCGTCGCCACACAACGCGGACAATGCCGCAGACTCAGTCACCGCTGTCACCCAGCCGGCTGCCGACACCCCCTGGTACAAGCAGCCTAGGACGTGGACCAGCACTTCGGCGCGTCGGCTGGCGGGCGTCGTCCAGTACTCGCGCGGCTCGCCGCGTTGTTGCTGACGACGCCCGCCACTCACTCTAACTGATTGCAGGTCAGAGCCTTCCCTTGGCACATGATGGCACGCTCACATGGCATTTCGCGCGAGTACTCCTAGCACGCTGCCGCCTTGATCAGGACGATAGCACACCCGCATTTCGTTTCGTGCGCGGGTGGTCAATTACTCTGTGTGTTGTGGCTGCTGCGTTGGTCCATCCCGGGGGGTCTGTGCGGCTGCGCCGTGGGCGGGCCGCGCGGCTCCCTCGACAGCACGCGGTCAGCTGCGCGCGGTTGCGAGATATCGGGGTGAACGGCAGCCGTGGCGCATCAGTGGCAACGCAGCAGGTCCACGCGGGGCAAGTTTTGCGTGTTCAGGGGGCTGGCTCATCGACTGCGCAGGCCGCGGCTGGCTCGCCGGGCATGCGGCTGTGTCTGGTGCGTCTGCGCGGGCGCCACGCAGCCGGGACAGCGGCATCCATGCCCGGGCGCGTGCCGCCGTTGGCAGCGCGGCCCCGCGCGCGCGCGGTTGCGGTCGTGGAGCGTCACAGAGCCCCGGAGAGTGTTGTCCGTCTAAGTTAATGCGCGACGGAAGCGCTATGGCGCCGCTGCCGTCGCCGCGCCGCAGCGCACGCGCTCGTGCTTATCCAGCAGCCGCCCCTCGCTGGCCGGGGGCGGGTCGTCGGGGGCGGCTCTACGCGAGCACCTCGCCGGTCTTCTTCAAGTAGCGGACCTTCTTTCCGCCCTCCTCCTTGTACCCGATCCGCGACCGCACCTCCTTCTCCTTGCTCCAGTGCATGACGTTGCTGCTGTGGATGGGCGCCTCCCGCTTGACGATCTGGCCCGTCTCGCCCTCGCGCACGGGCTTCTCGTGCTTGGTGACGATGTTGACGTCCTGCACCACGATCTTCCCCGTCTTCGGGTACACCTGCCGGCCGCGTGGAGTGGATGGCCGAGGGTGAGTGGCCGCATCGCGGACCCGGGCGGGCGCGGGATGGCCGCGAAAGCGGACCGACGGACACCTCTAATTAAATGCGCCGCGCTCGCGCGCCGGACGGGGGCGCATCGCCTCCCGCAGGCGCAGGCGCCTCCAGCCTGGCGCACACGCAGGCGCACACGGCACCCAGCCGCGCCTGTTCGCGCAAACACCCCACTCCACGCACGAGGCTGGCCGCAGGAAGCGGGGGAAAGCACAGAGCTGGGACAAGTTGGCGCGGCTCGCACCTTGGTGACCTCTCCAACCTTCTGCTTGTCCTTGCCGCTGATGACCACGACGGTGTCCCCGGTCTTCACGTGGAGCTTCTGCTTCACGGGCTTGCCGTTCTTGGTGACTGGGAGCCGCTCCCACTTCTTCCCGGGACCCACGAGGCCCGCAGTGATGGGCAGGGTGCGCCGCTGCGACACGGTCGCGGGCCTCGCCGCGAGGCTCTGCCCCAGCATCACGCTGCTCCCAAACATCTTTCCCGATCGCAGAGAAGCGCACCGGGGCGCCGGGGCCCGCGCTACACGACGCCCCGCGCAACGGCGCGCACCCCTGAGGTGGGCAGCTTGCTCTTGTCCGACGCCGCGTGCCCGCACGCCTCGCGCTGAATAGCGGCCCCGACCGCGGCGCCGGGACGCTCTGATCGTCGAGCGTCGGCCCGGCTGCTCCAACCCAGGTGATTGCCGCCGCCCCACGCGCCAGCTGCCCAACTCCGCCCAACTTCTCTCCTGCGGGCCTGCGCTCGCGCGGGCGACGCGGGCAGAATCACCGCGCGCCCTGCGCGAGAACATTGCATGAAGGCGCGAGAGCGACCACGGACCGCCCCGATGGCGGACGGCGCGGCGCTCAGATTTCATCTCGGCCCTCCCGTCCTCGCCGACGCTGTCCCCGGCGCCCGCACCGCCAGCGCCCACGGCGTGTGTGTTGACAAACATTCCAGCGGGGCGCTCATCCGCCGCAACGTCTTTCGAGCGCCCCTGTTCCCCGCGCCCTGCGCATCTCGCCCTCGCCTCTGTAATGCCGCGTACGCGGGCCTAGGTCTTAGGTCGGCGCGCACGACCTTAGGTCGGCGCGCCCGCGCGCACATGCTCCGCAGCAGCACGCCGCCGCCCCCAGGCCAGCTCCCGGGCCCGCACAGCCGCCCGCGCGCGGGCTGGCGCTGCACCCTGCGCAAAATTTGTACGTGCGCTCCCACGGGCGCCCCGCGCGCGCTGCGGCCGCGACAGCCGCACACCCGCTCCCTCCCGCGCCTGCAGGCCCCCCGCATCCGCGCCCGGAAGCACCTACCGCGGTAACGGCCGGAAGTGCAGCATCTCGGAACAGGCCACGTCTTGACCCGCGGCCCGGTGCAGCCTAGCGGCGCGGCGTCGCTCCGAGCGCTTCCCTAGATCATGTCGGACCAGATGCGGGACGTGACCCGCCAGGAGAACGGCGCCAACGGCATCGAGCTGCTCAACGCGGACTCGGGGGACTTCGCCGTGCACTGCGACATGGGCGACCTCGACGGCAGCGACGCCGGGCCGCAAGAGGAGGCAAGCGCCCGCCTGCTCGCGCCCCGCCGCGCCCCGCCAGCGACGCGCAGCACCCACCGCCAGTGCCTTGACGCGCGTGTGTGTCTCGCGCCGCAGGTGGAGTTCGTGTGCAACGGCGCGAACGTCGACGAGGCGACGAACCGGTTCGACCGCGTCGTGGGCGCGCTGGAGGAGGCTTTGCTGGACGAGGCCGTGTTCCAGGCGCAGGAGGACTTCTCGCGGCAGCACTGCGGGCTCTTCGAGGAGGGCGAGGAGAACCGGCTGGAGTACATGGACGTGTACGCGCAGTGGAACGCCCTCCTGGAGCGCATCCTGGAGGAGCGGCTGCAGGGGACGGGCGTGACGATGCAGGAGGTGATGGCCGCTATTTCCGAGCGGGGCGAGGGCGAGCTGGGCGCGGAGGTGTTCGATTTGCTGCTCAGCATGGCGGACTTCGAGGCGTTCAAGGCGCTCATGCTCGACTACAAGGAGCAGGCCAAGTGGGAGGGCATGGGCCCCAGCGTTGCTGGGATGCGCGTGCACGAGCAGGAACAGGAGGACGGCGACGCGAGGCCGGACCTGGACCTCCTGCTCGGGATCACGCCGCTCTGAGGGCCACGCGCGACGCCCCGGTGTAGATTCACACATACATACACTGCCATGATTGTGCACTTGTTCCCTCTCCTTGTTTGGGCGGCGCGCGTCGGCCCGGCCCTGCGTCCTTGCGCGCGCGTGGGCGCCGGTGTGAGCCCGACGTACGCCCAGCTGCTGGCGAGCGCGCGTGACGGCCGCAGCGCAGGTCATTCGCGGACCTCCGCGGCTGCTGCGCGAGCCACCTGCGTCACGTCGCCCGCGCCCATGACGAGCACAACGAGCGTCCCGAGCGCGGCGGCTGGACCGGTGTCGTCTCCGCGCATCGCCCGCGAACACAACTGGCGCACCAGGGACGCCGCTTGCGACACACCCCCCACGTACGTCACCCCCGCTGGCACGGGGGCGCGGGCCGCCACGTCCCGCGCGAGCTGCTGCGCAGCCTCGGCCGGCGAAACGTCGCGCTTCTCCCGCGCGGGGAACACGTCGAGCACCCACACCGCCCCGTCGCCGCCGCCTGACGGCCCCACTGCGCTTGCGAGCACGGCGCAAAAGTCGTCGCGGAAGGCGTCGACGCGTGAGAACGTGTGCGGCTGCACCACGGCCAGCAGAAACGCGTGAGGAAACCGCTCGCGCGTCGCGGCGATCGCGGCTGCGATCTCTGTGGGGTGGTGGGCATAGTCGTCGACAACCACCACTCGCTGCGCCCGCGCGTCCCGGCCGCTGCTCGCCGCAAGGATCTCCAGCCTCCGGCGCGGGGCCACGACGTCCGCGGTGCGCGCGAGAACTTCGGACGCCAGCGCGCGGAGGCCGCGCGTGTGCGCGGGCGGGCGCGGGCGAGCTGCCGCTGCGGCACGTGCGACCGCGGCGGCGCCGACGACGGCGCCGAGGAGATTCGTACGGTTGTGGGAGCCGAGCATGGAGGTCTCCAAGCGCCCTAGATCGGCGTTCAAGGAGTCATGCACTACGAATGTTTGAGACCGCGCGCTCGGCGCGTGTTCGTCGGCGCCGTGCGATTTGACGACGAAGGCATGCCTCGTCTCGCTTGTGCCGGCGTCGTTCTGCCCGAACGCCACAGCTTCCACGTCCTCGCGGCCCTCCAAGGTCGCCTGAACAACTTGGGCACATTTGGCGCAGTCGCTGCAGAAGCACAGCGTGCCGTTGCGCCGAATCCGTCGACAGAAGTCCTTGAACATATCCATCATCGCCTCCGGGCTCCTGCACCGAGCGGCGCTCACGACGCTCCCGTTCTACGCAGAAAGCGCCGCACGCAAGCACGGCCCGTGGCCACGCACGCGGAACACGCCCGGCCCGCACCTGATCTGGTCGGCATGGTCCCAGCCCAAAGCTGTCAGAACGACCACGTCCGGCTCCAGTCCCAGAAACATACCCCCGTACTCGTCCGCCTCGATCACCAACACACGGACCTCGCCTGGCGCGCGCCGCGCGCCGCCCGGCAGCTGAAGGCCCAGCTCAGGGTGCGAGAACGCGTCGACGACGCCCCCGACGATCGCGGTGGCGCGGACGCCGGCGAGACGCATCGCCAGCTGCGCGAGCGCGCTGGTGGTTGTCGTCTTGCCGTGCGTGCCCGCGACGGCCACCACGAGGTCGAAACCGCGCGTGGCGTGCGGCAACCATCTTCGCCTGTCGAGCACGGGCACGTTGAGCCGCCGCGCGGCGACCACCTCCGGGTTCGCGTCACTGCAAGCACACACCCTTCGACGCGCGCGCACAGGTCGAGATCGCGGCCGGGAGGCCCCGCGAGTCGGCACAGCACGCCACCACGCGAAGCATCGGCGCTGGCGCGCCGACCGTGCGCACCTGATCGCAGACGAGCGCACAACGACGTCAGGAGTGCACGGCGACGACACCGCCATCGCGCCTTCGTCGTGCCCGACGAAGACACGCGCGCCGGCACGTTCCAGATCCGCCAAGCGCGGGCCCGACGCGGCGTCGGAGCCCGAGACCTGCGGCGGGCGACGCACAGGCACCGTTATCCTCGATTCACTGCAGGCCCAGCACGGTTCGAGGCAACGTGATCCAGTGCGGGACGTTGCGCGGCACCTTGAATCCTTGCTCGATCGCGAGGCGCGCCAGCGGCGCCATCCCGGCCCCTCCCGCGCCCACGAAGTGCACCAGCGAGCCCGGCCGCACAGAAGCAGAGGCGCCCGCGCATCGCGCGTCCGTCGACGGGGGCGTCGCGCGGGCCGGCGACACGCTTGGACCATGGCCGTCGCTCTGCGCCGCCCGCCTCGCCGCCTGGGCGCCTCGCCGTGCCCACAGCACAGGGACCCTAACGCCAGGCACACTGGCGCCGTTCGCGACGCGGACGCGGCCCATTCGCGCCGATATCGGTGGGGTGTGCGGAGGAAGCGGCACGCAGTGCGTGCGAGGGGCATTGGGCCCGCGCGGCCGTGCAGAGGGCGCGTGCCGGCCTGGGAGGCCTGACGCGAGTGTCAGGTGCAGTTGGGCGGGGGGCAGCGGCGTGTGTCGCGCGTGCGGGGTCTAGGGCGGGCCGCGCGGGCTGTGGAGGTTAGAGAAGTCTTGCGACGCGCCCTCGATATCGTTTGAAGGTGCCTTGTGTTCTCATCGGAGCGCGCAGTCCGAAGCCCTCTTGAAGAGAAGTGCAGCGGGTCTCGCCTCGCCGCGCGCCGCAGGGGCCTCCTTGGGGCACGAGCCGCGTCTTCGCGAGCAATTCACGAGTACTAGGCAGTACTGGTTCGGCAGCGTCGTCTGACGGAGCGCACACGACCCAGTTCCGGCACCCTTGACGTCGCTGGGTTCTGGTGCGGAATCCGCGCGGCTGCGGCACCAGTGCAGCGCAAAGCCTATCCCGCCGCGATGAACGGCGGATTCGTGCACCGAGGGTGCACGGCCCCGGTCGCCGGCCCCGCGCGCACGCGCCTGGCCGGGCCTCGTCGGAGCGCCTCGACATGGCGCTCCCACGCCGCCGACAGCGCTCCCGGCTGCCGGTCCGCCACGGGCAAGACTCACCGATACCTAGCAGCACCGATGCCGTCGAGGTGAGCACCGTGCGCCCGCAGCCGCGCCCCGCTGCCGCATGTGGCCCCTCGATAGCATAACAGACAGCCGCGGCGCGGCGCCCACGGCCCCCCGCCGCCGCACCGCCCTCGGCGCATCCGGAGCCACCTCCCCTACCGCCGCACGCCGTCTCGCGGCCGTTCTCCCGCCTTGCCAGGGCGTGCGCGCCCGCACAGCATCTAGTGGCCTGGTGGGGCGCACGGCGCGTGCGCACGACGCTCGCGGGCCCGCGGCGCACGCGGACCCCGCCGCCGCCCAGCCGGCTCCGTTGCTCCCAGCAGCGCCCGCGGGAGCGCGGCGTGCGCCCGTGCGCGGCGCCAGGCCGCCGCTCCCCTTGGTCCACGACCCGTATCGCTCCGCCTGACGCGAGGGCACGGCGAGACGGGCCGCTTTCCGCCCCGACGCGCGCCTCTCGATGCTAGGCTCGCCGCTGCCTGGCGCGCGGAGCGTCTCCGCCGCGCAGGGGGGCCTCGCAGCTTGATGATCTGCTTTGCGGAGTGCTGACACGGCACGCGCGACTACGCCGCGTCTGACGCGCCTTGTGCCGAACCCACGCCGCGATGGACGCAGGTCGGGACGGGCCCGCGTGTTCGTGCAGCGCGCTGCGACGGAGCCGATGCAGAGCGGCGCCGCGGGCACCCCTGAGCCTCGGCCGCACCCCATGCTCCATGACACTGGCGCTGCGGAGGCCCCCGCGCGGCCCCAGGAGTCCATCGGCGCGGACTACGGAGAGGTGAGATCCCTGCGCGCGCTTCTGCGTGCCCGCCCCGCGCCGTCGCGCCCCGCACCGGCCCCAATCGGCACTTCCACGCACGCCTGCACCCTCCAAGGGACCGCGCGCACGCCGTTCCCGGCCCTCCCGCGCCGCACGGCGCGGCCCGCACGCCTCGTGTGTTCCCGGAACCCCCTGCGTCCGCGTCCCGCGCGCGCGCGCCCCGCACCGCCAGCTCCGCGCCCTGGAGAGCTGCAGATCGACCAACGCCCCGCGCACCGCGCCGCCTGCGCAGGGGTTCGTCGAGTTCCGCCCCTCGGGCGACTTCCAGCTCGACGTCGAGGAGCTCAACCGCCGCCTGCGCGTCATGGGCGCCGAGCGCCTGCGGCACTCGATGCACCCCCACGAGGCCTACGGCGTGATCGTCGACTGGGAGGACGTCATCGTCGACCGGCGCACCATCCAGCGCGCCACGTGGGCCCGCCTCGCCGACAGCCTCGGGAAGAAGCTCCCCGCCATCGAGCGCCCCATTTACGACATCCCGGTCGAGCGCGCTCTCACTGATGTGCTCATGTGGACCAAGGACTGGGCCGAGGCGCGCTCGTGGGCGTTCGAGTTCGCGCACCTCTACAGCGAGGCGCTCCTCGCCGCGGCCGAGCCGCGCCCGGGCGTCGTGGAGTGGCTGCGGAACCTAGCGAAGAACAACGTCGGCGTGGCGGTGGTCTCGCAGCTGGACCGGCACACGCTCGTCGGGTGCCTGAACCGCATGGGGCTCGAGGAGATGGTGCGGAGCGTCGTCGCGGAGGAGGACGGCGCGGACACGTGGGCGCACCGGTACCTGGCTGCGTCGGTGAAGCTGTCGCGCCCGCCGTCGGGCTGCGTGGTGTTCAGCGGGGACCCGCTGGGGATCGCCGCGGCGCACAACTGCACGATGAAGGCCGTCGGCGTCGCGGGCGGGCACGCGCACCGGCAGGACCTGCTGCAGGCCGACGTGACGACCACGGACCTCTCGACGCTGACCGTCTTCAACTTGCGGCGGCTCTTCTCGGAGCAGGGCAGCGAGTTCATGGACCCCAAGGTCGAGTTCAGCGAAGACAAGCCCGTCGCGAAGTCCGCGATCGGCACCCTGGACGTCTGAGCGTGGCCACGCGCACCATGCGCCCCGCGCGCCCTGCACGTGGCAGCCGACGCCGACGGCGCGGAACAGCGCCCGTCGTCGCTGCCGACCGAGCCCGCAAGACCCCCGCCGCCGCCTCTCGCTCTGTTCGCTGCGAGCGGCGCTGCGGCTGCGTTTCCAGCCAGACAGACAGCAACAACTACTGCTACCACCATTTCTCGCACCGGCGTGGCCGAACGGACGGTGTTCGGACCCCACGAAACGAGCCGGTCTATCCGTAGCTACTACACGTCCACGCTGCGCGTCTCCGGGCCACTGTAGATTCGCCTGGCCTCTGTAAATACACCGCGCACACACATGTCGCAGGGGGGTCCGCGACCCCACCCACCTGCCGTCCCACCGCTTCTCCCGCACGTCCGACATGCGCGCGAGGCGGGGCCGCGAACACTCCTGGCACAGCGGCGCCCGTTCAGGACGTTCGTCCACCTGCGCTGCGCACCGTGTGGTAAACGATCGAGTCGCTTCTGCGCCTGCGAGGGCGCGACGAGCGACACCGCGGCGTACACGGGCCTGGATCGGCGCGGCTGTGCACCGGCCGTCGTTGTGGACCGCGGGTGTGCACGTGATCTTCCTGCCCTGGTGCGCAGCAAGCAGTCAGCGACGGGGGCCGGCTGAGGGCTGCGTGGCAGAAAAAGAGCATGGCGAGAGCAAACACAGCGTTTGAGTGCCCGCCTGCGTGGGAAATGCTGCGAGGATCAGGTCCTGGGATCCCGGCGCGATCACCCATGTGCTCTGTGCAAGGCCACGGTAGTTGTGCAGCGGGGGCGGCCGGCCGAGTCGATGCGGCGGCGGAGAGCAGGGCTCGCGCGCTCGTCCTCCGCTGCCCGCCCGTGCGATTCCAGCGCCCCCGCAAACACCCCCCACCTGACAAACACAGGTCCCGCAACACGAGCCAGTCACACGACGACCATGCCCAGGCCCGCTCGCGACACGTCGTACGACGCATCGTCGAGCAGCGGCTACACCTGTCGCGACTGCACCCCCCTGGAGTCAGGGGAACGAAACACCTCCAGCACCTCCCCCGCAGCCCCTCGCACACTCCTGCGCGAGACCGCGCAACCCCCTTACCCCCGCAGCACGCTGCACCAGTCTCCTCGCCGCGCCACGACGCCCGGCGAACAACACACCCCCCAGCGGGGGGGGGGTGTTGTTTTACTGGACCCCGAAGTAGCGCGCCATGTCGATGAAGTTCTCCCCGCCGATCACGTTGTTCGCGAACCGGATGCCCACGGTCGCGAGGTTGTTCACCAGCGGCAGCGACTTCCCGACGGTCGACTCCACGACGCGCTCCAGCCCGACCACCACCTGGTACCGCGTGTTGGACGACGCGCCCATGAACAGGCCCCACACGAGCGCGGTCTGCAGGATCGGCGGCGTCTTCTCGCCGTGCCCGTGCCCGCCGGACCCCGCCTCCTCCGCGCCCGTCTTGCCCTTGATCTTGTCGGTCAGGCCCTTGAGCTGGTTGGCCATGGTCTGGCCGAGCGCGCCGCACGCCATCCCGATGAGCGAGTACTCGAAGAACTTGACGACCACGCACATCGCGCGGTCCACTTTCGAGAACTCGCGCACCCCGGGCACGGCGCGCTCAAACATCGACGCGGGGAGCCGCGCGGAGTACCGCCGGAGCGCGCCGATGATGCCCGTCGTCGCGATGCGCTTCGGGAGCGCGCCGACGATCGCCACGGGCGCGAGCATGCTCACCATCGCCGCGTCCAGCACCACGCCCACCAGCACGTCGCTAATGTAAAACTCAACCTCGTCCCAGAACTTCTCGCCGCGCTTGCGGACCTGCGCGCACGGAACGGGCGGAGGGAGGTCGGCGCGGGCGCTCGGCCAGCGGGGCGCGTGGGCGCGCCGGGGCGGACCGGGCGCGCGCGCGCGCGGCGCGGCATACCTCGGCGATGGTGCAGCAGCCCGTGTCGATGAGGATCTCGACCCAGAGCTTGAAGAGGAAGCGCGGGTCGGCGATCATGCGGTCGCGCACGCCGTTGCCGAAGAGTTTCGCGAGGAGCAGCGAGAAAGTGGAGCCGGAGAGGGCCGCCCAGCCTTTCAGGGCCGACAGCCGCAAGCCGCCCTCCTGGGCCGCGATGACGAAGTCCGCGGGGAGCTCGACGCCGGCCTTGCCCGCTAGTCGCGTGGCCTCCTGCGAGAAGCGACGCCGCGCGACGCGCCGGGCGCGTGTGAGCTGCGGCTATGCCCCGCGGTGCGGGAGCCTCGCGGCGGGGCCCGGGTGCGGCTGCCGCAAGGCTGCGTCCTCGGGACGAGCAGGGGGGATGGCGACCGAGATCGGCGGCTGGGGCGCGCGTGTGACGCACGAACGCGCCAGGTGCAGGGTACGCAGCCCAGTGCAGGGCCACTGCGCCGCACGTGTGCGGGCCCGCCGCGCAAGCGCAGCGCAGGGCGCGTGCAGATCGCCCGTGAACTGACCTCGAGCTCCAGCAGCCTGTCCTTGCCGTCGTCGTCGCCGTCGCCCCCATCGCCCCCGCCCCCGCCGCCGGCTGGTGGTTTGCCCTCCCCCCCGCCCGGCCCCGCGCCCTCCGTCGCCGCGTAGCACGCCTGCTTGCGCCTACGCGACGAGTCGCCATGGCGGGGCGAGGCAGCGAGGCGCGACGGCCGTGCGAGCGGGCGCCCCTGCGGCCCATTCGCTGGCTGGTTGTTTGGCCAGCGCAGTCCGGGGGATGCCGACGCGTGCACGGGTTGAACCTGCAGAACACCGCGCGAACATGGACGGAAATATGTCGATGCGCTCGTATCCGATCACGTTCGCCGCAAACAACCGTCCGCGCGCCCGGCGCGAGGCCAAACGACCGTGTCGACGACCCCTGTGCCCTCGCGTGAAGCGCGCGCCGCGGCGCAGGTGTGCCGCTGGCCGCCGCCTGGCGCACCAGCAACAGAACATGCCATCCCCCTGGCAGCCACGCAGCGTCGTCAGCCCGGTGGCCGCACCTGCACGCGTCCTCTCCTGCCATCAGCAACAGCGCACCGCCGCGGCGCGGCGATCGCGGACGGCAGACCAGCGGCCTGCATCGCGTCCACTCCCTCGTAGCTCTGCCCGGGGCACGTCGCGGCGCCTCGCAATCGCAGCGAGGCGCCGCAATATGACACTGAGAATCGACATTATACCTTTGCCGACTTCTGCGCGTTTCATGGGTATGTGGGCGAGTCGCGCCCGCCGCGCCGCCAGTTCGAGCCTGCTGTGCGTGGCCGAGATGAACAAGGTCGTGCTGCTCCGGCCCGCCGCCGCGGCGCCGTGTCGCTGCTCCCGGCTGCGCCGTGTGGCGGTGTCGACCAGGGTGCGCGCGGACGCGGGAAGCGACACCAGGCCGTCGGTGCCGTCGCAGGAGGAGATCCAGGAGATGCTGCAGAGCGACGAGGAGATGGGCTCGAGGCTGCAGCGCCTCGAGGAGGCAGCACAGAAGGTGGCCGACCTGCAGGTGTGGCACTCCACGGCCCCGCACGCGCAGCTCGCACGCGAGGACGCCGCGTATGGTCGCCCTGGGCGGAATGCGCGAGGAATCCACCGTGTTCACGGCCGCTCGCGGCGCGGCGTGTGGAAGTGCGAGCTCTTGCGTGGAAGTGCATAGTGCTCGGCGCGGACGCTATCCAGTTTTCCGCGCCCGGGGGCGACTTTCTCCGCCGTACGTCCCGCGCGCCGCCCGCAGGAGATGCAAAAGCAGATGATGGAGTCGGAGGCGAAGGCTGCGAGCCGCCAGGACGCGCTTGTCGCGCAGGCGAAGATTGAAGAGGCGCAAAAGCGGAGCGAGGCGGAGCGGAAACTCGCGCAGGCCGACATCCTCCGAGCCGAGACCGCGATGCTGGAGGCGGAGATCGAGATGCTGCGGGCGGACCAGGCGCGGGAGCGCCTCCAGGGCTCCTCGGAGGAGGACGCTGAGCGCGTCGAGTCAGTAAAAGCAGCAGGTCCGCCCGGACGCCCCGGACGGGCCTGCGCCGCGGCTGTGCGTCGCGGCGGGCGCCGCGCTGCGTGCCTCGCGGCGGGTTCCGAGCCCCCTCGCGACTTCGCACAGCAGCGTGCCGCAACATCCGCTCACGACGTCGCGCCGTGCTCCGCGCTGCAGGGTTCGCCGCGGCGGGCGGCGCGCTCGGGAGCCTGCCGTTCATAGTGGCGTCCGCGGGGACGGGTCCCGAGGCGGTCGTGGCCGTGCTGTCGACAGGGGCGACCTGCTTCCTGTTTGGCGTGACGTATCGATACGCGGTGAGCGCGAATCCGAACAACCGGAACCTCCGCAGCGGCGTGGTGGGCGCGTTCGGTCTCGCGCGCGGCATCGCGCTGGCGCAGGGCGCGGCGACGGAGGTGCTGTCAGGGGGGGGGCTGGGGGGCGTCCCAGCGGCGGCGGTGACGGTCGGCGAGAGCATGCTCGCCGTCGCGTTCGCGGCGAGCGCCGTCGAGTTCGGGCTGCGGACAGGCATGGTCACACTGCTCGGCGAGCTTCCAGCGGAGGCGAGCGCGGGCGATGCGAAGCCTGAGTGAGCGCTGGCGGCACGCCAGCCGCCCACGGCCTCGTGCTGCCAGCCGCCACACAGGCCGCGCTGATGAAACTGAAACTGCTGTGCCTGGGGGTCGCGCGGGCGCGCTCTCAGCGCTGGCGCACGCGCATTGCGTCCCGGCGCGAGGACAACCCTCTCGCCTGTAAGAGCACCGTTGTCCTGAATCGCGGTCCCTGGCCGAACGTTTAGTTCGGCGCCGTCTACCACTCGGGCATTTCGGGGGGCGAGGAGTCCCGCAGCTTGCGTCCAGTCAGGATGTCGGTGTCGTCCCTGGCGCGCCCGCGTGGCGCGGCATCACCAAACCAGTCGTCCACACCCGCCCGCGACGGCGGGCCCGCGCTCCTGTTGTCCCTCCGCGGCCGCCCCTGCCTGTCGCGGCCGCCGAGCGAGCGGCTCCGCCGATCATCGCGCCCGCCGCGCGCACCGCGCCCGCCGCGCCCGCCGCGCCCTGAACGCTCAAAGCGCCCGCCCCGGCCCCCGCGGCCCCCGCGCGGCTCGTCGTCGTACACGACCTGGGCGTTCGGGGCCCTCGGGGCGTCGCAGCGACGACAGTAATGCCTGTTGTCGCGGTTCGGGATGCCACACTCCGTGCACAGCCACTCAGGCCTGTCCGGGGCGTCGCCGCGCCCGCCGCGCCCGCCGCGGTCCGCGCGCCCGAAGCGATCGCCCCGGCCCCCGCGCTCGAAGCGATCGCCCCGGCCCCCGCGCTCGAAGCGATCGCCCGGGCCCCCGCGCGGCTCGTCGCCGTACACCAGCTGCGCGTTGCGGTCCCGGGGCGCGTCGCACCGGCGACAGAAGGACCGGTTGTCGCGGTTCGGGATGCCGCAATCCGTGCACAGCCACTCGGGCGCGTCCTCGGCGAACTGCCGCGGCGCGCGCTCGCGCCGAGGCGAGCGGCCGCGCGCGGGGAACGTTTGCTCAGCGCCGTGCCACTGCGAGATTTCGTTCTCTCCGTTGCTGGGGCGGTCCGCGCCGCAACGGCGGCACTCGTCGCGGTGCGCGAAGTTGTGGTTCGAGCACTCTGGGCAGATCCAGTCCCCGGGCTTGAGGTCCTCGTTGTACACCATAGAGAGACTGGTTTTGGGTGCGTCGCACTTGTAGCATTCCTTGCGGCGCGAGTAGTTCACCGCGCCGCACTCCCCGCACGCCCAGTCCCCCGGCTTCGGCGCGTCCTTCCCGGGCCGCGTCGCGAACGGGTCGCCGATCGTCGCCGGCGTGTTGCCGCGCGCAGCGTAGCACTTGCGGCACTCCGTGCGCGTCGCGAAGTTCGGCGTCCCGCACTCCGGACACGCCCACTCCGCGCCCGGACCCTCCGCGCCGCCGTCCGACCGCCCCTGCGCCTGCAGCCGCCCCGCGAGCTCCGCGCTGTCGCCAATGTCCCCCCCGGCGACCCCCCACCCCCCCAGGGCGTCGTCGAACCCGAGCTCCGCGTCGCGGGCCGCGGCGGCCAGCGCCTCGGGCGTCGAGTCGGCGTCCTGCCAGTCGTCGTCGCTGCCGAGGGGCTCCCCGGCGCGGTACGCTGACATTACGGACTTGAGGCCCGCGCGGTTGTTGCTCTCCGTGCGCGCCTCCCACGCGTCCGTGACGTGCTGCGGAGTGTCCTGCCCGACGAGGGTGGTGAGCCTGGCCATCGCCATGGCAGCTGCGGCCGCTGCCGGCTGCTCGGCGTCGGTGTCGGCGCGGGACAGGGCCATGCAGACTCGCAGGACGTCCTGCAGGGATACGTCTTCGTCGAACCCGGCCGGCAGCTTGCTTGACGACTCCGGCAAGCTCGCGGTCAGGCGCTCCAGGGCGTTGCGTGTCTGCGGTGGCAGGTGGGGGGCGGGCGGGGGGAGTGAATCGGCTTTGGCTCGTGCAGGCAGCGGCGACGCGGCAGCTGGCTGGACAGAGAGTTGAGGCCGCGCCCGGGCTGGCGACGAAGATTGCAAACGCCGGAGCGTTGGCGGCGTTGAGCATCGGGGACGCAGAAAGGTGCGGCGCCAGGATGGCCATGTCACGCGGGTCGAGCTGCCGCGATCTGGCGGCGAGCGTGCTCTTGGTGCAGGAAGCAATCCAGTCGGCGGCAGGCAAATTCCTGAAACTCTTCCATGACCTCCAGAAGTGGCTGAGTTTTCCATTTTGTCCGCGTCATGGCCTCCGTCGAGACCGGCCATGAGATGGCACGGCCCGCCGTCGAGACCATGACGCGGGCGAAAGGAAAGACTCAGCCACTTCTGGAGGTGATGGAAGAGTTTCATGGCTCCGCCTGCCGCCGAGTGGAAGAGGATTCCTTCTTGCACCAAGAGCACACTCGCCGCCAGATCGCGCAGCTCGATCTGTAAGGACACGGACACGGCGCCCGAGCGACACGCACCTTGCGATCGGCGTCGGAGCGGTCGATGTCGGCGAGCGCGATGGTGCTCACGTCGCCCTGCACAACGACAAACAACTCCGGGCGGCTGCGCGCGAAGTCGAGCACGCCGCGCTTGAGGTCGCCGGGCGGGAGCGCTTTCTCGACGTCGCCTTCGTCGGGCACCTGCAGCACGACGCCCTCGCCGAAGTGGCCGGCCGTCGCCAGCGCGGACACAAACGCGACGAATGCGTCACGCACGCCGCCCTCGGGCGCCTCGACGTCCACAGCGACCGGCGCGGCCTCGCGCTCCGGTGCCTGTGCGGACTTGACCACCACGAACTCCTCCCCGGGGGGCATGTCGACGGTGGGGGCGGTAGCGACCGGCGTCGGCTCGACCCGCCCCTTGGTCCCCAGGGACACCAGCACGGAGTTGGACTCCTCCATCTGCCGCACGCTGCACGAAGATCGCGCACGGGAGCCGGAGCGCGTGAGAGCCATCACGTGCTGACAGTGCATGCGCGCGACACGACATGGTGTGCCAGGCAGCTCGGAGCGTCGCGTCGCGTCGCGGTGGCGGCGCGCAGGGACGGGGCGGCGCGTACATCTCCTCCGCCTCGCTGAGCTCTTCGTTCGTGCCCTGCACTTCGTCGAACAGGTCCTCCACGTCCGCCATGGCGTCGTCATCCTCATACTCCCCCCCCTCAGCCCGGGCACCCCCCTCGTCCTCCTCGTCCTCCTCCGCCTCCGCGAACGCGTCCTCGACCAGCACGATCGCCTTCTCGAGCACCGCCGTCGCCGCCTGCGCGACACACCACCACGCACACAACACCAGCGCGTCAACCCCGCACAGCAGGCCCCGCACGCGCGCGCCCGCCGCGCACGTCGTCCCCGCGGCCGCGCACCTCAGTCAGGCCCGGCGTGACCTCCGCGCGGTCCGCGGCGGGCGCCGTCGCCGCCGCATACAGCACCATGCACAGGTCATTCGTCGCCTCGGCGTACTCCTGTCCCCCGGAGCCCTCCAGGCGCTCGAGGGCGGCCGCGAGGCGCGGGACCTCCTTGAGCGGCGCCGCGGCGTCGAGGAGCCCGTCCAGGAGCTCTAGACCCAGGTCGGGCACCAGCTCCTCGACGTTGCTCGCGAAATCCTTCAGCGTCTCCTTGATTTCCGCGCGGTCGTCGCTCTCCGTGCCGACGAGCATCAGGAAGGACGCCCACGCGAGCCGCATGGCGTCCTCGGCCTCCGCGTCCGCCGCGGGCCCGGGCGAACTCTCAGCAGGAGCAGCCGCGACGGTCCGGGCGCCGCGCGTCCTGCGTGAGGTGACCAGGCGAGCAGGCACGCATGGTCTCAGGGCCACCGCCCTGCGAGTCGCCCCGCGCGCCACCGCGGGGGGCCGCGCTGCCGCCCTGCTGCCGCATACGGCTGCCGCAATCCCGGACGCCCGCATTTCTCGTGCCCTCGCGCTCAGGCTCCGCTCGAAACGCACGCACGAGCTCCTCCTCGTACCGATCGAGCCTCCTGCGGATGCGTACGTGCAGCGGCTCTGTCGGCGCGCGCCCGCGAGCCGCACGCTCCACCGAGCAGCCAGGAGCGCCGCTGCTCGCCACGCGCGCTCAGGAGCACCACCGCGACAGCAGCCGCGTCTTTCACCGCGATCGTATCAAGCGGGAGCGTCGCCGCACCGCGTCGTCGTCCGCCTCGGTCCCCCGCCGCGTGTAGGCGCCGCGCTTGCTAACTACCCAGGTGAAAGTCAACAGCTGTCACAATGCGTCACCGGCGACGACCAAGGTCGGGCGATCAAGGGGCAGGGGCCGCCGCGCGCGCCGGGCGAAGGCGCGCGGGCGCGCCGGCGGCCGCGCTCCCGCCCGACTAAGGCCCGACAACGCGGATGAGGTTGGCCTGACAGCAGGCGGTTAGGCGCACGTCACTCCGCCCGGCGTGCGGGGGGCGGGATCCTCGGCGCGGGCCCCCGCGGCGGGACGGCACTTTCGCGGTTGCTGAGAAAGTGGAATGCCGGCTCCACAGGACGTCCGCTGAATCGCACGCCCGTTGGCCTGTGTGCTGTGCCGAGAGGACCACGCGCCGGCTGTGCAGGGCAGGAGCCCAGCGCGCGAGGGCTCGCGGCGGCGGGCCCAGCAGTGAACCATGGACTCCGGCAACCAATGGGGGCCGCCCGCGGGGCCGCTGTTCCCCGGCATGCGGCTCTCGGACCCCTACGGGCAGCTGCCTCTGCCCGCGCCGTCCCCGAACTTCCGAATTCTAGAGAATGTGCCGCGCCGGCACAACCCCTACACCGACCACTCTCTGAAGGTCACGAGCAGGTGCGCGCGCCGACGCGCTCGCGGGAGGGCGCGCGGCTCTGCCTCGCCCGCTGCCCATCCGCTCCACGCGGCGCGCCCGGACGCCCCAACGCGCCTCGTACGCATTTTCGAGCTCTCCTCGCAGGTCTGGCTCGCGCGTGGGCGGTAAGGAGCATCCAAGTCCGACCGTCTCGCAGTGCGACGTCAGCTCCCAGGCCCATCGGCAAACCAGGCCGTTCAACGACACGCCCACGGTGAGCCCCGCGGACCTGTATTCGGGCCCGCCCGCGGCGCCGGCGGCTCGCACGTCCCCGTGACACCCCCCCCGCGGCCCGTCCCCCGCAGGCGTCCACCGTGGACCAAATGAGCGCGCAAGAGGGCGTGCTGTGTGCCACTGCGAGCAACGCGCAGCGGGCCGCGCTCCACGGCCTCATGGCGATGCAGAAGGACCGTCCTCGCTCCTTCGACGCGAAGCACACCGCCAGCGCGCCGGGGCACTCGAACCACGGGTCCGCGCTCACCCTCGGCGCCTCCCTCCAGTCTCCAGCCAGCACCCCGGCCCCCGCGGGGCCCTCGCGGCCCTGGAGCCGCGTCTCGGCGGCCATGCGGTCCATGCAGACCGCCTTCGGCACCGTCGCGTCCATCGCCGCGGCCAGCGCGCGCCTCCAGCCGAACCCGGCGGAGGCCCAGCACCTGATCGAGAGCGCCCATCACGCCTTCCTAGAGGCCGTCGCCGAGGCCGGCGAGGCGCAGGCGGAGCTGCAGGCCGACCCCGAGCTCGACGCGATGCACCGGCTCCCCGGTCACGTCTTCCTCCACGTGTCGCGCAACGGCACCATCCTGCGCGCCCACGGTGCGGCGCTCGAGGTGCTGCAGACGCTGGGCGGGAACCTGCACGGCCAGAGCCTGCTGTCGCTCTTCGAGACGACGGGCACGACGTTCAACCAGCTCGCGGGGGCGTTCGGCCCGCACAGCCACCCGCACCACCCTGTGCAGGGCGCCCTGCGGCTGCGCACGCCGCCCCGAAGGTGGGCCGACGCCAGGCAGCGCCCGCCGTTCGAGCCGCCGGCCGCGCAGGCCGTCGACGTGATGTTCACGGGGCTGTGGACCGCCAGCCCGGGCGCGGACGCCGCGCCGTGGATGCTGGCCTGCGTCCGCTGCGCCGATGACACCACCCCCCCCGCGTGGACCTCGTGGGGGGCGCCGCCGCCGCCGCTGCACGAGCACGTCCGGCTGACGTCCCTGCTCGGGCACTACGGCGCGCCGCCCGACGCCGCGTTCTGGAGCCAGCAGGAGGTGGCGCGCGGCGCGCACTTGCAGCACGACCTTCTGCCCGCGTCGGAGCACGCGCAGTCGCAGTTCGCCGTCGTGAACGACGCGCACGGACTCGGCCCGTCCATGGAGCTGCAGTGATGCCGCCGGCGCCCCGCCGACGGCTGCTAGGAACGCACCTCCCCCCCCCTGGGTGCCTCAGCGCTAGCTCCTGCTCCTCGAGCGAAGTTCTCCCCCACCCTCCTGCTCCCTGACTTGCGCTAGATGGAACTGATGCGCGCGACAAGCTGCGTGCACGGGAGCGCAGTCGAGTTCCCCGCGCGAGCTTTTCGCGCCCCCCCCTTTGCCCCGCCTCCACCTCTCGCGCTGCTCCACCAAACGTCGTTCTCTCAGCGCGGCTGTCCGCTGAGACGTCCTAGTCGCTTGTCCGCCTCTCGCGCTGCTGCAGGGCGCTTAATTCGTAACACGGCGCACAGGAGCCCCGCCAACTGTTTGTTTGCATGAACCAACGCGGATTCGCCAGCCGCGAGCGTCCGCTGCGCGACGGCTGTCAAATAAATCCACATTTGTCGCACCGATCCACGCGGCCCTGTGTGGCTGCCCAGATCGGACAGGCGCGCCGCTGTTTCGGTGCACCTTTGCACAACCTTGCTCCTGTGCTGCTCCCCTCGGGCACACCTCGGCGCCTCTCGGAGGCCGCCACGCACAACAACAACTCAGCGCGCGCGTGTCGTTGCCGCCACCGGGCACAACGATGCTTGCACTTCCAACCTGCCCCGCGGCGAGGCCCCCCCTGCGCCGTCACTGGCCTCCGCCCCCCTACAACTCCCCCCAGGGGGCGACCGGGCACCGCCCGCCCCCGCTCCACCCGGACAGCCCCCTATACCGTCGCCGCCCGTGGCCTCATCCATAGACTCCCACGCGCATGACCGACGACGACGACCTTGACGCAATACCCCAACACCCCCCCCCCGCGGCCGATGCCTCGGGAGTGAACGCCGTGTTTGTGCAGGGTCTAGGGCAGAACGTCTGGCCCCGTTTCGTGCCCCCTCGCGTCTCGCACGCGCACTCTTGGTCCTATGCAGGCCGCGCCTCTGGCGCCGCAGTGGGTGCACGGGCAGCAGCCCCCTCCCTTGCCGGCGATCGTCCTGACGCCCGCTCATATGGGCCCCTCGACCCCTTGGAACCCCGTTCACCCCCCCTCATGCTGTCAACCCCATCACACCCCCCCTCCCGTTCCCCACATGACATCTCATCTCATGAAGCGACACACAACGCCGCGGAACGGTCTGTCCGCTCCAAACGGCAACGCGTGTCGGAAGCGACCGCCCCGAGCCGCCTGCATCACGTCGTGCGCTCCTCTCGAAGATGCTTGTGCCCCCCACCCCGCGGTTCAATGAGCCAGGGGAGTGGTTAAGCCCCGAATGCCAAGACGTGCCTGTTGGCTGAGAGTGCAGTTTCGGCCCCTCGGCTGCGTCACGAAAGCTGCAACACCCCCCCGTCCAACGCGCGCAAAAGTACCTTGACTGGTCGTGTTGTCGTGGGCATCCCGCGCATGCGCCATTTGCACTCCGACCCCCCCCCCTTCCCTCCCGTGTTCCGGCTGCCTTGCTGCATCTGTCCTTACCCCCACGCGCCCGCACGCGTGGACGTGGATTCCCCTCCGAATCGTGCGGAATCCCCGAATTTCCCTCCTTTGCGGCCATGCATGACAGGATCAGAGCAACCAAGGCCTCCGCCCTCCCCGCGCGTACGCATGCGCACGTGTCCCCTCGTGCCGCAGAGCGCTGCTTGCCCGGTGCTGTCGCGCCGGACACGCGTCGCTTCACTGCCGCCCAGGCATCTGAATTGCATAGCGGCTGCCTTGCCCATCTCCCACCAGGTCAGATGGGGCAGTGTGTGACGCCTAGACACAATGCCACGGCTGCCTCGCGGTGAGGGTGCTTGTAGGTCAGCGAAGAACTACTACTCTGCGTGGCCATGCGGCGGCTGGGCTGCAGGATCCGTGGCGCAGCTTGCGGGGGCGCGGAGGGAACGTGGCGCGTCCTTCCGCACAGCTGGCCACTTGGTCCGGCGCAGGAGCGGCTTTCGCCCCGAAGTCACTTTGTGTGCACCCCGGGGGTGTTTCGAACGGCCCAGTGCAGCCGGAGCACTGCGGTTCGAAACATTGCCCGCCCGCGCGGTGCACGCAGCGCAGTCATCCGCTGCATCCAGCACGACGGCCGTGTGCGCGCGGCGGCCGCACGCAGCGGAGGCGTTTGTGTTGCCTGGCGCGATGACTCCAACGGCGGCGCTGTCAGCTCCGCAGCTGTTGAAAAGCCCGTTCATCTCGTCGGCTGCAGCAGCTGCAGCGTTGCAGGCAAGCCCAACAGCGCGTGCGCGTCGTCGCAGGCGCGGAGCCGAGAGACCGCCAGCGCAAAGTGACTAGCCTCTCGGTCCTTGCCAGCGGGGTAGACGTCGCGCAGAGCCGGATTCCAGACGTACAATCGCGACATTAGCACACAGCGCGCACAAGGACGCAGTCCGAACGCGGACAACGCGCCGCGTTCCCGCCTAAACTTCAGTCCTTTTCCTCTGTCTTCGCGCAGGCAGTGTGTCTAAGCGCGTCCGAATCATCATGGATTGCGCCCTCCTGGATCGGTTCCAGCTTTCGCGCCGCGGCCAGGGACGCGAGCGCGTCTCCCGCGTCGGCCCCGGGCCTCTTCAAGGATCCCATCGAGACTCTGTTCCCCCATGGGCTCTCGTTTGTGCACAACACCGTGACCGCGGTGCAGCTGGCGCAGCCTACGGTCGTTTTGCGGTACAAGGGGAGGCACATCGCCTCGCCAACGGCCTGCAAGCGCGTCCTGAAGCCGTCCAAGCTGCTCATCAGGGCGCTGATGGCGCTGCTGATGGCCACGCGGCCGACGTTCCAGCAGCTCCAGCATGACCTGAATGAGTACGAAGCCGGCGCAACGGACGAGGCCCCAGATGCCGCCGAGGCGTTCGCACGGGACGCCTCGCACATCCTCAGGTCTGTGCCCAGAGCCGCGGACCGACGCCCCGTGCACGCCTGCGACGAGCCGGTGGACGCAGTCACGCGATCGCAGCGCGTCCCCGCGGGCGAGGTCCGGCCAAGGCTCTGCGGGTCGCTCGCTGGCAACCCCGTCACATGATGACGAGCTGTGTGCGGGCTGCAGGACGCTAGTGGGCAAGATGGTGTACCACACGTCGGGCGAGTTCGCGATCGCACTCCTGGAGCAGTACGTCATCGAGAACCTCCCCGCTCGCTGGGCATGGAAGTTGACCAAAGGTGCGCCCTCCCGCGCCACTCCGGGCTGCTGCGGCTGGCCCGTCGCCCGCGCCGCACTGGCCGCGCCAGCGCCGCGCAGATCCGCCGCGCGCTGTCGCGAGGAGCACGGCCCTGTCCGGGCGTCCCGTGCTTCCTCCGCGGGCCGCTCCCTCACCGCGCCGCATGCGTGGCGCTGCGTGCAGATGTCTCGGCGTCGCTGCTGCGCAAGCAGGCGCGGCTGGCCGCAGCGAGCATGACGTTCTGGCAGAGGCGCTTCCAGCTCGCCAGCGCGATGCTCAGCACGGGCGCGTACAACAACGTGATTGCCGCCGTGGCCCTCGAGGGCTTTGGCGGCGCGTTCGACGTCGTGCACTGCCTGGCGTGGTGAGCGCCCCCGGACCGCGTCTGCGCGCCCTTCCGCCCACTCGCAGACGCGCACGCGCGCCGGCGCGTCGCCCGGCGTGTGCATGTGTGCGAAGCTGCGATGGGTGATGTGTGTTTGTGGGGCTGGTGCGGTGCGCAGGTACGCGGCTGGGAAGCCCGGGACGCGGGAGGGCGACTTGATGGCGGACGGGACGCAGGGGGCGCGGCGGGACGTGCGGTGGTGCGCGGGGAGCCTTGCGCAGCGCATGTGCTCCATGGCTGGGCGCGTGGCGGGCGCGGGGCTCGTGTGCGCTGCGGGGGCGTTCATCGTGAGCTCGCGCGCGGGGGTGTTCGTGGTCGCCGGGGACTTGCTCGGCGCGGCCGTCATCGGCCCTGGCATTGCGCGCGTGTGCTTGCCGGCCATGTTGAGGTAGGTGCCTCGATGCGCTTTGTGCGAGCGCTGCGGACGCGGGCGACTGCTCGCTGCTGTGTCAGTGTGACGTGGGAGCTGGGAGGCGCGTGCTTTGCGTTCTTGCAGTGTCAAATAATACTTGAGAGCCCCTGTGACACGTGCATGAAAGCGCGGTTTGACCGTGCCTGCCAGCTGCGTGGTGCACCCGAGGGACGGGCAGGGGGGGCCCGGTGTGCGCGGCAGGCGCGGGCGATGCGGCCGCCGCCCGGGCGGGTGCAATCACGCCGCGTGCTGTCTTCCAACCGCCCCGCGCGGGAGGCGCTGCAGGGGCGGATTGGGCGCCGGGGGGCGGCCCCGGACGCGGAACGACCAGTTCGGAGCATGCCCGGTGGCGCGGTCTGGGACGGCGCGCCGCTGGCCCGCATGACGCGACGCGGACACACCCGCGGGGTCAACGGGGCGAGGCCGGCTCCCGCGCGCGATGGGCGGCGCGACGCGGGCAAGGCGAGCAATCCGCGGCTATCTCGGCTGGAGCACTCTTAATTGTCGGTTTTTGGCACCGCGCTGGACCGTAGGAAGAGGCGACGAGTCTCGGAAGGATGTTGTCGACGAGCGCGGGTGCACGCGTGTCTCCTGCCGCGACGTACGGGCGCGGCTGCCGCACGGCGCTCAAGGCGCGGGCGCCACAGCGGGCCCGCATCGTCGCGCGTGCCGAGGGCGGTACGGCCCTCGCCGATCGCTGCCCTGGGCTAGCGAGCCCCCCGCGGCGCCGTGGAGCAACGATGGCGCGCGCGCAGCAATGGTTCTTGCTGAAACGGCGAAATCCATTTCCCTCCCGATGAATTTGCAGCCCAGCCCGTGACGGAGGAGACCTGGGAGGCCGAGGTGCTTCAGTCGCCCGTTCCTGTGCTCGTCGACTTCTGGGTGAGTTTCTGCCCGGGCGGGCGCGGCGCATGCTCCGCAGCACTCATGCGGCACACCACCCGCTCGCCGCGCGGCGGGTGCGCGCCCCCCTGCTGCGTGCGGCGCCTGATCTGTTCCTAGCTCTGTCAACGGCGAGCTTGCAGGCGCCCTGGTGCGGCCCGTGCCGGATGATCGCCCCGCTGATGGACGAGATTGCTGTAGAGTACGGGGACAAGATCAAGGCGGTGAGCGGCCCACGTCCCCAGCCCCCCGCGCACGGGGCTCTGGCCCCACCGCGCCCTGGCTGGGCGCGCAGGGCGGGCCACGCGCACCGCGGTTTGCACTCGAGGTGCATGGAACGTGCATCGTTCACAGCCTGCGCCTCGTTCGAGTGTCTCAGCGAGCCACCTCGCGGACACGGCGGCGTTATCCTGCCACTTGCCCTCTCAACCGCACGCCCGCGCCGCGCCCGGTGCCGCCCCGCAGGTCAAGGTCAACACCGACGAGTCCCCCAAGATCGCCACCGAGTACGCCATCCGCTCGATTCCGACCGTGATGATCTTCAAGGGCGGGAAGAAGATGGACACTGTCATTGGCGCTGTCCCCAAGGCCACGCTCTCGCAGACCGTCGACAAGTACCTGGACTGAGCGCCCCCCGCGCACTGTCCTGTCCGCTGAGGTTGTGAGTCGGCGGGCACCCAGACCGCTACGCGCCCCTAGACGCCGTCGGACTGTCGGGCGAGCACAAGCTCACTACGCGATGTGCGCCAGAGCCTCGTTTGGCGACGCACGCCGCCGCCAGCGCCGGACGAGCCTCGCTGCCCGGTGGCGCTGGCGGGCGACCTCGACGTGCGCGGAACGGGGCCTGTGTCTCGGCAGCGCAGGTCATGCAAGTGCGAGTTGTTTTCACCCCCTATGTTTGCCAAGTCGCTGTGCGCGGGCTAGCCGTCTCCTGGGCGGCCGGCCCTCTTGCTGCGCAGACACTCCGCAGCCACGCCGGGATACGCAAGGCGGTATTGCGTGGTATTGAGGGTGCATGGCCGTGCGCACGTAGTTGCCGGGCCGCACAACGACACAGCTCCCGGGATCGGCGAACTGACTTTCAAAGGCACCGTTACGGCTCACAGTTGTGCCCGGGCACGTGGATTCGCGGCACTGCGACCTCGCTCGCACTCTCTCGCAGGCTTGCAGTCGTGCTCGACCACCCTGCTGCTGTCCACGGTGGGTGGCTCAGGGGGGCTTCGAGGGTCGCACTTCGAGAGCCGGAGAGAGCGCGACGCGGCGGACTGGGGCTGCGGCGCCTCGATTCAAGCGAGTTGCTGGGAAGGTTTGTGTTGCGCACGACAGGGATAAGGATAAAGGGGGGGGCGGGGAGTTGATGGTTGGTATCGGTTCGTGGCGGAGGATTCTTCGGGGTCGGTGCGACGCATCCCGAGCGTCGCAAGTGGAGAATTGTGGCAGGTGTGGGGATGGAGCGTTGGTCGGGCGATGGACAGGTTTCGGTCCCGCCGTACGATCCCAGGAGACATGCGAATGGCCATTCATGCGAACGCCGGCACCTGTGGACACCGCAGGGATGGTCCTTGCAGGCCAGGCGATTGATGCCGGGTGCTGCCTCTCGAGAGGACAAGCCGCATCAATCTTGTTTGGCTTCGTGGCAGGCCCTGTCGCGGACACCGCGAGGGGGCGCCTTGGTCTTCGAGTATCGTTGTTCCGGGCAGCTTCTGGGAGGAGCGACCGGCTGCATGCTGTACGCGCGTGCCGAGCACGACAACGACGACGTCGCTCAGACGGTCGTAGATCCCCTGTCGCGAGACATGAGGGAGGGCGGCACGCGTTGCAGGCCTCGCGCCAGCACTGCAGTGTGCTGTGCGACGCGCTTTTATGCCTGCACGGTCGATTAGAAAAGCACTGCAGCAGCAGGGTACTGCACGTTTTGTCAGGGCAAGTCACGTGTGTGTGTGTGTGTGTGCAGCACAGCACGTGCGTCACGATGAGGACAGGGGGTGGTGAGCGGAGAGGAAGTGGTACAGGTGGCCGTTGCCGGTCACTCGTGTTTGGCTTCTTCGGATTCGGACAGGTTGCCGAAACACCTTCTCATGAGAACGATCATACTCTCTTTGGCAAATAAGGGAGGGGGCCAGTTCAACGATGAAAGGGGGGGGACGGTGAAGGGAATTCTCGGGCGGGAAGGGGGGGAATGGGGGGGGGAGTTACGCGCGAGTCGGGCGAGAGACGGCGCTGTCCATGTCGGAAGCACTGCCGCCCGATGCTGCGCTTGGGGCGTCCGGATTTTATCGGTCAGATTTGGCCAGGGCTGCGAAAAAGACGACGTGTGCCAGAGCGAGGGCCTCCTTAGCTCAGTTGGGCCCACATGTTGGACAAGAGCGCCGCCAGGTGCTGGTGTCCGTTCATCATCGCCACGTCGGCCGCGGTGTGGCCGAAGTGGTTCGCGGATCGCGCATCGGCGCCGTGCATCAGCAGGGCCATAGCCGTCTCCACTTTGCCGGCGCGCGCGGCGTGGTGGAGCGCCGTCATGCCAGAGGCGTCGCGCGCATTCATGCACCGCGGCGCGGCGGTGACGATCGACACCACCGCGTCCGTCAGACCGCAGGCCGCCGCGAAGTGCAGCGGCGGCGTCGATCCACGTGGGTCCGGGCTGGACGTGGCGGCCTCCGCAAGAAGCTCGCTGCCGCTGGACATCACGCGCAGCCCCCCGACGATGCTGTTGACCTGCTGGCCGTCGCCGGCGAGCACCGCTCGGAACAGGTGCTGCGAGACCACCGCGAGGACCTCCGTCTCGCTCCCGGGGCTCGGCGAGGCAGGAGGCTGCGGCTGGGGCACAGGCGCCGGGGCGCCCATGGAGCGGACTGCGCGGCCCACCCGCGCGGAGCCGTCCACGCTGACGCTGCCGCACTGCGCACTGCCGTCGCTCGAGTCGCCCGCGTGCGCCCCGGGCGCGCTGTGCAGCGGCCCCCCCGCCTTGGACCCGCCTGCGTGCGACGGGAAGCCGCCCGCGGGCTCGAGCCCCCCGGGCGACGGGACGAGCGAGACGGTGCCGAGCACGGCCTTGTCGGGCCCGCCCGCGCGGCACCAAGTCCTCCGCACGGCCGCCCACGGCGCGGTGTCGCGCCCGGGAAGGAAGGTGAAGGTTTCCGACGCGCTGCCTGGGCCGACGGAGAGCTCCCTGCGCGCCCGCACGTCGAACTCGCGCACCTCTGCGAGGTCGAGCGCCTCTGCGACGCCCCACGCGGCGAGCGGGTCCGTGCCGACGGGCACCGGAGCCCCGGCGGTGGGTGCGCCTGCGCTGCGGGCGGACGCGGTGCTCGCTTCCGAGCTCTGCAGGCACTTCCCGGCCTCGTCGACGATCGCGACGGGCAGCGGCGACCACGTCAGCACCTCGTTCATCAGGTGCGTCTGCATCTTGCGGCGCACGCTACGCGTGATGTCCTCCAGGCGCAGGTGCACCGCCGCTGCTGGAACGGGGCCCCTCGGGGCCGCGATCCGCCGGAAGACGGCGCGGAGGTACTTCAGGGGCTTCGCCGCCGCCGCCGACGGCGCGGCCGCCGCCGCCGGCTGCACGTTCTGCACGAAGCTGGTGCGTGTGGAGCTGGCGGGGCTGCTTCCATGGCCGCTCTCGGCCGCGGACCCGGGCGTCGAGGTCGACCCGGGCCCCTGGTAGGAGCTCACCGACAGGCGCCTCGGCACCGCGGTGAGCGCGAGCTCCCGAAGGGAGGGGTGTTTCTTCGGGCCTGTGTCAGGGTAGCCGCCAGGCGCGCTGTGCTCCGCGGGGAGGCAGAACGAGGTCGCCGCGCTCACGTTCGGCGTCTCGGCGCCGTCGCCCGCGCCGAGCGGGGGTCGCCGCGCAGCGAGCAGCGGCTGTTTCGGGCTGAACCTCGCCTCGTGTGCCTCGTGTTCGTCCGACAACAGCGCCTGCGTGAACGCCTGCGCGAGGTGCTCGCGGTCGCCCTTGTGCACGTGGTCGAGGAAGAGCGAGCCGACGACGGCGTGCAGCGGGCGGCCCAGCAGCGCCCCGCACGCCCCCGTCGCGCCCACCACTTGCCCCTCTACGCCGAGCCAGAGGTCCAGGAACCCCACGCCGCCCCCGAGCGCCTCCGGCGCCGCGTGGCCGCCCGACGCCTGCCTCGCGCCGCTGCGCACCTCCTGCCACGACACCGCGGCCGCGGGCCCGCTCAGGCTGTCGCCGGCGAGCGCCCACTTGAGGCGCAGCGTGCACGCGCGCCCGACCTGGCGCACGCCGGGGACCTGCACGGACCCGTGCGACCGCGGCACGACGCCGCGCTTGACGTCCTCGTGGCCCTTCTCCAGCGCGGCCTCCAGCACGGCGCGTGCCGACGGCGGCATGAGCTCGGCGCCTCCGCTTACGTCGCCGCTCCCGCTCCCGCTGAAGCTGCCCCGGTTCAGCAGCGTCCCGTCGGGCACGCCGAGCGTCAGGCAGTGCGTCGGGCCCGTCACCGAGTACGACACGCCGCAGCTGCTGTTCAGGGCGTCGAGAACGAGCCCGGCGTGGGGGTTGGCGCTGCGCAACACCGCGTGGAGCGCCCCCGAGATGCTCTCGATCGCCACGTCGAAGCCCTGCGCGATCTCCGCGGTCATACCCGTGACGCGCGGCCGCGGCGAGCGCGGCCCGTCGCGGTGTGCGCTGTCACTGGGCGCACGCCCCGCGCTGCTGGTTGACAGCGCGTCGCTTGCGCCCGAGAGCACGTGGCCGGTGGACGCGAGCGGCCGCTCGATGAAGATCAGCTCCGTGCAGTGCGAGCGCTCGTGCAGCAGGATGATCCGCCCTTCCACGAGCGCGTCTCGCCCGCCTTGCACCAGTCGCCGATACACCAGGTTCTGCCTTGCGACTGCACGGGGCGGGGCGCGGAGCGTGGGCGGTTCGGACGGCGGCGGGGGCGAGGGAGGGGGCGGGCCGCGGCGGCGCGCGGCGCGTGCGCACCGGTGATCGGCTGCGAGGGTCCGTCGCCCGCCGCGGTGCTCCGGAGGTTGTTGCGGAGCTTGCGGTGGCAGGCCTTGACTGCCTCGCGAAAAGTGACCTGGTCCACGGCGTGCACCGTGCTGAGGAGGCTGGTTCCGAGCATCGACGCGCCTGCGGGTCGCGGGGCGGGGGGTGTGTGGGCAGTGCCATGCGGGCGGGGCGGCGGCGGCGCGGGCGGCGCGGCGGAGGCGCACCTGTGGCGCCGGCTGCCTTCAGGTACGGTTCCGTCGCCCAGAGAATGTTGAGGAGGGCGTCGGTGTGGAACACGAAGGCGGCGACGCAGTGCAGCAGGGCGCGCGAACGCACGAGCGTCTCGTCGAGCAGCGCGTGCTCCCGGAGCGGGTACAGCGCGACGCAGACGTTCACCCGGCCGGCCTCGGCTGGCACGAACAGCAGCGCGTCGAACGGGAGCGCGTCGCCGTCGCCGCCGGGCCCGAGAAGCCGCAGCCAGCAGCGGTCCTCCGCTGCCGCGCGGCCCCCGCGCGCTGCCCGCAAGCACCGCTGGGCGCGCTCGCGGTCCCCCGGGTGCACCAGGTCGACGAAGGGCCGTCCGTGGAACGCCGCGACGTGCTCGGGCCACCCCGCGCCCCACGTCGCCGCTGCCGCGGTCAGCCACGCCAGCGGCTGCTGGACCGTCCCGCGCGAGTCCAGCGCCAGGTAGGGCCCGCCCTCGGGACCGTCGGCGGGGTCGGGCGGGCCGCACGCCTGCGCCGCGCGGTCGCCGGCGCCCCCCCGCGGGTCCTCTGTGAACAGGTGCAGGACGCCAACGGCCCAGCGCCGGGACCCCCCCCCCGCGGCGGCGGCGGCGTCCGACGGGGTCCACCGCATGTCGAGCTCGGCCCATATCCGCTGCGGGTCGCGGCCCTCGCGCCGGCGCTCGAAGTCGACCACAAACACCTCGGGCTGGTCCGGCGGGGTTCCCTCGAGAGCGAGGCGGCTGTTGTGCATGAGGACGGCCGCGATCTGCATCGGGGGGCGGATTTAGGGCTAGAATGGTTGTGAGAGCCCGGATGCGGGGGCACGCGGCGGGCCGTCGCGTGTGCGCTGGGCTCGCGACAGCACGCGAGCGCGCGCGTCGTTGGCGCGCGCTGCGTGGGTCGGGGCGCGCGGACCTGCGAGCTGTGGCGCGCGGGGAAGAACGACATGATGCTCCGGTTCAAAATGGCGCCGTCGCCTCCCGTGAGCAGGCGTGCGGCTTGGCGAGACGACCAGGCCACGCTCCCGTCGTCAGCATCCACCACCAGGAAGCACGCGCCCGGCAAGGCCTGCGGGGAAGAGCGCGCGGACGGACGAGTTGCTCCGCGCCCACGACGTTGCCGCGAGGTTCGTCGGGAAATTCGCCGGGGCGTGCCCAAGTGCAAGTCATGTGGCAACAGCAACAGTGCAGCCGGCGGCGGGGGGGCGCGAGAGCCCGACGGCGCGCACTGAAACGCTACATGAAATCAAAGCGGGCCGGGTTGCGATGAGAGCGTGCTCCCACGAGCCTTAGCAGCCTCTCGCGTAGACAGCTCAGTTGTCGTTGTGCGACCGCGCGCTCCGAACCATACGATATACCGGCCCGCACCTCGATGGCTGCCAAGCACTCATGGTCCTCCCACGACTTCCACTGGTCGTCGTGCAAAACTGCATCGCGTACGACGCCTTCCAGCGACTCCAGAGCTCGTTTCGCCGTTGCCGACAGCTCGTCAATCAGCCGCGAACTTCCACCACGCACGCCGCTTCCGGGATTCTCGTGGCCCAGCGAGGCCGGTCGCGGCCGCGACGGCCCGCGATCCTCCATCTCGGCGCGGCGCAGAGCTGGGACACCTCACCCCACGCACATTGCGAGCCCACGCTGCGGCTTCCCGCGACACCGCAGTTCAGCGGATGAATCTGGACCTGCTCGACGCAGGGCGGCGCAATGTGCGCAAAATCGCGGTAGTCTGGCCGGCCTACCACGCAGTACCCACCCCCGGAGACTCCGGGAACCACTGTCAGCCGTGGGGACCCGAGGGAACACCGCGCTCGACGCGTCACCGCCATCCCCTTGTTGCTTCGGGTGTGACGAAGGCCGGCAATCAATGGCGCCTCAGATACGTCACAATGGGCTGCGGGGGCCGCAATGCGCCTTGGCACAGATCTACGTTTGTTGTCCGGGAACGCGGCGTGAGACCGTTGCCAAACTGTGATGCTCGCGAGCAGAACGTAGCACTAGTGCGCTCGAAATGCAGCGCCCAGCTCCTCACCCCGACGCGTTCCACCTATACAAGCAACCGCGCGAAAAGCGCCGTCGACAAAAAGGCACGCGGTGGCCTCTCGCGGCTACGCAGTCGTCACAGTGCGCGGCCCGCCCGCTCCCCGCCGGCCCGCGGCGCCCCTCACAGCACCCGCTTGGTCTTCTTGAACAGCCCCGGGGCCTGCTTCTCGGCCTTCTCCGCCTGCTCGGGGCTCGTCACGGCGACGACGCTGCCCTCCGGCCCGCGCACGGCGTCCAGGACCTCGGCGAACTCCCGGAAGTCCTTCTCCGTCGTCGCGAGCACCTCCTCGCGGCGCTGCTGCCGCTCCTCGTCCGTCACGCCCAGGATGTGCCGCATGAAGGCGGTGTAGCCCTTGGCGTCGGGCAGCTGGTACGCGTCGAGGTCGCCCACGGTGCCGATGATGGCCTTGTCGAGCTCCTCGCGGCTCATCTCGAGGCCGCGCAGCCAGTCGGGCGTGCCGTCGTACACCTTGACGGTGTCGACCAGGTTCGGGTCGCGGTACGACAGGTACGAAAACATCCCCGAGTGGGAGTCGAAGTCGCAGAACCCGCCGTACGCGCCGCCGGACACGCGCACGCGGTCCCACAGCCACGTGCTGCCCACGTACTTGGAGATGACGTACGAGGACCCCGACAGCTTGTAGCCCGCGTCCTCGTACAGGTTGCCCGCCTTGCCGACGTAGTTGACCTGCGTGGGCACCAGCAGCGCCTCGCTGTCGCGCGACAGCGCGGGCGTCCACACCGCCGGCGCCGCGTCGCCGCCCGGCAGCGACGCCAGCAGGTCGGCCACGGCGCGGTCCGACGCCGAGAGCGCCGCCGTGTCCGCCGTCATGTTCACCATCGCGCCCGCGCGCCGCACGAGCGCCTCGCGGATCGCGAGCAGGTCCGCCTTGATGCCCTCCCAGTCCGTCTCCAGCCGCGCCGCCAGCTTGCGGATGTACTCCAGGTAGCTGTAACCGCCCATCTGCTCGCTCGCCCACCCGGCGACCGAGCGCTGCGCATCCAGGCGCGCCGCGGCGACCGAGTGCCCGCTCCCGATCATGGCCGACTCGAGCCCGGCCTTGGTCTCGAGCACCATCTGCTTGAAGCGGTCCCTGTCGTCGAGGCGGCCGGAGAGGAGGACGTCGTGCATGATGTCCGTCATGTCGGACGCCTTGTCGGCCATGGCCTTGCCGCGCAGGACGACGTAGCCGACGGGCTCGTCGGTGCCGCGCTTGGAGGACACGAAGGGCGACGCGGAGATGCCGCCCGTCTTGCGGCCGATGCGCTCGGTGAGCTCGACGAAGGACTCGCCCTCGGTGCCCATCTGCGTGAGGCAGCGGCAGAAGAGCGGCACGAGCGGGAGGAGCTCCGCGGGCACGCCGCGCAGGTCCAGCGCCAGCTCCATGTAGAGCACGTCGTTCGTGAAGAGGTCGTGGCGCAGGAGCGTGGCGCCGTCGGCCTCGGAGACCGCGGTCGGCACCGACGTGATCTCGCGCGGGATGTCCGCGAGCGAGAGCGACGGCATGCACGCCAGCGCCTGCGGGGGGTCGGGCGTCTCCTGGCGCTCCCGCAGCTCCGCGGTGGCCTTGATGACCTCGTTGATGCCGCCCTCGTCGAGCGAGGCCTTCTGCTTCGCGAGGCGCTCCTTCTCGGCGGCCGACTCCTGCTCGCCCAGCGACGTGTCGGGCAGCATCTCCAGCATCAGGCGGTGGGGGTTGTCAAGGAGGTACTTGCGGATCAGCGGGCCGAACACGTCCTCGCCGGACTCCAGACGGGCCTTGAACGCCGCCAGGGGCTGCGCACGAACGGGGAACGGAAGGGGGGGAGTCTGGACACGCTGCGTGGGGCGTAGAGTGCGGTGTGTGAGTGTGTGTGTGGGGGCGCGGGGCGCACCTCCTGCCAGTGGAGGGGCTCGAAGGGGTCCTTGTCGTAGAGCCACGTCGACATGGAGCGCAGCATGAGCGAGAGCCCGCGCGGGAAGCGCCCGGTGTTGTTCTCGCGGAGGGAGAACTCAATGGTGTTCACGGCGGCCTCCATCGACGACGCGGGGAAGCCCTCCTTCTCGAGCCGCTCGAGCGTCTCCAGCACGAGCGCCTGCACCTTGTCCGTGTCCGCGGGCGCCACGCCCTTGAGCCCGACCGAGTAGATGGGCTGGCGCAGCTCGTCCTCGAGACCCCCCCCCAGGAGCGACTCGCCGAGGCCCGACTCGTTCAGCGCCTTGCGCAGCGGCGCGGCGGAGGTGCCCTGGAGCAGGAAGTCGAGGAACGCGAGCGCGAGCGACGTCTCCAGGTCGAGCTGGTCCTCCTCGAGCAGCCACTGCACGCCCACGTACGCCTTCGACTCCCCGGCCTCGGCGTCGTCGCCGGCGCCCGCGGCGTAGTACTTGGTGACCTTGCTGGGCGCGGGGAACTTCTTCTGGATCTTGATCGTCGAGTCCACGGGGCGCGCGTCGAACTGGTCCAGGTAGGCGGCGAGCTTCTCCAGGCGCGTCTCGGGGGCGTCGTCGCCGTAGAACCAGAAGCGCGCGTTCGAGGGGTGGTAGTAGCGCGCGTGGAAGTCCTGGAACTGGGAGAAGGTGAGGTCCGGGATGACCTTGGGGTCGCCGCCCGAGTCGACGCCGTACTGGTTGTCAGGGAACATCACCTCCTGCGAGTAGCGGTAGAACATCGAGTCCGGCGACGAGTACACGCCCTTCATCTCGTTGAAGACCACGCCCTTGAACTCGAGCTCCTCGCCCGCGTCCTCCAGCTCGTAGTGCCAGCCCTCCTGCATGAAGGTCTTCTCGTCCCTGACGCAGTTGGGGAACAGCACGGCGTCGAGGTAGACGTCGACGAGGTTGTAGAAGTCCTGGAGGTTGGCCGACGCGACGGGGTAGCACGTGCGGTCGGGGTACGTGAAGGCGTTGAGGAAGGTGTTGAGCGAGCCCTTCATGAGCTCCACGAAGGGCTCCTTGATCGGGTACTTCCGCGACCCGCACAGCACCGAGTGCTCCAGGATGTGGGGGATGCCTGCGCGGACGGCGGCCGAAACCGGTGCGGTTGTCGCGCCGGGCGGGGACCAGGAGGGGCGCGGGGACGGCGCGAGGGGCGGGGGGCGCGTGGGGTGGGGGCGCGCACCCGTGGAGTCGTCCGGGGGCGTGCGCAGGACGGCGCCGAAGGTCTTGTTCTCGTCGTTGTTGACGAGCGACATGACCTCGGAGCCCGTCTTCTTGTGGCGGTACAGCATCGCGTGCGAGTCGTACTCCGCGACGTACTCCTCGCGGACGAGCTCGAAGCCGTGGCACTCCTGCGGACCCTTGTACGACTTCGGGTCCGTGACCGCAGCGGCGGCCGCGTGCGCCTGCAACTTGCCCATGGAAGAGGGATCGTGAGCGCAGGTGCTGGAGGGGACGGACCGGGCCCGGCGCCAGGCGGCAGGCGCCACCACGTAGCAACGAGCGCGCAGTGGCGGGAACGCGCAGCGAGCCGCCCGGCGCGCGCGGGCAGCGCAGCAACGACTGGTTGCAAGGCAAGGGGCGGCCACGACGCGCGTCGTGGCGCAGCGGCGCAGACGGCTGAGCGGATGCGCGGCTACACTGCGTGGTAGCGCGGGTGCACGCGCGGTCCCTCGCGCGCCGCCTCACCTGAACGGACCGGCGCTGCTGCCTGCAGGCCACATCCAGTCCGCTGAGACCCGCCACGGCCTTCTTACCCGGCACGGGCACGTTGACACGGCCTCCAGGCACGCAGAACGCACGAGCGACCTGCGAAACGCCGCACGCGTCGGCCGTGAGCTGCCGGGAGAGCACCCCAGAGCGCGCCTGCCACACATTGGGCCGAGGCGCCGCATCACGGCAACGGCGCGAGGAACGCGGGCGGGCGCGGATCGTGCCGGTAGGTGCGGTATGCGCGGACGGATGCGGAGCCGCGGCCGGCGCTCCGTTGCACCGCAGATCGGCGTGGTAGGGCAACTTGCACGAGCGCCCAGGGTCGCCCCGCGCGGCCTTCTCGGCGCTGCGTTCGCCCTTTCGGCGGCGGCCCCGCGCGTGGAGAAATACACGTGAGCTAGAGGGACGGTCGTCGCGACCCGAGAGCGTTCCGTGACGCGGGTCGGCGTGGCAGAGGGTCGCCGGGACACTCGGGGCCAGGACCAACCTGGGCGTTGGGCCTCCGGGCGCCCGCGGCAGCCGCGGGGCCGGCCAGCTGGCTGGTCACTCGCGTCAGCATGGCCGCCAGACGTCTACGCGAAATCGTGCTGACGCCCCTGTTCTGGACGCGCGGCACACTCGGAGCAGGACCACAGCAACGAAGTCGCCCCCCGCGCCACTGCTCTTCACGCGCACGTTCGCTGCGTGTACGACGATCTCGTGGACGCTCGCTGGCCCGCGCGGAGCCCCCTCTGCCCCCTTGTAGCCCGCCACGTCGGCCGTGCGAGCCAACGACAGACCGACGCGGGCCGGGGGCTCCCGGGCCACGCCCGCGAGCGCGGGCGCGGAGACGCGGGGCGCGGGCGCCGCGACCGCACCACAAACGAGCACGTGCCCGTCATGGCGCCGTTTGCACCCCCTTCCGCGCTGCGCTCTTGCGCTGCGCCGACCCTAGCTGGGCTCCAGAACAGACGCGCGAGCGCGCACCCCACGGGCCGGCATGAGGCGAAGCCACCGGTACCCAGTCGCCGAGTACGCTCTCTGCCCGAGGACGCGGAGTCGAGCGGCGAGGAGTCGAACCGCGTGATGGAGTGGACATCTCGACCGGCGGAGGACAGGCCACACTGGTGCGGCGCCCTGCACCGCACACGGCGCGCTGCGCCCGATGCGCGCGGCGCGTCGCCGAGGCCTGTTGCTTCGCTCGCCCTCGCATCGCCGATGCCGCCTCCCCGCCCCGCCGAGCCCAGCGCCCGGCCTCTGCTGCGTGCAGGTGGGACAAGACGACGGGCGGCATCAGCGCTGACGCGGCGCCGGCGGCGGGCGGCGACCGGCCTCCGTGGGAGCTCGGCTTCCAGCTGTCCGACCGCCAGATCCAGTGGTCGGACAGCATGCGCCAGGGCATCGTGCAAGGCTTTGTGGCGCGAGAACTCGGCATCCCCGAGGGCGAGGTCGAGCGGCGGCTCGCGCACCTCACGTCGATGCTTCCGGACCTCGCGACGAAGCTCCCGACGATGAAGGTCGAGGTCGTCGCCGCGCTCTGCCGCGACCAGAACACTCTCGCCGAGCGCATGCTGGCGCTGCGCGTCGCGCTGCCGGAGGCGAACGTCTCGGTGATGATCGCGAACCGGCCGTCGCTCGCGCTCACCGACGACATCGGCGTCGTCACGCAGCGCGCCGCCGCGCTGCGCGAGGCCCTCCCGCGGCTGCGCACCGACCGCATGCTGGAGGACCACCCCGCGCTGCTGGACCTGGAGGACATCGAGGCGGCCATCGAGGACGTGGACCGCGTGTACGGCACCGCGGGGATGTCGAAGGAGGCGGCCGAGGCGTCGGGGCGCGAGAAGGTGGAGGTGGACATGCTCATCGCCCGCAACCCCAACATGCTGCTGTACACGCAGCGCGGCAAGGGGCTCATCCCGTACGACGACTGAGGCGCCGCGCGCGCGTGCGGCCGGGCGCCGCTGCACGTCGGCGTGTGAATGGGGGGGGGGTGATCCGCGCGTCGTCACATCGCCGGTGCGCCGAGTCACCGGCCGCCCCGCGTGCCGCGGGGTCAGATCGCGCCGACCTCCTCGAGCCACGCGGTGTGCGTGGGGAACGGGTCCGGCCGCCCCGCGGTCACTTGGCGCTCGGTGATGGCGTAGAACCACCCGTTGCGCCACTCGAACTCCTTCACCGCGGTCGGGAAGTGCGCGACGGACCGCGAGTACGCGCTCAGCCGCTCCACGACGCCGTCCTGCAGCGCGATGCCCAGCGCCTGCGCGCCCCCGGTCGCCAGCTCCTCCACCAGCGCCGCGAACTCGTCCTGGTGCTTCTCCTCGACCTCGCCGACGGTCTCCCCGTGCCGCGCGCCCACGAGCATCACCGCGCTGATCCAGATGAGCTTCTCCAGCATCGACGCCGCGTACTCCTCCCTCCCCAGCACCTTGCACGACAGCCCCCCCGCCGCCAAGCGCGCCGCCACCGCGCCCGCCCACGGGCCCGTCGCGGCGGTCAGGCCCTCCGGGTTCACGTCGGTCTTCCCGTCCACCGGCGCGTCGCCCTTCTTCGCCACCGCGAAGTACACCAGCACCTGCGTGTTGTCCCCCAGCCCCCGCGAGTCCAGCCACGGCTGCAGCATCCCGTTCTGAATGAACACCAAGTCCTTCCGACGCTCCTCCGGACACTTGTCCACGATCTCGTCCAGCACGTCGTTGCGCGTGCACACCACGATCGGCCCCTCGGGCGCGTTCGCGGGGAGGCTCTCGCCGCGCCGAACCACCACGTCGCCGCCCGGGCCCATGCCGGCCAGCGCCTCGCCGACGCGCCCGCCGCCGATGATGGTCCAGGGCCGATCTGCGATGCGCGGGGCCGGCGGCGCGCAGTGGGCCGGGTGCGCGTGCTGCCGCGCGGTGGGAGGGTCTGGGCGCTTGATCTCGAGAGGGTGGGCGAGGAAGGGGCGCCGTGGAGCGCAGGGGGCGCGCCCCCGCGGGTTCGCGCGCGCGGAGTGCAGGACCGGCGAGCACGGCGCGTGCGCGGGGGCGCGCCGGGGGCGTGGGCGCGCGTGCGGCGCGGACGCCCGGGGCGAGGGTGCCAGCAGCGCAGGGGCCTAGAATCGTCGCGCGCTCGAAATCGGGGCTTCATGCGCGAATGCGGGGGCGATGCTTGATCGGAGCGAGGAGTGGTCGAGACTGGCGTGGCCGTGGCTGCTCGAGCGCGTCGCGCGGGGCGGTGGCGCGGTGGCCTGGGAGGACGGGAAGAGGGTGCCTCCCGCGGGAAGCATGCGGGACCGCCAGGCACGGGGAAATCCAGCGATGGGGCCAGTGGTCGCAGCATGTATTGCAGGAGCGCCGCAAATGCGCTGGAATTCGGGACCGGGCTCTGGCGGAGCCGAAGGCCCGGGCCATCTCATGCGGCCAGAAATTCGAGGGCGGGTGCACGGCCCGCGCGTCCCTCGGTCGACAGAACGGGCGGCCCCGGGGCGAGCTGGCTCCTCGGGCGACGCGCCCGCGGCCGTGCCGTCCCAGCAGCATCGACTCGAGGGCGCTGCGCCCACCTGCTGCTGTGAGCAGCAGGCGCGCCCGCTGGGCCCGGTCCGCGCGGTCTCGCCCTGACGGGCCGCGCCCGTGGTGCCAAGGGGCAGTTGGGTCCCGCTGCGCCGCAGGAGGGGGGCGCAGCTCACCTGGAACGGGCTCCGCGGCCGCTGCCACCGGGGCCCGCGCACGCACCGACCCTGCCCGCGCCGCCATGGTTCTACGCGCTACGACGGCTGGGCGGAGCGATGCGTACAGCTGCATGATATTCCGGCACACTCGCGATCCAGCGCAGACAAATGAGCTCGTCCTGCGCCCGTCTCCCACACCGCCTGGGATCACTGCGGGGCGAGGATCGATCCGCCGAAGCCGCACCCCACGCGTGCCGTCGCAAACCACTTCTGCGCACCCACGGCGCGCGCGCAGCGCCCACGAGCCCGCCCCGCGCACGCAACCGCGACAGGGGGCCTTTTCAAACACTCCCCCCCTGGCCCACCAGGCCGGCACGGCGCCCCCCCGCGCACTCCTCCGCCTCACAGCTGCGCGGCGCCGCGTCCGGCGCTCACGCCTCCACGTTCGTCACCGAGACGCCCTTGTCGATGCGCTTGGCGATGCCGGAAATGACCTTGCCCGGCCCGCACTCGTACCCCTCCGTGAGCCCGCGCGCGAAGAGCTCCTTGAGCGTGTTCTCCCACAGCACGGGCCCGACCACCTGCCTCGCCAGGATCTTCCGGATCTCCTCGGGGTCGGCGTGCGGCTTGGCGTCGACGTTGCTGATCACGGGCAGGCGCGGCTCCGAGATGGCCGTCGCCGCGAGGGCCTCCTCGAGCTGCCCGACCGCCGGCTGCATGAACTGCGTGTGGAACGCGCCGGCCACCGCCAGCTTCACCGCCATGCGCGCCTTGAACTGCGGCTTGGCCATCTCCGCCACCTTCTCGATGCCCGCAACGCCGCCTGCGACGCACGCACACGCACAGCCGCACGCTCTGCGCGCTCGGACCGGCGGGCCCGTCCGTTGTCGGGGGGGTGGGGCGCGTTGCCAAGGGGGCGGGCGTAGGGCGCACCGGACACGGCGTAGTTGCCCGGGCAGAGGAAGTTGGCGATCTGCACGGCCTGATCCGGGTCGACCTCGGCGTTCGCGGCGGCGCAGAGCTCCTCGACCTTGGCCGAGTCGAGGCCGATCACCGACGCCATGGCCGAGGGCGCTGCGTCGGCGGCGGCCTGCATGGCCTTGCCGCGCGTGGCGACGAGCTTGAGGCCGTCCTCGAAGGAGAACGCGCCGGCGAAGGCCAGCGCGGTGTACTCGCCGAGCGACAGCCCGCAGGTGACGTCCACGCCGTCCACAAAGTCCGCCCCCTTCTCGAGCTTCAGCTTCTCGACGGCGGCCAGCGACGCGACGTAGATCGCCGGCTGCGAGATCTCCGTCGTGTTGAGCTCCTCCGCGGGGCCCTGCAGGCGGCCCGAGCGGCGCCGTTGCCTTGCGCACTCTGAGTGTGAAGGCGCTGCGTGGCTCGCGCGCGCGGGCGCGGCGGCGGGGTCCGCGCGCTCGCTCGCGGGCGCACCTCGACACACTTCTTCAGCAGGTCGTAGCCCAGGATGTCTGACGCGGTGTCGAACATCTCAGCGGCCCTGGGGACCTCCTCCACCAGAGACTTGCACATACCGACCGACTGCGCGCCCTGCCCCGGGAAGAAGATCGCCCGCGTCGGCTTGTAGTCATCGTACTTGCCGTCGGCGGAGGCCCGCACGGCCACTTGCTGCCTGGCAGCCCTGCACGGGACCGGGATGAGGACAGTTGCCTTCTCGGGCCGCTGCACGGGCGGTGATGGCCCCACGATCGCCGCGCTGAACGGCGCGATCGGACGCCGAAGCTGAGCCCTTGCACCTCTGGTAGTGGTTGAAGGCGGTGGTTGGGCATGTGAGGAGCGCGCAGAATGATCCTCTCGCAGCGTTGGTGTCTTTGGGGCGCACGGGCGGCCGGGGGGCGCGAAAGTGCCTCTGGGCATGTTTGCAGCACTGAGCGAGCTGAGAGCGCTCCCCGCGCAATGTAGGTCGGCGCTCAGCGCTCTGGCCTCGGCTGGCATCGCCCGGCTCATGCCCAAAGCGGCAGCGGGCCGGCGAAGCCTCGGGGGCGCAAGCGGCGGCATTGAGAGCGGCGTTTGTACGACAGAAAAAGCTTGTAGAGTGCGCGTGCGTGGGTCGCGGGGGCAGCGATGCACGAGGGGTGAACCAGGAGCAATGGAAGCACAGCAAGAGCCTCCCTCACGATCTCTCTTCCACGACGGAGTCATTCCGCCGCTCATGCAGCGCGCCGGCGGCATATCGTGTACAGAAACTCAGCGAGTGCCCCAGAATATACATCGAATGTCGACATCGGCGGCGGCGCGCGCACCTCTTGGAGCTGCTAGGCTTGGACGACACAAGGGGCTTCGCCGCGAGCATGTTGTGAGTACGGGGCTGCGCTGTTGTGAGCAGTTGCCACACGCCCTGTGCAGGCGCGCCGATGGTGCACTCCCCAGACTGCCGACGGCCGCCGTGGGCGACTCGCGCGGCTCGTACCTGAAACAGTCCCTGGCGTCGTGGACACGCCGAGATATGTGACGCACCGGCGCCAGGACTGAGCACACTGATATAAGGACGGGGAATTTTGTAACGGGTTTGCGTGTCCACCGCTCAAGCCGCGTTCTGAGGCCGTCCTGACTGGCAGGGGTTTTGGGCCTGTCGTGACCTCGCTTCGGCCCCTGCTTGATGCTGCTGGCCGCGAAACACGCACGACCGTTTCTCTCGTCCCGAGTCCGCCCAGGTTGGTCCGGCCAGCCGCCCACGTCCGCCCTGGACCGCCCACGCACTGGAAGGCACCCATCGCGCCCGAATCCAGCACTTCCGCTCCCCGCGGCATTGCCTGCAGCCAGGGAGCGTGTTCGTACGATGGCAACGGGGGATGACGCGCCGTCGCGGCAGTTCACCGCGGGCGGCCGGCTCTACCTCGGCATGGCTGCCACTGGTGACGCCTTCCACATGCAGGTGCCGCAGGTGATCCACCTCGTGCGCCACGGACAGGGCTTCCACAACCTGGCCGCGGAGAGGGCCGACACGCCCGAGGCGAAGGAGGCCGCGTACTGCATGGACGCATACTTCGACGCGCATCTGACCGAGCTGGTGCGCGCCCAGGCGCGATCGACGCACGCGCACCCCCCGCCCTGTGCGCCGCTGAAGTGGCGCGCACAGGTTTGCCTGCGCGGGCCACGCTGCGGAACCGGCCGGGCCGGGAAGGGCACGTGTTTGAATATACACCTTGGTGTCGGCTCGCGCAGGGCTGGCGTCAGGCGCTGGGTTTGCGGAAGCACCTCGAGGAGCAGCACGTTCGCAAGGGCGTCGAGCTCGTCGTGGCGTCTCCGCTCACGCGCGCGCTCGAGACGGCGACGGGCGCGTTTGGCGGCGCGCCTCTGACCGACGTCGCGCCCGAGCAGGGCGAGGTCTTGATGCGGGGGTACGCGGCGGAGCCGGACAAGACGGCGGACTGCCCAGGGTACTCCGCGGCGGGCGCGCCGGAGTTCGTGGTCCACGAGTGGGTGCGCGAGGAGACGGGGCTGCACCCGTGCGACGGGCGGCGGCCGATCCGCGTGCAGAAGGAGCGGTGGCCGGGCGTGCGCGAGTGGATCGTGGCGAGCGACGAGGACACGTGGTACAAGGAGCACGAGCGCGAGACGCGCGAGCAGTGCATGGCGCGCATGCAGACGTTTTGCGAGTGGCTGGCGTCGCGGCCGGAGCGGCGCATCGCGGTCGTGGCGCACGCCGGCGCGCTGGCGGGCCTCATGTCGCACCTCGTGCTGCGCGGCGTGAACGGCGTGCAGGCGCACGCGGAGCACGCGGAGGACATGACTGCGCCCTGGGCCAACTGCGAGATGGTGCGTGGATAACAGCCCCCCCCGACCGCCTGCTGTGCGGACATGCGTGCTCCGCGTGCGTCGGCGGCTGTCTCACCGGTGTGGCTGCGCCGGGGGTCCGTGCAGAGAACCATTGTGCTGCCCCAGGTTGGCGGGCACGGGTCGGACAAGGACCGGTGGCACTACAGGCCGAAGGACTTGACGGGCCTGGGCTTCTGATGGGGCGGCGAACAGGCCGGCCGCGTGACGGGGGGACAGGAGGAGGGGCCGCCCCTCCCGCGCGGCGCGGGAGGCTCGTACGTCCGACTCGCTGTGACGCACATCCGTTGCCACGGTGTCCCGGGATCTACTCCCAGGGTAAGACCTCGCGGTGGCCGTATCGCCACCACGAACGGACGACTCGGTCGGGCGGGGGGAGGTCTGTTCCTCGCTATCTTTTTATATGTTGTTGTTGTTTCTACCCGCGAGTCCTCCCCCGTCCGCGCCCTGCCGGGCCCGCATCAGCCCAGGAGCTCGCGCCGCGGACGCAAATACGTGCGGCAGGTCGGCGCGCCCTTCAACCGGAAGACAGTTGCACGGCTAGGCTGTTGTGCTCCCCAACCACACACAGGAAACGAGCGGACAGTGGTCCCGCCTGTGCGCCGCCAGTTCGCGCGTCTACCTAGCAGGCAAGCGGCGGAACAGCGCAGCTGAGGGTCAGCATGGCCGCTCTCACGCCGCGTTGGTGCGCTGGGTCGCGGAAACCGCCGCTCGTTCGTCGGAGGCACCGGCTGGTGTGTCGAGCGGGCCCCGGGCCAGACAGGACCGCACAGCCAGTGCTGATCATCGGAGGTGAGTGCGGTGCTCCGCCTGATCCCCGTCCGCGCACGCAGCGGGCCCCGGCGCGCCGATCGCGCCTCGCCCCGTGGGCACCTCGAGCACGGCTCAGTGCCTCACGTCGCCCGTCTCGAGCGCATCGAGCGCCGAGCGCGGGCCCCATGGCTGGCCCTGGGGGCAGAGTCGGAGCTGGTCCGGCTGAGAGGTTTTCCCTCCCGCTCGGACGCGTGGTGCTGCCACCGCGCCGATCGTCTCCATTTCAGGTCTGGAGCGGCCTGCTCCGCGCCTCGTCCCGGCGCCGCGAGGTTCGCTGCATTGCCGCGCGATCCGCAGGTACGGGCAGGGTGGGGTCATCGACGGCGGACGCGCTGCTTTCCACGGGCGCGTTCCCCTCGGTGGCCATTGCCTCGCGCCACGAAAAGAGTGCCGATGCCGCACGCGCGCGGCGGCCGAAGCTCGCGGACTGCAAGTTCTTCGAGTGCGATGTCGAGGAGAAGAAGAGCGTGATGCGGGCGATCGAGGCGTCCGGAGCCGGCACGGTGGTGCACACTGCGGGGCCGTTCCAGGGGCGGCAAGGAAGCGTCGTGCTGGAGGCCGCCATCGAAACGGGCGTGTCCTACATGGACGTGTGCGACGACACCGAGTACTCGCGCCGCGCAAAGAAGCTCAGGCAAGCCAACTTCCCGCGCGAGCCTTCGGGTCGCGAGCGCACTTGATCGTCGCCGCCACAACCGCGTTGTCCCGCTCCCCGTCTGCTGTGGCCCGCCCGCTTCGTGCCGCCGGGTCCTCACTGGGTGTCGCGCGGCTGCCACCGTCCCCGCAGTGACAAGGCGGCGGCCGCGGGCGTCCCGGCGATCATCACGGGCGGCATCTACCCCGGCGTCAGCAACGTGATGGCCGCGCACATGACCGCCATCGCCCGGCGAGAATACACCCCCGAGGGCCTCAAGGTCCGCCCCGCACCTTCTGCCGCAACCGCCCGCCCGCACGAGCGCGCGCAAGCACCACAACGCTGACGTCAGTCCTTGACCCGCGCGCGCCACGCAGGCCGACACGCCGGACAAGCCCGACGAGGCGAAGCGCTGCCTGTACTCGTACTACACGGCCGGCACCGGCGGCGCGGGCCCCACGATCCTGGCGACCTCGCTGCTGCTGGCCGGCGAAGACGTCGAGGCCTTCAAGGACGGCGAGAAGGTCGTGCTGCCGCCCATCAGCAACCGACGCGTCGTGGACTTCGGGCCAGGTGCGCTAGACCACCCCGCGCGCCGCAACGTGCGGGCCGGCCTTGTCGTGTGTGTGCCGACCGTTGTTGTCGTCAGTGGTTCGTGCAGGCCTTGGGCGCAAGAGCACGTACCTGTACAACCTTCCGGAGGTGGCGTCGACGCACGAGCTGCTCGGGATCCCGTCGGTGTCGGCGCGGTTCGGCACGGACCCCGAGCCGTGGAACTGGGGCATGTGGCTGGCGGCGCGCATGCTGCCCAAGGCCGCGCTGAAGGACGCGGAGACCGTGAAGCCGCTCGTCGCGCTCCTGGACCCGATCGTCCGCCTGCTGGACCCGCTCGTCGGCGAGCGCGTCGCGATGGAGGTCGAGGTTGAGATGGAGAGCGGAGTCATTGCGGGGGGTCTCTACCGCCACAAGAAGCTGTCGGAGGCGGTCGGACAGTGCACGGCGGTGTTCGCGACGCAGCTCGCGTCCGGCGGCACGGCGCCCGGCGTGTGGTACCCGGAGGAGCCGCAGGCGATCGCAGACCGGCGCGCGCTGTTGGAGGCTGCGGCGAAGGACGCGGAGGCCTTCATTCTGAACAGGCCGCCGTGGATGTTCGAGACCGAGGCCAAACAGATCGGCATGGGGCTCTACTGGTAGTGCCGTGTGATCCGGAGACCGCGACAGGTGCTTCACAACGCTTTGGGGCGGCACGTGAGCTGCCGTGCGAGGGGCGTTGCAGATCGTTAGATGTCGTCGCCGTCGACCAGCTTGGCCTTCTTGGCCTTCTTCTTCGGCTTCGTTTCTGCGGCAGCAAACATCTTGGACACAGCCTGCGCCTGGCTGCCCTTGCCGCCGACGCGGCGGTCGACGAGGGCGATGTACCCCGGGATGTTGAACTTCTTCTTCGTGCTGTTGTAGTTCTGCAACGTGGAACACCAGGCATGGTGGCGCGTCGTGTCAAAAGGCCGCAGTCAGCAACGACGCCTGGCAGGTCAGCCATCGGCGGAATGTCGTAGTCGAAAGGTCGCGCAGAAAGTGCCTCCCGGCACAGTCCAGGTCGGGCAGATCGCTGTCCCGGCGATACGGAAAAAGAAAACGCCGCTGCTCGTACCAGGCTATGTTCGTTTGGTCAGCATGGCAGAAGCGCCCCAGAGGACACGCTGGGCGAGTATGCCGCGCAGGCCTTGATAGTCTGGTGCCAGCAGTTGCGATTCTGTGACCACCATCGCCGGGCCCGGACAGATCTCGAGCGGAACCTCTCTCTCATTGTCCAGCGAAACAACAGCGCGGCGAGGGGCAGTCGGCGTCGCGGGCGTCGCACCATGTAGCGGATCTTCCCGAAGATGGGCCGCTCCGTCCAGCCCATGTCGTGGATGCCGGCCACGCTCCACATGCAGCCCACCACAGCGTTCGGGCAGCGGCCGTCGAGCTCGTAGCGGTCGTTCAGGTAGAGCGCGGTGTCGAGCGCCTCCTCGGGCGACGCGGTCCACTCGAGGATCTTCTTCGCCCAGTACATGCGCACCCACCCGTGCATCTTGCCCAGGTGCACCATCTCCTTCTGCGCCGCGTTCCACAGGTCGTCGTGCGTCTTCCCGGCCTCGAGCTGCTCGCGCGTGTACAGGTGCTCGCGCTTGTCCTTCGCGTGCACGCGCAGCGTCTCCTGCGCCCACTCCGACGCGCACTCGAGCGAGTCGTAGTTGGGGGTGTAAAAGCAAAAGTTGTCCGACAGCTCCTTCCGGACCACGAGCTCCTCCAGGAACGACTCCACCGCCTTGTGCGTCGACGACGTCTTCCGGCGCTGCGCCTCGATCGCGCACCGCTGCGCGGAGATGTGCCCGAATCGGATCCACGCACTCATGCCCGACTGGGCGTGCGGGACGGTCGGGTCGTTGCGCTTGGCGTCGTACAGCGGCAGCCGCGCCTTGGTCAGGAAGCCGCCCTCCTCGCCGACGAGCGCCTCCATCGCGGCCGTCTCGCCCGCGGTGATCCACGTCACCTCGGGCACCTCCGCGCCGCGCTCGTTCGCCTCCTTGATGATCGCGTCGAAGTCCACGTGCTCCGCGGGCCGCGCCAGCACGGGCTTCTCCGGCATCTCGGGGAGCTCCGGGAAGTCCTGCGCGCACGTACGCGCACGCATGATGTCAGCGCGAGCAGAGGCGGCATGTGAGCATCGAGGCGGTTGCGCTGCCGGAGCGACTCGTCGCGCTGCGAGGGTCGCAGTCCTTCTATAGTTCGCGCGCACCTTGAGGAACTCTCCGAGTTTTGCGTGGATCTTGGGGCGGATGGTGCGCGCGGCATACTCGCGCTTGTCCGACGCGACCCACACGGGCACGACGTTGTGGGCGTCGACCTCGTGCATCGGGCAGAGCACCGTCTTCGCCACGCCGTCGCGCCAGGACCGCTGCAGCCGCATCGGGTGGAAGTCCGTGACCAGGAGGCCCGCGCCCAGGTCGCGGCACAGCGCAGGGATCGTCTCGCGCGGGTCGCCGCGGAGGAGGTAGAAGGGGATGTTGAGGCCCTCGAGCTTGGGCTTGAGCTCCTTCAGGCCGCGGAGCATGAAGCAGTGCTGCCGCGCGCCCCCGCCCATGATGAAGTCCGACACGAGGCTGAACGCCACCACCACGCGCGTGTTCTTCGCCTGCGCCACCTCGATCGCGTGGATCAGCGCCCAGTTGTCCGACGCGCGGCGGTCGCGCTCCATCCAGTACACCACCGGGCCGGACCCGGGCTGCGGACCGCAACGACACACGACGCAGCGCTGTGGTGTCGAGGTGGCGTGGGTGCGGGGCCGGGGGCGGGCGCCGAGCAGCCCTGGGGGCGCGGACGGCGGGGAGGCGCACCTCGCCTGGGCGCAGCTCGCGCCAGCGCTTCTTGTTGCACTTGAGCGGCACCGCGGTGGCAGCCTTCTTGGGGGTGCCGCCCTCCGCAGCCTCGGCCTTGCGCTTGGCGTCCTCCGGCATGGTGTCTTCGTTGAGGAAGGGGTCGAAGTCGGGGTCCTTGGCCTTGCGCTTCGCGAACGTGCGCGTGCACCGGGCGCCGCGCGGGTCGAAAGAGAGCGGGGCGAAGCCGGGCGGAAGGTGCGGCCGGGACGCGAGCAGGCAGACAATGCGCGTCGCGTTGCTCCGGGCTCCGATGCGCGCCGGCTGTGGACGGGCTGCGAGGCCCCGGTACAGGCTTCCGCGGACGGCGAGCGCTGAAGCTGCACAGGCCACAGAACAGGTTGGTCTAGAGTGGTTGGCACCGCGCGTGACATGGCTCGTCGTGCGGTGCGTTACGTGATTGATGCCATGAGAACTGCGGTAGGCCCAGAGGATGCGGCATATAGCGCGCCCATCGCCTGGCGATGGCCGCACAAGGTGGAAGAGGCGATTTCGGGCGCGATGTCGCTGCCCGCAGGCGCAATGCACCCTCGACTAGGACCCGAGGGAACGTCAACGTGCGGGTGTACCGCCGGGGCCTCGTTCGCCGAATCCCGGGGCGGCCCGCCCGGGAGGGGGCACCTAGCCTCGACTGCTCTCGCACCTGTGGCACAAGGAGAGCACGCGAGCAGGCTTGCCATGCGACTTGCCGCCGACGCACGTCAGCTTCCTGTTCCAGACACTGCGCCGCCCCCTGCGCGGGCGCGCCCCAACTGCCCTAACTGCCCTCGGCCCTGCGCCAGGCTGACATAGAGTAGTAATTGACCACCCGCGCACGAAACGAAATGCGGGTGTGCTATCGTCCTGATCAAGGCGGCAGCGTGCTAGGAGTACTCGCGCGAAATGCCATGTGAGCGTGCCATCATGTGCCAAGGGAAGGCTCTGACCTGCAATCAGTTAGAGTGAGTGGCGGGCGTCGTCAGCAATAACGCGGCGAGCCGCGCGAGTACTGGACGACGCCCGCCAGCCGACGCGCCGAAGTGCTGGTCCACGTCCTAGGCTGCTTGTACCAGGGGGTGTCGGCAGCCGGCTGGGGGACAGCGGTGACTGAGTCTGCGGCATTGTCCGCGTTGTGTGGCGACGCGCCGACGGCTACTCAGCTCTCCTCGTCATCGCCGTCCCCCGCGCGTGGCCTGTCATGCGAAAAGGGATCATACCACATACGGATGTCACCTGACGCGTGTCGAGTCAGCCCGGACCACAGCGCGCCGCTCACACCCCGTCCTCGGCCGCTCCCCACACCACCACGCGCCGAGCACTGCACGCACCGCCGTCCAGCCCACCAGGCGGCACGCCACCGGCGTGCGTCAACGTCAACCTGCCCGACTTCGCGACCCCCCGCCCCCCGCTCTCCCTCCCCGCGCCTCCCTTCCCTCATCAGTACCCGCCGTCGAGCAGGTCGTCCACCTCCTGCAGCAGCATGTCGGCCTCTGCGAGCGCCTGCCCCACCGACGCGTCCGACGACGACCGCGTCGACGGACTCACGGCCCTGCACGCACGCACCGCGCGTCATGGTCGCGTGCACGCGCAGCGCGGGCCGCGGGCGGGGCGCGGGCGGCAGCGCGGGCGCCGCACCTGAGGGACCCGTCGAGCGACGTGCGCGCGTCCCGGATCTTCGCCGTCAGCATCTTGTCCTGCGCGGGGTCCTCGCTCGTCCGGAGGTCCAGCAGCGCCTGCCGCACGCCCGCCGCCGCCGTCGCCACCTGCCCCAGCTCAGCCGCAATGCGGCTCTCCGCGGGGCTGGGCTGCTCCGCGGCGGGCGCGGGCGACGACGCCGCGTACGACGACGCCGCACCGCCGCCCGTCGACGACGACGACCCCCCGACCTTGTAGTCGTACCCGTACGGCTCGTACGCCGACCCCCCCGCGGGGGCGCTGCCGTACGCCTCCCCGCCCGCGCGGTAGCTCGGCGGCTCGACCTCCACGTCGTACACGCCGCTGATGCCCTTGCCCGCCTCGATCTGCTCCAGCGCGACGCGCAGGTCCGACGGCAGCTGCTCGCGCACCTCCGCGGGCACCTGCTGCACCACGAGCTTCAGCGCCTCGCGCTCGGCTGCCTCCCCGTCCTCGATGTAGCGCGCCAGGACGCCCGAGAACTCGTCGATCAGCACCTGGGGCTTCTCGTTGATCGGGCGCGGGTCCTGGATCAGCGAGTTCAGCGTCCCCTGCAGCTCGCGCACCTCGGTCGTGACGTCGCCCAACTTCTTCAAGGCCCCCAGCGCCGCGCGGGGGCCCATCGCGACCAGGTCGAACGGGTTACCTGCGGGCCGGGCGCGGGCGGGTCCGGGACGTGGGGCCGGACGGCGCGCGCGTGCGGGGGCGTGCGGGCCCACGACGCGTGCTGGAGTGGGAGGCGGGGCGTTTGCCGAGTCAGGGCGCGGTGGCAGGGGACGGCGGGTGGGGGAGGGGCGAGGCGCGCGGAGCCGTGTGGGAGAAGCGGGGGCGGGGCGCAGGAGCCGCAGTTGGCGGTGCGCGGCGAGGCGCGCGGAGGTACCTGACTTGAGCCAACGGTCCAGACGCGGCGCGGACTCGCGCTCTGACTGCTGCTGGTATGGGGAGTAGACGGTCTCTGGGCTGTAGACCACGGGGTCGTCGTCGCTGTTGTAGTACTGCGATGCGGCGGGCGAGGGGCGCTGAGCGGTTTTGGAGCTCCTGCAGCCCGCCCGCGGCATGTCCGCGGAGAGAGCGCCGCATGCTGCGCTGCGTGCCTCCCAAGCAAGGGCCGGCTCCTCCCCGGCGGCACCCGCGGCGTACTGACGGGCGCACGTCCGCGCATGCACGCCCTGGCGCGCAGCAAGCGCAGCGCACGGGCTCTGGGCGCGCAGAGCCGCAACGGCGCGCGACAGGGCCTTGCTGCGCCGCTCCGTCCTGGCGCGCGATATCAGCACGGTCCGCACGCGAGGGCTTCCAGTCTCACCTGCCCGGTCCCGGACGGCCCTGTGGAGGCCTTCGAGACCACAGTGCGCTTCGGCTGCGCAGCGACGACCCGCCCGGGCGCCAATCGCGCGAACATCGTCGTTGCGTGCATCATGGTTCGTCCGGCGTTCGAAGGGGCAGGCCCAGCGTCACGTACACGCGCCTCGACGGCAAGTGGCAGCCTAGGTTAGTTTCAGCTCTCCGCGTCGCACGGTGCAGTGCCGGTCTCAACGCAGGACGGAACGATGCGAGGGGGCTCTGAAGTGCGCTGGGCTCCCGCCCTGAACGCTGTTTGTCGCCGGCCGCGCGGCTGTGGCGGCGTGCGCGTGGTCGGACTGTGACGACGGAAGAAACCTGAGCAGCTGCAAGCGGAGAGCGCGGGGGACGGCCCGAGCGCGCGACACGCCAGCAAGCACTGCGCTGCCCAGGCACGGGGAGCTGCGCGTGCGGGAAAGAAACTGGGCGGCGCGTGTGTGGTATCTAGTGTTTTTGTTCTACAAGGGCTGGCGGAGCGTCACAGTTCGCCGGTGGGCTCGGGCTTCTTGGTCTTCTTCTTCTTCGCCTTCTTCTTCGGCTTCGCAGCGTCTCCGTCGCCGGCGACCTGCGGGACAACAGGCCCGCACCAGGGGTGTCACAAGCACGGGGGGGGGCGTCACGCGCGCGCCCCGTCCCGCCCGGCAGCGGCGGCGCACAGAGACGCAGGCCACGCACCTTCTCGCCGCGCTCCATCGCGAGCTTCTTGAGCCGCTCCATCTCGGCCTTGTCCTTGGCCTCGCGGGCCTCGCGCGCCTCGCGCACGCCCTCGAGCTGGTCGTGCGGGACGGTGTCCTCGGGCCGGCGGACCTTCTGCCCCTTGATTTCGAACTCGTACACCTCGTCGAAGGTGAAGAGGTAGTTCTTCGTCTCGATGGCCTGCTCCGCGCCGTCAACGCTGCACACACAACGCAGCGCCGCGCGCTGGGCGGTGGCTCCGGCGCGCGGGGCCGGGCGGCACGACGCAGCGCGGTGCACGACGGAGCGCGGCGCGGGGTGCGTACCTCAGGATCACGTTGTCGGCGTCGAGGACGTAGATGGTGTCGGTGTTGGCGCCCGACCGCAGCGCCCCGGACCACATCGACGCCATGCGGTCCACGTCCTCCTTCGAGCGCGACGCGTCGGGCCGCAGACGCACGAAGCACAGCTCGGAGCCTGCACGGGCGCGCGGAGGCCGCGTCGTGACGCAGGTGGTCCTCGTTGTTGTCGGCGCGACCGTGCAGCGGGGCGGGGCTGGTGGGGCGCAGCGCGCACCTGTGATGGCCGCGAAGGCCATGTCCGACGGGTTCTTCCTGCTCATCTTCTGCAGCTTGTTGATGTCGAGACCCCCCCCCTGCTTCCGCTTCTTCTCCATGCGCTCCTCGTACGTGGGGATGCCCCACGCCTTGCGCTCCTCGTCCGTCTCGTCAGGGTCGATCAGCGCTGCGTCAGATCACCGGGCGCGGCACCACAGGCCGTTGACAGGGGTCCGTGCTCAATACCCGCGCGTGTGTGTGCACCACCAGCGAGGTTCGGCGCCGCACGGTGCGCCGTGAGTGAGATAGAGATGCCGCGGGCAGAGGCATGACGAGTGCGCGAGCGGCCGCGGCGCACGACCGCAGGGCGTGGCCTTCCGGATGCCGCAACACGGCCCGTCGAACAGCTGCTCTGCCGGCTGTCAGACGGAGGCCGGGGGGCACGCACGATCGTCATCGGTGATCCTCCTCTTCTTCGCGTCGACGGATGGCACGACCGCGTGGATGAGGAGCACGGCCAGCGCCAGTGCCAGCAGCAGGGGTACGCGTGCGCGCACGAACATGTTCCGGTCTGTTCCTCGCGGGCGACGCTCCAGCGATGCGAACAAGCGAGGTCTAGTCGTGCGCGAGCCCGAGACGGTCACGACCTCCACGAGGGGTCGCAGGCCGCCTCCGTCGTCGGCGCTGGTCCAGCAGCAGGTTCGGGGGCGTCGCGCTGCAGCCCAACCGCGGAACTCGAGAGCTGATGACCGCCTTCAGGAGCAGTGCATGCCGCCGGGGCGCGGCCTGATCTCGGCGGGCGCGTGGACGCGCTGGTTCGGGAGTCCCAGGGGGAGCGGGCGTTGGCAGCAACGTCAGTTGGTCGGGCCCGCGCGGGGACTTCGGCCCGGCGCGCACCGTGTTGCCGCGCCTGAGCTTGATACAAACACGACGCGGTTACACGAAAAGTCTCGTGATTAGGTGACGAACAGGGTGGTCGAGTTGCGCGGGAGCCAGCATGGCGTCAACCTGCGCCGGCTCACAGCTGCAATGCCGTCGAGCGAGCAGGATACCGGCTGGGTACACTAGCGGCTTCGTGCAGGTGACGTTGCGGTGCTGTGCTGCCCGTGGCGTGCAGTCCCGCGAGCCCCCAAGTGCCGTGCATGAACGACGAGACTCGCGGTGGGCGTGCGACGCAGACGAGGAGACTTGCGCGGGCCGGACGGAGACAAGCTGTTGTTCGCGCGGAGCTGAGCAGAGAGGCTGCGCAGGTAGCGGCCCGCGTGGGCTGGCAGTGAAACCCTGAAACCAGAGCTGCGCACGAGTGCGCAGCTTCAAAGGAGCAACTTGCCCTCACCCGCGTCCTGGAGGCTCTCCAAGTCATTGGCATGCGTCCGCGAGCCTCGAAGAGGGCAGAAACTCACGCATCAGCTGCTCTGCTCCGAAGTGCCTGTGTTCAGCTCGCACGCGTCCCCGACGCCCGCGCCCCGCAGGCCGAGCGGCGGAGAGATATCAAGTACCGCCTGTTCCGCCTGGCGTCCACGACCAACCGAGGCCGCGTCTGCCCCCCGCCCAAGCGCGACGAAATCATAGGGTTGACGCAACAGCTCGTAGGTGCCGCCACAGCCCCTGCTTCGCTCCCGCGACGTTCCACCGCGCGCCACACCCGCGTCCAGTCCGAGCCCCACACAGCGGCCCGAACAACACCCCCCTCCCCCCCCCGCGTGCCTGCAGGGCTGCGCGAGGAGACGGTGACGGTGATGGGGTCCCCGGCGCTGGCCGAGGGACGCTGGGTGCTCGTGTACTCGTCCGTGGACCCACTGCGGTCGTCGCCGATGTTCTGGGCGCTGCAGAGCGGGCTCGCGGGGGACTCCAACGTCGCGCAGCAGGCCCTGTCGCTCATCGCGTCGCTGCCGGGCATCGAGATCGGGGCGATCACGTCCGACGTGAGCCTCGGCGACGGCCAGCTGGTGTCCAGCGTCGAGCTCTCCACCTTCCCCGGCATCCGAGGCGAGCCCCCGCACACCTGTCCGTACGGCCCCAGCTGCGCTCGGCCCCCACTCACGGATCGCGGCCGGGACCTGGTGCGACGGGGGCGTCCCTGACCTGATCGGGCGCGCACTGCCCGCCCGCGGCGCCGCGCGCCCCGCAGAGGCCAACACCCCCCCAACACCCCCCGCCCGCAGGCAAGCTGGTCACGGTGTCGTACTGCACGGCGTCGCCGCCACGCACGCTCGCGCTCACCGTCCAGCGCACAACGATCGAGGGCGCGAACTTCCTCGCGCCGATCCTGGACGGCGTGGCGCTGCCCGTGCGGTCGCTGATTGAGATCGTCCGCGGGGAGGGGCGTGCGGACGTGGCGCTGGAGACCGACTACGTGGACAGCGAGATCATGGTGTGCCGCGCGGTGCCGGAGGGGGCGGTGTTCGTGTACCAGCGGGCGCGGTAGGACGCCTGGCTGCAGGGCATATCTCCCCCTGCCAGCGCTGACATACACTGCGACGCGTGTTGGTGGGCGGCGCGAGAGAGCGGCCGCACTGGCTGGCGCACGAGGCCCGCGAGGGGCAGGGCGCGCGCGTCGGGCAGCGGCGCGGTCCGATCCGGGTGCTGCGAGCGACTCCCCCCGGGGGGACTGGCGGGGGCAGCGTTCGCGGGCGCCGTGACTTTGCCGTCGCGTCGGTGCGGGGCTCGTGGACATCGCTGTTGTGAGCGACGTGGGTGGACTCTCGCAGCAAGATGCCGCTTCACGCACGCGCCGTTTCCGTGTCCGCCGTAGGCGCGGGACCGCTCTGCCGGCGACCCCTGCGACAGGTGCGTGCCCCGACGCGGCCAAAGAAAGGAGCTGCCGGTCCGGCGCGCGTGCGTTGGCGGCAGAAAGCGAGCCGTGGCTGCGCGGGGGAGCCCGCGGAGCAGGGCACCTTCAACAGACGTGGTCGCTGCGCGCACACCTGCGCCGCGAAATGCGCAGTCTGGCATTCCTCTGACCTCGCGTTTCTCGGCATCTCTGCTCCCTCGGAGGTGACGCGGCAGGTCGCGGATGCCGTGCACCGTGCGCGACGGTAGCAGCCCCTGGCTGTTGGCCTGGTTACGAAATCGCCTCCGGCTTCGGGCAGTGTGGCCGACCACGCCTGGCGGCAGACTCGCCGTTGCAGCTCCAGGACTGAGCAGCCTCACACACACAGACAGCTGCGTCTCAGGGCAGGCATGAGCCGCCGACCCGTAGCCTCAGCCCACCTCACTCGTGACGCCCGGCCCCCGTCCGTCCTGCAGTCGGGACTCGTCAGGCCCGCCCGGACACCCGCTGCACGCCGCACAGACCGCGTTCGCGTGTACGCTGAGGGCAGCAAACAGGTCGTCAAGAAGGTCAACGCTGCGGTGTGCGCCCGGCCGTCACGCCAAAGCTCTCAACGCCCACAGCGCCACCGTGCGACCTTGCCGCCGCACGAGCGGCTTCTCTCATACATGCGCGATCAGATCAGAGCGCAATTCGAGCGTTGCCGGCCCTGCGCTCCGTTCGCACCGCCGCGCTTCCGCCCCGACGACCGCGCTGTCACTTGCGCGTCGCAGGAGCTCGAGGTGGAGATTGCGAACCGCTCCAAGCCCCTGATCGTCGACTTCTACGTGCGCCCCCACCCCCCGTCGCCTCCCTTGCCTCGAACCCCCCTCCCACGCCTGCAGCTGCGTCCCAACGCTTTTCGTTTCAACTCGCAATACCCCCCCCCACCGCGCAGGCGTCGTGGTGCGGGCCGTGCGTGATGCTCGCGAAGGAGCTGGACAAGGTGGCGGACGAGCTGGGCGACGCGGTGACGATCGTCAAGGTGGACTGCGACGAGGAGGAGGAGCTGGCAGGGCAGCTGCAGATCCGCGGGCTGCCGACGCTCGTGTTCATCAGCCCCGACGGCGAGAAGCCCGCGCTGCGGACCGAGGGGCTGCTCCCGAGCGACACGATCAAGGAGATCATCGCCAACGAGCTGTGAGGGCCGGCGGGTGCGTGGCGACGGGTTGCGTGCTGTTGCTCCCCAGGCGACCGCGGTGGGAGGTCGACGCGGTCTGAAATCGCAGCGTGTACTCCGTGAACCTCCTGAAGCTCCATGTATGGCGCACGCCCCGGCAGAAGGTCCACTGCCGCTACCGGAACGAGCGTGTGCTGCCGTGCGCTTTCTACGCAGCGATTCAGAAGATCGACGGATGCACGAAGCAGGTCCAGACCGCGCCGAGCGTCAGCCGCGGTTGGCTGGACGGGATCAGCAAGGGCCGGGTGCAGGGCGATCTCCGAAGCATGATCCGTCTCTGTGACCGCAAGCCCCTGCTCGATGTCTTCCGTTGCGGGACCTTTGCGACGCCACGGCAGAGATGTGACGCTGTTCGATGCAGAAAGGCGTTTCTGGGGCGCCACGCGGGGCCTCGCAGGGTTGTGTGTTTGCGTACGTTGCGTACGTTGCGAGAAAGGCGGGTCGCGAGGCGGCCTGGAGGGCGGGCGGAGGCCGTGCACGAGGATGCCTGTGATCGCCCGCGCGAGCTGCGACGCCTTGCCGGTCGTTGTGTCCGGCTCTGGCACCATGCGGCACCAGGCACGCCGTCAGGCACCGGTGGCACGAGGCACCGTTTCTCACAGCGACGCGGCACCCCAGGGCGCGCCCACCGCCCCCCACATGCGGTGGACGCGCTCCCTGCCCAAGCGCCCCTGCCCTGCATGCGCGCGCTGCGCCCGCAGGCTCCTGCGCGGCTCCCGGGCGCCCTGGTCTCCAAGCACGCAGCCGGGGGCACGTGGCGCAGGGCACCACAGCGAGAGTCGCGCGAACTCGCACGAGTGATGCAGTTATGCGTCGATGCAGTCGAGGTGCAATCGTCGCGAGACCTCAAGCGGATGGACGTCCCGCGGCGCCCGCATGGCCGCCCCGTCGGCGCCCGCTGGCTCCACCGCCGCCTGCGTGGTGGAGGCGTGCGGAGCTCGGCGGCGGTTGGGGTGAGTAATAAATGAGTGGGACAGACAGCACTTGTGCATCTGGCCATGCGCGGTGGTGCCACGTCTCACGTTGCGCGTTCGACTCGACGTGCTCGCGAAGGAGCTGTCCTCGACGTTCTGGACGCTGTCGAGTGGCGGCACGAGCATCATGTTGACTCCCTCCGAGGCCACGAGCGCGGCCAAGACCATGGCACATATCCACGCGGGTACCGCAAGGCACCAGTACTTTGATGGGCGGTAGTGGAGCCCGCAGGAATCAAGGATGTGGTCCGGAATGAGCGCGAGCGCCGCATATGCCCCTGCAGCCCAACAGAAGCGAGCGCGCCGCCTTGCTTCGGCCTGAAGAGTCCATGTAGGCGCGGCGCCATGGAGACTCAGACATCAAGCATGCGTTGCTATCCAAGGGGCCAATCAAGACTGCGCGTCTTGCGCGCAGAGGCAGTGCGTTTCCACCTCCGCACCAAAAGCGACGATGCTCGTCACCCACGCGACGAAACCCCGCGCCTCGAGGCCGATGCCCGTCTCCATGCTCTCGGGAGCCCCCCGGTACGTCAGCAAGGGACGTCTTGTGCTCCGTCGGCACGTCCGCGAGGCGAGTGAAATCGCACACCGCGCCGCTCCCTACTCCCGGCCCATCGCGCCGGCGGCCCCAGCGGACACTCGAGGAGCACAGTCACCGAGCAAGCTTATACGCAGTGGCGCGGCGAGCAGCCAGACGCGAACCGACGGCCCGGAGCGCGAAGATGAGGGTGCGCTCCGAGTGCGCTCGAGGCCAGTCGCTGCCGCGTCCGTCTCCGACGCATTCGCGCCCGCACCCCGAGAAGCGCCGCGCGGCTGCCGCCCGCGCGCGCCACGAACCCCGCGCCCCGACGCGCCACACAGCCCCGCGGGGAGTAGAACACACAAACAAGGGAGACCTCCACCAGCGAGTCGGGCAGAGCGGCTTCGGCGGCGCACGTCGCCGCGCGCCGCGGCCGGCATGCGTTCCGTGTCACAAACAATCGTAACTGCTTGGTTGCCGCCGCTCAGGCGTTCTCGATGAGGAAGGTCACCGAGGCGTAGACCGAGGCGACGACCGCGAGCGCGACGAGGCTCCAGGCGACCGCGACGACCGCCTTGCCCGCGAGGCTCCCGCCCTCGCCCTCCTGCTCGTACGGCTTGTCCGGGGAGGCCCCCTCGAGGTACATCTTGGGCTCGAGCGAGTAGACGTTGTTCTTGTCGATCGACGAGTCCGACCCGCCGCGCGACTTGAAGGTCTGGCTGGGCCCGACGGAGACGTCGACGTAGATGGCGTCCTGCTGGACCTTGACGGGGAAGATCTGGAGCTTCCGGACCGAGTCGACGGGCGTGAGCGCCTTGAGCACGGGGTTGGTCGGGTACAGGTCGAGCGCCTCGCCCGTCTTCAGGGAGAAGATGGAGCCCGTCGTGGTGCACTCGATGCCGTAGTCTTGCGTGAATTTCGCCCGGATGAAGCCCTCGGAGTACGCGCCCTCGGCGGGGGACCGCGACTCGATGCAAAACACCTCATTCCGGTACCAAAACAGCAGCACCGACGTCCCCGCAACCATCACCTCCTTCCGCACGCCCTTGGGCAGGTCCTCCGGGAGCATCACCGGCACCCAGTCCTCGCCGTTCGGCGCCGCGGGCGGCTGCGCAGGGGCAGCGACCGTCTCGGTAGCTGCGGGCGCGGCGCGGGGCGGGCGCGGGGTGAGCGAGACGCGCGGAGCACGGCGACCTGGGAGCATGACGTGTCACGCGCGCGCACGACCGGCGCGGACCGGCCCAGCGGCGGCGCGCTGCGCGCGCAGAGCAGCGCCCTGGCCCAATTGGCCAGGATGGGTGGTCCACAGGGCAAGGGCGCGCGCACAGAGCCGCGCGCGGACGGACGGGGCCGCCGGGCGTCCTCGATAGCGCGGGGGCGATGCGTGGGCGCGAAAGCGGCGCGTGGGGCGGTCGCTGCGCGTCGGAGCGCACCGTGCCGCGGCCGGGTCTCCAGGCAAGGGCACACATCGGGGAAGCGGAGGCGCCGCCGGGCGCGCGCAGGAGCAGGCGGGGGCGAGTTCGGGGCTGTGTGGATGCTGTGGAGCGGGGACGGAGAGGTGGGGCCCCGGGGGGGCTGGGCGGGGTGGCGCGGAGTCGTTGGAGGAGCTAGGCTAGAGCTGGGGGGCAGGGGGCGCACCGGACTCCTCGGCGCGCACGACGTGGCGCACACGCGGGCTCGAGAGCTGGAGGACGGGCCGGCCGGCGCGGCAGGCGGCCCGGCGGGCGGCGGGCGCCGAGGCAGCCGCCCGGGTGGGAGCGTTGAGCTGTGCCAGCGTCTTCATGGTCGATGCGGGGGTTGAACAATGACGAAGGGGTGAAACGGAACGGGGGAATGTCCAAGTCCCGCCCCGACGCGCGCGCTTGGAGCGCGGGGGCCCGTCCGCGGCGCGCGAGGGTACGACCGGCTGACGAGAGTCCGTCCAGAGAGACGGTCCCTTTTCCCGGCATCCTGCGCGTCCAACGGCGTGCTCCGAGCGGCGCGCGCATAGTTGGGATTGTCTCGCCACTTCGCCAGCGCCCGCAACGATGGCACAGGCTCTCGCGGAGGTCGTTTTGCCTCGCCGGGGGGCGATGGCACCGGCCGCGCCTCGAGGTGCGACGCCCCCCGCGACGCCGAAATCACGCGAGCACGCAATGAGTCCCGTCCCTCCGCGCCGCGCCCGCGCCCACTCCCCGTCGCTCCCGCCCCGAACTGCGCGATCTCGAGAAGGGTTCGATGCGACGGGCCCTCCGCCGCGGACCACCGCGGCCCTGGCGCCCGCGCACACCGCCGCCCGGCCCCCACGCGACCCCCGCTCCGCACCCCTGCCGCCCGCAGCCCTCCGCGCAGGCGCTGCGCGCCCCCGTCCGGCCCCCCGTGCATCCGTCGCGGCGCGCGCTGTCACCGACGCCGAGAAGATGCGGGCCGCGGAGGCGCGCTGGCAGCAGCAGGTGCGCCCGCTGCCCCCGCCCCCGCACGCAGCCTGCACCCGCCGCGGCCCGCCCCGCGCGCGTCCGCCGGGACCGCGATCCACACCGCCGCGCGCAATCCTGCCATCCAGCGCCCGGGCGGGCTTGGAGAGGCGCTCGAGGCGCCGCCGTCCCGCCTAGAGGCATGGGCGGACGTTGAGCATTGCTGCGGCGCGCCGTTCCGGCGTGTGCGGGGCCTGCGGCGCCGCACAGCGCGCCATTCGTGCACGTAACTGTGCCAGAGGGGATTGGGCGGGCGTTCGGCCCCGCTGCGCGGCGTCGCTGCGTCTGGACTGTCCGAGGCGATTGGTCGTGTCCTCGCGCTGCAGGTGTCGTCCGGGCGGGTGCGGAACGTGACGGCGAAGGAGGCTGGGGAGCTCATCAAGGAGGGCTGGGTGTTGCTGGACGTGCGCCCGGTGGAGGAGACGAAGAAGGCCGCGGTCCGGGGCGCCGTGACGGTGCCGCTCTTCGTGCGCGACGAGGACCTGTCGCCCGGCGGCCTGCTGAAGCGGGCGTCGGCGTTCGGCATGGGGGGATGGTGGCTGGGCGGGGCGCACATGAAGGCCAACGTGCGCTTCCTGCCGGACGTGCAGGCCGCGGTGCCCAAGGACGCGAACGTCGTCGTCGCCTGCCAGAAGGGCCTCCGGTCCCTCGCTGCGTGCGAGCAGCTGTCGCGCGCAGGGTGAGTTCTGCCGCACACATGCCTCCCCGGGCCTGCGCGCGCGCACCCGCGGAGCACCCGCGCAGGAGCGCGCAGGCGTTGCGCGCCGCGCGCCAGGCTCGGCGGCGCGGCATCACCCCGAGGCGCCGGCGCTCATACGAGAGTGTGTGTGCGCTGGTTCGTTGGCGTGCAGGTACGGCACGCTGGCGTGGGTGAACGGCGGCTTCGACACGGCGGAGAAGGGCGACCTGGAGACCGAGGACAGCAAGGACCTGCGCTACGCCGGCATCGGCGGGCTGTCGGCGCTGCTGGGGTGGACGGAGGTGCAGCAGGCGGACGCGCGGGCCAAGGGGATGCGGGGCTCGCTGGACACGCTGTTCCGCGTCGGCGTGATCGTGCTCGCGCTCGACGCGCTGGTCTTCGCCGTCGAGCAGTGGCGGTACATGCAGAGCACGGGCGGGATGCCCGGCCAGTGACTGCGCACGAGCGGCGCGCGGGATGGAGCGTGCGTGCCCCCGGGGGCGCCGATTTGAGTATTCGCGCCTCGTGTGAGCTCGCGCGGACCATCCCCTTGCGTTGCGACGGTGCGGCAGTGACCAGACCTTGCGCTGACATGACGGCAGCAGTTGGGAGAACATGAACGTCAGGGGCGCAGCACAACCGAAGCGGGCGGCCCGGCCCCCGCGCGCTGCTCGAAATGCCCGCGGGAAGCACGAACCCCCGCCGCCCTCAGCCCGCGTTCTGTTTCGGCCGCACACAGCAGGTCAGAGCCTTCCCTTGGCACATAAAGACATGTTCGCATGGCATTACGCGCGAGTACTCCTAGCACGCTGCCGCCTTGATCAGGACGATCCCACATCCGCATTCCGTTTCTTGCGCGGGTCAATTACTTCACACAGCAGCAGCAGCAGTAGCACTGAACAGGGCCCCGCACGTACCACCGGGACGCTTCCCCGGGCCGTGCCCTCGCGGGCGGTGATCCGAGACACCCGTGCGCGTCGCAGAGGCCGCGTGGTGGGTCCGTGCGTGTCACACTTAGCGGCCCTGCTTGGCGAACTTGGCCGACAGCACCAGCTCCTGCTTGACGCGCTCCAGGCGCTTCTTGGGGATCGGGGCGTCCGCGCCGAACGAGTTGTAGTGCCCGGCCATGGCGTTCACGGCCGAGTACAGGTTGCTAAACGACGGCTTGCCGCTGAAGCGCTCGTCACGCCTGCGCACAGCACCGACAACGCCACGCGCTCGTTGACGTCGCGCGGGTCGCAGCGGCGCGCAGGAACGCCGCACCGGCCGCCGGCGCTCGCGATCCACGCCGCGAGCGCGGTCGTGAGCGCCGCCGCCGCACTCACGGGCCGCCTGCACGCCCCCACACATACACACGTGCGCTGCGCACCTGTACTTCGACACGTAGGCGTTGATGTCCTTCCGCACGTCCGCGACGGCCGCCTCGGTGTTCGGGTCCCCGCGCTCCATGCTCACCACCGCGAGCGCCTTGTTCGCGAGCCCCTGCGTCTCCTCGACGTACTTCTCCGCAGCCTTCTGGCCGCCGTCGAACAGACCGGCCTGCGAGGCAGCCGCGCGGGCGCGCACGACGCGGTCTGCACCGGTGCAGCGGCATCGAGGCGGCGAACGGGCCCGCGGGGGCGCGCGTCGCGGCGAAAACGCGCGTGAGGCGCTGCTTCCATACGGTTGGCCTGGCGCCTGGCGGGGCGACCCGGTGCGCGCGGCCGCGGCGGCGGGCGCGGGGCCCGCGTCGAGGGAAGGGGCGAGGTCGATGCCGCGCACGAAGCGCCGGGGGTCGCGTGGGGCGTGGATGCCGCCGCGCGCGCGCAGGGAGCCCTGCTGCCACCAGCACCCGACCCAGGGCCTCGGGCGGGGCCCACGGGGCAGCGCGGGGGCTAGAGCGGCCCGGGGGGCGCGCGATGCAGTGTCAGAGATGCGCTGGATTGCATGGACGGCGCGGATGGGCGCAGAGGGGCCGGCGCGGGTCGCCGAGAGGGCCGAGGGGGCTGGGTGAGGCTGGTGGGCAGGGAGAGGGGCCCGGGCGGTCGCGATCTCGGGGCAGCGGGGCTGCGGGCGCCCGGGCCGTGCATGTACGTGGAGGAGGGGGGCGTGGCGGTGCGGACCTGGGCGGGAGTGGCCGCGAGGGTGGCGGCGAGGCCGGACGCAACGGACAGGAGAGCGTCCCGGCGGGAAGCGGCCTCGGCGCGGCACATCTGGCGCGAGGCGCCGACGCGCCCGGTCGCACGAGCGCGCGTTTGCAAGACGGGGCCGGCCGCAGCCGGCGCGGCGACGTTGAGAGTAGCGGCGAACATGGTACAGCCTCGAACGACAGACGATCCCAGAGACGCCGATCCCGCGCAGCGACTTCCGAGAGATCCGGCAATCCAGTCTCAAAGTAAATTCGCCGCGCGTACCGCGCGTCCCTCATCGCGCGGCCTCTGCGGGCCGTGGCGGGGCACTCCCCTCTTCAGGGGAGTGCCAGCAGGGCTCCGTGGAGGCCCAGGGACCACACGAGAGGACGCCGCCGCGCCTCGTCCCGCCCACTGATGTCGAGATCACAGAGCCGCAAACATACCTCGGACGCCACGCTCGTTGGTCGAGACAGGTCCCCAGCCAGAACAGCCAGTGCGTGCGGGGCCCCAGGCGCCGTCGCCGGGCGTGCCGACCCCGTCGTTGCGTCACCGCTCGAGTGAGGCCGGAGCAGGGGCCGCGCGCTGGTCGAGGAGCGAGGGCGACGCGTTCACGGCTGGCGCGCGCTGTGCCCTGTAGCTTGGCCCGTGCACCATCGCTGTCAGCGCGCCGCGATCGCTCCTCGAGCACTCGCCCGCCCTCCTTCCGCATCTGAAGGGGCCGCCGGTCGCAGCCTCGAATCCTGAGAATATCGTTCGGCCAGGACTTGTGGAGTGAAGACTCCTGGACTAGGGGTGCCCGCGCAACGCGCCGCGAGAACCCCGGCACGGTTGAACTGCGCACCAACGGCCGCTCACCGATCTCCTCGGAGCCCACGCCGCTCGCATCTGCGATGGGCACGCCGCAAGGAGGGGGCCACGGCCACGGAGCACACTGCGATGGACCCGACGCGTTGGAGAAGGTCCTGGACCCCACGATGGCCACCTGCTGCCAGCGCGACGCGGAGGACGCCGCTCGGGCCCGAGGTGCGGCCCCGTCACGAGCGCGTGCCGCGCGACACGCCCTGCGTGCACCTGCAACGCGACGCCTCCCCCGCGCCACACCACGCCCCCCGCAGCCATCGTCGCGCAATTCAACCAGTGGGAGGCCGAGCTCCAGGGCCAGCGGCACCGCCAGCAGGCCGTCGTGCCGCCGCCCCGCGTGGGCCCCGACCAGGACGCAGATGTCCACGACGAAGACTCGGACTTTGGCTCCGACACCGACCCGAACATGGCGCACGAGGCCGCGCGGCTGCGCGACGCCCGCATGCAAGAGCTGCGCACGGCCGCCGCCCGCGGCGCCGCCCAGCCCGCCGCGGCAGTGGAGCTCGCGACGCTGCCTGAGTCGGACGCGCTGACGGTGCTCAAAGACACCCCCCTCGCGGTCGTGCACGTGACGGACCGGCCGCAGTCGGCGCAGTGCCAGGAGCTCGACGAGGTGCGCGCGTTCGCATCTGCGGGCGAGACCGCGGCCGCGCATGGTCCTGCTGTGCAACTGAGTCACGAGCCTCTGGCCGCCGCTGCAGGTCTTGGCGGGCTTCGCGCGAGCGCAGGCGGACCTCGGCCCGGACGAGCTTCCCCGCGCCCAGCTCGCGCGGTTTCTGCGGCTCCCGATCTCGCGCGGGTCCCCGCTCGCGCTGCGTCTGTGCTCAGGGTTGGTGCCAGCGGTCGCGTGCCTGCGCGGCGGCACGGTCGTGGGCTGCACGCCGATCGAGGCGTTCGGCCCCGAGGTGGACGAGGATGCCGTCGGATCGTTCCTGCTCGCGTGCCGCGTGCTGCCAGCCGGCACCGCGCCGAAACGCGCACACCCGCAGACTCCGGCTGCGCGGCGGACGTCCGAGGGCGGGAGCGGTGGCGGGGGTGGAGCGTGAAGGAAACGCGCACGGCCCGCCGCCCAGAAATGCGCGTGTCGAAGGGTTGTTCACTGCGGGGGGTTGTTCACAGGTGTTCATGTGAGGGAAATTGAAGCACGCCTCTGCCGCCCCTGCGCTGTCTCGGCACCGACCCTGCCTCCGCCTACCACCGGAGCAGTGCACGACCGACAGCTTCGGCCTCGCGCTACGCCGGCGCGCTGCTGCGCTGCGATGCCTTCGCCGGCGACGCACTTGCGCGAAGCGCAGATCCCTCCTCCGCAAGCAGACGGTCCTTCGCACGCCGCACCCACTCCTTCTTGCACTGACGTGCCATCACGATGTCTGCACCGGCAACCGGACTTGCCGAACAGTCAGAGGTTCGCGGAGGGCCGCGCTCCACGCACCGCACCCATGCGCGGCCACGGCCTCTCTGGACGCAAGACACCGCACGTCCCGACGACGAGGGAAGCGGCACGCGCATGCACTGCGGTCAGCCGGGGCTCTGGTACTCACCCCGAATTGGGAACTCGTCGTCCCAGAGACTGAACTCGGCCGCACCGTCGACGACCGTGAAGGGGCATGTGCGGCGCAGCTCCCGCACAATGCCTTCCGTGAGGTCCCTACCGAGGCCCGTGCACCACCGGTTCGCTCCGTGCACGTATTCGCGGGGGTCAGCGCAGCTGTCGGACCCGCCGTCGTCGCCGCGCAGCGAGGGCAGTCCCAGCACCCAGCGGTACCGAGGCTCCTCCCGCACGACGCTGCGCAGCGCGTCGGCGCACGTCGTCGCGAGGGTCCTCGTTGCTGCCGCCATCTCCGCTGCGCCCTGCACGTCGCTGCGCTGCGCAGCCAGGCCCGACACCGCCGCGTGTATCGCTGAAATCCGCGCTGTCGACACGTCCAGCCCGCCGAGCACCGAACGCAGGGCGGCACGCGCGCCCGACGTGTGTTGCGTGGCTTTGGGGGAGTCCTGCGCACCGCACTGTCCGCGCGCGTCCGGTCCGACGCCCCCCGCCACACCGCCTGGCTCGCTGCAACGCGGTGGCGGCGACGCAGCGGCTTCCCCCGCCCCTGCTCGCTCCGGCCCGTCCGCCAACGCCACCGCTGCGCGATCGCCCCGCCTCTGCATCTTCCGCGGACGCGCGGGCGGCGAGGCACCAGCGCCTGGCTCACGGGCCCGCGGGGCGCCGGCCTCCTCCTTCGCGCTGCCGTCGTGCAGCGCGCTTTCCGCCCGCCGACGCAGGCGGTTGAGGCTGAACGCGTGCCGCGCGTCCCAGCCGCGCAGCTCCGCGTCCTCCTCCTTGAGGAGCAGGGGCTTGAGGTCGGCGTGCGCGAAGTCGAACTCGTACGAGTCGCCGGGCTGCTCGCGCTGCCGCGTGGCCGTCATGCCTTCGTGGGCTGGATGCCCGTCCGGCGTCCCGGCGAGGGGCCCCGGCGCCCAGTGGACGCGCCGCCTCACTCGCCGTGCGTCGTAGGGAACTGACGGGGGCTGCGACGAAGGCGCTGCTACGCCGTTGGCGGCCCCAGCGGGCATTGAAGATCCGAAGCGAGGCGTGGCCGCGCCGTCCTTGGCGTCGCGCCCCCCCGCCCCTTCGAACGGCTGCCTCGGCGAGGCCCGACAGGTGCGTTCCAGGCGACCAGCGTGGCCCATTCTCCCGGTGTGCCCGCCCCCACTCTCTGAACCGTTCGTTTCGATCAATGGTCTCGCGACGCAACGTGCGAGCGGAGCGTTCGAGGCCCCTGCTCGCGGCGTCAGTCAGCTTCCTGCCGACCTACCCATCTGAAATGCGACGTTCGTGCCCCGGCTTCCGCGTCACCGTCGCCACCGCACGACTGTGAATAGCTGCGCTGGCAAGACCCTGCTGGCACGCGTAGCCAGGCACGACACTCGCCCGCAGCGATGTCTGTGCTCGGAATCAGTCGCTCTCGAGCGAGCCGGCGCGCAGGGAACACGGCGCTCGATCGGAGGCCGCTGTGCGGGGCGGGCAAAGAGTGCTGCTCTACTCTGTCACACCGTCTCGCCGGCCCGTCGCGAAACGTCGCTGCGAACTACCGGCTGTCGCGCTCTGTTGGCCCGCACGAGCGGCTCGCGCCTACTTGCCCTCCGGCCCCACGCCCGCGGCGGGGTCCTCGCCCAGGACCCGAGTGACCGACCGACGCAACGGTCCCGCCCCGCGGCACCTACAATCCGTTCCGACCGCGCGCGCATGTCGACCGTCTCGGACAGCCTCGTTGCCGCCGCGCGGCGTCGCGGCCGCCCCCCTCAAGACGGGTTCGACGACTCTCACATCCAGCGCTCGGTGCGAACTCGACCGAGCACCAACAGGCGCCTCGACCAGCTGACAGAGAGAATTACTCTCGTTTTTGCCGAGGTGCGGCCCGGCGAGCGCGCCGCGGGGCTCACGCGTGATGCGCGGAGTCACAGTGAGGGGACTCACCATCCTTCGGCTCAGAGGGGGAGCGCGTCGGAGGGCCGCCGGGGCAGATGGGGCGCCACGCCCGCGTTCGCCTGGCGTGTTGCATTGAAGGAAGCCGGTCGACTCCTCACGTCACCCGTGCAGGAGCCCGGAGTAGCCGGGCCCAGGCTCCACCCACGTTGCGGACTGTGCTGCCGTGCGAGGCCGCTCGCGCAGCCAAGGCGCTCGTACTGCACCGTCCCGGCTCCGTGTGCACCGTTTCAGAGCAGTCGACCCCTACTCAGGCGTCGGCGTCGACCTGGCAGCGCCCGCTGCACCACGGAAGGCTCCTCCTCTCGGCCGCGCCTCGCGACGCGTCGAGCACTTTCCCGAGCTGTGCGCTCTCCGGCCGGCTCGACTGGTATTTTCGGACGAGGCACGCGGCGCAACCCTGACCGCGATGAAGACGGCGTGCGGGAAGCGCAAGGGCCCGTGCAGGCACTGTGGCACGGAGGAGACGCCTCTGTGGCGCGCGGGGCCCCCGGACAAGCCCACGCTGTGCAACGCGTGCGGCACCCGCTGGAAGACCAAGGGCTACCTCGACGCCGGCTACATGCCCGGGCAGCGCCTCAAGCAGCAGAAGGCCAAAGAGGCGGGCTCCTCCGGCGACGACGGGCACCCCACGGACCAGGACCGCCCGACGGACGACACCACCGAGATGATCGCCATGGACTCCTCCTTCGCCTCCCGCGGCGTCGGCAAGAAGGCCGGCGGGTACCTCCAGGCCGTCAAGACGCAGGAGGAGGCCCTCCAAATCACAGGCAAGCTCACCGCCGCCGCCCGCCGCCGCCCGCGCCCCACCGCGGCAATGCGCGCCCAGGGGCACGCCCAGGCCACGCACGCCGCGCCTGCTGCGCCCGACCGGCCCGGACGGCCCGCGGCGGCCCGTGCGCGCGACGGGTTATCCACGGATTTGCGCCAGGCGACGGGGCGGCTCCGAACGCGGCGCTGCCGGGCCGCATTGCAGCGATGCCGACGCGCGTTCCGCTCACGCCGTCCTCGATGCCATGTCTCCGGCGACGGAGGCGCGCCTCGTGCTCGGAACACGGCGCCGCGCGGCATGCAAGGGGCCCTCGCCGCGCTGCACGACCTTGAGCGGCACCCCGCGCGGCCGGGGCACCCTGGCGCGCAGCTCGCCATGAGACATGGACGAGAGTAGCTGGGCGGCCTCGTTGCGCACATTCCACGCTCCGTGTTCGGCGCCGGCGACGCGCCCCACGCGTTGCCCTACCAATCAGCATCTTCCACTGCCCTTTCCCCGCCCCCCCGCACTGACCGCGAATCGTCGGTGTTGCACCGCGCCTGCAGGCGGGGTCTCGGGCAAGCGCGCGCGCCGGCAGCCCGCGTGGATGCAGCAGGCCACCTCCATGGCCCCGCACGGCCTGGCGCCCGAGGACGTGCACGACGAGAAGCGCCAGCGCTACGGCGGCGACAACCTCTTCGGCTACGGCGACCACCCCAGCGCGCTCTCGTGGGACCTGCCGCCGACGAACCACCCGCCCGAGCCGCAGCACGCGAACGGCAGCGTCTGGGACGACCTGCAGGCCAGCGCGTTCGAGCAGCTCCCGCCCCTCGGGAGCCTGAGTCCGCTGCTGGTGACGGGCCTGAACTCGGGCGGCAACAACACGCCGAGCCTCGGTCTGGGCCTGGGCCTGACCGGCGCCGCGGGGATCGGCGCGCAGGCGGCGGCGTCCGGCCACGTGCCCGCGCACGCGCCGCTCGCGCACGGAGCGCTGGGCGGCACCCCGCACGTCGCTGCCCCGGCACCCACGCCGGGCGCGCAAATCGCGACGGTGGCCGCGCACGCGCACGCGCAGGGCAGCATGCCGCCGTCGGCCGCGGCGCGCCCGACGAACAAGGTCCTCGACAGGAAGCCGTACACGCAGCACGCCCTCACGAGCCAACACTCCCCCCTGGCTGACATCGACCTCGCTGACATCATCAACCACGAGGTGCGCCGTGCGCCGCCCGCACAACACCCCCCGCCGCGCCCCGGCGACGCTCTGCACCCCTCTCACCCCTCCCTGCACCCCGCCCCCCCCCGCAGACCTTTCTGTGCTGTCTGAGCATGGAGGAGCAGCAGTCTCTGCTGGCCAAGTTCGGCTCGCTGGCGGACCCGGCGTCGACGCTGCACCCGAGCCTGCAGGCGCCGCAGCGCGAGGACCTCAACCGGCGCCTCCGCGGCCTGTTCGAGTCGCAGGCCTTCCGCAAGCAGCTGAAGGACTTCCAGGAGCTGCTCAAGAGGGGTCTCTTCGACACCACGTCGGACGCGAACCCCGCCGCGACGGTGCAGCACTTCCTGCGCCTGCTCGAGGAGCCCAAGCCGCACGAGAACGGGTGGGACAACGCCCGCGGGTCCCGCAGCGGGAGCCAGCCGGCCGAGCACAAGCTGTCGGACGAGGAGCGCAAGATGATCGAGGGCCTGCGTCAGGTCGAGGCGCGCGCGATGGAGGAGATGCACCGCAGCCAGCAGCAGGAGATGCAGGGGCCGAAGCTCGCGCAGACGCCGGTCGTCGCCCCGGAGGGCAGCCTGGCCGCGCTCATTGGCAGCGCCGTTCCCGTGACGCCCCCCGGGCCGGGCCTCGAATCACTGGCGCCCGGGGACCTGTCGCTGCCCGGCACGGGCGCGCCGCACGTGGGCGTGCTCGTCGGCGGGCAGCACGCGGCCCAGCACCAGAGCGCCCTGGGCGCCTACCACGGCACGATGCAGCACCCGCAGCAGCACCTGCACGGCCACGTGGCGCACATGCACGTGCCCTCGCACCACTACCCCGGCGGGCAGGCGAGCGCGTACGTCACGCACGGGGGCGTGTCTGGATACGGCACGTACAGCGGATATGGGGGGAGTCAGTACTCGAGCGTGTACGGGGCGCCCACGGCAACGCACTCGCACGCACCGATGCAGTCGGGCGGCGTGTGCGGGACGCAGGGTGCGTTGGCGGTGGCACAGGGCCCGCAGGTCGTGTACGGGTCGGCGCACGGCGCTGTGGACCCCATGACGCGAGCGGGCCCCATGGGCCTGTACGGCGCATCGGTGGATATGAGCGCGCACAACAGGGCGCACGTCGGACAGTGAGCGACGAGAGGTTTTTCTGCGGGAGCACACCTGATGTATTGGCTGGAGAGATGTACCTTTGGCTGTACCTTTGATTGACACAAGGCGAACAAGTATCTGTGAATACAACGCTGAGCAGCCCCGCGCCACTGCGCGCCCGTGCGTCGCCGCCGCCAGCTGCGCTGCTGCGAGGAACGAAGCTGCACAGCACCTGCGCCACTCAATTGGCGTCCCGTGCTACATGCCGTCGCAACTCCATCCCTACTACTCGCGTGAAGAGGTCTGCTCCGAGCCGGCGCGCTGCTGCGCCTACGCGGCTTGCCCTTCAGCTAGCGCGCGTAACGACAGGCACGCAATGGGTCATCTGGCGGCAGCAATGGACGCACTCGCAGTCCCGAGGCGCGGGACACAGTGGCGGTCGGCAGACAGATCACTGCGGCGCGGTGTTTATAGCGCTCGTGCAAAGTGCCACGTGCATGTGCCACATCCAGGTGCTGTCAGGAGCGCTCGATGAAGAGATAGTTCTTCGCTGACCTACGAGCACCCTCACCGCGAGGATGCCGGAGCGACCGAAATGGTACGGCAGGCGAGACTCACACAGCAGACAGGGTAGACAATGTGAGCAGTCATGCATGTCGTACACACACCTGCACGACGGTGAGACAATGCGGGGATCGTTCAGGAAGCGCACAGCGTGCTGCGTGAGTCTCTGAACGACCCCAGGTGACGACGGGCCTTTGTGCCTCGGTCCAGCAGCACGTCCAGAGTCCAACCGACATGAGTCAGTGTGCCAGTCCCCCCGGGGGTGTGTACCCACGCTGCCACCGCGCCGCCGTAGGGGCACGGCTGCAGCAGGCCTTCACGAACTTCGTGGGATTGTCGGGCTGGGTGGAGTACGCCTCGGAGAGAACAAGCGCGGACCATTACTGGCGCATGGGGGCGCGTAGCACTTTCGGTACGGGTCCATATCCCGCCTACCCCATGCGAGGCCGTCGCCCGCATTCCTGGCGTGCCGGTATCGCGGTCAGGCCAGTTGGGCACCGGTCATGCGCGTGGTCGCTACGGTGGGGAACGTTCGGCACAACGCTTGACCAAGCAGGACAGCACAGTACAGCACAGTACAGCACGGAGCGACCGAAATGGTACGGCAGGAGACGAGGGGGCGGTGACGTAAGATACGTCACACGCGGGGTGCTCTCGAGCATCCCAGATCTATGAGACTGAGCGAAGCGCAGACGCCACTGGCGGCGCTGCGAGCCCTCAAGTCGTGCAATTTCTCAAGTCAGCGTTGCAGCCATGCAAAGCAGCACCTCCTCAAGTCCATCTTGTATGCTCGCGACGTCATGACCCGCAACAAGGGTCATCACCAGCAGACCATTTGCGGCGTGCCAGGCCGGGGGGGGGCTCGGCTCGCAGGGCCGCGCCCATGATGGAACAGGCAGCCGTCGGCACTCTGCTGCTGACGGCCACGGACTCACCCGCGCTCGTCGTTCGCGCGCATGTACACTAGCAGCTGCGGCGCGCAGCTGTCCTTGCCAGCGTCCGACCGGGACGGGGTGGCGGGAAACGGGGGTGGTGGGATGGGGGGTGTGTCGGGCGTGATGACGCGGGACGTCAGCGTGACGTTGCGGGTCGGCTTTCGAGGAATAGGGAGCGTCGGGGGCTCTCTAGGCGCTGCTTGTTGAACGGCGTCGGTGTCCCCAGGTCTACTGCTACGTGGGGCTAGGACGAGGAGGCAGGAACAAGGGCGGGAGCGGGCTGGGGCTAGGGGTGGGTCACGCGTCGCGCGCGCTGCCGGGGCTCGCGAGGTCCCGCAGCTGCGCCGCGAGCAGCGCGACCTGTTCGGTGCCGAGCTTGGCCAGCTCGGGCGAGAGCTCCACGGGGATGCGCTGGACGTGGCCGCGCAGGGCCTCGGTGGCGTCGCCGCCGCGCGCGGTCTGCTCGAGCCAGGGATGCCGGAGGAGGTCCTCGGCGGAGGGGCGCGCGGCGGCGTCCTTGGTCAGGCAGGCCTCCACAAAGTCGCAAAACTGCTGCGTGAAGCGCGAGCGGTCCGGTCGGGGCGCAGGCTGCTCGACGATGGCGTGGAGGAGGTCCCAGTACCCGAGGACGTTGCCCTGCGGCACGCCGCCCTTGCTCGCGCCGGGCACGTTGGGCGCGGCAGGCGCGGCGTCGTCGGGCAGGTACGGGAAGCGTCCGAGCGCGCCCTCGAGGAGCAGCACGCCGAGCGACCACACGTCCGCGTTGAACGAGTACTTGGACGACTCGATGCGCTCCGGCGACAGGTAGTGCAGCGTTCCGACGAAGCTCTCCATGCGCGAGGCGTTGGCGTCCAGCTCGCCCGACACGCCGAAGTCGGCGATCTTGACCTCGCCGGCGGTGTTCACGAGGAGGTTTGAGGGCTTGATGTCGCGGTGGATCACGCGGCGCTCGCAGTGCAGGTGCTGCAGCCCCTCGAGCACCTGGCAGGCAATGGCGGCCAGCATGGGCTCCGGGAGGCCGTCGGGGTGCTGCCGGAAGAGGCGGTCGATGGAGCCGCCGTTCATGTACTCCATGATGATCGTGACGGTGCTCTCGTGGAAGAACGCCTCGAAGCAGTGCACGCAGCACGGCGAGTTGGCCTGCCACGTCGTGCGCAGCTCCGTGCACAGCTGCTTCCGCTGCGCCTCGTCCGCGACGTTGAACGGAATGTCCTTCCGCACGAGCACGTCCCCGGACGGCCGGTGCATACACAGGTGCACCACGCCCGAGCACCCCTTCCCGATGCGACGCAGCGTGACCAGCTCGTCGACGGCAATGGTGAACGCGTTCGCCGCGCTCCCGAGCGACCCGCGCGAGCACAGGAAGCGCGCGTTGTTGTCCGCGGTCGTGCACCGCGAGCCCCCCGCCGGGGTGCCCTCGGGCCCGACGACGGGCGTCGCGCAGTCCGCGGCGTGCAGCGGGACGGGGAGCGACGCAGAAAAGAGCGGCGCCGCGCCCTGGGCGTCGCGCGAGGGCGGCCGCACGTCGCCGTCGACCGTCAGGCCGTTCCGCCCGATCGTGATGTCGCCCTGCGAGAACGTCCCGCTCTGTGTGCTGCGCGCAAACGGGCCGGACGCGAGATCGTTGGAGGATGCCCGCGGATCCCCGCGACAGCCCGCGTCGGCAGCGCGAGGCGCGTGGGCGGGCCAGCGGCGGGAAGCGGCGCCCAGCGACGTCGGCGCGGCGCGCGGGGAGCGCGCGCGCGCCGCCCGCGCGGCGCGGGCCACGCAACGTGACGGAGGTTGTGGTGTGTCAGAGGGCTCGCGCGGCGTGCAGGGGGGTGTAAACGCCCCGCGCGCAGGCAAGTGCGCAGGGCCTGGCGCAGTGGGGCGCTGCCGCGGAGCGTGGCGCTGCAGGCCCCGTGTGCGCGGCGCGTGGCGCGGGGACGAGGCGCCACAAAGAGCGGGGGCAAGCGGGGCAGCCACCGATCCGGCTGGACGCGATTGGCCGGTGCACGCTGGCCGCGGAGGTCGCCCGGGCATGCGGCGCGCCGCCGCAGCTCAAACCGCTGTCTTGCCCCTTGGGGTGGCGTTGGCAGGCACGAGCCAGGAGCAGGGTCCACCTCCGCCATTGCACGTGCAGGGGGGCACGGTCGCGGCGGGCGCGCGCGATTCTGGCCGGAAATACACACGCTTGCCGACAGGCGCCGCAAGAAAGCGTGCGTGTGCCGCGATGGCGCAGAGCCACGGCACCCTCGGCCGATGGCTCGAGGGCGCGGGCTCGCTGGAATGCACGTTCAGGGCGGGAACGTACACATTGAACGCCGAGCCCTGAATCCCCACCGGAACCCTGACGGACAAACCAGGGACTGTTCGCGGCATCTCGGCTGCGATTGGGACAAGAGTCGGGGTGCGGAAGGCTTCAGGGGCCAGAGGCCACGCGCGCTCCCTCGCAGCGAACGACGTCCGATAGCTCGCACCGTCGCGCCGCCTTTGGCGCGAGACGACGCGGCCAGCGTCGAGATGCGCCCTGCCGTAGTGGCGTTGGCAACTGCTCGCGCGCCGTGATGTGCCGCGAAGGCAGGTTTGGCACGTCGACGACAGCTACTGAATGGCCTGGCCGCGCAACCGCGCCCTTCACGCCCGGCGCGGACCCTGCGCGCCGCGAGCGCCCGGTCAGCAGACGGGCGTCGGTTCAGACGGACGTGGCGTGCTTGACGCCGCCGGGGGGGCTGCGGCACGGCCCGCGCGCGCTCATTGGGCGCCTGGGCGCGCTGCGAGAGCCTGGCGTGCCACTCGCGGTTTTCCACCGCGGACACTTTGGCGAACCCACTCAACGTCCGGGGGCAGGAGCACCTCGCTCCCGCTCGCTCGCGCACGCGACGCACGCCGCGGAGCCATCCGCAGAGCACGGTACATCGACTGGGGCTGGCACCGCTGCCGGTAGCTCTCCCGGGCGACGGGTGCGCGCGACGCGGCGGCCCCGCAGCGGCCGGGATGGGCGTCCTGCTGGAGCAGTTCAACGAGGCCGGCAGCGTGATCCCCCGGGGCCTCTCCATCGAGGAAGTCTCGGAGCTGGTGCGCCCCCTCGCAGCCTGGCGCCCCCCCTGCCTGCGTGTTCCGGCGCCGGGAGTGCAGCGTGCTTCCCCGGTCCTGCCGCCGCACGTCGCAAGCGGCGGAGCGGACGCACGGAGGCACGTGTGTTGCTCATTGTTGCCAATGCCTGGCCGGGAGACCGTCCAGGTGCCGGGCGCGCGTCTGACGGGTTCGGAAATGACCGCACACACCTCGCCGTGGCAGGCGCCAGAGATCCGCCGCGCTCCCCACGCGGCGCCCGGCCTTCCGGCCGCGCAGCCCGCACGGGCGCATCGATCGCGCCATCTGGTTGCCGCGGCGATCGGGTCCCCGCGCCGTGGCCGTGCGGGGGCGCCGTGGGCGATCGCGACAGGCAGGGCAACACTGCGGAGAGGCTCTCCGCGCGCGCTCGCTCCGGTCGCGGGCGCCCGTGGCCCCCGGGACTCGAGCATGATGCGATCCGTTCGAAGCGCTGCTCGACGTAGCGCGTGCGGCGTTCTGTTGCGCGCACCGAGGCGCCCCCCGGCTACGTGCATGTGCTCAGCAGGCCCCGCCCCGATGACCCGCCCGGCCGCCCCCGCAGTTCTGGGAGTCGGTGCGCGAGAACGAGCCCGAGGTGTTCCTCGCGACCCTCGCGCTCTTCCGGCGCACCCGCAACTCGTCGGCCGCCCCGGGCGCCTTCTTCGGCGGCCTGTGGCACCAGATCCGCGAACGAGTGCGCAAGTACGACACCGTCTACGAGCACGTCGACACCGACATGATGCACGCCACGCGCGCCACCGTCAGGTTCAAGGCCGTCTACGGCGACGTCCCAGGCACGCCGGCCCTCCCCGCCACTGCGCCGGAGCAGCGTGGCTGGCCCGCCGCGACGCACGCGGCGACCCCCTCGCAGCGTGCCGCTCGTCAGACACCCGCGTACGTCGCAGCGAGCCGTCGCAGCGACCCACCGCCTCGAGCGCTACATGCTTTGTCTGTGCGCGCCCCGTGCAGGGTTCGAAAAGGGCGCGCCGATGCACGAGCCCGAGGCGCTGCTGACCGTGACGATGGACGAGGGCGAGTGGCGCGTTCTGTCCGTGTGGCTCAACGACCTCGTTAACACCACGCACGCTGCGGCGTAGCACCCCGTGTGTGACCACTGCTGGCGCCGCACGTGCCGACCGTGCCCGACGCGCACCGGCGGCGCAGGCTCGCGTCGCAGCACACCCGTGCGCTGCGTTCACGGCAGGTGCCGCTCCAGCTCGGTGGCAAGGAACGATTGCACGCGCTTGGAGGCCTCCTGCACAGCTGCTCGCACCCACGGCCCCGGCGTGGGTGCTGCGGGCCCTGGCCGTCCCACGGGACCCGTTGTGAAGGTTCCGACGGCCGCCCGGGTGTCGCAACACCTGCACTGTCGACCATCCATCCCCTGCCCCTTCTGAAATCGCCGCTGAGATGCGACGCGTCTTCTTCGCCGGCGCAGCTGGCGTCCTGCGGCGCGCGAGCAGCCGCTCCAGGACGGCCGCGTGCACGGAAGCGCGCCCCCGCTCAGCGCGCGCGACTGGCGCACACAGCTACGCGCACCGTGCGCCGCGAAACGCCGCCGCCCGGGCCCGTCGGCGCACCTCCCAGGTGCGCGGCGTCGCGCGCCTGCATGCCCACGCGCGCGTCCCGCGGGGCAAGCTGGGCTTCGCCCCCGTGACGGCTGAGGTGCGAAAACCTGTTGCCAGCCTCGGGGCGCGACAACTCCCTCGCGCGCGCGCCCAGCGGCCCCTCGCCCCCCGCCTCCGCGTCCTACCACCCACTGCTCGCGAGCGCGCCGCTTGTCCGCCAACGCCCGCCGCGCTCCTCGCAGATTGACCACGCCCAATGGATGACCTCCTTTCTTGTACAGTACCCATCCCCCCCCGAGCGATATTGCGCTGCGAGACGGGCCCCCCGCGGCAGTTCGCTGGACCCGCTGACACCATGATCGCGTCTCGTCTGTCCGTGAAGCCCGCCCCCGCCTCCGTGGCGGCGGCGCGCACCTCGGTGCGCGCCAAGGCTGCTGACCGTCCGACGTGGTACCCGGGGGCGACCCCGCCGAAGAGCCTGGACGGGACCATGCCGGGCGACTACGGCTTCGACCCCCTCCGCCTCTCCGGCAACCCGGAGCTGCTCAAGTGGTGCGCTGCCCGGCCCCCTGCGCCGCGCGCCGCGAATCCCAGCTGGCTGAGGATTCGTTGCGATCTCAGAGCCCCGCTGCGAGCCGCGGCGGCCCGCGGGGCGCTCGCCCGCGCGCGAGAGCGCGGCCCGTATTTGCTGCGTTCGGGTTCCGCGCGCGGGGGGCGCCGTCCGCCCCCGTCGCGTGCATGCGAGCGGCACCCTAGACCGCTGGGGGTGCCACGCACTCTTTGCGCGCGTGTGCGCGCGTGCCGGCCCGCGCGCCCCGCCCGACCGCGTCGGCGGCCCCTCACGCGTCCGTGCATGGTCCCCCGCGCCCGCGCGCAGGTACCAGGCCGCTGAGCTGCAGAACGGCCGCTGGGCGATGGCGGCGGTGGCGGGCATCCTCTTCACCGACCTGGTGTCGGACAAGAACTGGTGGGAGGCCGGCACGGAGACGTACGCGCTGGACTTCACGACGCTGGTGATCATCCAGGGCGTCGTGATGTCGGTCTTCGAGGCCGCGAACTTCAAGAACCTGCAGGAGGGCAAGACGCCGGGCGTGCTCGGGTCGCCCTTCGACCCCGCGGGCATGAACAGCCCCGAGATGGCGCTCAAGGAGATCAAGAACGGCCGCCTCGCGATGGTCGCGTTCATCGGCTTCTGCTCCGTCGCCGCCGTCCGCGGCCAGGGCCCCATTGACGCCCTGGCGACGCACCTGGCCGACCCGTACAACAACAACCTCTTCACCTCCAAGGTCGGCCTCGAGGCCACCGTCGGCGTGTGCGCGCTCTCCATCGCGCCCATGATCATCAACGCCTTCGTCGCGCTCCGCCCCGACGACGACGAGGAGTTCCGCCCCATCCCCTGGTGAGCGGCCGGAGGCTCCCGCGGCGGGCGCGGGGCCGCGGGGGCGCGCGGACCGCCCGCCCGAACGATAGCGGCGGCCGGACCCGCGCCGGGTGTGTAGGCACAGCGCACGTGGGCGCCTGACGCGACTCTGCGCCTGTGAGGCAACAACGAACACTGCGCCGCCTCGCGCTGCGGCACCCCGCGCCACGGACTTGCGACAGCCCCTCCACGCGCACCATGCATGCGCCCGCGAGGTCGGCCCGCCCTCGTTCGTTTCAGCGCGCAAGCGGCCGCCCAGCAGCGCGCTCGTGAACCATGGCCCTTGCCGTCTGTCACACGTGCCTCGCCCGCGGGGCCGCTACGCCTTGCGCCGCTTCGCGGCACGCTCCCCGCCCGGCCCGGCGAGCAGGTCCGCCATCTTCAGCGGCCACTTCACGGCGTTCGTCAGCCCCTCGTGGTACTTGTACACCACCTGCGCCCGCGCCGAGCGCCGCGCCGACGCCGCCGACGGCGTCCCCTGCTCGCCGCCGAGGCTCTCGCGGGCAGCTGCGCGCTTCCGCACCGCCCGCCCCTGCTGCAGGGTCTGCAGCCAGTTCTGTGGCCGCGGCGCCGACCTGGGCACCGCGGGCGCGACGCCGCCGGCCTTGATGCGGTCCTCCAGCGTCAGCATCATGCCTGGCTTGGCCTGCTTGCTCGCCTGCCCGCCGCGCGCGCCGTCCCGGCTGGCCGGCGGCGCGTCGCCCTCCGTGACGCCATGCGCGGTGGCCGACCGCCGGATGCGCTCCGCCGTGAGCTCCGCCATGACGATCTGCTGCACAGTCGGCGCGATCGGGCGCGCCGTCGCCGCCGTGCCGTTGTAGCAGTGCAGCGTGTCGATCGCCGGCTCCAGCGCCAGCGGCGTACACAGCTCGCGCCTCCCGCCCGCGCCCGCGGCGTAGAACCCCCCCGAGGACCGCTTGCGCCCCGCGAACTGCTTGGTGCGCGCGAGGAACGTGTTCGACGCGCCGAGCGCCTCCGGCACCGGGTGCGCGTTCTCCGCCAGCGCGAGGTTGAGGTAGAGCATGGTGTCGACGGTGGACGCCAGGGCGGCGCGCTCGGGCTGGCTGAGGAGGTCCCGCGCGACGGGGCGGATGTTCGGCGCGAGGCTGAGGAGCACCGCGGGCACGACCTCGAGCGCCATCGCGCCCAGCGGGTGCCGCTGCACTGCGGCGGGCGCGCAGCGTGGGATCCAGGACGCGAGCAGGCCGCGGTGGTCGACCAGGCGCCGGCGCGCCTCGGTCTCGGCCTTGGGCCACTGCACGTGGATGCGCTCGGGCCCGGCCACGCGCGCGCGGTACGACAGCGCGAACGCGGGCAGGTAGGCCAGCAGGTGGAACTCGACCGACCGCCGGGCGCGCGCCTGGAACGCGTCGGCCGCGGTGAGGTCCTCGAGGGCCTGGAGCTGGCGGCCCATGAGCGCGTCGGCGTCGCGCGTGCGGTGCAGGTTCTCGAAGCACCCGCTCAGCACCAGGTCGTGCTCGCCAAAGCCCATCAGGTCGTTGTAGCGCTGCTGCGCGGCCTGCGCCTCGGGGGCGCCGCGGAGGTCGTGCCGGCGGGTGCGGAGCGTCGTCGTGAGCGACTCCCACACCGCGAACGCCGTCGTGGACTGGTCCTTGTGCCCGAAGGCCATCCCGCGGATCTCCGACACGCGCGCGACCTGCCCGCGGCGCTGGAGGAACTGCAGCGTGTTGAGGCAGGTCCGTACGTCGCACCCGGACTTCTCCGCCAGCAGCGACAGCGCGCGCGGCTCCGTTTGGAGCCCCTCGCGCTCGCACACGAACCTGCAAACATCCGCACGAATGCACGGCGCCGTCGTCGTCGCGTCGCCGCGGCCCCCGGCTTCCGGCCGCCCCGCGCGCCTCGCATCGCGCGCTGGGAGGGCGCCGCACCTGAGCCGCGACGACAGCCGCCCCGCGGCAGGCGGCGTGAACTTGAACACGCGCGCCACATCGCGCAGCGGGCGCAGGACTGGCGCGAACAGGTCGTTGCACACGCAGATGATCGGCCGCCGCAGCACCGCGCCTGCTCCTGCGCGCCGCGCCCCCTCGCCGCCCTCCGCGCCCGCGGCCTCCTCCGCGCCGCCCTCCCCCTTCCCGCCGCCACCCTGCACGATCTTGAGCAGCGCCCGCACCGCGCTGTTGCCCTCCGAGCCCACCACGCCGTCGATCTCGTCCACGATGATGCACGCGGGCCGCTTGTCGCCGTCCACCGACCCCATCGACGCCGCGTCGCGCACCCGCTGCGTCAGCGCCGTGGCCGACCGGTCGTCCGACGCGTTGATCTCCACCGCCTTGTACCCGCACAGCGCCGCCACCGTGTGCGCCAGCGTCGTCTTCCCCAGGCCCGGCGGCCCGCCCAGCAGCAGCACCTTGTGCGGCGGCCGCCCGTGCGCGTCGAGGCTCGCGTGCTCCGGCGCCTGCCGCGGCGGCGCGCCCGCGCGGAAGCCCCCGCGGTGCTTGTCGGCCAGCTTCGCGGCCGCCTGCGAGACGCCCGCGCCGAGGTCGACCTGCGCCTGCGACGGCTTCCGCCCGAACACGCACCCGGACCACGACTGCATCCACGCCAGCACCCCGCGGTTGACAGCGTCGCCGGACAGCAGGTCCGTGAAGGTCCGCGGGGAGTACTTGTCCACCCACAGCCGCGCACACGCGAGCCTGCGCCCCTGCGTGCTCTCCGGCTCCTCGCCGTCGTCCAGGGCCGCGTCGCCGGCCTCGGAGCCCCCCTCGCGACGCTGCGGAGGGGTCCCCGGCGCCACCTCGGCGGCCGCGCGGCGCGCCGCCTCCGCCGCGGCCTGCGAGCGCTGCAGCTGGGACTCCTCCGCGTCCTTGATCAGCTCCGCGATCGGCCGCGACAGCAGCCGCCCTCCCTTCTCAGCCCGCAGCACTGCAACGACACACACAGGCGCGCGCAGCGGTCAGAACGCGACCGCGCCGGGACGTCTGTGCGCGGGGGCGCCGGCCCCTGCGCAGCCGCGGCCGGCCGCGTGCTGGCGCGGCGGTCAAGCGTCGCGGGGCGAGCGCCAAGCCGTTGCCACACGTACCTGTGCGAACGTCGGCCAGCGCAACCGGCGCGGCGCCGTCGTCGAGCGCGCAGTACACGCGGTCCCCGGACTCCACCGTGACCGTGACCAGGGCCTTCTGGGACGGGATCGCCGCGGCGGACCTGCTCGGTGTGGCCTGCGGTGTCCTGCGCAGCCACAGAGAGAGCCCCGACGCCTCCGGGGGGGCTGCGGCGGCGCAGACGGGAGGGACAACGCGTGAGAGGCTTGCCGAACGCGTCCGCGCGGGCAGGGCTGCGCGAGGCGCGATGCGCGGCGGCGCGTGTCGTCATGGTGGCGGGCGCGAGGGGCGCACCGAGGGAGGGGCCGTCGCCGGCGAGGAACCGCAGGTCCTGGTCGCGCTGCGTGGCCACGAGGTGCTCGTGGTCGAAGTTCGCGAGCTCCTGCTCCTCCATGGGCGCGTCTGGCCCGAGCCCCGGTGCGGCGCCCGGCCTGGGCCGCACGTCCCCGCCCCGCGCCTCCGCCGGTGCGCCGTCCCGGGGCTCGGGCGCCGAGCCAGAAGGGCCCGCGAGATCCTCGTCGCCATCTCGGACTCCTGCGGCGCGGGAACGGGGCTGTTGTCGCAAGGTCGCGGCGAGGTCCGCGCCCAGCATTTTGGATGCACCGGGTCCCGCCAAGGCGACCACGGCCCCGTCGCGGGCGACTGGGGGCGCGTGGCCGCCCGAGCAGCGACACACGTGGTGATTGGGCGCACGGGGGGCGCGAGGGGCCGCCTGCGCCCCCCGCCGCGCGCCCGGCAGCGCCCCCGCTCCTGCCGCGCACGAAATGCTCACCTGGGCTGGCCTGGGCGCCCGCGGGCGCTGCGTCCTCCGGCACGTACTCGTCCTCGTCCATCGGGCAGTCATCGAGCTGCGCCTGGTCCTCCTCGACCATGCGCAGCCAGTCGTCGTCCGGCATTGCGTCGGCCATTGCCGCGGGGGCAAGCCCTGGAGCCTGCCCGCGCACGCGCGTGGAGACCGAAACGCACGTGCCTCTGCTGGCGCATGCACGACTCTCGCTGGAGCAGGCGCTGGATGTGAGCCGCGTGCGATTGACGTCCAGGCGGAGCAGCGCGCGCGGGAAGCAGTGCGTGTGCCAGCACACGGTGCAACGGGGCGCGCCTGGTTGCCGCGGCTCGTTCTGTCGCGGACGCGGCCGACTGCGCGTGCGAGGGCGCGCCCGCGGGGGAAGCGCTGCGGACGCCCGCGGGAACGGAGCGCCTGACGTGTCTGTTGTACCCCCTGCCTCACATGGCGAGCGCGGCGGGGGCTGAGCCCGGCTCTCGAAGGGGGCACGCGCGAGGGGGGCGGCCCAGAAGGTCGCTGGGCTACCCCGCGACTCAAGACCCCCTCATCCTTCGCAGCAGCCGCGCTCTGGGCAGTGCCGTGCGACTGTTGGCGTCCCCAGCGTCCTGAGGAAGATGTCTGACAGCGGTGGACCTCCCCAGGTAAGCTCCGACCAGCCGCTGCCTCGCGGCGATGATTCCGCGACGTTCGGCGCAGCGGCGGCGCGGTGCTCGCGCCTGGTGCACCGTCAAGGGGTTCTCGCGAACGACGACGATTCCGGCCTCCCGTGGCGTGCCCGCAGCGCAAGCGATTGGTGCTGAAGCCTCGGGATGAGGCCGCCGCAGCGAAGATGGCGAGCGAGCGCGCCGCTGCTCAGGTAGGCTGCCAAACGAGCTGCAGTGCGCCCCTTTACGTGTGCCCGAAGACGCAGACGTCCCGTTGCGATGTCCTGCGCGCGAAACGCTCGATCGATAACTCACTTGCGATGGCCGAGTGCCCGCCGCCACAACGATTCCGTGCTCGCGTTGTTTTTGGCACCAACGGCAACTCGGGTCTCCCTGCCCGCGCCCGCGCTTCCTGGCTTGGCTCAGACCCCTGGCGCGTCCTCAATCGCTTCAGGCGGGTATCTTCGGCGGCGCGAAGCCGCGCGAGGCCGTGATTGCCGCGAAGACGGGCAAGGACGAGCAGGAGATCCTGAGGGAGGAGGCCACCAAGGAGAAGCTGCACCTGCGCCTCACGCGCGAGCAGGCGATGCAGAAGGAGGAGTTCGAGGGCATCATCGAGGTCCTGCGCGCGGAGCTGGACCAGGCGGAGACCGAGGCGGAGCGGTCGGACCTCGCGCGCCGCATTGCTGAGAAGGAGCAGGGCCTCAACGAGCTCGTCAGGACGTTCGAGGCGGCCATGGTCGAGGACGCGCGCGCGGGCCGCTACAAGACGGTCGTGCGGCGGCAGGAGGACGAGGAGGCCGGCACGGGCCGCCCCGCCGGGGGCGACTTCGGGAGGAATGGCTGGGGCGGCGGCGCGGGCGGGGCGGGGCGGGCGGGGCGCGACTACGGCGGCGGGGGCGCGACTACGGCGGCGGCGGGGGCTGGGGCGGCGGCGGCGACCGCAACGGCGACCGCAACGGCGACCGCGGGTCGTTCGGGGAGCGCGGCGGCGGCACCTGGGGGCGCGGGGCGCGCGACGACCGCGGCGGGGGCTCGTTCGAGGACGCGGCCTTCGGGGACCGCGGGGGCGGCGGCGGGCGGTACGGCCGCGGCGGGGGGTCGTCGGGGGCGCAGTACCAGGCGCGCACGGGGTCCTTTGAGAAGGACTTTGCCGACTCGCTGGCGGTCGACACGGAGGGGGGCTTCGGCGGCGGGCGGCGGGAGGGCGGCTTCACCGACCGCCCGGCGGGGGGGTTCGAGGGGGGCGAGGGGGGCCGCGGGTACGGCGAGGCGGGGCGCGGGCGCGGGCGGGGCCGCGGACGTGGGCGCGGGCGCGGGCGTGGCCGCGGGCTCTCGACCTACGGGGGGTACATGGAGGACCTCGACGACGACGGCGACTTCGACTATGTCTCGCCCTATGCCGCGCCCCCCGCGGGCCCGCTGTTCTAGTCCCGCCGAACTGCACCTGTGCACATCGACGCGTGCGACTGCCGCCGTGCGCACCTGACGGCTGCGAACGGCGCTCGAACGGCCGAGCGTGCCCTCGCGGCGACGCGCCCCCGCCGCGCCCACCGCGTGTGAGCGCTGCATCACTCACGGCGTCACACTCGAGTCGCATGTTCACGTGACTGCGCGCGCCCGCCCGCCGCGGCCCCCGGCTCCGCTCCCCTCGCTCCGGCGCCGCCCTCACCGCACGTTGTTGCGCGGCTGCCCGGTCCCGAGCTCCTCGAGCTTCCGCATGGCTGCGGCATACCCCTTCTTCTCGCCCGTCTCCATGATCTGCCAGCGCCGCCTGCGGTCCATCACGAGCACGCCCTGCTCCTCCGCGCGGTGCAGGATCGCCTCCAGGAACGGCACGCCCTCGTGCCGGTGCCGCAGCGCCATCACCGCGTGCAGCACCCGCTTCTGCTCGTCCGTCAGGTCCCCGGAGCACCCCAGCTTGTCGATGCGCGACTGCCGCGCCTCGTACAGGACCAGCGCCGCCGCCACGCTGATGTTGAACGACTCCACCATGCCGACCATGGGGATCTTCACGCTGCCGTCCGCCAGCGCCAGCGCCTCGGGCGTCACGCCGTCGTGCTCGTTGCCCAGCACGACCGCCGTCGGTATCGACCAGTCCACGTCGTGCAGCTCCATCGTGTTCTCGCTCAGGTGCGTCACCAGCACGCGGTACCCAATCTCCTTCAGGTGCGTCAGACACTCATGCGACTCCCCCCACGCCTGAATCCGCACCCACTTCTCCGAGCCGCGGGACACGCGGTTCGTCTGCTTGAATCTGCGGGAGGCGGGACCGGCGGCGCGGCGCGTGAGGTCACTGTAGCAGCGTGGGCGCAAGACGTGCGGGGGGCGGCGGCGCGGCGGCCACGCACTTGTTGCCTTCGTTGTGGATCACGTGCATCGCGCCGAACCCCAGTGCGTCCGCGGACCGCGCCACCGCGGCCATGTTCCCCAGGTCGTGGCACCCCTCCAGCACAGGCACCACACTGAAGGTCCGCAGGTCCGCCACCCGCCTGATGCGCTCCATGCGCTCCTCCGACATAAAACGCTGCACGTGCAGCGGCATCGCGTCGCGCGCACGTTGAGAGCTGGAGCGGGCACGACCTGACGTGATGCCGGGCGGGCAGGTGCGGCGCCGCGAGGGTGCGCGGGCGGGGACGGACCGACATCATGCCGATGACGGCGTCGGCGTCGATGCTCTTCCCGTTGATGCTGAAGTCGTCGCGGAACGGGAACATGCTCGTGTCGTCGTAGGTGAGCACTTCGTTCTGGATCGGGTGGCTCAGACCGTGAGAACGCGCGACGGTGTGGCCGCCGCCGCGTGCGCCGGTCGGCGCGGTGCCTGGCCCGAGCGGAGCCTTCTGTTTCCAGGCAGGTCCCGGCGCTGCGCTGCGGCTGCTTTGTGCCACCATGGCTCGCGTCCTGCACGTAGGCGGCGACGACGTCGAGATCGCTCGAGGTAATATCTCATCGACACTGGTGAAGGTTTGCGTGTCAAGGCGCGGCGTATCCGCACGCATGAGGGCACAGAGCGGGCGGATGACTTGCCGGGTGGAAAGCATGCGCGCGCGCAACAAAGGTGCCACGCGAGCGCCGGCACTGGGACAGATGGTGCCCATCCTTCAACAGCAATGTGCTGGGCGGAGACCGCGCGCAAGTGTTGGGCGAGTGAAGCTGCGCGAGCACGTGCTGCCTTGTGTGGCGTGAACTACACTCTCTTCATGGGCACTGCTGGGCTTGGTTCCCTTCGAATCGGAACTGTACGACCTGACTGAGCATGCGTTGTTGCATGCGTGCAGCGATGAGGTCCGAAGAGGCTCGCGGGACCGCGCTGTCGCACTCCCCTGAGCACTCTGGCTTGACTCCGGTGCGATGTCCGCCTGGGGGCTCATGGCCTGCGTGTTGTCGCTGAAATGTAGTCGGCTCTCAGCGCGGAGGGGCTTGGTTGGCTCGAGGCGCTGTTTTGAGAGGGAGTGAGTGAGTAGCCCAAGGCACGCACAGCTCTCTCGTGCAGGCCATGCTCTCCTGAGCGCCGCGGGAAAGGCCCTGCCGCGTCTGCAGGAGCGGCGCTTCGTGAACGTGTGTTCCGGTGAAGCCGCCGGGGCAGCAGCGCCGCCATGCTGTCGGGCGTTCGCGCGCTGCGACAGCAGGGGAAAAAGGCACTGGAGAAATTGTACGGCGGGGACACCGTCGGCCCCGTTCATGACGCTCACACGACGGCACAGCATGGTACGACTGCGCACGTGCCGCAGGCAGCTACCTCGCCGCGCAACCGCGCGATCGCGGGCCGTGCCAAGATGCACTTGCTCTCTCGCTGGTTCGTTAGCGCAGAGGGGCGGGCGCTGGAGCACGCCGCATCGGAGGAGGTCAGCGCGATGTGCCGGAGGTGCGCGTCGAGCGGGGCATCGCTGGAGGATCTGCACCAGCTCAACAGCGACCTCGCGGCTCTCCGGGTTGCCCAGCTGGGTACTCTGCTGCGCCTCGTGGCCCGGGCGTACGACGGAGCCGAGAGGCTTGGGCCCGACGACGACAGTTCAAAGGATGTCGCTGCGCGTGCGGGCGCGCCGGCAGTCGACCGGACAGAGCGCAAGGCGCTGGCAACCGCTCTGTCTGATGCCGCGGTGCAGGGCGCTGCTCGCGCGGTGCTCGGCAGGGACAGCGCCGATCGACTGGCGCTGCTCCCGCAGCTGATGGAGGAGGAGCGGCGCGCCGCGGCGGAGGTCCAACGAGCAGAAGAAGCTGCGTCGACCAGCGAAGCACAGGTGCGCTCGCTTCCCACGACGCCGCTCCCGCCTTGCAGCGCAGGCTCGCAGGATACCGTCCCTCAGACCGGGGGCCCCGTGCGCGCCACATCCGCGACCTCGCCCCCCGCGCCGCCCCTCGCAGCTTGTCTTCGCGCGTGACGTCGAGGCCGTGGGCGCGCTCCTGGACATCGGCGAGCTGCGCGAGGCCGCGCAGCAGGTCGACGCGCTGCGTGGCCGCGGCGAGGACGACGAGGACGCCGACGACGGCGGCGCGGCGTCCGGGGACGTGGGTGGGAGTGCCGCGCTGAGTGGGAGCCAGGAGGCCCGGGTGCAGGTGTGCAGGATGCTGCGGGCGCGCGTGATGGCGGCGGCCATCGCTGCGGTGGACGGATCGGTCGAGTGGTGCGACGGCCCGCCCAAGGGTGGGTCCGGGGACGGCGAGCCACCACGGGCCGTGTTGGTGCTTCGTGGGGGCGCCGGGGCTGGGGCGGCGGCGGCGCTGGGCGGGGATTCGCTGGCTGCAGCGGTGGACGTCGCGGGCGGCGCGACTCTGCGCGAGGCGTGGGCGCTTCTCGACGAGGGGGGTCTCTTGGAAGAAAAAATACATGGGCTCGCAGCGACGGCGCTGGAACGGCTGCTGCTGCCGCTGACGCGCCGGGACTGCGCGCTGGAGGTTCACAGCGAGCGTACGGGCGAGCGCGTGGAGCTCCGGCTGCGCGAGGGTGCGGACACAGCGGGCACTGAGTCTGGGCTCGTGCAGGCGTACGTTGCGCTGTGCGGTGGGGCGCTGTGCGGGAACCCGAGCCTCGCGGGCGTGCTCGGGTCCCTGACGTGGCGCGTGGTGTCGGCGACGCTGCTCGCGGAGCTGCAAGCGATGCTTGACGCGTGTCCCGCAGCGGGAGGCCGCCTTGTGCAGCCACCCGAGGTTCGCGGCGGGGCGGAGCGGAACGACGGGTGGGACGCGGACTGGGGCTGGGACGAGGGGGCCGGGGCCACTGATGGGTGGAGCGACGACGAGGGGCAGTTGGCGGAGATCCTCGGGGGCGAAAAGCGCGAGGCCGGCGCGCACGCATCGCGGCGCAGCGAGCCGCTGCTGGCGTACGAGGCAGCGGCGCAGGCGGCGTGCGAGGCCGAGAGCGCCCTGCTCCGCGCTGGCATTGTGCCGTCAGGGGACGCTGCGCAAGACCCACCGCGCGGCGAGCTGTCGTTGAAGCTCGAGGCGCTCGAGGACCCCAAGTTGTCGGCGGAGGTGTCGACGTGGGCGGCGGCGGCGACCCGGGCGGTCGCGGGCGATGTCGACACCCTGGCGGAGGATGCTGACGTCGACTTGCCGTCCACGGCCGCAAACCGGCGGCTGCACACCAGCCGCGCGATGCTGCGTGCCGTCGAGCTAGTCCGAGCCTGCCGCATCCGCGCCGAGGGATACCTTGCGCGGCGTGCGTGGGATGGTGCGCTGGCAGCGATGGCAGACGAGGCAGGCAGGGCGCCGCTGGAGACGCACGCGAACGTGCTCGACGGCGAGCGCGAGGCGCTGATGTACGCGAACGGGTGCCGGGCTGTCGCGGCGTGGGTTGCCGACGTCGCAGAGAGCAACCAACTGCACCGCAGCGCTGCCGCTGGACAGAGACTGGACCAGGTCGGGCAGGGCGTGCTTCGCGGGGCGCTGCTGCGTCGTCGAGCGGCTGTATGGGAGGCCATCGACGCCGCAGGGGGGCTCCAGGACCTCTCAAACGGCCGGAACGCGATCCGCGCACGAGCTGCTGTGCGCCGCGCGGTCAGCGCGTTGGCGGCGGCGGGGCGCACGTGGGGACCGCTGCTGCCCGCAGCACAGTACGCGCGCGCAGCGTCGTCGCTGCTCAGCGCCGCGTGCGAGCGCGCGGCGGCGGCGGTGCTGTCGCTGGAGGACATTGGGGCGGACGAGTGCGACGAGATCCGCGAGGCTGTGTCGCCCCTCGTGGAGGATGGGCCGGGGGCGCTCGCGCTGGAGGGCGTGTCGAGCAGCGACGTGAAGAAGGGGGCGCGCGGGTTCGGTGCGCCTTGCACGTTGACCGCCACAAGCTGGCTTGCGCGCGGCTCCGTCCCGGAACGTGTGCCTCGTCTGTCTGCTCACGCTGCTGCGGCCCGTGACCCCCTTTGCAGGCCGTCTCGCGGCGCTGGTCGACATTCTGATGCTGCACATGTCGGACGTGATGGCACGGTGGGAGGCCGGCGCACTGCAGCAGGCGGGGCTGTCGGCGGCGGAAGTCGCGGGCTTCCTCACCGCGGTTTTCGACCGCAGCGCGTACTTGGACACGGCACTCGCGCGTCTGCAGCGCGACATGGTCAGCGAACAGTGAGCTGCAACAAGATTCCTTCCCAGCGCGTCCCTGGTCCGCAAGAACTGACCACCATACATCCCCGCTCGCTTCGCAGACAAAGTAGTTCGTGCTGTCTTTGTGCTTCGCTGGACCAATGACAAAGTTTCACACTGTGTGCCGCTTGAGCGTGCATGCTGGAGCAATGGCATGTGTGAGGCTGACCTTGCAGCGAGGTGCAAGACGTCGGTGTGGCAGCGTGCCGCTGGGCCGTGTGCAGAGGTGTGCGCACGCGCGGGCATCCCGGAGGTCGGGGCCGTGCTGCGAAGGAAGGAGCGATGTCGAGCCACAAACAAGCGTTCTCGCAGGACCGGCCTTCGCAGGCTTGGAATCAGAGTAGTGCTGCAGCGGCATACCGCCGGCTCCATGTTGTTGTGTGGCACCTTGCGCGTGGGAAGAGGTCTGGTAGAGGATCTGTGCCTTTCAGAGAGCGTGTCAAACTACAGGGGCGTAGATTTCGGTCAGACATGGCGGCGGGGGGGAGAGGCGCGTCGCTGTTCGGAAGGGGGGGGGTTGGGCGGACGCGTGTGGAAGTGGCGGTGTTGCAGGAAGGGGGGCGTTGCTGCCCAAGGCCACTGTCGTTGCCATCGCGGGGAACTGTCACGTTCGGGACCGGGAGGCCGCCGGCGCTGGCCAGACGGGCACGTGTGACGAAAATCGAGCGGATACCGCGCTCGCCATGGCGGGAGAGGGGTGGAATGTCTTTTTGCGTTGCTCTGCAGCTGCGCTGCCGCTCCGTGCGCGGCGCGTGCAGTTGGTTCGACGGCGGGGCGCGGCCGGCGCATCAGCTCTCCTGCATCGGGACGCCGTGGGAGTCCGCGCTGCTCTGCGGCTTGCCCGCCTGCTGCGGGTGCGCGGCCATGGGGAAGTCCCCCGCCTCGTCCTTGAGGAAGTCCATGAAGTCGAGCGACTCCACGTCGTCCACCGGCACCGCGCACGCCTCCTGCTCGTCCCGCTCGTCGCACGTCCCGTTCTCGTCGTCCCGCGCCGCGCCGTTGCCGTTGCCGCGCGCCCCCTCGCCCCCCGCGTCGTCGTCGCCCACCTTCTTGCGGATCCGCGCGCTCCGCCGCGACCCCGCCGAGGGGCTCATCAGCGCCTCGACCTTGCAGTCCACGCTGTGCGACTCCCCGCTCGTCAGGTACGCCTCGCGGTCCTGGGGGAAGTTGAGCTTGGCGCTGGGGCCCTTGACGCGGATCGCCGCGCGGTCGTACGCGCGCGCCGCCTCCTCCCACGAGTCGAACGTGCCGAGCCACAGCCGCACGCCCTTGAGCGGGTCGCGGATCTCCGCGGCCCACTTCCCCCACGGGCGCTGCCGCACCCCGCGGAAGGGGCTGCCCGCCGGTGTGCGCGGCGACGACGCGCCGTCCCCGCCCTGCGGCGCGAGCCGCGACTTGTTCGCCGGCTTCGTGCGCCCGCGCGCCGTTCGTGCGCCGCCCCGCTTGGTCCCGCCGGGCGTGGGCGGGCCCGACTCGGCCGAGTCGGTGTCCCAGCCCATCTCCGACCCGCTGCCGGGGCGCCCGAGGAGCTGCGAGGACGCCGGGCTGCCGCTGTGCGGCGAGGGCATCATGAGCGGGTTCAGGCGCGACCCGGGGATCCCCGCGCTGCCGATGGGGAAGGGCGCCTGGCCGCCCACGGGCATGCCCGTGGCGGCGACCTGCGACGGCGGATGCTGGTACCAGCCGTTGGCGCCGGGCGTCGCGATCGGCGCGGACTGCGGCATCTGCACGTGCCCGAACGGCATGTGCATCCCGCCGGACATCGGCGGCTGCTGCGCCTGCCACTCCGGCGCCGGCACGGGCTGCCCCCACGCGCCCAGGGCGTGGGCGGGCACCATGTGCTGCACGTGGGGCGGCGCGCCGGGGTCCGCGGGCGCGCGCGTGCGCATCGCGGCGCCCGGGTTCGCGCCGTGCCCGTTCTCGTCCGTCGGCGCGGGCGACACTTGCGGGTGCGAGACGCCGCGCGTGTCGGTTGACCGCGGGTCCGACTGCGGGTCGGAGCCCTGCGGCCCGTCGTCGTGCGGCTCCTCCACGCAGCTGTTGGAGGCCTGCGCGAGGCGGGAGCGCCCCGGCGGCAGGCTCTTGTTGCGCACGCCGAGGTGCGCGGGCTGCATGTGGCCCGCCCAGTCGCCCCCCGCCGCGCCCGGGAAGCCCACGGGGGCGGCCTGGGAGTCCCCGTCCATGGCGACGTCGCCGGGCATCGAGTGGTACACCGACCGCGCGGACTCGAACCGGTTCTCGCCGACGGAGTGCGCGGTGCGGAGGGGCTGGAGGTGCTGTTGGTTCAGCACGCCCTTGCTGTGCTGGTGCCAGTTGTCCGGCATGGGCGCGCCGCCGAACGGGGTCCCCCCGGAGTGGCTCTGGAACCCGCCGCGCGGGGTCGCGGGGCAGGAGCGCGCGCGCTTGACCTGGTGGTCGCCTGCGCAAAGGATGAGGCACGCCGGAGGATTGGTGGGCTTCGAGCGGGCCGCGCCGCGACGGAGCGGGGGGCGAGCGGGCGTCTCCGCGCTCGCGAGGCGGTGCCGGAACTCGGCAACGCGGGAATGTGCGCCTCGGCCGTAATGGTGCCGCGGAAGGTGGCGCATTCCGCGAGGAGAGGGGGCAGGCAAGCAAACGAGCAGGTGGGCCCGGGAAAAGCGATTGAGGCCGCTCGGAGGCCCGCCGGCGCGCAAGACTCACCATCGTCTTCCCTAAAACGCTTGATGAGGCGCTCGTACGGGTCGTTCGCGGGCGCTTCCTCGTCGTCGCTCTCCAGGAAGAAGCCGGCTGTTGGCGAGTCTAGCCCGACGTTCTCGGCGATGTCGAGCCCGAAAGCTCCGCCTCCCGTGTCCACGAACAGCTCCTTCAAGGTGCCTGCAGGCGGCGGGAGCGTTCCGGACGTGGTTCGCGAGTCGCGGTGCCATGGCGGGTGAAGGCCGCTCGCTGGCCGCCCCGCGTGCCCGCAGCTCGCGCGACGACAGTCGCGAACGTGCCGGGACGCAAAATGGCCTCACGCCGCGTAGCACGGAGGAAACTCGCGCGTTCCCGACGAGGGCTGGATTCCAAGAACATAGCTACGTGCCACGGCTTCCCCCGCGCGTGGCCGCGGGCGAGGCCTCGCGCGCGCCGGCCCCCCGGTCGCCCACATTCTTGGCTGTTGCGACGCGCTCGCCACCCGCGCGCGCTGCGCACGCCGCGTTCGAAAGAAACGGCCTCGGCGGTATGCGCACCGTCAAACCCCTCCATGCCGCCCGGTGCCCCTGCGCCACGGCTTCCCGTGCAGACTCTATTCCCTCGCTGCGGTTTCCGCTCCGCTCAAGGCCCCGCTACGCCGCCGCAGGCACAGGTCAACACTCAGGAATGTGTGCTGGTGAGCCCTCTCAGCGCGCGGGCTCCTTGACTCTCAAGTCGCGCGCCTCGAATAGTTGCTCTCTGTTCTCCCAGCCGGCCGCGCGGGGCCGCGGCCATGGCGCGGGGCGCTCCAGGGGGAAGCCGCTTCAAGCGGGCACCTGAGTCGTTAATACCTGCCCCGGGGCCAGTAACGCGCCGCACCAGGGCCCCGGCGGCGGCCCCGCCGGCGCGCGCGTCGTGGGGACTCGGATGTCGAGGCGGGGACCAGTCTGTGCCGGTGCGGGCGGCGCGTGAGGTGCGCGCTGGGGCGTCTTGTTGCTGGGATTACATGAACGCACTGATGAGGAGAGCGTCCCGCGGGGGGGCGGACCGCCCCGAGGTGCCGCCTGGCGCCGCTGGGTCGCTTGCCGACATGCCCCCGCGTGGGCGAGCGCTGTTTGCGGCGCGCGGGCGCGGCGCGGCGTGGCGTGCGCGAGGAGCGTCACGCGTCGTCGTTGCCGAGCTCCAGCTCCACGAGCAGCGAGATGTGATCCGACGGGTAGTTCGCGGACGGCAGCCCCCTCCCGCCGAGCTCGCTCCGCTCCGGAACCGTCCAGCAGCTCACCAGGCGCGCGCGCGCCCAGAAGGCAAAGTCTATGACGCGGCACTTCTCACTGTCGCGGAACTTCCACGTCGTGAACGCGCACCCCGGCGACACGTCCTCCACCGACGCCGCCACCCGCGGCTCCTCCGCGCCCCACCCGAGCACGTCCCACAGCCCAGCCACCCCCGGGGAGTCCTGCAACACCACCTGCACCGCGCGGCTGTCCGGCTCGCAGTTGAAGTCCCCCGCCAGGACCAGCGGCGGCAGCGCGCCCCCCGCGCCCCCGCCGCCCCCCGCGCCGCCCCCGCGCCCCCGCCGCCCCCGCGACGCGCCGCCGCGCCGCCGCCACCCGCTCCACGAGCTGCCGCGCCTGACTCTCCCGCAGCGCGTCGTTCGCAGGGCTCTCCTTGGCCTTCAGGTGCGTCGTCGCCGCCACGAACCGCACGCCCGTCTCCACGTGCCTCATCCCCGCGAGCAGGCACATCTGGTTGCACTGCCTGCCGCCCTGCGCCGGGTCCGTGTAGGTGTGGCACTCGTGCCACTCCATCTCGACCGCGCCGCGCCGGTACAGCAGCGCGAGGCCGTCCGGCTCCGCCCCGTAGCCCACCGCGGGGCTGTCCTGCTTCGCGAAGAACACCCCGTCGAGCCCCAGCGCGTTCACGGCCGGCCGCACGCCGCCCTCCCAGTTGTTGCACTCCTGGAGCACGCACACGTCGCACCCGCTCTGCACGCACGCACGGGCGCGGGCGGCGGTGGGGCACTGCGGCGCGGGGCACGCTCGCGCGCGGTCCGGCGCGCCGTGGAGCTGCGCGCGTGCAACCACAACGACCCACCTCTGCTATTTCGCGAACAATGCGGGGCAGCCGCCGGTCCCACTCGAGGTCGCGCGGGTCCGTGGTGACGAACCCGCCGTTCTGCGCCATGCCGTCCGCCAGGATGTTCCACGTCAGCACGCGCACTCTCGGCCCACTGCGCGCGTCCTGCACCTGGAGGAGGCGCCGCGGGAGCCACTGCATCGGCCCGTCGCCCCCGCCGCCCCCCGACGTCGCCATCGTCCTGACAAGTCCTTGCTTCCGCGAGGTTGCGCGGTTCTCGACGGGCTGCGACCCCGCCTCGCCCCTCCCAGGAGGGGAGCTGCTGGGCACGCACAGAGCACGGCACGCGGTTCGCGCGCTGCGGGGAAACGGCAGCCTGGCGGCGCCCATGCGCAAGGTGTCCGGCCCTCGCGCGGGGTGTGTGCACGCGCGCGTCCAGGAGCCGCCCACACCTCGACCTCAACCTGCGCTAGGTTCTTGCGACATGAGCCGCACCGGACGCCCGCCAGGACCGCGCCGGGTCTGTCCCGCGCACGCAGACAGTGCCCTGCGGACGCAGCCCGCGAGCGATGTGAGCTCCGCGCGCGTCTGCTGGGGGGAGGCCTCGTGGTACAAGTACGTGGAGGCCGCGCCAGCACCCCAAGGGCCCCGCGCGCGGCAGCAGCGCCACAAGTGCTGGTTCACCGCCGCTCGCTGAAGGGCAGGGCGTGTTTCGCAACCCGTGAAGCGCTGGGAGCTCCCAACAGCTTCCTGGTGCTGGGCGCGCCTCGAAACGCGCGGTTCGCGGAACAGCGACGCGTGATCTGGCGCCTGCGGCGCCGTGGGATCGATCTGCGTGCACCATGAGCGCGAAGGATGTGTTTCATGACATCAAGCAGACGGACTTCAATGGCAGGGTCTGCCCTATAGTCCTACAGAACTTCAACGGGCCCTGCCCCTTGCTGGCGCTGGCGAACATCCTTCTCCTACAGGGAAAGGTGCGCATCGTGGCGCAGACGTGCGCAGATGACGCCCACGACGTGCCTGGCCGACTGCTTCCACCAGCCTTTGCCTACCCGCGGCCCTGAGCGGGCTGCCCGTTTCTTCGTACGTGTCAGCCACCTCCGCGAACCTTGTAAACTCAGCTACGTGCTCGCTGAACGGAAAGGTCCTTCATCCGGCGGGGCCAGCTAGGCAGGGCCCCTAGGCTGAGAGACAACTTACCAGCGCGCACTGCCGCCGCCGCGTCGGAGCGGGCAAAGCATCGTTCCGAGCGTGGGCCGAGCGACCAGATGTCCGTCGGCGTCGGCGACATCCGCGCTGCTCCGCGGCCGCGGGCGGCGCCCCCCGCGGCTGCGAGGTCATCGACGCCACCAGCGCGGCACCTGCCCGGTCCTCCGCAGATCTCGCTGCCGGCGGGAGCCACGGAGGTGTCCCAGGCCACGCTGGTCGCGCGGGTGGCGAACCACTTGTTCGAGAGCAACAGCAAGGTTGACGCGGAGTACGCCGCCAACCAACAGCAGAACATCAACGACGCCCTCAACCTGCTCCCGAAACTCACCACCGGCGTCGACGTCAACGTCAAGTACGCCGCCCGCGCCGCGCAGCGCCGCGCCGCCGCGGACGCGCCCCGCGGCGGCGCACACACTCCCACTTGCGCGCTCCGTGCTGCCAGCGGCCGGCATTGGCGGCGCGCCGCTCACCCAGTGCGCCTGCGCACACCGCAGGTTCACCACTCCGAAGGGCTTCGAGTTCACGGACGAGATCGTGGTGTTCGACCTGCTGGACATCTCCCTGGTGCACGGATGGCTGGCCGACCCGCAGGACGCCGCGACGTTCGAGGCCGTGGGCGGGCGGTCGTACAACGACCTGGTCGTCGAGATCGCCACCGCGGGGGCCGCGGCGGGCGACGAGGTGGCGGAGGAGCGCTCGCGGGCCGTCTCGCGGATGGTGTCAGGGATGTTCGAGCGGGTGCTGTCAGGCGACGCCCCGGACGACGCTTCCGGCGGCCCCGTGACGACGCTCGTCTCTGACGTCATGAGGCGGGTCGTGGCGGCCCTCGACGCCCCCCCCGCCGCAGCCTCCGCGGCGGAGGGGCCGGTGCGCACCACCAGCGCGGACGCACGCGCGACGTCGGCGCTGCTCGCGGCGGACTTCCTGCGCGACACGAGCAGCCAGCTGACGCACTTTGGGATCGAGCGGCTCGGCGAGGAGCTGCGGGCGGGGGAGCTGGCGGTGCTGTTCCGCAACAACCACTTCTCGGTGGTGCACAAGCACGCCGAGTCCGGGCAGCTGCTGCTGCTCGTCACGGACGTCGGCTACCGCAGCGAGCCGGAGATCGTGTGGGAGGTGCTCGCGGACGTGGGCGGGGACACCACCTTCCTCACCTCGACCTTCCGCCCGTACGTCCCCGCGGGGCACGCGGGGCACGACGGCGCGCCCATCTCGGACGAGGCGCTCGCCAAGCAGCTCCAGGAGTCCGAGCTTCGGGGCGCGCAGGCGGACGGCGCGGCGACGGTCCCCGTGCGCACGCAGGAAGCCCCCCCGGCCAGTGGCGGGGAGTGGCGGTCCTGGGCGCCGTGGAAGACGTCGGCGGCGGAGCGCCCCGCGACCGCGGACGCACAGCCCGCACCATCGCCTCCGCAGCCCACCGCGCCCGCGGCGCAGGGGGAGGCCGAGCGGCCCGAGCCAACGCAGCAACAGCGCGCCAACGAGGCGGCTGACGCGGACATGGCCCTGGCGCTGCAGCTGCAGTACGAGGAGGAGGAGCGCGAGCGGCAGCGGCAGCAGCGCGAGCGCGAGGCGCGCAGCAGGCAGCAGCGCCCCGCGTCCGCGCGGCCTGCGGGTGCGGTGCAGCCGGGAGGGTGGCGCAACCAGAACACCCCCCCCGCTCGTGCGGCGCCGGCCAAGGACAAGACGTCATGCGCCATCATGTGATTCACCGGCCGTGCGCGTGCTGCGGCTCACATCGTGAAGCTGAACCTGAAGCCTCCCGTGCTGTGCCCGCTGACAGCAGCAGCCCCCCCGCCACTGGGGCGTTCGCCGTCCGCGGCCGCGAACATGCTCGCCAAACCTGTCTTGCGAGACTTGCGCTGCTCGGCCTCCATCGCCTCCATCGCCTCCAGCATGTCGGGGCGTTTCACCTGCAGGCCGCAACCTCACCACGGGTACAAGTCAGTGGGCACGCGGCGGCAGGTGGCCGGAGCCACGCACCGGACCGGGGCTTCCGCTCGGCCCCCGTCGACGCCGGGCGTCACGCGGGGCGGGGGGCTTGCGCACCTTGAGGGCTGCTATCAGTCTGTCATACAGCAGCGGCCGGTCGCGCGCTGGAACGCCGGAGATCAGATCCGGGTCGCGCGTGGCCAGCATGTCCAGGACGGGGCGCAGGCCCGACGCCGGCACGAAGTTCTGAGTCACCGCGATGGACGGCTCGAGGTTCCACACGAGATGCCACCAGCCACGAGGCACGTAGACGGTCTCCCCCGCGCCGCAGATGCACTCGATGGGCCGCACTCCGCCCGTCGCGGCCGGATCTTTCGTCTGGGAGTAGAAGCGGAGCAGCCACTCGGCGATGGAGAGCGGGGATGCCACAGATGCGCCGCCGTCCGACACGCGCACACCGGGCGGGACGCAGGACGGAGGGAAGAGGATCCACCTGCAGGAGGGGGTGTCGGCGGGAGGCGCGGGCGTGTCGCCGTGGCAGGGCGAGCGATGAGCACGTGTGAGCAAGGGGCGTTGGCGCACTTCTTCCGTCCGCGGATCACGGCGTTGAACGCGCACGTGGCGTTGGGGTCCTTGTGGAAGCTCGATCCGCTCCGTGCGGGCCCGACGATGAGCCAGCGGTGCTGCGGGCGGTGCTCGGGGTCCAGCGCCGCGAACGCGTCCTCGGCAAACCACTTGGGGACCTCCCAGTCCCCCTCCCGCCCGCTCAGAATCCACGGGTCGAACAGGTACATGGGCTGCTCGTCGCACTGCTCGCGCATGTACCGCGCGTACTCGGCGTACGGCATCTTGGCGTCATTGACCACCACCGGCACCCTGGACGCGCCGTACGCTGCCTCGAGGCCCGCGAACGTCCACGCGCGGAGCGCCTCCCAGTTCTCGCATGCGCCGCGGATCAGCACGGGCCTGTTCGGCCGCTCGTACTTCTCGCGGAACTCCTGTAGACTCAGCGTTGCGTCCTCGCGCGGCATGTTGTCGCGCTCCAGCCACGCAGGGTCCACCGGGGCCGTCGCACACCGCCAGGGCTCGTACAGCAGGTCGCTGTAGATCCCGCGCGCCGACACGGCGCTCCGGGGGCCGCGGTCCGCTCCCGAGCGCTCCTGCACACGGAAGGGAGTGGCTGCATCGCCGTGGGCCGCGACGGCCGGACGCGGGCTGCTCTCGCGACGGCCACGGTCCGCGTAGGCACTGGACGGCGCGCTCGTGCGGCGGGGGGCCTTGGGCGCACGTTGTTGAGGAGGCGGCGCTCCAGGTCTGGGTCGTGGAGGCACGCGAAGGTCTCGCGCCAACTGGAACGGAAGCGGAACGAGCCGTCGTCGTGCTCGAGGACGAGCGCTTTCCAGAGGTCCTCGTGGTAGCTCAGCGCGAACAGGGCGCGCGAGCAGCATGCTGTGCGTGCCAGGTCGCGGCCGTCTGACAGAAACCCCAGCACGCGAAGCAGAATCTCGTCGGTGAGCGCCGACAGACGCCCCAGGCCCGCGGGTCTCGCGTCTGCAGGGCGCGAGACAGCCGGCGGGAGTTTCGCGTGTCAGCGCGGCGGCAGGAGGTGCAGGAGAGGATTTCTGTGCACTTTCGCCGCACCTGGGACGCTGCTCGATAGAAAGTTGCCCCATGGCTGCACCCCGAGCGGATGTTGTGCGCTCGGCAATGCGTCCTCGCCCGAGGCGACGTCCTCGCCCGAGGCGACGGCCTTCGGCCTCCGCTTGGCGCGCATCAGGCCGTGTGCTTGCTAGCTAACGAGCTCGGCGTTCCAAACCCAAACATGCCCCAACCGAGCGCCGACAGCTGGAAAGATGTTCGCGCCAGTGAAGTGTGCGCCGCTGTGGCTGGGCGAACACGCGCAGAGGCGGTCTGTTGTGCGGAGTGCTGCTGTGGACGTCGCCGCTCCCTACAGAGATGCACTTGCAGCCTCACTTCGTGCTGCGACCGTCAGGTTTACGTACGTTCGCCGTCGGGCCGGTCGTGCGCCCTTGACCGCGCACACAGGGCCGTTGGCGTGGTCGTATGAGTTTGCGTGGCGCGCTGGCGCCGTCCGACGGGCTGTGGCGCAGCTCGCGGCGCCTCTACGTGGGGGGGCAGCACCCCGAGTGCCCCCTCACTTCGAGCGTCCCAGCGTCTTGCCCGAAAGGCTCTCGAGGGACGCGGGCACACCACGCGAGTTCTTTTTTCGCACTCTCCACGTGCCACTGCCGCCCCACGCTCGCAAACCCGCCGTCCAAGTAGCGCATTATGACGATGGCAGTACACGGTGCCTGAGACGTTCCCGATGTCGGGCGAGGAGACGTTCGTGGAGCGGTGCGCCCCGGGCTGCTCTCTGAGGACTCGAGACCAGGGAGCGGGATCCAGCGAGCGCGCGCGCAGTGATCAGGGCGTGGGTCTCCCGGCGTGGCTCTGCACGGAGGCCCCGGACGCATGCGGCCGCCGGGGGAACGGCGCTGCCGGGTCGCCGAAGGAGGAGGAGTCCGCGCAACACCTGCGGCTTGAGGCGTGGTGCACGCCCGGCACGGACCAGCTCGGCACCGCTAGCGGCGAGGGCGGCACGGTCGGGTTCAAGAGGCGCAGGAGAGATCAGGCAGACCGCGAGTCTCTCCAGGACTGCCCGCGTGAGGGCCTCGCGCGTCCGAAGCCGCTCGGGAGCGCGACCAACCTCAAGGGCGGGGCCCCGAAACGGGCGCGCAAGCAGACGCTGGTCGTCGACGCGGGGCAGAAGCAGTACCTCACAACGATATGCAGCGTGTGCGAGATGGTGTACTCCCCTGGGGACCCGGAGGACGAGCAGCTGCACCGCGAATTTCACAACCGGCACGTGGCCGAGGTGCGGGGCCTGCGCGAACGCGACCGAACGGAACGCGTGCGCGACACCGCGACGCGACAGACAGCCCCGAGCGCGCTCCTGTGCTGCGCAGCGCGTGCCGTGGCCGGCGAGGCCCGGGGAGCGAGTGGTGCGGCGGGAGGGTGCGCACAGCCGCGTGGTGGTCGTGCGGCCCGGTGACGCCGCGTGCGACGCCGCCCACGTGCGCTCGCTGTTCAAGGTGCGCGGCGACCCCTCGTCCCGCCCCCCCCGCCCGCGGCCCTCCGCAGAGCATCACCGGCACGCGTGTGGCCCGCTGTGCGCGTGCAGGCCGCGGAGTCGTCCTGCGGGCTCACGAACGACGGGCCGCGCAGCGACGCACAGCCGACGGTGGTCGCGGAGGTGGTCCGCGGCCACGCGTCCGCAGCGGTGTTCGTGGAGCGCCTGCGACCTGAGGACGACGCGTCCGTGTGGGGCGAGGCGACGCCCGCGAGCTCGACGTCCCGCCCCCTCGTCGGCGTGGTCGGAGTGTACCTGGCAGCTGGCAGGGATGGGGCGGCGGCCGCCGCCCTGGTCGACCGCGCAAGGGCGCACGTGGTGCATGCCTACGACGTGCAGCGCAGCCAGGTGGCGTTCCTGGGACCGCTGGGACCTGGCGGGCCGGTCGCGCGGCTCGCGACGGAGTGCATGGCGCGGTGGGCGGCGGGGTCCGTCTGGACGTACGTGCGCCGGAGCCACGTGGCGGCGGACGACGGATGCTCACAGCGGGTCGCAGACTAGTAGGAACCCTGCTCACTAGCAGTCTGGTGCGCTCGCATGCACGAATGTGAAATCAAATATAGCGGCGTGCGCGGGCGGTCGTGCCTCGTCGCTCCCGGTGCGTCCACCGCAGCCGCAGCGAGTTGCCCACAACCGCGATGCTGCTGAGCGCCATGCACCCTGCGCCGATGGCGGGCTCGAGCGCGGCGCCGCAGACGGGCAGCAGCACGCCTGCCGCCGCCGGCAGCGCCACCACGTTGTACGCGAGCGACCAGGCGAGATTCTGCTTGATGGTTCGCACCGTGCTCCGCGCCAAGCTGAACGCCTGCAAACACGACAGCAACGCCGCTCGTCGTCGGCCACGCACGCCGACACATGTTGCACAGCTGTCCGCAGCGCGCCGTCGTCTGCGTGCGTGCGGCGGGGCTCTGGGCGCACCAGGGGCAAGCTGTTGATTCTGTCGCCCATGAGCACCACTCCCGCCACCTGGCGCGTGGCGTCCAGCCCCCCCTGCACCGCCACACCGACGTCCGCCGCCAGCATCGCCGGAGCGTCGTTCAGCCCGTCGCCAACCATCGCCACGTGATCCTCCTGCAGCCAAAACAGGCGGAGCGTCATCGCGGGGGACGAACGCGCTATGCAGACGTCGCGGTCGCCGCTGTCGGCGCACGCCAGCACCCCGGGTCTGAAGCAGGAGCACGGTTCCTGTTGTAACTGCGCGCCAACACATAGAGGCTCACCTCGGCGGCCATGGCCCGCAGCAGGCCGGCTTTGCCCAGCGGCGACACTCCCCAGAACGCGTCGTCCGCGTGGATGCCCACGACCTTCGCGCACGCGTTGACGGGGTGCTTCCGGTCCCCGGAGAGCATGCACGTCCGCATGCCCATGCCCTGCAGCGCCTCCACCGTCGCACCCGCCTCCGTCCGCACGGTGTCCCTCGCGCGTATCACTCCGACGAGGCCGAGGCCCTCCACGGCCACCGCCACCTCCACTTGATCTGCAACACCAACCAAGCATGCTGCCATCAGCACACGGCACAGCGCGTCTTCGAGGCCCGGGCCCAGCCCCAGGCTGCCAGGTCGCCGCACCTGACGTGGTTTGCTTGGGCACGCCGATGCCGTACCCCGCCTGCTTGCGCACCCACCGCAAGCTGCCCACGTACACCTGCTGCCCCTCCACCGTGCCGTACGCGCCCTCCCCCGCGACCGTCACCGCATTCGTCACCTCCGGCACGTGGACCTCGCGCTCCCGCGCATGCTGCACAATCGCCTTCGCCGCCGGGTGCGTCGACGCCTGCTCCACCGCGGCCGCCAGCGACAGCACGCGCAGCTCCGAGCGCTCAAACATGGCCGCGCACTCCACCGGCTCGACGTCCTCCACGCGCAGCTCGCCGTGCGTGATCGTGCCGGTCTTGTCCAGCATCACCGTGTCCACCTTGGCCAGCCGCTCCAGCACGTCGCCGCCACGGATCAACACGCCGCGCCGGGCCGCGAGCGAGGTGGCGACGAGCACCGCCGTCGGCGTCGCGAGGCCCATCGAGCACGGACACGCCACGACGAGCACGCCGACGGCCAGGCGCGCAGCGAGCAGCGCGGGGGGGTTGCCGGCCACCACCTGCGGGAAGAGCGTCGCGCCCGCGGTGGACCAGAACAGCAGCGTTGCGAGGCTCGTGGCCATCACGCCGACGCAGAACCGCCCGGCTATCTTGTCCGCGATGCTCTGCAGCGGCGCCCGGCGCGCCTGTGCGCGCTCCACCTCGCGCAGGATGCCCGCGGCAAGGCTCTGCGCGGGCGGCTTGGTCACGCGGACGCGGACCATGCCGTCCCGGTTTGTCACGCCGGCCATCACGCTGTCGCCCTCCTCGCGCCGCACGGCCGTCGGCTCGCCCGTGAAGGCGCCCTCCTGCGCCCAGCACTTGCCCATCACGACGACCCCGTCGGCGGGGAAGGCCTCGCCCGCGCGGACGACCACGACGTCGCCGGGCTTCAGGCCCGCCGCGCGCACGGACAGCGTGCGGTCGCCGACGCACAGGCGCGCGTCGGCGGGCAGCAGGGAGGCCACCGCGCCGACGTCCGTCATGCACGCAGCGCGCGCGCGAGCCTCGGCGGCGCGCCCGGCGAGGACGAACCCGAGCAGCATCGCGGGCTCCGAAGCGTAGCACGCAGGCAGCCCGAGGGCGGGGTGCAGGAGCTGTGCCACGCCCGCCACAAGTGAACTCACGGCCCCACACATCACCAGGCTGTTCATGTTTGGCTCCAGCGCCCTGCGAGCGAGGCGACGCGCGGTGTGGTCAGGGCGTGGCTGGGGCCGCCGGCTCGGCGTCCGCGCCGGGCGAGTGCGGGGAGCATGCAGTGACGATGGGCGGACCGCTGACCACGCTACGCATCATGTACGATCTCGTTTATAACGAGAAGGATGATGCACAGGGGGGCTGTTGCGCCGTGCGGAGGTCGACGCGGCGACGCGTGGGCGAACCTGAGCTTCTTGATGCCGTCGATCAGCAGCTGCCGGCCGGGCCCGAACACGGCCGTGGCGCCGAGCGCAGCGGCGAACCAGGGTCCGGCACAGTGCAGGCCCGTGGCCAACGCGGCTGGCAGGAGCCCTGCGTGGGCCAGATGCAGCGCCGTGGCTGCGACGGCGAGCGGAAAGGCGACGAGGGCGCGACGCGAGGCCTCCGCGGCTTCCCTCGCGGCCTGCTGTGCCAGCGTCGACTGTGCCTCTGCCGGCCCCTGCGCTGGCCCGTCAGCGTGGCCCGCCGGCGGCTCTCGCGCGCTGAACCCGCCTTCGGAGAGCGCCTGCAGATGTGTGTGCAGCTGGTTTTGTCTGGCGAGGCGTCGACGCGCGCAGGCGGGCATCCCTCGGGTGCACCTGGGGCGCCCAACCGCCCGGGGGGGGGCGCACCTTCTGCAGCCGTTGAACCTGGGGCGACGGGACGCCGTTGGACTCCAGGTCGCTCGTCGACACCGCGCTTGCGTCGAGATGCACAACAGCGGTCCCTGTTAGGAGGTTAACTTCGGCAGTGTGCACACCAGGCACTCCCATGAGCCTCCTCTCCACCGCAGCCACGCAGCCGCCGCACTTCATACCGTCCACGCGCAACACAACGCTCGCCCGCCCGTCACCCTGGAGCCCCCCCCGGCCGTCGGCGGCCCCCGCGACCGACCGCACCCACACATCGCGCCGCAGCGTCCCCCCGCCGCGTCGGCGAACCACGGCCGTTTCCCAGCCGCACGCCCTCTCGATCGACCTCGTATGTAGACGGTGCGTGGTGACCGGGCAGGGGCGCGGAATCCCGCGCCCGCTGTGCGCCGAGCATCTCGTCCTGCCCCACTGCAGTGCTCCCTCGATCACGCGCGTGCAGCGCCCCGCCAGCGCCGCCGGCCGCATCGCCCCCACAGACCGGTAGTGGAGCGAGCCTCAAATCGACCAGTCCACCTCCATCACGCGCGGTGCGCACGCCCCTGGAACCTAGTGCTTGACAAGGAGAGAAATGTCGCCCGCACGTCGTCGTCCCGCACACCCTCACGCTTCCCGCCACGCCACGCGCAGGACCTGAATCTGGCGCACCGTGCGCTGGCGGCGAGCTCTCATCCCGAGCTCGCAGCGCCTGGTGCGGGGTGTCGGGCCTGCTGCGCCTGACACTTGTGCCGCGAGACGCCCACACACTCACAGTCGGCGTGTTCGCCGACCACGCCAAGCAGTCCGATGACGCGCAGAAGCAGGTCCCATTTGAGTGGCGCGCGAGGACCATCTGGTGCAAGTCTAGCGCGGACAGCACGAGGGACGTGCATCGGCAGTGGTGCGCCCCCGCCACGCCGACAATGCCGCGGCGTAGTGCGACGTGGACCGAACCGACCGGCAGCCGCGAGCGGTCGCCTGGCGCGTCGAGCTGTGCTCACGGTGTCACGCGACAGCTCCCCGGCACTGACGATGAACTGATGATGGGTTCGGGGTCGACGTCCAGCGCACACTCAGAGGCTCTTTTGGCGGGCACCCCCGAGCGCGCGGTGTGCGGCTCTGGACGCGGCCTTGACCTCGGCTGCTACTTGTGCCTTGATGCTGTCGACCTCGCCCTGGCTGCTCAGCTGGCGGCGTTCGCACGCCGACGACACGTCCTTGGCCGACAGGAGCGCGAGCGTCGCCTCGTCCTTCGCAGCGAACGCCATCTTGGCGTGCTTGTTAGCCTGTTCGTCGTCCAAGGCCATCCGGAACTTCTCCGCCTGCGAGGTACAACGCAGCGATCGTGGGCTGCGCGCGAGACCCGCGACGACGATTGCCCGGCGTGTGCGCGCTGGGGGTCGTGGACGCACCTTCTCGGCGGCCTCCTCTGCGCGCTTCCTGGCCGAAGTGGCTGTGTCGAGGTGGCGTCTCGCGTCCTCGACGGCCTCGTGCGCCATCTTCGCGGCGTTCTCCGCGTCGACAACCTTCAGTAGTAATTCGCGCGCCTCCTGCGAGCGGGTCCGCGCCAGCAGGGCAAGCTGCCGGCTCGACACTGCCGCTTTTGTTGCGCGTTGCAGCGCAGCCGCTGACTCGGATGACTTCGCCTCCGCCTGCGCGTCCCCTTGAGGGGCGCCCTCGACCTGTACCACACGTTGAGGTCGCAGTCGCTTTCAGCGTCGAGCTGCAGAGCTGAGCACAGCAAGTTCAATGCCACACCAGAAGCGGTTCGATCGCTAGATGGAGCGTCACGCCCCTGTCCGCCACGGCATTCCGTCTCGCGCGGGGCGGGTCGCACCTCTCGTTTGACCTCCTTTGACGCCTGCAGTGCGCGCAACACCGCCGCCCGCGCCTCCTCAGCGTGCGATTCAATGCGCCGCTCGGCCATCGCGGCCTCGGTCGCGATCCGGTGCGCCTCGGCCTTGCTCGTGGGCTGCGACAGCTCTTTGATCGCCGCCGCGGCGCGTTCCGCCTCCCGCTCCCGCTCCTCGGCCAGCAGGGCCTGCTCTTGCATCTGTGAGACGAGGCGCGCCAGGTTCGAGGGCGGCGGCGGGGAGATCGAGCGCGGGCTGGCCCGCTCCTCGCAGTCGGGGGCCTCGTCGGGGAGGCAGTCCGCGGCCCGCGGGGTGCGCAGCGGCGAGGAGGTTGCTGTGTCGCACGGCTCCTCCTGCGGGTGCGCGGCGTCCACGTGGACCGGCTCAGCACGCGGCTGACGCCCCCTCCGGCCTCGCCAGCGCGTCGTGGCCTGCGACGACGTACGGAACAACGCAATGTGCGGGTCGCGCCGCGGCGCCGAGCCTCAACCGCCGCGCCCACCGCCTTCGTCAGTGCTGCACTGGAGTGCCGGGCTGGAGCGCCTCGCTCGAGGGAGGCGCGAGGCCAGCGCGAGTGCACCGAAGCGGCAGTTCCGCTGGAGGACGAGCTGCCGAGGCGGCCCGCTCACCTTGTACGTGACCGCGGTCGTCACGAAGAGCGCGGCAACAGCCCCGCGCACTTTCTCTGGGACGGCGGTTAAGAGGACCGCCGCGTGCGCGAACGGGATGGCGAGAGACGCCATTGCGGCTCTATCTCGGCTCCCCGTCACCCCCGAGTCGTCGACGAGGCTGGCAGGCGCTGTCGCCGCCGGGCGAAATCAGGCCAAGTTGTAGTGTTTCACCGCGCGCCCCCAGTGCACAGCGGCCTGGTGTGACATGGCACCATGTTGATAGTTCGCCAGCCTGCCGCCTCGGCGGGGCCTTATTTCGGCTCCAGGTCAGCAGGGCGGCCGTACCGGGGGTGTCTCACGCGGTCGAAGCACTGTCAGTCCCGTGGCTCGGATGGCGCCTATGCAGCGATGTTTGGGCCTCGACAGCGCCCGCATGTGGCTGTACACTGGGTGTGGTGCACCTGTCGCATCGTTCCGCGAGCAGCCGCGGAGGACACACGCGAACATGACTGCGGAGAACGCCTTGCATGCCTGCCAGTTCTCGCAGTGGTACCCGATATTCGTCAAACACGCCCTCAGGGGCGAAGTCATCACGCTGCCTGCAACATTCGTCAAGTACGACGCCTGTTCACCCCATGCCACCGAGCGAGGTGCATTGGCAGCTCTCGCGTGCTCCTCCCCGCGCCTGCGGCGGGCCATGCATGCGCTGACGCCGCAAAGGGAGCGCACCAGATCACCGCACATCGCGACCTCGCGTTCTGTGTTGTGCGAGGCGGCCACCTTCGCGTTTCCGGCTCTGCAGATTCCTCCTTGCGGACGGCGTCGTCGTTGGCGATTCCAGCCGGGCGATGCCGGCGCTGGGCCAGGACGATCCGCACGCATTGGAAGACGAGTACAGGAGGGATTCGTGGGGCGACCGGGCGACGGGGAGTGCGCGGGGGGGCAGCGACCACAGCAACCGGGTGAGTGGGGATGCCTCCGACCGGAGCTCCGACGGCGCAGAGGCGGCGGGATTCTTCGACGCGCACCCGCAGATCGAGCGCGCGATCAACGACGCAGGTGAGGAGTCCGCGAGGGACCTGCCCGGAGACGGGTGAGCCTTGCAAGACGGTTGTGTGCCTGGCATCTCACCAGCGCGAGTACGGTGCGTTGCCTGCGCAGTGAGCTCGCTCGGCGGCAGCGTATTCCCGAAGGCCGGATGGTCCGCCCCGACGGACGCCACGTGGCTCATGATGTCGGGCCAGGCCAAATGCGCCCACGCGGATGAGATCGCCCTGCTGCTGAAGAGCTCGGACAGGGTGGCGCACGACCTGTCCCTGTGCCAGCAGGTGAGCCGTGCTCGGCGCGCGCACGTCCACCGGCGCGGCGCTGTTCGGTGCAAGTGTGCCATCCGTCTCGCGGACTTGCATGTGCACACGCGAATGGCTCCGGGCCCCTCTGCAGGGCGAGGGGCAGGCTGCACTGGTGCTGAAGGAGTGGTACGACCTGCGCCCCGAGCGGGAGTTCCGGTGTTTCGTGCGCGGAGGGCAGCTGGTCGCAGCATCGCAGCGCCACATGACACAACACTACCCGCAGCTCGAGGTGCGGCGCCCCGCGACGACATCTCGGCCTGCGCGACCCCGTCAGTCCCGCGCGCCGCCGACCCGTCCCCGCCCTCCGGCGCGCCGCAGGGTCAGGAGCGAGAGATCTCCAGGCAGCTGTCTGCCTTCCACGACGATGTGGTGCGGCCGTCCCCGTTCCCCCTGGAACACTACTGCTACGACGTGTACCTCCTGCCCTCAGGGCGCGTTCGCATCCTGGACTTCAATCCGTGGCGCGGCACGTCCGCCGCCCTGCTCTTTGCGTGGGAGGAGCTTGAGGGCCTGCGCGCCGACAGCGGTGAGCCCTCGCGCAATGGACCTGGTACCGATGCCCCGCACCGGGCAGCCGATGCCTGCCTTGGCGCGGGCTTCACCATCTCAGTGTGCGGCCGCGGTCCTCTTTTGCGCTGCAGGCGCGGGCTGCTTGGTCCGCGTGTCGGACGGAGAGGGGATCATCCAGCCTGGGCCGCAGTCGCTGCTTGCCGTTCCGTACGAGTTCGCGTCGGCGACGAGCGTGCAAGACATCCTGGCGCAGATGGAGTCCGCAGCACTCACTGATCAGCAGCAGGGCTGACCGCCCAGCGCGACGCCCAACCGACACCGCAGGCTGACGTGTGTCCGGCGCCCCTTGGTGAGGCGTTCTGAGCGAAGCACGTCTGCACAGCGTTTTCTCCCTGGGCGGACCGCACAGTGCCAGCTGCTTGACTGGAGCTCGCTAGAGACGCTTGTCATGCGCTGACCTACAGGCACCCTCGCCGCGAGGATGCTTGGGCGACCGAAATGGTACGGCAGACGAGACTCACACAGCAGACAGAGTAGACAATGTGAGCAGTCATTCACGTCGTACACATCTGCACGACGGTGAGACACTGTGGGGATCGTTCAGGAAGCGCACAGCGTGCTGCGTGAGTCTCTGAACGACCCCAGGTGACGACGGTCCTTTGTGCCTCGGTCCAGCAGCACGTCCAGAGTCAAACCGACATGAGTCAGTGTGCCAGTCCCCCCGGGGTTGTGTATCCACGTTGCCACCGCACCGCCGTAGGGGCACGGCTGCAGCTGGCCTTCGCAACCTTCTGTGTGTTCGAAGGGGGTCACGGGTGGAGAACGCGTCGGAGACAGCAAGCGTGGACCATTACTGGCGCATGGGGGCGCATGGCACTTTCGGTCCGGGTTCATATTCCGCCTACCCCATGCGATGCCATCGCCCGCAGTCCTGGCGTGCCGGTATCGCGGTCAGGCCAGTTGGGCACCGATCATGTGCGTGGTCGCTACGGTGGGAAACGTTCGGCACAACGCTCCGACCTCTGACCAAGCAGGACAGCACGCTTGCCCGCAAGATGCTAGTGCCCCCTTCGCGAAACGTGCAACTCCGCAGCACGCTTGATCATCAGCTGTGCTGGCTTGCCGCGTCGCCGGGCGAGCGCACGTGTCAGGGGAGCAGACATCACAGCCGACGGCAAAATGGTTCGCCGCACGAGAGCTGGTGAGTATTTCCAGGCGCTCGGCGACGCACTCGAGGCGTACGGCTGACTGGGGTTGACGCAGGGTGCCCTGTTCCTGTGCTGCGGCCCGAGTCCCCCTGCTTGTGTAAGGTGGTCTCACCCGTGCGGGGGAGAGCTGCCGACACGTGCGGGGTCGACCTCGGTTGCAGCACATGGATGGATCGCTTCTGAGAGGGAGGGGAGTTGCGCACGTTGGAGGACGGCAGGTGGCGTAAGGAACATGCCAGCAATATGCGCAAGGCTCCCGTTGTGAGGGTGATTGCCAGCAAATGCTCTCACGTGTTTTGAAGCGAAGCCTGTAGAAGGGCAGAGGGGAGTGATTGAGCTCAACAGCTGCGAGGTCCGGTCGCGAAGACGCGGGTGGCGCAAGGTTTGGCAGGCGAAAATTTCCGTTCTGTCATACAGGTTCGACTGGCCGCGGGTCTCGAGCACGCTGGTTGCGGACTGTTGCCTCGAGGTGGGCTGGGCTGTGCGATGTACAGGGCTGCGCCGCGCACGGGCCAGAAAACCACGTTCGAGGGTGCAGGAAACCGGGTTTTGTCGGAACCAGCGGGCGGGGGGGGGGGTGGTCGATCTAGGTGTAGCTGTCGCGACCTTGTACGACGGGAGCGCTCCTGGGGGAGCCGTGGGGGGTGATGCGTGCCGGTGGGAGCGTCGCTGCCTGCCCTGGCAGGGGCAAGGCTGCAAACCTTGTGTGTTGGCGCCTGTCGCGACTGTACAGCGACCCCGGGCCGGCTCGATTCGGGCGAGCGCGGGGCCTCTCTCGGGCGACCGCAATACGCGTTCAGGGGCGGGGAAGGAGCGATGGGGCGGGCAAAAGCAAGACGCAGCTTTGCAGCGCACACCTAGGACGTGAGCGGAGCCAGCGGTTCGGAGGCCTATCGGGAGCGATCCGCCACGGGTCGCTGGGAAAGGGACACTGTTTGCAGGGTACGACTACGCGTCGGGGCTGCAATGGTCTTTGTGTGTGGGTCTTCACGAGGGCACGTGGACAGATGGGTCGAACGCGGCGGAGGGGGGCGGGGTGCAGGAAGAGGGGGGCGGGCCGGGGCGGGAGGGGGCGGGGGTCAGGTGGCGTCTTCAGCGGCGGCGTCGTCCGGTCGCGCCCTGCCAGGTGGTGGCCACCGCCAACGTCTCGCCGCCTGGCGTGCGGTGGCGCCTCGAGCGCTCAGCGCGTGCCGGCGCCCTCGTCGATGATCGTCTCGAGGACCGCAAAACGCACTGCGCCGGTGCCGCGGTTCGTGTCTCGCACGGGGGCCGGCATCTGTTGCAGCCAGCCTCTGCACGTTGAACGACGGCGGGAGTGACATAAGTTGCCAAGTGCAGGGCGTCGGTGGGATCAGCACATCGTCGATACGGTTTTCTGGGTCGCGAGGACAGGTAGGACCCTCCGCGCGGGGGGAGCGACTCACCCATGCTGCGCTCCAACAGCAGGGGATGCCATCCCCGCTGCGTACTGCATGTGGGCCGGCTGCTGGAACGTTCCGAAGGAGCCGGGCGCCTGGGATGTGAACGGCACCACGGGGGGCTGGAACGGTCCAAAGGCGTCGCCAGGGACCCCCACTCCGAGCTGGTGGTCCACAGCAGAGAAGTGCTGCAAGATGCGCCGCTGCTCCGTCGTCAGGCCTCCCGGGGGCGGCGCGCGCTGATTCTTGGGATTGTTGACGATCACTTGCACGTCGGCGCGGACTCGACAGGGCGACGTTGGTCTGAGACGAGTATACGCGCCTCGGATGGTCGGAACCATCGACTGGGGGATGCCGCCCAGCATGTTCGCCAACGCGTTGCTGCAATCAAACGATAACGTCCAAAGCTTCGGTTCAGGGGTCGGGCGCGGCAATATCGCGGCGGGACACCCATGGGCGGGAGCGAGGCTGCGCACTCACGAGTACATGAACCAGCTCGTTGCGAACATCTGCCGGACTTCCGCGTGCTCTTCCTCGGGGATGGCGTCCAGAAAGCATGTCCCCACGATCTCATCCTTCGGGGTCGCGCACAGCTTCAGGCAATTGTTGCTCGCCCAAGCGATGGTTAGGTCTCTGGAATCGATCTCCAACCAAAGCTCCCGCGACAGCCCTTGGAAGGCAGCGAGTCCGCGCATGCCAGCGACGCCGCCGATCGCGCGTCGCACCGGCGGCGCGCGGCGCTGCGAACGGAGTTGCGGCTTCGCCCGCCCTCGGTCACGAACGCGGCAGTGCGCCCGTCGAACAGAGGCCTAGCCAACCCGCTGAGAAACGTCCAATGTCATCGATGTAGCGCTGTTGCGGCGTTTCGCGCGGGGAGGGTGGGCTGCGATCGCTGCTCGAGGCCGGTGCCCACTTAGGGCTCTCCGGCGAAGCACGGGTCGCTTATGGCCTTAGCTTGTGGCAAGGATGAGTCGTGAGTGTCACTGCTCGCCGCAGCCGACCTGCCTAGGCCCGATGACGCCAGCGGCAGACCAGGGCCGCGCACGAAGACACTCCACACGTGTTTGAGACTGTCCCACCCTAAGCTGCCCTAGGGCGGCACGCGAACGCACCGCAGCTCTGCAAGCGACGCAGCAACGGTACTACAAGCCACAGATACATGCCAGAAACGCCATTGGTGGCTCTGGGGGCGGCCGCGTGCGCTCCCGCGGGGCCTCGAGGCTTCCAGCCTTGGGCGCCGCGCCGTCGCGCGTCACGCCGCGCCGCCGGCCCTTCGGTCGCCAGGGCGGATGAATCTGCCGTATACGAGGTCACAATGGCGGAGCGGCGCGTCGTCGCGGTGCATGCGTCTGGAACCGCCGCACCTAGGTTCCAGTTGAGTAACATGATACGGCAACGAGTCGGAAAAGGGCCCTGGGCGTGACTGGGCGGCCGGCGCGCATGCACGGAGGCACCTGCATCGCCGTGCCCGTGACCGCAAGCGCGACTTCCCGGCAGCCGGGTCGCCTGCATGACTTCGTGTGTGCCAACGTGCCGCGCTGTTCGCCCGGAGGGCTGCGCACGCGGACGACGTTCGCCGATGCACGGCAGCTGCCACGCACCGTGGACCACACGTCCTGCCATGTGCCGTTTAGCGTCCGTCGACGCGCGTTCCGCGGCATGCATACACTCAACATGGCTGATTCTAGCTCACTCACACGTCGACTCGTTGCGTCTGAGCAACGGCGGCCGCCGCGGCGAGCTGCACGGCGCCGTGGCCGCCCCGCTCCACCTCACGGCGCGAACTCCTGCCTGTTGTAGCGCCCCTCGTCGAACAGCGTGGCGCGGAGCTGCCGGCCCCCGAAGAAGCGCCCCTGCAGCTCGCCCACTGCGCGAGCAGCGTCCTCCTCCTTCTTGAACTCCACGAAAATCCGCACCGCCTCCTCGGGCGACACGCCGGGCGTGGTCACCTCGAAAATCACCACCCTGCAGCGCACCCGAGCAGATGTCGTGTTCCGCCGGCGCACGACGGGGCTGCGCGGGCTCGTGCGGGGTCGCGCGCGCCGCACCTGACCACCGGGCCGTACTTGGTCGCGCACTCGTCCGCGACCTCGTCCTCCAGCGACTCGTCCACCTCGCCTGGACCCACCATGTTGAGAAGCAGCGCCACGCGGCCCGCCGCCGGCGCGCTGCCCCGCGCTCGGTCCGTGTCGTCGCCTGCGGGGGCCAGGCCGGCGCGTCGAGTCAGTGCGGGGCCCCGCCTGGCGCGCCGAGCTGACGCTGGTGACTCATTGCCCGTGCGTCTGGGTGGGCGCGCTGGACATGAACGCGGGGGCACGCACCGACAGTGACGACCCCGTGCACGACGCCCGTCTTCTGCATCATCAGCGGCGCCGTGATGCCCTGCCGGTTGCGTCCGAGCCCCTGTCCCTCCTTCCAGCCCATCTTCTGCATCATCTTTTGCGCGAACGACACCCCCCCGCCGCCTGCGCGTCGACGGGCGGCGTGAACACGGGCTCACGCGCCGCAAGGGCGCGAACATCGCAGCGGGCGCCGCTCACCCTGCAGGCCCCACGTGAGAGCGCGAGGCACGGCGTCTCCTCACCTGTTCCTCCGCCCGTCGCTTCCGGACGGGCAGGTCCCTCGCCCACCGCAGGACCCGCCATTCCGGGACCGGGTGGGGGGCCCATCGTCGCAGCAGCTGCCTGCGGCGGCGCAGCAGGCACCGGGGAGGCAGGGTGCTCCGCGGGGCCTTGCACGGCGCCGCGCAGCTGGGCGCTCTCGCGCGCGGCACGCAGCCGATCCCGCGCTTCGTCGAGGGCGCCCTTGGCGCGCGCCTGCTGCGCCGCGCGAAGGGCCTGCACGCGGGCCTTCTCGCGCTCCTGCAGCGCATCGACGCCGACGGGCGAGGACGTCGGACGGCGCCGCGGGCGACTGTCGCCCCGGCGGACGGCGGGGAGACCGCGGCCGCGCGCTCAGAGCACGCCCCCCGCCAGTGTGGGCATGCAGGGACGCATCCAGGCGAATGACGAACGGATGCGGGCGGGTCGAGGCCTCGGGCGCCCGGGTTTGCGCAGCCACGCTGTACGTCGGGCATCTGGGCCCGCCGGCGGCGCCCGGCCGGCGCGTGCCCCGCAGCCCAGTGGCACACCTCAATGCGGTTGGTGTAGCTCGTGGGCTTCCATGCGCTGTACGGCTCCCGCCGCACTGGCTCGTCGAACTCATCCTCCCAGACAATGCGGTCGCAGCCGAAGCTCGGCAACTTCATAAGGTCGAGGGCTGCTTCGGAGCCACCGGCAATCTCCCGAGCAGGAAAGACGTGCGGCTGGTGCGCGGGAGTCACCGCCGCGAGAGCCGACGCCGGAGCCCTGGACGCAGTGTGCCGACCTCGTCCTCGCCCACGAGCTTGCATGGGCACAAACGCCGCAGCCTGGCCAGCCAGGCGCCCCTTGGTCGCCCATCCCCCCTGCGCGCTCGCCGCGCTGCTGTCGCCGGCGCTGCCTCCCGACCGCGCTGCGGGCAGGTCGCCGTAGAGGTCCATGTGCAACGTCCAGGCTACACCTCTTCCGTTGCGGGAGCTCAACCCAGGCTATCTCGCGCGATGCCTGCACCGGTGCGCACACGCCTCGCGCACACCTCGGTGGCGACGCCAACCACTGCAGTTCGCCTCACGTGAGAGTGGCAGGCCTGGCGACGGCACGACGTCGTCGAGACGTGTCGCCGGGGCTCACACCACCCTGGTCCAGGGCGAGGCCTCCGGGGAAAAACATGAACTTCAAGGCTTCTGCTCAGACGCCGCCCGGAGGGGCCCGGCGCATGGAGGGCGCGTCGAGCGGGTGTCCCGGGCACACCGGAGTGCGACGCCGCGGCTGTGTAGGGCGTGGCGCACGGACAACTCGCAGTGGCCTCCTGGTGCCCCCCCCGCGCAAGCACGGGCTCCCTGGCGGCGTGCGGGCGCCGAGCGGAGCGGAGACAGCCGGAGCACATGCGTTTCAGCTAGGAGGAGGATGGCCATGACGGCGGAGATAATGCCCGTGCAGGTCCCGTCGGGCGCTGCTGCGCACGGCGTGGGAACCTCGATGGCCATCGACACCTCCCGGCTGGCCGTCCCGGAAGGTCGCGAGCGGCAGTCCCAGACGGAGGATCATCCCTTTGCCAGGAACGGCGCCCACACGACCGAGGAGGTCCGGCAGGTGGCGCTGGACCTCGGTCTTGACCCCGTGTACGATGCACAGCACATGTACCTCTGCGACGAGATCCTGAACGCGAAGTGCCCGCGGGGTTGGGTGGAGTTCCGCGATGCTGACGGGCTTCCCTACTACTACAACGAAGGTGCGCCCCCCCCGCAGCGGCCGCCCACCCGTAGCACCATGCAACACCTGCACCCGCCCCACCGCACGCGCGGCGGGGTGTGGCCGCCCTGCGGTCTGCGCACCACGGTCAACGTCATCCTGCCGTACCGCAGCGATGGCCGCGCGGGCCGTCAGGGGGCTTGCAGCTCTGCGAGCGGGCCGTGCATGTCCCACCATCCCGGGTGCACGGCCGCATCTCGTGCCTCGCCCCTTGTTCCACGCCCCGTGCCCCCCCGACGTGGCGTTCCCTCTCTGGCTCGCTGTGCAGCCACGAAGGCCACGCAGTGGGAGCACCCCCTGTTGGACTTCTATCGAGCCGTGGTCTTCATGCTCAAGGGTGGGGCGGAGAAGCTGAAGCAGGCAGCGTTCAAGACGCCACCCACGCCTCTGGAAGCGCGCGACATGGCACAGTACCTGGGTATCGACCCGGTCAAGGAGCCCGACCTGGTCGACATCGCGAAGGCGGCCGTCAACGCGCCCCTCCCCCCACAGTGGCAACAGGCAAGCGCCGCTCCCTCCGACGCCGCGCCGCCCCGCAGCGTCGCGCGCCGCCCGCAGGCCCGCCGCCCCCCGCGGCCCACCGGCGCGCACGTCCCGCGCGCTGTGCAGTTCGAGGACAACAACAGCAACGTCAAGTACTACAACTCGATCACCGGCGTCGAGGTGTCGCACCACCCGCTCGACGGGTACTTCCTCGAACTCATCCGCCAGCGGCGCGCGGAGCGGGCCGCCGCGCCCGCCAAGTCGACCGCCGTCGAGCCCACCATCGCCAATTACCACAAGTAGGCCCACCAGCCGCGACACCCCGCGTGCACGCACCCGCCTCCCACGCACCGCGCGCCGCCGCGTGCTCACACGGTGGCGCTGCGACCCCCGCAGGCTCGTTCCGGAGGGCCGCCCCCCGCTGCCGTGGGTGGAGTTTCTGGACGGTCAGTCTCGCAGGGTGTTCTACTTCTCCTTCCAGGACGACACCATCACGTTCGTGCATCCGACGCTCGTGGTGAAGCGCACGATCCGCGAGGCCGCGGCCGTGAGGTTGCAGGCGTGGTGGCGCGGCCACATGGTGCGGCAGCGCCCGGACCTGAAGAGCCGCCTGCCGTGGCTCGAGGACGCCGAGCGCGCCCGCCGCCTCGAGCAGGCGCGCAAGGCGCAGGCCGCGCGGTCGCAGGTGGCGGCGGTGCGGCAGAAGCGCACCGAGGAGGCGGCGCTGTCCATCCAGTGCGCCTTCCGCGGGTTCCGCGACCGCAAAATGGTGGCCGAGATGCGGCACGAACGCGCCCTGGCGATCATCCAGCGATGGTGCGCGCCCGTCGCTGCAGCCCCCCCAACCCGCACCGCCCTCGCTCAGTTGCGTGCTCACTCAGACTTTCTTGCGTTGCGGTGCCTGCGCGTGCAGGTGGCGCGGAGCGCTGGCGCGGCGGCAGGCGGCGAAGATGCAGCAGCAGACCCGCGGAGCCATCATTCCGCGCCTGCCACCCCCGAAGCCGCTCCCGTCCCTGCCTGGTCTGTCTGGTGCCTCGGCCACCAGCCTCCTGGAGACCATTCAAACCACCGTCCTGCGGAACATCGCGGCCTACGTGGTACCTCCCGCATCGACAGACAGTCCCAGCGCGGACCTCCCCGCCGTCCCGGCCACGGCGGCAGAGCTGCGTGCCTCGTTGCCGCCCGCCAAGCCGCCGCGCGCTTGCGTCGCCATGGAGACGCCGGCGCTTGCGTCCATCTACGCGCCGCACGAGCCGACGCCGGAGTCGTCGTACAGCGTCCCCGTCGCCGAGGCTCGGCGTGCGGGTGCCACCACCGCACCGCCTGGGGAGGAGGCTGCCGAGGCCGCCCCCGCACCCGAGGCGCTCGGCGACGACCAGGGCGAAGGGTTGTCCGCGGAGCCGTCTGCGGTGTCGGCTGCGTCGGGCGAGGCCACGGAGGGCAAGAGCCGTTTGTCGCGCGCGGGCAGCACCAAGGCCAAGAAGTTGAAGAGCAAGAAGAACCGCCGGCAGTCGGCGCCGGCGTCGCGCGCAGCGAGGACGCCGATCAAGACGTTCTCGGAGCGCGGCGGGCTGGGCGCGGGGGGCGAGGGGGACGGCGCGGGGGAGAGCAGTGCGCTGGACACGGAGGGGTCGTGGGAGTCTGGGATCGGCGAGGTGGACGAGATGCCGACGGTGGTGGAGGGCGTGGCGGAGGGGGAGTCGCCGGAGAAGCGCAAGAAGAAGAAGAAGCTGAAGAAGAGCGCGTCGAAGCTGAAGAAGAGCGCCTCCAAGGCCGGACTGGCGTCGGCGAAGAAGCGCCGCAGCAGCGCGGCGGGGCCCGCGGCCGCCAGCACGCCGGTGCTGGCGGCCGCGAAGGAGGACAGTGCGCAAGACGTGGGAGGGCAGGCACCGCCCGAGGCGCCAGCTGCATCTGCCCGGGCCAGTCAGGCCAGTGCGGCGGAGGGCGAGGGCGCGGCGCCGCGCGTGGAGGCCGTGCCCGAAGCTGCGCGCGAGCAGGCGGGATCAGCCGCCGAGGCGAAGCGCGCGTCCGCCGCCGAGAGCGCAGGGCCGCCGGCGCCAGATGCAGAGCAGCTGCAGACGCTGCCTGACTCGGCCGAGGCCACGCCGGTCAAGCCGGAGCCTTCGCGAGAAGACAGTCAGGCTGGGACGCCGCTCTTCGTCAAGACCGCCAGCCGCACGGGCCAGAGCCGCATGCTGGAAGAGACCCCTCCCCCGCAGCCTGCAGCGGCAGCCACGCGCGACGACGACTCGGATGGCGAGGACCCCGGCGAGCTGCAGGTCCTCCACGACGCGGAGGACAGTCCGGCAGTCGACGACGCCGTCCTCGGGGGTCCAGACAGCGCAACACAGACGCCCAAGGGCGGCGCTGCTGACCGCGCGCGCATGATGAGCCTCGCTCCGGAGGACAGCGGGGCGTTCCTGAGCGGCAGCGAGAGCGAGGGCGAGGACGGCCCGCTCGGCGCAGTGGGCGGTTTGGACCTGGACGCGGCGGACCTGAACGACGTGCTGGACGGCGAGCAGTCGCAGGGCAAGTTGGTCATCGACGACATCGGGGTGCCGGACGACGCGGAGCTCGAGATGGACGAGTCGGACGACGCGGACGCCGACGCGGACAAGGACAAGACGCGCGCGAAGAAGGGCAAGGGGAAGAAGGCGGGCGCCAAGGGCAAGACCAAGGCCGGCGCCGGCAGCGCGAAGAAGACCAAGTCCGCGGCGCCGACCCCCGCGAAGAAGGCGTCCACCATCGCGTCCACACCGGCGAAGAAGCCCCCCTCGGCGACGCCCGCCAAGAAGGGCAAGGCGGGGAGCGCCGCGCCAACACCCGCGAAGAAGAGCGCGAAGAAGGGCAAGAAGGCCAAGGTCGTGCCGGTCTAGCTGACTCCATGCGCTGGTGCAATGAGGCGAGGTACAGCTGTCACGTGTGAGGCGTGGGTGCGAGGTCAGCCGTTCACAGCATCTTCGTCGCTTCGCGTGATCCTGAAAACGATCATGACCTTGCCGAGGCTATCTAGAAATACAGCTCTTGCACGTGGCGGAGAAAGGGGGGGAATCTTGTCGTTCGCACGTCCGTTTCGACGTTGAACGAGGGTAGATAGCGTGCATAGGTCCAGCGAAACAGATCGCTCCTCCTCACTTGTGCGCCAGCAGGGCGGCCATGCGGCTGCTGGTCGTGTACGGAGTGAATTCGGGCTCCGGTGCGGTCACGTTCATGACCAGCGAGCTGTCTGTGCCATACGGCCTGGGTTGTTGCACCCTGGACCGCTCCTTCACCCCGCCCTTCCCTATCGTGCCGAAGTACACGGGATCGTACCGGAACCCAGCGTGAAAGCGCCCCGCGTACGTACCGTGCGAGACATCCTCGGACTGCGGGCAGATCAGGCAGAGGCAGGTGCTCATGAGCTTCGGCAACAGACGGGGCGGTAGGCAGGGGGGATCGGCGTGTCGCGGGGGCCCTCGGGCGATCACCTCGAGCGCACGGTTGAAGCGCTCGTTGTCGTGCTTCAGTCGTGGCAGGTGAGAGTCCCTGGCCGCAATGAAGTGCTCGTTCTGCGTGGCCGCGAAATTCTCCACGCGGTTCCTGTTGCCAGCGATGTTCGTGCACCTCCCAGTAACCCGCTGACTGGCCCAGTACTGGTCCTCTCCGTATGGTGTCTCGTCCACGCTGCACATCCAGACCAGCACAGGCAGGTGCACGTGAGATCACGCGGCGCGCCGTGCTGCGCGGAGACGCCTGATGCGCGCGCTGCTCGCGGCGCACGAGTGGCGCGGCGGCGGATGGGGCGCTGCTACTTACGTGAACGGCTGTTTGCCCAGGGGCGCCGATGTGTGGTGGAGGTTGCCCCCGTACGCGGAATGGCAGTGCGACAGATCGCCCATGGTCCCGCCGAGATTGACGCGCTTGTTGATCCCTGCCCAGCCCGATCCGGCGGCGATCTCTCCTCGCGAGCCCTGCATGGCAGTGGGTGACTTTGGCATCGACGTGAGACTGGCGGGTTGCCGGGTCATGCGGCACTTGCAAACGGTCTCGCACTGCGCCGCCCCGTGGCCGCTGCGCGTCCGCTCGACGACGTGCTTGCCCCCGGCTGTCACGGACACGGAAGGTGGCAGGGCGGTGGGGGCCGACCTGACGCTCGTGGGTGATCTGCGCGCGGGTCGGCCGCGAGGGCGAGGTGTTCGTCCGGCGAATCAGGTCCACGAAGGACACGCTCGCCTCGAGTTCGGGCGTCTGGGACGCCGTCGGATAGTCGGGAGTTGGCGCCGCGCTGTGCCCCGCGTGCTCCCCGTCCATCGAGGGCACCTGCGCGAGCGCGGAGGAGGCGATCGGTGAGGCGACGCGCCAGTGAGCGTCGCGGAGCGCGCACATTCGCGTGTTGCGGCCCGCCCTTGCGCCTCTGCTTCTGCCACCTGCCGGGCAGGAACAGTGCCGGCCCGTGTGCGGGGGCGGCGCGTGCGGGCGAGAACGGGGCTCCGCGCGGCGCACCTCTCGCGGATCGTCCGAGCCGCCGATCATCGCGCCCGCCGAACCGATCCACTGCGGCACGCTGCGCCGCTGCACCAGGTGAGCAGCCTGCCTCCCTGTCACCGCCACCGGCCGCTGCGGCTGGTGCCACCCGCCCTTCAAACCGTCCGGGCGCCTGTACTTTTCGTGCCTGCGACGCAAGAAACGCAGTCTGCGCGATCGCCACGCGCCCTCAACGCCGCTGGCACGGGTCAAATGCGCACATGAGTGCCATGGCGAGCTCCCCGATGATTGGGACCCCCGCGAGCAGACAGCGCTGTTCCGTCCCAGCTCCTGCGCTCCTCCTGATGCTTGTCGGCCGAATACGCCGGCGCGGGCGGTCGGCGCTCCGGCACTGCGCGGCGCGCACCTCACGATGGCCTTCTTGGGGCTGCGCTGGCTGCCGGCGAGCCGCAGGATCGACGCGGACGACATACTGCTGTTATCTGGCCTCAGCGTCATGGTGCTGTTCGCGAGCGTCGCGCCGTGCGCCCTCGCGCGGTCCTCCGCGCGCCTGCTGCGCGCGAGGGTCGCTGCGGACGGCCCGCCCTCCCACTCGTGTGGCCGTGGCTCCGACCCTCGGATGATCGGCGACGACACGTTCGACCCGATGAACGCCGTCGTGCCCCTCACGAAGCCCGTCGACGGCTCGGAGGCCCACGCGGCGATGCCCGTGGCCAGGGATCGCTCGGCATGCAGGGTCTCCTCCCTCGCTGCCCGGGACCCGGCGTCCACGAAGCGCGACGTCAGCCCCGGCGACTTGCGCTGCCGCCGCGGACTCGCCATCGCGCACGAACGGTGTTCCGGTGCTCCGGGGCGGCCCGGAGCGGCTTCGCCCGGGGAACGTGCGTCGCCTGGACACTGCCCTACCTACCTTCGACGCAACGGCTGCGATGAGGCCCTGCGACACAGGCTGCTCGCGCGATGCAGGTACGCCAGTCTGTCCGGAGCACGCCTCACAGCGGCACCTTGCCGGCGCCCGCGCCGCGGCGCGACTGTTGACGCGGCCGACGCTGCGTCGCGTCTGACCGGCACAAGTGCACGCGTTTCCAGCGATCCCCGGCACCTCGCGCTGATGTGATCGCCCGGGTCGCGCCGCCGTGTGCGCGTGCATGGTCACTTGCGTGCGGTGATGCCGCGTGTGTCGGAGTAGAGAGCAGACGGCGGGATGCCCTCGTGCCAGTACGCCACAGCGAGCTGCCTCGCCCTGTCCCGGCTCATGCCCTTGAGCCTGTCCTGCATCATGGGCGGGTCTCCGATCATCTTGTCAGCGCGGCTGCGCTCCAGGTGGGCAGGCCCGAGCAGGAACAGTATCACTCAAACCGCTCGGCTTGATTGCACGCCAGTCGCGGCGCAGGGTCGAGAGCGCGTCACTCACCCACGCATCCCACCGGTTCCGCCCGTCGTAGTCCAGCCCGCCTCGGTCGGCCCACATGGGCTTCTCGGTCGCGACGTCTCCGTGCTGTGCCTGCTGCACGAAGCTGTGCATCACGTAGTACTCGTCCGTCCTGACGGTCGCGCCGCCCGGCATCGTCTGCAGCTTCCAGCGGAGGTCCTCGAACCTCGCCGCGACCGTCTCGAACTCCTCGTCGGGGTAGGACTTGGCGGGCTTGAAGATGCTGTCCACGCTGTCACTGGCGCCCTCCTTCGAGGCGGGCTTCCCCGCCAGACGCCGCAGCTGCGACCGGGCCGCTGCGACGCACACAGCCAGGGACGATGACGTCGTCTCGCTGTGCGTGTTGGCCGCCGCGGAAGGCTCGAGCGGGACCACATCGATACCGACCCTCGAATCCCTCAAAACATGGTCGTTGAGCCGCTCCCGCCGGGCACGTCGAGCTCACCACCGAGCTCCGACACAGATGGCGTCCTGGCGACGTGCGGCGCGATCGATTGGCGGTCGGGGCGCCCGCGCGGGTGCACTTCGACGAGGGCACAACTTGGGCAACACGAACATCGGTGGACGCAGGGCGCTCCCGCCGCCTCACCTCGCACGAGCTGTCTGTCAGGACCCGGCTGCGTCACCAGCGGCTCGGCCTCGGCCAGCGCCGCGGCCAGCGACGCCCCCCCGTCCCCGCCGCCCTCTGAGGCCGACGTCATCGCTGCCCGGAGCTTGCTGAGTGCCGCGGAAGCCATGGCGCACGTGACACGACGAATGTGGCCCCGACGATATACACGTGAAGTCGTCGCGGAGCTGAGCAGCCGCGGAATGAGTCCGCCACGACGCGTGCGCCCTCCTCGGCGGAGGCCCCGGGGATGTCCGACCGCCGTCGTCGGGCGGTCACGCGCGTCGCCGGGGCGCGGGCGCGCACAGCGGCGGCGCGCGAGGGCGTCCCCGGGCCAGTAGAAGGGTCGCTGGACGGGACGGGAGCGTGCAGCGGTGGAGCGTACATTCTGGACCCCCCATCATGGCCTCGCAAGTGGCTGTGGGCCCGGCGCCAGCCTGCGGGCTGGTGCGGCCGTCGCCGCGCGTTCCGGCGCGGCCCCACGTCGCGTCCTTTAGGCCCGTGGCCGCCCCGGCCGCTCCCAAGCACGCGCTGCAGCGCCACGCGCCGCGGCCTTGTCCCCGCAGAGTGACAATGACGGCAGTGTCCTCGGGCAGCGAGCAGACCGACGATGCGGTGCTCAGCGAGTACAGGGAGGAGCGATCGCCCACGACCGAGGCGGCGCAGCAGTGCAAGCGCCTGCAGGCGCTGTGCGAGATCCGGAAAATATTCACCGGGCTCCTGCGGGCCGAGATGCTCCTCGCCCTGCCCTCCCCGCTCCTGCCCGCCCTCCAGCAAGGTGCGCGCGCCCGTCGGCAGGGTGGTCGCAGAATGTGCCCGTTCCCGCGCGGAGAGGCCCCCGCGGCGGTGCGCCGGGGCGCGTACCTCCAATGTGCAAGACCCATCGGTCGGTGTTCCCGCAGACAAGGTGCAAGAAATGACCGAGGAGGAGCAGGAGGCCTTCGAGCGGGAGCGCGTGGAGACGGCGCTGGCCGACGTCGTCGAGATGAAGGTCCTCTCGAACGACTTGAAGCGCTTTTTGAAGGGCCCCTGGAAGGAGGGCGCCCCGCTCGCGTTCGAGGACAGGCAAGAGCCCGCCCGCGCCCCCCGCGGCACCACACGTGCGTGGTGACGCGCTGACCGCGCCGCAGCGCCCTCTCGCGGCCGCCTCGCGCCGCGCGTTTCTCAGCCAGGACCACGCCCACCTGAGGCTCCCAAACCTCATGCGCTGCCCCGCACCGCCGCGCGCCCCGCACCGCCCGCAAGCCCGCCGACGGCCCGATAGTAGCGCAAGGCCTCCGCGGGCCGCGTGTCGGAGTCACTCCGCCCGACCCGCTGCGGCCCTCGGGCGGGCGTGCACGCGGGCAGGATAATGACCACCCGCCACGGCGCCCCGCCCGCCGCGGCATTCCGCCGCCTGCGCGCCCTGCGCGTCCGCCCCCTCGCAGCCGCACATCGCGCGCGCCCCCCGCGCCAATCGCCCCGCAGCGACAAGGCCGTCCCCCGCGTGGAAGCCCGGACCAAGGAGCTCGCGGACCTCCTGCGCAAGCGCGCCGGGAAGGAGGTCGACGCGACCCCGCTCCTCCCGCCGCGCCTCGTGTCGAAGATGGCCAAGCTGCGCACGACGGACGCGTCCAAGGTGCCCAGGGACGAGCTGGAGGGGGCACTGGCAGCACCGGCGCGCGGCCAGGGCGCCATGCGCCGCCTCGAGGCCGCCGAGCGCGAGGTCGAGAGGTTCGTCGGCGAAGTCGTCCGGCCTGCGATAGGGAAGGCCGCGGAGGAGCCCAAGGTGCGTCTCGCGCGCCCCCCTGCCACGCGCAACACAGGCACCCTCCCGCTGCCGGCCCACCGTTCCCAAGTAGCCGTTCTCGCCCCGCCGCGACGCAGGAGTCCCTGTCGTCGGTGGCGGAGTACGTGTCGGGCGTGTGGACGCGGCTGAACGGCGGCGGGCGCGCACAGACGACCGCCGTGCACCTGGTCGACCTCCCGCGCCTGCGCGCCGCGGCCCGCGAGAGCGTCCCCGAGCGGCGCGGGCGGCTGGCGCTCGCGGTGGACCACCTGGACCGGCGGCTGCAGGAGGCGAGCAAGGAGCGGGAGGCGAAGGTGCGCCGCGGGTCGACGGCGGTGCGGGCGCGCATGGCCGGGGAGCTCAAGCAGCTCGACCGCCGCGTGGACATCCTGTCGCGGGCGCTCGCGGTGCGCACGCTGCAGCTCGAGCTCGACCACATCTACAGGTGCGACGCCCTCGGCGACCAAACATGCTTGCTGCCTGTCGCTCGTTGCGACCCGCGCGCGGGCCCGGGCGGCGCGTTGTCGACCGGCGGCGCCCCCGCGTCGCACGTGCAGTTCGCTGGAGGACGAGGGTCTGGACCTCGAGAGCCTGTGGCAGGCGGCGCGGCGGCAGCGGGGTCCGCGGCGCAAGTTCTCGGAGAGCGAGGAGTTCGCGCTGCTGGTGGCCGAGTTCGTGCAGCACGCCGAGGCAGTCGCGTCGATGCGCGACCTACGTGAGCAGCCCCCCCCCCATGGCCGTGCGAGCGCGTGCGAGGCGTCGCGGCGGCAGGTCTGTCTCACTTGTGTCGTTGCTGGTCTGCGTGCAGTGATGCGCGGCGAGGTGTCGCTGGTCGACGAGGAGGTGCTGATGAAGATGACGGTCGAGGTGCCGGACCTGCGCGAGCGGCTCGGCATCCCAGACGCGGCGGTGTTTGGCGGCCAGGGCATCTCCGTGACCAAGATCAAGCTCAAGGTCGAGGTGCGGGCGCACGAGCACCGCGGCGCGGCGCCGAGACACCAGGATACGCCGTGCGTGCGCGCCACGGGCCGACGCGCGCGTCCTGCCCCCCGTGTGTTGCAGGAGTCGACGGGGAAGGTGGCGGAGGGCGGGCTGTTCCTGCTGCGGGGCGTGCGGATGCTCGGGTCGGACGTGGGGTCCGCGGGCAAGCTGTTCGCGAGGGCGGCGACGGGCACGTCGCTCAAGCCGCGCGAGGTGGCGGCCCTCCGCCGCACGGCGCAGGACCTGCTGGTGTTCATTCCGTTCGCCATCATCCTGATCGCGCCGCTCACGCCGGTGGGGCACGTCCTGATCTTCGGGTTCCTCCAGCGGTACTTCCCGGGCTTCTTCCCCTCCCAGTTCACCCAGCGGCGGCAGGAGGTGATGATCAAGTACGAGGAGCTCAAGCGGCAGCTCGAGGAGGCGCAGCAGCAGCTGATCGACGAAAACGAGAAGATGGAGCTCAGCGCCGCGGAGGCCGCGCTCAAGCGCCTCGTGCCGTACATGGCGAGCGCGGGGGGCGCCGAGGACGGGCTGGACACGCCGGCGTCGCGCACGGTGCGCTCGCTTGAGACCATGGTGCAGCGCGCGGCGGACGCGAGCTACGGAACCGTGAGTGACGACGAGGAGGACGACGAGAAGGAGAGGCAAATGGAGGCGAGGGGGCAGAGGGAGAAGAAGTGAGCGCAGAGCATGCCACGCAATGTGACCCAGACCACACGCAACGCGCGACCGACGCTGCTCGTTCGGCGAACGGGCGTGGCGGTCCGCAACGCATCGTGCAGCTCCCTCGGGCCGGGGGCGCGCGAGGCGGCCGCCCGGGGCGTCCGAGGCCTTCGTCGATGGCTGCAAGCACCGCGACGTGGTTCCGTGAACGCACGCGCGCGAACTGTGCCGCCGAGGCCTTGCCTTCGAGACTGATCGAGACGGGGTGCGAGCTGCGTCGCAAATCGTCAGCTGCGTGTCGCGTGCGGGACCTCGACTGAACAGCAACGTGCACACATGAACGTTCCTCCGCACGGCGCTCGGAACGTTGGGCACGAAAATCCCTTGACTCTTGAGCGTTGCCCTCGCGCAGCGGCTTCTGGACGACGCGTTCCGTCTCGCGCGATGCACGGACGCTGGTTCCCGCCGTTGTGAGTGGAATCACTGCACCCTGTGTGGGCCGCAATCCAGCAGGCTGCATGCGACGGTCTTCCGCTGCGTCGAGATCGTGCGGTCCGCGTCGCTGCAACCTCCTTGCGATCCGACCCCCCCTCCTGTGTTGACGCCCCCCCTGACCCTGGCCGCCAGCGCGGGCGGGCTGCGAGGCTCGGGTCGCGGATTCCCCCTCTTCGGATGGAGTGCGCGCCCTCGTCCGACAGAGTCTACGTGCAGCGGCCGCAAGGTTCTACAGTACCGATCGTGACCTGCATCGAGAGCGCCGTGCTTCTTTAGGTTAGAGGGGAATCCATTCCGGGCTGCCAGGGCCGCTTCTACGACATCTCGGTAGCGCGCCGAGGAGAGAACCTTTGCAGGGCGAGGTGCCGCGCGTGGACGGCGTCGCTAGGAGGGCGAGCATCGCGGGCGACGAATCGGGAACAGCCTTGAGCTGGGTGCGGGCTTCACGCGGCAAAATGTCTTCCGCGTCGGAGAGTCAAGCGAGCCTGCTGCTCAAGAAGCAGCTCAAAGGCAAGCTACCCGGAATCGAAACGCCTTGCCGGCCGCGGTTTCGCGGCGGCGCGCACATGCAGTGGGCTGGGGCCGCTGAGGCGCGGGATTCGCAGCAGTGGATGCATGCCCTGTCCAACGGCAGCAGCGCCTCCGCGCACCTTCGCGCTTCATCCTCATGCGCAGCGGCTGCGAGTTTCGCCAGGAACCCGCCTCGACACTGCTGTGGGCCGTGGTGCTGCCAGGGGCGCGTGAGACGTCCGTGCAGCTCCCAGCGTGGATCTGCTCGCCCATCGCGACGACCTCGGCCCTGTGCGACGCAGAATTGATGAAGAACCCCGTGGACGGCTTCTCTGCGGGGCTCCAGGACGACAATATCTTTATCTGGGAGGTCTGCATCATCGGTCCGCCGGGAACTTTGTAGTGCGTGCCCTCCCCGCCGCCCGCCGTGCACCTCCCTGCGGTCACCCTGTTGTGGCGGTGCTCGCGCCGCCAGTTGCGCCGACGACGCGCCGCACGCGCTGGCTGATAGTTCACATCACTTGGCGGCGCGCGTCGTCCGTCACAGGGCAACAGCCGCCCCTTCAGACAATCAAGAAGTTATCCCATGAGCCAGTTGATCGCCCACGCGCAACGAGGCCCCGCTCCGGTGCCGCTCGGGCCCGCCTCACACACCGTCCGCTTGCGCCCTTGTGCAGCGAGGGCGGCTTCTTCAACGCCATCATGAAGTTCCCCGAGGACTACCCGAACCAGCCACCAACGGTGCGGTTCACGAGCGAAATGTGGCACCCCAACGTGTACAAGGACGGGCGAGTGTGCATCTCCATCTTGCATCCACCGGGCGACGACCCCCACGGCTACGAGGTGCGCCCGCGCCAGAGGTTCTCTCGCGACCTGCCGCGCGTCAGTGGGCACGGCGGCCGCGCGGGGCCGGGCGCAGCGGCAACTTGCGGACGCGTTGCATTGCTCTGACGCGCGCAGGACGCGGGGGAGCGGTGGCTGCCCATCCACACGGTGGAGTCGATCCTGCTGTCGATCATTTCCATGCTGTCGGGCCCGAACGACGAGTCCCCGGCGAACATCGACGCGGCGAAGGAGTGGCGTGAGGCCCGCGAGGACTTCAAGAAGAAGGTCGCGCGCATCGTGCGGAAGAGCCAGGAGATGCTCTAGGGCGGAGGGCGACGGACGCGAGGGCGCTGCGGGCGGGCCGTCTGAGCGGGAGCGGCCGGAGCGTGCGGCGATGTGGGTGAGGGGCGCCGATCGATGTAGCGAGGTGTGACGCGCGGCGGGGAACACCGCGTCAGGGACACGTGCGGCAGTCGGCTCTGGCATTTCGTGTCTGCGCCCGCTCGTCTGCGAGGGCGCGCGCCGTGCGCGGTTGGCATGCAGACGCGGGAGGGTCACTTGGCAGGGTCACATCGCAGTCCCGCGTACAGCTACCATGGCGTGCCACTGAAGAGCAACCCGAGCGTCATGCACATGCCCTGCGCGAGGTGCCACTTGCACGCGACCACCTTGCTGGTCCGCACCCCCTCGGGGTTGTCGTGGTGCTCCTCGACCTGCCGACACAGCCGCGCGGCGAGCGGCATCGCCGCGATGGAGAAGAGCGCCGGGAACGGTGGGAGGTAGCTCAGCGCGACGAACACGCAGAGCGTCACGTAAAACGCCCTGACCATTCCCCGCAGCAGGCGCGAGGACTTGGCCGTGCCCAGGCGCACGATCGGCGACATCTTCCCCGCGCGCCGATCGCCCTCGATCTGCAGTCATCATCCAGCCTCGCGCACGGTCGGGGCCACGCGACCTCTGACCTGGCGTGGATGACTGCGGCACATGAGACATGAGACATCTGTGCGCACCTGGTGGAAGTGGCTGCACAGCAGGATGACCGTAGTCGACAGCCCGACGAGAGCCGACATCGCCCACACAGAGAGCGGGACGGTGCTGAACGGCACGCGCGAAGCGTCAATGCCGGCGTTCGCGAAGCACAGGTAGAACGCAGTCGTGGCCAGCGGCCCGAACGCCGCGAAGCACAGCGGCTCGCCGAGCCCGCGGTAGCTCAAACGAAACGGAGGCCCCTGCGGCGACACAGTGGGTGCAGAAGCCGGCGTTTGCACGCGAGCGCGGGCGTTGGCAACAGCGTTGGATCCATCCCTGTCAGGTGAACATCGCACGGACCTGGTACACGTAGCCACATGCAATCGCGGCGGCGAGCATGAGCCCGGCGATCGTCCCGCCAGACGACAGGACGGTGTACGAGAGCCACGCCACCCCGGCGGCCAACAGAGCATTGGCCAGCGCCAACACCTTCCCTCGACTTCCTGCGGCAGCGACACGTGGGGGGGTGCGTACATCGCGCCGCGATACACGCCGTGAACGCCCTGCGCGGAGAACGAGGACGCTGCCGCGCCTCGCCGCACAGCATGGTGTGAGACAGCAACGCGTCACTTCACTGCCAGCGCACCCGTCAGGTTGACCACGGACTCGGGCTTCGTAGCATCCACGCCAGTGTCCGTATCGAACGCGTCGTTGCTGAGATTGAGCCAGCCGATGATCATCGTGCTGGCGAGCAACAGATGCAGCAACATCATGGGCGAGAGCACGCCCACCGTCCAGCTCGCCAAACCGCCCCCCACAAAGACAGGCACCCATGCTACGCTGTACATGAGAGGCTTGACCGCTGCCATCCACAACATCCTCCGCGCAGCCGGCGAAGCAGGCCGCCCAGGGCCTCCGGAAGCATTGGCTTGGGAGCTCGACGAGCAGCCTACGGCCCGCCCGCGGCACCGCCGAGCGCCATGGGACCACCCGGCCACCTCGCGTGGAATGGATCGCGCGTGTCCCGGCGCAGCCGAAGGGCGCGAAGGGCGCTGGTGCTGCCGGTGGCAGCTGGCTGTTGAGCAGCGCAAAGCGCCAACAGCTGATGCCGCGAACGACATTCTGCCGAGTCCAAGAGCCCTCCAAGACCTACGCAGCTGGCGCGAAATCCAACTGACATGCAGCAATGAGCGCGCACTCGCGTGGCAGATCCCTGGACACGTCCCGGGGGCCCGGCGGTCCCTGAGGGCGGGGCCCAGTCGCACACGTCTCCTCCCCTCCCGTGGGCGGCACGATCGCGAGGCACATGCGCCGGCACGCATGGAGCGACTGATGCGTGCGGAGATGGCGGGTTCGGTGGGGAGCCGCGGCGTTGCGTCCCGGCGTTCACAACTTCCGCGCGAGCAGAGAGATGATTACTTGACCATCACGCGTGAATCGCGGACAGCGGCCCGTCAGACAGCTGTCCGTGACGGTGGTGCCGGCGTGCGGATGCGCGGGGGAGCACACGGGCCGTCGTTCCGCCTGCCCGGCGACAAGTCCGCGCACGTCGGCGTGGTTGCGAGCGGGCGCGCGGAGACCGCGGTGCGGCGCGTCGTGCGGGCCGTGATCACACGGCACCTCATCGGTTGTTGATTTCCTTCGGGAAGTGCGCGTGCGGCGGCCTGATCAGGAACCAGCGTTTGTTCTTCTTCCCGTCGCTCTTCAGGTAGTACAGCCGGCTCCGGAGGTACTTCTTCTCGGGCCGGACGCGGCCGACGACGGAAATGTCCTCCAGCCACGGACTGTAGAGCGGCAGGTCATACTCCACGATCTCACCCTGCAGTGAGCGCCGTCAGCAGTCATGAGGCTGATGAGGACGTGGGCTGCGCAACGACGTGTCCGCCGCGCCAGGACCAGCCCCGCAGCCGGACGCGAGCGAGGCGGCCGCAGCACCCTCGCGGCGAGCACAGGAGGTGGTCCGGGCGGCCCGGGGTGTGGGGCGTACGTCAATGGAGCGCATGAGGATCATCGACGTGCGCGGCCCCTTGTGACGCACGACTGCGCAGACGGCAGTGAACTTGAGCGGCCTGGACGGCTGCGTGGCGTTCTTGTACACGACTTTGACGATGTCCCCGGAGGTGATCACGGGCCGGTTGTGTTGGCGTTGCAACTCCTGCTCCCGCTCAGCTTCCAAGCACTGCGCGCATCAAGACGAACGGGGGCAACGCGTCCTCAGGTCCTGAAACATCTGTCGTCGAGATCAGGGTGTCGGGGCCGCACAGATCGCGCCGCTGGCGATCGAGCAAGTGGACCTGAGGGTGAACGAGGGTGCCCGGATGCGGCATGCGTGCCCGAAACCGCAGTGGCTCGCGAATTTCTGTTCGATTTCTCCGTGGTGACCAGACACGGCACGAACTCACGCATCAAAGCTCCGCTGGCGCGACGGGTGACCAGCTCACTCTGCAGGGTGGCTACTGAAACAGAAATCCCAGGCGGCGGTCACCTGCATCAAGTGTGCGGCTCGCTTGAAGTATGTCTTCCTCTTCTGCAGATGGCTAGTCGGAGTCCAAGGTGCCGCGGCTGGCGGGTATTTCCCCGAGAGAGGCCACTCATAGGTCGGGGCGCTCGATGCCTCAGGATTCCCTCGCGGTTCGCCGCTCGGGGCCGACGTGGATTCCCAGCGGCTCAACAAGGATGCTACAGGGGGCAGGTGCCTCTGCCAGTCCCTGCCGGAGAGAAGGGACGGCACCTCCAGCCTGTTGCAGAGCCGCCTCAGGTGGCAAGCCATGCTCCGCGCCAGGCAGGGGTCAACCTCCTTTCCCGCTCGCCGACAGGCCACCTATCGTCAGTGCGCCCGCCAACGCTGCTGGAGACGGCCAAGACATGTTCACGCGCGGTGCCGTACGGGACCCTGTGGAGACTCCACCCGAACAGCCGCTGACGCGCGGCAGGCAAACAAGATGCACATCTGCGCCGTCGCCCCCGGGCAGCAGGCTCCCGGCTGCTGCGGCATCTCGCAGCCACGGCGTGACGATGAGATCGCCCCCGCCCGGCGTTTTTTGTGTTGCAGCGATGCGGTCGAGGCAGCACGCCTCGGTCGACGCAGGTGGCTCGCGTATCGACGAGCACGGGCTGGTCGAGCTTCCACGACTCTGCGACGTGCGTCTTACATCGACGGCTGCGGTCCTGCATGCAAGTGTCTGTCAGTGGTATCTGCCGTCACTTGAACGGCGCTGCGCTGGTCTGCTGCGGTTCGTCATTCAGGAACGACGGGGTCTGCATAGCAGGCGTCCAGTCCAGGTCGGCTCCCGCCTGTCCGTACCGCCCTGCGCTCGTCCGTGCCACCGGGGATACAACTAGGATGAGTGCACTGGAGGAGGAGCGCTGTCCTGGACAGACAAAGCAGCCACGGCCCCAGAACGACCCGCACGGCAAGCGTCACTCACCGAGATCCGCCAGCCCGCCTCCAAGGTCGTTGGAGAACAGCGACTGCCCCACTGGCTGCGATGCCCCGAGGCCCACCGTGGTGGGCATCCCCCACCCGGACTTCGCCGTCGCCCACCTCTCCATCTCGCTGGAAGCGACGTCGCCGTTCAGGACGCCGGTCTGCGGCAGCGCCGAGGGCCCGGCGTCGGCGCCGAGCCCGAGGGTGGTCTGCGGCAGGCCCTGTCCAGCAGGCACACCTAGCCCACCAAACAGCCCCCCGTTGCCCGACAGCGGCCCCGACGCGCCGAGCCCGCCCATGAGGGGGAACTGCCCGAGCGGACCCTCCACGCCGAGCCCGGAGAGGCCTGTGGAGCTCGCAGGCAGGGGGTCGGGCGAGGCGGTGGCAGGCATGGCGGGGGAGGCCTGGGGCGGCGTGGTAGGCGGCCCGAGGCCATCCGCGGCGGACGCGCCCATCATGGCGCCCTTGAGATCCGAGAAGACGCTGTCGAAGACACTGGTGAGCTTGTCCAGCCCAGCAGCGCGCGGCTGGGGGGACTCCGTGGAGTGCTGCCCGAGGAGCCAGTCCTGGTACTGCTCGGCCGGCGCGAAGGCGCGGGCGAGGCCCTGCGGCGTCGACGGGGGCAGGGAGCGAGCACCGTGAGCGTGGCGGCGCTTTCCTGACAGACTGGAGCAACCCAGGACGCAGGGCCGCTGATACGCGACGGGCGTCGCACCTGTCCCGCTTGGTTGCCGTTCATTTGCGGTGCCTGCGGCGGCTGCTCCGGCTCCGGCTGACCCATCAGGGCGGCACTGGGAAGCGGTGGCAGTGATGGTGGGGACGGGCCGGAGGCCGCAGCGGGCGCGCCGCGGTTCGCGCCCCGCTCCACTCTGCAGTGGATCGTGGAGTGCGCCGCGCGGTCTGAACGCGCCCCGAGGCTGTTTCGTACCACGCGGGGAAGAGAGTGCGCTCAGGGAAGCTTACCCCTGTGGCGGAGCTCTCGCGGTGTCCTGCTGCACACGCGCGTCCTTGCCCGCGTCGACTGGCGGCTGTTGTCGGCGTGCGTTCTCGACGCCTGCTTCGCGCGCAGGCGGCTGCGGCTGCGGCGGAGGTGGCGGCGGCGGTGGGGGCGGGGGAGGCGCTTGCTGCCGCGCGTCGGGTTTCAGCTTGTCGGCGTACGGAACAGGTGCAGCGTTCGCCGTCGGTGGACCGGGCGGCGGCGGGATGTGTTTGCGCCAGTCCTTGTTCTGCACAGCACCGAGCGGCCATGTCGCATGTGTGCGTGTCGCTCACGGCCACGGGCAGCCGCGCGAGAGAAAGCGGACACGCGGAGCTCTCGCGCACCTTGTTCGCGTTCTCGTCGGCGTCGAGCCCCACGACCTTAGCCGCCGCCGGGGCTTCTGCCTTGGGCTTGTGCAGGTGGCGGCCATGCTTGCCGCCCGCGCCGTTGCTCGCGCGGCCCTGCTTCTTCCCCGCCTGCTCGTCCGCCGCCGCGCACGCCTCCTCGAACTCCTTGGCGGCCGCGTCCATCGCCCTGGCCAGCGCGGCCTTGCGCTCCTCCTCCTGCCGCTCCCGCTCCTCGGCCTCCGCGCGCTCCCGCTCCCGCTGCGCCTCCACCTGCTCCGGAGTGAGCTTCGCCTTGACCTTGTCGCGCTTGCGCCTGCAGGACACTCCGCCGCCGCAGGACAGTCGGGTGCGCGGCGGGGCACAGATGGGGCACACGACAACAGTCGAGGGGCCGCGCGGCGCGCACCTGCCCGCCTTCTGCGGCTGGGCGCCGGGCAGCGTGGTGGCGGTTGTTTCGACGGACCACTCCGCGAACTGCTCCTCCTCCTCGTCGTCGTCTTCGTCCGAGCTCTGCTCGAGCATGCTGCGCGCGGGGGGCACGCCGCGCCACCCGGTGCGCGCGCGGAAGCAGTACTTGGTGCCGGGCTGCAGGTCATCCACGGTGACGCGCTTCTTCAGGCTCTTCGACGTGTGCGAGAGCTGCCACTTGGCGCTCCCCACGGCCTTCATCTCCAGCTGCCAAAACGACCCCTCCGGCGCGTCGTCCGTCAGCCCGCCCTTGCGGTCCAGCAGCAGCGTGATGGACGTGTCCGTGCGCTTCTCCGCCGTCGGCCGCGGGAGCTGCTGGAGCCACCGCGCTATCCGCTGCTCCTTGGCGTCGATCTGCCGCTGCACCCGCGCCCGCTGCGCCATCTTCGAACCAACCTCGTCCGCCAGGTCCGCGTGGCTCATCTTCGTGCCCTCCTTCGGGGCGTATCCGTAGCTGCGCTGCCGGCCGCCCCCGTACGCGCCCTCCATGGCGGCGCGCCGGCACTTGTCACACTGCGAGGGATGCACCGCGGCGCAGGCGTGAGCACGGGTGCCGCCGCTCGGACGGCGCCAGCTGGGCGGCAGCGCGATCGGGGAGGCACTCACGTCGCAGTAGTTGCTCCCGAACGGCATGCCGCGCACGCCGCCGGCGAACAGTCGTTCAAAAAAGTCCATGAAGTTGCTCACGTCGGGCGTGTACGACTCGTCGTACTCCGACCCGTCCCACGACTCGTCGCTCGAGTACCCCTCGGATTCCGAGGACTGGTCCGGAGGTCCTGCAGGAGGGGGGCGGGTCGCGCGGGCTGTGCTGGTGGCGAATCAGTTGCTGCCTCCGCGACTCCCGCGCGAGCACTAGGCGCCCGTGTGTCTGGCGTGGGACACGGAACAGCTGCTCGTGAGATCGCGCACCTTGTCGAATCACCGTGAGCGCCTTCCGCAGCTTCAGGAAGACCTCGTGAGATTCCGCAGAGCCACCGTTCTTGTCCGGGTGCCTGCGGGGGCGCCGGAGGGCGGGGACAGTGACGGTCGGGCGCTATCGAGGTGGAGCCCCGCGCAGCAAGCGCGATAAGCCAGGGATCCTCGCACAAGCAGAAGCCGCGCGAAAACGTTCGTGCCCTTCCGCTGTTTTGAGCGGTGCGCCGGGCCGCGAACAACGACCCTGAAAGGCCGGTGCGATAGCCTCAAAAGACTCTGGGATGCAACATGGCCTTCAGGGGCAAACACTGGCGATCATGCGGGCTTCCACGCGGCGGCGAGGGCGGCCCCGCCAGAGCATCTCCTTAGGTCCAACAAACGGCGCTCGCGCACTCACCATTGCAAAGCTTTGCTCCTCCATGCCTTGCTTAGCTCATCCTGGCTACAGCCCACCTGCGGAGGGCACAGCGGGACGAATCGAGCTCTGAGCGGGCGCGGGGAGGCCGGAATGGGTCACCTTGAGAGGCGAGGAGCTACTTCCTGCCCAACACTAAGCCTCGTGGCGGACGCGCCGAACGCAGGGAGTGAATCGCGGTGCATAGATCTCTGACGCGGACCGGAAAACCACTCAGCGGCACCAGACGCGCGCGCAGCAACGCCACGCCTTGATTGCTCTCCTAGGCGTGTTCAGGGGGGCGCGGGGCCGCCTGTCGCACTCACCGGTACCCCCATAATCCTATGCGCCTCCTCCCAAGATATGCTGGCCGGCATCTTGCTCGACTACAGCGCTCGGCGTGCGTGTGACGATTCCTCTATGCTGCGGGGTGCATGACAGTTCCCAGGCTTTCTGCGCGCTCGATGTCGCCCTGTGTTCCGCTCGTCGCTGGCTATCTCGGCAGCGGCTGATGTGCCGCGGCCGCTGTCAGGGTTTCGCAAGGAGCCCGCCGCGCACGAAGGGTCGCTCGCTATGGCTGACTAGCAGGCTTCTACGTCGCTGCCGCGACGGCACCGCGGGGCCTATGGAGCGACGCGGGGCAGCGCACGAGCCTGTTCGCACCACCCTGGCCCCTCGGCTGCAGCTTGCGCGCGCTGCGATGACGAAAGTGCTCCTCCATGCCTCGCTGGCCAGGCCCGCACTCGTGCGGGCCACGAACGCCCCTAAGCCGGCGACCACCAGGCGCGTTTCGTCGTCCATGCGCGTCCCGCTCCCCGCAACCCGGCAGCCGGCACTCTGGGCGCCGCGGAGAGCCGGCGTCGTGGTGAGGGCTGCTGCGTCTGCGGCACCGCCCGAGTTTTCCGTGACGGAGTCGAAGGAGGGGCCTCGCGTGCGGCTCACAGTGACGGTCGAGGCCGCTGCATGCAAGAAAGCGTACGACAAGGTCATGAAGGAGATCCGCAAGGAGGCCCGCATCGAAGGCTTCAGGTGAGTGTGAATGCCGGCTTCCCGCCGCGCTCCCGGCGCGACCTCGCGCGAATCCCGGCGGTGTGGCGGCCCGCAGATGTCGTGAATCGAGCCGCGCGAGCTCGTCGCCGGACGAAGGCGCGGGTGTCCGCAACGCACGTGGGCGGCTTGCCCCCCGGTTATCCAGCCGAGCGGCCTGCGCGGTCGGTGGTCATCCGCAGGAAGGGCGCGAAGATCCCCGACCACCTCATCTTCGACCTGATGGGCGGGAAGAAGGAGGTGAACCGCTACTGCGTCGAGGAAATCCTCAACAAGTTCATCCCGCTGGCGCTCTCGGACGAGCACCGCAGCGCGGCCCTCGAGGACTCCGAGAAGGTGCGGCGGCCCCGCTGCGGGATTCCGGTCGAAGTCTCGCGGGCGCGGCGCGCGTGCGCGGTCGTTCCAGCTCCAGTGCAGCGAGAGGGCGCGCTGACAGTTGGGAGCTGCGCCGAGTGTGTCGCCGCAGGTGGAGACGCCCATCGTGGACCTGGCGGGCGCGTTCGGGCGGGACAAGCCGCTGACGTTCGTGTTCGGGTTCGACACGATGCCTGAAGTCAAGTGGGCCAAGTCGTACAAGGACATTGCCGTCCAGGTGCCGCTGCAGGGCAGCGAGGCCGAGGACAGGCAGAACGCGGAGGCCGAGTTCCGGCGGCGGCACAAGGACCTCGGGACGCTCGAGGTGGTCGAGGAGGGCAAGGCGTCGATGGGCGACGTCCTGGTCATGGACTTCACGTGCCTGCACGCCGAGACGGGCGAGGCCATCCCCGGCGCCTCGCGGGCGCGCTGGCAGTTCGACACCGAGGAGGCGTCCGCGCCGAACAGCCCGTTCCTGCCGGGCATCGTCGACGGCGTCGTCGGCGCGGAGGTCGGCAACGAGCGCGAGTTCGAGGTTGTGTTCCCCGACACGTGGAGCAACGCCGCGCTGCGGGGCGTCAAGGCCACGTGCAAGGTCAAGGTGCGCGGGCGGGGGGCGCAGCGGTCGCCGCGCTTGCTGGCACGGGCGTGCGGACGCGCCCGCCCGGCATCCCGGGCGGGGGGAGGGTGTGGTGCTTGATTGCTGGCTGTGCCGTCGCGGTTGTGGCGCAGGTGTACGACATTCTGAGGTGGACGCTCCCGGAGCTGACGGACGCCCAGGCGGGCAAGATCGTGGAGGGCGCGACGTCGCTGGACGAGGCGCGGGCGAAGCTGCTGGAGGCGGAGCGTGCGGAGACCAACACGCGCAACACGCGCGCGATCCACGACGCGCTGCTCGAGGAGCTGCAGGCGTGCGTCGACGTCGACATCCCCGACTCGCTGCTCCAGGAGGCCGGGCGCGCGGAGTACCAGGCGCAGCTGCTGGACCTGCAGATGAAGGGGCAGCTGGGGCCCGACATGCTGCAGCAGCTCGCGACGCCGGAGCGCTTCGCCGACTTCCTCCGCGTGCAGAAGAACGACCTGCGCGCGAAGGTCAAGGCCTCGCTCGCGCTCTCCGCGGTCATCGAGGCGGAGGGCCTCCAGGGCGCGGTCACCGACGCGCAGGTCTTGGCCGAGGCCGAGTCGCTGCGGCAAGAGTACCTCGAGCAAGGTGAGCGCCGCGCGCCCGCAACGTGCGCGCTGCACCGACGCCAGGAGGGCGCGGGCGAGACCGCCGCGCGCGAAGTGTGCCTGTGCAGGTGCGGGCGACGCGGAGCTGGAGGAGCTGATGGAGTCCACGCGCGACACGCTGTTGAACCTCGCGGCGATCAACCGCCTCCAGGAGATCTGCAAGGTCGAGGTGGAGAAGTAGGGGCTGGCCCGCGTGCAGGAGCAAGCCTAGCCGTGTGATGCATGCACTAGGCACTTGCGCTGGGTCGTGGCGTGGTCGCAGCGGCGCGGATCGGAGAGCGCCGCAGCGAGGGGCAGCCGGATCGGGGCTCCGCGTACGGCACAGCAGCTGTGCAACGCGGCTCCCGAAGCTGTCGTTGTGGTTTTGCCTGGCACGCACACAGGGGCCGCTCCATGCGGCCACGATGGCCACTGACACGAGCAGGCGCCACGACCGCCGTCAGCAGGCGCCGCTCTCCTCGGAATCAAGCGCATCTCGCAAGTCCTCCTCCCAGCGCGAACACAGTGGGATGTCGTACGACGCCCCCGCCGCTGCGTCCTGCAGACTTTGTGATTGCCCGTCGCGCCACAGTGGCATTGCGTCGTAGCTCGGTTGCCGCGCGAGTATCGTTCGACCGTGCCCGCGGCCATCGGCTGTCTGCGTCCCGAGAGGTTGCGCTGAAACGGATTGCACTCGCAGTGCTTCCAGGGCCGCGCTGCCCCCGTCCCTCGCGATGAAGACCTCCGCGCCGGCCGCGTGCCGCACTTGCCTGACCAGGTTGCGGAAATTTCAGGTCCGGACCTTGCGTGCCCCCGCACGAGGACGGCAGCGGGCTTCATGGTGCAGGGCAGCTGAAGGGTGAGGCCTTGCGATGAGCCCGTGCTGCGACTGGCGCCCGCGCTCGCCGCGCGCTGACCTTTGTGTGGCTGTCGTGCGCCGGGGCGCGTCCGGCGGCGGATGACCGCGTGCAGCCTCTCCGACGCCCCAAACCACCAACTGCACCGCTGACGCTCGCGTCCCTCCCGCTCGCTCACATGGGCAGGAGTGGGGCCCCGGAGGACAAGGACAGCGTCCCGGACTCACTGCCGTTCATGGGAACCGGCGCTGACTGGCGGCAGGCGAGGGCTGCGCTGGTTGCGTCGGAGAAGCAGAAGGATGGGTCCGCCAGGCCGATCGCGGAGGGAGGCATGTGGGCGCACGCCATTTCCAAGGCGGAGAGGGGCTGCTTGCTCATCGCCCATCCCCTGATGTTCACAGGTCCGTGCGCGGCCCCTGCGCGCGCCCTCTGCGGCTCGCGACCGCCTCCTCCCCATCTGGGGCCTGCCCGTGCACTCTCTCGCGCCGCGCGCGTGACGACGGCCAGCCTTTGCTCCCGTTCTTGCAGCCAATCAGACGTACTTCTTCCGAGCAGTGATCTTGATGTTCGAACACGACGAAGAGGGCAGGTGTGCGAACTGTGTCATCACCTGGATGCCGCGCCACGGATGAGCGTTCCGCGAGCACAGAAGATGCCGCGACACTCGCCCTCGCACTGCAGCGCTGGAATCATCATCAACAAGCCAACGCGCTTCACGCTGGGCTCGGTGGGAGGTGCGGAGGCCTTCCTCCCTGAGATGGAGAACAGGCCGCTGATGCTGGGCGGGGACGTCGGCCGGGATACGCTGCACTGCGTGCACACGTGCTCCGCCATCGCGTCGCGCGACGTGGGCGTCCCCGGCCTCTACATGGGCGGCACGATGCAGGCCAAGGAGGTGAGATGCGCACGTCGCCGACACCTCGCACACGCGCTCGACTTGACACCTGGTACCGCACGAGCGCTGCGCCTCTGCGACGCTCCTCCTGCAGGCGGTGCGCAGTGGCGACGCGCGGCCCGAAGACTTCAATTTCTTCACAAGGCAAGACCTGGCCCATTGCAAGACCTGCCCGCGCGCTGCCTCACACGCCCGCTACGGTGGCCGCCACGTGACGCGCTGTGCTGCGTGGCCGCCGTGCAGGTACGCGGGGTGGGCAGGCGGCCAGCTCGACGAGGAGGTCCAGGCCGGGGTGTGGTTCGTTGCGGCAGCGAGCAAGGAGGTTTGCATGATGGGCGAACACGAGACCGGTGCGATGCCCGCCATGCCGCGACGCGAACCGCTCCATCGCGCCTCGGCCTGCCTGTCCTCGGGCTCAGTTGTGCGCTGGTTTGGTGGCCGGTGTGCAGGGGCAGCAATGTGGCACAAGGTGCTGGAGCTGATGGGGGGGGAGTACGCAGAGTTGTCCGCTGCAGTGGCACAGGATTACGACAAGGACATCATGGAGGGCGACAGCGAAGGCAACTGACCCTGTCCGCCAGAACGCGCGCGCTCGCTCGCGCGAGCGTTGCCACGAGCCACAGAATTTGTGAGGGCGAAACGCAGCTGGCTCCGCGCTGGGCGTGCGAGTTCGCCTGCCTCGACTCGTGTGTGTGCCTGGACATGTCGGCGTGCATCTCCACCAAGGGACAACCATGGTGGCCGGCCTGGCAGCATTTCAACACATCCCATCAGCATGTGCTCGACAACATGCAAAACGCACGGGTCCCGCGCACGCGAGTGTCAGCGGGGCGGGGTGGCGTCGGACGTACACGGAGCGTCTGCCACGAAACCTGCGCGCCCCGGCTGCAGTCTTGTACCAACCGAGGGGAGTGCTGCTCCTGCTTTGCGCCACTCAGGCCCCTGTTGCACTGATTGGCGCTCGGAGTGACTTGTGCCGATGACTCAACGGCCTGCGTGTAGCGACCGGTCGCATTCAACACCAGCGCCCCGCTCCCATAGACCGCGCCAAGAGCCAGCACACACCAGCGCAGGTTGCGGATCCCTTGCATCCCCGGCAAGCAGGGATATTGTTCGGCCGCCGCATTCAAGACTCCATACGTTTCTCCCACTTCGGAACACTTGTTGCATCACGCAAGCCGCTGCCGGCGGTGATGCCGCGCCGCCGAGATGCACAGCGGTGAGCCACTCGACACGGGAGAAATCCTCGCAGGGCGCCCCGCTGCCCGCGCCGTACGCATCAAGCCTCGTGAGTCTCAGGGAGGTGCACCTGATGATAAAGCGGGTCCCGAACAACTCGGCGGCGGCCGGGACGGGCGACTAGCACCGGGCAGCAATGGGGAGGCGACGGGAACGGCCCTCCCGTCCAGTGGCATCGCACCGGCCGACACAGACATGGATGGACTGGCTGTTGCGCCGATGGTCGTTGGCGAGGTGGTGGAGAGGAACCCGTCTGCGACGCCCATGGCTGCACCACGGGAGCCCACCAGCGAGTCCAGCGCGAGAGTGTCGCGATTCCTGGCGCGCAAGCGGCAAGAACGCAAGCAGGCCAGCTCGATGCTGTCTGCATCTGGAGCGAGCGATGCGAGCCAGCCCAGCGGTCTGGGCGCCGCGCACGGCATCCAAACGTCCGAACCCTTCCAGCAGCCGTCGAACTCAACAGACCCGGCTGACGACCCAGCATTCCTCGCTCGCCTGAAGGAGGACAATGCACGGCGTCTACAGGGAATGTCGACGAAGGTGTGCCGCGGCCAAAGCACATATCCGGCCGTTTGCAACTTGAACGTCTGAGCTGCGTCGCTGCCCCGCGGCGGGGGCTGTCGACGACAACAGCACCTCGCTCTCTGCTGTGGCTCATCGCAGGAGATCGAGGATGCGCAGAAGGAGGCCATGCAGCTGCTGGGTGACTCGGCGAATTACTTCCTGGAGCGACGTGCAGATCAGAAAACAGCCGCCGGCGCCGCTGGCCCGAAGCCGATCAGAGCGCCGCAGAACGCCGCGGATCTGGGTAGTCGCTCTCAGTACCGCGCGACTGCACCGGCCCGCGCAGGACCTCAGCGTCGCCCGGGGGCCCGAGAGGGCATGCAACAACAGGACGTACCGCTGCCCATCGAGGCACGCGTGCGATTTGACACCGCGGGGCGGCCGATCGGCCTGGCGCCTGCGGTGATGATGCAGCCAGCGCGCGATGGCAGGGAGATCCCGCGGCAGCAGGGAGTGGCAGCGTTGCAGGTGCGCTCGCGCTCAGTCATGCCCGGGACCCGCGTGTGTGCCACGAGCGCACTTCCTCACAGCATGTGGGTGTGCACCTGCAGGCGGGTCTTGACCCGGAGACGCTGGGCGGCTTGGGCGGCTTGGACCTCACGTGTCCCCCGCAGGAGGTGCTGCAGCGCGACATTTTGCGATCGCAGGTGAGCACGTGCGAGAGCCGCCGACGAGAGCCGGCACCGCATGTCGGGGCGCGACCGACCTGGCAGGATCCTGCGCGCCTGCTGCCCCACTGCAGGCGGGCGTGGCAGACATCCCCGAGGGGTACACCCTGGCCGAGGCAACCGTGCTGGCGCGGTCGCAGTACCAGCAGCACCGCGTCGCCGCGATGCAGCTCCTCGCTGCGGTCCTCGCGCGCGCGCGACCGGGCCTTGGCGGCGGCGACCAGGGGCATGGGGGCAGTTTTGGTGTGCCAGACGAGCAAGGAAGCGGCGCGGTGACGCGAGTCGCGTGGGCGGGACTGTGGGCCTATGCGCTGACGGACGGACGTGTCCTGTTGACGGCGCGGCTCGCTATGGACGACGTCAGTCTGAACGTGTCGAGCCTCGCCACCAAGGTGAGTCACCTGACATGAAGATGGCATGGCGCTGCAAGAGATCCGCCCGCGACCCTGTTGGCCCGTCACACTGGCGATGAAGAACCACGTGCAGGTCATGGCTGCCGTTGTCGGGGCGCGCGACGATGTGGAGGTGACGGGGCTGCTGCTGTACGCTAGCAACCCTGTGGCTGGCGGCCTCGTACCGCAGGCACACCTCGAGAGAGGTCCGCCCACGGCCCGCGCCCGCCCAGCCATGAAAGTGCCCGCGCTGCGCTGATCTCACCTCTGGGAGTCACATTCTCTTGAGCGCAGGCAAAGGCCAGAGGTGGCGGTCTCTACCCGCCGAGGTCTGCCGGGCCTGGCGGCACCAGCCAGGTGGACCCGGCTGGAACATTCAGCGGAGCGGCACTGTGCTCCCTGACGAGGAGCAGCAGGGCCTCCAGGTACGCGTGACCCTCGGCCATTTGCACGCTGCACAGTGCAACCGTCACGACTCGACGGTGCTGAGCATGCTGTCCCACGCGCCCATCGCAGGACGAGGAGATCGGTGCGCTTGACCCGATCGCCGGGTTCATTCGCATGGCGGGGGTCCAGCGTTGTGTGTACCTGCTTCATGGCGCACACGCCAGCGCCGCTGTGGAATCGTGCGTGCGCTGCCTGCTGGCGGCGGCCCTTGCGGGCCAGGAAGGAGCAGAGCTGGTTGCGAAGACCCCGGGCCTGATCGATGCGTTGTGGTGAGGCAGCGTCGCGCAAGGCCTCCGTCGCCCCCTGTCGCCCTGCCTTCCATATCCGTCATCCTCGCCGGCCGCTCCGTGTCCCGCGCAGGATGATTGTTCACCCGCAAGCAGTGAAGGGCCTGGACGTTTCGGATCACATGTTGCGTGCTGCCCGCGAAGCGCGACCGCTCACGGCACACCTGGTGTGCGCCATCGTCGCCAACTCCCGCGCGGGCGCCAGGACCCTGCGAGACGCGGGGGTCCTGCGCGCAGTCGTCAGCTGGGCTGTTTCTGACCGTCCGGCAGATCGCTCCCCTGCGGAGCTGGCGGCTGCCCTGCGCGTCTGGCGGTTGTGCGCCCTGCAGGACGTGGAGGTCATGCCCTTTGACCACGCCTACGCGGGAATGATCCCGCTCCTCGCTCCCGACGTCCGTGAGATCCGCGAGCAGGCGCAGCGGCCCGCGGAGTCTGCGGCGGACGCGGCGTCGCCATCAGGGGTGGCGCCCTGGAGCGGTGCGGAACTAACCTTGTCAGCAGAGTTGTACCAGTTGCTGACGAGCCTGGTCTGGCAAGCGGCGCACTACCACGGAGATGGTGGCGGGAGGAGCGCCGAGGACTTCGACGCGGTGAAGCCGGGCACGATGATTTCCCCACGGTGCGCGTGGTCTGTGGCAGGTGCGGCTGCGGAGTGGCTGTGCGAGGAGGCTCTGGTGATCGACCGGTCCGAGACGGGAGAGCCAGAGCTGTCGTTTCAGCTCGACGTGGCATGGACATCCGGGTCAGCCATGCAGCTGATCGCTGCGTTCACGGCGTGGCGGGAGCGCCTGAACGGCTTGGCAACGCATCCAGTGGGAGGGCAACCGGAGTACCCGGGGCTCGCGGACGCCGCGGACCGAGTGGCGAAAACACTGTTGTCGGACACCCGCAGCGTCTGGGCCGCTGTGCTGTCGTGGCTGCGCAGGCTGTCCGCAGCGCTTGACGGTGTGTTGGTTGCCGCACAAGGCGACACACTGCTCCCGTGGATCGCCCTCGACAGCGCTACACGACGAGCCTGCGGGATGGCTGTCCATGATGAGGGCAGCCCGGCCCCGATGATGCTGGCGAGGGCTGCATCGGCGGTCATTGGCGCCGTCCAGATCTTCGAGGTACAAGGTGGCACGCAGACGGTCCAGGATGCCGTCGGCTCTCTCTTCGAGGTCGCATGCCCACTGCAGCGCACCCTAACGACGCTGTACCGGCGTCGCAAGGCCGCGCCGGCCAGCTTCACCCCGCGGCACGCGGTGTTCCACCAGGCGTGCCTGCATGTTCCGTGCTCGCTCGTCGTGCTCTGCGGAGTGCACGGCCTTGGTGGCGCCAGCAGAGAGCTCGAGCTCGCCAGGAATCTTATCGACATGCCGGGCCTGTTGCCGCCGGGCGCTGAACAGACGGCGCAGACGGTGTGGATCCTTGCGCTGAGGCGCTGGCGCCACATCTCGGCGGCTGCGGCCGAACTTTATAAGGCCGAAGTTGGCACGTCGCGGCAGGGTTCGCTCGCAATCGCACTGCGAGGGACGCGCGAGGGCGACCAGGCCTCCTCCGTCAGTGCGTTGTGCTCGTCGACATCGCCCGAGGCACTTCTGGCTGCGATCCAGACGGTTCTGCTCCAAGTCCCTGCTTCTACAGCAGTTGCAGAGAGGATACTCTCGGCTGACGCCAACCCGGCGACCACATCGCTCGCGCCGAGGCTGTCGGGCACGGTCGCGGAGGGATCTGTGTTGCCAATGGCTCCGGAGACGCTGCTGACGGTCGCTCTGCCGGAAGACCCCAACGAGAGGTCCGCATGCGAGGCTGCTCGCCAGATGGTTGCGCTCGTGCAGGGCCAAGCCTCGGAGGACCTGGCGGGCGCAGGACTGCGATCGCATTCTCTACAGGTTCTACTTGCTGTTCTGGGGGGTGTGTACCAGAGTACTTCAACTGACGGTACGGGAACCTGGAACCCTGTGTGGCAGCATCCCGCGGTGCGCGTTGCGTTGTCCGCCAACATCGACCTGCTCTCCGAGCGGCTGCAAACAACGCCAATGTCAGTATCGGAGGGCGACGAACTCGCGGCTGCCCTACACCGCGTCGAATCGATCGTCACGGTGGCCGCCACGGAATCGGCGGGGGACGATCTCCCGCTGGCGCACGTCGCCGTCCTCCTGCACCGCGCGATTCCGTGTCCGCTCCGCATGCGGGCCTTCACGTCCCTCGCCGCCAACCAGGCGCTCCGGCTCGTTCCACCGGCGGAACGCTGCCCCGGTGGTGTTGCGGCGTACCGCCCAGAGTGGCCGAGCGCCTCTGCGGCGGCTAGCAAAGACAGCGAGGACTCGTGTGCGCTGCTCCTGACGGGGGAAGCGACGTTCGAAGCGGCGTGGCTCAAGGCGCTCTCAAACACGCTGGCGACTGCGGACGAAGGTCTCCTCCAATCGTCGTCCCTCGCCGTACAGATTGCCGTGTGGGAGCTGTCGCGAGCCGCCGCACTGTCCGCCGTTTCAGGTAGGTGCCGGCAACTGGCTCCCGACGTGGCGACCAGACCGTGTGCGCATCACGTGTTCAACGCCAATACCCTGCCGTGACACGTGCAGGCTCGTCCGACATGAAGGCGATCGAGCACTTCTGCCGCCCGCTGCGTGTGTCGGCATCAAACACACTGGCCGTCAAGTACGCCGAGGCAGTCGGATCGATCACATCCGCTGCCGGGAGCACACAGCTGGCGCCCGCACTTGCGGGCAAGCTGCGGACTTCCTACCCGGGGGAGCCTCGCGTCGAAGAGTTCCTTGCGCGGGTCGCTTGACGCACACCAGGAGAGGCTGGCGAGCGGCTCTGCGCTCCAGAGCCGTGTTCCGAGCCGCGACGCACGTCACTTCTTCCCGAAGAACCCCATGATGCCAGACTGCTTTTGTGCCCCCTTCTTGGGCGCCGGGGCCTTGCCCGCCGTCTTTGCGGAGGGTTTGGATGGGGGGGCCTTTTTCGCCGCCGGGGGGGCTTGCTTCGGCTTGGGACCTGCGCGGGCGACGATGCGCGTCGTGTGGATGAGCAGCGATGCGTCGCTTCCCGCCCTGGCCAGGTCTTGCCCCGCTGTGAGCACACCTGTCTTTGCCTTCTTCGGTGGGCTCGGGGCCTCGTCGCTCGCGACCTCGCCCGTCTCCTCGTCCACCCAAACGACCTCCACCAACTCCCTGCCCTTGTCGTCGAAGGTCACGCGCTCCTCTCGCCTGCGCTTGCCAGACGACTTCTTCGGGACCTGCTTCTGCGGCTTCGGCGGTGCAACCGGCTCGGGAGGCGCCTCCATCTCCTCCTCCTCCTCCACCGCTCCTGCGCCTTCCTCCTCCTCCTCCTCCGCCTCGCTCTCGCTGCTCTCGTCGTCGTCGGAGTCCTCCAGCAACTGACGCTTGCGGCCTGCACGTTTGGGCGCCCCAAGATATCCCGCGTTGGTGCCGCACGCGAGGTGCGGCGACGGGAGCGGGCGCACGCGGCGTGCGGGGCTCCTCACCTCGTGCCCCAGGCTTCTCGGGGGAGTCCTCCAGGTTGGCGTCCACGGCTGCCTTGACACGCGCGACTGCCGGTGTCGCGGGCTTGCTGACCGCGGCTGCGACGTTGCTCGCCGGCTTCTGTGCCTGCGCCGGCGGGGCTTGCTGCTTCGGCCGCGCCTTCGCGTTCGCGAACATCCCAGCGATGGCCGACTGCTGGACCTTCTTCTTGTTCGCTGCAAGGACGTCACGCTCCGCATCGGTTTGCCCAGGTGCTCGCCACAGAGGTACGAGGTTGGGTGCAGCACTGAAACGCGGAACAATGCGCGCGAGTGAGTCGGTTCTGAGCGGACTGTCGCACCCTCGCGATCGCCGGCCCCGGCCTGTGGCTTCGGACCCGGCTTCGGGGCTGCTGTCGTCTTTGGGACGGAGGATTTCGCCCCCTTGGTCGCGGGGACCTGTGGCGCTGGCTCCTCGACATCGTCGTCGTTCGCCGCCGCTGCAGTTGCCAGGTTGTCGGGAAGCGGGGCTCTCAGTTGTGACACGCCTCTGAGGCAGGTGCCGTGGCGCGGGGTCGAGGTGGCAACGCCGTCGTCGTACCTTGCGCGCGCGTCGCAGCCATGATCGGCCTCCACGCGCTGCTGAACAACACGCTCTTGCAAGGCCCGAAGTCACCCACTGCGGTCACGGCGTGCGTCTCGACCATCTCCGAGACCATCTTCACCAGCTGCTCCTTCTCTGTGTTGTGCACGTTGCTGACGTCCCCTCCGCCGCGTGGCCGCACGCTGCAATCAGCACGCGTCACGCAGCAGCACGATCGACGTGTCGCGGCAGGCCCCGGAAGATGTGGCCCGCGGGAGCGCACGATGTGCGCCGCATGACGTGCGCCGCATGCGGGGCCCGCGGCCTAGAGCGTGGACCGCGGTGATGCGTGCGTGCGCGCCACTGTGTTGGAAAACGACTGTTCACGGCCCCCTTGCCCGCACCTGTGCACGTGCGTCGAGAAAACTTCCGACATTGCGTCCTCTGCTCGTTTCAACCCCTTCGCGGTGCAGAGCACGACCCGAAGACCGGCGTCTGCCTTCGCGCTGCCGCTGATGCAGTACACAGCCTCCACTTTCCCTCCAGTGGCGCTCAGCAGGCGGTGCATGAGCTGCTTCGCCGCGTCGCAGCTGATGCCGAAGTGCCGAGCTGCCCATTTGTACGTCACCGGCCTCGAGTCGTCGAGAACCACACTCTTGAGCTCCGCGAGAGCTTCCTCCACTCTCCCGCCAGCTGCCCCGCCCTTGCCCCCGCCGAGCGTCGCTCTGGCCGCGACGGTCGCCATGCCTCGACCAAACGACTTTGGAGCGACAAATTCCGGATGATCGAACGGCCTGCAGACAAGCGTGCAGCCCAGGGCGGCGTTTTCCCCCCTGCGGGGAGCGTGCTGCGGCTGTTCGCTGCACGTGCGGGCCCGAAACTCCGCCTTCTGCATCCGAGATTCGAGTTCGGAGGCATATGCATCGCCGCGTCCGAGCGAGCGCCGCTGAGACAACTTGTGCGGTGAGCCCGCCATCGGCCTTTTGATCCGGCCGAGCATGAAACGCACCTGGCACCGGCGCGCGCACCCCCCGCGAGTGTCGCGGCTCGCACTCACGCGAACCGGTCTTGGAGACGCTCCGAACCGATGAGATGTCGTCGGCTCACCGCGGCGCGAAATCAGCCGTTCGGCTCGAAGGACGGTCCCCAGGCAGTTGACAGCATCAGGCCGACTCGGCGTCGCCGCGATTCGCTCCGAGCCGCGCTCCGAGTCCGCGCGACCCCCGTCAGCGACGGACGCCCCGGGGGGTCCGCCGACGTCACCGGCACCACACGGCGCCCAACACACACACGCGTGATCACAAACACTGCGCAACTTCCCGCCTAGCCGCTGTGCTGGCGCGCCGTCCAGAGCCGGCCATGCTCGCTCGGCAGCGGCGCATCGGCGCGCCCACCTGCAGGCCGTCACGAGGCGTCTGCGTCGCCGTCCGCCTCTGGCACGTCGAAAATGGACTTCTTCACGCCCAGCTGCTTCAGCAGCGCATCGGCCTGCTGCAGCTGATCGCGCTCCAGTTCACCCAGGTGGTCCAGCTCCTCGCAAGCGTTCGCCACGGCGCGCCCTGCGAGTTGTCGGGCGGTGTGCGCGTGACGCACTGGTGGACATGAACTGCCCCGCGTCATGCGCGCCCCCCGCACCGCGCGGGCCCCGGCGGATCAAGCGTCTCACCTAGCGGCTTGTTCGGGTTCATGGCGTCCCTGTACGACCCCGGGATCTCCTCGTCCTCCTCAGGCAGGAGGAACTCCTGCGGGCACGAGGTGTCGAGGCGCGTCTCACTGCCACACGGACGGCGCTCGCTGGCTGCACAACGCCAGCTTGTGACAACGCAGCATCGACCGTCCGGGAGCAGCGCGTTCGCACAGCGCTGGTGCCAGTGCTGGTCATCGAGAAGCCCGACGCCGTCGCACGCGGGACCGCCCGCGAAGGCAGACTGCCAGCACGCGCACCTCCACGTCCTCCTCCTCGCCCGGCTGCGATTGCGGCTGTTCCGGCTCGCTCGGCCCTGCGGCCGCCCGCCATTGCCGAGCAGCGCGCGCGCCAGGAGGGCCGCTGCTTGCACCGCCACGAGGGCCGCGAGGAGCCGCGAGGAGCCGCGAGGAGCCTCGCGGGCGGCGGCGAGGCCATCGCCGGTGCCACTCTGCGCCACGGTGCGACGCCCGCGCGAGCTGTGCGGCGTCCCCCTCGGCGCGAATGTGCGTCGTCATGCGCCCCCGGCCACCGAGGCGCTGCAGGTGCGCGTGCGTGCGCGGCGCGGGCCCTCGCGCTGCGCGAACGGCGACGGATCTGCGCGCGGTGGTGTCGCGCGGCCGCTCGCGCACAGACGTCCGCGGGGGGGGACGCAGCGGCCCGCGACGTGGAGGGAGGAGCTGGGCGGAGGCGCTGCCCGGCCCCCACGGTGCTTCTCGCGGCGCGAAGTGCACGACGCCCCGGCCTCGCGACCTCAAGGGAGCGGCGTGCGCGGGCGGGGTCGTCGAGGTCCGTCGCCGCGGGCCCCTCCGGGCGTATGAGTGGGTGGCCCCGCGGTGCCTGGTGGGCCCGACGGCGGGGCGCGCCGCGGCGTGACCGGGCCGCGGCCGCGACGGGCTGGCCGACGTCCCGCGCAGGCCGTCGCCCACGTGCGCGACGGCCGGGGGCACACGAGCCGTCGCCCACGTGCGCGGCGGGCCAGTCCGGCTCCCTCCTCTCCTCCCAGCGCGGAGCCCTCCGCGTCCGTCGCGCGCCAGCGGCGCGCGCGCGGCGGGACGGCCGGCTCAGCCCGCAGGCTGCTCGATGGGGCCGCTTTGTGGGCGCTGCTGTCGGGGATCCGGTCTGGAGCCGCCCCGTCGAACTCCAGCGGGCTGCAAACGGCACCCCGCGGCCGCCCCGGGAGTCCGGGCGCCGCGCGAGGGGGCCGCGACGTAGAGCGGGGCCCATTGGCGCGTCCGGGTGCGACAGCGCGCCCGCATGCCGCCGGTGCGGCGCCGGGGCGCGGTCTTCATGGGCATGGCACGCCCCGACGGGCCGCTGGGGCCGCATCCGCGGGAGTGGAGGGCGGACCGCGGAGCTGTTCGAGGTGTGTCGTTCCGTGCGATCGTCGGAGGTCGCTGCGGGCCGCCCTCCGCGCCAGGAGCGGCGCGGGCGTGAGGGCGCAGCTGCGGCGTGGGCCAAGGGCGGGGACCTGCCCGCGGACGGTGCGTGCGCCCCGCCCTCGCGCGTCGAGCCGGGACGTCGCCGTCGCCGCGGGCGCTGCCGCGTCCGCGCCCGGGCGCCCCGCGCTCCAGGCGCCCCGTGCGGCCCCGTTTCTCCGCCCATGCTGCCAAGGTCCCGGTCGCCGGGGGGCGCCCGGGACGCCGTGAGGCCCTCGCTCGCACGCTTCGCCGCACCGACGGGGTTTGCATGCTCGCGGCTCGGTCCCGGTCCCGGAAGGGGGCGCGCACGGGCCGTGCGGAGCGCGTCGCCTGCGCTGCTGCCCAGCTGCGTCCGCCGCAGCCGGGACGCGCGCTTCCGCTCACACACGCGATCCGTTCTTCGGCCCCCACCGCAGCGGCCTGCCCGCCTCGAGCGACGGCGAGCACGCGACGTGGTGGTGGGCTGGCGGCTCCCGGCGCGCGACGACGGGGCGGGCGTGGCGGTCCCCGCAGAGAGCAGCCGGCGGACGCAGAGGGTGTCGCCAGCGCTTGTCGGCGCGCGCTCGCCGCCCCGTGCAGCGCCTCGGGCCGTGCGCGGCCCGCAGGCACATGTGCGAGAGGAGCGAGGCCTGCTGCACCTGCTGTGCGCTCGCGCGGCCGCAGGGCGCACGTGGCGCCACACGCGCGTCCCCGACGTCCCCGCGAGGGACCTGAGTGCGCCGGAGACACGCGTGCACGACCCTTGCGCGGCGGGACTTGTGCGGAACCTGGAGCGAATTCAAACCTCCACTGGTTGTGAGGCGCTTCGGAGCTCGCGCGGGGAACGGACGTGCTCTGGAGATCCGTCTGCGCAGGTGCTGCCGATGACGCGCAGCGGGTCGAGGTGTGCTGCGTCTGACGCGGCGTGATCTGCGTGCGTCCGACGAGTCATCATGCATGGTCCATTTCATCCACCAACACCGACCGCAGCGACTCGCGGCGCCGCAGCTAGGCCCGCAGCGCAGCTCGCCTCGCGCTGCACCGCGCCCGCCGTCGACCCGGCCCGTAACTGCGCGCACGCGGGCGGATTTCCGCGCCGCAGTGGGCGTCTCCGGGCGCTGTCGGCGGAAAAGACCCCCCCGCCCACCGCCCGGGAGATTCCGGGGAGGGGCTTGAAGCCGACCGGCGCGGCCGGCCCATCATACTGCGTGCGACCTGTCTCGAGCGCTTCCCCAGTGGCGGACTGAGTGCGGAGGTTCGCGCACGTGTCGCAGCACGGCCTGTGACGGGCCTCGACCAGCAGCATGGGCTGCCAGGGGTCCCCAGCGGTCGAGCTGCCGCGACTGGCCCTGAAAGCAGTGGACTGCGTGCTGCGTGCGGGAGAACGCGTCGCGCAAGAACAGGTGATGCACCGCGTGCCAGTCAGTCGTGCCGAGCTCCTGCAGTGAACGGAGTGCGCGCTTCCGGAGCGCGCGCAGCATGTTGGAACTTGACGACGACGCTCGTCCCCGCAACATGTTTCTGGGTCCCCAGAGGATGCAAGACAAAGTCCGTACAGGCGCGTGCGCCGCTCACGCTCGCGGTTTCTGTTTGCACCGCAACGCACTGCAGCTCCTGTGGCCGGCGGGCACAGCGCCTGCGCTCGAACGCCTGCGCCAGCTGTTGGATGCTGTCATCAAGCGAGGCGGTCTCGGGACGGCGGATGCGGCGGCGCTCGCCGCGGCGGAGGAGCTCCTGTCGTACCTCATTGAGGTGAAGGCCGTGCTGGTCGGGCACGTCGCGACAAGGAACGAGGGGGTCGATTTCCTCCCCGTGCAACCACGCGTGCTCGGCCTCGCGGGGTCGCTGCGGGACATCTCGCGCGCCGTGCGCGCCATGGCCGCTCACGCAAGCGACGAGGTACTGCCCGTCCCCGGACCGCCCCGGGCCCCTCCCGGCCTCCGCTGGCGCGCAGACACAGTCACAGTTACACTACCTCTACGTCGAGCGCAGGCTGCAGAGCAGGCGAAGGAGGTGGGCGACGCGATCGCCAAGCACGCCAACGAGCTGGTTGCGGGGCTGGCACGCGCGCTGCGCCTGCCGCAACCGCTCGCGACGCGGCCGCACCGCTCCGAGCTCGTCCGTGATATCGCACGGCGCCTCGCTGAGGGCGCGCGCTGGACGCAGCTCGGCTACCTGACGTCGGGCGCATGGTCGCAGAGTGGGGAGGCAGACGAGAGCGAGCTCGAGCGCCTGCTCGACGAGACGTCGCTGCCCGGCGCGACCGCGCAGCCAGAGCCCGCGGTCCCGGCACGGGACGTTGCGGCTCTAGGTGTGGTGCGCGACGCCTGCGGTTGCTCCGTGTGCCACAGGGTGATGCGTGTGCCGGTGATGTTCACCGGCACAGGCCAATCGTACTGCAAGGCCTGTGCCGACGACGTCGTCCGGCACGCGAAGGAGGGCGGGCGCACGCCGACGGACCCCCTGACGCGACAAGAGCTCGCGGAGGAGGTGCCGTACGAGCGCAATTATGCGCTTCAGAGGTTAATCGACGGCCTGCGGAGTTTTGGGCTCGGAGATGGCCCCGAGCCGCGCGTCGGCGGAGGCGTGCAGGGCGGCGGGCCGCTGGCGACGTCGGGGGCGCAGGGACGTCGGGGGGGGGGCGTCGCAGCTGCGCTGGCGGACGGCAACGCGGGGATGGGGGCGGCATCTCGTACGTCGAGGAAGCGCCCTCGCTCGTAGGCCGGCGAGGATGTCCGCGGTCGCCGCGGAGGGGGGGCAAGGCGCGCGCCCTGCTGGGGGGAGGGGGGGTGAAACAAACAAGCGATCTGCAGGACGGGGGGAGCGCAGCACCGCAGCCACGACGCCGGAGAGCGTGTAGGAGGGGGACGTGGCCACGTGCGGTGCGGCGGGGACGTTCGGGGCCGCGCGCGTGCTCGGGTGTGTGTGATCATGTGATGGCGTTCCAACGCGCTGCCGCAGGACAGCTCGCCAAACGAACGTGAGGAGAGGTCGCTGCGGCGGCATCTGGGCAGTGACTTGGTGGGAGACCCACGAGGGCCGCGGATACGTGCAGAAACTGCGCCGATCACGCAGGATCGCGTGACGACGGACCGGTCGGGGCGCCGCGTGACTGAGAGCGTCCCGCGCCTCGAAGGCCTGGGATCTCTGCCGACGTGCTGCGGCGGCAGGAGCGCGCGGTGGGCGCGGGCCGCGCGCGGCTGCGTGTGCGGCGCCCGGCCGGAACCGCGGGGTCCTCGCGACGCCGCCGAGCACTCCGAGCGACAGGTGTGCGAGACGGCGCGGCCTGTGTGGCGGCCCCGCTCCATCGACGGATTCTGGTCCCGCCGCCGCGCCGAACCCTGCGACGGACCCGCGGCGGCCGCGCGCGTGGGTCATCCTCATGCAGTCATGCGGGCACTGGTCACGACTCGTGCCTTGCGCGAGGGATTCGGCGCGCAGCCGCTCCCCGGCGGCGGGGCGCCTCGACATTATCGGCCGCCCGCGTCGGGGCGCGCAGCTCTGACGGGTCATGGCGTCTCACCTGCTGTGTGATGGGTGTGCCGCCCCACGCCGCCGCAGCCTGCGTCGCACGCGTCCTCCGCCAGACACGTGTCCTCCGCACAGCCGTCGCGTGCAGCCGCGGCGTCCCGGAGGCCCCGTCCGCTCCCGCCCGCGCGAGTGGACGGTGGACAACAGCGCTGCGCTGCTGGCACCGAGGCCGCAGAGCCGCAAAGCATGGCCTGGGCGCCGCGCCGGTGCAGCTTCATCACCACACTGTTGTGCGCAGGCATGTCGACGCCGTCGTCGGCGGCCGGACCGGGAGGAACGCGGGTCTGGAGATGCCGAGTGGCGGCCCCGCTCGGTCGAAACTCCGAGGGGGCCGCCGCGTCCACCCGCAGCGCTGCAAATCACCCTGCAGTGGCACGGGCGGGCCGCTCTGCGGTCGGCGGGGCGTGCGCAGGGGAGGGCCGGCGGAGAGGCGTGCTCCGGTGCACACAGCCACTCCAGCGGCCGCCTGCGAGCCAGGCGCCGCGCGCCTGACGCCGCGAAGGTGCGTCCGCGTGACTCTACGTATGAACACACGTGGCGACGCCGCGGAGGTCGGTCTGCGGCGAGCTGCGCCTGCAAGGCGGCAGCTCGAGGCCCGGTGGGAGGGGGGAGCGCGCGCGCGCCGCGGCTTCGGGTGGCGGCGTCGCGCGGCGGCTTACCTCCGAGTCCGTCTTCATCCTGCCTCGGGAGGGCGGGCAACGCAGGCGCGGCTTCGTTCTCCCTGGGCGTGGTTCGCACTGGCGTGCTGGCCCCGCCCATGGAGGACGTCCCGACGGCCCCGCCTGCGCGAGCGCACAGGGATGTGCAGACCCATTGCCTCGGAGCGCGTCCGAGTGGGTGCGAGTCTGTCGCGCTCGGCCGCCGGGCGCGATCCTTGCCTGCCCGGGCTCGATGCCGCCAGCTGGTGTGTCCGTCGGGCACGAAGCGTGGGTCCGGTGGTTCCGCGCCGATTGTGTGCCGCACCGCGCGCTCGGCGAGCCCCTGGCTCGCGCTCCGCGCGAGCGGCTCGGAACCTCTCGGGGAAACAGAGACCCCCACTGTCGCCTGGGCAGCCCAGGGCGGCGGGCCCACGCAGGGCTCCAAAACGCCGCGCACGGGTGGCGTGGTGGCAGCATCTTGTCACACACGCTCCATCGACGCCGCAGGCTCGCACGCAGGACCCTCCCACCGCCCTCCGCGAAGTCGCCAACCTCGAGGATGCGTCCGCCACAGCGGCCCCTGCCCCGAAGAGGCGGCGCCGCGACGTGCAGGAGCAGAGAGGCGCGGGCGACGCCGAGGCGGGTGGCTTCGACGACGCGCCGTCTGGGGCCTCCGGCGCGTGAGCGGAGCCACCCGCGACGCCGTTCGCTGCTCTCCGACCATGTCGAGGCGCGCCCGGTGCCTGGCGGTTCGACGGGGAGCCGTGTGATCCGCCGCCCGCGTCACAGGTCCAGAGCGCCGGCCGTCAGGGTCGTTCTCGGCCCCCAGATGGCGCGTTGTTGTTGTTGCGCGTGTTCTTCAAGGGCAGGACCTGCCGGCGGCGCGGCGTCGGGGCGGCCCGGACGACGACGAGGGCCTCAGGCGAGCAGGCCGGGCCGCGCGCTCGCTCTGCAGGATCTCCGAGAGCCCACCGTGCGCGTGTGACACCTTGCAGGGGAGGGTGCGACCGACGCAGCGCCGCGTACGGCACGGCGGTCTCGCGGGCTGAAGGGACGCGCGTACGCGTGCAGAGCGTCAACCACGTAGCCGCGCGCCTCCGGATGCGCCCTGCCCAGTACGCGTCGCAGGACGCCGCCAGGTGCGACCGCCCTCTGCGGCGCGACTTCGCCAGCCTTGGTTCGCTCGCGGGCGCACGCAGCGCGGCGTTCGATGCCGTATGGCCGTCTTCCCGGACCAACGTGATGGGAAGAAACATCGTGCATGCCCTTGCGTCGGCCTTCGGTGCAGGTTGCGGCCGGAGGAGGCGGGCAGCAGGGTCAACATGGGCCAGTGCGGCCGCAGTTGAAGTGGAGGCGTGTTCCTGTGCCCTCGAGCTAGTTGATGACCGGGAGATGTCTGGAGGTGGCGCACCGGGCATCATGCGCGCCGGAGATCACGCAGCGGCGCGCCTCGCCCTGTGCTGGCGTCTGCACACCGCGGGCGTCTGCAGCGGTGCGCACCCATCCCCTCACGCGCGTGAGGTCCGTAGCGGGCGCGAGTGCACGTTCGCCGTCGTCCGCACCCGGTGTCGGGGCTCGCGCGCGCACTGCGGGCCTCGCGTCGTCGGCGGCAGGTGGATTCGCAGGACGTTGAGGCAGCACAACGGAGCCGGACGGTGAACGCTGTCCGGTCCGCATTGTTGCGCCGCACGTCGCCGACAGTGGTGTGGATCTCCTCGCCGTTTCGGCGCGGTCTGGCGCGGGTGCAGGGTCCCAGGCGAGCAGCATTGCGGCGCTGGACGGCGCCAGGGGCGCCGCGCGCTCGACGACGGGGCGCCTGCCTGCTTCGCAGCTTGGAGGGCGCTGCAGGGGGTGGATGTGGGGCCTCGCCGCGGCCCCGGTCGCGGAGACATCCGGCCTGCCATGTTTCCCAGCGTCGCCTCACGAGGCACCGGTGCCGCACGCCTGTGCTTCGCTGACCCACACGCGGCATCCGGGGCGGCCGGGTGTAAAAGCGACTCCTCGGCACCGGCATTCATCGCGCGTGGGCGCCAGATCCCGGTCACGCAGTCCTTTCACATTCGCTACGCGCCCCCGGGCCCGGTCTCAGTCCGACCGCATGTGCCTCTGCGCCCGGCGCAGCGCCGCGGTGGCGGCGTCCGGATCGCCGGTGTAGTTCGTTCGCAGCTGCGAGCCCCAGTTGTCGACATCCGAGTGGTCCAGCACGCCGCAGAGGTTGGACTCCGCCAGCGTGATCCAGCGGCCCAGCGGCGTCAGCGGCTGCCCGCCGAACCAGCCGCCGGGCGCCAGCCCCTTCGCGAGGCGCCTGTGCACGACGACGGCGCCGCTCTCGTCGCCGTCCTCGCCCGGTGCGCCGCCACCCGCCAGCGCCGCCTCCGACCACGTGGCCCATGCGGGAAACGTCCAAGGGAGCGGCCGCACCTCGTCCTGCGGCGGCCGCCCCTGCTGCTCCCGCGCCCTGCTCACCGCGTCCAAGCAGCCGTCGGGGGAGAAGTCGCGCGGGTCCAGGGAGCCGTCGAGCGGCGGGGCCAGCAGGGGGTCGTTGCTGCCCGCGTAGCCCGGGCCTCGATACAGGTGGACGATGCCGGCGCCGATGTACAGGACCGGCAGCACCCCCGAGCACGAGCCCAGCGCGCGCACACGCGCCGCGTCGCTCGCCGTCGCAGGGCTCCTGCTGTTGCACCGCGCGGAGAAGCCCGCCGGGAGCCCGGCGGCCCGCTCGCGGATCTCCGGGGAGATCAGGAAGCTGCGCGACCGCGCGCCGTCGAGCACGGCGACGCAGCCGTTCGAGCCCGTCAGGCACGGCAGCGTGTGCGCGCCCTCCCCGCTGGGGACGGCGCGGACGCACGACAGGTCGATCGCGATCGCCGCGCGCCGGGAGGCCTCCGACGGCGCCGCCCTCCTCTTCCGGGGCACGGGGGCCGCGGGCTCCGCCCACGCGACCGCGCCACCGGGCCCGATGCGCGGGGGCGTGAAGAAGAAGGCGGGGGGGCCGGACGTGGCGCTCGTGCCGGGGCGCGGCACGGGCCGGAACAGGACCTGGCGCGCGTCGTGCGTGCGGGCCGCGACCAGGAACACGCGGTGGCGGCGCACGGGGATGCCCGCGTCCTCGTTCGGGCTCCAGCACCGCGTGCAGACCTTGCCGTAGCCCATGGCGTGCAGGGCGGCGACCATCGCCTGCACGGCCGACGGACCGGGACCGGGCCCCGACGTACCGAGCGCCGAGCCGCTGTTCCGCGCGGCGTCCACCTGCTCCACGACGACCCACTCCGGGCCGTGCCCGCCTTGCGCGGCCCTCTGGATGGCCGCGAAGGCATCCGCGACGAGCCCGCTCTCCCGACCGAAGAGCCCCTCTCGCTTCCCGACACTGCGAGCGCGGGGGCGGAGGGGGCGCCGGGTGGGGGGGGGGAGGTGAGGCGGGCGTCGCACGAGCTGACACGTGCTGCAGGCTGCGGTTGTGCACGAGCGCGAGCGTGTGCACGCGTGGATCACCTCGACAGGTCCGTGCACGGCGGCCCCATGACCACGCACGTGATCCCCTCCGCCAGGACGAGCCCTCCGACGTCCGAGCAGCCGTGGTCCACGCCGGTGGTGCCCGTCGGCCACCAGTGCTCCAGGACGCGCCGCTTGCCCTCGTCGCACTCGCAGGTCTGCACGAGACGCATGCCCGCCATCTCCAGCGCCAGCGCGAACGCCCCGAGCCCGGAGAAGATCGACGCGAAGGCCGGACGTCCGTCGCTGCCGGGCGTCTGCACCCCTGGCTCCTGCGCCGCGGCGGCCCTTTTGCGCTCCTCCCAGCGGTTCGTCCAGGCGTCGCGGAGAGCGGCGGCGAGGCGCTCGACGTGCGGCACGTCCGGCGCGCCGTCGTCCTCCTCGTACCCGCTGTCGCTGTCGCTGTCGCTGTCGCTGCTGTCTTGCATGCTGTCGTCGGCGCTCGCGTGCCCCGACGCGCCGGCCCCCGCGCCGGCGCGCTTGCTGCTGCGAAGGACTCTGTGCTGGGAACGCAGAGCGGGGGTGCGGGCCAGGGACGGAGCAGCGGCCGCACGCCCGCTCTTCGCGCCGCGCGCTGACCCGACTCGCCCGCGCTGCAGCTCCTGGGCCGGCGCACCCTCGCAGGGCCACGCCGTCTGGAACGCGAGAGCGATGTGCCCGTCGAGGTGCGTCGCAAACGAACTCCGCATGTGCCTGACGGAGGGGCGCTCGACGACCGACCCCACCCAGCCCGACAGCTGCTCCTGCGCGCGCACGATGGCCGCGGGGCGCGGTCGCGGGGTGCAACGGGCCAGGGCACGCGTGCGGCGGCGACGAAACAGGTCCGCAGGCCACGGCGATGGTGCGTGCCGGGGGGCGAGCACGATGCTGGCCGCACCAGGTCGAGGTGCCAGGAGGCTCCGGCCCCCTTCGCGAAGGCGTCTGAGACGCTCTCAACGAACTCCGGGAGGAACGCGAATGGCGCACCCCCCTCCTCCTCCTCCCCGCTGCGTCGCAAGTGGCCCCACAGCCGGGGCAGGAGCTCCCCGAGCCTGCCGCGGACCGTGCAGCGGGGGCAGCTCGCGCAGCCCCCCCGCTGTGACTTGAACCTCTTCAAAAGATCATTCGTCGCGAGCGAGGCCGCCAGCTCGAGCTTGTGGTCCACCTGCTGCCCCGCGAGGCGGAACAGCGCCAGCGCGGCCACCAGCTTCGCCGCGGCGCTCAGCATGCGCCGCTGCTTGTCGCCGATGCCCGCCATGATCTCGGGCGGCATGTCCGCCCCGGCGTACCGCGCGCAGGCCTGCACGTCGCGAACTCGGCCGCCCGCAGCGTGAGCGGGGCGCGTCGGGCGTGTGTGCGGTGGCAGCGGCGTGCCGTGCTGTCCGCAGGCGCCCTCTCGACAGTCTCGCGCACCTTTCTGATGGTTTCTACCGAAGATTTGGATGAGATGTGGCGCTTGAGGCACGCGTCGCGGCCCCCACACAGCGCCCGAGCGACCCCCTTGGATGCGAGGGCGTGGACGAGCAGCAGGTAGGCCGTGCCCGTCGTCACGCGGGCACTCGCGGCACATCGGTGCAGCAGCGGAGTCAGGCGGCGCACGACGGCCTCGAACTGCGCCGTGCGGTCCGCTTCTGCCATGCCACCACCCTGCAGCGACGCAGCGGCGTCGCGCTCGCTCGCGCGTGCACCCGTGCTCGAGTGGCGCGCGCCCGTCGACGACATCCGTGATGATCGCCCGCGCGTCGCGGAGAAGGAGGTGGGGGGGCCGCGGTGCGCGGGCCAGGCGGCGGAGGCGCGCGTCGTCGGGGACGGCCAGGCGGGCGCGCGGGTGGCGCGCGGGGACTGCGGGACGCGCGCGGCCTTCGGGCCCCAACATCGCGCGCCGGGGCCGCGGCGCGTGCTGCACGGTGCCGGTCAGGTCGACGGTGGGACCAGATGCCCGACTGACGCAGCTCCAGGGCGCGCGCGCCGGCGACGGAGGCGCGCCGTTCGCGGCGTGGACCGTCCCTCGGATCGTGCCAAGAGCCTCGTGCACTCCGGTGCGGCGCGGGGGTCGGGGACGCGCGGGAGCGCGGCTGCCTGCCCGCCCTGCAGCTGCTGGCGTCGGGACCGAGCACGCCGCCCCTCCGCGGCGGGCGTCAGCGCGACATCCGCGCCGTGCATGCGTGGCGACGGGGGCGCCGCGGTCGCGGTCTTGCGCCGGTCAGCACGCGCGGCGCGGCGCGGTGGCGGGTCCAGCGGGGCTGGATGGCAGACACGAGCCAGACGTGCTTCCTCAGACCTGATTTCACAAGTGCGCCGCGACGTCCGCACGGCCGTTTCGCCCAGCCTCGAGGAGCGACCGCGCACGGACGCCTGCTCCGTCGTGCTCCGCGTCGCCGCACACAGCTCGACAGGGTCGCTGTCAGGCAGCGGCGCCGCGCGTGCGACACCCGGAGAGCAGCCTGCCACTGCCGCCGCCACACGTGGACCACACCGCCGACGGCGGGCAGCGACGTGCCGCGGGGCGCGGCACCCGCGCTGCGCGCCCGGGCCGCGGGGCGCGGCACCCGCGTTGCTCCTCGGCCGCGGCCCCCGAGCGGGTGGGGGGGCGCCAGAGCTGTCGCTGCGCCCAGTTGGGGTCTCTGCGCTGCGCACGCGGCGACACCCCCGGGCGCGCACTCACGCGGCGACAAGGACTGGCACCAGTCCCCCCCCCCGTCCCCTGCGGCGGCGCCCCAGCGGGCCCGTCGTCGCGCCGGCGCGGACGCAGCGCTGCTGCTGCGCTGTGACGCGTGCGGGCTGGGGCGCAATGTCAGGGACCGCTGTGCTGGCCACGCGCTGGATCGGATCAAAACATGGTCCTGCGGGACACGCCGCCCACGTAGCCGAGAGACGCGCCGTGTGCAGCGGGGTGTCCAAGGGCAACTTGCCCCGAGCGGGACCTCGTCCCGCTCGCGCACGCACGGCCGCGCCAGGTCGCGGCCGACCCGCTGGGCGCCCGCGACGTCTGCGCAGGGTGTCGGCGGGCGCGCGCGCGTGGGCCATCGAGACCCTCCGCGGCCTGGCCAGACCGTCTGCTCCTACCGTCGTCGTGCCTGTCAGCCCGGCCGCGTCGCCCGCGCGCCGCACGAGGGGGCGCGCCTGCGCACGCGCGGCGCACACACTGACACCCGTCGCGGCTCCTCCGCGCCCCGGACGAGCCCGACCACGTCGCCCGCGGCCACCAGCGGCCGTGGAGCTCTGCGACCTCCCTGCCCGCGGCCCCCCCCGCGCCTGCGGGCCGGCAAGAGCTTCGCGGCGCACCGCCCGGGAGGACGTCCGACGACGTCGCGTTCCCGGGCAGAGAACACCGCGGCCAGCCGCAAGGTGAGCCCCCCGGCGGCCCACCACGAAGGGTCGTTTTCCCGTTTCGTGTTCCCGGCCTCCTGGCGCGCCACGCGCCCGCGATTCTTCGTCCGACTCCCACATTTCTCGCATGCACGCGGACCACCGCCCCGCGCTGGTCTCCGCGAGCGCCCCCTCGTCGCCTCTCATTCCACGCACCTCTCAAGCACTCCACCTCGCGTGCCGGCGCCGCAGTGGACGAGCCCGGAGACGCAACCATGTCCAGCGGAGACCCATCCAGTCCCTTACGCTCGAGACGGAGGCGCAGTGCCCCCGCCAGTCCCGCCCAGGTACGCCCATGGCATGTGGACTCCGCCCGTGGTGGTCCTCGCCGCCTCCGCGCCCCAAGCCGCACCACAACGCCCTCCAACGCTCGATTGTCCGTCCGTGCTTTCGTGGCCCGGGGCACGCGCTGCACGGGCCCCGACGCCCGCGCGGAGTTCCCTTGTTTCCTCTGCGGGGGCACCTCGCAGAGCGGGGCCGTCGCGCGCCGCTCGTCCCTGTACGTTGGGCACGTCGCGTCGTCAGACCGTCGAGAGGAGCGTCGCGCTGCGTCGGTCGCACCGGCGTCCGCGGGACGGCGGTTCGCGCGAGATGCCCCCACCGACGCGTCTTCGCAGCACCGCGTGGCTCCCGTCGCGCGCCGCGTGGCCGCCACGCATCGCTCGGAGTCCGACCCCGGAGACGAGCGCAGACGGACAGCTGTCCCACCCGCCGCGCTCGCTCGCTCGCTCGCCCACCCGCGCCCGCCCGTCCCCGCCACGGCTGCAGGCAACAGCCGACGTCGACACCAGCATGGAGTCTGCGTTGCCGCTCCTGGCCGAGCCCGACCCCGGCGCGCAGGTGCGACACCAGTCCGACCCGCGGCGGGCCGCTCGGGCGCCCTGCCGCCCCCGCGCAGCCCCCGCACATGCTGGTCCGTGCGCCCGCCGCAGCGGCGCCCGCGCCCTCCTCCCGCGCCCGAGCTGCGAGCGCACGGCGTGCCTCTCGCCATCGCCGCCCCGCCGCCGCATGCTCGCCACGCTCGCTCGTTCGCTCCCACACGCGCGTCCGTCCCACGCCCGCCCGTCCCCGCCACGGCTGCAGGCAACAGCCGACGTCGACACCAGCATGGAGTCTGCGTTGTCGCTCCTGGCCGAGCCCGACCCCGGCGCGCAGGTGCGACACCAGTCCGACCCGCGGCGGGCCGCGCGGGCGCCCTGCCGCCCCCGCGCTGCTGCCGCCCCCGCACATGCTGGTCCGTGCGCCCGCCGCAGCGGCGCCCGCGCCCTCCTCCCGCGCCAGCCGCACGCACGCGTGCGCACCCACCCGTCCTGGGGAACCCCGTCCCTCCCGCGCTTGCAGGCTGCCACACAGCACGGAATACGCACGCAATGGAGCGACGCTCCCGTGGATGTCAGCGCCGGCGGTGCCCAGCCGCGCGTCGAGCGGAAGACGATGGATCGGCGCAGCGATTTTCAGGAGCCCTTCCGCGCAGCCGGCGTGTTCGACGAGAACGCGGCCGCGCAGAAGACGTGCATGAACTGCGCGCGCATCCTGGGTCCCGCGCAGGCCCCCGCGCGGGCCACGCGCGCGTACGTCGACAGTCGGACGGGGCGAGTGCACTGGGTGTGCGCGGATCCGCGCTGCGCCCCCGTGCACGCCTCGCCCACTGCACCCACAGGGATCTTCCGCGCCGACGCGCACGCCTACCGCGAGCGGCACGCGCGGGCGCTGATGGCCGTGAACTTTGCGCAGCTGCGGCGGTTCGCCGAGCTTCGGTACGACAACGCCCGGCTCAAGTGGGGCGAGCGGGAAGCTCTGGAGCAAAACGAGGATTACGGGGAATTGGATCGACGTGTGCACCCTCCCGCACCCCGCGAGAACGCCTTCGAGGACCCGCCTGCGCCCCCGCCCCTGAGCGTCGGCTGGGTCGCTGGAGCGTGCGCGAATGAGGACCGAAGGGCGGAGCTACGGACCCTCGTGGTGCTCATCTGGGAGGCGATGCGCTGCGTCGGCGACCCCGTTTGGGACGACCCGACCTGCGCGGGGCCGATCACGGGCGGCATCGGGGGAGGCGGGTCCGGCCGTCTGGGCTACAGGACGGACGGCCACCTGCTGACATACAGGTGGGAGCTCAAGCGCGTCACCGAAGACGGGCGCCGGAGGGAAGTACATGTGGCGGTGAAACACGGCATCGTTTTCTTAGAAACGAATCAAGATGAGCACGTGGGCTACACCAAGAAGGGCGAGGAGGAGCGCGATCGGGTGGCCCAGGTGGCGGCGCTGGTGGCGAAGCTGTGGCCGCTGTTCGCGCGCCACAACCCGGACCTCTTCTACCGGTGGCCCACGGATGCGGGGCAGCGGGACGCCAGCGACAAGCTGGCGCGCTGGTTCGCGCTCGGCGAGGTCGTGGCGCACCTCTGCGTGCAGATCGTGCTGCGCGCTCGAGCGCTCGCCAACCGCGAAGGCGTCCAGGCCTCGGCGGTGGTCGGCGTGGGGGACAACGCGCGCGTTGCGGACGGCGTCGCCGTTCCGGCGAGCCTCAAGTGCGCATATTCTCCTCCGCGCGACGACGAGGACGAGGACGACGAGGAGCGCAAGTCTGGGCGCACGCAGTACCTCCAGCTGCTGCACGGAGGTCTCCGGACGTTCGCCGGGTCGGGGCGCGACCGCGAGGGCGCGGGGATGGACCGCAAGCCGCCCCTGGCGCACTGCCACGACGGCCCTGAAATATGCATGGAGTACGTCACCCCGCAGCTGTACAGGCCCAAGAACGCGGCCGGCCTGGACGGGCACCAACTGTACCAAGACTACGACGCCTTCGACGCGGACGTCAAGAAGCTCATGCAGGTCTTCTGGGAGTTCGCCTACAACGACTCAGAGGAGCTGCGCGCGCACGTCGTGCGGACGGTGCTCGAGGAGCAGCGCGCGCCGCCGCAGTACGAGGAGGACGAGCCGGCGGAGGAGGACCGGGCTCAGCCGTCGACGCTGGCGCTGGCGATCGCGCGCATCAGCCCCCCCGCGGGGGGCGCGGCCGCGCCGCGCAAGCCGTCCGGGCAGGAGGAGTTTGCGATCAGGATGGCGTTTTTCGACCCCGGCGTCGGCCCCCTCGGCGCGGCCGTGAACCTCACGGAGGCGATGGACGCAGAGGCCATCGCGAAGGCGCTGTCAACCGCGAGCCCCGCGGACCTGGCCACCGTCGCGCTCGCCCAGAGGTTGAAGGATCTGCGCGAAGGGATCAACGGTGCAAACGGTCCGGCCACTCTCACCCGCGACCAGCTCGCCCGCTCCCTGAAGGACGTCCGCGAGTCGATCGCGAAGGCATCCACGTTTGCTGGCACTTCCCCCCCCATCGCATCCGGGTGGGAGCTCAGGCTGAGCCCCCCCGGCGTCACGAAGGAGGTCGTCTTCGTGCTCGTTGCCGTCGACGACCTGGGCCTGCGCGAGGGGGTGGTCAACTTCGGCGACGACGACCTGCTGAAGGAACTGCACGGAGCGAACGGAGGAGGCGTCGATGAGCTCCTGCGTCCGCCGGACGACATCCCCGGATGGACGCTCGTCAACCTGAGCGGGCCCCTGCTCGACGACGTCGTGGCACCCCTGCTGCAGTCGACGGGCTCGCCCAGCTTCGGCGTGCGGTGCGGGGACCTGCGTGATCGGATCGCGCGGGTGAATGCGCATCAAGGCGTGAGTCAGGCGGACCCCCTCGCCGGCAGCAGCGAGGTGATCTCGGTGGCCTGGGAGCTCGCGCAGCTGGTATGCGGCATGCACGAGGTGCACGACCGCCGCTGCGGTCCCGGCGAGCCCGGATCCGCGAGGTGGGAGATGGGCGGCAGGCGGCTGGGCGCGGGGGGGTTTCTGCATGACGTCATCTTCGTGGCGCAGCGGCTCGATCGCGAGCGGCTCGGGAGCGAGGTGGCCCGGCTGTTCGCGGACGACCTCGCCCAGGCGGGCAGCTCGGCCGCAACCTTCGCGCCCGACGCCGCGTCGAGGCGCGGGCTCTTCCTCGACGTCAGCCTGACGCCGTTCCTGTGGGCCCGGATGCGGCACCTATTCGGCTACCCGAAGGGCGCCAAGGTCCCCCCGAATCGCAGTCTGGACCAGCAGATGAGGTACTTCCTCGTCCCAGCCTGCGTCACGCGGGAGGCGCTGGACGCCATGCCGTCCGCGCGGAGGCAGCAGCTTGGCGCGCGGGACCAGGCCCCGGATATCCGCTGTCAGTCAGTTCACAGTCCGCAACCACTCCGCTGCGCGGCCCTGCTGCGGAGGGGGGAGCTGGCGTCCGTGCAGAGCCTGCGCGCCGAAGGCCTGGCGTTGCGGGACGAGGACCGCGTCGTCCTGGAGCTCACCGTCAGCGTCCGTCGGGACGGACGCTCGCGCTACTGCACCCTCCGGCGGGGCTGGGAGACGACGGAGACACTGCTCGCGGGCGATGTTCTGGACGGGACGAGAGCTCGGCTCCGCAACCTCGTGGATGCAGAGGAGGCCCGGGCCCGGGGGGGGGCGCCCCCCCCGCCACCGGACGTCCCCGATGTCGCGACCGTCCAGATCCAGATCCATCCAATCCACGGACAGGACAAGGTGGTGCGGGCGGGGCTCCGGGGCGCCTTCTACATCCACACCGCGCGCGATCAGGGCGGGGTCGGGTCGGGGACACGCACCGCGTACGGGTATGTCAGACTCCACGGCGTCGACGCGCTCGTCGACGCGCTGGGGGTCGGGGACGGCGATCAAATCGCGCTGGAGCTCGACTGCGGCGGCACGGCACACGACGCGGAACCGGCGACGTTCGTCGCCTCGGCTGGCGCGCACGCCAGGGCGCTGCTCGCCAGGGCGGCCACCGACGCACTGCTCGGGCGGGAAGGGGCACGAAACCTGACGTGGTCGACAGCTCGCGAGGCCGGAGAGGCCAGGGGGCAGCTCGCGCTGCAGGCGTCGGACGCTGTGCAGCCGGCCATGGTGTTCGTGCTTGATGGGGAGTGGTTCATGCAGCACACACCGCACTATATCGATCACGTCGGAGGCGACATCTTCGGCCCCACGACCGACGGGGGGGCAGGCCCAGTGGCCGTTCGCATCGCGCTTCCCGGGGCTGCCGCCGACGGCCCGCTCGGCGCCGCCCTGATCCGAAACCGCGGCCAAGCAAGGGGGCGTCACACATGGGCGCTGCTCCAGGCGCGTCAGTCTGCGCTGTCGGTGGGTGCCGGCGCCGCACTGGCCACCCCCGACTGGCGCGGAAGGTTCGTAGTGGCTTTGCGGCCGCGGAGGGCTGCGTCCGAGGCTGAGGTGCAGGGCACCGAACGGCCCCGCGTGGTGTGCGACTTCCTCACGGGCGACGCAGCAGGCCGGTGCCTGGACGAGATCAATCAGTGGGCGGGGGACACGACGTGGGCCAAGCACGTCGCGAAAGAGTTGGCGCCGCTGCCGTTCTGGGAGAAATTCCAGTCAGCTGACGATCTGCCGGATCTGCAGCAGCCCAGAGATGGCACGCAGCCCTTGCTGCTGTCTCGCTCGTCGCGGGCGTGCACTGAGCCGCTCAGGTGGCCGCAGGCTCCGGGGCATGCCGACCCGGAGCATCTGCTCACCTGGCTCGGAGACATGCAGCCAGAACAATTGTTGCAACAACTACAACAGGCCGTCTTCGTGCTCAAAAGGGAGTATGCAGGACCCGCCGACTCGCCCTACAACTTCCTGGGCTCGTTCGACGCCCTGTTTGCCTTCCCTTCCCAGTCAGACGACCCTTCCCAGTCAGACGACCCTTCACAGTCAGACGGTTCACAGTCCCTGCTGACGAACCACCTCAAGAGCGTGTGGCAAGTCGGGCGAGGTCGTGCGACCGACCTCCCGCCGGGACTCTCGGTCGCCAAACACTCCGTCAAGAGGCGAGCCCGCGCACTGTTCGTCACCCACTCGCGGGAAAGTCGTGAGAAGTGGCTCGTCCACGACGTCGAGGTGGACCTGGCGGTCGCGGACCTCCCCCGCAGAGGCATCGTCAAACTCTCGGTCCCCAGGTTGCCACGCGGCGTGCGCAAACGTCTGGAGATCGACGGCGACGAGCTCCCTGAGGCCCTCGTCCTCGTGCGGCTGGATGGGGGCGCCTTGACGGAAGTGCGGGACAGGATGCAGGCTCCGGGCGTCATCAGCGGTGAGCCGGCCTCGGCATCAAGCGGCCCTGGGCAGGCATCGCCGCGTCATTACACACGTCCGGGCCTCTTCGAGGGGACGACATCGATCGCAGTCCCCGACTCGACGCTCGTCTTCCTCGTGCACCATGGCCCCAAGCACGTCGGTCGGATTGCAGGGTTGGTCGCGCAGCACACGACGGCGGGGCCGTCAAAGAAGGCACTAGAAGGGCTCGCGAAGAGCCCGGGGGCGGCTTCACCGGCGGAGTCCGAGGGAGCAGTCCAGGGGGGTGACGCAGGGCCAGTGCGGCGTGTTGTCACACGTGCGCTACAGAAGCTACGAGCGCGGAGGAGACACAGGTGAACAAGTCAAGTCAAGTCACGTCCTGGCAGCACATCGCCCTGGCCGAAGGGCCTCCAGGACAGGTGTGCGCACGGACGGGCAGAACTGAACCATGAACCAACACTGTGAACATCAGAAACAGTCACACAGACACCGCTTCGCTCTCAACCGCCGGCTGCGCCAGCACCTCGAGGACCTGTACGGCGCTGCAACACTCGACTCGGAAGCCGCTGCCAACGCTGCAGTGCGTTATCTCCTGAACCTGCCGAATCAGCGAGGCATGGCGATCTTTGCTCGTGGCATCGAGGATCTGCTCCAGGCCGACTCTGTCACAGCTGCCGAACCTGTTGCTACCATAACGGTGGGGGGTTAGCATGACTCGCCACCTAGTCGAATGATCTTTTCAGGTCCCAAAGCCTTATGGCTGACGACGCGAAGAATGTGACACCTCACCTCACCCCTCCCGCCGTTCGAAGGTCCCTGATGCCCCCCTTGTTCGCCGCGCAGCTCCGCGACGCCGAGAGCGCGACGACGTGCTCCCCCCCCCACCGGCGAGCCTCGACGTCACACATTTCCGGACGCACTGTATCTCTCACACTGTCAGGGGTTCACACCCCCTGGGAGTATTGGCAGCTCGCCAGCTGTCTCATGCCCGCGCCACAGCGTGGCGCGGGCAGTCTGTACTGACCCTGAGTGTAAGCTTGATCTGTCTTACACCATCACACGCTAGCAGAAGCCTGCTAGCGAGGCATTGTGCTGCCTCAGCCTAGGATAGCTCCCTGGCCCCCAACGCATTGCTCACGGGACCCTTTCTCTAGGTACGGCAGTTTCCTAACATGGTGGAGCTGCAGGGTAGCGCCCTGTTTTAGACATGAAGCGAAGATTCTCGTCGCTCTAGCGAACCGTAGCACCGCTGGTGCATCGGTCACGCTAACAGCTAAGCTACCCTGATTACCCATCTCTCTCGCACATATTACTCTTACCCAACTGGTTTACCCACTGTGGCCGCAAGCGACCGCTCCTCGAATGTGACGTGGATTGAGTTGATTCGCCCGCAACGATGTCGCCTGCCATTCCCGCAGCCCTCGCGCGCAAAATGCGCGGCGGACGGCCCGAAATCCCATCTTCGCGTGTCAGCTTGTCCTACGCTGAGTTGCCTTCAGTCAGGCACCTCGTAGGGGCCGAACTGGCAGCGCCGGGCCACAATAGACGCACCGAGGGGTCGAACACATAACTGACAATGCGTACCGCACAGAACAGCACGATTTGACCGGCCGTTCAGCTGCAGCGGGCGTCTGCGCCCGCAGCGGTGTGCAAGCGGCGCGTGCGGCAACATGCCGGCGGGAGTCGACTGGCAGACGCAGGGGAAAATCGCACGTAAGTATGCGAGCAACATGACCCAGACAAAGATAGCCAAGGATCTACTCTTGAACCGAAAAACAGTCGGAAAGTACTTGCGCTTGTTCCACGAGGGGGCGCTGGGCGGTTTGGGGACGCGGAAAGGGTGTTGGAACAAGATCAGGAAGAACTCTCAGGTAGGGCATGCGATAGGGATACGAAAATGCTCGCGGGATGCGCACCTGTCGCGCAGCGCGCACGCAACGTCTGCAAATGCCTGCTTGCCGGCTCGTGCGCGGATTCCCGCCGCTCATTGCGCGCCAGAATGCGTCGATCCGCTCACACCTTGCATGTGTTACTCCCCGAGCAGGAGGTCAAGGAAGTCTACGCGCAACTCGTCTCTCAATACCCTGCTTCCTACATGATGGAGTATGCCGACCGTCTGACGGTGATTTTCGGCGTGAAGTTCACCGTCCGGAACGTCCAGGACCTCAACAAGGAACTGAACATCCGCAGAACCAAGGTGAGTGTGCGGATCCGGCGCCGGTCTGCACGTACGACCACGGCAAACCTCTGTCGCCACCACTGCGCTGCCGTTCGGAGCCGAGAAAGCGCGCGAACGAACCGTCCCGCACCGCAGATGGGCGGGTACTCGCATCACGTGGACCCCGAGCACGCGCATGAATGGGAGCAAACGATCCTGCACGCTCCCGGCCTCGAGGTGCACCACTTTGTGTTCATGGACCAGGCGCACTTCTTTTGGAACAACCTGAACCGCACGTTCGGCTGGTCGCGCAAGGATCAGCGAATCAGTGTGCAGCAGGTGTGTCGCGGGGAAGTGCGGCACGTTTCCGCGGCGGTGTTCGCCTCCATTCACGGCATCCTCCACATCTCGCTGACGGAGTCCACCTTCAAGGGCCAGGACATGGAGAGTATGGTCGAGTCTCTGATCGAGGACGGCATCATCTCCGCGTTCCCCGGGACGGGCTGCCTGCTGGTGCTGGACAACGCGTCGATCAACGGCACCGCGCCGCTCAAGGAGGCCCTGTGGGGCGCCGGGGCCGCGCCGCTGTACACGTCGCCGTACTGCCCCTGGCAGCAGCCCATGGAGCTCGCCCACAACACGGTCAAGGCCCTCCTGAGGAAGCACGGGGCGCAGCTCCTCGCGGAGGGTTACAGCTTGATGGACATCCTGTTCCCGGCGTACGAGTGGGCCTGCACGCCGGAAAAGATGAAGGGGTACATTGCCCACGTTCCCGGCAACATCTACAAGGCGTAGGCCGCCCGGCACCGCTCGCCCGCCCAACGTGCTCCCGTGCATGCAAGTGTTACATCCTAGCGAGGCCCGTGGCTCCGCATCGCCTCGCCTGCCCTGAACCCCCCCGCGTCGCACCGACCAGCGCGCCGTCTCCCTACTGCCGGGTCTCGCCGGGCGGCCCCTGCGCGTCCAGCAGCGTTTGCGCCTCCTTTGCTGCTGCGATCCTTTTGTTGATCCCGTCGACGAGTTGCAGGCGCGTCGAATCGCGACTCTCGTCCGGAAGCGGCGCAACGAGGATCTCGATGTTGGTCAGCATCTGCTGCGCCGCCTTGCCGTGGGCAACCGCCCGATACTGGTCTGACTGCCACGGCGTCATGTCTGCCGCGTGCAAACGCGGGCACGTGACGGGCGCGGGGCCCTCCCGGGCCGGCTTGAACGACCCCGTTGCCACGCCGTCGGCGCCTGCTGGCGCTGCCGCGGCTGGCGGGGTGGCTGCCGCCGCCGCCTGCGTTGCCGCCGTGTTGCCAGCTTCAATCGTGCCGAAAATGTTCTGGACTGGGGGGTTCGTGCCGCCCGTGCCGCTCTGCGGGAAGCTCTTTGACATCACGCCGCCCGGCTGCCCCTTCTTGTACGTTTTCCGGTTCGCCGACGGCTGCTCGGTCTGTTGTGACGCTGGCGGTGCGATCACCGCGTAGATGTCCTGCTTGGTCGACTGCGCAAGATACTTCTGGAGCACCCGAATGTCCTCGATCTGCCGTTTCTCGGGCTTCCTGTTGCGCTTGGGCGGCACGGGGACGTACTCCAGGCCGATGTCCCTCAAGACTGACATGCCCTGCATCTCGCAGCGCAGGGTCTCGGCGAACGGTCAGCGACGAGCGCGGCATCGCGAGACGCGCCGTGTGCGAGCCAGGTGGCGGACAGACCTGGACCTCTCTCTCGGACCTCGGATTGTTGAGCGCGATCTCATATGCCCGCTCTTTCACGTCAATTTCCTCCAGGGCGCCCCAGCCTCCGGGGGGCTTTGGCAGCTCTCCCGACCCAACAGTTTCGCGCTTCCCTTTGATGTAGACCTCGACTTGAATGAAGACGCTACCAGCCGTCGGCACGTGTACGATGTCGTCGTCGTCGTCGTCGTAGTCGGGGTCCTCCGAATTCCGGCGCTTCGCTGCACGGCGACGTCTTTCCGACTCCGGGGAACTGTCGAGCGCGAGTATCTGGGCCGTGGCGGCTGCGCCATCCGCCCCGGCGACGCGGCTGGAGCGCTGGCGGACGAAGCTCCCATGCTCTCTGAAGTTGCTGATCGCAAGCGCTTGATCGGTCTTGTTGGCGAGGTTTCGGCGGACCTGTTCGGCCGTCCGGATATCTGGGTGTGCTACGGCGACATGCTGATCGTAGGTCTCGCCCTGGAACCGCGCCTGAAGCTCCGGAACGAAGTTGCACCAATGACATCCTTTAAAAGGGCAGTAGTCACCCTCACCGTCATCCAGCGCGCGGTACAGGCGCGACTGTGGGTTAAGGTCTGCATTCGGTGGGGCGCGGAGCGACGGAACGCTGAGGACACGCCCGGAAACGGCCAACAAACACGTTTGATCTGTGCAGCTCGCCGCCGCGTCGCTGGCACGCAGATCGAAGCTTCCGCCCTCCGGATCATCAGAGTGATTTCTAACATGGCGTGTTCATGGCAGCTACCTGGGTTTGGACCCGACATGATGGCCGTGCTGATGTTGTTGTTCCAGCGCTCGCCAAAAGACGCCCGGACGGTGACGACACGCGCTTCGGCCGGCGGTGATAGGGCGCTTCGACCGCCCGAGGCAGAGATGGAGCGCGTCACAGGGGCGTTTCGCCCAAGTTCGCACAATCTCGGTCGGGGCTGTCGATGTTGGTGACGTGGGTAAACCAGTTGGGTAAGAGTAATACTTGCAGAGAGAGTAGTTCACAGAGACACTCCTCGGAGTGCCGCGCTCGAGGCTAGCCCTCTTGTCGCGCGGGTGGAGGCACAGCCTTCATCTGAGTGGACACTCGGCCGGCGGCACACTACTGCCCCGGCAAAGAGCCCCAACCGCCAGCACGACCAACCCATTGCCACTTGCGCGTGGGCAGATCGGCCGGCCGGTGCGATGCGGCGAGCGGCCTGACGCCCGCCGGGAACGGTGCCGACCCGCACGTGCGGTAATGAGTTGGCGGTCTGGCGATGAGCGCCCTGGCCGCCCACATCGCCTCGGGAACGTGCGCGGCCCTGCCCGAGTGAACAGGAGTTGCTTGCTGGTCTACGAGTGAGCGCTGCTGCAGGGGCGCGACTCGGAAGATCGCAGCACACCGGACTGTGCATGCCCGGCGATGCCGTCACGCTACGTGCCGTGAACACGCTCCGCGCGACAGGCCTCCGAGTCGCACCGACTGCGCTCAGGAGACCGCCGGAAGAACGTCGTGGCCGCCTCGCCACATGTCCGCACGCGTGCCGCGGCGTGGCCCATTCCGGGCAGACTTCGTTTCGATCGCAGCACGAGAGGTTTCTCGCGCCTGAGTGAAGTGCGAGCGGGCGTGACCTCCAGAGGTTGACTTGTGTGCTGGCCGCGGCAGTGGTGCGCCGCGACCGCGCCGGAGCAGTCGCTGTTCAGCTACGGGGTCTGACCAGGCGCGGAGGCCCACGTGAGCGCGGCCTGGCGTGTGGTCCGCGCGCGACGCCCCTTGCCTGCCTTGCTTGGGTGGCCGGTGCGCGGCGGCCGTTGCGACCCCGCACGGCGAAGCCTAGGGGGACGACAGCGCTCTCACGCGCCAGGAGAAGGCCGGAGACCGGCGGTTGGCGGCAACAAGGGCAGGCGTGATGTCGAACGTGGATGCCCCAAAGCCTGGTCCTGTTGCCCACGCGGGGGGCAGGTCTAGCAAGCGCAAGTCCCTAGACTTCTTCTCGCGAAACCTGCAAGGCTCCGGCTCGCTCACGCCCCACTTGCCGGAGGGCACGAAGCGGGAGGACTCCGTGAAGAACGCGCTGCCACGGCTGGACGAGCACGAGGACGAGAGCGCTGCCGACGACGACACGGAGACCGTGCCGCGGCAGAATAGCTCGCCCGCGGTCTCCACCAACTTCCTGGGTCCCTCGGACGCCGACACGGAGGGAATGGTCAACGCGCGCACCGTCACCACGGCGGGAAACACCATCTTGTACGGAGCTGCCTCACGGCCGGGAGTGCATCCTGTGCAGGCGCGCACCGCCCCCGAGAGCGCTACCCGGACCGAGTTGTGCGCGCGAACGCGCGGTCGCATGCACGACGAATCAGCTCCGGCACAGATTTCGCGTGTTGGCGGCTCCCTCTTGCGCGCGCGCCGCCCTGGATGCGCACCAACCTGGCCGGGCAGTGCACCGCCCCCAACGCCTGCAACGGCCCCACTTGCAGGGCACGAAGGTGAACCAGGACGGATGGGTCGCGGTGGAGAACTTCGCGCACTCGGACACGCTGGTTCTCGGGGTGTTTGACGGGCACGGGACGAACGGGAATCATGTCTCCAACTTCCTCATCCACGTGCTGCCAGGTGCGCCGCTCGCGGCCGCGTGATGCGCCCTGCTGCCTCCGCCCGCACCTCGTAGGCCGCGCTGCCGGGTCCCAGCGCCGTGCGCCGCGCGGGCCCCACGGGACGCGTCTGCCCCTACGTTGACCGCTGCAGAGTGCTTGCAAGCGGAGATCTCGCAGAGCAACGCCGGCAAGCTCACTCCCGGCGTGCTGACAGCGGCGTTCACCGAGTGCGACCTCATGTTGCGCGAACAGGACGGGTTCAACGTGCACATGTCGGGGTCGACGGGCGTCCTGGTGGCCTTCCAGGTGCGCAGCCGAGACGCCCCCGAACGAATGAATTGAGTCCGCCGCAGATGAAGCGCGCTCGCGCGACCCGAGTCATCGCTCGACGCCTTCTCGGCACCGCAGGGCAACAACCTCGTCCTGGCGAACTTGGGTGACTCGCGGGCGGTGCTGGGGTCGATGGAGGGCAACACGGTCAAGGCAACCGCCCTGACCACGGACCACACGCCGGACCTCGAGGCAGAGGCGCAGCGGGTCGTACGCAGCGGTGGCGAGATTCGCCCTCTGATGTTCCGCGGGGAGTTCTTCGGCCCGCAACGGTGAGCCCCGTCGGTGCTGCGTCCGCGTCAGCACCGCCTCAGCAGCGCGAAACGGCACTCTGAGCCGCCCGCCCGCGCGTTTGCTCGTGTCGCAGGGTATGGGTGCGCGGCACGAACCGTCCGGGCCTGTGCATGACGCGTTCGTTCGGCGATGTCTACGCTCACATGGTGGGCGTCACCCACGTGCCCGAGGTGACAGTCGTCCCGGTGAAGGCCAGCGACAAGTTCCTGGTGGTGTGCTCGGACGGCATCTCTCAGTTCATGAACGACGATGACATCATGCGCGAGGTCTACAACGGATACAGCATGGGGCACCCGCCGCACATCGTCGCCCGTCAGCTCTGCATCCTTGCCGCACGGGAGTGGACCAAGTACGACACATGCATCGATGACTGCACTGCGATCGTTGCATACCTCACGCCCGGTGCTGGCGAGGAGAGAGGGTGAGTCATGAGTGCCCCGCCACGTGCCCGCGCTCGGCAGCTGCTGCAAGGCCCACCCAGGCACACGTCAGGCCCGATCCGTCGCGACGGCTGCTCCGCTCCGCAGGCTAGCCGCGCAGCTGGCGAGCACGGCGAAGCGCATCTCCAGCCGCGACCTCGCGGAGAACGCGCAGAACACGGGCAGCCCGAAGTCGATGCTCGTCACGCAGAGGTCCTCGCTCCCCGCCCACCGACGTCACAGCATGGACTACCGCCAGTCGCCGCTCGGGATCGCGCCCGTGCTGCCGCGGCAGGCTAGCCCCCGGGTGGCGCAGGCTGGCGCTTCGCCTGTGTCCAACGGCATCGGGGGGCGCCTGAACAAGGAGATGCGCAGGTCCTCTCTGGGCCAGCGGCCAGGCGCGCAACGGTCGACGTCGTCTGCCGAGAAGTCGGAAGGTGCGTCCGTCACGCTCTCATTATCCGTCTGAGTCGCCCGTATTGTGCGCTGTGCCTGATGGCCGCATACACCCTGCTCGGACACGCAGAGTATGCTGAGGACGGCTCGCTCATGAGGTCGCTCAAAACGGCGCTCGCTGGCAAGCTCTTCAAGTCCCGCCGTCCCAGCGCTCCTGTCGGTCACCGCCCAGGCGGGATGACGGGCAGCGGTGCGGGAGACACCAGTGCGAACAGGGTGCGGGCCGCGGAGCAAGGCATGCAGAACCTGAACGTCAATCGTCGCTGAGACCGCGATCTCAGTCGCCTGTAGCCGCAGCTCGCTTGCAGCACACGCACACGCACACCCATGTGACGACCGAGATCATTCTCGGGCGCATTCCGACTGCCAGGCGTGGCGCCTACATCTTGCGCGACATGCTCGACTCGCGCGCCATGTTTGCGAGCAGTTCCGCCGTGCGTCTGTGTCCGTTCGCCGCGGCCCACGCCCGAGGCACGGTTCCATCCGAGCATGGGCGACTCAACGATGCGCCCCTGGCTATCAGTGCCACGCACATGTCGTCGCGCCCCTGCGCCGCGCACCACGCGAGCGGCGTCATGCGCAGCGCGTTCTCCGTCTCCAGTCGAGCGCCGAGGGAGATCAGGAGGTCGACCGTGTCCAGGGAGGACCGCATGACAGCCGCCATGAGGGGCGAGTTCAGCTTCGGAAGATGCCGAGCCTCGATGTCGACGTCAACGTCCTTCAGCCGCATCAAATGTTGTATGGCCGCGCTGCCACCAATGTGAAGCGCCCCGTGCCCGTGCTGGTCAACGACTTTAGTGTTCGCGCCTGCCGACACAAGGTAAGAGATCGCCGCCAGCTGCCCGCACTCCACCGCGTGCAGGAAGGCCGTCCGACCCTGCTTGTCAGGATACTCGAGAAGCTCGGACATCCCGTGCAGCCGCTTCTTGTGCCGCACAGGCGGGACGGGCCCCGCGGAGTCCCCATCCATGTCCGCTTCGGGCGCGTCCGCGGACAGCAGCACCTCCATGATTTCGCAGCTCCCCGCGCGTGCCGCCTCCATCAGCGCCGTGCGCCTGTGCGCGCACCGCACCAGCGGGTCAGCCCCGCACCGCAACAGAAACCGCACGGTTGGAGCCCAGCCCCCCGACGCAGCCGCGACGAGCGGAGTCATGCGGTGCGTGCACCTCTCTTCGATGTCGGCACCGTGCGCGAGTAGCGCATCGCAGCAGTCAGACCAGCCCGCCTTGGCTGCGGCAAACAGCGCCGTCTCGCCCCCCTTGGTGCGAATGGCAAGCAGCCGTGTGACATCTCTGCGCGCATCCTCAGACTCGAGGAGCACCCTGAGTGCTTCCGCCTTGCCCTGCAGCAGAAGATGTGAGGTGTTTTGCTCTTGGAACGGGCGCTGTGGGAGGGGAGGGGAGGGGAAGGGTTCTGACTACCCACCTTCCATGCCGCCATGATAACTGGCGTACTGCCGGCGTCATCGTCGGCGTCGAACACACTTCCAATCGCCGGGTACGCAGCTGCTGCCCGCAGCAAATGCTGCACGATTTCCACGTTACCCACCCCGGCGGCGACGCACAGCGGTGTGGCACCGCTCGGCGTCCTGATGGTCCATTCGGGGTCCACATGCCGGAACAGCGCACGTACGCGTCCAGCGTCTCCCTACATGACATAGGTCGTGTGTACCTTGCTCAAGAGAGGCTCGACGCGCTGCCCAGTGAAACGCACCCCAAAGTCAAGCATGGTGCTTCCATGCTGGAACGCCGTGGCACGCCGACAGCAGGCGCCTCATGCATGGCTGATCCGCGGGGCAGGGCGTGCCAAACCTGCAAAATCGCCCTGAAAACCTCTGTGCTGGCCTGCCTGCTTCCTACCAGCTGCACGTCCCCTGCGCTGTCAGAAGGCGCTGCGTCTGCATGAGCCGGCTCCGCCTCCGCGCGCGTGCTGGAGCGCGACGTGGAGACGGCCTCCATGCGCGCCCAGCTCGTACTGCGCGCGAATTCGGTTGACAGACCCATCGTCAGCGAGCGGCTGATCTCGGGTGCGATGGCACCTTCGCGCCGGGAGTGGCTCGTCGTGGCGACACCCCCGTTTGAGATGCCGCTGGCACAGGACGGCTTCCCGCACGAGGTTGCGCAACCAGGGGCCACAAGTGGACTCCGCGGAATATCGAACGTCGGCCTGCATGACGGTGCCTCACCTCGACCGCGATTATCAGCCCTGGAGCACAGCTACCACGATCCTCGCCCCTTGCGCTGCTCCCCTTCGTTCGTAATTTCTGCCTGCGCGACCGCGACTCGTGAGCGCACAGCGAGTGGCTCGCAAGCTGTGTCTTGAGCTCGAGCGTGCACTGGCGCGAAACTCAATGTCTAATGCGCACCGACCTCGCCAAAGCAGACGCGCACTGCGTGCACTTTTTCTCGCGAATCGCGTGCCTGGGCGCGACATGCGTCTGCACGCTTTCCGATTCGACTTCAAGTATGCGCGCGGACTATGCGTGCCGCAACAACAAAGTGGCGGTGACGCCCAGCGCGGGTACGCATGGCCCGGAGGTGTTGGGGACGTTCACTGGGCTGCTACTGCGCCTCGAGGGTTGCTCCGCGAGCTCAAGGGGCGGCGCGCAGCCTCCAGCTGGACATCAAAGCACTTGGTTCCTCGGATCACGGAGCGAGCGTCGCGGACTCTAGCTGGAGGTAGAAACAGCAGGCAATCGGGGCAACCGACCTTCCGCGGACTGCTCCGCACAAGCCACGCCGCGGACACTATGTGCACGGTCTCAGCTCCGCGTGGCCAGTGCCGCACAGCCGTTGCATCGCAGCTGAAGGGGGGGCGTGCCGTCAGCTCTGTAGCATCCTCCATCCTCCGCCGCCGCTGCGGATCTTCGCCCAGGCAAGCTGGAAGGCGCATGTACCCCTCAATCGTCCTCGCATCTGGTCCATGGCTGCGTTCATGGCTCGTCTGTTGCCGCGTGAGCTGAAGAGCCGAGCTGCCAGGATCATCCACTCCTGATCAGCTGTTGGGATCGCTCCAGTTCCCCTTTTCTCTCGTATCGCGGCACGGCGCTGGAATGCCACACATATAGCGCAGCCTGTGCCTGCCTTCGTTTGGGGACTCGGCCCCGGAAGGCCGCGCCCATGGGTAGGAGCCCTACGACCTTGAAGCTTTGCGAGAAATGGGACGATGCCATGCAGACGCACTTGGAAGGCCCGTGCGGCCGCTGATGACGAGGGCGGAGTGGAGCCGATCCGGGAGGTAGAGGGGTACAACATTGAGGAGAGCAGCATTTTGGAAAGTGAAGTGTTCGCGACGGTGTTGAAAGTGGGGGCCGTTGCAGTGTTCGTCGGCTTGATCACCGTGCTCGTCAACCTCGGAAGGTGAGTCTCATCGTGGTGCACAGCGAGCCATCGACCTGCAGCTGTGTCTGTGCACCTCTCTTGTTTCATCTCACCGCGTCCGGATGGTTTCGCGGCATCTTTGCAGGCCAATCATCGACAACACCGTACAGAGCTTCCCTGCTCTCGACTCAGCTGTCACGATCGGTGAGGCGCCCAGCAACGTGTCACTAGTCCGTGCACCCATCACCCTGTTCGCCCCCGCTCGTCTGGCGTCGCATGACCTACTTGACTCCACCTGTGAGCGCGCTCTCGCTTCGCAGGTGACGATGAACTCGAGGAGGATGAGGAGTACGAAGAGGAGGAGGAGGGCGAGGGGGGATCGTCCCTAGACAGCATCTTCTGATGACGTTGACTGCGACGGCGGGTTAGCGAGCACGTTCGGCGCATGGCAGCGGTATGTCGTCGGCGGCAGCCATGTCTCGGCAGATCACAGCGGGCTACAGCCACTGTGCGTAACCCTCAGGGATGAACCATCGCTCAAACTCGACGCCCTTCGACGCCAGATCCGCGACGGCGGGCCCGGTCTTTTCCTGGATCGCCTCGTGCAGTTTCGTGGAATTGCTGGCGAGAATGGTCTTGTCGAACGCCGTGAAGTCTTTGCCATCCATCGTTGTGACCTTGCCCCCCGCCTCCTCAATCATGAGGGCCCCCGCGGCCATGTCCCAGGGCTTCAAGTCGAACTCCCAGTAAGCGTCATTGACGCCCATGGCGACCAGGCACATGTCGACGGCTGCTGCCCCAAGTCTCCGCACACCTGCAACACAACAGGTTGCAGCACGCCGCATTTACCAGCGCCGCTGCGCGCGCGCTGATTCGACGAAAAGCGCAGCTGTTGCGGGCAACGCGGATGCCCGACGGGCTCTGCTCAGAGCCTGTTGCCGGTCGCGATGCGTACGAGGTGAGTACAGCACACCTTGCGTGACGTCCGTGAAGTGCCTGAACAGATCCAAGTTGCAGCTCCAAGCGGCGCCGTGGTCGTACCCGAACCCGGTCACCAGCAACGACTGTTGCAAGTCGGAGACGTCGGATACGCTGCAGGAAATGGGAGGCAACGTGAGGATTGAATGCGTCCAACTGGCTGGAAGGGAATCGCGCCGCTGTGACATTGCCGCGTGGCTCCACGACGCAACAACAGAGCCTCGGTCCGGCTGTGATTGCCTGGAGCCGGCTCCTTGCTTGCCTGATGCGGTTGCCATTGCAGTAAGCCCCGTTACCCTTCGCCGCCGTGTACACCGCCGAGGACCATGAGTGCGGCCCGCCCCCGAACGCGACAACGCAGGCCGCAACCGGCCGCGCCTTGTACAGCACGGCGACGGACGCAGCGAAGGATGGATACGAGTGTGCAAAGTTGGTCGTGCCTGCAAACATTCGTGTGGCCCAGTGACGCGGTGGGCCTGCTGTGGCGGCCACAGCGAGCGCCGCGGGTGAGTCGCGCAGAAAGGTGTGAAGAAAGCTCACCATCCAGAGGATCTACACACCTGCGGGAAGGCGAAGGAAGGTGACGTCGTGAAGTCATGGTGTCCAGCTCAGGTGAAGCGCTCATGCACAGGTGGACCGCGTGCGTCTGTCAGAGAGCGCCTTGCATGCTCGCCCTGTCCGCCACGTTGGCTGCTGCCAGGGCCACGTCGTCCGGCACAGGTGGAGAGCGTGTGGCGTACCACAAGTACTCCGACGACGCGTTGCCGTACACTCCGCCCTCCTCGCCGAGCACGCCATGTTCCTCGCCGTACGCCGCCATGATGACACCCAGGATCGCCTTCTCCGCGTCCTTGTCAGTCTGCACGGTCCCGGACCTGGCTGGGCCAACGCGCTTTGTGGCCGATGCGCACCGAGCATCGTGCGGGACCGCGACATCCAGCGCACGTCGCATCGCTGATCCAAGGGCTCGCGTCGCACCTGAGTGACCAAGTCAGTCGCGCCCTTGAATTCTATGTTCCTGGGCTTGTCCACGGCATCCCAGATGACCTCCCCGCCAGCCTCGGCCGCCCGCTGAGCGACCTGCACATCGATCCCTCACGTTACTGCTCCCACGTGAGAACCACTTCCCCGGCTCGCAACTCTCCCATCGCTCGAACGCCTGCCGCATGGCGGGGTCGCACCTCGAGCAGAGCTTTGCACTGATCGGCAGACAACTCGTCCGTGACGGACGCACAACGCCGAACGAGCGACCTCCTCGTTTCCACACTGTTCATGGTCCTCAATCGCGCGAGCGCGCGCGGCCTGCGATGTGTTCCGGCTACACCGAGTTCATACAAGCACCAAGCAGAGGCTTTCTGAGCCGCGCTTCAAGGTCCATGATCGAAAGTGAAAGATGCGTCTGTCGATGTCGAGTTCCATACCTTGCAAAGGCAAAAGCGGTCGGGGACGCTGCCTTCGCCGCCCTCATTCTGCGGCGTCACGGGTCCCGTTGGCACAGCTCTTCAGTCCTGAAACGGCGTTGTCCTGTTCGTCACAAGCGCCTGATGCGTCGCAGAACGCGGAGTAGTTTCACCACATCAGGGTCGCGCCGTCAAGAGCACATGCGGTCAGAGGCACGCGGAGCGTCGGACTGTTGCCTGCATCAGGCAGGTGACACTCGGCGCGCCGCGCCATAGACTGCCTCCAAGGGGCTTGCGGCGTGCACGTCATCCGCATTGCGGCGACCCTCGTTCGCTCACTGGACAGACGTTTAACGTTTCAGGGCGGGTGCTGTGGAGAGAGAGAGGGGCAACCTCCTCTTGCCACCGCCTGCACCGAGGCGTTCAGGATGCGCGCCTTCAAGATACCTGAGAAAAACGGGGATGGGAAATATGACTTGTCGAGCCTTGGCACGGGCGCCTCCCCTCGGCTCGCGGAGATGGAGCCAGAGCAGGTCGCGCACCTCGTGGAAGGTAGGGGATGCGGACCCAGCGATGGGCGTCCGCTGGCTCGAACCGCCGTCTTTCGCATCTTACTGACGCAGTGGTCGCCGAGGGATGTCGCCAGCGCAGTCGAGTCCCCGGGACGGACCGCTGCAGCATGCTTGGCCGCACCTGCTCACAACGAAGTGTGCCCCCTGGCGCCGTCTCACCGGTCGCTCATGTTGCGTGCGTCGCAGCCCTGGTCTTCGCGCTGATGGAGAACGAAACGACGGCCATCCTGGAGGACGACATGTTCGGCAGGGCCGTCGCGCTGGCGCAGGACTTTGCGCTGTGCCCAGCAGGAGCGCGCGGCCGCTACGTGGACGCCCTGACGGCGAATCTGCACACGCTGGCTGCGTCGTGCGGCAGGAACACCGAGGTAGTACCGGGCGCGGGCGAGGCGCAGCTCGCGGCGCAGTACAACGCGCTGAAGGTGTACTGCTTCCTCCTCACGCTTGTCCTGGACGCCGGTGAGCGGCAGCTGTCGAGTCAAGCTGCGCCCGCCGGTCCTGCCCATAAGAAGGGCTCGAAATCCTCGAAGAACCGACAGGCGGAGTTCGTCTGGGAGCTGTGGAGGTGAGCTGTCTGGACGTGGTTCAAGCACCGCCGTGAACCCGCCACGCCCCGCGGCGCGCTCACCTCCTGCGTGCATGTCTGAGACACGCCACACCTCCTCCATGGCGCTCCCGGTGCACGCAGGCCTCGGGTGGCGCGCTCCCTGGCGGCTGCCGCGGCGGTGGACCTGTGGGCGCTGAGCAAGCCCTCGAACCCCGACCCGCAGCTGGTCAACCTGCTCATGAGGGCGGGCGTCAGGCTGCTGGAGACCGCGGCGGCAATGAAGGACGGCGAGACGCGGGAGGCGGCGGCCGCGCTCGTCGCCTACCCGGCGCTGAAGTTCCGCTACCTGGAGCAGACGACGTCAACGCTGGCCGCGCTCCTCAGCGGCGGGGACCACGTCCCTGGCGCACTCGTCGGCGTGTGCGACTGGTCCTTCAAAACCCTCGAGGACAACACCCTGGCGCAGTGCATCCTCGCAGAGCTGACAGAGGTGCGCACAGAAGTTTGCATTGTGGCGCGCTCCCTCTCCTGCGTCAGGAGCGTGTGTTCTCAGCGCGCGGTGCGCGAGCGTGGCCCGATGCTCGCAGGTGGATCCGAGGGACTACAAGAACCAGCAGGCGCAGGACTCGGCGGCAGTGCGTCACGTGGGGGAGTTCATCGCTGAGCTGGCCGAACGCCAGCCGCGTGCCGTGGCCTCGCAGATGGCCCTGCTGATGCCCCATCTAGGTGCGAACCCGGCATACCATGCATGCGGGGCGTGTAGCTCCTCCCGGTGGCGTCGGCGAGCCGAGCATGTCGCCGCTCACGTGGGTCCCACGTGCACAGTGGCGCGACCTGCCTGCAGGGGGCGAGGCGCACTCGATCCGGTCCGGCATCGTGTCCGCGATGGGGTCGGTCATTCACGGTGCGCTCACGAGCACGGTCGAGGACGCGTCCAGCGCGAGCTCGTCCCTGGTGCAGGCCAAGCTCCAGTCCAAGCAGCACCTCCTCGCGACGCTCATGGAGCGGGTCCGTGACTCCAGCGCCTTCACCCGAGCGCGGGTGATGCAGGTAGGCGGGCCCCGCCGTCGGCGACGTCCGGCCGCGCCGTCGCACGCGCCGTGCCAGGCCGCAGTCTCAGTGTTCTCGTGCCGCTGCAACGCAGACCTGGGCCCTGCTGGCGGACAGGCAGGCCGTGCCGATCTCCCACTGGAACGCCGTCGCGGAGCTGGTGGTCGGCCGGCTGGAGGACAAGTCGAGCTTGGTCCGCAAGGCGGCCCTCGGGACGCTGATGACCATGCTGCTCATGAACCCCTTTGGGAAGACGTTGCCGCTCAGCAGCCTCGAGTCGTCGCTGGCCGACTTCAAGGCTCAGCTAGAGCGCGTGGTACGCCGACCGCCGCGGAGATCGCCCTGCCCTGCGTCCGCCTGGGCATGTGCCAAATCCACCAGGCAACACTCAAACTGTGTTCCCACCTTGCAGAGTCCCCAGCGCTCGGACGAGACCGCGGATCCGGTCTGGGGCGAGTCGTCGCAGCGCGCACTCGACAGCGTTGGGGACGTGGACGATGCGGCTGGAGGACCGCTGCCCGAGCAGTCCGAAGAAGCCAACCAGAAGGATGACCACGGGGGAGTCAACGTCGAGCAACTGCGCGCACTCGTGGCCTCGCTCGACACAGCCGTCCAGTTCGTCCGCCTGGTGTCGTCCTCGATGCCGGTCGTCACGCAGCTCCTGGCCTCGCCCTCCAACACCGACGTCATTGAAGCGATCACCTTCATCGTCATGGCCAAGTCCTTCGACGTTGACGGCGCGGCCAGCGCAGCTCGCAAGGTACGTGCACCGCTGCTGGCGTGGAACCGCGGCCAGCGTCCCGCGGTCGTCGGGTAGTGCGTGCTGCAACAACGACCCTCCTGACGCACCAAGTTTGCTGGAACTTGCTCGCAGGTCTTGCCGCTCATCTTCCACCGCGAACTCCCGGTGGCCGAGGCCGTCGCGGAAGCGGCGCAACGGATGTACTTTGCGCAGCCACGTGCGCCGAACGCCGGCGGTGCTGAGACCGAGATCCTCCCGCACCAGCAGACGGCGATGAACCTGGTGAACGTCGTCTCTGCGGCCAACGTGGGCGAACTGTCGGCGCTGGAGACCGTGATCTCCAAGGTGAGCGCCCCAGCATCGACCGAACAACAATGGTGCTCGCGTGTTCTTGCAGCGCCACACACGCGCGTGTCACCTCGTGCTGATGTGCAGCTGCTCGCGAGCGGTGAGCTGAGGGAGTCGATCGTCCTGGCGCTGTGGGATGTTGCGGAGCGTGGAAGTGACAAGGCTGCAGGCTCCGCCATGGCACTGCTTGCCATGGTCGCAGCTGCGAAACCTGAGATGGTGGCTGAAAAGTTCGACATCCTTCTCAAGATCGGGTTTGACAGGCTCGGCAATGCGCTGCTGATGCGCCACGCGTGCACTGCGATCTCGAACGTGGCACACCTACTGAAGAGGTGAGCATCACGGCCGGCTGCCACATGTGCAGCATTTCCAGCGCCTCAGCAAGCCGCTCGGACCCGCCCAAGATTCAGCTTCGCCCGACGCCGCGTGCAGGTCGGACGAGGCCGATGGCGACCTGGATGCCATCGCATCGGCTCGAGACTGTCTGCTTCGTGCGCTGCTTGCGTCGGACTTGTCGCTTTCTGGGTGGTTCTCGCTGGCCGAGACGGCGATCAAGGTGCGTGCCCAGCACGGATGAGGCCGACCACGACGACGTACGGCTACACCTGGACCACGTCACATCGACAGCACGTCCGTTGTTCCCGCAGGCAATCTTCGACACCCAGCCGAAACCAGACGTTGTGGCTCAGACGTTGCTGGAGGGCGTCGCGCGTCTGACGGTTCAGTCGCCTGAACACGACGTCGGCACATCGTCCGCTGACCTTTCGAAGCTGTTCTACGTCGTCGGCCAGGTACGACATTTCGTTGCTTGCACGTCGCATGCACAGCACAGTCAGTGGCCATGTCTCAGAGGCGTGCGCCTTGACGCCAGTGCAGGTTGCGATCCAAGTCCTTGTGCATGCCGAGAAGCTTGCAAAGTCGTTCCGGCGCAACAGGGCCGCCCAAGAGAAGCAGGCAGTGCAGGATGAAGACTCGCAGGTGAGCACATCACCGCCCGCATCGGCGCAGGACCCTGTGCGCGATGGCGACTCAAGGTCGTGCGTGAACCTGACAGCACAGCGTGCGCCGTCGCGTCGTCCCATGCAGGCGGCCAACGAGGACATTGCAGCACAACTTGGCACCAGCTCGTCAGCGAAGGAAGATGCCGAGGTTGACGCCATGAACCAGGTCGTCGAGTCGCAGTTGCTGTCCACTGCGAGCGTCGTCGGCCGCTTCGCCCCGCTCGTGGTGCAAGTGTGTGCCGACACGGCTGTCTTGGCCCGCAGCAAGCTCCTCAGGTCGTCAGCGCTGCTGGCGCTCACCAAGCTCATGGCAGTCGACGGACGTTTCTGCGAGAGAAACCTGCCGCTGGTGAGGACCTGCTTGATGTCGGCGAAGCAGAGAGCGTGCCCGCGCGATCGCTTGCACACAAACGTTTGGGCACTTGCCTGCAGGTGTTCACCCTCCTGCAAAACCACTGCGTGGAACCGTCCATCCGGCAGAACCTGGTCATTGCGGTCGGTGACCTCGCGTACCGCTTCCCCAACGCTCTGGAGCCCTGGACGGAGCACATTTACAAGCAGCTGACGGATGCAGACCCTGCTGTCAGGAAGAACACCCTCATGGTCTTGACGCACCTGATTCTGAACGACATGATGAAGGTGAGTGGAGCCAGTGGTCGAGCACTGTGTCGCACGAGGGTCGTCGCGCGGGTCTGACGTGCTGGTCGCAACTGGTCGTGTTGCAGGTCAAGGGGCACGTGGCCAGGGTCGCCGTCCTCCTGGAGGACAGTGAGCCCAATATCCAAGCGCGCGCTCAGCTCTTCTTCACGGAGTTGTCGCACAAGTCCTTCCGGGGCTCTAACCCGATATACAATATGCTCCCGGATGTGCTGTCTTCTTTGTCCAAGGAGCAGGCAAGCGGCAATCTGGGCGCCGAGGGGTACAAGCGCATCATGGCCTTCCTCCTCACGTTCATCAGCAAGGACAAGCACACGGAGGGCCTCGTCGACAAGCTCTGTCAGAGGTTCGCATCGACAACAGAAGCAAGGGAGTGGCGTTCGCTGGCGTATTGCCTCGTGCAGCTGCAGCACAGCGAGAAGGGAATCAAGCGGCTGGCCGAAAACTTCAAGTGCGCCACTGCGTCGACCCTTGCCTCGCAGCGAACTGCACTGGTGGAACACAGCGCTACATGCAAAACGCACTGCCCGTCGCGCACCGCAGGTACTACCAAGATGCCCTTGTCGACGAGGAGGTGGCAGCCGCGTTCCAGGCCATCATGCAAAAGGCGAAGAAGCAGGCGAAGGATGCGGTCCGTCAGTCCCTCGAGGAACTCGAGCAGAAGGTGTGCAACGTGTCAGTGTTCGCGGCACGCCACGCTCACTCCTGGAGCACTTCCTGACGACTTGTGCCGTTTCGGGCGTGCAGATGGTCACCCACGCCGAGGAGAGGGCCCAGCAGGAGGCGGCGGCGGCGGCTGCTGCCGAGCACATGGCGCGCCTGACAGTGGACCAGACCAACGAGCAGGAGGCGAGCAGCCCGGCAGCCGCCGCCACGCCGCGCGAGGCCGAGACCAGTATGTCAAGCGAGGCGGGTGCGGGCTCACCACCTCCTGAGGACAGTTCCAGCGAGATGGATGGGGGCTCAGAGGGTTCGCTACCTGATGGGGAGTCCTCCGACGATGAGGAGGCAGACAGCGAGGCGATGGATATCTCGCCGCTCCCCCCGCGCCGCGTTCTCGCGGAGAAGAACGTAGATGGGCCCCGCAAGCGCGCGACACGGGCACGCGCCGCAGCCCGGCACTAGCAAGCAATGGTTGCTTGCTTCATCATCAGCTCCATGTGTGACGTGGCATCGACTGACAGTTGGTGTAAACCGCGAAGTCCTCCTCACACGTTCGACTCGGCGCCCGCTGCAACTGGGAAGTACTCCTCCTCGATGCTCTTGGTCGAGTTCGACCAAGACTGGAGGCCTGTGGGGTAGCGCTTGTACGTCTCCATGAACAGCGACCTGCAACGATCGGAAAGGGCACGGACACGAATGACGCGCTCAGGATGGGCGCTCGCAGAGTACTGAACAGGAGACAGAAGACAAGTGGTTGCGGGGATGTGTCACCTGCAGGGCACGCGAGCCTTCAGCTTCATGCACCCCAGGAAAGCGCCGGAGAGCTTCCGGTGCAGCGAGTACGCTTCCTCGGGCGGAGGCGTTTGTCGGTACTTGAGCATGACTGCGCCTAGCTGCGAGACCCTCTTGGTCAGCGAAGTGTTCCTGCGGGAGGGAAACAAAGCGCTCATGATCAACAGGTGCCTGGGTGGGCAGGCGGTCGTCGAAACGACGGCAGACACCGCGCTCACCCGCCGAAGTCGTACAGCCCCTCGCATCCGAAGGGCTCCCCGACCACGAAGCCGGCCTGTGTGTGTGCATCCAGCATTGTTCGCGTCTCCTCGCCGCTCAGGAACCCCAGCTGCAGCGATCTATACAGCACCTCGGACCGATCCTACAGGCAGGGATTGCGAGGGCGCCGTTGTCACGCAACCCCACGAGATGTCATGACGAGGAGCATGCGCTCCTGTCTTCGCTCCTGCCACATGAAGCAGGCAGCACGGACCGACGCCCCTCACCTGCTCGGCACATGCCTTGACCATCTCGAGGTAGTGCGACACGAACTCGGAGCCGTAGTCGCGAGCAGCACCAAAGTCGATGAGATGCAGGACATCAGCCTCCTCGTCATACAAAAAGTTGCCCCAGTTTGGGTCCGTCTGCATGAACTTCCACTCGAAGAGCTCCTGCGGGACATGGGGCGGATGGCCGCGGCGGTGAACGGGAGGCACTGCCGGCGCGAGGCGCAGCAGCTTGCCTGCCACCTCCTAAAGGCGACCTCCTGTACCTTGAGGGTCAGCAGCAACAGCCTCTCCCCGACGCTGTCGCGCGTTTCCTGAGACATCGTCGCGACCTTGTCGATGGAAACGCCGGGAACGAGCTTCGAAGTCAGGATGCGCTTCGTGCAGAGCCCGTCGATGACGCGTGGAACGTGGAACCGGCCGCGAAGATCCGGATCCTCCTCAATCAGAGCCCTGCATGGCGACCACCGATGTCATCCATTCGAAAGCTGCTTCGTTGCGTTCAAGGGCGAACGTGCGAAGATTTCGTCGCGCCTACTCACCGGAACCGCTTTTGGGACGCCGCCTCGTACTCATAGTCGCACTCCATAGCCAGCTCCTTTCGCGCAACTGCGACCGCTTGGTCGATGTAGAGGCCACGCGGGAACACGTTCGCGAGCTTCAGCAGCCGGAGTACATTTGAGATGTCGGACTGAATACTCCTGGCCACACCTGGGTACTGGATCTTCATCGCAACCACAGTCCCATCGTGAAGCACGGCTCTGTGCACCTGCGCGTAACACGCATGCACGCAGTGCGGTGGTTGTACCTGCCCTCCGCGGCGTCCGCGCAGTGCGGGGCGACAGAGTTCGCAATCGTTGCACACCTGTCCGATCGACGCTGCCGCGATTGGCGTGAGCTCGAACTCGCGGAAATTCGAGCGCCAGTTATCGCCCAGCTCCTCCACGAGGACGCCCTCGAGCTGATTCTTCGGCATGACGTCTGCGCCTTGCCTGACACGCTCCAGCGCTTCGGTGATGACGGGAGGCACCATAGTCTCGTCCTGCACGTCGTGAGCCTGAGATCCTCGGTCTGCAACGGCCTCGGTGCGCCGTCAGAGTGATGCGGCATGTCTGCATGCGTTCGCCCGCACCTGGATGGAGATCATCTGCCCCAACTTGAGGGCAGCCCCCCGCATTCTGCACAACTCTTCTGCGATGACCGAGGCATTCCTCTGATTCAGGAACAACGATCCAGAACGGTCCTGCCCGGAATTACCGACGTCACCTCCTGAACCTCGCCCGTCGCGGCCGCCCTCCCACGTTCTCCCCACTGCCTCCGACACCGTGCCCCAAGCCAAGTTTGCGGCCAGGCCGACGAAACCGGCGGCTCGCCTGACTGGACTCGAGGGGACTGCAGCTTCCCGCAACACCCTCGTGCCGGACATGTCCCCTCGCGGCCCTGATTCGTGCTGGTAGGCATCCTCCTTCCTTGGGGCGGGCTCACGAACACCTTGAGCGCCGGACGTAGCATGTTTGACGCCCTCGTCGATCTCCTGTGAAGCGTTCATCGTTGTGCTTGCTTGAGTCTCCCGGGTAACGCTGCGGTTGACTGCCGCAGCCGCTTCCCTGATTTCCTGGCCAGGCTGCTCCTGCGCCCCAGCGTCGGCACGAAGACCCGGAGCGGCTGCCTCCTGGTGGTTTCTCGAGCCCTGACGTACTGCGAAAATCTCCCTCTCAAAGGTCTGCACCGCCTCGGCCTTGGCCAGGCGCTCGCGCGCTCGCAAGCTGCGAGCTGGACCAGCGTTCCGTGCGGCCTCGAACATGACCATCGACAGGCCTTTGATGATGCGCGCTGCATCTTCAACTAGGGCTCGAGACGCCATTTCCGCGCGTTGATGGCGACACGGCGAGCTGTCCCCGCGCTTGCACCGTCTGCACACGTAGCCCCTGGTCGGCGCTTGAAGCGACAGCGTTGTTGCGAGATTGAGTACCTAACGGTACCTGTGCACATGAATGCCCGACGCGATGTGGCGCCACTCGCTCTTGACGTGTCGCGTACACTCTGTGTCCGACATAGGCTTGGTCAGGCCACGTGAGTCCACAAGCAAGTCACCGCCACATACGTGGCGGCGTGCTGACGGCAGCAGGTACGCACGCTTCGCGCCGCACTGCGGGTGCGGTCGACAGCACGACTCCTGCTGACGAGACCGGCGTCGCTCAGGAGGACTGTCGTGGTGATGTTGCGTGCCCAGAACGCACGGCCGCGACATGCGTCGGCGTACAGCTTGCGGAGGCAGACGGCCGGGAGCGTGCAGGCAGCGGTGCTGACAATGTGGAGGCTGAAGGTTGAGCTGGATCACAAACACACAGCTGGGGTGGTTGCTGCTGGCATCCACGCCGTGACCCGACGCAGGCATCGGTGCCCCTAGAACCGCACCCAACAGCGATTGCATTCCCCGGCACAGTCGCCTGCAAGGCATCGACGACGACAGCGCCAAGATCTTGAGACAGAACACGGCATGCAAGATCCAAAGAAAGAGCAGGACATGCAGGCGACTTCGGGGCGCACCCTCGCAGTCGATGTTCATTCCCAGCACGTCCGGACGACGACGCAGGACCCCGACGAGGGCAGGCGTCGTGCGAAGGAAGAAGTCATTCTGCAGCTTCTGGATCGCTTCTTCAAATGAGGCGTTGTCAAGAGCCAGGACCTGCAGCGACGACCGGGAGACGTGTGGCGTTGCGATCTCAACCGCGGTGAAACGCCATGCTGACGTACGGGCACATGAGCGGTCACCTGCGGGAACTTCTTGACCAGGGCGGCCACATCCTCTGTGGACAGCCCCAGTTCAACCAGGCGATCCGTCCGCGCCCTGACGAACTCCGGGGACGGCTCCGCATTCACGACGGCGCCTCGCCAATACCCCTGCCCTCCCCAGCCGTATCCCTGCATCTCGTTCAGAACATGGATTCTTGTGTGCAGTGCGTTTGCGGGTCTCAACTCCCCGGGTTTCGCATGGAACAATCATGCAGCCATGATGCACGAATGACAGGAAGCCATCGACGGCCACAACCCGCGTTTCCCCCCGATTGCCACCCGCCTTGCCGGGCTGCCTTCCACGCGTGACGCTCGCGTGCCCGCGGGCTATAACACTGTTTCGCCATGCGTGCCATCCCGCCGAATCGTTGGGCCGACGGACGCGCGCCATGGCTTCTGCGCTTCGTTCGACCCGTGCAGCCGAGTGCGACGCACCTTGCCCAGCACTTCTGCGGGATCATCCTCGCCGAAGTCTACCCCGATGCTCTCAAGAGCCGCCACAGTATCAGCGAAGCCGTCGCAGGTTGCGATCTCCGTTGCCGCTCCACGCGTGGTGAGCGAGGAGGGCTTCAGGCACCTTGCTCGTCCTGGGGCGAAGCACGCCCGGGTGCCGAGGCCACGGAATGAAACTGGGCAAGATACGCTCTTCATAGGTCGCTCGTAACTCAATTCGAAGCAAGTGCGCTGGATTCACTGTCAGTCTTCGACGGGCGGTCTGTTGGGAGGAGCTTCTGGCTGGGAGTGCCTGTGCACGAGGACGCCGTGCGCGCCAGGTGTCGGCGGAACACAAACGACAAGGTGTGCGTGCGAATAGTTCTTGTATAATCTGTGCCGTGCACGCCCTTGTTGCTGTCCATTGAGCAGTTCGGGGCACCTGCGGTGCAAAGAAAGAACAGACGCACGCCACTAGTCGGGCTGGGGAACAGCCCGACTGGGGCCCGAGCAAGCCGGGTGCTTGAAGACCATGGCACGCCTTCCGCTTCACATCGTGGTCCCGGATCTGCTGCTCGCGGGATGTCAGGCCGGGCAGCGACGCGGCGAACATCGCGATGCGGGGTGCAACAGCTCAACGCGACACTTGCCCCGCTGTGTGGCTCCAGGGGGTCCGTGTACATTCCAGGGTACCGACGCGTCAGCCTCACGCAGTGCGCTCGATATGCCTGGGCGTCCCGCTGGACGGATTCGACATGACTGGCTGTATCACATGTCCCTTGCTGCAGCTGGCGGCGGTGCCTGACTTGGCAACGCACCCGCTGTGAGCTTAGCTGCCGGAGTACGCGCCGGGGCTGCTGCTTCGCTTGCTTCGTCCCGGGCAGTGGGGTTCGCAGCCGCAGAGTCGGTCTCGCCTGCGCCGTGAACGATGCCCGCGTCCGCGTCCATCTGGTTGAGCCGCGCGATCTTGGCCGCCAACCCTGACCCGAGGGCATCCAACGCCGCGTCCATGCCAGGGCCTAGCCCGCCGAGTCCTTCGAAGAGCCTGGTTGAAGTCGATTTCCCACCTGGAGAGACGAGACCTGCACGCGCACCGACTGTACAGCGCAAGTGAGAGTCGAGCACCCTGCCAAGGACCACGGATCGACCACCGAACGGACGACCGCACCTTTCGTTTTCGACATGGGCTCACCACCGCCGCCACCTGACTGTTCGAACGGCCCATTCGAGTCCTCCAGACCTCTTGCAAAAGCTGGCGCGTCATCCCACACGTGGCAGGGCTGGTTGTGCCCGAGGCACAGTGTGTGTCGCAGCGATCCGCACGCAAAATATATGTAAACCTGCGGACATGCGAAAGACTGGGTGTGTGTCAGCCTCGCTCCCCTGGCCAGAAGTCATGCGGGCTGGCGGAACCAGGCGGACATCGCGCGCCCAATCCCTGCCCTCCTCTGGCGTGCACGCGCGAGAACCGGGGAAGCTGCTACCTTGCCGTCCGGCGGGCATATCCGAAAGGCGAGGTTGTCGTCGAGCTGAACATCAACAACTTCATCCTTCTTGGTGATCATTCGCTCAACACGACCGTCCCTGGTCATCAACGTTCCATCCCCGGCCTGTCTGTTCCACGTGAGGCGAATTTGTCCGTTTGGCCACTGCGAGGATCGAGGGAAGATGGGGGAAATGAGCACCTCGTGAGGTTGAACGAGACGCCCACCAGGCAGCCTTACGCGTCGGCCGGACCTGCAAGCAGCCTGACCCATCCGGCGCGAAGGATGCTGCTAGATTTCCGGACGCCCTGAAGAAGGCCATCGCCGAGAACACTATCCTGTTCCCCTCAACTGACGACTCCACCGTCACCGCCACGCCCCCGTCGGGCCATTTCGTCATCGCTGCACGAGGACAGAGAGGCAAGCAGTTACTTCGATGCTCGTTCGCCGGGTTCGCTCGTTCGCCACATGAACCAAACAAAGAAACACGCACCAGCACCGTCCCCGCGCACCGACACCCCCACGGTGCCTGCCCCGCCGTCAGCTCCCTTGTACTTGGCCTGATACAACACTTCGTGCGCACGCTCGTTGTGCGCCTCCGTGACGTGGGCGCTGCGCGTGGGTTTCTTGGGCTGGCGATACACACCAGGCTTCGACACGGGCGCAACCTGGGAGCAGGGCGCAGGTGCTCACGCGGGCGTCAGGCGCCCGCGGGCGCAGCGACAGTCATTCCATGCCAGCCGGCCCCGCAGCACGGCCGCCTCACCTCTGGAAGCTTCCCTAGCACAGCCGCCAGCGGGCCGACATCGTCCCCGATACCCAGGTCTTCAGCCGACGGCTCAGCTCTCTGCGCCTTTGCGCCTGTGTTGATGCGCGCTCCAACGTTGTACCGCTGGCGTCCGTTGCTGGCCTGGTTTTGCCCGCTGCGCCCCCCTGATGCCATTCGTGCATTCGACATATCCCTAAGCTCGTCGAGGTTCTGCGCAACCGTCTTGGTCACCTGCGCAACGGAACGCAGGGGAGCGCGCACGCATGTGCGCGGGTGCACGTCACGCAGCGCGGGCACAGGCAGCGAGAGCACGTGCTCCCCACCTCAGCCATTGACCCATTGATCGCAGCTTGTGCCGCTGCGGCCGCGGAGCGGGCTGCCCCCAAAATTGGATCCTCAGCTTCGCCGGGCGCATATGTTGCGAGGTCTGGGGCGTCCTGTGCGCGTGCGCGATCGTCATCCTGCGCCGTCAACCAGGGGACTTTGCACGTGTGTTCCACCTCGGCATCTGCGTCGGGGGGGCAGTGCACGACCTAGCACGGCGACGTGCCCGCACCGTTATTGGCTGGCCGTCAAGGAACGCCAGCTTCGGCAGCAGCCGCACCACTGCAGGGCGGTACGACTCCCCCAGCATGTCTGCCACAGGGTTCTGCCTCAGCACGACATGCGTCAGCGCGTCGCATCCCGACAAGTGCGCCAACTCGCACGGATCAGATATTTTGTTTCCCTGAAGCCACAGCTCCTGCAGCGCACGGAGTAGGACGAACAGCTCAGCAGCCCAGACTGCGCCATGCCAGACACGTGTCGGTCGAGGTCTGCGGTGGCAACGCAGGGCCGACGGGGCGATGACAGCGAAGATGGTACCTTCAGAGCCGTCAGGCGCTTGAGGGGTTCGAGCGCCTTGATCTCGTTGTTTGAGGCCTTGAGCACTGTGAGAGTGTTCACCTCTGCCAGGGGTGCCAGGGTCTTGACCTTGTTCCTCATGACGTTCAGCGAGACCAGACCAGAAAGCTGCAGGCAACGTGGCCGCCCAGACCCGTTCAACACGCACGCACGGACGCGAACAACCTGGCGAGCGACGCCTCTGCATTTTGTACTTGTCTTGCCTTGGCGACCTCCTGTAGCGAAGACACCTTATTGAACGAAAGGTTCAGTTCGCGCAAGTTCGTCAGAATAGCCAGGTCGCCGAGGTCGTCGATTTGCTTGTTCGTGAGCGCAAACTCGTGCAGGGACTCCGGCTCGCTGCCGAAGGAGGCGTTCTTGATTGCCTGCGGCGCCATCGGGGCCGGACAACGATGAGCAGTCGATCGTCATCACTGCGTTGCGCCATCTCGATGCGGCGTGCGAAGCATTCCGCAACATGACGGCAGAATGCGCGGATGTGCAAAACGCGGCCGTCACCGCGAATCACCACGAAGGAAGATGCTGACGGCGAAGGCCACGTAAAGCAACGTCGGTGCCCGTAGCGCGCGCACTAATAGAGTCAGCGAACGCCTTGGCGACCGGGACTCGGCGAGGCCCATTGCATTCCAGCAGGACGCGCAGCACGTCTTTCGCAGCGCTCGGCGCACGCGCCCGGCGCCTCAGCATGGGGAAACGCGTCTCCTGTATCCTTCGGGGGTTTCGAACAGTCCGGAGGAGCGTCGCACACGGAGGACGTGCGGGTACAGCACAAACTATAGAGCACGAAAGGCACCACCACGGGTGCGCTGCGACGTCGTACATGTTTCGAGAGCCTCATCGTCGGCGAGGCACGCGCTTCTACCCGACCGCGTCACGCGGCTCCTTGGATGCGATCGCAGCAGCTATCCGGTGGCGAAACTGCGCCCGCGGTCTCCCGGCGCATGAGCGGCCTACGCAGCCCTGCGGTCCCCTGTGGTCGTGCGCGGAAGAGGGGTTGTCAATAGGATGCCCAGCTCTCTACAGACTGGTGTACCGCATGGGCGTTCAAGGGCGCCCTCATGAAGGCCGTAGTCGTCAGCGGCACCACTCCGGGAGCCCGACATGGGTAGTTCCGAGCCGTGCGCGCGCGCTGCGATGAAGCTTGGCCCCCCTGCCTGCGCGCACCACAAGTGTCGTGATTGTAGAGCGAGGAAACGCTTGCGGCCAGCTGGCGTCATACGTTCACGCGCGTTTCTGCGTTGGGCAGGGGGTCGAGGCGCTCTCTTGGTGAGACATTTGGCGCGCTGTCTCTAGGCCGGACAGCGCAGTCATAGACTGCAAGTAGTGCTTGGAGTCGGGCGAAATGATGGAGAACGACAGGTATGGGAACAAGGGGGCGAGGGACCCAGTGATGGTTGGGGTGAGGTGGCTTAAAAGTCGCTCGAATAAGGATCGAACCATGCTCGGGGCAGCTGGAGCCGTACTGGTGCGCCCCCTCCGCTTCGTCCCTCGCGCATGCGTCGCGTTCACGACCGCGACAGCCTGCCCTTGGTTTGGTCGAGCAGAGCTGCGCCCCCGCCAGCACGGACGGCTGCACGCGCCCTCACCCGACGAGCTGCGATGAGAGACGGCGGATCCTAGCGGCGAGCATGGCATTCGCCCCGACTTGCACCGGCGGAACAGCGCGGCTGTTCTGGTGATCGGTTGCGCCTCCGCCACGAGGCTGGTCCCGCCTGGGATCGCGGAGCTTGTCGAGCGCATGCTCGATCGTCATGAAATGCTCGTCGTGACATCAGAACGGCCGCCTGTCTGGGCGCCAGGCAACTGTTGTGCGAAAACGGCGTTGCAGGGGAGCTCCTTCGAGCTCCGCTGTGCGCGTGAAGCGGCGGCGCCTTACCTTCCGTGCCCGGGATGCGTTTTGCGCAGGCCTTGTTGCTGTTATATTTCATAATCGAGGATCACGACGTGCTGTTCGTCCTGGCGGAGGGCGCACAGCTCATTGGCATCTTGATTCTCATGTTCAAGACGCTGCACAAGAAGTCGTGCGCGGGACTGTCGCTCCAGACGCAAATTCTGACGGCGACGTTTCTGACGATCCGTCTGTATTGCTCCCTGATGATGGTACGAGGCGTCCTTGCGCACCCACCACCACAACACGCTGCAAGCATGATGCTGCGCACTGACAGGTCGCAGACGGTCCAGCTCGCCCGCCATCGAACAGCAATAGCGCAATCACGCCGGTGCATCGCAGGAGTTCGACGTGCACACGGTGCTGGACTTCCTGACGCTGGCTGCGACCGCGTTCGTCATTGTCACGATGATGACCAAGCTCAAGCACACGTACAACGAGCAGGTGCGGCAGCATCATAGGCACATACGTGCTGCCGCCCGCGGCGAAGCGGCCACCCGCTGCATGTCGCGGACAGCCACGATCAATCGTATGACCTTGAATCTCGCCTCCCACGGCCACCCTTGCAGCTCGACACCGTGAAGCCGTGGATCGTTGGCGTGCCGTGCCTGGTCCTGGCGATCATCGCCCACCCGAACACGAAGCACATGCTGTTCAACCGGATCCTGTGGGCCACCTGCGTGTACCTCGAGGCCGTCTCAGTGTACCCGCAGCTCAAGATGTTCCAGAACGCAAAGATCGTCGAGCGCTTCACGGGACACTACCTGTTCCTGCTGGGCATCTCGCGCTTCTTCTCGTGTGCGCATTGGATCCTCCAGGTGAGGCGGTTCACCCCCACGTGCTGCGCGTGGCACGGAGGTAGCGCCGAACAGCGGTTGGCTTGCGACGTGCCCTGGGCGAGCCGGTGAGACGCGGCGTCGCACGTCCCTCTGCTGTGCAGTTGTTCGACAAGAACTCCTTCCTCCTCCGGGTCCTGGGCACCGGACTGTGGCCGCCGATGGTGCTCCTTGCCGAGGCGGTGCAGACATTCATCCTGGCGGACTTCTGCTACTTGTATGTCAAGTCCTACTCGCAGGGCATCCCTGTCATCCGGATCCCAGCAGGCATCGTGTAGTCGGTGTGAGAGCAAGCGCAGTCATCCCCTTGCCCCGCTGACATCCTGCTGCTGCGAACATCGGAGTGGCAACGAGAGTGCTGCCCGCGAGAGATGTTTCGCAGTATGCGGGACACGCAGATCGGGAAGTCAGCAGCGTCTTTGCATCAGGACCTTCCAGCATCTTCGGGTCTTCGGACTTGAAAGTGCTGCCCATCGCCGTGAATGTTGCGACCGTCCTCTCCGCGAGGGGAGCTCCTTAGTGGCCAGTTGTCGATCGCTCACGGCCGAGCGCTGTCGCCCACGTGAGGTGGTATGGGTTTTGTAGCAGACTGCAGGGTGCGACACTGCGCCGCTTGGCACAAGAAAGGCCTTTCTGGACCCGTCTCACACGTGACATGTCGTAGGGATCACATCGGTACAATCGAGGTGCAGTGCTCGGGTTCTCGCTGCTCGGGCTCTCGTGCAAATTACAGACTAGTCAGCCTACCGACAGCACCATTTGGCAGCGGGCTGCCCGTGGACGACCTGAGGCTTTGCTTCTGCTGCGACTGCGGCGATGCCGGCTGCGGCGAGTCCAGTCCGCGGGCCCTCAGCATCTTCAGCAAGTTGGCGGTGTTGCCAGACGCCACGACCTGGTGAGCGCCAGCGCTAGGTGGGCTGACCTGAGTGCCCTGAGCCGCATTGACCCGCGCGGGAGACCCCACTGGAGCGGGAGCCCCGGTCTCAGGCCCGGGTGGCGAGTGACTGAAGTGCACTGCTCGTGCTCGCCTCTCCGCCTCGTACTTCTCCTTGATCGCCTCCGCAGGACTCAAGGCCTGCCCAGTTCGATCATCGCCTCGCGGCGAGTGTTGCTGCGGCTGCCCCTCATGCGTTCGCAGCCCATCATCTGCGTCCCCGTCCTGGGAGCCCGTGTAGTGCTGCTCTCCATCCAGCAGCAGGAACGGGTCCTCCGCAGGTTCTGCATGTGTGTCTCTGGCCGGGTGATCTTGCGCGGTGTCGTGGGTGACGCGGTCGTGGAAGGGGTGTGGAGGCGCTTGCGCTGTCATCGTCCCGCTGGCTGGCTCTGGACGAACGGCAGGTGGCGACGAGACGGGCTTTGATGGCGAAACTACGGGCTGTCCGCGCTGATGGTCCGCAGTTGGGCTTGAGGGTTTGAAGACCTCGCGTAGCGAAGCGACTGTGCCCGTTTCAACTGTTGTCGTGTTGACCGCCTTGTCCACCTGGCTCACGGCTGGCGGCCCGTCGTCGCGCTTCTCCTGCAGACATCCCACATGGCTTGAGTCATTGTCGCACACCACCAATCTCGCGTGGCACAGGCAGTTTCGCGGTGGCGTAACGAGACCGCAGGGAGCTACCTCGCTCTTCATCTCCTGAAGACGCTCAGCCAAGTCCGCTGCTGTGGCCTCGAGCTCTCTGCGCTCAACGACGGCATGCTAGGTGGAGTTCGTGCGATCGGGGGGGCGCCGGCGGGGTGGAGTGCCCGTCCAACGGTTCACTTCGGGTTCGAACCTGATGCGTTCGCCGTACTTCGCGTGCTTCTCCTCTGCCTCTCGCGTCATCCCTTCGTACTTGCTCTGCAGCGACGACAGCGCCCGGGAGAGCTCCTGCGCACGCTGTTCAGCCTCCTGGTGGCCTTTGGCATGGGAAGTTGCTTGAGTGGTGGCTGACCGCAGCGCAGCCTCGAGTGCGCGAACCTCTGCCTTCAACGACGTGACCTGCAGAAATCATCCGAGGAGCCCAAGCTCACGCGTCGACGTCGTCGCGGACCCGAGCACAAGCGAGCTCTCTCTGGGACACCGGCAGCGGACCTCTGACTCGTGACGCGCCAGAACGTCACCCTGCGCCTCGTCCGCGCCATTTTCAGTCGCTCCTGACGCCAGCTTCTGCCTCACGTCCTTGAGCTCTTGCAGGACGCCCTGGAGGAGACAACGGAACGACGAGAGCTGAGAGTGGAGCCCTCCACGGTCGGACAGCGCTGCGGTGCGGGGCCGCAGCTTACCTGCAGGGCGGTGCGCGTTGCCTCGACGCTTTCGTCCTGGGCCGCCACGGCTGCCTCCGCGGCCAGGGCGACAAGTTCCTCCAGGTCGATGTTGAACGCGTCAGACACGGACCCGCCCACCTCCGCGGTGATCGTCAGCGGCAAGCTGCCGCAGCCTTGCACGGCCTGGCCCGTCAAGGGCTGCAGCGACTCCGGCAAGTGCAGGTCGGCGTTCGCAGCGGCTTGCTGGAGGACCGCCAGTGCCCGCGCTGCTGCTGCCGACCTCGTCTCCAGGCCTGCCCGGAGCTGAGCGAGCTCCTCCTCTGCGCCCGCCGCGGCGACCTCCAGCGCGCGACACTTGCTCGCGCCGGCGTCGACCGCCGTCTCGTACTGCCTGCGCATCTGTTTGAGTGCCACCTCGGCATCAACAGTGCGCTGCGCCAGCGCCCCGGACACGGCGCGCGCCTGGGCGAGGGAGCTCGCCACCGCGTCCTTGCTGCTCGCGGCGAAACTCGCCACGTGTTCCAGCTGCTCGCGCACAGACAGAACGGCCTTGAGCAGGGGTGCAATTGCCGGTGTGGTCACGGAGGGTTGCGCGGCCGTGTGGAAGGAGAACTCTCTCCCGTCGTCGACGTAGTCGGAGGTCCGTGTCTCCATGGTGACGCGCGCCTCCGCTGGCGCCGCCGCTGGCGAGTGCTGCCCACCGACATCCACCTGCCCACCGCTGTGTGCACCGTCGCGAGCCTCTTGTTGGGAGGCCGTGGCGTGCGCGGTGTTGGCCTCAAACGCGCGTCCAGTCCCTGGGGTATCATGCTCGCGCGGTGAACTCGCTGACGGCAGCGCCGACGGCGCGCGCAGGGATGCCTTGGGGCTCAGGGAGTGCAGTGTGCCACGCGCCAGAGGCAGCCGAGGCGACGAGTCGCGCTGAATAGCAGCCAAGAGGGATGATCGTAGCGGAAACTGCTTCAAGACCGGCGCCAGCCACTCCGGAGTACCCTTGCCTCGCGGCGTCAACGCCTCGGCTTCCCGAGTGGGCTGTTGCCAGTCCAGCTTGCGACATGGACCGTGCTCCCCGGGCCACCGCGGCGGCGGACGCCCCAGCAGGCGCAGTGCGGACGAGCCCTCCGTCGTCATGTCCCGCGAGGCACGACAGTTGCAGGTCTGCGGAGGACGCCCTGGCTTGACAGGAAGGAGCGAGTCACCACGAGAAAGCGACTGAACACATGCCCGCCGCGAGCTGCTCACACATCCACCGAGATCAGCGGGAAGTGGTCGTGCGCAGCCGCGGACGCTGGCAAGCAGAGCGAGATCGTCCAGCCCTGGAGCGAAGGACCCCCTTGAGCCAGTGCGCGACTGACAGCCGCGAACTTCGCCCACGCACAGTGCAGGCCGGTGCACAGGAGCCGCGCAGTCAACAGCCGCATTCGGACTGCGTGACCACGGCGAGCGGTCACCCGTGCTCGCATCCTGGTGCAACTGGAATTCGCATCGACCTGTGAAGCGCGGCGAGGAATCGAGCGCAGGCATGCGTGCAGTGAGCTGTGCGAGGGCACCTCAACAGCCTCACCGAGGGACACCAAAATGCGCGCGGCCACTGCAGCGGCACGACGCGAGGTGCGACCCCCAGGAGTGGAGCAACTCGCTTCCGGCCCCTCCTGCTTCCCTTGGCGGAGAAAATCCATGTCTGGTGCTGTCCGTGCCATCTCACATTTCCACTTTGTCTTGCTGCCACAATGCGGCTTGCGTCACGTACCTGCGTGGGCCCGCATCTTTCGTGGCAGTGATCTCTGCGTTTCGTCCCTCACCCGCCGCGCGCATGACCGCATAGCTCGCGCTGGCCTACGATTGGGTCGCAGGGGCAGGATGGTGGGTTGCCGGGCATCTGAATCGGGGGAGGGGGGCGCTTCGATGACGGCGCAGGAAGCAAGGACTGTGCTAGGTCTTTCGGAAGATGCTCCGTTCGAGGCTGCGATGGATGCTAAAAACCGTCTCCTGAGGGAGGCCTCCGGTGACCAGGATCGTACCACACAGGCACGATCCCGCCACGGACGTCCCTCGGCCGCGAACGCGGATGCTCGCCCAAGGAGGGCCAAGCAGCGCCCGGCGCCTCTCCCGCCGCATCCATCCCCGTGCGATGTGCGTTATGCAGTGTACAAGACAGTCAGCTAGTTGATGATCTGTCCGGGCAACTTTTCACCCTGTGTCCGGCCCGCAGGTCGAGGCAGCGTACGAGGTTCTCTTCATGAACAAGCTGCGCAGTCGCGTGCTGGGTGAATCTGTGCCCGAAACCGTCAAGTACGCTGACGTGCCCCCTCCAAAAGATCCGAAGGTGAGCGCCGGTCTCATCCGACGAAAGAGACGAGCCGCGACGTGGGTGTGGCTGGTGCAACGCAAGCGCAGCTGGTGCCGGGCCCCGCGCCGGCAGCCTGTCAGTGCAAGCAGCGGCACATCCGCGGCTCTTCCCTGCCACGGCCCGCAGGTGGAGGTGCAAAAGCTGATGGCGAAGATCCCGGGAGGCGGCGTTTCCGTGTCAACCCTCAAGACGGTCGACTCGAGCCTGCAGCTCGCAAACGTGTTGTTCGGCGTGCTGACCCTGTCTGTCCTGACGTCGGGGTTCACCAACCCGCCCGGCATGGATCAGCCCCCGGCGTTGCAGATCGCCCTGGCATTTGCCGCATCCATCTACCTCCAGGTGCGCGACCTTGCGACGGCGCGCTCCGACGGCGGACGAGCGCTGCGTGCACAGCATGCGATTGACTCGGGGCAGGCCTCTCTGCTGTGCAGAACAACCGAAAGGGCAACGGGTTGCCACGTGCAGCGGTGTTGACGCTGGCGACCTTCGTGGCGGGCGCGCTCCTCGGCACTGGGCTCGAGGCGTGGTTGCGAGTCGACCTGATCCCGATCGGCTCCTTCTCGAGCCCATCGTGCCTCGTGAGCTTCATCGCGCTGGTCGCTATGTGGGCCGGCACCGTTTTCCTGATCTAGCATGTCCCGGCTGCACAGCTCAGGGATGATAGGCGGTTCGGGCCGTGGAACTGTGGTCTGTGAGGCGCGCCGTCTCAGTGCGTGGTCGGCGTCTGTTTTGCGTCGGGGCACCGACGACCATGCCACACTGGTGACACCACCGCACGAGGTGGAGGAGCCGTGCCCTCAGTCTCCGTGTGGGTCAGGCTGCCTGCAGGCGGCCCAACGTCTGCCCGCCGATCATGGGGCCGTGGTGGCGCATTCGAGGTCAGTCGAAGCTCTTCGCCGCGCGTCACAGGGCAGGCCGGTTTGGCGAGTGAGTCAGACCGGCCGAACCGCGTCCTCAGCGACCTTCCGCAACTGATTGGCTGCGCCTCGAAGCTTCCGGCGCCACATTTGCGCCGCGTGACGCACATCTCACTTGGCCCCTCTGGAGCAGCACTCCGTGCGATGGAGTTGTAGCCTGAGCTTCTGAGCAAGTCACACTTGATGCGGAGCACGAACAAGGTGCTCGTCGTGCCCAGTCGCGGCGCCTGGGGAGGTCAAGGTGCACAGCGCCAAGTGGATAGCGTAGACGACCCTAGTACTGCTGCAGAGGCGAGCTCCCCCGCTGCCCACGATGGCTCCTTTCCGTCCACGGCCGATCCCCGCGCTCGCATCGGACGCGCGGTTGCTCTCGGGCGATGCGCGCTCGGGAAATTCGTTTGTTTCGCCCCTCCGAGCGACTGTTCGCGTCGTCCAACGCGGCGGATATTGTCGCGCCGCGGCAACACCTTGTTCCTGGCTGTTTCCGCCGGGTCCTGGCCAAGACTGGGCCAGGCGGGGGCATTGGAATGTTCTGCTGCCCTCTTCGAACACCCATGCTACGCCACATTGCGCACTCCATGCATGTGGCGCCCCCGTGCGCGACTGCAAGTGCACAGACACGAGGTGCTTGGTTGATGTTGCAGAGCGACGACGGCTCCGGCTTTGGTGACGACCTCGACTCATGTCCGCTCTGTACGGAGGGCCTCGATGACACGGAAAAACAGTTCTTCCCTTGCAAGTGCGGCTATCAGGTGGGAACTTGCTGCCCGGCTGATTGCGCGGTGACCGGTGTCTTGACGGCGCCGCGTGTCACCGGCTCCAAGGCACTGAGTGAAGCTTACGCACGTGCTTTGTACCGCTGAGCGCCGGAGGCGTCGTGAAAAGCGTGGGCTGTGCATCACTGCCCGGCTCGACAACTCGCCCCTCGCGTCTCCCGTGGCCGCAGGTCTGCCTTTTCTGCTATGACAAGCTCAAGAACGAGTATGACCGCCGCTGTCCTGCTTGCCGACAGGAGTACGGCGAGCCTGTGGACCCTTCGGAAGTGGTGAAGAAGGGTGGGCTGCAGGAGGTTCGCCGAGAGAAGCGACGGCAGCGGAAGAAGGAGCGCATTGCCCTAGTCACGACAGGTGGGTCGCAGCGCCGGTGCTCTCGCGCTTCGTGGCACACTGCTCGGTGCCTGGTGCGTCCCCTCACTCACTCCCACTGGCTGGCCCCGTGCCTCGCAGTCCCGCTGAAACGCAGCAGCAACGTGCAGCCGCTCGTCCCGGCGCCGACAACCTGGCAGACGCGCAATGGAGACGGCGCTGCGTTCTCAGGCGCACAAGCGCCGACGAGCCCGGCTCATCCGCCACATGGACCAGCGGGCCAGGCTGCGGCAGGCTCCCAGCCGCCCCCGCCCCCGCCGCCCCCGCCTCCACCTGCGGCCTCCGAACGTCCACGCGTCCAACCGCCTACACTGGCGCCTCCTCCCCCGCGGCAACCGGCGGTGGTCGCGACTGCCTCGCACTCCCCAACAGCCGCACGCGTCGTGCAGCTCGGAGGCGCCCGGCCTGCCGCCGCGGACCGGCTCAGCTGGCCATCCCTCGGCGACAAGGGCAAGGCGCCGGTCGAGTCCGCCGCGAGCGCGTGGCGCCCCTCGGGCAAGAAGGCCTCCGAAGAGCGCGACCGCGAGGCCGGCATGCAGTCCCTCGGCACCATCCGCTCCACCACGAGCACGCCAGTGCCTCCCGGCGACCGCCTGCCGTCGCTCGGCCTCAGCAGGATCGAGGGACGGAAGACAAACCCTCCGAGCGACAGCCCTATACAGTTGCAGCACAGTGACGCTGCCGCGGGCGCAGCCTCGACCACGTCCGGGCCGGCCGCGCATCAGCAGGACCATGACGCAAGCGCCGGCGTGCGGAGCTTCGCGTCGCCGCCGGGCTCCGGGCCGGCAGCGAACGTCATGGGCCAGCTGCCCTCCGCTGCAGGCCACGCCCCCGCAATGCCGTCGCTGGCGCCCGCCGCTGCCGGGGACTACGTTCCAGGGGCCCGCCAGCTGCTGGCGTCGATTCAGCAGGCCGTCGAGTCCGGCAAGATGTCGTCGTCCCAGGGAGCCGAGCAGCTGCTGCTCACCCTCAACGAGTGGCAGCGGACGTCGGGGCCGTGGTCGGTCTACCTGCAAGCGTCGGCACGGCGCAATACTGCGCTGGCGGGACGGGGTGCTGCCGGGCGGTGGCCGCAGTCCACGACGCCAAGCACGGCTGGGACGGCGAACACCACTTGCTACACTGCAGCCAAGCAGCAGGGGCCCAACAGAGGCCTGACGGGCCTGGTGAGCCAGTCGCCCATGACGCAGGATGCTGCCGGTGACGGTGCCGGTCCGCTCTCCGGCGCCGCCGAAAGCGCCGCGCGGGACACTGCCCCCCAGCCTCTTGGCCCCACTGGTGCATCCGCCCGGCGACCCCCGCCCGGATTCGGCGGGTCTGCTCTGAGCTCTGGCCTCGACACCAACGTCGGCGCGCCCTCGTTGACCGGCGATCTGTCGCTGGGAGGCTTCAGCGGGCTCGGGGGTGGCTTGTCTGGCGGTCTTTCATCGAACTTCTCCGGCGGGCTCGTCGGGGGCGGGATCAGCGGGGGCGGACTGAGCGGGCTCGGCGGTCTGAGCGGGCTGTCAGGGGGCTGGAGCGGCGGGATGGTCTCGGGAGGGCTCTCCGGGTGGCAGGGAGGCACGTGGCAGTTGGGGGGGCTGGGCAATCCAGCGCAACAGACGAACCGAACGCCGCTCTACGCACGTGGCGCCGAGCAGAGCGACCAGCGCGCGAATGACGCGCGCTGATTTGGCGAAGATGTATATTGCACGCGCGACTGGCGCTCAACGCCAGGCTTTGGCGATGTGAAGGTTTCCCAGCCGCGCTGCCATCGTTGCGGTCGGAGGCACGGGATCACATGCCCGCAGTGGCTTGCTTGAGCGTCACCGAGAGGCGCGACACAATCACACGCGCATCAGGCACTGTCCCCCGACGGCCTTCCCCGTGGGCCGCTGCGGAGGACGAGGTCCCAGCAAAGCATCTTCTTCCATGCCCTGAAAGCGTATGCAGTCAGTAGGTGAGCCCTGTCCGAGGTCACCTCCGATGCGTCAAGCAGTGCCTGGAAAGTCCGTCCCACATCTGCAACCTGCCCGGCGTCAACAACTGCTCCAGCGTCCACAGGTGCGCCCGCGTCAACGATCGCCCCGGGCTCAGAGTGTGTGTCCTGCTTCAGCACGGGCAGCACGCCACCGTCGCCAGCGTAAGACAGGATTTCTTGCTCGTAGAAACTCAGACGCTGCGCCCAGGGCCCTTCGAGGTTCTGCATGGCGGACACATTTGCCGACGTGACTGATCGACGCGGAGCTGGAGCAGATGCACACATTTCACGCGCGTGAGGTGCAGGAAGTACTCAGCAACAGGTCCCGTCAGGAGCCTTTGTCTACCTGTTCTTGTTCTGCCTTCGCTAAAACCTGGAGGTCTTCAACCAAAGTCGATGGCATGCCCTCAAGGACTTCGATCGCCCGTAGTGCTCCCAGCTCGGACGCGGCGGCCTGCACCGGCGATGTCACGGCCCAGATTGTTACCAAGACGGAGACGAGCGGTGCAGCAAGAAGCGACAGCGGTCCTGGCTGCCCAGCCGCTACTCGCCTGCGCGGCTGGCGGCACGTCGAGCACGCCGCTCCACGCCCAGTCTTCCTGCGGATTCACGCGGATGTCCCAGGAAGTGTCCACTGCAGCCGCAAAGGCAACGACAGCGCGGTAGTCCATTCGTGCTCGCGTCTGGAGATCAATCTTGTCGGGAACATCGCCGCCTTCCTTGGCAAGAGCCTTCTGGACCGCGCCAGCGGCTGCAGCGCGCACATTGGACAACGCAGACTCATTTTGTTCCAATCAGCGCCGGCGGCCAACGTGCGGCAAGGCGTCGTGACAGAGGCCACGCATCGAGAGCCACACCTGTCCGCGCTCGTGATAGCAGCGCGGGTGTGTCCTCGGCAGTCTGGACCTCAGAGACCCGCGGCGCATTCTCCGCTGCCCACGTTACTGCGTCTTCGAGGCTTTCGAAGAGCAGCGTCGCTTCGTTGGCGTTGCTGTCAGGGAAGAATCCGTAGTGCACTAGGAAGTCGTCGCTGGCACGCTGCCCGTAGCTGAGGAAGATCTCTTCTTGTGCAGCACAGGGTCGGATGCACTCCACGACGAACATCCACTCGTCACTGCACGAACCCGTCGCGCGGATAGACGTCGGTGACCCGTGGCTGGCGCAACGGAAGGTTTGGGGATGTTCGGCACGTGGCGCCGCGCTTGAGAGGGACCCACCTGTCGGACCGCTCGGGCGACCTGACCTCCCAGCGCAGGTTGTCCTTCGCGCGCCAGTTCGCAGACGGCATAACGTCCAGTTCTGCGGCCGCGTGATTGAGCATGTCGACGACCGGCACCATGACGCGGACGCCGATGCCTGGCCCTGTCTTTGCAGGCAGACCGAAGGTTCGCGAGTGGACGCAGCTCATCGCCCACATGAAATCGTCGAACTCGATCGACGACAGCACAGGGTCGGGGCTGCTTCCTACGTTGCGGAACGCGTCCATGATGAGGAAGTTGGTCTCGTAAATTTCGTTCAGCACTGGCGGGTACTGAATGCTTTGCACGTCGTCCCAGCTCCACGTCGTCACCGGTCCGGGAACCACACTGGGCAGGGAATCGATGTACGGTTTGAACGGCGACGATGGATCGCCGCGCTCCCGCAATATTCTGCACCGCATGTTGACATGTTGTGTAAGCACTGAACAGCGCGCTGTCGCTGAGACGCATCGCGCAAGTCCCGGAACCCTGTGCGGCCGATGGGGGCGAGCGGAGGGCAAGGATGGAGATCGAACGTGCCTGCACGCAAGGCGAACGCTCCACGGGGCCCCTTCGTAGGGCTCTGGCGCGTCGTGGTCCGTGATTGCGATCCGCAGCGGGACCTGGAGCACAACCTCGCCATAGGAGATGTCCTCCGTGGCAACGAGGCCGCGATCACCGTCGTCCGTCTCGAACAGTGCGAGTTTGTCGCCTGCTCCCCCCACACCCTTCACCCCATTCGCCCTTGCCCACAACAGCAGGCGCTCTAGAGCGTCGGGGCTCGCTTGCGGCTCGGAATCTGTTCCGACAGCGTTTCTTCGCATGCGCACCGACAATGTCTGCCGCACAGCTGGCGATCGCCTCCCTAGATAACGGTGGGTCGGAGCAAGTGGCCCCCCGCTCCTCCTCGCGCGATAAGCGCTGCTGGCCGCCCACTTCTGAGCCATCTGTATCCCTCCCGTTCCACGATGGAGGCAGACAGGCCCGCGGGTCATGACGTATGTCCTGTCAGCTCATCAAGCTCACGGGTAGCTTCACGGCGACGGCCGCGAGTAGTGCGACGACGAGTGGTCAGCAGCAGGACGAGAGGAGCGGTCCGAATACAGTGGGCGCCGTGCTCGACGACGCCTTCACCTGCTGCATCGTGAATGTGGCGCAGGAGGTCCCGGAGGACCCCGCCAATAGGGTCCACGCGCAACTGCAGGTACACGAGGGCCTCGCCAACCGTTTTCAGTTTTCACTTCGGTTGCTGCCTCCCTTGTGCTGTCGAGACGGCAGGAGAGCGGCAACGTCGCGGAACGGAGAGACTGGTGCTGAGGCGAAGGCGTTGCGACTGATTCAAGTTCGGAGCGCGGGTGCCGCCGCACCGACTCCGCAGGGCCGCTCTTGCGCTCGAACCGGCCTGAGCTGCACGTCCGGGAACAAACCTCTTGAGTCGGTTGGCAGAAATGAGCTCGAAGCTGACCATCGTCGAGCAGCGGCTGGACCATGCTGGAGGCCACAGGCCCAGCAGCATCATTCTCTCGAGGTACGCACAGCCCTCGCACGGGCAGTTCTTGGCCGTGACTGCTGCGCTGACGCCACGCTCTGAGAAATCGAGCAGCGACCCGGAAACGGCCCAGTTGCGTGCGAGGTGCCCCGCAGCTTGGACCCGGACGACCCACGGCTGGTGTGGGTCTTTGACGACCAATCCACGCTGTGGCTCGCCGACGTGAGCGCGTCAGGGGCAAAGTACCGCCGCAAGTTCCGCGTGTTCTTGCACGGTAACCAAGTTGTGGAGCGTTGCTGGGCTGCAATGGTGCGAGTGCCGAATCGCAGTGGGACCATCGTGTTTGCCTTCCGGAAGTCCTGCAACGTCCTTCTCTGCTCTCTGCGCGGTGGTGCCGGTGGGCACCAGCAGGTTTGCGCCCCGCCCGACCACAGCATTCCGCGGGGGGTGGTGCGATGGGGACACAGTGCACAAGTGCGCAGCTGTCATCGCTGCACCGATCGACGGGACTGGCAACATGGCCCGGACCTCGCAACGACTCTGCGCACCCATTTTGAATCGCAGCACGGTCAAGGAAACAGCGTTCTCCTGTTTGCGCAACATCGCCACCCGATAGCAGCGCTGGCCTGCTCTGACAACGGCAGCGCTGTAGTCACGGCGTGCGAGGGTGGCGATATCAAGGTTTGGTCGACGTTCGACGGCGGCATCGCTGCGCAGCGCGTCAGTGCGCATGCGCAGGCAATTGTGTCCATTGCCTGTGTGGGCGCCACTCAGATCGTCACGGCGGGCAGGGATTGCAGGTGGGACCCGTTGTTGTCATGGGTGCTTCGTTGCACGGCAGGCTCGTTCGCGCACGCGGTTCTCCTCACAGGCTGGCCAGGGCCCGCGAGGATGCAGGGTCAGGGTGTGGAACATCAGGGGTGCGGAGCTGGACGAATCGCAGTGCCTCATCACACCTGGACCGTGCACGTCAGTTGCTGTCTGGGCACCGCAGGGCATTCCGGCCGACGTCTCGGCATGGGCGTTGCCGTCGATGGAGATGGGTTCCCACCTGGTGCGCGGGATGCAACAGGCCGCGTTCGTCGCTGCGGGCACCGTCACTGAAGAGGTGCGCACCGCCCAGCCAGATGTGCGTGTAGCTCTCTCGCAGGCCGAGCACGGGGGCGGGACCTGAGGAGACGGCGCTGCCGTCCATGTGCTGCAGGTGCTGCTGTGGGCTCCTGCAGAACAGTCGGGTCAGATCGCTGGCTCAACCTGCGCCCCATCTCTGGCCCTCCAGTGGACCACGCGACTCAGTGGTGGCGGGCACGCAAGGGCGTTGTGTTTGACAGGAGACGGCCACAAACTCGTGTGCGGAGGGGAACCGGCCGAGGTGAGCTCGCTCACGCGAGGCAGCGACGACGCGCATGGACGGTCGATCGGCGCCCTCGACCGTCGCGCCCCTCATCCCTCCCAGCTGCAGGGCGCGGACTCGCCGGACGAGCGGTGCTCCGTCATCAGCGTGCTCGATGTGGACACAGGGAATCTCGCCGGGAGCGCGACCTTCAGCGGAACGGTAGTTGGCGTCAGTGCTCTGCCGTACACGGCAGGCGCGGACGGCAATACGCTGGGCATCTGCACGGGGAGGAGCGGGCCGTGTCTGCGGCACGTGCACGATGTGGTGGCCGCAACCCTCCCGGGTCGGGTGGAATCCGCGCGTCTGCAGGATCGCGTGTGCAAGGATCCCGATCACCCGGTCCATCAAGCCCTACAGGCAAGTGCGACCGTGTCGGCTGCGCAGGAGGCCAGAGCCGTGCTGGATGGTGCCACAGCTCCAACCTGTGCAAGTGTTCAAGACAGCGCGGCGATGACTGCCCAGCATCAGGGAATGTCAGTGGATCAGGCGGGGCGCGACGACACTGCGCCGATCCAGCCTTTCGACGCTACGTTCGGGGGCTCGACCGCGCCCAGCGAGGAGCCCCCTCCAGTGCCGCACTCTCCCCCGAAGATGTCCCCTCTCCCGCGGCCCCCTGTAGCCGCGGCGATCAACCCATCCGCAGGCGTCGCCGCTGCACCCCCGCCTGGTGATGCCGGCGAGCGGCCTTCCGCCGCGGCGCGTAAGGACGGGGCCACGGATGAGAGGAAGAAGACGCGCGATGATCGACTGCGCGCGGCGCAGAACAGAGCGGACGAAGCTCGGAGAGCGATTGCTCGCAAGATCGTCCCGGATGCACAGGTGTGTCGATGCCTGTGTTCACATGCCTGGCGGGCCTGCATGATGACACGTGGGGCTCACTCGCCAAGATCGCGCCACACATGACGCTGCGCAGGTCCCTCAAGTCCCCGAGACTGGTGTCACGCCGAGTGGAGCATTGTCATCGGAGCTCCTGGCCAGGAACCTGCGAGCCGCGCGAGCTGCAGTCTTCGACCCACAGGCAGCTGTTGGTGCTGATGCTTCGGCGGTGGCGGAAGCACGGAAACTGGCGGCTCGCGACGCAACGACACTACCAGGCAATGTTCAGGTATGCGGTCGCGCGCACTGTGTGCCAGGCCCGCTGTTGCTCCGCCTGCCTCATCATTCACTTTTGAGTCTCCCTCTGCTGTTGTTGCAGGTGTACGGGAGTTTGCCCGACATCAAAAGCGAGGCATCGGGCTCCGTGGTTGCTGCCATCTTTCCGAAGCAGGTGCGTCATTGCGCAAGTGCGGAGCGAGTGCCCCTAAACGTGCAAGGACACGGGCAGCTTATCGCGCATGGTGTGCATTGTCGCGCTGTGCAGGTGCATCCAGGATGGCTTGAAGGGCAGAAACTGCGCCCAAGTCTCGCAAACATGTCGCAACTTGCTCGGACGCCGCCGCGGTTAGCGAGCACGAGTGCTGTTCAGCAGCCTTATGACAGGGCTCTGGGGGCAGCGGAAATCGTAGCACCGCTCTCGTGAATACGCACGTGGTCCCGGACAGCCACAGAAGCACCGAAAGCTCGTCACGGCAACGACTCGGCGCACCATCATTGAACACAAGCATGTGTCTAGTTGCGGTGTCGGGCAGCCAGGTGTGTCGCGCGCAGAGACTCCGAAGCTCCGCTTCACACGGCGGTACTTGTGACCGCATCGCGCTTTCGATGTGACCAGGCCTTGCTGGGGCGGCCAGAGCAGCAGCAGCAAAGTGTGAAAATGTATGACGGACCCGCCGCTCCCGCTCTTAGCTGTCTGCGCGCACGAAATGTTCGAGCATCGCCAGTGCTTCGCGAAAATCGGAAAGCGGTGATGTGAGGGTCAAGTCCCCGGACACGGCCACGTGTAGGGCAGAGATCCATCTCAGCTCCTGTGCAACGTCCTGCACCGCACCGCAACTCGACCGCGGGGCTCAGAACACGATGGTGCCGGTGCACCACGGAGCAGGCGAAGCTCCAAACGTTTGAGGTGCCCCCTCGCCTGCAATGGCAGTCCTTGGGCAGATATTGTGCCAAGACCTCCTGGGTTTGCAGCTGCGTCGGGATCCTTGCGAACGCCGCACGAGTCCTGCGCCCTGCTGGCGGCTAGTTGCGATATCCGACCCGCGCTGTCGACCATGAGGCCGCTGCAGTTGCGCTTGCACAGCTGCTTAGCTTGAGCAGCGACACTGGACATGGGAGACAGCAACAGACAAATCGCGGGCGGTGGCCGCAGGCGTGGGGTCGTTCGCAGAATCCAGGTCATGCGATGTGCATATCACCTTTGTTCACGGAACTCCTTCAGGAGGCCGTTGAGGACAACCACTTGCGCTTGCTGCACCTCGTCATGAATGTTCGCGTCAACCTCAGTTGCCGTGCCGTAGTTCTCAGGAAACTGGAGGTCATCGAGCCTTTGTACGATATTGCACGCAGTACGCAGAAGGGAGACGGCATTGGTTCGATATTCGCGCCAAGCCGCATGCGCCACCTGTGCGGCCCTGTCTTCCCCCCGGCTTGCGCCTTGCTCTGGCGCGAGCGCAGTGAGTTCGGCCATCGGAACAGATTGACTGGATATCTAGCTAGCGCCCGTTGTGCCAAGGGGTCATGGACGCGCTGCGGCTTCCAGGGTTTCGGGACTGGTGTGCACGCATCAGATGAAACGTCTCTCTCGGTGCGGAGTGCACGAGCGATGGCGGACACACGGCTCCCTGGAGCGCGAGGGCCGGCGCTATGTGCGGGGCGGCGCGTCTGCGCCGGGATCTCCGCCCCGGGGCCGCATTGATTGCATGTCGGGTGGACGCCTCCGAGGAGTTACTGCACAGTCCGCCGCGCCTGCTGGCTCGCTCATGAAACTGGCCGTCCCTGCGCGTGCGCCGTCACATTCGTGCACACACCTCCGTGGCCCGCCGACGCGTGCTCGCACTGTGGGGAATGGGGGCAGGAGACAAGTTGCCCTTCATGAGCGTCTCGCGCAACCGAAGGTGCTGTCTCCGTGGTTGAGGGCGGCGGTGTGCCTGACAGCCGCATCCTGGCTCGACCACTTCGCATTCTGTGGCATCGTCACACCCTCGTGATGGCGGAGCCGCTGAATTCAACGTCGGGCTACGGCCTGCTATGTGCAGCAGCTCTGATTCGCCTTGCCGTCGAGTTATGGCCTCACTCCGGGTATCAACGGCCGCCGATGTATGGTGACTACGAGGCACAGCGCCACTGGATGGAAATCACGCTGCATACGCCGCTGAATGAGTGGTGAGCGTTCGACAGCATCCAACTACCCGGCGGAAGAACGGTGATAGTTCCTCACCTGTGCGCCTTTCGGTCCCCAAATAGGAGTGTTGACGCGGCGTCGAGCATGCTCTATGTCGCGCAGGTATGTCGAAACGGAGCGGAACCCCCTGCAGTACTGGGGACTCGACTATCCTCCTGTGTCAGCTTTCCAGTCGCTCCTGTACGGCGCCCTCATCCACGCCGTCGATCCAGGGACTGTCGCGCTAGAGAGCTCAAGGGGCGAGCGCGGAGAGGCGCTCCAATCTCGCTTCCTTATGCGGATGTCCGTCTTGTTGTCAGATGTAGCTTTTATTTTTCCAGTGGCGCTCGTGCTCCACCGCGTGCTGCCATTGACGACGGCAGGCTCTCATGGTCATCGACGAGGGGGGTCACGTGACGCTGGACCAGGAGTCGGTCGAGCCACCTTGGCGTTGGCAGCAGTGTGGCTGCTCCAACCAGGTCTCATCTTGATCGATCACGGACACTTCCAATACAACGGCATTTGCCTCGGCCTTGCGGCGCTCGGCGCTCTCGCAGTGATGTCGGGACGGCAGATTTTGGGCAGCATTCTATTCTGCATCTCGATCAACCACAAGCAAATGGCAATGTACTACGCACCTGCATTTTTCGCCCATCTGTTGGGCTGGTCCTTGCAGGTACGTCGTCATCACCGCTGCGTCACGAAGGTGTCCTCTTCCGTCCCCAGCACCGCCCCCCACCGGCGAGAGTCCTGACCGTCCTGCAGGGAACATCATGGCTTGGGAAAATTGGCAGGTTGTCGACGCTGGGCGTGAGCGTGCTTGCCACATTCGCTGTCATCTGGGGACCTTTCGTCGCATCGGGAGTGTGGCTCGACGTGCTCCAGCGGCTCGTACCCGTGAAAAGGGGCCTGTTTGAAGATTACGTGGCGAATTTCTGGTGCGTCAGCAGGCTTTGAGGCATGGCGTCCGCCATGGCTGACGACATCGTTGCCGGATTCATGCATCGGAAATATGACGCGCCTGCAGGTGTGCGACGCACCCGGTCTTCAAATGGAAGCTTTTCGACCAGCAAATCATGGTGAAACTCTGCACAGGGGCCACACTCCTGGCGCTGCTGCCGTCTTGCGTCCACGAAGTGCTGCGGCCCTCGTCAACCGGTGCGCCATCTCAACGCGCTGCGCTGAAGCTGCACTTGGAACCACGCACACCCTCCTATTTGACAGCCAAGATTCCGCTCACCTGACCGCAGGCCTCCTCAGGTGCATGGCGACATGCTCTCTGAGCTTTTTCTTGTTCTCTTACCAGGTGCACGAAAAGTCGATTCTCCTCCCGGCCGTGCCGATCGCACTGCTGGCCTCGCATGAGCCAGAGACTGCAGTGTTCTTTTCCATGTTGGCAAGTGCGTCGATGTATCCGCTCATCGACAAGGTACGTGCCGAGGACCCGCACACTGCGGTCAAAGATGACCCCGCCTACCTCGACGTGTCTCTTCCGCCGACGCGCCAATTTGCGGCTTCGTGACTACAGGACAACCTGACTCTACCGTACATGGCAACAATGGTTACTTTCATCGCCGTTTGCGCGTGGCCACAGTGGGCCGCCGCGCTTTCGAGCTTCAAGCAGCGCCGGCGACGTGTCGATAAGGCCCTCCTTCTCGTCATCGCGCAATGGCTCTCCCTTCTCGGATTTGGCATCCTGCACATCCTTCGGATCACGCTGCCCGCGCCGGTGCGCCTACCGTTCCTACACGATATGCTCTTCACGAGCTTCAGTTTCGTGCAGGTTGGCGCAGTGATGCTGTACTTGAATGTCTCTCTACTGCTTCCGCGGCATTTGAAGCAAGATTGACCGCGTGACGTGTGAGTCGGACGCTCCTTCGGAGAGCGCGTGTCACATCTTCACCTCTTCTCGCGCTGCGCTAGTGTGCGGGAACATGCAAGCGGCAGAGCAATCGACGCTACGGCAGCAAAATGTCCGCCATCATAGAGCGCATCGCGTTCAGCGCTGTCGTGAGAAAACCCTTGACCACGTCGAGCGGCACCGAGTCATCAAGGGCAGAATCCTGCAGTGAGAGCATGCCCTTCTCTTCAGCGGACACCTGCAAGCACGTTTGCACCCTCCGATGGCTTGTCACCGGCGCTCCTTTTCGAAATCGCATGCGACGCAAGACCGGCCCAGACTGCTGCCGATGCCGCACCTGAATGAGGTTGAAGAACTCGTTGGCATCCTGGCCCTGGGTGTTTTCCACGCGCAGCACCTGATGCAGGCTGGCAATTGAGCTTCGGCTCAGCAGGACGCCCGCTGTGCTCTGTGCGAGACTCCCGCAATCGTCAGCTTGTTCCGCTGCTTTGCCCTCGAGAGGTCGTCGCTGCCTGTCGCTCTCAAGCAACAGCCTGCAAACCCAGTCCGTGAGTGCTCGTGTGCCATCCGTCCCCTGTGCCTTCGGACCTGCGGAACACGATCCCGCGCACTGAGCGAGACATTTCAGGAATCGCCTGACGCCCTGATGTGTGCCTCCATCGCCACGCGCAAGGGCTTCCCACCTGTCGCATCCGACTTCGAAGGCCGCCACATTTCCAACGTGCAAAACGCGTGCATCAGGGCCTGGAACTCATACGGGTGGAATTCCCGTGTCTTCTCTGCCGCTAGTTCAACGAATCGCATGAGATCTTCTTTCGTGATGCGACCGTCACGATCACTGCACACACGCAGGGGACTGAACTGATTCGCTCGTCCATATCGAAGGAGCGATACTTGTGTTCGCAGCCCGCTAGCAGGCCCGAATCGAGACACAGGATGGTTCACCGAGGCGGCAGAATCAGGAGGCACGTGCGCGGCTCTCTGACGGCACAAACAGCCTTTTCGGCCGGACAGTGCGCACCTGTCAAGCGCTGCGATCAGCCCGAGGTGGCAGCAGTCGAGGTCCCATTGCGAGCGAGGCAGATTGATCTGCAATACGTCCTCCAGGACCAGAAAGCCCTTGTTGCCCTCGAGGCGGTCGAACTCCTGCTCGACGCTGCGTCTCAGGTGGCTGTTTTGCGCGCCCATGACGCCGCCGTGCACGCGCGCCGCAGCCAGTGGGTCAGATGGCCTGTTCGTCTAGGGGATGAGGACCATGGCGCCTCGCCGCGCTTCTTGATGGTCTGTTTGTCTAAGAGGCGTGCACGGGGGAGGAAGGTGAGTAGGTAGGGTCGCCTTGCCGTCTCCCTGCGCTCGTGCACAAAGGATTTGCGAGTGGAGCGCTCACAGGCGTGGCGTGCTACCCAGTCTGCATCGCGCGAGAACTCCTTGGCCCTACAGCGCGCGCGGCAGGATCTAGCGCCGTGCCCTGCACCAGCCAGCGCACCCACATCAGGCTCCTCCTACCCACCCCCTGCGTCTGCTTCCGCACAATGGACGCGCCGCAACGCGACAGTGCACGCTCGCGACGGTCGACAAGGCGCGTACATTGTGCCGCCTCGGCAGCGTCCGGACCTACGCCAATCCTTTCTTGGGTCGATCTGGATCGGCATGAACGCTGCAGTGCAGTCCCTGAGTTCGCGAGCATGCGCGCCGCGCGCCGCGTACTCCCGACTTGCTCGGCAACCCCCAGGTGTGCATTGGCTGGGCAGTCTGCAGCCGAGCGCGCCCAAACCGCCGACCATGCATGCGACTTTTGCGGCATCCCTGTGGTTCCGCCAGTGGCCCCCAGGCTGCCGATCTCTGCCTGCCGGTGCGCATGCGTCACGCAGCATCCGTTCGCGGCCAGGCAGGACACCGGGTCGGGGGAGGAGAAGGTAGCCGCCCAAACGTCGTAGTTGAGCCCCTGCAAGGAGCGAGCAACCTCCAACGAGCCTCGCGTGTCGATGGAAGAAAGCAGATGCTGCCCCTGCCTCGGAACTCATTTCGGGCTACATCCAATCAAAGAGGCGCCTCTTTCTGCGCATCATCGTGGGAACCCCTTGAACTGCCGCCGTGTGTGTTGCAGGGAGCAAGTCCGTGTGGGGGCGCCGCTGCGATCTGCGCTCTCACGCGTCGCGAGACGACGCGATGTCGACGAAATTCAAGCAGGAAGGGGATGGTGAAGGGGCTGCTGGCATGGGTGCATCCGCCGGCTCGTCCCCGGCGATGTCCTACAACAAGGCTGAAACCTCGCTCGGCCAGTCAGCGAGTTTGACCGGCGTTGCGGAGAAATACGCACACCTGTTCGGTAAGGGGCGCAAGACCGTCTGGCGTGCTCGAACAGCACTCCAGTCGCGCGCCGTCAGGCATAGCCGCGTGCTCGCTGCAAAGTGGTTGACATGTCGAACGCACTCTTGGCCTGCCCTTGCAGCGTCTCTCGGTGCCTTGATCGTCGCGGATCGCTGGCTCAGGGCGCAGTTCGTGGCGCAAGCCTGGACGTTCCCCGCCCCCCTCGCCGGAATGTTCGCAATCTTCACGACGCTGTGTGTGCTGTCTGCGACGTCGCCTGGCCTGGCGGACAAGATCATGGACGCGTTCCGGCCGGCTCTCAACTGGATCGCTACATGGTTGCCGCTCTTCTACCTCCCAACGCTGGTGGTTCTCCCGACGGCACTCTCGGTATAGTCCCGGCTGCTCTCACCGCAAACCGGTAGGTTCCACGGAGCCCCGCAGAGTGCGCGAAACCCGTTTCATGTCCCGTGGTTTTTTTGCAGGGCATCCCAGCCGCTGCGCTCGGCAAGATCGGCGGGATTGTGTTGGGAGGAATGGTGGTGTCCCTCCTCTTCACGGCCCAAGCCGCCGTCTTCATCCGCAAGTTTTCGAGCGCACAAGCCATGCCCGTCCAGGCGGCGAAGGTTCGTTCACTGACGGTCATGGACCCATCACGCGCAACGTAAGCGCTTGTTTGTGCGTGCCTGGCATTCCTCACTGGGGACGTGATCAAACCTGCGCAGAAGTCTTCTCCGTACAACAAGTGGCACTGGTATGGATGGAGTGCGTCGGCAGCGTGCGCCCTGGCGGCTTCGATGGCGCTCAGCGGTGACCAGGCGACGGCCGCGCGCACGTTGTACATGCTCTCGATGACAGTGATCGGGCATCTGGTCGGCAACACCCTGGTGCCCCCACAGCTCCAGAAGGTCTTTCACCCGATCATCACGACATGCCTGGTTGCACAGGCAGGGATTGTCGGCCTGGCCGCGGCAAGCGGCGACACGGTGACGACCGTCATGCAGGCCTACTTGACGAAGAACCCGAACGCGATGGGGGCAGGTAAGCGCGTCCCGCGTCCGAGCGCCCCGCATCTGCGTATTCCGTTTCTGTGTCAAGCCGAGTCGCTCCCTGACGCAACGTGCAGGTGACCTGCTCATGTCGATGCTGGGATGCGTCATTCTTTCGTTCGGCTTCCGCGTCTACGAACAGCGGGCCATCATGCAGCGGCACGCTGTCGAGATCGCCGGTGCAACCGTGTCTTCGGCAGCTTTCTCTATGATGTCCACAGCCGTAGTTGGCCGTCTCATTGGCCTGGACCCCAACCTCACGCTTTCCATCGTCCCGCGCTGCGTCACCGTGGCGCTCGCACTGCCGATCGCGCAGCAGCTTGGGGCCGAGGTGAGGGCTGTTCCTGCCAGTTCCGTGCCGTGATCTTGGCCTGCCGGAATGTTGAGCTTGCCACGTGAACCTGGAACTTCTCGACTCACCTCGCAGCAACTGACCATCACGGCCACGGCGGTTCTCGTCACGGGACTCGTCGGAGCGAATTTCGCTCAGACCTTGCTCGACCGGTTCAAGTTCAAGGACCCCATCGTCCGCGGGCTGGCCACGGCTGGTGCGCGCGCCACCCTTGCTCTTGCCGATGTTTTTCCGCCCATGCTGCTCGACGCTGATGACGTCAGGTGCACTGGTGGCGCCAGCTGCTCAGATGCCACAACGAAGACGAACCCGCCGCCGTCCTGAGGTGTGCACGCGTACGGTCGATGTTCGACAACGTTGCGCGGGTGTGTTGCTCTCTTGCAGGAAGCTCGCACGGGTTGGGAACAGCAGCACTGGCAGCCAAGGAGCCAGAAGCGCTCCCGTACTGCGCTCTTGCGTACGCTCTGATCGGTATCATCTCGACGCTCCTGTGTTGCATCCCAATGTTCCGCGAGGTCATCCTGTCTCTTGCGGGGGCGTAAATGTCGTGCTGGCCTGCTGCCAGAGCTCTGTATCGTGCACGATGGGGCGGCGGCTATGCACCGCCGTATTGTGGTTGGTCCACCCGGTTGCACCACGTGTAACTTGCAACCGACTCCTCCAGCAGCACGCCAGCGGTGAGCTACCGTCGCGACTCCGTCTCTCGCACCGCTGCGGGGCTGAACTTTTCAGTGAAACCGGGAACCGCGGAGCCGCCGCCTTGCACTCAGTTCCCTGCGACATGCCCGCAGCGGGACTGGTCTGACTTCAGGGTCCTGTCCGACCGGGTCGGGCCGTTCGCAGCTGACTACATGGGAGCTGCGAGGCGACGCGTGCTGGAAAGACTGCGTAGGCGTGACGGCCTGCATACCTCTTCCTCGAGACGTAAGCCCTGATCCCGATACAGAAAGCGATAGGTGAAATCGTCGTGTTCTTTCGCTCAGGTCAGCCTGGCGGCCGGTGGGGAGCATCATGCGGGTCTCAGGCTCCACATCGGTCGTGAACTCCTGCCGTCGGCAACGGACGTCAGCCCCAGGCATTCGAAAGCCGCTAGGCAGCTCTGTGTTCCGGCCGCTGCTAATTCAACGACCAGGTGCGCGTGCAGAAGCATCGGATGCTAGTTGCTCGGGCCGTGCGTCGATCATCCTACTTGCTCCTCAGCGGGGCTGTCGAAGTCGATGCGTGCGGCCCTCATGCAGAGCCAGCACGTGCAGGGCCCATCCTCAGCCACTCCCATCGTCTGCGCTCGGTCATGCACGGCCAAGGAGAGCCTCGAGACTCACGCGCAACCTCGAAGCCATTGCATAGAGCCTCGCACTATGTGTAGATCGCAGCCGCCCGTGCCCTGCGCGCTTTGGCAGGCTTGGCTATCCCAGATAAGCAGCTGCGTGCTGTGCAACGTTAGTAGGGCACGACGTTTCAGAGGCTCGACATCCTGAGCAACTCTGTACAGCGTTGGACATGGTGCCTGCGAGGCATTCGTTCGTGCGACCCACTCGTTCCGCCGTGCCGCTCTGACTGATGCAGCGGTTACCACGAACGGCCGGCGCGTGTGCCGTCCAGGCGCATTGCACGACCGCGGGGCATCGCAGGAGTACGATCTCGATGGCGACGACGGGTTGTATTCCGGAGTTGGGTGGGTGAGCGAGCAGCAGGCAGCGCTCGTTGCTGAAGGTGACATACCCAAAGCCGCCAGTGGATCACCGCGTTCCGGGATGCTGTGTGGTCGCGCAACTCTGCGCCGTCGAATATGCTCCTCGTACTTGCTGTGCTGACGGTGTGGAAGTGGATTCGACCCCTTGCAAGGCGACCATCGTCGCTGCGAAACGTGCGTGCAGATGATGTGGACCTCGAGGAGGAGCGCATGCCGCGTGAGGTTGACGAGTCAAGTCCACTGCGGCAACCATTCCACCAGAGACTTCTGCTCGCCGCGGAGAAAGGCCGACCGGACCTCGCGGCGCGCGTTCTTGTGGCGATGGCCGAGGTGCGCCGCCCGTCACCTGCGCGAACGGCTCCGTGATTGCTCTCCCATGCGCGCGGGATGCGGCAAGGGGGAAGGTCCGACAACGGACAATGACGTCACGCCAATTCACCCATACTCAGCGCAGGCAGGACTGGAGCCTGGGCCCCGCGCGTGGCATGGCGTGGTGTACGCTCACTGCAAAGCGGGGGACGGAGACGGCGCGCTCGACGTCATGCGAGATGCATATCAGCAGGGCCTCCAGCCACTGCCGGAGTCGTACGTGGCGCTGGTCCGCTGCTTCGCACAGGTGAGTGGTTCACACGCGTTCAGCATGAGCAAGACGACACAAGTTGCGCGTCGAGGTCGGGCGGTCAAGTCACTCCTTTTGCGCTGGAATTTCTGGCACGACTTGCAGGCAGGGGAAGCCGACCGAGCTGAAAGGGTGCTGCTCTCTATGTTGCGGAGCGGTTTGGATGGCAAGCCGGGTTGGCTGATGTTGACCAAACAACTCTTCCGGCATGGACAGGCCGACCTTGCCCTCGAACTCGTCGACCTTGGGCGGACTGGTCTGCTCGTGACGACCGAGGAGAACGGGCTCGAGGGCCAGCCAGGCCATCCCGCGTGGGAGATCGATGCTGATCAGCTCGAGGAGATCATCCGCCACAGTCCCTCGCGTAAAGAAGCCGAGATGGATGCTGCTTGGAGCAGGGATCTACCTGGCTGCAAGGTGCGTATGAGCGGCCCAAAGGGAATCAGTCGAGCGCTGCCACGGGCGGTGGTTGGGCAAAGAATCTCAAAACAAAGCAGCGGTCACATGCTGACTCGTTGACACGACAGCTTCACCAAAGTGCGAAGTTCATCCAAGTAGACACTTGGACATTGTCCTCGGACCTGCAGGTAACCGCTAGGCACCTGAACGCCTTGCTCGAAGACAGGCAGGCCGGCACATACAACCTTGACTTGATGTTCCAAAAGTGGACCTCTCAGCCTTACAGCATCGCTCCCGATGCGGACACCATCAACCGACTGCTAGAAGCCTTCCTGTACGAGGTCAAAAGCGGCGTGGATGCGCAGGTACGCACATTTTGTGCCATAGCACATGCTCTTTGAAGCACGCACTCCCCACTCACCTTCGACGCGCGCAAGACGCCGACGCTGGTTGTACCTGTGAGACGCTGGCGCCTCACAGGTCAGGGCCGGAGTCATCTACGACAACCAGCAACCGAGATTGCTCTACTTGTATCGGGTTTCGCGCAGGAAGAAAGCGGTCAAGAACTGTACTCGAAGCTCATGGGGTACTTCGACACGTACCGGCTGCGTCCCAACCGAAACACCCTCGCCCTGACGATTGCGATTGCGACGGCACTGAGGGACCCTTCGAGGCAAGTGAAGGAACCGGTTTTTGCGCACAGATTGTCGCTGCACTCGTGTGTGCGCAATCAGGACGTCATCCTTGGCGGACACAAGATGCTGCCCTCCGCGACGACGAGACGCGATTTGACCATTCTCGACTCAAAAATCGTTTCCCGTGCAGGGCGATGAAGGCATTCGATGGGATGCGGAGATCGGATGATCCACGACTGGCTCTGAAAGCGCTCGGTGATGAAGACTTCGCGGCGTTCGTCGAGATGCTGGTTCAACAGCAGCTCCCAGTACAGGTTGCTCCCAACGCGCAGATGTCTTTGCAGTTTCCTGCGGTCTTTCTCGTCCCTAGGCTATCATTCGAGGCGGGAAGTCTGCTGCCGGCAGACTTGGCAGCTTGCATGCGTGGAATATGCGCCTGGAGAGAAGGAAACCCAGCCTCACCTGATCCCGTCTTCGACTGCAGCTTGCTCGAGTGTTGAGGGCCATGAAGAGCGACGGTCGGCGTCTCCCGACGTGTCTGTGTTCAAACTCGCAAAAGCGCCCGTCGTTCATCACAAGCTGGCTCGAGAAACGCCTCACTACGCTGCGCCAACAGTCAGGTGCGGACATGCCACAATTGCGTGACGCCGATTTCCCTAGACCCTGGGGCGCATGCGCGAGCGAGATCAGCGGCCCACACACGTCTGAACTCTGCGGGCGAGCTGGTCGTTCCAAATGTGGCACAGGTGAAATTGAGAAGATCGCTGGAAAGCTCACCGAAGAAAACTACCAGGAGGGTCCCGAGGTCAGCTCGAAGATCGTTGAGGTTGAAGTGCGAGACAAGTCCGGGGATGCGATCAAGATTGAGCACTGTGCGCAGCCCTGCCTTTGAGCCTGCGCCGAGAGTTGTCGGGCTCAGTTAAATGTGTGTCAGCACAGCCTGTACCTGAGAGATGTTGGATCGAGTGATTGCAGCTGTCGTCGTGGACAAGGACAACACGGTGATGGAGGAGCGTGACGTTTTCGAGAAACAGGGCAAGTCGAGAGTGGTCGTTGGCACAGAGTGGAAGGCGAAGCGTCTCGGCGCGATGAAGAAGGAAGACTTCCTTGCTGAGTTGATCTTGAGGTGCGTTGCGCAGTGACTGCACAAGGCAAAGCTGCCTCAGCAGCCTTTTTCAGCTGGCTGTGGTCTTGAGTTACTGGTCTGGCGGCTTCGGTGGTGTGCGAAGGTCTTCGCGCTGCTAAGGGTTCGCGCCGTACTGTGTGCAGGGGCATCTCCACCGAGGTCATTCCTGAGAACATGCAGCGGGAAGACGCGCACACCGGTCGAGTCGTCAAGGAGGTCGATCAACTCAAGCGCCGTGTCAAGGCAGCCCGGAAGGCAGCGGAGCAGAGTGCCGAGGCGACGCTACTCAAGATGCAAATGAAGGAAGTCAAGAAAAATGTACAGCGGCGCAAGGGCGCCGAGCTCAGGTAAAACCGACACTGTTACTGTGCGGGTCTGTTACTGTGCACTTCGCGCTTGCTTGAGGCGCAATGTCGAGCGCAGCCGCGTCACCGCGCGACCTCAGGCAGGTTCGTTCCTCGCATTCGAGCAGGCTGAGTGAGAGGCGCGCGAACGAAAGTCGTCAGCTACCTTCGGCACGTCGGGAGGAGCGACAGAGCTCTGGGTACACGGTTGTTGCGATGATTGACGGCAAGGTGGGTCCGAATACTTCCTTCCTGATCCGGCGCACCCGATGGCTGTCAATGGTCTCATCTACGAACTTGCAGACTCAGAATGATTTGGTCTAATTGTGTTTCAGGTTGTAAAGGAGGAGGAGAAGGCAGGAGAGATCGCCGAAACGGTGGTGATGACTGAGAAGGAGAATCCCATGGACGTTGAGCTGAGGCAGATCGCGGAACGGAATCGACACGAAGGCGAATACGATCCGGATCTCAAGAGTGCGCAGAACTTCGCGGAAGATGATGAGAACGACGATGACGACGATAAGGTCTGGGTCGAGGGCGACGAGCAGGTCGAGCCCATGAGCAGCGCAAAGACTGTCGAGACGACGGACGAGACAGCGGGCGTGGCGCACGCGTGCAAGCTTCTCTCTCTGGCAACTAGTCTCAGTGGGAAGCCAACCCTGGGGGACATCGACATCCTGTGCCGCGGAGCTACGGCCGAAAAGGATGCTGAAGCCGCGCTTGAAATCGCAAATTATTTCCAGGTACGAGGATGCGTTTGCAGCGCAGGTTTGCTCACTCTGCGTTCAGAAACACGTACGTGACTCTGCAAGGTCGCCTTCCGTGTCGCACCGTGATGCAGAAGCAATGGGTGTCTCTGTCTCTCGACAAGGTTGGCGCGTCGCGTCTGCAGCAGCTGCTTGACGTGTGTGTAGATGCGCAAAGCGAGGACGCGCTGGCCGTCATGTCCATCATGGACGATCTGGGTGTTGATGTGGATCGCAATGTCCGCGAGGTGAGAGAATCACTCAAGCGATAGCGGGCTGACGTCATTTGTTCGACAATGATCAGTCATCGTCGCTTGGTGGAAGTTGAGAGATGTCGAACAACGGAAGTGCGTTGCAGAAAGTCGAGGCGATGGGAGATGAGTCGATAGGAGGAAGCGACGCCTCGCTTGCGCAGGAGGTGGCCGACAGCGAGGGAAATGGTAGCATCCCTGGAGGCGCTGATGATAGCGACGAAGACGAAGACGAAGCACAGCCTTCAGAGCAGTGATGCGGTCGTCACACTCACCGCTGCCGGCAGTCATGTGGACTGTATGTAACACGCTGCGCAGAGCAGTCTCGGGCACCAAGACAACATAGATAGCGCTGTATGACAGGACGCCCTTCTGTCGAGAGGACATTGATGCCGGAAGCTGTCTTGCTTTCGATGCCCACTCAGCGACGGAGCCGTGCAAAGCACCTGGTGCCCCGCGGGCGGACGCCGGGTCATGAAGAAATAAACACTCTTCGCTTCGGCAAGAATGCTGGCAGAAGCAAAAGTTCGGGAAACCATCGGTCACGTTTGACACGAGCTGGCCGGTTGTTGAATCCCCCTGCCAGGCGACGCGCCGACGCCGCGAAAGTCGTCTTAGATGGTCCCGCCCAGTCGTCTGGTGCACAACTGCACTTCGACGAGAACTCACTTCGAGCAGACGCGCCTCAATCTGGCGTGCAGACTTCCCTGCTCAAACTGTCCAACGCGATGACGTGGTCCTCCCGGCGGTATGCCAGTCCTCGTGAAGTAATTGGCCACCCGCGCAAGAAACGAAATGCGGGTGTGCTATCGTCCTGATCAAGGCGGCAACGTGCTAGTAGTACTCGCGCGTAATACCACGTGCGCATGTCATCATGTGCCAGTCCTCGTTCGTCAGGTCTAATCCAGACTGGCATGCGCTTCAGTCACAGAAGCAAAGTCTGCTACATCGATCATGCCGCGCGCTGCAAATGGCCTGTGCTGAACTGCAAGGGCCTGACGTGCATGCTGTCATCGTAGAGCAGGAATTTCGCCACGTCAGAGGAGGATATCAGTGCTTGCAGCTGCCTGGTGTCCCCGTCGACAACCATCACTCGCCTGACGCCCGGGATGCAAAGCTTGTCGAGGACATCCTGCAAACAACTCCAAGGAATTTCTGCTCACTAACTAAATCTGTGCTGTGACAATACATTGCAGAACACACCCAAGGCACTTGACTCACCTTGAGCGGCGCCTTCCTATTCACCGTCCAGACACGCTGCTTCGGCTGCGCTCCAGGCATTGGGTGAACATGCGAAGGCTCGCCACTCGCGGGTTGTGCCTGCTGGCCTGCTGCATGCATGGCCTGTGACAGGCCGCCAGGCACCGAACCCATGTTGCGAAGCTGTCCTGAACTACCGTGGTATCCTGGTAGCTGAGAGAGTGCCAGTACCTGCGCAGGTGAAGAAGAGCCAAATACGTCACGCACAAAACAAGTGCTTTTACCAAAGGGCTACGAGGAGTGAAGATCAGCGATCAAGAAAGGCGCTGTCCTCCGTCTCCCTACGATAGCAAAACTCTTGGCAGCTGGCGTGAAGAGTCCACGCACCTGCCCGACGGTGACGTCATGCTGGTGTTGCAGTTGGCTGTAGCTGTTGCCTCTCGCCAGCAACGTGATGTCAGCTTTCGCGAAGATGTCCAGCAGGGCCCCCCTGTCGTCCACGACAGGAAGGCAAGAAGTGCCCTGCTCCAACAGCTGCTGCAGTGCTGTCGTCACGAGAGTGCTTGTCGTCACGCACACAAGGTGGTCGAGCACCCGCTTGCCCTCCGCGACCGGCTCATCCTCGACAGCAGCTCGCACCCACGTCCCGATAGGAAGTTCATCCAGCGGCACCTGTGTGTAGGATGTCGCCGGGACGACGAGTGTTGCGGGAGGGCATGTGATTTGAGCTTCGCAGTCATGGCGTGCAATCGGAGCAGTGAGCTTGATGGCGCGAAACCCCGATTCATCGCGAGGGATCGGATGGGGGCGCACCGACAGGAGCGGAAGAGACGCTAAAGAAGCACGGAAGTGACGGAGCAAACAAGACAGGACACCACTCACTGTCGCCGTGCACAAGAGTTCTGGCAGGCCCTCGCTCTCAGGATCGCAGGTCAGGATCGGAGCTGTGCTGCAGTTCGACCGAACCAAAGTACGGACGGCCTGCAGCAAGGAGCCCTCGGGCGTGACAAACACAAGGTCTGGGGGGCCCATGCCCGCATCGCGCAGTCGCCGCCGGAAGTCCCTGATGGTCACCTGCGTTGCCAGTGGCGAGGATGTTCGCGATCAGCAGAGCTGAGAGTAGCCCAGCGGGTCTTGCGCTGGTTGCGACAATGCGCGCAGCGACGACTGTGAGAGTGATCGGGAACTCCTCGCAGGTCCGGGCTCACGCGTGCGGTCTGCGAGAGCCCAGGCAGCGTGAAGGTTCGTTCGATCGTCGGCGGCCGCTGGTCGGCTTGGGCGCAGAACATGCCTGATCCATCTGAGCCTCAGTGAGCGGATTACTCCCGCCCTGTGATCCGGTGATCAGCTCTTGGAGCAAGCGGATGAAATCGGTCGCGCTGATGAGTCCGACGATCGTGCCTTCTTCGCTATCCCACAGGGGCGCCGAGGCGATGCCTTGCTCCGAGAGCGCATGAAACGCCTGCCTGACTGGGAGCATGGTGTCGAGGAGAACGACCTGCGGCACGCAGCATCGCGGCGAGGATCAAGTTGCGCACGCACGCCCCTTGCAGAGTGTCGGCACAAGTGTGGCCGGCATTAGCAGGCAGAGCGAGGGCACGAACCTTGCCCGACTCTGGAATCAACTCGTAGACAGTATGCGACTGCAGAAACTCAAGTATCTTGCGCTGCGTGAACTCAGGCTCGTTCTCTGGCTTCGCTGGGATATATGCTCCTTCCGCGCCTTCTCCCTGCGGCGTAGACCGTTACGACGCACCTCGCAAAGTTGGAGTTGTGCAGTTGCGAGCATCTCTGAAACATGCCGACACGAAAGCCGTGCGTACCGGCGAGGTGCCCTCCATGTTGACATCGCCTTGGCGTGCGGTCGCGACCGCGCCCACTGCGCCCTGCTGCAGCTTCAACTGCTGTTCCAGCTGCTGAGATAGACCCTCGCCACTTCCGCCCTGTGCAACCTGCACTTGCGCCTGAGCCAGCATTTGCTGCTGGAGCTGTTGAATCTGCTGCTGGTGCACGAGCTGGTGGTGCGCTTGCAGCTGCGAGTGAAGCTGAGCTTGATCCTGCATCTGCGCCCCATGTTGAACTTGTTGTTGTTGCTGGCCGTGACCGTGTTCCACGTCGACTCTACGAACAAACAGCCAGTTGTTTACGTTTCCGAGGGGATCCGGCATGAACGGCTGGGTCTCGTCGTGCCTCCACTCGCCGTCCACGATGAACTTGTACTGCACGGAGGAAACAAGACACCGCGGAATCCCTGTCAAAGCGGCAGCAGTGTCGGCGAGACGTCCGAGGATCGAGGCTGGCAGTTCGACCTCGCTCGCGTCTCGCGGCAGGCAGGCGAGTACCTGATGGTATCCCGGTGGCAGGTGCACGACGACGGTGAAAATGTTCGGCTGCCCTTCGACCGGAACCATTGGGACGGTTTCCACCCATCTCGTGAAGGATCCGCATAGACTGACCTGCAAAGAGGTGCGGAGTACGCGCGGCATGGACGGCGGGTTGGTTGCGCGCAGGGAGCTGTGTGAGCACAGCCTACAATCTGCCCTGGGGACACCGGTGCATGCCGCAACAACCGATGCCGGGAGTCATTCGGCCTGCACAAGCCATGGCCTCGCTTCACTGGCCCAGTCCAGCCTAGTCTAGTCGAGCGACTATGGTCTCGGGCGATGATTTCCAGCCATGCACTTTTGGTCAAACAACCACGTCCCGTGCAGTTGCCCGTGCAAGCAGTCGCGGGTGTTCCTGAAACGACAAGCTCATGATGTCAACGGGCACGCGCCGCACACCGCCCAGCAACGATGCCGTTCTGGGACGGTGCGACGACGGGACCGCGGTGAAAGAGCACACTCCGTGCGTGCCACGTAATGCCAGCACCGCATGCAAAGGACATTCAACAGGTTGATGGTCAAACCCAGGTCTGTGTGTACGGGAGCATGCGCGCAATATCATGTCGAAGCCGCGGCGGCAGCGCCGTGTCTCATCTGAAAGCTACACCGAGGCCGCCGAGCGCCCCTGCGTGGGGCCTCTGCGATGTTCGAGGGTCGCAATCGCACCTGTCCGCCGCCATATCTCCAGACGAAGCGGGTGGGGACGAGAAAGTTCATCTCGACGGGGGCCACTCAGCGCCGTGCGGCCCGGCAGCCAAGTGTGTCGCTCCGCAGCGAGCAGCTGGTCGCGTTCGCGCGGACGACGTCGGTGTCGGAGTGTGAGAAATATCCGACTCCCACGCGCGGAAATGCGCCACTTCACGCGCAAGGGTTTGCGCGCCAGCGTCGCAGTCAACTAACGCTTCGCGCGCGCCTCGAGAACACCGTCCGACAGGCAGCCGCGTGCGAAATTCAGTGGCACTGGCCTGTGTTGGATGTGCTGACGCTGCGCACCGGGCCTGACGGTCGTCGTCTGGACCGAGGGACGATGAACTACCTTCAGTGCACAGGGAGCATAGCTCTCTTGCCCGCCAGCGCGTCCGATGTGGCGCAATATTCGACGCAAAACAGCGGCTGTGGTCGAACAGCGCTGTGCGCCACACTTACAGGTCCGCGCCCCTCGGCAGCTCACTGGCACTGACTGCGTTGCAGTGCAAGACAGTCGTGGACCTGTCCGCCAGTCACCCCTCGCGTGGGCAGCCTGCGGCCTGAGGCCTAGCATGCCAACGCCCCGCCATCGCCCGGACACTGGGCTCGGTCAGATGCCCGTGGCCCGAGCGTGTCCCAGCGGCGTCGAAAATTCGTGCTTCGACTCGTCGTTACCGGGCAAACCACCCACGGGTTTGCACAGGATTCAGCGCCTCAAGCGGTTTCGCCACGCATCCGGTCGGCGATGCGCAAGTCACATGGTGCTGTCTCAATGGGCAACAGCGGAGGAACTGCAGTCGTGCCTGACTTCAGCAGGCGTGATCATGTTGTAAAACTTTCCCCACACCCACACGTGCCCTTCGCGTTCGGGTTCGTGAAGACAAACTCCCTGGTGAGCCTCGTCTCAACCCAGTCCATCTTGGTTCCCAGGATGTGCATCATTGCCGTGGGCTCGATGAGCACGCGCACGCCATGAGCGCTCACCTCCTCGTCGAACTTGCCCTTCTCGTCTGCGCCAAGCGCACCGGGAATGCTCGTGCTTGCAGTTCGACGCTGTGCGAGCGGCGCGGAGTCCTTCCAGACACGCCCACACCGTTGACGCACGGCACCACCGCGGTACGGCGCGAAACAAATAGAGGTTGAAAGCAATCAGCGGGCCGTTTCGGCCAGTTTCGTCCGTCCGGCGTTTGCCATACCTGCGTAATTCATCGTGTAGCTCAGCCCACTGCAACCTCTACTTTTGACGCCCAGCCGCAGAAAGGGCGCTCCACGTTTGTCGAGAAGTTCACGAATCCGCTGGGCAGCGGACTCGGTCAACTCGAGAGCTTGCTTTCTCGGCCGCAGGCGGCTAAGGCGACTTCCACCCGCTTCTCCGGTGAGCACCTGGGTAGGAACGGGACACGGCTGCGTGCGGTCGGGGCTCTACAGAGCTGTGGCAGTGGCGCCAGGGTGCCAGTGCGCGTCCGCGTTCCAGCAACAACGCGGTCGCAACCCCGTGAGTGGTGCGCGTCAGGCCAATGAGGCAAATGATTCGTTTCGCCTGCGCCCGCCCTCGTCATTGGCGCGTTTCGCCACTGTGGCTGTAGGTGGTCAGAGGTCCCTGCACCGGGCAACACACCTGTACCATGCGCGCAATCGATCCCCGCACCATCGTACTGACCGCGGGTTCGCTCGCCAACTCTCACGTTTGCCGGACAGTCTCCGCGTCAGCCCTCCTCCAACGAGGCGCTCTAGGAGGAGCACACAGCTCCAGTCAAGGTGCTCGCAGCTCGCGGGGGTCTGCGGCAACGGCGACCAGCGGCAGCCGTCCACTATCCTCGGCTGCACAACTGCGCCGAGAAGTGAGTTTCGTACGTGTCTAGCGCGTCGCGGGACGCGAATTCCTACGTGCTGCCTCAGAAGCTACCCCGTCGTTCGTTCCTCCGTGAGTCGTCCCTTGACAGCGATCAACGAAGACATACGAGGCACCTCAGTATGACTTGCGCGAGGTGGCAGGGTGACCTCATATGGTGCCTTCAGGGCACTTTTACCGCCGGTGGCTGGACACGGGGCACTGTGTTGTGCCCCCTCCGACGGCCTCACTCTACCAGGTGGTGGACTCGTGGACTTCGGCTGCGAAAGGCGGGAGAGGCCGCAACCGCGCGGAAACGACCGCCCTCTTGCGTGACGCAAGCGGGCCCTGCCTTCCGTCGCATGCACTTTTGAAAGAGAGCTTTGCTTGGTCAACCGTGCGCACGCCGGATTTCGCTCACAACGTTTCTTCGTCGAGCTGGACTGCCGCTCCCAACTGCCTGCGACCCTCTCCCGGTCGCGCTCCGAGGCAGTGCACGAGACGGGCGACAGCAACAGCCCGCCCACCTTCCACCAGCGACATTTCCTGCGTGCCATCCGGCACGGTGGCCGCCACGCTTGCGACGAGGCGCTGCAGCTTGATATGCACCGAGACCACGCTGAGGTGGTGCTGAAGCTTCAGCAGCCCGCGCAGCTGCGCTCTTCCACTGCAAATGACGTCATGCAGCGAAGCCTGCGGGGCAAGTCCCGAGGCCGCCTCCTCTGCCTCTCTCCGCGAATGTACAGCGGTCGAGCCCCAGTCTGCAACCATGGCAGTGACGCAGCGCCTGGTTGCAGGGAGCGACTGGCCAAACTCGCCTCCCTCCTCTCCTGGAGGCCTGCCCGCGCGCAGCGCCGAGCCCGGCGCGGTGCTCCCGGACGCGTCGCACCCTCGGAGCATCGCCCGCAGTGCTCGGTCCCGCCATGAGGCCGCAGGACCAGCGAGGGACTCGGCGCCGCCCAACGAACTCTCGTCGCCAACAGTCGTCGGTCGCAACTGACGGAGAGCTTCTCGGACCTCGTTCAGCAGTGGCAACGTGCTCGCCGGCCCCGATGCGGCAGTCCGTGTGTGAGGCTCCTGCGAGGCCCAGTCTAGTGCGCTTTCGCATCCAGCAAGGCAGTCGTTGATGTCAGTGGTGCCCCTTTCGCAGGACCTTTGTGCGAAGAGCTCTGACAAGGACGACAACAGACAGTCTTGTGAACGGATGGCGGCGCCGTGCCGCGTGGAGAGCTCCGCGCGGAGGAAAGACGACGTTGCCGACGTAATGTTCTTGGGCGGTGCTGGTCCCTGCTTCAAGGCCGGCACCTGAAGTTTGGCATCTATACTATTTCGCACTTGAGGACTCGCGTCATCCTTGGAGCGTTCGCTTACTGGTTGCGCGGGCGCCTGCTCGATGTGGCGGGACTTCGGGAGTTGCAGCTGCTCCAGGCTCGCGTCCTTCTGCTTGGAGCGCTCCTGGCGAGCCATCGACAGAGCCACTTCCAGCAACGACCCCGCCCGGGTACGGTCCGCTCCTTCGTCTCGTCGAGCTGCGGCGCCATGGCTCAGCGCTGCGCGTTGCTTGCTGGGTTCCCGCCGCTGCAGATCGGCTCCGTGGAGCCTTCGCTGCTGCGCCGGTGCAGTGTCCGGGACATCGGCTGCGGTTCGAGCCGTGGACCCCGCCGCCACCGTCGCCTTGGTCCTATGATCACCTCCGCTGTCCACTGTTTGCGACCTGCAGTTTGCGCGACCCAATGTCCGCGGGAATTGTGGACGGCGCGCTCAACGATGTCCCCACCTGCTGAACTTCAGACATTTTTCGTGCCTGCGAGAACGCACCTGCGCCGGAGTCGCTCGACATCGCTGCGCACGAGATCGTTGGCTGTTTCTGTTGCGGCCTGCGCTGCCTTCAGGCGCACGTACACCTCTGAGAGATACTCGACAACTCGCAGAAGCGAGTCATGAACGGCATCTGGTCGCATGCGCAACAGTTGCTCAGCCCGCGCTCTGCACAGCAGCAGGCCCGCGCCAAGTGCTCAGAACTCGTACTCTATGGCGCGCGCGCCTGTCCTGCAGGCCTCGTGGAAGGCGAGCTCTGATGCTGCTTTCAGCGCGTGTGGTGGGATGACGGGATGATTCCACGCCCGTTCGAGACGAACCTCAACGCACGCGAGAACGCGAGATGCCCGCCCAACAGCAGATGAAGGCTTTCACGTCGCGTGAAAGAGATTGTTCCATCGTACAAGCCGCTGGGCGCGAGCTCGCGAATACTCCAGCGGACTGGCCTGGTGGCCTGCCAATCTCTCGCAGGGTGCACCGCACTGCCACGTACAGTACGTGTCAGGGGTCCTCGGGCGCGTGAAGCCCCCGGCCCCGAGTACGTGCCGCTCGGCGCGTCACAGGAAGATGCGCCGCATCGACAGGCCCGTGCGGTGACGATTGGCTCAGGTTTGCTTTCGACCCAACGAAAACAAGGAAGCAGGCGATCCCTAGGCTCGGCTGGCCCCCTTCGCAGAAGCGCTTGCCTGTCGGATTCGCACAAGTAGAGGGGTCGCCATGATAGAGCATGCTGCCCATCTGTCATCGCGACGAATTGTGCTGGCATCCGGGTCGCCGCGACGGCGGGAGCTCCTATCAATGCTCGGCATCAGCCACAAGGTGCGGCTTCCGACGCGCGCGACAGCGCAGTTCGATGATGCGCGCGTTCCCTGCTCATCTGACGTTCAACACGAGCTGTGCCCAACGGCACATGCGTCAGTGGCTCTGCTGAGCAGGTGGTGAAATCCAACTTTGCAGAAAACCTGCCGAAGCACGAGTACTGCCCCGCGGACTACGCGAAGGAAACTGCCGCCCGCAAAGGTTGGGATGAAGTGGTCGTCTGTGTGCCTGCGCCAGGATTGTCATGCACCGCAGCACACACCACCAGCTTACAGCAACTCATGCAACACCTTGTGTGTGATGCGCACTGCAGGCCTCGAGGTGGCTGAACGCCTGCGTGGCGCAGAGGACGAACCGCATCTGATCCTCGGCTTCGACACGGTCGTGGAGCACGATGGGCAGGTTGGTGCCCGTGAGTGGGACCGCATGTCAGCATCGCCCGTACGCCCCTGCTTCATCACCGCAGCACTGCGGCGTTGTAACTTGCGTGATTGTGCAGGTCCTGGAGAAGCCAGAGGATGCGGCGCATGCGCGAGAGATGTTGTCCGCCCTCTCTGGGAGCACCCACAACGTGCACACTGGCGTTGCCATGATCCTGCCTTCAGTCGGTGACAAGAATCGCGAACCCTTCATGCACGCGTTCTCGTGCACGACAAAAGTATGCTTCTCGCGTCTGTCTGAGGAGACAATCGAGGCCTACGTGAATACTGGTGAGCAGAGCCCGCGTTTGTCGAGCCTACGTTCAAACGAGACGAGTGCTCAACGGACTCTGCAGCTGACTGTGAGCGGGCGCGCGACACGGCGCTCATCCGCTCAGCGTGTTGCTCTCGCATCGCGCCCTGAGCAGGTGAGCCGATGGACAAAGCTGGAGGCTACGGCATTCAGGGAATCGCGGGCTCCTTTGTCGAGCAGATCCACGGCTGCTACTTCAACGTGAGAATCGAGCGCCACTGAATTGCATGCAACTTTCGAGACGAGCCCGCTCCGGAACGCTGAATCAGACTTGCCGACGTGACGAGAGAAAAATTAGTGACCCTGCAATGGTGACGATGGCGACACATTCATGCCCGTCCCCACAACCGCAGGTCGTTGGCATGCCGGTGAACGCCACCTGTCTGGCGTTGAGCCAATTCGTTCGCGAAGGGCGTCTGTAGATCCTATGTGTCCTGGTGCATCTGCGCCCGTTCGTATCTGACACAGGATGACGCGCTCACGTTTTGAAATTGTGATGTACCCGAAGGGCCGAGTCGACTCAGTGAGTGAGACTGTCGGCCGCACGCTGCCTCGGCTGCATCACATTGAAATCTACGCAGCCGGCGCCCGGCTACGAGTCGCCATCCAACGCTTGTGGCACCGCGGCCGTTGATTTCGCGGCCGAGCCCCCTGATCGACCGCGCGCTGCTTTGAGCAGGTCCCGTATACTGCTCGCCATGAAGCGAGGCGCCCCGTCTTTGTCCTCCAGGGCGACTCCGACGGGCAGCCCGCCCCTGGACGACGAGCGACCAGCCGGCAAGCTCCCACCGTGGCCCAGGGCAGTCGCGGGCCGCGACAGATTGCCGCTGTGCGTCGGGCTCCGCAGGCAAGCGGCCGAGCTCCCATCGCTGCGGCCAGTTGCAGACAGCTCCGAGTCCCGTGTGGCCGGATGTGGGGCTGCGTCTGACGCGCTGCCGTCGGGACTCCCGCTTCTCAGGTGTCCGCCGACTTCTGGGCATGACGGCGGCCGGCGCGCCCCTGCCGTGTGCAGCAGGTCGACCTTGATTCGCCGGAGCAGGTCCAGGAGGCCCGCAGGCTCGAGGTCGCGCTCCTCAAAAGTCTCGACCACTTCCGGGTTGCTCGCTGCCGCGTTTGCGCGCCGCTGCCGCAGCGCTGCCCCTGCTCCGCCCGCCAAGGCTCCACCCATCGTCAGCATGCTGCCGTCTCCAGTGTCGCCCTGCGAGCCTGCACTGTGAGACTCCCGCAATCTGTTCTTGCGCCAGAACAGCCCCCCCTGAGCGCTCGGCGGGCGGTTGCTCCCCGTGCCCACCGCTCCGTTGACTGTAGCGGCCGTGCCGGGACGTGGTGGCAGTCCGCTGCTGCCGCTCCGTGTCGGCACAGGCTTCGCCGGCTCCAGCCCCGCTCTCGCCGTGCTCGGCCGCTGGGCGCTGCTCGTCATGCTCCCGGCACTGGACAACATCCGCGAAGCGCTCCGCGTCGGAGGCACCCAGTTTGGCGCGCACACATCCGGGCTGTCGATGCCCACGCGCGCGAAGCGGAGGCCGTCCGATATGAGCTGCAGCTCCTGCTGCACGGGGACGTCCTCGTCCTCGTCTGCCGCTGCCCGCTCGTTCCCTCCCGCCTGATGTTCCCCTGCTTCTGACACGCATGCAGCCCCGCCCGGTTGTGCCACACGCTCCTCATCTGCGACGGGAATATCGTCCAGCGAGACGAGGGACGGCACCTGCGAGCGGGCGGTCGGAGGGCGGTGAGGCCCCGCGTGGCGCGCGGCGGCCACAGCACGACGCAACACGCGGCGCAGCAATGTGGGAGCCGACCTGCTGCACGGCCATGCTGCGGTACGACGAATGGCTGCTGATCGGGTTGCCCTGCAGGCACAGCGACTGCAGGTCCCTGCACATCCCCAGGAAGGCCACCTCGTCCCACGAGTCCACGGAGTTGCCCTCGAGGTCCAACACAGCGAGATCCTGGCACTCGGCCGCCTTGCTGACGTCCGCGATACTGCGAGCGGCCGACGATGACACGCGGTGGCGGGCTCAGCGACACTGCACAGCGCGTGGCGCTCGCAGTACCCACGCGGTTGCTTGCCCATTGCGCGCACTTCAACGCTCTGCGCTCGACTTGCCTGTTGAACGCCGCATACAGCTCTGTCAGACACGGCAAGCTCGAGATGCCGTCGAGGCTCTCCAGCCCGCATCTAGCCACCCACAAAACACGCAGGTTGGTGAGCTTGGTGCCCAAGTCTCTCATGCTGGTGAGCATGGAGCCGTTCAGCCGCAGGGATACCAGCGCCGGCAAACGACCGAGCATTCTCGGAAGGTTCATCTCCCCTGCATCGACAGCAAACTCGATGAACGTCGCCTCCAGGAGGTCCTGCAGGGAGACAGTGGAGCGCGAGGCTGTTGAGGACGCGCTGCACATCCCTTGTTGTCGTGCAGCTTGCACGCTGCTGCGCTTATAGGCCGAACATGGTTACGAAGCGATGCATGCTGATCAAAGCAAGACTCGGTAGACACGCAGCTGCCGGTTCGGCCTCTTGCGCAGTCAACTTCAATGTAGTGCGCCCACGCGCCCGAGCTGAGGACCCAAAGTCCCGCAACTCATCGGTCCCTCGCCGTCTTCGCGACATCTGGTTCGAGCAACCTCAACGCGGCGTTACTCGCCTCATTCGTCATGTGCTGCAGCAGCTCCTCCTCCGCACGCTCCAAGTCCACTTCGTCTGCCTCCATGGCCAGCGCTGCAGCGGCCGGGCCGGTGTCTAACGCCGCAGCAGCCATTTGGGGCATTGCCTCCCTGGCCGGTTCCATCTCAAGCCGCCGTTCCCGGCCCGCGAGGGCGTCCGGGCCTAGCCGGAACCGCGTGCGAAATTACTGTCCACCGGAGCCCGCGCCCGCATCGCGGGACATGAAATACGCTTTAACGTGGCAACATGAAGCTGTCGCGCGGCATCCACAGCCAGTTGGTGCCTACTGCGAGCCGTTGCCGCGCCTTCCAGCTGAGGTGTGGCTTTGGCTCCTCGTGGGGGCGGCTGCCTGGTTTCGGCTCGTCTGTCTATGTCGCCGAGTGTGGCGTGCATGCTTCGCTGGCTCGGGCCTCGACTCGCGCCGAAAGGCCCTCGGGGCACGGGAACATGACTTCCCCCCGGGGTGGGCCGAGGGTCGCCCGTGCGCCTTCGCCGGGGAGCGCCGACGTTGCGAACGCCGCTCGGCATCGCGGCCACACTCTTGCGCACCACGTTGTACCAACAGCGCACAGGTAGCTCGAGAAAGACCGAACACGTGGAGCTGAGGGCCAAGCACGGATTTCGCGCGCGAGGCACAAGCACGCCCTACGACGCCTCGCACCGCGGGTCAACAAGCTGCGGACTCTCGGTTGCCTGCGGCACTGTGCGTATTGGGCGGTGCGCCGCAGATGGAGGCGCACTAGCAGCGATGGGTGCAGAACGTTTGTGCGAGGCGACGCAGGCGTGTGCGGGCGCAGATGACCACGAAACGAGGACGTCGCCGACGATCGAGACGCTCCCTTTCGACTGCCTGGTGTCCGTCCTGGACATGCTGCCGCCGTGTGACGTGGTCGCCTTGGCCTGTACCAACAGGTGAGAGGATCTCCGCCCTCGCGCGCCCTGCCGTCGCTCGCGCCGTTCTTGCGACACCCGCGTCCCACGACAGTGACCTTGCGTACGTTTTATCGAGTGCAGGCACATGCACGCGTACATCATGGGTAGCTCGTTGTGGAAGCATCGCTGCCACAAGTACCGGCACGTCACCAACCCCGCGTCGTGGCCGTCAGTTGCACCGGCACGTGGCACTGACACTTACCATGAGCATGATTCCGTGCACACATCGTGTCGCCAACGGGCGGGATCCGACGCGGCGCTGCACAACTCGGCAAGCAGTCCGGTCATCAGCGGCCGGAACCGAACGTCGCCCTCATCGCAGTCGCCGCGATCATCGGCGAGGCAGGGCACCGAGCATGGCGTTTCCGGGTCCCGATGGGCGTCGCTCTGCAACCTGCTGGAAGTTTGCAATGAAGCAGCGGGCCTGTGGACCTCCCAGGCCGGCGCCGAGGAGGACCCCAAGGGGAAGCTCGTGCGCGTTTGCTGGCGGGACGACTGCGTGGAGGTCGTTGAGCTGCTCGGGCACCAGCAGCGCACGCTCTTGAGCGAGGTAGGCCATGTCGCGCGCTGCCCGCTGCACCGCCGTCGTGCGGCCCCCCAAGGCCCTCACGGAGCGTCCTCACCCGCCCGTGCACGCTGCAGCGGGTCGTGTGCCGCGTCGACGGCTCCCCGTCGTCGGCGCAGCTGTCGCTCGACGCGGGGCAGCTGACCGTGGCGTCATGTCGCGAGAACTCCTCGCCCTCGCGCGCCGTCGAGGCCGCCGCCGCCGTCGCACACATGTGCCACGCGGACCACCGGCCCGACGTGCACCACGTGGACCCGTCGATCATGGGCTCCTCGCCCGTGGGGTCGTTCGCGTCCGAGCTGCTCTCCTTCATGCAACACTCCCTCGGAGGGCCGATCCGAGCGGCCTCGCGGCGCGCCCGCGCCCGTCGGCGGCGCCCCGAAGGCGGACGGGACTGGCAGATGGTCCTGCGGCGTGTCGAGGAGCACCGCGTCGAGGATCATCGTGCGGCAGGGCAGGGGTCACTGGGAGTGTGGCGCGGCGTGTACGGGCCGCATGGCTTGGAGGTGGTCCGTGTGTTTCACGAGCAGGACATGGAGGGCCGCGCGATGATCGTCGCCGAGAAGCTTTTGGGAGACCCGAACGTGCCAGCGGGCAAGGTGTCCTGGTGTGCGGAGAGCACTCCCCTCCCCGAGGAAGCTTGGCGGTCCGAAGACTGGCTGGACAACCTGCAGCTAGCGAACGCGGTGGTCTCCCTCATGCCCCCGGACGCATCGAGCGCGCCACGGGCAGACGATGGCAGGCCGGCGCCCTCGTACGCAACTGTGGCCTTGCACCCGGACACGAGGGAGCTGAGGCTCGTCTCCGTCATGACCGACTCGGCGGCGTATCTGCGGGTGACCGCCGTGCACGAAGGGCGGGGCTGGATCGCGGGCACGGGGTACGTCGAGCCAAGGAGCGTGCAAGGAGCTCTGTTGTGGCTTGACGATGGCAGCATTGCATTCGCTTGGGGGGCACCGTGCAGCTTTGTTGTGCACATGCGACCTGGTGCCATCAGCGGATGATCCACGGGAGCTGACGTACGGCAACACTTGCCGTGTGAGGGCGTTGTGTCGGATGTCTCACCCGTGCGTGGGCATGGCAGCACGTCTAACAAGCTGCCCTGCTATGGTGAGGCCACCAGATGCCGGCCGCAGCGTCGATCACCGGCCGTGGCCGCAGGGGGTTGCGTTGTGTCGTCCCTAGGACTTGACTGGAGTGCGAACCCCTCCATGTGCCCCGGACAGTCAGGCAAACCGCGGCGCAAGCTATGGCTGCTGGCGCGGTGGTCTCGTGCAAGTGCATAAAGATTAGGACAGCGGTGCAGACTGCGGTGGGGATCGCCCTGGCGCGGGGAGAGGCAAGCGTGTTTCTAGGGCTGAGGTTCAACGCGACACTCATCGCGACAGAGGAGTTTTTCGCCACCGTTCATTCGTTCAGCGAGTGATACTTGAGCGTAGAAGTAGCGTAGGGGTCACGCCAGGCCGAAAATGCAGAGTTCAGTGCGCAGAGCGGCTATATCGTGTCTCAGCGGTGCAAGTGGGCCTCCTCTCGGAGGCGCTGCACCGGGCTTGAGGACGTATACAACAGCGCACGACGAGGTCTACGATGTAGCGATCGTAGGAGGTGGCATGATCGGCGCATGTATGGCCGCAAAGCTTCTCACTCAGCCACTCACTCGACAGCTGAACATTGCACTACTTGATCGGGGTCCAAAACCAGCAGGTGCGGCGCACACGATCGAAACGGCTTCCACATGCCAGCACATGCTACGTCGCCGTGTCTGTCCGTTGCGCGGCACGACGATCCCTTCCGCCCTTCGTCAGCAGATTTTGTAGCAATCTGTTCTTCGTTTCACGCAGAGCTCGACGCGATGAAACTTGGTCCATCAGACTGTCCTGACCTTCGCGTCAGCACCATCACGCCGTCCAGCATGAAGGTTCTCGAGGCTTGCGGCGCGTGGGACCTGGTCGAGCGCTTCGCTGCTCCCTTTCACACCATGCAAGTGTGGGATGCTGGCAGCAGAGGTGAGTCGCGGGGTTCGACCGACAAGCATCTTCGCACATGTCGCAGCTTTCTCCGTCCGTCCGCGCGTGCCTGCGCCGATGTTGGCATGCGAGGTGACGGACACTCACCAGCTGGGCGACATTGCAGGCTTCTTGCGCTGGGACGCTTCTGCCTGTGGGATGGAACACATGGGCCACGTGCTGGAGAATCGTGTCATTCAGGCGGGGCTCTTTGCGTCGTGCGATTCGAGCCTGAAGGCGTATTTCGACTCGAGAATTGAAGAGATCAAGCTTCCCCTCTCTAGCGCTGGCCGCCACGGCGGTGGGTTCGGCGACACACTCGCAAGCATCCGACTAGCGAGTGGGGAGTCGCTACGAGCGCGGCTCGTTGTTGGTGCCGATGGAGCGTCGTCAGTGGTGCGCAACGCAGCCGGCATCTCTGCCACCGAACACAATTACGGGCAGCGTGGCGTCGTCGCAACGGTCGCAGCAGAGGGCGCGCAAGGGGTCGCTTGGCAGCGGTTCCTGCCGACAGGCCCGATCGCACTGCTCCCGGTGCGCAACGGCCTATGGAACGTCGTTTGGACTACAACTCCAGACATGGCGCGGTTCCTGGAGGACCTGCCAGGCAACGAACTCGTGGACGCTCTGAACAAGGTACGGCGGACGGACATCGGTCGTGCGGCTGTCACAGGTCTCCCTGCTTCGGATGAGGCCCAACACAAACGGCGTGCACCGATCGCGACTGCAGGCCATGCACTGGGAAGCAAATGCTGGTTCGCCGCCTTCTCCCCTTGCCTCCATGGTGCTTCGGCGTCCGATGGACATGTTCGCCACACCGCCGACCGTCCTGAGCAGCGAGGGTGGAGCAGCGAAGTCATTCCCACTGCGGCAGTCCCATGCAACTGCCTACACCCTCGCGCGGACGGCCCTGATCGGCGACGCGGCTCACACAGTCCATCCACTTGCTGGTCAGGGCGCGAACATGGGCTTCGGCGACGTCAACATTCTCGCGCAAGCCATCGAGGTGCGGCCCGAGTGTTCCCGTCGCCCAGTCGACTATGTGCCGCAACGCTGGATGACCTGGGCACATGACGACCTCGGGCATTGTGTCACCACGCTGTTCTTAGCGGCGTCTACATCTTCGTTGTTGAATGCAGGAGGCCCTACGTTCTGGAGACGACATTGGCGATCCGGACGTTTTGAGGAGTCGGTACGGCATCGAGGCCTGGCAGAAAAACGCATTGATGATGGCCGCGTTGGACTTCTTGTGGACTGCGTTCGATACGCAAGGGATGCAGTTCGATCTGCTCAGAGGGCTGGGGATGGACATGTTGAACGCCTCTGTGCCTCTGAAGACCCAAGTGATGAAGTTTGCAATGGGGATGGAAGTGCCGGGCCAAGACTACGTGCAGGCATTTCTACAGTCCGTGCAGATGCAGCAGCGCTCATGACGTGTGTGAGCCTGGTGTGTCCGCGTGGATGCACTTCGCCTCGGGCATGTTGAGCATAGCGGGAAAGGGGAACCGGGGTTCGAGGGGCAAGGTCAATCGCTCACGATTCCGATTGGTCGGTCAGTGTTCTGGTACTCGCGCGCTGGCCCCACGCCCTTGCTGCACAGCATTGAGCGCACTCAACTCGCGTGCTGGACAGTCGACGAATTCCATCTTTTTGCAGAGGTCACGGGAGTGGTACACCAAGCGTGCAAGTAAGGCAGCTCCTCCGAAAGGCATCACAGTGATGATGACTCATCCGCTCTCCGAAAAACGGTCAGGTTGCCTAGGTCAGTTGATGGGCGCGGGGCATGTGCGCTGATGTGACGCAGCAGCTTTGGCATCGTTGCGCCTGCCCGTGCACGAAAGCCCCCTACTTGTTGTCCACGTCCATGGCCTCCCCGTTTGCCGGCTCCGCAGCATCTTCCTCCATCGCCTCAGCGCCGCCCTCGGCGGGCTTGGCGCCTTCGTCGCCTTCCTTGACGTCCTCCTTCGGCGGCTCAGGCTTGGGCGCGGGCTTGGACAGGATGGGCCTGCGGGGAGGGGGCAACACACAGGGATCAACCTCGAGCTCCGTCGACCGCGGACAAGCACACGTCATGGTCTTTGGCGTGGGGAGCACTTACTTGCACGTGTTTCCGACCGCGGCCGCCTTGTCCTTGATGGCTGCGCAGGTCAGCACCGGGTCCTGGTGCTTCGGCAGGTTGGCCTGCTCCGCCTGCTTGCCCTCCAGCCACTGCAGGGCCTCCGCGCAGCACTGCTGCACCTGACCGCGCTCCTCCGCAGTGATGTGCGCGAGCTCCGGCGCCGACGACGCGGCCGAGTCCTGGAAGCCCTTGCAGAACTTGATCAGCTCCTCGCACAGGCCAGGGCGCTCCTGCGCAACTCACCATGCGAGGTCGGCGTGAGAACATGCCGACCGAAACGCCACGACGCATGCAATGGTCGCGGTATGTTGCAAGCGCGGCAAAGCGCGCGTCCCGCTTACCATGTCCTCAGCGCGGCGCTTGTCGATGGGGTCTGTCAACTTGCGCAGCTCTGCCAGCTTCTCAACGTACACGCCCTTGGAGCAGTCCTCGCCCTCGTCGTAGAGCCAATCCTCCGCACGCTCAAGGTCTGCACGTTTAGGACGAAATGCGACCCCCTGAGCTTCAACAGGCACGCCAACGAGCACGTTCGCCGATCCAGAACTGGCACGTCGCGTGGTTAGCCCGAGGCGGCGGACTCACCGGACACGAGCTGCGACCTGGTGGCCTCGTCGACGAAGTCGGCGAGCTGGTCGTACAGCTGGCTGCGCTTTGCCAGGATGTGGGCCTCGAGCGCGTTCTTCGCCTCCGCCGTCGCCTCCTGAACGCGGTCCGTCTGGGCCATGCTGAACTCCGCCTCCAGGGCGCTCTGCATCGTCGCCTCGTCCATCCCTGGGCGCTTGGGCCCCTCGAAGATGATGTTGTGCTTGACCTTGGTCTCCGTGCGCTTCGGAGCGGCGGCCTCCTCGCCCTCGGCCTTCTCGCCGCCCTCGGCAGCAGGCTCCTCGACCACCTGCACCTCCTCGCTGAACACGGTGTTCACCGTCGCGGTACAGTCCATGCCCATCTGCACCTTGACCTTGACCTTCGCCTTGTCCTGCCCCTCCGGGACCCTCAACGGACCGCAACGGTACGTGCCGATGTCCCGCGGCACGCCCTCGGGCAGGAGGGCGCCGTCGGCGAAGTGCAGGTGCACGTCGAAGTTGTCCTGTACAGCATGGTCCGAGAAACGCGCACAGGGATCGTCAAACGGTGGCCAGGGCTTCGCCGGCATTCCGTGCACGTGTGCGCGCATGGAAGCACTCCGATTCGCTCTGCTCGGGCGTTGGGGCACCCAGCGCACCTTGCGGTACAGCGTCACCTCCTTGTAGCTGCCCTGCGTCGACACCGCCGCGTTCTTCTTGAACACCTCGACGGTGACCTGCTTGCCGTCGTCCGGCGACACCCAGCTCATGTTGACGGGGAACGGCGCGGCTTCCTCAACCTTGAAGTCCTTGACCCTGAAGATGGGGGACAGCATCGCGCAGTGCAGCGCACAGCCGCGGGACACGCACTCCTGCAGGCACCCGCGCGACGACAGGCGTTGAGAGACACTGAAATGCAGCGATCGACGCGGATGGGGCTGCATGCGAGGCCCCGCAGTGCGGCTGCGCACCTTGGCGTTCAGAGTGCGTCCAGCGTCGCGCCCGTACAGCTGCTTGACGCCAGTGAGGAAGGCAGGCATGCGCGAGGAGCCCCCAACGACCTCGATGGAGGCGATCTGGTCGGTCTTCAGACCAGACTCCTCGATGGCCCGCGCCACCGTCGAGACGGCCCTCTGCATGAGGGGCTGCGCGAGCCCCTCGAACGTCTCGCGCGACACCGTGGACTGCACATCCTTGTCGTCCATCAGGCACTCGATGCCGATGGGCGCGACCGCGTTCGACGACAGCACCTTCTTGAGCTTCTCTACGGCAATCCTGAGGCGCAGGGCGGCGCGGCGGTTCGAACGCACGTCGATCTTGTACTTCTCCTTAAACTCGGCACAGAGGTGGTCGAAGAGCACCGCGTCGAAGTCGCGCCCGCCGCAGCCGGAGTCCCAGGCATGCGACAACACCTGCGGCAAGCTTGCGGGATGCGCGGGACGTGTCAGGGTGGGCATCGCGAGCCGGCGACGCGCTCGCTCATGGAAGGGCACAGAAATGGACAGGGGACCTGGCGTTCGTGCGCACCCGGAGCTGGCCCTTCTGGAAGGCCACCACAGACACTTGAATTGAGTTGTGCCCGAAGTCGACGAAGACGACGTGCGCCGGGGCATCCTCCGGCAGGTCCGTCTTGTAGATGCCGTAGGAGAGGGCCGTGGCGGTGTTTTCATTCATGACACGCAGGCAGTGCAGCCCCGCGATCTTCGCTGCATCCTGCACCGCCGCGCGCTCCTGCAGGGCGCGTGAAGAGACAGCGGACGATTTCAGATGTGACGCCGTGGCTGTCGCTGCGCGGCGAGCAGCCCGAGCTCACGCCCCTAGGCCCGTGGCGCGCTGGCACTCGTCGCGGCAACTGGCGTGCCTCAGGTGCCCCGTATACAGTGTAAGGCGCGCGTATTGCAGGCAAGGGCGGCTCTCTGGAAATCACGCTGCGGTCGCATGCGGCCCCGTGCGCCAGGAAGCGCCGGAGGAGCGGCGGGTGGCACCCGCGGCACCATGCATGGGGACGATCTAGAGGAGAGCGCCGCACTTCCCCGCCGGTGAAACGGCCTCTCATGCATTGAAAAGTGACCGTGGTGCAAGGGGGCCACGCACGGGCGCCGGTTGCCTCCTTCGCCGACGCGTTGTGCGGCGCGCGCGCCGAGCCGCCCTGGAGCCTCCGGAGGCTCCCAGTGCAGGGGGCGCAGGGCGAGAGCGCTGGGCCGCGATGGCGTCCAGCGGGGCGCACCTCGTCGGAGAAGTAGCAGGGCACGGCGATGACGCAGTCCGTGACGGCGGAGCCCTGGTCCGCTTCGGCGACGGCCTTCATTTCCACGAGCATCATGGCGAACAGCCGCTCGCACGAGACAAGCTGCTCCTCGCCGAGATACCGGACCTTGACGTGGCACTTGCCGTCGGGCCCTTCCACCACCTCGAAGGGCAGGTCCTTGATGTCCGCCTGCGCGAAGATGGGGCCGAACGCGCCGCCGTTGAGCGCGGCTTCGACGACTGCTAGAAGGGCCTGCCCAGGCCGCGTGCCCCCCCCGCCCCCGCCGCCCCCGTGCCGTGAGATGGGTGCGCGGGCTGCGGAGACGCCTGCACCGGCCGTCGTGAGCATCAGAGCGGGGGCCTCGCCTGCACGTCCGGGCGGCTGAAGCGCTTGCCAACGAGTCGTTTCAGGTCGGAGATGGTGTTCTTCATGTTCGTCGCCATGGATTGCGATGCATCGCCGCCCATGAACCGACGCTTCTCCGTGAACGACACGCATGTGGGGGTCTCGCGCTTCGACTCTTTATTCATCAGCACATCGATCCCGCGCTTGCGGGCAAGCGCCACGCAAGACGTGGCGTTGCCGATGTCGAAGCCTGCTACAGACATCTTGGATGGAGTCTGTGAATTCTGCTCGGCGTCGCGAGCCGACCGGGCCCCATGTTGCGCGGGCCGCCGTGCAGGCCGTCCTCGGGAGGCTTCTGAGCGTCAGGCCACTGCCCCAAGGCACGGGGCCGTCATACCGCGTCCACCGGGGCCGAACGACAGGGCGCGCCGCGCGCTCGCGATCGCAGTGTTCGAAGGCCTTAGCAACGCGCCAGCCACGTCACTCGCACCGCCCGCTGCGATCGCACCGCGGCTCTGAACCTAGCTCGCTCTCCATCGCGCCACAGAACTGATCCGGTAGGCCGCAACCATGCCGAAGAAAGGCGGCAAGGGCGGGAAGAATAGGCGCAGGGGAAAGGGCATCAACGACGAGAAGCGGGAGCTCATCTTCAAGGAGGACGGCCAGGAATACGCCCAGGTGATGAAAATGCTGGGGAACGGGCGACTGGACGCGATGTGCATTGACGGCAAGAAGAGGCTCTGTCATATCCGAGGGAAGATGAGGAAGAAGGTCCGCCCCACGGCCGCAGTGAGCCGGCGCCCCGGCCGAGGAACGCTGCCGCCCACCTCAGGCCCTCGCGCTGTTCTCGCGCCTCGAACGGCTGCGAGTGTCGATGCTACGTCCCTGGACGGGCCGGATCACATCGTCGTGTCGTTGCCGCGACCCCGCGCGATCCCACGTCGCATTTTTTGCGCGCGCCGCGTTGGGTGGCAGCATCCCGCCAGGGCGGAAACGCCCCGAACGTGGCCACCACTCCGGGTGGCTGTGCACTGCCCGAACCGTTAGATGTTTGCGGGCTGGATCGTCGCGGCGAACATGCCGCGGGAGCACCAGGCGTGCTGGGTCACGCCCGGGTCGTGTGCAGCGCGCAACCCCTGCGTGGCGGCGGCGCCGTCTTGCGAGATTTCCACGCCCGCTGCAAGCCGTCGCCTCCCGCTCGTATCCTCACAGGTGTGGATTGCCGTCGGGGACATCGTTCTGCTCAGTCTCCGCGACTACCAGGACGAGAAGGCTGACGTCATTCTCAAGTACATGGCCGACGAAGCCCGTGCCCTCAAGGCGCACGGCGAGCTGCCCGAGAACGTGCGTGTCAACGACGCGGACGCGGTCGTCGAGGGCGAGGACGACGCCATGGACGACTTCATCGACTTCGGAGAGGTGCGCCTGCCGCGCCAGGCGTTCGCCGCAGATGCCAGCGCGGAGACCACCGCGCGCGGGGGGCCGCCGGCGCCGCGGGGGCCTCTCGCCCGCGCGGCCAGCCCGTGCCCGCGCACCGGAGCTGCTCTGCGGGTGCTCACAGCGGCTGCTGCACGTGTTGCTGACTGTGTGTTTGTGCGGGTCCCGAACGCGCCGACCCGCCAGCGAGCGTGCAGGTGGAAGAGGAGTCCGGCAGCGAGGCCGGGCCGGGCGACGGCGAGATCGACATTGAGGACATTTAGTCGCGCCGCTGTGACGGAGCCGCTTGCCGCTGTCGACCCTCCGCGCTCACCGGCACAGGGAATGACCGCCCATGCGGCCGGGACCGCGTCACCACGATGCCAGCCTGCGGCGCGACTGCACGCGCATCAACGCCACCTGCGCCCCGTGACGGATTGCGGCGCAAGGGTCAGCTCAGCCTCCAGCATAGATTTCCTGTCGGGACCCTCCCCCCGAAGCGCCTGTGAGCCCCCCAGCGAGCTACATGACCTCGCCCCCGCGGCGTCCAAAATGACTCCTTTCCGAATTGCTAGCCGAGCTAGTTGGGGACCCTCTCGCCGTCGCTGTCTCCGTGTCGCGAGAGCGAAGGCACTTTCGCGGCGCGACGGCGTCGCTGCACATCAGGCCCCAGGCGGCGCGGAGATAGAGGAGGATATTCCAATCGTCCGCCACAGCCGATGCGAAGCTCGTTGTGCCCGCAAGCCGCGCCCTCGGGCGCCAGGCTTCAGATGGGTCTTGCTGCCCATCCGGCGCCCCATAGCCGGCTTCTGACGAGGCCGCTCGCGCCCTTGCCCGGACTGGGCGGAAGTCGGGGACGCCACGCACGCCTAACCTCGCGGAAGCATGACGAGGCTGGCCGGCGCAGCGCTGCTGCACAGGATGTCCGGATTGATGGCCTCACCGGGCAGGAGGATGAGGGATCGAAGAACGGCGGCTCCGTGGTGTCGAACGGAGCAGCCTTGAACGGGAGCACCAACGGGGCCACGGCGACCGTGGACGCCGTTGTGGTGAATGGGAACGGTGCTGCCACCATCAGCCCTACGAAACCGGCCAGCGAGAACGGCGCGGCCGCCTCCAAGAAGAGCAAGGTCCCAAAGGTCCTTGAAACTGTTGCAGACGAATCGAACGGGGCGACGGGCTCACCATATCGCAACCCCGGGGGCAAGTGGAACCGGTTCAAGGGCTACAGGTAGCCACCCCCGCATCGACGCGCGCATGCTCGACCATGCGTGCGTGCCGTGCAAAATTCGGCCACCTGGCGCCCACCCACTCCCATGCGCACCGACAGCACCTGCTGCGGTGCCGGGCGCTCGCCGCGGCTCGCGCTCAGAGAATCCCTCTTGCCACGCGTCGCCTCGCAGCACCTGGCAGCGCACCCTGGAGATCTGGACGTTCGCGTTCAGCTTCCTCTTCCGGTACTGGCGCATCGGGCGCGCGTTCCACTACAAGAAGAAGGGCGGCATGACGAAGGAGAACGTGTCTGCCGAGCGGCGCAAAGTTGCCGTGTGGCTGCGCGAGGGGCTGGTGCGCCTGGGGCCGACCTTCATCAAGATCGGTCAGCAGTTTTCGACCCGCGTCGACGTCCTCGCGAAGGAGTTCATCGAGGAGCTGGAGAAGCTCCAGGACAACGTCCCTCCGTTTGACTGGGAGAGCGCGCGCGCCATCCTGAACCGCTCGATCGGGAGGCCCGTCGAGGAGGTGTTCGAGTCGTTCGACACGCAGCCGATCGCGGCCGCGTCGCTGGGGCAGGTCCACCTGGCGGTGCTGAACGGCACCAAGGTCGTGGTCAAGGTGCAGCGGCCCGGGCTGCGGGAGCTGTTCGACATCGACCTCAAGAACGTCCGCGTCCTGGCGCAGTGGCTGCAGAAGGTGCGCCGCGGCCCGCACGCCCGATGGATGCCTTGCCGCGCCTCCCGCGCCGCGCCGCCGCCCACACGACTGCCCTGGCGCACCCGCGTCGCAGGTGGACCCGAAGACGGACGGGGCGAAGAGGGACTGGGTGGCGATCTACGACGAGTGCTCGCGCGTGCTGTACGAGGAGATCGACTACCAGAACGAGGCGCGCAACGCGCAGCGCTTCTCGGACAACTTCAAGGACGTGGACTGGGTCAAGGTGCCCAAGATCCTGTGGGACTACACCACGCCCCAGACCATGGTCATGGAGTACATGCCGGGCATCAAGATCAACCGCGGGGACGAGCTCGTCCGGGCCGGCGTCGACAAGGACCGCATCGCGCGCCTCGCCGTCGAGTCGTACTTGATGCAGGCACGCACCCTGCTCCGACCCGTGCCCGCGTGCCGCCCGGCCTCGCACGTCGCGCACGGCGCCGACCGATCCCGCGCGCCCCGCGTCTCGCAGATCCTGCGCCACGGCTTCTTCCACGCGGACCCGCACCCCGGCAACGTGAGCGTGGACCCAGCAGATGGTGGGCGCCTCATCTACTACGACTTCGGCATGATGGGCGCGCTGAAGACAGACGTGCGGGCCGGCCTGCTCAACCTGTTCTACGGGACGTACGAGAAGGACGCGGACAAGTGCCTGGACGCTCTGATCCAGATGGGCGTGCTCGTGCCAACCACCAACGACCGCACTGCGATCCGCCGCACGGCCGAGTTCTTCCTCAGCTCCTTCCAGGTGCGACCGAGGCCTCGACTGCGGCCCACGCTCCCTCCCCCCTCGCTGTTCGCACGACCGAGCGACACCAGCGGCGGTTTCCGGCATCGTGGCACGCAGAACCGCCTGGACGAGCAGAAGGAGGCGCAGTCGAGCATGGGCAAGGACAAGTACGAGGCACAGGGGTTCAAGGGTGAGCGTAGCAAGGACGAGAAGAAGCAGCGTCGGAAGCAGATCCTGGAGGCCATCGGGGAGGACTTGCTGTCGGTCGCAGACGAGCAGCCCTTCAGGTGCGGCCCGCACCTCGCGCGGACGCGCAGCACGCCGGCGCATCCAGCAGGCGTGTGCGACCCCGCTGTCGTTGCCGCGTGCTCGCAGGTTCCCCGCGGAGTTCACCTTCGCTGTGCGCTCCTTCACCGTGCTCGACGGGATCGGCAAGGCGCTCAACTCGCGGTTCGACATCACGGAGATCAGTGCGCCGTACGCACGCGGCCTGCTGCTGGAGTCGCAGCCCTTCCTCAAGAAGTACCAGGAGGACCTCGGGCGCCGCGCGGGCCTGCAGGCCCGTGCGGTCAAGAACCTCTTCACCGGGCCCAACCAGATCGAGGACATCGCCAACTTCACGAAGCGCCTCGAGAACGGCGACCTGAAGCTGCGCGTGCGTGCGTTCGAGGCCGAGCGCGCCCTCCAGCGGTCAGACCTGATGCAGGACGCCACCGTGAAGGCTGTGCTGGCCAGCGCGGCTGCGAACGTCGGTACCGTCCTCGCTGTGTCGGCGATCCAGGTACGACCTTCCCTGCACGAACTGCAGCTGCGTCAGCTCCCGCGATCGCCTTGCCGCTGCCTCTAGCATCCCTGATTTTCGCACACTCCTCGATACTCCTTGCATCGCAGATCGGCGCGAATGTCGCTTTTGGTGTTGCGGGGCTCCTGGGGATCTCCGCGGGGCTCACGATGCTGAAGGTTCAGAAGCTGAGGAAGAAGGAGCTCAGTCTCAAGGGCCGGGCATAGGTCGTAGTCTTCTCTGCTGGGTGCACAGCCGTACAGGGCTCTGCTGGGCTGTCTCCGCCGTGGCGGCGGAGCGCTTCGTGGCTTGCTCGCTGTCAATTTCCGCCGCAACGCTTTCCCAACCCTCCATGTTCGAGCGCGATGCATTGTTGCGCCCATGTGAAGGTGCCAAACTCGCCCGGCCCGGTCGCGTCGAATGCGCCCGCCCGCGCGGCGCCTTGAACGTCGGGACGGAATTCCGCAAAGCCCTCCCCGCTCTCGTGGGCTTTCGCTGGCTGCACTTGCACGCATCAATCTGTACCGCAGTGCCTGCACGAGGCACTGCGATAGATCTCCGCGCCGCCGCATGCAGGTGATCCGCCAGGCAGGTTCGCGGTGATCCAGGCCAGCGAAGTACTAGGCCCTCCGATCCCGACGGCCGATGACCAGGACCCTCGACGGCCCTCCCATCCCATCTGCTGGCGCAACCTCGTGTTACGTGCAGTCAAGCGACGCGCACACCAGCGACTGGTCTCGCACAGACCGAGCTGCAACAGTGCCTCTCCTCGGACCCCCAGACACATCCTGGCCCGCTGCATCAGAAACTCTCACACTCTGCGATTGCATGACCTTGCTTCGGTCTGATTCCGAAGTCTCACGACCGACGACATGGAATATGCGACACACTCGCTCACCCTGGTCTACCCTCGTCCGTCATCTGATCGTTAGTACTTTTGCCACTTGGGGCGCTGCCCCTGATCCCTTGCAGCAGGCGCGCCCCCAGGTTGATCGTACCGGGGCAGATATTGGTAAGGCCACCCGCCGTCTGCCGCACCCCTCAGGGAAGTTGGGTCAGACAGGTCGCACCACGGATGATGGTTGGTGGTGCTGCAAGCGACAGAGATTGGATTCGGTCAGGAGACCTTGTCGGGCCAGATCGTGCCGTGGCGGGCTACGCGGGAATGTCTGGCTTCTGTACGCAGACGTTGATCGCTACATGCTGTCATCCTGCAGCGATCCGAATGGTGGGGCAGGCTCGCGGACGCACCTGCGATACCTCTTGGGCTTCATGAATTCGGGGATGAAGAGCCCGCTGCCGCCCTTATCGGCGAATGCCGCCATGAATTCCTTGTAGTTCACGCTCATGTCTCCATCGATGTCGGCGTCCTTGTACAGCTCGAGGATCTCGTCAGATGTGAGATGAAGGTTCATGTGTTTGTTGACCTTGCTCAGGGCCTCCACGAACTCTGGGAGAGAGATCTCGCCGCTCTTGTCCGCGTCGTAGTCGGAGAATGCCTGCATACCATGGCGTTCGCCTCGTCGTGAGACACGAATAGCTTGTGGCAGCTGCGTGCTTGCATCAGGCGCTGCATACGAGCGCTCACCTTGTCAAGCATACCGTACTGCTTCATCACCTGATCACGAATCGCCTTGACAGCGGCGTCCGCGTCCGCCTTGCTGCCATACGGCGTTTTGACCTGCACATCAAAAGAACGAAAGAAAGAATTCACTTATCTGAGGATTTTGGCGGGCTGCTGCCAGCTCAGACGTCGCAGCGACTCCTGGCGCGGCGACGCTTGCCTGCGGCTCTCCAAAGGGCATGAATGGGTCGGGTGCAGCTCTGCGCGTGCAGATCTTCTGTCCCATTTCCTTGTAGGGGATGCGGTCCCAGCGTAGAAGGTCCGTCAACGTCCTGTAGTCCACAAGATCGTTTCCCGCTGATGGCCGGCCCTGCCGCTTCATTTCGTCCCACATCATGTCGACGACCTCGTCGCTCATGACAGGACCCAGGTTCATGTCCGAGATGACCTGCATCGAGCCATGAGGGGGCAACCCAATTTCCGTCGTCCGTCCCTGGGCCGCAGTGAGACAAGGCAGGGCCGACGAGCGGGGCACGCTGCCAATACCTTCTTGAAACGTCGCTTCGACATCATGTGGTCGCCGGCCCTGTCATGGCGATCAAAGAGCTGCAGGAATCCTGGCCGCCCGCGTCGTGCCACCCGATCTTTCAGCATCAGAATTGCTTTGTTGTAGCGTTCCAGGGTCGTGGCCTGCTCGAATGACTTCTCGTCTGGCTGTGCATAGGGCTGCATGATGTACGCCATGCGAATCTGCGAGGAACGTGGACGTGACCGGCTGGTTGGTGTTCCGCCTCGACTATGCAATGCAGATGCGAGACAGCTGGATCCAGCGCATCGTGGGCCGTGGACAGACAAGGTGTCCGTGGCAGGGCGTTGTTTTTGACCAACGCGGCAGGAAGTTCGCACCTTCTCGTGACCCTGTTTCCCTTCACGCGCAACCTCTTCCTCCTCCCGCTTCCGAATGACATCGCGTCGCTTGAGCTCGAGATGGTCCGTGACGGCTCCCATGACCAGTGCTTGGCTGAGAGAAGGCAGCCCACCAGACATCCGGTTCAGGAGCGCCCGCTTTTCCCTCTGCTGCATGTGGAGCTTCTCGATGACCGCCACGTCTCTCTTTCCGAACGTCGTCAGGTCCAGCCCGCCCGTCAGCTTGCGTGCGTAGGACGAAACCGGCCGCAAGTTTGCGTGGGTGGTCTCTGCAAGGACACCCGCATGTGCTTCCGTGGAGACCTGCCGCGACGCCTGTGCCTGTGGGTGACCCACCCGCGCCACGATGCTCTCCTCTGGACGAAAGCCGCGGCCCACGACGCCCGACGGCACCGCACTCGCCGTGTGTGGTCGCCGAGTCTTTCTCGGCGACGTTCCGAGGAGACCGTTGCTGGGCCGCACCGCTCGCGGGGCGCCCTGCGACTGGAGAGATGCCCGCAGGTTCTCGGGCGGCCCGCGCACGGGGCCACGCTGCGTGCCTGACGTGGGCTGCCACATGCCAGCGCCATACGTTGCACGTCCGTCCCACATAGCCCTAGGCATCGGTGGCCCTGGCTTCGGGCGGACCATCTCCGCCGTCAGGGGTCGTTTCGAAACGGGAGGTGCGCCCTGTGCCGACCCACGTCCTGGGGGTCGGTTCGCGGCAGCACTCTGCAGCCTCCTGTGGCCGAACCGAAACGTCCTCAGACCAAACTGTTGATCCCACGCAGACTTGTTCGCTTCTTCATCGAGCTTCTCGACAGTTCCTCCGGGTCGCAACGCAGCTGGTGCCGCGCTGGTGTCTGCTGGGCCGCCTGCAGGGTCCTGAGCGTGGTGCTCGTCGGCCATCGCGCACGACGCTCCTGTGCCTGCGACGAGATGCGCACGTTGAGCTGCGTCATGCTACAAGTATCGCCGTGCGCGCAAGTCTGTAAGTGTGTCGTCGCTGGGAGCGGCGCGTGCAGCACAAACGCAAAGGGCTCGCATGTGAGCGGCCCTGCTCCGCGCTCGGCGCCCGTCAGGGCGTTTCATGTGGAGTAGAGAGCCATAATCTGATACTTCGCCCTACAGCTATCCCACATCATCCCGACATGCGGCAGCAGATGCGCGTCACTGCCGTGTGCGTGCATCGTTCCCCCCGCATCACGCACTGGCCAGGGGAGCGAGCGCCCCTGCACGGGGCGAACGAGCGCTCCCGGGCGCGCTGATTGTCGCGTTTATCTTCGAGAACGGGTTCAGGGGTCGACGGCTTGGCGTCGCGCCGCTGCGGCGGCCGTTCGGGCGCACCTCCGTTGTTGTTGCCCTGGGACTGCTGGGACCAACCGTTTCTCGCTCTACTGCCACGCCGACGTGTCGCCGTCGCGACCCACGTGCAGTGGGAAAGTGCCGTCGACGTCGACCGGCTCCCGCAAACACCGCGCCACAGCTACGTGCACCGTGCTGCACCGGCCAGTGCAGGTCTGACTACTTGCGGCGCACCTCTGTGTGCGGCCTCCGTGAGGTCCTCGCGATGCACCGGCGCCGACGAGTCCCCGAGGCGCTCCCCCCGTGCGTTCCGTCCCTCGGCACGCCATACGCGACGACACCGTCCGTGACGTGCCGGCACCAGCGGCCCGACCTGATCAGGCAAACTTGCACACGGTGGCCAAGACCTGGAAAGCGCCGGGCGTCGCCTGGCAGATCATCGACGCAGCGTGAGGCGCACGGCGGTGCTCTGTGAGCGTCACAGCATCATTCTGAGATGCGGAAGCGGACCCCGAGCAGCTCCTTGACCTTCTCATATGTCACGAAGGCAATGGCGATCGAGGGCACCACTTTGACGTAGTTCGGCCACAACCCCTGGAACAGCGACGCCCAGCCCTCGTGCCGCACCATGCTGATGAAGCAGTCCATCATCCCCGAGTACGCCGCCTGCGCGCACGACGCCACATGCGCGACATTCGGTGGGGGGGCAACACGCCACACAGCGCCACGACCACGCCGCGGCCCACCCTCCGTACGAGTGCGTCGCGACATCCGTAGGGGGGCCGTGGCGCGCACCTGGCCCTTGACGAGCTGCCCGCCGCCCTGCCAGCCCGAGACCTGCAATCGCCGCCGCGCCACGTCGAACGGGTACGCCACCGTCTGCCCCGTCGTGCCGGCCGCCGCCCCGCACGCGAGCCGCGACACCACCGACAGCTGCGTCTCGTCCTGCAGCTCCCAGTACCGCAGCAGGACGGCCTTGAGCGACTCGTACACGGCAAAGTTGAGCCCGACGTACGGCACCACGCCGATGACCGACGGCACCCAGCCCTGCGAGCCAGATGGACGGAGACGTGCGTGAGTGCGGGCGCGGGGCGTGAGCGTCGCGCCCCGGCCCCGCTGCGTCGCGCGCTCTCACCTTGTAGAGGGCGCCGGGCCCCTCGGAGCGGACGATGGTTACGTAGGCGTGCAGGATCCCACGGTAGTGCTGCTCGCCCGTGCTCTCCTGAATCGTGAGGCGCCCGCGCACCATGTCGAGGCTGTACGTGCTGCTCATCGCGATGATGCCCGCGGTGGCCCCCGCCAGGAGACGCTCGAGCGGGGTGATGGACGGGTCGCCCGTCCGGTGCTTCTGGTAGGACGATATCATCGCTGCAGTGTCGTGGGGCGGCGGGGGCGGGCGGGGTCGCGGTGCGCACGCATGGTGCCAAACCTACAGGTTGCGCCAGAGCGCTCGCGGGCAGAGCGGGCCTCGCGACGCACCTGCGAACTGCTCGTACGCGAAGAACTTGACCGCGGAGTTCGGCACGATGCGCATGCAGTTCGTGCCGTTGCCCCGGAACAGTCCGCGTATACCGTCTTCCCGGGCCATCTTGATGACGCCCTGCGAACGAGCGAGAAGCGCAGAGAGGCGAGACGTCAGGACGCTGACAATGTCCGTCCGTCGTGGTCGCGGCACGGCTGGCCGTGCGATCGGCGCAGGCCCCGCGGAACGACGCGGGGGTGGCTCTGAGCAACCGAATGCGCTCGTTGCCTCTCTTCCGGCGACCCTCGCTGCTGTCACGCCACGCAGAAGGTAGTGCCAGTGATGCACATCGAGTTGCGGGTGTGATCTCGGGGTTCCGCAGCGCGTGCGTGCAGAGGGTTCCCCGCACAGCAGCCCGGCAGAGGGCGCCCGCATACACACACCTGGAGCACCCCTGTGTACACCTTCTCTCCACCTTGCACCTGCATCAGGATCTTCAATCTCTCCAAGGGCGCCACGCACGTCCGGGACCTGCGATGCGGCGCAGGGACGACGAGGCAGGGTTTTGGGAGGCTGGTGCTGCCGATGATGACGCCTCGACACCCGGGATGCCGCAGATCAAGCTGCGAGGCGTGCTCTCCCGCTTCCAGGAGCTTGGTCGCGAGTCGGATGGCCGGGGAGCCCCCCCGACCGCGGAGGGCCAGGACCAGCTCCCGCTGTCTCGACAGGTTGCCACACGCGCGCGGGGGGGCTCCCGACGGCAGCAACCCAGATCTCAGCGGCGTGGCCAGAATGCAGAGCTTCATGAGAGCGTCATGATGCCCGTTGTGCGCTGCCGCGACGTCCAGGGCGGAGGCGATGCGGCGCAACGTGCTGCCAGCATCAAATGGCTCAGCGGCTGCGTCCGTTGCGCCTCGCGTGATTGGAAAGCCGGAAGATGGGACTGTTTCGGCAGGGGGGTTGCAGCGCGCCCGCCGGGCTGCCGCGGACGCCGCCGTGCACGTAGCGGGGGAGAGGGGCCCGTGCGGGAAGGGGCTGGACGCAGTGGCGCGTGGCCGCAGCCGGGTGTCAGGGGGCGCACAATCCACCGGCGATTCCTCCAGCTGCGAGGCTCTTCATGATGTCCACCGTGGAGGGCAGCTGATGCCCCGAGCTGCTTTCACTCATGGTGAGGTGTGCCTCGCCCTTCGCGGCCCTGACGTACGCCCCCCCTGCGCCCGGACCCGCGCGCGATGTCGTCAGCTGTCGCCTAAGACCGAGCCCCACCCCGCCGCGGAGGCTCGGATGGCCCTGCCGCTGCAGCTACGAGCTGGCTTCGTGCAAGGCTGCGAACAGAGGTGAACGCGACCGCCCGTCTTCCTGGTCGCCCCTGTGCGAGCGTAGGCAGTCCAACACCTTCACGGCCTGGACGTCATGGCGGCCGCAGGTGCAGCGGCGCGCAAATGGTGCCCGGGGGGCGGGTGCTTGAGCGCGGAGGGTCCAGCCCAGGGTAGGAGCTCTGGAGCCGCGGCGCCCTCGCAGCCCAGCGGACCCCGGCACGGCACGTCCACAACAGTTTCACTCACGCAGACTCGCGCCTGGGGTCGGCTCCACGAAGCCGTTGCCACGCCGGGGTGCGCATTGCGGGTCGTTGGAAGGCACCAAGCGCAGTGCCGCGCGCACAGGCCACGCCGGCGACCGAGCGCGGATCGGAGAGTGCATCTTGCGGCATTGCCTGGCTCGGCGGGCGCGCGTTGGCCCCGACGCACGCGTCTGGCTGCCGTGCGTGCCGGCGGGCGCTCGGCTGCATTCAACTCTAGGGGCCGACAGCTGGAGCCTGGGACACTGCGTTCGCGCGCGGTTTGACTTTGGAACGGAGCGGCATTCAAGTTAGATGACGGGGCGGACAGTCCAGAGGAGGCAGGTGGCGCCGCGGCAGCCCGTCGCAGCAGCAGGGCGCGCTGGCGAGCCGGGCTTGGGTTCGCCGAGCAAGGACCACGGCCCACATGCGTTTCGCCGGCGCGTAGGCGACGAGGGGCTTCTCTTCCAGTGGTTCGAGGACGTTGACCGGCTGTTCGGTGGCAGGGATGGCTATCACGCCGAGAAGACGGAGGTGGAGCCAGCGCCTGCAGTGCGGGCCACGGAGGCGTCTGCGGCGGTGTCGGGCGGATGGTTCAGCGGCGCTCTGGCGGGCATCGTGGACATGGCGGAGCAGAGCATTCAGAGCGCGGCAGAGTTTGCGGAGGGGGGGCTGGGCGAGCTGGAGCGCCTCCTTCTGGACCACTCGAGCGACCACGAGGGCGGCGACGACGCGACGTCGAGGGGCCCGAAGGACTGCGTGGCGACTCCGACGTTCGCCGTGCTGCCCGTCGCCGACCGGGCCACCCCGCCAACACTTCGAGCTGACAGCGCCTCGTGCAACTTGCAATCACGCTGGCCGGCCGCTAGCGCAGATGCTGACATCGACGGCGAGTTCGATGCGTGGCCGGACGTCGCGCCCGCGGAATCGGCGAGGCCGGCGACCCGCGGTGCCGCGGGAGGGTTGCATCAGCCACACATGGCATCGGTGGCTGTTCGACGGGACACAGAGGGCAAGTGTCCGGCAGGAGACCGCTGCGCGAACGCCGCGGCCGTGCGGTTGGAGCGGCGGAGAGCAAGTGACGCTGAGCGAAGGGCTGCTTCGGCCGCGAGGGAAGCGGCTGCCCTGCGAACGAAGCTCGCTGCTGCAGCGCGCGGTCCGCCGGACCCGCGTTCAACGGAAGCTGGCGAAGACAGCGACAGCGAGGACGCCGACGTGGTGTGCGGCCAGCTGACCGCGCAGCTCCAGGCCCTGCTGATGGAGAGGGAGCAGCTCACAGGGGAGATCGCTCAGCTGCGGCAGGAGAACCGCGCCCTGGAAGGCCTCGTCGCCACGGCGCACTCGCTCATGATGTCGGGCGAGGACCAACTGGGGGAGTCGATGGACGGCGCTGCCGACTGCGCTTGCATGGCCACAGGACAAGCGGAGTTGCAGTCCGCAATGCCTATGGAGCAGAGCTGGGGCGCGCAATCGCAATCTGAGCACGCGGACAGCGTGGACGGGCAGCGGGTGGGCGCGGTGGCCGATGGTGTGCTGTCTCCGCGCCTGTGCAGCCACGCGTCTTCCACAAGGACGTCGGATGCCGAGGACTGGGCCGACGACGGCGGCCATTCGCGGACGACGGGCAGCGAAGCGAGCTTCGCGGACGGCAGGGCAGAGGTCAGCGAGCCCCCGTGAGGGGCGTGTGTGAGGGGGGTGTCATCGCGAGAACCCCAGGGCGAGGGCCGCCGCCAGACAGATCTGCAGCACGTTGACGATGTCGTTGCTGAGCCAGGCAACGCTGTCCTGCGCCGTGGCCCCCAGGAGGCTCTCCGCGTAGTTGGCTATCAGCGCCGCAGCCACGACAGCGAGCGCCCCTGCGATGCGCGGGTCCACTGCGATGCTTGTTTACCGGAGATTCGACACACAGCACCATCGAAGTGACGCTCGTAAGACGCGCGGGACTCGCCTTGCGCATCGACTTGCCCGCCCAGGGTCCCGAGGCCCGCCACCAGGATGGCGGCCGCGACGCCCGCCGCCGTGCCCTCGACGCTGACCGCGCCTTCCGTTCCCGGAGGCACGGGCTTGAAGTTCGTCACCAGGAACGCTTTCTTGCCGTATCCCTTGCCCACCTCGCTACTCACTGTGTCGCAGAGCTTGCTGCATGAACACGCGGACACGTGGCGCGATGAGATCGCGGCGGCGCTCGCGGCGTTGCAGCCGCGTGCGTCGTGCCGCTGACCTGCAGAAGCTCGCGACGAACCCGGCTTGCCACGCGATTGACCCTGGGAACAACAGACTCCCCACTGCACACGCGACCCCCGCCGTGCCCGACCCCCACACGCTCCCGGGGCCGCGCCGCCCCGACCGCTTCTCTGCGCGCACGCGAAGGACGCGAGGTCGCCGCGTGAGGGCTGCATGCAGGCGCGTGTGCATCAGATGCTGCTCCTTTTCTGCGGCGTTGCGCGTGCTGGCGCGCGAGCTCGTCTGCACGTAGCCCACGCGCACGGCAGCAGTTGCGGCTCGTCCGGCGGCCGCGCTGTCACGTCTGCGCACCAGCGATTCCCTTGGCCTCCTTTTCCTTCAGCTTCAGCTTGGTGGCTGCGCTCCCGAGCACGAAGTACGCGCACACCAGCAGGTAGCCAGAGAGTCCGAAGGCGCTGTATATCGTGGTTCCGAGCACCCAGGCGTGGGCGTATCCAGTCGGGGTCAGCCCCGCCAGCAAAACTGGAGCTCCGAGCAGGAACACTGCGGCGCAGGGACGTCTCCCCAACGGTGAGGCCTGCATCGGTGAGACGCAGGGAGGCGTGCATGCTGCAGCGCGACGGCATCGCACCCGTGGAGTTCGCTGCTGCACCCGCAGCAAGCCCGGGCGCGCTCTTGGACGCCTGCTCGAGCAGCGCTGGGACTACGGAAGTGTCCAGCGCCCGCGCGCACAGGCTCCCGCGCAAGGAACTAGCCCGGCGCTGCTGTCCACGAAAGGTGGGCCGCGATACGCTTGCGGGACGCCCCGGCAACCCGTGCAGTGCACATAGAGGGGGAGACGACGCGGTGACGGTCATGGAAACCTCAGGTGATCCCGAATCGCACGCAGACGCTGATCAGCTGATATTGCGACGGCGTGGCGCCCTACGCTGTCCAGTGCAAAGCGCTGCACGGAGCAAAGGCATGCAACAACTTCGGCGGGGCTGTCATCTGACACGGCCCCCTGACGCGGGCCCGCAGCCCGCGACCCAGCCCAGCGTCACGCCGCGCGATGAGAGACGCACGGCATGCTGGTTGGGCACTTCCGCGATGACGTGATTGAACAGCCGCGCTGGCCACGGACCGCCTTGCTGTCGAAGGAACAGCGTCGGGAAGTTCGCCACTTCGCATCCTGAGCGTCCATTCTCAGGTCTTCGTGGCGTACCTTCATTCCAGCTCAAGGACAGCCCTGCCGCCCCGCTCCAGATCGGGCGTCACGAGGCGCAGCGCATGCTTTTGCGCACCACCCCTCACGCTGACAGCATCCCGTTCCGTAGCGGCGCCAACTGTCGCCGTCTCCGTCGCCGACGCGCGTGGATCCCATGAGTCAGCTTCGTGTTGCTCGGAGCAGCGCCGTTGCGCCCGAACAGCGCGTCATGTCTCCAGGGCTGCGGCCAAGGCGGGCGCCGAAACGCGGAGGTCTGCCGCGATCCACCGGACCAGCCTCCGATGCCCTCGATGCCGGAGCGTCGCCTGATATCGACCCTGTCCAGGAGGCGCTGCAGAAAGCGCAGGACGCGGCCACTGCTGCGGAGCAGGCAGCCGCGGCGGTTGAGAGCCTCCCCAGTGCAAGTGAGAACACGCACCTCGCGCACCCCCGCGGAAGCCCGTCGCAACCCCGCGTCACCGCTACGGCAACGGACCACGGTGTGCGCAGATACGGAGCCGGAGCTCCCCAGCCGTTCGCGCCTTGTAGCGAAGATTATTTTGAAGCAGGTTTTGCAGGTTGTCGTCACGTTCGGGGCTCTGTACGGGGCCCACCTCCTCGCGCTGCCCGGCAGATGCGTCGCGTCGCTCGCGGGAGCCGCTGCCTTGGGGATCCAGGGCTTGGTGAAGCGTTCTCTGAACGCGTCCGGTGCGCTGGGAGCTGCGGCGGTCGGCTTCCTGAGCCTGGCCTCGTCGTTCAGGTGAGACTTCGGCCGTGGCCCTTGCCGCGTCTCTCTCATCAGGGCGCGTGTCGTGGGTGACCCGCCCACCGTCCCGCGCGTGCAGGGCCGGCACCATGCTGGTGGCGTTCTACCTCGTTGGGTCCGCGGCCACGAAGCTGAAAATGCAGCAGAAGGAGAACATCGGCTCGGAGTACAAGCAGCAGGTGGGGCGCATCTGTCGTGCCGGCTGTTCTCGCTCCGGGCGATGCGTCCGTGCGCATGATCGGAACCCACGCAACACCATGAGCATGTGTGTGGGCTGCTGCAGGAAGGGCGGAACGTGTGGCAGGTGCTCTCCAACGGTGGGCTGCCCACGGCGCTCGCTGTCGCTCTTGCCATCTACACTGGGGTCCAGACAGGTGACGTGCCGGTGGGCTGGGCGCCGGCAGCTGGCCTGCTGACCTGGAAGATGTCTGCTGCACTCCAAGGGGGGATTCTCGGTGAGTGCGACGACCGCGCGAGCGTCAAGCATGCGACCCGCACTCCTCGACACACGCAAGCGCCAACGCCCTCGACGCCCTCGCCGCCCGCAGGTTACTACGCCTGTTGCTGTGGGGACACCTTGGCGTCGGAGCTCGGCGTGCTGTCGTCAGAGCAGCCGCGCCTCATCACCAACTTCCGGCCCGTGCGTCGCGGAACGAACGGGGGCGTGACTTTGTTCGGGACCGCTGCCAGCGGCGCGGGCGGTCTGTTGATGGGTGCGATCTTCTACGTCGCTGGGCTGGTGGCGCCGCACGTGCGGGCGAGCGGGGAGATGACCGCCGCGGCTGCCGGCCAGACCTGGTTGCTGTGGGCTGGGCTGGCTCTCGGACTCGGGGGCAGTTTGGTGGACTCGATTCTTGGCGCGACTGTGCAGTACACTGGGTATGACAGGACGCAGGGCTGCGTCGTCGGACGTCCCGGGGAGGACGTGACGCACATCTCCGGACTCGCGCTGCTGTCGAACAACCTGGTCAACGTGGTGAGCGCAGCCGTGTGCTCCCTGGCCGGTGCGCTGTTGTCGGTGCGCATGGTGATGTTGGCGCACGGCGTGTAACCCTCGTGACGGGGCTGCGCGGACGGCAAGCGCACCCCGCGTGAAGCCTTCGACGTCTCGCGCAATCGCCGTGTCTCAGCACTGATGCAGCGAGGCCGCGTCCAACCACACCGAAAAAAAAGCAACTTGGGGAAGGGGGGGGGTGTCTGACGTTTGCACCGCTCGGAGGGCAGCCGCCCGACGCAGTTGGGCGGTTCCCCGTCGGAGCATGAAGAGCGAGGCCGGGCGGCCAGTTCGCGCACTCCCGACCCCGCTGTTCTCCTCCGGCATTGCACGTCGCTCTCCCCAGCCACAGAAAATGGCGTCCATGGTCTCTGCGTCGCGCGTCGTCGCCTCGAACCGGAGCGTATCGTGCAATGCCACCGTTCGTGCCGCTCCCTGCGCGTCCCCCGCGCGCCCGATGAGCGCGATCGGCGCCCCGGGTGCGGGTTTCTCGTCGTTCGCGGGCAAGGCCCTGGTCAGCAGGGCGCCCCGCGCGGCTGCGCGCGCCCGGTCCTCCGTGAAGGCGATGGCCTCCAGCGAGGAGATCTCCTACATCATGATCAAGCCCGACGGCGTGCAGGTGAGCCGAACGACGGCGTGCCGTCGTGCCCGGCCGAGTCCGAGTAGCAGTGGATGAGGCACCCCGGCGGCGGCCCTCCTCGTGGCACCTGAGCCCCCGATCGTGTACTCATCGGGCCGACCAGTGGCATAGCATGCTGCCGAGGGCCGCACCACGATCTCGATCTCACCCACGTCGCGCCAGGCAGCACATGGTGGAGCTCGGCCACACGCTGTGCAGAGGGGCCTGGTGGGCGACATCATCTCGCGTTTCGAGCGCAAGGGCTTCACCCTGAAGGCTCTCAAGCTGTACCAGTGCCCCCGCGAGGTCGCCGAGGAGCACTACAAGGACCTGTCCTCGAAGCCGTTCTACAAGGTGTGTGCAGCCTGCGCACAAGCGAGGACCGTCTCGTGGCCGTGGCTGCGACGTCGGACGCGTCTGCGCTGGCTGAAACAACCAGCGCCGACTGCCGCTCCATCCTCGTTGCGTTCCCGCTGCGTCGCAGGACCTCGTGGACTACATCTGCTCCGGGCCTGTCGTGGCCATGGTGTGGTCGGGTGCGGGCGTCGTCAAGTCGGCGCGCCTGCTGATCGGCGCGACGAACCCGCTCGAGGCCGCCCCGGGGACCATCCGCGGCGATCTCGCGGTTGAGGTGAGCCCACTGCAGCGTCTCTGCGGTTGATTCATGCCGCACCACCAACTCCCACGTCTGACCCACTCGCAGGGGACCCAACCCTCTCGGCACGCCCTGCTCACGCACAATGCCGCGCATACGTCTTCGCAGGTCGGTCGCAACGTGGTGCACGGCAGCGACTCGGTGGAGAACGGTGTGCGCGAGGCCAACCTGTGGTTCGGCGAGGGCAGCATCGTCGAGTGGGACCCGACGATGACTCCCTGGCTGCGGGAGTAAGCGGAAGCGATGGAGGTGACGCCTGCAGTCTAGCGAGCTGCGGGGCGCCGCACGAGAACGAGGTGCTGTGACGATGCACCACGGCCGCCGAATTCATGCCGTGCTACATCGGGGCAAAACCATACGGCGCTCAGACTCGACGATGTAACATCCCGCGTGGCCCCTGGTGGTATGGCCTGTGTATTTCACCCATAAACCCTTGCGAAGCTCTCAGTGATGTCGCTCGTGGTCGGTTCGCTGTCGAAGGTAGCGATCAAGTCGTACCTCTCTTGCCGCTTGGGCAGGTCGACCCGGTCGTAGATTTCCTGCGCAGACACATTCATTCATTCATGACGTGAGCAAGTGGGATGACAAATTTCAGACGAATTTGTCTGCAAGATGCGCGCCTTGGTTGGGAACTGACCCACTTCCTGCCCTCGCCGTAGACATAGCGCAGGGCTCCGACGATCGGGTAGAACGTCCCCTGCGTGTACAGGAGACGGAACGCGACGATCGTGTCGAAGGTTGCGGCGAATGCCAGCCTGTCGCTCCGCCCCCGGACGCCCATGACGCCGCCCGAGCTCGCACGGTCCTCGAGTTTGGGGTTGACGAGGATGATCCGCTTCCCGTCCTCCTCGACCTTCTTGGACATCTCCTCCAGGCTCTCAATGACGCTCGCGCCGACCATGTTCTGCGCGCACGGCCGTACAGGACATATTTCGAGAACGACCGATCAGGCGCACGCAGGACGTCGGTTCGGGGGTGCTGTCGCGCCACACCTGGGGTGCGACGATGATGTAAGCGTACGAATCGTCCACTTCGTCCGCTCCGATTGCGCCGAAACGAACGAATTCCTCTGCATCGCCCCAGTCCATGTTCTCCAGGATCCTGTTCACTCCTGCGCACATCGCCGGCGCCGTCTCCGACGTGTCAATGGGGTGCGCAGGCGTGATGCAGCACGGCGTAGTTGTGGGGCGGCCGTCGGTGCGGGGAACGTGCTACTTGCCTGAGAGGGCGAGCGGCAGCGCCGTGAAGACGCCGCGGCCCATCGACCCCTGCACGCACACCTTCACGGGCTTTCCGTCCGCGCACAGGCTCGTGACCAGCTCCCGCACCATCTCGAGAAGTGTGCCGATGCGATACACATCCATCTCGGGATTCGTCTCCGGGATCGTCAGCTTGACCTGCGGTGAGGGTCCGGGTATTTCCACCATCATCAAAGATGAACTGATTCATGGTCGAATGATCAATCGAGTGTGTACGTAGGTCTAGGCATCCAGAGCCCAGAAACGGCGCGGGAACCGACGGCACACTTCGGGGAGCTGGAAACAAGCTTTGCTCCGCAGACTCCCGAACAGGGCAAGCTCGCAAACTTCCTGCAGGGGTCAGCCTCACCTGCGTCCTGACGAGCTTGTCGTCCGCGGCCAGCGCTGCCGTCACTCCGTCCGCGACCATGCTATAGAAATACTGCCGAACGTCCCTGTCGTGTGGAGTGCGATTCAGGAAGTCGGGAATGGGGGTCGACTGGTAGCCATCTTCCACGGAGCGAGCCAGCGTGCGGCCACCGCGCACCGGAGCCGCCGTGTGGACACCCACAAAGCTCTGTGACCTTGGCGGCCTCGCATCGGGACGATCCGTCGCCTTCGTCGCTCGCCGGTGCTCGAGATCGCGGCTCCGCAGCGCACTCAAGGCGCGGGCCCCGCTAAGCATCATGTTCCCGAAAGTGAAGGGGGATGGCGTTGCACTGTGATCAAAGTGTGCACGGGCCACCGGTTAGAGCTCGTTTGGTCCCGAAGAAGCACCGTTTCAGCAGCGCTCTGCAGCTTGCCACGCGGGGGGCGGGCACGCGTGCGCTCTGGCGAACGTGCGGACACAGGCGCAACGGCGTCTAAGCCATACGCCGACAAGTGCGAGGTCTCATTCCCGCGGCGAACAGAGGCGCTGTCGGACAGTGTCCGAGGCGCTTGTACTCCGAGGCACTGCTGTCAGGCATCGCGGCCTTACCCGCCGCCGGTGCGAGGACGACGGCGCCCTGTACGACACCCGTCATCTGCAACGCACTCCGCGGCCACCATCGAACCCACCGAACCACTCGCGCCCCTGAACGACACGGTATGAGATTGCAGCAAGGAGGTGGGGGCAGGACACCTCAACCCGCACTGATCGGATTCAACCCGCATCCGACGTTCGCCAGGGTTGCCGATGTCTTTCACAGCGCCGGCAGGCCTCTCGTCCCAGCTGGACACCGGGCAGACGAGCCAACAACATGACACTGAGCTCGTGGGGGGCCGGGCCCTGAAAGCCGTCGCGTCACGCCTTCAGCAGCTCCTGCACCTTGCCCTCGAACGTCGAGGGGTCGCCGGACTCCCGCGCGACGACGGAGCCGTCCTTGGCCACGAGGAACTTGCAGGCGAAGTTCCACTTCACGTCCTGGTCGGCCGTGTTGGTGGCCTGCTTCAGGAACGACCAGACGGGGTGCGTCTGCGGGCCGTTGACGTCGCACTTCTCCATCATCATGCCGTCGAACTTGTAGCCTGCGACGAACTTGCAGATCTCCGCGGCGCTCCCAGGCTCCTGGCGGCCGAACTGGTTGCACGGGAACGCAAGCACCTTGAGGCCCTGCGACCCGTACTTGTCCAGCATGCTGCTCAGCTGCAAGGGAGAGGGCGGCAAAGGGCACGCGATGGTCAGGGGCGAACATGGCGTGGCATCCAGCCAGACACTGATGCCCGAGACGTAGAAAAGCGCAGCAAAGGTTGACGCCCACCGGCAACCAGGGCCAGGGACTCGCATCGTGGACCGCCGGCGATACGAGATGGTGGCGGGGGTCGGGCGCACCTGCTTGTAGTTGCGGTCAGTGTAGCCGCAGGCGGACGCGACGTTGACGACGACGCAAACGTTGCCCTTCAGCGACGAGAAGTCGACATCTCCGCCTGCGTGGGTCGGGGGTCTTGAGTATTCCCCTGTCAGCGAACCTCAATTTCGCCCCTTCTAGTAGCAGCTACTATGTGGGCGATGTGAGGCGGTCTCAGACGTCGTTCGCGGCGACGTGTCAGACCAACGATGCAGGCACTCAAGGCAACAAAGCTCCGGACGCTGTGCTAAAGCTCAATGAAGACCGGCGAAGCGCGCAGTAGCCGGCGGGGCCCGCTGCCACACAGGACAGTTGGCGCCGGATCGGTGCAGCCGCAGCGGAACAGAATCGTGAGAACCGGTGGTCGCGATGGAACGGACACTCTCGGCACGACATGGCGGCGGCAATCCCAAATGCGCGGGCAGCGAGGCGCGTGCGTGAAGCAACGATCGTAGTGGATAAACTACGCGGCCGCGTGTGCTGCCGTCGACGCGCACCGTTGATGTCCTTGGCCTTGAGGTCGTAGAAAGACGATGCCATGGTCCGTACGGAGGTCCTAACGCGCGGTCCAGCGACACGAGCGTTCGCGCGCGCAGTGGAGAGGCGGCACCGGTGGACGAGCTGCATCGAGTGCCTCCTGGACGGCGAGCCCCGCGAACGATGTCGCAGATGAACGATGGCGTGCAGTCATGTCACGGCACCACGCCGAGGACTCTCAGAAACACTCCAAGAGTGTCATGCCATACAGTGTACGAGGCAGGGGGGGTCCTTGGGCCGGCAACATGGGGACGTGGCTCGGGCCGCCCCGGCGCTGACCGTCCTCCCGGCGGTCCAGAGGAGGACGATCCTCGCCGCCGACGCCGCGGCCACTTCGAGGAACGGAGTGTGTGTGGGCCGAGAGACATTTCGTGGTTCCCGAGAGACATTGTGGTTCTCGAACGCATCCCGACCGACCGACTGGCGCGCGTCTCTCGCGGGCTTGAGTCGGCCCGCTCGCGCCCCTGCCCGCGATATCCCGGCAGCGACCTGAACGGCGGAAGATGCCCGTGCTTCGACGGAGAACGACACCTGCAGGGAAGAGAGTTGAAGAAGGCTTGAGCCGGTGCAGCACCGTCAAAGTGACGAGCCATGGCGATGACCGGTGAGTCCGATGCGGCACGGGAGCGCACGCCAATGTGCTGCCCTCAGTTCAGCTGAAGATGGGTGTGCGCTGCGCCTGACTCGCAACGCGGCATGCTGTCCTCGCAGGGCTCGACCTGGGGAGCAAGCGCGGCCGCAAGCGATGGACAGGCTGTTCATGGCCTTGCTCGTCGTGCCGCTGATGCTCTACTGCATGTTGTCGTTCGTCCTGGCTCTCGCTCTGACGCTCCTCTACGTGCCAAGAAAAATCCTCATCTCAAGACTTTATTGGGCAGTGCCGTTCATCCCCGCGATATGGAGCCGGCAGCGGGGGGTCACGACGTTCCTCACGCGCTCCGCGTTCGAGATGACGTACAGCATCAACGCTCTGCGGCGCCTTCTCACCGCGCCGATCAGATCGCTTCCCTCGTTTTACATAATCGGCTTCCCAAAAGCAGGTGCGCCTCACGTCGCGCGCTGCACAATCTGCCGCGATGGGCCCGATGGCGATCACGGATCACCGGTCACTTCCCCCGAATCGGCAATGCAGGAACGACATCAATCGCCTCGCAGCTCCGCAGGCACCCGGCCATCAGGGGACTGTCAGCGCTGCCGTACGGCGTCATGCAGAAAGAGTCCCACTTTTTCAGCGGCGTGTTCGGCGCCCGCTGCGCTCACCAGGTTCGTCACCTTTACAGGGCACCAATATGCACCTCTGATACTGAACATGCCCAGCAACAACTCGCTCGCCGCTCGCGAATGGCAAGTTTTTGATGCGTCATGCGCGATACACGTCACGCAGACGTGCTGTCGTCCTGAACCCTCGCGCCCGTCCCGTCGAGTGCGTCCAGTCGCTCCTGTACCGGTCGTTCTTCCCGACGCTTCTGAGCAAGTTCTGGGTCGAGGTCGTGCGCGGGGCAGGCAAAATGATCACGTTCGATGCCACGCCCACGTACGCGGTGCTGCCTCACGTAGCCAGGCGGGTGAAGGCGTTGACTCCAGATGCCAAGCTCGTCGTCTGCGTCCGAAACCCTTGCGAGGCGGTCTTCAGGCGCGTCCTGCGACACGCCTTGCTGCCGAGACGCGCAAGCCTGCGCGAACGTCCCCTCTCACGTCGCTGCTGTTCCACCGCGCCGCTGCCCACCGACCGCGCCGTGCAGTGCCGAGGTCATGCTGCGGAACCTGGGCATGGATCTCCCGTACACCATGATGGACTCGATGCGTCCGAACGACGCGCGGTTCGCCCCGTGCGAGGATGAGACCCGCCTCTGGCAGGAGCTCGAGGACCTCGACGTGCGCGGGGAGCTCCCCCAGTCGCTCCCGGAGCTGTTCTACACGCGCGTGGGGACGCTCCTCCGCGCGGGCAACATCGCCGAGTGCCTGAGGCCCTGGCTCGCGGAGTTCACCCGCGACCGGATCATGGTCGTGGACTACAACGCGATCGTCGCGGACGAGGAGGGGGTGGTCCGCCAGATCCTCGAGTTTGTCGGCGCGGACCCCGGCCTGTACAAGTGGAAGCACCTCCCGCCCGGCATGAAGACCGAGTACCGCGGGCGGCGGATGCACCCGACCGTTGCGGCGCACCTCAGGCGGCACTTCGAGCCCCTGAACCGACAGTTCAGCATGCTGGTGGGGCGCAACTTCGCCTGGACGGTGGCGGCCGACGTGTGAGGACCGGTCCTCCCCACGGCCCGCGTGCTCCGCCTCGCCTGCCCGCCCGTCGCGACCGCGTGCCCCGGCCCCCCGCCGGGTGGGTGGCGCCGGGCGCGTCACCCGTCCTTGAAGAGCGTGTTATACTCGAGCGGGTCCGGCTCCCGGACGTTCGCCACCCGCCGCGCCTTGAGCCCCTCCTTGGCCTTGACCTTCGACCCGTACTTGCTGCCGGCCTGCTTCTTGAGCTGCGAACGGACGGAGCGAGCAGAGGGCAGCGTCAATATCAACCATGGCGGGCAGTGTGCCGGCGAGCGACGCGCACGGCGTCGGTCCGGGCCGCGCACCTGTGTGCGAATGGCGTTCGGCGACACGTAGTCGGGGTTCTCGTAGATGGTCGGTCCACCGAACGACCCGGCGAACGCCTTGATGAGCTGCAAGGAGAACCGCGGCCCAACCTGCACCGCGCGCGTGCGAGGGAACTGAGCGCCCGCGACCGCACCCCGCGCAGGCGCGCGCGCACAGGCACGGCGGCGGCGCGGCGCACCTCGACCAGGGAGGTGTCGGAGAAGTCGTTCTTGCCCTTGTCCTCGGGCACCACCACCTGGTAGTTGCGGAACCACACCCGCCCGTCCGCCCACGTGAAGGACAGCACGTGGTCGAAGAACGGCTTGCTCCGCTTGTTGCCGCGGGGCGTCGCGAACACCTGGGTGAGCTGCTCCTTGAGCAGCTGCAGGTGCGGCTCGCTGTCGAACGACTGCGCGGCGAACGCGGCGGGGCTCGGGTCGCGCAGGGGAGCGGCGGGGACTGCGGCGACGTGCGGGCGTTGCGCGAGTCGGACTCGGGTCGCACCTGGTCGAAGGACAGGACGGGGCGCGACCCCTTGAGGTGGTTCCCCGACAGGCGCAGCTCCCCCATCGTGTGGATGTTGGTGACGTGGAACTTCATCGTCGGACCTGCGGCGGCGGGGGGCCAGGCAGCGGCGGCGCAGTTGTGTCTCCGCGGGGCTGTGCGCGGCGTGTGGAGCATTGTGCTGCGGCGCGATTTCACCGCACCTTCGGGGGTCCGCGCGAGCCACAGGTACAGATCCTTCCTCTTCCTCGCCTCGAAGAACATCGCGCTGGTGCAGTTCTTCATGTCGGCGACCTCGTTGATCAGCCCGCGATCGGTCTTGGTGTCCAGCTTGCTGTCCTTCCTGCTGTGCGGGAGCAGCTGCATGATGTCCGTCATCAAGTGGCGGAACCTGCATCTCAGACCACCCGACACGCGTCGGTCTGCGTCCCTCCCCTGAGACACGCAGCCGGGCGGCACGACGGGCCAAGGTGCCGCACCAGGCGGCGCAGCCGACTGCTGGCGGTGGTGGCCAGCACCAGGAGCCCGTGAGGCGGAACGCAAGCGCTAGGCCCTGTTCCGCGCATGTTGCTGACATGACAGACGAGAATAGCTGGCTCCGCAGGCGACTGGCGGCAGCTCGCCCGGGCAGGCTCTCACCTGAACGTGATGCCCCTGCTGCACAGCACCAATACCTTTTCCTTGTTTCGGAAACCAGGGTCGGCCTCATCTACTGGCTCTGCCTGCGCGATGCTCGCAGCCTTTCGCTTCATACTGCCGTGAGCGCCCTCCTGGGGTGGGCGGCCGTTCCTCGCAGTGACTGCGCGCGCGGGGCAGCGTCGTGGGGGATGCCTGCTGCGCTGCTCGGATCCACAACCGAAACACACTGCACTGCCGAGTCGAGACGCAGAGTAACGACCCGCCGCGGACCGCTGCACCGATCGCTCTGGGAGCTCGCCACTACGACACGCTGGCGGTCCGACGCGAGTCAGGCGCGCGGCGGACGGGGGCGCCAGCCGCGCACCACGGCGCGCGCACGTGCTCCGCGCTCCAAGGGCATCTGGGCCAGAGCTGCGTCGTGCACAGAGCACTCGCGCGCTGTAGACGCAACACAAGCACCTTGCTGGCAAACGATGGTCGAGGTGCGCGCCGGGGGTCACCGGCGAGGGCGTGCTGGGACGCGCAGGCACCTCGCTGGGCGGCGAGCGGTGACGAGGGCGCTGCGCTCCGCGTCCCTCCCGCGCATCACACGCTTCTCGTGCCCCGCCCCCTCATGGCGACGACGGTGTTGTCCCCGCGCAGCCTCCCGATGAACTGCCCCACGAACCTGCCCATGTACACCCCGCTGGGCACCTCCTTCATCGTCTTCGGCACGCTGAACCCGTACCGCGCGAAGAACGCAGCCACGCGCGGCGCGGCCACGAGCCACACGTCGTCTCGCTCACTGCACGCACACCGTCATCCACGCGACGCGCGAGTGTGTGCTGTGGCGCGCGGCGGGCACGCGCGGCGTCCTCGCGGGCGGGCGCGCAGGAGCGTCGAGCACACACGGGCGGTGCTGGCTTGCCTGCAGGACGCCAGCGCCTCGCGGAGGAGGGTCTTCCCGACGCCCTGGTACCTAAAGGGCCTGTCCACGACCAGGTTCGACACCACCATGTACGTGGGGGAGAGCTCCGTCGGCTTCGGGTCCACCTGCCAGGTGAGGTGGGTGGGGGGACATGATGCAAGTCATGGAGCGCTCGGGGGGGAGGCCGCGACGGGGCGGGCGGGCGGCGGGTGGTGTCGCGGGTGCCGCACCTGGACGCAGCCGATGACCTGCCCGCCACTCAGGCTGACGGCGACCCACATGCGCTCGGCAGCGAGGCCGAGAGGGTTGACCTGCTCACGCACCAGGACGGACCCGACTTCCACCAAGTCGTGCACCGTCGCGCGCCGGACTTTGAAGGCTACAGGCGCCTTCGTGGGGTTCCTCGCTTCCACCTGCGGCCCGCGGCACCATCATCCCAACAAAGTGAGCGGGGGGGCGCATTCGCGGGGGCAGCGCGCTCGAAGTGTGCGCCACCGACGGTGCGGTGCATCAGTCCGGTGTCTCCATGCTGGCGTGAGCCCGCCGTAGGCAGGCGCAGCTCACCCGCAACGCACTCCTCCGCGAAACCCTGGGTGCGGTGGCCCGGGCACCCGCCCGCCTGAACCCCGGGAGACCGGTGCCGCGCGCAGACCTGCATGAATCGCGAGGAAGAGCGACGCTGTTCTGGGGCAGGAAGTGCTGCCGTCGTTGGTGCCCGGGCCAGCTCCCGAACGACCCCTCGATTCGGCGTGCTGACCAGGCGTTCCCGCGTGGTGGCGCCCCCCCGTGCGAGCGCTCGTCCCCCCGCCATCGGCCGGGAACGCGGCGAGCATGCGCTGGCGGGCTTCCGTGCGCGGTGAGGGCTGCGTCCTTGTTGGAACGCGAGGTGTCTTGCCTGAGCGGCAACGAGCATCTTGCGGCGCGGGACGTGGAAGTCGGCGCCCTGGCCGACGCCGCCGTTCGCATCATGTCTCAGCGCGCACAGAAACGTCGCCGGTGACCTTGTCCGGCGCAGCTGCGGCGGCGGGGCGGCCTTCCCCTCCCTGCTTCCCCCCGTGCCCGTGAGCGATGCGCGAACGACGACCTGTGATACGCGAGGGGGCGTGCCGCGGACGCCTGCCGCCACCGAGTGCCCGGGAGGGCACGCGCTGCGTACCGGTCTCCCCGTGCGACGCTGCGCGCTTCTACCTCTATGACTCATCGCCCCGCCGCTGCCTCCTGACGCCATCACACCTCCGCGGTGCGCGACGGGGCGAGATGTGCGCGCCGCACGAGGCAAGCGATCGCCTTTGCCTGCTTCCGCTGCCCGCACGGCCCGCCGTGCGCTCACGCCAGCTTCGAGAGCAACGTTAGATTCAGGCCTGCTGCATTTGGCGCCGTTTCAGCCCCTGCGGACGCCCAGCAGCGTCTTCGAGCGCCGCCCCTGTGCACTCCGTTGCATTTTCTGTCCCTGGGGTATACTTTCATGCTTGCAAGGCGCTGCGACGGGGAGTGACGGCGCTTCTTTCCGCTCGCGGGCACCATGGGGTGCGGGGCCTCGCAGCCGGACGCCGGCGGGCCTGTGCACCCCAGGTCTGTGAATGGAGACGTTGTGCAGAACCACGCCGCGCAAGCGACAGGGGATGACGGTGGAGGGCACAGCGCGAAGGACCGGCCAGCTCCAGCTCGGAATGTGTCGAACAGGAAGTGAGTTTTCGAGGCCCGTCTATGCACCGCACCGCACAACTCGCTCGCGAGGATTCCATATTCGCCACAACTGGGGCCGTTTAATTCGTGTTCGGCGCTCCAGCTGGTTGACCCGGGCAATATGCATCCAAGAATGGTGCCCCGGCGCACGGGGGCAGGTCGCCTCCGCACGCCGGTCCCGTTGCGAGAAAAACGAGCGAGGCCCTCCTCGCTGACGCGCGCGCTTCGCCGCACCCACCTCGTGCGCAGGTCCCAGGAGCACAGACGACGGAGACGTGCCGTCGGCATGGCCGAAATCCTGCGGCCGCTCCGACGGATGGGCGGCGCCGAGCAGCTCGTCGCGGATACGGACGACGAGGCGAGCGACGACGACGAGGAGGACGACGCTGAGACAGCCTTGGTCAACTCCAAGATGTCGCATGACACTCAGGTAAGCCGCGCGGCGTGAGGACGTGCGGCGTGCTGGCCGCTCCCACGCTCAGACCATGCGCGCAGCGGGCCCCGGGCGCCCCGAACGGGGCGATCGAGCGCCCTGCAGGCCGCCGGCTCGGCCCGCAGTGGGACACATTCCGCGCCCACCAGATGCACGAGCTGCCGGCGCCGATAGGCAGCCAACGGCGCCGGACCTTCTCGCCCGAGTCGGTCTCTCGACCACGACGCTGCTTTCCCGCGTATGCGCTCCTGCCGCGCCCGCGTCTGCGGCGGAGGGACGCGCCACGAGCTCACGGCAGCTGCCTGACGCTCGTTTCCACGCCGCGTGTCGGTCGCCCGGCCCGAGCGCGTCTGCCCTGCCCGCGGACATCGTGCACGACGGTCTCCGCGCCCGCCACGGCCCACGTGCTCGCCGCCCGCGGCAGGGCGCGGGCACGTTGGGGTAGGGCAGCGCGCTGCTGCGCTGCTGCGGACCGCGCGCGCCGACCGTCGCGCGGCTCGACCCCTCCTTCCCTGTGCGTCGCGCGGTGCGCAGGAGTGGCTGATCAGCGTGCTGGACGGCTCGTTCATCTTCCAGGACATGACGCCCAAGGGCATGCGGCGCGTGATTGCGCGCATGTTCCTGACCAAGTTCGAGCCCGGGGAGGTCATCGTGCAGCAGGGCTCGACGGTCGGGGAGGACGACTGCCTGTACGTGGTCGAGGCCGGCGAGGTCCGCATCTCCATCTTCGGTGACGAGGTCACGGGCGGCGTGCGAGGTGCGCCCCGCCCACGCGCGCCGCCGGAGGTGGCGGCCGGCCCGCGCGCGCCGACCGATCGCGCGTGCAGGGTGCATGCGCCGTCGTTGGAGCGGCGCGCCGCGCTGGGGCTCAGAGCTCGTGGCACGTGTGGTGGCGCGCAGGGACGGGGCCCGACGGGGAGCCGCTCGTGGACGCGGTGGCGCGGCCGTCCGCCATCGACGACGCGCCGCACGAGGTGACGTTCAACCTCGGGCGCGGCCAGGTGCTGGGCGACATCGCCATGCTGTTCCGGTCGCCGCGGTCGGCGTCCATGACGGCCGACACGCCGCTGACGCTGTGGGCGCTGCGCAAGCGGGACTTCAACAGCGTGGTGCTGAAGCGCGCGCCGTGGACGAAGGCCATCCGCTTCGTGCGGCAGGTCCCGTTCTTCAGCGGCGTGACGGACAACCAGCTGCTGTCGCTGGCGTGCATGATGGAGGAGGAGCGGTTCGAGGACGGGGAGATCATCATCAAGAAGGGGGAGAGGGACGAGCACGTGAGGGCGCCCCCCCGCCCCCGCGAGCGCCCGCGTCGGTCGCGCACCGCTGCCCCGAACTCCCCCCCCCCCTTCCTGCTCTCGCGCGCGCAGGTGTACATCGTGAGGGAGGGCAAGGTGGCGGTCATGCGGGACCTGCCGGACGGGACGCAGGAGCAGATCGTGACGATGGGCCGCGGGCACGTGATCGGCGAGCGCGTGCTGATCAACGACTCGATGCGGTCGGCGGACTGCGTGGCCGTGGGCGAGGTCCGGTGCATCAGCCTGCAGAAGCACCACTTCCTGATGATGGAGTCGCCGATCTTCGAGTGGATGCTGGACTACGAGATCCTGACCTCGGTGGCCAACCGGTCGGAGTACCTCTCGCGGTTCAACATGGAGCTGGCGCTGGACGCGTTCTCGCGGGAGATCTACACGCAGGGGACGCACGTGGTGTCGATCGGGGAGGTGCCCAGCCACGTGTGGGTGCTGCGCACGGGCGGCGTGGTGGCGGTCGACGAGAACGGGCAGCAGGTCAGCGACGACTTCCTGCAGCTGGCCTACGGGTTCGTGGTGTTCGGCGGCGGGCGCGTGCCGAGCCCCGTGGACGTGCTCGTGACGACGCCGACGGCGGTGTGCCTGGCAATCGACAACCCGGAGCTCTCGCACACGGTCGAGGCCCTGCTGTCGGAGCGCACCCTGGAGGCGACGCGCTCCATCCTGGACGCGGTGTCCGGCACCGTCCTGCTGCAGGCGCTCCCGCAGGAGTCGTACCGGCAGCTCATGCACCTCGGGCACCAGCTGGAGACGGTGGCGTACGAGAAGAACCAGGTGGTGGTGCAGAAGGGCGCCAAGGTGGACAAGATCTTCTTCGTGCACGAGGGGGCCTTCTCGCAGGTGGCCGCCACGGGCGCCGCCACGCAGGTCGACGTGGGGGAGCTCGTGGGGCGCGAGGGGCTCGACCTGCACCACGCCGTGTTCCGGTCGACCATGATCTGCTCCTCGGCGCGCGGGACGCTCATGACGCTCAGCGTGCAGGCCATGAAGCAGGCCATCGCGGAACTGCAGTCCAAGAGCTCCCTCCCGGACTCCGAGGCCGCCTCGCGCATGCTCGGGAACCTCGACCTCCACGGCGAGCTCGGCTCGGGCCAGTTCGGGTCGGTGCAGCTCGCCAGGGACCGCAAGACAGGTGAGCAAGCGCCCGTCGCGCGCCCGCGGCTCACGTCGCCCGCGGCTCACGTCGCCCGCGGCTCACGTCGCCCGCTCCGGCCTCTCGGCGCTCGCGCAGGGGAGCTGTTGGCGCTCAAGGTCATGTCCAAGGGGGAGGCGTCGGCGAAGAAGCAGCTGGAGCACCTCACGCTGGAGGCGCACATCCAGAGCGAGCTGTCGACGCCGTTCTGCGTGGGCCTGAAGTGCTCCGCGCAGGACACGGACCACCTGTTCATCCTGCAGGAGTTTGTGTCGGGCGGGGAGATGTTCCACCACCTCGAGGTCATCGGCGCGCTCAAGGAGGAGGTCGCGCAGTTCTACGCGGCGAACGTCGTCCTGGGCCTCGAGTTCATGCACGCCAAGGGCATCATCTACCGCGACCTCAAGCCCGAGAACCTGCTCATCACCGGCGGCGGGTACGTCAAGCTGGCCGACTTCGGGTTCTCGAAGCGGCTGCAGCAGGGGAAGCGCACGTTCACCTTCTGCGGGACGCCGGACTACCAGTCGCCCGAGGTGATCATGCGCAAGGGCACGGGCGCGCCCGCGGACATCTGGTCCCTGGGCGTGCTCATCTACGAGCTGCTGTCGGGGGAGACGCCGTTCGGGACGGACGACTCGGTCGACCCGTGGGAGACGTTCCGGCGCATCATCGCGGGGCGCTTCTACATCCCGCAGTACTTCTCCGCGGAGGCCGTGGACATCATCTACCGCCTGCTCAAGGTGGAGCCCAGCGACCGGCTCGGGTGCGGGCCCGAGGGCATGGCCGAGCTCAAGCGCCACCCGTGGTTCAAGAAGATCGACTGGGGCGCCGTGGAGGCGCTCAAGGCCAAGCCGCCCTTCCTCCCCGGCACGGACACCTTCCAGGACGTGCTCGCCACCAAGCCCGTCAGCTTCGACGCGTTCCGGCGACGAAACCGGCAGGAGATGGAGGTGCAGGGCGCCGCGATGGAGATGCTCGAGGGCTGGCCGATCATCCCGGACGCATGAGCGGCAGCAACTTGGGGCAGGGAGGGGGATCGGTCGTGTGAACCTGCAGGTCTGCTGTGGGCTCCACAGCAGCTGCAACGCAATGCACAGGCGCAGGTGCGCAGAGCGCGGTCCTCGGGGGCCGCTCGGCGTTACATGGGAGCCCGGGGCGAGGGGCTGTCATGGAGGCAGGCGCCATCGCTGCAGGGTCCGCTGTCTCTGTCGAAGGGGGTCGCTGGTGGCTAGAGGATGTTGTTTGTCATGCTGTGTGTTGCAGTTTCTGATTCGACAGTCGAGTCGACGCTGTAGGGCAGTTGCGGCCTGCACGGGGACAAGCAGGCAGCTGCTCAGGGGTTGTCGTGCAGGACGATCCGGGGGAAGGGCCCCTTGACAAGCGTGATGCTGTGGTGCCAGCCCCTCTTGTGGCGGGAGTCCTTGTGTAGATTGGGGAAGATCAGCCCCCTCAACCACAGAAATTGCAGCGTGTTGTTCTCCCTCAGGGCCTGCACCATCGTCTTCTTAGCCTCGTCGCCGCAGTCTCTGAAGTTGCCCAGCTCCACGCTGCGCAGCCCGCGGTTGTGGCGTAGTGCCTCTGCCAGCACGCACAGAGCTTCGCGGCTTCGGCGGGGGGAGCAGTCGTGGAGCGACAGGTACCTCAGGGCGGTGTTGGTGCGCAGGGCGTTGGCGAGAGCCTCGAAGGCGTCAGGCTCCGCGAGGCCGTTGAAATTACCCAAGGTGAGGATGCGCAGGACGCTGTTGTGGGCGAGGCCCGCCGCGAAGTCAACGACGCCCGCGAGCTTCTGGTAGCCCGGATCGTATCCTAGCTCCTCGAAATCGTAATCAAACTCCCCGTCTCCGTACGCGATGCCGATGTTGATGTGTCGCAGGGTGCTGCTCTTCGACAGGTCGGCGATGTTGATGGTGGTGTTCGTCGGGAATCTGGCGTCGACCATTTCAAAGACCTCGAGCCTGCTGCTTGCGACCGCACGTGCGAGCTTGGCGAACGTGTCGGCCGTCACGTACACGAAATCGAGCTCGATCTTGCGGAGGGTGGTGTTGCCCGACAGCGCCTCGGCGATGTGGGTGTACCCCGGGGACGGACCCTTGTCGATACCGTCGAGGTTTTTGCTGTCGTGCCTCAGCAGGACCTCGCGGAGCGTGGTGCTACTTGCCAGCATCGAGGCGATGGCCCGGAGTCCGTCGTTCCCAGTGCTGTCCTTGCGCAGGCTCGGGAGCTCCAGGCGCTCAAGCGGCAGCGCGGGGTGGCTGGTTATGGCCGCGCACAGCTCCTCCACGGCGCCGGGACCAATGCCGCTCGAACTCAGCTTGAGGGCGCAGAGGCTCGTGGTCGACTGGACGACAGGCGCGACTGTTCGTGTGATCTCCGCCGCGCAGGACTCCAGGTGAGCGAGACTCGCCGCGCTGGCGAGCAGCTTGCGCCGCCACTCCTCGGATATGTGGCTGAACCGAATGTCCAGGGTGTCGAGTGCGCCGCCTTGCGTGCGAACGAACTCCTCCGCAAACGCGTCGCCGTGTACCGTGCCCTCAATCACCAACTTCTTGATCGTCCTCGTCTCGAGCACCGCCTTTGCCACGATCTGGACGCCGCCCTTGGCTAGACCTGTGTTTGAAACGTCGAGCTCACGGAGTCTCGTCGACGTCTTGACGGTCTTCGCGAGGGCACGTGCCGCCGTCAGATCCAGCTTGTTGCCGCGCAGGTTGAGGGTCTCCAGCGAACGACACGTCGACAAGGAGCCCAGGACCTCCGCAGCCGTGGTTGCATCCATCTCGATATGTGACATATCGATGAGGAGGGCGTTCTCGCGCACTGCCAGGGTGCCGAGCACGCGGCGCAGCGATGACGCTCGCTCCTGGAGCGGGAGGACCTTGGGAGGCAAATACTCCCCGCCCGTATCGCTGCTGAGTATCTGCGGCACCGCGAACCTCGTCACGCGCAGCCGCGTCGCTCCTGGCCTCTCGGACGCCTCCAGCACCGCAGCCAGCTCCCGCACGTCGTGTTTCAGCGGCGACGCCGTGTCGACCCCCGCCGCGACGATTGCGCCTAGCAGCGCTGCCGCGTCCTTCACCGGCACGCGCGCGCCGGCGTACTCCAGCTCGCCGGCGTACTGCGACCCGGCCTTGACCTCACGAGCCAGCCCCTGCAGGAGTGCGATGCTGAGCGGAGCTGACTCAGAGCCACTGTCCGCGGCCCACGGATCGCGCTCGCTGCTGCCCAGCCTGAACACTGGGACGGTGCGCTGCTCGCGCGTGAGGTCGAGGTTATAGAAGACGTGGGTGCGATTCCAGGAGACGTGCCGCGTCCACTCGCACTCGCCCTCCTCGGTGCGCCGCCCGTGTTGCAGCACAGCGAGGAGGGCGGGCCAGCAGGTGCACGCCACGCTGTATGCGGACCCGGACGGCACGGAATCGAGTATTTGAGGGACGTGGCGGAGGACCTCGGTGAAGAGCGGCGCGGAAGGATCCTGCGGAGACAGCGAAACAGAGAGCAGGGGCTTTCAACCAGGCTGCCGCTCACCACGGGTGCGGCGGCGCGACACCGGCTGCGTGCTCTGCCTCGTCGGACACACGACGATATCGTTCGAGCGCCTCGAGGCACGACACGCCAATCGCGGCGCCCCCGAGCCCGCAACCAACGCGCGCCCTGTTGAAGCAACCCCAAAAACGTGCCGCATCGCCTCGCACGCGGTGCCAAGCGCTCCAGCGTCCACGCGGCCGTAGATCACGCCATGCGGCGCCACGTGACCGCGCCTCGCGCGACGCATCCAGCCCCAGCGCGTCGGGATCAACGTGTGCCGGGGTCTCACCTTCCCGCCCGAGCGCCCTGCGTCGGGTAGCGGCATCTTGGTCGTGGTGTGGCGTGCGTGACGGCAGCGGCGTGTCTGACGCTCCCACCGCTCGTCTCGCGCGTACGTGCCCCCTGCAGACGTGTGCGCACCCGGCAGGGGCATCTGGGGGAGTCGAGTCGTGCGACCGGGAGCGGGCTCAACGCCGCTCGATCGCGTCGCGGCTGGACAGCGCGTGCAGGCGGCGAGAGCGCCGACCTGCCCGTCGCGCGGGCCGGGCGGTGGAGCCGGCACGAGTCTCGCTAAGCGCGCAACGGTGCAGGGAGGTCGCCCAAGGACTCGGCGAGGAGCCGGGTGATCAGTTCGGTGATCTCTAGAATGTCTGACCGATGCCTCGAGAAGTTGGTTCGCACCGAAACAGCCAGACAGCGCAACGCGAAGGACGTGATGTGCTCAGCAGCTGGCTAGTTGGCGAAAGCTCCGTGAGGATGCCATCAAACGCGAGTTTGGGTCGCCACATCGTCGTGCATATTCTCGCAAATGCCGTCGAGAGTCAAGAAGAGTATCCATAGCGACTCGTATGCGCGGAAAACGAACCGATTGAAGTCGTAGCAGCGAACAGTCGGAAGCGCACCTTGGTCCGAGGAAGGTTTGCGAGAGGCTGTCGTGGCTTGCGACGCCAAGCTTCAGCCCAGCTCTTCAGAACTGGCGTTGCAGCGCACTTGGTGCCCGTCCAGAGAAGGAGGAATTGCGGATAAGAGGCAGTTGATCAACTGCACCTCACGAGGTGCAGACCGCAAAGGCGCAGAGAGGCGTTAGCGCGTGAAGACTCACACGACAGCGCTCCCTCGCCACCCCTCAAGCCGCACTGCCGCCCATGTACTCCTGAGTCAACCAAACAGGGGCCTGATGTCAGCGCAACTGACTCAAAGGACGTGCTCGCCACCAAGCCTGTCAGCTTCGACGCGTTCCGGCGACGAAACCGGCAGGAGATGGAGGTACAGGGCGCCGCGATGGAGATGCTCGAGGGCTGGCCGATCATCCCGGACGCATGAGCGGCAACTTGGGGCGGGGGAGGGGGATCGGTCGTGTGAACCTGCAGGTCTCGCCGCTGCTGTGGGCTCCAGCAGCGCAGCAGATGCAACGCATGCACGGGCGCAGGTGCGCGGTCCTCGGGGAGGCGTTACATGGCCGGCTTGACATGTTCTTGGGCGCTGGGCTGCTGCTGGATTCACAATGACTAGACTCGCTGGGGGCCAGTCGATGCTGGCTGATCAGTGTGACTAGGAGTTGGGGTCATGCTACTGACCGTCCGCTCCGCTTCGCTACGCTCATGGCAGCGCGGACGGTTTGTCAGTCTGCGGCCTGCACGGCGGGGGCAAGCGGCGGCTGCTCAGGGGGTGTCCTGCAGGACGATCCGGGGCGAGGGTCCGTCGACGTGCTTGATGATGTCGTCCCAGCGCCCCGCGGGCAGCAGCCCCCCCAGGTGCAGGCGTTCCAGCGTGGTGTTCTCCCTCAGGGCCTCCACCATCACCTGCTTGACGTCGTCGCTGGTGTGACTGATATCGTGGCCGAGCTCCACGCTGCGCAGCCCGCGGTTGTCCCGCAGCGCCTGTGCCAGCGCATGCACGAAACCCTCGCTGCCCCAATTACTGCAGCAGCCACCGGTAAGCGTCAGGGACCTGAGTGCGGTGTTGGTGCGCAGGGCGTTGGCAAGAGCCTCGAAGGCGTCAGACTCCCGGAAGCCGGTGAAATGACTCAAGGTGAGGATGCGCAGGACGCTGTTTTGAGCGAGGCCCGCCGCGAAGTCAACGACGCCCGCGAGCTTCAGAACCTTCCAGCCCCAATCGGCCGCGTCTTCACTTTCCCATGATGGATCGAGATGAATGTGTCGCAGGGTGCTGCTCTTCGACAGGTCGGCGATGTTGATGGTGGAGTGCGGGGGGAACTTGGCGTAGACCATTATGAAGACCTCAAGCCTGCTGCTTGCGACCGCACGTGCCAGCTTGGCGAACGAGTCGGCCGTCATTCTCGCATTCTCGAGGTTGAACTTGCGGAGGGTGGTGTTGCCCGACAGCGCCTCCGCGATGTGATCGAAGCCCGCGACGTCGCGGTCGCGGAAACCCAGGGCGACCTCGCGGAGCGTGGTGTTACGCATCAGCATCGCGGCGACAGCCCGAGCTCCGTCGTTCCCGACCCCGTCGCTCCAGAGAATCAGGCGCTCCAGCGGCAGCGCGGGGTTGCTGGTGATGGCCTTGCACAGCGCCTCCACGTCGGCCGACTTGAGTAGCAGATCGAGAGTGCGGAGGATCGTGGTCGACTGGACGAGGGACGCAAGTGGCTGCATCACGGGGGTTCCGGGGCTGCTATGCAGGCTGCCCGCTGAGTCAAAGTTGTCAAAGTGAAGGTGAGCAAGTTTCGCTGCATTGGCGAGCAGCTTGCGCCGCCACTCCTCGGACATCCCGCTGTACCCCTGAATGTCCAGGGTGTCCAGTGCGCCGCCTTGCGTGCGAACGAACTCCTCCGCAAACGCGTCGCCGTGTGGCATATTATGAAACACCAACTTCTTGATCGTCCTTGTCTCGAGCACCGCCCTCGCCACGATCCGGACGCCGCCCTTGGGTAGATCTGTTTTTGAGATGTCGAGCTCACGGAGACTCGTCGACGTCTTGACGGTCTTCGCGAGGGCACGTGCCGCCGCCAGACCATCTAGCGTCCCAGGCAGGATGCACATGCGTTGGTACGCCGTCAGACTCAGCGTGTTGCCGCGCAGGTTGAGTGTCTCCAGCGCATGACACGTCGACAAGGAGCCCAGGACCTCCGCAGCCGTAGGTGCATCCATCTTGATACCTGACATATCGATGAGGCGGACGTTCTCGCGCACTGCCAGGGTGCCGAGCACGCGCCGCAGCGACGACGCACGCTCTGAATCCGCACCCCACCTGAACGGCCAGTAGTGCACCTTGAGCCTTGTCACGCGCAGCCGCGTCGCCTCCGGCCTTTCAGAGGCCTCCAGCACCTTTGCTAGCTCCTCCACGTCGTGTTCAAGAAGCGACGCTGCGTCGACACCCGCCGCGACGACCGCGGCCAGCAGCGCCGCCGCGTCCTGCACCCGCACGCGCGCGCCGGCGTACTCGAGCTCGCCGGCGTACTCCGACCCGGCCTCGACCTTGCGAGCCAGCCCTTGCAGGAGTGCGATGCTGAGCGGATTTGAGTCACCATCCGCGGGCCACGAACTGTGCTTGCTGCTCAGCCTCAGCACTGGAACGGTGAGCCGCTTGGACGTGAGGTCGAGCTTGTATTCGCCGTCGCGACGCACGGAGAAGTCCCGCGTCCACTCGCACTCGCCCTCTTCGGTGCACCGCCGCCCGTGTTGTTGCAGTACAGCGAGGAGGGCGGGCCAGCACGTGCACGCCACGCTGTACGCGGACTCGGACGGTACGAGATTCAGTATGTCAGGGACGTGGCGGAGGACCTCGGTGAAGAGCTGAGCGGAAGGATCCTGCGGAGACAGCGAAACAGAGAGCGGGGGCTTTCAACCAGGCTGCCTGCCGCTCACCACGGGCGCGGCGGCGCGACACCGGCTGCGTGCTCTGCCTCGTCGGACACACGACGATATCGTTCGAGCGCCTCGAGGCACGACACGCCAATCGCGGCGCCCCCGAGCCCGCAATCAACGCGCGCCCCGTTGAAGCAACCCCAAAAACATGCCGCATCGCCTCGCACGCGGTGCCAAGCGCTCCAGCGTCCACGCGGCCGTAGATCACGCCATGCGGCGCCACGTGACCGCGCCTCGCGCGACGCATCCAGCCCCAGCGCGTCGGGATCAACGTGTGCCGGGGTCTCACCTTCCCGCCCGAGCGCCCTGCGTCGGGTAGCGGCATCTTGGTCGTGGTGTGGCGTGCGTGACGGCAGCGGCGTGTCTGACGCTCCCACCGCTCGTCTCGCGCGTATGTGCCCCCTGCAAACGTGTGCGCACCCGGCAGCGGCATCTGGGGGAGTCGAGTCGTGCGACCGGGAGCGGGCTCAACGCCGCTCGATCGCGTCGCGGCTGGACAGCGCGTGCAGGCGGCGAGAGCGCCGACCTGCCCGTCGCGCGGGCCGGGCGCGGGCGGTGGAGCCGGCACGAGCGCGCCACGGCGCGCTAGGCTACCTGCTCAAGGCAGTTGACGGAGCCACAACAAGCCCGGTTTCAGGACCAAGCGAGAATCTCGGCATCGCAAGAGGCCAGCGACCTCAAGGAACGGGCAGGGCGTCCCCCGCAAGTCCAAACCTTGCCTCACTTAATGGGCTTGCAAGTGCCCGCGTGGCAGATTCTGACGAGTTTCGAGCGACACGGGGGCCGATGCAGCCTCTCTTCAACTTTGAGTGCACTCTCAGCGCGACACATCATGCAAACAGCGATGCGTTCGGCTGGCCAGAAGGCCTGCTGTGCAAGGCTTTCAAAGGCCTCAATTCCGCGTCATTTCGCGGTACCGCGACGCTACAAGACGGTGTACGATCCATAAAAGCCGTAGATGGTGAAACTAGGACCATCACGCGTCCATAATGGCTCGGGCAAGCAAACCGACAGAATCGTGGCAAACGAACCGATAGGGACGGTTCTCACCTTCGCGCGAGGCTTTGAAGGGTAGAGGGGGCCGCGCTTGTGACGTTTCAACCAGTTCCTGCAGGAACAGCGTGAATAGGTCCTCGTGCCCTTCCTGCGCAGGGCAGCAAGTAGCAAAGCAAGCTACCGCTCCCAAACGCGAGAACAGCGCGTGTGACGCACTGCTCTCCGATGACGACAGCGTCCGTATCTGACGTCAGCAGAGTTACAATTGGAGCTCCCACGCGTCCAACATGAGCGCACGGCCCGGCCACCAAGGCCTGACAACAGTTACCAGACTCCGCAGCATCATGCTGTCGCACAGCCGTGCATGCGCCGTGGCTCCGCGGGGAAGACAGGGTCACACGCGCGCTGACGAGGCACACTCGCGCGTTGACCATGCAGATTCGCGCGTTGATCAAACTCCGTCGCGAAACAAGGCCGTGTGACCTCCGGACAGAGGCGCGCACTGGCATAGTGCGTGAGCCTCGTCGGTGAGCCTCTCTCGGATTTTTGACATCTCTGATGAGCAAGGTCGCGTTTCTGTCGCCACCTGTCTGGTCCGCGGTCACCTCGGCCGCCTGCGGGCGGCAAGTTGCCCTCCTGCAGACTATGTGCACGACCGCGATCCTTGAGCGGCGCTCGCGCAGACAGGCTGCGCCCAAAAAGATCTCGTCGCTTCGAGGTATGCCATGATTGGTCGATCCAGGCGCGGGAGGCGTGGAGCGGTGAGTGCTTCTGCACCTATCACTTGCAAGCTCAGCTTAGCTTGCGAGACTCGCTCACTTACGAAGCTCTGCCCACGTCGTGCTCCCAGTCGCAGGATGTACCGTCGTCTTCGCCGTCTGACTGCGATGACGACCGTGGCGGTGGCAACAACAACAACAACGCCACGACGGCGCCGAGCTAGAGAACGACGAGGTGACGCTGGACGGGGAGAGAATGCCGTGATATGTGCCGTTCCTGCACATGCCGCGCGACCACCCTCGAGCTGCACCTTCTCTCCGTCGAGCGTCACCTCGTCGTACGCAGGCTCGGCGCTGCCGTCGTCCTGACCGAGGTCTGTGCAGTCCCCATCGCCGCCGCCGTCGCCGCCCATGCCTCCACCAACCACATCGCCACCACCGCCGCTGGATAAGGCGTCGCGCGCGAACAGGTCCGGGTTGGAGCCTAGCATCACGTTGACGCCGCATTCCGGAATGAACTTCAATCCGAAATGCGGCGTGAACGTGCTGTTCGGTTCGAACCCGGACCTGTTCGCGCGGGACGCCTCACCAGTCAGGCGTCAGGGCATCAGGGCCCCAGGGCAGCCGGGCCCTCCCCCACATCCGGCGTCCAGCACGAGCGCGCTAGCCAGTTTGCGCCCACCCACACACCACCCTGTTTGCGTTACGACGTGACCGCTGACCCCAACTCCTAGTCACACTGATCGGCCAGCTTCATGCTGGCCCCCAGCGAGTCTAGTCATTGTGAATCCAGCAGCAGCCCAGCGCCCAAGAATCATTTCATTGTGACACCTCATTTCTCAGACCAGGACGTGGTGGGGCACGGGCTGCGGATGGCCTCATCTACCAACCGGCCATCCACCCCTCCTCGAACACGCTGTGGCGACGAGGTGCGTGACCCATCCACAAAGGCCAAAGCCTCCGGGTGGTTAACCTGGAAGTCCCCACGAAAAAAATCCTTCGCGAGCTGGAAGATCTGCGAATCCGCACCCGGCCAAGAATGAGAGGACCCATCGCGGTGTGAATGACGCAGACGTTGTCACCCGGCACCCACGGGTCGCGCCTCGGCTGCCGCATGGAACACAAGTGCTTGCAAGCAATTGCTTGGTACATCGACGCACCTTTAGACCGCCCAACCTTTGCCTTCTTTTCTGCGGATCCGCAGATTTGATCTCCGCGGCATCGTAGGATTTCCCGTTTTCTCGCTGCTCGCGCGCCCAAGCGTAGTACTCAGTGTAGTCGCGGAGTTTCCGCGTGCACTCTCCCGTTGTCGTGTTTCCGGTGAAGCAGCCTGCGGTGGAGCAGGCGGGATCGGAGACGCGACACGTCGCGGCCAGGGCACGCAGCAGCAACATGACAGCGGTGCGCCCCGGTCTCTGGGTGTGGTGAGTTCCAAGGGTCGGTCGCGCGTAGCAGGTGCCGTCGAGACGAGTTGAATCAGTTCGCGCTGTGAAATGCGACAGCGGTCTGTATTGGCGGCGGGGCGCACCACTCAGCGCATCCAAATCCATTCCGCTCATGTTGTATCCCATGAAAGTTGTCTGTGTGGCCAAAACAGCAGCCGCGCGCCGCTCCAGGGTCTTGATGATGTCGGCGTGCTGTTTCCTGAGTGTTGTCGCGTGAGGGCCGCCCCTGAGACCGCGCGCTGCAAGGGCTGGGATTCTACCGGTGGAGCGCTCTTGCCTCGAGGCGGGCTGGCAGCGCCGTCATCACGTGCAGCAGGCCAGTGGGAGGGAGGCGTACGTCTGCTCAAGGAGCGTAAAACCTCACGCGTGTCCGTGTCCGACGACAGAGCCGCCGCCCCGTAAATCCACTCGGGGAGCACGGCGCCCCATTGCACGATGCCAGGACGATTGGCGAGAAGTTCCAAAGCAGCGACTTTCTGACGAAATTCGCGCCTGTATCGACCGCATCGCAGCTCGCCGGCCTTCAGCAGGAACTCGGCGCCAAGGAGCCGCGCGGACGCGAGGTGCTCTGGGTCCGCAATCTCACCGGGGGGGAGCGGCGGCAGCTTCTCGAGTCTGGCGAGGAAGCCGAACTTGTCAGGAGTGCCCTCGAGCCACGCTTTATGCAACGGCGGAAGCTCGGGGTGAGCATCAGCGTCGTTGTCCCCAGCCCGGTCCCCGACGGTGCCCTGCGAGGGTGCAGATTTTAACTCCACTACAACGTGTCGAGGGGACATGCAAACAGACTGCTCGAGGACGGAAGCCGTGCGAGGAGGCGCGGCCTGACCTGCTCGGATCTTGCGGCCTGGTCGAGCTCCATGTTTTGTTGCGAGTCAATTTGTGCTGCAGCGATCTCTCCTGCCGCGGGCTGAAGCCCCTGAAGGCGGCGCGATCTCCGGAGCTCCTGTGGGCCGCGGATCTTGGCCTTCTGCGCACGCGGGACAGGAACGCCGAGATTGGGACTGCGGGGTGTGTAGAGTGTCTCGTTCAGCATGCATGTCGTGTCGAAGTACATCGCGAGTTTGGGCGCAGACGGCCATGTCGTCATCGATGCCTGCGGATTCAGGGCGCCGTCGTCGGGCTTGGTGAGACATGTGTTCACCGCGGTTGCGCGAGTACCTTGCGTGCCCCCCCTGCCTTCCTGGGTGGAGCCTTGGTTTCTTTGCCCATCAAGTTCTGGGCGAGGTCAATCAGGCCCATCGACTCCATCTTAGCCCTGATCTCCCTGATGCGCTTCTCGCGCAGAAGCTCGAGCGCTGCGGCGATGCAAAAGACGGAGGAGTGTGTGCGACGCGCCGTCAGGGGCCGTGGGCGAACGTGGGCGGGGGTTCCGGCCTCTGCCCGCACCAGCGGCCGGCCGAGGGACCGCCTCGAGACTGTGAGTCGCAGTCTCTCCCAGACAGAGGAGCCTGCCCTGGGGACCGGCATCGTACGGTGCGGGCGGGCGCCCATCGGCCGGTGCAGGTGCAGCCGGCGATCGTTCGATGCGAGAAGCTTGTCGCACAACTGCACCTGGTCTTTGCATTTCCTCGGCGTCACTCATCCGGTGCCACGGAGCTTTCGCGCGGCCTCAAAGCAAGTGGTGCACCTGCAGCCGCATCGTATCTGTTCCCAGCAGGTGAGCGCGCATCGAAACGCCAGACATCGTCCTCGATGTCCGGGAATGTCATCAAGGGACATCACTGCTTCACCGAATGTCCGCAACGGCCATGGCGACCGAACTGGTAGAACATCATCTTGGCTGCCCGCGCGTCCACGCACGCGCGCCGCGGCCGGCGCGAGGAGCCGGCGTTGCGCAGCTGCGACAATCTCGTGCCGGCGGGACCGATGAGCGATGGCACGCCCGAGCGCGACGGCGGGAGGGCTCTCGTTGCAGGTCGCCTCGGCGGCAGGATCGCAGCCGATCGCGCGGCGCGCTGGCGGTCCAGCGCGCGCGTGGATGGGCACGGCAGGAAGGTGCGCGCACAGGTGGACGTCGGAGGGCTGTGCGCGTGGGCCGACGGGCCGGGGGGGCGCGATCGCGGCTTGAAAATGCGCCTCGTGCCCTAGCTGCCTCTAGGCAGCACGCGCGCGGATGATCCGGCGCGCGGCGTGGCCGATCGCGCGGCGCTGGCGGTCTGGCACGAGCACGGAATGCCGGAGAACAGTGCGCGAGGGTCTGCGGGGCCGCGATGCCTGCGCCGCGGGGGCCTGCTGCACGAGTTGCTCACCTGGTGCTCTTCTGCCGCGTTGCGACGACGGGATGCACGCGGCACGTCTGCGTCGTGCCGAACACCGTCGGGATGGAGTCTGCCCGGCGGCAGCCCCCCCGCGCCGCAACGTAGCGCGTCCGATCCTCGAGCAGGGGGGGAGGTTCGCTGGCGTTTGAGGTCGACAGCGGGCGATGTGACCCGGCGGGCCGCGGGAGGCGCGCGCGCGGCGCGGAGGCCGCGCCGCGCCTGGGCCGACGGACCAGGGTCGGGCGCCGCCTTGTCGACGCGTCGTCCGCCGCGACGAAAGCCGAGGACGCGGTTCGACGCGAATGTTTCTGCGCCCGTTGTTGACGTGGTGCGGGGCGCTCGTCTCGTCGCGCGGGGCGCCACGCGCCCTCCCGCCGTGCGCCTACGGAGCGATCAACATGCCGCGGTGGTTCAGGCGCCCTCGCACCGTTCGTCCCGCGCGCAGCTCCTGCGAACAGCGTCCACGGCACAGCGCGCAACGTTTCGTCTCCGGATGTCCAGGGGGCGCGGCGCGCAGGTCCCGCCCGACGTCGTGCGCGGCTCACCTGCGGATCGTTCTCCTCGCGGACCGGCTCCGGTGTCCCCACGCCGTCCGCGCACGGCCCCGACGCCTGCGGCCCCGACGTCGCGCGCGCCGCTCGCCCGCCTCGCTGGCCTCTCCACCGCCTGGGCGGCCGTTGCGCCGTGTTGGTGTCGGGACGAAGCAGCGTGCATGCGAGCTCCGGAGCGCTTCAGCTCACCCCCCGCCTCCCGGTCGTCTTCGCCGCGTGGCAACCTGGCAGAGAGCAACCTGATGAACAACAGGGGGGAGCTGTGCTCGGCGCCGCGACGAGAGAGAGCTCCGCGAGGTCCTGGACGTGCTTGCGTCGTGGGCGTCCGCCGCTGGAAGGTCGCGGTGGGTCGTGCAATGCAAGCACACACGACCAGCGCAGCCAAGAGGCGCGCGGGCGCCCTCGTCGGCACGGCTCGCGGTGGTCGCACATGCATCTCGATCAGAGTCATCTGCCGGAGCTCGCGGCTGCTCCAACGCGCACCAGGCGTTGCGCTGAAGCGCCTGGCGCCGACGGCATGACCACGGCGACGACTGCGGCCGAGCACCGCGCGGGCCCGGTTCCTCGTGTCGCGGCGCGGATGCGTGGCCTTGCACGAGGTCCGGCGCCACGCACGTCGCTGCCCGGGCCCGATGCGGCGCGAGGGGGCAGCAGTGTGCAGTGCTGGACACTGTGCACGCGCCCCTGCGCCGCCGGGGGGGTTCTGGCTGGCGGTGTCGGCGCCGCGTCGTCGACTCGCGAGCGTAAACCGCTCTCGCAGCGGCGCAGAGGGGCCGCTCGCGCGCGGGCGGGCGCGGGCAGGGCGGGCAGGGGGCATGGTGCACCTTGTCCGCGGCGGCGCGGTGCGGCACGGGACCGCTTGTGACGCCGCGGACCAGCACCGGTCGGGGATGACCCGAGTGCGCCATCACATGCGCTAGGAAACGGGCGCGGCACGGCGCGCCGTGCGGGGCTGCGGCCCCTCGGTGCTGGCCGCGGGCCGCTTCTCCGCGCGGCGCGGCCCGCGGTCCGTCTCCTATGCGCGCCTAAGCGGCTCCACCGAGATCGGGGCGTGGCGCGGCCAGCCGGGGCCCTACGAGGCCCGGCGGAGGGACCGCTTCCCGGGAAAGACTGTCTGCGACCATTGTCGGGGGGTGTGCTATGCGGGGTGGGTCGGCCCAAAGTCGCTACTATGGGTCGGTGCCTGGGGGGTGGTCAAAAGTTGGCGACACCAGCCGGGGTGGGTGCATGGGTGGGCGGGTGGTCCAGTGCAACAGTATGACGCTGCTGTCACTGTTCAGGCCTTGGTGGCCGAGCTGCGCGCTCGTGTCGGGGGCGTGCGCGCTCCAACTGTGACTCTACTGGCTTGCGGTACAGGCTCTGCATCATCCGCGGGGCCCAGCTCGGGTCCCAGTGCTTACATAAAGTCATTGAAGGTCATGCAAACAAGCAAACCTCGGCAGACACGGGGGGTCACGTGGGGCAAGTATTTTCGACTTATGTCAAGCGCGCTCCGCCGCGGGGGGTGTCCCCTGGCAGACCACAGGATCAATCGCGAGACGGTGTTGCAGGTCGAGAGCATGGAGCACAACAGCCGGCAGGTCTGTCGCAAGGAGGAGTGCAGGAGTGCCCGTGGCGCGCGCCGACAAGGCGCCCGCGCGGCGCGTCGGCGTGCAACACGCTTCGAGCGATGATCACTGGAGCCCCATGCGCCGTCGCCGTCCCGTCATGCGCCGCGCGTGGATGCGCTCTGGAGTGCGCTTGCGGATGCGATTTTGCTGGGATCTCCCGCGCAGACCTGAGCTCGACGCTGTGACGTGGAAGCTCTGATGATCGCGGTGCACTTCCGCAGATCACTCCTGAAGTTCTCCGAGCCTTTCGTTGCGTGGCACAGGCTGGTGGCAGCAGAAAGACAACGATGCGCCCTCGCCCAAGTTGAGTGCACGGGGAGGACGCAGGAATCAAGTCCGGGCATCGCACCAGGCAGAAAGGCGTCCCATGCGCCGGTATTCGGAATTCGCCCTGCACGGCCAGCCTTTCTTCGCCGCAAGGGTACCAGCGTGCACCTCGCTGCAAGGTGCGGTGCGTACTCGGGCTCTTCTTCCGGAATGCTCGTCAGCCTTGATGTGGAACGAGGACGCCTCCGTGTTGTGCGCAACTTTGCAGAAGGTTCCCACGAGCGGTGGTTCGCGGGCTGCGCTGAACGAGGCAGCGCATGAGGCAGGCACGTCCGCTGCATCCGCGAGGCTGCCAGGAGCTCGCCCGGAAGGCCAGCTTGTGGGATTCTTCGCCGAGAGGCGGGTCGCGTTCGGGGGACCCTTGGGACGGCGCTCCGCGTGCCGCGTTCGTCCGCGGAGCTCCCTTGCAGGCAACACGGCGCGTTCCGGAGCAACGCGCCATCGGATAAGCCTTATTTTCGCTCCGCAAGTATGCAGATGCAATGCACGTCTGGCGGAGCACATTGACTCGAATGTCTGCCGAGAAGCACCTGACTACTCCAAGCTCCTCAGCTGCTTGAAGACACGGCCGAAGGTGCGCCCTTCGCTCACGCGAACGTCGCCTTGCGATCCCTCGCAGACCCCCTCTCTGCCTGCAAGGTTTCAAGCGAAACGCCGCCTGTTCCGTCGTCGTTGATTTCGCAGATGAACGCACCCCATGTGGCCTTTCGGAACGTGGGCGCAGGCGACTGCGATCGTGGCTCGGCGCGAAACCGTGTCGACCTTGCTGCGCCAGCAACGCGGGACGGCGTCGGAGATCGCCGGGGCGGCGCGGACCGAGCTTGCGTCTGCGGACCTGGGCCTACAAGGCCACGAGTGCAGCCGCGTGCGGTGCGAGACAACGAACGCGCATCTTGCATGGCCTGCCGTGAGCCGACACGCCGGCGCTCGTGATGACAGGGACGATGCGTGATGTGTGCGCGGCTGTCGACTTCGTGCAGGTGTCGCGGTGCCGCCGGAGGTGCCGCTGCCGCCTTGTCGGAGCAGCTGCCACGGCGACGACCGCGGCCGCTGGAGCGCGAGCGAGACTGCTTCGCGGCCAGCAAGCAGCGTTGGCTAATGCGCCCTGGGTGGTCTGGCATCCTTCGGGAAGGACGGCGACCCACGTTTCGTCGCGACGGCCGCTGACGCGCACGGCGAGCAGCTTCACGATGTTGCCTTTCTGTGGCGACCAGAGGCTACGCGGAGGTTCTTTTTTGGACACATCAAACACACGATTCGCGCTGGTCGTTGAGGTTGGGATGCTCTGATTTCCTGCGGGTGCGTGTGAGGCTGCGCCTCTGGCCATTGCTGGCGACATTCCGAGCAAAGTCCAGGCGGCGTTTCAGCTCCGCTTCGCCTGCTGCATCTGCTGATGCGCGTAGCCGGCCTGCCGACGCAGTCCTCGTCGTGGCGGGCCTGCGCTCGAACGAGACCTGCTGGAGCAGGCTCGCGAAGGCACCGCGGCGACCTGTGTGTTTTGCTGGCACAACGCATGAGTTGGGGCTGCTCCTGCTTCGGACCCTGGTACTTGTCTCTATCTCCGCTCATCTTTCGCTTGATCGCAGTCGTTCACTGCGTCTGGTATTTTCGGTGGCCCGTAGTCGCGCGATGGGCGATCGAGACGTCGTCGCGCGACGATCGTCTCGAGTCCGCGCGGCGTGCTTCGCGGCTTGCAGGCGAGATGGAGTATTTTACTTATAATATTGGTACCTGCTCGGCATGCGCAGGACGGCAGGATGTCGCCGTGTGACGTGATTGCCCTTGGCGTGCCTGCAGTCGTGCGAAAGTTCCGGCTCGAGAAACCTTGATTGTCTTCCTGGGTGCCATTCGGGAAGGAGGAAGTTGTTGCGAGTGTGCAGAGTGCGCTCGTGCGTCGGATGGACGGGGCGGGTCCTCAGCCGCGTGCGCACGTAGCGAAAGCGGGGCTCTCCCCGGAACGGGCAACTTGCCGCATATTCGAAGCGTGCGTCGTGGCTCACATGCGGGTCCGGTACATGAATCGTTGCTGCTGTTCGAGGCCCCCCGCCTCTCGGGCGGGAGCGGCGTCGGCGCGACAAGGCCCGGTCCGGTACGGGGGTCTTGGCCTGAACGCACCGAGGCTGCGGGTGAAGCTAGCGAGAGGACACTGGGCTCTAGAGCAACACCTTCCACTCGCTGCACGGGTCTTGCGGGATTGATTATGAGATGTGCACGTAGAACGCGGCTAGAAGAGGCGGTTCGCACGTCCGAAAGATGGACAAAATCCACGAGCCGTCGCCCAGACCGCCCCATGACCATCCGTGCAGAAAAACCCCGTGCTCTGTGCGTAAGAAACGTGGCTGCCCACAACTCTTGCGGATCTCTGGCCAATTATGGCCACTCTGGTTGACACGTGCTGTGAATGTTCCCAGGGACACGCTGAGATCGCCTGCGGCCCGGTTTGTGCCGAGCCTGTGCATGTCTGTGCCCGTCTTCCGCACATTGCTTGCTCATTTCACGTTCCTGACATTGGCCGCGCGAAGCTGTCACCGGGTCGGCGCCGCGAACGCGCGGCCAGCGCCAGGAGGCTCCGCCCACGAGATCAAGGATGTCGTGATGGTCCAACACAGTCGGTCACGCCTGTGCGCGCAGCGTGAGGACGTCCTCGATGTCAGCGTCGAGCCCCGCGGCGCGCGATCCTCGCCACGCGTCCCGATCGCCCCGTCGGCCGGCGACCCCGCCCGACGTGCGGGTGAGACGTTCGCAAGGATTGCGTCCAGAACAACACATGCTTACGACGAGAATGCCTGAAAAACTTTCCGCGGACGAACGAGCGCACTGACGATCGTAGGAAACGATCGAGAGAGGGCGATCGAGGGAAGGCGACAGCGCCTGCTGCTTCTGTCGCACGCCGGTCACCTTCGTTCGCCGCTGATGGTTCGCCGAGGTCTTCTGCAGCGCTCGCGCTCGTTCCGCGGCTCTACCAGCACAGGTGCGATGTGCATCGTCCATGCGACTGCTGCACGTCACGTTCTTGCACCGCAGCAACATGGGGCCGTGAACGTCTCACAACACCAACGGCAACGGCAACGGCGACCGCCGCACGCGCTCTCAAACGCATCGTGGGTCGCACGGCAGCACCGCCCAGCCGCACTCCCCGAAGCTGACGCCCAGGGCGCGCGCGAGCGGCACGGGGACCGCGTTGCCGACCTGGCGGTGCCGCTCCGTGAGGGTGCCGTGGAAGCGGAACCCGTCCGGGAAGCCCTGCAGCCGCGCGCACTCCCGAACGGTCACGTAGCGGTCCTCCTCGTAATGCAGCGCCCGGCAGACGGTCGCCGACACCCGCGGGTCCGTGGTGATGGTCTGCGCGGGCTGGTCGGGCAGCAGCCGCTTGGACCGCGCGCCCCCGTCGTCGGCCAGCGCGACGGCCGCGAGCTCCGCGAGGGGGCTCGGCCGCTGCACGTCTCTCTTCCTCCTCTTCTTGCTGCGGGCCTGGCATGATGCGTCTCCGAACAGCTCGGCGTGCTGGCGGTCCGGCAGCGGCCGCGACGCGTGGTCGTGGACCCGCTCGCCGCACCCTCGCCGCACGCCCTTCTGGAAGTCGTTCTGCGGCGGCCCCGCGTACGGCGCGGCCTCCCCCCCCGGGTCGCTGCATCCACGGAGGTCTCCGATCGCGTCGCGCACCGTGACGGCCGCGCGGAGCCCCGCGGCAGCGGGGGGCAGGGCGCGGCACGCGACGGCGGGCCTGGTCGGGAACAGTGTGAGCTCGGCGTCGGCGTACGCGTGCGTCGGCGCGGGCCAAGCCGGGAGGCGCGCGCGGCCGCTCAGGGCGCCGATGACGACCAGCCTCTTGCGGCTCTGCGGCGTGCCGTAGGCGCACGCGTCGAGCACGCCGAAGCGGACCTGGTACCCGAGCTCGAGGAGGCAGCGGAGCACCCTGCCCAGCGTGGAGCCGCCGTCCAAGCCCTCGTGCGTCGCCAGGTTGCGCACGTTCTCCAGCAGGACGAACGGCGGCAGGTACGCCTCGCACAGCGACAGGAACGTGGTCGTCACCGCGTTGTTGCCCATCGCCTGCGCGGCCCCGCGGTGGCGGTTCAGCCCCGAGAACCCCTGGCAGGGGGGTCCACCGCAGATCAGGGCGACCTCGCCCCGCGCGGGGAGGACGTCCTGCGGCGCAACGCCGCCGCCGCCGCCGCCGCTGGCACCGTCGCCGTGGCCGCCGGCGCCGCCGGCCGCGACGCGCCGCAGGACGTCCTCGCAGCGCTCCTCAAACACCACCGCGGCGGGGTGGTTGGTGCGGAACGCGGCGGCCGCGGCCGCGTCGCTCTCGACCGCCCACCGCACCGAGACCGCCCCCGACGCTGTGAGGCCCGTCGAAAGCCCCCCGGCGCCGGAGCACACGTCCATCGCCCGCAGCCGGGCTCCCATCGCCTGGTTGTTGCCGGTGTCGTCCGAGGCGGCGATCGCGGCGTCGCGGGCCGCGGCGTCGCCGAACGCTGCGCCCGAGGGCAGCGGTTCGCCGAAGCGCATGGCTTCCCGCGCCGGGAGATCGCGAAAGACCCCCTGCGCGGCGACGTACCTGAAGCGCAGCCTCATGGTCAGCCGGCTACGCTTCCGGGCGTGCCTGCGCTTGCTCCGTCGCCCGGAGGCCGGCATCCAGTCCGGAAACTCGTCGAAGTTCAGCACCGTCGCGCCGTCGTCCTGCAGGCGTGGCGAGGTTGTGGAAATGTCGATGTTGCGCTGCATGCAGATGGACGCGTTTGCTGTCGTGTCGTGGTCGCTGCCGTTTCGTACAGAGCACCGCGACAGGAGCAGCGCCGGCCGAGCGAGGCCGCGGACAGCGCGCGCTCTCCGCAGCTCGCTGGGGGGAGGGTGCCAAAAGTACAAGCAGGGAGGGCGCGGGCAACCCACCAGGCAGACGGTCACGAGTTCCTGCGCCAGGAACAACTCGTCACGCGCGGCCTCGCAACCCAGGACCGTGGCTTTGCCCTCGACGAGCGCCCACAGCCGTGCCATCCTGCGACCCCCGGGGGTGCTCCACAGGCGCTGCACGACGCCCCTGACGCACCCCTCGCCGTCTGGCGTGCGACAGCGCACCGCTGAGCCGCACTGCGGTGTCTTGCGCTTCCACCGCCGCGGCCGCGGCCCCGGCGGGGCGTTGACGTTCCGTGCCGCCGCGGGAGGGGCGCCCGTCGACGTCGTGGTCCCCTCCGCCGCCGGTGCGTGCGTCGTGGAGACGCGATCCTCCATCGGCGCGACCTCGATCCGCTCCATGAGCCCGACGTGGCCGTCGAAAACGTTGTACACGACGGGGGTCGCCGGATGCCGCGCGCCGACGCGCACCGACGCCGGCAGGCGGACGCGCGGGAGGTCGGGAGACACTCCCAGCTCCTTCGCAAGCTCGGCGAGCTGCCGCAGCAGAGCGCACCCGCCGCTCAGGCCGGGCTGCGTGGCCGGCTTGAACACCGCGCGCACGAGCGGCTCGTGACGCGCGAGATACCGCGACGCCGCGGCGTCGTCGCCAGGCACGTGCAGGAGCGACCCCCGAGGCTGCTGGCGCACGAATCTCGCGGCGTCGAGCAGCGAGAACGAGTCACCGCGGTCCAGGCGGAGCACGTGCCGCAGGAGGGCGCGTGCGACGCGGATGGGCGCGTCGAACCCGGCGCTCGACGGAGCCGGGATGACCGTGATGTCCGGCTTGGTCGTCGACGCCTGCAGCATGCGCGTCAGCGTGCTGCCCTGCGTCCCCAGGCGCCGCGCGGCGCGGCTGGGCCCCCCGCTGCGCCCCGCCCTCCCCGCGCGAAAGAAGGGCTTGCCGCAGCCGGTGCAGTGGTCCTCCTTGATCGGGCTGAAGGCCACGCACCCGTGGTGCGGACACGGCCTGACGGGGAGCTGCGCGGGAGGGACGCGAGGGAGCGGGGACCCTGTGTCACAGGCACACATCGCAGCTCTGCGAGAAAACCCGCGGGGACCGGCGCGTGCCGGGGGCGGAGAGGCGTCCACGCTGCATGCGTGTGTGATCAGACTCGACACTCTGTGTATTCAATGCGCGCGCAGGCGGCGCGCCGGGTCGCTGCGGCGGCAGGTGGGACCCGCGGTGCCGGAGCGCGGCCTCGACGCGCGGGAGTTGGCCCGGACCTCCGCATGCGACAATCACGACGTCTCTCCAGCGCGTCGGGTCCCGCAGAGGGCGCCCCGCGCTGGAGAGACGTCCGTCAACGCGCTTGGAGTGCAACCGCACGCCTTGTCGGCGCACGCTGGGCGACTGCCGCGGGGACGTGCCTTGCCGGCCTTGACCGAGGGCTTCTTGCGTATGTCCCGTGGTGGTGCCAGCGCGGCGGGGGTCATCGCGACGTCGCGGCCGCGCAGGCGCATGACCGCTGCAGTCCCTCCACCTCTCGACGGTCGGTGCCCGCCGCGTGCGGTCGGTGGCGACGGACGGCCTGCCGAGGGAGGTGACTAGCGTGGTCTTCCGCGAGAAGCGGAAAGAGCGTCCAGGTGGCGTCCGAGGCAGCGCCCAGGTCTCGCGCGCGCTGCGACAAGGCACTCGCTGGGACGCGACCGCCTTCGCCTCCCCTCGTCGTCGAAGACGCAGTACTCGTCGCGGCTCTCGGAGCAGTGCGGCACTGTGGTCTGCGCCCCGTCGGTCGGTCGGGGCTCCATCATGCCTCTGGAGGGCTGACCAGCCCCGGACGGTCCGGCCGCACCGTGCGGCGTCATTGCGCGGCCGCAGTTGCGAGCGGACCAACACAAGCTCGGGTCCGGAGTCTTTGAGCGCGTGTCGATGCTAGTGGGGTCGCCGCTGAGGCAGGGCCTCAGCCAGCCCCAGGCCTGCAAGGCCCGATGCCTGCCGGAGCGGTCATTGCGCGGCTCCGGTTCCGCGGAGCGCACCATGACCTCGATCTTCTACGGTGAGTCAGGCGTCCCCGGCTGCCTCGCTCGTGGCCGCCAGCGAGCCTGCCGAAGGAGGTGCGCACGGACCGAGTGAGCGAGGCTGGCGAGCCTCAGACACCGCCCCAACGTGCGTCCGCTCGCCACGTGCACGCGCAGGGAACGGAGAGGAGGATGCGCACCTGGGAGGGGCGGATCGCGTGCAGCCCGAGTTGCCGCCCGCGTCGGAGCAGCATGCACCCGGGAGCAACGGGGAGGAGCGGGGCGAGTCGCGGCAGATCGGTGAGTCATGCATTCCTGGTGGCATCGCTCGTGGTCGCCAGAGACTGTGCGCGCGAACCTCCCGCTCTCGCTGGCGCACCCGCATTGACGCATGGAGCAGGCCACCTGCAGCCCTGCACCTGGACGGCCGTCCAGGTGCCTCGTGAGCCGTCTCCGCACCGCAAGAGAGCTTTGTGCGCGCCCGTTTTCGAAGCTGTGGGCAGGGCGAGCCTGCTGAAGTAGATTCGCGAGCTTCCCGAGGGTGCAGGTCATGCGGGCACCGCGGCCGACGCACCGCAAACTGTCCATGACAGCGACGACGAGGGCAGCGTCGCAGGCGATGAGGGCGACGATGAGGGCGGCGCGGACTCGGACAGCGACGTGGAGGGCGGCGCAGACTCGGACGGCGACGTGGAGGGCGACGACTGGGGGCGCGATCGGGACGCTATGTGCGACCCCAACGACGCCGCTCCGTCGACGAGCGGAGGCGAGGGCGTGCAGGGCGCCGCGGAGAAGCCTACCCCGGCTGTCGGCGGGGCTCTCAGGTGGCGGCTCCGGAGCGCCGCGAGGGCCGAGCAGGGGCGCGCAAACGGCGCCGAGCAGAAGCACCGAGAAGTAGTCAGCGAGAGCGGGAAGCGCCTGAAGGCCCGGGGTGCGCTCGCGACGAAGCAGGACCGGCGCAGGAACCCTCAGGGTCACCGCGCCGCCCGGACCGCAAGAGGAAAGAAATGGTGGGAGGTGAACAAGGTCGTAAAGCTCACGGTCGAAGAGCACGCAGGCGTTCCCGTGCAGTGGCTGCTCATTCGATGGGAGGATTACACGAGCAAAAAAGACTCGTGGCAGCCCGTCACGGGGTGCGACTGCACGGGGGCCATTCAGGACCACCTGGACCATCTCAGGGCCACCTTGGGCCGCCCGCTCGTGGACGACAAGATCCGGATGGCTACAGCTCAGGAGATTGCACTCGGGGTCGCCACGGTGAAGGAGGTGACCCGCGGTGGGGTCAAAAAACTTCTCGTCGTGCATTTCCAGCGCACGCGTGCGCAGCACAGGCTGTGATGATCGACAGTGAACTCGGAACTGCCAGGAACTCGCACGCGCCGTGTCTGACGTGCTGCCCTCTCTTCCTCCCAGTGACGCAGCGTCGCGCCTTGCACTCCGCGCGGGGTTGGGAGTGTTTGGCCGCAAGCCGGCTTGTTGATCACTTGTGTGGAACGATCCATCGTTGTCTGCGAGCCTCCGGGAGCCACTGCCCGCCCGCTGCTGCCGGCAGCGACCGCGAACGATCGCAGGTCGTGCAAGGCCCTCCGTCCAGCAAGTTGCGAGCTGAAGCTGCTGCGCATCGAATCGAACCTGGGCGAGACGAAGTCATTCATTGCCACGCCAGACGCGCGTCGACGGCGGGCGCGCGAGACGCAACGCTCACCTGTCAGCGTCCCGCACGCGTCGTCCGCACCCTCGTCGACGACTTGTCGCAGTATGACGCTGCAGAGTCAGGTCTGGATTTTCAGGCCGTGGTGGCTGAGCTGCGGCCTCGTGTCGGGAGCGTGCGCGCTCCAGCTGCGACTCTACGGGCGTGCGGCACAGGCTCTGTGTCATCACCGGGGAGGTGTGGTATCACCTCTGCTCTTACAGCGCAGAAGCACTCCAGGTCAGGTCTCACAGTCCGCATTCCGCGGAGGCGCCACAGTTTACACCGCTACCCGCATCCGTGTGACCGGAAGACCAGGCAGCAGTGGCATGTGACTGGGTTGTTTATCATCAAACAGCCCGATGTCCACGTGGGGATGAAAGCGCGAGGTAGCGCCCAGGTCTCCAAGCACGCGACCGGGGGCTCGAGGGCGCACGGGCGCCAAAGCGAGAGTCGCGCAAACGGGGCGGCGCGGGGCGATGAGCGGGGGTGGCACGTCCTCAACCCGACCTGCTATGTTATCGTTTTGTTGTGGCGCCCGGGGCCCGGGAAGGCCCAGACGGCCCACGGGCGCGGCGCATGCACGCAAGACAGACAGGGTCGGTCGGGCAGGGAGCGCGTCCACCGCATGTACAGGGCATGGACAGCATGTGGAGGGCGGGGGACGCCCTTTGGTGCCGCGTCGCTGCGAAAGACGGCGCATGTGCCTCGTGCCGCGGGACGCCATCAGGCGCCCGCGGCTCCATCGGACTTTGTGGTGCACGATTGCCTGCGACTGCACGCGACGGCCTTGCTAACCGGTCGCGGCGCCGAGACAGCACCAAAAGCACCTGCCGGGCGACAGCGATCGCCGGGTCCCCGCCACTGGGTGACGGTCGGTGCTGCTCCAGAGGCGCGGGGGGGCGCGCGTGGTGCGGATCGTTGTCTTCGCATGCAACGTCAGCCAACGGGGGTGCCGACGTGGGTGGGGGGGCTCGGGCCGCTCCCCCCCTGGGGCCCTCGGCCGGGAAGCGGGTGCTTGCCGGGGCCCCGCCTGACCGGGCGCGGAGCGCAGCCGCGGCGGCGTTGTTGTCGTGCCGTCACGGCGCTGGCGCACCTGACGGCATGGAGAGCGGGTGGCGAGGCCGCTCCGGCGTGGCGCGAGGTCCGAGACGGTGCCGGGCTCCCGCGCGATGAGGGGCCGGCGCATGCAGATCCTCGGGTCCAGCGTGAGTGCCTGTGCCCCCTGGTGGCTCCGTGTGCGCCGCAGCTACGGCGGGGCGGACGCCGTCCGTGCGCACCTGCACGCCTGGGAGGGGGAGGAGCGCCGCGCAGGGGGCAGAGAGCACCGGCCAGCGCGGGCGCGGGTTGGGACGGGGCGGCGGTGGTGGGACCCCCGGGGGAGTGTACCACCTGGGGATGTTGAGGTAAGTAGGGGGCGCTGGACGCGCGAAAAACGTCGCGCCGGGGGGCTACATGGGCCTTCGGCCCTCCGGGTGGGTGGGTGGGCAAAAAAATCGCGCGGGCGGGGGCGCGGCGATGAGAGCGGGGCGCGCGAAGCAAGGGGGGTGAACAAAATTGACCGCCCGGTGCGGCCGCGCGCGCGAGCGGGGCCGCATTGGCCTCGCTGCGACGGGCAGCGGGCCGTAGACCGCCCCCCGCGCGAGGCGCGCGGCTGCAGCGGGGGCTGCCGGCCGGGGCGCGGCACGGCGGGAGCGCGGGCACGGTGGCGCCGGGCGCGCCACACCGTGGTGCAGCGGGTGCGCGCGGGGGCCGGGGCGCGTGTGAGATACGCGGGGAGCACGGATGTCGCGCGGCGCGGGCGGGGGCGCGGCGATGAGAGCGGGGCGCGCGAAGCAAGGGGGGTGAACAAAATTGACCGCCCGGTGCGGCCGCGCGCGCGAGCGGGGCCGCATTGGCCTCGCTGCGACGGGCAGCGGGCCGTAGACCGCCCCCCGCGCGAGGCGCGCGGCTGCAGCGGGGGCTGCCGGCCGGGGCGCGGCACGGCGGGAGCGCGGGCACGGTGGCGCCGGGCGCGCCACACCGTGGTGCAGCGGGTGCGCGCGGGGGCCGGGGCGCGTGTGAGATACGCGGGGAGCACGGATGTCGCGCGGCGCGGGCGGGGGCGCGGCGATGAGAGCGGGGCGCGCGAAGCAAGGGGGGTGAACAAAATTGACCGCCCGGTGCGGCCGCGCGCGCGAGTGGGGCCGCATTGGCCTCGCTGCGACGGGCAGCGGGCCGTAGACCGCTCCCCGCGCGAGGCGCGCGGCTGCAGCGGGGGCTGCCGGCCGGGGCGCGGCACGGCGGGAGCGCGGGCACGGTGGCGCCGGGCGCGCCACACCGTGGTGCAGCGGGTGCGCGCGGGGGCCGGGGCGCGTGTGAGATGTGCGGGGAGCACGGATGTCGCGCGGCGCGGGCGGGGGCGCGGCGATGAGAGCGGGGCGCGCGAAGCAAGGGGGGTGGGCAAAATTGACCGCCCGGTGCGGCCGTGCGCGCGAGCGGGGCCGCATTGGCCTCGCTGCGACGGGCAGCGGGCCGTAGACCGCCCCCCGCGCGAGGCGCGCGGCTGCAGCGGGGGCTGCCGGCCGGGGCGCGGCACGGCGGGAGCGCGGGCACGGTGGCGCCGGGCGCGCCACACCGTGGTGCAGCGGGTGCGCGCGGGGGCCGGGGCGCGTGTGAGATGCGCGGGGAGCACGGTTCCGCCCTCCAGCCTGGTTCCGCCCCGCCACCGCGGCCGCCGAAAATGTTCCCTGCAGAACACATACGCAACGGGGCTACGCACCGCGCTCTCATCGAGGCAGAGGCCTCTCGTAGACGTCGAGAACGCCACGACCTCGAGTTGCGGGGGGAGGAGCAAGCGAGCTACGCGAACTGGCGACTTCCGCCTCAGACTTTCTCTTACAGAGCCACGACGTGCATGATATGTCATCGAACATCCTCGCGAACGTGTCGTTTCGTGACCGAAGCAAAAATTCGTCCCGGGGCTGAGCCCAGCTGAGTATGGGGAGGCCTTGTGATGAGGGCACTGCTGCAAAGGAATCTTGATGTGGTTGTCACGGACGTGTGGAGCTGGAACCAGGATGCCAGACCTTGCTGGAAGAGGGCGGAGAGCTCCTCGGCCTCGCGGCAGGCATGGTGACGAGATAGACATGACAGCTGCTTCCACATGACAGCACTTGACGTGGAGACACATGGCCGCAACGGCGAAACGCAGCGCGCAAGGAGACCCGCTCACGTGGTGTGCGACGTTAGTGCTGGTTCAGCCTCGGGAATGATTCCAGAACCCTTCGTGGCTGTTGTGCTGTTCATGGAACGGGCCGCAACATTCCCTCTTCTTCGGCACAAGCGGTACGGCCAAGGAGGCAGCGCAGTCGGCTCGAGAGGTGCAAGCGGATGTCTCCGTGGATGTCGCCGGGTGTCACACATAGATGTGAGCAAAAGAACGAGATTGTTCATGTTTCCTCGTCTCGTTGATCGCTGCAGTCGATCATGCGCCCTTTCCGACGTATTTTACGCGCTGCAAGCACGCCTGTTCCGGCTCTTCCAGGGCGACTCGCAACGACGTCTGCAGGTGTACGTACGAACACACATCACTCTGAAACGATTTCAGGCGCACCAGCATGAACGAATGTTTCATACATGTCATGCACTTTTGACAAGCAGGCATGGGAGCTCGAAAGCAGCGCTGAATCACTCACCGAGCGTTTCTTTCCTCTCCACCGGTGAAGGGTACTGTGCAGGTACCCATCAAGCAGATCCGAAACCAACACACAGAAGAACGTTCTCGCAGCATCCAGCGCGTCGTCCGGGCGCGGTCGTCCGGGGCCGAGGTCGGCTCAAGCTTCCGCGACTGCGTCCGAGCATGCTGGCACTCGCAAGCGCCAGCTGATCAATCCCTTGGACGTGCCGTCCGTGGAATTGCCGCTGCTGGCCGCAGATCAGGCGTGACAGAAGCGCGCTAGCGCGCTGCTTGGCGCGCTGGCTCGCCTCCTGCGAACACGAACCACGAACCGTGAATGCCTTCAAGAAAGGCGCTTCGCCGCAGCCCCTTGCGGCCGACAAGCATGGACTATGAGCGATCGAATGAGCATCAAGCTGCGGACATCGTGAGCACTCACCGACGCTTCGGGGCCGGCTGCGTCAACAAGTTGTCGCTGGACGGCACATGTGCAAGGTCCGACAACTCGGAGTCCACCTTGCACTGCTGCCGCCAACAACGTCGTCAAGGACGGTGCTGCAGCAGCGTACCCAGGTTCCTGCGCACGTTGCATCGCACAGAGCAATCTTTTCGTTGTTTGCGGGTGCTAGAACTTCTAGCACCTGTTGTTGGGACAGCAAGCAGTCCCAGAGAAAATTTTCCTCTTTGACATTTGACGTGGCAGAAACGTTGCCGAGCATGCGAGGGCGCAGGTCTTACCCGCGCGTGCCCTGGTCCTGGTTTGTCCTTCGTTCGGACGCTGGCTTGTCCTGGGAAAGCAAAGTCTCCTGCAAGATTGTTGCGCGATACCAAGACGAGCGGCCACCAAATGCGACGGCTCGAGCCCTCGTGCATCAGACATGTTGGCCGGTGACGTCCCTCTGATGACGCTAAGCTCCTGCCGCCGGGCACCGTTGATGAAGTGATGGGTTATGGGTCGCGTGCGCGCACTCGGAGGTCACGGTTCTGCGAGATTCAAGCGCCCCATAACCGACTGTGAAGTCCCAGGCTGTGAAAGTGGACTGCGCCCGACAATGTGCTCTCCGTGAAACAGGAGGGAGCTCTTGCCTTCTTGCTTGCGCCTAAGCTTCGCTCCCGAACGGGGTGCGTCACCCAGCCATCTGACTCCTTGCGCCCGAAGCCACAATACTACTTCGGTTCTTCATGCCAGCCGCCTCGCACCGCTGCTGCTCGCCGAGGCAGAGGCGGCTGGCGAAGAGCAGCGCAAAGCAACGGTGGCCCCTGGCCACGCCAGTGCCGCAGCACGGCGCCTACGAGCCGCTTCCTTGCAGCAATGTGATGAGTAAAGTAGCGAGATATGATGGGAAAACTTTGGCAATGTGAGGCCCTCGAGGGCGAGAGGAAGCGGAATCTGCTCCTCCGCGCCGGCGCCCAAGGACTGAAGCTGCTCGCAAGTCGCGGAAAGCGCCCGAGTCTTCCGATTCCACCTCAACGGACTCGTGACTCCGGCTTCTCGCGACGCGTGAACTCGCTTGCCAGGAACGGGCCTCCTTGAGACCGCTGCGGGGCACCCTGCTCGGAGCAGCTCACTAGCTTCACTCCCTGGGGGGGTCCGTCGTCGGCGCCGCGACACGCCCGCGCAGCACGCGGGCGCGCGCCGCTGCCCAGCGGCCCCAGTCGCGCGTAGCAACGCTCTGCACAGGCTCGGGCGCGTCATGCCTTCCGGCGCGGGTGCAGCCAGCCAGCGCGATGAGCGGCTCCGCTGGGCAGCCGTGCGCGGAGGCCGCAGGGGTTCGGAATCGCTCGCCGGCGCGTCGCAGGGGCTCGGGGCGGTGCGCTCCCGCCTTCGCGGGCGTGGTCGCGGGGCTGCGCGATGCAGGCCGAGAGCGTGTCTGCGGGCGGGGCAGCCTTCGCCGTGCGCTTGCCGCGCCGACGTGTCAGCCGCGTTCGCGCCCCCCGGCGTGTCCATGTGCTGTGAAGCGGTCGGCCGTGCTCGATCCAGCGCGCGCCCTGGCGGGGCTGGAGCTGCCGGGCCTCTGCTGCTGCCCAGGGACCAGAACTCGAAGGCAGGCGAGCGCGTTGCGGACCGGGCGAGCATGCAGGTGAGCGGTCGTGGGGCCGTGCCGGGCGCACGGTGAAGCCAGAAAAGCGCTCGCTGGCGCGTCACGTCGCGCCGCAAACCTTCTTCTGCCTCTTCTGCAGGCCTTCTCGTTGCACGTGGCGAAACGGGCAGGCGGCGGAGACGCGTGGATGACGATATCAACGGCTACGTAGGTCACGATTGTCGCTGACGGGCAGGTGCGGCGCTCTTCGGTGCCACGTATCGTGGTGTGCCACTGCTGCTCATCGCCGTTCCGCCGAGCAGGACCCCGCGGGCGCCGGGCTGCGGCTCCTCGTGGGAATATGCCATCGCTCACCGCGCCCACACCCCCCGTTCTTGCAGCCGCACAGACACACACGATCGCGGCGGTGGCGGGGCGCCCCAGAGACCCTGCAGGCCCCCGTGCGCCCGCGAGGGGCGCGGCGGGCCGCCCTCGCCGCGTGCGCGAGCTGGCCGATGGCGCCGACGAGACGGTCGCCGGCGGCCCCGGGCGGCCGGGCCGGGCTGCCGCCGCGGCGCGCGGCACTCCCCTCGCCAGCTCAGCTGGGGCCTCTTCCACGGGCACTGCCGAGTCTCTCGCACCGGGGCTCGAGGCGGCCGCGCGAGGGCGCTCCTCCTACACTTCTGCACGTGCGAACCTCGTCCTCGCTTCCGACGGAGGCGATGCACCAGGTCAGAACCGCGCGCCCCCGCCCACACCTGCTTGATGCGACATGAACCCCATCCGCCCCCTCCGTCGGGGCTTCCCGGCCAGCTAGCGCCCTCTGCCGTCCCTCACCGCGTTCTCCGTGCCATCACGATGCGATCGGGTCGAGCTACGCCGCCCGCGCGTCGCCGCGCGCGCGCCCCGGGCACGTCGAAGGCACGGGCGCTGCATGAGCGGCCTACCTCTCCCCGCCGAGGCCCGTCTCCGCGCCCCCTATCACCACCCGGCGCGCACCGCCGCGATGCTTCACGCTCACACAGGTCCCATCGCGCGACGCAGGCGGGCGGAAGTACCGGGAAGCGCGCGCGCACCGACGGGGGCGGTGCGCACAACCAGGTGAGCCGCGCGCCGCCCCTCCCGGCGCGCCGATGCCCGCTCCGCCGCGTTCTCCGCGTCGAACGCAGGACGATCCATGCCTAGCGGCGGTCGTCGGCCGCGGTCTCCGCCGTCGGTGGCCGCGCCGCGGCGGATCGTGATTTGACTAGCTGTGCCAGCTCGGTCGCCACCGAGCAGCGTCCCCGCAGCTCTTGCCGCGCCCCGCGCAGGCGTTTGGTGCAGCCTCCACTTACACGCGCCTTCGTCCGCGAACCTGTGTACGTCTCCGAGCCCCCGTAGGTGGCCGCGGGCGCGACCAAGCACGCCTGCGCACCACCACTGGGGACGCTGGCCGAGGCGGCCGCGCGCAGCAAGCTGCTGCAGCCAAGCTCGGATTCTACTGCCCCTAGTGAACGCAGGGATTCGGCGCCGGCCAGGCTGCGCTGATGCAGCGGAGCACGAACCCCTGGGACCAGGAACGCTACTGGAACGCCGCCATAGAACAACAAATGAAGAAAGACGCAGAAGATCTTCTGATCCTGCGCGGCGTACACAAGAACGTCGCCCATTCCGTGGTCCACGACGACCCTTCTCTGTCTCCGCGCGCCCTGCACGCCAAGGTAAACAAGTGCCTGGAAAAGACCCCGATTCCGGAGGCTCAGGTACCGGTGGGGCTCACCCCTTCCCTGAAGGAAGACTACAAGCAGGCGCCGGAGAGCTACCCCGCGCTCAAGGTGCCCGTCAATCTCAAGCAATGGAGGTGAGCACCTTCCATTCCATGCCGGGGGCTGACATTCCACCCTCCTCTCCACGCGCGCCCTCCAACCCGCCCGCAGAGCGGCGCACACCTCGCGGTGCCTCCTTCCCGCCATCGCAGTTTCATGCGCTGGCTGGATGCCGATAAGCACGTGGAAAGGGCGAGACGTGTCAGACCGAATGCAGCGGCGCTCATGCTCCCCGTGTACGACGAAGCCGTTGAGTTCCTCAAGGGCGAACACGAGGATGGAACGTGCTGCCTTGTCCCGCAAGATCTTTTCAGTCGCGCGATCAAAGTCGTCGACGAGGTGAAGAAGAGGCCCGATGCAGGCCCTTGCTGGATGAAGGGCTTTGTCGCCGACGTACGCGCCCACGCCCGTGTCCTGTGTCCGACTGCATGCGCGACTCCGTGCGATATCCTGGCCGACCGTCCTGTGCCGCTGACCCTGTCCCCTTCACCGCAGGCCGGGTACGCGGGGGAGTTTCCCGGGACCAAGGCAGGGATGGAGGAACTCTTCGACGCTCACATCGCGTCGCTGGATCAGTGGCCGGCTCCGGGCGCCTCCAACCCCGGGGAGGGGCAGTGACGGGACATGACGGCTGCACGCGTGCAACAGTATGACGCTGCGGTCAGGTCACTGTTGTCGGGCCTTGGTGGCCGAGCTGCGCGCTCATGTCGGGAGCGTGCGCGCTCCAACTGCAACTCTACTGGCTTACGGTACAGGCTCTGCATCATCTGCGGGGCTCAGCTCGGGTCCCAGTGCTTACAACGCGCCTCCGTCGACGCCGCGGTTTTTTTGGCGGATCCGGACGTGCCGCTGGACCGAGGCGCATAGGACCGTCGTCCAGAGACTCACACAGCACGCTGTGCGCTTCATGAACGAACCCCGCATTGTCTCGCCGTCGTGCAGGGGTGTGACTGACTCACATTGTCTACCCTGTCTGCTGTGTGAGTCTCGCCTGCCGTACCATTTCGATCGCTCAAGCATCCTCGCGGTGAGGGTGCTTGTAGGTCAGCCATCCGCAAACCAGAGCGTCTGCGACTTGGCCGAAAAAAGAGCGGCGCGAGCAGGTAGTGCTGGCGTGGGGCAAAACTCAGGTCAGGTCAGGTCAGGTCACACAGTCCGCATTCCGCGGAGGCGCCACAGTTTACACCGCTACCCGCATCCGGGCGACCGGAAGACCGGGCAACAGTGGCATGTGACTGAGTTGTTATCATCAAACAGCCCGATGTCCACGTGGGGATGAAAGCGCGAGGTAGCGCCCAGGTCTCCAAGCACGCGACCGGGGGCTCGAGGGCGCACGGGCGCCAAAGCGAGAGTCGCGCGAACGGGGCGGCGCGGGGCGATGAGCGGGGGTGGCACGTCCTCAACCCGACCTGCTATGTTATCGTTTTTGTTCTGGCGCCCGGGGCCCGGGAAGGCCCAGGCGGCCCACGGGTGCGGCGCGTGCACGCGGGACAGACAGGTCGGCCGGGCAGGGAGCGCGTCCACCGCATGTACAGGGCATGGACAGCATGTGGAGGGCGGGGGGACGCCCTTGGTGCCGCGTCGCTGCGAGAGACGGCGCACGTGCCTCGTGCCGCGGGACGCCATCAGGCGCCCGCGGCTCCATCGGACTTTGTGGTGCATGATTGCCTGCGACTGCACGCGACGGCCTTGCTAACCGGTCGCGGCGCCGAGACAGCACCAAAAGCACCTGCCGGGCGACAGCGATCGCCGGGTCCCCGGCGAACTCAACCTCGCAGCCCAGCTGCGCGCGCCGACGGAGCGACCGCTCCCGCGCTGTGACGGGCAAGTGGTCAAGGGCATGCGTGGCGCGACGGGTGCGGCCGCCGTGCCGCGCAGGGGGGCTGGGGGGGGCGTCGGGATTCACGCCGACACGAAGACAAAGACCGACATCAAGGCAGTCTGCGAGGACAAGGACTCGCAGGGACAAGGCTTTGCAGCGCCAGAATAGCGTGACGGCATCCCTGGCCCCGGGAGTGCCGGCCCAAGTGCGACGCCTCCAGGCTGACAGAGGCCACATCTCCCCCCCCTCGCCCAAACAGTCAACAGGATCGGCGGCGACATTGGTGTGCGGTGATACCGCTCCGTCACTTCCGTTGCATTCATGACCATGAAAGCGGTCCGCTTGGCGCGGGCGTGGCGCCACCCGCGAAGGTGGGGGTGGCAGTCCCACCGGCAGGCGGGCGCAGCAGGCGCGCGCAGGGCCTGCGTGCCGCGCGTGATCCCAGCCCCGCGCGGGCAGGAACCGCCGCCGGGATCATTGCCCGCAACAGCGCCCCGCCGTCGCGCTCACGCAGCTGCCCTGCCATCGCACGTCCCACCCCCCCCGCGCAGCGGCGCTGGCGCGTGCGCGCAGCCCCGTGCAGCGGTGCGGGTCGAAGCAGACCCCGCACAAGTTGCAGATGCCGGGCCCGTGCCCGGAGATCCCTCCCCCGGCGAGCTCAGCTGCAGCAGGTGACCGCGATGGCCGCGTGTGTCTGTAGGCGTCCACCGCGGCTGGCCGAGAGCCCCACCCTCGACGGTTCCTACAGGACATCATTCATGTACTGTTCGTGACTTGCCCGCAGGCAGGGAACGCGCCGTACGCCCGCGCCCACGCCCCGCAGCGGCGCCTTGTTGCAGCCCCTCTGCTGCTTGACGGCCCCCGGCGCGAACAGGGCGCACGACCGCGCACGTCCCCACCGAACTCCTTCGTGATCTGGACGAGGGCGGCAGCGAGCCCGGAAGGGGACGCAGTGCAACATGTGGAGCGCCGACGTCACTGATGATCAGGCCCCCTTGTCTGGCTGACTCCGGGGCGCGCCAGCGGCCGTGCGGCTCGCGGGGCGGCGAGAGCGCGCCGCCACGTCAGTCTTCGCACGTCCTCTCGCCCTCTCGCAACCGCGGCACCGCCCGTCGTTGCGTCTGGGGCCGGCGGCACTCGGTTCACACCTGAAGTGCCACTTATCCGCGATTCCTCCTTCTCTGGACGGGCGCGAAGTGCGCTGCACCGCCAGTTCTGAAGAGCTGGGTTGAAGCTTGGCGCGTCAAGCCACGACAGCCTCGCGAAAGCCTTCCTCGGACCGAGGTGCGCTTCCGACCGTTCGCTGCTACGACTTCAATCGGTTCGTATTCCGCGCAGATGGGCGGCTATGGACGCTGTGCTTGACCCTCGACGGCATTTCTGAGAATATTCACGACGAGCTGTTGCGCTACAACCGCGTTTCATGGCGTGCTTACGGGGCTCTCGCCGACCAGCACTGCACGGCCAGCTGCCGAGCACCGGCAGCGAGAGAGGCGCGCGAGCGCGCGAAAAACAAAACCCCGGCCGAGAGGCATCGATCGCGTGTGCCGCCGACCGACCGACCGACCGACCGACCGACCGACGGCCCCGCCCTCCACCGCCAACGCAGGTGCTGAGTGACGGACTCGCACGATGCAGTCGGACGCGAACTTCGCCGGTATCAGCCCGCGGAGGACGGCCTCCACCTCACCGCCCCGCCGCGCGCCGACTCCCGCGGCGTCGACGCGGTGGCGTCCAGGGACACGAGAGCCCGAGGTCGCGCGTCGGCTGCACAGCTTGGCGTTCGATAGCGACGTCTCGGGGGGCTCCCCGGCGCCGGGGAGCCGTCGGCCGGCCGACGACGACCTCGACCTCTTCGACGGCGACCTCGACGGCCTCGACGGCGACCTCCGCGGCGGCCTCGAGCTCGACGAGGAGATCAAGGAAACAGAGGACTCGCTCAGGCGGCGGGAGGCGCGGAAACAGTGGGAGGAGAAGCGGCGGGGCACCTTGCCCGCCCACTTGCTGGAGGACGTAGGGCGGTCCGCGCACCACTTCTTCGGGAAGTGCGTCCAGCTTGACGCCAGCATGAAGCTGGCCGACCCGCTTCAGTGGCGCCACTACGGCGCGCTGTTCGGCAAGCTTGCGGACCTGCTTCTGCGGCAGTTTGTGCGCGGCAGCGAGGACGCGGACCCTCGCCTGGTGGACTTCTGGACGCGCGCTCCGCTGCTTCTGCCGGAAGCGAACGGCCCCGGCGGCATCTCGGCGTTACAGCTTGCGACACCGGACCGCCTGACGACGGCGTCGCACAAGGCGGCGATTGAGCAGGGCGACCTCGCGTTCACGGCGCACTCCGTGAACGTGATGCTCGGCTCCAACCCCGCCTTGTATGCGCGCGACGCCTCCTCGTTCAAGGAGATGGCGCTGCGGGCGCAGGACGAGGACCTCGCGAAGGGCCTGAAGATCCTGCCCAACCCGTACGCCGTGCTGCTGAAGAAGCGACCCGAGACGCGCGGCCTCCTCCTGTGCGCACCCCGCCCACGTGTGTTGTTGTTGTATTGTGCAACAACGCATCTGCCTGCGGAATCACTCGCGCGCGACGTGCTCGCCGGCCCCCCGCGGCGCACGCGTTGCCACTGACGCGTCCTGCGGGTGTTTGACTGCGAGGTCGCGTTCGCCCCGCCGCTTCGCAGGCACTACATTTCGAACCGGCTGAGGTCTGGCTTCCACGCCGACCGGCGGAAGCTCGCCAGCGCGGGGACGCAGCGCGCCAAGGAGAGCGTTGGGAAGAACGTGAAGCCGGTAGCACCGCGGGCCGCAGCCGTCGGTGCCTGGGTGGACGCGCTCGTGGCCGGCAACGACACCTGGGTGGACGACACGATCCGCAACGCGCCGATGATCGTCGGGCGCTTCGGGGGATTGGGCGTCCGGCGCGCTGGCGGGCTCTACCAGCTCGTCTTCGACGCTCGCAACTGTCGGAAGCTGCACTCGGAGCCCGACAACCTAACCAAGTGCACCTGGGGGTACAACGCGTTGAAGCTCACGGCGGACGAGGCCGAGGCCACCCGCCGCATCCCGGAGCTGCTGCGGAGCCTCGCGAAGCACGTCATGTCCGGCGACGTGCTGGACCCGCGGCTGGCGGAGCGCATGGGCCCTGCTGCGGCTGTGGCTGGCGGCGCACCAACAGCACCGTACCTGCGCGCCGCTGGCGACAGGGCCCGGACGCGTGATGCGCTGTGCTTAACCGACGATGGCGAGTCGCTCCTCGGCTCGATGTGGGACGAGGCGGCCGTCGCGGCGGCTTGCGTGGCCCCGCGCGTGAAGGAGGAGTACCGCGACATGGTCGCGGCCTGCGAGGAGGAGCTCGAGGCGTACGACGCCTGCGAATACTCGGACGGTACGAGGAGGGCTGTGCGGCTGTCGCAGTCGCTGGGTCCCGGCTGGTGCGGGTGCCCGGACGACGAGCGGTGCATCAAGCGCCATGGCGACGCCCACCTCATGCCGAACGGGCAGCGGGCTCCCGGGCATCCTCACTGCCTGACGCTGGCCGAGGAGCCCGCAGCAGAAACGGCCTTCAAGGACGCCATCAAGGCGGAGCTGATTTGCCGGAAGTGCAAAACAGCTCGCAAGTACGTCCGGCGGACGAAGCTTGGCGCCGCTGCCGGCGGTGCGTCAAGCGGCGATGGGGACGGCGACGGCTGCGGCGATGGGGACGGCGACGGCTGCGGCGATGGGGACGGCGACGGCTGCGGCGGGGGCGGCGCGCCGGTGATCGACCTCACGCGCGACGACGACGACGACGACGACGGCGCCGAGCATGCGTGCGACGAGGTGACGCTCGACGGAGAGAAGCTGCGGCTCGCGGGCGGGGACGGTTATTGCCCTCAGTGCTACTACCACGTTAAAACACATGGCTACGAGACGCCGACACGCCCAGAGGACGCCTGTCCGCACCATGCCACGTGTTGGAAGACGCGCGGGCATCACGTGCAGTGCCCGATCGGCCCAGGCCTGACACCCATACGCACCGAGGAGGTGCAGGAGGAGCTGCGAGCGACCACCGTCTGCGCCAACCCCGCGTGCCCGTATCACGAGTACGCCAAGGCCTGGCCGCTCGCGCACATGGGCTTCGCGACTTGTGCTCGAGGGGCCGAGCGGATCTCGAAGTGCTCGGACGAGAAATACCGGTGCTTGCCATGCAAGGAATGGCATGACAGGTATACAGAGCAGAAGGAAGCGAAGGAGGAGGAGCGCCGACAGGGGAAGCCGGGCCCCTTCTGGGACCCGTCTCCGGAGAGGCCCTTGAAGTGGCAAGTGGTTGGGCTGCCCCAACCTCGGCAGCTGCTGCGTGCTCTGCCCGAGATTTGGGGGAGCAAGCGGGCGCGGCACGGGGCACAGACGGCCGTGTGTTGTCAAGGACTGTCAACAGCCCGCTGGCGAGGACGAGCTTAAAGAAAGGCGCAAAAACTGCTTCGGTGAGAGAGCTTGCAACGACTGCAAGAATGCTGGCCTCGTGCGGGAAGATGGAAAACCAGTGCGCAAGATCGATTGCCGCGAGAACCTCGACCCGAAGTGCAAGTGGGCCAAGTCAGCCTTGGAGCTCCTGGCGATGGCGGCGCAAGCGGGGCAGGTCATGGCCCAGAAGACCGCTGTTCGGAAGAGGGAGGCCGAGGCCGGCGCCGGAGCTGCGGCCCAAGGTCTCCTCGACCGTCGGGACACACATGGCCGCAAGCGCCCGAAGCATGCCTGAAAGTAACATTCACACCAGCATCCTGTCCGCCTGTGCAAGCACTGTGTGTGTGCACTGTGACTCCAGCTCGGCGCCGCAGATGACGCAGAGCCTGTCCAGCACGGCAGTAGAGTTACAGTTAGGGCGCGCACGCCCCCGACATGAGCCCGCAGCTCGGCCACCAAGGCCTGACAGCAGTGACCTGACTACGCACTTTCTGTTGCACTACTTCCCCGTCCGGGACCTGAATGCTCTCTTCTTGCGTTTCTTCACTTTATCAGACACCATCTCGACCTTCCGCTTCGCGGTTGTCGTTGCCTTCGATGATGATCGTATCTCACGTGCGGGTGTTGCCGGCGTTGTCGCCGCCTTCCAGAAAAGGACCTCTTTCATCTCGCTCTGAGATGTCCGCCGGATGAACGTCGTTGGTGTGATCTTGACGTGGTGCACCTTCACATAGTTCTGAAGTTGCTCGTTGACCATGGTCATTGTCCTTCCAATCGCCCTTGAAATTGACGAGGAACCCCATTCGTCTGACAACGTCTCCGACGTTGCAGCCATCGAGCTCTTCGTCGTCCATCTTTTCGTCGAGAATGAGTTCATTACGGCGGTGCTTGATGACCTTGTCGACGTCAGTCAGTCAGTTCTCACAGTCCGCATTCCGCGGAGGCGCCACTCCTGCGACCACGCCCGCATCCGTGTGACCGGAAGACCAGGCAGCAGCGACAGTGCGACTGGGGGGTTATCATCAAAAGCCCGATGCCAACGTGGGGATGAAAGCGCACGGTAGCGCCCAGGTCTCCAAGCACGCGGCCGGAGGCTCGAGGGCGCACGGGCGCCAAAGCGAGAGTCGCGCAAACGGGGCGGCGCGATGCGAGGGAGCGGGGGTGGCACGTCCCTGACCCGACCTGCTATTGGGTTTATCATCGTTATCGTCGGCGCCCGGGGCCCGGGAAGGCCCAGACGGCCCACGGGCGCGGTGCGTGCACGCGAGACAGACAGGGTTGGTCGGGCGGGGGGCGCGTCCACCGCATGGGTACAGGGCATGGACAGCATGTGGAGGGCGGGGGACGCCCTTGAGTGCCGCGTCGCTGCGAAAGACGGCGCATGTGCCGCGTGCCGCGGGCGCCTGACGGCGCCTCGGAGCTCCGTCGGACGTGGGTGGTGCCCGAAAATTGCCTGCGACTGCACGCGACGGCCTTGCTCTAAACCGTGCGGCGCCGAGACAGACACCAAAAGCACCTGCCGAGCGACAGCGATCGCCGGGCCCCCGCCACTGGGTGGCGGGCGGTGCTGCTCCAGAGGCGCGGGGGGGCGCGCGTGGTGCGGTTCTTTGTCGTCGCATGCAACGTCAGCCAACGGGGGTGCCGACGTGGGTGGGGGGGCTTGAGCCATACCCCCCCCGGGCCCTCGGCCGGGGAGCGGGTGCTTGCCGGGGCCCTGCCTGCCCGGGCGCGTAGCGCAGCCACGGGCGGCGTTGTCGTCGTGCCGTCTCGGCGCTGGCGCACCTGACGGCATGGAGAGCGGGTGGCGAGGCCGCTCCGGCGTGGCGTGAGGTCCGAGACGGTGCCAGGCTCCCGCACAATGAGGGGCCGGCGCATGTAGATCCTGGGCTCCAGCGGGTGCGCCTGTGCTCCCGGATGGCCTTGCGCGTGTGCCGCGGTCACGGCGGGGCGACGCGGTCCGTGGTCGTCGCGCACCTGCACGCCTGGGGGAGGGGCACCGCGCAGAGAGCACCGGCCAGCGCGGGCGCGGGGTGGGACGTGGCGGTAGTGATGGGACCCCCGGGGGAGTGTACTACCTGTTGAGGCAAGTAGGGGGGTGCTGAACGCGCGGAAATCGTCGCGCCGGGGGGATACATGGGCCTGCGGCCCTCCGGGCGGGTGAGTGGGGGAAAAAATCGCGCGGAGCGGGCGGGGGCGCGGCGATGAGAGCGGGGCGCGCGAGGCAAGGGGGGTGGGCAAAATTGACCGCCCGGTGCGGCCGTGCGCGCGAGCGGGGCCGCATTGGCCTCGCTGCGACGGGCAGCGGGCCGTAGACCGCCCCCCGCGCGAGGCGCGCGGCTGCAGCGGGGGCTGCCGGCCGGGGCGCGGCACGGCGGGAGCGCGGGCACGGTGGCGCCGGGCGCGCCACACCGTGGTGCAGCGGGTGCGCGCGGGGGCCGGGGCGCGTGTGAGATGTGCGGGGAGCACGCACCACTCTGACGTACCACTCTGACTTGCCCTTCAAGGCAAGAGTGGTACTTAGTAGTCGGAAAGTGTCGTGATGTCCAACTTACTCCCGGTTGCGCTCAGCCGAGTCCAACATCTCTTTCTGAGCCAAGACTGTCCACGATTCCAACACCTCACGTGATGCCCTCGGAAGCGTCCCGTGCAGAGCGTTCGCGAGACGCACCAGAGGAGTTGACATTGTTCAGAAACAGTAACAGTTACACTGCTCGGCTTATAGCACGCCTCCATTTAAGGTGGCATGCAGCAGGGCACCGTCGACGCCAAAAGGAGCGGCGTCAACGGTGGCATGGGAACCAAATCCCAAGTCTTTCTACCAAAGACGATTTCGGAGGGCGTAAACCCCGTAGATGGATTCCGACTGTTGTTGTAGTTCGTAATGATGGCCGGAAGCAGCTGTACCCAGTTTCGGTGGTCCGAGTTCGATGTAGAAGTCCGGAGCAATTCCAACAGCGAGCTCTGTTTGCCCGTCCGTCTGAGGATGGAAAGGAGAGCTGAGTTGAAGTCGTGTGCCGAGAGAACGCCAAATGTGCTGCCAGCACTCCGAAGTGAAGCGCGAGTCGCGGTCGCTGATGATGTGTAGCGGGATGCCGTAGAACGGCAACACGCGTTGGCAGAAGATGTTGGCGGTTTGCTCGGCCGTAATATCCTTCGTGCAAGGCTCGGCGATGATCATCTTGGAGAACTTGTCGACTATCACCAGCAGGTGAGTGTTGCCCGAAACCGATGGAAGTACTTCGAGAAAGTCGAGCGTTACTGTCTCCCAAGGAGTCCCGGGGATGTCGAGTGGACTCATAAGGCCCAGAGGCTGTTGAGTCGTACGTCTGCCTAGCTGGCGATTCGGACAGGTCGTGACGTATTGGATTACGTCCGTTTTCAGTCCCGGCCACCAGAAATCACGTTTCAGGTTGGCAAACCTTGTCGACACAAACATGTGATGCTGCATCGTTGAGACCGTGACACGCTTGAGACCGTGATGAGTGATGTCATTCTCCGATATGGATGGAATGTAGAGCTGCAGTCGATTGTGACCTTGATCATGTAGGAGTAGACGGCCTTGAACGATGATGAAGTCCTCGCGACGGCGGTCATAGTCGTTGGGGATGGCATTGTATTCCTCGTCGCCTGGAATAAGCTTGTCAATCCAGCGAATGATGTCGTCGATGGAAATCTGAACTGGAAGCTCCGAAGATTGTATGCCGCACAAGTGTTGAAGAACGGAGACGATGTGGTCCGGACGCCGGGACAAGAGGTCCGGAACGGTGTTGTCTGCGCCAGATATGTACTCGATCTTATCGATGTTGAACTTCATGAGTGCTGTAACCCATCTCGCAATGCGACCTTCGATACGCGGTTGCAGAAGAAGGTGCGTAATGGTCCGATGATCGGTGCGGAGGATGAATGGTCGATACAAGTAGGTCGACCACTTCGTGCAGGCTTGGACCATAGCGAGGAGCTCCTTGTCGTACACCGAGTTGAGCGGGGTTGAGCTTTGCGCTGGTGTACGCAACAGGTTGGAGGCCGTTGCCTTGGTCCTGGAGAAGCACGCCGCCCGTTGCGAAGTTCGAGGCGTCCGTTTGGACGACACATGGCAGGTCCTCATCGAAATGAAGCAATATCGGAGAATTCGTAAGCCGTTCCTTCAAGGTGTTGAACGCCAGCTGGTGCTTGTCCGTCCACTGCCACGGAGTATTTTTCTTCGTCAATTCCGTGAGGTGAAAGGTTAGAGCACTGAAGTCGGGGATGAAACGCCGATAGAAGTTGGCGAATCCGACGAAAGACTGAACTTCGCGAACAGTTGTAGGCACTGGCCAGTCCCTGATGGCTCGGATCTTGTCCTCCAAAGGCTGAATGCCGCGCTCCGAAATGTGATGTCCGAGGAACTCGACATTGTCTCGAAACCACTCGCATTTGCTCAGCTTGATGGAATGCTTGTAGTCGCGAAACCGCTGAAGGACCTCTTCCAGCAGCGCCTCATGCTCCTCCTCCGTTTCCGTCGCAATTAAAATGTCATCGAGGTACACAATGACACCGCGACTGTATTAATAGAGAGAGAAGAGCATGCGATTCATCGCGTCCTGAAATGCCGCGGGAGCTCCGCTGAGCCCCTGGGGCATGACGACCCACTCATAGTTGCCAAACTTCGTTCGCATAGCCGTACAGGGTATGGACGCAGCTTGCATCAAGAGTTGGTGGTACCCGTCGGAGCAGTCGAGGCTGGAGAACCATCTCTCGCCTCGCAGACATGCCAGGCAGTCGTCCGTATATGGAAGATTGGGTGCCCGCAGTTGCGTCCGGGCGTTGAGCTGTCGGCAGTCGACGACGAACGCCATTTCGGATTGTCAGGCGTTGAGCCCTTCTTGGGGACCACGAGAACCGGAGCGCCCCAAGGAGAGTCGCTCGGTCTGATCCAGCCCATGCTGAGCAGACGCTCAAGTTGTTCACGCCAAGCTTTGTCTGTGGTGGTGATAACTTGTACGGTGGTCGAGTGACCGGCTCCGCTCCTGGCTCGAGGGGAGTCGAGTGCTGAACCCCGTCCGGTCGGTGATGCATCGGGGGGTTTTCCGTGAAGACGTCATCGAACTTCTTGATCAAGCGTTGCGCACGGGGGTGCACGTGTTGAGCGAGCTCGCGCTGCTCCCGCGTGTCATAGACCACCGCGATGAACGAGTCCGACACCCCTCGTGTTGCGTGTTGATAGTCGTCGTCCGTAGCAACCATGTGAATCTCCGGTAGCCCTTTGGCGTCGATCGTAGTTGCCGCTTTCAGTTGAATTTCCTTGTGAGGAGAGCCTGGTTGTCTTATGGAGCAGGTCATAGTCGAGCCGTCGGTCTCGAGGCCGTGATCCCGAATAAACGGCATACCGAGGAGAATATCGTGCGTCGGCAGCGCTGCCGGCACCGCTAGCGCTCATGCAGGTCGACCCGAATAGGGGCGCCGTTTCGGGCCCAGGTCCCGCCGGGCGGACGCGCAGCGCGCGGTCGTAGGCGCTGTCCCGCCCGGACGGACGACGGGCAAGAGCAGGTGGCGACCCTCGCTCGACGCACGCCTTGTGCGTGTCCTGCGTTGCGGCATCTGATGCTCGGCGCGGCCGCCTGGTGAACGCTGCGGCCCCGCGAGCGCCCTTCCACAGCCAGTTCTGCCGCAGGAGGACCCGGCGGCACCGCCACCGCGGGCGTGCGCCGCACGATTCGTGTGCGTAATCGGCACTTGTTGTTTCACCTGTCAGGTGTCGGAAGTGGTGCAACAACGGTCCTACGACGAAGATGATACAAAAGCATGTGGTTGGTAGGATTCGAACCTACGCTCACGAATGAACACGGACCTGAACCGTGCGCCTTAGACCGCTCGGCCACAACCACATCCTAACGTATCATCATAAAGCAATTTTTCTAGCATTGAATCACTTTTAGCAATTTAGCACGCAGGGCAACCTTCGTTAGCCAGGGGTAAGAGCACTCCGACGAGTATGGACACCTCCTCTCTCGAACTCCTACTTCGTGCCATCGCGCTAGATCAACGAGGCGAGCACCGGAGCGGTCAGTTCGGCGCCCGAGTGACCGCGTCGGGAAACGACGGCTCTGGAAGTGGCCTGGTTCGCGGTGTCCAGCGCGACCCCTCCGGGAGGACCCTACGACTCCAGGTGAGCAGAGCGCACTCTCTGGCGCGTGAATCGCCGAGAAAGCCGCGCACGAGGTGCAGAAATAGGCGCCGTTGACCTTGCGGTTGGCAAGCCTGTCCCAGCCTAGCACTGCGCCCTGGGCCCTTACGGGCGCCATCAACGCGTCGACACAACGGCGTGCCGGGCCCCTTTGGCGCACACGGCCCCGGTCGCGCCCTGTATGCTCCCAAACGTCCAGCTGGAGCGGAGGGTAAGGGCTCAGAGCAGCTCGCCTCGCCCTTGCGCGCTCGGATGGTCGGCGCAGCACCTGAACTCTCGTGATACATCACAGCCCAGTCGATGCACGACGACCTAGCGCAGTGTGTTGGCCCTGTAGCGCAGGCCACCGCGCGTGAAAGTCCAATATGTGCCTCTGATTCCACGTTTCCGACTTACCCGCGCCGCACACCCGTTGCTGCGCCGGTTGCGCACCATCGTTGCACTCTTCGCGTTGTGTGCTACGCGAATCACCCACATACGAGCCCGCACGCGTCTTTCTTCACTCCCCTCCTCCCTCTGTCCGCTCATCTGTTGCTTTCGCGTCGCACCACTGGGGGTTTCCCGCCTACATTCTATCGGAGGTGCTTCCATGTGGCCCTGACATGCCGCCGAGTACGTCCGCTGCTCGTCGCAGGGACTCCGTAAGGGCCACCGGACGGTCTGTCATGCTGGCACCCCGCCCGCCAGCCCGCCCGCGCCCGCGGCGCCCGCGGCACACCAGGAGCCCGATTCGGTCGACGACGGCGATGCCCCGCCAGTTCTCCGCCTCACCAGCGTGCCGCTGGACGAGGATGGCGCCATGGGCCCGAACCGGCGCGGGGGCAAGGCCGGGCAGCCGGTGCCTTGCCTGCAACCAGCGAGCGGCTGCAGTTCAACGGCCGCACGCGTGGAGCTGGGCGGCCGACGGGGCTGTTCCAGGCGGGGCAGCAGGCAAACCAGCTGACGCTCCAGGGCTTCGTTCCTTGGGCAGAAGCGGGCCGCGCCAGCCGGCAGACTGCCGCAAGGCGGGAACGCCCCTGCGGGCCCCTCCCCGCCTCAAGCGGCCGCGACGGAGGGCGTGTCGACCAGAGCGCAGGCCCGCAGGCAGGGAACGCGCCGTACGCCCGCGCCCACGCCCTCCGTCGCGGCGCCTTGTTGCAGCCTGTTGCACAGCCCCTCTGCTGCTCGACGGCCCCCGGCGCGAACAGGGCGCGCACGACCGCGCACGTCCCCACCGAACTCCTTCGTGATCTGGACGAGGGCGGCAGCGAGCCCGGAAGGGGACGCAGTGCAACATGTGGAGCGCCGACGTCACTGATGATCAGGCCCCCTTGTCTGGCTGACTCCGGGGCGCGCCAGCGGCCGTGCGGCTCGCGGGGCGGCGAGAGCGCGCCGCCACGTCAGTCTTCGCACGTCCTCTCGCCCTCTCGCAACCGCGGCACCGCCCGTCGTTGCGTCTGGGGCCGGCGGCACTCGGTTCACACCTGAAGTGCCACTTATCCGCGATTCCTCCTTCTCTGGACGGGCGCGAAGTGCGCTGCACCGCCAGTTCTGAAGAGCTGGGTTGAAGCTTGGCGCGTCAAGCCACGACAGCCTCGCGAAAGCCTTCCTCGGACCGAGGTGCGCTTCCGACCGTTCGCTGCTACGACTTCAATCGGTTCGTATTCCGCGCAGATGGGCGGCTATGGACGCTGTGCTTGACCCTCGACGGCATTTCTGAGAATATTCACGACGAGCTGTTGCGCTACAACCGCGTTTCATGGCGTGCTTACGGGGCTCTCGCCGACCAGCACTGCACGGCCAGCTGCCGAGCACCGGCAGCGAGAGAGGCGCGCGAGCGCGCGAAAAACAAAAACCGGCCGAGAGGCATCGATCGCGCGTGCCGCCGACCAACCGCCGACCGACCGCCGACCAATCGACGGCCCCGCCCTCCCCCGCCAACGCAGGTGCTGAGTGACGGACCCGCACGATGCAGTCGGACGCGAACTTCGCCGGTATCAGCCTGCGGAGGAGGACGGCCTCCACCTCACCGCCCCGCCACGCGTCGATTGACGCGGCGTGGCGAGTAACCCGCGGCCGGAAGTCACCCGAGCCCGGCGACGTGTCTATGGAAGGCTCCGAGCCCGACGCCCGCACGAAGAACGACAGCGGCACCCCTCCCCCGTCGAAGACCGCGACGGAAACGGAGATGGACGTTGGCTGCGCGCCCGTCGGGGAGACTGCTGCAAAGACGGCGGCAAGGCAGCGAGCTGGCGCGCCGCGCGGGAGCTCCCGCGCCTCGAGGCGGGGATGGGGCGGCCGCGGCGACACCGTCAAGCACAAGGACTGGCCCGCGCCGTCGACGCCGTGGCGTCCGGGGACACGAGAGCCCGAGCTCGCGCGTCGGCTACTCAGAAGGGCGGCCGGTCGCGACGCCTCGGGGGGGGGCTCCCCGGCCGACGACGACCTCGACGACCTCGACGGTGACCTCGACGACGACCTCGCCCGTCTCAGCCTCACTGGGACTGACAAACCGGGTCGCTCTGTGCGGCCTGCGGACCTCGACAAGGAGGAGGCGTGGGTACGGTGGGAGGAGAAGCGGGCGGCCGAGGGGTACAACACTGACTTGCTGCGGCGCTTCTCGAGGTCGGCGCACTATATGTTCAGGAAGTGCGTCAAGCTTGACGCCAGCATGAAGCTGGCCGACCCACTCGAGTGGCAGCACTACGACGCGCTGTTCGGCAAGCTTGCGGACCTGCTTCTGCGGCAGTTTGTGCGCGGCAGCGAGGACGCGGACCCTCGCCTGGCGGACTTCTGGACGCGCGCTCCGCTGCTTCTGCCGGAAGCGAACGGCCCCGGCGGCATCTCGGCGTTACAGCTTGCGACACCGGACCGCCTGACGACGGCGTCTCACAAGGTCGCCATCGAGCAGGGCGACCTCGCCTTCACGGCGCACGCCGTCAACGTTTTTTTCGGTTCGAACCCGGACCTGTTCGCGCGCGACGCCTCCTCCTTCAAGGAGATGGCGCTGCGAGCGCAGGACGAGAAGCTCAAGGAGATCCTGAAGATCCTGCCCAACCCGTACGCGGTGCTGCTCAAGAAGCGACCCGAGACGCGCGGCCTCCTCCTGTGCGCACCCCGCCCACGTGTGTTGTTGTTGTATTGTGCAACAACGCATCTGCCTGCGGAATCACTCGCGCGCGACGTGCTCGCCGGCCCCCCGCGGCGCACGCGTTGCCACTGACGCGTCCTGCGGGTGTTTGACTGCGAGGTCGCGTTCGCCCCGCCGCTTCGCAGGCACTACATGTCGCCCCGGCGGAAGGCTGGCTTCCACGGCGACCGGCGGAAGCTCGCCAGCCCGTGGACGCAGCGCACCAAGGAGAGCGTTGGGAAGAACGTGAAGCCGGTAGCACCGCGGGCCGCAGTCGTCGGTGCCTGGGTGGACGCGCTCGTGGCCGGCAACGACACCTGGGTGGACGACACGATCCGCAACGCGCCGATGATCGTCGGGCGCTTCGGGCGGACGGGCGTCCGGCGCGCTGGCGGGCTCTACCAGCTCGTCTTCGACGCTCGCAACTGTCGGAAGCTGCACTCGGAGCCCGACAACCTGCGCAAGTGCACCTGGGGGTACAACGCGTTGAAGCTCACGGCGGACGAGGCCGAGGCCACCCGCCGCATCCCGGAGCTGCTGCGGAGCCTCGCGAAGCACGTCACGTCCGGCGACGCGCTGGACCCGCGGCTGGCGGAGCGCATGGATCCGCCCGGTGCGGGCGCACCGTACCTGCGCGCCGCTGGCGACAGGGCCCGGACGCGTGATGCGCAGGGCTCCACCACCGTTACAACCGTCGACGCGCAGGGCTCCACCACCGTTACAACCGTCGACGCGCAGGGCTCCACCACCGTCACAACCGTCGACGCGCAGGGCTCCACCACCGTTACAACCGTCGACGGCAGGTGGTCGCTCCTCGGCTCGATGTGGGACGAGGCGGCCGTCGCGGAGGCCGTCGCGGAGGCCGTCGCGAAGGGTATCTTGGCCCCGCACGAGACGGAGGAGATGGTGCAGAAGTACCGCGACATGGTCGCGGCCTGCGAGGAGGAGCTCGAGGCGTACGACTTATACGAGGACGCGGGCGGTACGGAGAGGGCTGAGCGGCTGTCGCAGTCGCTGGGTCCCGGCTGGTGCGGGTGCCCGCACCACGGGCAGTGCATCAAGCGCCACGGCAATGCCCACCTCATGCCGGACGGGCGGCGGGCTCCCGGGCACAGCCACTGCCTGCGGCTGGCCGCCGAGCGCGCAACAGAAACGGCACTCGAGGCCGCCATCGAGGCGGAGCTGATTTGCTGGAGGTGCAAGAATGAGCGCGAGTACGTGCCGAAGCAGAAGCGCAAGGCCGGCGCCGCTGCCGGCGGTGCGTCCAGCGGCGATGGGGACGGCGACGGGGACGGCGGGGGCGATGGAGGCGGCTGCGACGACGACGGCGCGCCGGGCACAGAGCGCGCGAGCCCGATCCGTGACGACGACAGCAGCGGTGACGGCGCCGAGCCTGCGTGCGGCAAGGTGACGGCCGACGGCGAGAAGGCGCAGCTTGATGGTGCTTTCGGGCAGTGCCGGACCTGCTACTACCGTGGGCCACCGCGGGGTGGTAAACCAGTAACGGTACAGACACAGCTCGGCAAAAACGACATGAAGAAGGGTGGCCCCTGTCCGCTCCACGCCACGTGCGACGGAAAGCGCGAGCAGCACCAGAAATGCCAGACCGTCGGCCCCATCCGGCGCACGGAGGAGGTGCAGCAACAGCTGCGCGCGACCGTCGTCTGCGCCAACCCCGAGTGCCCGTACCACGAGTTCGCCAAGGCCTGGCCGCTCGCGCACGAGGGCACCGCGAGCTGCGCCGTCGGGGCCAGGCAGTTCTCGCCGTGCTCGGACCAGCAGTATCGCTGCTACCTCTGCAAGGCCTACTTTGAGAGGCGCAGGACGCCGCCGGCGAATCCTCGCGCCAACTGGGACCCGTCGCCGGAGAGGCCCTGCCGCTGGCGGGGCTGTCCCGACTTCGGCGACTGCACGGTGCTGACCCGGAGAGGGAAGACGCACAAGACGTGTCAACGCAAGGACTGCACGGTGCACGCCGACGAGGACGAGCTTGCCGACAGGCGCAGAGCTGCCTTCGGTGACAAGCGGTGCGTCTGCGGAGAGCTCATGGTCGTTTGCCGCGCGGACCCGAAGCCCACGTGCGCATGGACCGCCGATGCCCAGGAGCGCCTGGAGAAGGAACGGGCGAAGGCGGGCGAGGTGAAGGCCAAACCCTCCGTAGAGAAGAGGAAGAGGAAGGCCGAGGCCCGCAGCGGAGCTAAGAACGCAGGTCTGCGCGACCGTCGGGACGAACGTGGCCGCAAGATCCCGAAGCATGCCTGACAAGCATGATGCACACGATCGCGAGGGAGGGCGGGCGCGTGGGGGGCGAGTGGAGAGTTGGTGCAGCGCACGCGGGGGCTCGGCTCAAGCTCCGGCTCACAGCGCCGTGGCCGCGAGCGGCACGAGATCGCGACGATGTGTGACGAAGCTTAGTAGCGCATGCGTGCTGCGCAGCACCGGTCAGGTCAGCGCCTCACGTCCCGCCGTGGCTTCCCGCGCTCGTCGCCGCTGCCGCAGAGGCACGGCGGGCGTACGCGTGGGAGGGGTGTGATCTGTGGAACGTCCAGCGCCTCCCTCGGCGAGGATGAGGGTGCCTCGACCCTGGGCTTTCGCGTCCGGCGGTAGCGCAGCGACCGTCGGCGCTCTCGCGGGCCGATTGGGAGTGCGGGGGGGCCTCGGCCGCTCCTGCCTCCGCCGGCCGCACGGGGCTCGCCTCCGGTTTGTAAGTCTCGGTCTCGGTCTCTCACGCCGCCGTCCATGGACGTGCTGGCCAGCACGCACTCCCCCCGAAACCAGACCCCTCCCTGCCGCTCTCTGGTGCTGCTCGCCGCGCTCGTCGCCCCTGCAGCGAAGCTCGCCGGCCGTGGGAGGAGTGTGTGTTTTCCGGGTGTGTTTTCACGTCAGCAAGGGGAAACACACAGCCCCCTTCCCCCCCCCGGCCCAGCACGCCGCGGCCACCCAGTGGGGCGGCGTCCATGCCTCCCGCCGCGCGGGCGGGGGAGTCGCAGCGAGCGAGGGCCCACGCGCCTCCGGGTGCAACAACAACGCACGCACCCGCTCCCGGCGCGGCGGGGTGCGGGCGCGGGCGCCGGCTCCATGCGCCCGGCGTCGCCGCCGACCGACCCGCGCACGTGAACGCACCGACATCGACCGTGGAGGGCTCCTCCTCGCCACCGCCGTTGCCGTCCAGCGTGCCTCCCGCCGACTGCGCCGTTCGGCCTCGCCAACGACCGCGCATGCTGCGGCGCTGCTCGCCATCCCGCGTGCTCGGCGCCGCTGCAGCGAGGCACGGCGGGCGTACGCGCGAAAGGGGTTGGCAGTGAAGGGGGGGAGTGTTCTGCACGACGGGCGCGGTGAGGCGAGGGCGCAGCGGCGCGGCAGTGCCAGACCCCCGTGCTCTGCGTCACCGACGGGCTGGCTGGCAGCGCGGGCGCACCGACGTCGACCGTCCTGCGCCGCCGTCCACACGTCCAGCCGCAGCCCCCTCTCGGCCGCACGCACTCGCCGCCGCCGCGACCCTGCTCCTCCGCCGCGACCCTGCCGCTCCTCGACGGCCGCGCCAAACCGCGGGGCCATGCACGCATGCGTGCGTGCGTGCGTGCGTGCGTGCGTGGTGGTGGGCTGGGCTCTCCGCGCGCGCCTGCGGGAGCGCGGCGCGGGCGCAGCGCGTCGCGGCCGCGCGGCCGAGGTGTCACAGCGCGGTCCCGGGCGCCTGGTCGCCCCGGACACCGCGTCGGCGAGCAACCACAGAGGCAGTTGGCAGCAAGGCTCGGCACGAGGGGCACGCGCACCTGGGGCACCTGGGGAGGCTTTCTCCGCGGGAGGAGCTTCGCAGAGCCATCCATGTGATCGAGGACCCGCAGGATCGCACGAGGCACCCACGGCGCGGCGTCTGCCCGTCTCGTGGTGACCCGCGCCGTCCATAGCGTTGCAGGCACCTTGTGGGGAGCCATGGCGCGCTGACAGTGAAGGTCCTACCTATGTCGTCACCCCGCGCGCCCCAGGGGGGCTGCGAGGCTCCAGATACAACTGCAGGACTTCAGAGAGGACGTGCAAAGCCTTGTGGCAGCCAACTTGGCTGCCGCGCGCGCGCCCCGCCGGGAAGCACGACCCCGCGCGACCACAGCAGGTATATTGCGCGTCAGAGCGACACATGGTCAGCTCGCGGTACCGCGGACGACCGCCCAGGCGCCCGCAGCGCGTGTGCTGCCCAGCCGCGGCGCTCGAGGCGGGACGTGCGGCGCGTGGGGGCGCGGAGGGAGAGCGCGCTGACCCTGGTCGATCGTCATTGCGATCGCAGGCCGGGCCGGCGGGGCCATGTCCGGCGGCGGCGTGGAGGCGGGCCGGGAGATGCGAGTGGTGGAGTCGCGGCCGGAGACCTCCCTGAGGGCTCTGCCCGCCTCCGCTGGTTGCCGGCGACGAGGAGCTACGACCCTCGCGCTCGTGGGAGATCCCGGGGCCCCGCTGCGTTCGCGTCGAGCGGCGCCACGGTGTGTGTCGAGGAGCCCACGTGGCGCAACAGCGGCGGGGCATCTGACGGCTCAAACCGTCCGATCTCGTCCAGGATCGCCGGCCGCGTCCCCCTGTCGAAGATACTCCCGGAGATCCGGCGCAGACGGCGAATGCGCTGCCGCCGCTGTAGCGCAACGAGCGCTTCGGACCCCCGCGCAGCGCCAGACACCTCCCCGTGACCCCCTACACGACGCGGTTCTGACGCGACCGTGTCTCACTGCCTGTGTACGTGCCTCGGATATCCGACGCAGGCGCGACGGGTAGCGGCTCGCCCCCGCCCCCAACGGTTCGACGACTATGAGCACAACAACAACGACGACGACGACGACGACGAAATCAACAACAACGACGACGAAAACACCCCCAACCAGTTCAAGGGGGGGCTGTGGAGGCAGCGCAAAGTTTTAGTACAATACATCGCCTCATACATCGCCTCACGAGACAGCAGCCACATGTAACATGCAGACCGCCACCTGCGCGCCGGGCTCGACGGCTCGCCCGGCTCGCCCGGCTCAGCCCTGCGCGGGCGGGGGCTTCGCGGCTGCGTCGAGCTCCTGCGCGCCGCCCCCGTCGTCCGCCGTCAGCCAGTCGTCCCCGAGGTCGTCGCCGCCGTGCGCCACGGCCGGCGGCGGGGGCGGCGCGGACGGCGCGGCGTCGTCCGGCGGCCCCGCGCTGCCCGGCGGCCCCTCCTCCCGCTCGGCGGCCCCTCCGTCACCGTCGTCGTTGTACTCCTTGGCCGAGTGCACCACCGAGTTGGCCTGCCGCGCGAGGAAGCTCCCGAACGTCCCGATCTTCTGCTGCGCCCACGTCGCGCTCGTGCGGATCGTGCGCACGCCCGTCGCCACGTGCTCGTTCTGCATCGCCTTCTCCCCCAGGGCGCGCGCCCTGCAGCACACGCACAACGCACGGGGCCGTCGCGCACGCTGCACGGACGCGGCACGCTGCACGAACGCCGCACGGGCCTTGCTTCGCCGCACCTCTCGCCCGCGGCGTGCACGGCGTGCGACCCGCGCTCGGCGTAGGTGTTGACGCGCTGGTGCATCTCCTGCACGTGCGGGTTCGCGGCGATGCGGTCCGCGGTGCCGCGCGCGATCTTGTCCACCGCGTGCACGGCCTTGCTCGTGCGGTTCTCGAACTGCTCCGCGGCGCGCGCGCGCGTGAGCTCGAGCGCGAGGCCGATGCAGTGCTCCTCCACCACGGGGTGCACCTCGCTCTCGCAGTACCCCGACAGACCCTCGTCCAGCCACGCCAGGAGCGCGGCGGCGTCGCTCGTGTCCCACAGACTCACCGACACCGGGCCCGAGCACGGCACCACCTGCGGAGAGGGTCGGAGCAACCACCACCCTGGGGTGGGACCGCGGACCCGCCGCGGCGAGGCGCGCGGCTTCGAACGGTCTTCGTCGGCGGCGTCGTCGTCGTCGCGCGCGGCGTCGTCGTCGGCGCGCGCGCGCCGCGCGGGGCGCACGAGGGAGGGGGTGCGACGCGCGCACCATCCTGCAGCGGTGCTCTGGCGGGACCTTGCGGCTCTTGACGAGGTCGGTGAGGAGCATCATGGAGAAGGGGACCTTGGCGGATATCTGGTCGATCTTGTGCACCGCCATCACGAGCTCCCTCTGGCCGCTGGGGCCCACGGCGGCGGGGCCCGCGGCTCCCGGGCCCGGCACGTCGAGGCTCCCAGCCGACTTCTGGGAGCCGCCGCCGCCGCCGCTCGACGCGCCGTCCATCGCGACAGGAAGACGAAGCTGCGACCAGCGACGGGCGAGGAGCGCGAAGACAGGGAACGCGACGCGAGCGAGGAGCAACAAAGTCTCGAGGAGTCGCGCGGAGGACCACGGTGCTGCTCTGGGTGTTGCGCTGGGACAACGTTCTCGCTCGCCGCGCACGCAGTGTGCGTCGGGCGCAGCCCGGAGGGCCGCCGTTGCCGCAGCGCGGCGTCCCGGGGGACTGAGTCCCAGTGGGAACTTCTCTCCCCCTCCGGTCCGCCGCGCGCTCGTGGGACGGCGCGGGCGGCGCGCCGGGACACGTGCGCCCGCTGGATCGAGTGCGCGGCACGGCTGTTCGCTGGGACCACCGCAACGCGACGCAGTGACGCAGTGACGCGTGCGTGGCGGCATGGGCGGGGTGCGGTTCGCGCCGGGGCCGTTCGCGTACAATGCGCGGGTCGGGCTCGCGCTGTTGCCGCCCCTCATGATCCTGGCGAACTGCGGCGGGCAGCTCGTCCTCGGAACCCTGCTCGTCGGGACGCTGGTGCGTGCACGACGCAGGGCTCTGCCCCCCGCAGCGACGTCGTCGTCGCGCTCCCGCAGCGTCCCCCGCGACCCCCCTCCCTCGCGCAGCTCCCTCCCCTCACCGCCATCGTCGCCCACGGTCGCAGTGCGCCTACATCCTGGACGCGACGGGCGTCAAGGAGGGGGCCCTGGCGTCGCTCTGGGGCACCATGATCCTGTCGAACCTCGAGCTCATCCTCACGGGCGCGCTGTCCGAGGGCCACCGCCCGACGCTGCTCACGCTCCTGCTCACCCTGGCGTCCACGTGCCTGCTGCTCCTGACCGGCGTGTGGGCGACGCTGCAGTTCCGGTGGATCCAGGTCACGTCGCCCGCCGCGGCCGTGTCGCTCGAGCGCCTCCTCCTCACCGCCGCGGGGCCCGTGGCCGCCGTGCTCCTCGCGTGGTGGCTCTCCGTCGCCGTCGGACCGTCCCTCGCGCCCTTCTACCTCCTCCCAGCGGTACGACGACGACGCACCGACGACGCACCAACGACGACGTTGCATGCATCGCCTTTCTCCGTCTCTCCCGCGCGCCCCCGCCAACCCCCCCCGCCAACCCCCCCCGCCAACCTCCACCTCCTCGTGTCCGCAGCTGCCGGCGCTGTACTTCATGCTGGGGCGCGCCCTCGTGAGCTCGTTCCACCGCCCGGCGGGCCCGGAGAGCAAGGCGGGCCACGCACCGCCCGCGTCGGCGCTCGCGGTGGGGCCCACCGAGGCGCTGGTGGCCTTCCTGGTGTACACGCTGCTGCCGGCGGCGCACTACCTCGGCACGCACGCCTTCGACCTCCTCCACTGGTGCGTCGACAGCCACCGCAACGACGCACAGTGCGACGTCGTCGTCGTGCCCGAGCCTGCCCCCGGCCACCCTCTTCTCCGCAGGGAGGCGCTGTGGTCGCTGATGCTGCTGGTCTCCGTGCCGCCCCTGGTGATGCTGTCGGGGCACCGCGGCGTCTGGTGGGCCGAGGAGCTGCTGTCCGCGCGGGACGCGCGCATCATACAGCACGCCGGGCAGGCGCTCGCCGGCACCGTGGCCCTCGCGGGCGCCCAGGGCCGGATCATCATGCCCAGCTTCGGCCAGGTGCGTCGCTGGCCTCCCGTTTCTTCCCCCGTCCCCCTTCTCGTGCGAAGCTGGGGAGACGCCCTCCCGCCGCCCTCCCGCCGCGTCGCAGTACATCAAGGCCCCGCCCCCGTGGAACCACGTCGAGGTGTCCGTCGCGCTGTTCGGCGGCGCGCTCGCGGCGGCCGGCGTGCTGTCCGGCTGGGTGAGGCGGCGCCTGCCCGCGGGCACGTCGAGCGTCATGGTGCTGCTCGCCGCCGCCGCCGTCAGCGTCGCCGTCGGGCTGCCGATGTGGCTCACGCCCGCGCCGATCGTCGCCGCGGGCTGCCTCGCGTCGGTGCTCGAGGACTTCGACCCGTCCATCTACGCGGCGTTCGTCGTGCTGTCCACGGCCACGGGTGCGCACGCGCATGCTCATGCGCATGACGTGACGTCTGCATGCACCGCACACTCTCACACTGCGCGCCGACCGATGTTCGTCCTCGCGCCGCGCAGGCGGGTGGCTGATGCGGCACCACTTCGGGTTCCTGGACGTGCGCGTGGCGGGCGTGCCCCTCTCCCACGTCAACGCCGGCGCGCTCCTGCTCTTCCTGCCCGCCCTCGCGCTCCCGGGGATGGTCTACTGCCGCGCCCCGCGGTCCGCCGTCGCCGCCGCGATGCTCGCGCAGGCCGCGGGCGAGCTCCTGCTGGAGGAGCACCTCTTCACGTCGGGGCACGGCGAGGAGCACCTGTACCCGCCCTGGCTCGTGGTGGCCACCTCGGTGGCCGGCGCCGCGGGGACGTACGCCGCGGAGAGCTCCGGGCGGCTCCCCGCGGTCGCGGCGTGGGCGCTGCACTGCGCGTACCTCTCCAAGTCGGCCATGGTGCTCCTGCCGGAGGTGTCGGTGGCCAAGGAGGCGCTCGCGCTCGCGCTGGCCGTGTCGCCGCCCGTGGCGCTGTACGGCGCGTCGACGCGGCAGCTCGACGGCGCGCGGCCGCTGTCGCGCGACCGCGAGGGGCTGCAGCGCGCGTCGCTGGGCGCGGGCGCGGCGTGGCTGCACGTCCTCGGGATGGTCGTCGCGCTCGCGTACGCGCGCTTCTCGTTCTTCGACGTCCTGCGGCGGCTCGTCGGCGCCGCGCCCTCGCAGGCCACCGTCCTGGGCGTCATGGCGCTGGGGCTGGCGCTGGGCTGCGCGCTCCTCGTCGGCCGGTTCTTCCCCTTCAGCACGAGCGCCCGCCTCGGCGTGACGCTCGTCGGCGTCATCGGCGCCCTGCTCGTGCTGCTGCGCCCCCCGCTGCCCGTGCACGGCGGCGCCAAGTGCCCGCACCTGCCGTTCGGGCTGTGCCCGCGCCTGTGGGACGCGTCGCACGTCCCGGACAACCAGATCGACGACTACGCGATCTACGGCCCCGCGATGGGCGTGCGGCGCCACTGGCCGCTGTGGCTGCTCATCCTGGCCGCCGTGCTCATGCTCGGCGCGCTGGGCGGCGGGCGGCAGGCCGGGCAGCGCCAGGCGGCGCGCGCGGCGATCCGCGGCGGCGCGGGCATCGCGGCGGGCGCGCTCGTGGGCGGGTACGTCGCGCTGGAGCTCACCCCGGGGATGCCCGCCATCCAGCTGCTCATCTTCGCGTCCACGATGGCGACGGCGCTGTTCGTGTGCATCCTCGAGCTGCCCGTCGCGGTCGCGGGCCTCGCGCCCGTCGCCAGCCTCCCGTGGCTCATCGCGGTGTGGGCCGCGTGCCTGCCGCTGGCGCTGCTCGCGACGTACGAGGGCGGGGCGGACCCGGGGGGCGCGGCCGCGGAGGCGGCGGGCGCGACGGCGCGCGACGCGTGGGCCGTGGTGTCGGAGGAGCGGCGCGAGACGTCGCGCGCGGCGATCGTGGCGGCGGCGGCGTCGCAGGCGCTCATCCTGGCGCTGGCGATGAAGCTGCGCGTGAGCCGCGCGCTCGGGCCGGGGGGCGCCTCGGACGGGCCGGCGCGAGGGCAGGCGGGCGCGCGGGGGGCGGCGGGCAAGCCGAGCGCGTTCACGGCGGGGTCGATGGGGGCGCTGCAGCGCGTGGCGGGGTTCCTGGGGTCGTCGTGCGCGCCGGGGCGGTCGGCGGCGGCGCCCGTGGACCGCATGGCGGGGATGTCGGGGGGCGGGGGCGCGTGGATGAAGCTGGCCGCGGAGGGGCTGGGCTGGCTGCCGACGGCGGGCAACGCGGCGACGCTGCTGTGCTTCGTCACGGGCGCCGTGCTGTCGCGGTGGTTCATGGACCGCGCGTCGCTCTCGGTGCTGTCGCTCGCGCCCGTGCTGCTCCTGCTCAACCAGGACGCGTACCTGCTGCCGAACCTGACGCAGGCGCGCCGGTACGCCCCCTTGGCGGCGGCGGTGTCGTCGGCGCTCGTGGCCATCTCGCTGGTGGAGGCGGTCTCCAGCGCCCCGGTCGACACGGGCTCCGACGTCCTCACGGTGGCGCGCAGCTCGCAGTCGTCGTTCTTCCCGCTCCTCGCCGTCGGCCTCGCGGTGCCCAGCCACCTCATGCTGGTGACCTACCTGTGGACGCGGCGCTGGGTGCCGGCGTACCGCGTGGCGCTCGTGACGCCGCTCAACATCGCGTCGCTGCTGATGACCGGCGGGGACTCGGGGCAGGTCCTCGGCGCGCTCGGGCTCGCGGGCGGCGTCGCGCAGTTCTTCATGATGTACTCGAGCAAGGTGCAGGGGCTGCGGATGGTGTGACGGGCTCGCGCGGGGCCGCGCGGGGCGCGAACGAGCCGAGGTCTCACGTGTCACACTCGCCGCGCGAGGCACGGGCCCCGCAGCGCGCCGCAGCGCGTCGCGTCGCCGCCCTAGAGCGTCAGGCCCGAGAAGAGCGACGGCAGGAGGCCGCTCGAGAGGCCCGACAGCACGCCCGCGCCCTGGAAGAAGTCCCCGAGCCCCGGCAGGTCGAGGCCCGCGAGGTTCCCGAGCACGCCGCCCAGGTCGGGCAGGCCGGGCAGGCCCAGCGCGCCCGTCAGGCGGTCCTTGAGCGGCTCGCGCACCGACACGGTGTCGATGAAGGCGTCGAGGTGGTCCTTGGCCGCGCTGAGGGCCGCGACCGTCGGGTGCAGCGGCGGGAGGCCCATGACGTCCTTGAGCACGAACACGCTGCGCTCCAGGGCGCGGTCCAGCAGCGCGACGTGGAACTCGGTCGCCGACGCGCCGTACAGGTACAGCAGGATGGCGCGCGACGCTATCTCGTGCATGTCCTCGAACGGCTCGGAGGCGAGGCCCTGCGCGACGGTGCCCGGCAGGACGGTGCCCGGCAGGACGGTGCCCGGGAAGCCGCCGCCGCCGATCACCGACCCGGGCCGCCACGGACCCGACTGCGCCTCGACGGCGGGCTCGCCCGCGCCCGCGCCCGCGGCGTTCGCGCCCGCGTCGTTCGCGCCCGCGTCGTTGGCGGTCTCGGGCGGCTCCTCGGGGCAGAGCTTGAGGGACCACGTGCGCAGGAAGATGGTCCGCTTGTCCGCGTTCGGCGCCACGTCGTCGAGGTGGAGCGTCCACGCGCCCTTCGATCCGCCCTTGCCGGCCTCCTGCGAGAAGCACGCAAACGTCGCCGGGGAGAGCGGTGAGTGCGTGCTGCTTCGGCGGGGCGCAGCGCTGGGCGGGGCGTGTTGCACGGCGTCGCTCGCCTGGCTGTCGCCGTCGGTGAGGCTGAAGAAGGACTCGGACGGCATCCACGTGCCGCTGAAGGGCGCGGCCTCCTCGGGCTCCGGGAAGAAGGCCGTCGCGGCGTCGGAGAAGGTGACGTCGATCATGTCGTTGCCCAGGCGGCCGAGACCGCGCGACTTGAGCACGACGGAGCCGTCGGGCGTGCCGCCGGCGTCGGCCGTCGAGAGGAAGACCTGCAGGACGCGGAACGAACGAACGAAGGCGCTGGGTCGGGCTGTGATACTGAGTTGGGCCGTCGCTGCATCGACCGAGCCGCCCTGCCCGAGCGGAGAGCTGGCGCGCGACGTTGCGCGGGGGTCGTACGTTGAGCGCTCCGATGCGGCGGTGCGACGCGGTGAGCGACACCTCCATGTGCTTGACGTCGAACGCGTCGTCGACGCGGATCGTCGACATCCCCGGAGTCTTCGAGTTGCCCATCGCCGTATATACCTTGCAGCCCTGCGTCGCGGCGGCATCGCGGTCAGGCCGGCGGCGCGTGAGGCCCCGATCGTGTTCCCCGAGGACGCGAGCCACGCGATCGACGGCGCGTCGCGCGCGCGCGAGGTGCGCCGGGGGTGTCACCTGGGTGCTAGTGGCGGCGGCGGGGGCTAGCAGGGCGGCGGCAGCGAGCGCCAGCACGCCCGACATTCGGTGCAGCATGGCGGGCAACGCCGTACGTCTTGGGTGCAATCACGGCGCGATTCTCGGTCGCGAACGAACCGCTCGGTGGCCGGTAGTTCCAGTCGCTGCGGGACGAGCTCGAGTGCATCTGTCCGGGCGCCCGCGTCCCTGCTCCAGTGAAGGCGCGGCCTGCACTCGGGATCAACGAACTCGACCGGGGGGGACACTGGCTCATACGTCAGCGCGCGCTGCATGCGGCGCCGAAGCGCCGTCCCGGACGCAGTTGCGGAAGGTCCGGGGATTCCACTACACGCGGCAGTGCACGAACGACGCAGCGCGCGCGCATCGTAGCGCCACGGGGCCTCGAGCTCCTTGCACCCGATGCATCAACCGGTTCCGTGCTGATTGGGCCGAGAAAACGATCGACAGCGCAGTACGTCTCGTCGTAGGAGAGGATATCGTCGCCCTTGTGTGTAGATCACGAGCCGTGCTGCGCGCGACGGAGAGAGAGGGCTCACGGACACTGTGGAGAGAGCAGGTCTTTCAGGCGCTTCCGCTGCACGTCGCATCACGTCAGGCGCCCACTGCGCCCCCCGGCTGGAGGGATTCTCGGCGTACATCGAGATTCTACCGCGGAAACAACCACGCACTCACGGTGAGCGGCCAGCGACCGCCCTCGTGGCAGCAAGACCGTCGAGCGCCGCGCACACGCGCGCGTTCTGGCCGGCATCGACACCCGCACGGCTTCACATCGGCATCCTCCTGCTCGTACGGCGTCCACACGCGCCTGACCGAGCACCCGCGTGCGTTGCACTCCGGTCCCCAGCGCTCCTCCTCTCCCTCGCCGTGTCGCCCGTGGTGCAGGGTGGCCCGCGCGCGGGCCGGCTGTAGGGCATGGTGCCGGACCGCCGGACGGCGGTCTTCATGGTCGTCGGCGAGCGGGACGTGCCGCTGTTCGAGGCGGACTTTAGCAAGGGGGCGCGGCAGGAGGAAGGGAGGCAGTACCTGCACTCCTTCGTGCTGCACGCGTCCCTCGACATCATCGACCAGGCGGTGTGGAAGTCGCCGACGGGGCAGCTCAAGAGGGTCGACCGGTTCAACGACCTGACGGTCACCGCGCACGTCATGGCAGGTGCGACACGGGCCGCGGAGCTCGCCCGGGCGCACGATGACGTCGCCGACCGATGCGGAGCACGCGCAGCGTAGCGCACCTCGCGGTGGCGGTGGTCTTGTCCGAAAACGAGTAGCATCTGAGCGATGTTTCCAGCGCTGTGTGTGTTTGTGTGTGGGGTGCGCGCAGACCTGAACGTCCGGCTGCTGCTCCTGCACGACTTCCGCGGCAACGACGACGGCGTGCGGCAGTTCCTGACCCAGGCCCAGGAGCTGTACCTCAAGGCCTCCCTCAGCCCCTTCCACAACGCCGGACAGCCCATCACCAGCGACGCGTTCCGAGCCCGGATCACGTCGCTGGCCGCGAGGTACATGCCCTAGGCCGCGCCAACGACGCGGGGCAGCGGGAAGGCCGCGACCGAGTGCCGCCCAACTGCGAGTGCGTTTCACTTCCAGTTGGGCGGGTGTGAAACCACAACACCGTCACGCACCGCGGGGGCCGAGGAGAGAGACTGGGGGCATGGGCACGGAGCAGGCAGCGCGGCCGTGCAGTCGAACGTGCATGCGGCTGCAGTCGCCGCAACGAGCGCAAGTGACACGGCGCCTGTTTTTTTGGAGATGCTGGCTCACACGGAGTCCTACGAACTGCGAAGGAAATATCTATGACGCGATGCAATGGGAGTGGAAGGGATCCACGAGGTCGGTGGTGTGCGAGCGCTGGCGGTGGGATCAACGGAGTGTCTACAAATGCAGGTGCGCCGGGGGCGCCGCGCCTGTGCGCTACAAGGGCACCGGCGCAGAGCCGTCCGGCACCTCCTCCAGCAGGCTCCCGAGGTCCAGGTTGAGTTCCGACAGCGACGCGATCCTGCGCGCGCGCCAGTGGGGGCACGCGGGTTGGCGGCGCGCTCGGGGGGCGCGGTGCGGGGCGCGGGGGGGCAGCTCGTGCGCGGCGGGCTCACCTTGGCATGCTTCCGAGGTCCCGGAGCGCGTGGTCGGTGATGGTCTGCGCCACCTCCGGGGCGATGGTCATCACGAGTGGGCTGTGCAGCGGCGGGGACTGCGTGGCCGCGAGCGGCGGCATGTTCAGGCCGAACGTGGGCGACGTGTTCGTCATGTCGTGGCCGAAGTTGAGCAGCCCCGACGGGATCCGCGGCACGTGCCCCGCGCCGTTGTCCGCGTGGTCCAGCCCGGGCGTCGACGTCGGCCCCAGCGGCGTGGACAGCCCGCGCGCCGCCGCCTGGTCCGCGTCCTCCATGCCCAGGTACGCGTGCAGGTCCCGGGCCGCTTTCGCTGCACGGAGAGGCGGGGGGCGCGCCCGAGTGAGTGGTGAGTGAGTGAGTGAGTGGGGGCGCAGCCAACCGACACGACGGTGCCGCTCCGGAGCCGCGCTGGGGGCGGCGTCGCGCGGGGACGCCGTCGGGGACGCCGTCGGGGGCGCGTCGGGGGCGCGTGCGCGGCGCTGGGCGGGGGCGGCAGCGTTGGCGTGGGCAGATAGGGAGGGGGCGGTGCGCCGGGAGTCGGGCTTGCCTGGTTCGTCGTGGCCTGGCATGCCTCTGTGCGGGTCCATCACGACGGGCGAGGTCGCCGCGCCCGACGACTCCGTCGCGGGGTCCATGCCGGCGCTGTGGGTGCCGAGCCGGTTGAGCTCGGGCTGGGGTGCCTGCGGGAGCGCGGGCGGAGGGGCGGGGTGAAGTAGCACCCACTGGCGGGCGCGCGCGGGCGGGGGGGGCCGTCAGCGCCCCGCGCGCGCCAGGCAGGCCGCCCTTCGCGCGTGCGGGGCCGTCCGCGCGCGTCGTTGCGCGCACGAGAGGGCGGCGCGTCCGCGCGAGGGCGTGGCTCCGAAAAGGTGCGGGACAGGGCCGGCAGCGCGCGGCGCCGGGGCGGGGCGCGCACCGGCTCTCGCAGCAGCTGCTGCTGCCTCTCGAGGAGGTAGTTGTAGAACACAATCTGGTCCTTCAGGCGCAGGCGCGTGTAGTACGCGCGGAAGAATTCCGGGTTCTGTTCCTCCAGCTTCGCCCAGACAATGCGCGTGAACGCCGGCTCGATCTGCGCGGGGGGCGGGCCGGAACGTCTTCCGTGGGCGGTGGGAGCTCCGGGGCGGGGCGGGGCGGCAGGTGCGCCGCGCGCCGGCGCGCCGCAGGACGGGGCAGAGCTACTGCCGCCGCCGTGCGGTTGGAGCGGCGGGGCGCCGCGCGGTCGGGCGTTTCCCGCGCGCGACGGGCGATGGGACGCGTCGGGGAGCTGGGTGGCCGCGTAACCTAGCCCGCGGCGGGGCGCGCGCGGCCGCGGTGGCGGAGCGGGCGTAGGGGCCGCAGTGCCCGAGTGAACAGACGACCGGCGGCACGGCCACGGGGCGTCGTTCAGCGCGCGCTTGCGCATCACGGAGATGTCGCCACGACTGACGACATGCCTCGAAGGCAGCGCCGCGGCCAGGGGCGGCCAGCGCGGGCGCCGCGCGGCCTGTCGGTACACCACAGCAGAGGGAGCCTTCAGTCGTTGTGCGCGCGCGGGGGCCGGGGGCGCGCCTTGGCTTGCTGCTGGAGCACCGCGATGATTTCTTGTTCGGAGAGGTAGTGTTTCATGCACCGTTCGATGAGGTTGTGCACCAGCTGAATGTCCTCGAGCTGCACGCTCTTCCGCGTGCGGCCCCCGTGCTCCGCCATTTCAATGCACGTCGGCCTGGGCACACGAAGTTGTTCGCGCCGGTCGTGCCGACGAACACAGCGGATCCCGGGCGCAGCTCGAGCGCAACGGAGGCCGACTACACCGTACCGTACGGGGCGGTCGCAGCGGTCCCGGCCGCACCAGTTCGGCGCGAAATGGCCTCTAAGGTTCGTGGTGGAGTGAGTGGCGAGCGATGGGCCGCGCTCCAATGGCCCCCCTCGGCCGCTTCGCCCGTCTTGCCCGCAGGTGAATTAGTGCTCCATACGAACCGCTCTCTCTCCGCTGCACGCGCGGACGCGGCGCCAATGCGCCGCCACGCCGTCGCGGCCGCCGACAGCACGCCAGCGCCGCGTCCCCCCCGCCGTCGGCCCTCCTGTCGTCGCCCGTCCGTGACGCCCCGCGCGGGACTTGCCCGTCGTGCTGCGCTGGCAGGCGCCGCTGCGACACGGCCAGCAGCGGGGCTTCTCCGGGGTCGCGGCTGCGCCGCTGCGCCCCACGGTCCGAGAACGAGCGCGTCGCGATGGTGGTGACCGCCCTGGTCCGCTCGGCGGCGCGTGCGGCCCGGTGCGCGCCGGAGCCCCACCAGCGGGTCGCCAGGGGCGCCGCGCGCGCGGGCGCGGGCCGGCCGACCAGGCGCTCGCTGTGCGTGCGAGCGGAGGGCCACGCGCGCCCGCCGGCGCACGTCGAGGAGGTCACCAGCACCAAGAACCCGTACGTGAAGCACTGCGTGAAGCTGCGGAGGAACGCGACGTACCGCGCCGACAGCGGCACGGCCCTCCTCACGGGGCTCGCGCCCATCAGAGAGCTCGCAGCCGCCGGCCTGCTGAACATCCGCGTCCTCATCTCGTCGGGCCAGGCCGCCACGGCCGACATCCCAGCCGCGCAGAGGCTCCAGGTCCGCCGCCCGCGCAGCGCACCGCCCGCGCGGCGCAGGGACTCCTCCCCGCCACCGCGCCGGCGCCTGCGCATGCCGCCGCCGGCGCCGCCCCGTCGCCCGCCGAGCCGCGCCGCACCCCTTCCCCCCCGCAGGTGTCGGACGCGGTGATGGAGCGGCTGGCGGGCCTCGAGGGCGCTGGCGGGGGCGCGTCGGGCGGGGTCGTGGCCGCCGAGGTCGAGCTGCCGTCGCCCGCGGCGCTCGCGGACCGCCTCCGCGCGCCGCCCCCGCACGGCCTGCCGTCGCACCGCCTGCTCGCGCTCGACTCCGTGCAGGACCCGGGGAACATGGGGACGCTCCTGCGCACCGCGTGCGGCCTCGGCTGGTCCGGCGCCTTCCTCCTCCCCGGGTGCTGCGACCCGTGGAACGACAAGGCCCTGCGCGCGGCGCGCGGCGCCACGTTCCGCCTGCCCCTGGCGACGGGCGGCTGGGACGAGCTGGAAGCGGTGCTCGGGGGCGACGCGGTGATGCTGGCAGCGGACGTGCCGCGCGCGGGCGCGGGGGCGGCGCCGTCGCTGCGGGCCGTGGCGGCGGGGTCGGCGCCCGTGTGTCTGGTGCTGGGCAGCGAGGGACAGGGCCTGTCCGAGGCGGGGCGGCGGCGTTGCGCGGCCGTGGGCGTGCCCATGCTGGGCGACATGGAGAGCCTGAACGTCGCGGTGAGTCCCCGCGCCCGGAGCGCGCGTGCAGCGCACGTCGAAGCGCGTCGGTTGCGCGCACCGTGCTGGTTCGCGCCGCGCCGCGGGACGCGCGCGTAAACTGCGCGTCGATGCGCCCCGCCGTGGATCCGCAGGCAGCAGGGGCGATCCTGATGCACTCGTTGGGCCCCGTCGGGCTCGCGGGGCTGCGTGGCGCGGGGTCGAAGGCTTGATGCTGGTCCTGGCCGGGTCACATCAGCGCCCGGCGGGGGGGGGGCGCTGGATGTCGGTCTCGGCGCGCGACGCGCTGGGGCCGGCGCGGCCGCAACGGCGCGGCCCGTCGGCGTCGTCGCCACACTGTGGATTCGACGAGGGTCGTCGGGTCTATCCACAGGGTTCAACTTGGCAGAGACGATGGTGCGTGGCCCTACGGCGCAGGCCCCACGGCGCGGGCCGCTCCGGACCTGTACTGCGTAGATACCGTCCACAGAGCCGCTGTATGCGCCATACTTAGGCCAGATAGGCGCAGCGTTCGCCCGGCAGCGGCCCCGCTGATCGGGGGGTGCCTGGCCCCAGTTCGTGTCTCCGAAGGCAGTCCCGTTCTACGTTGTCGGCGCGTGCGGCGCGAAAGCGGCCGCGCCTCGGAATATCCTGGATCGCCCTGCGGCCCTGGGCGGTGACGCGGGCGGCTGCCGCGCCTCGTGCGCGCGAGGGCGAATCCCTCCATGCCTTGCCCACCGATCTGCCCTCGTTGCGCTGCAGGGGCCGGCGGAAGACGGTCACCAGGGCTTTCAGACGCCGCACAAAGGCGTCCCGTCGGACGGCCGAACGAATGAGGACGCACGTTTCACGCTCGGAGGGCCGGACTCCTCTATGCAGGTGGGTCGGCGCGAAAAACCGCTCCCGGGAGTTGCTTCGACCTCGCACGACATGCGTGAATTTGCGGGCGCCGCAAACGCCGCGCGCGCCATCGCGCGGTCCATCGTGCGGCCCGCGCGCAGCCCCCGCCCCCCGGTGATGCGACTTGACCTAGCCAACCGCTCCGCGCCTAGATCGAGCCCCTGCGAACGCCTGTTTCGCCGACCCCCCCCCCGCAACCGGCGCCACCGTACCCCCACCGCCATCTGCAGGGCCAGCAGCGCGTGATCGACCAGCGCCCGACGCACGTCTACAGCTACTACGGGCCCTCCCCTGGACACCCCCTGTACGACGCCGCCCTGCACGAACCCGCCAGGGACGGCTGGCCCGCGGACCTGCACGACTCGTGGCACGGCCGCCCGGGCTTCCCGGGCTTGACGGGCCCTGGTCACGTGGACGGAGGACTGTACGACGTGTCCGACCACCTCATGACGGACTGGCCCGGCCCGACCGCGACCGCCGTCCAGCCGGGCATGATGCACCACGACGTGCAGCTCCCGTGGGGCGACGCGTGGGGGCAGCCCGCGCCGACGTACGCCGAAGGACCGGGCGCGTTTGGCCACGCGTACGCGCACCAGGCCAGCGGCGCGGGCCGCGGCGACGCCTTTCCGCAGGGCGGAGGCGCTGCGACCCACGCGCACTTCCAGGGCGGCAGCGGGTGGCTCGCGGCGGGCGCACCGAGCGCGCTGGACGTGGGCGGCGCATTGCAGGACGGCGGCGGCGAGGACAGCGGCGACGACCCCCGCGCGCCGCTGCAGGGGCAGGGCGGGCTCGTGTCCGGCATGACGCGGCGCTTCCTGACGCCGCGCGCGATCCCGCGCACGCACCAGCAGCTCGAGGCCCTCCGCAGGTCCCTGCAGGGCTCCCACCCGCTGCAGCGCCGCCAGGGGGCGTCGGACGGCGCGCCCCCGCCCGCACGCGGAGCGCAGAGGTCGGCCACCGCACCGCCCGTGGCCCGCCGCCGGGGCCGTGCGGGGCCCTCGATCGCCCCCGCCGACCCCGCACACGGCGAGTTTGCGGTCAACCCGGGGATGCACGTCGCCCTGGACGACCTGCCCTTCACGGACCTGCTGAGGGACAGCGTCCTGGACGACTCGCTGGCCGACATCTGCGGCCAGGGCGACCACGACGGCGACGGCGCGTTCCGCCTCGGCGCGCCTGGGAGGCCGGCGTCCGGGCGCGGCAGCGGGCGCGGGCGCGGGCGCGGGCGCGGCAGGGGCGGGCAGGGCAGTGTGCGGCGCAACACGAGTAGCCCTGGGGACGCCGTCGGCGCCACGCGCGCCCGCCGGTCTGACTCGCTGATGCTGCACGACTCCACCGACGTCGACATGTCGGGCGGGTCGCCGCGGCCGCTGAAGCGCCAGGTGAGCCCCCGCAGACGAACGCCCGCATCGTTCTCACGCACATTGCTCTCTCCTTCCCGTGCAACGTGCCGCACACGTCGTGCGCCCCCCTGATCTTCGCTCCGCTCCTCGCGCGTCGTCAGCGCACTGTCCGAACTCCCCCCGCTGCTCCTCCTTGCCCTTTTCCGCGCAGGCGGCGGCCACGGAGTGCGTGATGGCGTCCCCGACCGCCAGCCAGCCGTCCAGCGCGGACCACGCCCTCGTGGAACACAAGCGCGGGTTCCTGCACCCCTCCGTGATGGCTGCGCTCGAAATCCCGAGCAAGTCGCCCTCCGGCGCCAGCCACGCCGACGCCAGCAACGACGGCTCCGTGCTGATGGTGCCGCCCGTCGCGGCGCACGTCGCGGCCGCCTCGGCCCTGTCGCCGGGCGCCAGCGGGCGCTCGTCCAAGCTCGGCGCGGTCTCGCAGCGCCCGATGGTCAAGCAGGGCTCCTCGCGCTTCCGCGGCGTCACGAGGTGCGTCGTCCCACGCCCGCGCCGCTCGCGCCACGCCCCGGAACGCAGACACTCCCCCTCTCCTGCTGACACCCCCCATGTCCGGCCGTGGGAGAGCGCGCAGGCACCGCTGGACGGGCCGCTTCGAGGCGCACCTGTGGGACAGCAGCGTGCAGCGGAAGCAGAGCAAGGCGGGCCGCTCGCGCGGCAAGCAGATCTACCTGGGGGGGTTCCCCAGCGAGGAGGACGCGGCCCGCGCGTACGACCGCGCGTCCATCGTGTGGTGGGGCGAGTCCGCGATGCTCAACTACCCCTGGGACGACTACAAGGACGAGGTCGCGGTCCTGACCGCGCTCTCGCGCGACGCCGCGACCCAGCGCCTGCGCACCAAGGAGGCCGGGTTCGTGGACAACGAGGCGGGCTTCCACGGCGTGCTGCCCGCGGGCAAGGCCGGCTGGCGGGCGGTGTACCGGCACGCCGACGCGCGCGGGACGGTCGAGCTCGGGCGCTTCGAGGAGGCCGCGCAGGCCGCCATGGCGTACGACCGCGCTGCCATCGACGCGCTGGGCGTGCGCGCGGTGCTCAACTTCCAGCTCGGCGACTACTGCGACGAGGACGCGATCCAGGAGCTGTACCGGCGGGAGTCGGGCGGGGGCGGCGCGGACCGGCGCTCGGGCGAGAGCTGCGCCGAGTGAGCCTGCCTCCCGCGCGCTGAGCGAACAGACAAGACGCGCCGACGGCGACGAGCGCGCACGTGTTGGAGTGATTGTACAGCAGTTTGGTTCCGCCGGGAGAGCGCGACTCCGTGCTCGTCCTGTTGACACAACATCAACACAACCCTCTTGTTGTAACTTCCGTGCATGAACAGCGAGGCGCCGCTGAGCTGTCACTCACATACGTCCTGCCGCGGCCTCACCAACGCCACGAACGACAACGCGCCCGATCAAGGCACCACGTCCCCCGCTCAGTCCGTCTCCATCCGGTTCGGGTCCGCCTTGTCCGCGGATGCCGGCGCTCCCTCCCCACCAGCCTTCGGAGCGTCGCCCGCCGGCGCGCCGTTGCCCTCCGCCTTGCCGCCCTCCGGCTTGGCCGCCTCCGCAGCGGGTTTCGCCGCCTCCGCAGGCCTCTCCGGCCCGCTCGGAACATCCTTCTTCTCCGCCGCAGCCCCCGGGGCGTCCGGCGCGGCCTGCCCGGGCTCCTTCGCGCCCTCGCCGCCCTCGAGCGACGCGGCCCACGCCTTCGGGTCCTTCAGCTGCACCTCCCGCCGCTGCGGCGTGTGCTGCAGGATCTTGGGCTGCGGTGCGGCCACTGCTGCCGACGCAGCCGGCACCGCCCCCGCCGGGGGCTTCGACGCGTTGCCCGGCGCGGGGCGCTGCTGCACCACGGCCGCCGCGCCCGCCATCTCCGCGTCCGACTCCGAGTCAGACCCCGACGAGCTGGAGCTGGAGTCGATCGCACCGCTGCGCCCGCCGCCGGCCACCGGGGCAGGTGCCGGCGGTGGCGCGAACGCAGGCGCGGCGCAGGCGCGGGGAGCCGGAGCAGGCGCGGGGGCCGGAGCGAGCGCGGGGGCCGGAGCAGGCGCCGGCGCCGGTGCAGGCGCGGGGCAGGTGCGGTCGCGGTGCGGAGCGGGCGCCCGGTGCCGGAGGTGGGGTCGTTGCCGGGGGCTGTTGCTGCGGCGCCGCAGCAGGCGCCGGGCGGCGCTGGCGGGCGCGGGAGGCGCCGGCGCCGGCTGGGGCGGCGCGGCGGCGGGCGCCGACCCGTTGGTCTGGGGGGGCGCCGGGGCAGCAGAGACGGCTGGGGCCGCGGGGGGGGTCGCCGCGGACGCCGCGGGCTGCTGGCTGCCCGGCACGGGCGCGCCCTCGGGCACGGTCTTCGCCGGCACGGCCGCCTTCTGCGGCTTGTCCTTCCGCGACGCACGCTGCACGACGCACGCGCCCAACAACAGCCCTCACGCCTCGGTCTGACGCGTGCGTTCCGGGGCGTCCGCGGCGCTGCGGGGGCGGCGGCACGTACCTTGGTGAGGGCGTCGAGTTCCCAGAGCGTCGCGCGCGAGAGGCGGTCCAGGTCGAGCTCGACTTCGGCGCCGTCGGGCGCGGCCGCCAGGGAGGGCTCCGTGCGGGAGATGAGCTCGATGACCTCGCCCAGGCGGTCGCCGCCGAGGGACCCGAGCGCGATCGAGAGCCGGCGCTTCTCCTCGAACGTCATGTCGCGGTCCTGCGGCTTGACTGCGAGGAGAAGGGGTTGGGGGTGTGAGAGCGCGGTGGGCGGAGCCGGCGCGTGCGGGGCGGCGCGGGGCGCGGGCAGGGAGGCGGACCTGACTTGTCGATGTCCGCGGGCCGGATCTTGCTGGCCACGCTGGTGATCTTCTTGCCGGTGTTGGCAACCTTCTCCGACAGCGTGCTGCCCTCGGGCTTCTGCGCGCGTGGCGGTCGTGGAACAGACGGTTCGGCGGCGGGAGAGCGCGGGGAGGGCGCGGGGCGCGCAGTGTGCGCGCGGGGCGCGCGGGGCGGGCGGGGAGAGCGTGGGGAAGGAAATGACGCTTGACGAGTGCGGGAATGCTGGCTCCGCGTGGAAGGATGAACGCGTGCGAGGGCGGCGTGGGCGGAGGGGCAGCGGTTGGACGCAGCCCGGCGGCCCGCGCGGGGCGCTGGAACGCAGGGCAGCTGGACATCGGTGTCGCGAATGGAACAGGACAGGTGGGGACCGAGCTGTTGGGCCGGATCGGGGCCTGCCAGCGCGGTCCGCGTGGCTCACGAGGTCGTAGACGGTGTATGTGGGCCCGTGGCGGCGACGGAATGCGCCCCCCGTGCCCCACGGGACGGCAGCAGCGTGGCCTGTGTTTCGGCGGGCAGGGGGTCTGGCGGCTGCGATTCCCGCTCCGCGGGCTGGGCGCGCACCATGCCCGACGCCTTCTTCCTGGCCTCGAGCTCTGCGAGGCGCTCCTCGATGCCGGACTGACCCCAGCGTTTCTCCCAGACCTCGCACAGCCTGTCCCCCATGGCTCGCACCGGCGTCACCGGTGGGTTGTAGATGCGGCAGTTCAGGAAAACCTGCCTCATATCCTCACGAAATCCGAGCGGACTCGTGTAGAATCGCGGTTGCGACTTCGCCGGGTTGTTTTCGAGCCGCTTGGAGATGGTGCCGAGGTCCATCGGTTTATTGACGTGCACGAAGTAATCCGACGCGCAGTCCCGGACGGGATCGACGGGCCGCAAAAACAGCTCGCAGTCCTTCTTGTGCGACTTCTTCAACCCCCGCAGGATGTTGGCGCATTCGGCGAACAAGGCATTCATCTCGTCGTCCTCCGTGAGGGGCGCGCCCCCGGGCAGCGGACCCCCGACCGCGGGCACCGCGGGCTTCGGCACCGCTGCACGCTGCGGCACGCTCCCCGTGCGGATGCGCGAGATCATGTCCTCGATGGCCGTCTTCTGGAACACCACCTCGCGCAGCTTCGCCTCCAGCTCCTTGCGCTCCTGCCGCCGCTGCTCGCGGGCGTTCGGCGCTGCGGACGCGCTCATCGTGGCGGTCTGCGGGCACCTCGCGACGCCGTCTGCGTGCTCCGCGCACGGCGGGACGCCAAAGACGCTTCAGAGCCCAGACGGACCCTCCCGGGGGAGTCAGCCGCGAGATCCCCCCCCTCGCGCGGGGTATGGGGCGCGCGGGCGGCGGGGGACGTGCAGACGCTCGCGCTCCGTGGCAAGGCGAGGGCGTGGGGGCGGGCCGACGGGCCAAGTTGCGGGTGTTGTACACGCTGGGCTAGCACCGAGGCCTCCGTGCGACGGGACGGCTCTAGATACGCAGCGCCGCGCAGTCCCTGATGCGACTCCGTCGCGGTGTGCGTTTCGGCGGATCGTAACTCTGATGGGGTTCGGCGAGGGCGTGGACGCATTCGCCTCGGGTGCCGCGCTGTGCCTAGCCGTGGCCGTCACGCTGCTCAAGGAATCGCTTCCGAAGCGGCCGCGCGGGCTTCGCTTCGTGGACTTCCGCCACCTCAAGGCGGTCGCGACCCTGGCCTGCGGTTGTTCAGCCGCGCTGTTGGTCTCTGGCCTCCTGACTGATGCAGCCCCCCGCCCGCCGAGCTGGGAGGTGTCTGTCTTGCTGCTGTCCCTGCCGCTGCTTGGCGCCGCCGTCGAGATCGCGCTCTGGCCGGAAGAGTCGATGGAACCGTGGTGGGCGGCGCTCCCGCTCGTGTCAGCAACGGCAGTCGTCGCGGGCAGACGCGCCGTGGTGCTGGCGGCACAGGAGCACCGCCACGACCTCCCGAGCCCGGCACCGCTGGCGCTGAACGCAGCCTGCGCGACCGTCGCGCTCACCGGGCTCGCCGTCATCGCCGTGGAGCTGTTCGCCACGCCGGCGCTTCCACAGGGCAACACCGAGCCGCTGCTGCCCGAGAACGAGGTGCGCACGACGCCGCCACCCTCTCTCATCGCAGTGCGCGCGGCCGGACGCTCGCATCTCTCGCCGTCCCGCTGGTTCGAACGCACGCCGCGATCGATCACAACGCTCGATGCAACCGTGCCCGCAGGAAGGTCGCCAAGGCTGGCGCGCGTTCAAGCGTCCGAAGCGCACGATACCGCTTCGCGTGCTCTTCGGCCGCGCGCTGCGCTTCGCCACCCCGCGCACCGCGTCCCTCCAGCTCGCCGCGCTCACCTCGCTGCTCCTGGTGGGCGTGTCGCGCGTCATCAACGTCCTCCTGCCGCAGATCTACGCGCACATCGTCGACGCCGTCGCCGCGCTGTCCCACGGCGGCACGCCCCCCCCCTCGGCGCACCTGACCGCAATATTTCCCCCCTGGCAGCCGCTCGGCGCACTCGTCGCGGCGTACCTCGGGCTGCTGGCGCTGCAGGGCGGCGCGCTGTCCGGCACGGGCCTCATCACGAACGCGCGGACCGTCCTGTGGCTGCCCATCAACCAGGCCAGCACGCGGCTCGTGTGGCAGCACATCCTCGACCAGTCGCTGGACCTGGACCTGGACTTCCACCTCGCGAAGAAGACCGGGGAGCTCCTGCGCACGATGGAGCGCGGCGCCTCGTCCCTCCAGACCGTCCTCTCCGCGCTCGTGTTCAACCTGGGCCCCGCGATGCTGGACCTGGTGGTCGGGTGCGCCTACATGGCCGTGGCGCTCGACCGCTGGATCGCGCTGATCGCGTTCGCGACGCTCGCGTCGTACCTGCCGCTGACGGTCACGGTGACGGAGTGGCGCACCGCCATCCGCCGGGAGATGAACCAGCTCGACAACCAGCGCTCGGGGGTGGTGACCGAGTGTGTGCAGGTGCGCGACGGACACTGCCGCGGCGGGTGGGCGCGCCCGGCGCTCTCCTGCGCAGTTGGGCGCGGCTCGCACCATCATGGCCAACGTTGTGCTTTTGGTGTCGTTTCGCTCGGCGCAGAGCTGGGAGACGGTGAAGCTGTTCACGGCCGAGGACCGCGAGCGGACGCGGTACTTCGACATCCTGGGGAAGTTCCAGGCCGCGGAGCGCCGCATGCAGTGGTCGCTGGCGGCGCTGAACGCCATGCAGCTGGTGATCGTGCTCTCCGGCGTCGCGTGCGGGCTCGTGCTGTGCGCGGACCGCGCGATGCGCGGCGAGCTCACCGCGGGCGGGCTCGTCCTGTTTCTCACCCTCATGGCACAAATGTGCACGCCCCTGTCCTGGCTGGGGAGCTACTGGCGGATGCTCGTGCGGAACCTGACGGACCTGGAGTCGCTCGTGACGTTCCTGGACGCGCGGCCGGGCGTGGCGGACGCCCCGGGCGCGCACCACCTCGTGCTGAAGAGCAACAGTTCGGTGGAGTTTGCCGACGTGTCGTTCGCGTACCGGCCGCGCGTCGCGGCAGGCGGGGCGCGGGCGGCGCCAAGCAGCACCGAGGCGGCGGCGGACGGCGCAGAGGCCGTCCCGACCGCGCTGCAGGGGGTGTCGTTCGTGATCGACAGCGGGCAGAAGCTGGCGCTCGTCGGACACACGGGCGCGGGGAAGAGCAGCGTGCTGCGGCTCCTGTGCCGGTTCTACGACCCCACGCGCGGCGTGGTCAAGGTCGGGGGCACGGACGTGCGGTGCGTGACGCAGGCGTCGCTGCGCGCGCACATCGGTGTGGTGCCGCAGGACACGGTGCTGTTCCACGCCTCCATCCTGGAGAACATCCGGTACGGGCGGCCGGACGCGACGGACGCCGAGTGCGTGGCGGCGGCGGAGGCGGCGGCGCTGCGGGCGCACGTGGAGTCGCGGCTGCCGGAGGGCTGGGCCACAGTGGTCGGGGAGCGGGGGCTGCGGCTGTCGGGCGGCGAGAAGCAGCGCGTGGCGTTCGCGCGCGCGGTGCTGAAGCGCGCCCGCGTGCTCGTGCTGGACGAGGCCACCAGCGCGCTGGACTCCGTGACCGAGCGACAGATCCAGGACGCGCTGGAGGCGCTCGAGCCGCGGCCGACGCAGGTGGTGGTGGCGCACAGGCTGTCGACGGTATCCAGCGCGGACACGATCCTCGTGCTGGACCACGGGCGCGTGGTGCAGCGCGGGTCGCACGGCGAGCTGGTGGCGCAGGCGGGGATCTACGGCGACATGTGGGCGCGCCAGCTGCACGCGGGCACCAGCAGCGAATGGGCCGAGGGACGACGGAGCGGCGGCGGCGGCGACAGCGACCGCACCGACGACTGACTGCGGGGAGTCACAGCTGTGAGCCTCCCACTCTCGATCGGCCCGCTAGACCCTGCTGACCTTGTTGGACGCGGAGGCTTGCTGTTTTGCTTTGCTGGCCTGCAGCGCCTGGACGAACACGATCCCCGCGGACAGACCGATGGCGATGCTGACGAGGTTCGCGGCCGACGTTTGCACGTTGAACAGGAAGATGCCCAGGGCCGCCAGCGGGATCTGCGGGGGCGACGTGTGCGTGTGCGGTGGGGTCATGTTGCCTCACGCGGCAGCGTCTCGCTGCGTGCGCGGGGCGCGGCCTGCGCGTCTCGGGCCCTCCGCGCGGACCGCAGGACCTCGCAGCGGTGGTGCGGGCGGTTGCCCGGCGCCTCAGGTGGCGGTGCCATGATGGAGAGTTGGGCGCATCTTGCGGGGGGGGGCGCACCTTGTTCAGGGAGCCCGTGAGGGAGTAGATGGTCGGCGTGGCGGTGGAGAGGAACCAGAGGGATGCGAAGGAGATGGCGAACCCGAGGACGCCGGTGGCCAGCACGGCAAGCAGGAACGTGGGCTCATGCAGCGCGCCCTGGTGCGGGAGCTGCGCGGCCTCGCCGAAGAACACGATCACGAGGAGCAGGAGCGGCACCGACAGCAGGTTGTTGTAGAGCACCATGGAGAACTCGTCCAGCTTGCCGCCAGAGCGCGTGTGCGCGCTGACGCGGTCCATGACGCCGCGCAGGACGAGGGAGTACCCCGCCGTGAAGCAGCAGTTGATCAGCTGCCAGACGTACCCCAGCGCGTTGAACTCGAGGTCCGTCGCGCCGCCCGCGATCGCCGACGCGATCATCAACAGCAGCGACACCCACACCTGCGCGCACGCCGGCCGTGGTCCGCGCCGTCGAGACTGAACGCGCGGCGCCGCACCGGACCCGCGCGGGGAACCGCGCGCACGCGGGCCGGGGCCCGCACGGGGCCCGCAGCGGGCGCTGTGCGAGGAGGGGGTGCAGCGGCAGGGTTCGGGGGCCGGCACGCGGGCGCCGGGCGCGGTGCGCTGGCGCGCACCTTGCTGCTGTATGTCCGTCCGTAGAAGAAGTAGTCGCCGGTGATCACGAGGAGGTTGGTGCAGTTCTTGAGCACGGTGACCATGGCCACGTTGAGGTGCTTCAGGGCAAAGAAGCCCGAGAGCAGCATGCAGACGAAGACGACGTTGGCCGGCGCCCACATCGCCATCAGTTCGTACTTGAGGGGCTCGAGCCTGATATAGCCCAGCCCCTCGCACGCTTTCACTAGAATTAGGCAGCTGAGGCATTGGGCCAGAATGATGGTGTTCGGACAGTGGAAGTCGAACGACGACAGGACGAACTTGTTCGCTAAAACCATGCTGCTCGAGGACGCGCAGTAGCACAGGCACGCCACCATCACCGTCGGCAGCCCGAAAATCCTCCCTCCCGCCCCCAGCCCGCCCTTGGCTCCCATCGCGCCCTCGGCCCCTGCAGCGCGCCGGCGGCGGCGGCGGCGCCTCGCGCAAAGTGCACGCGACGTTCCGGCTTCCTGCGTCCGGGACGCCAGCGCCGGCGGCGCCGGCAGCGCTGACGCAATCCCCTGTCCAGCGGGGGCGGGTTGCTGGCCGGGGCCGGGCACGGGGCGGAGTCACTCACCCTTCTCTCTATCAACAGCGCTCTCAGAGTTACCCTCCGCGGCCGCCTTCGGGTCCATCGAACAGCGGCCCGACCCACGCGCACAGACCGTCCACGATCTGCCACTGCACCCTACACGTTACCGCGACCTCATTCACGACGCCCTTGCAAGCCAAGCAAAGTGGCGAACAAGGACACGCCGCCGCGCCATCGAGACGCCTGGTCGGACCGCTGACGTGGACTTCGGGGGTGCTTTGGAGGCACAACCCTTGAGTCATGTTGGTGTGTCGGGACGCACCGCGGGGCCTCGTGAGGAGGGCCGCACGCGCGCGAGCGTCACTCCGGGGCAGTGGGCGGACGTCGCAGAGACCCTGTGCCGCACCACGACGCGTGACTGGGCGGAGCATTGGGTTCCCGCGGCAGCAGCCTGGGGCTGAGCACCGCACGTTGGGGGCGAAAGCGCCGTTGGCGCCTTAGAGGTGGCGGGATATAGCTGATGGACGTGGACGACGAGTACAACTCGGGGCCCGGGTGAGTCGTGACCAGGAGCCGGCCGCGTTTCCTCACGGAGATGCTCCACGGGAGCTGCTGCCGCGCCCCCGGGTCCTCTTGCGGCGCGCATTGCGCTAGCGGCGTGAGTTGACGGCGGAACATGCCCCGGCCGTCGTACGTTTCCGCGGTCCGGCCGCCCCGACGCCACGACGGGCCGGCTGGCTGCTGCAAAGGAGGCCGCCGCAACCGCCGCTCGTGCGCAGGGAGGAGGAGCAGGAGCCTGAGCAGGAGCACGACCAGGCGGACGAGCACGAGGCCGGCCGGGACCCGGTCGAGATTTTCGACCAGGGCGAGCAGCAGGAGGACGGGGCCCCGGAGCCGCAGGAGGACAAGCCGCGCATCACGACGCGGTACATGACCAAGTACGAGAAGGCGCGGATCCTGGGCACGCGCGCGCTGCAGATCTCGATGAACGCGCCGCTGATGGTCGAGCCCGAGGGCCTCACGGACCCCCTGGACATTGCCATGAAGGAGCTCCAGCAACAAAAGATCCCCTTCATCATCCGCCGCCACCTCCCCGACGGCTCCTTCGAGGACTGGTCCGTCCAGGAACTCATCATCCCCGACAACCGGTAGCCCGCGCGCGGCGCCGCGGAGGACGGCGCGCCGGGCGATGTCCCCCGCGACCGGAGATGTGACTGCGGCCCTGCGCCTCGTCGCGGCGGGGGACGTGCGGCAAGCGCGTGCGGGTGTCACAGGGGGGGGATGTCCGAGTCGTCGGAGTCCGGGGGGTGTTTGCGTTCCAACATGTGTGTTTGCACCGTCGTGAGCGAGCACGGGTCGGCCGCCGCGGTCAATATGTGCAACAGGTGGCGCGGCGGGCGAGCGAGACGCCGCAGGGCGTCGGCCGTCGAGCGAGCCCGACGCCCGTCTCCACATGAGTCGTCTCCTGCCTTCCTCCATGGCGAACGCTTGTGTTGGCTGCCGCGCCTCACTTCGCGCCATCCTCCTCGTCCTCCGCCGCCTTCTGCGCGGCCTTCCGGAGCCGCGCCTGCACCTTGAGCATGCGCGCGCTGTCGGCCAGCATGATGCGCCTGAGGGCCCGCCGCTGGAACACCGCCGCGATCGCCTGCGACACCACCGCCGCCGCCATCGACGCCGCGAGGTTCCCCGTCGCCGCGTACGCCGCGCTCAGGCACGCCGCGTCCAGCAGCGCCCGGAACGCCATCAGCGCGTCGGTGGCCAGGCCCTGCTCCACCATGTCCCGCTTGATCGACCGCGCAGCCGCCTCCATCTGCGCCACCTCCTCCTTGCTCAGGCCAGAGCGCTGGCCGGGCCGCGGGAGCACGGAGAGCGCGCCGCCCGCCGACGTGCCCCGCGCCCTCTGTGCGCGCTGGACGCTGAGCACTTGCCCCGTGGCCTCGATGCCGAGGAAGCTCCCGACCGCGAGCCAGGCCGCGAGCACGCCCAGGTGCAGCTCGGCGCCGCCCGGGACGACCCCCAGGAGGCCCTGCGGCGGCACCTGCGCGACGACGTCGTCCAGGCCAGCCTCGTACAGGCGGTCAGCCCACCAGTGGCACAGGAAGGCGACGCCGACGCCCCGCTGGAGGAGCTCCTCGGCGGTCGCGGACGAGAGGATGACGACCAGCTCGGACAGGAACGGGATCCCGACGCCCGGGTTGACGAACGCTTCGGTGCGCTGCGGGGACGCAACAGCGGGAGGCGACACAGGTGGGTGCGGGCGCGAAGCGGGCGCGGGCTGCGCGCAGGGCCCTGCGGCGAAGTCGCGGAGATGCGGCCGGCGGCGGGCGTGGCGCGAGCACCCACGTTCGCGGCGTGACCTAGGCGGCTCCACCACAACCCCACGCCGCGGCGATAGGAACGTGTATCTCCGCACCTGCGCGTCCCGCAGCGCGCGGACGAACAGAGAAGGCCGGTTCGCGCCCCCGTCGTTCACCACCTCGCCGCCCGGAGCGGAGTCGTCGCTAACGACCAGCAGGGCCCCGCCCGCAGGCACACCGTCGTCCGCCGCGCCGTGGTCCGGAACCAGGACGGCGGCGTCGGCCAGAATCGTCGGAAGCACGAGGAGCATGCCGACACCGAGGTCCGCGAGGTCGAACCGGCAGCCAGCGGCGCCCTCGAGACCTAGCAGGAAGCCGCTCAGCACCGCCACGGTCCCCTTCGTGGCGCCGGCCTGCCACGCCATCAGCACGGCCTGCTCCAGCGCCGACGGCTCCGGGACCGACGACTCCTGGTCGTCCCCGGGCCCGCCCTCGCCGCCGCCGCCCGTGCCGGCGTGCCCACTGCCCCAAATGCGCTCCAGCTCCTCGGGGGTGACCGCACGCGCGCGCGCGGACGACGGCTCGCGCGGGTCGCGCATGCCGGAGCGCTCCTCGGGCTGCCCCTGCTGCCTGGGGTCGGGCATGCTGCGCGGCTTAGCAGGGCCGCGGCGCCCGGCATGGCCGCGCGCCTTGGACTTGACGCCCGAGGGAATGTGCCGCGTGGCGACGCGCGTGGCGAGCATCGCGCGGCTCTTGGCCCGGTCGACACGGGGGACGGACGGGGGCGTCCAGGGGAGCGCCGGAGGGGCGCGCTCACGTCCGGTGGGCTGCGCGGCGCGCGGGGGCGGTTGGTACAGTTGCCAAAACCCTTTTCGCGGTGAAGCAGGGTAGGTGGCGCCAGGGAGGGGAAGTCGCGAGTCCAGCGCGGTGCCGGTGCAGAGAGTGCCTGCAGCACGTGCGAGCGCGGCCGTTCGGGCCCCCGAGCGCCCGCACACGGACGCCCCGCCGAAATTTCGTTGTACCCCACGTGGAGCCGGCACGAGAAGGCGGCGCGGCAGCGGGTGCGCGTGCAGTTGGAGGGGCGTTGCTGCGAGCTGCTGGCGGGCTGTTGCGCGCGGGAGTTGGCTTGCGTTGCGGTGACGGTGATCGAGGGGCACTGGGCTGGAGGGCGCCGCGCGGTGGCGGCCTGAGGAACGGGGGCGGGGAGGAGCGGTGGAACCATGGACCAGATAGAGACATACGTGGACAGCGTGAGTCGACCTGCCGGTTCGCCCGCGCGAGATGAGCTGTGTGCAGGCTGCGGCCTCTGAAGGCAGCGGTTTCGCACGGCGTGGCCTTGCAGGCGGGGGTGACGAGGGTGAGGCACAAGGAGATCGTGCTGCCAATCCGCGTCGGGACGGTTTCGTGGCATATGGGGAAGAAGGCGTCGGACTTCGCGACGCATAGATGGACGGTCTACTTGAGGCACGCGGACAACGAGGACTGCAGTCATATCATCAAGCAGGTCACCTTCCAGCTCCATGCCTCCTTCGCTAACTCCAAACGCGACGTGTTCTCGCCGCCGTACGAGGTGCGTTGCAGCGAGCGACGGGCCTCGGTGTTGCCCGGCTTGCTCGCGCCGAGTTCCGCGGAGTGCGCGGGCCGGTGACCGCGATGAGCCACTCTTGCCGCCAAGGCTGCTGGTACTCGAGCTTTGCTGGGCCGTGCGTGCTCGCTGGCGCGCCCGCAGACTCGCACTGGTTGGTCTGTGCCGCCGATTCCGGCGCCCTGTGCGCCCGCACCTTCGATTCCAGCGCTCGCTTGCCGGCACAAGCCATGGTAGAGGCAGCGCGGGCACGCTCAAAGCCAGCAACGCCACTCACACGCGAGGGTCGCCACTCACAAGTGACGCATCCTTGCAAGCGACCGCAGGTGAGCGAGACCGGCTGGGGCGAGTTCACCATCCAGACACAGGTCTTCTTCGTCGACGAGGCCAAGTGCGCTCCGGTCGAGATCACCCACGGCCTCAAACTGTACGGCGACGACCCAAACGTGCGCCCCCACCGCACCACCTCCGCGCGCACCCGCGAGCCGGCCCCGCCGCGCCCCTGCCGCCCTCCCCCGCCACGCGCCGCCGCTCTCCCCGCGCTCTGCTTCGCGCGGCTCCTGAACTTCCCCCCAAACACCCCCCTCCGTGTTGCAGAATCCGAAGAAGGCGGTGGCGTCGGAGACGCACGAGGAGATCGTGATCGTGGAGCCGTCCGAGGCGCTGTGGCAGCGCGTGCAGGCGGTGGTGGAGCAGGGCGGGGCGCCCAAGGTGCCCGCGACGGAGGTGCTGGAGTACGTGCAGCCTGCGGGGGCCGACGAGGAGCTGGCCGACATCATGCGCGCGCGGCAGAAGGTCGCGCTCTGGATGGCGCGCATGCAGGCGTGAGGGCGCTGTGAGACGCGCGGGCGCCGGGGCGGGTGCGTGTTGCGGAGAGTGGGCGTCGAAGCAACGCCGCTGGGCGTCGTGTCCGTCACGCGGGAACGCTCGGGACGCTGCGGGTCGGGCGCGCACCGCCTGGCATATGCGTCGTGCTGCGGGGCGTCGCGCGGGTCGGTGTCGCCGTGCCAGCGGGTCTTCTTCTTGTTTGTTGCCGTTGAGTCTCGCACGTGGCTGTACTACTACTCGTGCCTCGAACGTCGCCGTTCCGCGCACGCCGTCAAGTGCCGGTGGCCACGCGAGCCACTCGCGTGGTCGTTGCCCTCCGCCGCAGCGTCGCCGGCGCCCCCTGCGTCGTCGCGCCCGACGCGGTCAGCCCGAGGCTCGCCGCGTCTGCGGGCGCTCAAGGCGTCGCGGTGCGGCCGGGCGCTGCCGCATCTGACAAGCACTCGACGGCGAGCGACATCGCAGCGCGACATAGCACCGTGACGCTGCAGGACCCGCCACACGACTCGCAGCCTTCTGGCTCCCTTCGTGCAGCCGCTGAGGGCGTCGGCCGCGGGCCGGACTGGCCGCCATGGGGCTCGAGCTCGACAAGTGGATCGAGACGATCAAGAAGTGCGAGCACTTGGAGGAGGACCAGCTGAAGGTGCGCCCCGCGCGGGGTGGCGCTCCCGCTCGCCTCCTGGCCCCACGCGCGCGCGAGTCGACCGCGAAGCCGCCCTGCGCGCTCCGGCGATCCGCAGGCGCTGTGCGAGTATGTCAAGGAGATCCTGGTGGAGGAGAGCAACGTGCAGCCGGTCTACAGCCCGGTCACGGTCTGCGGCGACATTCACGGGCAGTTCCACGACCTGCTGAAGCTGTTCGAGACGGGCGGCGACGTGCCGACGACCTCGTACATCTTCATGGGCGACTTCGTTGATCGCGGTTACAACTCGCTCGAGGTGTTCACGCTCCTCATGCTGCTCAAGGCCCGCTGGCCAGCACACGTCACGCTCTTGCGGGGGAACCACGAGTCGCGGCAGATCACGCAGGTTTACGGCTTCTACGACGAATGCCAGCGCAAATACGGCAACGCCAACGTCTGGAGGCGCGTCCCCGCCGCGCCGTCCCGCGCGCTGCCCTTGCTCCGCGCCCGCCCGCCCGCCCTCGCCCGCCCGGCGACGCCCCGCGCCGCAACACGCGCCCCCCGCGGGCCGGCGCGCCCCGAAACGATCGCAGCGCCGCGTGCGCCACCCAGAGCACGCGTGCGCGGCGCCACTCGGGCCGCTGGTCAGTTGGCAGATCCCTGCTCCCTCGGGCGCGAGCGCGTTACAGCACGCCCGCGGGCCCGCGTCGCCCCGGCGGCGCGCTGCCCCCCGCCGCTCCCTCGCGAACCCTGCGGGCCGTCGCTTCGTTCCGCGCAGGTACTGCGTGGAGGTGTTCGATTACCTCACCGTGGCGGCAACGATCGACGGACAGGTGTTCTGCGTGCACGGCGGGCTGTCGCCGGACATCCGCACGGTCGACCAGATTCGTACCATCGACCGCCTTCGCGAGGTCCCCCACGAGGTGCGTGCGTTTCCGTCCGCGGCGCCACTCGCCCTGCGCTGCCCTGCACGCGCGTGGGCGCGCGCTGCGTCCGCTCCGGGCGCCCAACGCGCGTGCTTGCCGGGGCGTTCGCGCAGGGGCCCTTCTGCGACCTCGTGTGGTCGGACCCGGAGGACATGGAGAACTGGGCGATCTCGCCGCGCGGGGCTGGGTGGCTGTTTGGCAGCCAGGTGACCAAGGAGTTTTGCGAGATCAACGGGCTGAAGCTCATATGCAGGGCGCACCAGCTCGTGCAGGAGGGCTACAAGTTCATGTTCGACGACCAGCTGGTCACGGTGTGGAGCGCGCCGAACTACTGCTACCGCTGCGGCAACGTGGCCAGCATCCTGGCCTTCGACGAGCAGCTCGAGCACAAGGCGCACCTGTTCCACGAAACAGAGGAGAACAGCCTCATGCAGGTGCCGCCACGGGCGGGCGTCCCCTACTTCCTGTAACTCTGTGCAGTGCCACACAAGGACGCCACAGGGCCCTCGAACAGCGGCCAGCAGCGCGCGGCTGCCTCGCGGCGGCGCACGCGGAGCGGGGCGCTTCGCTGCGTCGCCGGGCTGGTCCAGTCCGCCTGGGTCACTGCAAAAGAAGTGATTGACCATCCGCGCAAGAAACAGTAGTTCTTCGCAGTCGGGCGCGGCGCTGCCTCGCGATGCAGTTAACACGGGTTACAACTCCGCCAGGTCACTTCGTCCGCAGGCTCCCGTGCTTCGGGGGCCGCTGCGCCCGCGCCCCGGCCTCCCCGAACGCCTGCACGGCTTGGATCTTCGTCACCGCCGACCGCCAGCGCTGGACGCCCGCGTGGTGTGCGGTGGTCTCCGCCGCCGACCGGCTCCGTTCGCGCTTCGCGCTTTTGTTGTCCGTCCGCAGCGCCCGCGACGACACGCGCCCAATGCGCGACGCCGCCCCCGTCCCCGCTGCCACTGCTGCGCGGCCGCTGGCACTGTCGCCTGGGAACGACGCCCGCACGCTCCCGCCCGCGGCGACCGCGCTGCGCATGATCGCCTCGCGGCGCTCCGCCGGGAGGCTCGCGAAGCACCGCTGGCACAGGCACCGCGAGTCCATGGCGCACTTGGACAGCGCGCCGTGCGAGGTCACCGCCGTGTGCTTTGCGCAGAACATCATCTGGCACATCCCGCACTGGTGCCGCCCGAGCTTCTTCCCCAGGTCCTTCAGCCGGTCGAACCGCACGGCGCACGACGGCTCCGCGCACGCCCCCGGCCCCCGGTGCGCCGACGCCGCCGCCGCCTCCCCCGTCCCACGCGCCCCGTGCACGCTGTTGTCCCGCGACCCCCCCGTCTGCGACTCCGGCCGGCTGCCGCGCCCCTGCTCCTCCCCCGCGGCCCGCTCCTCCGCCAGCCCCTCCGTCATCCTCACCAGACTGTCCTCCTTCTCGCGGCGCGCATACTCCAGCGCCGCCGCCGCCGCACGCGGCCACCTCCCCTGCGGCGACCTGCGCCCGTTCGACCGCGGCGCGGAGAGCGCGCCCCGCTCCCCGCGCCGCGAGACCGACTTGTGGAACCGCCGCAGCGCCAGCATCTCGCGCGCCTCCCCCGACGGCGCGTCCGCCGGGGGGCTGCTCAGCTCGAGCTCGCCGTCCTCGTCGCACGACACCACCTCGATGCTGAGGTCCGAGCCGCTCGTGGCGCCCGAGCTCCGCTTGCGCCCACGCCCCGGCGACGCGGTGCCCGCGATGTTGTTCATGAGGGGCTCCGTGCAGGCCTCCGTGTCGGCGTCGGCGGCGGCGCGGCGCGAGCGCGCGATGCGCGAGACGATGCTGAGGAACGTGGCGGAGCGCGCGACCACGCCCGCGGCCACGACGAGCGCGCTAGACATGGAGCCCAGACCCCACAGCAGCCAGCCAGGGACCCAGCGGCGGCCCGTTGCGGCGCGCGAGTTCAGGTCCAGAGCGGAGGCGGTGTCCAGGGGACCTGGCATGAGGTGGGCGCCCGGGAGCATGGGGCTTCGGGCGCACGGTGCGGACGGGGGCTGTGCGTGGTGCGGGGCAGCGCCGCAGGGCGCGTGTTGCGGGAGCCAGGAGTACGCGGCGGTGGGCAGCAGCGGGTGCGCGTGCGGCCACCACTGGTGTGGATCGCCCGGGGCGAACGCGGCGAGCGGGCAGCCCGCACCTCCCGGGGTGTCTTGTCCGACCCCCCTGCTGTACGCGGTGGCGGTGTCGTGCAGCACCGACGTGTCCGTGTCCATGCCGGACTTCTCGGAGACCGTGCACGCGCCGCCCATGAACTGCAGCGTGCAGGACACCTCCGCTGCGCGCAGCCCACGGCCCGCCGCGCCCCACGCCAGCACCCTGCGACCACGCACGCGCACGGGGGCGTCAGACGGGCCGCGCACCGCACCGCTCCTCGCCGCGCACGCCAGCCGAGCCCACCGCGCACGCGGCATCCGGCAGCGAGGGCAGGAGGGCGACCAACACACACACTGACGCGCGGCAGCTCCACAGGGCAGCGGCGCGGGCGCGCGGGCGGCTCGCCTGTACACGTACAGCGCGCCCGGGTGCACGATGTCCGTGTCGATGAACTCCGCGTCCTCGTCGTCCACGTCGCCCTGGTGCTTCCACTTGCCGGAGAACCCACCCCCCAGGGCGACCGGCGCGCCCGCGACCTTGCGCTCGACGACGTACTTGTGCATCGGAGGGTCGCCAGGATCCTGTGGCGGCGTCCACGAGAGCTTCACGGCCCTGCGGAGCGGGCGCAGAGCTCGCGGCGGTCGAGCGACCCCGAACGGTTGGCAGCGGGGCACCGCGCCGGACGTGCGCTGCGGAGGGACGCGGTACGGCGCGTACGTGCTGCCGCCGCGTAGGGCATGTGGACTGGAGCGCTGCAATGGACGGACTGGGCGGCGAGGTCGCCGGTGTTGCCCGCAGCGCGATCGTCACCAGCGGGCGCGTCGGGCCAGCGTGCGCACCTGCACCCCACGGCCTGGCATCTCAGGTCGCTCGGGCCCGCCGGCGCCCGGCCGAGGCCCAGAATCTGCATCTTGAACGCGCGGATGAGCATGGACCGGTGGAGCTGCGACTCGACACCCAGGTCCTCCTTCAGCGTGCGTCCGCCGTCGTTGACCAGGATGGGGAAGTCGCGCGCCGTGACCGCGTTGTCGAGGAACGCCTTCGCGTACTGCGGCAGCCCGAGGCCGTGCCGGACCCACTCTGCAGCGGCCGAGGACTGGGACAGTTTCTGAGCACGGAGCCGTCTGCGGCTGGTGCGGCCAGACTCGATCGCGACGGCGGCGAGAGACGATGCTTCTGTCGTCAGTGCGCCGGCCGCGGCGAGGAGCGAGGCCTGCGTCCCTCCACGCGCGCGCAACAGGGCGACACGCTCGGGCAGCGCTGCGGGGACGTTGTCGCGCCCGGGCCGCACCTGCGACGCGGTACGACTTGTGCAGACCGTTCAGGTGGAGCTTCATCTCGCTGACGTCCACCGTCCCGCCGGCGTCCTCCCCGTCAAGCCGCGACACCATCGCCTTGACTGCGCCCTCCAGCTCGGAAGGCTCATCGTACGCGCTGCCCCCGACCTTGTCGCGGACGTACGCGAACGCCTCCTCGTCCCCGATCAGTCCGTCGCCGTCCGTGTCCACCGTGCGGAAGAACTTCCCCAGGTCCGAGCCCTGCCGGCTGTGGTCGAACGCCGCACCCAGCGCCGCAGTGCGCAGCAGCACCAGCACCGCTACGCCGGCCGCGAGGGCCCGGGCACCGGCGCGCATCCGGCCGCCGCGATGCCTGGCAACTCAGCGACGCGCCCGCCCCCCGCCCGCCCCTGTCCTCGCGGCACCCCGCGGTGCGGCCGCCCCCCTGTGCCTAGTTCTCCGGACACCGTCTAGTGATCACGCACACGCGCCCACCCGTGCCGCGCACTGTGTGGTTCGACGCCCTCAGTCCCTTCAGACCGCCTGGAGCATCGCGCTGCACGGCCGCCGGGCCTATGCTGGTGGCAGAGCTGCGGTCCGGCAACGACGTGCAACCCTGCAAGACCAGCGCTGTCAGTCTTCCGCGACGAATCACACCCCCCCTTCCCCACTCCGGCCCCCCTCGCCCCGCAGCCCCGGCAGTTCCTGGCGAGCGCTCCCCTTGCGCCAAACAGCGAATCGGCGTCGCAGTCGCGGCGTCGCAGCTCTCGCAGCGCAACAGCTCACACAACCCTCCCGCCGCCCCACCGACGTCGGCCGCGTGCGGCCCCGAACCAGCACGCTCCTGCGCCGCGCCGCCAGCCGCGCCGTCACGCCTCGCTCTTGCGGGCGTACACCACGAACATGGGGTCCCCCCCGGGGGACAGCAGCGCCTGCAGGCCGTTCTTGCGCGGCGTGATGTCGTCGCACTTGGGCGCGGTGAACCCGCCCGGGACGCTGTAGTGGAAGTAGCTCCCGACGATCCACACGTGCTCCACGTCGGAGGTCGCGGTCCAGATGGACACCGCCTTGGTGGGGAAGCACCGGTTCGAGAACGAGAAGGCCGCGAGGCCGCCGGGCTTGAGGACGCGGTGGACCTCCTTGACGATGTCGAGCGGTTTGTTGAGGTAGTCGATCGAGACGGCGTTGACCACGGCGTCCATGGAGCCGTCCTCGTACGGCAGGCGCGGGTCCACGTTGAGGTCGCGGACCTCCCAGTCCGTGAGCGCGCGGTTGCGGCCGAGCTCGTCGGAGTTCATGCCCAGGCCGGCCACGCGCCCCGCGTAGAAGTCCCCCGGGAGGTGCGAGATCCACGAGGAGCACATGTCCAGCACCGCCACGTCCTGCCCGCGCGGGAGGTTCTTGCCGTACCAGTCCGTCAGCGCCGCGATCGCGCCGTCGTCGATGTGCGTCACGAAACGCGGCTGCCCGTAGAAGACTGCAGCCACGTCGGAGGGCGCGCCACGCGAAACGTTGCACGTGGGAACGCCGTCGCGAGCACGCACGGGGCCGCGCCGGGCCGCCTGCAGCACTGCGGGTGCGCCGTGCCGGCGGGGGGGGTCTTACATGAGTCGGGGGACTCGTCGAACCGCTTGAAGTCCTGGGGGCCAAAGGGGAACTCCTCCGGCCAGTTGGGCTCGTCGAGGACGCGCTCGGCGGGCGACCGCATGAGCGCCATCGCCTCGTCGGGGAACTGCGCGCAGAGGGGAGGTTCGGCGGCGTCGTTCAGAGCGGACGGGGCACGATGTCGACGCCGCAGTCGTCATGCAGGGGCGCCGTGGACGTGCCTCGCCCTGGCCAGCGGCGGTCATGCAGAGCGAGCCCGTGAGGAGCCCGAGGTTCCGGCGCGTGACGATCCCGCCAGCTGCGAAGCACACCACGCGGCGCGCCCGAATTCGTTGGCCACCCAGTAGCAGGGGGTGCGGAGGGCTTGAGAAGAACGAGCGCGAACGGACGTGTCAGCAACGGGAGTCAAGCATCCGAATCTGAACATCGCGGCCAACGACAGGCGACCTCACGCGCGCAATCCGCGCGTTTCGGCTCCTGTGGCCGGGAACTCACCGGCCCGCTGCGGCAGCCTCGCGGGAGTGCGACAGTTACGCGCCCTGCTGCCCGAAGCTCTCAGCCTCGAGAGGGGCGCTTGCCGTGCGAACGCCCGCATCGCAGGGGACGGTTCCTCGAGGGCCGAGACCCTGGGCTGCTGCACTAGTGGACACTGGCGCGTGAGGAGCACGAGACTCGCGCGAGAGGTGCGTGCGTTGGTTGTGGCACTGCCTCCTGCCCCTGGCCCCGCAAGGCTCGTCGGTATCGCTCGCGGACTCAGGCTCAGTCCGACCATGGCCTTGCAGCATGACGCGAGCATCATGGTGATGTCAGCCCGCGACTGCGGACGCGGCGCCGCTTCGATGGCTCGGTGGCTCGGCCGGGCGCGCTTCAATACCCGTTCCGTTCGGCGGCTCGGCAGTCATCTGCAGCGGCACTGTAGGTGGGGCGGCGGGTGAATTTGCTCAACGTACTTTGCAGATTGGAAACGTGCGGGTTTTGCGACAGGGGGTCCGAATGGCGGAGTCAAGAAGCGGAGACATCGACGAGAAGATTGCGGCGCTGAAAAAGAAGGTATGCGGGGGCGTCTCGCGTGCACACTCGCGGAGCGGCTCTCCTCGAGTGCTCAGTCCCGTCCACACCCGTGACCCCGTGCCGGGACTTCGCTTTGCTTCTGAGGCACGCAGTCACTCGCAGGCGCCACGCTGACTGTGTCGCGCTGGCACGTTGTGGGCGCAGGAACAGGAGCTGGAGGTGGCAAGTGCCGAGCTGGCATCTGTCAAGCGAGGCCGCGCCGTCCACGTCCAGAAAGGAAGCATTCTGTTCCGTTGCACCCCGGAATTCGCAGCAAACCAAGTAGCAGGCGAGCTCGCGGACGCGCAGCGCCGCTTGCGGGAGCTCGAGGGCGGGGAGGCTTCTGGTGGCGCAGACAGCCTGGCACAGGGTCCCGGGGAGGCGCGCTGAAGCCGGCGCGGAGCGCACGCCGTCGTGGTGGGATAGGCGCACATGGGGCGCAAGGGCCCGAAGCATCGGGCTGGGGCGCCGGCCGCAGCGCAGCAACACGACGCGGCAAACGCGGGCAGTCGGAAGCTCAAGGTTGCCGACCGCGTGACGAAGAAGAAAGCGCGCAGGGGCGCACGGGAGGGGAAGCGCGCGGGCGCAGCGGAGCCCGGGCGGCCGCACGAGGCCGGACGCGCGCAGGCCACGACAGGCCTAAATGAGACGCACCCGGGCACTCACACGAGCACGGCTCTCCCGGGCAGGAACGCCCCCCTAAGCAGCAACTGGGAGGCCATCCGCGCTGTCGCCGCCGCGCCAAGGAAGCCCCGGAAGCGCCGTTCGTCCACGGCCGCCCCCCCGCACAAGAAGGCCCCCGGGGCGCTGTCCGCGGAGGCCGTCCTGACCGACACGGTCGCGATCGACTGCGAGATGGTCGGCATCGCGGGCAACCAGTCGGTGCTGGCGCGCGCGACCGTCGTGAACGACCAGGGCGCCGTCCTTTTCGACTCCTTCTGCCGCCCGCGCGAACGCATCTTCAACTTCCGCACCAAGGTGTCCGGGATCCGCCCGTCGGACCTGCAGGACGCGCCGCCCTTCGAGCACGTGCAGGCCAAGGTGTTCGAGCTGATCAAGGGGCGGACGCTGGTCGGGCACGCGGTCGCGAACGACCTGCACGCGCTGAAGCTGACACACCCCCGGGAGCTGCTGCGCGACACGGCGCACTACCCGCCGCTCATGGTGCGGCCAGAGGGAGGTGCGTGTGGCTGCGCCGCTGGGTGCTGACGCGTGCGGCCGCTCCGCTGGCAGCGAGAGTTTGTGTTGTTGACCGCGCGAGTGATTACGGCGCGCCGGTGCCGGCCCGCGGCTGCAGGGGGCAAGCTGCGCCCGCGCTCGCTCCGCGCGCTGGCGAAGGAGTTCTTGGGGCTGGACATTCAGGCGGGCGAGCACTCCCCTGTGGACGATGCGCGGTGTGCGCTGTACCTGTACCACAAGCACAAGCGCAGGTGGGAGGAGGACGTCGCAGCGCGTGAGTGCCCGCGCCGCAGCCCAGCACGCTTTGCGCGCGCGCGTTCTGTCTGCGTCGCACCGCTACGTCGTGCTGAGGCGTTGGGGGTCTGACGCTGTACATCTCCGGTCGCCGCGGGACCCCGCAGGGAAAGTGCCGCTCCCGGCCGTCACCAAGGAGAAGAAGGCGAAGAAGAAGAAACCCGCGCCCGCGCCGACGCCCGGGAGGTTGAAACGACGTGCGGAGAAGGTTGCCAAAGCAGCTGCCGCGGCCGCCCGTGCCTTGCCCGACCGGCCGGAACTGCACGACTTGTGACCTCGCGCTGAGTCCAGCGCTGCGCCCAAGTCGCATGCTCTGCGGGCCGAGCATGCCACAGCACCGCATGGTGGTCAATAACTACTTCATGGTGTGGCGTGACACTCGCTGCCCCGATGCGGGCGGCGCTGCTGCGCGCGATGAACGCTGGCATGCCATGCCCCGGCGGCGAGGCGCAAGCTCGGGCTCGCAGAATGTTCACCTGCCGAGTGAGGGCTGCTGCGGGCCTGGGGGTGTTCACTCGAGACCACGCTGCGGCGAGGATTCGGCGCGCTTCATGTCGCGGGCCGGCGCGGGAGGGCGGCCAGAACCACTGCTCGCGCGTCGGCGTTGAACATGTTGGAGGCGGCTCGTTCCAGAGCAACTCGTGAGGCACACTGCTGCACTTGGGCCTGAAACACCGGCTGGCGACGCGCAGGGCGCGGGACGGTGCAAGATGAGTGCCCTGAAACGGCTTCAGGCCGAGATAGACAAGGTCATGAAGAAGGTCGATGAGGGCATTGCCGTGTTCGAGGACATTTGGGAGAAGGTGAGCGCTTCTCCCGAAGGAGGAGAACGCGGGCGAGGGAGCGCCGCGGCTGCGTCTGCCGCAGCTGCGGCGCGACACATGCAGTCTCCGGCATCGCGCGGCATCGTGCGCGAGTAGTCGGGCGCTCCAGGGGGCAGCCCCGGGCCGAAGGTTCAGGGTCGCCCCCTGCCCGTGCGCGCACGTAGGACCGCCGAACGCGTGATTGTTGACCGCCGTCCCGGCGAACCTCGTACGCACTGGCCGTCCACCGCCACGAAAGACACAGAAGCGCCCCTAGCCTCGCTGCTCTCGCGGAGCAGCCTTGCAGCAGTGAGCAGGGTCGTGCAGCTCCTTCCCAGCCTCATAAAAGTTGCGTGGGCTCGTGTGCGAGACGATATCACATCGTGCTCTGCCTTTCCCGGCGAAATCGGGTGGCAGCCCCCCTGCTGTGGCCAGCAGACCGGTTGCTCTTCAGCAACTCAAGTTCCCTCCGTAACTTTCCACGTGGCGCGGGGCCGAGCCCGCGCGGCGTGCACGGAACCTGCTGTTGCATCGGTTGCGCCCACAGCGCGCCACAGACGGCCGCCCAGCCGCGGTCAAGCCGGAAGCACCTGGCTCGGTGCTTCAGTTGGCGCTTGCGCGCAGCCCGTGGGGGACACTGCCGCTTGACACTCGCCGCATACCCGTTCGTGGTCCACACGACAATTGCAAGGCGTTTGTGCGACTGCATCGACGGCACCGGAGCCGTGACAGCTTCTCAGCGGCCCTCCTTCCCCCCTCGCCCCCGCAGCTGCACGAAACCGAGCATCAGAGCCAGAAGGAGAAGTTCGAGACGGAACTGAAGAAGGAGATCAAGAAACTTCAGCGGCAGCGAGAACAGATCAAGGGATGGATCAGCAGCACAGATGTCAAGGACAAGAACAGCCTCCTGGAGGCGCGGAAACGGATCGAGCGCAAGATGGAGCAGTTCAAGGTCCGCCGCGGCTGCACACGCACTCGCTGCCAGCGGAGACCCCGTCCGCCCCCCCGGCTGCCACAGCGCCTCGCGCCCGGGTCCACGCTCCACGGCCACGCCCGCCCGCCCGTCCTGCAGGCCACGGAGAAGGAGATGAAGACCAAGGCGTTCTCGCGCGAGGGCCTCAACCAGGCCGGCCGGCTCGACCCGAAAGAGCGCGAGCGCGCGCGCATGCGCGACTGGCTCAACGGGGCGTGCGACACGCTCACGACGCAGATCGACGAGTTCGAGGCCGACATCGAGGCCGCGGAGGCCGGCGCGTCCGGCCGGAAGCGCGGCGCCGCGAACGTGAGCGACCACACGGAGCAGATGGAGGAGCACGTGCGGCGGCACAAGGAGCACATCGCGCGGCTGGAGCAGGTGCTGCGGTGCCTGGACTCCGGCGACGTGACGCCCGAGGAGGTCGCGGACATCCAGGACCTCGTGGACGACTACCTGGAGCGCTGCGTGGACGACTTTGACGAGTTTGCCGACACGGACATGTTCTACGAGGGGCTGGCGGACAAGCTGGACGCCGTGGCGCAGGGCGGCGTCGGCGTCGTGGGCAACAACGACGACGACGAGGCCGCGCGCGCCGAGGAGGAGAGGCGCCGCGAGCGCGAGCGCGCCGCCGCCGCTGCCGCCAAGGCGCAGCTGGCTGCGCAGAACGCGGAGGTTGCGGCGCGGCAGGAGGCCGAGGAGGCGAGCGCGGTCAAGATGGCCGCGGAGGGGAAGACCGCGCCCGTCGTCGTGGCGCGCGTGCGGGGCGGGTCGTCCCCCCCGCGCGCCCGCGGCACCAGCGGGCCGCCCGAGTCGCCGGGCGTCGCGACGTCGCAGCCCTCAGGCTCCATCCCGAGCACGCCGGCTCCCTCCGCGTCCGTGTCGTACGGCGCCATCGCGCGCGGCGGGCAGTCGTCCCCGAGCGCGTCGCCCGCGGCCGTCGCGCCGGTACAGGCGGGCCCGTGGCGCAGCCAGGCGCCCAAGGTCGCGGTCGCGGTCAAGTCCGGAGGGACCCCGGACGGCCGCGAGAACAGCCGCGGGGAGGGCGCGGACGCCGCGCCGGTGTCGGCGCGCCTCGGAGGGTTGACATTGGAGGGCGGCGCGCCCAGTCCCAGCGCGGCGGCCGGGCAGCAGCCGCAGCAGCCGCAGCAGGCGGTCACGTCGGACGCGGCGGCCGCGGGCGGGCGCTCTCCGCAGCCGGGCGCCGGCGGCGGGGTCGCGCCGGCTCCGCTGCCGTCGGGCGCGCCGCCGGCGTCGGCAGTGGCGTCGGCGGCGCACGCGCAGATGTCGCTGAAGATCCTGCAGGCGACGTACCCGTCGTGCATGCCGCGCCCGCGCGACAGCGAGTGGCCCGCGATCGAGCGGCGGCAGCAGCGGCTGCCAGCGGGGCTAGACCTCCCCGCGAGCTACCCGCGGCAGCGCATCCCGCAGGTGCAGAACCCGCTGCTGTACGAGCGCGTGGACCCCGAGCTGCTGTTCCTGGCGTTCTACCTGATGCCGGGAACGTACCAGCAGCACCTGGCGGCCAAGCAGCTCAAGAAGCAGTCCTGGCGGTATCACAAGCAGCACCAGTCGTGGTTCCAGCGGCACGACGCGCCGCGCAGCATCACGGACGACCACGAGACGGGGAGCTATGTGTACTTCGATCACACCGCGCCCACCGCCGCGGGGGGGGAGGGGTGGTGCTACCGCGTGCGGCATGATCTCAAAATAGAATACGCCGTCCTCGAGAACGAGCTGTGACAAAGAGCGCCCGCAGAGACGCCGCCCGCGAACCCACGGGGCACGTCTCTGGGTGCCCGCGCACGAGCCGGTCTTGTGCGATCGGTCGCAAAGCTGGGCAGACCTGCGCACCCCGTCGTCGCTCGAGCGGGCCCACCGCGCGGCCTGCAGCCGTCCGCTGACAGATGCTCGCACACAGGTGTCTGATAGGCACGCGTGCATGCGCGGCGCTCCCACGAGCCGGTCGTCAGCACCCAGGTGCACAACTTGGCAGCACCCGGGCGCTGCCCCACGAACGAGGTGGCCGTGCAGCTGCCTGAGCGAACGATTGCTCGTCGGTCGCGTCCCGCTCGGCTGTCCGCCTGGCCGGGCGGCGGCGTCCACAGCCACAACAGCAACGCGCCGAACGCCCATGTGGCTGCCTACACTGAGTGCGGGTCTCACGCCGGCGCCCGGAAGGCTCCGCCGCTCGCGCGCATCATCCCGGTTTGAACTTCCGCTGCGCGCGCAGGTCCGCGATGCGTTTGCGGTCCGCGTCGAACCTCCGCCGCAAGTCCATGAGCTCGTCGCGCCGTTTCTCGCGGCGCTGGAAGCGGTAGAAGCCGTCCAGGGCGTCCTGGCTGCTGTCGCGCTTGCGCTTGGCGGCGCGGCCCGCGGTGACGGCGCCGACGGTCGTGCCGCCGCCGTCGGCCGTCTTCTTGCGTCCGCGCTTGGATGTCACCAGCGTCCACCCGTCCCCCGCCATCGCGGCCTCCCGCTCCAGCCTCTCCTCCTCCTCGCGCTGCTCGAACTCTTCCACCCACGCGTCCAGAGAAGCCTGCGATGACGCGCGAAGCCTGCCAAGTCAACGATGATCATCCACCACCCGAGATTGCAGTGGCGCGGTACAACGGGCTCGGTCCGGCACGGCGCACCTGGAGTTCAGCGTTCCCGGGGAATCTGGCCTTGTGAGCTTCGACCCACCGCTTGAGACCCCGTGGACCGGCGTAGCTGCTCTCCTCGTACTGCAACGCGCCGCCGCGCCGTGCCAGCGCCAGCGCGTTCCGCACGGACTCCGCTGCCGCGAACAACACCATGGCCGATGTGCCAGATGCGTGCATCGCGGTGTTCTCGACGTCGCCGAAAGCCCCTAGGAGCTCCCCCAAGTCCTCTGCCGCCATGCCCAGAGGCATGCCGCACACGAACAAGGACCGCTGTGGGTCCACGACGGTGTCCTCACCTGGAACAAGCAGCACGCGCACGCGCAGGTGTAAACACGGGCGTTTCGTGCCGCATTGAACGGAGTTGGCGGAGAGCCCGCAGCAGTCCTTCGCGCCGAACGCAGCGCAAGACCTCATTCGGCGTTTGTCTGGGTGGCATCGAGAACAAAGCATGTGCTCTCACCGCGGTGCCGTTTTATGAAGATGTTCTTCTTCATCCCTCCCCACAGCGGATTGATGAGCCCCAGAGCAGCGTAGCCAGACGAGGCGCCGCCGCCACCGGCGTGCTTGCCCATCCTGATGCACGAAATCGACTGCCAGCGCACTTACGGTCCAGACGTCACGGCACGCCAGGAACGCGCATGCACGGAGCGCTTGAGGGCGCCACTTGTGTCGCAGCGGGCTGTGCCGACGCAACCTGGCAGTTGGGCGGCCTGTGGACCTGAAAGTTGCCGCGCGAGGACTGCGCGGGACCAGCAACCGTCTCCCTCCGACGGCTGCGACGCGCGCCCTTGACGCCGCCGGCCCGGACGGTGCGACATTTCATTTCACCAGTTGTACCCCGCAATCAGTCCCCCGTGATTGCGTGGAGCCTCTGATGAGCCGCCCCCGCGACAGCAGTGGCGCGGCAAGGCTGTCCAGCGCGGCGACGCAGCTGCGAACTCGGGCCTCAACTTGGCCAACGAAAAGTGCACGCGAGAGCCAGCGAGGTGGCCCACCGCCGCGGAGCGGCACCGGAGCTTGCAGAGTCACAAAGGGCGGTGCGTTGCGTGTTTCACCTGGTCGCTGGAAGAGCCGCTCGAGGTGGCAACGGCAGGAGGCGAGATCGGTTGCTGGTAGCAACCCCCTGTTAAAGTAGGGGCTGCGAAGGACACGCATGCGACTGTGCCATCGGGACAGCGCAGTGAGGTCGGCCTGCTGACTCGCCGGCACGGTGCTCGTGCGTCATGCGCAACAAGGGGTTGCGGCGAGCGACGTTGATCACGTGATCAGATCGTGCACGATGTTTGTTCAGTCCGAATTCCGGAGGGAAGGGGAGGAGAAGGAGGGGGCTTATGAGTCAGGGATGTGGGGCATGATACACGAGCGTTGAGGACGATCCATCAATCCGATGTGCATGTTATGCACATCAATGACCGCCTGCACATGCAATATGCATGTAGCTTATGCATGGGCAACCAGAGCATGCTGTCCAAATCTAGACAAGACTAGGGGAATCCTGAGCACAGATACTAATGTGCGGCTGGGAAAGCAGGCAATCGCGGGGTGATATGATGTGATATGTTGGGGTCAGGAGTGGGACGAGCCTCGTCCCCGTCATGATGACGGCTGAGCCGGAGACAGTGGAAGGGGGGAAGAGGGGGGGGGAGGGGGGGAATTGTGCTGGGCAGGACGGCGACGAGTCTTGCAAGTCGTTCTCTGTCCGTTCTTCGCGGACTTTCTGCTCGTTTTCGTTTTGCGTGCACGGGCTGCCCCGATCCGCCTAAAAGTCGGGCTCGAACTCGTCGTCGCTGTATGTGGATCCGGGACGGTGCCGTGGCCACGAGCGCGGCTCGGAGGGCCCCGCGCCGTCGTCGTAGCGCGGTTTGGAGGGCCCCGCGCCGTCGTCGTAGCGCGGCGCTGACTGTTGAGGTGCACCTGCGTGGACAGTTGATCATCATCGCGGTGTGACGGGCCTTCCGGACACGTGCGCTCCATCCGTGCGTATGGTATGGACATCGGCTCACCTGGAGCCGGCCCGCCGGCGACGTGGTCCGGAAGGCACACGTACGGCACCGCGTTGTTCTGCAGCGTCGGCTCGCCCATGCGTGTTCCTGGCGGAGCCTGGCCCGGATAAGGCGTCGCAGGCACGACGAAGAGCAGGTACTGCAGCGCAGGCCCGGGCGAGCGTGCAACGTTGCGACACAGTGTCGCTCTGTGCCTGTCGCCAGCTTTGTGTACGCCCCCTCGATCGCACGCGCTCGAGCCGGCAGCTGCCGCGTCAGCACGTAGTGGGCACCGCTGGCTGTCTCACCTTGACGTACATGTGTCCCGGCGGTGCTGCGTTCGGCGCGAGCTGCGCCTGATGCGTGTGGGGCGCCTCACCCGGCTCCGGGGCGCTTGCGGCCGTTCTCAGGTGTTCCACGTGCTGGGTCGACCCGTGGGCCGACCCATGCGACGCCGGCTGCCGCGCGTCGTTGCGCCTGCCTGGCAGGTTGTGCGGCGTGGTGGAGCGGGTCGACGACCGGGACGTCCTGCGGCCTGAGGACCTCGGACCGCGCGGGGCCGCGGCTTCGAGATCGAGCGTCACTCCTGGGGCAATTTCGCGCCCTTGGAGCTCCTGCGGGGTGCGGCTTTGGGGCGGCGGTTGGTTGACGCTGGCGCAGGCAGAGCGCGAGGCGGGTGGCGGGGCAAGGTCGCTGCAGTGCACACCTCGACAGCCGCTTGGCGGGCACTGTCGGAGCTGAAGCGCACGAACCCGTAGCGACTGGTCTCGCCCTCCGGGCCGGCCGATCTGCGCTCGAGGACTCTTGCCGCGGTGACGCCGTCCGGGCGCTGCGTACGGAAATATCGCTCCAGGTGGATGTCCACCCAGTCGCTGGGGACGTTGCGCACGAACAGGCTGAAGTCTCCTCCGCCGCCTGCAGCGCCAACGTTGTTCCCTGACCAATTGAGCCTGTACGGCGCGAGGTCCGAGTTCGGCCTGTACAGCGCGCAAAAGGCGTCCAGCGCGCGCTCCGCCGCGTCCCGTGTCGAGAAGTGCGCGAACGCGTAATGCCTGCCACCGGGAACCCGCCTCTGCACGGGGTTGGGTTTCGGGAGCGTGAGGGGTGGCGCGCGAACCGCACTACCGCCGCGGCGACCTCGCCTCGCGGACCCGCGTTCCACGTGTCATAATGGCGCGCCGAGGTTGAGGCGGCGGTGGGTACGGAGGCGCACGAGCACGGCGACCACAGGGTGAGGCTCGGCGGTGTTGCCGAGCAGGCTCGGGGGAGAAGATCCGCCCGGACCGGCGCGAGATCACGACGAGGACGCTTTTAAGCACCTGAGGGGGCGCATCGTCGGAGCGCAGAATTCTGCGAGGACACGCAGCGCCAGCTCTGAGCGGGCACGTAGGCCCGTGGGTCGGGATGCCCTCCGATCAAGCCGCCACGCTCAGGCCAAAGGCGCGCTCTGAATCACCCACGGCGCCGTGCTGGCTTGCTGTGTGCGGCCGCGGACGTGAGCCATTTCGCCCAAGTACGGGCTTGGTCCTTTCGGGGGCGCACCTGCGACGGGAGCTCCACCCGATCCGGCATGATTCCGAGAAAGCCGAAGAGCTGAAGCACCTCGTCTTCCCCCGTGAGCGTGCGGCCGTTCTTGCTGACCCAGAGCGTTCTTGTGGGCTCGGTCATCGAAACCGTCCACAACCGCGCGCGACTGAGCTCAAACACGGTGCGTGTGTGTCGCCTTTTGTGTTTCCGTACTCTGAGTTTGAATGTCTGTCGGCGGCGAGGCGCGTGAGCTGCGAAGCGACGGCGCGCGGGGTGACCACGAAAGGTCGCACTGCGCCTTGCGTGCGTCCGCCCCTGCGGAGCCCCTCCAGGTTCGCGCGGAACTTCACTGCGTCGCGGTGTGCATGCAGGGCGCGGGCACGCGGGCGCAATGTAGCCGCGGAAGCCAAGGGCATCGCCAGCGGGGGTACTGTCACTCAGGGGCAGCACAGGTACTCTCGCTGAGCCTCAGCGCTGGCGACTTGGTCCAACTTCTGCGGCAGGAACCATTCATGCACGACAGTGCCCGCAAAGTTACTGAATGTGCCATGTATACGGACCCGCGGGGGGCGTGCGGAGGTGTTCTGGCTGCCAGCTCTCGCGCCGCGCAGACGCGAGCCCGGCACAGGGGCACGCGTGGCGACGCAGGCCGCGACGTGGACGCAGGCCGCGGTCAGCGCCGCCGCCGGGTCGCTTCTGCGCGGAACTGCGGCAGTCCGTCCGTCGTGCCGCGCGGAGGTGTCGTGGCACGTCGGCGGGGATGATGTGCTGCCGAGCCCGCCACCGACGCGCAGACGCAACCGCGAGCACGCCGCGGGCAGCGCGGGGCCGCGCAGCAGGCCGTTCGGCGCATGCTTCTCTTCGCCACGTGCGTGCCGCGCACGCGGGGGAGTGGGGGGGGGGGAAGTGACAACGCGGTCGCGTCGGGCACGGGGATGAGCGTGGCGGGCCCAAGGCGCGGCGGTGCCGCCTCCCCCCCGGCAAACGCTCGAATCGCTCGGACGCACCTCGGCGAGTGCCGAAGGCGCCCTGTGTAAAATGAGGAGGAGCGGGTTGAATTGAGCGCGACCACAATGCGGCTCCTTCACATCCTCGTCCTGCTGCTGGTGATCGCGGTCCACCCAGTCCGGTGCGGAGCCCCACGAGCCATGGCCCGTGCCTGCACAGACGAAGATGGCCCACGGGCGCCCATACGAGGGGCCTCCCGCGCCGTCGATAGGGCCCGTCGCTCCGTGGCTCCCACGTGTCCCGGTATGCGTCACCCGCTCGGCGGCGCCCCCGTCACGGTCGCGCCGCTGCTGCAATCCCCTGCAGGGCTCAGGCAGTTACGCCAGCAGTGCTACAGAAGGATCGGAAATGGCCCGGGGACAATTTTGGAAGTTCATCTGCATTCGCCCAGGACGCCCTCCTCGTCGGGGTTGCCTTACACGATGCGGCGCACAACCTCACTTACGTGGAGGCCCGGCAGCCCTACGACGGCTGCGAGGGCAACCAGCAATTTGGGTGCAACACCGGCAAGGCAAGTTACAATCGTCGTTCGCGCGACGCTGCAGCGGGGGCGACCCGGGGCTGCGGCGGGGCGCTGTGGCCGTGCACTAGCTGCATGGCTTCCAGTGCCGCCCCCGATGGGTTCTGGCACGGTCCGGTCGCGCTGCTGCAGCACAGCGGCGCATCATCTCGCTGCGCTTCCCCAGCGCCGCTCACGACGGCCCCAACCGGCTTTCCCGCAGGCGCTGCTGTACAGCAACATCAACGGGGCCTGGCAGCACACGCACACGTTCGACATCGCGGAGAATCTCAAGGCCATGAACCTTACGCGAGGCCACTTTGGGCAGAGCGTGACCGTCAGCGCCGACGGCACGACGGTGGCGGCCGGAGCGCCCTTGGTGCGCGCCAACGACAATCGACGCTCAGCCCCTGGATTGGTGGCCATCTTCGAGAAGCAGGTGCGACGCGCCCCCGGGCAGCCGCATCGTTCCACGCTCCACGCGCACCCGCCCACGTGCTGCGAGTGTCGCTTGCGGCGCAGGGTGCGACGTGGTCGCTGACCAAGCTTGGCAGCGCTGCCGACTTCGGCGACGCGCAGGCCCTCACCCCGGACCCTTTAAGGGGCAGCGACGGGTTCGGCCGGAGCGTCGCGCTGGACGCTGCGGGCGTGACGCTCGCCGTCGCGAGCCCGGCGACGACGGCGGGGGCGGTCGAGTTCGCTGGTGCCGTCTTCACCTACACCCGGAACGCGACGGGGTGGCACCCGCACGCGTTGATGCCCGCGCCGCGGCCCCGCGATAGCTCGGGCTTCTCGCTAGGCATGTCGATGTCGCGAGACGGCCGGGTGCTGGCGGCGGGCGAGCCAGGACTGTTTGATTCGCCGTCAGGCGTGGGCGTCGTGTGGCTGTACGAGCGGGCTGCGGGCGGCGGGGACTGGGTGCGGGTGCACGAGCTGGCTTCGCCCAGCAGCGCGGAGGACTTCGGGCGGGCGGTGGGGCTCGCAGGTGACGGCAGCCTCCTCGCCGTGGGCGCCGAGCGTTCACGCGTGTCCGGAGTCGCCGGCGCGGGCAGCGCCTACCTGTACGACCTGGTACGTGGCCCGGGGGGGCAGCTCACGCCCATTCTCGCGGCGTCGCTGTCGGCGGCGAGCCCGCAGCAGTTCGCCAAGTTCGGGTTGGGGCTCCAGGTCAACGGCGACGGGAGCCGCGTGGTGGTCGGGACGAAGGTGGACTTCGAGGTTGCGGTGTACGCGCGGCATCCACGCGCGCGCTCTCTGTGGGGCGTCGCGACGGTGATCGTGCAGCCCCAGAACATCACGGAGGACAACCTGCGCGAAAAGAGCAACACGGATTTCGGGAAAGTCCTCAGCATGGACGCCTCCGCGTCGCGGGTCGCGGTCGGCGCCCCGACCAGCTTGGATCGGAGCGAAAAGGGCGAAGAGCTCGTGCAGTCCGGGCTGCAGTTTGTGGCGGAGGTGGACCGGGCGGCGGCGCCGGTGGGGCCGCTGCGCTCGCCGCTCGACGGCGAGGTGGTGCTGCAGGGCATCGGGGCCGCCGGCGTCGCGGCGGGCACGGCGCGCGTGGCCGCGGCGGGCGTGGTGCTGACGGCCACGTCGAGCAACGTGGCTGTCAACGCCGCGGTCGGCGCGGCGGGGGCGGCGCTCGCGGCCTCTTCCGGCGCGATGGAATTCCTCGCGGTCGGCGACGCTGCGTTCACGGCGGACGGCGTCGCGGGGGCGGGCAGGCTGGTCGTGCGCCGCGGGGCGTGGAACGGCGACGCGCCGGCCACGACCGTGCTCTCGGCGTCGGGCACGCAACAGGGCGGCGGGCTCGGGGCCGCGGTGTGGATGGAGGCAGGTACCAGCGGTCCGGCGTGCGTGGCGGCAGGGGCGCCCGGCGAGAGCAGCGGCAGCGGACGGTTGCACGTGTACACAAGCTTCGTCTCTGGGGCGAGCAGTGATGTGGGCGCCCGGAACAGCTACGTGCTCAACTCCCCCGCGAGCATCAGCGGTGCCGCGATGGGCACCTCGGTCGCGGGCGCGCCTGCGTGCGCGGCCCTCGCCGCGGGCGCGGTGGGCAACGCGAGCGCGTCAGGCGCCGTCATCGTGTTCGATTTCTCGAACGCGACGTCGTCGTTCGTCGCCTCGGCGCCGCTGACCTCGCCCGAGGCCGCGCCGGGCGACCTCTTTGGCGCGGTCATCGCGTTCTCGGCGGACGGGCTGACGCTGTACGTCGGTGCGCCCGGGGCGGCGTCGGGCGAGGGCCGCGTGCTCGTGTTCGGGCGCACGCAGTCCAGCAGCGCCGGCCCTGGTGGATTCGTGTCCGCGGGAAGCATACTGGCGGCTGCGCCGCGCACACCCGGCGCGGCGTTCGGCGCGAGCGTCGCCGTGGCGGGGAGCGTGCTTGCTGCAGGGGCCCGCGGGCACGAGTGGCGGCCGTGCAGTGCGTCGCGGGTGCGCCAGACCGCCGCCGCCGCAGATGAGGAGAGCACGCTTCCGCGGAGGCTGCCTGCTGGTCCCCGGCGGCGGCTCGGGTCGCGCCATGATGGGCGACGACGTTAACGTTGCGCGCACTGGCGCTGCGCTGGTCGGGTGCGGGGGCGTGAGAGACGGCGGGCACGACGGGGCGACGACTGGCGATCAGCGTGCCTCGCACGGCGTGGCCGACGCGCGAGCGTGGCCGCTGTGGGCGGGGGCGACTACGACGCCGACGCACGGGGGAGTGGGGTTGCAGCACGGCGAGGGGCTCCTGCTCGTACGCCGGGTGCCTGTCTTGGGTCCGCGCTCGGCGGGCATCGTGGCGCGTTGCGGGCGCGCGCCAATCTACTCGCGCGCGTGCTCCAGCGTGCGCGCGCGGCCGGCGACGGTCGAGGCGAGGCGCCGGCGCGCCCGGGCGACGACGATGGCCGCGCACGCAGGGCGCGTCGTGGTCGCTGCGGGGCCGGTGGCGCGCTCTCCTCGAGGCCGCCTCCTGGGCGCTGCGGGTCGCGCCGTCGCGACGATGCGTGTCTCTCTGGAGGTTGCCCGTCCGGAGGCACGCGCTGCGAGTTGCGAGATCTCCGTGGCGCATCGAACTCGGGAAGGGAACGCAGCTGCTGCGGCTCCCCGAAACCCAGAGTCTGGAACGTCCGTTCCGGCGGACAGTGAGCAGTTCTGTCAATCAATGTTGTGAGACACACAATGCTCCGTGATTTGATCTAGGGGGTGTTGGCAGAGGAACGCAGGACCCGTTGACGCCCGGCTGCCTCAAGGTCGCGCGCCGGGCGGCGCCATTGCGAGCCCGCGCCCGCCTGCGGTAGCAGAGTGTTGCTCCACGTTGTGCACTCGCGCCAAGAACCACAGGTCCGTGTGCGCGTCACCGGGGCGCGTGGAGGCGACGCGAGAAGGGGACGGTCATGTGGGGAACGCGCCGGGAGGCGGGCTCAGATGCTGATGTGGCAACAGCAGAAAAAACGAAGGCACCATCAGGGGAGCCTCCCCGCACGACACTGCTCCTCGCCCGCGTCGGACGAGTCGATCGCCCTGCTGCACGGCATGCCGCACACCACCGCGCAGGCAGCTGCGGACCTCCGGCCGCCGATTCGTCCACGGGCAAGTCAGCCAAGCTCACATCTAGTACTGCTGCAGCATCTGGAGGCTGCTGCTGGAACGGAGGCACTACCCCTCCTCCATCGGCTCGCTCTCGTCCGCCAGCTCGTCGACGAACGCCTCCCGGTCAGACTGCCCCAGCTGGCCTGCCTCGTCGACGCGCAGTCCCACGGGGGCGGAGTGGGTTGCACGGTGAGCGTTGGAACGCGGCTGGCGAAACCAGACCGAGGGCGCCGTCGCTCGAACAGCTGCGACGACGACGGCGGCTTCCGCAGGCGCTCGGGCGGAGGCGACCGCGCGAGACGGCCGCCTCAGACAGGCCCGATGTCCACGGACTCGAGCTCACTCAGCACCGCCGGCGGCGGCAGAGCGCCGCGTTTCGACGGCACGTACCTTGCACGCCCTGTCCGCCTCCCTTCACCGCAGGACTCGAGCCGCCGCACCACCACGCGCAGGACCGAGGCCTCACCCCGCCCTCGACTCTTGGAGCGCGAGAAGCCCGGTCCGCCACGGTGCGCCCCCTGATTCCGAAACCCTCGCACAGGTAACGGGGGCCGCAGCTTCCGGGGCGGTCGATCCGGGCCGGAACTGCGCCGCCAGACTTGCGTCGAGGCGCCCTGCCTGCGAGGTCCTGTCAGAGCGCGCGCGGTGGATCGCACAGGACGGGAGAGTGCTGCGCCGAGGCGCGGGTCCGCCGCTGCGACCACCGTGCGCCTGCGAGTGATCGCCGACGCCGGCGGGCGGCCGCGATGCGCCGTAGCACGCTCCCACCTGACCACCGCGGTGTGTGTGGGCCGTCCCGCCTCGACGAGCCCGAAGCGGCGGCTCCGCGTCCGCCGGCGCGACCGGGCGACTCCGTGCGGGCGGTCCGGACGGCACCAGGCACCGGTGGAGGATGCGATTGCGGGCGGGCACGCGGGGCCACGTGAGGCCGCGGTGGTGGCATGGCCGCCGCGGGAGGTGCGAGTGATGCACGGGCAGCGACACGGAGCTCCCTGCGGACGAGCATCCGCAGAAGGGGGCGGCGTCGCGTCGCGTCGGTGCGGGGGGCCCCGAGCGAGCACGCGCTCGAGCGCAGCTGGCGCCACAGACCGGCGTGCTCTCGGGCCGTGGCGCGGCGTCCCCGGCGGCCCTTCGAAGGCCGTGCTTCACGAATCGCGTGATGTGAGACGGCGTGCGGGGTCGGGGGGGTCGCCGAAGCGACTTCAAGCCGCTTCGCGCCCGGAGGGCCTCTCAAACAGGCCTCCAGCTCCGGGAGCCTCCCCGCGGAGCGCGTGTGCGCCCAAGTGGTCGCCTCGGCCGCGCGCGCAAGCACGTTCCTTCTGCGAGAAAGGCACCAGCCACGGGCGATGCGCCTGTCTTGCACCGAGAGGCCCTCGGCGGGGGGGCGGGGGCCCAGCCAGCATCACACAGACCCCGGCCGCGGGCCGCGCAGCAGCTGGCTCCGGCTGCCTCCGACGCATGCGCCTCAGCGCCATTCAACGCTCCGCACACCGTGGCGGAGAGGGGCAACGACCCCCCAGGGTGCCCGTGCGAGACCGCAGTGACAATGTCGGTTCGCCCGCGGCCGTTTCGTGGCGGGCTTTGCGCCCTGTGGTCGCAACGAACACGCGGTGCGGCGCGCCTGCGTCGCGATTCCCTCGCGACGCGCCGTCTTCAGGCACTACCGCGGCGCCGACGGCCCTACGCCCCTGGGAAACCCCCGCGTGGCCGAAAGGCCGCCCGTGCGCTCGCTCGCGAGTGGAGCGCGGGCGTCGAACGGCTCGAGACGATCCAACGCCCTCCAAGGACAGCACATGGCGTCCGCCGCGCCGCGACGGACGCGGGGACGCGCGCAACGCACGTGCGGTGGCGGCGCGGAACGCCCCCCGGCGCCTGGCGGGCCGCGCCACGGGCAGAGGGGCACCGGCACGGACGAGGTGGGAGGACTGACCCCGGGCCCGCGTCCGCCGACAGATCCCGTGCTGCGGGGGCTGCGCGTCCAGGACGGGCAGCATGCGCGCGTCGTGCGCACTCTTCCCGGCACGGAGATCGGCGCACGCGCCCCCGCGCGCCCCGGCGCTCCCGCGCGCTCGCTGCCGCCCTCGGCAGCGAGCCGCGGCCGGACGCGATCGCGCCGGACCGTGGCCACCCGAGTCACGTGCACGTGTTCCTACCCGACGCAGGGGCCAGCGGTCGCCGCCCGCTGTGGCTGCTTCGCAGCACGCGGCGCGGCTGCGGTGCCACAATCACCTGGCGCGGCCTGAGAACGGCCTGCTTCACCCTCTCCGTCTCGGCCTCCCGCCCCGCCGGTGCCGCCGGCCAACCAGGGTCACCCCGGGCGCTCCGCGCTCCTCCGGCCCACCACCACCACCGGGCGGCGTCCTCGCGAGATCGGCGTCGACCTCCGCGGTTTTCGCTCATTTCAGGTGAGCGAGCGGCCCCGTCGCGCCCCGCACACCCCGCTGTCGCGTCTGCCTGGGCAGCAGCACCTCCGGCCCGGCGACGCCGCAGCAGCGCAACCACGCGCGCCAGACGCGCCCGGACTCCACCGACCTCGGTCTCCGGGCGGACGTGCCACCACGGCCGCGGCACCGGGTCCGTCCGAGCCGCCCGCGCCCGGCGTCGCGTCGATGCACCTCCACCGACCCGGGCGCGTCTCCCGCGCACGCGCCGCGCCATTTCCGCCGAACGAGCGCCCCTACCGACGCAGCCGTGCAAGATGACTTCGGATGCGGTCCGCGGGGGCATGTTCGCGCACGCGGCGGGCCGGTCCGGCGCCTTGTGTGCACCCACGCACGCCGGCCCGTCCCGCCGCGTGGCGGGCGTATCACCGCCGCGCGGCCTGCGACCGAGGCGACACGACCGCCGCTCTCCACCGCGCTCCGCGCGGAATCCACCGCGGCCGTGTGCGCTGCCGCGCACGTTGCGTTGTTGCAATGCCCTGCGTCCTCGGAAGCCGCTGCGGTCTGTACGCGCAGCCGTGGTCTCGCGCGACGCTTTCCTTCACCCGCATCCGTCCCGGCCGCTCAAGCCCCACCCACCCTCGCCCCCCGTCCCCAGGAAGCGCCCTCCCATCACGCGCCGTCTGCGGTGGGTCGCCCGCGCGCGGTTCTGCCGGAGCTCGCGCTCGCCGCGCGGATCCGGGTCTCGGGCATCGCGGACGCAGCTGTCGTCGGCTGTCGCGGCGATTCCCCGCCCCTCCGACCGGATCGGCCTCTCCAACAGCAACGTGTGACACAAGCGAACACCTTGCGTCATCACAGCTCCCCAGCGAGTCTGCGGCACACACGGCCGATCCTGCCCGGGGCCGCGCGGAAACGAGAGTGCATCTTCTTGCCGGCAGGGGGCGAGCCCGCTCGTATGCACCGCTCCCGCGTCGCTGCTGCCTCTCAGACCTCCCCGGCGGCGAGATCGCCCCCGGACGTGGCCGGGGAGACGCATGCCCGCGTCGTCGGTCGGCACAGGGAGCGTGTGTGCGCGACAGAAGCCCCCAGTGGCTGCACGGCTCCGCTCCCGCTCAGTACGCACAGCGCAGGACGCCACGGGGGCCCGGCGACAATGGAAGCGGTAGTGTGCGCGTGCCCCCCTCGCCCCTTCACGGCTGCACGCGGGTACGGCCGTTGCCTGCCTGTGTGTGCCAGTCCCCCGGGCCCCAGGCCGCCCGGGGCTGACCGGCCGCGTCGCCCGCGCGCCGCACGAGGGGGCGCGCCTGCGCACGCGCGGCACACACTGACACCCGTCGCGGCTCCTCCGTGCCCCGGACGAGCCCGACCACGTCGCCCGCGGCCACCAGCGGCCGTGGAGCTCTGAGACCTCTCTGCCCGCGGCCCCCCCCGCGCCTGCGGGCCGGCTGGAGCTGCGCGGCACACCGCCCGGGCGGACGACGTCGCGTTCCCGGGCAGAGACCGTCGCGCCTAGCCGCAAGGTGAGCCCCCCGGCGGCCCACCACGAAGGGTCGTTTTCCCGTTTCGTGTGTTCCCGGCCTCCCGGCGCGCCACGTGCCCGCGATTCCTCGTCCGACTCCCACAGCGCTCGCATGCACGCGGACCACCGCCCCTCGCTGGTCTCCGCGAGCGCCCCTCAAGATCCCACTGCTGCTGGTCTCTGGTGCCGCAGGTGGCCCGCCGTGTCGGACAAGCGGGAGACCCATCATGTCGGGGGGAGAGCGAGCACCCAAGCGGCCCCGCCTCAGCCCCGAGTCGGGGCAGCAGGAAGACGATTCCGGGGTAAGATGCATGCACCACCCTCACCTTCGAGGCCGCCTCGCCGTTTCCGCGTCCTGGGCGACGCCTTGACGTTGCCGGACCCGCTCGACCGCTTCTGAGAGCACTTTGGGAGCGACTGAGTCCACACCCGCGCCCCCCCATGCGCGCGGGGCACCTCGCCTCGGTCGTCGACGGGGCCGCCTGTACGGCTCGTCCCCGAATACTCACCGTCTGCTCGCGAGATCGTTCGTTTTCTGGGGAACACGAAATGCTGCGCGAACCGGTGATGTGCCGCGCGTGGGGCCCTTCAGGCGGCGCCACCGACCGACCGTTTGGGTGCCCTGCTTGCCGCCCGGCTCCCGCGCGCCTCGAGTCGACCACGCGTGGCTCGGCGCTCGCAGCCACATTTCTCGCAGCGTTGCGCGCGGAGGCGCGCGGAGCCTCGCCCCACCCTGCTGCCACCTCCCTCCCTGTCCATGGCCCGACGGCCGCGCTCTCCCGATGCTGCGCTGCAGGAGAGCGGTGAACAGCAAGCGGCAGGCCCCGCACCCCGAGCTGCTGCTCCACCAACCGTCGAGGTCCAATGGCCTGGCCAGCGACAACGAGGACCTGTGCCTCGACCCCAGCCACAGCAACAGGGCTCGCCACCGTCGCGCGACGACTCACGGACGCGTGCGGCACGCGTGGCCTCGGAACTACACGGCGTGGCCTCGGAACTCGGTGGCGTGGCCTCGCAACTCGGTGGCGTGGCCTCGCAACTCGGTAGCATTGCCTCGCAACTGCACGAGAATGCCTCTGCACTAGCGCCGGTACGCACCCCGACGCCCGCGCGGTCGAAGCCCCAGCCTTGCGAGCCGCTCGCCCCCTCCCCCCCGCACCTTCTCGGCCGCCGCCCAGTGCGTCGTCACGCTACCCCCCGCGACACCGATCCCGTCGCCGACCGCCCACGGCTCGAGTCCCCCCCCACGCGTGCGCACGCAGGTCGAGGAGCGCGACGTCGACGAGCCGGACCCGGACGAGCCCGTGGCCGGGCCGAGCGACGTGCTTTCCGCCGTCAGCTGGAGCCAACGCCGCATGAACTTCGTCGTCGGGCTGCTGCCGCGGCAGCGCCAGCGCGCGTTCGACGCTCTGGCGTCTCATCAGGGGGTCATCGAGGCGGTGGACGCGCGCGTGGCGGACGAGGCAGCCGCTGCGGCTGCCACCCCGGCAGCCCCCCACGAGTGCGACAACTGTCGCCTGGTCGGGGTCCAGGAGCCCGGCGCGGCCGTCGCGACCATCACGCACCGCAGGACGGGCACGAACGTCGTGCTGCGGGTCTGCGCCGCCCCCCGCTGCAGCCGCCCGTGGGCGACCTCCATCGGCGACCTGCGCGTCCTCCTGCCGCCGTGGCGCGAGGCCGCCGCACGCATCTACGTACAGAAGCAGCTGGCGACGCTCTGCGCGACGGCGCAGGCCTTGCTTGCGAGCGAGGCCCCTGCGGCCCGGCTGATCGACCGCGGGCCCGCGTCCAGGGCGCCTCTGAACTGGCACCTTCTGACGGCGGGCGGACCTCTCGCCACCATCGCGGACGACGTGAAAAAGAAGATCCTGAAGCTGCTGCGCGGCAGCGCGCCAGGCGAGCCCCGGCGCTGGTGGTTCTCCGCGCCGGAGTGGGGCGTGCCCGATTGGGTGCGCAGGGAGCCCAACCGCGTTACGGGGGCCGACGAGCCCGTCCACAGACCCGACGGTCACCTTTACGTCATGGTGCCCGTGCCCGGCGACGACGGCGGCAAGGCCATCGCGTGCATCATCCTGGAGTTCAACCAGGATGAGCACATGTCAGGCTCGTACCAGGCGAAGGTCGTGATGGAGAACGTCGCCGCGGAGGACCGGGACGGCGGGGCTGCGGGGGGGGCGGAGGCGACGAAGGACCGAGCAAGGGAGGTTTCCATGAAGCGCGCCGCGGATGAGCGCAAGGTCGACGACGACGCAGCACCAGGGGCGTCGAAGCACGAGCCCGTCGCGCTGTCTGTGCTGCGTCTGGGCCCCGACGTTCACCGGGAGCTGCTGAAACACGGCGGGGGGCGCTTCGCGCACTGGTTTTCTCTGGGGGAGCTGAGTGCGCACCTGGTGGTGCACCTTCTGGAGCGCGGCGCGATGCTTGCCGAGCTGTACCACTCGGGCGCGTTCGAGGAGCGCCCGCCGCCGGTGCTGCCGTTCCTTCTCGTCGGCTTCTCGCCCATCGAGGGCAACGCCGAGCTGGTCGCGGCGAAGAGGGTAGTCGCGAAGGAGTGCGCATACGGGCTCAAGACGTACCGGGGGACCGCCGCGTCGAGGGCTGGTGTCGAGCCCAGCGCGGACGAGGCGACGGAGCTGATCGAGTGGCTGCGCCGCGACGAAGCGGAGCGGAAGACGCAGGGCGGAGCGGAGTCGCTCGAGGCGGGTCCGGTGATATGCCAGGAGTACATCCCGCATTGGCTGATCCCGGACCTGCGTGCCACTCTGGAATACGCACAGAAGAACAAGGTCGACATCGCGCCCGACCCAGCCACGCACAGGGCGCTGCTGGCGGTGTTGGCCACGCAGCAGTGGAACGACACGGAAGAGACGCGCGACACCATCGAGGAGGTGGCGCTGGCGGCGCAGCGCAAGCCGCCGGTGGACCACGCCGAGAAGGAGGTGACGGCGCCGCGGGCTCTGGTCGTCGCCTGCAGCTCCACGGACGCGCGCGACGGGTTCGCCCTCAAGGCGTTCTCCAGGGGGGGGGGGCCGATGACTCCCTGTCACTCACCAGCGCCATTGCCATGCAGCAGGCGTTGGACTTTGCGTTCCCGACCGACATCCAGAACGGCAGCGCCGAGGACGTGGTCAAGGTCCTCGTCGAGCTGCTCGGCGAGCTTTACGACCTTGATATTGACAGCATCCGCCCTCGCTATGGCGACGTCGCACTGCTCCTGATCGTCATGGAGAACAAGGACGAGGACGAGGACGGCGCGGCGAAGTCGTTCCTCGAGCTGCTGGTGGACAGTTGCAGCAGTGCAGGTGTGCAAGGTGCCACGCCACCAGGCACACTGGCGTCACAACTGGGCCTCCTGCAGAAGCACTGGGTGGAGATCCGGCTGCGGGACGTCCTCGCGACGACCGGGAACATCTTCCTCCGCCGGCCTCCTCCGTCCACGGGGCAGCAACCAGTGCAGGCAGTGCTGGAGGAGCTGTCGAACTCCGCCGGCGCCAAGGAGAGGGCCGATCTGACGGTCCGGCTCGTGCACGCCATGCGCGACGTGTACGACTCCCGGTGCGGCCGCCGGCACAGGAGCGCGCCAAACTTGCCGCTGCGCGAGTTCTGCCTCGTCCTCGCGTTCACGGCGTGGCGGGCCGCCACCGTGCTCGACAAGGCAGCCAAGGATGCGCTCGAAGGCGCCGAGGAGGTCTCCGACGACACGCTCCGTCGGTTCCGCCACGTCGGGGCGCCAGAATGGTTGCGTCGGTTCTTCCAGGAGATGTACAGCGGGGCGAAGCCGCCTGGACTGCGCGGACGTGGTGCCCTGCAACGGCAGCAGATGGAGCTGCACAGCGCGGATCGCGCGCACCCCCGCCCGGCCTGGCTCCTGGGCGCGCGCTCGAACGCTCCTGATTCCACGCGCGCTCTCCCCGCGCCGGAGCAGCAGCCCCTCCTCGCCCCCGGCGAAGTCGCTGGCGGCACCGTCGACGCCATCGTGCCGCTGACGGCCTACTGCCACCATAAGGAGGGTTCACCCCTGGACCCCGCGGGAACCGCATCAGTGTGCGTCGTGAACGACCCTGCACTCGTTCTGCCGGCGATTCTGGACGAGACATGGGCTCGCGCCGACGTCGATGCCGATGGTCACTTCAAGAGGACGATTGAATGCCTCGTTCCGCACCCCAAGCACGGCGGGGTGACCGTGCGGGCGACGCTGGACGTGGCTACGTTTGGACAGCCTGTGGGTGGACAGCCTGTGGGTGGACAGCCTGTGGGTGGACGCTGGAGAGCGTCCGTGAGGGACGCGCGCGCGCTGCTGCACGCTTGCGGCGTCAGTCCGGGCGACAGGCTCGCGCTGAAGCTGGAGGGCGCGACGCAGCGTGCGGCGGATACGAACGCGCCCCGTCCGCAGTTCAAGTGCGTCACCGGCGACGAAGACCTGGCGAAGGCCTTGGGCGCGGCGCAGCGCCGCGGTGTTCTCCTGAAGCTTCCGGTGCCGCCCGGCGGAACCGACGTGTTCGTGAGGCGCGACGAGCTCCGCGACGATGCGGGCGAAGTCCCCCCACTCATCATCGATGGACGCACGTCGACTGAGAGTGATGGCTCGCAGCGCGTTCGCTGGTCGTTACGCGATTCGGCGGCGACGGTCCGGCTGGCATTCAAGGCGGCGACGCCCGAGGGGCTGGCCCGGCCTCATGCAGTTTGGGCTCGCTGCACCTGTCCCGTGTGCTGCCCGTACCAGGACGCGCGGGCACTGCTCGAACTCCGACTGGGCAGGGAGGTGCGGCCGAGGATTCACATCCCGGGGTTGCGGAGGTGTCTGGAAGGGCTTCAGCTGCCCGCAGTCGGCGGCGATGCGTCCGACGTGCTGTCCCTGATGCAGTCCCTGTCGCCGGTGGCGCTTGTCCTCGACGGCGGGCCCGACACCGAACGCGGCGACGACGTGCCCGAGGACGCTGCCCTGTTCGACCTCGTCATCAACGGCTGCAAGAAGTGTGGCAGAAGACTGGAAGAGCTCGAGGCGAAACTGGACGACAAGGTTTCGGCGAACTTGCGAGAAACGACATACGCCAAGGAGAACGAGGAGCTGCGCAAGTGCGACTGGCTGGGCGCGCCGCTCGAGAAGCTCCAGGCGGGTGCGCCTGGATGGAGAGGCGTTGGTGCAGTTGTCCGCAAGCACCAGTTCAAGGGCGGCGTGCAACGCTACCTCCGCCCCGCCTCGGCGCTGCCCACGCCCGCCCTCGGAGACCCCGGGATACCGGACTGGTCGCACTTCCGCAGGGACGGGGTGCCGCGGTGCATGCTCTTCTCACCTATGCAGGCGGGTGGAGGAGAAGTTGACCTGGTTGGGAACCGCAGCCGGTTCGGGAGCATGGTTTTGGCGGAGGTGCCGGACAAAAACCTGAGGGTGACCGGAGAGGAGGTCTTCGTGTTGCGTGGTCAACTTGAGTGCACGGGACTGCTTGATCCGGTCGAGGAGCTCTGGGGTTCCAAGACTGCCCTCCCGACCAAGCTGGAGAAGGCCATCAAGGCGTCCGGATCTCTCGCCCTCACGGGCGGTGATCCTGGACTCACCTCTGCACTGGGCGAGCTCAAGGTCGTCTTGGTCGGCGCTGGCGCGGTCACGGGCGGGATGCAGGGAGGCGCCCGGGCGGGGATCCACGACGTGCGGTGCCACGTGGTCAGAAAAGCGAGCCGGGGCCGTGACCCAGGCGAGGCGTTGGACCACCGCGTGGGCATCGAGTTGCGGGGGCTGTGTCCGGGGGTGCGGGACCGCGTCGGGCTCGGCCAGAAGGCGGACTCCGTCGCCGGCGGCATGTGCGCCGTGCGGCGCCTCACCGACAACGAGGTGCGCGTCCTCCGCGCCGCGATGAACCCGGAGCAGCTTCTCGATCTCGACCGCGTGGAGGACGGCGACGGGCGCAAGCCGGATGCGGACAAGGTCCTGGGGCCCTTCTTCCTGGTGTCAGACGACCCTCTATGCGCGGCGGCAGCCTGGTTCGAGCGCGGGCAGCCGGGAGGACCTACCCTCCCGAAGTGCGTGGATGGCGCATACACCGCCTTCAAGGAAGAGCAAGCTCTCCCAGCGCCAGCCACCGGAGGTGGTTCTCCTCATCAGCCGTCGCCCCCCACGGCGGGCCCGGCACCCGGGACCGCGGCCGCACACCCGCCCCCAGCACCGCCAGCGTCGTCGGGCCAAGCCTCTCCAACGGCGACGGAGTCGAGCCCGCGGGACGGAGCCCCCCCCCGCACTGCTGCTGCCACCCCACCCACGGCCCCGCAGCAACCACCCCCGACCGGCCGTCAGCAGCGCGCTGCACTGCGCGCTGCCCAAGAAGCCCGACCGCCCGCCGCAGTCTCGCCCACACCCTCGCCCCGGCTACTGTCCTATGCCTCGGCGGTGACTGAGGATAGGGAGGCCTTCGAGTGGGCCGCGTACAAGAGACTCGCGGACTTCTACAAGCTTTTGGGAATCGGGCCGTGAGGCGCATCTTTCCGGGGCACCGCAGGCCCTGCCTGCCAGGCGCGCACCTCCCGCGGGGACGGGCATGTAACACACGCCCAGTCACCCAGGGCCTGCGCCTCGTTGCGTTGCTAGTCTCTCGAACTGCCCTGCCTTGATCTGACCGGAACAGCGAGGCTCGGCCCGTAGACAGACAGACCGTCTCCGGAGTGTAACTCTCTGTCTGAGTGTCTGAGGTAGAATCACACGTCAGCACTTTGGCCCCCAGCGTCAGGCACGTCATATGACGCGTGAGTCTGCTCTAACGGTCAGTATGACGCCGGCTCTGACGCGCGCTTCTGACGCGTGATCTGGCGCGCTCGCGAGCGCCACGAAGTCACGGAGATCACGGAGCTGCGAGCGCCGGCGCGCTCCCACGCGGAGCCCGGCATCCTGTCGCACCGCGGCTCACGCCGAGCCCCGGACCGCCGACTCAAGTCTTCCTCCGTGCGCCCTCGCGGGCCTGGAGTCGAAGCTGCACGCGCAGCGCCCACGAGGCGCGCTCGTCCGTGCGGCGTATCCGCGCGGGCTGAAGTGCATGCTCACACGCTGTCGGCCAGGTCCTGGCGGTTTCAGCCGTCCCATGCCCCCCCGCCTCGGCCTGGTGGCAAAATCTGATGTCCTGCGCTCACAATGCTAACCCCCTGTCCTGCGTGCTAATGCGGTGTGGTGTGTCCTCGGCCGAACCCTGCCCAGAGCTCGGCGGCGCGCGCATGTCGGGACGCTGCGGCGACCAGGCTGTGTGTGCTGTGCAGCTCTAGCACCAGGCTGTCAAGTGCCTGTATGATAAACGCAATCGCATGTCGGCTGTCGGCGCACCCCCCCCACGTTTCCCCGCGGCGGCCCACGCCGCGCCCGCTGCCCCCCCTGCGCGGGCTGTCTGCCACTTCCCTTGATGCTGTCGGCGGGAGATGGGCACTCGTCCTCGGTGGTTTCTGTCAAACTAGCGCCGCTATAGGGTGGGGTAGAACCTGCCTTGGCGGTGCGACCCGTTCTGCGGGGTGTGAACAAGTCTAGTCTAGTCTAGACGCGTGAGTGCCTCTGACCGTCAGACGGTGGCGGGGGCTCTCACGCGGCTCACACGCGTCGCGGGGCTTCGTTGGGCGCCCTCGGCCCCGCGCCCACCTACGTCAGGATGTGAACGTCAGTCCGGGGGGGCCAAGGTGAGCAGGGCGATGCAGGAGAAGACGTGATGAGATGCATGCACACATATATATAGGCGCGCCATGGCGCAGCCAGGGGACGCTCGCGTTCGGTTGGCAGCACCACCGCGGGGAACCTGTGGGGGGGCACGGCACGACGCCCTTCGACGCGCAGCTCAGCGCACGCGGGGGGCGGCGCGGTGTTTGTCTTCGACGCCGCGTCGGGCGGCGCGCCTGTGCAGTGCGCCACGATTCAGGCGTCGAGCGCGGCGCGGCCTGGCGCCTTCGGCTCGCAGATCGCGCTGTCAGCGTCAGGGGGGGTGTTGTATGTCTCAGACCCCCTCGGCGGCACGTTCGGGAACGGGACGCTGCTGCGATACGATGTGCAGTGCAGCACATCGCCTCCCGCGGCCACGCCGGGCCCGACCGTGCAGACCGCGGCGTCAGCAACGTCGATCGCGCAGCCAGCCACGCAGCAGACGGCGGCGGCGGGCACCGGCAGCACGGCGGCGCCTGCGGCCACAGCCGCGCCCTCCGCCGCTACTGCGACCTTCGTCGTCGTCCTGGGCCTGCCTGCGAACGTGGCGCTATCGCCGGACGTCCTCCCGGGGCTCGTCAACACATTGGCCTCCTTGCTTGGCGTGCCCTCGTCGCGTGTCTCGGCGAACTTCCTCGCGAATCGCCGCGCGGTGTTGCAGGCACGGGTTGTCGGTGTTCGCCTGACCGTGTCGGCGGGGTCGCAGGAGGAGGCGGCGAGGCTCCGCAGCACTGCGCAGGACCACGCGAACAGCGGGCGGCTGGCGGCGGACGCCGCGGCCGTGGTCGGCGCCACCGTCACAGTCGACAGCATCTCTGAGATCCAAGTGGCCCTTCAGGGGCCTGCCTCGCCCGCAGGCGACGGCTCCGGTGGCGGCGGGGGCGGTGGGTCTTCCGCAGGAGTGATCATCGGCGCTGCCGTGGCGGCAGCCAGTGCCGCTATCGTCGTGACTGTCGTCGTGGTCGTCGTGGTGCTGCGGAAGCGCCGTCGTCCAAAACGGGACGTCACGAGCGGGCTGCCGCGCCTGGACTGGCTGGAGATGCAGGAAGCGGCCAGGGAGCTGGAGAACGTCAGCTTCGGCAGCAGGATCCGCAGCCACGACGCCCCGAGGTCCACGCTCGAGTCCGGCTTCAGCTCGCTGCCGCCTCCTCCGTCGGTGGCGGGGTACTCGGTGGCGACGGACGACGTGATTGTAGATCGGCCACGACCGTAGCTGCGGCGCGCGCAGGTCCCGGGGCGCACGTGCGAGCGGTGCTGCGTGCTGGTTCTCGATATGGACCGGCACTGCGCAGGAAGCCGCGAGACGCCGTTCATGGCTGCAGGAACACTATCCTTGAAGAACATCATCAATCATCGCGGAATTCAGTCCGCACTAGTATGCATACCAAAAGCGGACGTCCTCAGTGGGATGGCGTCGCTGGGTGAATGAGCGCGTGCTATCGCGCGGAATCAGGACCAAGGTGCCCATCGATGTGCTGCAAGAGCATATTCTAGCACCAGGGGGGGAGTCGAATTCCCCTCTGGCGCCCACACGATCAAGCCCCCTTCCACTAACCCCCTTCCCCCCCTGCCCCTCCTTCCCCCCCTCCCGTCACCTCCCCCTCTCCCGATCAACCCCCGTGCGGAACTCCGTGGCCGTTTGTCCACCACCAGGGTGGTGCACGCCTCAACGCGAACAGCGCCCAGTGTGTCTACAGCACTGTCACGAGCGGTCCGCTACGTAGGTTGACAGTTTGCTGAGGCGTGGTTAGCGCATCACACACGATTGAAGTTGCTTCCACATCTAGGTCAGCACGTGCGCACTGAGCAGTGCCTCGTGCGCGCTAGAAGCCAGCGGGGTTCGTCAGGCGAGGTGCGGCGTGAGCCGTCTGTAAGCGAGGTTGATCCTGTCGAACGCCGCCGCCGCCCCGGGCAGCTGGCACCGGTCGGGGTGCAGGGCCACAGCCAGTGCCTTGTACCGCCGCCGCACGTCAGTCGCGGTCGCGCCCTGCTCCAGCTGGAGCGCCGCGAAGTCGTCGGGCGCTGCGGCGATGCGGGCGACCGCGCGCTCGTCCACGTCGACCGCTGTGATGCGCGGTGCCGCGGGCTGCGGAGCCTGCACGCCAAAGGCGGACAACAGCTCGTTTTGGCGCCCCTCGAGATCCGCGGCCTCGCGTTTCCGGCGTTCGAGAGCCTCCTTGCGCGCCTCCTCCTGCAGGGCGGTGGGAAGCGCTGTGGCATCGCAACCCCGGACGTTGCAGGACACGACGTCAGCATTGCTTGTTCACGTGAGTGGAAATGGTCGTCAGAAGGGGCTGCGCGCGCGACCGACGCCGGCAGAGACGCACCCGTGTCCGCCGCTTCTCCTCCTCGGATTCCCCTGGAGGCCTCTTGCTCGCGCCACTTCGCACCGCACCGCTCTGATCCTCTGCATCTCGTGCCTTCTCGCCGCTGCCCTTCGCTGTGTCTGCCCGCCAGGTCCGCAGTTTCTTCATCCTCTGAGCGAACTCCTCGACTGGGGCTGCGTGCTGTTTCGCGTCGCCGGCCCCGGCGTCCCCGGTTGCGGCCTCGGTCGTTCCTCCCGCCTCCCTTGGCCGCTTGCCAGCTGCCCCCGCGGTCTCGGCGGGCGGTGCTCCCGCCAGAGTCGCTGTTGACGTCTCCGGTCGCTTCCAAATGCGCTTTTCCGGCGGAGTTGGCGCTGGTTTCGCCGCGCTGCCATCGCTTGCAGGCAGGCCACTGCGGCCCCTCCCCCCAGCCCGCCCGCCGCGGCCCCTCCCGCGCCCTCTGCGCCCTCCCTGAATTTCCCCTCCACCGTGTACGACTGCCGGGGGCCGGACCTGTGATGGCGCGGCGCCAGGCGTCCCCCCGGCTCCATCCCGCCGCCACACTCGCGACATCACCGCCTCCGCGCCAGTCCCAGACGCGCGGACCAGGTGCTGCGCTGCCACCAATGCCGCCGCCCCTCGCGACGCGTCCTATCGGGCCACGCCACATCCCGGTGCGACCCCGGGGGGGGGGCACTGACCAACGTGCCATGCTGACTCCGCCACACGAAACACCTCCCGCGCACCGATCCCGCACTCAACGCGCCGATTGCGTGTGCGCCGGGGCCCGGCATCGTTCCCATCCGCACGCGTCGCGCGCGACTTCTCAGACCTCAGCGTCGCGGCGTTGCACTGGGCAGCCCATGCGTACAATTCGTCGGTGGTCACAGCACGGCGCGCGGCGGCGGCGTGCTCCCCGCGCGCTCACTTCGCCTTGTTGAACCCGAGCCCCTGGTCCTCCGCGTACCGCTCCATGAAGCGCATGAAGCGCTCCCACTCCATCGGCGACCGCATGATGTGGCGCGCCTCGATGCTGCTCGGCTTGCCGTTGATGAACTTGGCCTGCACCTCCACCGTGGCGATCTCGCCCTCGCTGTCCACCATGTAGAGGCCCGTGATGTCGCCCAGGTCGTTCCCTGCCTCGAACACCGACGGCTGCTCAAACACAAAGGTCGCCGTGCCGCTCGCGCCGTCGCGGCTGCGCGTCAGCCGCACGTCCGGGATGCAGGACTCGTCGATGCCCTTGATGAACTGCGACGAGGAGCGAACGCAACGGCGCGGCCGTGAGTGGCGGGGTCGAGCAACACTGCTCAGCAGGGGCTGTCGTGGCGGCGCGCGCCAGTCGCAGCGGGCAGCCGACGCCACCGACGCCAGACGCGCTGCCTGGCTCCGTCGGAGCCCGCGTTCGACAGGGTCAACAGCCACGCGGTCAGTTGCAACACTGGCGAGGATCGCAGCACAAGCGTGCGTCCGCGCGTGGCCAACGTCAGTATGCGGGACCGCCGGCAATCCGGCGGCGGCGTCCAGCTGGCGGGCGCGAGGCCGCACTTCAGCCGCCGCACGACCGTGCATGAGGCACCGCGACCTCGCGCGTGGGCAAGGTGTTGCCCGCGCCCCGACCTAGGCGGGCGACGATGCCGGTGGAGGCGACGACCCACGGAAAGGTCGTCAGAATCCCGCTGCCTGCGATCGCGCAAGCGCGCGCGTGCGCCCACGGCCGCACAGGCGGTGGCCGGTGCGCCTGCCAGCAGCATGCCCTCGGATGTCCGCCACCGGGGCACCACGGCCGACGCTCACCGCCGCGATGAGGTTGCACAGGGCAGGAACGTTTTGGCTGCGGGAGAGGAAACGTCTCCGCGAGCCCGGCCAAGAGGGCGGGCTCCTGGGTGGGGCAAGTGGACGGCCGCGCGCTCGACGCACCTGGATCGACGCGTCCATCGCGACCATGCGTGCGGTCTGGGGGGCCCGCTGCGGGGCCCGCACGCCCTGCACCATCGGCCTGACGGCTGCGGAGCGGGGGGGGAGCGGAGGGTCTGTTTGCAGTGGAGCAAGGCTTGATTCGAGGGCGACACCCGCGAGGCAGGGCGCCGCGAGGCCAGCGATGTGACGTGCAGAGCACAGAGGACGGCGAGCAAGACCCGGGAGGCAGGTGAGATCTCTCATGCCGAGCACGGGGGCAGGTAAGGAACAGGGGCTGTGTGCAGCCACAGCCATGGTGCGGCGTGTCCACGTTGATCTGGCACGTCGCGATCGAGGACTGCGGCAATATCGAACACGAGCGAGTCGGAGGGAGCCCGTTGGCGCCGCAAGCGCCGCGGAGCGGCACCGGGTCCGCGCGACCGGTGGTGCGTCTCGGGCTGCGCACGGCGCGACATAGACCATTCGGGAAACGTGTGTGCGCTCCCGTGCAGCGGTATGCTCAATTGAGGCGTTCGTGGATGCCGCTGCTCGTCGCTCGCGCGAGGGCTGGCACGTACCCTTGGTGCCCAGAGCCATCTTTGAAGCCATCCTGCTTGACGAAGAGTACTTCAACACCCTGGCTGTCTCGGAAAACCGAATCAAGAGATGTTAACCAAGCGTACCAGGCCAAAAGCGTGATCTGCGATGCGGCAGCCCGGCGGCGCGCCATGAAAGGCTCCATGGCAGCCACACCCAGTCTTCCTCCTGCCCGACAGGCAGCAGGCGGTGCGGCACGCACGGCACAGCGCCCCCCACGTGACGCTCCATGCATGGGGTCGCGACGCATCGCCGCACGCTGGCCTCCGCCGCACCTGCCGTGCGCAAGGGAGCGGGCAGCTGCCAGGCGCCGACACGCCCGAGTCGCGAGCACCGCGCAGAGTCCACGGCGCGCGCCAAGACGCGCGGCGCCGCACCAACTCCGCGGAGCCTGCACAGCCGTATTCACACATAGCGGAGGCGCGTCCGCACGCCCGCATCGACTTGCGCAGCCAACAAAACACCCTCACCCCGCCGCGCCCTCCTGCGCTTGCGGCAGCAGCACGCGGACCTCCGTGCCCGCGTTCTCCGCGCTCGCCACCTCCAGCGCCCCGCCCATGCTCCGAAGCACCAGCGACGCGAGACGCAGCCCCATTGCTCCCGTGCCCGCAGGCAGCCCGGACTGCATGCGCTCGAGCGCGTCCTGCAGCGACGCAGCCCCCTCGGGGCCCCAGCTCGGCGTGATTCCGTCCGCCGTCACCCCGCTCGTCACGTTCTCCGTCAGCGGCCCTCCGTCGTCGCGGACGGAGACGCAGACGCGGCCGTCGCGCACCCGCGCCGCCCGCACGCGCACCACGCCGCCGCGCGGACTCCGCTGCAGCGCCGAGTCCAGCACGTGTCCGAGCGCCCGTCGCAGCGCCCCCGCCTCCACGCCGGCTATCAACGGCGAGACCGGGCGCGAGAGTGTCGGCACACCTGCCCCCAAGCCCGACGACTCCCCCTCCGCGTCCGGCGCAGGCCGCGCCGGCTTCGGAGGCTGCGGCCGTGACGGAGAGCTCGTCGGCGGCGAGGACAGGAAGAGGTCGTCGCCGATGTCCATCATCACGCCCATGGCGCTCGCCGCGCGCAGCGCGGTGCCCAGGAGCTGCGCCAGAACCTGCCGCACGTCGCACTCCCACGTCCGCCGCTTCGCTGGCTGCGGCGGCTCCGTGCTCTCGCGCCTCGGCGGCGGCAAGAGCGACCGCGGGGGCGGCCCGGACTCCACAGGCTGATTGCTCCCCGAGGCGGCATTGGCAGCTGCTGCCGCCGCCGCCGCGCCCGCCGCCGCGGCGCTGCTCACGCTCGCGTCGCCCGTCGCGGCCATCGCGGTCGCGGCGGCCGCCGCCGCCGCCGACGCCACCCGGCTGCTGCCGGCGGGGAGCAGCCCGCTGGCCGACGTCACTGTGTCGGGGCTCTCGACGAACTGCGGGACCGTCGGCGTGCCGTAGAGCGCGGACTGCAGGTTCCGCACGAGCTCCTGCAAGTGCATGCCCTGCGTCACCATCCCCGTCGCCAGGTCGCGCCCAGCCGCCTCATCCCGCATGCGCGGCAACAGCATCGTCCCGAGGGTCCGGATCGCGCTGAGGGGGCCGCGCGTCTCGTCGATCATGCGCCGCAGCGCCTTGCGGCGGTGCATCGACTGCACGCGCGCCAGCAGCGCCCGTTGGTCCAGCGCGCACGCCAGCGCCAGCACCTGGGCCACGCGCAGCACCTGGGCCTTGTCCTCGTCGCACAGCGGCGCGGGGGACCCCGCCGAGGCCTCGACGACGCTCACGCCGCCCCGCGCGCCCACGCCGTCGTCCACGACGTCGCCGACGCCGTCCCCGGACCCCAGGAGCGGGCGGTCGGCGCCGGCCCAGTCCTGTCCGCGCGCCGCGCCGCCCCAGGCCGCCGCGCCGTACGAGCCCGGCACGCCGCGGTCGACGACGAGCATGCCGACGAGGAACCCCCCGCGCGACAGCGGCACGACGACGGACCCGGCGTCGGGCAGGTCGATCCACTGCTGCGCAACGAGGCTGTCCTCCTCGCCGCTGAGCACGACGACGTCGTCCTCGTCGTCCGGCGCGGTCTCGATGCCCGGGGAGCCCGGGATGCCCAGCGGCGGCCACTGGACCGTGCTGGAGGTGCGCGGCGGGGCTGGGGCCGTGGAGGCGCCGCCGCCGTCAGTGGGCGGGTCGTCGCGGGACTCCCAGGAGCAGAGACGCACCATGACGAGCTGGCGGGAGATGTAGCTCGAGGGCTTGCGCGTGTAGAGCGTGGTGCGCAGGGGCGGGGGCAGAGCAGGCGTGGCCGTGCCCCCCGCCGCGCTGCTGGACGCCGCCGGCGCGAGGAGGTCGCCCATGATGGACAGCTGCTCCAGCGCGAGCTCGCGGAGCTCGTCGCTGGCCTGCAGGGGGCGCGGGCACGGCCGGAGGGCGTGTGGTGAAGCTTGGGAGGTGCTCGCGGAACGTGCGTTTCCGTGGGCGGGGAGCCCGTGCCGCTCGGCAGCGGGGCCGATCTCGACGCCCTGTGGCCGGCGTGCGCGCAGAACGTGGGCGAGCGCCCGCGCGCGGGGCGTGCGGGGCGTGTGCCGTACAGAGATCCACACGCGCCTGGCGGGTGGAGATTCCCCCGCGGATCCCGCGACGCGGCGGCCGCGCGGCGCCACGGGCGGGACGGCGAGGCGGGAGTGCGCACCTCGTCGGATTCCGACTCGTCCGAGCTGTCCCCGCTCGACGGGACGAGGAGCTTGTCCTCGAAACTAAAGCTTCTGCAGAGGCCGGGGTAGCTCCCCGAGAAAGCAGTCCTCGGCCGCTTCTGCTGGCGAGAACATGACGGACTATCTTTTGCGCCGGTCCGGGCGCGGAAACGCTGGGGCCGCCCGCATGGGGAGGGTGCATGCAGTGCGGACACGAGCCGAGCGCGACGACACGGCTGGACTCCGTAGCCGAGTCGTCGCATCTTGAGCTGATCCATGTTCTCAGTCTCGAGTCTCGAAAATCCTCGTGCAGGGGGTCATATCAGCGCAGACTCGCTGCCTGTGGTGGGCGCATGGCCACAACAGCGCTGTTCCGCCCCAGGTGCGCGACGATTCGCCCTTAAACGAGCCCCTCGGTCTCCACAGCGACGAAACGCACGCGGGGGAGCGGAGAATGCGACTGCACGCCGCTCGGCGAGAGCAAGAGCCCGTCTGTGTCGGGAGTACTCCCACGGCCGCGTCAGCTCTCTGAGGACCCGCGGAGAGCGGGAGCGGCGCAAGGGACGGCGCCATGCACGAGACGGGGCACCTCGTTGCTGTCGACGGCGATACTACCCAGGCGATTCGCCACGGCAGGCCGATCTACGTTGCGGCGGTGGTTCCACACGGGCGCTCGCGCTCCGCGGCGGCGGGAAGCTTCCAACAAAAGAGAGGCAAAGGGCCGCGAGGAACGGGCAGGATCATCCCTGTGGGAGTGGTCTCAATGCCCGTGACCTTCGCCGCGCCTCGTGCGGCGCCCGCAGTCCACGCTGCCCTGCTCGGCGCCCGTCCGAGGCCGGTGCGCGACGTCTCGCGACTTCGGCGTGACCGCCTTGCGGCATCCTCACGTGACGACGTGGGCGACATCGAAAGTCTCATTGATAGCCTCGTCACGAAGCAGCAGCGACCGGCCAGTCCCTCAACCGAGGGCGGCGACAACGCGCCCCCAGGCGGCAATGCGGCGGTCCCGTCGTCACCAGACAGTCGCGAGCAGGCAGGGCGAGCGGGGGCCGATGAGAGCGGCGGCGCGTCGCTCTCCGGGACAGGTGCGCGGCATCGCCGTGGCGCACAGCAGCCCTCGGCTGCGCGCGACGCCGTGACGAACCGCGCAGGAAACCTCGCGGCCGACACGGCTGTGCAGCTCGGCGCTGTTGCTCCACGCGTAAAGCTGAACAGTGAGGCATGTCCGCAGTTGGTGCCTGGCTCTTGGCGCGTGCAGGAGCGGGCCGTCGGCCTGGAGCGCGGCGCTCCCTGCGCTCGCGGTCGCGGCAGGGGGCGGTCGGCGTGAAGACGGGCATGTCGCGCGCAGACAGGCAGAGGTTCATCGACGAGCAGGCCCAGGCCGAGCTCTCAAGACCTGAGGTGGCACAGACGCTCCAAGAGCTGGAGCGGGCCAGGGCTGCCCGGGAACAGGCCGAAATCGACGCAGCGCGCAGAGAGGTGCGCTCGCGTCCGCGGCTCGCCGCCCGGCGCCCGAGCCCCGCACTCTCGGCACACCAACAACACCCCCCCCCCTCGTCGTGCCGCAACCGCAGAAGCAGCGACGGGAAGCTGAGGCGAAGGGCGCGAACAAGGCGCCGATGGGTCCCCCGCCGCCCCCGGGCTTCTCCGCGGCCGCACCGCCCGCCGCCGCACCCCCCGAGGTCGCGGACTCCCCCCGGCAGGACACCGGGGCGCCCGCGCACGAGGTCGAGGTGCTCCACGGCGGCGCTGCGGCGCGCCCGCGGCCGTCGCAGGAGAGCCCGGAGGCCCGGGAGCTGCGCCGGCGCGCGGTGGCCGTTCTCGAGATGCTGCAGGCGGGCGCCGAGGTCGAGGGCTGCATCGCGAAGCACCGCGAGATCATCGACGAGCGGATGATGGCGGTCGTGGAGAAGCGCCTCGAGACGGCGGAGAAGCTCGCGGCGGAGGGCAAGGCCGGCGAGGGCGACACCGGCGCCAACGCGCTGCGGCTGCTCAAGCGTCGGTTGCAGCGCGAGCTGGACCGCAAGGAGAGCACGCCCGCGATGCGCCTGCTCGACGACTGTCTGGCTACGCTGGCTGCGGAGGGCGACGCGGACGGAGGTGCGTGCGGCCCGGCGCCGGTGCTGTTGTGTTCCGCGCGTGCTGCCCGCTGTTCGGCGTGGCTCGGGGCCCCGCGGAACCGCTGCGCCGTGAGTGTGTGCAGGCGAGCTGGACCCTGCGGCGCGCAGCACGCGGCGCGCGGCGTGCCAGGAGCGGCTGCGCGCGGCGTTCAACGCGGGGGTCCCGAGCGAGCCCATCGACATCTTCAACGCGGCATCGGTGTTCGCGGAGGGCGTCGACCTCACGGGCGCGGCCGCGCCGCTGCCGGACGTCTACGAGGCCGAGTTCGTCGACCCGCGGGACTTCCTGCGGGAGTCCAAGGCGCTGCTGGACCAAGTCGAGAAGATGTATGAGGCGGTGCGTGGCACACAGGGCGGGCGGCTGCAGCAAAGAGAGTCGCCTTGCTACCAGCGCGTAGGACGGCGTGTTGCGTCGATTTGCGTGCCCTGGGGGGGTGACGCGGGCGGCGCTTGGTGTGTGTCTGGATGACGTGTGGTGGCGGTGTGTGCGACGCGTTGCAGGAGCGAGAGGCGGTGCGGAGGTTCAAGGAGGAGGCCGAGAAAGAGGGGCGGCTGCGGGACACGTACGCGGTCGAGGCGATGGACACCGCGCTCGAGGAGCGCTCGGCGGTGATCGCGCAGCTCGTAGATGTGCGCAGCTTGGCGGCGGAGCTGGCGGACGAGTAGCGGGCGCCGCGCTGGTGCGTTGCTGCGAGGGCGCGAAGCATGGGCGCGCGCAGGCGCACGGACGGGCAGCCGCTGCCAGCTGGTTGCGGCCCGTGCCTCGTTGTTTACGCAGTCTGTCAATGCACGGCCATCTCGAGCGTGCTGACCCTCTCACAGTGCTGGGCTCCCGCGGCCGCCTGCGTAGGCTACGTGTGAGTGATGTGGCGGCCGCGTCACCGTCGAGCGCGCCCGATTTTCGGTTTCGGGAAGGCCTGTTCCAAGGACACCTCCCCTGACTGCAACAGCGACACCTTGTGGCCCCCCTCGCCGCCGTCTTTCGCCCTCACCGCCTCAATGGTGCACCCCAGGACGCGGATCGCCTCCCGCAGGACCTTCCACTCCATCTTGAGCTCTTTCCGGAGACTTTCGACCACCGGCGCTGACAGCACAAACGCGTGCGCGTGCAGCGTGGCCACGAGGATGTAGCCCAGGCAGAGGTCCCGCCGGGCGCTGTCCATAGCAAGCGACACCGAGCCGTCGTCGCGGACGCGCTCGAAGCACAGCAGCCCCGTCACGGCCTCGAGTGCAGCTGCGGGCACGTTGAACTTCTCGGCAGCGCTGGTGATGCCCCCCTCCTCCACGCGCACGCCGCCGCGCGCACGGTACAGTGCGAGCAGCACGTCGACGAACGCCAGAGCTTGCGCCGCCCTGCAGCCATGACAGATGCTCAGACCACAGGTGCGTCACCTTCAGCAGAACAACAGCGGCGAACAACGCACTCCGTCACGCGGCGGTGCGACGGGCGCCGTACCTGGACCGCTGCTTCTTCTCCTGGTAGTCCCGCAGCACCTTGACCCTTTGTTTCACGAACCTGCACGCCTTCAACTCCCCCCACTTGTCGTCATCCTCCGCCACGGCCTCCAGCTCCGCGGCCCGCGCGTCCAGCCCCGCGCCCCGCGGAATCAGCGCCTTGAGCGGGTACGCCTTGCTCGGGTCCGTCGCGGCCGGCACGTGCGGCGGGATGTTGCGTTGCGCGCGCGCCGCCGCCTGCAGCTCCTCCTTGGTCTCCCCCGCCCGCTCCGCCTCCTCGCGGATGGCGAGGATCTCGGCCTTGAACCGCTCCGGGTCCGTCAGGTTCGTCGCGTCCATGCGCCCCTTCTCGCGCTTGTCCATGTTGCGCTTGCGGCGCTGCGACCCAAACGCCGCCACGAGATCCTTGTTCCGCTGCCGCCGCGCCTGCGAGGCCGCGGGTGCGTGCACGCATTGTGTGCATTCAGCGCACCGGTGCCACCGACGCGTGGTGAAGAAGAGGAACGTGTCAGACCAGCACTGGGAGGTTGTGGGGCGCGTGACGTGGGCTGCACGTGCGTGAACTTGCCTCGAGGTCGTCCGGTGCGAGCGCCGCCATGCCGAGGCCGGTGCTGTAGTCCACGCCGTGCACGCGGGCCTCGCACCGCAGGACGTCGCCGCCCTCCGCGGGCGCCAGTGTGAGCGTCCCCGCCGCCCTATCGTACAAGCCGATGGCGTAGTTGCAGGGTGGGGGTGGCCGCGCGGGGAGCGTGTCGCCGACGTAGTCGACGTTCACCTGCGGAGGACTCGGCCGAGAGCGCGGTGGGACACGATGCGCGCAGGTGTGGCCGCCGTCGCGTGCAGCTCGAGCGACGATACCGCGATATTGTGCATGCCTGAGCCCGACATTGACAGAGGAAAGAGATCGTGGCGGTTGGAGCGGCAAGGGAACGCGCGTGCGCGACGTGGCGCGCGCCCGAACACCGCTGTGCCCATGGCACCTGGGTCGGCCGCCGCCTGTGCGCCGAGCGCAGCGGTCGTCGTGGTGCGAGTATGGGGCAGAACGCACGTGAGTTCCAACGAGAAGGTGCCGCTGCATCCCAGAGGCCGCGTCGCATCGGTAGAGGTCGAAGTCCGGGATGGGACCGCCGACCACCGGCAGGCCCGAGGGAAAGTGGCACGCGAACGGCCCCACGCGCTCCTCGTCGCCCACGCCGTCCGCCACAACGATGTCAACCTTGCGTTTCGGCATCGCCGCGCCCCGCACGGCGAGCCGTGCCTCCCTACGCCTTCCTCGACAGCGCCTATATGTCTGAAACTGCCCGGCGACTCCCGGCGCCTATATACAGACGCCTATCCCGATCCTCAACCCCTCGACCTCGTCAGCCCGGCCATGCTGCGAGCGGCCGGCTCGCCCTGCCCAACATCGCCCCGCTCGTCCCCAGGGCGCGCCGCAACGACAGCAACCCCCCCGGGGGGCATCACCGGCGCGACACAGGTCGGGTTCCGCCTCAGCGTTGCACAGCAGCGCGCCCTGCTCGCGTCCGCTCACAAGAAGTGGTGCACGATCACCTGGCGGTGCGGCTTTCCTGGTCCGATGACGATGGAGGGGAAGGAGGAAAAGTGCACGGCGTCAGGGTACCCCATGGTCTCCAGCGCGACACCCCCCCAGTCCTTGTACGTGACGCCGTCCTTGCCCTTGGTGCCCCCGATGAAGTTGCCCGAGTACACCTGCATCGCCGGCGCGGTGGTGTACACGTCGACCCCGCGCTCCCGGTACCGCAGCTCCGCCGCCTTGCGCAGCGGGCCGTCGTGGCCGACCATCCCCGCGGAGCCCGCTCGCCTGCGCGTGGTGGGAAGGTGCGTGCGTCGCGCTGCGCTGAGAGGAAGCAGGCGGACGGCCGGGGCGGGACGTGGGTGCGGCGGTGCAGCGTACCGGATGGCCCCGCGGAGCACGAATGTGTGGTCGAAGCCCTTCTCGGTCCTGCGGATGTCGTCGCCGATGGCCTTCTTGCGCGTGAAGTCGACCGGCTTGCCCGCCACGGCCAGCACAGCCCCCGTCGGCAGCAGCGTCTTGGGGTCCGTGGGCGTGAACGTGTCCGCGAGGATCCGCATCTCGTGGTCCAGCAGCGCCTCCGGACCCGCAGAGTGCCCCGCGAGGTTCCTGCGAGCCAGACACGCCACCGCGCCGCCGCCGTTCGCGACGATCAAGTGCAAGTGCCGCGTCGCTCCTGCACCGGCGCCTCGCGAGCCGCGCGGCGGCGCGGTCCAGGGACACAGCGGGCGGGCGGCGTCTCACCAGTACGCGTGGTGCGCCATGTTGACAGGGGTTTCCGTGTCGCAGGTGGCCTCGAGCATGGTGCGCAGGCGATTGTCGGGCATGACCTCGTACGTGACGGTGGCCTTGACCTCGCCCGGGTAGCCGCCCTCGCCGTCCGGGGACGTGCGCGTGAGGACGATCGAGGCGTCGGTCACCTTGCTGACCGTCCAGGGCTTGTCGTGCCACGCGCCAGCGCCGCCGCCGTGCAGCGAGTTCGGCGGCTGGTTCGCCTCGAGGAGGTAGTTCATGCCGTTGAGCTCGAACGACGCGTCGCGGATCCTGCGGCGCGACAGCGTTCTAGCGCGGTGAGTCCCGGCCGACACATTGAACAGCAACGCAGACACGCACGTCTCAGATATCAACGCTGGCGGGACCGGCATTCCGCGACACGCGACGTTCGGGCGCGGTGCAAGGAGCCCGTGCGGTCCGGCCGTGCTCGGTCGGCGTGCGCGGGCTTGCCTGTTGGCCACGCGGCCGATGACGACTCCGAAGTAGGGCTCGTTCCTCGACGAGTAGTCACTCGCGGAGGGCAGCCCGAGGCAGACGTCGAGAGGGCCGTCCGGCGTGGGCACAACGACCTTGGTGACCGCGGCGCCCGTGGGGGTCACGTGCACCTCCAGGCCTGCGCGCCGCGGGCAAAGTGGCAACAGCTCTGTGGTAGTGGGTGCGAGCGCCGGCGCATGCGGCAGGAACTGGGCAGAGAGCGCAGCGGCAGGGCTGTGATTTCGGTGGAGAGGTAGAATTGCTGACGAGAGACCTTCGGAAGCGCGGGAGTGCGCCGCAAGGCGCGATGAGCTGGCAACCAGCGGACGGTGCTGCGCGTGGTCGATTGATGCTGCCCACCTGAGTCTCCGCGGATGACGAAGACCTGCCCCTCGCTGCCGTCGCCGCCCTTCTTGGCTTTCTTCGCGAGCACCACAAGGGCTGCCGCGCCAACAACAGCCAGCGCAGCGGGAACGATGCTGCGAGGCCCGCACCCGCCCATGGTGGGGCCGCTCCTGCGCCAGAGGCAGGTCCTGCATGTGCTAGTCAGCGGTCGGCGAAAGCGTGCGGAGAACCGCGCACGGGGACGACGGTCGTGGCCACACGGAGGCGGTGGTGCAGCGGCCAGGGATTGCGTGCTGCAGCGTACTGCGCGCGGTTGGACCCGTGTCTGCGACACGTGTAGAATGTCATTTGCGCGAAGTCGCGGCCACGGGCTTTTTCGCGCTCACCTGCGTCGCAAGGGCCGACGCGCGGCGCAATTCACTGGTCAGTTGGTACTTGTTGTCGTTCGGGCGCAGGCTGAGACGAGCTGCGGGGTCTGTGCAGCGCACGGTGTCCGCAAGTGTGGCTGGGGCCCTGTCACGGACCGCTCGTGTCGCCCGGCGCAGGGACGTCGCTGCAGGGGTGTCACAAGTACAAGTATTCGCTGGTGCCGCGCGGCTGGTCGCGGCTCGGCGCTGGCGAGCGGGGCCACGTCGCGTGCCTCGCGTTAAGTGTCGTCCGAGTTCGTAGAGGCTCTTCACCGCTGGTGATACGCGGAGCTGAGAGACACCTCGCTTCACCCTTGTTTCGCTCCGTCTGTCGCCGCCTAGGCGGCCTCGCGCGGCCTGGTTCCGCGCCTGGCCGCTCTACTGCATCCATCTGATAGCGCCACCACTCGTAGTATGACTGAACAGGCGGCTGCAGCTCAGGGCGAGGGCCCGGCACCAGGAGAAGGCACCACTGCGGGCCCAGAGCGCCAGCCGCAGGAGCTGTGTTCCGTCTGCTCCGAAGTGGTCTCGAAGTACCGGTGCCCGCGGTGCAGGTGCGTCCGTCGCGCGTCAAGCAGCCACCCCGCCGCACCGCCCACGCTCCTGCTCTGCACGGCTGCTGCTCGTTGGCCGACGACGCGCGCGCGCCGCACCTCCGTCGCAGCGTGCGGACGTGCAGCCTGGCCTGCGTCAAGCGGCACAAGGAGGAGACCGGGTGCACCGGCAAGCGCGACCGCACCGCGTTCGTCAAGGTCTCAGACTTCACCGACAACCACCTCCTGTCCGACCTGCGGTTTATCGAAGAAGGACAGATCGAAGTCGGTGCGAACCGTGCCCGCGCGCCCCGCCCCCGCGCGCCGACCGCCGCCGCCGCATGAGCTCATCGTCGCTCCTCCTTCTCAAGTTGTATGTAGACAACGCCAAGCGCCGGAAAGCGGCGCCGACGCCGACCAACCTCCCGCACCACCTCGCGACGCTCAAGCACCAGGCGCGTCTGCGCGGCACGGAGCTCCTGTTCCAGCAGCCGGGGATGCTCAAACGGAAGCGCAACTCCACCAAGTGCGCACGCAACCGACCGCCCGCGCCGCACGCCGACCGACGTGCCGTGGCGCCGCCGCGACGTGGCTGTGGATGCGGATGTGGCTGTGGCTGTGGCTGGGGTCGTGCGCGCCCGACATCGCGTGCGGCGCCCCTTGCGTGCGACCCTTGCGTGCAGTTACAACGGGAAGAAGAGGGCGATTTTCTGGCGCGTGGAGCTGGACTTCTTGTCCGCGGATCACACCGCGACGACGTCGCGCGCGCCGGAAACCACCACGCTCGCGGACGTCGCTGCGCGGCACCTTCAGCCCGCCCCAGGTGCGCGCTGCCAGCACCAGCCCGGCCGCGCACCGTCGCGACGCGCTCGACCCGCGGCCCCTCCGTCCTCCAACCCAGCCTGCCATCGACGGCCCGTGCAGGGAAGAGCGCGGAACGTCACAGCCTCCGGTGGTACGCCGAGGCAGGTGCGCAGTCTCTCGCATTCGTGATGAAGCTCCCGCGCCGCCCCGCCAACGATCCGGCGTGGTGGCGCCTCCCGCCGAACGTGCCCCTCGCGGAAGCTCTGCGCGGAGCATGCGTCATCGAGTACCCCGAGATCGCTGTCTTGCTCCCGGGCGAGGCGGAGACCGGCGTGGTTGGCGCAGGCAGCCGCGAGGGGCAGCAGCTGCGCATTCTCGACAAGCCGCGCTGGGGGCCGCATGGCATCGTTCCCGCGCCACCACCGCCGCGCCCGCCCGGCGCGCCGCCGCCAGAAACGGACGAGGGAGGTGCTGCGGTGCAAAGCGCACAGGGAGGCAGCGGCGGGGCGGCGACGGAGCCCGACAGGGTGCAAGGCGAGGCACCGGGACACGCGAGCTGATACACAACGTGGGACACTGCGGGGGCGCGCTCCGACGGCGCGGCGGGGCGCGTTGCGGGGTTGTGGTATTGGCGCAGCGACAGTTGTCGTGGAGAGCGCTGTGACGGGCTCGGTGCGTCGGAGGCGCCGCGCGTGCGCGTCACAGCTAGAACTGTTCATTCAGGCGCGCGCAGGCCGTTCGGAGCCGGCTGTACACCTTGCCCGGCGGGCTCCCCATGACGAGGGCGCAGATGGCGTCGCGTGCCACGCGGATGTTCTGGAAGCTGCCGAGGAGGTGGATCTTCGTGTCCGCGAGCACGATCCGCGTGCGCGTCGCGTTCTCGATGGTGAACTTGACCTTGCCGCCCTTCCCGGCCAGGCGCCCGACCGCGCGGGACAAATGTTCCCCCTTCAGGGTCTTGATGTCCTTGACCTCGAACGACTCAATGTACAGGTCGTCCAGCCGCAGCAGCGCGATCGCGTCCTGCACCTCGAAGCCCATGAGGAAGGCCTGCACGAAGTCGGCGGCCTTCTGCAGCGCGCCGGCGTCCGTGGTGGTCTTGGAGGTCTTCAGCTCCACCTTCCGCGTCCGGAGGTTCATGCGCATGTCCAGCTTCATGTGCTCCGTGATAGGCTTGAACAGCGCCATCCAGTTGTTCTTCAGCGGCGTCATGCGGTGCTGCGGAACCGGCACCTGCGACACACACAGGCAACAGAGCGCCGTCGGCCTGGGCGGTGCCGCGGCGGGCCGCGGCGGCCGGCGACGCGCAGGGAGCCCACGCGGGGTGCGCCCTGAGAGTGCGGTCCTGCCGTCACCGCGTCGGCGCGCTCGCGCGGAGGCCCGAGCAGGGCGGCGCGCGGGTGTCGGCCGAGCCGCGCAGGCATCGTGCTGCCGTGGGCCCCCGCGACCTGTCCACGCGAGGGGCGGGCGTGTCGTCGCCCCGGAGCGCGCCGCGAGCGTCGTTGTGTTGAATTCGTGGGCGTTTCGGAACGCACCCTGCGGTATTCCACCTTCTTCCCGGACTCCTCTTCAGCGGTGGCGGGGGCGAACTTCGGCTTGGCTGGCTGCTGGGCCTCCACCTCCATCGCCCCCTCCGCCACCGTCTCCTTCAGCACATTCTCCTTCTTGTTGCGCCTGGTCACCTTCGGCATCTCGCCGCCCTCCGCCGCCGACAGCGGCCTCCACCTCCAGCTAGGAACTCACGCCCTTCCCGACTACGCCCCGCCTCCTATCCGCTCCCGAATGCCCGCACTCTGCAGCTATGCGATCCAGCTCTGTGCAGTGCTCATGCACTCCTCGCTCTCGCGCCCTCGAAGCCGCCGTGATGGACCTCTGAAAGCCGCGGGAATCAGCGTGCCGTCTGGCGCGCGCGGCGACTGCGTGGCTGACGGACTGCGGTGAGCGATCCTGATACTGCGAGTAGACTTGCGGCCACCCGCCGCCCCGCCAAGAGGCCCGGGCGTGCTGCGAAGAGCACGGTAGAAAGCGAGTTGTCAACAGTCCCCCCCCCGCCGTCCTTCGACCGTACGCCGCGCCTGCGCCCCTCCCCCTCCCCATCGCATCGAGCCAATCATCGATGCCCCTCGGCCACCGCTCAGCGCGCGGCCCCGCACTTGCATCATCATCCCTGTTGTCCTTGCAACTCGTGAGCTCCCCGTGCGAGCCTGACGCGCAGCCGAACACGCCTGTACGCGGCACACGGAGCACGCCTGCGCTGCGCCGGCGCGCCTGTCCACCCATGCAGCCCTCACAACCCCCCCCGGGGCCTACGGCTCCGCGTCCGCGGCCGCCTCCTCGCCCATCGCTTCCGCCGCCGCGGTCGACGCCCGCCGCGACGGCGCCTTGCTTCCGCCCGCCGACGCCCCGCCCGCGCGCACGCTCGCCGTCCGCAGCGCCGGCCGCCGCCCCGTGGCCTGCGTCAGCGCGTCCGCCAGCCGGTCCCGCTCCGCCGCCACCGCGTCCAGCTTCCTCCGCAGCTTCTTCTTGTCCTCGTCCAGCCGGTGCGCCTCCGCCTTGTACAGCTCGCGCTTCTTCTCTGACACGTCGTACTCCTTCACCGCGCGTGCCGCCGCCTCCTGCATCTCGCCCTCGCGCCGCGCCACCTCGCGCTCGCGCTCCTCGATGCCCCGCACCTGCTCCTCGAGCGGCCCGATGCGCGCCCGCAGCTCGCTCTCCGTCTGCCGCTGCGCCGCCACCTTTGCCGCCAGCGACTCCGCCTCGGCCACCATCGCCCGCCCGCGCCGCGCGAGCTCGTCGCGCGCGACCCGGAGCTGCTCACGGGCGCCCTCGGCCTGCTCCAGCTGCGTCTTGAGGCGCGCGACCTCCTGCTGCGCCTGCGAGAGCTCCGAGCGGAGCGCGCTCTGCGCCGCCTCCGCATCGCGCTGCCTGCGCTCCGCCGCGACCATACGCTGCGAGGGGGGCGCGACGTGCGCGGAGCGTGAGGCAGGGGCCCAGCGGCGCCGGAACGATCGGGTCTGTCACCCGCGAGTGAGGCGCCGAGGGGATGTAGGGTGCGGCGTTGCAGCGAGGCCGTGCAGGTTCGATGAGCTGCCGCGTCGGGGTGCGGACCTGCCGGGCTGCCTCCACGCGCTCCTCCGCCTCGACCGCCTGCGCGGCCACGTCGGCGGCGTCGCCGTCGGACGCAGCGGCCCTGGCTGCGACCGCCGCGCGCCGCGCAGACTCCGCCCGGGCGCGCGCGTCGTCCGCCTCGTCCTGCAGCTCCGTGAGCCGGCGCCGAGCGGCCGCGAGCTCCGCCTGTGCCTCCTTCAGCTTCGCCTCGGTCGCACGCAGCTGCTCCACACCAGCCTGCGGAAAACACCCGCGCGAGCGAGCGCGTGGGTGCGCTGGTGGCGCCGATCGCGAGAGGAGAGCCGGCGTCTCCCCGCCGAACACGGGCGTAGCTGGGGCGGCCCCAAAAGTTGGGATGGCAGTGTGACGACACATTGGGTGGTGGTCTGCGGTGGCCGCAGCGGCGGCGGCGGCCTCGGCCGCATGCAGGGACGTTGACGGGCGCGGCGTGACGGCGCACCTCGACGCGGTTGCGCAGCTCTGCCTCCGCGGACTTGTGTGCACTTTGCACAGCCTCTGCCCCACGCTTGGCCGCCGCCACCTGGCCCTGCGCGACAGCCAGCTCCTCCCTGCGTGCACGTGGACGAACGTTCATGCTCGGCGCGGGAGTGGGCGGCGCAGGAGCGGCCCGGCGGCGGCGCTTGGCTTGGCTGCGCGTGGCCGTGCCTGATTTCCTGGACCGTGCGCTCATGCACGCCTTGCAGTCGCTCCCGCGATGCCTTCAGGTCCGCGATATCGCTGTTGCGCACAGCGAGCTCTTTCGCGAGCTCCTTGTTCGACGCCTGCGCACAGGGGGGCGGAGAAACACCTCGGTTTCAGGCTGTTGTGTCGCCGCAGCGCACGCTCCTGGGCCGCGGCCGCGACACCGATCGCACGCTGGCGTTGGGCGCTCCCCGGCCCCTCCCCGCGTGACGCACGCGCGAGCGCCGCGCGCATTGCCGGACCCGCCCAGCGCTGCTCCGTGATGGCGTCTGCGGCCGGGCGCTCGGGCGCACCTGGAGTCGCTCGACGTTCGCCTTGTACCCGTCGACCTCCCTGATCTCCGCCGCGGCCCTCCTGAGCCGTTCATCCTTGTCGCTGTTGTCCAGCTGCAGCCGCTGCACCTCCGCAGCGAGCTGTTGGTGCCGCCACACGTAGTAGGCCAGCCCGAGGGGCGCCAGACACGCTACGAGCACGGACACCGAGCTGTTGCTCATTCTTGCTCAGTCCCGAGCGGCGTCGCCTCCCTGAACCGGTCCGCCGGGCGGGCCAGCAGCTGCGGTGACTAACGCCGCTTGTGCGGCGAATGCGCTGACCTGCAGCGGCCGCGATCAGGTCTCCCAGCGGCGTCATGGTCGGTGACGGCTGCGGGCTGGCCGATAAGTCGCCGGGACGCTGGCAGAAAGGCTGGGGGGTCCTTTGAGCCCTGACACGAGTGATGCGCTGAGCCTCGCGCGGGGCGATATGCGCGCGAGTCGATGCGCGGCGCGGGTGCTTCTGTGCGTCAGGTACCGGTGAGAGCGATCCCCCGCCTCTCAGGACTTCTCACGGTCGCTGCGAACCACTTGGGACCCGGAGTTCGACGGTCACTCTCTGCCTCGTTGCCTCGAGCTCGCGCTCGAGAAACTGGTCGCAGCCATTTATCGCCCTCCGTGCGAATCGAGCGCGGCCTGCCCGTTGGACATTCGACCCGCCGGGCTGCATGGAGTGGAAGCCGTCTGCGTGTTCCGAGACCACGTAGGGGCCTGCCGACCACCACTTGACCCGGACGCCAGGCAATATGAGCGGCCTCATCAACATCGGGGCGGACAACGCCGACGATGCGCACTACCGCTACAAAATGCCGAAGCTGATCGCCAAGGTGAGCCCCACCGCGGCCAGCCGCCCGCCTCCCCGCGCCCCGCACCTGCCCCCCGCGGCGCCCAACGCTCCCTGCGCACCTCCACCCTCCGCCGCCCGCTCCCACGGGCGCGCTGTCCGGAAAAGCGCGCCGTGCGGCGGCCGCCCACACAGCCATTGGGCAGTGAGCCCCGTGGCGACGCGTTGCGGCGCCGGGAGGCCGCCGCCCTGGCCGCCGCGGCCGCGCGTGGATCCCCGCAACGCCGTGGGCGCGCCCCGGCCCTCAAGTACCCTGGTGCTCAACAGAGCGCCCGCATTGGCGCTGCCTGCGGCATCACCCCCGCGTTCGGCTCCCGGCAGCGCGGAGCATTTTCCCCGGACCCTGCCCCCGCGCTCCGTCTCCCTCCCCAGCCCAGCTCCGGCACCGCCGCGCCCGCGTTCTCCGCGGCCACGGCCCGGCGCCCCGCCCTGCCCGGCGCGGTGCCGCCCGCCCACCGCGAGCGCCCCCCGCGGTGCGCGCAGATCGAGGGGCGCGGCAACGGCATCCGCACGAACGTGGTGAACAACGTGGACATCGCGAAGGCGCTGGCGCGGCCGCCCGAGTACACTTTGAAGCACTTTGGCACGGAGCTGGGCGCGCAGACGCGGTTCGATAAGGGCCAGGGGACGTCGATCGTGAACGGCGCGCACGACGCGAAGGCGCTGTCGGAGATCCTGGAGAAGTTCATCAAGCAGTACGTGCAGTGCTACGAGTGCGGCAACCCCGAGACGGTCATGCGCGTGAAGCGCGACCAGATCACGATGCGGTGCAAGGCGTGCGGCGCCAAGTCCGAGGTGGACCCGCGGCTGAAGCTGAACACGTTCATCATCAAGAACCCGCCGCCGAAGGAGGAGTCGAAGCAGGAGAGGAAGGTCAAGGCGAAGATGGAGGCTGCGGTGGCGGGGGCGGTGAGCGAGGGCGTGGTGGTGGAGCCGAGCCCGAAGGCGAAGAAGGAGAAGAAGGAGAAGAAGGAGAAGAAGAGCAAGAAGGAGAAGAAGGAGCGGCGGAGCGCGCGGGGCGAGGACGGGGAGGGCGGCAGCGAGGGGGGCGGGTCGGGCGAGGGCAACGGCGACGCGTCGAGCGGGGACGACTCCGGCGACGACGGCGACGTCGAGTGGATGGTCGACACGTCCGAGGAGGCGGCGCGCCAGCGCGCGCAGGAGCAGCTCAGCGGCGCCGTGGCCAAGCTCGTGGGCGGCGAGGCGGCCGAGGCCGTGGCGCAGGTGGACGAGCTCGCGGCGCGGCTCGCGGAGGAGCTCACGCTCGAGGACGCGGTGCCGGCGCTGCGCGCGGTGCTGCCGACGAAGAAGCCGCTCGAGGCCGCGACGCTGGTGCAGAACCTCAAGGTCCCCGGGGGGCTGCTGGGGGCGTACCGCGCGCTGTACGAGGCGCTCTTCCTGTCGGACGACGGCACGACGACGCGCGACAACCGCGCGCTGCACGACCTGGCCGAGGAGAAGAAGCTTGTGCTGGCGGCGTGCGGGCGGGACGCGGTCGGGCAGGCGGCGCAGCTGGTGGCGCTGGAGTACCTGGTGGCGAACGTGGTGCCCGCGCGGACGGCGGAGGCGGCGCTCGTGATGAAGCTGCTGTTCGAGTACGACATCGTCGACGAGGAGACGTTCCCGGCGTGGGCGGCCAACACCAAGGCGAGCCGGAAGGCCGGGGTGGCGAAGGAGCGCGCGATGGAGGTGCGCGAGGCCGTGCAGCCGTTCCTGACGTGGCTCGCGGAGGCCGAGTCGGACTCGGACGACGACGACGAGTAGGGGGGGGTGTTGGGTGGCATGAGGGCTGCCGGGCTGGAGGCGCGGGCGGAGCGCGAGGGCGCGCGCAGGGCACGCGTGTGACATGCTCTGACGTCCGGTCGTGTCGGAACGCCCGCCAGCGCCGCTCACGTGCGCGTGGGCGGGGGGGCGCTGGTCTACTGGACCTGCGGCACACGAGTCTGTGCGGCGGGCCTGGGTTGCCGGCGCGGGCAGGTGAGCGGCTGGCGGCACTGCGCGCAGGTGGGGGTTCGCGGGAGCTTGCGTTTGCGGCACGGGCGCGGCCGTGCTGCGTTGTGTGTTCTCAGTGTCGCACAAGTAGCAGGTGTGTGCGTGTCGAACGCAGCGCGTCTGCGCGGTGAGATGCGCGTGGACTGGCTGTACGTAGAGCGCAGCGCTGCTCCGAAGCCGCCCTCGTCGCGGCGGCGGTTTCTCTGTGGACTTCTGCACGCTGTCCTCGGCCACGTGTTGTGACTGCGGGTGCGCGCGTGCAGCCGCAAGGATTCACACGAAGATCAGGTCAGCGAGGTGTACGCGAACGCTCCGATCCCGCCGAGCAGAGCCAGGTAGCTGAGACCTGCGCGTCGCGAACCGAGGTTGAGACTCGTGGGCACGGAGAGCCTGGGACCACCTACGGCCATCGCAGGCCCGCACGGCGCGTTCGGCCCCTGTTCCGTCGCGTCACCGACGACAGGCGCCCCAATCATGCGTGCGCGCGGCCGCATCGCGTCGCAGGTCGCACGTTCGCGCGTGATCGCACCTTCCGCAGCGCCCAGGAGCCCTGCCGGCCCCGGGGGGAGGCCCTTGCCGGTCGACACCTTGACGTACAGCGACCAGGCGACGATACCGACGACAACGAGGTACGAGACGCCCTCAGCGGCGCCGAGCGCGCCGCCAGGGCCCGGCGGGAGACCTGCACACACGCACACGGCGTCACGTCGTGCCAGCCTCGACCACCGGGGCCGCGACGCGAGACGGGCGTTCCGGCGCGTATCGGCGACCGCGGAGCAGGTTCTCACCGCTGCCGGTCGTCGCGAGCGTGAACTCGCTCCAGTAGCACAGGGGGTTGGCGACGAGGCCAACCGCGGCCGCCGCGAGGGCGGCGGTGCCGACCTCCTCCTCCTCCGCGTCGTCCGCCTTCGCGCGCGGCGCGGCGGGGCCGCGGCGCAGCGGGGCGGCCGCGCGGCGCGCCGAGAGCGTCGGCGGGCGCAGGGCGGGCCTGGCCGAGGCGTGGAGCACGGGCGAACGGACCTGCATTGTGGGATCTCAGAGAGTCTGCGCAGTGTGCGGAGCACGGCGGCGATGAAGCCCGGCGCGGCCGCACGCACAGGGCTGGCGGGGGGTGGTGGGTCACCCAGCCGAGACAGGCCCCAGTGGCCCACCGTGCCCCGGGCCGCCCGCGCCATCTATGCCGGCCGCGTGCGGGCGTGCTGGGCAAAGCCTCGTCATAATTTCATAACGAGGGCGTCGGTTCGCCCGCTACACGCAGCGCGCACGATCCGCACGATGGCAGTTACACGAGGGCAGGCGATGCGGGCGTCGACGGCGTGCGGTGTCGACGCCCGTGCGCGGGCCTCGCCAAAATTGCGGCCGACATCCCTGCGCGCGCACGTGCGGGCGCGCGCGAGGCACGGAACGGAGAGCGCGACCGAACCCCTTGTGCATAGGTATGCCGCCGCACATTCCGACCAAGCCGCGCCCCCTTTCCCCGCGCATACGCCGAATCCCGCTCCCGCAGTTGCCGTCCATCCCGCCTCGCGGCGCCGCGCGGCCATGCAGCGTCCCGGGTGCCCCCGAGGCCGCGCCCAGCGATCTGGACCCACCTGGCTCTTCCCCTCGCCCGCCCCAGCGAGCCCGCGCCGTCCCTGATCCGCGCCCGCCGGGGCCCAGCACGCGCGCAGCAGCCCTGCCGGCGCGCCGCTGCGTGCGCGGAGCGTCCCCAGCTCTCTGCGGCGCTACCTAGGCCCCTTGCCAGCGCTCCCCAGGGCTGCTTGCGACGGTGTGCGGGCCGCGGCGCAGCCTGGGCGTGCGACGCGGCTGTGCTCGCCCACGAGCCCCCTCGCTCTTTGTCAGTCGCACACAGCGCGATCCGCGGGCGCACCGGTCGTGTTGCTGACCGCCACCTTGCTGCGCCCCCGCGCGCGAGTTACGTTGCATCACCCCGCGCGCGCACGCCGACGGTCCCGCAGGTGGAACACGCGCGTGCTGAACCCCGAGGTCGAGCAGGCGCAGCGCCCGGCGCCGGCAGCCTCACCGGCACAGCCAGGCCGCCCCGCCGCGGTCAACGGCGCCACCGCAGCGCCCCTCGTCGCCCCCGAGGTCCAGGACGGCAGGAAGCTCGGCGGCGGGGTCGGTCCCGCGCCCGTGCGGGTCAACGGACGCGCAATGTCGCGGCGAGAACGCCTGGGGTCACCGGTCCGCGAGGAGGACCACTCGCTCTTCGTCCAGTTCTTCCTCCAGGTATTCGCGCCCTCCGTGCCCCGCGCAGCCCGCCGCGCGCCCCCGCGCCGCCCGCGCGCGCCCCACGCGGCGCCCCCGGCCCCCGCGTGGTGCGCGTAGTCATGGTCACGCCCTCCCCGACCCGGCCGCAGGCGTCGCCGTACATCACGGGCCACCGCGGGAAGACCTTCGTGATCGTGATACCCGGCGAAGCGCTCGACGACGAGGACACGGCGGAGTCGATCCTGGACTCGGTGGCGCTGGCAGCCTCGCTGGGGGTCAAGCTCGTGCTCGTGCTCGGGTGCTTCCCGCAGATCCAGTCGCTGATCCGCACGCAGGGCGTGCAGGCGAAGTTCGTGAACGGGTACCGCGTGACGGACCGGGAGTCGCTCGTTGCCGCCATGGAGGCCGCGGGGCAGGTGCGCCTGGAGGTGGAGGCCCGCTTGTCCCGCGGGCCCTCCGTGGCGATGATCCGGCGGCACGAGAAGTCCTCGCACCACCGCGTGCACTACAAGCCCGCGCTGCGCGTCGCGTCCGGCAACTACGTCATGGCCAAGCGCCGCGGCATCGTCGACGGCGTCAACTACGAGCACACGGGGGAGGTGCGCTTCGTGTGCGAGGACCTCATCCAGCAGCAGATGGACCAGGACTGCGTCGTCATCCTCAACAACATCGGCTTCACGACCAGCGGCGAGGTCCTCAACTGCAACACGTACGAGGTGGCCACGCACGTCGCGACCAGCATCAAGGCCGACAAGCTGGTGTTCTTCACGCTGCAAGACGTCGAGCGCATCGGACTGCCCAAGTGGCTCCCGCTGCTCGACGCGCAGGCGCTCGTCCAGAACATGGCCTTCAACCGACAGGTCGAACGCGCCAAGAACGGAGACTGCCCGGTAAGCCACGCACCGACCGCGGCGAACGCAGCACGCGGGCCGCTGCACGGACGACGCCCGCCTGCCTCGCGCTGCACGCCTGCGACCGCGCCCTGCGCAGCCCGCCCGCGCGCGCGCCCCTTGTGCTGCTGCTGAAGCTGCGGAGTCGTGGGTCGCTGCGTTGCAGGCGCCCATCTCCCCGGACGACCTCCAGGTCGACATGGACAGCTGGGCGGTGCAGGGGTGCCCGTGGGAGCTGTCCTCCGCGGTCGCCGCGTGCCGCGCGGGCGTGAAGCGCGCCCACCTCATTCCCGCGCGCCTCGACGGCGGGCTGCTCCTGGAGCTCTACACGCGCGACGGCGTCGGCACCATGGTCAGCACGGACTTCTACGAGGGCTGCCGGCCCGCGCGCCGCGACGACCTCGACAGCGTGGCCGACATGCTCGCTCCGCTGGAGCGCGCAGGCATCATGGCGCCGCGCAGCCGCGAGAAGCTGGCCGACGACCTGCAGTACTACTTCGTGATCGAGCGGGACCAGAAGATCCTGGCCTGCAGCGCGCTCATCCCCCTGAGCGAGCACCTGGCGGAGGTGGCGGCGTTCTGCGTGCGCCCCGAGTACCGCGGCGACGGCAAGGGGGACTCGCTGCTGGACTACCTCGAGCACGTGGCGGCGAGCCGCGGCGTGCAGATGCTGTGCTTGCTGACGACGCGGACGGCGGGGTGGTTCGAGCAGCGCGGGTTCACCAACGTCGGCCCCGCGCACGAGGCCGAGGAGCTGCCCGAGGCGCGGCGGGCGCGCATCAACGCGGCGCGCAACAGCCAGGCGTACGTGAAGATGCTGGACGAGCGCTGACGCCCGGGCTGCGGCTGCGTGGCTCTGCGCGGGGGCAGGAGCTGGAAGATCGGGCTGCTTGATGCGTGAGGAGGAGTGTAGTCGAGTATTTGCTACCTGTTTGTATGGCACGGAGCACAAGCGCAGGAACTGATAGTGAGCGAGCGCAGTGCGTGGGGTCGGGCATCATCCGGCGTGCGACGCCGACAGACGGCGCGCCGGTGTTGCGCAGTGCACCAGTGTGACCGCGGGCTTCGTGGCGAGTCGATTCGCCGCTTGCCGGAGGATGCGGGCGGTAGGGAGCAGCCGCCGCGACAGCCGCCGCCAGTACGCAGCGCCCCCGGGGGTTGTTGCCTTGACTCATGTCTGACTGGGTGTGTGCCCGACGCGTTGTGGTCACCGGCTGTCCGCACGAGACGGCTCCAAGGGCCCTGTGGGCGGCCTTGCCGGCCACTGTTCGATGGACTCGTTCCCGGCGACCCTCCAGGTGTCTCTTCACTCTTCCTGTGCCGAAGTAGTTTATAGGGCTCCCTGCGCAGCGTAGCGGCCCGCGTGGGCCGGCTCTCCACCGTTTGTCCCGCGACGGAGGAGCAGAGCAGGCGTGAGGACGCAGGGCGCGCGTGAAGAGGTGGCAGGGGCGTCGGGAGCGGGCGGACAATGGACCCGTTCACGCTGCTCAAGGACTATGTGCAGCGGGACGAGCTGGGGGCGGTGCGGGCGGAGGGCGGCAACATCGCCTTCGGCTCGGACTATGTGTTTCCGCCGAGCACGCTGCTGGCATTCAAAGTGGGAGACGGGCAGGTGCGGGCGGAGCTGGGCTGATGCAAGTCCGCTGTCCCGGGAACTGTTTCGAGGCCAAGAGTGCGGGGATACCCCGCCTCCTGGATGTATGGTACTCGATTTCTGACCACGCGCACTTCTGGTCCGTTTCGTTCCTCGCAGGCGCGCGAGGACTGGTTGCAGCTGGACGTGGCACTCCACTTTGCCCAGTTCTTCACCACACGCGACGCTGCCGGCAACACTCCTCGACTGGTCACCCCAGAGTACGTCAAGGTGAGCACCCGACCCCGGAACCTGTCCCCGACGCAACGCACCGCGCCGCCGGGCGCCTCGCCCCCAGCACGAGCCCGCCGGCCGCCCGGAGCGCGACGCACCCGCCCGGCACACGCCCCGCGCAGGCCGCCAAGGAGAGCAAGCTCAAGCCCGTCGGGGCGAGGGCGCGGCGCGACCTCCTCGACATCCTCCTCGGACGCACCCGCGAATCAACCCTCTGCGTAGAAGTGCCGCCGCAACTGGCGGCCGCCACGCTCCAGGTGCGCCCCGCGACGCGCGGCACCGCGCTCGCCGCGCCGGCATCGTCTCGCCTTGCAAACGCCAGCGACCAACCCACCGGGCCCACTCTAACGCCCCTCTCTAATGTCACACTGCGCCGCGACGCTTCGCAGGCGCCCGAGCCGGCTCCGGCTGCGCCAGAGGCTGCGCAGACGCCTGCTGCGACGGACGACGACGCGGTCCGCGGTCCGGCGCGCATCCTCGCTGACGTGCGCGCCCACCAGCGCCCTCTGCGGGACCGCAACTCCCAGCTCGTCGCGGCGCGCGGCGACTTCCGGTTCGCGATCCAGATCGCTGCGCGGTACGACCTCTTCGACTCGAAAGGCTCCGCGGGCGCCGGCGGCGCGAAGGCGGCGGCGGACCGCCCCGGGGGGGGAGTCAAGCGCCCCGCGCAGACCGACCTGGCCGGCGGGCGCGAGAAGGCGCCGCGCGGGACGCAGGTGCCGATCATCGTCGTGCCGCAGGGGCTGCAGACGCTGATCAACATGTGGAACATCCGGAGGTTTCTCGAGGAGGGCAAATTCGAGACGTGGCAAGCCACCAAGGAGCGCATGGGCGGGAAGCCCGCGCGGGAGCTGCTGATACTGCGGCGGCAGGGGCGCGAGGAGCCCGTGCCGTACAGGATCGTGGACACGTACCCCGCGCGGCGCGACCAGCAGCGGTGCGTGGTGGCGTGCGTGATGCACGGTGCCAAGTGGCAGTTTAAGGACTGGCCGTACAAGGACAAGGAGAGCGGCGGCGTGGACCTCGCGCACGCGATGGCGGCGGTGCGGATGGTGTACTTGAAGTGGCACGACGCGCGGACCGAGCAGCTGCCGGAGCTGGTGCGCAACGGCAACGTGCGCGTGCTGGGGCTGCACCGCGACAACCGGCACTCGGACAACCTCGTGGCGGGGGACTTCTGGAAGGAGGTCGACTTGCACATCGCGCGGAACGCAGACCTCAACCGCACCGTGAAGTACTGACGCCGCGAGGTGCCGTGAGACACTGAACTCGTGACAAATGACAAATGTGCCTCACAGGGTGAAGGGCCTGCGACGCAGGCCGGGTCAGTGCGACCGAGTTGCAAGCCGCGATGTCAACCTCCACGGGCTCTCCGACTCTGCGCGGTCGCCCGGAGCTCATCACCACTGCCACCGCGGCCATGTGCACGTACTACAACTGCCTGCTCTAGGAGCTCTCTGCGCCGCCGGCCTCGCTGGCCGCCGGTGGAGCGCGCGGCACCACGCCCTGCCCGCGCTCCAGGATCAGCGTCACGTCCCCGTCGGCCACCACGCCCTTCTGCAGAGCCGCCGACACCGCCGGCCAGCGCTCCCCGTCAGCGCCGTAGAGCACCACCGTCCGCGTCGGCGGCTTCGCTCCGAACCCGAGCGTGCCCATGCCCGTGTACACTGCAACGCGGACCGCAGGTCACGCCTTGGCGTCCCGCTGCGTAGCAGCCTGCCAGTGCAGGATGCAACAGCGCAACGCACCTCGCGTCGCGGAGGTGTGTGTTGCCTCGCACCTGTGGTCGTGCACGTGAAGGCGCGCAGCACGTCGCCCGGCATCGGGGCGCGGACCACGCCCGAGTTGAGGCGCGCCCTCTTCAGTGCGCGGTCGGCGTTGGTCCCGGGCACCACCTCGGCCACCACCACGCGGCTGCGCGACCGGTCCTCCTCGAACACCACGCCCATGGGCCGCGGGAGCGTGACTTGCACCAGGGCCGAGTCCGCGCCGACGGTGCGCTCGAACACGAAGGTGGTTGCGCGCTTCTTGTCGACGGGGCCGACATCGATCCTGCGCGGCGGGGCGGGGGAGAAACGGGCTCGAGACAGCAGGAACGTGGCTGCGAAGGGCGGGCGGGAACGGAAGCGCAGGGAGAGAGATGGTGCGCGGCAAGACGTAATTATGTATACTGCTGTCTGAACTAGGGTCTGTAGGGTGAGTGCCTGATGCGCTCCCCCGGCGCGCCCGCCTCGATAGGCCAGGGGGTGTAGGACCGCGCTCGGAACGCGAGCTCGCCCTTGGTGTCGCGCTCTGGCAAGACACCAGCTTCTCCAGACTGGAAGCGCACTCCTGTTCTTTCGTCGCTGAACACCTCGCCTTTCTTCTTGCCGCTGCTCTCGCCGTCGATGCCAGGGAAGCGGATGAACCCCAACAGCGCCGCGCTCCCTGCGCCAAGGGAACGGGCGCGAGGCGTGTGCGAGATGCTCTGGGCTGCGTCTGTGCGCGTGGGAGCTGCCTCCCAGAACGTGAGCGCTTACCCAAAACTCCAACCGCCGTAAGGAGGATCGTGCTGATGAGGAAGCCGCGGTCCGCCCGCTCCTGGCACACGACGTCGTCGAAGCAGTAGGACTGGACGTGAAGCGCGGCCAGTGCCGGCTGCACGTCGGGAAGCGCCGTGTTGCCGGGAGCGATGCGCTCAACGTGTTCTAGCACGTGCTGTGCGGCGCTTGCGGCGGCGTGCAGGTCCAGCGAGGGAACGGGGAGCGCCCGGGCTGGCGGAGCGCGAACACCAGACGCCCGTCCGCGCGCTACAGGCCCCCCAAGCCGGCGTACGAGTCCCCGGGACGACATATCTCTCTAATGGAACGCACGAAATGCACGACAATCGACGAGACGAGGCCGTAAGTGCGCCGTAGACCGAGTAACCTAACTGGTGGCGTGCGATCCTTGTGCCCGACTTGCGGCGATCGAAGCAGCAGGATTGGACGTGCGCGTACCGTGCACGTGTGTGCCGCCGCGTTGCGGTTGGCGGAGGCAAACAATCGGTGGCGTTGAGAGGCAGCCTGACTCATGCTTTGCTCCCAGTCTGACTTTTTACCCACTGAGGACGTTTTCCTGGCAGGCCAAGACCCCGCTTCCGACGCGGGCGACGCCACAGCAAGCAGCACCGGCTCTCGCCTTTTCCTGCCGCGCGAAGCGCTCACGTGAGGCAACCAGCGCCCTGTGCTCACACCGCCGCGGGTTCCTGCACGCCGTGCCCGACCAGGCCCTCCTGGTTGCTCCGCGCGGAGAACACCGTCGGGAGGCCGTGCGCGGGGATCCCGATCGGCCCGCCCTTCCACTTGACCGACGCGTCCTTGCACTCAAAGTCATACCCCCGCATCATCACCGCAAACAGCACCTTCATCTCCGCCATCGCCAAGTTCATCCCGAGGCACCGCCGCGGACCCAGCCCGAACTGACTGCGCGAGACCAGCACCGAGCGGGGCGCAGGTTCGTAAGACGCCGGCAGTGCACACGCACAAGGTGTGTCGCGGCACGCGGCGTGGCTGGCGGCGGCGGGGGGGGGCGGGCGCACATGATGTAGTTGGGCCGGCGGGAGCGGTCCAGCCAGCGCTCGGGGTCCCAGCCCTCGACGTATTCCATGTGTTTGGTTCCCGTGTCGTCCCCGGGCATGAACTGCTTCTTGTCGAAGTAGTTCGACGCCGTCATCGTCACCAGCAGCTTCTGCACACAAACCTCCACCGCGCGACGAAGTTCCGTGCCACGCCGACCCGCGAGCGGCTGTCGACTGCGCAACCAAGGCATGGTGACGTGATGCGTGGGCGCGAGCGGCAGGGGTGTTCGCGCCGGCGCACCTCGCCCTTGTTGATCGACCACCCGCCCATGTCGATGTCCTCCCCCGCGACGCGGAACGCCCCCGCCACGGGGCTCTTCACCCGCAGCGTTTCGCGCACCACGGCGTCCAGCTCCGCCATGTCGCTCAGGCACGCCGACGTGATCTGCGCCCCGCGCTTCTCCACGACGCGCCGCTGCTCGGCCACCAGCCGCGGCACCCACTCCGGGTGCAGCGCCAGCTGCTGCGTGATCATCGTGATCGCCGACGTCGACGTGTCGTGCCCCGCAAACAGCAGCACGATCATGATGTCGATCAGCGCCTGCCGCGGGATGCCGTTGCCCGTGCGCTGCGACTCCGCGACCAGGTTGTGGATGACCGTCGGCTTCTCGACCGCGCCCGACGCGAGGTCCGCCGCGACCTTGTCGATGTGCGGACCAATGCGCTTGATGACCTGCTTGCGCGCCTCCATCGCCTTGACGTACGGCGAGCCCGGAATGCCCGGAGTGACGGGCAGGAAGAGGCCCCCGACCAGCTGCGGCGACAGAAGCGGGGGGGCGAGGGTGAGAGCACCCAGGCGGAGCGCCGGTCGTGAACCGCATCATATGCCGTCTCATGACTGTGCGTGCGCGCTGCGATCGTGCCGCTGGTGTGGCGCTCGCAGGGTGCCGCGTGACAGCAGCCCGTTGGCTTCTACCAATCACGTGTGCATGGGATCCTGAGTCTACTAGTTGCTCTTGAAGCAACTAGTTGACTCAGGATCTGGTGGGGGACTCACCGTCTTGTACTCGGCGTTGAACTCGGCGAGCTCGTCGTCGGTGAGGTCCATTCCCAGGACGACCTTGACGATGATCTCGAACGCGAACAGCTTGGCGCCGTCGTACACCTCCAGCGGCTCCCCCCCGCGCGACGACCACGACGCCAGCGTGCGCTCCGCCAGCGCCTGGATGGCCGGCAGGTACCCCGCGACCGCCGCGGGCTCGAACGCCGGCGCCAGGATCGCGCGCCGCCTGCGACTCGCATCAACGCCCGGCATCGCGGACGTCACCAACAGGCGGGCGCGCACACGAACGCACACTCCAGGACGATGTCAGGGCGTTGTGGCGCGTGGCGGCAGGCGCCGGGCGTGGGATCGGGACGCACTCTGTGTGGTTCTCTTCGTCCGCGTTCAGGCTGTCGTGCCCGAGGATGTCGTTGACGCTGTCGGGCCACGCGGCGGCCCCCGCCATGATTTTGCCCGACTCCGACCACTCCGTGCTGAGCACCTTCTTCATCTCGTCGGGGTCGGAGATCTGCATGTAGTGCCCGAAGCCCATGATGTACCCGCGGAAGTGCCGTCCGTATTTGTCGATCAGACCCTTGGCCATAAGCACTGGGTCCGCCATGAAGCTCGCCATGTGGCCCAGGAACGGCGCCCCGAGGTCCTCGGGGGCCTCGTCGAAGCCGAACGGGCACCGGGAGACGGGCTTCGCGCCCGGCCACAGCGTGCTGCGCAGCGCGGGCTTCGCGAGCTTGCCAAGCAGGAGCGCGCCGCCCACCGCGGCTGCCACCGCGACGAACGTGGCCACGGACGACGACGGCTCCGCGGCCGCTGCGAGCACCGCACGGAAGGGAGTGCAGGTCAGGCTTCGCGCGCGAAAGAACGCGGCGTGCCGCGAACGTACGCGGCCAGTAGGGTTCGGCGGGATGACCGCGCTCGCGAGACGCGTACGGGACGCGCATCTCGGGGTGACCGTGCCGCTCGTCGCGGCTGATGTGGGGATCCCCGCCGAAGGTTCGGAAACGGGACGGGTTGCGTGGAGTCGCAGGGGGGAGCTCGTCGCTGTGGGCCACAGGCAGGCGAGGCTTTGGCCGCGACAGTGCTTGTGCGGCGCTCTCACCTGCGCCCGCTGCGATGGATGCGATGTTCTGCGCAGCGTGGTGAGCCGGCACGGCCGCGGCCGCTCCGTGGTCACGCCTGCGGCCGGTGGGGCGCGCGCCTCGTGGCACCGCAACTAGGGGGGCGCGCCTAGCTGCGCCATCGAACGCGGCACGAGCATGTTGCGCACATACGCGCGTGCGGCTGCCACTCACGGCGCTGCCCGCGGGCTTCATGGCGCAAACAGCGACGTGCGCGCAGTGGCTGAGCGCCTGCCCGTCACACTCAGAGAAGCGCTGCGTTTGACGTCCTGCGATGGTGAACCGCGCGGGCCACTGGCCAGAACAGTCGAGTGGATCTAGAGAAGTCGGAACTACCCGCGGCGCTGCGCACCGAGAGGCCATGAAGACGCAAACTGCTTGTGCGAGACTCCCCCTGGCAGCAGATGCCGCGCGGCGCGGGTCTGACGAGTTGTTGGCGCGGGTCAGACCGCGGCACCGTCCCGGCTGCTCACCGCGAGACCGAACATGTCAGCGCGGCGGCGTCGGCGGAGCAGGCCCTCCCCTGACCCGTCAGGTCTCGGCTGTGTTGCGCGCTGCGTCGCAGGCGACGCTGGCCCCACCTGCGGCGGCAGGTTGTTAACGAGACGACCCGGCATCCCGCCGCTGCATCTGGATCGCTCACGATCCCCGAAATGTCGCGCCAACGCCCTGCTCAGATGTACCAGCGTGGCGGTGACTCCAGCCCTCCGCTCAGGTGCCGCCGTGGCACGAGCAAACGCCGTCGATGTACGATCAGTTCGTTCGGGATCACAGGGCGGTAGCGCGCCTGCTGTTGATTGTGGCGCATTCGGCGGCAGCTGAAAAAGCGGGCGTGTGTTGTGTTGCCGTCGCGTCGCGCCATGGTGTGGCGTGCACGCGCGGATGCATGGAAATCACGCCGGGAGACCCCTGTGATCTCCCGACGTTGTCACGGCTCCGTCGCCGGTCTCGCAAAATCGGTTCGTCATGCTCTGTGCTGTCAGCATGCGCCCAATGGGCGCATCACTGGGGACCGTCCTGCAGCGCCGGGGCGCAGAACCCGGGGACCCAAGTGCCGTGCAGCCCGTACGGCACGTGGTGCGGCAGCCGCACGCTCGCCACGGGCCCCGCTTCCAGGTCGTCCGCGTCCAGGACCACCACTTGCGTGCGCTGCTCTGCACCGTCAAACACCGTGGCCACGAGCCACCCGTCGGCCTCGCCCTCGCCCCGCGGAACGAACAGCGGCTCCTCCACGAAGCACAGCTCGCCGGCGTGCCACACGCTCGACCGCACCGCGTCGCGGAGCCGCTCCCCGGCAGCATCAGGCCTGACAGCAGGGTCGACGTCCAGGCGAGTGATGGTCTGCGGGGGCGTCCACGCGGCGCTGTCGTCGATGCCGCCCCCAGCATAGTACAGGTACCGGTGCGGCCGGCCCGCCACGGCGGGGGAGACTGTTGGGAACTCCCCCGTGCGCCGCGTCAGCTTTTCTGACGTGGCGGCGCCCGTGGCCAGGTCCAGCGTGATGCGCGTGGGCTCGGCGCGCGTCGGCCCGACGAAGTCCTCCGCGCGCCAGCTCCTCAGGTCCTTCCCGAGGTCATACTCGTCCCAGCCAACCACGTCAGCAACAACCACACCCCCCCCCGACTCCCCCGCGAGCTGGAACGCGTTCCCGAGGTGGAACACGAAGAACGGCGGCAGCTTGAACGTCCTCCGCCGCACGCCGTCGTGCCGCGGCACCAGGTGCACCCTGGTCGGCCGCCGGCGGTCCATCCGCAGCAGAGACGCGAGCGACGCGCCGCCCGCGAGGTAGTCCGAGAGCAGCGACGCGAAGTCCATCTTGATCGGGTTCTCCACGAGCACGTAGTAGTCCTCCGTGACCGCGAAGTCGTGGAAGAACCCCAGCAGCGCGCCTGGCAGCCGCACGCTGCGCTGCCGAGCAGCGCCGGACCCGCCGGCGGGGAGCTCGAAGAACGAGACCTTGCAGTCGCGCCCGGCGTCCTGCGGGCTCATCAGCACCAGCGTGGACCCGCTGCCGCCCCCGGCGTCGGGCGCTCGGAGCACGCGGTAGTGCCCCGCGACGGGGAGGCGGCCGGTGGCGCCTGCGACGGGCGCCTCGCCGAGCGTGCGCATTGTCGCCATGTCGATCTCGTACGGGACGCCGCGCTCGAAGAGCGTGTAGAGGCGGCCGTCCCAGGCGAGCACGCCCGTGTTGGACACATTCTTGACGCCAAAGTCCAACGGGTTTCGAGGAAACGAGTCTGCGAAGCTGCGCTTGCTGAAGGCCGTGTTGAACAGGAAGCGGCCCGACGCCTCCTCCTCCTTCCACGCCTCCGTCTCGATCTGCGCGACACATACGTTGCGCACGCGTGGGCGCAGCGATCGCTTGGCGCCGGGGCGGGAGGTGCGCGTGCGGCCTCGTGCGTGGGCCGCGAGTGCGGGGCGGACGGGCGGAGCACCTGTCTGGTCTCCACGTGCACCTGGCCGCGGCGAAAGGTGATGCGAACGAGCATGCCGTCGCCGTCGAACGGGTGCGGCACGTCCTTTCCGTTGCGTGGGACCAGGTTCGGCACGTTCCGGAACAGCGTGCCCTCCAGCCCCTCTGGAATCCGGCCCTCGACCTGCGGAGAGCGGCGCTGCTGGGCAGGGTGAAGGCAAGGGGCGCGCTGCTCGGAAGAGGCGCGTGGCAGGCTGGCGGGGTCGCCGAGCGGCTGTCCCTGGCTGCACTGGCTGCTCAGCGGCGCAGGCGCAAGGTCTCAGCGCCTGCTGTGGCTGGCGCGCGGTGAGTGACCGTGCTGGTCAACGTGCGGCGGTGCGCGCGGACAGGCAAGACAGCGGCTTGTTCTTGCTCGGAATCATGCGCCAGCTGTACCCGGATCACGGAAACACGGCCAACGCGGCGCCACGCGCAGCGAGGCCGCGGTGCCCCGGGGGCAGGCTGAGCTAAGGACGATCGCGGGACGATTGCGCAGGCGGGGGAGAGCTTCGTGGAATATACAGCAAGCGCCCGGACTCCTCAGCGTCGAAAGATCAGGGATCTTGCTCCCGCGTCGTAGGAATGGCGCAAACCGACGGACGCGGCGCTCTTGTAGCGTGTAACTGCCAGCACACGCGAATCTCCGCGCAGGCCTCCAGCCAGCGCCGCTGGTTCGAATCACGCCCAACCACGTCGCGAACACGATCGAATCTGCCTCCGTGAGGCCATCCTAGGCTCCAAGGCGCGCTGTCGGAGCCGAATTCGCGCAAGCTTGTAGCAGCAGGGTCTAGGGGAGAGCCGGGCCGCGCACCTCCTCGGGCGCCACCCAGTACCTCTTGCCCTCCGCCAGCGGCCTGTACCCGCTCAGCGCTACACGCACGTCCTCGTCCCCCGGCGGAGCGCGCGTCTGGGTCGTCACAGCGCCATGCTTCGCCCACCTGCACCGCGCTCCTGGCCTGTTGTCGCTCCCCGCCTGCTCCGAGCGTCGGGAGCGGTGCGGGGTGCTCGCCGGGGCGCGCGGGAGGGCCTGTTTGCGCGGTCGACTCGCGGCGCACCGCGGAGAGCGGCGCCTCTGCGAGGTGTGCTGTTCCGCCGGGGCGGTCCTCCCGTGAGGGAGGAGCCCGGGACAGAGTGGCGCCATCTCGCGCTGACGAGCGTGCTCGCGGGTCGCGCAGTCGCGCGGGCCGAAGTGCGCGGCCGCGGCGGCTCTACCGTTGGGATGTTTTGGGGGGGGTCCGACCGGCTGGAGAAGTAGGTGATGTCGGACAAGGGGTTCGGCCTGCGCTGCTCGAGTGCATGGCGCCCTTGGCGACAAAGGTTTTGGCGAGACTCTCGCATCTCGCAAACCCAAGTGATCTCGCAGGGCCAAAATCGGTCTCGCGCGAGATGTGTTTTACTTTTGGTGATCTCGCCGGCATTTATCGGCAGCTCACGGAGACAATTACATGTCCCTGGCCCTAATCTACGGCAGCCTTTTGTCCCTGAAGGCCAGAAAGGCCGACTTGATTGGTTCGCGCGTGGTCGCGCACCTCTTGAACTTCAGTGTGGTCAGGGCACGCACACGCCCTGAATCGCACAGGAGGATGTCAACAGCAATCGCACAGGCTAGCGGGCACGCAGCATGGCCTCCGGCATCAACACACTCCCCCGGCGGCGCCACGTACTCGGCGAGAATGTCCCCAGTGACAGCAGCATGCACCTCCAGGCGGCCGCGCTCGGCACTCCAGGCCAGCGTCGCGGGGTTTAGCTGCGTCTGCTGCATGTTTCGTTGGTGGAGAGGCTTCGTGGCTGCTCAAACCGTCGCAATTCACGCTGCGAGATCGGTTTCGCGGCAAATCTCGCATGCGAGACCACTCAGGAGAAGTGGTCTCGGGGGCGTTTTGATCTCGCTGCTCTCGCGGGCCAAAACCGGTCTCGCACGCGAGATGCGAGACTCTCGCGTAAACCTTTGCTTGGCGAGCACGGCAACGCGCGGACCAAGCGCCTGGGTGCGTCGGCGGTGGCACACAAGCACGCCCACGCCTTTGGGCCCGTACCGGCTAGGACAGCGGTTTCGCGAGCATCCGTCCAGGCGCGTGCGGTGACACTAGGACAGCGGTGCGGGTCGGCGAGCCAGTGGGGACGAGCGTAGAGGCGCGCGAGCGGCGCTGCACAGAGCCTTCTGGGGCTCCTTGGCTCGGCGCAAGGAGCTGTGGGTGCGCATGTCGAGGTCGGCGTCGACCAAGACGGCAAGCTGATGCGCAGGATGGCATCGCGGCTGGGTGCAGCGGGGCCATCCACGGCGAACGGACCACACACGTACGTGCCTGTAGGAATGTGTGACCGGTGCGTGCGGAGCTGGGCGAGATCGCGACGCACCGGCTCGCCGCGGCACGCTTTCAGCACGTCAAAGCCGTTCGCTGAGCCATCTTCGCGGTTCGTCGCGTTCGCCGCCGCAGGGAGCGCGCGAGCAATGACACTTCGCGGGACCACCACGGCCACCTGCGGCACGAGTACGAGGCTCTCGGGCCGCAGAAGTTCTACGAGACGCACGGCAGCACGTACAGGAATCCGCACGAGGAGGCGATCCGCGCCGCGCTGCAGCAGGCCGTCGCCACCTGGGCGCCGCGCATGGACACTGTGCTCGACCTCGCGTGCGGCAGCGGGGAAGCCACGCTCGCGCTAGAGCAGCTCGGCGCCGCGCATGTCGGTGCGCTCCTGCCCTGTGCTGGACTCGCCGCCCCGCCGGCCAAGCGAAGTCGAAAGTGCCACACGCGACGCTATCGGCTCGTCCGTTGCGTGTGTGCGCAGATGGCATGGATCCGTACACGTGCGAGGCGTACCGGGCGCGCACGGGGCGGCCCTGCGAGGCGCTGTCGTTCGAGGATGTCGGGAGGGGGGAGTTGGACGCGAGAGACCCCTGGGACCTGTGCGTGTGCTCGTTCGCGCTGCACCTGCTGGACGAAAGCTGGCTGCCCGCGACTTGCTCGCAGCTGGCCCTCAAGGCGCGCAGGTGCGCACCTTGTGCTGCGCCGCGAATCCGCAACGCCTGACTCGAGACAAGTCAACGCGGACTCTCACAAGCCTTTTGTGTGACGGCATGCAGGTTGCTCATACTGTCGCCGCACAAGCGGCCGCACATTCGGAAGGAGTGGGGGTGGGAGGAGCTGGGCGCCCTGGCGACCAGCTGCGGTCACCACCGCGTCAAAGCGCGGTTGTTTGCGTCCCTGTACATATAAAGTAGTAATTGACAGTTCTTCGCTGACCTACAAGCACCCTCACCGCGAGGACGCTTGAGCGACCGAAAATTGACCACGCGCGCACGAAACATATAGCCTGGCCGACCGCGCTTGGTCCGTGAGCCCCAGCAGACCAACGCGCAGGCTCTTCGTGACGGCCCATCTTGTAACATGAATCCCAGCGGCGCGAGGACCCTCCCTGCCGCACTAGCTCGGAACGCCGGCACCCTCCGCGTAGCTGTACACCCCGCCCCCCACGCTGCCCTTCAGGCGCTCCAGCTCCTCGTCCCCGTCCAGACCCAGCACGTCCGCCATGCTCGGGCTCTGCGGCACGATCCCGCCGGCGTTGAGCGGGAACAGCTGCCCGTAGTAGCTCCTCACCGCCGCCTCGACGTCGAACGTCTGCCACGACTGCAGCGGACAGCCGGGGGGCGCGGCGAGGCCGTACATGCGCCGCATCCACGCCTGGATGGCCGGGTAGTGCGACCCGATGCGCCGTTTGCAGCACTTGAAGATTCCGTTGTACGCAGCGTCGAAGCGCGCGGCGGTCGGGAACAGCCGCACGTCCGCGTCGGTCACGACGTCGCCGCAGAGAAAGTCCTGCTTCTGCAGCAGCGCCTCGACGCGGTCCAGCGCCGGCCAGAGCCGGGCCTGCGCGGCGTCGTACGCCTGTTGCGTCGTGGAGAAGCCCGACTGGTACACCGCGTTGTTGACGTCGTTGTACACCCACTCGTCCGTCTCGTCGATGAGCGCGACCAGGTGGGGCGGGCGGAGGTCGACCCCCGGCAGGTCCGGGGCGACCCGCTGTGCAGACAGCGCGCTGAACATGAGCATCATGTCGCCGCTGTTGTCCGTGACGGGCCGCCTCGCGACCTGGTCAACGAGGAACGGGGCTGTGCAGCGGCCGCTGAAGCCTGCGTGGCGTGGGACGGCGGGGAGCGTGTCGAGGGTGGGTGGTGGGGGGGGACGTGGGGTGAGGTGTGCAGGAGGTGGGCGGGCATTAGGCCCCACAGCCTGGTCCCGAGTCGCACGCGGTCGACTTTCAAACCGACACACCGCGTTGGGCGGACCGCCGTCTATCAAAACTTTGCGATCTAGCTGAGCAGGTTTCGTCCGCGGTTTCGCCGCGGTTTGCGCGAGCGAGCGGAGGCTTGTGTGCCGGCGCCCCCACACACGCCATGTGCGCCGTCCCTGGGCAGCTGGGACCGAAGCAAGGCCTATGCGACCGCGTGGGTCGCTGCCAAGGTCCTCGGAAAGCCGGTGTGCGCGGTCGCGGGCGAGGCGGCGACACTCGATTTCGGCCCATCGACGCGTGGGGACCATGATGTGCTTGGGGAGTGGGGCATAATGGGCGGCGTCACCTGGGCTCAGGCCGTCGTAGACCTCGCGGAGGTCCTTCGCGCCGAAGATCGGCTCGGGCTCGTCGAAGACCCAGCCGCCGCGGCTGGCGCGCTCGGCGTCGTCGACGCAGAAGGTCACGTCGATGTGGGCCGCGAGGCCCGTGACGGCCAGCGCGAGGAGCACGCGGTGGCACCAAGGGCACGCGTTGCCGACGTACAGGCGGTAGCGCTTGGACTCGAAAGGGAATTCGGCACCAGGGGCGGTGGAAATGAAGCCGGTGAAGCTCTGCTTGGGCCGCTGGTAGGCGCCGTCCTTGCCTTGCGGGGCAAGCTCAGTCATCATGATCACCCACGCCTGCCTCCATCCCGCCTTCACGCCCTTCACCAGCACGCCCTGCGCGGCAGGACAGAGCACAGCCGCAGCAGTGTGCCCGCGTAGCCGCAGCAGGGGCTCTTCTGGCGAAGTCTGGGGATTCAATGCGCTGATGAGATCTGTTGAATGAGCTGAGGCTGTACAAAGGGGTCACGCCGCGCCCTCAAACGCGCGCACGCGTCGTGGTGTTGATTGGCTACCTGAGGAACGAGCTTCCCACCCCACTCGAGGAGGTTGATGCCCTTGGAGACCTTCTCGGACGACGCTGCCTGCGCCCGTACGGTCCGCTGGCCTCGATGCGCCAGCCGACCGCGCGGCCGAGCAAACGGCGCCCTGCAAAGCTCTCCGTGCGGTTGGCCTCCCTGCGTCGCCTGGACCCGACCGCCACCGTGATGCAGCGCTCCTCGGTGCATCGTACGAAGCTCGCGTGTCTGCCTCACAGGAAGGGCGCCAATGTGCCGCTACGCCGTCCCCAGCGGACGAGAGAGAGACGTGACGTGGGCTGGCTCCAGTGTTCAGGTTTCGGGACGAAGTTCCCCGGCAGCTGCTGCTCGAGGGGGCGTCGGAGCACCACGCGGGAAGCGAGGCGGCGGCTCAGCGCGCCCCCCCGTCAGTTCCTGACGGACGCCCACACCTGAGCTCATGCGTGGACACTCTCTGGAGCCTCCCACGGCCTCCTGCCCGCCGCACTCCTGCCTTTGCGCCACCAGAGCGCCCACGAACGTCTAGTCTTGCCACTCGGCGACACGAGCGACGAAGCCTTGTCGGCCCCGGTCAACCTTGAGGTCGCGCTAATTAATAAGCGCATTTCCTAAGCGCCGAGCGTAGCGTAGCGTAGCGTAGCTTCCTGGCCATGCCATGGGCTTTGCACTCCGTGGTGAGCGCTGCCGCCGGGCAGGCTGGGCTCGCACTCGACGGCATGCCGTCGGCTGACGCGGAGGTGCTCCAGGAGCACGGTCCGAGCTGCGGCCTCGCTGCAGTGTTTCATGAGCCCGTCAACTGCGCGGCAGTGGAGCGCCTGAGGGCCCTCATCACGCGCTTCGAGAAGGCACTGCTGCTGTTCGGGCTGCTCACGGACTACAAATGCAGCAAGTACGCCGCACCGACGCAATGCCGCCCTCGTTGACAGAAGGAGCTGCCCACAGGCTCCGAAGACTGACATTCCCCTCGGCCTGGCGTACCTCCGCGAGTTGGTGACGCAACCACGCACCCATGCACGGCCGGTCGTGCCCCACCGCGGCCCCCGACGCGCGCCAAGAGCACAGAATGTACCTCTCGTCGCCGTTCGAGGCCCACCGTGACGCCCGCAACCACCCGCAGGAAGATGTGCAAGTTCCGGCCGAAGGCGCAGGTCCACGACGGCGACGTCAGCGCCGAGCACGCCGCAGCACTCGCCAGTCACATGAAGGCCGACGCCGCCAGCCCGGGCGCGGAGCAGCGCGAGCCCCCGGCGGCGCCCGCGTCGAGCGCGGGGCTTGCGACGAAGTGGAGCTCAGCCAACGGAATGCGCAAACGCGCCGGAAGCGGGGATCCACACGCGCACCCAGGTCCGGACAACGACAGCGCCGGGGCGCAGGGCGGGGCCGCGCAGCCGGCCGCGAGCGCCGACGACGACCGCTCGACCCGGGCGTCGTCCACGCTGTCCCAGAACCGCCTGGAGCTGTTCCGCCTGCGCAACATGCTTCCGGAGGACGAGAGCGCCACTCCCCACGCGGGGCAGATCTGCATGTCGCACAGGTGCGCGCGCTGGACCGCTGCATGCGCCGTCGCGCGGACAGCGGCCTCGGCGCATTGCGGGACTCAGGCGGGCGTGCCGTGCTGTGGTTGCGGTGCAGGAACGTATGGGGGTGGCTGGCGCGAGGCAAGTGGGTGCTGATTCTCAACGCGTTGATGTGGGCGAACCTCGCGCGCCTAATCATCGGCTTCACCACGCAGGGGCTCGACGAGCTGGGCCTATCCTGGCAGTCAGCGCTCATCATCAGCCTATGGGTCCCCTACTGCTGCCTGTCCATGCTCATCTTCGCGTTCAGGTGCGCACCGCTCGCGAGTCCCAGAGCACCACGCGCCTCCCTGGCAGCGCATCCGAGCAGCACGAGCCCGCGTGTGCAGGTTTGGGCCCGGTGACATGGAGGCGGTGATGCGGAGCACGCTCGTCACGGCGCACAACGCGGACCGCATCCGGAAGCGCCTCGTCAAGTTCATATGGATCGGCGGCGTGCTCATCTGCCTCAACGTCCTCACGGTGCCCATCCTGCTGCTTGTCAACTACAACGCGGACCCCATGAGTGACGCGCTCGAGGTGCGCTCGCGCCCACCCGCCTGCCGCCTGCCGCCTGCCGCCTGCCGCCTGCCGCCTGCCGCCTGCCGCCTGCCGCCTGCCGCCTGCCGCCTGCCGCCTGCCGCCTGCCGCCTGCCGTGCGCCGCCCGCGGACGCGTCCGTTCGTGCCGCGGGACTGACGTTCGTGCTCCGCGCCCCGTGTGTGTCGTTGCAGCTGGTGCGCATGATCACGTGTCCGCTGATGCCGCGCTGCACGGAGACGATGGGGATGCTGTGGGGATACACCATCCTCCTCCTTCCACTCCTCTTCCTCTTCTCCGCCGTCTGGCTCCTCCCGCTCATCGTCTTCACCCTCCTGTGCGAGGTCCTGACCAGCGAGGTGCGATGCTGGCCCCGCGCAACGCTGTTGCCGGTCCGGCCGTGCTCTGTGCGTGCTCAAGCGGTCCTGCTCCGGCCGCTTCCGGGAGCGGCGCGAGTAGCTGGTGACGCAAGGGGGCTGTCACCGCCCCCACCACCTGACTCATGCGTGCCATCATGCGCTGCGTGCAGTTCGAGGGCCTGGCCCGGAAGTTTGCGGCGCACGCGCGGTGGCGGATCATGGGTCTGGCGGTCAAGGGCGCGCACAACCCCTTGTGTCCGCGCACGCAGGCGGCAAAGAAGATCACCGTGCACGACATCAAGCTGCGGCACTCGGACCTCTCCGTGATCGTCAACAACTTCGCCGACCAGGTCCACCCGTACGTCTGCGTCCTGTACGGGTTCACCCTGCCCCTCGGCGTGTTCCTGCTTTACCAGGTGCTGGCCTTCAGCATCGACCTGTCGCCCGGCTCCCTCGCGGTCACGTCCTTCTGGCTCCTCGCCGGCCTCGCCATCCTCTTCTGCGTGTCGTACACCAGCGGGCGCCTGTACGAAAGCACCAAGTCAATCGTGCACGAGCTGCTCGACCCGCGGCTCCAGGCGCTGATGGCGCCGCTCGGCGCGAGCCAGGACGGCGCCGCGCGGTCGCTCCAGGAGCTCATCCTCTTCGCGGTCACGATCCAAGAGAAGCCGTCCGGAATCAGACTGGGATACGTGCAAGTGACTTTCGAGGTCATGGGCGCCATCGCGTCCATCCTGGTGCGTCGCGCCCCGATCGGCCGTGCTGGGGTGCGCCGCCGCGCGCATGGTCCGGCCGCTGACATGTTGTCTGTGCTCACGGTGCGCTGCAGATCACATACTTCCTCGTCGTCGTCACGATCTAGCGCCCGGGGCGGCACAGGACGCGCGCGACGCACATGCACTCGCCTCATGTATATACACTCGGCATGCATCTTGAAAGGACCGCAGTCGAGCTCCGACAGACCTTGTGACGAACGTTAAGCTTGGCGAACGTCCTCTGTCGGCGGTGCGATGGGTGAGCCCGCGAGTACTCGTGCCGTGACCGATTCGTTTGCCTTCACACGCGGCCCAAGCCGCTCAGTGCGCTGCGCGGCGCTTACTTGTCGTTCAGCGCGGCCACGCCCGGCAGCACCTTGCCCTCCAGCAGCTCCAGCGACGCACCGCCGCCCGTGGAGATGTGCGACATCTTCTCGGCGACGCCGGCCTTCTCGACGGCGGCCACGGAGTCACCGCCACCGATGATGGTCGTGCAGCCCTTGGGCGTCAGCTCCGCCAGGCAGTTGGCGATGGCGATGGTGCCCGCCGCGAATGCGTCGAACTCAAACACACCCATGGGGCCGTTCCACACGACCGTCTTGCACTCCGAGAGCTCCTTGACGAACAGCTCGGTCGTGGCCGGGCCGTTGTCCAGGCCCATCCAGCCGTCGGGGATGGCGTCGACGCCCACCGTCTGCGTGTTGGCATCCGGCGCGAACTTGTCGGCCACGACCACGTCCGTGGGCAGCAGCAGCTTGACGCCCTTGGCCGCGGCCTTCTCCTCGAGCTCCTTGGCGAGGTCCAGCTTGTCCTCCTCGACGAGCGAGGCGCCGACGTTCAGGCCGCGCGCCTTGAGGAAGGTGAAGACCATGCCGCCGCCGATGATGATCTTGTCGCACTTCTCGAGCATCGACTCGATGACGCCGATCTTCGACGACACCTTGGAGCCGCCGACGATCGCGCAGAACGGACGCGCCGGGTCCGTCACGGCGCCCGCCAGGTAGTCGAGCTCCTTCTGGAGCAGGAAGCCCGCCACCGAGGGCTTCAGGTACTTGGTCACGCCCTCCGTCGAGGCGTGCGCGCGGTGCGCCGTGCCGAACGCGTCGTTCACGAACAGGTCGGCGTTCGCCGCCAGCTTCTCGGCGAACTCGGGCACGTTCTTGGTCTCCTCCTTGTAGAAGCGCACGTTCTCGAGGATCAGCACCTCGCCGTTGTTCATCGCGCCGACCGCGGCCTCGACGTCCGGGCCGATGCAGTCGTCGACCTTCTTCACCTGCGAGCGCGCAACGACGCACAACGCGACGGTCAGGCCACGAGCCACACGCCCACTCCCGCGTGACACGCGCGCAGCGGCGTGCGGAGCATCGGAGACCGCGCGGGCTTCAAGGGCGAGTACTGCGCCGCCGGAGGGCGGGGGGGGTGTCGCACCGGGGTGCCGAGGAGCTCGGCGAGGCGAGGCACGACGGGCGTCAGACGGAACTTGTCCTCGGGGCCGTCCTTCGGGCGGCCGAGGTGCGACGTCAGGAGGACCTTGGCGCCGTTCTCGACGAGGTACTTGAGCGTGGGCACCGCGGCGCGGATACGGGTGTCGTCCGTGATCTTCTGGTCGCCGTCCAGCGGCACGTTGAGGTCGGCACGCACGAACACGCGCTTGCCCTCGAGGTCTGCGGGGTGCGGTGGCGGGGCCGGCAGGGGTCGGGCGCGGCGCAGCGGGCTGTGCGCGGCAGTGGGTTCGGCCCGCGGGCGCGCCGTCGAACAGGAGTGTGCAGGGGCAAGCGCTTGATGCCGCCGCGGCTCATGTGAGCCTTGGAGGGCGTGGGTTTCGCAAGGACTGCGTGCGTCGTAACTTGGAAAGCCGCTGGGGGGGCGGGCAAGCGCGAATACGGCATCTAAGAGGCGCGACGGGGCAAACGGGATGCGACTTCGTCCAGGGCTACGCGGCCGCGCGGGGATGGGTTGACGGAAGAACGCGTCCATGAAGTCGCGTAACTTCAACTGGGGGGCAGCCTGCGCGCCTCGTCGGCTGCGCGGCGTGCGTGTGCGGGCGCGTGCGGGGCACGAAACGTCCGCTCAGGAACCAGGGCGAGTGGAACAGGTTGGGTCCGGCGTCGTCGCGACCCCGATCTCCCAGACAACGATCCGTACGGCTGGTCCTAGTTGAGAGGAAGCAATCGCGCGCGCGAAGCTGCGCCGTCGTGCGTCACGCGGCGCGGGAGACGCTGGGCGAGATGGACGATCTGGATGCGACCGAAGGCGCGGTCCAGGCAGCCGCTCTTGCCGTGGTGTACGCGCGAGCGAGATGTTTGTGAACCAGCGATGCGTGAACGGGCGCGAGGACGCACCAGCCTTGGAGAGGTCGCCGACCGAGGCCTTGTTGGCAGCGGCCTGCACGAGCACGCCCTTGCGCGCGACGCGGGTGTTGAGCGAGATCGAGTAGTCGAACGAGGCGACCGACGACTTGAACGTCAGGCGCGGGGCCGCAGCGCGCAGCGCGGGGGCACGGCGCTGAGCCCTCACGGGCGCAGTCCGGACACCGGCCACGATGCGGGTAGGAGCGAAGGCGAACGCGGGCATCTTGCTAGATTTGATTGGCAGACGAATCAAGCGCCGCGACGCGCCGCGAGCGCGCCTATCGAAGCCCCGCGACCTGCCGACCCTCGGCGATCACTGAGCTGGCAAGGGCCCGGGGGTCCTTCGCGAGCGCGCGGGCCGCCGGGCGCGCAACCGCGGCGCCGGGCGCGCGGCCGCAGCACTCCGCACGGCACGGCCTCGCGATCGCGCCCCACCTCTCCGCGCCCCCCCGCCCCCGCGCGCTGCTTGGCCAGCCCGCACACAGGCCCTCTCCGTCCGCGGAACCCCGCAGTGGCACCCTCGTCCGCGGCAGGCCTCGCCGAGCTCCCCTCCGCGAGCACAAGTCCCTCCCGTCGCGTCGGCGAGTGGGTGCTCGCGCGCGTTCACGCCGGCCCGGAAGTGCGCGCTGGCGACACTATGGCGTCGCAGGAGGACATCAACCGCATGGCGTTCGCGTCGCTGCGGCGCGTGGACCCCTCGATCACGGCGATCGTGGTGAGCGCGAAGCACGTGCAGCTGTACAACTTCGACCGCGGGACCAACCAGTGGGAGCGCATGGAGGTTGAGGGGCCCATGTACGTGGTCTCGCGATCAGAGGCGCCCACGCTGCAGATGATCATCCTGAACAAGTCCAACGACCGGAACCACACCGAGGACCTGCTGAACCGCTTCACCCAGGAGCTCCAGCGGCCGTATCTGCTGTACCGCAACAACCAGGGCCTCGTGCGCGGCCTCTGGTTCCCCCAGCAGGAGGAGTGCCAGGCCATCTCGACGCAAATCACCCAGGCTATCGCCGCGCATAAGGTGAGCTCGCGCGCCCAGCCGCACACGAGGGTTCGCGGCATGAATCGAGCCGGCCCAACTCGCATTGCACGGCGCCCCCTGGTCAGCTCCGCCGTCGCGCTGCGGCCCGCGTCGCGCCAAGCGGCCACGGCGATCCTCCCCATGCGCACCGCAACGGGAACCTCCTTTTAACGGCCTACGCGAGGCGCACGCGACCCGTGTCTTCAAACACGTTGAAAGAGCCGCCCCCGCCCCGCGCAAGCCCCACTTCGGCCCGCCCCGCGCCACCAGATCGCACACCACCGCATGTCCCCGCCGAGCAGCACGCAGCGCGGCGCCACGCCCCCGCGCGCACGCACACCCGCACCCGCGCCTCCAGCTCACCCTCCGTCCGCCGCCCCCCGCCGCGGCACCGGCCACCCCCGCCCACCGCGCGACCCCGCCCGCGCGACCCCTGCAGAGCTCCATGCAGCAGCCGGCCCCGCCGCCGCGCCCCGCGTCCCCCCCGGCCCCCACGGAGAGCGACTCCACCCACATGGCCAAGCTCATCAACAAACTCAGCATCGGGTCGCAGCAGCAGGAACAGGCGCACATGCACGCGCAGCCCCCGAGCAACATGCCCGACATGCGGCAACAGCAGCAGGGCCAGCGCCCGCCGGGCCCCATGCCAGGGCACCCGGACCAGCCACAGGGGCCGCCCATGGGGTTCGGGGGCATGATGCCGCGCATGCACCAGGGCGCGGGGCCGCCGATGCAGCAGCACCATCAGCAGCAGCACCGGCCCTCGGACGCCCCGCGGCCGCGGATCAACAGGTGCGTGTGCGCGCGCGTGTGTGTGTGTGTGTGTTTGTGTGTGTGTTTGGACTCCCTGGGCCGTGCTCGCGCCCAGGACTGTGCCGCATGTCCTGCCAGGGGCGTGGAGGAGCGGAGGTCTTGCGGGGCGTGGTGCTGCTGGGGCCGCCGGTGTGGTGTAGTTGCGATGTTCCTGTGCGTGGCTGTGCGCGCAGGGAGGTGGTGCGCAAGACGCTGCTGTCGCTCGTGGCGCGGGACGACTTCCTGGACATGCTGGCGGAGGAGCTCTCGAGGCACGTCTGAGCGGCGCGGGGGGACTCGTAGCCGCACTCGTTGTACCTGACGCAGTCCGAAAGGAGCAGGCCAGCGCGACAGCGCGGGCCCGGCAGGACAGGCAGCTGCCGCAACCTGCCTGCCGCAGACCCGGCGAGCTCGCGTGCGCGCGCCCCCAGCAACGCACCTACAGCGCCATGTGACGTCGCCAGCCTCTGCTGGTCGCACCGACGCCCGCGCAGTCACGAATGACAACGCTCTGCTGCGTCCACGTGGCTGTGCGGCGCCGCGACGCGTTGCGCGCGCCGTTCACTGCCTGTTCGTCAGGGGGGGAGTCTCTAGTAGAACAAGTAGAGTCAGTTGGCCCGTGGGGCGCCGCCGCGGTACGTTGCGAGACGCCGGGGCCTGTTCCGGGTAGGGCGTGTTTAGGCAGGCCGCGGCGAGGACTGTTTCGTTCCGAGCCGCGCCTGAGAAGCTGTGTGGAGAGGTGGGAGGGGCTCGAGGGGATCATGTCCACGCTGGGGGGGGCGACCGCGATGGAGGCGCTCGAGAAGGCGGCGAAGAAGCAGCAGACGCTCACGAAGGCCACCCACAAGAGCCTCGACAACTTCTTGGCGGCTATTCAGAAGACGAGGGAGCGCATCCAGGTGGGGACCGCGCCGTGCGCTGAGTCAGGGGGTCGTCACGCACGCACGGCGCGACGACGTGTCGATGCATCGCAACGAGAAGCCGCGACGGGACGCAGGGAGCGCTGTCTCGGCTCTGCGGGCCGCTTCGCAGCCGTGTTGTCTCAATTGGGCACTCCTCGCGGCTTGCGTGCGCTGTCCAAGTCGACTGCGGTCCCCGAAGCTTCCGCATCTTGCCCGTGACGCTCTCGTCGTGCAGAATAACGAAAGTCCAGCGGAGGCAGCGCAATGGCTAGCGGGGCTGGCGAAGGAGATGGAGTCGACCGTGACCAAGGAGCAGAAGGACCTGTACAACAGTGCCAGGTGCGGGATACATCCTGACAAGGGCGCGCCGCGCAAGAGCATTGCGTCCTCCCCATCAGCAGGGGGCCTAATGCGGCACAACTCTCCGCTGCGTGAGCTCCAGCGGCCCGCTCTGCCCGTCCATGTCAGTTGCCGGTCGTGGCGTCCCGACGCACGCATATCAAGGGCACAGACACGCGCCACCGCACACTCATCTCGATGAACACCACGCCCGGTGACCACTCGAAGCAGATCGCGCCGCCCACGCCGCGCTGCTGCCTCGAGACTGCACCCACCCGCGCCCCCGCATCGCCCCGCTCGCAGCAAGGTCGGCAAGGTCCTCGAGGGCGCCTTCATCCCGGACCTGGCCGCCGCGACGCGCGACGCGCGCATGCCGCGCGAGGCGCTCGACCTGGTCGTCTGCGAGCATCTGTACCGCGCCGGCCACTTCGACGCGGGCGACGCCTTCGCGCGGGAGGCCGGCATCAGCCAGGCGCAGGTCCTCCGCGCCCCGTACGAGGAGATGCACCGCATGCTGCAGAGCATGCGCGCCCGGGACCTCGACCCTGCCCTGCAGTGGTGCCAGCAGCACCGCGCAGCGCTGGGCCCGGACCGCCACCTCGAGTTCATGCTGCGGAAGCTGCAGTTCCTCCACCTGCTACAGGTGCGGCCCCGCCTCGCGAGCGAACGGTCGCGCGCCTGCTGCTCGAAGTTTCAGTCGCAACGAGAAACACGCACCTGACCCTCGCACGCGCCGCGAGCGTTGCGCAGCCGTCCGCGTCGCGCCGTCGAGATCCGACCCCCCCGCGGTGCTTGCAGAACGAGGGGCGCAGCGCGGCGCTGCGGTGCGCGCAGCAGCACTTTGGGCCGCTCGCAGAGTCCCACCTCCCTGAGATCCGCCGCCTGATGGGCTCGCTGCTCTTCGCGGGCCGCCTCGAACGCAGCCCCTACGCGGAGCTGCTGTCCTCCGAGGCCTGGGAGGACGCCGCGGAGGACCTCCTGCGACATGCGTGTGCGCTCGTTGGCCAGTCGTCCGAGAGCCCGCTACTCGTCGCCGTCGCGGCGGGTTCCTGGGTCCTGCCCACCCTCGTCAAGATGTCGACCCTGGTTGGACGCACCGGCGTGCCGGGGACGCCCGGGCGCCCGCCGGCCGGCAGCACCGCGCCCGCCGCGGCCAGCACGGTCGCTGCGGCCGCCGGACGCGGCGACGGGCCCGAGGGGGTACTCGAGCAGCTCCCGGTGGAGCTGGAACTAGGCAAAGAGTTCCTGTTCCGATCCGTGTTCTCCTGCCCCGTGAGCCGGGACCAGAGCAGCCCGGACAACCCTCCGATGCTGCTCACGTGCGGCCACGTGCTGTGCAAGGAGAGCATGCTCAAGCTCGCGCGCGGCATGAGTCGGACGTTCAAGTGCCCGTACTGCCCCGTGGAGGCGTCGGAGGCCACGGCCAAGGAGATCCACTTCCCGAACCTCGAGCAGGAGCGGCTGATGAGCATCCGGCACGCGCTGCATGTCGGGGACAGGATGACGGGCGGCGCGGACCTGCACGGCGCGGCGGGGCGGAAGAACACGGTGCCGAGCGACAGGATGGAGGTGGACGGCGCGGGGAGCTAGTGGCGCGCAGCGGGAGCACATGTTTTCATCGCCCTGTACATTTCAAGCACACAGCATGTGACGACCGATGTCGACAGCGAGGCGCTGCGGGACGCGACGCGTGCGGGTACTGCCGCCGCTGTCGCTGCGGTCGGCCGCCCTGTCTCGGTCAATTCCTACGGCCCTCAGCAAGCTCTTTCGCTTGGCTGAAACTGAATCACGGAAGGGCTCACGAAGCATGCCCCGGTGACGTGGCTCACTTGATCACTCACGAACCCATCTATGCTCATCTGGTAGCCTCTCCGAGAACGGCCAGTTCCTGCTTCCACGTATCCTGTCGTTTTTCTCCCGTACAGCCACAAACACCCCCCCCCTCCCTCCTCGGGCTCGCCCTTACGTTCCCCCCGCTTGTCGCACCGCACCCGCGTGCGGTTTCGCGGCACCGGTTTCTCCTATCCGCCTGGGCGGCTTGAACGGTTTGCTGAGTGTGGCATACGACTGCCGCTGCACGTTGCTGGTCAGCGCCGTGCGCCGGGGCTCCGCCGGCGGCCCCTTGGGCAGACACACGCGCTTCAACGGCCGCTCCGGCGCCGCTGGGGCCGCAGACGCGCGCGGCGGCGAGCACCCCTCGTCGCCGCCATCCGCGTCCCGCGCCCAGGGCGGAAGCGCAGCCCGCGCGGCCTTCGGGTCCCGGCACCAGCAGCACACTTCCTCCGCGCCCCCCTTGCACGTTTCTGCGAGCACGCGGGCACCCGTCCGCGCACGTTCAGCGCCCGCGAAAGCGCCGCTGCCGGGCACCCGAGAGCACGAACACGCTTCGCCACGTCGCATCCTTCCGCCGCGTGCGGCGCACCTGTCCGGGACTCCCCGAAGTGCTTCAGGAGCTTCGTGCGCTTGCATCCGCAGCACCGGATCCAGTCGAAGACCTTCTCGAGGGCCTTGGTCGCCACGGAGTCCCCGTCGCCGTCGTTCGAGAGGACGCGAGCGCGGGCCCTGATCGTGTCGCTCGATGCGTACAGGAGCGCGCGGCAGGGCTGGCCGTCCCGGCCGCCGCGTCCGCTCTCCTGGTAGTACTTTGTCATGGAGTCGGGCGCGTCCCAGTGGATGACGTACCTGATGTCGGGCACGTCCAGGCCCATGCCGAGCGCGATGGTGCACACCACGCACGGCACCTTGCCGGTCGCCCAGTCGTTCTGCACGCGGGCCTTGTCCGGCACGTCGCTGTGGAAGTGCGCCGCGGGGATGCCGTTCTCCCGCAGCTTCTTCGCGAGCCGCTCGCACGTCGCCTTCGTCCACGCGTACACTGCGCACGCACCAACAGCGCCGCTCGCGGCAGCGTCGGACCTGGGCAGCGCGGCCTGCGACCCATGCGAGAACGCACCCGACACACAGCAAGCGGCACGGTGCGCTCCGGCGGTGCAACGCGCCGCCACGAGCAGCAAGCTCGGCCACGCAGCTGTCTTCCTCGCGTTCCGGGCGCTCACCGATCCCCTTGGGTCCGCGCGCACCCCCCCCCTCGCTGTCGCTCGCCTCGTACATGCCGCCCAGCGTGTCGACCAGGTGCTGCTCGTCCGCGTCGGGGTTCGCGTCGTCCTTGAATCGCACGTCGTACCTTATCTCCGGGCGGTTGACCGTGTCGGCCATGCACATCCGCGGCGCGTGCATGCGCAGCTCCGCACAGATCTTGTCGACGGTCGTCTTCGTCGCGGACGCCGTCAGCGCCATGAACGGCACGCCAGGGAGGCTGTCGCGCAGCGCTCCGAGGCGCGTGAAGGACTTGCGAAACGACTGCCCCCACTCCACGATGCAGTGTGCTTCGTCGACAGCCAGGGCCACCAAGTTCCCGCACGCGTGGCACTCGGCGAGGATGTCGCGCAGGCACAGGCCCGTCTGCGCCTCGAGGCTCTCGGGGCACGTGTAGAGCAGGCGCAGCTTCGGCCGCGGGTCCTGGAGGTCCCTGGCAATGTCCCGCCGCTGCGTGATGCGCGTTTCAGAGGACCACAAGGCGGCGTGGATGCCGCGCTCCACGAGCCCCGCGACCTGCTCGGTTCCGAGCGCGAGGAGCGGCGTGATGACGACGACGACGCCGTTCCGCGCCAGAGCGGGCACCTGATAGCACAGCGACTTGCCCCCCCCTGCGAGAACACGCGCTCTCCGCGGCCCGATTGGTGACGCGCTCGGATTTGGAGGAGGTAGCGAAGGGTGGGATGAATGCGCTCGACTCCAGCAGGTCGCGCGGTGGCAGCGGGCGTCCCGCGCGACCTCCCTGTTCGTTTGCTGCGCCAGCTGACGCTGCCTGCTCTAGCGCGCAGGCTGCGTGTTGGCCGGCCTTGCGTCTCCCTACCTGTTGCGAGGCGCACGAAGGTGTCCTCCCCGTTGAGGACGTGCCGGATGGCCTCCTTCTGCAGCGGGCGCAGCACGCGCTCCTTGCCCCAGTACCTCCTGAAGGCTTCCTCCGGCTCGACGGGCTGGACCGGCTGTCTGACGACGAATTTGTCCATGACTCTCCACGCGCGCTGCCCGACAAGGACCGCGGGGTCCACCGCCGCGTCACGCGCACAGCATCGCACTCTCAGCGTGCGACGAGGTCAGCACGCGCCCACGTCGCGAAACCCACCACGCAGTGCGGCTCGCGCGCGTCAGAACGTCAAAGTGTCCAGCGCCGCGGTGCGCGGACCACACGACGCACGCCGCGGCGTCTCTGCCTGCCGCAGGCTGCGTTGACTCCTACCCCACATAGGCCCCGTGCGTGCTGTTGGCACGTCACAAGCGATCCCCGAGACCGCAAGCCGCACTGCGCTTCTCTCGAGAGTCGGGTTCCGCGCTCAACACGCGTACACGGATGCTGTGCTTGCCGTGATGGCCCTGCACTCTCTCGGGCTGCATAGCGTGTCGTGCACTCTGCGGTCGCTACGTTCGCGAAGCTCGACCGGTCGATGTGCGAGGGCGCTGCGTAACTGGACGACGGGCGCGGTCAACAGGGCGGCTTTCTCTGTGTCGCCGTGGCAGACGGCAGTCTTCCGTAGGCAGGGAGTGCGGGCTGCCGCGAGCGCAGGAAGCCGAGGCATGACGTCGCGACCGAAGCGGATCCTTCTCACGAACGACGATGGAGCCGACTCTCCGTTTTTCAATGCGTGGGTCGACCACTTGAGGTCTCTGGGGCTCAACATCGTCGTTGCCTCACCCTCAGGTATGCTCCCGGCAGCAAGGGGGCCTCGCGGCTTTGCTGCCTGAACCTTCCGCGCGCCAGGCAGCATGAATACTTCTGGCGCTGCAGCATGCTGCGTTTCACGCACCTTGAGAACCCCGCATCAGCCGCTAGCCGCGTTCCCCAGGCAACCTTGGCAAACTGCCGACTGCGCGCAGGCCCGCAGTCGTTCGCGTCGAAGGCGGTGTCGAAGGGCCCGCTCACAGTCACGCAGCCGGCGGCGGACGTGTACCACATATCGGGGTCCCCCGCGGCGTGCGTGAACATCGCCCTGTACTCCCTGAACGTTGATTGCGACCTCATCATCTCGGGACCCAACATCGGACACAACGCCGGACGCGCCGCCGTCCTCTCGTCGGGTGCGCACGTGCGGGCGGGTCTGTTGGAGGATCGACGCTCTCGTGCCTGCGGGACGGGGGTGTTTTCCTCTGGCTGACTTGGGGGCGCGGGCATGGCCGTTACGGTGCAGGGACGATCGGCGCGGCGATGGAGGGGGCGCTGGCGGACGTGCGGTCGATCGCGGTGTCGTTCCCGTTCTTCGCCGGGTTCAACAACTGGCCGGAGAACGAGATCGAGGCTTCGGTATCTGTTGCCGCGGAGATTTGTCTCAAACTGTGGGACACGTGGCCGAGCGCGCTGCAGGACGGCCCCGACGCGTGCCTCCCCGAGCACCTCGTGTACAACGTCAACGTGCCCCTGGGTGCGGGCGTCACAGACGTCCCTGCGTTGATTTTCGGAGGGGCCGGCGCCGCCCCGCAGGGCGCGCAGGGCGGGAGCGGGGCTGCGCAGAACTCGTCCTGGGAGACGTTCGACGCGAAGAGCGGGGACGGCGGGCTCGCAGAGGTGCGCCGCTGCGAACCACCGCCGCAGTTGGCACGCACGAGATGCATCGACGCGCGCGCAACACGCCCGCACCGCAGATGCAGCGCATGTCGACGACGCTGCTTCGCCTCACAGATACAAGCGGGGCGTGGGCTCAGTGTCGGCGCAACCGGCATGACATGAACGCAAACACGCCCGGTCAGACACAAGGTTAATGACCCCTGCGTCCACGCACGTCGAGTTCCTCGCAGGCACTCCGGCCAACGACGGAGCCCTGGTTCGCGACGACTCCGCCGGGCGCGTCGTCCGCGGTCCCCGTGCACGTCACCACCGTGGACCCCGCCACGGGGTACCGTTCGCTGTTCGCAGAGCAGGAGCCTGAGTCAGGCCCCCCTGAGTCAGGGGCACGAACGTTCGTGTGGTCGCCCAAGGGGCTGCGCGTATTCCAGTCGCGCGAGACGATCCCGGACGGCGACGTGCGCGCCATCCAGAGCGGCGCTGCGAGCATCAGCCCCCTGCACGTCTCCTACCGTCCCATGCGCGTGGCACTGCCGCGCGAGGACTGACGCGCCGGGTGGACGGGGCCTGCGTTCTGTGATATCGAGCGCGACCGTCAAGCCCGTTCGCGCACCGGGCTCGCCGCGATGCTGTTCGTGCCCGCGCTACGTCTGTTGCCATGCGTCCGGCAGGTCGCTCCGCTCGACGCGCTGGACGAACGCGAGCGGCAGGGGCCCCGGCGTCAGCAGAACGCCGTTCGTCGACACGAAGAACTCGTGCCCGGCGTCCATCGCTCCGCGCACGTCGACCCGCAGCAGCACCTCGCACAGGTGGCCCGTGCGAAGGTGCCCCGGGCGCAGGGAGATGTGCACGTGCTGCCGCTCCATCCGCTGCAGGCTCCCGCTCTCCTGGATGAGCGCCCAGCTCTTCCGCGACGTGCCGTGCACCGCCACCAGCCCGTCCAGCTCCTCCGGGGGGAGTTTGCTGAGCACGGGGGCCTCCAGGTGGATGGTGTGGCCCTGCGCCGCGCGGATACGCGCCGGGTCCGCCGCTGCGTCGAGCACGAACCGCTTCTTCTCGTTCTTCTCAATGACCTGCGCTGCGGTGTGGGGACGCAGGATCGGCATCGAGGAGGGAGAACCAATCGGCCCGGACGTGCTGCGTGCGCGGAGCTGCGGGTCCGAGGTCGCAGGCTGCGGAGGCGCCACTGACCTCGTGGATCTCGTCCAGCGAGGGTTTGGTCTTCATCATCGCTTGCAACACGGGCAACGGCACCCAGCCCGAACTGTCCATGTCCTGCGTCGCAAACATCGAATCATGCAAAAACGCTTCATGTTTGTTCACTGAGGATGACCGCGAGCCATCAACCGCGGTGCGAGAGCCGCTGGTGAGCGCGCGTGGGCGGAAAAGTGCCAAGGTGCTGCCATCGCCCGCCGGGCCGCCAGGCGACCGCTTCCGATGTATGAACGGGATTCTCCGTCTACCTTCGGAGGATGATGACGCAGAATGTAGCTCATTTCCTTGGACACCTTGACGAGGCGCCCAGAAAGCGCCCCAGCTGTCCTGCTTCGGTGGCGGGCCCGGGAACCTCCTGCTGCCCCCGACATCGCACGCGCTTGTATGCTCACGCGCATGTCACGCCTGCAGGCAATTACTGCACGTCTCCCACGCATCCACGCATCAACATCCCCCCCGTCACGCCGCCGACCACCCCTAGAGACCACAACACCACCAACTCCCCCCAGCCAGTCATCGACCCGCACGCCCGCCACCGCAGCTCCACCGCCACCACCTCGTCGTCGTCACACGAGCACCTACGTCTTCAGCGGCTTCTTCTCGCGCGCCTTGTCCTTGGCCTCCTGATGCCGCTTGGCCAGGTTCCCGCTCGTCTTGTCCTCCTCCACGCCCGCCGTCACCTTCTTCTTCACGATCTGCACCACGTCCTCGTCCTACAGGCCCACGACCGGCGAACACAGCGAGGGACGGCCTGTCTGCTCCGCCGCAACATTGTAAGCACACGCGCATGCAGCGAGGCGCACTCGAGAGAGAGCGGGCCGGGGCGAGCCAATGCTTGCCGCTGCAGTCACCGCTCTGCGCACCGAGCGGCGATCGGTGTGCTGCGGCTCGGTGTGCAGAGCGGTGAGTGCTGCGGCAAGCATCGGCTCGCCCCGACCCCCCCCCTACCTCAACCTGAGCTGAGAGCAAGCGGCAGCAACTTGGCGCGACGCGCGCGGATCGGGGCGTGCGCGGGTCCGGCGTGTGTCCGCACCTGCAGCGCGTGCGTCAGTCCGACGCGCTGCGGCATGTGCTTGGAGGAGGTGCCCCACACGAGGCCGTAGGAGAAGTCCCGGAGCAGCGTCTGGTGGATGTGGGAGCAGAAGTTCTCCATGAGCACGCCCCCGCGGTCCTCGCTGAGCACGACGGGTTCGTGGAAGTCGGGCTTGTGTCCCACCTTCTTGGTATAAACCCGGACCAGGGCCATCTCCTCCCACATGCGCTCGAGGAGGCCGTCGAGGTTCAGGCGGCCCGAGCACGAGATCGGGACGCTCATGGGCGTCCGCGCGATCTGGTCGACCTCCTCGATGGACAGCATGTCGATCTTGTTGTATACGTAGACGCACTTGATGTACCGGCGGTTGCCCTCGATGACGTCGATGAGGTCGTCCACGGTGCTGTCCTCCTTGAACAGGATCTCGCAGTTGTGCAGCTTGTACTCCTGCAGCACGCGCGTGATCAGCTTGTCGTCGAGGTGCGTCAGCGGCACCGTTGAGTTGATGGTCGCGCCGCCCGTCTTCTTCTTCTTGAACGTGATCGCGGGCGGCTTCTTGTTCAGCCTGCGGCGGACGAACGCGCGCCGGCGCGAGCGTGAGCGGCGGGGTCGCGCGGGGGGCGGCAGCGGCGACGTGATGTCGCGCCACGTGACGGGGGCCGCACCGGATGCCCATGGCCTCGAGCTCGCGCGTGAGGATGTCGCGGTGGCTCCATGGCTTGAGGGCGTCGAGGACCATGAGGATGAGGTCCGAGGACTTGGCGCAGGCAATGACTTGCCGCCCGCGCCCCTTGCCGGACGCAGCGCCCTCGATGATGCCGGGGAGGTCGAGGATCTGAATCTTCGAGTCGTTGTAGTGCAGGATGCCCGGAATGCACGTCAGCGTCGTGAACTCGTACGCCGCAGACTCGGAGTTGGTGCCTGCACCCGAGGTGATGTGCACAAGGTGTGCCGTTGCTGCAGCGACGCGACGGCTCGGACCTCACGCGCAGCGCAGGCCTCGTGTTTCGTTTTCGCGTCGGCGCGGCATCGACGTGCGTTTGACGCGTGGCTGGCGCGCTGCGGTCGCGCCGGCAGCCGCGCTGCTTCCGAGCGTCGCTGCGCCGCGCGAGGGCGCCCGCACCTGTGAGCATTGTGAGCAGCGTGGACTTCCCGACGGATGGGAACCCGATCAGGGCGACGCGGCCGTCGCCGTACCGCTGCACGTCGAACCCCTCGCCCTCCCCCTTGGCCGTCTTCTGGCCGAGCTGCAGCTCCGTGCGGAGCTTGGCTAACCGCGCCTTGAGCTGCCCGAGGTGGTACTCCGTGGCCTTGTTCTTCTGCGTTCGAGCCATCTCGAACTCAATCTCCTTGATCTTCTCCTGAATCCCCATCGCCCCTCTCCCCTACCCTCGCGCGGACGACAGCCCGATATGCCCCGTTGCCCCCCGACGCGCAAGCAGACTGGTTGGAGAACCCGGTGGCGGATCGGCCGCCTCGACCCGACCGCGTCCGCGACGTCCAGACCAGTTCCAACCCCCTCTGCGTGCTGTGCTGCGGGCCGGCGCGAAACCGACAACGACGGGGCAAGTGAGCGCTGCGAGAAACACCTCGTTGTGCCACTCGCGGGCGTCGACGCGCGGCTACAGCGATGCACGCCCATGCTGCGTCAGACGCCGTCTGCCAGGTGCGGTAGGACACAGCGGGGTGTCTCACGGCCCGCGAGATGTGTCGTCGCGCGCCGTGCGTCGTCGACAGTCAGACCGCTCGCTAGCAGTCGAGGAAAGGTGGCCAGGAACGCGCAGAGTGTTCTGGACGCTGGTGGTGCTACCTGTGGACTGTCACGGGCGGAAACCTGTCGGTGGGCGTGGTCTGGTAGGCGCTGAGCGACGCGCTGCGCGGACCTTGGAGCTGGGAGGTGCGCGAGCGTCGGTGCCAGCATGGCGTCCTTGCCGCAGGACGTGTCCGGCAAGGGTGATGGCGGAGTGATGAAGGTTGGCCGAGTGCCCCCTCGAGGTTGCTTGACTGTGCTGTTGCTGCGGCGCGCCTTTGTCCTCAACCACGACACGTTCAACCGCGCACGAAACATGGCTCGTGAAATGCCGGAGGGCACACACATCCTCGGTCGTTGCTGCTGTCTGGAGCCTTCAGCGCTTCCTGCCCCGGCAAAGAGCTGCCACGAGCCCGCAACCGCCGTGGACCGTCCTGAGCGCAGACACGCATCTACAGGGAGGGCAAGGGCGATGTGCCGGAGCTGCATTCGCGCTGCCTGGTCCACTACACCGGCTATGTTCTCTCGTCGGAAGGACAGAGCTGGGACGAGGAGATTTTCCACGACACCCGCGACGAGCCAGGCGCCGACCCGCGCGTCATCATCTGCGGGCGCTTCGTGCTCAAGGAGGCCGCCCTGAACCTCGCCGTCGCCTCCATGCGGCCCGGCGAAAAGTGCCGCATCGAGGTGCGCATGCTGTGCCGAACTGACCCGCGCGGCGCAGCCCGACGGGCGCGCGGGCAGCTGCGCGATCGCAGACAGTCGCACGCACGGCTGCGCTCCAGCCAGGCGGCGCCGAGGGCCCCGGGATGTGCTGGCGTCCTTGACGCGAGCGTGCGAAACCCCGCACCCGCCGATATCGGCGCTCCACGCAGGTGGAGTCCAAGTACGGTTTCGGCGAGCGAGGCAACTTCTCGTTCCCGCACGTGCCGCCGAACGCCCGCCTCGCGTACGACCTGGAGCTGGTGGCGGTGGAGCCCCCATCCGACGAAAAGGACGTGTCGCAAATGCTGTTCGAGGAGCGCCTCGAGGCCGCGGACCGCCGGCGGCTGCGCGGCAACGCGCTGTTCGCCGAGGGCGGCGCGAAGGACGACGAGGCCTGTGCGGCGTGGGCGTCTGGGCTGACGTTTTTGGACGACGACGTAGTGATGCAGCTCGAGGGGGCGTACCTGGAGCAGGCGCTCAAGGTCCGGCTCGCGCTGCACCTGAACACCGCGGCGGCGATGTTGCGGATGCCGGAGTACCCGAACCACCTCCAGGAGGCAGTCGAGCACACTTCGAAAGTTCTGAATTACCAAAAGGACAACTTGAAGGCGCTGTTCCGACGAGGGGTGGCGTCGTTGCGGCTGGGCGACATGGACGGCGCGAAGCGCGACCTCGAGCGCGCCGCCAAGCTCGATCCGGAGGACAAGGCGGTGCGCAGGGAGCTGGCGAGGGTGCGCCAAGAACAGCGCGCGCTGCGGGAGGCGCAGCGGGACATGTTTGCGGGGAAGTTCGGGGCGCGGGCGCCGGAACCCGCGGAGAAAAAGGCGGAGAGGCCGAGGGAAGAGGCGGCGGCGGCGGGTGCTGGAGCTGCGGATGCGGCAGTGGCGGAGGGGGGGGTGGAGGGTCAGGCGCCCGGGTGGCTTGGGTGGGTGCTGGCGGCGGGGGCGATCGTGGTGATCGCGGCGTTGCAGCTGGTGGGGCTTGTGCGCCGGCACGAGGTTTGGAAGGCGCCGTGACGCGCGCAGGCGCACATGTTGTTGTGAGGCACAAATTGTGCATATCACGATTACACGAGCCACCACTGAGTGGCTCAGGGCCTCTAGCCGGCATGTTCCCGGCATCAATGTCATTGTTGCGGCGGCGAAAGGCTGCCACCGCGGGCTATCGTTTCTAGTTCGGTCCTAGTTTCCCTGCCGCCGTGTCTAATCGCTGAGCGAGCAGAGCATGCACACCCCGCGCAGGATCCAGTGGTGCTGCGGGAGGTCGGACGGCGTGTCGATGAACATCAGGAAGTTGGTCGAGTGGCCCGTGGTGGCCAGCACGCCGCGGCGCTCGGCCGTGCGGTACACGGGGCACGAGTACGTCGGGCGCTCCTCGATGTCCTCGAGCACGCGCGGGCGCAGCCAGATCACGGGCGCCGACGCGAAGAGCTGCTTCGGCTTGGACTCGCACAGCTGCTTGGCGTCCGCGTCCCACGCGCAGCCCTCGAGGTAGAGCCCGTAGATGTACACGCCGTCCTCGGGCGGCTCCGTGTACTTGGCTTGGTCGACGTCGAGGAACTCGAAGTCGAACCCGACCGAGTCGATGGCGAGCTTGAACTTCCGGGCGTAGTTCTGCAGCGCGGCCGTGGTGAACGACGGCGTGAAGAAGAAGCCCGAGATCCAGAACGTCGGCGGCTGCCCCTCCTCGTACCACGTCTGCAGCATCGACAGCCGCGCGAGCAGGTCCGACACGTAGGACGCCAGCGGCTTGAGCGACGGGTGCGACTGGCTCTTCCAGAGCTGGGGCACGCGGCCGATGCTCATGGCGCGGAACACGCCGTCCAGCTCCGCCGACATGACCTGCAGCCCCTGCAGCGCCTTGTCGAGGTCCTGCAGCGACCGCCGGATCACCCCCGTCAGGCGGTTGTACCGCAGCATCTCCTGGCACAAGACCTGGTTCATCGACTCCTCGTACCGCACCGGGTACTTGTGGTTGGCCTTCTCAATGTCAAAGTCCGGCGGGAGGCGCTCCAGGATGTCCTTGACCATGGCCGCCACGGTGGCCTCCTGCCCGCCCTCGCCGCCGCCCGTCCCGCCGCCGGCGACCAGCAGCATGCTGAGCATCTCGTCCGTCGCCTGCAAGTCCTTTGTGATGTCAGCGTTCTCGTGCAGCCCGAACGCCTCCGGCAGCGCGCTCATCGGCAGCGTGTGCACGTACTCGACGTAGTGCGCGAGCGGGCCCTCCTCCGGGATGTAGTACGTGCCGGAGGCCGACAGGTTGAACCCGGGCTCGAGGATCTCTGGCCGGTAGATGCGGCGCAGGATGGTCATGAGCAGCCGGCGGTCCTTGTCGTCCGTCACGCGCCCGCCGTAGTTGCACTCGCCGATGGCGTAGATCAGCGCCGCGAAGGGGATGTCGTCGTCGTGCTCGAGGTACATCTTGAGCTGCCGCACCGAGATGCGCAGGTCGCTGTCGTCAAAGCCGTACGGGATGTTCCACCCGATCGGGCCGTACTTGCGGCGCTCCTGCACGAAGGCGTGCAGGAACACCAGCCCGAAGACCATGCGCTTGAGGGAGCGCAGCTTGTCCTCCTCGCCGTCGATCTGCTCGAAGAACTCCGACGTGCAAATCGGGTCCAGCGCCAGCGACCGCCGCATGTTGGCGCGCAGGCCCGCGGGCGGCTCGTTGGTCATCTTCACGCCGTTCTGCAGCATGCTCACGGGGAACGCCGGGGACGGCATCGACGTGAGCCACAGCCGGAAGTTCGAGTCGGTGTTCTCCGTGGTGATGCCCTCGACGATGCGCTCCAGCTCGGGCATCCAGGACGCCGCCAGGTGGCAGTTCTGCAGCAGCACCCACGACCCGGCCTTGCGCCCCTCCTCGATGAGCTTCGCGGCCTTGGGGCCCTGCCCCTGCCCCATGGAGATGACCCCGATCTTCGAGCCGTACCCCATGCCGTCCGCGAACGACAGCAGCGCGGCGGTCGGGTCCGACCCGGGCGACAGCACGAAGAGGAGCGGCACGACGCACGACGACTCCCGGTAGGACCCCTCGAGGTCGAACGGCGGCGGCTCGATGAAGCGCTGGCCCATGGTGGCGGCCACGAACGCGCGCACCGCCGGCACGACCTTGTCCGGGCGCAGGCAGCGCAGGAGGATGATCTTCTGGAAGGTCGAGAACGAGCTGTTGTACTCCCCCGGGAAGTCCGACTTCTCGGGCTCGGGGGCGTCGTAGATCTGCCGCCAGTCCTCGGTGTTCGCGACGATGTGCTGCGGGAGCGTCTCGAACCCGGAGAGCGTCGCCGCGGCGCGCGTGATCTCGCCCCAGGACTTGGGCGACAGCCACGAGGCGTCGGGCTTGGCCACGTCGACGGGCTCGATGCCCACGCCGCCCGTGAGGAGGAAATTGTAGTCCGTGGCGGAGAGCGTCCCCGCCGCGGACATGATGCGCACGTCGAGCAGGAACGCGAAGAGCAGCTTGTCCTTCTCGAAGAGCGAGCGGCACACGTTCTGGTAGAGGCAGTACGTGAAGTAGTCGTTGATGGTCTTGAGGCGCGCGGAGAGGTCGTCGGACTTCTCGCTCTCGCGGATCGACCGCACGAAGAGCTTGATGAACCACGCCAGGCTGTACTGGTACATCGGGTCCATCCCCGCCAGGTCGGCGATGCAGAAGAAGAGCACCGAGTTGAACGCGCCGCAGGGGGCGTACCCGCGCCGCGCCTCGTCGATCTCCCGCTGCGTCTCGTCCGCCACCTGCTGCTTCTCCTCGATCTCGTTCGACACCACCTTGGCCTCGGACAGGATCTGAATCGCCTGCTCGTCCTCCAGGATGTTGCCCTGCGAGCTCGACAGCACGTGCAGGATGCGGTCCTCGATCTCCTTCAGCCGGCGCTTGTTCTCCGCGCTCTGCACGACGAGCTGCTGCCGCTGCTCCTCCAGGTCCGGGCGCTCCTCGGCCACCACCACGCCGAGCAGCTGGTCGCTGAGCCCGTCCTGCGTGATCATGAAGTTCAGCAGCGTGACCTTCACGGCCGTCTCCGGGAGGTAGTGCGGGTTGCGGTACGACGTCGTGATGTAGAACCGGAACTGGTCGCTGAACTCGATCTGGTTGTCGCCCAGCTGGATGTAGTTGATCCCGCCCTGCTTGAACACCACCTTGAGCAGCAGCGGCTCCAAGGACGGGTCGAGCTCCTCGCCGACGTTCTCGAGGAGGACGGGGAGGCCGAACTGGATGGCGTTCTCGAGCGGGCGCAGGTAGTCCTTGTCGGTCAGCTTGATGGTCCGCAGGTCGGACTTCTCCATGTTCTTAATCCACTTGTTGGCCTGCCCCTGCGGGTCGATCATGAGCGGCCACCGGCGCGAGTTGCTCATGATGATGGCGTTGTCGATCGAGAACGTGTCGTTCGGGAGCCCGTCGATGCCCCAGTCGCGGATCTTCACCGGGTCGCCCAGGCACGCCGTCAGACTGAACTTGGGCGAGCACGGAATCTCCATCTTCTTGCAGAGCGCGACCCACGAGACCGTCGTCTTCTCGCGGAACGGCATCGTGAACGCGCCGAGGTACCCCATCACGCCCGCGGAGATGAGCATGTCGCCCGTCAGCGCCGTGAACTGCCGCCCGAGCTCCGTCGCCGACGCCGTCCAGCGGTCCTTCTCGCCGCCGAGCCCGCCGATGAGCTTCTCCGCGCGCTCGAGCTTCTCCTTGCACAGCCCCACCTCGGCCTCGAGCCTCTCCTTCTTCGCCACGCAGTCCTCGAGCTGCTGCTCCATCACCGCCAGCTTCTCCATCACCTCCTTCAGCTCCGCCTGCTTCTCGTCGAGCGCCGCCTTCACCTCCGCGTACTTGGCCTCCGCGATCGCGAGCTCCGCCTTCTTCGGCGCCACGATCTTCGCCGCGCGGTCGTACTCCGACATGGCAAACACCCACTTGGCCAGCCCCGCGGCCGCCGCCGCTGCGTTCGCCGCCTTCTCCACGGTGAAGTCCTCCGACGCGATGTACTTCTCGCGGATCGTCGTGATCGTCTTCTCCGGGATGTTGTCGCGGTCGTACGTCTTGAGCTGCTGGATGAAGGTCGAGTCGGACAGGAGCTTCTTCGACGGCTCCCAAAAGTCCTCGATCTTCTTCCCCGTGCCCGTCGGGTCCTGCACCCGCGCCGCCTTGATCCCCATCATCACGCACACCGCCTCCATCACCAGCTTGATCGCCGCGGGCGGGTTCTTGAACGACTGCACCAGCTTGATGTCGGCGGGCTTGATCGTGTCCAGCGCCGACAGCGCGGCCTCCAGCGCCGGCATCGCCTCCGCCAGCGCGTCCTCGCACTCCTGCTTGATGCTGTTCGCCTCCTCCGCGGCCACCGACGCCTTCTGCACCTCCACGTCCACCACGGCCTTCTTCGGCTCCACCACCTCTGTCTTCTCCTTGGCGACCTGCGCCATGAGCTGCTCCGTCTCCGCGACCGTGTCGTTCAGGACCGGGATCAGGTCCTGCAGCTCCTTCTGCATCGCGGCGACCTGGTCCGCCGCGAAGTTGAGCTTCTCGAGCCCGATCTCGTACCGCTTCTGCGCGCTGGCAACCTTCTCGCGCTGACTGCCGAGGAGCATCTTGAACATGGTGAACAGCTCGAGGTACGACGTGGGCGTGACGTAGTTAAACCGCCCCGTCTGCCGCTTGAAGTCGTCCGACAGAGTCACGATGTCCTTGTGGAAGGTCTTGCACATGACCGTCACGTCCGTGCGCTGCTTCGCCGTCAGGTCCACCTCGGCCAAGAACTTGGTCGCGACCGCCTCGAGCGCGTCGTCGGGCCACTCGGTGAACCAGTTGATCGTGCAGCAGTTGACCAGCGACGGGAACTGCCGCAGCCGCTCGCGGAAGGCGTCCCCCACGGGCGAGAAGCACAGCACCACGTGCAGGTTCTCCTTCGTCTTGTCGATGAAGAAGCGCCACTGCTCCTCCTCGGTCTCGAGCGTGACGCCCTCCTTCTTCGCGAGCACGCGGCACTCCTCGCGCACCGCCGACCGCTCGTCGTACGGGAACATGTTGGGCACCTCGCCCACGTTGAGCAGGTTGTTGATGTCCTCCACGAACGACTCCTGCTTGATCTGCGTGTCGCTGAACAGGAAGACGCTCGGCTTGCCCTGCCCGCCCGCGGCCCGCGTGATGCGCTTCAGGTCCTCGCGCCACTCCGTCATCGTGTAAGACTTGGAAATCTCAATCTGGAAGGTCTCCATGCCGGAGATGTTGGCGGCGAGCCGCGAGAGCGACTGCCGGCCGGACCCGCCGACGCCGACGTTGAGCATGTGCGCGCCGGGCTGCTTGAGCACGCGGCAGATGCGCGACAGGTGCTCGCACGCGTACAGGAAGATGGCCAGGTTCATCGGGCGCTTCGACATCGCGTTGTAGTCCACGAGGTGCTCCTCCATGCGCGCCGTCAGCGCGGCCACGTCCTTGACCTCGACGTACCGCCGCTGCGCCGGGTCGTCGTTCTCGTCCATGAAGTCGCCGAAGAACATGCGGCGCAGCGCCTCGGTGTTGACCTGGCCGTCGCGGAGCAGGTGCGCGAGCAGCTTCTTGCAGTCGTACCCGAAGCGCTCCTGCACGACGGGCTTGAGGTAATCGAGGAACCACGTGCGGTCCCCGGCGTCCGTCAGCCGGTCGTAGAAGATGCGCAGCGTCTCGTGCATCCACAGCCGCGTCACGTACTGCTTCCCGGCGTCGCCCGTCGGGAGCGTGTCCTTCTTGACCAGGATGAGGCCCTGGACCACGCGCGAGATGTCCCGAAGGTTGAACGTGTAGTGCGACTTGGTTGGCGTCGGCAACAGGCTGTTGGCCACCTTCTTGTAGACGTCCATCGTGGCGGTCACCACGGGCTCGGAGAGCTCCGCGATGTTGTCCGGGAGGCGCTCGCGCGCCACGAACCACTCCATGATCGTCCCGAAGATCTTGTGCAGCGTCGGGTCGTCGGCCTCGGTGATGGCCACGGTGTTGAAGTGCCGCATGTAGCGCGCCGTCACCTCGGTGCGCCCGCCGCCCGGAGGGCCCATCGCGGCGACGAACAGCACGTCCTTGATCGTGCGGAACATGTTGGACCGGTCGTACCACCCGCCGTGGTCCATCCACTGCCGCAGGAGCTCGATGGGCGGCTGCGCGCCGTACTCCTCCTTGGTCGGCATGTTGAGGTCGTCGACGAAGACGACGCCGCGCTTGTTCTGCGGCGGGCCGTACAGCCCCAGGCGCTTCGGCGGGCGGCGGTCGAGCTTCCCGTCGATCATGTACTGCGTCATGTTGGCCGTGGTGCGCGCCGAGAAGTTGACGATGATCGGCGGCGCGTACGTCTCCGCGGGGAGCGAGCTGATGTACTTCTCGATGTAGATCGACTTGCCCGTGCCCGTCGGCCCGACCAGGAGCATGCACTGGTTGTGCTTTACCGCCAGGTCGAGCAGGTAGGCGTAGCGCACTGTGTCGACCGTCGGGACGATGATCTTCCGGAACGTGGCCTCGCGCGGGATCGGGGAGTCGTCCATGATGTCCTGCCACTGCCGCCACGTACCCTTGTTGTGCGCGGGGTCGAAAAACCAGTCGTGCCACGACGTGCCGTGGTCCAGCAGCGGCATCGACGACGCGTCCAGCGTGATCAGGCCCTCGGGGATGTCCTCCTCCTCCTCGCCGTACACCTCGCCGCTCGGGCCCGCGAAGCCCGCGAGCTTGCCCGTCGTCGCGGCGGTGAGCATGCGCCCGAAGAGTACGCGGTGGTCGGTCAGCAGCGACGTGGCGCCGATCGACCACACGAGCGAGAACAGGAAGACCGCCTCGACGTGGCGCTTGCGCGTGTCCGGGCTGAGCGCGGCGTAGCCGTCCGCGTCGGCCAGGTGGTCCGCGCACGACGTGAAGATGCGCATGAGCGTCGACACGAGGTTGGCGTCCAGCGTGGGGCTGGCCTCCTTGATCTCGCGGCGCACGAAGCGCAGGCACACGGGCACGAGGCCGTTGAACAGGTGCAGGAGGTGCCCCTTGATTTCCTCGTCAAAGTGCCCCGGCAGCGCCGCGAGCCACGAGTGCGTCAGCGGCTGCCACCCGAGCTGGTGCGGCTCGAGGTAGACCATCCCGCAGCGCGAGACGGTCGCCGGCGACGCGACGGCGAGGTCCATGACCTCGAACATCATCGTGTGGTTTGTCGACATCTGGATGATCTCGCCCGAGTTGAGGCAGAGCTTCTTGTTGTCGTCGAGCACCGTGTTCATGTTCTCGATCCAGATGGCGTCGACGGGGCCGTCCAGGATGAGCCACTTGCGCTTCGTCGTGCGGTCGACTGCGCACGTGCGGAACTTGACGGCGAGCACGCCGTCCGACCACTCGTGCGAGACGGGGTCGAACTGCCCGTAGAGCTGCCCCATGGTCACCGCCTTGGGGTTGATCACGTGCGTCTCGACCTGGTCCTGCCCCTCGAGGCCGCGCTCATGCATGAGCGTCAGCGCGGCGCTCAGCACGCGGATCGAGCTCGTCTTCCCGGAGAAGGGCAGGCCGACGACCATGAGGCCGTGGCGCACGATGATCATCTCGTAGAGCTGGATGCACTTGAGGAAGAAGTACGGCGTGGGCTGGAGGTTCATCTCCACGCAGGCGTCGCGCATGCACCCCTCCATGGCGTCGTAGTCGGCCTTGGGGAGGACGACGCCGGGGAAGAGGTCGCTGATGATGCCCTGGAAGAGCGGCACGTCCTGGCTGAGGAACTTGCAGAGGTTGACGTCGATGATCGAGCGCAGCATGAGCACGAACTCGTCCTCGCTGGGGTACCGCCGCTTGAGGTTGCCCGCCGCGCGCAGCACCGCCATCACCGCGCGCATGCCGTAGTCGTAGTGGTCCTGGCTCGAGAGCTGCTCCGAGCACAGCTTGTAGCACTGCACGATCTTCTTCGCCGACTCGCGCGCCTTGAGGTACCCGTAGCTGAACAGGATGATCTCCGCGATCATCGCGTAGTCCGGCACCATCATCGCCACCGTCCGGAACAGCGCCTTGAGGTTGTCCGGGAGCTCCGACCGCCCTGCGTACCCGGGGTTCATGGTGATGGACGCCCAGGCGCTCCACTTGAGCTGCAGCTCCGTGCCCTCGAACGTGAAGCGCGTCAGCCGCGCCCCGATCGCGCGCTGGATGTCCAGCACCTGCTGCGCCACCACCGACAGCACCTCGAGGTTGATGCGGTTGAACTCGTCAAAGCACGCCCACGCGCCCGCCGACGCCAGGCCCTTGAAGAACTTGCCCATCGCGATGTGGTCGAGCTGGTCCGAGCAGTTGAACACCACGCACTGCCGCGCCAGAGCCTTGGCCAGGTCCTTGGTCGTCTCCGTCTTGCCGGTGCCCGCGGGGCCCTCGGGCGCGCCGCCGAGCGTCATGTGGATGGCGCCCATCAGCGTGCGATAGCACCGGTCCGTCAGCGGGGTGATGACGAGGCGGGACGAGTTGCCGAGGTACTCGTAGCCGTACTCGACCTGCGCCGACATCATGCGCATCATCACCGTCTTCTCCCGCACCTCCTCCGCGTCGTCCTCCCAGTAGCTCCGCAGCTGCGCAGTCCACTCGAAGTCCTTGTCGCTCTCCACCTTGTTCTTCACCAGCGTGGTGCACACGTCGCGCGCGTGCACGTCCATCACCACGAGCGCGCCCAGCGTCGCGCGCTGCAGCCCCGTGAGCTCCCCGCGCACGCGGTCCACGATCTTGAGCAGCTCCGACGTGCACTTCTCCTCGTAGGCCGCGAGCTGCCCGTCGGCCAGCGCGGCGTGCACGCCCTCCGTCCAGTACGTCGCCGTCACGACCAGCACCACCATGCCGGGCCACTGCAGCACCCACTCGTGCCGCTCCTGCGTCGCGTACGCCGCCAGCCCCTTGGCCGTCTCCTCGTGCACCGAGTCGAACATGGCCTGCTCCACCTCGAGCAGCCACCGCTCGACGGCGCCGCGCGCCTTGACGGTGTCGACGACGTCCTTGAACGGGATCTGCTCGCCCTCGACCGACACCATCGACGTGATCGTCAGGTCCTCGGTGAAGCTCAGGCGGTCGATGCCCTCGAAGCACTTGCGCAGGTGCGGCTGCACGCGCGTCGGGTCCTTGGTCTCGGACAGGATCTCCAGCATGTCGTCGTTGGAGAGGAAGAAGAACCGCGGGAAGAAGAGCCGCTTCTTCTCCAAGTACGCCGCGAGGCCCTTCTGGATCTCCTCGAGCAGGGCGTTGGAGTGGATGAGCGAGTCGAGGCGCTCCTGGTCGCCCGCGATGGCGATGACGTTGGGCGCCTCGACGGTGACGCGCATCATCTCGCGCCACGTCTCGTCGACCTGCGCGAACTTCGCGCCCTCCTCGGGCATCTGCTTGACGATGTCCTCGGACGAGAAGATCGGCTCGAGGTACAGCCACGTGGCCTGCACGGCCAGCCAGTTGTCCAGGATCTCCTGCAGCCGCGCCAGGCCCACCTCCCAGGCCTTGGCGCGCTCCGCGAACGGCTTGATGAAGGGCGACGAGTTCATGGCCTGGATCTTGACGATCTGGTCGTCCAGGATGGTCTGGATGTCGTCCGTGCCGCCGATGATGTGCGTGCCCGAGTCCTTGTAGGGGATGCACCGCACGTCCTGCCCCTCCCACTCCGCCTCCATCTTGTCCAGGTTCTTGAGCATCGAGAACTCCTTCGTCGCGTTCCCCGCGATGGCCTCGACCTCCTCCATGCGCTCGAGGACGCCCCACGCCACCAGGTCCTGCGCGTTGACCGTCGTCTCCCCCGCCGCGTACTCCTGCGACACCACCGCGAAGATCTGCGTCCAGTGCCGGTCCATGATGGCCGGGTTCGCCAGCTCCGTCAGCAGCGGCACGTAGACCTTGAACGCCTCGATCTCCTTCTTCGTCCGCACGCAGACCTCGTCGTCCTTGCGCATCTTCAGCATCTTGTAGTTGCTCTTCAGCGCCTCGTCGACCTTCGTCTGGATGGCCTCCGGGTCGAGCGTCTTCGTGTTGGCCGTCATCCACTCCTGGCGCATCGCGTTGAACGCGTGCAGCTCGTGCCACTTGTTGCGCTGCCACGTGAGCTCGCGCCCCGCCATGTGCACGCTCGAGAAGTCCGTCACGTCCAGGCTCAGCAGCTCCTGGTACCGCGCGAACTTCGTCGAGAGCGCCTCGATCTCGCCAAACACCTTCGCGAGCCGCTCGAGCTCGTCCACGGTCTCCGCGGGATCCGACGCGTCGTCGTCGAACCGCCCCGACCGCACGTCCGTCACCACGTGCTGCAGCCCCTCGAACAGCGTCTCCACCTCGGCGTCCAGCTCCGCGATGACGCTCTCCTTCTTGTCCTCCACGAACAGCGACGCGTCGTCCACCACGCGCGTGAACGCCACCAGCATGTCGCGCATGTCGTCCAGGAGCTGCGGGGGAGGGGGGGGGAGGACGCGAGGCGACGGCTCAGCCCGGCTACCCCAGGTGCAACGGCCAAGCGGGCAGGCGCGCAGGCGGGCAGGCAGGCAGGCAGGCAGGCAGGCGTCGCGTGCGTCGCACCAGCTTGTCCGCCTCGGAGATCTTGGCCTCGTAGGACTGCAGCATCTCGTACATCTCCTCGACGAGCGCGCAGGACCCGCGGATCTGCTCCATGTTGCCCGTGAGCGAGACGTACTGTTCCAGGAACCCCGCGAACTCGTGCAGCCCCTTGGGTCGCTGCTGCATGCTGGTCGTGTGCGCCTGGAACGTCTCGAGCACGCCCTCGGCCTCCGAGCGCGCCGTGCTCGCCAGCATGTCGCGCATGGTGTCGAGCGCGCCCTCGATGATGCCGTGCAGCCGCTCTTGCAGCACGCTGCAGTCGACGATCAGCATGCCGCAGCGCTGCTCGCCGCGGAGCGCGTCCACCTGCTGGTGCCACGACCGCATCAGCGCCATGTCCTTCCGGAACTGCCCGACCGTCAGCGGCCGCGACCGGTACTCCTCGGCGTCCCAGCTCGCCTGGAACCGGTCGATCATCCGCAGGTCCTCAAACACCCTGGCGTACTCCGCGGCCTCCTTGAACGCCGCGGAGATGGCCCGCTCGCAGCCCATGCGCGCGGCGTTCAGCTGCTTCGACGTCAGCGTGAGCGTCGGCAGGTCCGGCCCGATCGGCGCGCGCCCGAGCTGCTTGCTGAAGAGCGCCGTGAAGTGCTCGTTGTACAGCAGCCGCGGCACGCCCTTCACGAGGTCGACGAAGCCCGTGATGAGCGCGTCGAGCGCGAGCCGCTGCACCTCCTCGCGGTCCGGCGTGAACTTCTGCGTCCCCGCGGGCGGCACCTCCTCGCCGTCCTCGTTGGTGGTCGGCTGCGCGTCCTCGGGGAGCGGCTCGAGCTCGACGTGCACGCGGAAGAGCCCGCGCTGCTTGAACACCTCGTGGAAGTCCTCGAGCGTGGACGTCACGAGCGACGTCAGCGCGGAAACGACCATGAAGTCGGACATACGCACCAAGTTGGGCAGCGAGGCCACGAGGCGCGCGAGCACGCGGTGCAGCTGCGCCTTCTCCATGTACCGCATCCGCGTCTTCACCGTGCTCTTCCCGAACCGCGCGCCCTTGCTCGGGTCCGACTCGAACTCGGCCACCTCGCGCCCGACTTCGGCCTCCTGTTTGGTCACCTCCAGTATGACGCGCAGCAGGGAGCGCTGCGCGACGGAGACCTGCGTCTCGAGCGCCCACGCGAGCTTGCCCGTGCGGTGCTCGTCCTGCTGCGCGCAGAACTCGCCGAGCAGGTAGACGCGGCCGTCCTCGAGCGGGAGCGAGGCGGTGCTGGCAATGTCCTGGCAGACGCCGCGGACGTCGTTGAGGCACTGGCAGAACGCGGGCTGCGCGACGAAGCCGCGCGTGCGGCACGTGTCGCGCAGGGCCTCGAACCGCAGGCGGTGCGTGTGGTTGCGCCACCGGCGGAAGAAGCGCGTCAGGCGGTAAAACTTGAAGAACCGCATCTGCTGCATCAGGTTGAAGATGGACTGCTCGCGGAGCCACTCCCCGACGGGCGTGTACTCCGGGGCCGACCCGTCGGTGAAGAACTCCTCGACGCCCGCCGCGGTGATGGTGTGATGGTCCACATGCAGCACCGCGGCGCGCGGCACCGGGATGAGGTCGTACGGGCTGCCCTCGCCGCGCTGGTGCGCACGGACGAGGAAGAACACCTTGATGCGCGCGTTGTGGCCGTACCTGCGCGCGGGGCGGTCCGGCGGGGCGGCGGTGTGTGTGGGCGGTTGGCTCTTCGGGGGGGTGCGCGGGCGGGCGGGAGGGGGCGCGCGGCGCACCTGGCGTAATACTGGATCACGTCGTTGCCGGAGTCGATGGTCCCGACGAAGTCCTCCTCGATGGTGCCCTCGTACAGGGGCATGCCGGCGTGCCAAGGCGCCAGCACGACGCGCGGCATGCCGTACGCCGACTCGGAGCTGGGCTCCGTGCCGGTCTCATCGTCGTGCTGCTCGAGCGGCGGCAGAAGGCGCCGCTCCAGCGACGCCGAGATCAGGTCTGCGTGCAGAGGGGCACGCGCAACGCTTAGCGTGCCGCTGCGAGGCGTCAGAGGCGCGCACGGGCGCGCCGCGGCCGCGGCGCATCCGTGAGGCAAACGAGTACGCACGGCCGGCGCGAAACCGCGGAGACGACCGCGTTCCGGCCAGGACGGGCCGTGAGCATGCAGGTGGCCAGCGCGGTGCCATATGCCACCGGCCAGCGGGCGCCCGCGCGGCGGCCGCGCGGGGATCCATGGGCGCCAGCGCCGCGCTGTACCTGGGTCGGTGCCGAAGAGCGGGGGCGCTTTGGCGGCTCCATTGAGCGGAGAGAGCTTGACGCCCTTTGCGCTCGACTCCATTGCCGCGTGCGCCCTGCGCGCCTCCTACAGCCGCGGGTGGCGCGGCGCGGTGCCCGGGGCTGGGCCCTGTGCGAAGCAGAGGACGGAGTCCGCCTCCCAGCGCCGCGCTGATGGCTCGCCTGCGTACGTGCGCGCGGAAACCGCGAGTCTGAGTGATTTGAGGGACTGCGTGGCTGGACCGCTGTGTGGCCGCGAAGGCGGGCGAGAAACGATGCCGACGCGCTGATGAGTATGTGGAGGGCGCTGCGGAAACGTCCGCGCGCCTATGTTGGCGCGCGAGGCGCCAGGGAGGCCGGAGAAGTGCACAGCGCTGGGCAGCGCTTGTTCGTCGCCCGTGCGCGGTGTCAAGCGGCTGCGGGGCGGCGCGGCTGCTGCGGCCGCCCAGCGGACGCGGACCGGATGTCAGGGCAACTCGCAAACGTCTCCTTGCGAACTGGCATGGGGCCCGCTGCGGGAATGGCATGCAGTGCAGGTGAACTGGCCCCTGCGGCAGGACCGCGCTCCGCCCGGGGGAATCGGGCAACTGTTGGATGAACACGAAATCAAAGAGGCGTCCTGGTACGATGGGCGCGCCGGTTTCGACCGGGAGGGAACGAGCAACGCGAGCGCGACGTTTCCGAGCGGCTCGCGTCGCGAGCAGCGATCCATGGCGGCAAACGAATGGCGCATTCTGCTCACCTTTTGGCCTTAATTTGTCATCTACCGCTGCACAACGGCGTCAAAGACTGTCGACGGGCGCCCGGGCTACCAAACCCTCCTTCTCTGCGCTCGCGACTCTAGTATGCCCGCGCAGCGTCCGTCCGACGCATGTCGCGCTTCGTCATGCCCTTGGCGACGCTGCGGGCGCCGCAATGTCGCCGAAACGCGCCGCCGGCGCGCGCTCCATGGGCGGGAAGTCCCCAGGGAGTGTCGACTCCTGCTGCCGCGGGTGCTGCACGCAGCGGCCCGGGATTTCAGGCGCCGCGTGCGCCGCGGCGTCCCATGCGCAGCCAGCTTCGCGGCGGCCGGGATTGGTGGAACTAGCGGTTGAAAGGGAGCGCGCTTGCCGCCACTGAGAGAGCTCCGCTGCTCTGTCGAGGCGCGCTGAGCTCCCGAGAAGGGAAGTCGTCCGCTCGTGAGCGCCGGCTGCGTGAGCGAGCGGCACGTGCGCGTTCGCATCAGCTGGACCCGGACGTTAGCCGCTTGCACAGTCGCGGGCGAGCGTCGCTCTTCGGACGTTGGAAAGGCGCCCGCGCTGGACGGTCGGGAGGGCTGTCCTGCGCCCGGGACGCGACCCTCCGCCTGCGACGCCTGCGTTCGTGGACGGGGCCGTGGCCAGCACGGGCGTTATTGAAGGGAGCGACGGCTCTCCCTGCTGCTGCTCCTCTCGGGGATGGGCGCCGGCGAACGGGGCCACGAGGCCAACGGCACGCGACGCGACGTCGATCATAATGGTACGTACCTCGCCTCACAATCGCCACACTCCCCGCTGGACGCCTATTCAGGCGACCCACGCACGACTCCCTCTGCCCAGGCAACGCGGGTGCTGCTTGCGGCGGACCGAGCATGCAACAGCCCGTGCACCGCCGCGCCCGCGTGCAGAGGACGCCGAGGACCGCCGCGGGCCCGGGCGCAGGGCGACCGGGTCCAGAGAGGAGGGGGAGTTGAGCGAAGAAGAAGGTGCGGAACAAACACCCCCCCCGACACGACGCCGCACCCGCCACGCGCGGCAGGCGTCGGCCGCCGCATATCCGCGGCGATGCGCTGCATTTCAGATCCCGCGAACCCCCGCGCACGTGCACGAACACACCAGCACTTGCGTTGGTAGCACTGCCCGTCATCGGACGGCGGAGCCGATGCGGAGCGCCCTGCGCCGTGGTATCCGCGCAGGCGAGATCGTGGATGCGCAGCGCGAGGGCGGCGTCAAGGAGCGGTCCCCCCCCCGCAGGCCGCGCGACCACTCCCCACGTGCGCGCAGCCCCGGCCGCCCGGCGTCGCGCCGCAGTCCGGGCGGCGCGAGACGCACGCGGTCGCGCTCCAGGGCCCGCGAGCGCTCGCGGAGCCGCGACCGCTCCGCGAAGGACCGGCGGCGCGACCCCGGCAGGCGTGCGGAGGGGCGCGACGTAGAGCGGGGGCGAGACCGGGGCAGGGATCGGGAGCGGGAGCGGGGGAGGGATCGCGGGCACAGGGAGCGGCACCGGAGCCGGGAGCGGCGGCGGACCCCGGAGGAGGAGGTCAGGATCGACGACGACGACGTCAGGAGGCTAGGTGGGTGTTTTTTACTCCCCGGGGGGCGTGTTCCTTGCGTTGCTGACGCGGAGGAATGGCTGCGGGTGCCAGGGAGGTCGCTGAGCGAGCGCCACAGGCCTGGCATTTGGTGTGTGTCGCGGCGCACCTGCTCGACACCGTCGTCGATGTTGTTGCTCTGCAGAGGCCATCGCCGAGGGCGTGGGGCTGACGGCGGAGGAGGAGGAGCAGCGGCAGATCGAGGAGCGGCGGCGGCGTCGGGCGGAGATCCTGGCCGCACGCGCCGGGACGGAGCCGCCGCAGGGTGGTGCTGTGCCAGTGCCGGCGCCAGCTGCGGAGGCCCCCCGCGCCCCGGAGCCGGAGCGGGACGTCGACGCGGAGGCGGCGCAGGCGGAGCAGGAGCTAGCGGGCGTCGGCGAGGCTCTGTTCGAGGCGCGGGGCGCCGCGCAGGGGACGATGGCGGCCGCCGATGAGGTCACGGGAGGGGGGGGGTCTGCGCTCCGGCCCGACCCCGGGAACGCCGCACGGCCGCAGGAGGAGGACGCGGGCGCGGACGACGACGACGACGGCGTCGACATATTCGCGGAGACCCCCCCCGAAGCCAAGGTACGACGCAGCAACACGGCGCCGTGGCGCGAGACTGCGGTCCGCACGGTCGCTGAGCGCGTGTCCGCGCGTCTGTGGTGCAGGGAGACACGGGCGCGCCGGTCACGAAGCGCGCGCGCGGGCTCGCGGACCAGTTCGACGACACGGAGGGGTACTACATCTGGACAGTCGGGGAGACGCTTGACGGGCGTTACGAGGTGTTTGCATCGCACGGGCGGGGCGTGTTCGGCAGCGTGCTGCGCGCGCGGGACCTGCACGCGCCGTCGCAGGTCGTGGCGGCGCCCGGCGGCGCTGCGGTGGAGGAGAAGCCGGAGGTGGCAATCAAGGTGGCGCGCGCGAACGAGACGATGTTCCGGCAGGCGCAGACGGAGAAGCTGATCCTGTCGAAGATCGCGGCGACGGACCCGGACGGGCGGCGGCACTGCGTGCGCATGCTGGGCTATTTCGAGCACCGCGGGCATGCGTGCATCGTGTTCGAAGCGATGGACATGGACCTGCGGAGCCTCGTGAAGAAGGTCGGGCGCAACATCGGCATCCACGTCAAGGCGGTGCGCGCGTACGCGGTGCAGCTGCTCGTCTCGCTCAAGCACCTCAGGGACACCGGCATCCTGCACGCCGACATCAAGCCGGACAACATCCTGGTCAACAAGGTGCGCCACGCCCGCGCGCCGCGCCGCCGCTCCCTCGGCCGTAGCCCCAGCGCCCACGCACCAGCCCAAGCATGACTCCCCCGGGGATGTGTTGATCATCGGTGCGCAGGAGCGCAACACGGTGAAGCTGGCCGACTTCGGCAGCGCGATGTTCGCGGGCGACAACGAGCTCACGCCGTACCTCGTGTCGCGCTTCTACCGCGCGCCGGAGGTCATCCTGGGCCTGCCCTACTCGCACGCTATGGACATGTGGGCGCTGGGGTGCGTGCTGTTCGAGCTCTACACCGGCTCGATCCTCTTCCCCGGGCGCTCGAACAACGACATGCTGCGCTGCTTCATGGACCTCCGCGGCGCGTTCCCGAAGAAGATGCTGCGCCGCGCGGCCTTCCGCGCCATGCACTTCGAAGGCGAGCCGCACATGAGCTTCCGGCACCAGGAGGTCGACAAGGTGACGGGGAAGGAGGCGGTGCGCGTGATCGGGAACCCGACGCCGAGCAAGACGATCGCGGGGCTGCTGGGGCAGCCGAGCGACCGCGCGACGCAGAAGCAGGTGGAGCTCCTGGCGGACCTGCTCGACAAGATGACGTGCCTGGACCCAGACAGACGGATATCGGTGCGAGAGGCGCTGCAGCACCCGTTCGTGCAGGGCGACGCGGCCCCTCGCGCGGGCCCGCGCGCTCGCTGAGACTGGCGCTGTGACGCAGTGGCGGGCTTGTGCGGCGCCGGCCGGCGGCGATGCGCGCGGTCGCGCGGTCGCTCTGCCCTGCGCGGACTGCTCGCGCCGTGACCGCCCCGCGGTGCGGCCCGTTCCGCCCGCGGTGCGGAGCACACTCGCGCTGCGGGTGGTCAATTACCTTCCAATGTGTCGGCCAGCACCCCGCAGCAGCCGCGCGAGCTCCGCGGCGGGGCTGCGCGTGCGGCCACGACCGCAGCCGCCGGTCGCAGGCCGGCGCCGCGGTGTCCCGCGGGCGGCGGCCGCGCGGTGCTGGCATTGTCGCAGTCTGCGGTGCAACGCTTGATTTGCGAGGGTTGGGCGCAAGAGGGCTGGCTGAGAGGGGTGCGCCCTTCGCAGGATGTCCGTGCGCGTGCCCGGGACGGGTCTCGTGTGTGCGCGGGGGAGGCGGCTCGCATCGCCCCCTCTGTCTAGGGCACCATGAGAGCGCGATGGGAACGAGGCCTCGTGTTTCGGGGGGGGGGGCGGGCTGGCAGTGTTCTCTTGAAGAGATGTCGCCCGAACGCTTGAATCACCATGTTCTCGCCCGGTCCTTTTCTTCCTTTCCACGCGTGGGGATGTCATGTATTACTGGTACCGTGCAGCGAGGCTGAGCGAGGTCCCGCCAGAAGGTCCCGGGCCCCCGCTGCGCCGCACCACATTCAGCTGACCTGGGCGAAGTCACCAGTATCGCTCGGCAACGCGCATAGACGTATATAGCGGCGACGTGCCCCTGGCCTGCTTTACATCCGCGCTCCTGCAAACACCTGGAAACCGGGGTGGCCTTCCTCCGGCGCGGCTGCTTGGCACGATCAAAACCTATCAAGTAAGTGCCCGGCGGCATCGCCAGGCAGCCCGACGAGCGCCCCACGGAAGTCGCATTCTCGTGTCCCGTCGCTGCGTCGCGGCACGCGGCCGGCGGGCTTTCTCACCCCGGCACGTGCACGACTGCGTCGGACTCCCGCCCCGCGGGCGCCGGCTGTTCCACGACGGCTGCCGTGCGGCCCCCGAAGGCGGCCCGTGAACGGCTTGGCTTCACCAGCCCCGCGAACGCACGTCGGTGGCCCGTTTCGGTCTCCCGCGCGCCGGGCGCGCTCACGACGCGCGTTCAGATGCGCAGGGCGCGCGACGCCACGTACTTGCCGCCTGTGTAGCAGCTCAATGGCCTACCTTGCAGCCCGCAGCAGCGAAACGGCTGCGTTGCGCGTGCTCGCGAGTAGCCGCGCGCAAAGCCGCGCGCGGGCGCATTTGTTCCGGTGTCATCATGCCGGGAAGGCCTTGCTTTTTGCGGCTCGCCGCCCCCCAAGGCCCTCGCTGAGTACTCAGCGCTGGAGCCGCACCGCCGCGCCTCTGCGCGCGACCCCAGGAGTTGGCTCCGCCACCCGGGGCGCGAACACGATGCACGAATCCGTCCAGACGATCGCCCGCGCAGCGAGGACCCCTGTCGGGAGGGCGTTCGCGCGCAACCGAAAGCTCAAACGTTTCGTGCCGTCCCATCGGTCGCGTCGCCGCGCGGGAAGGCTGACCGGCGTTTCCGCGTTCATTCGATCTCGCAGTATCCGATGGACATACACGAATGCCGCGTTCGCGGCTCGACGTCGGCGCGCGACCTCCTGGTCCGACTTGGCTGCTGGTCGACCGAAGAGGCGCGTCAGGGGGACTTCGCGTGCGCGTCCCTCGGCTCTGACGGTGAGTCGCTCTCGCCCCCCGCTCCCGCCGCGCAGCTCGAGCGCGCATGCCTTGCGCGCGCCGGCGGCGGCCGCGTGACCTAGACGCACGCCAACAGGGGGGGGCTTCCCGCCCCCGGCACCCCTGCGCTTCCCGTGGGCGCGAACGGTCGTCGTCTGCGCCCGCGGTCACTCGCGCCACGCGAGGCAAACCCCGCGGCACCTCGGCGACGCCACGCGGCCACAGAACCATCATGGGAGGCGCCCCCCTCATGTTCCGCCGCCGCCCAACGCTCCCACGCAGGCGCCGCCCGCCACGAACAGACGCAGCCGGGGACCATCCCGAACGCATCGCTGTCGGCGCGCGAGTTCCACACCATGACCTCGGCACCGCCCCCGTCCTTGAGCGTGTTCGCGGGCGACGCTAGGGCGATGGTGCGCGCCAACTCCGTGAGCGCGCTCTTCTCCGACGGCGTCCAGCGCGGCGGGCACCCCGTCCGCTCCCGCCTCCTCGCGCCCTCGGAAGACATGGACGTCGGCACCCCCCCGGGGTCCCCGCACCGCGTCAGGCCTCAGGGCGCCGCCGTGGGGCCGCGGTCGCCCCTGCGCGGCAACTCGAAGACCTGCGTGCTCCCGAACATCGCGGAGGAGCGGGGCCGCGACAGCGCCGTCGGGGAGCCCGCCGCCAACAGCCGCCCCGTGGCCCTGCCCATGTGGGGCGCGAGCGCCGACGGCGGCGACGCGGACTTCGGGGGCACTCCGCCGAAGCAGCGCGCGCTCTCGCCGGCCACTCTCTCGTCGCCGCAGAAGAGGGCGTTCGGCGGGGAGGGGTCGGCCCGCGGCACGAGCCGCTTCCACGCAGAACTGACTCCGTCGGGCGACCGCGTGGTGGCCGTGTCGCGCTCCTTGAGCTGCCTGGCGGGCCTGGACGAATCCGGCGCGTCGCCCACGCGGTGGTCGGAGTTCCAATGCGGCCAGCCGCCCGCGAAGGTGTCGTGCGGCGCGTCGGTGCGCTACACGCGCGTGCAGACGGACGCGACGGTCGACGGGGTCGACAACGACGGCACCGGCCCGCGCGACGGCTCGGGCGGCGTCCTCTGCGACGACCCCGCGATCCGCGGCCCCAAGTGACGGGCCCAATCCCGCGCGGAGGGGAGAGGAGAGCAGGCATGGCACCTGCAGGCCGCACGACGATCGCCCGTCCCCGTTTTGAATATTTTGGGCAACGTCGGAGCAGACACTACGAACGGACGCGGACAACTCTAGACTCACGCACCGGCACCATCACGTGCTGTGCGCGCACGCGCGCATTTACTTACCGCAATGCAGTCCAGCGTCCCGCCGCTCAGCGCGCGCAACCACTGTACCAAGAAGGCTCGCAAGACAACCCCCCCTGTCCCCCCACACGCCCTTCCACCGCCCCCCCTTTTCGTCCACACTCCCCCCACACACACACCCAGTGACACATGCGCGCCGCGCACCCACGCGCGCCGCGACAGCATTGTCCCAGATAGAGGCGCGATGCGGAACCACCAACGGCCAGAGAGCCCTCGGCGTTGTGGCGGTGCATCGCGCAGTCCACCGCACCGCGATGGTCGAAGTCGCCGCGCACCCACTGGACTTGCATACCAGCACGGGGCTCCCGACTCTCTCGCTTGATGGCGCCAGGTGGCTGACACGCCAGTGTCACGCCCGAGAATCCTACGAGGAGCCTGCAGGCGCACTCTCGCGCAGGAGCCCGCTCAGCACCCCCTTGCCCCCCCTACCCGCACGTGGACCTCGCTCAGTGTGGCCAGCGCCGAGAATCGCTCGAAGTCGTCGGCGCCGCTGCTGCCGGCGACCACAGTGACTGTCTGCGCCGCGCCACCAAGCGCGCTCCCGTAAGCATGACGTGTTGCGTACAGTTTGCATGATGCCCCTTCCCCCCCCCCCGGCGTTGCATTGTCTACATACTATCCCGCCCTTCCCTTCTCGCACACCTTTGCTCTCTCCAGCCTCTTCCATGGCTTCAATCTACGCATCCCTGACGCTCTTGCTCAACTTTGCGCTCGACTTGGACTCCTACCTCCTAACAACTGTTGCCAGTTGCCACGCCAACTTACACCAGGGACTCATGGACGCGCCCGACGCACCCCTGCCCCTGACGACCGGCAAGGAGCGATACATCACGCGCGTGAAAGCCTGCCACGTGGAACAGGAACGATCGAAGCTCCGGCTTCGAATCTGCACACCGCAGTGCTTCGCTGGCTGCATGCGGGCTCTGTCTAAAGGCTGGCATGATGTGACGAATGATCGGGATGAGGGCATGGAAAGCTGCTGCCTCTCTGCGAGCCGCTTGGTCAGCAGCTGCGCCCAGCGAGGAACAAGCCCGCAGCAGCACGGGTCTCCACCGTGCCGCGGCAGCGACGCGCATTTCCTTCGTTGCGCGGGTGGTCAATTACTTCTTTTGCGCACAGCGGGCACACAACAGGTGTGCTGTGGTCCATACTTCCCTCACGTATGCTCCCTTCACTTTCAAGGCGCCTGACGTTCGCGTTCCGCGGCCTCAGTGTTCGCGGTGCTGATCGGGAAGCGCGCAGTGGCTCACAGCTCAAGCACGGTTGATGTTCTCCTTGTGCACTCGTCAGATCAGAAAGTGAGCAGCATGCCGACCTGGTGTTGGCGCCACTGCAAGTACGGATTCTTCACCACCTCCAGCCTCGCGTCGGCCGTGAGCGCCCCGAGCACGCGGTAGATGTGGTAGCGCTGCCCCTGACGCTGCGCAAACAACCACTCCTTGTTCGAGACCTCCACGTACTCCTTCTCCGCCCTCGCGCTGCCCTTGACCTCGACGTACACCTCCACGGCCTTCGTCCTGCGATCCCTGATCACGATGTCGAACGGGTATCCTGTGTCGCCGAGCTCAGGGATAAAGTTCTCTGCATTCTCAGGACGGTTCTCCCAAACGACCTCCTGCGCGCACAAAGGGCTCGCGAACGGGCGGTGTCGCTGCAGGACCGAGCGACGGCGCCGCCGTGCCATGCGGCGCGACAGGCAACTTGATGGCGGGCACAGCCGGTGCGCAAGCGTGCGTTGGGCGTTGCTCTTGCCTGCCCCGGCCCCAACGCTCCCGGCTCGCTCAGCACTCGGAAGACGAACTCCTCGCACCAGCGGCCGACGTCCTGGTTCGCCGCGCTGCTTGCTTGCGGCGTCGTGACAGTTGGCATGCGCTGAAGAGCCCCCCTGGTACGCTCAGTGGAGATCTCCTCCACTTCGAACTCTCTCGAGGGGGGGGCGCTCTCGCCAAAGTTGTCCACGGGCCTGTGTGGGTGGAAAGCACGGTGATCCGTGCCCTCCTCCTCGAAGCCGTAAGCGTCCTCCACCGAGGTCAGGTCCCCCAGGTACCCCTCCCCATAGTCCCCCTCACCATGCGCGTCGTCCACGACCGCCTCGCCGTCCTCGCCGCCGTCAACCGCCATTGTATCCTCGCCTCCGATCTCGTGCCCCGCGTCACCGAAGTCGTCGCGGGCAGACGTGAGGGCCTCGACAAGGTCCCTTACGTGCACCAGCGCGCCGTCCGCGGGGTCCTCGCAACGCGCGAAGGCTGCCGCGGAGCGGAACGGCATGTTGGAGTCGAGCGCGTCAAGTGCGTCGTACACCGCGGTCGCGGAGGAGGCCGGCGCGCCAACCGACGCGACAATGGCCTGAGAGAAGAGCCTGCGCTGCGGCGGAGACATCTGCGCGACGCCGGGCAGTTTGCTCCGTGCAGCGGTCCACGACAGCGCTGCGTGAGCCGCCTCCAGGGCCTTCCTGCGCTCTTGCGCGACGTTTTCGCATCTCGCAAAAGCAACACGGCAGCCCTGCGTTGCGAAGCACCGCGTCACGATCGGGCGCGTCACCAGCGGCCCTCTGCCGTCGCCAGCGTCGAGCGCGTACACGACGCCCAGGTCTTGCGCCAGCATCACGCGCAAAGCGTTCGCGTCGTCCACAGAAGCCGCGCCCGCGGCCACAAGCGCGGCGCGTGCGAGCGCGGTGAGGTGCACGGACACCACAGCGTGCCTCTGCAGCAGGCTGGACGTGTCCTGCAGTCGCGGCACACGTCCTTCTGTCGTTGCAGCCTCCGCGACGGGCACCGCCGTGAGGTGATCCTCAAGAGGACGCACAGACAGCGCGCCGAGCAGGCTGCGCATGCCCTGCACGGCCTCGTCGGTCCAGCCGCAAGCTGGCTCCGCGATGGCGTCCAGCACGACCGGACGCCTCCCTTGGCGCGCGCCCGACTCGGCAAGAGAGTCCGCCATTGTTGCGAGGACGCGTTCGGCGCCCCCCTCGTCGACGGCGCCGAGCGATGTCATGTCGCGCCCGGCCATGCGCGGCGTGTAGAAGGCCTGCGCGGCCGGTGGGATCGGGGCGCGCAGGCAGTCTTCTCCGAGGATCGAAAATAGCTTCAAGTCTTGCAAGTGTTCGAGAATGCCCGCATCCTGCGGGCCAAACTGGGCGCCTGCTGGCTTGCTGCGGCTCAGGAGGGACCCGAGGTAGCTCAGGAGCGCCAAGACAGCGCGCTCGACATCCGCCCGGGAAGCGCCACTGAGGGAACAGTACGTGAGTGCTCGCAGCACGACCTCTGCTGGAGGACTGCGCGGAACTCCGAGCCAGGACGCGTCCGACATGTAGCCCAAGACATCCTCGGGGTAAGTGTCCGCCAGCACCACGTCGTACGCGGGCGGCCCCGACACCCCCTCTCGCGTCAACACCGCAGTCGGGTCGTGCACGACCGCGCGCGTGCTCTTCGCACACCGCAGACCTGGCCCTGAGCCGGCTCGCGCAATCACGAGCGGCGATGACGCGAAGGCCTCCGGCGCCACCTTGGCCGCTGCGGTGCGCTCGCTATCTTGCGCGTGGAGAATCCTGAACGCCTTGGCCGCTCCGTCGACGATGGCTGCCTCCTGCTCCGCCGTCATCGCCGCGCCCCGGGCGACAGCGTCGCTCCAAGCTTGCAGCTGCGCGATCACGTGCTGCGACGTCGGCTCCGTCGCGAGCCCGAGCCACTCAGCCAGTCCTGGTGACGTGATTGAAGCACAGCTGTAGTGAGCCGCAGCGCCGAGCTGCTGGCCCTGCCGCCTGGAGGCTACGAGCGCCCTGCTCGGCTGAACCAGGCGGAGGGATTCGATGCCGCTGTAGTCCTCAGCGGAGACTCCTCCCCGCGTCACGGGAACCCACGCCAGGGTCCGCAACTTGTCTCGCGCCCTGTCAGCTTCGGCGCTCCCCGTCGCCGCGGCAGCCTCCCAGTCGACCCAGTGGCGGTCGACGTGGTCGAGGAGCCCTGCGAGGCGGGCGGCACGGTCGCGGTCGTCCGTCCTGCGCACGAGTGCCAACGCAGCAGTGGCGACGTCCGCCGGCCACATGCAAGGGAGGCCGCGCTTCAGCACGCCGCAGACGAACGCAGACCAGGACTCAAGCGATTCGTGCTCGAGATACGCCTCATGCAAGAAGCGGCCCTCCCAAGTGTCTGAGCCGAGCGGCGAACCGTCCGCCACTGGCGGCATTACGTGAACGCCCGTGCCTGGACCGACGATGCGGCCGTCGTGCAGCACGAAGCGCGCCGATGACGCTAGCTGCTGCAGCAAGCCGTCGTCGAGGGCGCGCTGATGCCGCAGCGCGTACGCCAAGCACCCCACAATCACGCGGTGTTCGCCGCCGAGTGCCCCGGGGGTGTCTGCGGGCTCGACGCGCTCCAGCCGAGGCAGCACAAAGTCCCTGACGACCTCCTGCACGGACGGCGTGCGCACGTCCAGGGCTTGCAGCACGTCACGGACGCGGGATCGCGCTGTGTCTGACAGGTCCAAAAGTCCCCCCGAGGACACCAGCGCGAGCTCGTGCTCGAACCCGAAGGCAGGGCCCTCCTCTGCGAGCCCAGCGCCAGTGGATCTGGACCCGGCGAGCGCGGCGGCGGCCGCTGGCGGGAGCCAGACGGTGCGGCACCGGCCGTGGGTCCCGCAGCCAGAGAGCGGGAGCAGCGGCAGGTCCCGCAGGCCGAGAAGAGCGCGCTTGAGCGTCTGGGGCGATGATTGTGCCGCCCACGTGTCGTGGAGGGCGCACAGCACGCGCCACGGCAGCGTCTCGCTCTGGAGGGGTCCTGGCTTGTTGAGTGTTTCAAGCGCCGCCTTTGCCGCTTCCGGCACACTGATCCGCTGCAGCCCCAGCTGCCGCGCCGCGCAATCAGGGATGTACCGCGCTACATCGGGGTCCAGGCACGCGCATCCCGTCGCAGCGCGGACGCTGTCCTCGGAGATGGCGTCGAGTGCGGCAGTTGGACAGAGCAGAAGGGAATTCGGTGTTTCCAGGATCCCGCTGTCCTTTGCGGCCAAGCACTTGGTCTGTCGCATCAGCTTCGGGGCCTCGGACGCAAGCGTTGCGAAGAACCCGGTGCCGGCGCCGCTTCGCGGCAGCAGCAACGGCCACGCAATTGACGCCGCAGCAGCCTCCCTGACGCCCTCGTGCGGATGATCCGGGTGGTCACGGCAGGCCAGAAGCGCGAGGAGCGCATTGCGCAGCACGGCTGGGATGTTCTCGCGCGTCCACTGATTCCAAACGACATCTCGGGAGATATCCTCCCGGCTTGTTGTCAGCACGAAGTGAGCCTGTACCGCGAACGGGAGGCCGTAGTTCCGCACCGGCAGCGTGCAGTACGCGATCTGCGCCAGCTGTTCGAGCTGCGCGTCCGACGGCCGCGCCCACGGCGCGAGAGCGTGCGAATCCAACTCGTTGCCGTCGTTGCCGTCGCTCTGCACATCCGCCGCATCGAGCTCCCGCTTGACTTGGCCCAGGGCCGTGATGGGCAGCGCGACCTCGATCTTGGTGGTCGCGGGCGTCGCAGATTCGCCCCGGGGGACCCTCAGATCGTTTGGGATGTCCGCAGCACATCGCAGCCAGTGTCGGCGCACCCCGCTCGGCTGCTCCGTGATGGACGTGAAGGCAACTCCAGCGGAGCAGATGTCCCCAGGCGTCTCGTCGCGGCGCAGCAGCTCCGTTTCGGCCGCCTGCGCCCCGCTGCGCACGTCCAGGACGGTGATCCGCCGTAGTGTGTGCAGGAAGAGCAGGGTGCTCGGGGACGAAGCCTCGGAGCGGAGGTCGTCGGCGAGCTTGCTCCAGCGGCCCGACTGCAGCAGCTTGTCGCGCGCGGGCAGCCAGAACAGCGTGGTGGTCCCGGAGGGAAGCCGACCAGCGTCGAACGGCAACAGCTCTTCTCTTGTGCGGCTCTCCCACTCGGGCAGGAGGTAGCCGAGCCCTGTCGCGTCTTGCGCATTGAAGCGGAAGGAGAAGCCGTTCGACACGATGGTCGGGGTGTCGGAGAGCGCGAACACGGACTTGAATCCAATGCCCTTCTCTCCCGTCTCTATTTCCGCAGCGCCGCGCTGCTTGCTGGACATGCCGATGTTGCACAGCGACGACACGTCGTCCGCAGTGAAGCCAGGCTCGTTGCTGGCGACCGCGAGGCCCTGGTCGCAGAGCACGAGCGCGACTGCAGGGAACGCGTTGCGCTCGGCAGGGTGCGCTCGCCCGGCGGCGTCGTCCGCGTTCTGCAGCAGCTCCATGAGCAGCCGAGCCTCTCCGCTGTAAATGTCCTTTGCAAGCCTGCAGCCGATCAGAAACGCAGCGCGTTCGGAGATCCCCCAACCCTCGAGCGTCAACATGCAGTTGTGAGCAGCGCTTTCACGCGACGTACCGCTCCACGGCGCGGTGCAGGCCCTGCTGCGTGTTTCGCAGCGGGCCCTGCACGCTCTCTGGGACGTCGATGCCGATACCGAACCTCTCCCTCCGAATCGACTCGATTGCCTGCATGCACAACTCAGACCCCCCCAGAGCCTGCTGCTGCGGCCCAGGGTGCTCCGGCTCGGCCCGCCGCCGCACCCTCTCGGGCACCACGCGGGGACGTGCCTCGTCCGGTGCGGCGCTCGCTCCCTGCGCGACTGTGCCCCTTGCGTCCTGCGTGGCCGCAGGTGCATCGAGCACGGCGGGCCGCGGCGGCCGTGGAGCTTCTCGCCCGTCAGCGGCCTTTGCGAGGGCACCGCGGGCGTGCTGCAGCGCGGTCTCCCACCTCCGTTCTACCGAAAGGACTCGTGCCAGGAACTTCAATACGACAAGGTCTTCAATGGATATTCCATCAAGGCCGTCTTGCGCGTCCCCGGGGCCGTCAGCGATGATGTCCAGCCACTTCGGCGGCAGGATAGCCCTCATGACCCGCTGGCACGACGCCAGCCGTCCCGGAAGGCACGCCGCTGCGCGCGAGGCGTACGACGCGACCTGCGCCCACGCGACGTTGTGCTCCGCGCAGGCTTCCACCGCAGCTGGGTCCGTGTACAGGTCGATGAGCCCGACCTGGAGAGCAGCGGCGCCCCCGTTCGACATGGCAGCCGACAGCGCCGTCCGTGCGGCGCCGGGGGCGTCCAGGCACTTGACGCAAGAAGCTAGCACCTCGTTCAGGCCCGTCGCGTCTGACGGAACGCGCAGACCGTAAGCTCCCGGCTGCGCGTCGCCCACCACGAGGGTCGACTCGCCCGGCAGCCCCCCTGCGGCGCAGCGGCTCCGCAAAACTCCCATCGCGTGTTGAACCGAGTCCCCGATATCTGGACGCACGGCGTCCAGGTCTGCCGCCAGCGCCTCCGCCCACACCACGTCGCGTTGCGCCAGTGGTCGTAGCGTCGAGCACCAGCTGTTGAATGCCCGGTCGACCTCCGCGGCCCGCGTAGACTCCCCCTCTCGCAACTCGAACACCCAGACAGACAAAAAGGAGTCCAGAGACCCCCATCCGAGCTCCCCGAAGTCGTCGACGTGATAGTTCGCGCAGACAGCGCACGAGAGAGCTTCCCGCAGGCCCCGAAGACCATCGGAGCGCTTCGCCGCCGGTCGGGAAGCCGCGAGCACCAAGGAAGCCTGTTCCACGAACTCCGTCAAGTCCTTGAAAGCCACGCGCACCGACAGGAGCGCCTCCCGCGGCAGCGTGTCGGCCGACGGGCGCTGCTCGCCGCCGTCGGTGTCCATCCGCGCCACGGCCGCATCGCCGCGCGTTTCCGCCTCTGCATCCCCGCTGTTTGCAGGAGCGTCGCGCTCCGGCTGCTGCGCCGGTCCGTCGCTCGACAGGAGGCCGGCTGCGGCGGCGTGGAGCTTCGCCCACTGAGTGACGAACTTTTCGGAGCGCGCGAAGGCCGCGGCGAGGGCGGCGGCCGGAGCCTGTCCTAGTTCGACGGACTCCGAGAGGGTCGTGGCCAGGAAGCTGGTGTCGGTGGTGCCCTCGATCACGCACTCGTCCAGGACGTCCATGGCGTCCTGCGTTTGCAAAAAAGAGGCGTGACGTGACCGCTCGTCAAATGGCGCCCGAAGAGAAACAAGCGCGACCACCCAAGCAGCGGGACGGAACGCGAGCCCCGTACCTGCAGAGTTCTGACGACGAATTCCGGCGCGAGCGCCGCTTCCGGCGTCCCCTGGGACGCGAGGCGCTCCCGTTCCTTGCGCACTTGATTCTCCGCGTCCTGTATTGCCCGTTCGAATGCAAGGGCCACGACCTCGGCGCGCGAGGGGTGGGCGACGATCTGCGCCGCCAGCGCCGTCGGGGCGTCTTCGTTGGCCTCGTGCTCCGCGGCCTTGGCCGTGAGTTTCTGGAACGTCGCGGTCGATTGCGATGCGTCCCTGGCCGCCTTCATCCACCACAGCGACCACCGCTCGTCGCCGTTGGTGTTGTGGCCTGCCTGCTGGATCCTAGGGTCCATGTCGATCTCGCTCTGCGAACACGCCGTGGACCGCCGCGCTGTGTACCGTCCGGCTCACGCAAGGCGCGACGACAGCGCAGTGTTGGCAGATGTCAGTCTGTTGCGGCCGTTGGAGTGCGGGGACGAAGAGCGACGGTGGATGTAGAGGCTGCATCATGACGAGCCTGGGCCTAACCTGGAGCTTGATCGCGAGCAGAGTGTCGCATACGAGTTTGACGGGTTCGACCAACATGTCTGCGGCTCTGGCTCTCAACCTCTGGTCGCTCAGGCAGCCGATCGGCTGCGTCTGCATCCACGAGACAGCCGCAAGCGCGAGACGCGATGCCACTCCGTCCGCCGTCTCCGGACGGCCACCCTGCGCGACGACCATCCTCTGCTTGCGCAGCTCCTCTTCCAGCTTGATCGCCAGTGCGAAGGGGATCCGGTGGCGCGGGTGCTTCGCACAGACCGCGAAGCGGTGGGAGCACATCAGCCCGGAGTTCGGGCACGAGCAGGTCATCGACGCGGCGTCGACGAGGCGGAACTCGGCCTGCCCTGAGTCAGAGTGCGTGAAATACACCCCCTCCGAGCCGCTGTCCTGGACGCCGTCGAGCTGCTGCGCCTTGTCTAGCCCCCTGCCGACAGCGAGGTTCGAGGCCGCGTCGGTCAGGGCGTTGGGCAGGCGCGGGGTGATGGATAGCAGACTTGACGCAACGCGGCGTGGTCGTGCTGAGTCGAACGGGGCGCGGGTTGCGGGGCGCTTACTTGATCCTCACCCCCATGCCCACGCTCTTCAGGTCGCGGCACTCGGGGAACGCCGCCTTCGCGGCCACGGCGCTCGCGTCGTGTCCGCTGTGTCGCGGGGGACCCCCGTGGTGGTGCCTGGGGCCCCGTGGGGGCGCGTGCTGCCGCTGCGCGAGGTGCTGCTGCACCATCTGTCCGTACTGCGCCCGCTGGTACAGGTTCGGCTGCTGCGCTGCCGCGGCGTGGGCCATCGGTGTAGGTGTAGGTGGCGGGAAGACTTGTGCTCGCTGAGGCCCCGCGGCTGGTGTCGTGACCGTGATGGGCACTGGGTACGGCTGACGATACCCTTGTGCGTCCGCCTGTGGGAAATTCTGCGGACGTCCGTGCCCCGCATGTTCAGAAGGTGGTCCCCGCCCACGCTGTCTGCCCCGGTCTCTCCTGCCATGCGAGCCACGAACCCGTCCAGCTGGTCCACCGCCCTGTTCTGTCTGATGCCGTCCGCCATTCTGTGGCACATTCTGCGCAGATGGGACCACGCGTGGCCCCCCCGACGCCGGGCGCTGCCCGGTCCTTCCACGGCCCGTCTGCTGCTGCGGACGCTGCCGTGATCCGGCCGCCTCCGGCCCGGATCCTTGCAAGATGTTGACGAACTCCGCGGCCTGCTGCCTCCGCTGCGTACCCCCGCGCCCTGCAGGCCCTGGCCCTCCCCCCTCACTCATGTTGCACCTCCCGCAGTCGCCGCCGGGCCAGCACGCAGTCGAGACATCTGCGCGACGCCCGCGCCCCTCCCGCCCCTCGACCGCCGCGAGCCCGCACCGGCTCCTGCGGACCCCCAACGACTCCTTCACACCCCCCCACTGACTCAGTTCAACGAGCGAGACTGCGGCTCACAGTCAGCTCCACGACTTGGAGACAGTGACCGACTCCCGGAAGTCCTTCTTACTCCCCTTCTGCGCCTGCTCCCGCTCCCACTCCTCCCGCCACTGCCGCTTGTATGCATGCGTCTCCTCAGGCCACCACTCCCGCTTCCGCGCCCCCGCCTTGTGGTTGCTCGCCCACGCAAACGCCGTCCTGCGGTTGCTCACCGGGTTCTCCGGCACCAGACCCTGCACGTCGCACCACGCACTCACGTGGCGGTGGTTGCGCACCGTCACGACACCAGAGCGGCTCCGGAGACGGTACGACGGGCTGCGCAGGCGAGGACGCACCTGTCCTGCGAGGTTCCGGCGCAGCGGCGGCTCCACGACCAGGTTCGGCGCCTTCGCGACGGTGCCGAGTTCGTCGCCGGCCAGCACGCACAGTTTGCGCATGCGACGGTCCCTGGTGGTGTTGCGGGGCAGCATGTTGTACACCGCGCGCTCGACGATGTCGTTCGGGTCGCGCTTCCACTGCTCGAGCGCCGTCCACTCCTGCCGGCTCCCGGGGCGCCCTGCGGAGCGACGCCGCGGGGTGGGGGGCTGCGTGTGCGGTGCATGCTGAGCTGGGGAGGGGGGGGCCAGCGGGCGGTGCGCCCGGCGGTGCGCGTACCCGTGTGGCTCCAGTACGTCTTCTGGACCCACTTGCGGTTCGTGAGCTCGACGTGCTTGGAATTGAGGACCACGCAAACGTCGCCGGTGTCTGCCGTGGGGCTGTAAGTGGGCTTGTCCTTGCCCTGCGTGGACTTCCGGCGTTACCGATGCATGTCTGTGAATGCATTCTTCCTGTACGACGGCGAACAGGCCGGCGGGGCGCTTGCGGGCGCGGCTGCGGTGCGGGGGCCACTGACCTGGAGGACGACGGCTAATCGCGAAGCCAGGGATCCAAGTGTCTGTCCCCGCGCATCGAACACGCGGACACGCTGCTTATCTAGATCTTTGACGCCCTGCGGGACAAGGTCAGCGCGCATGGAAGCGGCTTTGAGGGCAGGTTTCTTGCCACGCGGCAAAGCGGGGCTGATGCAGGCGGTGCCGTGCGTCTGACAGCGCAACGGGCGTACTCAGGGCGGTGGTATACGGTGAAATCATGCTAGGCCTGGAACGTCGTGCCCTGAGGGGCTGAGGCGGCCTCCAGATGGACATGACAAGCTCTCATGAGGTCAAGGCACAAGCACGAGTTGAGGGACGAGACAGTCCGAGATTCGCACCCTGAACAGCTGCTTGAGCTTCTGTCCGTGCTTGGGGACGTTTGCGGCCATGCTGCCTGCGCTCCTCCTGCCCAGCACGGGCGGGAGAAGGCAGCTCTCGGAACGACGCTGACGTGAGGGGCCAAAACACACGTGGGAGGCTCCCGGTCACGGCCTCGCGCGCGCGCAATCTGCTGCGCACCGGCTCGTGCGCGGGCCACCGAGAGCGCCACCGCAGCATCACTGACACCACTGCACCCCCCCCAGTACGACATGCAATTCGCGCGGTGCATCGAGGCGCGACGTCGCGCCGGCCAGGGGCACTTGCGCTGGGCAGGCGCGCGGGATTTGAGGACCGCAGGCGGCGACTTGCATCGTGTGCAGCGCTATGCCAGCGCTCGTGCACAAGTGCGCCTGCGGACGCGTGCTGGCTGCTCCAGCGCCCCGCGCCGCTGTTCTCCGGGCAAGCAGATCGCTAGTGATCGCAAATGCGACCACGGACACCGGGGTCGAGATCCCAGGGTCGAAGAGAGAGACGCTTCAACAGGTGCGTTTCAGAGCGCTCTGATTGCAGCGATGCACCGAGTAAGACTGCCATCGAACCGCTCGAGAGCAGGAACTCACTCTGAACTGCATCTGCTGCCCATCATCGCTTCCCCGACAGCGAGCTCCGAGCGGCCTCGCCCACAATCCTGTGGGTGCGAACAGGATGGCTCTCACGCGACGGCGCGGCGCTGACCCCCCGCACAGGTGAGCGTGAGTCTGACACGGCAACTCGTGGGCAAGAACAAGGCGTCGGGCAAGGCGGGAGCAGGGAGGAAGGCCAGCAGGGGCAAGAAGAAGGCAGGCAAGGCCGCGGGGGGGAGGGCCAAGGGGTTCACGAACGTCAGCACGAAGAAGCTGGTCGTCGAGATCCCGGGACGCGATGTCTCGGCGGAGGGCAACGCGAAGCTCGCCTGCGACATGCTCGAGGTCCGCGCTGCCCGCGTCAACACCGATGACATGTTTTTTTACCCCGCAATTTGGGTTACTCTGCAGATTTACGCGTCTGCGGATTTTACGCGTCTGCGGGTTTTCAGCGCCTCGAGCTGCGGAGTCGGATGCGAATCCGGGCCTCGGCTTCCGGCAACACCAGAGCACGCCGCGGCCTTCCTGTTGATGGCACGCAGGCACTCCCCGAGGGCGCCGCGCCGGACGTGTCCCTCGTGTGCTGCGGCGGCGAGGTCTCCGAGCCCTTCATGGCCGGTCTCGTCGAGCGCCTCCCCGACCTCGAGGTTCTGTCGCTCACAGAGGCCATGGAAGAACCTCCCGCCGGCGACGTGCTCGTGCTGTCGGCGCCGTCCGTGGGCGACCTGCGCGGTATCGAGGAGGTGCTCGGCCGGTTCCGCGGCGCCGCGGTGGTGGCGCTGAACCCGGAGTGGACCTACGACGTGCCTGCGGAGTACCGTGCCATGGTGCGGTCGTTCAAGGTGCTGTATGCGTTCGCGCCGCTCGCGATCCAGGTGCGTACGACCACCGTCCGCAGGCGCACCAGCGGGGCGATCCGTGCGAGCGGGCGGCGGCGTCGCATGCATGTTTGAATTGCCAGCGACAGGTTTGTTGCCGTCGCTGGGTGGTGCGGGGCGAGGTCCGGCGCGATGGTCGCTGCGGCCCCTGGCGCCTCGAGGCTTGTCGGCACGCCACCGCTCGGACCCAGTCTTGTGTCAGCTGGTTTAGTATTGGGGTTCTCAGTGCATCTAGTTCCAACACATCCAGTAACGGTGGACGTTGTCCCAGGAATCCAGCTGTCGCTGGGCGCCGGCCAGGTCGACTACTGCATTTCTAGGACAACGTCAACCGCTAGTGGATGTGTTGGAACCAGGTGCACTGAGAGCTGCAGCACTGCGCCAGCTGACACAAGCCTGGAATGTGGTGCCGACAGACGAATGAGGCGCCGACGGCCGCGGCGACCACCGCGCCGGTCCTTGTCCCGCGCGCCCCGTCGACGATTCTAGCAGCCCGCTTACCGCTGCTTCGGTCTCCGGGAGTGATTCTAGGCACCTTGAGTTAAGCAATCATATTAATACCCTGCAGGGCTTCCTCGGGAACAAGGAGGGCGTGATCCTCAAGGCGCCGGGCGACGCGTCCCCGGAGTCCACGCCGTTCCGCGTGTTCCTGCGCGAGGGCGGCGAGAGCGAGTACCGTCAGGTGGGTCAGATGGCGCGGCGCCCAACGCCGTCGGACATCGAACAAGTGGTGTACAACGCGGCCGCGGCGAGCAGCACCGTCGTCAAGGCTGCGAAGGGCATCTCCTCGCTGTTCGGACGGAAGAAAGACGACAAGTAGGTCTGGTTGAAGGCAGTAAAAGTAAAAGTAAAAGTAATCAGATCGAGTTCACATCGTTGTGCTGTGCGGACCCCAATCCTGTGTGCAACGCGTCAGCGGCCCGCACGCACACTCTGGCGCGGTATCCAGACCTGCATGCGTCGTTCGACGGTGCCGCGGGGTGTGGTGGACTGCTGTCAGGTGCCGGGGGTAGTTTGGTGTCAGGACCGCCCGAGACGAGCTCTGCTGCCGGCCTGGTTGCTCGTCCTGGCCAGACGCGGCCGCAGAACTGTGCGCTGCCTGCGAAGTGCTCTAGTCCGGGCAGGCGCAGCAGAAGTGAGGCGGGCCAGCGCTGTAGGTGTTGAGCAGTCTTCATGTTCTCACGGGCGCGCAGCCTCCTCGTGATTCGGGACCACGCGAGCCCTGCATTGCTCATTCGTCGGATTCGCACCTCAACAGTCGCTGCGAGCGCGCCGAGACGGGTGCACGGGGCGGCCTTGGTCGCGCCACCCAAGCACCAATCGCCCTCTCCGCGGTGTCCCTCGCCGCTCGGCTCAGGCTGTTTAGGCGCCCGGCGCTTCATCATGAGCAGAACGCCGCTCCCGCCCATCCGGGCTTTCTATGGAGACATGACAGACATGATAAACCTATGTCAAGACTTGCGAACAGACGAGGACGCGATAGCGGCTTGCCTGGCGGATCCAGCATCCAAGTGCATGGTCCGATGCGGCGGTAAGATGCTCTGCCACCGAGGTGTATCGCGGGAGGACGTCAGCGGCGCCGCAAACGCCCCGGCATTCATCTCACCCGCGTCCAGTGCAACAGCGCTGGCGCCCGACGCAGCGCGTGTCGTCTTCATGGGCAAAGACATCGCATCCGGAGCTCCAGTCTTCGCCATCGACATCACGGAGGAAGCCATGCCGAAGGCCGAGGCCGCTGTGAGCAGCCAGGGCGGGTCTCTCGAGTGGGGTGCTGTCCGCAACTTCGGGCCCAACATGTCCCCGCCCGAGGCCGGCATGGCGGCCGCGGCCAACGGCGTGCTGCACTGGCTCGACGTGCACCGCTTCTGCCCCACCTGCGGCTCCTCGGACCTCCAGGTCAAACGTTCGGGATGGATGCTGCAGTGCGGCGCGGTGAGCCTCACACGCCGCCACGGACCCGCACGCGACCTGCCGGGGCCTGAGACGCCGCCCCGCGCGCGAGGCCTCATGCCGCCGCGTCTGTTTGCCTGCCCTCGCAGGACGGGTGCCGGTACCGGGCGTTCCCGCGCATTGACCCTGCGGCGATCGTCCTCTCGGTGTCGACCTGCGGGGACTGGTGCCTGCTGGGACGCAAGGCCGCGTGGGCCGAAGGTGCGTGGCCCGGGCGCATCGCTCGCAGATCACGGGGCTGACGCAGGGGGTGTTGGTGCTTGACGCACCTGAATGATGTGGAGGTGTTGCGCAGGGAGGTACAGCTGCTTGGCCGGGTTCGCGGAGGTGGGGGAGTCGATCGAGGCGGCGGCGGTGCGGGAGGTGGAGGAGGAGTCTGGGATTGTACTGGACCTTGACTCAGTGTGGTTCGAGGGCACGCAGCCGTGGCCGATGCCGCAGAGCCTCATGGTCGGGTTCGGAGCGAGGGTGGCGCCGGGCCGCGACGTCACGAAGTACTGCGGTGCGTGCATCGCGCCCACGACAAAAGCGCAAGCACGCGTGCGCATCGCAGTACGCGCCAGGCGCCCACAAGCACTCCGCTGTGCTGACCTGCGCGGCCCCGCGCCCGTGCTGTGCAGAGGAGTCCACCGAGGACCGCGTGGTCGCGGGCGAGGTCGGTCTGACGGAGGCGGAGCGTTTGCCGTACCTGCAGCCCCTGCCGCCGCCGTGCAAGGTCGACGAGGACGAGCTGGAGGACGCGCGCTGGTTCCACCGCGACTACATGGAGGCTCGCATCGTGCACGATCCACGTACGTGACGCACCACGTCCTGCACGCACACGGGCGCTCGTCTGCAAGTTTCGCTTTTTAGATATCGCGCAGCGATTGATTTGTCAAGCGAGACTCGTTGGCGACCGTCGAGCTCGGTGGCGTGCGGTATGAGTGCAGCGACGATGCCGGGGCCGTTCTTCATCCCCGGCAGGCACTCCCTGGCGTTCGAGCTCATTACGCGCTGGCTGCGGCGGGCCGACCGGCAGCCCTGGGCCGGCGACGCGCTGCGCACGGCCTCGCTCGGCGAAGGCGTACAGAAGTACGTGCTCATGCGGGCGTCGGAGGCCGGCGCGGGAACAGGTCCTGACGGCCAGCAGAGGAGCAAGCTCATTGTATGGGGTCACCCCGCTGCCGCCTACCACATGTGCGCCCGCGGGCCCCTTGTCGCGCACGCTGCGCACAATCGATGCGCCGTATGGCTACGGGGGCGGTTTCACGACCCATCGCGTGGCGGATGAAAGGAGCCCGTGCCACCCTGCACCTGCATGCGCAGCACGCCCCGTCCGCGCCGACCAGGAGACCGTTCGCGAGCCCGCGCAGGAACGTGTTGGAGAGGTGCAAGGCCGAGGCGAGGAAGCTCGGGCTGAACGTGGAGCCGCTGGGCGGCGGGCGCATCGAGCACTTCGAGTCCTCCGGCGTGATCCACGTGTACGGGTACAGCCAGGCGTTCGGCCCAGCGCCGCACCACGTGTCCGCCGCGATCCTTCGACGCATGTTCCCGTTCTACGACCCGGACAGCATCACAGTCTCCTACGAGGGATACTGACGCGCTGTGAACGGCCCTACTTGAGGCCCTCGATGAGCGGGTCGAACGTCTTGACGTACCAGTCCGCCCCGGCCGCCACATTGGGCCGGAACACCACGCCGCCGTACCTGCGCGCACCAGGGCTGTGATTGTTCTTGTTGCGGCATTGGACCGCGAAAACGTGCGCGGCGAGATGCTCACGGGGCGAAGAGATTCTCAGCGTCCTGGACTCGGCGAGTCTGTGCCGCGAAACGAAGCACAGGGGCATCTGTCTGGACCTCTCAGACATGGGAGGTAGCCTGCTGGGGGGGGTGTGTGCGGACCCAATGAACATCTCCGCGCCGTCCGCCACGCGCGCCTCGAGGTCCGTCGCGCCGTCCCCGATCATTACCACCCGCGTCAGCCCCCACTCCTTCCGAATGTGCCGCACGGCGTTCGCCTTGCCGCCGCTGCGCGACGTGAACTCCTGGGCGTCGAACCCGGCGTACGAACCCTCCGCGTCGTCCTTGTAGAGGATCGTGTTCGCGAACACGTGCGTGCGGGGCACCTTGAGGATGTCCGCGATCGGGTTGATGATCTGCCGGAACCCCCCCGACACCAAAAACACCTCCTTGCCCGCCTCCTGCAACCCTGACACCAGCTCGCGGATGCCTGCGGAGCGACGGCGGCGCAGCGACGGTATGGGCACTGCACGCCGCGTGCGCGCCGATCGATCACGTGCGGCGGGGTCGGAAGGCAGAGATGCGGCGAAACGTGTCGGGGGCGACGCGGGGCGTGCTGACCCGGGGAGATCCGTGGCGGGTGCGCGTCCAGGAAGCGCGCCATGTCCTTGGCGGACACGTTCATCAGCGAGAGCCGCGCCGCGAGGGCGTCCTCGAACTTGACGTCGCCGCCCATGGCGCTGGCCGTGAGCTCAGCGACCTTGTCCCCCACGCCCAGGAACGCCGCGACCTCGTCTATGGACTCGTCCTCGCACAGAGTAGAGTCAACGTCGAAGCAGACGGCATCGGCATTGCGCCAGCACTCCAGCACGGCGTCGGACGGCTCCCATTTCACGTCTGCGGTGCACAAAGAGCCCGTTTTCGGTCAAGTTCGGGCCGTTTCGGCGATTGGGTGCAGTTCATTCGACGAATCATACGCGAAACATGCAAGCGGGTCCGGAAGGTCAGCGTTTTGCTGCGACATGGTGCGCACAGCGGCTGCGCAACGGGCTAGGGAGGCACACCTGCTGCGGGGTCCGCTGCCATCGCCACCACGAGGCCCCGCGCCGGACACTGCGCTCCACCGACTGTCTCCTGACACAAGGTGCGCGCGCCGCACGGATAGAAGGCGACGGGGGGTACAAGCGGGCGGGCACGGCCGGGTGCAGTGCGCGAGCACGCACCAAGCGGCGCTCGCAGCGCGAACGTGCCAGACATTCCTTTGTTTCGACAAGCACAACCACGCGGCTCCGCCCGCTTCACGCCCTCATGATGATGGCGACAAGCCCCTCGGAAGGGAACTCAGCCCCCCCCTGTCTGTCTGAGTACAAAAGCAATAAGAATGACACTCCCCCCTGGGCGACGACGCCTCGATACACACGGGCGTCCCAGCGCCCCAAACAGCGCGGCGCCGTGACAGCAGCACTGGCCAGGAGCGCGCCGTCCCACGAACAAAGCGCGCCGTCACTCACACGAGGTCGTACTGCCCGCCCCCGCCGCCCGCCGGCCGCGCCATCGGGTCGTCCGCGCGCACGCGCTTCAGCCGGTACGCCTCCATGTCCTCCTGAGTCATTTGTTCCTCCCTCAGAGAATTGTACCCCCGCTTCCGGTCGTCGCGCCCCTCCGCCGCCGCCTTCTCCCGCTCCTCGTGCCGCCGCAGCGCCTCCTTCACCTTCTCCGGGTCCAGCTCCGTCCCCTCCTCGACCTGCCCGCCCCACAGCCCGCGCGCCTCGCGGTGCGCCGCCGCCGCCGCGCCCATGTCGTTGCCCTCCGCCTCGCGCGCGGCCCGCCGCTGCGCGTCCGCCTCCATATTCGCCTGCATCTGCGCGGCCGCGGCCTCCTTCGCCTCGATCCCCGCCGCGCCCGTGCAGTACGACGACCGCACCGTCGACCGACAACACGCAAACCCCCACTGCCCGTCCGCCCAGTAGCTGCCCCAGACGCTCGTGTGGTTCTGCGGGAAGACGTCCTCCTCGTACCGCGACACGACCTTGGCCTCCTTGCCCTGGATGACGCGCCCGGCCCGGTCGTACTCGACGTAGCCCTCCGTCTGACCCAGGCGCTTAAACTCCTCCGGGGCCTCCGCGGCCGCGCTGCCGTACTTCTCGAGCGCGCTCTGCTTGGACGTCTTCGCGACGTTCGCCTTCTTCTCCTTGAACTGCTTGTACAGCGCCGCGGCCTGCGACGGCGCCGCCAGCGCGTTGACCTCCACGCCCTTGTCCTGCGCCTGGATCGCGTGCAGGTTGAGCGCCTGCCAGCCCTGGTAGTCCCCGCTCTGGCGGACGAAGTTGTCGCCCTGGAAGTGCTTCTCACGCGGGTCCTTGTTCGGGTTCGGGTCCTCGCGCATCGACCGCGACTTGGGGTCGTAGTACGCGCTGTCAATGTCGAGGTTGAGCAGGTACTTGGCCGTGTCCTCGCGGATCCGGAGGTTCCGAATCGACCCCGACGCGCCCCCCGCGACCGTCCGCACGCGCCGCTCCACCTTGGCGAATCCGGCCTGTTCTTCCTCCGCCACCTTCTCGTCGCCCGCGAGCTCCGCCTCGGCCGCCTTCCGCGCCTTCTCGGCGTCCAGCCCCTCCTGCTTCGCGAGCTCCTCCGCCTTGGCCTGCTTCCGCAGCTCCTCGATGCGCTCGTACCGGTCGACGACGCGCTTGTACTCGGCGTTGTCGTACCCGTTCCAGCGGTCGCGCTTCGCGTCGAACGCCTCGAGGTTGATGTCCTCGACGACGTCGTCCGCCGCGATGTGCTTCCCCGTGAACTTCGCGCCCTTGGCCCGCGGGCGCTCCAGGCAGTCCTTGCTCTTGTGCGTCATGCTTCCGCAGTTCTCGCACGCGCCCTTCCGGAACTTGGTGGCCTGGAACGCCTTCTTCCCGCGCTTGTACCACTCCCGCGTGTCCTTCGGCCCGTCCTTCCAGTTCTTCTGGTGCTTGAGCGACGGCTGGTCGTTGTTCAGGTACCACGGCGCGCTCGACATGAACTGCGGAATGTGCGGGTTGATCTCGTTGCCGTCCTCATCGCGCGCCGGCTCCGCGATACCCGCCTTCCGGGCCTCCTCGAGCTCCTGCGGCCGGCGTCGCGCGAGGGCGCGGGTGCGGTGAGAAGGGGCAGCGGGGTGCGGGGGTGCAGGGGCGGACAGGGGCTGGCTGGGCGCGCCGCGGGCGGGGCGTGACGCACGCGGCGTAGGTTGTTGGTGCGGAATATGGCGTGGAGGGCGGAGGGCGGGCGGTGCGCTGCCGCGGCGGAGCACGCGCTTTTGCTAGCGCTGCGCAGGGTGTTGCGGGCGGGACGGAACGCGAAACGGGTCTGTGGGCCGACGGGGCGGAAATTTGGTGTTGTGCGGGAAGGTGAGCAGCGCGTGGGTGGCTCTGGGTCGGCCTCTTCCCGAGGTACGGCGGGAGAGCACGCAGCAGCGCAGACTGCAGAGGCCTCGCACCCTCTGCTTCCGCCAGTCCGCCGCCATCTTGATCGCTGTATGTCAGACGTAGTGTCGTCGACCAGGCACGGGGGTTTCCCGGCCAGGAGGAGCGGCCACACGGCCAGCCGTCGCGACAACACTGGCAGCGCAAGAGGAAACGCAGCGTATTGGCCAGTAGGTGCGCCTCCCAGCGAATTCGTTCCGTTCCGGAGACTCTCCGGACTGTACCACGCCTCCGAGGGGCCGCCCCTACGTGCGGCTCCGCCCCTGCGCTGCGCTCAGGCCTCCGGGGTGTCATGCAACACAGCCCAGGCGCTCTGTGCCGCCCCGCGGGAGCTCGAGGGCGCGCCGCGCGAGCGCCGCGGGCGACGTTCAGGCCACCTCAGCACACTCGTGAACCGAGACATTCTTTTTCCGCGCAAACTCCCCCTGAATCCGCCCCAAACAGAGCTGGGTGCAGGCCCAAGCTCCGGCGCCCGCGGTTGCGCGCGAAACGATGGCGGAGGGCCTGGCAGTCTTCAGCGACCGGGGCCAGGACGGCGGCCCCGTGCTCGCCCTCGAGGGCGAGGAGCCCGTGGAGGTGTTTCGGGAGGTCTCGATGGCCGTCGGCTCGCAGCCGCCCACGGGCCCCGGCGCGCTCCACCTGAGCAACAAGCGCCTCTTCTGGCTCCCTGACGCCGCCTCAGAGCCAGGCTACCACGCGTCCTTCCGCGCGATATCCCTGCACGCCGTGTGCCGCGAAGCCGCCGGGCAGGCAGAGCCACCCTACCTCTACTGCCAGATTGACGGCGCGTTCGAGGCGGACGGCGGCGACGGAGCGTCGGACGAGGACATGGCGGACGAGTACGACGCGACGACGGAGGTCAAGCTCGTCCCGCGCGACCCCAGCTGCTTGGACGCCGTCTTTGCTGCGTTCAGCAAGGTGGCTGCGCTGAACCCGGACAGCGACGACGAGGAGGACGAGGACGACGGGTTCTTCTATAACTCGGAGGAGGCGCTGGCGAACGCCACCGCGGAGGAGCTCGAGCAGCTGCGCAGGCTGGACGACATGCTGGAGGAGGGCAACGGAGGTCCAGGTGAGGAGGCCCCGGGACCCCCACGCGCGACCGCTCCCTGCACAGCGCTTGCGTGTTGCTAACGACGGCGTTCCACCTCGCCCGCGCCGCGCGACGCTCGCGACCGGGTGTTGATGGCTGACATGGAAGGAGGGGGGTGTGTCTGCAGCGCTGCAAGAGGACGGGCGCTTCGAGGACGCGGAGGAGGACGACAGCTGACGCCGCCGCACGTTCCATGCGTTCATGCACCCTCGGGCGACAACACAACGACGGCAAGAAACTCTCCTTTGCCCAGGTGCGCGTTGTCGTCGTGGCCTCGAGCGAACGCAACGCAGCGCGCGCGCGGGCGGGCGGGCGGGTATCTCTGCGGCTGCGGCACGCCGGTGATTAACGAAATACGTATTTGCTACTCTCGAGGTCACACCGTTGACGACACCACATTTCCACCAAGATCGATGAGGCGCCGCAGCCGCAGACACCCCCCAAACGCCCCCGCCCTCCCCCGCCCCTGCCCCGCCCCTCCACGGCCGCGGCGCGCCCTGTCCGGCGGCGGTGCGCGGATGCTCGATCCAAGTTAACACATGTTAGACTACCGAGTGGCTCTGCCGCGCTGAGTACAACTCTTTCTGGACCTGAGCACCGCCGCCGGACGGAGGCCGAGACGGAGGGCGCGCCGATGCCCAGCGGCCGTGATGCACAACCTTGCCTGAACCCACGGTGTTGAGTTTATTACAGACTACAATTCGCTGAGCCGCGAGTCTTGCATATCTGCCCCGTCCCCCCTTGTTTGCTGGGCTGCTTCGGGCCCGCCCAGCCGCTAGAGGCACTCGCGGACCGTCTGGTGCGAAAGGTCTCTGCTACGTGATGGAGCGCAGGGTACTTGTCGTCAGTGTTGCCGCGTGCACGACAGCAACACTGTCCACAAGTACCCTGAGCTCCACCATGTAGGAGAAACCTTTCTCACCAGACGGTCTGCGCCGGCCTCGAGCGGCTGGGCAGGCCCGAAGCAGCCTGGCCACCTGCTGCTGACGCGTGTGGCAGCAGGGCCTTGGTGCAACAACACTCGTACGCAACGTCGCATGCCTTGATCCCTGCGTACCAAGAGCGGCGCGCCCCGCCCCTCCGCATGCAGGAAGCCCCGCATCGCGGCCCGTTCTCGCGGAACGAGCGTCGCCGTACACACCTTATTTCATCGGTGTTGTTTCAACGCCAACCGTCCGGAACACAGACACGACTGTCGCGCAGCACGCCGCGCTGTCTCACACGGGCCCGGAACCGACGGGTCGAGCATCGAACAGTGCACGGCGGCGGCGTCACACGTGCAACGTAGATGCATCCGCCGGCTCCGCCTTCAGCTCGGTCCCGGCGCGCCCCCTGCGGCCGCGCCGTCGATCCTGTTCGCGTTCTCCGCGCCGCACGTCCCGCACCGCTTCCGGTCGCTGCAGAATATCGACAGACAGACGCTGCACACGTACCCGATGCTGACGGGACGCTTGTGGCAGAAGCACGCCGGCCGGAGGTCCACGCGGTCCTGCGCGACGTGCCTGCAACGCACAGTGGACCAGCGACCGGCCGCGCGGCGTCAGTGCGCCAGCAGAGCGCAACGCACGCACAGCGGCATGTGACAGAGCGCCATAGTGGCACATGCGCGCACGCCGTGGCCGGTTCGCGTGCCGCACGGCAGTGGCACGTACCTGATCTTCCTGCGCTGCTCCGGCCCCGCCGCGAAGGTCAGCGTCAGGTGCTGCAATAGAGTCCCGGGGTGCTTCATGCGCAGGCACGTGCCGCCGGTGACGTGCGCGGCCTGCTGGAGGAACGCGCTGTCGTCCGTCCCGAGCATGCACGTGTCGATGCAGCACTCGAGCTCCTTCGCCGCGAACACCGCGTTCATCGTGGAGATGTATTGGGTGGGGGTGTCGGGACACGCCGTCAGACACAGCATGCGCAGGCGCGGCGCGGGGGCGCCGGAGGCCGCGGCGGCGCGCAGCGCGCGGTTCGCGTAGCACAGGGCGCGCGTGAGCGCCGCCGCGAGGAGGAGTTTCGGCTTGCGCTCGGAGGGGGGGAGTGCCGCGATGTCGGTTTGCGTCAGACCGAGGGCCTTGCGCTGGTGGAGGCTCTCGAGCACGGCGTCGCGCGTGCCGGCGACGAGCGCGGCCGCGAGGCTCTGTGGCGCCGTCGCTGCTGCGCCTGCGGCCGCGCCGGAGCCGGCGTCGTCGAGCGGCACCTGCTCGTAGATCAGCCGGCTGCCCGCGTCGCTCACCGTGAAGATTGCGACGCGGTGTGCGTCGTCGATGAGTTGGTACGCATGCAGGAATTCGACAGTGTGGTGGAGGGCGGCGGAGAGAGGCAGGGGGTGCGCGATGGGCGGCTCTCGCACGGTCCCGGGGCGCTCTCCGCTCCGTGCATCGGGCTCCAAGCCGACAGCGCCCCAGTAGAGGGCCGTACAGTCGAAGAGGACAGTCAGCAGCTCCCCCCGCGTCCCTGCGACGCCTCCCGCGCACGTGCGGCATCTCTCAAGGCGGAGCCAGTGCGCAACTGCTGCGTTGGCGATAGATCTGAGGACCTCGAGGTGCCAGACGATGAAAACGTGATGCCTCACCCGACATTGCGCTCCAGTCTCACCGCATAGGCCGACGCATTCCGCGGTCGTTCGCCCTCAAGGCAGGGATGGCACTTAGCACGCAGACTGGGGCGCCCAACCTCCGGGATGCACGATCTCCGCGCCCTGGTCCCGAGCTACGCTACGGCAGCTCCACGGCTGCTCCGCGTCGCTCCTTCCCTCGTTGTACCCACCAAGCGATGTCCACCAAGCTCTCTCTACGTCCGGGATTTCGCCCACTTATACTGGACAAAACGGGACCCTCTGTGATGCCGCCCAACGACACGCACGCCAGCGAGTGGCCGCGGGCGCTCATACCGCCGCCCCTCGACCGTTCACGAGCAGCGGGAGACCCCCAGCTAGTCAACTGCTCCCACCTCCCCCCTCGGACACAGGCGTGCATAGAGAGCCGCGCCTGGGCGCGCTGCGTCACATGCAAAGATCTGCTCCTCCCCCTCGCGGTCGGGGGCTCCAACCTCGGGCGCGTGCCCTCGTGAGCACACAGGGCGGGACATGAGCGTGGCACTCCACCCAGCTAACGCCCGGCGGGCTGCCGCGGCGCCACCGAGCGCCGGCGAGGGCGCGGCGACGGTTGCGCATGCGGTCGAAGGCAAGGACATCGACGCGAAGATGGCGGCGGCGGTCGTGCGCGACGCGCGGCAGGGCGGAGCGTCGGAGCTGAGCATAGAGCAGTGCACCGTGCTCGGGCCGGGGCAGGTGCTCGCGGTGGTTGACACGTCGTGTATCGCGACGGTCCGCATCTGCAACAGCGTCATCGCCTCGGGGGCCAACGGAACAGCGCAGTCGCGCCCGAGCGAGGGCGCGCAAGCGGGCAGTGTGCGGGAACTCACTCTTGACGAATGTGGCTTCGCGCCGGGGTTTCTCTCGCTCGCGGACCTCTACCGCGAACTGAGCGGCCTGAAGTCCCTGACCTTCCGAAGAAGCAAGCTGGAGGCGCCGCCAGCGCCCGGTCCGCGAGGTGTGCTGCCCTGCCCCAAACAGTGGCCCGTTCCCGCGAACGCGCGCCCCGAACTTTCCCCACACCACCACACCCGACGAGCACTGCTTGTTCCTCGAAAATGCAGGCGACCAGCGGAGCCCGGTCGCGCTCCTGGCGCGCCCGCTGGCGCTGGGGTACTGCGCCCACCTCCAACGCGTCGAGATCGGCTGGTGCTCCCTCGGGACGACGGGCACGTCCGCGGTCCTGCAGCAGCTGCACTTGGCCGTCAGCAGCAGCCCCGCGCACATGTGCGTCCGCGAGATCGCCCTGCCCGGCAACGGCGCCGGCGACGCGTGCGTTCCGTCGCTGGCGCAGCTGCTCTGCGGTGCGCACGACACCCGCCCCGCGCCGCCGCGCCCCTGCCCGCCCGCCCAACGCGGCGCACAGTCGGCCGACATTGACCGGACGACGCAACCCGGGGGGGGTGTCTTCCGTCGCCAACCACGTGCAGTTGCTCGGCTTCACGCGCGCCCGCTGCGGTTCCAGGCCGGACGTGGCGCGTGTTTCGCTACGTCCCGACCGTGTGCGAGGACGAGCTCCTTCGGTCGGGACGCAGCGGAAGCGCGGCACGTGTCAACGTGCCCGGCCTGGAACTGCGCCAGACACGCGTGGAGCCTGCAAGGGCACGTGGTTCGCGACGGAAGATGTCCCTTCGTCGGCCGCTTCGGGACCCGCACGCAGCAAGTGACGGTCGACGCAACCGGGCGCTCGCCGGAACCCCCGCACCAATCGTCTGTCATTGTCCGTGTCTCGCAAATCCACCGTCGTTTGTTCGTTCGTGGACTCCGCCAACACGGCTGCGCTGCCACACCGGCTGCCGTAGGATCGCCGACGCAGGCATTCCTCGCATGTTTGCGAGAGCGACAGCTGCGACCGCGACGCAGACAGGACGCAGGATTGCAACGCGTTGATTCCCCGTGCGATGTCGCTGCAGGGCCCGTCGGCCGCACGCTGCGCGTGCTGGACCTCACGTCGAACGAGCTGACCTCCACGGGCATGGACACGCTCGCCTCGCGGCTCCTGCAGGGCTGCCGACAGGCGCTCGGTCTGCACGTGTTCCGATGCGGGTTCAACCCTATGGGGAGCGCTGCGCTGCGCGGCATCTTCCTGTGCATGTCGGTCTGCGAGCACATGTCGGAGGTGGCGCTGCCCGGATGCGAGCTCGGGCCGGAGGGGGCGCCGGAGCTGGCGTCGGGCGTACAGTCCGTGCTGATGCTGCGGACGCTCGACCTGTCGCAGAACGCGATCGGGGACGCGGGGCTGGCGCAGGTGTTCAAGGTCTGGCAGGGCTGCGAGAGCCCGCGCGGGAGCCGGGCTGACCGTGGGGGGTCGGACAGTTACGAGACGTCGTCCAGCGGCTACACGAGCAGCGAGAGTGCGTGCCGCGTCCTAACCGAGCGCAGCATGCAGACAGTATGGCACCGCGCATGAATCCGATCGCATGAACGCTGTCATCACGTGCTGGCCGTCGTTTTCGCTGTTCCGGCATCGCTGCTTACTTCGCGCCGTGTACCTCCCTCGTGCGCAGGCGAGTCGGAGTTTTGGGCGTGCCACCTCGACGAGATCATCCTGGCGCAGGCGGGCGCGGGCCGCGCGACGGTCTCCGCGATCGCTCGCCTCGCCCCGCTTCTTCACAGCCCTCTGCGCGTCCTCCGCCTCACGCACGCCGCGATGTCCCGCGCGACCGCCCTCGCGCTCGTGGAGAGCCTCCATCCGCACGTCAACCCGATCCAGAACGGCCTGCGCGTCCTCGACCTGTCGTGGTGCTCCGGCTGCCTGTCTGACGCCGCGGGGCCTACGCTGCTGTCAGGCCTGGCCGCGCACCCGCGCCTCGAGGAGCTGCGCCTGACCAAGACGGGGATCGCCGCCGACGCCGCTCAGGAGCTCGGCGTCATGGTCGCGTGTCTTCCGGGCCTCAGGGTCCTGGAGCTGAGCTGGAACGACATTGGCGACGATGGCGCGGCAGCCGTGGCGAGGGCGGCCGGGTCGGCGCCGCGGCGGGAGCGCGGCGCCGAGCGCGAGCTGCGCGAGCTGCTGCTGTACAGCTGCGGCATCACGGACGTCGGCGCCGCTGCGCTGACGGAGCACCTGCGCAGCGGCGCGTCGCGGGGCGGGGCGCGGCTGGAGGCGCTGGACGTGAGCTTCAACTCGATAGGCAAGGGCGCGGTAGCGGCGCTGCTCGCGGCCGTGGAGGAGGGCGGCCGGCTGCGGACGTTCGCGAGCGAGGGCGCGGTGGAGGAGTGCGGCACGTGCGGCACAAAGGACTGCGGGAGCTGCGCGCCGCTGCTGGGCGACTGGTAGCGCGGCGCGGGACCGCTGGCTCGACGGCGCCGCGATTCGTCTCACAGCCTCGGCGCTTGCTTGATGTAGTTGTGCCCGCGCATCGAGTTGTGTCTTTTGTGTCTGTGTGTTTTGCCTTGCGTTGCTGCACTGTCAATGCGTGCTTCGTGTATTTAAAGAGGCGCCCGCGTAGGTCTGTGATGGCAGCACTGCGCGCTCGTCCCGCTCACTTGAACCCGAGTACCGCGCGGTGTCTCTTCACGTCGGCCTTTGCTGTCTCAATGCACGTGGTGAGCTCCCGGAAACGCTTCGCGCGGTGCTGCTCCTTTTTCGCGCGCTCCGCATCGTCCCGCTCGCAGGCAATCAGCACGTCCAGCGCCGCGAGCTCCGCGGGGAGGTTCTTCGACTTGTATGCCTGCGCAAAGGCGTTGTCCGCAAAGTCCTGCAGCGCGCCGCCCACGCACCGATTTGGTTTTGTAGGGGCGTCGGGGCAGCGGAGCCCCGTGCGGCTGCGTGCTCGAGGCCCGGTCGCGCCGGAATGCGAGCGCTGGGCGAGAGCTTGAGCGAGCTGCTCAGTGGATGGGCTGCGGCACCGCGGGGGGTGTATCGACGCCGAGGGGGTGGCGGGGGCCGCACCGAGAGCGCGGTGAAGTCGCGACCGGCTCCCTCGGCGGCCGGGGCCATCATGTTGAGGGCGCTGCACATCAGGTGGTTGTCCGCAGTCTGTTCTGCCAACTTCAACACCTGCTTCAGTAACTTCCGAGCCCCTGCAGACGCCGCGACGAGCACAACAGACACAGTATGCCCTCCGACATGGGCGAAGCGACAGCCGAGCATCCTCAACCACCCTAGCAACTAATGATACAAGAATCAATCCATCAGCAATCAAGTAATCAGGTCTACTTGATGGCGCGCTGGCTTCGAGCGGCGGGCGCACCGTCGAACTTCCCCTGCCGCAGCCGCACCGCCGCGGTCGCGAATATCGCGGCGGCGCGCCCCCTCGGCCCCTTGAGCGTCAGGCACCGCTCCTGCAGGCTCCCGAGCGTCTCGATGGCGTCGTCGAGCGTCTCCGCCGGCGTCGGCGGGAGCCCGCTGATCCTCCGCCCTGGCGGCGTCGTGGGGTCGGCGTCCGCGTCCAGCTCGTCGTCGCTGCTGTTCGCGACGCGACGCTTGCGCTGCACGGCCACGCCGCACAGCGCGGCGATGGCTGCGAAGGAGGTGGCCACAGACACCCCCTCCTCGTCGCGCGCGGCCGCCGCGGCGAGGCGGAACTGCGCGGCCGCCGCGGGGTACTCCTCCGTGGCGTGGGCGTACAGCCCGCAGAGGACGTGGCACGTGGGCTGCGGAGCAAGGGGGGGGGGTTCACCAGGGGGGGTTAGGGTTGTGCGCACAGGTGCAGGCGCTGCAAGTGGCCGTCAATGCCGGTCGCTTTCGACCCCCGGCGTAGCAGCACAGTAGCGGCATCTCCCGGCGCAGCGTTCTTCGGCACGTCGTTGCGACCAGCACCTGTTGCATGCAAGGATGTTGGTGTTGTCTGTGGTGCACGCAAGGGCGGGCCGACGTGCCTGGAATCGCGCGAGCGTCTTGGGGAAGCGCTGCAGCAGGTCGAGGAGTTGCACGACGTACCCCTGCGCGCCGTCGATGTCCACCCGCGCCAGCTTTGCCAGACAGGTGCCTTCCAGCACCAGACAAAACATCGAGAGCAGCGCCCCGGCGTCTCCCATCTTCACCTGCAGCCACACGTACGCCACTGCTTCGATTGCGCTCATCTGCATCACCCATGCGTCCCCGTCACGGGCTCTGTGTTGTATGACACATGTGCGGCGTGGCGCGCCCCGCAGGACCCGCCACGTACCGCTGCCGGCACGCTATCCTCGTTGTGCGCCTTCCCGACCGCCACGTCCACGCCGGCCTCGTCCAGCGACCTCGCGAGCATCAATACTACCCCCTCCAAGTCCCCCACGACCTTGCCGGCTTGCTGCGGGTCCACGCGCCGCTGGTGCGCGTCCAGCATCGTGAGGAGCGCGACGATCGCCGGCGCCGGCAGCCACGCGTACGGCGGCTCGCGCCCCTGCGTCAGGCGCGCGAACTCCCCCGCCCGCTGCACGGCGCCGGCGAGCGCGGCGGGCGTCGCGCCGAGGGCGTCGGGCGACGCGCCGCAGCGGAGCGCGTAGAGGGCTTTCAGGGCGACGGCGTGCAGCTCGAGCTGCTGCGCGAGGAGCGGCAGGTCGTCGCGGTAGGTGATGTGCTCCGTCAGCGCTGGCGGGGCGCCGGCGAGGGCGCGGGCGTCGTCGATCGCGGTGTCGCAGAGCTGGAAGAGCGGCCGAAGCGCGTCGGGGTCCTCGCCGGCCACGCACTCCATCTGCGCGCGGAGGGGTCGCGTCGGAAGCAGGGAGTGTTCGAGTGTTTGTGTGTTTGTGTGTTTTGCGATCGAAAGCGGGGTGAGTCCGCGTGACTTCGCTGCGCACGTCGCGGCGACGTCGCTCGGGCGTTTGAGCGGTGCGGTGCTCGCGGCGAGGATCGTCCGCGGCCAGGCGCGACGCGCACAGGCGAGCTGCGTGCCTGCAGGCGGTGGATGACGGCGACAGCGCGCAGGTCCGGGCGGTCCTTGGCTTCCTTGATGTAGCCGTCCAGTCGGTCGAGGGCGTTCCTCGCGGCCTTGACGCCCTTCTGCGACGCGTGGACCGCGGAGAGAGACAGGTGCAGGGTACACAGCCAGTCAGCCCGCGCCGGCGAGCCCTTCGGCTCGCGCAGCGCGATTTTTATGGCCTCCTGAAGCTTGTCCTCCTCCATCTTCGCCGAGCCCATGAACCTGTAGCACCTGGCCACCTCGAAGAGCACCTGCGCGCACCCTTCCCGCCACAGCGCCCGCTCAGGCTCTCTGACCTAGTAACGGCCTGAAAGGCGTGCTCAAGGGACGGCGCCGTCGCGCCTGAAAGGCTCACTGCATGGACGTCGGGCTCGCGCCTGGACTCGCTCGATATGGCGCACGGACAGTCGGGTTCTGGCGAGTAGGTTGGCCCGCTCCAGGTGGTTCTTAGCCTCGCGCAGGTTGTGCGTGAAGGCCAGCAGAAGCCGCGCGAGCCGCAGCCTGGCCTCTATCTCCTGCGGAGCCGCACAGCCGGCCACGAATATCGCCTCGTAGCACCGCATGGCCTGCAGTGGGTACCCTTCGCGCGCTAGCACCTCCGCCAGCGCAAACAGCTGGGACACCGCGGCCGCCGACATATTATCCGAGCAGTTCCGCCCTCCACGCGTGTGCGCTGCCACTGGCCTGCTCAAGCGCGCGCCACGGCCATCCCGCCCCGGACGCGCAGTGCACACTGGCGCAGTGCAGCTGCTCTCCACTGGCGCAGTGCAGCTGCTCTCCACTGCGGGGTGGTTGATCCGAGAATGCTCGCGAGTCTGATGCGGTGCACCGGGCGAATGCGCCGGGGAGTGGCATGCGGAAACGATGCTCGAGCGCTTGTTCGCAAACGCGCATCATGCCTGACGTCACGTGGTTTGACACGCCCCCAGTTTGACTCCTTTCGCGCGTGGCTCGCATCAGGGGGCTGTTCCGGGATCGCACGCGGTCGCGCCGTGCAGTTTGTACGTGACGTCACTCGGTGCGTGTGCTGAGCGGCGCGTCGATCCTACGCAGCGCGCGCAAGGCCCTCCTGGTCGCACGGGAGGTGCACGGCGCTGAACCGGCCTCACCGCGCACTCGCAGGCCGCGAAACCGCACGTGATGAAGTCCTCTAGCGAGTGGTCTATCTTGTATTTGACCAGATCGGAGGAACGACGCAAGAGAAGGCCCAGCTATTTGAACGAACTAGCAACTGCTATGACAGCTGTCCCGCCCTTCCGCCCGCCCTCCCTTGGCCCGCGTTCCAAGCAGCGCATCCGTACCTGCGACTCGGTGACCTCCTGCGACGAAGCCAGCAGGTGCAAGAAGAGGCAGGGGACCGACGGGTCGGTGCCGTCCGACCGTGCCTTCGGCACCCAGCTTCTGACAAACACCGACGGCCCCCCAGGGAAGACGCAGAAGAAGGATCGCGACACGGAGGACCTCTGCGGCCCGCACCGCGCATCCGAATGCCGGGACGCCGCCATGGACCAAGCTGGCGGGTGCAGGTGGGCTACGCAACTGCTGCTATGTCGCGCCCCGCGAATCTTGGTGCACACCGCTGCGCCGACCCGGTAGAAGTCATCGCGGTGATCTCGATCGCGTGCAATGTCACGCTCATAATTATCGTGCTCCGGTGCGCCACTACCGTGCTTGCGCACACCCGCACACACACTCAGTCGACGTCGCGCGCGTCTCCGTGGCGCAGGGAGAAGGCGGCGGCGACCGGCCGCGACACCAGCAACAAGAACAAGGTGCGCTGGTCGCAGTCTGTCTCCGGCGCTCCGAAGGCCGCGCCCGAACCACAACACACTCTGCCGCTCCCCTTCGTCGCAGACTGCCGCCGGCGCCGAGGCCGCCGATGACGCTTGTGCGCGCGGGCCAGCGCGCACATGCGTCCCGCGGACAGCCTACAAGCGCGGCACGCTGTCGGGCACATTCCTGAACCGCGTTACTGTCGTTGGGGGGCTTTGCCCTGAGCTGGCCTTCTCCCTGAACAAAGGCTTCGATTCTGTGTCGGTGGACGCGCTCGCAGCGGACAGCTTCGCGCTCCTGTGTCGCGCCGTCACGTACTTCGGGTCACCGGGCCCGGACGGAGCGCCACGTAGTGGCGGCAACATTGTCAGGGCGATGCGGCTCGACCCCTGCCTGGGACTCCTCCCGCGACACCTCCGCGAGCTGACGGAGAGGAGCCTTCCGTCTGGTGCGTGCATATCACGGCTATTCCTGGAGGAGGCCCGCGTCAACTTGACGAAGGGCATCAAGCTACAGAACGCCCCTGGCATCACGCGGGCGTCGAGCTTCGACACCGTAGGGAGGTGGCAGGAGAGTGGCAGGGACGGGACGTGCCGGTCTGCGTCGGTCCGTGTCGAGGTCGATGGTGCGGTGCGCACCGGGCGGCTGGCGGCATGCGTGTCGTCGGGGGTTCCGTTGCGGGGCTGCGGCGAGAAGCTGGTTGTCAACCACGCGTTCGTCCAGCTCTACAGACCGTGCGACTGGAGGGGCACGCCGCTCCCGAAGACCGCGCTTTCATGGCCAGGCCAGTTCATGGCATACGGGGCCATTGAGGGGCCTGCGGGGTTGGAGCCGGAGATGGTGCTGGTGCCTGCGCGGGCCGTCAAGGGTCGCGTGCAGGTCGTCCGCAGATTCAAGAGCTTCAGAGAGGACAGCGGGGCAGTGGCGGACGATGGAGCGTTGTATGACGCAAGGCTGCGCGAGGTGGACGACAGCTGGCGGAACTGGACGGCGGAGCGTTTCTCTGTCGAGGAGGCCCGATGCGATACCTAGAGCGCGAGGTAGGGTGTCACAGTTTTCGCGTCGTCGGCCTTGATGGTGTCGGGACCTGAAAAGATCATGCGACTAGGTGGCGAGTCACGTGGATCGCGCGCCGTCACAGAAGTGACACGCTCGGCGTGTGAGGCGCGTTCACAGCACTCAGCAGTGGCTCGGACGGTTTCGCGCCGGTGCGCAAGTCGAGCTGTTTCGTCCCGCAGTCCATTGCCGTGCTAGTCCGGGCTGCCCGGCCGGCCAACCTCACACCACGATACTGACGCTAGTGTCCGGGCCCAGCAACTCCAGCAGCTTCCCTTTCCCGGCCTTGCCCACGCGGTTGTCCGTCAGGTCGAGCGAGCGCACCACCGCGCTGCCCCGCGCTGCCTCCGCAAGAGCCGCCGCGCCGTCGTCCGACACCAGGTTCCCTCCGAGCGTCAGATTCTTCAGCGTCCCGTTGCGCATCAGCCCCGCCGCGAGTGCCCGCGCGCCCTCGTCGCCGACCCCGTTGTTCCACAGATACAAGTACGCCAACGTGCCGTTCCACCGCAGCGCCTCGCCAAGCGCCGCGGCGCCCTCGTCCGCGATGCCGGCGTCCCCGAGATCGATCGACGTCAGCGCAGAGTTCAGCCGCAGGCCCGCCGCGATCGCCACGCACCCGGCGTCCTCGACTATGTTGCCAAACAAGTTGAGAGTCAAGAGTGTCTTGTTCGAGCGAAGCCCGTCGCCAATGCTCGCCGCGCCGGCCTCGGTGATGCCGCAGCTCTCGAGGTCGAGCTTGGTCAGCGTCGTGTTGTGCACGAGGCCCTCGGCGAAGCCCGCGGCACCAGCGTTGCGAATCTTGTTGTTGTGCATGCTCAGCGTCGCCAGCTTGCGGTTGAACGCGAGGGACGTCCCGAGCGCCGCGCCACCCGTCTTGCCGATGCTGTTGTCGCCCAGGAGGATCGACTCGACCCGGTCGTTCTTCGCAATGGCCTCGGCCAGGGTCGCCGCCGCTGCGTCGTCCAGTCCGACGTAGCGCAGGTCGACGGACAGCAGGTTCGGGTCGTTCTCAATGAGGCCCCTGCACGCCTGGTACACGTCCTGCGGCATGCGGTCGACCCAGTCCGCGAGGAACGCGCGCAGTCCGCGGCCACTCAGGCCCGACGCGGAGAACCGGCTCTGCCGCGAAAATCGCGAAGGGGACTCCGGATCGAAGGATTCGACCGCGCGCGGAGCAGCCCCGGCGCTCTCTGGGGACCCCACGTTGAGCGACAGCTGCACGGGCGAGCTCGTCTGGCTGTCGAACCGCACTGGGGAGGCCAGAGGGCTGTCGGCGGCCCCCGGGGAGCCCGACACGCCCGACATGCCGGAGAACGACACAGGGTGCGGTTCGAGATTCGGGGGCGTCCCGGGGGCCTCGTCCTGCTCGAGCGCGTCGTCGCCCGGGAACCGTTTGAGCCCGTCGGCAAACGACGGCGGGCGCAGCGGCCTGAGCGACAGCTCGCGCTCCGCCTCGTGCACGCTGCCGCCGTCGATCCGGAGCATCAGCTCGGCGCGCTGCCCGCTGGCCGCGGCCTCCGGCGCCGGGCGCGCCCCCACCTCCGTCGTAGCGTTGCCGTTGGCAATCGCGTCCGCGTCCTGACTGACCGGGTTCCCGCGGAGGTCCACGACCTCGATCGCGGGGTTCTCCCACGCGGCGTCCAGCAGCGCCGCCGCGCCCACCTCCGTGATGCCGTTGCGGCGCAGGTCGAGGGTTTTCAGCCTGGGGTTTTGTGCACCGCGGATGGCGTCGGCGAGCGCCGCGGCGTGCTCGTCGTCGATGTCGAGGCCCACGAGGTCCACCTCCTCGATGCCGTCCTGCGAGTAAAGGCTCTTGCACGCCGCGCGCACGGTCGGCTGCGTCACGCGCACCCCCCACGTCGACATCCACGCCACCCAGCCGCGGCGCCGGGGGCCAGGCTCCGGCGACGGGCTCGCCGAGCGCGCGGGGCCGCACTCGCGCGCAGCAGACGCCACGTTCGGGACCGTGCGGTCCGTCAGCGGCACTCCCTTTGGCGACGCGCTCCCCGCCGCAGGAACCTGCGCCGGGGTTGACTCACGGCCGCTCCGCGCGTCCTGACCCGGCACCACGCCGTCCGACAGGCGCATGGTGTCCTGCAGCGACGTCGACAACGCTGCTTGCTGCGGGGCGTCCCCGTCTTCGTCGACGGGCAGGATGGAACTGATGCCACTTGCAGACCCGCGCACCGACGCGTCCGAGCGGGGCACGCTCGCGGGGGACAGGACGAGGTCGCGCTCCAGGACCCCGGACGTGCGCGCCGCGGCCGCCTTGGCCTCCTCCGCGGCCGTGCGCGCATCGATTGCCGCCGCCGCCGCCAGCTCGGCGGCCTCCAGCGCCTGAGCCGCGGCGTCCACCGCGGCAGTGGTGACGTCGAGCTCGTCGTCCTCGTCGTACTCGCCGCCGAGCACTGCGTACTCGCCGGGCGGGACCGCGTCGGACGGGCTGTCGCCCTCCGCGAGGACGCCGCGAGGCTGTGATGCGCTGTTGAAAAGGCTGGCCAGCGCAGCCACGCCGCAGGGTGCGCTGTCCCAGGAGTACTCCGTCTCCGCGGCTGTCGTGTGGGCGCGGCCCGCGGGCGACCCCGCGTTGTGGTCCGCGGGGGTTGTTGCCTGGGCAGGGGCAACGGGGCCCGTGATGGTCGTTTGGGTGCCGGAGCTGTGCTGCTCGTGTTTCAGGTCGTCGTAGTCGATCGTCTGCGCGGTTGCGTCGCTGCCGGAGCCCGCGACCGCCGTCTGACAGGCGACCCGCACCGCCGGCGCAGCAATTTGCGCGCCCGCGTTCGCCGTCGAAGCGGTCGGCGCCGTCTGTGCTGCTGCGTCGCTGGCCAACAGAACCGTCTGCGATCCCGCATGCTTCTCCTCCTTCTGGATTGTCGCTGTCTGTGCACCGGCGTCGCAGCCTGCCCCGCCGACGACGGTCTGCGCGCCAGTGTCGTTCCCCGCGCCACCGACAACTGTCTGTGCGCCTGTGTCGCATCCTGCCCCGCCGACGACGGTCTGCGCGCCGGTGTCGTTCCCCGCGCCACCGACAACTGTCTGTGCGCCTGTGTCGCATCCTGCCCCGCCGACGACGGTCTGCGCGCCGGTGTCGTTACCCGCGCCACCGACAACTGTCTGTGCGCCTGTGTCGCATCCTGCCCCGCCGACGACGGTCTGCGCGCCGGTGTCTTGACCAGCGCCACCGACAACTGTCTGTGCGCCTGTGTCGCATCCTGCCCCGCCGACGACGGTCTGCGCGCCGGTGTCCTGTGCAGGCAGAGGCGCGGTCTGCGCGCCCGCGTCTTGCCCCGCGCCACCCACGACGGTTTGCGCGCTTGTGTCGTGAGCAGACAGACGGGTTGTCTGCGCGCCGGTGTCTTGCCCCGCGCCACCCACGACGGTCTGCGCGCCGGTGTCCTGTGCAGGCAGAGGCACCGTCTGTGCGCCTGTGTCTTGCCCCGCGCCACCAACGACGGTCTGCGCGCCCGTGTCTTGCCCCGCGCCACCCACGACGGTCTGGGCGCTTGTGTCGTGGGCAGACAGACGGGTTGTCTGCGCACCGGCATCGCACCCGGCGCCGCCCACAACCGTCTGCGCGCCGGTATCGAGCAGCGTCTCACGGAACGCGGTCTGCGCCATGGCATCGCTGCGCACCGTCCGCGGCGTCTGAGCAGCAGCGTCCGCCCCCGGCTCCGGTTTCAGCGTCTGCATGCCCGCGTCCGCGCCGGCGCCGTATCCGATCGTCTGGCTCGCGGTCCGCGTGATGCTCGCCGCCACCTGCGACGCCGCGTTGTGCCCCGGCATCCGCGCCGTTTGCACTCCCGCGTCCTCGATCTGCGGATCAACGCGCGCCGTCTGCGACCCGGAATCCACGGCCGGGGCGTATCCGATCGTCTGACTCGCGGTTCGCGCCAAGCTCACGACCGCCTGAGATGCCTCGTCGCGGCCGGCAGCCCTCGACGTCTGCGCGCCAGACTCCACGCCAGCACCCGAAACCACAGTCTGGCTCGCAGTTCGCGCGAGGTCCGCCGCGACCTGAGACGCCGCGTCCTGCCCCAGAGGCTGGAGCGTCTGCGCGCCGGAATCGACGCCGGCGCCACACACCACGGTTTGGCTGCCTGCCCGCGCGAGGCTCGCCGCGACCTGCGACGCCGCGTCGCGGCCCTCGAGCTTCGCGGTCTGCGCCCCGACGTCCGCGCCCGCGCCCGAGACGACCGTCTGGCTCGCGGTGCGCGCCGCGGTCGCTGCGACCTGCGACGCCGCGTCGCGGCCGGGGACCTGCGCCGTCTGCGCCCCGGAGTCGACGCCAGCGCCGCACACGACGGTCTGGCTGCCCGCCCGCGCGAGGCTCGCCGCGACCTGCGACGCCGCGTCCCGCCCTGCCACGGTCAACGTCTGCGCCCCAGAGTCGACGCCAGCGCCGCACACGACGGTCTGGCTGCCCGCTCGCGCAAGGCTCGCCGCGACCTGCGACGCCGCGTCTTGTCCAGCCGTCTTCACGGTCTGCGCCCCGGAGTCGACGCCAGCGCCGCACACGACGGTCTGGCTGGCAGCGCGGGCCGCAGTCGCAGCCGCCTGCGTGCCCGCATCCGCCAGCGCCTCGCGATGGCTCGTCTGCGCGGCGCTCTCCTGCCGCTCGAACGCAGCGGTCTGCACCTCCGCGTCCGCGCCGGGGTCTGGCGCGGCGGTCTGCGCACTTGCGTCGGCGCCCTCGCCACACACGACCGTCTGGCTCGCAGTGCGCGCCGCTGCCGCCGCGACCTGCGTGCCGGCGTCCGCCGTCCACTCCCCGTGCGTCGTCTGCGCCGCCACGTCGCTGCCGAACCCGGCGATCGCCGTCTGACACACCGCCCGTGCGAGCGTCGCCGCAACCTGCACGCCCGCGTCCGCCAGCGCGTCCCGATGGGCGGTCTGCGTGGGCATGTCGCGCCCCGGAAACACCACCGTCTGCACCGCTGCGTCGTCGCCGGGCTCCGGTGCAGTCTGCGCGCACGCGTCCACCCCCTCGCCGCCGACCACAGTCTGGCTCCCGGCCCGCGCCACGCTCGCCGCCGCCTGCGCCGCCGCGTCGTGGCCGAGAACGTGCACCTGCACGCCGGCGTCCGTTCCGGGCTCGGGCGCAGCGGTCTGGGAGCCTTCCGTCCGCCCTGGGCCGCCAACCGCCGTTTGCGCCCCCGCCCTGGCCACCCCCACCGTCGCCTGCACCCCCACGCTCTCCGCCATCTCGCGGTGCATCGTCTGCACTGCCTCGCTCGCCACGCCCACCTCGGCCGTTTGCGCCCCCGCCGCCACCATCGCCACGTCCACCTGCTGCCCCCGGTCCACGGCGGACACGGGGTCGTACTGCGTCGCGACCTCCGACAGCTCGCACGCCTCCGCCTGCATCGCGGCGTCAGCCACGGGCCCGCCCGCGTACGTCTGCGTCCCGCCGTCCACCAGGCAGTCCGACCACCGCGCCTGCTGCTCCCCCCACGCCGCCTCCGCGGCCGCGTGCGCGCTCGACGCCGCCGCCGCGGCCGCCCTCTCCGCCGACATGTGCTCCGACAGGTCCGCCAGCTGCGCCCGCAGGTCCGCGATCTGCCGTTCGTTCTCTGCGTCGCGCACGTCGCACTCCTCGAGCCGCGCGCGCTGCCGCTGCGCCTCCTCCGCCTGCGCGTCGATCGTGCCGCGCTGCTCCTCGACCTCCTTGCGCGCCGCCTGCAGCTGCGCGCCGACGACCTCCAGCGCGTGCTTGAGCGCCTCGATCGTCGCCAGGCGGTCGTCGCTGGTCTCCGGCGGCGGCAGGAAGGTGTGCAGCTTGACGAAGATGTCCGAGACGATCGCGGCCTGTGCAGCGGTCTTGCGCTTGAAGCTGCGGCCCGTGAACGCGCGCCCGAGGGGCCCGCGCGCGCTCTGCTTCTTCACGATCTGGTCGAGGCGGTGCAGCGCCGGAACCTGCGGGGCGGGGCGCCGCGGCGCGAGGACGATCGCGCGGGAGCGGGCGCGGGGCCGCTGGGCCGGCACGCGCGACGGACTAGAGCTCCAGCAGTGTGCGGTAGAGCACCAGAGGAAATGAGCGGCTCGGGGGCCGTGCGCGCGCGGAAAGGTACGGAACAGTACGCACCATGCGCTCGACGCAGGTTTCCAGGCCCGCCACGTCGCGGACTTGGTCTTTGCGGGCGTCGAGCCCCATCAGGAGGTCCTCCACTCGCCGCATGAGCCCCTCGAGGGTCGGCACGCGCTCCTGCGGTCACGAACGCAGTTCGCGGGGTGAGAGCGCAGGCGGACGCGCCCTGGCGGGCGACGGGGCGCGCTGGGCGGGCCTGGTCGCGCAGCTGGCGCTGCGGTAGCTCCTGCTGCGATTTCGACCTCGCCCGGATGGCTGGTCGGTCGCAGAGGGGCGCACGGACCTGGACCGCCTTGCATGTCTCGAGCTGCGTCCGGACGGTCTGCGCGGGGCGCACGGCGACCTCGAGGCCCCCCCGACTCGAGGTGCCTGGACTGAGTGTGAACCTCGGCCCTGCGAGGCGCGATAAGAAATCGATCGAGGTTTCCGCGCGCTGTAATGCTTCATCGTGCTTCGTTCGGCTACTCGAATGCGTGGAAACGGGATACCATGCACTTGAAGCACCGGAACGGCGGTGTGGTTGCTAACAGCAACCTCGCACGACGGCCCGGGGGCTGCGGAGCCGCTCCCGCAGCGAACGTGCGCCTGGGCGCACGACACGCGACTCGAGGGGGCGTGCGGCGGACCGGTGGAGTGGGAGGACATCCTGTGAGACGACGGTCGCCCAGAAAATGGTGAGGGGTACTTCCGCCCCGTTCAGTTCCTTTCTCGCAGCATTTCGGTGCCAGCGACTCTAGTTTCGCGCCGTGAGCGTCAGGCAGGCCGCAGGGCTCCTGAAGTGCCGCGTAGAGCACGCGCCGCGACAGCAATGGCCCGCCAGAGTGGCCCACGGGTCACCTTGGGGGGGAATAGCGGAGGTCAGACGGTGGAACTCGTGCAATCTCGATTGGCTGCGCGTCGAGACCTCCTGAGCAGGCACTGCACACTCTCTCCGCCGCACACGCACAACCGCCCTCGAAACCCCCGCGCCGACCCGCGCCACACCGCCCGGCGAGTCATCCGCGCACAACGCCGCGGGAACGCCGTCAGCCGCACGCAGCACGGCCACCGCAGTAGTCAACTGCAGTAGTCAACTGCAGCAACACCCGCCGCAACACGCAGCAGCAGCTACCCCGCCACCCGACCCGGGCCCCGGCCGCGAGCGCACCGCGAGCGCGTACAGACGCACGGGACCGCCTCGGACCACGCCGCACGTTGCCCTTGTTGTTACACTCAGGTGCCGCCCTGCACCTGGATGATCGAGAGGATGCCCTGCGGCCCGCACGTGATCTCGTTGATGAAGCTCACGAGCGCCACCCACACGATGGGCGAAATGTCCACCCCCGACAGCGGCGGCAGCACCTTGCGCGTCGGCCCGAGGATGGGCTCCGTGGGGACGTACGCGATGCGCCACAGGCCCGCGCGGCCGTCGATCTTGGGGTCCCTGCGGGCGGCGCGCGGCGCAGTGGGTCAGCGGGGCGCGGGGGCCGCGGGGCGGCGCCGGGCGCTGTTGGCGACGGCAGGGGTGTTGGTGCCGCGCACCACGTCATGACGATGCGGGCGATGAAGAAGAGGATGTAGAGGGTGAAGAGGGGCTTGAGCGCGCCCTGGAGCGCCGCCGCGCTGCCGGCGTCGAGCGCGAGCGCGCCGATGACCTCCTGCGCCTGGGTGGTGGTGGTGGCTGCGGGGGCAAGCGGGCAGGTGGGCGGGTCAGCAGCGCGCCGGCCGTCGCGTGGGGGCTGAGACCTCGAGGGTTCCGTCTTGCTGGAAAGCTATGTATCAGATGAAGGATGTCAGGGGGGTTTGCGGCTGTTGCGGCGCCGCGAGTGTCCGCGATCCGCGCGAGTGTTTCCCAGCCCTTGAGACGCTCAGCGGGCTCGTGTCGCGCGGGTCATGGCAGAGGGCGCATCAGACGGCCGGGAAACGACCAGAAACACGCTGGAGTAAGTTCACGAGCAGAAGCGCGGGCCGAGGAGCGTCTCACCGAGCGGGTGCAGCGGCGCTGCAGCGCTAGCAGCACCAAGTGCGTCCGCAACGCCGTCTGAGGCGGGCAGCGCCGCTCGGACGTGCGTGGCTTGCCGCTTTCCGACGGGAACAGTCCCGCGGATGGTGCCGGCCGGCCGCTGAGTGGCTGCGCGGGGCACGCCAGCGGCCAGCCCGTGCCGGGCCACCGCTGGAGCCTGCATCGAACCGCTGGCGTCTCTGAGAGGCACTTGCGGGCTGATTGCGGACGGTGGCGGGTCTCTGCGGAGCAGTGACGCGGCGTGCGCGCCCGCGAGGGGTTCGTAGCGCCGTGGCGCGCGCCGCGGGCCGGGGGGGGTCCCGTCCGGGGGGAGGAGGGTGCCGTTGCGGGGCGCCGGGGGCTCGTTGCGGCGGGACGCGGCCGGCCGCGGCATCTCCCGGACCCAGACGACGCGTGACAGTGCCGTTCGCCACCCCCCGAGCCCCCAGGTCGTCGTTCAGTACCTTGGCCAGCTGTCGAGCACTGCCTTTCCGGCGACACTAGAGGAGAGCGGGCACCATGTCGGAGCGCAAGGCCGTCATTAAGAATGCCGATATGTCGGAGGACATGCAGAAGGCCGCCATTGACTGCGCGACCAGGTCCGTGGCCGTGCTCGGGCGCCCGCGTCTGCACCTTTCTATTCGTGTTCGAGCCGCAGGTCGCCGCGGGGCCGCGAGCCGGGCCGAGCGGTCGCGAACCGGGGCACCGTGATTTCGTTCGCGCAGGGCAATGGAGAGCTACAACATTGAGAAGGACATTGCGTCCTTCATCAAGAAGGAGTTCGATGCCAAGTTCAACCCGACCTGGCACTGCATCGTGGGGAGGAACTTCGGGTCGTACGTGACGCACGAGACGAAGCACTTCATCTACTTCTACCTGGGACAGGTTGCGGTGCTCCTCTTCAAGTCGGGTTAAACGGGCCTGAGACGAAACCGGCCCTCGTTGCAGCGCGGGCGTGGGCGCCGACGGGCGCTGCGGACGGAACTCACGCACGACTCGCTCCCAAGGATCCTCGTCGCGCGCGTCTCCCGCAACGCGCGTGCCTGGCGCGTCGTGCCGGGCCGCGCTGGCAGGCATGTCCGACTTCGCGCGCCACCGTCGCGCCCTGACCTTCGCTCCTGCGCGGGTCAGTGTGATGTCCAGGTAAAAATCTCCCAAGTTACCGCCCGAACCGCGTCACCAGACCCGCAGACACCGCGCCAGAGCACCTGCAGGGCCCTCTCTAGCACCTACGCCCTCCGGCCGCGCCCGGCCAGGCCCGTTTCGCCACTTGCCCAGCCGCCTCTCACCGCACGGACCGCGCCGGCGCGCTCCGCTTCCCGTCAGACCCCGCGCAGCCCCCCGGAGAGCGCACTTCCTCAACCTCCGGCGGCAACTGGACCGCACAGCGCAGCCCCAGACGCGCCTTCCCGCGTCTATCCGCACCCGGAGTGACGTTCACCCTCGAACGCAGCCCCCTCGCACCACAGAAAGGCCCCATCGCGCACTCCGGGCCTGCAGGGGGCTGCTCTGTTGACGTAGCCTCCACCTGTCGCGCCCAGCGCGCCACGCAGCGCCCCGACCGTCCTGCGCCGCCCGCCCGCCGCCGCGCACACAGCCGCGCCGCGCGCGACCGTCCGGGCCACCCGCCCCGCCCCTGCGTCAATCCACGTGCTTCGTGTGTGCACGACGCAAGTGACACTTCGCACACGCACTCCTACCGCGGCGCCGCACCACTCAAGGCGCTAGCACGCCCGTCATCGTACCCTCGCGCGCGTGCACCGGTCGATCCTCCAATATAGCCGCGTCACTGCGCCGCAGAACCAGCATTGATAGCGCACGTCGTCCACGCAATGGACGTTCGCAATGTCCCACGCACGAGGAACCTCCGTCCGGGGGCAGGAGGCGGCGCGGGGCGTGCTGCGCATCGTGGGCGCCGTCCCAGGCCGCGCGGGGCTGCAGCGCAGGGGCCGCCGGAGACGGAGCTCGCTGTGCAGCGACGGCCTCGCTGTGCGTCGCGCAGCCCACCCAAAGTTGGCGCTCCTGGCAAACAGACAATAGCGCCGATGGGCGGGCGTGGTACGGCTGACGCCCTTGCTGAGCCGCGTCCTCCTCGCGCGCTTCGGGCGATGTGCGCGGCCCCCGCACCCATGCAAGGCCGCCTATACAAAGTAGTAATTGACCACCCGCGCACGAAACGAAATGCGGGTGTGCTATCGTCCTGATCAAGGCGGCAGCGTGCTAGGAGTACTCGCCGCCTATACCAAAAAGGGATTCGTGATCAAGCAATCATGACTTCGGAAGCAGGAGCGCTTCCGACCGCACCAGTGCCGGTGCACCGCGGCAGTGCCGCGACCCCGCGCCGCGTGAGGGGCTTCCAGGCCTCCGTCGCGACGCGTGCCACGTAGTCTCGAGCTCACACCCCCCCCTCACTTCCCAGCACGGTGCTTCTTGTCCACCTCCTCAATACTCCTCCCCTTGAGCAGGAACAGCCGCTCCGCGCGCTGCTGCAGCGTCCCGCCGCACTTGAGCCCGCGGCTGCTCAGTTCGCGCTTCAACCGCTCCAGCCCCAACCCCTCCAGCTCCTGCGCACTGTCATACTGACTCAGGTCCACTGGGTCATCGCTCCCCGCGTCGCCACCGGCCCCAGCGGCGTCGGCGGACCGCTCTTCCTGCGGCGACGCCGCGTCAGGCTCGGAGCCCCCCCCCGACGCAGGCGCAGGAGCGGGTGCAAGGGGGGCGCTGCCGCTGGGCGTGCGCGGCTCGCTGGGCCCCGCGCCGCCGTCGGAGTCGCTGTCGGAGTCCGTGCTGGAGACAGAGACGTCGGAGTCGTCCAGGCCGATGAGGCGCATGCGCTTCTGCGCGCGTCTCTGCTGCGCAGGCTTCGCGGCGCGCTTGCGTGCCTCTGCCTGGGCCATCGCGGACGCCGCCTGCGACACAGACGAGCGGGCGTATCATGCATCAGAATCTCACGTCGCGTGGAGCGCCTCGAGACCGTTTCCGGGCCCTCGCACTCGCATGACAGACACGGCTGACACGAAGATGACTCAGCGGCCCGCGACGACCGCTCAAGCACGTCCAGCCGGCCACGCAGCAAGCGTACAACGCGTTCGCCCAGGCGGCGTGAGCGGCGGCGCGTGCGCGGTCACCTGCAGGCCCTTGGCCACTGCGGCGCGGGGCTTCCCCTCCACGACGTCGAACAAGTTGGCCATGCGCTCCTTGGCCTGGTCCGCCTCGCGCTCCTTCTCGAGCCGCTTCTGCAGCTTGCGCTCCTCCCGCGCGACGCGCAGCTGCTCCTCCCGCTCCTTCCTGCGCCACGGGAGATATCGAAACACGACTGGCGGTTGGCGCCTGCGGCTCTGATTGGATGAGGTGTTCGGGCGGCGCGGGGCCGCCGCGCGGGGGCTCATGTCGCCATAGCTTGCAGCAGGCCTTGGGCGGCGGGCAGGGAGACGGCCGGCGGGCTCACTTGGATGCCTCCCAAGCCTCAAGCTCCTTTGCAGCCTCGACTTGGCGAACGCGCCGCCCCTGCAGGTCCCGGCAGGCGCTCTTGTCGATGTCGTTGTGGTTGACCTTGCCGCCGGCACGCAGCAGGGCGCCGAAGCCGCCCTTTCCGCCGGCGAGGCTCAGGAGGAGGTCCATCGACGACCCGTGGCGGAGGTTGAGGGACCACAGGTGGGTCGCATTGCTGCCGCATGGCTTTCCCGAGGCGCTGAGCAACTGCTCGTGTGCCGGGATCCCGGTGCGCGCCTGCGTCGACGAGTGCGGAGCTGGGCTTGTAAGCGCGGGCGTCGCACGCAGCTGCGCCGAGGAAGCAGCGAAACCGACGTCGCCCATATGATTTGACGCGGCATGGTGCCGGAAAATGCCGCGGCGGGCTCAGGGAGGGCGCGGACGGGCTCCCAGCGCCGCGCGTCTGGATGGATGCAGCGTTCCAGCCTCCCTTACCTCCAGTACGGCTCGCAGGTCCCCAACGGTGGCCTCATGCGCCACTTCCAGCGCCATGCGACCATCCCCTCCGGGGTAGGAGACAAACAGCTGCATGGCGCCCCTCCAGGAGCCTGCAAGACCCTCTGGAAAGTGCTTCGCGCGCGCTGCCGCCACGAACGCTCGGACAACGCTGCTCCGAGGCACGGCGCGGCGTCGGGAGCATGTGCAGGCGCGCCCGCCGCGCCCCGGCCTTCCTCTCCGCCTCCCAAGACAGCAATCCCGCTTCTACTCTTCACGCCCCGACCAGTGCCTCCGGGCCTCCCCCGGGCCCCCCCGCCCGCACCCGCGCCTCTCACGCCCCCGCAGGCCCGCGCGGCGCCCCCACTACCCCGTGGGCCGCCTCGCTCCCACATCGCGCCTGAGTCAGGTCAGCAACCGCTGCTGCAGCCCGTTGGCAGCTCCGCCGGACTTTCGCGATGGCTTCTACCGTGGCGTCGCGCGCCGGCGCCCCGTCCCGGGTGGTCGGGCGCTTCCGCGTCACTCGCACGCGCACGCCCTCCGCGCGCCACGTCCTGCACCCCGCGCCGCAGGCGCGCAGGGCCGCGAGCTTCCGCTGCCGGGCAGAGCAGGTGCGCCGCGCCACGCCGCGCACTCCCATCACCGACGCGCCCGCGCGTCCCTCCCGCAACGTGTCTGGTGATGTGTTCGATCTGTGCGCGGAGTTTGAGGGCCAGGGGGGGGTCGCAGCCCCCGGGCGAGGGCCGTTCCAGAAGGCAGGGCGATGACCGCTGCGGCGGCGCACGGCCGGCGGGTCTGTTGGCGCGTCCCGCGCGGATGAGAGATATGCGCGGTGTTTTCATGTCGCGGGGCGGCCGCGTCGGCGCGTGGCAGCATATACAGGCGTTGCGGTGCCTAGTGCTCGCCGCCCCTCATCCCGGACCTTGCAGCCCGCGGCGCCGCGTTCTCCGTTTCTGCCGCGGCCACGCCACTGCGCACGTGCTGTCGCACCGCCACGCGCCCCGCCGCCGCCGCTGACCGCGCATCCCCCGCCCTGTCCGCGCCCCCACACCGCGCACCTATACCGCGCTCGACGCCCCCGCGTCTCACCTCGCGAGCAGCGATGTCAATGTCAGGCCGCCACGAATCGCACCCGCCGCCCTCTCCCGCGCGCCATCGGGGCATTTTCGGCCACTTCGCGGGAGCCTGGATGGTGTTGGTGGCCGTCATCGCGCCGACCGGCCCCGGTGCGCCGCAGGAGAAGGCCGAGAAGGAGGAGGAGGACGAGCACGAGGTGGAGGTCGTCGAGGAGGAGGCCGCCGAGGGCGAGGAGGCGGCAGAGGAGGAGACTCACATCACTGGATTCACTGCCCAGATCGAGGTGCGACACCCCCGCCCCCCCTCCCTCCCGCTCACACGCCGACACCTCCGCTCCGTCGCGCATAGCATCGCCACGTCCGCGTCACGGACGCCCGCGGCCACCCGCGCCCCTCACGCGTCAGCCCAGCCGCCTTCCTGCCAGCGCTTGCGCCGCCGCCGCCCCGGCCGGCGCGCGCGAGCCGGCCTGCCTGACGCCACCGAGCGAGCCCGCTTTCCGCAGACCGCGCGCGAGGCCCTGGCCGCGCACGACATGGAGGTTCTGGAGGCGTTCATCGACCACGCGGCAACCGAGGTGGGCGACCTGCGGGAGTCCAGCGCGGAGGCGGAGGCCAAGGCTGCGCTGGCGGAGTCGCAGGCCACGACGCTGCAGAACCAGTACCTGCGGCTGCAGGCCGACTTCGAGAACTTCCGCCGCCGCTCGCGCGACGACGCCGCGCGCGCCAAGGACGACGCCGCGGGCAAGGTCGTCGAGGAGCTGCTGCCGCTGATCGACTCGTTCGAACTCGCGCGCCAGCAGGTCAAGGTGCGCCGCCACGGCCCCGCCGCGCCCTTGCGTTGTTGTTGCACATCGCCGCGCGACGCCGGAGCCAGGGGGGCCGACCGGCACGCGACGCGTCCGTCCGTTGCGTGTGCGCTGCAGGTGGAGAGCGAGGCGGAGGAGAAGATCAACAATTCGTATCAGGGGATCTACAAACAGATGGTGGACATCTTCCGCAAGCTGGGGGTCGAGGCCGTGCCGACGACGGGCGAGGACTTCGACCCCGAGATGCACGAGGCGATCATGCGCGAGCCCCGCGACGACGTGCCCGACGGGCAGGTCATAGAGGAGTTCCGGAAGGGCTTTATGGTCAACGGCAGGCTGGTGCGCGCCGCCATGGTCAAGGTCGCGTACAACGACGCCGCGCCCGCGCCGTCGTCGGACGAGGAGCCGAGCGACGACGCGGAGTAGGCGCGCTGCCGCCGCGACCCGTGTTGCGCGAGGACACAGAGGCACCAGCGCGTGCCTAGGGGGGGGTGTTCGCGTCGTGCGCTGGACGCGGGCTGACTCGGCGTTGAAGCGACGAGCTGGTCTTTGTGAGGAAGACCGGCTGAATGGGCGATTCACAGTGCGCGCCGCGCTCTCATTTGCCCAGGCGCGGGCTCCACTGCCCAGGCACGAACCCGGCGGGCATGTCCTCGTCGTCCTCCGCCGTGCTGCCCTCCGTCGGCCCGTCGTCGTCGTCCTCGTCCGCGCTCCCCAGAGCCCCGTCCCCGTTGCGCGCCTCGCCGCTGCACCCGTCCACGCCGCACCGCCCAGGACTGGCCCCGTGCGCGCACCCGTTCCGCCGCTCCGACGCGTCCACCGCCTGCGCCACACAACACGATAGCCGGCCGTCGCAGGGCGCGTATCAGGCGCAGACCCGCAGACATGCAACGACATTTGATGCATTGAAGTACAACAACAAACGGCGTCCCACCCTCGCACCTCCATCGGCACCAGCAGCGCGCCGGTGCCCATCTGCTTGGCCTGGTCCTGCACGATCGGCCACAGCATGTAGCCCGTGTGGTGCAGCACCGCCGCGCTCATCGCGCCGGGCCCCGTAAACCTGGCGCCTGCGCGCTTGATCGCCTCGTCGACCGGGATCGCGCAGCCAGGCGGCGCCTCCGGCACTATCGGCGCGGACAGCTCCACGCAAGGGATGTCGACCTCCGTTGCAGGTTCCGGGGGCTGCATTCCATGCCCGCTGATCTCGTCCAGCGACGGCGCGTCGGGGGCGCCCTCCTCGTCGGCGGCGGGCGCGATGCCGTACTCCTGCGCCACGGCGGCGTCGAGGGGAGAGACGTCCCCGGGGCGGCGGTCCCAGAACCGGATGACAAGGGAGACGCGGAGGGTGGTGTCCGCTGATGTCAGGAGCCCGATGGGCAGACGACCGTCGAAGACGGCGAGGTGCCGCGGGATCGGGAAGACCATCGCGGCGCGCTCGGGGCGCTCGGGCTCCATCTCGCATGTCGCGGGGTTGTACATCTGTTCGAGGACCACTGCGCGGCGCAAAAAACCAAATAGGGTTTCGTGATTGTCGACGCGGAACCCATCCATGTCTCACGCGCCGGGCATTCGAGCGCGCAGCGCGCAGCGCGCAGGCGTCCGGGGCCGGAGCGCGGGACGCACCGTCGGGCGCCTGGCGGTGCGATCCGAACCGTCCGTCAGACCCTGTCAGGTACAACACGCAGTTGCAGATCGGCGTGCGAAGCTCAGCCTCGGACTCGAGCGCCTCCGCGTCGTGCTCGAGGTGGAACGACGTCTTCCCGCCCGGCTGGTTGACCTGTGCAGAGACGCGTCGCGACGCAGGGGCGTTGGAGCACGTGACGGCGACGGCGAAGATTGCGCGACGATTGCTCGCGCTCGGGCGTCGGAACGCGCGTGGCGAGGCAGGGCGAGGCGTGGAGCGGCTGCTGGGCGGCGGGCGCGTACCACGGCCCTGCAGTCGGCGCCTGCGCACTCGCGTTCGCCCAGGAGCGGCTTCACGACGCGCTCGTACAGCTCGACGATCCCGCTTTCGACGCGCCAGTGCGGGTGGACATCTCCCTCGAGGACCTGCGGACCGAAACGCTCACGGCGGAGAGAGCTTGAGGGGCGCGCAAGGCCTCGTGCGCTGCCGCGCACCTCCTCCTTCCCGTCAACGGGGCGTCTGCGACGCCTGACGTGGATTGTGTTTGATGGATCTCAAGTCAAACTGGCTGGAGAGGGGCGGGAAGGGCCGCTTGACGCGAGACGAAGGGCGCACGGGCCGGAACACGACGCAACGTGACTAGCATGAAAAAGGACAAGAGGAGAGGAGGCGCGCCGCTTTCGCGCGCCCATCGCGGACGAACGTGCGCCCCGCCACACGTCAATGTCGTGAAGTACCGCGAAAAGCGTTTCACGAAGGCATGACACGCACTGCGGGCGCCGAATCGCCACGGAAGGGGGTGCGCAGGGGCACACCTCGCGCCCGACCCAGAACCGCCGTTGTGTGTCAAGCTTCTTGGCGTCCTCGAGCAGCCCTGGTCTAGTGATGGGTTTCACGGCGTCGCGGAACACCTTGCACGCATTCTGAGGCCACGCCGGCCGATCCCCCGTCATCGCTGCCTCCCGGCTCTGCGGTGCTGCGAGGCGGACCCCGCCAGCTGCGGCGCGACAAGCAGGGCGCCGGAGAACAGGCAGTGGGTCCGTGGGCGAAGGCGTCTGGCACACTCGGCCCGACGACGCGGCTGTAACAGCACCTGTTCTCGCTGTGAGTGCTGGAGTCCGCTGCGCTGCACTGCTTCACCGGCTCTACGCTGCTCAACGATGTGTGCTCCTGCGCGTGATGTGCGCGCCCCGTTCAGCTCCGCACCGGACGCCGTGGCCGGTCATACCACCCCTCCCCCCCCCGATGTCTTGGGCCCCGGGTGGCTCGCTCCAAAGCTTCAGCGCGCGTAATAGGGCCATTTGCGCCGCAGTACAACAACAGTATGCCGTTAGGATAGTTAAATTGGTAAAGCGTGCATCACCTGTCGCTCCGGCCGCTAGAACACCACTCGCAGCGGGGCATGCTCCTGGCCGCGGCGCGGCAGATACGCCCCCCCGTCGCACTTCCCCGTCTTGCCCGGAGCATCACCCGCGCACGGACATCGCGCATCGCGGCAAGCACGCCCGCTGCGTCGGGAGCGATGGAGGCAAGCCCGCAGCGCCACCACCCCAGCAAACCGCGTCTCTCGCCACGCTCCCACCGCCTCACATCACGTCTCGCGCCGCGTCCTATACTTCTCCATGTTGGCAACCTCACAGCCAATTGACGGTAGATTCGTGCGAGCATCCGAGGCGCACGACCACCATGAACCCTGAGGTCTCCTCCCATGCGTGCAGAACCTCCCGGCGACGCTGCCGTTCAGCGAGCGCATCAACGTCAAGTCCAGCCAGGTCTTCGCCGCGACCGAGCTCTCCTACGCGTTCGTCAACCTAATGCCTGTCCTCCCCGGCCATGTGCTCGTGTCGCCCAGGTGCGCCGATCCGCCGCGGAGTCACCGCCGCCGCCCGCGCACCGGCGTGAGGCGTCGCCGGCGAACACCGGCCGTGCGCGAGGGATCCTTGCGGGGCGCGAGAACCAGGATGGGGGTTCGTGCTGACTGCCGCGTGTGTCTGTGTGGCGCCCGTGCGCAGGCGGATCGCGCCGCGGTTCAGTGATCTGTCTGGCGAGGAGGTTGCGGACCTGTGGCAGCTGGCGCAGCGCGTGTCGGCGGCGATCGTGCCGCACTTCGGGTGCACGTCGACGACGTTTGCCATTCAGGACGGGCCCGACTCTGGGCAGACGGTGGCGCACGTGCACATCCACATACTGCCGAGGAAGCCCGGGGACTTCAAGAAGAACGACGAGGTCTACGACGCGATCGAGAAGAGCGAGTCGGACATGAGTCAGGCAGCGGAAAAGGCGGGGGAGTCCAAGGGGATGGACGCGGAGGACGGCCGCAAGCCTCGGACGCCCGAGGAGATGGACGGCGAGGCCGCGGCGCTCCGGCAAGTCATGGCCGCGGCTGGGCGCGCGTAGGGTTGTAACCCTCCTGGCGGTGCCAATTTGGCATCGGATGACAGCGGCGCTCACGTGGGACGGCCCGCACTGCAGCAGCCGTCCGGTGCGGAGGTGCCGCCGTGCCGGGACGACCCGGTGCGGCGTGCGTTTTCGCGTCGGTGCTTATTGTACTCCGGGGGGGGTTGAAACGGAATGCTCCCCCCGCGAAGAGCTCCCGCCGTTGCCGTGGCGCGACGCGCCGGTGCGCAGAGTCGCGGGGACCGACGCGCGGCGTCGTGAGCCGTGCGTGCACGCGCGTGTGTCCAAGTCCTCAAGTAGACAGAGCTATTAAATAACAAATAGAGGTGATTTGGGGCCATGTCGCGCGAAAACGAGCCCGCGAAAAAGAAGGCCCGCACCGGGGACGCGCCCGCGGATGATGACTTCGTCGAGGACGCCGAGGCCTGCACCACCGTCGTCGTCGTCGAGACGGCCGCGGAGTTCCGCGCCGCGCTGGCGGGGCCCCCGGAGGCTGCCGCTCCGCCGGCCGACGCTCCGCCGTTCGTGCACCAGATCTTTCCTCCGAACGACGAGGACGTCTGTGAGATCAAGGTCCGCCCCCGGGCGCCCCCTTCGTGGAGCTCGGCGGTCGGCGCGCGCCCGTGGGCCGGCGCGTTGCGTGCACGCTGGGCGCACAGCACGGCGGCCGTGCGAGCTCGTTGAGGCGAATGCGGCGTGGAATGAGGCGGCAACGCGATGCCCCTGGACCAGCAACGGAGGGAGGCTGGTCCGGAAGAAGCGTCGGGGCCGCAGGAAGCCTCCCGCCAGGCCGAGGCGTGAATTTTCGTCCGCTCCTGCCCAGCACTTCGTACGGGCGCGCCGCCGCCCGAACGCGTTCCCGGCGCCCCGCACCGTGTCCCCGCAGGGATTCAAGGGCATCTCGATCACGGTATTCGTCGCGGCGACAATAGGCCGCGTGTACTGCCGTGCCAGCTACGATGAGACGAAGGGCCCTGCAACGGACGTGGCGGGCAAGCTGGCGTACTGGTTCACCGCGGAACAGGTGCGTCGTCGTCGTGGAGACCGGCCATCCGCATTTCAGGCAGCCGTTGGGTCAAAACGCTCCGGCACCGTGGGCTGCTGCGCACCTGCGACGAGCGGCGTCACTCGCGCCGCGGCGTCGTGCTCTGGCCGCGGTTCCACGCCCACGCCGCACTCCGTCGCTGCAGGGCGCGCTGATCGATGTCGGGCAGGCGGACGGGCCGTTTCCGAACGCTGACGCCTTCGCGGCGGCGCTCGAGGGCAACGACACGACGTACGCAACAACGCCCTCCGGCGAGGAACTGGGCGAGCCGCTGCACACCTTCGACGCAGGAGACGCCGGCACCGTAGCGGTGTACGCCGCAGACCTCAAGCCCGACGCAGAGGTGCGGCGCCCGCCCGGCAGTGCCGAATTGCATCCGCCGCAGCACGGTGCCCGTCCGGCCCCCGCAGCGGCCGTGACACTCTCCGACGGCAGCGCTGCACGCGGGCCCCGCAGACCGCCGTGTCGCGAGGGCGCAGGCACAAAGCGAACGCCGCGCCGTGCCCCGCTGCAGGTCGCCAACTTGCACCGTCGTTTGGAGCCGCTGCTGCCGCTGTACATCGACGGCGCGAACACGATCGACACCTCCGACGGATACTGGATGCTCATGCTCGCGCGCTGCGCGCCCAGCGGCGGCGCTCCGTCCAAAACACCCCCCCCTACCCTGGGGCTGGCAACGGTGTACCGCCACTACCACTACACGCCCGACGGCGCGGCGTCTGACCCGTCCGGCGGCTCCGAGACGCGCCGGTTCAAGCTCAGCCAGCTCCTCGTGCTCCCGCGGTACCGCGGCCGCGGCGTCGGGCGCGCCATGGTGCGCGCATTGCACGCGCTGGCGTCGGCACGGGGCGCGGTGGACGTCACGTTCGAGGACCCGACGCCGCAAGTCACGCTCATGCGCGACCGCGAGGACTTCCTGCGGCTCCGGGAGGCACGCAGCGGGCGGGCGCTCGAAGCGGCGGCCGAGGCGGCCAAGGATGGTTCGCTGCGGCCCTCCGCGGACGACGCGGCGTGGATGCGGCGCGAGGGCCTGCTGAGCCCGCGACAGCTCGCCCGGATCTGGGAGGTGCTCCTATGGGCCGCGTCGGGGTCGTCGACCGCGACCGAGGCGCTCTTGAGGTGAGCGGAACGCGCCTGGTCTGTCATGGGCGCAAAAGGACCCCTGCACCCTGTGCGTGTTTTCCTGCGTGTGCGCGCGTGATTGGCGGAGGTATACGTGTGCTCGCAGGCGGAAGGCCGAGGAGGAGAAGCGGCGCGCTGACGCCAGTGCGAAGTGCAAACGGTTTGTCAACCTGCGTCCACTGACGTCAGGGGAGGACGCGGGAGCCGCGGACAGGGGCCAGGATGGAGGAGAAGAGGGCGAGGACGACGGCGACAACTGGATGATGGCGAAGCACCGCGGCCTCAAGGCGCGCACCTCATCCCTGACTCATGCGCTGTCAGTCGGACAAATGCCATGGCCTCCCCGCACGCCCCGCTCTCCGCGGCGCGAATTGGCTTCGTCTTGCTCGCACGTGCGCAGGGTGGCCGTGCGGTGGAGCTTCCGGACGCGACGGTGGGGATGGTGCAGACGGTGATGGCGGCGCTGGAGGGGGGCGGGGACGCGGAGGCAGAGGCCGAGGAGGACCCCGTGGCGACGCGGCTCGTGGAGATCCGGAAGCTGCTAGAGCTGTGCCGCAAGGGCTGACGCAGGCGGCGGGATGTGATGTCGGAGGCGCAATTCAATGATCAGCCGCGGGGAGGCACGGGCGTTGGCGGCCTGCGACGTCTGCGAGGCACTTTGCGCCTTGCGGGGCACGGTGGACGCGCGTGGCTGCGGGGGGGGCGGCAGGGAAGTTGCGTCGTCACACCGTCACCCCTCCACCCACCCCAGCTGCCCCTCGTACCGGTCGCGCAGTTTCTTGAGGCGCTCCCTGTTCAGCGTGCAGTGCACGCCGTCGTGCAGCTGCGACTCCAGCTGCCACCCGCCCGCCTCGTACACCACGCTCTCCAGCCACCCGTCGTCGGTGCAACGGTCCCACCCGAAGGCCGAGTTCCCGTTCATGTGGTCCAGCATGTCCTGCCCCTCCTCCTCGTTCTCCGTGCAGTACAGCGAGAAGATCTTCCCCTCCACCGACAGGTTCTCCAGCGGCGGCACCGGCACCTTGAACCCCTGCTCGACGATGCCCTTCGCCTGCAGCAGGAGCTTCGAGATCTCCTCGCCCTTGATGCCGTGCATGCGCTTGTTGCTGGGGTAGTACAGCGCCCGCTGGTACGGCGTGCCCTCGGCGATGTACTGTTCGATGAACGAAGGGAAGCGGTTGTTCAAACGGCTGCGGATCTCGCCGACGTTGACCAGCACGGAGCCCTCGCGCATGTACATGTGGTTCAGCAGGCCCGTGCCGGGCCCTGACAGGTAGATGTCCGCGTCTGACAGGAGCTCGAACTGACGCGGTAGCCCGGGGTACTGCGGCCACTCGATCCACTGCACGCTGAAGTTGTCCTTGCCGTCCAGCTCCGCGATGGCGGCCTGGATCTCCGCGATCTCCTCAGGGCTGTACCTGCAGCGGCGTCGCCACGCGGCAGCGATGTTTTGCCGGCCCCGGGCACCGCAGGCGCGTTTCGGCGCGTGCGCGGCGCCGCGTGCGCACCGTTTGTTGCTGATCACCAGCGCCTTGACCACATCGCCCTTCTGGCGCTTCTTGAGCTGCACGCCGAAGCCCTGGAAGAGCCTGTCGCGGAAGTGCTCCATCACGCCGTCGCGGCCCTCGTAGATCGCCGCCTCCGGGTACACGGCCCTCTGCGCACGCTCGCCGCTGCCGGCGACGACGTCCTCGAACAGCAGGACCTCCCCTGGGTGCCGCTCCGGGATCGCACACAGCGGGAGAAACTCCCCCCCGATCGCAATTGCCTGCGCTCCGCACCACGGGATCGCACGCGGTTGCCGCCGGGCCCGCGCGCGGCGCGTCGTGCGCTGTCTGCGCGGCACATTCTGCGCACCTTGATGGCCTTGCCCACGTCGCAGAGCTCCTCGGCGGGGAGGCAGAAGTTTGCACACAGGCCCTCGCAGTACGCAGCGCCCGCGCGCCCCATCTGTCCCGAGACGTCGCCCGGAATCATTCGGATCGGCTCCTCCGCCAGCCCGTGGTCGAACGCCGCCGTGAACGCCGGGTACAGCCCGTCGAACATCCCGTGCCCTACATTGACCGCTGCCCATATGGTGTTGAACACGAGGCTCGGGCCCTCCTTCCGCACCACGTTGCGCGCCTGCAGTCGCTGGCGGAAGATGCAGCTCGGGGCCCGCGGGCGCTCGGCTGCGCGCCGGAGCGAGGATCGCGTCGCTGCGGGGTGTGCCACGCGGAGCAAGCAAGGGCGAGCGCACCGCGAAATACTCCTTGACTTCCTGCGCGTTGTCGAACTCGAGGTGCTGCGGCTCCCAGTAAGGATCGGCCCCGAACGCGCGCTTCGGGCCCAGGTTCAAGAAGTGCTCCGGGAGCGGCTTGCCACGAAGGCGCACCGTGGCAAAGCCCTCCCCGAGCCAGTACAGGTTCTTGAACCGGCATGACCGCGTCCAGGGAGGACGCTTCCCGCCTATGCACTGCACCTCCGTCAGGTAGGCCGCGGCGTCATCCTCAGGGGCCGGCGCCGCGGTCGCAACGGGAGCTTCGGTGGGAGCTGGGGTAGCCGCGGGCCCCTCAGCGTGTGCGGGCTGCAGCACGGCCCCCGACCCCGCTGACCCGGCGCTCGAGCGCCACTGGATCACTATGGCGATCACGAGCAGCACGGCGGCCACCCGCACGGCGCCGCGTTTGTAAAAGACCTGCCGTGCCATGAGCCCGCCTTCATGGACGCGGTTCGGGCCAGACGAAGGTTGCAGCGACGACGAAGCGGTGCCTCGCCGCGCGCGCGCGCGCACATGAGGCCGCCCGGCCTGGAGCGTGTTCGGGGGGGGGGTTTGGATCGAGTCAGTGAAGGATTCTACCCCTACAAAGTAGCTTTCTAGCGCCGAACGTGAGCCGGTGGGTCTACGATTGCCGGAGTGACGCACACGATCGCACAGTTCCGCTTAGAGGCTTGAATGTCGCGACGTTGTGTTCGCAGTGCGTGCCCCGTGCACGTCGCGGATCGCGACTTTGCTGCCAGCAGAATAGGTCCGGCCGCCACTGCAGCACGATCATGCGCGTCCGCGTTGAATTTGTGACACCGACCGAATGATATGATGTGATGGATGCGATCGCGCTGATAACATGCGCGCGGCACCCGACCGGCGGGCGTGTACAACGCATCCTCACTGCAGCCAGGCCAGGGAATGTCGGGGGCCGCGGTGGCTCCGATGTGCGGTCCTGAATCCTCCCTGCGACGACATAAGGGCGGTATGAATATTGGCGCGACATTCCGCGCGAGCACGGTGCGCGCGGGCAGCGAGTGCGGACAGTCTCGGCGGGGGCGGGCCAGCGCGTGCGCAGGGGCAAGGGGTACTAAGGTTTCGCGCGGCCCTCACGTTTCTAGACTCCATCATTCCGGAAATCGCGTCGAATAGGTGGAACACCCGTCGGGCGGGCCAGACTACGGAAGGTGAAATCGGGCGCGTAGTGCACCTCGTAAGCGGTGGCGGCGTGCACAAGCTGCGGGGCCAGGAGCCCCGTACGGCGTGTCTGGTGACGCGACGCATCTTCCCGCACGCTCATAATCACCGGGCAGGGTGGGAAGGGCGCCTGAGCCGGGCCAGACGGGCATCTGGTGGCGCCGGCGACGTCGGCACCTCGATGAAAGGAACAGTGCGTGCACATGTTTTTATGTCCGCATTTACGCGTACTTGTCGCGCAGTCACGGCTTTTCCGCGACTTGTCGGCACGCGCGGGGGTGAGACCTGGCCGACAGGGGAGGAACCCCGCGAAAAATTACGCGCACATTGCACCAAACACGCGACAAACACCCACCAGTGACACGGCCGAGGCGCGGAGGACGATCGCTGTGCTGGACGTGTCACAGTAAAATCCTTCACTGACCGATCTCTGGTCTGACGTAGTGCGGCACGCGCTTCCGGGGCGCTGTTTGGGCGCGGGGCCGCGAGCGCGCGCAGAGTGGCGCGTTGGCGGATTGCGTGCGTTGCGTCGCGTTGAGGCTCGACACGTGATATACTCTTTCGAGGCCTGCGAAGGGCTTGTAGCTGCGCCCGGCTTGTAGCTGCATCTGGACCGCTCGCGCAGAGATGGTGCAGGCCGAGCCCATCCTGGGGCTCACGCTCAGCGCGCTGGGGGGCTCAGGATGCGTACTGTCGGCGGAGACGCGGGTGAGTGGAGTTTTCGCAGCGTCGCGCGGGAGAGCCGAGGAGACTACGCGCTCGCTCCGTGCCGTCGCGCACCGTTTCCGCGCACGGCCCCCGCCCTCGTACTTTTCTGATCTTTGACCGCCTGTTTCGCGGCGGACGTCCCGAGCTTCCCTAGCACGGCTCGCCGCCCGGGCAGGTCCACAGTAGCTCCACATTTCTGCTCCCACGGCCGCGGCCCACGTCGTCCTTGCTGCGGCCGGAAGCCCGCGACCGGATGCCGTAGATCTCCACTTGCCGCGTTCGCGCAAAACGGCCGGCGAAACCCATCGATCAGCGCGCATGGCCCACTCGAGCCTCCAGCCCGCGCCCACCGGTCCTGTCCGAGCTGTCGCGCCGCGCCCGCCGCCTCTCAAGGATGTTTCACGCGCCCAACGCGGCCACCGTGTTCACCAACGGGCCCCGTCGTTGCCGTTTCGGCCTGCGCGCGATTCTCGTCGCGGCTGCGGCAGCACCACCGCTCTGTGCCTGCGCCGCCCCTTCGGCGCCGTCCCTGCGGCTCTCGCATCGCCCAGCGCGCGCGTGACGCCTCTCACGACGCGGCCACGGTCATTTCCTCACCGTACGCGGCCAGCGCGTCAGACCAAAGCGGCCCTGCGCGCCCGTGCTCGCGTTTTAGCGCCCCAGGCATGTGCTGGCCTCAAAGCACCAGCCCGCGACGCTGGCGGGCGCTCGCGCACTGAGGCGCTCGGTTCCGGACCCCTGGCTCGTGCAGAACGCGATAGAGGTGTCGCTTGACATCAAGAAGTCGGAAACGGGGCTGGACTTCCTCTACCTCTGGGGGCGCATCACCACCCGCAACGGGAAGGACTACCTGGTCGCGGAGGGGCACAGCGGCGGCAAAGGTGCGGCTCACTTCGCAGTCCACGCCCCTCTGCGTCGCGCTCGGACCCGAACGCCGCCCGCAGACGCTCCCGCGCCCACCTCAATGCGCGGCAAGACTCGCGTGCCCGCCGCGCCGTGCAGTGTTCAAGGGCGCGGTGTCGCTCCCGATCAAGCACTTCTTCTCCCAGGACGGCACGACCTGGGCCGACCTGCCGGAGACGCTCTCGCCCGAGGAGCTCGAAACGTGCTCGAAGATCGCTCTGAAGAAGACCATCTTCACGGGCGACCCCGCGACGGTGCGCCGCCCTCCTCCCCCGACGCCGCGTCCCGAGCTCGCCCCGCAGCTCTCCCGGCGCGGCGAGAGGCGTTGGGCGCGAGCAGCGCACCCGCGCGCGCTTGCACTAGGTGGGTGCCTGTGCTGCGGCGCGCGACGGGCCTCGCTCGCTCGCGTGGCTGCCTTCGCAGATTCTGACGCCGGACGGCACCGCGGTGGGCGGCGAGGAGGGCGACGCGGCCCCCGCGGAGGGCGACGAGGCGCAGAAGGGCGTGCAGGTCACGGAGCTGCAGCGGCTCAAGCACGTCGTGGAGGCCATCACGAACGACTGCTTGGTGGTTCCGCGCGGCGCGTTCGTGGAGAACGCGTCGAACAAGATCATTCCGAACGGCAACTTCAACGGCGTGCACCACCCGGAGAAGCTGGAGAGCTACCAGCACTTTACGCGCGGGCCCGACACGCCCAAGTCGGACCTGGGGGAGAACCCGCGCGGGTCGTGGAGCATCACGTACGACGGGTTCCGCGGCGTCGCGGTGGGGCGCTCGAACGTGTGGCTCGGGTATTCGTTCTACTTCAACACCAAGAACAAGACCTTCGGGGGACTCTACTTCGGCGACGGAAACAAGAACACCGACCTCATCTTCATGTTGTAGGCTGACTGCGGGGGCGAGCTGCGCGGGTGGACCCGCCGGCTGCGGCCGCGTGTGAAGGCGGCCGGCTGCGCCAGCTGGTGCCGCTCAATCAATTACTACTCTGTGCCAGTGTGCGTTCAGTGGTCGCGGAATCGCGCGAAACGGTGCGGGATCGCGTCACAGCGAGCTGCTCGGCGAGCGAGCGACGCAGCTGCGGCCAGCGAGCGGGCACGGCGGCCGCTCTATGTTAGCTGCATGCGCCAGCTGCGCCCTCGCCCGCTCCGCGCGCCCGCGGCCTCCGCCGCGCAGCCCACGCGGGCAGAGCCCTACTTCTTGCTCTTCTTCTCCTTCTTCTCCTTCTTCGCCTTCTTCCCGCTCTCCGGCGCCGCCTCCACCTCCTCCGCCTTGCGCTTCTTGTCCTTCTTGTCCTTCTTCTCCTTCTTCTCCTTCTTCTCCTTCTTCTTCGCGCTCCCGGGCTCCTCGTCCGCCAGGTCCGCGCCCCCGAGCTCCTTCATCGCCTCCTCCATCACCTTGAGGTTCTTCCGCGGCGCAACGCCCTCGTCGTAGAACCGCAGCCGCTCCTCCACCTGCGCCCGGGGGCCCGGAGAGAAAAGGTCGGACTGGCGATGCCGCGGGGAGCGTGCGCGGGCCGCTGTGGGTTCCCCGCGCTTGAGGGGAGGTGTGTGAGGTGTGCGTCTGTGTGGGTGGGTGGGTGCGGCGGCTGGGGCTCTCAGTCCCGAAAGATGATAGATTGAGGTAATCACGGAGGTAGGGTACCGACCAAGATGCCCCGTCATAACCTGTTGGTACAACATTGTCGATCATCGAGCAGCCCAGCCAGCCGCACCCGCGCGGCGCGAAACAACGCCGCCGCGGCGCACACGAAACAAGCAAGCAACCTCTACGGCTGAGCGAGCGCAGACCGGCGGAGCGCGCGCAACGCTGCGCGTGCTCCGCACATCAAAAGCCCCCCCCCGCCCTGCGCGCCGCACGCACCTGCTCCTTCATCTTGCTGCCGAACACGTCGCTCGACGCGTCCATGAACGCGTCGATCCGCGACGCGATCGAGCACTTGTTCGCGAGGTACCGCGAGATCCGCCCCTTGTTGCGCGCCTTGGCCCGCCCGATGAAGCTCGAGTGGAAGATCAGGCCGTACTTGGGCGTGTTGCCCTTGGTCTTGAGCGCGCGGAACAGCGCCTTCTCCGCGCCCAGGATCTGCACCGTCGACGCGGGGTACTTGGCGAGCGACACCAGCGACCCCGCGTGCGAGATGAGGCGCGCCCCGACCACCTCCCCGATCAGCGCGCTCAGGTTGGGCGCGACGACCTTCATCTTGTCCTGCAGGTACGCCCAGAGCTTCTGCCGGTACTCCGCGAGCGAGATCACGCGCTTCGCGAACGCCGCGATGTTGACCAGGTCGATGGGCGAGATGTCCTGCCCCATCGAGGCCTTGCTGGCCTCGACGACCTCGCGCGCGCGGTCCTCCTCGCCGAGGATCTCCGCGAGCGCGGGCACGAGCTCGTCGGACGCGGACGCCTTGTCGCGCACCACCAGCGCCACGCGCGCGTACTGGTAGTTGTCCGGCACGACCTTGCAGAGCTCGGGGAAGTGCCAGGAGTACCACTCGCGGACGCGCATGACGAAGGTGTTGATGTCCTTGTCGAGCGTGTCGAGCAGCGCGATCGCCTGGATGATCATGTTGTCGACCTTCTTGACGTTGAACTGCACCTTGCTGCGGCTGTACGAGTGCGCGAGGCCGAGCTGCGAGCGGTGGACGTCCTGCTCGGTGAGGCCCTTGACGAGCGTGCCGAAGTGGAGCCGCACGCCGCGGAGCAGCTCGCCCACGTAGGCGCCCGACTGGCACGGGATGGTGGCCTGCTCCTGGATGGCCTTCCCGAGCTGCGGCTCCGCGACGCCGAGCTTGAACTTGGCCTTTGAGAGCGACTTGACCTGCGGGGGGCGGCGCGGGGCGGCGCGGCGGCGTGGGGGCGCCGGGCGGGAGGGACACACCGCGTGACGGCCGCCCGCTGTTGCGGCGTGTCGCGGCACCTTGGGGGGTTGGGCTGCCGCGGAGGCGGGCCCTCTGGACCTGTGGGGCGTGGTTGCGTGGCGGAACGAGGCTGAGAAGGCCCCAGGAGCGCACCTTCGGGAGGTTGGTTTCCAAGAAGGAGCGTAGCAGCTCCGTGGTCTCATTGTCTGACACGGCGAGGATGTTCTCCAGCGCCTCCTGTGCGGACTCGAATGGCTTGAAGGCCGCGAGCTTGAGGACCTTGCCGAACCGCGACGCGTCCGCGTAGGCCTGCTGCACGGCCTCGGCAGTCTGGTTGGTCTCGTCCGTGGCGGTCACCTCGAAGAGAGCGAAGCCCGAGGCCTGCTCCGAGAGCAGGTAGAGCGCCTGCGGGAGCGGTTGGGGGCCGAAGCGGATCGGCGGGCTGACTCAGGGCGCGGTGCGGAGCAGAGAGGCGCACGAGGGGGACCAGGAGAGCGATGCCGGAGTGCACGGCGCGGATAGTCGCGCGAGCACCGCGCGGGGTCGCGAATTTCGTTAAAAGCCGTCCGCCGCGGGCGTTGGCGCGCGAGGCGGCGGGCGCACCATGGTGGCGCGGTGCCCGAGCGCTGGGACTGCGGCTCGGCGACGATGAGCTTCGCGGGGGACACCCGATGCGGATCCGCGACCCCGAGACGACCGCTCGCGTCCCAAAGCACGGATTTCTGCGCGCAGCTCGCCGCCACGCCCTCCCTCGAGCGCAGCGCCCGTCCTGGTCCGACACACGACAGTCCCGGACCAATTTCACCCCCCGCACAGCTTGGCCCGCGCGTGCTTTCGGCCGCGCTCGCCCCCAGCACCCACATGCGCGCACAGCCCGCGCCCAGCACCGTCGACGACCCAAGCCCACCACCAGCTGCATCATCACGCGGCGGGCGCCGACGCAGCCCGGTCCGCGCGACCGGCTCGCACCCGAGGGACCGTACCGCCGGCGCCCGGACACTCGCGGCAGGCGAGCGGAGCAGCGCGCACCACACCGACGCGCAGTCCTCCTCCTGGACAGTGCACAGTAAGGTGTTTGTACTTCGCTGACCCACAAGCACCCTCACCGCGAGGATGCCTGATCGACCGAAATGGTACGGCAGGCGAGACTCACACAGCAGACAGAGTAGATAGTAGACAGGGTAGACAACCCGCGCACGAAACGAAATGCGGGCTGTGCGCCCCCGGACGCGGCGCTCCTCAGGCAGCACGTCGAATCACACTGCGCCGCGCGCCCCGGCCCGCGCCACATGCCTGTGCGCTCGGCTCAACTCCACTCACATCTGCAGCGTCTCGAAGTTCTCCTGCATCTGCGCCATCGTCGGCCGCGCGTTGGTCTTCTTCTTCATCTTCTGCATCCCGCCCTCCGCGCCCACGGCCTCCCAGTTCTTGTACGTGTACCCGATGAAGTTCGGGTCCTTGACCTGCGACTGCAACGCGCACACACGCACCGGAGCCCCCCTGACTCAGCACCCCTCAAACGGCCGCGCACACAGGCCGCCCGCGCGGCAGGGGCGGGGCGAGCGCATCGCTGTGCGCGCGGGCGCGGCGCGGCGGCGCGGGGGAGGGCGCACCCGCGAGGCGGACGACTTGGAGTGCGCGAACGACTTGTCTTCGTCGAACCGCTCGAAGTTCTGCGTGTCGAGCTCGTGCTCGACGGTGGGCTTGTACGGCGGCGCCATGCGGTGCAGCTGCGTCCAGTCGAGGCCGTTGAAGAACGGGTGCTGCTTGATGTCGTCGGCGCCGCCGTGCGAGCCCATGCGGTCCTCGACGTCGCACATGAGCTTCGAGATGAGGTCGCGCGCGTTCGGCGAGACGGGGACGTCGTCGGGGAAGCGCAGGAACATCCGCCAGTTGACGATCTTGCGGCACGTCGTCATGGGATCGTCCGAGTAGAAGGGGGGGTATCCTACGAGCATCTCGAACATGATCGCACCGACCGACCACCAGTCGCACTCCATGCCGTAGCCCTTCTTCAGGAGGACCTCGGGCGCGATGTAGTCCGGCGTGCCGACCGTCGAGAAGGCCAGCTTGCGCCGGTTGGCCTGCCAGTGGGCCAGCTGCTCGCCGCGCGGGCGCGCCGTGGCCTGGACGCCCGCGGACGGCATCGCGCCGCCGCCCTCGGGGTACTCCTCGTCCTCGGCGAGCGTCGGGAGGGCCGTCGGGTCGATCGGCTTGCACAGGCCGAAGTCGGAGAGCCGCATGTGGCCATTCTCGTCGAGCTGCGCGGGGCGGGCGTGCGGGGCCGCGGGGGCGCGTGAGGGGCGCAAACCAAATCGATCCGCCCACGGACGGTCGCGCGAGGCCCGCGGGGCGCCCTTCGCGCCGCGCCGGGACGCAACAGGACGCGTACGTGTTTTCAACGCACGTGGCCGCAGCGCGGCTCGCATCGACACGGAACCGCGCGGCGAGATCGTCCGCGGCGCCGCTTGCAATATATCGGCAGGGTGGACGTCGCGGGGGCCGCACCAGGAGGTTGTCGGGCTTGATGTCGCGGTGAATGAAGCCTGCCTTGTGGATGGTGTCGATCGCGCAGACGCACTGGGCGATGTAGAAGCGCGCCTCCTCCTCCGAGAGAATGTCTTTCTTCATCAGCAGCGTCATCATGTCGCCGCCCGGCAGGTACTCCATCACCAGGTACAGGAACTCGTCGTCCTGGAAGCTGCAGTCGGGCCGAGCGACGCGCGGCGACGTCAGAACGCGCCGACCCCGGGCGCCGCGGCGCGCAGCGATCGAATGCCGACGCGCGCTGCGCCGTGCGGCGTGCGGCGTGCGAGAGCGCGGCCGCGGGCCTCTGGGTCCTGGTGGTGGCAGCTCGCGCGGGGTGCAGCGCGGGGCGCGGGCGGGGGGTTTCCGCGCCGTGCGCGCACCTGTAGTACAGCTTGACGATCCAGTGCGAAGAGACCTCGGCGAGGAGGTTGCGTTCGGCGCGGACGTGGTCCACTTGGCCTCTACGAAGCATCTCCGATTTTCGCAGCTTCTTCATCGCGAACAGCTTCTCTGCAGGGCACGCGGGGAGCACGCGATACACCCGTGAGCCGGCGTTCCGCGCGGGGTCCGGCGGGGGCGCGCGCGGCCAGGGCACGCGCCCTCCGCGCCCTCCTTGCACGAGGGCCACGTAGGCGACGCCGCGAATTGCGGCCCCGGAACGGCCGCCGATGTGGCGCGGGCCGCCGAGGCACGCGCGAGCGATCCAGCCGGGGCGCCGCGGGCGGCTGCTCGGGCCGCGAGCGGACGCCTGGACCAGAAGGGTGCTCTGGCTTGGTGGCAAGGGCCTGGGCCGCGCCGGCGCGCCGGCGCCGTGCTGTGCGATCGTTGCGCGATCTCTGGATGCGCGAGGAGGCTACGGGGGAAGCGCGCGGGCGCGGAAGGCCCGATCCGCACGGAAAAGCTGCGGAGGGGACGTGGCGCCCTTGCTGCCCTCCGCGGCGCGCAGACGCGCGCGACGAGACGCCCCGCGTTGTCGCACGTCAGGCGAGCTCCCTGGACCAGGCTGTGAGCGCGCAGGCGGCGCCCTCTGCCGCGACACCGCCCGGCAGGCGCCCGGCTGCAGGAGCAGGGTGTGGTCGTGGGGCGCACCCGTCGCGCGTTCACGGACGACGCGGACCTCTCCGAACGCGCCCCGGCCGATGATCGTGAGCGGCTCGAAGTCCTCGTTGCTCAACTTGACCCTCTGCGGCCAGGAGCGGGGCGGAAACGGCGGTCGCGTGCAGGTGGCAGTTGCACGGAGACAAGGCCTCTGCCGGGCGGCTTCCCGCGCGGGAAACGGCGTCCCTGCGCGCGGAACGCGGCGTTCACTCCAGGGAGAGCACCCCCGCGCCGCGGCTCCACCGCGTCCGGCAAAGGAAGGCGCGGAAGCAGGCGCCCTCGAGCCAGGAGGACTGGCGCGCGTGCCAGCGCCGCGGGGCGTCGCCGCGCACCTGCAGCCGCATGAACTCGCTCTCCTTGCGGTCGTGCTCCTGCAGAGCCTCCTCGATCTCGGTGCGGGAGTACCCCTCGACCTGGAGCTCGGTTTCGAGCTGCCCCCGCCTAGCGCGCCGGTCCATGTGCGACTGGATCTGGTTCTTGTACATGTTTTCGATGAAATTCTTCGCCGCATTCGCGCGCTTCTGCGTCTCCTCGGACGGACGGTCCGGCTCCCCGAGCATTTCGCTGCGGCCGAGGCAGGCTACGCCACCCTGCCTGTTCGGCTTCCGTGTCCGCACAGCGCCTCTCGCGCCAGACCAACTCCGCGATCGCGCCTCTCGGCAGCAAAGGTCCCGGTCCCGCCTGTCACAGCGACCCCGCGCTCGCACACACGGGCGCTAGCCGCGTGTTTCTGCCCGCCTCTCACACGACGTGTGCGCGCCCCGTGAACGTGCTCGCAGACCCGGTGCCGACGCGCAGTCTCTCTGACGGCGCGCCCCCGGCTCGCGGCCCATCTGGCCCCGCCGCCGCGGCGCAGCGGACCCGGTCCGACGCAGCAGTGAGCAACTCCGGGAGGCCTCCCACCTGACGTCACCCCCGTCATGTGTCACGACGCGGCGTGAGCCCAAGTACAGCAGCGGACAAACGCGTTCACCAGGGGTCACCAGTCAGCGGGGTGGCCGATCAGCGAGCGACGGTGGAGCGCTCGCAGGCGCCACGGCAGCGTCGCGGATGTCCGTGGTGGACGCACACGCGCGAGCAGAGCAATGAGCGATCAGTATGACGTGCGGACGTGCCAGCCTGCGTCCGGACGAGGGCTGGACCCGGCGCCACCGAGCCCCAACGTCAATCGGTCGGTGGTCTTCGTACTTGGCTGACCTACGAGCACCCTCACCGCGAGGATGCTCGAGCGACCGAGACGCAGTGTTCAGGGCGCCACGCTGAGGGCCGTGACAGCGCGCTGTCCTGGCGACAGGCTTACAGCCGTTGCACCGGCGTCCCAGGGGCCGGACGGTGACGGTGTATCCTGTCCGGCGCCATGCGGTTTGACGCGCATGCCGCGTGTGGAGCGTGGCTGTTGCGCACGACGCAATACGTCGCCGGAACCGTCAGACAGGCTGGTGGTCCTGGTGGACTGCGTCGCGCGCAAGCAGTCCAGGTGAAGAACCGGGGATGAAGTTCATGATGTGAATGGAAAGGGAAGAAGGGGCCGGGGGGCGGTTCAGCGTACTCATGAGTGTGGACTGCTCGGTCGCGGGCGGCCGCCTACCGCGAGCAGTCCATAGGCGGACCGGGGAAAGCAAAATGCGAAAATCGGGCAGCACGCAATCTGATCTGCTTCGCAGCAAAAGGGGAGCGTGGGCCGGGACGGGACGGGCACGGAACGTTTCTGGGGGGTTGGGAGCGGCGGGAGGGGGGGAGGAGGGGGGAGGGGAAGGGGGAAGAGAAGTGATGGTCAAGTTGGGAGGAATGGAAATCAAGGCGGGCAAGAGTACCCACCGGTCGGGCCAGCGTGTGGGACTGTTTGAGGCTTTGCACTTAGAAAATGCCGTTTGGCGGGCTGCACCGAACCACGGCGGGCGTCCCGATTCTTCGTGCTCCGCGGGAGGAAGCATGCCAGCATCCCCCCGCGCAGCGGCGTTCCGTCTTATTCGAGGATATCTTAGGAGAAGAAGTTCAAGATTAACCGCTGTTCATGTAAGGTTCTTAGTGTTGGTTTTTTTCCAGGATGCAACGCATGGGGCGGCAAGGGAATGGAAGGGCCTCCAGCAGGTGCGGCAGATCAAGCGATTGCCGCGGGGCCGCGGTGTTTGGCAGCGAGATGCCACCAACGAGCCCCCGGCGCAGGCTCCTGCTGCAGCAGGCGCTGCGCAGACGATGGTGGTGTGGACGGTGATTCGGGCATGCTCGGGGGAAACCCCTGTGCCGCAAAGTGTGGGCGCACTCGATTGTCAGGCGCTCCGGGGTGCACGGCTCATCCAGCAAGCGCCGGGACGCGCGAGCGAGACAAAACAAGCTCGCGGTGGTATGGATAGCGTTTACGGAGGCCAACTAGCGACAGGTATTATGGAGGAGTCGGGTGACGGGCACAAGATGCCCGCACTCCTGTGCTTCCTTGCAGACACGTGCTTCAAGTCCACTGGATCGAAAGAAGAGCAAGGAGAGGAGCGGGGGTGGGGGGGCAGGGGGGCTGCGACGGGTGCTCACGGGCAGGCCCGCGGAGTGTCACGTTCAGCTCCCTGCATCCCTGGCCTCGCTCCCGTTGCGCGTCATTGGGCTGAACGGGTGGAACGAAGGGAAGGGTATTGGGGCGTGTTTGGGTGTTGCAAGAGACCGGGAGGGAGGGGGGGGGCGCGGCATATGCGGGCCAGATTGATTCTGGCACTTGCGGACCTTGCTTCGGCGCAGACAAGGGACCTGTCGCCATCGCCGCCCACGATCCGTCCCGTGCTAGGACAGCTAGTCGTAGAGGCAGTTTGCTGGTGTTCGGCTCGCAGACGCCCGGGCCGACAACCGGGGGTGCTGCTGATGGTGGGAAGGGGAAGGCGGGGGAGGTGTGAAATCATGACGAGTGGGGCGGCCGGGACGCCGCGGCGGTCAGCGCCGACAGGAGGTCGATGTTGCTGTGACCGGTCGACCCGGGCGCCAGCCGCGTCTGCTGCATGTGCACGAGCGCCGCCGACAGGGCGAGCTGCTGTTGCGACACCTCCTCCAGGCGAGCGGTGACCGCGGCGAGGTGCTGCTCCAGCGCAGCGACCGCGGCGATGGACCCGCGCTCGAGCGCCTGCAGGCGCTGCTCGAGCGAGGCGATGCGCTCCTCTGCGACCAAGCCAGGAGCGGCGGGGCGCGCCGGCGGCGACGTCGGCAGCTGCAGCTGCTGCGGCGGCGACGACATGAAGGGCAGGGACGCCGGGAGCGACGACGGCATGTGCGCTGCCTGCTGCAGCGCCGACAGCACCGCCTGCAGGCTGTGCTCGCTGCCTGCGTATTGGCTGGGCAGGCCGCCCGTGGTGCCGCCCACGCTCTGCGCGCCGCACGGGGATCGCGTCGGAGCAGCGTGAGCCGCAGTTTCACCGCAAAGACCACGCGCGTTGCACGGAGCGCTGCGCAAGGCTGTGGCACTCACCTCGCCCCCCGCGCGTGGCTGCGGGGCCGCCGGTGTGGGCGGGAGCACCTCCGCGGTCCGCTTCGACGGGTCCGCGCTCTCCACCCAGTACACCATGTGCCCGAGCTGGTCGTGCATGCGCCGGACGAGCAGCCCGGAGATCACGCACGCCTCCGGCATGTGGCGCAGCAGGTGGTCGAGCAGCCCCGTGTCGCCCACCGCCTTCCTGGCCTCCTCGCGCAGCTTCGGCCGCACGAGCGCCTGCGCGGGCGAGATCGCGCCCATGCGCACGAGCACGTCCATCAGCGACCGCTGTGCCGCCTCGTAGCGCTCCCGGGACCAGCGCGACCGCAGGTCCTTGGGGAGGACGAGCATGCGGTCGGACGACGGGGCCGCGCTGTGGGCGAGCCCGAAGCCCGCGGACGGCGAGGCGACGTTCGCGGTGGACACCGTGCGCGTGCGCTTGGCGTTCCGGGCCTTCTTTCCCGCCGCGGGGGCGTCGCGCTTGCGGGCCGGCGCCTTCGCGGGCGCCGACGGGGACGTCGGCTCCTGCGGGCCCGAGGCGGGCGGCTGGGAGCTGCTCGGCGGCGGCTGGGAGGCGCTCGTCGGAGGCGCGGCGTCTGTCGCGGAGCTGGGCGTGCTGCGCGGCGGTGCGCCCGAGGCGCTGGCGGACTGCGGCTCCATCACGTTGCTGATCGTGACCGGCGGGCCGCTGTGCGGGTGCTGCTCCACGGAGAGCGTGCGCGTCGAGGGATTGAAGTGCCGGAAACACACGTACGGGGCGTCCTGCATGGGGAGGCAGACGTGCGCTTGATCGCGGTGGGCGGCGCGTCGGATCGGATCGCTTTCGCGCTGCGGCCGGGCGTCGTGTGGCGGTGGGGTTCGCGCGGCGTGCGGGCTCCACTGTGGGGCTGCCACGAGGCAGGGCTGCCGCAGCGCTGCGCCGTGATTCCGGGCCGCGTCTGCGCGTACCTTGTGCTCCTTGGACGATGCGACGGTGGCGAGCCCGTCAAGCTTCGACAGCGGCACGCGGCTGAGGTCGTCGGTGAGGAAGAGCTCATTCGGCGCAGGCCCCTCCTCCCCCGGCGCCACACGCACGTCCGGGAGGTCAGTCGGGCGGCGAAGCAGGCTGCGGAGAACGTGGAGGGGGCTGCTGCGTGACGGTGGGCGGATATGAGCCACGCGGAGGACCTGGACCTTTCGGAGTGGCTCCAGAGACACATGGAGCACGGCTTTCGTCGAACGTTCTCCCGCGCCGACGCGCGCGTTCGGGCGAAGCTCAAGATCGCAGGGGTGTCCTCGTCGCGCGTGCGAGCTGTCGGCGCCCGTCGCGACCGCCGTCTCGCGCCCCGTCCTAGTCTGATGTGCCCTCGTGTTGCTCCCAGCGCGTGCACGCGGCATGGTTCCGCCGATCGACGGGCCCGGGCCGGCGAAGGATACAGAGGGATGCGACAGGGGGCGTTTCCAGGGGCCTGGCGCGGCGGGGAGCGTGCGCGCGTGTGACGTGATGGCTCACCGGAGTTCCGCACTGGCCTCCCCGCCCTTGAGGAGCAGATGTTCGAGCCGGGCTACGCCGCGTTCCCCGTCTGAGTCGGTGTTCTTGACGAGCACGTAGCTCCCTGCGGCCAAGAGGGGCCGGGTGGCAGGGTGGGGGTCATGCCCACACGTGAAGCGCAGCCATGCCGCACGAGGGCCGAGTGGAGCCTCGCGAATCAGGTTGTATGGTCCTCGTGCAGCAAGAGAGGGCCTTGGTTGCGCTTCGGAGCAAAATGTCGCGACGGCAGGCGTGGGAGAGGACAGCAGGCTGCACATGAGAGACGGCGCAGCGGCCGTGCCGAACCCCGCCCTCGCGGCTCCTGTGGCGCGCGCGCTCACCCTTCGTATATGTGATTCCGTCCTGCACGATCTCTTCCAGCGGCGCCTCGTCCTGCAGCGGACCTCGGGGCGCGGAGATCAGCCCGAGCTAACGTGGCGGCCGCATGCGCGTCATCGAGCGCGTCACCGTCGGACTCCGGGAATCTGCGATATCGACGCACCTTCTCGGGCCTCGGCGGGGCAGGGGGGTCCGCGTGCACCTCGCGATTCTCAGGCATCGAGTCCGTTGGCATGGTCGAAGCGCGGCCCGCTGGGGGTGCGGATTGGAAGTCGGCGGACGTGTCGGCGTAGCTGAGATTGCCTTTAAACGACGCGGTGACGCAGACGGCGAAACAAGCCCATATGATCTAGCAGTGGTAGACCCTCCAGTGCCACATACACCACGCCAGCGCCACCTAGCTAGGCGACGCAAGAGTGCGCCAGTGGAATAGAATGAGTGAGTGCACCGCCCCGCGGCGTCGCCCGACAACGCCCTGCCCTGGCCCCGAGAGACCGCCTCAGGCCCTTGTGTCATGCTTGGCAGGGCCCAGTGTGCCCTGCTTCGCGGGCGTCCATGTTCGGGCGACGGTGCGCGCGCCAAAGGCTCTCTTAATTCACTGCTCTCCGCTGCGCCGCCCCCCCGCGGCGGCCGGCACCCCGGAGGGTTCGCTTCGCGGCCACACACACACCGCCATGTGACGTAGGCGCCTTCGCCGCCCGGTGTGCCCAGGCCCGGCGGTTCGCGCCGCGGCGCTCCCGCTGCGTCCGCAGACACGCGCGCGCCTGCGGGGCGACGTTCGAACGCACCGGTTTCGGCGCAGCGCCCCCCCGCCAGGCGACGAGGACGACCCGACGGCGTGATAGGGCGTCACGGAAGACGCATGCGGGGGCCTCCGGCGCCGGCGCGACGGCCGCCGCCGCGCTCAGGGGCGCCGTGCGCGGCCGGCAGCGCGTCAGAACCCCACGTCGGCGAGCAATCGACCGCGGACGAGGCAGGTGCAAGAGCGTGCGCGCAATGCGTAGCTCTCTGTTGCGGTGCGACGCGCCGGTGCGGGGCGCAGCCTGCCCGCACGCCCGCGCCGGGCGCGGCGCGTGTGCGGTGAATGGTTTGCGGCCGCGGGCGGGCGCGTTCGCGGGCTTGCCGCGCGTGTGCGCGCCCCCGTTTGGCGCTCCGCGGCTTGGCCACTGCGTGCGGTTTTCGGAGCATGACGAGCGGTCGGCGAGGGCGAAGCCCGGAAACGAGGACATCGGCCCGAAAGACGTGCGTGCGGCCGCTCGGATCGCGCTGCCTGCCTGCGAGCCGCGCGTGGGGCCGCGGCGAAGCCGTTGGGCGTTGAACGGCGACGCGCACGCACCGCGGCTGCGTGCAGGTGATCGTGGTGGGCTGGAGCGTCGAGGGGGCTCTGGCGGCGCTCGCGCTGGCGAAGCAAGGGTTCCACGTGGACGTCTACGACGCACACGCCTCGCCAAGGGATCCAGCTCCGCGCGTCAACCGCTTCACCGGCCCGTCTGCCGTCGTGCTCAACGGCCGCGCCCTCGAGGCGATCGAGAGGTGCGATCGCGTGCCGGAGAACGACCCCGGCGGCCTCGGACGCCGCGCCGACCCACAATGCAGCGATTTGCGGGCCTGAAGGCGGCTTGCTTCGTCATTACCCGCGACGCTGCGCCGCGCCGGGCGCCTCTGCGGGTCGCGCTGGCTCGGAGGGCTCCTCCGACCTCCAGAGCGGCGTTTCGCGCGCCGCACACAGCGCGTGCTGCGCGCGTTTGCGTGCCCTGCACCCGCACGTTCAGCAGAGCGGTCGTTGCCTGCCCAGGGCCCGTGTCGCGCCCGGTGACCGCGCTCCAGCGCACCCACTCGCATGTCCGTGCATCAAAGGACCGCGCGACGCAGCGTGCAGGCAGGGGTGTGTCACTGGAGCCCCTGACACAGCTCCGTTGTGCCAGGGCACAGCCACCCACCCGCAAGGCGCGCCCCCCGGGCGCGCTCACTCGACCGAAAACCCGTCCCCATGTCCGCCACCCCGCGCAGCCTCGGCGCGACGCTCCCGGACGAGAAGGTGGCCATCAAGGGCGGCGTATGGCATCGCGGTCGCGGCGCGGTGCAACTGCCCGTGACCGACGGCGCGATGTGCGCCGTCGACCGCCGCCAGCTCATCCTGCACTGGATGGACGAGATCGACGCGCTCCCCGTCGGCGCCGGCAAGGTGAGCCCGGCAGCACCCCCGCGCTCGCTCCGCGCCCCGCGACACACGCGTCACGGTCGAGCCGCCCGGCGCGCCGCGCCCGTCCGCGCAGGTCGAGTACCACTGGGGCCACCGCATGGAGTTCCTGAACACGGAGCGCGAGCAGGCGGTGTTCGTGGAGGCCGGGGAGGTGCGCGACGTGCTCAATGTGCCGTACCGGCTGCTGATCGGCGCCGACGGCGCGCGGTCCGCCGTGCGGCGGTGCTTGAACGACCAGGTCGACGGCTTCATCTGCGAGCAGACGACGGGGAAGCTCAGGTGCGCCGCGACCCCGCAGCCTTGCCACGGCCCGTGCTGGATGACTGATGTTCGGGCCCGACTGGTTCGGCGTCGCGCGCTGCCGACGCCTGGGCCGCGCGGCGTGTCCTGCAGGTACTACCGCGTGCGGCTGGAGGGCGAGGGGCACCGCATGGGCCACGTCAGGAAGGGATGGGACGAGCGCGTGCACACTTGGGCGGGGCTGGTGCGCGTGCCGATGGCCACGCAGCCCGCGACGGTGCACGTGCAGGCCGTGCCGGGGTGCGACGGCGCGGCGTACGTCACCGTCGGGGTCCCCGAGCGCCTCGTCAAGGGGTATGAGTGGAAGACTGACAAGGCGCTGACCGACGCCCTGACGGAGGGGCTCAGGTGCGCGCGCGGCGTGCGGCGCGGCGGCGATCGATGTGCGCAGCCTGGGCGTTTCGAACGAAGCGGGGCGGGAGAGTTCCGGCGATTCCGTGACCTTTCGCGCACGACTGTATAATATGTGTTGTGGCTTGTGTCTTGGCGCGCAGGGACTTCCCGCGGGAGTGGGCTGAGGCGGTGACGGTGGAGATTCGAGACAAGAAGCGCTGGACCGAGTTCCGCGAGGGGTCCTCCACGCGGTGCACGCTATACAACGGCCCGCGCGCTGCCGTGGTGCGACACTCCCCCCCCACCCTCCCTGCCCCCCGCCCCCTCGAGCTGCCCGGCCGCGCGACCAGCCGCATCAGCGCACCAACCTCGCGGCCTCGTCTCCCGCGTTCCCGCAGGTGGGCGACGCAGCCCACTCGATGGCGCCCTCGCTGCTGCTCGGCGCCTCCGCGGCCGTCCAGGGCGTCGCGATCCTCGTCGAGGAGCTCGCGAAGCTGCCCCGGTCCGTGCCGTCCATGGCGCACTCGTCCGACCGCTCCGAGGCCCTCGCGGCGCCGGGCGGAGAGGCCGTAAACACCGCCCTGGAGGCATACACCAAGCGGTGGCGCCACGACGCGTTCTCCGCCGTCGACATGTCGGAGCAGCTCTTCTCGGACCTGCGCACGGTCGTCGCGAAGGGCCGCGTCGCCGACCGCTTCAAGGGGGGACAGAACAAGCGCAAGATCGAGCGCCTGACAGGGGTGGAGAACTTTGCTCTTCTACTGGCCTCGCGGATCCTGCCGTTCGTGTTCCGGCCCCCGGGGGTCTGGCGCGCCGCGAACACGCGCGAGAGGTACTCGGACATCTTCCGCGACATGCGTAGGGAGCGACAGGCGGCCACGGGGGCGCTGGCGCTGCTCGCGGCACTCGCAGCGACTGCGGCGGCGCTCACCCTGCGCCTCGCGCGCGCGGCGTTCGCTGCGTGAGGAGGGACCCGCCCACAGGGCGTGTGATTCTTGAACGGTGCGGGGGGTGTCCGAACGAGGCACTGCTTGTACTGGCTCGCTGACTGGACCAGCTCGCCCGCACGGCGCCCAGGACGCGGGGCGCGAGCGCCGGTCCTCGCCCGCCCGCAGCCCGGCTCGCGCTCCGCTCCGTGGCTACCTCACCAGAGCCCTGAGTCAGCTCGAATACATATGCAGGCTTCGGTCAGTCGGACTGTAATTACTCCCGTATCTATGTTCGACGGGCACGGAACGGCGCTCCAAGCCACGCCCCGCGCAGCTGCGCCACGGCGCAGTCCTCTGCGCGGGCGAGAAGCGCACCCCCACGCCCTGGCCATCTCGGGACAGCGTCTCTCACCATGCGCCGCCACGGGGCCAAAACGGCTGCTCACTGCGCCGGACCGCGCCTCCAGCGGCACGCCAGCCTGCTCTCCCGCCCGGTGCAGCTCCGCACAGACGCGCGCCCCCCTCTTCGGTCACAACGCAGCGCAGGCCGCCCGCGACAGACCTGCCTCCGGCCTAGGGCGCCCGGCGCACGAGCACCCACTCTTCGTCGCCGATATCCCGCACGCCCTTCGCGCCCGGAATGCGGTCCAGGAATGGCGTCAGCAGCTCGATGCCCTTCTTGCGTTGGTCCTGCTCCACGGGGACGTACGGGAGGCGGAAGACGGGCTCGCAGAGGCCCAGCATCGCCATCGCCGTGTTGACGGGGATCGGGTTGGGCTCGTGGAAGAGCCAGTCGCACAGCTCCTGCACGGACGCATTCAGCTCTGGCGATTCCTGCTTCATCATTTCTGCCCACACCCCCGGGAGGATGTTGGACCCGACGGAGATGACGCCCTGCGCGCAGAGGGGGGGGCGGGCGCGGTGGGGAGCCGGCCGCGGGGCGCCGGGCGCGCGACGAGGCCCGCGGCGCGCGTGCCTGTGTGGGAGGTTGGTGGGCGAGAGTGGCGAGCCGGCGGCGGCGGGTGGATGCGTGCTGGCCGAGAGGGGCGTCCGGGGAAGGGCGTCGCGGCGCAATGCGCGGGCCGATGGTGTCGGGAGGCCAGGCAGCAGTAGGTCAACGACGCCGCAGCTGCTGTGCGTGGCGTCCTACGTGCCACGCGTCCCGGGATAGGCGCTGCGGGGAGATTGAAAGGGATCCGCGCCGCGGCGGAGCCCGGACGACGCCGTGGGACCCGGCGCGCCGCCAGCAAGGCGCCGAGTGCTGCTGCGCAGCACACTTTGTCCGCCCTCGAGCTGCTGGGGATCCGATGCGGGGCCGACGGCGCACGGCTTCGATGCTCGCGGCCGCACACGCGGATCCGCGCGCAATCCGCGCGGCAGGAGGCCGCGGGTGCGCCCGGGCGACGCAGGGTGCTAGGGCAATGGTGCAGGGAGCGCACCAGGCCGCCGTCGTAGTGGCGGGAGTCGTGGCACTCGTCGTCGTTCCCACTCCAGCACATGATCCCCTCCGCGCTGTACGTCTTGATCCGCTCGCGCCCCGCGCACTCCTGCGAACCATGCACCAGGCCTCAGTCTGTTGAGCCTGGCCCTTCAGGCGGCCGCGCACGCGTCGCGGACCGCTATCATCGACGTCCAGGAGCGCCCCGAGGCAGCCTCCGCGGTCTCCTACCGCCGCAAACCACGGGTACCGCGCGTGTCGCCCGCAGCGGCTGCAGCGGCGCGGTGCCGAGGCTCCGCAGCCGCCAGGCGCGCGGCGGCCGCTGCGGGCGTCGCAGGGCCGCGCGCGCGCGCACGCCAATGCCCGCGCGCGTCCCGCGACCTACCTTGACGCCCAGGAAGTTCGGGTGCTCCGCCAGCGTCCGGATGAGGTCTGGGCGGATGTCCTGCCCTGTCCGGCCAGGCACGTTGTACACGATCCCCGGGCCGACGTCCAGCGCGGCGCTGATGTGGCTCACGATGCCCTTCGGGCTCGTCTTGCCGTAGTACGGGTTGATCTGCAGCGACGCGTGCATGCCGACGTTGAACCCCTGCTCAGACGCGTGCAGCGCCTCGCGCGTGCTGTTCGACCCCGTGTTGCCGATGACGATCGCGCGCCCGCCGAACTTGTTCACCGTGTGCGCGATCAGCATCACGTGCTCGTCCCAGTGCATCAGCTGGCCCTCGCCCGTCGTGCCGCCCACGATGAAGCCCTCAACCCCGCTCGCGAGCTGGTTCTCCACGTGGCGGTCGTACGCCGCCATGTCGATCGAGCCGTCCGGGCGGTACGGCGTCTTGAGCGCCGTGATCAGCCGCGTGTGCTTGATCGTGTCGCGGATGTCGTCCGTCGCCGCGTCCGGGCGCTGCGACATCCAAGACTGGGCCGCGCGGACACGCACCGCGCGGGCGCGGGGCGCCGCGGCGGCGCCGCAGCGCGCCCGCGGGGCGACGGGGACGTGCGCCGCGAGCTGCATGGCGGCGGGACGGGCCGGCGCGGGGCGGCGCGGGCGGGTCGGGGCGATGAAGTTGCTACGCGTGCCTTACGCTGCTAGTGCGGTTGTGGGGTGCGGTGCGGCCGTTGACGGGAGGCGGTGCGTCGTCGGCGGGCAGAGTGTGGGGCCGCTGCGGGCGGCGGGGCGGAAGTGGCCAGGCGGGCGCGCGGGCGCGCGGGGGAGTGAAGGGAGGGGTGACCTGACGGTAGTTGGACTGGGTTGGCGGGCGCGAGTGCGAACTGCCTCGAGTGACAGCTGGGCGCAGCGGCGGCGCGCCGGGGCACTTTCCGGACGCCGCGCGCAGCGCCCTGGTAGTATCTACGCCGAGGAACGATGTCCGGTGCTCCAATCCACGGGAACGGGAACGCACACGTCGCGGCGCGGCCCGCCAATGTCCACGGTGGGTTCGGCCTCGGTCTGGGGACTGAGAACGCCGGCAGCGGCTTCAGCTTCCGGCCTCACATGGAGCACGCGATGCACACGACCTCGGGGGTGAAGCCTCGCTGCATGACGTTCACCGGTAAGACGGGCATGGACACGAACAGCACTCCTCTAAGTGAGCGCAGCAACGGGCAGTCCCGGGGGCTGACGTCGCGCGGGTCGGGGAAGTCGCGCAGGTGCGAATCTGAGGAAATCAGTGCGCGCGCGCTTGGCATCCGGCGGGGGCGCACGACGGCGCTACGGCACCATGCCCGTCGCCGTTGTTGCTCGGGCCTGCGTAACGCCTCTGTAGCCGTCGATTCACTCCACAGTGCATCCCATGAATGAAATCATTTCAAACAAGCTGCCTTCGCCGCGCGAAACGTACGCTTCGCGGCGCGTACCGGGCGCTGAGGGCCTCGACCTCGCTGAAAGCTGTGTTCCTTGATCCCCCGCGTTTTCTCGACGAATCGGTCCCAAATCCTCGCGCTCCGCCGCCCACGCAGGACCTCGCCCGACATGGCGTCCGCGGAGCCGCCCTCGGCGCCCCAGAGCGGCCTCACGCGCCCCCCGCGCTCCACCCCGGCTGCCTCGGCGCCGCCCACGGCCACTCCGGGCCTCGTGCGCGAATCCATCCAGGCCCTCCGGCGCTCGATGCCCACGCGTCTCCGCCGGCTCCTCGTCTGGCGCAACCCCGTCGAATCCGCGCTGGCGCTCTCGTTCTGCGCCCTGACCCTGACCACCGTCCACATGGCCCTCACCGGCCACCTCTCGGCGCTCTCCGTCGTCTGCAACCTCCTCCTCGCGCGCCTCGCCGTCTCCTTCTGCAGCGCCCTCCTCTCCAAGTACGCCCCCCCGCCCGCCCGCCCGCGCACAACACCCTCGCGACGCCCCCGCCGTCTCCCACGCGCCGCCCGGCACGCGCGCGCCCCGCGTGCAGGCAGAAGCCGGCCCCGACGAGCGCCGCGTGGGCCGCGACGATCGCGAAGGCCTCCGAGATCCTCCGCGGCTTCGCGAGCGTGTACGACAGCGTTGTGCGCACGGACGACCCCAAGGTCACGCTGGCGGCCGCGGCGGGCCTCTGGGCGCTGGCGATCGCGGGCCGCTACGTGTCCGTGATGACGCTCGCGTGGACCGCGCTGGTGACGGCGTTCACCGTCAGCCCGGCCTACGCAGCGCACCGCCCGGCGCTGCACCGCATCGCCAACAACGCGGCCGCCGCCGCCGGGCAGCGCTTCAGGCAGCTCGGACTGACCCGGAAGCAGAAGGTGCGCCGCGCGCCGTGCTCGCGCGCCGACGTCGCCGCTGCCGGCCACGCAAGGCACACGCACTCACTCACAGTTGGGAATCCAGGTCCTGTTTTGTCTCGGACGAACCAGGAACGCCAGCGTCGCCGCGACGAGTCCGAGCGCTGTGTCCGTCGCGCCGTGCAGGCCCTCGGTCTCGTGCTCGGCCTGTCGGCGCTGTGGTCGGTCACGTCCTGGACCAACCGCGCGGTCGCCGTGTTCATCGCCGTCGTCAGCATCCGCTGCCACATGCGCCCGACCGAGGTCGAGGCCGTGCAGGACGCCGCCGCGCCGTACACGCAGTCCATCCACAGGGGCGCGCGCACCTTGTCTAGGACCATGCAAGCGTGCGCTGAGGGCAGCCTCGCGCGCTTCGGGCCGGGCGAGGTGCGGTCGTGAGAGAGGGCAGACGCGGACCGGCGGCGTTGCACGTCTGCGCGAGGGGCGGGGGCGCCTCAGCGATACATGATGTGAGGAAGGAATCGGCCGGCCAGACGTTGTTTCGACGCACCAGCGGCGTGCCAGGGCTGCCGGCGAGCGCGGGGCTGCGAGGGCGTGCGCGGAAAACGCGTCCGTTGTACCCTGCAACACCTCTCGGGCTTTTGCAGCCTGCTGACTCAGCAGCTGGGCGATGCCGGGCCGGGCCGTTGCGTGCGGGCGGCCGGCGTCGTCGACACTCGCGTGCGCCTCCGCGGCGGCGTCGCAACCGTTCGAACCGACCGCGCGCGTTCACAGGGGCTTAACTTCTAGCTTGTAGCTCTTGGCGTTGTGGTTGGAGCCGTTTCCGGCACCTTCGCCGCCACCGCCGCGGAGCGGGGCTGCACATTGAGAGAGTGGATGCGTTGAGCGCGCACCAAGCACAGTCCGTGAATGCACCTAGCTGGACGCGTGCTCTCAGGAAGCTAGCACTGGCGAGAGCTCAGCAGGCCCGGTTGTGGTGCCCTGCGCCCGGAATATCAGAGGACGATGCGCGACACGGCGGAGTGATGTCGCAGCATCGCCGCTGGAGCACGCCCGCGGCGCCACGCGGCGCATCCTCCGCGCTGTCGCCGCACTTTGCCTCCGCAACGCCGCTGAGCGCAATTCATCAGCTTCTGCCCACGCCCCCGCTCGCGGACGGCCCTGCACACGCGGACCGGGTGAGCACCGCCCAGCCAACGCCCCGAGCCGCACCGGCCGACCGCGTGCGCTCCCCAGCGGGCCGCGGAGACCTCCCGCGTTGCTCAGCGCGGACAGCATGAAACGCCAACGCGCGCCGCTGCGCGGCCGGACTCGCCGCGAATTACGGTGCCCTGAGGTGGACGTGAAGCGAGTGTCCGCTCCCGAACGTGCAGGGCGGTTCTCTGGTCCCCGCGGAGCTGTTCACGCCCCCGCACGCGAACGATAGTGGCTCAGCTCAGGCGCGCGAAGGCCTTACGGGCGCCACGCCGAATCCCCGGCCGTTCTCCGGCCAGCGCCTGGTTCTCGCTACCCCAGAGGACACCAGGACGCCGCCGGTATCGCGAGATCCCGTCGGGGCCGCCCGGGCAGCGCCATCGAACCATCCTGGCGGCACAACGACTAGCATTTGCGCGGGCGTACACCCGGCACAGCCACGCCCCAGCTCGCACACACACCCTCGGCCACAGCACTTCACGTTCGCGAGCGAGAGGAACACGTCGCAGCCGGCGACGCACCCTGAGGCTCCGTCAGCCCCCTCTACGTGGCGAGCGCAAACCGAGACGCACGCCTCGTGCGACCCCGGCGCCTCTGCGCCGCAGACGCGTGCGCTGGCGGCGCGCTCGCAGCCCGAGCTCGCGGCTCACGACGCAGCGCACCATGACCCGCCGTCTCAGCTCTCTGCCCACGCGCCCCCCGCCGTGCGTGCCGCCGGGCCGCTGGCGCTCCTCGCCGCGCGTCGGCGCGTCCAGGACGTACACTCTGCCCCCGGATTGGCCGCCCAGGGCGAACCAGCGCCCCCCTGGACCAATGTGCACGCGCGGAGCCTGCCTGCGTCGGCTGCGTCATCGCAGCACGAGACCGCCGCTCCGGCGCCGAGGCCGCGTGGCATCGACGTGTTCCGCCTGGACAAGAGCTTCGTCAGGGGGTACTACAACTGGTGGGGGTTCACGAAGTTCCCCGGGTGGAGTCCGAACGGCCGTGGTCAGGCGCCATGCCCGGGGGTGTCGGGGGACTCCTGCCGCGGCACCGTGCGCCTGCAGCAGATCTTCGACCCCGCGGCGGCGCTGCACGCGCCCGCGGGCGCGCGGCCGCCGCCCGCCGCGCACGCGGCGTTCCAGCCGACGATAGAGCTGGCGGGAGGGGGGCGTGCAGCGCGTCTGTTTTTCAAATGCGACAAATGCAAGCTGCGCTTCGTGCCGCCGTATCCGATCCCGCACGCGGCGCTCAGCGCCGAGGCCGTGACGGACGGGGCGTTCGTGCTTCGGCCGGCGCCGGGCGGGGAGCACTGTGTGCTGAGTCGGTGCCCCGGGGGTGTGGCGGGGGTGCTGGCCCGCGCGGACGTCGACGTTGCGGCGCTGCAGCGCGAGCTGGATCCCGCGCGCGACGGCGCGCTGGACCGCTGGGGCCCGCCCGAGCAGGCGGCGATGCTACCGCTGTCAGCCTACCACCGCGTCAGACACGCACTTGACGTGGCATCTCGCGCCGCGTCGCAGCGGGAACGGGACCGCAGCGACGGAACGGGGCACGCGCGCGTCGTCGAGGTGCTGCCGGAGCGCGGACGCATCCCGGAGACGGTGCTGCGGAGCTGCGCCCCGGGGGGACTTGGGTATAAAACGCTGGGGCGGGACACCCCCCCCGGCGAGCGGGAGATCTCGGCGCGGCTCGGCCGCATCCCGGAGTCTTTCCGGCGCGCGCTGCTGCCCTTCCAGGCAAGCTCGAGGCCCACGGCGCCTCGCTACCCCCCCCAGCGGATGCTGGCATGAACCGTTCACAGCCAAGCCCGGCTGCTCGCTCACGTCGTCTTTCTCCGCGCTGTTCTGACCACGCAGAAGGAGGCCGTGACGTGGGCGCTCGAGCGCGAGGGCCGCATCATCCTCGCCGACGAGATGGGCGTCGGCAAGACGGTCCAAGGCATCGCTCTGGCGGCATGCTACTCCGACGAGTGGCCGCTCCTGATCGTCGTCCCGGCGTCGCTGCGCCTCGTCTGGGCCGAGCAGATCGAGACCTGGCACCCGGAGCTCCGCCCGGGGGACATTCACGTCATCGAGAGTGCGGGGGACCAGATCCGCCGAGACGCGCCGCGGCCGCGCGTGACGATCGTGTCGTACGAGATGCTCCGCAACCTGTCGTGCAGGAGGTGCCAGGGCATCGAGGTGGGCGCCGGGGCGGACAGCTCGCGGGCATCGGCATTTGCGTCTGGCGTGTCGGGGCCGTGCACGAACGACGGCAAGCACGGCGCGTGCCACGCGGGGCTCGGGTGGCGCGTGGTGGTCGTCGACGAGAGCCATAACCTGCGCACGGGCGCCAAGGGCGCGGACAACCGGCGCACCGTGGCGACGCTTGCGACGCTGTCGCGCGCGAAGCGGCGCATCATGCTGACGGGCACGCCGAGCATGTCGCGGCCGTACGACCTGTACTTCCAGGTCCACTGGATGCGGCGGGGCCTGCTGGGCAGCATGGACTTCTTCACGAAGCGGTACTGCGGGCAGACAGTGAATCGGCAGGGGCGGCTGAACGTCGGGGGCGGCGACAACCTGGTCGAGCTGCACCGGCTGCTGCGGAGGGAGGTGATGGTGCGCCGGCTCAAGGCGGACGTGCTGGCGGAGCTGCCGCCCATCCGCAGGTGCGCGAGCGGCCTCGAACCGACCTCGCGCTGCGTCTGTGGAACGCGCGGCCTGTCTTGCGCGTGCGCCCTCGCCCCACGGCGCCGCGTCCATGCCTCGCAATGATTGCTCTCGTTCGTGCGCGCCGTGCGCTCGCAGGCAGGTTGTTCGCCTGGAGAAGCCAAAGGGGTACCAGTGGCCGCCTCCCGCGCGGGCGCAGGCCCCCGGAGCCGACAGCAGCGGCTCCGGCGATGGCGAGGCGCTCACGGAGGAGCACGCCACGGGCCTCGCGAAGGTCCCTGACGTCATCTTGTGGATTCGGGAGAAGCTCGGAGCCAACGGCGGGTCTGACGGCGACGACGACGGCGATTCGGACGACGACGACGGCCTGGGCGGGCGCGCTGAAGCTGACAACGCGCACCCGCGTGATCCGGCGGGAGGGGACCGCGATCCGGCCCGTCCGCAGACACCAAAGATGGTGATTTTTGCGCACCACAAAAGGGTGATGAATGAGATATGGGGGGCGCTGCAGCAGCTCGGCGGGGGGCTCGCGGACGTCGGGAGCGTGCGCATCGACGGCGACACGGCCCAGCAGGACCGCGTCGAGGCGTGCTTTCGCTTCCAGACCAAGCCGGAGGTGAGGATAGTGCTGGTCTCGGTGACGGCGGGCGGGACGGGAATCAACCTGTCCGCGGCGAGCGTCGTGGTCTTCGCGGAGCTGCCGCGCGACCCGGGCCTGGTGATGCAGGCCGAGTCGCGCGCGCACCGCCGCGGCGGCGACAACAGCGCCGTCTGCGTGTACTTTCTGTGCTCGCGGGGCACGCGCGACGACGCCACGTGGCAGCGGCTGGTGCGCGGACTCGCGGCCGTGTCGCGCGTGCACGACGGCGAGCGCGCGCGGGACGCCCTGGCCGGGTCGCAGGAGGCGGAGCCCGCGCCTGCAAAGGAACCCCAGGGCGCGTGCGCTGAGGGCACGCCCGAGGAAGGCGCGCGCGGCGCGCGTTCGACGCAGGGCACGCAGACGGGCGTGTCGGTGGCGTCGCTGGACGCGGTTCCGGAGACACCCGGCGTCCAGGTGGCCGGCACGCCGGGCGCCGCGCAGACGCCGGTGTCGGCGGTGGCAAGGGGGAAGCGCGCGGGGGAAGATGCGTTGCCAGACGCGAAGCGGCAGGCCGTGGACGCCTCCGCGGCGCACGCGGCTTCGGCGCCGCCGAGCGCGATGTCGTCGCCGCCTGAGCCGTTGCCAGACTCGTGCAGCGAGGGGGGGGAGTCCGAGGGCGCCGCCGCTGCGCCGGAGGAGCTGCAGACGTTCTTCGAGGTCTCGCCGCACTCGGGGCGGCTGCACGTGCACTGGGCCGCGGACGGGTCGCGTCCCGCGGGGCTGTCTTTCCCCATGACGGGCGTGGGAGCGGAGGCGGTGCGGGAGGTGCAGTCGGGCATGCAGCAGCTGCGGGTGCGGGCCCCGGGCCGGAGCGCGGTGCTCACTGCGCCGCTGTGGCCTCAGCACGCCACCTTCGATCGGAAGCTGATCCGTAGAGCCTGTTCATTGTTTCCTGTTTTCCTCTTTTTTCCTTTTCGCTCCGCCGACGATCGCCGATGTGGTGTGCGTGCTCGTGCGGCCTGCTGCCTGTGCAGGAGACGCCCGAGGGGTCGACGGCGCTGCTGCTCGCGTACGGCGTGGCGGCCACGGAGGCGGTGGCCTGTCTGACCTCCACGCAAGCCGATGCCCTTGCCGACGCGCTCGGGCGCTTCGTGGCGGCGTACCAGGAGCTCTCGGCCGTCGCACAGAACCAGCTCGCCGGGCGGGTCCTGCCAGGTGCGCGTGCCACGGAACATCCGCGACACACCCCCCCGGTGCACTGGCCCTTCTGAGCTTGTACCCCTGCCATCCGATGCTGCGCGGTTCCTGACGCCCTGCGACGGCCCCCCGTCCGCCCGCAGTCGATCTCGACGCCGCGCTTCTCGAACTCGACGAAGAGCGCTCCGCGAAGGGCGCGACCGGGCTTAGCACCGAGCGCGTGGGCACTCTCGTGTGGACGCAAGAGCGCCTGGACCGCCTGCGTGCGTCGGCGCCGGACCGCGTCCCGTCGGACACGCACCTCGTCCCAATGCAGGTCGCGGGCGCGCGGTCGCGCGGCCCGCCGCGGGAGTTCATGGTGCCGGCCGCGGGCGGCGCGCGACTGTGTGCGCTGAGCACGTGCCTCAAGCCCGTGCCGGGGGCGCCGGCGACGGGCGCGTTCGTGGAGTCGGCGTCGCTCCTGGTGTGCGGGGAGGGCTGCTTTAAGGTCTACCTCGCGCGGTGCACGACGGGCGGCCTGCGCGCGCAGCTGGGCAAGCTGGAGCGGGGGCGGTGCCGGTTGTGCGGCACGAACTGTCGGGACCTGGTGTCCCGGCTGCAGGGAATCACGCGGTACTCGCACCCGACGGACTGGAAGGAGCGGCGGCGGCAGGTCGTGAAGCGCGTCGCGCCGCGCTTCCTGACCATGCGCAGCAAGGTGCGGCGCGCACCCCGGCCTGTGCCCGGGAGCTGGATCGGTTACTTCTGGTCCTTGGCTGACACTTGCGTGCATACACAGGGATGCATATACGAAATAAATGTGCGCTTTATACGTCTCTCTGTTTGCTGATGCTGTTGCGTTGCGTGCTTGCGCAGAAGCGGCTGGAGAACCTGCTCGAGAAGGCGGTGGAGGGCAACGCGTGGGAGGCGGACCACATCGTGCCGGTGTACGAGGGCGGGGGGGAGTGTACTGTCGACAACATGCGCACCCTGTGCATCCCCTGCCACGAGCGCAACACTGCCGAGCAGGCCGCGCGCCGCGCCGAGCTCCGCCGCGCGATGAAGCGCAGCGGCGGCGTCAAGTCCAAGGACGTCCGCGGCATGCTGAAGGCCGCGGCTGGGGCCGGGCGGAAGGGCGGCAAGGGCGCAGGGAGCCGGGCGGGGGCGGGGCGCGGGAGGCGGGGCCGGGGCGGGAAGGCCGCGGGTCGGAAGGCGGATGTCGTTGTTGTCTCGAGCGAGGAGGACAGCGGCGCGGCGGACGACGGCCCGGAGAGCAGCTTAGAGATATAGACGCAAGAACCCACTTTGAGTCGAAGATTCACGATTCTGCAGGGGCCGCTCGAGTGGCGACGCGCGCTGTCTCACCGCACCGACGGGCGCCCTGACTTGCATCGCTGGAGCGCTCACACACGCGGACGAGCGCCGTCCGCGCCCTAACGCACCCCCCTACTGTTGCCGCTGCGCAGCGGGGACCAGGCCGTCCTTGTCCGCGGTGAACGGCGTCCAGATGATCTTGCGCGGATCCACAGGCACGCCGAGGCTGCCGGCCTTCTTCAGCGCCGCGTCCACCGCCTCGGGGTCCGCGAAGAGCACGTGTTGCCCGTTGGCGTACTCGATCATGCCAAGGTGCTGCAGCGTGTCGACGATGTCCGCGGTGCGGATCGCGGTGGTGTCCGACATGTCCTTGATCGACAGCGGGCCGTCCGCCTCCTTGATCAGCGTGAGCAGGATCCGCGTCCAGTACGAGCGGTACGACACCAGCCCCAGGTCCGACAGCGGGCGCTCGGGGGTCCCGACGCGGCCCTCGATCTTCGAGAGCTCGTACGAGAAGGAGATGAGGAACTTCCCGTACCCCTTGCGCTGGTACGACGGCAGCGTCAGGATGCACGCCAGATTGTACCCCTCCTCGGAGCACTTTTCTTTCGAGAAGTACCCCACGATGTGGGCGCCGCGCTCGTCGCACTCGCAGAGGACGTAGAACAGGAAGAGGTCGACGTCGTAGTAGAGCGTCTTGTGGTCGAGGAAGAGCTTGGCCAGGTAGCACAAGTTCTGGCAGTAGGTGCGCTCCTTCCGGCCGTCGAGCTCGAACATCGAGACGGAGCCGTTGCGGTAGATCTCGTCGCCGGGCGGGTGGTTCATCTCGCACTTCTTCATGTGGCGCATCAGCTGCGCGCGCGTCTTGAAGATCGACAAATCGTATTCGCAAAAGTACAGGTTCCGGCAGTTGTGGTACTCCGGGGGCAGCGGCGAGAAGTACCACGTGTCCATCTCGTGCCGGCCCAGCTCGACGCGGCTCACGTTCTTGACCTTGGTGAACTCCTCGTGCTCCTTGAGCGCAGTCGCGTCGAAGTCCCCGTGGTCGTCGTGCACCTCGAGATCCTCCCACTTGCGCTTCACGCCGCGCACCTTCCCGTCCTCCTCCCACATCGCCTTCGTCTCGTGCTCGCTGAAGTCCATCTCGTGGAGCCTGCGCGCCGCCAACGGACCCGGAACCGGACACTCAGAACCGCTGCGCTGTGTTCAAGCGCGCGCACACCGCGAGCGCGTGGCGGGGACGCACTCGACCCAGTCGTCCATGCGCCGGTTGTACCCGATGTAGTGCACGTAGTACTCGTAGTCCAGCGGGTTGTCCCTGCTCTTCCCCTCGGGCACGCGTCGGTCAATGATGCGCACAGGGTTCATGCGACCCTCTGCGCGGTACAGCGCGCGGCACCGCAGGTCCAGCTCGCACGGCAGCATGATCTTCGCGCCATCGCGCTCGAATTCCTCCTGCGGGGCGGCGGGCCGCGGGCGAACGGCGTGTGATGGCGACTGTGGTACGATGCGTCGTTGACCGGGGGGCCGAGGGCGGGCGGACCTGCGGACAGCAAGGCTCCTCCTTGCGCTGCCGCCCGCCGCCCGTCTTCTTCTGCTCCTTCTTGTTGCTCGGCGTTGGCGCCTGTGTGGAACCCTTGCCCTGCGTGGAGAGGAAGCACACCGCGGGGTGAGGCGGATGTGTCCGAAACGACGCAAGTTCGCGCCTCGGGCCGTGAAACCTAGCGGAGGTTCCAGCGGACCGGCTATCAAGGCCCGGCAGCCCCTGGGCGGGGCAGTCCGGCGGGCCGGAGCGAGTAGCGCCAAACGGGGGGTGCCGCTGTCGACGGAAGCGTCACAGGAATGTGGCATGCTGGCGGCGCAAACGATAGTTGAGCCATCAAGGACTGCTGTGTCGGAGATCTGCGCCGTATGACGCGCCGACAGGACCGCAGCGGCGCCTGGTGAAGTCTGGAAGGGCTCAGGAGCGCCCTGCGCGGCGCCTTGGAGGGCGCGTGCAACACTTGCCTTCACCACTACACGCTTGCCCGCTCCTCCGCCCTGAACCGTGGTGATCTGCGCCCCTGGTTGCGGATCAGCGGGCGTCTCGAGCGGAGGAGGCTTCCCTTTGATGTTCCCGCCCATCCCTGCACCCTCTCCCCGGTTGACTCCCCCCGGTTGCGCACAGAAAAGCCAAGACTACTACTCAGAATCGTTCTTGCGCCCGATGACGGGCTGGCGCCCACGCAGGCTCGGCTTCAGCTCTCGTCAAGCCCCGTCCCCCGCTGCCGCTGTCGCGTTTCACCCCGTGCTGCTCACGAACTAAATCTCGCGCGAAGCCCACTTCCCGCAGCGACCCTCGCGCGCCGCACACGAAGCCCAAGCGCCGCAGCGGTTCCCAACCCCCTCCACATGATCTCCACATGCGTCAGCCGCCCAGCTCCACCGGCCGCGGTCGCAACCCCCGCCCCGGCCGCCTCACAGTCCCCCGCAACCTCTCTCGCCTGCACCTAGATCCACGCCACGCGACCAGCCCGACAAGCCGCACCTAACATGTCACCCCCCACAAACACGCCACGTGACCCGACGCGCACTTCAACCGGCACGCGCCATCCGCGCACACCTGCCGCGCGCCGCACGCACCCGTCGTGCGCGCGCCCCCCCGGTCCGAAGCTCCGGACTGACAACACACCCCCCAACTGTAGTCGCGTCACACGCCGGCCGCTGGCCCCAAGCGACCGCTGCCGGCCGCGCCCGTGGCCCCTGGTGCAGCTCGTCCGGCGCCGCGGCGGCCTACGCCGCGCGCGAGTTCGCAAGGCGAGCGAGGCGCCGTTCCGTCACCTCGTGCACGTGCAAGCAGCGGCATCACTTCTGCCAGTCGCCGTCGAAGGTGTGGAACCCCGCGAGGCGGAAGAGGTGGAAGTAGGCTTTCTTCTCGAGCTTCGAGCACCAGTTCCACGCTGACGTCAGGCGGCCGTCGATGCACGACCCCGCGTCGAAAAAGTTGTCCGCGCCGGACCCGTCGAAGGCGTGCCGGAAGAAGTCCTGCAAAATGGCCACGCGCGCGCCCTCGGGGGACCCGAACGTCTCGCTGACGTAGCGCGCCACGTGCGGGTCGTTCGCGCACAGCCGGGGCACCTCCTCCAGCACCTGCGAGGAAGCGCAGCACGTGCGCTCGCGGGGGTCGCACCGAGCAGAGAACCCGAATGGATACGCCACGGACCATCGAGCGCGCGATGAGAACCGTGCGCACGCGGAAGACGACGCAGCGGGAGCAGCGTGGCACACGCAGAGCATAGGGGCGTGAGATCGCCGTACCTGCGTGACCGGGTTGAGGATGCGCGGGACCTGCGTGTACTTGTCTATGAACATGAACGCGTTCGGCACGTTGTGGTCGCCCAGGTGCACCACGCTGGAGCCCACCCAGTGTCCGATACGCAGCTGGCACCGCGCGAGGATAGCGGTCATCGCGCGGTACGTCGCGGGCGCCTGCTGGACGCGGTTGAGCCCCTGCCCCGTGTCGCACAGCCGGTAGCGGTTCCCCGACCGCAGGAGGTCGCTCTCCGCCAAACACCACAGCTTGAACATGTCGGTGGAGACCTCGCGCCAGAGCGTGAGCGACTGGAGGACGTAGTTGTACTGCCGCTCGTGGGAGTGGCTCAGACGCGCGCCCCCGCGGCCCGACGAGATGGCCAGGGACGTCTGGGGGGTGTGTTGGTCCGGGCGGAAGTACGTCGTCAGCATGGTGATCATCTTGTCCACGGGGTCGCGGTTGAAGAAGAGGTAGCTGCGCGCGGAGCGCACGCGCGAGGTCGCGTGAGCCACTGCCTACATGATCGCGGCGGGAGCGAGGAGCGAGACCGGGGGGGGGGTTGTTCTATGACAGCGCTGTCAGGCCGCCAGAGTGGGCGCGGGGCGCCGCGGGGCGAGAGGAACAGTGGCGGCGCACGCAGGCCGTAGCGATTCAACTCAATTCAGTTCAGTGCGGCGGCACCTGTTGTTGTCCGAGATTGAGTAGATACACCACAGGATTTCGTCCTCGGTGAGCCGCGCGGTCTTGTACTTGCGCGCGAGCGCGCTCCGCGCGGCCTCCTTGCGCTTGATGTCGGCCTGCACGTGCGGCCGCGGCCTGTTCGCCGCGACGATCTCCGCCGTCGCCGTCTCCATGAGGGGGTCCTCGAGAAGCCGCGCGCCGCCGCGCTCGTCGAGGAAGGACCCGACGGTCAGGAGCGGCTTGACGCACTCGAACCCGAGCAGCTCCTCGATTTGCGGGTCGCAGGAGTCCATCAACATGTACATGAGCTTGCCGTAGTCGCTGCGCATCTTATCTGCAGCGAGACGGCCACAGAGACGTGCCAAGACGAGGAGGCGTGTGAGGCGCTGGCGTGCGGGCGAGCGCAGCACGGTAGCGGACGGGTTCGCGCGCGTGCGGGGCTGCGGGCGGTTGGTCTCTGCCTGTGCGTGTGTGCAGGGACGGTGGGGCTTGCGGGGTAGAGCGAGGGCGTGCGGCGGCGCGGGTGGCGCACCTGGGTTCATGACCTTGTACCGTCGCCCGACCTCGAAGCACGCCTGGAAGAAGTCGGCGTTCTGTTCAAAGTCCCGATCCTTGATGAGGCGCTGCCCGGCGTTGTAGTCCTCGGCCACCACGAGCGCGCACAGCAGGCTGCACAGGTACCGAACCTGCTTGTTGATCCGCCCGGCCTTGCTCTTCCACGTCAGGATGTCCACCTTATCTGCACAAGTACACAAAGTAAAAAAAAAACATCAACATCAACAACCCCCCCCCCGCCGGACCGCGGCCGCCCCGCACCACCGCGCGCGCCGCACCGGGCACCCGTGCGTCGACGCACCTGTGTACTCCGACACCGACAGCGCCCCCTCCAGCAGCCGCAGGAGCCGCCGTTCATCCATGTTGAGTCGGAGCGGGATCCACCGCGCGCGCTCCGCGAAGCTGACCGCGCCCACGTCCCCGCCCTCCGCCAGCTCCGCCTCGAGCTCCGCGTCCAGGTCCGAGTCCTCGTCGTGCTCCGCCGCGCCGTTGCCGTTCCCCTCGACAACCCCCTCCACCTCCATCCCGCCCGCCTTCCCGTCCTCCTCCCCGCGCAGCCCCGCGCCCCCCGCCGCCGCCACGTCCTCGCGCTGCTGGTCCGCGACCGCGCCGGCGTCGCTCGCCGCGTGCTGCAGCCCCTCGACCAGCTTCTCAATCAGCGTCATAAGTGCCGGGTCCGCGGTGGAGGCCTGGAGGCCGTCCCGGAGCTCGCGCGATACCTCCGCGAGCTCCGCCGCGTCGCGGGAACGCTCCTGCGCCCACTCCGCGATCTGCTGCTGCGCAACACGCAGCATTTGCGCCTTGTGTTGCGCCTCGGCCTCCGCACGCTCCCGCTTGACGTGCTCCTCCTGCGCGCGCGAGCCGGGGGTGCAGGATACGGGTGCGCACGTGGAGCAGTGCTGCGCGGGGTGGAGCGCTGGATGCGTGGGACGCGGAGGGGGGCGTCGTACATGAAGTCGCTGCGCGACGTCACCGGTGGGTTCCACGTCCTTGTCGCCAGCGGCGGGGGCGATGTCGTCGTCCTCGCGGTCCAGGAGCGCGCCAAGCGCGCGGGCCTTGTCGCTGCGGGCAACCACGCGGCGGCGCGCCGGCGTTTCACTTCCGTCTCCAGATTCGCGCGATGAGGCCGCCGCGAGTTATCGCGACGCTTAATTGAAGAAGTTCAGGCGTGTTGGGTGGTGTGCATGCGCACGAGGCGCGTCTGCGCCGCGGAGCGGCGGCGCTGGCTGCGGCGGGCTGATGTGTTGTGGTGGGGCGGCACCTGGACATGTCGGGGTCGTTGCCAAGCGTGACGGTGCTGCTGCCTGGGAAGAAGCAGGTCAGCGTGGACGTGAAGAGCGATCCGAGCCACCCCCACCCCTCTCCGTGACCTTCCTCCTGCGCTCGCACAAGCGGCACGGGCCGACGCTCGGCGTCAGCGCGCCGTCCGGGCCCCGTGCGCTATCTGCTCGCGCCCGACTGATCACGTTGGCATCGGTGAGGCCAGCGAGCCTCGCTCGGGCCCACGCAGCCCTACGCTCCGCCCTGGGAAGCCACTGGCGGCAATGAACCGGCAGCCCGCGGTCGCGGGGCGCACAGCCCCGAGCAGGCGAGCGCCGACGCACGGCGCTAGGGACCGCATCGCTCGCGGAGGCGGTCGCGTCCTGCGCAGTTCGCGCCGGGCGGCCCCGCCTGTGACTGCGCCAGCGCCAAGCCTGCAACGCGCAAGGCCGGCGCCCCGGGCGCACGCAACGTGGCGGGCCGGCGGCTCGCGGGGGTGGAGGCCTGCGCGGATCCCCGCGGCGCGTCTCACCTCGTCCCACGAATCGGCGTTCGGCCCGGGCCTGGGAGCTTCTGCAGGCTTCCTGGTAATCTTGCTGACTGCTGTTATCTGGCGTGTTGCCAGTCTGAGACTGACGCTGAGACGCCCGGGGCCGCCCCGACGGCGCCGCGCGCCGCTCTGAGGCGCCGTGCGGGCCTGACGCGACATCCGAGGGGGCGTACGCGCAGGGACCGCGGCTCGCCGTGCGGAGGCAACGGGCCGAGCGCACAGCCGGCAGCGCCACTCAGGCTGCTGCAGCGAGGACGCAACGGCGCCGGCTTCGCATCGCAAGCGGTCGCGGGAAGCTGCTTTCAAGACAGCGCAAGCGCAGAGGCAGCAGGCTCGCCTGCGGACGGGCCGAGGCGAGGCGGCGGCGCACGCGGTGTCGAGTGGGCGCACAGCACGATGACGGACGTCGCGAGCATACTGGACAACCTGAACCTGTCCGACTCGGAGGCGTCGCAGCTGGCTGATGCCTTCAAGAAGGAAGAGTTCCGAAAGGAGTTCGCGACGTACATGGAGTCCATGTCTGACCCAGAGTACAAGAAGGAACAGGTGCGTGCTGCGCAGCGCGGGCGTGTGCGGCGCGCTCGAGCTGCCCGCGCGACGCCGCGGGCCGAGCCCTCTGGCTCCGCTTTCAGCGCACTGCCTGCCATGGCCCGCGGCGCCGCCGCAGGCCCCCCCCGCGCGCGCTACATCGCTATGCAAGACCCCTCTGGTTACTTGAAAGCCAGTGGGGATCGAAAATCCTCGAAAGGCGCGCCGAGCGACGACCACGGGGCCGGTTCTCGCTGCACGCACGTCCCGCGGCCCCGCATGGAGCCTCCGCGGCGGCTCATCGGGCGTCGAAGAGCGCGCGAACGGCTCGTTGCGTCCCTGTTGCGCCGCAGGACGAGTATCTCCGGCAGCTGGAGATGCAGAACCGCATTGCGGAGGTGTACGGCAAGGACGTGCAACTCATCGAACCGAAGCCCATGTTCGTTGCGAAGACCAAGGACGCGAAGTCGAAGCAGAAGGTCTTCATCAACATGACTGGTGCGTCCGCCGCCCCCGACGCCACCACGACGCGATGTGCGCTTGCCGCGGACCGTGCGCTGAGTGTTTTCAAAGCAGCTGCGCGCCACGGCGGCTCCCGGGCTCGGCGTCCCTTGCGCGGCGAGGCGGTCCCGGCGCGAAATTCACAGGTCGCGTTGCGCGGGCGTTCGCTGCAGAGAACGACAAGGTCGACCCGCCGTCGTGCAAAAACCGCTGCTGGTCGACTCCGCTCCGGCTGGGCCCGAAGCGCGAGGGCGAGGACAAGCAGGGCGCGAAGTGCGTCGTCGTCGATTTCGTGGCGCACCCGCAGGCGTACCAGCTCTCGGCGCGCAGCAAGGCCTTCCAGAACATGATCGTGGAAGCTGCCATGGACGAGATCGACAAGAACTACGACACCGCGCTCGAACGCAAGGGCTGGACGATCCCCAAGATGCAGTACAAGGGCTCCGAGGGAATGGAAACGCCGCGGCCGCTCGCGGTCCGCGGCGCCGGCGGCGCGGACGGCTCGGCTCCGGGCCAGCGCGTGAAGCCCGTCGCTGGCAGCAACCCCGAGGAGGCTGCGCTGCGTGCGGAGGCCGAGGCGGGGGAGCGGGCCGCGGCCGAGGGCGGGAAGGCGTCGGAGTTCGGGTTCAAGAAGGCTGTGGAGGCGAAGAAGCCGGCGCCGCGGCAGGGGGAGGCCGGGTGGCGGTGGCCGGGGGGCGAGGTGGTGCCTGTGCACCGCGTGAAGCAGCAGGTCCGCGGGATGGACGCCGGGGCGGCGTGGGGGGACAGCCGCGTGCACAGGGACCCTGGGAGGCCGACGCACATCGAGGTCGAGGTCGCGCTGCCAGGTGAGCGAGCTTGCCACCTCGCGTCTCCAGCGTTCTTCGTCCCGACGCCTGTGCGGCGTGTCGCCGTGCAGCGAGGCGCTTGCTCACGAGTGGTGTTTTTCTTGGGGCTGTGCGCAGGGTGCCAGGCGTCGACCATCGACGTGCACCACGAAACGCGGTTCCTACGCGTCACGGCAGCGGCGCCGCCGCAGGGCGGCGCGCCGGCGAAGCTCGAGCTGTCGCTGCCGTACCCGGTGCACGACGACGAGTCGCGGTCCCGGGCGCGCTGGATCCGCGACAGGTCGACGCTGCAGCTCACGTTCGAGGTGCTGCCAGCGCCGGCAACAACCACGGCACAGGACGTGTACGAGGGGGCGGGCGGCGCAGCTTTGGTCGAGGAGCTTCCGGGAGGGGATGATGCGCCCGCGGAGGACGAAGCTGCGGCGAACGGCGCAGAAGCAACCGACGAACCGCCGCAAGATGCATCCGCCAGTAACGGAGACGTCACAGCTCCGAGCGAGAACGCCGCCGCGGCGCCCGCGGCGCCCTTGGCCGCGGAAGAGCCCCAGGACGCGGAGGAGGAAACGTTGACGGAGAACCAGCGGCGTTGGAAGGAGCTGCACGAGCAGCGGGAGGCCGAGGCGCGGGCCAAGGCAATGGCGGAGGCGCGGGCGGCAGACGAGGCGGCCGCAGCGGCGCGGCAGGCCGCCGGCGGTGCGGACGTCGCGCCGGAGGGTGCCGCGGAGTTCGTGCCGGAGCCGTCGGGGACGTTCCAGGGTCCCCGGGGGGGGTATGACTTCAAGCTGGGCCCGTCGGGCCTTGGGTACTATTTGCGGAGGAGCGTGCAGGAGCAGGAGGCCGCCGCGGCCCCTGCGGCTGTGGAGCAGCCCGCTGCGACGGGAGTGCGCCTGGCGCCGCGCATGAATCTGGATGCCGTCATTGATGAGCTGGACTGAAGAGAGGGTGTTTTGTTGTGAGCCCGGCCGCGTTGCAGATGCTCGGCTGGAGGAACGGTCGTGTGAAGCAGTGCGGGCGTGCACGTGTTGCTGGAGCTTTCGGGCGCGACGGTGGGTGTCCGCGTCTACAGCCAGATGGCGTGCGGCATGGGGCGCGCGGCCGAACCGTCGCGGACGTGTTTGTTCATGACGCTCACGCTCCAATTGACACGTTTGTCACACCGGTACTTCATTAGAGGCGGGGCTGCCGCGCAACTGCACAGCTTCGCAGCTTGCGGCGCAACGGAGTGCAGATCCCGCACTTTCAAGTCGTCCGTAGTGGGAACACGTGTACCTGTCGATGGGATACACTCGGGCGAGGCTGCGACACACGCGCGTCGCTGGCCTACGGCCCTGCTGCTCCTGAGGCTTTGTGTTGCTGCATAGCAGCCACCCACACGAGGCGCGCGGGCATCAACGCTGTCCCGAGCCCTCATGGTGCGCCCATCGCAAGTCTTCGCCGTGCTGCGGATAGAGCCGGTGCGTGCGCCCCTCGCGTGTCCGCGGCGGGCAGCAAGCTGCGCAGCCGCAGCCGCGAGTTGTCGTTTCGCGAGTTGTTGTCGCGGTCGTTCCGGCACTCGCGGCTTCGACGCGCGAAGAGCCCGCCGCAGCTTGGACCGTCGAATCCGACGAACACGAAGGCAACGCCCTGCAAACAGACGCACCAAGGATTGCGCACGTGTGTGTGTGTGTGTTTTTTTTGTTCTGGCCCCACAGGACATGGAAACGAGACAGATCGCCGCGTGTGAGCGAGCAGCTTCGCGCTAGGGGGTCGCGCACCACCGCGGAGCCAAGCACCAGCGCCATCGTCAACAGCAAGCACACGAAGCCGGAGCAGCGGCTCGTGCGTCGCGCCAGCACCCGCCGCCCCCTGCGAGCCTGGTTCTCGCGCACTGCGCGGTCCACTGCCGCCTCCCTTTCCTCTGCACACGAGGAGGCCGGGATGTGCATCGTGACCGCGGCTGAAGCGCGAAACGTTGCGTGCAGTGAACGCGGCAACTTTCTGCTGCATGCGCTCCGCCCCGCCGTGAGCGTCCGCACTTCGCGGCAGCTTGTGGCGCACAGTGCAGGCGCCATTCGCAAGGTGCCCGCCTCGGAGGTCGCCGCTGCCGCTGACGCACATCCGCGCAGCCTTGCAGACAGCGGCAAGACGCTCAGGCTGGCCATCGTCGAGCGCAACGACCACTGCGAGCAGCGTCCCATGCACTACGAGAACTCGGCATAGCTCCGCAGACATGCCCGCCCGGAGCCACACCAAGGCTGCGCAATGCATGGACCGCTGCTTGCAGTGGACGCGAGGGCGGCGCTCGCCGACGGCCAGCCTGAGCTTCCCGCCGTAGTCCACGACGCAGGTGGCGCGTGCGTGCGTCAGCGGCGACCTCCGAGGCGGCCAGGGGCACTTCAACAAGGGCGCCAGCCTACGGCACTGCGGCTGCAGCTCGCACTCAAGGAACGCAACGTGCTCCTTGCGCGGTGCAGCCATGCAGGGGAAGCGCGGCCCGGCCCGGCTCGCAGCTCGAGATGATGTGGTGCTCGCCCGCCGCACCTGGACATGACTGGCACCCCCACGAAACTGCTTGTAGCTCGTGTTCGCGGTCGGGGTCCAGCGCGACAGCGAGGCTGCCGTCCGTGTTGACGACCAGCATGATAGCCGGCTTCTCATCGCCCTTCCCATTCTCCTGCGCAGCGGGGCTGGTGGGAAGCGGTTGCTCCTAGGCTAGGGCGGGTGCCGGCTCGACGCGTTGCGGCGCCGTTCGGGGTCGTGCGCGGTGCCTGTCGCGCAGAGGTCGCGGTACACGGAGCTGCGCGCGGCGCTGCGGGGCACGGCCGGGCGCGTGGGCGCGAACTGAGGCAACAGTGCGTGGCTGATCAGTGGCCGCGTGCGTGCGCAGGCCCCGCACAGCGAGAACGAGGAGCGTGGGAACAGCGTGCGAAGGAGCACGGTGTCGCCATCGGCGTCCGAGCGATGCAGCAGGGTGTGCAGGGAGCTGGGAGACGCGCGGCCGCTCAGCACGAGTGCGGGGGCTTCGAGGGCGTGCCGCGGCGACACACGCACCTCGCCGAACCCTTCGCAGCACGCACGGATCGCGCCGTCCGTCTTCTCGCTCGTCTCGTCCTTCGCGGCCATCTCAGCGGGGTGTACGACAGCCCCAGCCCCTCCAGCACGTAGCCAGCCCCACCGGGGCGGCGATAGACCCCGCGTTCTCGCCAGCGCGGTGTGCAACGTGTGTTCTCCGAAGTCGTCGAACGTCAACCGCGGCCCATGGTCCAGCACACGGCCACCTGGCGCCGGCGCGCCTGAACCCTGCTTGCGACACGAGAGGCGTTCCGCGACGCCCCAGACCTCCACCCGCGCCCGCTGCGACGAGCTCGGCTTCGGGCCGGCTGTCAAGGTGTGCCGCTAGCGACACGAGAGCTCGACAAGGCCGCCGGTCTACGGCGCACGTGGAAGCTTGAGTTCCTCAGCTTAGGTCTGCCCTGCGCGACGCACGGAGGCGGTCCTGTCTGCGCGCGTCGTGCGCCAGCGCGTCCCCACATCACTGCCGTGCGTCGTGGGGCTCGCAGCGCGGGCGCGCCCGAGAGGCGCGGCTGTGGGACGCGTGCTAGGAGGGGCAAAGATTCGGAGGCGTACACACGCGGGGTGCGCGCGCGCACAGGTCCAAGGAGGACGCCGCCACACGGGCGGTGGCGCGGTGTCGCACGGCGTGCAGTTCGGCCGAATTTCGTGCATGCGGCCCCGCGCCGCGGTCGCGTGGTGTTGTGTGCACAAGAGGCAATTGCGCACCTGAGCCGACGCTCCGAAACGCAGCGGCGGGTCGTCGTGACGTCCTCCGTGAGCTAGTGTGCACGTCGGGCACCGGCGCGGCCAGAAGGTTGCGCGGGCCGGGCCTGTCAGGATGACTTCCCCCTCGCGTCCGTCGCACGGTGCCGACGGCACGACAAGGCGGCCGTGCGCCCCCCGCCCTCGCCCTTTTCTGTACCCCTGCGACCATAGCATCTGCCCGTGCTGAGGGTCCCTAGGAGCGGACAGGCACAATGGGTGAGTACGAGGCCGCCCGCAGCCGGCCGAGCCTGCCTGTGCCCGCTGCCGCCTGAGGCGCTCACGCGTCCCTTTCCGTTTCGTTTCGACCTCGCGCCTCCCGTCGTCGCCCGGCGGAAACGGCCCCTCAGCCGGCTGCTTCGGGCGCTGAACCGGTCCTCCTCGCGCGCCGGACGCTGGCCGAGGAGTTCGACGCGAATGCGTGAACTCGCGATGGCATCCACCCGCATGGTGCTGGCCGAGCGGCGGGAGCGCCTTGCGGCGCCCCACGCAGGGCCCGTCGTGCTCAAGCACTGCCGGCCGATAGCCGTGCAGCCGCCTCGGGGCATCAGCGGCCCGGCCGCGCCCGCCGCCGATACACGAATATTCCCTGCATCGCCCCCGGGCGCTCGCAACGTCGCGGCCCCCCACTCACGTCCACGATGTGCTCTCTGCCACTGCAGGTATCTCTCGCGACTCCCTGCACAAGCGCCGCCTGACGGGTGGGCGGCAGCCGGCCTGGAAGAAGGGGAAGAAGTGCGCCCGCGTCCCTCCCGCCGCGCCCCTGCACGCCAGGGCGCCCAGTCTGCCCACAAAGCTGGCCGCCGTTGCCGCCTGGGCCCGCTGCGCCCCCTCCGCGCACGCCCACCGCACGCCACCCCCACCGCGGCGACCCCCGCCCCTCCCGCATCCTCCTCGCGCCACGCCGCCACCAGCCGGCGCCCCGCGCGCACGGCATCCCGCGGCCACCCCCACCGCTGCAAGCCCACCGCGCCCTCCGCTCGCCGCCCGCCCCCGCAGGTACGAGCTCGGCCGGCAGCCGGCCAACACTCGGCTGTCGTCGAACGTGTGCGTGCGCACGGTGCGCGTCCGCGGCGGGAACCGCAAGTTCCGCGCCCTCCGCCTCGACTCGGGCAACTTCTCGTGGGGCTCCGAGGCGGTGACGCGCAAGACGCGCGTGCTGGACGTGGTGTACAACGCCTCGAACAACGAGCTGGTGCGCACGAAGACGCTGGTGAAGAACGCGATCGTCGCCGTGGACGCCACCCCTTTCAAGCAGTGGTATGCCACGCACTACGGCGTCGGGCTGGGCAAGGGCGCGGAGAACGACACGTCGAAGAAGTCCAACCACGTGACGCGGAAGCTCAAGGACCGCAACAGGCACCGCAAGCTCGACCCCGCGCTGTCGAGCCAGTTTGACGTCGGGCGCCTCTACGCCTGCATCTCGTCGCGGCCGGGGCAGTGCGGGCGGTGCGACGGCTACGTGCTCGAGGGCAAGGAGCTCGAGTTCTACCTGAAGAAGATGCAGAAGAAGAAGGGCAAGATGAACTGAGCACGGATCTTGCACCGCCGCGACACCGCGGGCTGCGCTCACCTCCCGGCGCCGCAACTGTGACACGGCGCCGCACGCTCGGGCACCCGCACGCACGCACGCACGCGCGCTCGCGACGTCGCACGCGGCCTGCGATCGCCCGCAGCCCGCCCCGCCGTCCTGCTGGGGAGACGCATCATCTGTGGGCTGCGACGTCGACCGACGGGGCACGCGCGCGCCTCGCTCGCGGCCCTGCGCGTGTCTCGGCGCTGCTGAGCTCCCCCGCGTGCCCTTCCGCACCCGGCGGGCACTCTGGTGTCAGACTGACTGGCCTTGCCGTCACATGCAACGGGAACCCCCCCCCCCCGCTCCCCCCCTCCCACGCGCGCCCGCTACGCGGCGCGCTCACTGTGTCTTGCGGGCGCGCGTCGTCGCGGCCTTGACCGGCCGCATGCCGTTGCATATTTGCACCCAGGCGTACGCAATGGCTGCGGAAGGGATGACGATCCACAGCCCGTTCAGGAAGATGAAGTAGAACCAGTAGTACAGGAACTCCGGCCGCGCGTGCTTCTGGCCTGCGCGGAACAGCTCGGCAACGCGCACCGCGGTCACGCGCGTCAGCCACACCACCGCCCCTAGTCCGACACGGCGCCAGCTCGGCGCTCGGCGCGCGCAGGAACCGCCGAGCGCGCATGCTCCGCCACACGCGCCATCGCGAGCGCTTTTCGGAGCGAGCTGCAGCAAGGAGCGCGGCCCCGTACGCACCTTCGGCGAATGCGGTGTAGAAGTACAGGACGTCGCCGTAGAGCTGCCCCATCGACACGGCGATCATCATGGGCAGCGTCCAGTTCGCCCCGCGCGTCATGCCCCACGCGATGACGAAGCACAGAGGTCCCCACACCACGGCGGTGCATGTCTCCACTGCACGGACGAAGGTGTCGCCCGTCGCGTACCGGGAGTCGGCCTTGCTGTACTCCTTCCACACGTCCGCCAGCATGTTGCCCGTCGTGTCCTTCCAGAAGTCGGGCATGGCCGCGAACGCGCCCTCAAGTACGATGTGAATCAGCCCCGTGATGATCCACCTGCGGCGCGAGGGGACCGAGGAGGCGCCCTGAGCGCGAGCTACCGATGCGGCCTTGCGCTGGGGCCGCACTCTGGGCGCGGGACGAGGTGGAGCGACGCGGAGGGCGCGGAAGGGCCCTGCCGGGGTGTGGCAGGCGTGCCGTTGCGCGACGAGGGCGAGGGAGGGGGGCGGCGCGCGGACGGGGCGAGCGGTACGTGCGTGGCGAGGCCGCGGTGCGTGAGCGCGCGGCGGGGCGAGTCGGAGCCGCTCGGAAATTCGATACACACACCGGGGTCCGCGAGACGCACCAGCAGAAGAGCAGACGCGCGCCGGTGCCCATGTGCTTGTACCGCGCGGTAAAGTTGTAGCCGACCACCGCGGTGCCCACGCACGCGACGCCGAACGCCCCCACCATCGCGACTTCGGACGTGGCCGCTGGCTCCCACCCTGCACGACGCCGCGGCGGTGGCAAGTCAGACGCGCGCATGCGCCACGCCACGGCGCTGCACGAGGACCAGTCTCGCGGTGGCGCCCGTGTACGGGCGATGACGCGGGCGCGGCGCGCCGGGACGGGCCACAGGCGGGCCATCAGCACAGGAGTGACCTGGGCGGTCGTGCGTGCACCACAAGGTCCGATTGATGGCGACGAGGCGCGTCGAGCGCGTAGCACGAGCGAACTAGCTCGGAACAGGGCCGGGGAGCGCGTAGGGGCGCGGGAGCGGTGGCTGCGGTGAGTCGCCTGTGTGACGGCACTTGAGCCCTTACCTGGGAGGTAGATGTCCGCTGGGACGTACGGGTGCTGCGACATTGGCACCAGGGTTTTGCTGACGATCCGTGGAAGGCGTGGGTGCGGTTCTTGGGCGCGAAACGTGCTCTGGGCGAACGGTGCTGCGCCGCGGGCAGCGGAGGGGGGCTAGGGCCGCGCTCGCGCGTGCGAAAACGAGGTGAATGGAACGTCCGTCGAGGGCGACGGACAGCTGCGCGATCTGGCCGGCGGTGGCGCTGAGAGGGCCATGCGAGGCCGCGGCTGCGCGCCGGGGCCGCCCGACAGCAGTGGGACCCCTCTGTTGAGGAAAAGGGGCGTCAGCGGGAGCGGAAGACCAGGATTTGTCGATCGATGTCAAATGACCGCGAGGGGTTACATAAAGGGGTCTCATGAAGCCTCGCCGGCGCACGGCCGAGCCACTGCGTCCGCGGCACTCTGTCCGCTTCCCGACTTCGTTCTTTTGCGACTCGAAAGCAACGCAGCGCCCTTCGCACCGGGGCGGGCCAACGCTCTGCTGCTGCCCCGGACGTCCACCCGCCGCCCTGCAGCAGCCCCCTCCCGCATCAGGCCCCTGCCATGCGTGTCGCCGACTTGTAGATCGTGCGTCGACGCGGGCTCTTCTTCGCAGCCCGTGCGCGCCCCTAGGGGCGGAACCTACCAGCAACTAGCCAGTGCCTCATGTTCTAGTATCGCACTACAGCGCGGAGGACGCCGCGAGGGAGAAGCACGGAATTGTGGAGGCGCTACCTGCGATGTGGGCGCGATGGAAGGCGCAATGGCGCAGGTGAGGCTGCGCTGCGGCCCTCGAGCTGAGAGGACACGCGACCACAGCGGCGCTGCGGGCCCTGGGGCGGCCCTGGCGGCGCGCATGACGACCGCGTATGCACGATGTCTCTGGGACTGCTGGGAGCCACTCGGGACCGCGCACCGGCGCCGCGGCGAGGCACTGCGCAGCGCTACCCTTGCGCGAGCAGACAGGGGGCAGCTGGGCCGGGGCTCTTGCGTGAACTGACGCCCCGAGACGCGGCTCCGGGGCTTTGCTGGCACGCTCGAGAGCGAAACGCCTGCGATCCAACGTGTGTCGCGCAGGCTGGACGCGATGGTGCGGAAGTCCGGGGTGGTCATCTCCCCGCGCGGGCGCATGGGCGCGACAATCGTCCGCGTGGCGACGGGCAGCTGCGGCATGGCCACGTGGTTTCGCATCGTTGACATTTACAGAGGAGTTTGCGCGGACCCCGGCGCTCCGACGACTGGTGTGCCTCCGACCTAGACCTGCGTGCCACGCGCGCCCTCGAGCGTCCATCGCGCGTGGTTCGACGCTCCAGCGGCGCCTCGCTTCGCTACAGCCCGCGTGCATCGCGGTGCCTGGCCGTTTGCGGCGGCGCGCGCCCTCACGCCGCCCGCCTGGCTGGCACCCTCCAATGCAGGCCTGGCCTCGCTGCCGCTCTTCAAGGCGTCGGCCTGGACGGACAACTTCGACTGCAACTTCAAGGTCTTCATCATCCACTTCGTGCCCGTCAACGCGATCAGCCAGTTCGTGTGGGCGGCCATCTTCTTCGCGCCACTGCTGGGGGTCAACAACTCGGTCACGCGCTCCATGTGGGACAACCGCAGCCGCATCGCGCAGCGGCAGTTCGTCCCGCGCATCTTCGCGCTCGCGCTCATGAACCTGTGCCACGAGTGGCCCGCACTCTCCATCTGCAGCATGGGAACCGCCTTCAACGTGTGCTCCGCGCTGGAGTACGAGGCCGGGCGCGACACCGCGCAGGAGACCGACGCGGACAGGTGCGCGCACGACGCGGCGTGGCTCGCTGACCCCCCCCGCGTCAACACACGCCCCGCCTCCCTCCCCCCTCGCCTGCGACCGTCCACGGCGTGCACGCGCGCGCAGGCGGATGCGCCGCACGGCCGCGATCTCGATGTACGCCGCGTGGCTGATCGCCATGGCCGTGGAGCTCGTGATCGGCCGACTGACGCCCGCGCGCTTCGCGGGGTACCTCTGGTCCGCCGTGGTCTGCCGGCTGTTCTACTGGGGGGTGTGTTTCACGTTCGGGTCCGAGGCGCGCGTGCTCGCGCGCGGCGGAGAGACCGGCGACGTCAGCGCGATGGGCGTCGACGTGGAGGTGGTGTCGTATATCTCGCTGGCGGCAGACTGGGCGCTGACGGCGCACGTGCCGCTGCTGGCGGCGCTCGCGGCGGCGTGGAGGCACAGTGCGGTGCACGGGCCGCTGCTGTGGCGCGCGTGGGAGCGCTGGGCGCTCGCGGGCGCGCTGACGGGGCTGGTTGCCTTCGCTGGGATGCCAAAGGTCGCGGGGGCGAGGGCGGAGGTGCGCACGGCGAGCTGGGTGCTGCTGACGAGCGCTCTCGGCGTCGCGTGCACGTGGGGCCCGCTGGGCGCGGGGCTGCACGCAGCGGTGACTGCGATGGAGGTGGCGCACCTGAGCGCCGAGCCCGTGGGGAAGGAGCTGCGGTTCGAGCGCGGCACGCTGACGGCGTTGCGCGGCCTCGCGGCTGCGTCGTGCGCAGCCGCGCTGCTGACGGGCGCGGGGCTCTGGCCGGCACTGACAGCCCTGGGGGTGTATTTGGCGATGGTGGAGGTGTATCCCAGGGTTGCGAGTACGCAGCCGCGGCGCGACGCCCTCCGGACCGTGGCTCGCCAGCTCTACGGAGGTACGGCGACCCCGGACGCCGCGCGCGCCACCCGCGCCCTCCTCGCGCTCTCGGAATCACCTCGAATCGATTTCGATTTTCTCCTCCCCCGCTCTGCAGGCGCGGTGCATTCGTCCCCCGTGGTCATCCTGCTCTGCGCCTGGACGACCGTCGTCGTCCTGCTCCCGGTCCTCATGTTCCTCTCCTTCGGCAAGGGCGACGGCACCGTCACTTTCGCCACCCTCATTGGACTGGCGATGGTCCTGCTGGCCGCGGGGGGGCTCCAGAACGCCGGCGCGCTCGCCGCCGCCGTGCACGAGGAGCTCATCGGCACCATCATGCCCGCGAAGGTCGCCCGCGAGCTCGTCAGTCAGACCCTGCAGCGCGAAGTGGACGACGCGGAGCAAGCGACGCGGCGACCGCTGGCCGCCGTGCAGTCCGAGGCGCGCACGGGGCGGCTGCGGACGGGCCGCGCCGCGAGCATCTTCGCGCGCAGCGTGAACGACTCCTCCCGGGGAATCTCGGATCACTCGGCCGCGTCGTCGCTGCACACGGAGGCCTCGATGGCATCGCGCAGCACGCACGGGTTCGCTCGAACGTCCAACCTCGCGCCGCGGGCGGACAGCGCGACGCTGCGGCCGCAGCGCAGCGACCTCGACGACGTCGCGGATCGCTCGTCGGCGTCGTTGGGCGTCCTGCAGCAGCCGCTGGCGGCGGCGCGCGAGACGAGCATCCGCGGCGCCGGCGGGAGCGCGCAGGCGGCCGGCGTGATGTCGCGCGCGGCACACGGCCCGAGCAGCGACGCCCTCGAGAAGAGCGATCCGTCGGCGTCGGCGCACCGCGTCGAAGAGAGCGACCTGTCGCGTCGGTCAGCGCTGGCTCGCATCGAGGAGCTGGCGCACCAGATGGAGGAGGAGGGCATGCCGGGGCGCGACAACGTGGACGGGATGTCGGAGGTGTTCGAGATGCTCGATGTGCTGCGTGCCGGGGGGGTGGAGGTGGACGCGGAGCGCGGGAAGGACCTCGTGGCGAGCGTGGAGAACATGGTGGACGCGGCGCGGACAGGCGGCGCGATTCCGTTGGCGGGGGACGACCAGCGCGTGACGCTGCAGACGCAGCGGTCGCTGACGAGCCGGGCGGAGGCGGAAACGGGCCACACGTCGCCGGCGACGTCGACCCGGGGGGCGGAGCTGATCCGGCAGGAGGCGCGCTCGAAACGGCAGGCGCAGCTGCAGCTCGCGCACCAGAGCATCGTGCGGCACTGTGCGTACGCACCGCCGGGACGCGCGTGCCGCTGTGTGCATGATACTGCGGTAGCAAGGGCTGTGGTGAATGGCCCCCTCGTCCGTGGCGTGCTGTGCAGGCGGGAACGTGTGCGAGCAGGCCATCCAGCAGTGGCACGCGCCCGGCGCGCCGATGCGGAACCCGCTGTGCTTCACGACCTTCCACGACGTGATTTGCGTCTTCAGCGACATCGTGTCGTTCACGCCGCTCAACCAGCAGATCGGCGACGGCGCCATGCTCGACCTGCTGCACTCGTACTTCACGATGCTCGACAGCGCCGCGTCGCTCATGGGCCTGTACAAGTGCGCCCACGCCCCCCCACACTCGCGCGACGCGACGCGCATCTGCCGGTCGCCCTGCCTGCGCCACGCAAGCCAACCGCAACCGTCCGCGCGCTCGCTACCGCAGGTACGAAACGGTGGGCGACGCGTACGTGGCCATCGTCAACATGGAGCACCGCACTGCCTCGAGCGCGAACCGGAACCGCGCGGAGGAGGACGTGATGCTCGCGCTGACCTTCGCGGAGCTCATGCACCACGCAGCCAACTCGATCGAGATCCCGCGGAAGGCCGAGGGCCCCCGCACCGGCCCCGCGCCGTCCATGGACGAACAGCAGCGCCTGCAGGTCCGCGTGGGGATTCACCGCGGGGCGCTGTCCGGCGCGGTGCTGGGCGACATCCGCACGCTGTTCTCGCTCTTCGGGGAGACGATGACGGAGGCCGAGCGCATGGAGTCGACTGGTCGGCCCGGGTGGATCAAGTGCGGGCTCCTCGCCGCTGCGTGCGCGTGCTTGTGCTTCGCGGACGGGGCTGTGCTCGTCTTGTGGCTGCGTTGCATCGAGCGCACTGGGGAGCCGCGGGCTCAGCTCACGCCCCCCCGCACCGCCGAACCTCGCAGGATGACGTATGATGTGTACAGGCATCTGCCGCACCCTATCCAGTCGCTGTGCGAAGGCGTCGTCGACCACAGGCACAGGGACGGCCCGCGCACGCTCGGCGACATCGACGCCGCGTGGGGTTCGATGAACGAGGACGACACCCCCCCCGAAAAGATGGCCTACATGCTGGAGGTCATTCGCGAGCGCCGTGTGCCGCGCATCGGCGGCGCGAGCAAGCAGGGCAGCTCCATCGAGCACGTGGTGGACGGGGACCCGCGCAGCGCCCCTCGGCGGTGGTCGACGTTCAACGCCCACCACGAGGTGGGCGGGGGGCACCCTGGGGACCGTCGCGCGTCCGTTGGAGGCAGCGGCGCGGAGGAGAAGGAGGACGAGGAGGTGGGTATGGTGCGGCGTACGGGCGGGGTGACGCAGGGGCGGTGGAGGGGGTGAGCGAGCCGCGGGGGTCGTTCGCGCGAACCACCAACGCTTGGGCTGGCAGGATAGAGTTGCGTGGTGTGCGCGAAGACGAATTTCACTATCTGCCGATCTACTTCGGTCTCGAAACGAGGAGTGATTCGAAGATGAGCCATGTTTCGAGAGGGAACCGTAGAAATGGAGACTCCAGGAGCACGTTTGAATCAAATCGACGTCGACTGCGTCGACGTGATGTGTGATTTCGCAGCTGAGGCCTGCGTCGCTGGGCGCGCGTCTGAGTGTCTCCGGGCACGGGCGGCCGGGCTCGGGGCCAGGAGGTGGTACAGTGCCCACGAGCTCGATGCTGCGCCGTGAGCAGGCTTGTAGAGTCTCTCTCATAACTGCTCTTTGCCCTAATCCTGGGGAAGCGTATCTTTCGCGTACAACGTACGGTGGGTGTGTATCTAGATACGCATCCCTGGCTACGGCAGAGCTACGGCTGCTGGCCCAGCCGCGTCGCGCCGTGTTCCTCCCCTTTCGCGGGCGCCGAGCCCGTGCGCGCCGGCCCAGATCCTACCCGTAACCACGCCGGTGGACTGTGAGAACTGAACTGCCTGGTGAACGTCCACGCCGTTCGCCTGCAAATGTGTTACACTGCAGTGCAGTGCGGCGCTGCGCCGCAGCACCGACAAAAACGGCCACGAAAATGCCGTTCCCGTGCTCCTCATTCCTCAAACCTGCCTCAGAGTGCTTGAAATCTACCGGACTCTGCGTTTCCTGCGCGTGGCGGGGCACCTTTTTCGAAGTAGGCGACAGCAGACCGTTCACGCCGCACGCAGTGCCAAGCCGCGTGATGGCGCAGTTTGCGGTGAAAATCGCATGAGTGATGAACAAAGCGTCCGCATGGCGCGAGACTACCCGGGAGCACACCTGTATGCGGCGCTGCGCGCAGCGAGTCCTCGTCACGAGACACCTTGTTCGCTCCCGCCACCTTAGACGCCGGATTCTCGCAATGACACACCGCAGGGGTCAGATTGACTTGTTTTCTTTCAAAGATACCGCGCGGTATGGATCGAATAACGCCGCAAGGCCCGTTTGGGCCGTGCAAGTATGCTGCCTGGTGCCTGTGCCGGAAGTTTGCCTTCTGCACCAACGTTTGGCGAACTTGAGCGCTCGCAAACGTATGATGCTGCTTTCAGCCTCGAATTTGCGGCGGAGTGTCCCGAAGCGGACGTTTGTGGCCGCAAAGAGGTCCTCAGGACTTGTGCAAATGCACCCCCCCACCTGCCATCAGGCCCGAGCTGCTCGGAGCAGACGGCGGGCAGGCCGCCCAAGGCGCGGGCAGGCGCCTGCACGACTATTTCTTGCCCGACGGCGCCGTGTGACGGCGATGCGGTGCAGTTTCACTTGTCACATCTCACCTTAGGCAGTGGCGCGCCTCCGGCAGATGCGCTGCTGATACGGATACGCATCTTCGACGTAGCTAAATTCAGGAAAGCGGCGTATCTTCTACGGATACGTCGCTGCTACGCTTCCCCAGGATTAGGGCATTAGAGGTCATGTGTCTTCTCGACAGGCCGGGGGATCGGCACGGGCTGTCTCGCCGCGAGGTGGTGCGGAAGTGAGGACGGCCGGTGCACCTGCGGTGTCGTCATTCGCGAGGCTGCCTCGTCACGATGCTGTCGGCCTTTGAATCCTTCAGTGAAGCGGCTCAGCCAGGAAACACGTCTTGACAGCTCGCAGCACTACCGTCACCTGAGGGTCCGCGTCGCGGGCCATCCGCTCGTCAAAGCGCTGCGGAATTCTGAGATGACGGTGCCGTCAAGCACCGTCGCTTCTTCCCACGCTTCTTTTCCATGCCGCCATGCAGGCACTGACAAAGTAGTAATTGATCACCCGCGCACGAAACACACGACTCCGGATCCCGAAAGAAGAAGACAAGGCACGCCTCGCGATCAACGAGCGAATTGCGCTGGCAACGAACCCGCCCACCCACAGTCCGCTCGCATCACACGCACATGGCAAAACTGCCCACACGCCCGCGCTCGGTGGCACGCCGCGGCGTCACGCGAGGCGGCCCATGTCGAACTCGGCCTCCTGGAAGAACCGCGCCACGACCGTGTTGTCCCCGAACTTGCGCCCGCCCAGCGCCGCCAGCGCGCGCGTGGACGAGCTGGGCTCGTTGAACTTGATGAACACCTTCCCCAGCCCCGGCGGCGGCGGCGCGCCGGCCTCGGGCGGCTTCGGAATCACCACCCGCGCAATCGCCCCGAACTTGCCACACTCCTCCCACATGTCCGTCATAATGTCCTTATACTCCTCCGGGTCGGCCAGCTCCTCAACGGTGACCGCGTTCTCGAGGACGACGACGCGCGACGCCACCGCGCCGCCGCTCGGCTGCGGCGCCTGCGGCGGGTTCATGTGCGGGTGTCCAGCCAGCATGTCGCCACCCGGCACCGCAGCGACGCCGATCTGCCCAGGGACCGGCGCGCCGCCCATCGCGGCCGCGGCCTCGCGCTCCTTGCGCCCGGGGTTCGCGCGCCGGACCGTCAGCTGCTTCCCGGCCAGCTCCAGGCCGTGGAAGGCGTTGCACGCCAGCTCCACTTGCTGGTCGCTCGGGTCTTCGTAGATCACGAAACCGTACCCCTTGGACTGCCCCGTGTCCTTGTCGCGGATGAGGTTGAACTCCTTGATCGCCCCGACGGTCTTCAGCAGGTCCATGATCTGCGCCTCTTCCAGGAAGTAGGGAATGCCGCCCACAAAGACCTTTTGTGTTTGCGGGACGCCGCCGTCCCTGGCGTCGCCGCGGCCCGCGGGCTCGTGCCCGAGCGACACCGCGGCGAGGTTCAGCCGCGCCGACGGCATCGTCGGGCCCAGGTGCGCCGCCCGGCGCTCGTCGTAGTCGTTGGGGCGGCGGATGCGCACCGTCGACCCCTCGTACGAGATGCCGTCGAGAGCCATCGAGTTGGACGCCTCCTCGACGGTGCGGAACTCGACGAACGCGAACTTGCGGTCCTTGTTGATGTAGACGTGCACCACGGGGTCCCCCGGCTGCGTGCTTCCGCCCACCGCCGACATCGAGAGGTTGAAAAAGTTCATGATCGACTCCTCGTTGACGGTCGGGGGCAGGCCGCCGACGTAGATGCGCCGGGCGAAGCGCGTCGCCTGCGACTGCACGGCGTCGGCCACGCCGGAGGCCATCGGCGCCGGGGCGTCGCCCGCGGCCGCCGCGGCCACCGTGGCGACGGAGCGCGCCTGCGGCACCTGCTTCGGGTCGAACACCTCCAGGACCTGGTGCGGGAGAACGTCCCACCCGGACGTGCGCTTCGGACGCTTCCGGACGACCTGCGTTGGGGGGAGTGTTATGTTATATGTGAGACACGGTGGGGGGGGCGGTGGCGTTGCTGTTGCGCACGGGGGCTCGGAGAATGCGTGCGCGGGTCGCAGGCTGCGCACCTCGCCGTCGCCGCCCCGGCCGGCGCTGCGAGAGCGGTCGCGCGCACGCGGCGAGCGCGCCCGTCCACGGTCCCTGTCGCGGTCCCTGCTCCGGTCGCGCCGCCGGTCCCTGTCCCTGTCCCTGTCCCTGTCCCTGTCCCTGTCCCTGTCCCTGTCCCTGTCCCTGTCCCTGTCGCGATCCCTGTCGCGATGGCTGCGACGGTCACGGTCCCTGTCGCGGTCCCTGCCCCTATCCCTGTCCCTGTCCCGGTCGCGATCCCTGTCCCTGTCCCTGTCGCGATCCCTGTCCCTGTCCCTGTCCCTGTCGCGATCCCTGTCCCTGTCGCGGTCCCTGTCGCGGTCCCGGTCGCTGCGGGGCTCGCTGCGGGGAGTGCCGTTGTCCGTGGCCTTTCCAGCGGCTGCAAACAGCGCGTCGTGCGGCAGCGCGACGAAGATCAGTTCCACGGCGAGGCGGACGCGCCAAGCTCGGGCGCGATCGTCGCAGGGGTTGCCGGAAACGGGGGTGCAATAGCAGCAACGCGGGCCGCGCACGTCGCAGCCCCGGGGCCGCGAGGCCGCTGGAAGGGCGCAGCGGGTGGTGGCGTATGGAAACGTGAGTGGAGCAGGGCGCTTGGATGGCGTGCGGGGCGCACCTGCAGCCTGCATGGCGGCAACAAGCTTGGGATCCAAAGACCCGGCGGCGACGGCGTCGCCTTGCAACTGAACCTTCGCCGCGTCCAGCACCGGGGCGTCCGCCATGTCTGGCGGACCAGGGGGCGCCTGCATAGAGTCGACGGCGCCTCGGTCGAATGAGAAGCCCTGCAGCAGCAAGCGGCAGGGTCTTGCGGCCACGCCACGCGCGGCAGGCGGCGCGATACTGCGTGTCCGCGCTGTGCAGGGAAGAACGCTGTATGCCCGCACCCTTTCTGGGCACGGCGGGCGAGGAGGCTGCGCGTGGAAGGCAGGGCGCGGCGCGCAAGGCCCAGGCACACCGGCGGTGCAGCAGTTTGGCGCCTGGGCGTGCCAGTTCGGGCGAGTGAGTCAACAACGTCTACCCAGGAAGCTCCTCGCATCACGGTGGCCACGAGCGCAGCCCGAAAGGCACCGGCGGGGCGCGTTCGGTGCGGTGCGGCGCCATAACACGCGCTCGACGCTCCCTGGTGCCGACGGCGAGCGCCCGGGCTGGCCCACCGCGGCCGATCGATCGCTGCGAGATCCCATTGCGAGATATCATGCGATTTCGAGCGGCGGGGCGGCCGCACCTGGTCCCCCATCCCCGCCACGTCCTCCTGGAGCTTCGGGCGGGCCTCGCTCTAGCTCTGCGTCCGCCGACGAATTCCCGCGTGACACCCGCTCTTGCCACCGAGCGAATTCGAATTCGTATCCTGACGAAGTCGCGCCCGCGCCGCGCCCAAAATCCCCGCTGGGCCCCGGGACGCCGCAAGCACCCCCAACTCCTCCACAGACGCCGCAAACGCCCCCACACCACGGAGACGCTCATCCGCGGGGCAAGACGAAGTGGCGCTCTCGCCCCGTCGCCCCCTGCGCGTCTCCGTCAACCACCCCTCCGTCCGCGCCCCGGAGCGCATGAACACACCACCAGCATCAAGGCAAGCCTCGCGTCATGCCAACGGTCAGACGGGGTCGCGCAGACCGTGCCCAGCTCGCCAGGAGAGGCGCAGTCTCCGGTGCGGGGCCGAAAGAGCCGGCGGATGCGGAGCCGTGGCTGCACATGTACATACATAGTCGCGCACACACAGTCACCACAGCAGAGTCGTTTTCGGCGCCGCACCTACCAGGACCGTGGTGCCAGATGCAGCGACGCACGGCTCACGCAGCACTCGCAACAGTAGTAATTGACCACCCGCAAGAAACGGCGCTGCCCAGCAGACACGACGCCCCTGCATGACCTGCCTCGCTGCTTACACAGCAAGTAGTAGACAGCGCGTTCGTCTGACGGACGCGCTGCTCCGCGACCCAGCTGCGCAACATCAGCTACACCCCCCACTAGCCCGCCCACGCCCGACCTCACCCCTGCTGCGCCGGCGCCGCCTCCGTGGCCCTCCTCTGGCGCAGCTTGACCGTCTTCGACAGCCCGAAGTCGCCGTACTTGCGCTTCGGCTGCTGCGTGTTGTGCACGTGGCCCTTGCCCAGGTATGACACCCTGTTGATGATCGTCAGACCGCGGTCTATGTGCTTCTCGACCATCGGGTCGCGCCAGCCCCGGAACCCCGTTTTGCGCCCCCGGCGGTGCTGCTCGACGTCGTCCCAGAACTGCTGCGTCGGCGGGTCGTAGTGGTAGGTCGGCTCGACAGGGTTGGTGGGCTGCGCGCGCGAAGTGCGCACGAAGTTGCCCGTGTCGCCGTAGCACCACGTCTTCAGCGCCGCGGGGTCGAACTCGTCGCGCGGAGCGTGGATGGAGCGCGTGCGGGGCTTCGGGCTCGCGCCCTGCGTCAAGTGAGGGGGGTGTGAACTTCTGGAGCGACAGCAGGGCCGGACGCACGGCGGTCGCGGTGGTGACGCAGGCTGGCCTGGATCCGGGGCTAGAGGGCGCCGGGAGCGCGAAAGCAACGGCGGCTCGCACGCAGCGACGCAAACACACGCACACACACACGCGCACCTGGATGTCGGACACGTCGAGGACGCGCGTCGGCGAGCCGCGCCGCGCATAGTGCCGGCTCTTGCTCGTGCATCCGGGGATGTCGGAGACGTTGAGCGTGCGGCTCGCGATCTCGACGCGCGGCTGCGCGGGCCGCAGAGCGGCATCGTCGCCCTGGGGGTACGGCACGGTGTTGGTCGACGTGGCCCAGTTGTACCGCGGGGACAGCGGGCCCGCGGCGGCGCGCGCCACGGCCGGCGGCAGCGTCCCCGGGCGGCGATGGGGCGAGGGCGAGGTCTGGGGGGGCGTGGTGGGGGAGGCGCCGCGGGCGCGCGGGAGCTCCGGGGACGGCGTCGAGGGCGTCGGGGGGCTCGTGAACGCCAGCGGGATCTGTGCCGGGCGATGGAACGTCGGAAGCGGCATCGGGCTCGGGTGCGCGCCCTCAACGGCCTGCGTGGGGGTATGTGGGGGGGGGGGGTGTTGGGTTGCCGGCGCAGGGCGGGTGCGCGTGAAGGTGGACGAGCGCGTGGGTGCGGGGCGCACCTCGGCCTGGTACGGCGCCTTGGTCGGGGACTGCGAGGGGGTGTGGGGGTCCTGAGAAGCTTGCTGGCGCGTCACGGCGAGCTTCGCGCGCAGGGGCCTGTCGTCGATCATGGAGCCCTCGAACCACTGCACGCGGGGCACGGGCCGATCGATGCGCGTGGGCGGCGCGGCCTGGCACTGCGCCGGGCATGGCGCGCGATGCCAAGGTGCGATACGAGGAGGAAAGCAAGGGCGATCTTTGGCCCGCAGTGATCGAATTCGGCAAGTTTCTGCTATGCGGAAGGCCGCGCGGAGAGGTCGTCGGCGGCGAACGGCGCGAGCGCGCACGGCGCGGCGACAAGAGGCGGGCCTGGCGGCTGCACAACCGCTGCCCCGCTGGGCGCGGGGGCGCCAGAAACCGCCCCAAATCTGATCGGGAAGCACAGAAGGCTGTATGACGAGGCTGTGCGGGCGATTTCAGCGCCGGAGAGGGCCTCGGCGGCCCGCACCGAGCGACCCTGAGAGCCAGGAGCACGCGAGGGGGACGAAGGCACGGCAACACGCACGGCGGCCGCGCCAGATTGATTCGTCTGTGGCCGCTGGGCACATGAGTGCGAGAGGCGCCGGGCGCGCGCGCCGGCGATTCAAAAGCCTCCTGGGCGCGGCAAAACGCCACGGGTCGCACCGCGGCCGGTCAAAGCGCGGTGATATGCCGCCCGTCGCCGGGAGCGGCCCTCCGCGTCCGGGAATGCGCGTGCGTGGCCTTGGCACGCGGGCGGAGGCGCCCGCCGCGCTGCCGCGTCGAACGGCCGCGCAGCCGCGCGCTGCGTGCGCGCCAGAGGGTGTGTGGAGGAAACAAGGGGCGAACCTTCGCGGTGGCGAGCCTGGGGAGCTTCTCGACGCCGACCTCGCGCCGCCGGAAGTCGTCGTTGATCGTGTTCCACGCTACCGGCCGCCCGGCGGGCGGCAGCGTGGAGGGATCGAGCCTGGTGGCCCGCATGTTGCTAGGCGTTGTGTGCGGCGCCTGATGCCGTTCGAGCGCTCAGAAGCGGCTCGGATCTATAGCTTGCTATCTCAAGTACCTAGAGGCGGCGGAAGGGCGCGGCTCGATGCGCGGTGCCGCGCTGCGGCGAGGAAACGTGCAGTAGCTGAAGCAGACGCCGTGGGAGGTCCAGGGAGCGGCAGTGCCGTCTCGGGTGCGATGCAGCTGCTGCGCACGGTGTCTGTGCGGAGTGTGCGGCCTGCGAGGCGCAATGAGAGCGCCTGGGCGCGTCAATTCCGGGTGTGGCGGCCTTGGACCCCCCCTCATGTCATGTCATACGTTGCGTGCACGCGGGCTGCGGGGCGTCACTGGCGCCTGGGCACGACGCGCAGGCGCCACTCTTGCGGACACCGCCGCAGCCTCGAGGTCTTCGATCTGTCGAGTGCGCCCGCCCCCACCTGCCAGAATTCAGTTGGCACGAAGCTGCGCACACACAGCGGCTGCGCATCGATCCGAAACGCGTCCATCTGGCACCTCGAGATCTGCGCATCCTGCCGGCGGACGGCGCCTGGTGCCACACGCCCCCTTCACGCTCGTTCGCCAGACCTCCCAGCGCGCCCAGCCAACCCCCCGCTCCGATGCGGCGGCCTCCAAACGCCCGGGCCCGGGCCTTCCAGACCGTGTCCATACTGCTTCTAGCAGCAGCGATCACCGCCTTGCCTGGGGCGCTGGCCGCGCGCCGAGACGCAAGTCCCCTGCTAGGGCCCGCGCGCTGGGTCGGGGAGGCCGTGCGACGCGCCAACGACGCGGTCCACGACGCCAAGGCCTACCTGGCCCTCCCGAGTCACGCCAAGCGCGCGGCCGCGGCCGCGCATGCCGTGGTTTCCGCCATCGCGGAGATACGCACCAACGAGCTCGACGAGGTCGGTGCGGAGCGTATCAGGTGCGCCCTCGCGGCCGCCGGCGCGCCCGGCGCCCTCCCCCGCGCGCGTACGGCCCGTGGCGTACCACCGCTCGCGTGCTGAGCGATGAACGCGGGGCGCAGGGTCCGGGATCTCGCGCTGCAGAGATCTCATTGCGTAGCACTTCAGCGGTGAGGGGGTTGAGACTGGGTTGCGCTGTGGTCGTTCGCAGGGACAAGCTGCTGCCGTTCACGGAGGTCTCGCTTCTCGCGGCCCTCCGCGGGTCCCCCCGCAGCCTGGGCGGCCTGGGACGCGACTTCTACCAGCAGTATCACCCAGACACCCCCCCCGAGCTGGCCGAGGCGACGGCGCTCTTCCGCGACCTCCTGACGGCGCTGCGGACGATGCACAAGGCGTGTGCGATGGTCGAGGGCGGCACGCTGTCGGCTGACGAGGAGGAGGCGGCCTTGCGCAAGGCCGGGCAGGGGGCCGACGTCCGGGACGTGGCGACGCGGGCGACGCGGACGGCGCGGCGCGCGTTCGCGGGGCCCGGGGCCCTGCGGCGCATGGCACGCGTCGCCGCGTACGAGCTCAGCCTGGACAAGACGTTCAGGCAGCTTGTTCAGGCTCTGGCGCGCGCCGGCCGGCAGAGCGGTGCGCTGCGGGAGGCGGCGCGTGGCGTGCTGGGGGAGGACGCGGGGGACCTGTCGTGGCTGGACGACATCCCGCACGCGGCGCTGGATGAGGCGCAGGCGGTTGTGCTGGCAGCGCAGCAGGTGAGGTGGCGGTGATGTGTGGGGACACTCACGATCGTTACGGGGGGTCGTTGGTGTTTGCAGATGTGAGCGCGAGGCGTTTGGTGTTGTTGTGCTGCAGGCGGTGATAGCGGAGGAGTTGCGGGAGAGCAGGGGGGGTGTCTCGGGGGCGGGGGCGACGCGCAGGCGCGGGCGGAGGATTCCCGTGCACAACATGAAGGAGGGCGCGCACGAGGAGCTGTGAGCGCGCGCAGTGCAGCGGAGGTCGACCATCATTGCACGTGGTGGTACACTACTCTGTACACAGACGTCGGCAGACGAGGCGACGACACGTGGCATGCGGTGCGTGCCGCACGGTGGCGGGCAGAGGAGGAGATCTGTACCGCGACCGGGCGCTGCCGGCTCGAACTTCAAGTTGAGTACGTCTGACTGGGGTTGTTTTGCCGAGTCCCCCCGTGCTTCAACTCTGTGATGTGGCCTGCAGTTTGCGCGAGCACGGCAATTTTGTCCGCGGCCGCCCCTCACATGGCCGCGCCGGACCCATCGCAGCGAGCGAGAAGTTGAGCGGATGCGCAGCCGCAGCGGCACCCGCTGCCTGCTGGGCTAGAGGGGCAATGGGCCAGTCGCAGCCGCTGTGCCCATACTGGGACGCGGCGTACCTCGTGCGCGCATGCGGACACATCATGAAGATGTCCGCGCCGGCCATCGCGTCCTGTCTGACTCTCCTGCACCGCTTCGCCGCCGCCTCGCAACCATCGGGCGGCCTCGAGACGTCCCAGCCTGCGGTCTCAGGAAGCCAGACCGCCGGTTCTTCGGCGCGCACGATGCTCCCCCATATCTACGACCGCGAGGTCACCGGAGCCGACCTGCGCATCCTCGCAGCAGCTGCTCTGTTCACTGGATCGAAACTCGAGGAGCACCCCTTGCGCACGAACGACCTCCTGAACGCCGTCTGGGTGGTGTGCCAGCTCGTCCGCGTTCGAATGAAGCAGTTCGCGCAGAGCGCGAGGACCCAGGGGCACGAACAAGCCCCCAGCGGCCGTGTGCACGACGACGGCTTCGACGCAGCGGGCCAATACCTGGCCGGCGAGGACCCGGCCCTCGACCTGCGACTGACGCCCGGGCGCCTCGCGGAGGCACTGCCGGACCTCGACCGCACCCTCCGGAGAGCGCTCGCGCTCTCCCGGCCCGGGGGCCCGCAGCCGTTGGCCAGGCTCGCCGACGGCATCGACGCCCCGGGGGATGCCGTGCCGCTCATGTCGTCGGAGGCGTACTACGCGGCGAAGGAGAAGCTCCTGGAGGCCGAGCAGCTCATCCTGCGCGCCGTCCGCTTCCAGGCACGACCCTGAGCCACTAGGCCCACGCCCTTTATAAAGAATGGACAAAGAGACGCCAAAACGTGGCTGCAAGTGTGTCAGATGTCCGATGCGTCGGTCGCGTTCGAGCGCCGACGCCAGGGATACCGGAGGGACGCGCCGCGCTGATGCGCCGGGGTTTGTGCCCGTTCTTGCGGTCCGTGCGATGCAGGTGGTTCTTGAGGATCCCCATAGATACTTATTCAATATCATTCACGAACTCGGGCTGGGGGAGGGGCCCGCGAAGCTCGCGACGTGCGTGCTGAACGATGCGCTGGTGTACACGGCGCTGCCCGGGCGGTGCTCGGCTGCGGCGCTCGCGACGGCTGCGCTGCTTATGTCAGGGGAGGTGTTGGGCCCGACAGCCGTGCGGGAGTCCCCCACGTGGTGGAGGAGGGTCGGGGCGGACGCGGGCGAGGTGGAGGCTGCGGCGAACGGGCTCGCGAGGATGATCGCGGCGCTGCAGCGGGGCGGTGCGGGGGCGCAAGTAGCAACACTGACAACAAATGCTCAGAGCTCATAGAGTACATAGTAGGCATGACGCATCACGGCTGTATTGAAAGAACGATCGCATTCGCATGCCTGCGGCGCACGACGCGGTCTGGTTGCCACCGGAACCAATCAAAGTATATATTTGTAAAAGAACTCTTGAGTCACAAATAACAAGTGCATGCACCCGCTCTATCCTATCAGACCTCTCGACCCCGTCGCGCGCACATCAGACCTGGCTCAGCCCCCCCGCTGGCGGCGCCCCAAGCCCGTCGCGCGCGCCCGCCCCGCCCGGCTGCACACTCCACGCCCCGGCCGGGATCCGCGGCACGTTCGCGCAGCACGCCTTCGCGGCCTGCCGCAGCCGGTAGCACAGCCACCCGTGCACGCCGTACCCGCCAATGATCGACCCGTAGAACAGCACCAGCACCACCATCACCACTGCAGTGTCGTCCTCCTCCTCGTCCCCGAGAGCCACCAGCACCATCGTCAGCACCCCCAGCAGCACGAGCAGCCCGACCTGGACCGCGAACATCCCCGCGCTGACCGTGAGCATCTTCATTACGCTGGTCACCTTTTCGGACGACACGATCTCGGCGCCGCACTTGCAGAGGTAGAGGCTCGTGGCGACGCACGCGAGGATCTGCGCGATGAGGCCCGGGAAGAGCAGCGCGATGGAGCCGGGCGCGAGGATGATGGTGACGCCCGTCCAGAGCAGGCCCGCGCAGGAGAGGACTAGGAGGAAGAGCATGGGGGTGTATTGCGCGGCCCAGTCGCGCTCGGCGGCCGGCAGCTCCGGGACGTAGATGATGCGCCCTTGGTCTGCGGGGGAGTGTCGCGCAGGAGAGCACAGGTTTGAGAAGAATCAATGATGTAGTGAAAAAGTAGTTGTGTCTGCATGTTTGACCGAGCTCGGCGCCGTACAGGGAGAACGCCTCGCGGGCTGGAGAGGGCGGTGGTGCGGGCAGGGGCCTGCGGGGCGTCGTACCTCCGTGCGGTGGAGCCTGGGGCTGGGGGGCGTGTCCCACTGGGTAGCCTGGCACTTTGCCCCCCTGAGCGTACTGGGGGGGGGTCGCGCTGTTCGGGGCCGGGTACGGGCTGAGCGGGTCGACGAACGCCTGGCCCTGCCGCTGCGCGGGGGTGGACATGTCCTCTGCAACGCACAAGAGCTGGGCTTGTGGCAAAACGCTCTTGCTCTCTATTTCGACGCGTTGGGGGCGATTTCGGGTGCTGCCGATAGGTGCCTGGATCGGCACTGATACACTCCAGTCAGTCGGGATAAGCAGCGCGGAGGTCAGCGGTCCGCGACGTCGTCGAAGGCGCGGATGGCAATGCACAAAAACGCACCGTCTGCGACCAGCCGTGACCGCTCGTCGTCGTTGTAGTTCGCCCCGCTCATCACGCTGCTACCTTCTCGACGATCGCGCGGCGCGCTGTCTCTCTGGTGCCTCGCAGGCTGCGCTGAAGGCCTTGTGCGACCCGCTGGCCCGCGGACCTCGCTCGCGGCTCCTCGCGCAAAGCAAGCGAGCGCGAGGGGCGCTGCGACCTTCTCCTCCGAGTGGGGAACGCCGGAGACCGCTTGTGCGGGCAGAAGCGCGCCACCGCTGGCGCTGCGATCGCGTGAAGCTCGTGGACGCTGGTGGCTTTGTGGACGTGCCGCGGGTGAGGCTCCGCCGACTTGCAACCCGGGAACTTCGCGGCACAGAACAGCCGCCTTGGCCGGCGTAGACGCGCAACGTCGCCGTCTTGCGAGTTGCACGTCGGACGGACTGAGATCATCGACAGAGGAGAGGGTCTGACGCGTCAGGCCGGGCACCGACGGATGAGGCGGGGAACGACGGCGTGCAGTTTCGTGCTTCGCGACAGGCGGCGCAAACCGGAAGACGACGGACCCCTCGAAGCGCAAACTTTGGTTTAACCACCTCCCTTTAGCTGGTGTCTTCCGAGCGTAGAGAGTTGCTCGGCCGGAAGCGCCCGATCGTCGATACGGAGGTCGGAACTGGCACAGCGGCGCGAGCGTGGGCGCGAGGCTCGCGTTGCGGCACCGCAGCGGACCCGCCTGGCGCCACTGCAGAACGAAATGATGCTGCTCGTGCGGATCTGAGGGCCGCGGCTGCGATCTCTCGCTCGCAGACGGCACTCTGTGTAGTCATCTATCCGTTTTCAGAATATTTCACGAGTATAACCCCAAGATGACGACAGGGTCGAATTCGTGTCTGCGCCTGGACCCTCTCGGGGCCGTCCACGGACAGCGGCCTGCCGCGAACCGCGCCGTCGAGGCGGCGAGGCTCGCGTGGGAAGAAGAGCTCCGCCGGCGCTGCACGGCGCTGCAGGCCGCGCTGTCCTGCGACCTGGCGGGCGCGGAAACGACCAGCGACGCAGATGCGCGACGCCCCTCCGGGTCTGACCCGGCCGAAGCTGCGAAGCTGACGGCCTCCGACCGCGTGGCGACGGGGCTCCTGAGCCACGGACGCGGCCCCGGCTGCCGGACGGCCCGGCTCGCACCATGGGACGTGCTCTACACCTGCCTGGTTGCCAACAGCAACACCACCAAAGCCGCCGGTGCGCCCGCAAACGCGCGCCGAAGCATCGCCGCATTGCCCCTGCGACGTCGTCGTCCTGGCGAACAAAGCCGACGCACCTCTCGCTCCCGCCGCCATCCGAACCTGTGTCGCCGCCCACGGCCTCGTCCCGGCCCCGTCGCTCGCAGTGCGCCCGGCCCCGCCGTCCCCGTGGACCGCGCTCCCGTTCCGCATCGCGGCGCCGACGCTCCGCGACCTCCGCATCTGCTGGCGGGCAATGCTGCCGCAGCGCATGCGTGGGCCTACGCCGTTGCCGCGCGAGCGTTGGGTCGCGTTCGGCAGCGCGGGCTTCACGCCGGCGCCCTCCTGCATCGCGGACGTGGACACCGTGCTCGAGCGCGGCCGCGCCGACGAGTCGCGTCAGGTCCTGACTCAGGGCGCGCATCCCAGCCACCGCGCAGCGCTGTGGGCGCAGGCGCTGGGCCTCCCGCCGCGGCGGGCGCGGGCGGCGGCGTCGCGGAAGAGCGCGGAGAGGGACGCCGACGCGCTGCTGTTCGAGGAGCTGTGCCGCCAGGTGGAAGCGAGACCCCTCCTGGTGGACTATTGTGTCGAGACCGACCTGCGCGACACGTGCAACTCGTCGGAGTTCTTCGTGTTCAGCGAGGTCGTCCGCTCGACGCTCCTCGCGCTCTCCCGGGACCCCTCCGTCCCGGGGGAGTGCCCCGAAGTCCCCCACCCACTCCTCCTCGCACACCCCTGGCACCCCCCCACCCAACCCGGCGAAACACCCCCTCGGGCCGGCCTCTTCGTCTACCCGCCCTCGGGCGCCATGCCCTCGCGCGCCCTCGCGCAGATGGCCGCGCTCGTCGCCTATCTCACTGTCGACCGCGTCGCCCACTTCCACCTCTTCCGCGCCCTCCATTGCCGCCTGCTCTGGGCAACGCGGACCATCTCGGCCAGGCCCTGGCCGGCCCCTGCGCTCCCGGGCCTCTGCGCGCTCTTCGAGGCCTGCCTGCGCGACCTCGACCCTGAACTGACGTGGCACCTTCACAGCATAAGTGCGCCGCCGCTGAAGCTGGTGTTTCCGTGGCTGCTGTCAGGCTTCGCGGGCGTGCTCGAGGCCGGGCAGGTGCTCGAGCTGTGGGACCGGTGCGTCGCGTGCGAGTCGATGGCGCCCGCCTCGCTGCTCGCCGCGGGCGTGCTGTGGTTCAAGAGATCCGTGCTGCTGTCGACGCGGACGCCCCTCGAGGCGCAGCAGGCGCTGCAGGACCTGAAGCACTTGAAGACCGCGCCGATCCTCCTCGGTGCGCTGTGCGGCGGGGTCTGAATGGTGTGATTACACGACAGGACTGGAACTCCTGCACACTAGTCTTGTTTGTGGGTCTGTTCGTGTGCTGGGCGTTGGCTCTGGGCCGGAGGTCGCCCCTGCCGCCAGTTTGCACACTGGCGCGTGGCCCTCGCCGTCGGTCTGGAGGCCCTCAAGTCCGAGCCTGGCACTTGGACGCTGTCGTCGACGCGGAACACCCGAACTCGTGGTACCTGCTGGCAGGGGCCAGCTTCGGGTGCCGCACCGATGTTCTCGTGGAGCTGATCGAGGCCGCTGTTGGTGATTGCGGGTGGCCTGTTCTACGCGGCCATGCAATATGCGCCAGGATCGGTGCTGCAGTGCTGAGAAATAAGCCAGTGAAGATTCAAGCAAAACCGATTCATCTTTGTCGCAAACGGCGGGCTTTTGTCGTCCGTGTTCACGAACCCTCGTCCCGTGCCGCCGCAGCCTTCTCGTCCTGCCCTTCCGCCCTCCCCGCCCCGCTGCGGCCCTCCTCGCCCTCAGAACTGTCCACGTAAGTCCCCCCCGCGGCCCCGATCACCCCGGCAATCGCGCCCGCACCTCCGCGATGCCCCTCTGCGCCCCTCGCCGTCCCCGCCACGGCGCTGAGGTCCTGCATCGGTATCGCCCCATCGTCGTCCCGGCGCATGGGCTGATACGCAGGCCGTAGGTGGGCCGGACGGGGCCCTTGGCGGCGCTTCGGCGACCGGCTGAGGCTCGAGATGATCGGGAGCCTCGCTGAGGGGCGGACCGCGGGCGTGCTCGCGAGCGCTAGGGTCTCCTCCGCCAGAGCCAACAACCGCGGTGCGCGTGCGAGGATTGCGCCTGCAGCACGGCGCGGACGCGGACGCGCGGTGAGCTGCTGGCGCGCGGCGCGCAGGCGGTCCGCGGACGCAGCAGCACGGGGCGGACGCTCTGCGTATTTGAAAGCCGGACATTGGTGTAATAGATAGATAGAAGTGGAGGTTGCTGTTCGGCGGCGTGGTGCGCGAGCCGACCTGTGACCTCCGTGGATGCCTCGGTCACGATGCGCAGGTCCTCGTGCGCGTCGTCGAGCACCTGCCGCTGCTGCGCTGTTCGCTTGGCGGTCCTCCCCGCGAGGGTTTGTGCGGCAGTCGCGGCGTGGCGCTGGATGCACGTCAGGCCGGAGATTGGCTTGGCGTACGCGTCATCGACTGCGCGCGTGAGCGTCGCCTCGACGTACTCCGGGACGCTGCGATGCCCGCGCGCCATTGCCACCCCTGTGCACACACAAACTCAATCGGTGCTGCCGCGGTTTCGAACGGACTTGGTTCTTTGGTCGGCTGACGCCCGTGGGCTGCTGAGGAGCTGTGCCGCGACGTACGCGTCAAAAAACAAGCAAAATCGGTCGGATCGAATGAACCAGCGCGAAAAACGCAGCGAAGACCGGTTGACACCGGAATGCGCCGCGCTTAGGGCGTTGCAGCCTTCAGCGTGCGTCTGACGTGTTTCTCGTTGACTTTTCTGACCTGTTTGCATGTACCCGCGCAGGTCCATGGTGCCCCCGTTGACAGTAGACGCCGCTGGAGCCCTGAGGCCCGGCCCGTCGCGCCCGGCAGCCGGAGAGGCGCGCTCGTGGGCCCAGCGCTCGTCGCCCTCAGTCACCCGCGTTACAAGCTGCCCGCGACGGGCGCTGCACCGCGATGAAAACGTTCTGGTCGCCCTCGGGGGAGTCGGGCTGGTGACTCCGTGCCGCACCCCTCCCGAGGGGCGGCTACGCAGGGACGAGAGCGTCCCGTGCACCATGTGCGCTGCACTCGAGCCCCTTACCGTAGTCACATCGACGCGCGACTCAAACTGTCGCGAGCGACGTCGTCCAGGGCGATCCTGTGCCTGCTAGGAGTCTCACTGGCCGAGTTGGGGCGGAGGCGCGAAGATGAACAGCGAGACAGTGAGCTCCAAGATGGGCGACCTGCTCCTCAGGGGCTGGGCGATGCTGGAGGACGTTTGCCCGAAGTGCTACGTGCGCACACCGCCACCAACCACCGCTGCTTGCACCGCAATCTCCGCGCGCGACGTGGGGCCGAGGGCCTGTTCAGCACAGAAACACGCTGATGTGCCGTTGAATGTGGACGTTCGGGGCCCTCATGGCCTGATTGGGCGGGAATCAAGCGCCAAGAGACTACACAAGTCCTGGAGAGACAAGGGCGCACAACAGCTCATCAACGCCCCCATCCGTCGTCGCAGATCCCCATCATGGAGAACAAGCGAACCAGCGAGCGAGTATGCGTCTCGTGCGGCGGAACGGGCGACGCCAGGCACGTCACCATCACCTCTAGCCTCGCCGGCACCTACACGCACCGCACACCCTCACGCGAACGAGCTGTCCCCCGCAACTCCGCGCAGCGCTGGCGAGGTTCGCTCTGAGGCTGCGAAGGCCGACACGGCTCTCACGAGCCCCGTGGACGATGATGCGCACGGCCTGGTAGCGCCGCCGCCGCGCCCGGCATCGCTGCGGTCCCCCGGCGCCGCGGCGAAGGCTGCGCCGGCGGGCAAGGACGTGAGCCAGATCCTCGCGGACAAGATGATCGCCGGGTGGGCCATGCTCGACCAACACTGCCCACGGGTGCGCCACACTCCTGCAAGCGTTGCGCACACTCACCCGCGCCCTGCGGTCCCGGCGCGCCCACGTCGGCACGCATGCTTGCCCCGCGCGCCTGAGGCAGCTCTGTCGGCGCCTGCTGAGACGGTGGGCTCGTCACAGGGAGACCGTTCCGTCGTGGAAACCTTCCAGTAATTAAGGGGGGTGTTATTTTTTTCTCTTGGTGATCGCGGTGCAGTGCGGGACGGTGCTGCTGCGAAACCGCAAGAAGGAGATCTACTGCGTGTCGTGCGAGATGTTCGCGCGCGTGGAGGGCGAGACCCCCCCCGCGGCGCCCAGCGCGCCCCCGCCCCCCGCAGCCGAGCCGCCGAAGCGCCCGGCGCCGAGCGTGGCCGCGCGGCCCGCAGCTGCGCCGTCGCCGTCCTTCTCGCCCTCGCCGAAACGCGCCCCGGTCGGCGCAGCGGGCGAGGCGGACGCACTGGCTACGTACGCAGCGCCCATGGCCGTTAGGCGCACGGTCGAGGTGGTTGCGAGGAAGCTGGCCGATCTGGCGACGCAGCTAGACAGCATGCACGTCGCGGACAGGTCGACGGACCAGACCATGCGGCTCTGCGGGGAGTATGTCGACTTGCTACAAAAAGCAGTGGCGCTGGAAGGTGCGCTGTCGCAGCGGTGAACTGCGCGCAGCTCAGACGCTGCCCGCTGTGATTTCGACGGCGCCGAGCGCGTGCGGCTCGCGGCCATCGCCCGCGCTGTCCGGTCCGCGGCTGTCGCCTGCGTCAGGCTGGGGGTGTATTGTTTGGTTGGGAGTTGACGTGGCAGTTGGCGGGCCAATGCGCAGCGCAGACGGCCGCCCCGAGCACCTTGCAGTCCCGCGAGCGCGACCGGTCGTGCAACAGCGTAACGGCACCGCGTGGCGCGAGGCCAGGACAGAGGTGCCAATCTACGTGTGCCGTGCGACGGCTGCGGGTGGGCGGCTCGCGGGCCGCGGCGCCGAGCGCGGAGTATTTGTGATTGAGAAAGCGCAGAGGTAGCTGGAGCGAGGGAGACAGCTGCGCACGATGGCTGCGGGCGACAAGTGGACTCCTCTGGCGTGGCCGGGCGCTCTCGCGTCCGAGGAGCTCGCGGAAAGGATCTCCAAGTGCAGGTACGGAGCCGCAGGGAGCCGTGCGTACCTGGGCTACCTTGGCGCGTGAGCTGGGCGGCGGGCGGGGGCCGTGGGGGGTGTTTTGCGGTTGCGCGCCAAGAGCGATGTGCAGGGAGAGCTCCGTGGGCTTGGCGCCCGCTCGTGTCTGCGCGCTGCGGCAGCTGCGCGAGGCTGCGTTGCGTTCGCTGTACATGGCTTCACAGCACGAAACAGGCGCAGCAGAGCAGCACGGTTGACGGGCGCTGCGAGAGCAGCAGCGAACCGGACCCGCAAGGCACACGGCGCGGTTCGGCGCGCCACCTGGCTCGAAGTCGACCCCTGTGCATCCGTTCGGCCCTCGTGATGGTGCTTGCGTCTCCGCTCGGGAGCGGCGCGCCTCGGCCGCCGCCTACCTCTCGCGGCCTCCTGCTTTGCTCAGCCCTCCAGTGCTGCGCCCGCCGCATCCAAACGCAGGGTCCTCGCGGTCGGCGCGGGCGGCATCGGGTGCGAGCTGCTGAAGACGCTCGTGCTGACGGGGTTCAAGGACATCGAGGTGGCCGATATGGACACGATTGAGACCAGCAACCTCAATCGGCAGTTTCTCTTCAGGAAACGCCACGTCGGGCAGCACAAGGCCACGGTACGCGGCTGCTTGCCCTCCCCTCGATAACCCGCACCGCACGCGCTTCAGCCGGGCCGCTGCGGTCCCGCCGCCGTGACTATCCACCTGCTCCTCACCGTGACTCTTGTTTCAGTGATTGTTGATTTCTCCAGCAGTCGAATGCCTCGCGCCCACGCACCCGCCGCCTGACAGCCTCCTCGATCGGCCTCCCGCGTCCTCCACGCCCCCGCGCACAAACAACGACCCCTGCTCAGCAACACACCTCACCCGCCCCAGGTCGCCGGCGAGGCCGCGCGCGCGTTCCGTCCGGACGCGGACGTGTCCGTCCAGGCGCACTGCGTCAACATCATCGAGGAGTTCACCCCCGCCACCATCGGCAAGTTCGACCTGGTGATGAACGGGCTCGACAACCTGCGCGCGCGGATCCACATGAACCGCCTCTGCCTCGCCGCGGACGTGCCGCTGATCGACTCGGGCACCGAGGGGTACAAGGGCCAGACCAGCGTGCACCTCAAGAAGACCTCTCAGGTACAAATGAATAATACACACACAACCCCCCCCCCTCGAGACGCGACGGCGCTGCCGGGGGGCTAGGACGGCTCGGTACTTGTTTGCGCTGTTGCGATGGTCTCGCTGCGTGCGGGGGGAGGAACCGCGGCCCCCGTTCGGGCTGCTTGCACATCGCGACGCTTGCGCGTGCACCATGCCGGAATGCGACAGTGCTCGTTGTGTGCTGGGTCGTGCGCCGCAGTGCTTTGAGTGCCAGCCGAAGCCCAAGACGAAGTCGTACCCGACGTGTACCATCCGGAACACCCCCGACCAGCCCATCCACTGCGTGGTGTGGGCGAAGGACCTCCTGTTCCAGCGTCTATTCGGCCGCGTCGAGGGCGCCACGGACCTCGACGAGCAGCCCGCGGACCTCGACGAGCAGCCCGCGGACGGTGGCGAGAACGGCGCCGCGGACGGCGCGGGGGAGGAGTCTTTCTTCCTGCGTCAGACAGACGAGGACCCCGTGGCGTACGCCGAGCGCATCTTCGCGCGCGTGTACACGCACGACATCGAGCGCGTCCTCCGCATGGACGACCTCTGGAAGTCCGGCCGGCGGAAGCCGGCCCCGCTGGACGCTGCCGCGTTGTTGGGCGGCGCGGACGCCGCGTGGCGCAGCGAGGCCGCGGCGCACGGCGCGGGCACGCCGGCGTCGCTCGCGTGCGGGCTGCGCGACCAGCACGCGGTGTGGTCCCCGGAGGAGTGCGCGCGGGTGTTCGTCGAGTCGATTCGGAGGATTCTGACGGAGCGCGCTGCTGACGTGGGCAACATGGTGTTCGACAAGGAGGACAAGCTGGCGTGCGACTTCATCACGGCGGCGACGAACCTGCGCGCGTACAACTATCACATTCCCACCAAGGTGCGCTGCCTGCCCAGGCCGCGGGGTGCATGTTGCGAGCGCACGCGCTCCTGCGCTGCGTGACCGGTCGGGTCTCCCTCGAGCGCCGCCGCCTTCGGACGCGCGTGCTGTCGCGGATCGGCGGCGCTGCCTTGCGTCGCCACATCGGTGGTTGATCGGCGAAATAAGAATCTTGGTTTCCCTTCTCTCGCTCCCTGCGCAGCCGCTATTTGAGACCAAGGCCATGGCGGGGCGCATCATCCACGCGATCGCGACCACCAACGCCATCGTGTCTGGCCTCATGGTCACCGAGGCGCTCAAGATCCTGTGCGGCGCCCGACACAAGTGCTGCATCACAGCGCTGCAGCTGCGGTCCGAGAACCTGCTCGCCACCATGAACCTCTGGCCCCCCAACGCGTGCGTCCCCTCCCCGCACACGCATCCTCGCCACCGCGAAGCAACACCGCCCCATCGACGCTCCCCGCGTCGCTGTCGTGTTGCCCCGCCCGCGCTCGTCCAGTCCAGTCCGCCGGACGAGCACTTCGTTCTGCTGGTGCGACTGTATGCGTCGGTGCGCTCATTCATTCATTCGCAGGGAGTGTATCGCGTGCGGGCAGTCCGAGGCCAGCCTCGAGTGCGACACGGCCACCTTCACCCTCGGAGACGTCCTGGCGCACGTCGCTCGCGGGCCCCGCGTGGCCATGTCGCGCGAGGTGAACGTCACCACCGCGGACGGCGACGGCTTCTTGTACGAGGAGGGCGACGGCCTGGACGGGGAGGAACAGGCCGAGGCGGCGGCGCTGGCCAGCAAGGCGCTGAGGGACCTGCCTGGCGCGAAGGGCGACGCCGACGGGCTCGTGCTGCTCCTCCAGGACAACAAGCAGGACCTGGAGCTGCGCGTGCGCGTGGCGCATCGGTCCGACATCGACGCGGAGGAGCACCCGGGGGGGTTCATACTTGACTCAGCGGCAGCGGAGGCGGCCGTGCAGGCCAAGGCGGCGAACGGGGACGCGGGGGCGGGGCCGAGCGGCGCGGCGGCGGAGAGTGAGGACGAGATGGAGGTAGTGGTGGCGGGAGCAGAGGGGGGCGGTGTGGGCCGCGCGGGGGGCAGGAAGCGCGGGCGCGAGGACGACGGCGCCGGGCCGTCGAAGCGCCCGCGCGCCCCCCAGCACGAGGACTCCGACGTGGTGCTGCTGGACGACTGAGGCTGCATCGAGTAGAAGAGAAGAGGGGGGGGTGGGGGGGGGGTATTTCCCGCGAGGGTGATTCCGCGACCGCGGCAGGGGTTCGAAGGCCACGCAACGGGCGCGCGGTAGGCTGTGCGCTCGTTCGGGGCGCAGGCGCGGCGTCCCGCGTCGATGCGAGTCCGAATCGCGCGAATTTAACGACGTGTCATTTGTGCAGCCTGTTTCTGGGCAGGCTGCGCCAGCGGGGTCACACGCCGGCCCGCCCGTCAGATGTCGAGCTCGAGCATCGCAACCTCCGCGTCCGAGCACACGAGCATGCGCTTGCCGGTCGGGCCCTTGCTGAGCGCGATCGACAGCACTGGCGACATGGTCGGGAAGGTTCCGTGGCAGAACCCGTCCTTGTGGAAGATCCGCGCGAGCCGCAGGTCCTCCCCGCCGCCGCCCGCCGCCATGACCTTGGCGCACCCGCTCCCCGGCTGCCCCCAGCGCGCCGCGTATGCCTTGACGCTCTCCTCTCCATGTTTCGAGCTCGTGAGGACGAAGTTCGTCACGAGCTGCCCCTTGCGCAGGTCCCACACCTGCAGCGGATGGTGCTTGCGCCACGACGCCGCGAGCACCGTCGACTGCTCGGTGAACTGCACCCCGTCGGGCCCGCAGCAATACACCCCGAACATGTTCTGCACGGGGCCGTTGCGGGCCGCGGGGGTCCGGATGTCCCACAGGAGCATCGTGTTGTCCCACCCGGCCGACACCACGAGCGCGGGGTTCCGCGGGTCCCACGACAGCGCAAACACGTTGTTGGAGTGTCCTTTTCCGTTGTCCGAGTTCGCGAGCTCCGTCTCCACGGTCCGGCGCGCGTCGTCGTACACCCGGACCGTGCGGTCCGTCCCGGCGGTCGCGAGCTTCGACCCGGTCGGGTCGAACTCCACCGCCAGCACGCTGTTGTCGACCTCCGCAATGTCCGTCAGCACGCGCCCCGTCGTCGTGTGCACGTACGTCACCTTGTTGGCCCGCCCGACCGCGACCACGTTCTTCGTCGGCGGATTGTTCACCTCGGGCCGGAACCGCAGGCACGTGCACGCCGGGGGCTCGTCGCCCTTGTTCGCGCCCGGCAAGCGGATCGTGCGGATCACGTTGCCCTTGTCGGCCGCGAAGGTCGTGACCGTGCCGTCGCGGGACGCCACCGCAGCGACGCGGTCGTCCCACGACATCACGCCCGACAGCGCCCCGGACGGGATCCGAAAGCCCCACGTCGCGCGGTACAGCTTGCCCTTGGCCGGGTCCGCGTTCTGCGGGGGGGGGTGTTTGGGGGGGTGTTGTTTTGAGGGCGGGCCGGGGGCGGCGACGCGCCGCGGGCCGCGGGAGGCAACGACCGGGGGCGGGTGGAGCCGGCAAGGACGTGGGGGGTGTGTTGTCTGTCAGGGGGGAGTGAATCGGGACGGTGGAGGTCGGGCAGGGCAGTGGCGCTCGTCGCGGTTGGCGGGGAGCGCGGTGGCGCGTGAAGTGGGTGCGCGGCGCGGGGCGGTGGCGCGCCAGCGAGGCTGCTGTGGTGTGGCCCCGGCGTGCGCGGGACACTCGGGCGGTCGCGGGGCGGCGCACCGCGATGGAGCTGCTGAGAGGCTTCAGCTCGGGCGGTCCGTCGTCCATGCCGGGCTCGCCGTAGTACCGTTCTTGCAGGGCAGCGCGCTCTGCTGGCGAGAGCATCGAACCGAGCATGAGCGGTGCCTTCTTCCCGAGGTTCGTCGGGCTACTGCAGAGGTAGTGAGGGAACGGAGGAAGGCGTGGGTGAGCGGGCGCGCGCGGAGGGGGCCTCACGGGGCGTGACGAGCGAAGAAGGCTGACAGTTGCACGCGGTTGAGTCGCGTGGCTCGTGGGGCGCGCTGCAGAGGACTTTCTCGGCGGGATCTCGCTGAGGAGGAACGTGGGAGTAGGTGCGGTGCACGGAACGGTCGCGCGTGCGCGGACGGCGGGTGGCCGCGCCGCAACGGTCGCGGGAGTGCCTAACCCCCCATTGCTGTGACGCTGCGTGCCGCGCACCGGCCTCCGCGCGCGCGTGCTCGCAGCGCAAAGCGTCGAGCTCGGCATGAAGGTCTCGCGGATCCGCGCAGTCGCCACGAAAGCGCCGCGTCCGGACGCCAGGCGGGCACCCTGCTGCCAACGCATGGCCTTCCCCACCGGCCGGCCGTCCAGGGCCCGACGACGTACTGCCGCGCGGAAGATCGCGGCGGCGCGCAGCGCAGTAGGCATGCTCGCGGGAGGGCGACGCGAGGGAACGCGAACAGCGCCGTGCGCGGCGCAGTCTTCGCGCGCAGGCATGCACACTTCAAGCTAGCCAGGGCCCCAGCGCGGCCCCGCACGGCCCTGCGCGGCGCCGAACGGGCGCCGCGCACTTCCTAGGGCCCGGAGACGCACCTCGTCGCGCTGCGGTCCATGGGCGACTCCGCGTCGCTGTCCGCGACACTCCCAGCCCGGGCGGGCGTCATGGCGAGGTTCGGCCCCTTGGTGCCGGCCAGCATGGCGTCGGCGTCAGCGGCACCGCCCACGGGCGGGCGCAGACTGCGGCCGCTGTCGCGCTGCCGCGGGACTGCGTGGCGGCCTGCCCTGCTGGACGGTGTGCCCAGGGCACTCCTGCTAGTTCAAGGATGAGGCCGTGCGCTGCGCCTAGAGCCGCTGCGGACGTGGGCGTGGTGGTACGAGGTGTTGACTGCGGGCGCGGGGCGCGGGGGCGAAGGAGCGCCGCGGATGGCGCTCAGGACGCGAACCGACGTGGCGTGGGTCTGTCTCGGGTCCGGACCGCTCTGGCCCCGCCAGGCGCGCACGCGGTGATTGCGTCGCGCGCGACGGGACCGCGGGGACTGCGAGGATCCTCAGCGCGACAAATAAGGCGGTTTGTGCCCCTGCTGCGACGACGCAGGCCCTGAGGATGGGATGGATCTTCCAACCAATTCCGGCTCCTAGAAGTGACCCTGACGCAACGTCCTCTGCCTCATCGCACTACCTGGTACCTGTAGGACCCGGAGAAATGAACTGAGCGCCCTATCCGTCGTCGAGGGTGCGCGTGGACCGCATGATACTGCCGCGCAGCGTGGAGCTGGCGCGTCGCTACCAAGGCCATGACTTCGACCACGCTGGCTTGAGCAGGATCACCCAGCGCATCGCCTACCTCGCCGCGTCGTGGCGGATTCCGGCCAGCACCGGCATGGGCGGCGCCTGCGCTCTCTCTCGCTGCAACGCGGTCTCCCTGACGGCGTGCGACGTGCCGCCCGCGCAAAAGTCCTTCGGCCCGAACGTCCAGCATGCTGTAGCGCACAGGTCTGCCAACCCCCTCGCTGACCACGCCGCGACCGCACACTCCGCTCGCCGCGCACCTGCAACCGCCGCCGCGCACCCCCTGCCGCGCACCACAGGGACGGTCCGCTCCTCGAGGTCGCCGCGGAGAGCTTCGACCTCCCCGTGTGGTTCGTCGCGCGCCTCGCGTGGTTCGGCGCGTTATACTACTGTCCAGTACACCCAGCACCCCCCCCCGCGCACCTCGAACGCGGCGCACCGCCGGAGCTCGCTGCCGCGGCGGCGAGGGCCGTGGAGCTGCGCGAAGAGGGCATGCGCGTCGTCGGGCGCAGCACGGCGCACCAAAAGCCTCGGCGGGTGCTCCTGGCGGGCGCCGCGCACCATGCAGGTCCGCCCCCGGACGAGGGGGGCGGCGCCGTGCAGACGGAGCCGGCAGAGGCGCGGCGAGGCGGGTACCTGCGCGCCAGCTGCCACCCGCGGAGGTACCCGGCGGCGTATGAGATTCCCCCGGGGGGGTGGGCGCAGCGCATTGTGGCGCGCGGTGAGGGGTGGGTCGCCGCGGACAAGCCCGCGGGGGTGTCCGTGGTTCCGACGGGCGACAACACGAAGGAGTCGCTGCTCTACCTCGTCGGACGGGACCTAGGCTTGCACAGCAGCGACGCGCAAGGCGAGGGGGGTCTGCTGCCGACGCATCGCATCGACCTGTGCACGGAGGGCGTGGTGGTGCTAGCGACGACGCGGGCGTTCGCGTCGGCGTTCAACGCGGTGCTGTCCGGCCGGGACGCGTCGGGAGCCCTCACAAAAGTGTACCGCGCGCTCTCGTGGTCGCCTCCGCCCCTGGGACGCGCCGCGCACTGGTGCCGCACGAACGTGCGCGTGCCGGGGCTGCCCGAACACACGGAGGTGTACGACGCGGAGGCGGACGGGGCGGTGCCGTGCTCGCTGGTCGTGCGGGGCACTCGGGAGGTCGACGCATCGGCGGTGCCTGCGCACATGAGGGGGGGGAGTTCGCGGGGGGTTGAGGGGTCGTCGGTGTGCTATGAGTCGGAGATCGTCCTCGAGACGGGCCGCACGCATCAGATCCGCGCGCAGATGGCCCACATGGGCTGCGCGCTGGTGGGGGACTGCCTGTACGAGGGTCTGACTGGGCCGCTGTCGGTCGCGGCGCTCGCGAGCGCGCAGCGCGAGCGGTTCGCGGAGGCTGCGGCGGCGGGCGTCCAGGACGACGTGCGGGTGCTGCGGGAGCCGGAGGGCGCTGTGGGGCTACAGGCGTGGCGGCTGGAGGCGACGGGCGTGGCGGCGATGGGAGGGGACGTCGCGCTCGAGGCAGGCGCACCCTGGTGGAGAAGGAGCGGGCGGTTGAGGGACGGACCGCAGCCAGTACGAGATATGCGATGCCTGTGAGTTGTAGATCGCGCTCACACTTGTTTGCCGTCGTCGCTGGCGCGGGACTGGCGCGCGGTGCCTCGTGATCGATCGCGGATGTGCAGCTGCGGCGCCGGGCGTGGCAGGCACGCGGCGGGAAGTGATTGAGGGGACAAAATTGAGTCGAGGATGGAAAAACGGGACTGGACTTGAGTCGTTTCTGCTACGATTGCGCTGCCCGCTCGTTCTCTTGGCCGGCCCCGCGGCCGCGCGCGTCGTTCAGCTGCACCTCCCCCGCGCCCTCGCCCGCCTTGCCCTCCTCGGCCTTGGCCCGCGCTTGTCGCATTGCCGCCTCCGCAGCCAGCCTCCTCTCCAGCGCTTCGAACGGGTCGACCGGCGCCTCCTCGCCGCGCTGCTGTGCGACGACCCTATCGTACTCGCGTTTCTTCTCGTTGTATACCGTCCAGACGCAGTCCACGCAACCTTTCTGCACTCAGAAGCACACACAGCACCTGCGTCGGTCCCAGCCGGCCCGGGGCATGAACCGCGACCTGGCCGCGAGCTGCACGATCAGAGCGCTTGTGTCGTGGCGGGGCGCCATGACTGGCGCATGAAATGCCTGGATTGCGCTGTCTGAGCGTGCATTCCTTGACGCGATTGCACATACGCACCCCGCAGCACTGCTCCGGGGAGGGCTCTTGGGGTGGCTCTGGAAGTGTCGACATGCCCTCGAAGCTGATCGTCGATACGGACCGGGCCCTGAACGGCGCGCCCTGAGCACGGCGAACCAGCGTCAACACTTGGCTCCAGCGCATGCACCTTCCTCGCGCCGCGCAGGCTCCCTCCGAGCCCCTGACCCCTCAATCTCAGAGAGGGAGTATACACAGCGAAAGAATCCCGACGAGGCGCGGGAAGGGAAAGTGCGCGCGCGAGATTCAGCCTCGCTACTTCGACCTAGCTTGACAGACGACCCTCATGGTCTTTTCCGCGAAAAATCGACCAAGATTCCAGCGCCGAACGCTCCCTCCTGTGCCCCAATGGCGCGCGGCCCGCTCCTACCTACCCGGCCCCGGACCTGCCAGGTGCAGTGCAGCGCGAGCCTGACTCAACAGCGGTTTACCTGACAGCAGGGGGGAGTCCTGTCGCGGGGCCCGCCCCGGCTCCCGGCGCTCGTTTGCGCGCGCGTGCGCCGCGCAGACACACTCCCCTCCTGCCCGCTCTCGGTCGCTTCGCGCGCAGCGTGCTCCTCGTACCGCCGCACGCCGACGCCCTAGCACCCACCATGTTGCTTGCCGCGGCCTCGGTGGCCTCGCGCCGCACTGCGGCTTCGCTGGCGCCCGCGCTCGGGGCGATCTGGTCCCGTGGGATGGCGGGCCTGTGGTCGCACGTCGAGATGGCGCCGCGGGACCCGATCCTCGGCGTCACTGAGATGTGGAAGGCAGACACCAACCCCGAGGTGCGAATTCCCGTACGCCGAGCCGAGTGCGCGCGCGCGTGGCGCCTGCAGTGCGAGGTCGACGTCCTGCCGCCCGAGGCTGACCGGCGCGCCGACGGAGCTTGTTGCAGAAGATCAACCTGGGCGTGGGCGCCTACCGCAACGACGACGGACAGCCCGTGGTGCTGGACTCGGTTCGTCTGGCCGAGCAGAAGATCGCCGGTGCGTCCCCGGGCCGTTTCTGCGCCCGCGGGGGCAGGTTTCCGCGACCTTGCGAGGTGGCACCCCTTGCGGCGGCTGCGGGCCTGGAACGAGGCCCGCGCCGCGCGCACGGGTAGATGTCGCGTGCGACATGCAGGTTACAGCTGGATCTGCGTCCGCCGTCGCGTGTCAGAGAGCGGCACGGACGATGCCGCCACCTGCGCCCTTGACAACGGCTGGCGCGCCACGGCTGGTTGCGCGTCGAAGGACGGCCCGCTTGTCCCAGGCGCCGTCAGTCAGATCTACCGCCGCCGCTCGTTGCGTTGCTTCGACGCCGCGCGGCCCTCGCGCCGCCCGCGCCCCCCCTGCGATCAACACCAACCACCACGCCCCTCCCGCGCGCTCAGCGCCCCCAGCGAGCCGCATTCTCTCCCCACGTTCTCCCTCTAGAACTGCCCTTGCCCGAGCGTGCCCGTCCACACGCGTCAGCCGCTCTACCACGACCACGCCCCGCACCAAGCCCTGCAGCCTTCCCACCTCGCCACGCACGCCGCACGGTGCAGGCAAGGAGTTCATGGAGTACCTTCCGATCGGCGGCTACGGCCCGTTCGTCCAGGAGTCCATCAAGCTGGCGTACGGCGCCGGCTCGGAGCCCATCCAGTCCGGCCGCGTCGCCGCGGTGCAGGCCCTCTCCGGCACGGGCGGCTGCCGCCTGATGGGCGAGTTCCTCGTGCGGTACGCGCCCGGCACGAAGCTCTTCGTCCCGGAAACCACCTGGTCCAACCACTGGAACATCTTCAAGGACGCCCACCTCGAAACGGGCAAGTATCGTTACTACGACGCCGCCACGCGCGGCCTGAACTTCGCGGGGCTCGTCGAGGACCTCAAGGCGATGCCCAAGGGCAGCTTCGTGCTCCTGCACGCCTGCGCGCACAACCCCACGGGCGTGGACCCCACGGAGTCGCAGTGGCGCGAGATTTCCTCGCTCATGAAAGAGCGGGGACTGTTCGCGTTCTTCGACATGGCGTACCAGGGGTTCGCGTCGGGCGACTTCGACCGCGACGCCACGTCGCTGCACATCTTCGCGGAGCACGGGCACAACTTCGCGCTCGCGCAGAGCTTCGCGAAGAACATGGGACTGTACGGACAGCGCACGGGGTGCTTCTCGATCATGTGCGCGGACGAGGACGAGCGCGCGCGCGTGGACTCGCAGATCCGCGCGGTCGCGAGGGCGATGTACTCGAACCCGCCGCTGCACGGCGCGCTCCTCGTGTCCACGGTGCGACCCCCCCCGCTGAGTTGGCAAAAGAGCCCCCCGCGGCGTCGCTGGCGTCCGGTCGCGCGAGCCGCCGCCGTGCCCGCGGCGTCCTTGTTGTCAGGTGGCGGCGAGAGCGTGGGCTGTGTTGTTGCGCGCGCGTGCAGATCCTGAGCGACCCCCGGCTGAACAGCATGTGGCGGCGTGAGGTAAAGGAGATGGCTGACCGCATCCACGAGATGCGCACGGAGCTGAAGCAGGGCCTGATCGCCGCTGGCTCGAAGCTGAACTGGGACCACATCACCAACCAGATCGGCATGTTTGCCTTCACGGGGATGACGCCGGAGCAGGTGGACGCGCTCAAGGACCGCAGCATCTACCTGACGAGGAACGGGCGCATCTCCATGGCCGGCGTCAACACCAAGAACGTCCAGCGGCTCGCGGAGGCCATGCACGAGGTGACCAAGTAGAGAGGTGGCGGCAAACAAGGAATCATGGTTGCGGATGAGTTGGTTCCTGGCTCGAACCGGCCGGGCCCCCGACACATGTGCTCGCGGGGGCAGGATCTCTTTGCGCGGAGCGCGAGGAGCTCGGTGTGAGGTCGAAAGACACACAGGCGAAGAGCGAGCTATGGGCAACACCGTACACCGTGTACGTGCAGCGCACCTCGGGTCCGCATCACGGCGGTAGCCGGGGGCGCTGCGCGTGACGCTCTGCTGGGTCCGAGATGTCCGGGGGCGTGCGGGCCGCGCCGGAGGACGGATCCGGAACGCGCGTTTCGATGCGTCCGACTGGGGTTGTGGGTACGAGGGTGGTGCTGACGTGGCAGCCGGCCTCGGGCAGCGCGCGACACTGAGCGGCGACGGCGCGCGTGCCGCGCATCTTTCTCCGCGCTGCGAACCGTCCTTAGCTTCGACAGCTGGTCGGTGCAGAGAGTTCGTGTGTCGATAGCAGTGTTTTTGTTTTTGCACACGATTGGCCAGGGCGGCGCACGAGTGCGAGCAAGCCGAGCCCGTCGCGATGCGCTCGCGTCTGGTTTCTGCGGCGGTGCTGCTAGCGACGCTGCTCGCGGCTGTCAACGCCGCCGCGCAACGCACGCGAGTGCAGGCGCTGCGCGGCGAATGGAGCGCGCTGAGCTCTGACGTGCTGCGGTGGGAGCCAGAATGGCGCCCGAGTGACGCGAAGCGGCTGCGCGAGCTCTTGGCGCAGTCAGCCGCCCCCGTGGCGCCAGGGAGGGGCCGCACGTTGCTCCAAGATGACAACCCTGCTACTCTGATTGCCATCGTTGAGATTGCGTCTCTGACGCTGCTCACGACGGGGTACCAGGAGCCCGGCGATGAGGTGTTCGGCGACGACCTTTCCGACTTCCTGGGGGGCGCGAGAGCCGGCAGCGGCTTTGCAGAGCTGGGGGTGTATTGCACGCCGGTTCGGGCGGACGACGCGGGCGACATGCCGCAGGGCTGGCCGAAGTGGGACTTCCTCGACGTCGTCTTCTTTCCCGGCGTGCCGACGTCGCTGGCACGAGACTTGTGTGCGTCCCCGCCCGCGCTGCGAATAGCGGAGCGCAGCGAAGCGGAGGGGCCCGGCCCTCATAGATTTCTGTCTCAACCTGTTTGGAACATGGTTTCCCTCGCAGCCCATGACCTTGAGCATCACTGAGACCTCGTCGCAGGGATCTGGGGCGACGATCTGGCCACGGACGCCGTCACGTGCGAGCTCTGGGAGTGCGATGGCATTTTCGGCTGCAGCCCTGCGTCACCGTTCCCCCCGAACGCCGATTTCGGGGGAGACGACCAGCTCGGATCGACAGTGCTGTCGAGGGACCCTCAAACCATGCTCCCAACGAGCCCGAACCCGACGAACACGACCCTGAAGGCCACGTTCACGTTCCCAAGTGCGCCCCCGCTTTCCCAACCTGAACGTCGCGGCCAGACTACCTGCGCAGCCCTCCAGCACATCATGCTATCCCTCTCTCGACAGCGGCGATGAAGCCCGTCTATGCGTCTCTCGACTCGATCTACTCCTCAGATCCAGCGACGACATCGTTTCGGTATCTCGCGCGCCTCACGCAACTCACGAGCTCCTCGCGGCCGCAGACGGAACGGTCACCGCGCGTGCAACCTTCGAGTACAAGCTCGTCGACCCGACCGTCTACTCCGGGCCCTCAGGCAGACCCCCCCTGCTGTCAGGACCCTGGGCAGAGGACCCCATCGATCTGTCCCCCTACCTCGCGACGTCCCCGCCCGCGGCATCAGCCGCCACGACCGCTCCAGCGTCGTCGCCGACCCCGTCGCCACCGCCGCCGTCCACAACGGCAGCGCCGCCGCCGACCACCGCTCCGTCGCAGACGGCTTTCGTCCCGCCGACGCCGACGCCGACACCGACGCCGACGCTCCCGGTCACGACCTCGGCGCCTCGAACGGATGCGCCACCAACGACGTTTGCCCCGACAGTCGTTCCGGCTACAACACCCCCGCCGCCCTGGGAGACAGTTTCAACAGTTGCCACCGCGCCTCGCGTCGAAGCCGCGGACGGGCCGACGACCCCGCGGAACCCCGGTATGCTGCTGCCGACCGCTCCGGCGACGGCCGCCGCGACGGCCGCGAGCGAGTCGAACGGCACCGATGCGACAGCGCCGGTGGACATGTCTCCGCCGACGCTGACCCCGATCGTGATCGACTTCGGCGAGATCACGTTCTGGGACCTGTACGACCCGACGCCCGCCCCCGCACCGGACGGCGGCCCGGTCAACTGGGACCGTTTGAACGACACAAGCCGACACCCCCCGGGGAGTTCCGGAAAGCGCTACTTCTTGCTGGTGATGCTTGCGGTGGTCATCGGCGGGCCGATCCTCATCACGGCGGGCATCACCGCGGCGTGCTGCACCGTGAACGCGCGGCGCAGGGCCGTGGAGCGTCGCTGGGCGCGTGCGCGCGTGATCGGTCCGTTGCACGACCCTGACGCTTGCTGCTACGGCCCGGATCCGATGGAGGGCTCGAGGACGACGGGGCGCGCCGGGTCGTCGGTCACGCTCGCGGGGGGCGACGCGGCGGGGTGGGGTCCTCCGTCTCGATGACCGCTATGTCATAATATGACCGCTAATCGCGGTGAACACAATGTGTGCTGGTTGATTGAAGCCAGGGCCTGCGAGATAGTGTCGAGGCGTTCGCGCCGCGTGATGTGTGTGATGAGTCGCAACCGCAGCTCGCGCACCGCCAGCGCTGAACCACGTGAAACTCCCCCCCTCCTGTGCTGGGCGTCATGGGTCGAGGGCGAGGCAGCGGAGGCGCAGTGTGGGGTCGCTGGGCATCTAGAGCGGGTGCTCGGCGCTGTTGCAGATTGCTTGCACGCATTCTCGCGTGTGGGGGTCGCACAAACCACCAAGGGGCTCGATTCGCGGGAGCGCTGCTGAGCGCGCGCAGTCGATCCGCGCGCGCGATACGCGGGCGGGATGTCCGTCCTGAGAGGCTTCTCGCGCGTCGCGGGCGGGTCGCAAGGCGCCCTGGGGGCCGGATGGGCGCGGCTCGCTTCTGCCGAGGGCGGGTTGGCGCGTAGTGCCGCGCTTGGTGGCGCACCGGCACAATGCAGCCCATTCCATGCATCTTCGGTTCCCAAGGGACTCGGACCGATCGCGCTTCGGCCTAAGTCTGCGCTGCGCTGCGCGCCGGGACCCACCCCGCGCAGTTGTCCTGCGCGCCCGGGCGGCCTGCGCAGCGTGTTCGACTTTGCTGCGGTCCGCCGGCGCGTCATGGGGCCGTTCAGTCAGCGTGCAGGCGCCCAGGCCAGCGAGGGCGGCGCGGGGCCCACCTCGGTGCTGTCCCTGCCCGGCTCTCTCAAGAGGGTCACCAGGGGGCCGAGCCTGGCCGCTGAACGCGCGCGCGAGGCGGGCAATGCGGCTCTAGACCGCGTGCCCTGGCTGAGGAGATTCGTCAAGGACCCAGGTGCGCAGCTTGGCCCAGGAAATTCACGTCCAGACAGCACAACAGAGCTAGCCCTGGGCCTCGCGGCATGCGTCGCAGGCGACCGACCGCCCACGCATGCTGTCCTGCTGCCATGATATACCTCCGTTCGACGCAGTTCGGGCCATCCCGCAGTCAGACCTGCCGCCGAAAACGGCGCACGCACGATCCCCCTGCACTGTATGCTTTGGCCGTTGTGCCTGTGACTCCGGAGACGCGGCGCGCCTCTGCACCCGCAGGCTCTCTTCGCAAGGCGGTCGGGCTCCACGCGGAGGCGATCTGGCAGGCGCACCGCGGCAAGATCGTCGCTGGCGGTGCTGTTGTTTCCGCCATCGTGCTCTGGCGGACCATGTACGCCATCGCGACGAACTTCCTCTCCCTGTCAGGTCGGTGCCGCGCCTCCCTGCACCGCGGCGGCCGCCGGCGGCGAACCACAATCTCTCGAACCACAATCTCGAAACGCAATGTTTCTTCGCGTGGCTCGGTATCGTTTGACGCAGAGACGGTGGCGGAGGGCGGGTTCTTGGCGCTCGCGGCCGCGATGGTGGCGTTTGCGCTGATGTACGCCAGGTCGCTTTACACCATCCGGCCCGACTCCGTGTACCGGATGGCCATGGTGAGTGCAACCTACAGACAAATAGGATCTCTCCTTCTGCCGTGGCTTGCTCGTCTATGGTGGCAACGGCGGCAGAACTCGCGCGGTCTCGCACCCCGCCAGTCGCCCACGCGCACGAACAACCCCGTGCGGCCCCGTGTGCGTCAGACACAACCCGACACACCCCTCCCCCCCAACTCAACACGCAGGTGCGTCTGAACTCGTCCCCCGGCGCGCTCGAGGTCCTCGGCGCTCCGCTGTCCGGCTCGGACATCCGCGCATACGTCGTCACGGGGGGGGGGCTGAAGGTGTCGGGCTGGCGCCCCAAGTTGCGTGCACGGCGGGTGCAGATGATTTTCCCGGTCCGCGGCTCCGAGCGCCGCGGGCTCGTCACCCTCGAGGCCAAGCGGCGCCACGGCCGCTACCAGATGAAGCTGCTCGCCGTCGACGTCCCTGCGGCCGCGGGGGGGGACCAGCGCTTGTACCTGGAGGGGGGTGAGGCGGTGTTCCAGCGGGGGGGTGTTCTGTCGGAACTGCGCGACCCCTTCTTGCGGGTGAGTGGCGTCGCCGCGCCGCGCGACGCTGGCCGTGCACTTGCTCACCAGCCGCCCCCGGCACGTCTCGCATGAGTGGTCCGCGCATGAGTCGTTGTTGCTTCTGCGTCGGCCTGCAGGCGCTTGCGATGAAGGAGACGTACGACAGGGAGGACGAGCAGGAGGACGAGGAGGAGGGGGAGGAGCAGGCGCGGCAGCAGCGGAGCGAGAGCATGGCGCGCGCTGCAGCGACGCCGGCGGCACAGGAAGGCAGCGCGGGGGTGCAGACGTGGGAGTGGGCGGCAATAGCCGCGCAGAGGAAGCTGCAGCAGGCGCGGGACGCGATCGAGCGGGCCGGGCGCGGGCAGGCCGGCTGAGAGACTTAGATATGTGGCGGTGTGTTATCCCAGGATGTCAATGCCGCATTGGTCGGTTGGCGGGCTGGGCCTGCGATGACGTCGTCAAGGAGACGTCCCAGCCGTTGAGGAGACGCAGCGAGGGGGGCGCTCGTCCGGAGCGCAAACACTGACATGTAGCACATACAAGCGAAGACTTACCGGCCCTCTCGTTCGTGAGCACGTTGGCTCTTTTGACAGCCTCTTGCGCGCAAGTCTAGGTGCGACACGGTGCTCGCTCGCACGGCGCGGCGGCGCGGCGAGAGCGTCGCAGGGAGCCGATGCGGAGTGCGCGCATGTGCACGGCTGAGGTTGACAAGGGGTCACTGTCTCTGAGCGCTGCTTACAGGTGAAGATGCAGGGCCGCCGCACGAGGTGCGGGCCGCAAGACGACACCGAGAGCATGAGAGCGCGCGTACGGGGCGAGAACGTGTCGTTGAGAAAGAAAGCGGCAGGGGGGCCGGAGGGGGGAGGGGGGAGGGGGAAGGTGGGTGTGTGGCGTGTGAGAAGGGAAAGCGCGCGGCAGGAGGGCCGAAGCGGGGAGGGGGAAACGGGTTGTGTGGCGTGTGGGAAGCGAGAGCGAGCGGCAGGGGGGCCGCCGTCCGTCGCGCGGCCGGGGGCGCAGGCTAGGAGCTGGAGAGGTTCTGCGGTGCTGCGAATCGGCTTGTGTGCTAAAAATCAGGTATTTCCCATCGCATGTGCCTCACTCGGGTCGAGTCTCGCCCGAACGTGGCTGGCGACATGACATCATTTCAGGATTCAAAATTATTTCATGATAATTCACTCACGGTGCTTCATGAGTTGGCAGAAACCAGGACTCCCGGCGAAGGGGCCGGCCTCTGCAGGGACGCTCCGTCTCGTCTGGTGCCGAGACGCGCGGGGCCGCAACGATGCGGCCGCAGTTGAGTTTGTCGCCGAAACTTTCTCGCGGAAGACGGAAGGCTCACGTGGCAGCTGGGCGCTTGACAACGGGTGTGGCTGGGGCTGTCGTGACGTGTGGTGCTTTGCATGACATGTGGAGAGCGCGCGCTGGAGACGGTCACGTGACGGGCAAGGTTGCTGAGCCCTCATGGCCTGGCTGCAACGTGAGCGGGATGGGGCGCGGGGAGGGGGGGAGATTGCGTTGCTGTCGAAGGGGGTCTTCGTCGTGTGATGCCGGCACTGCATGTCGCCGGCTGCGACGCTGCAGAGGCGTTTCAGCACCTTCGAATACTCGAGTTAAAAAAGAGGCGGGTCGGGGGGGAGGGGTGCGCCGCGGGGGGCGGAGGGTGGCGGTGTGGCCGCTGGGATCGCCTCTCAGTGTGCGATGGGGCGGGGAGTTGAAAAAAGGGGGGAAAGGAAGGAAGAAAGAAATGGGGGTCTCGGACAGCGCATTCCTGTCTAGCAGGGGCGTCTGACGTCAGAGCCTGGGCTCGTGTGAGCGTCCTCGCCGGAGGACGCAAGTGGTCAATGTCGTTGTGCTCTCATCGAGGGCGCGGTCCATCACGCCTGGGCGGTTTCGCTCATCCTTTTCTGCTTGAGAGCGACGAGTTTCTTCACCCGGCCATGTAGGGCGCCGCGAACATCGCTGTCCGCCTCCACGCGCGACACCGGCGAAGTCGGCAGGTTCGAAGGGCTGCCCATGGACTGCAGACCGTTGGCGTTCCGCGCGCCGGGGGACTTGAGCCCGTTGATGAGCGGCCCGGACGTGACGGGCAGCGAGCTCGCAGCCGCCAGCTTGCCAGCGCTCGCGCCGCTCCCCCGGAAGGTGTCTGCGGCGCCCTTGACCGCCTTGATCTTCGACACGACGGCTTTCACGTCCTGTAGGTTGACCCCGCTTTTGCAGCTGATGATGCGGGGCTCGTGGTCGCCATCGGACGGCGCGGTGTCCAGGTCGTTGTCGTCGTCGTCGTCGTCGTTGTCGTCAAGCCACAGGTTTCGGACGCCATGTGCGCTGCCCATGTCGCTCATGCGCACGTGCCTGCCCGCGGGCGTCCCGCGCGCCGACGCGCCCGTCGCGCTGGCGCGACCGTGCGGCGGCCTGCCGTCGCGCGCCGAGCCGCCCTCATCGCTGAACTTCTTCGCCACGTCCGCCAGGCTGCTCCCAAACCTGCGCCGCGGCGTGCCACCTGTGTCCGACTGGCGATCCAGCTGCACGCTCAGGCGCGTCGGGACGTTGCGGACGGAGCTAGCGCCGGTCTCGCTCTCGCGGACAGAGGTCCGGCTGCCGTGCATGCTGCCGCCCTCAATCGTGCTGTCGCGGCTGCGCTGCTCCGGGAGCACGGACCCCCGCGAGCCCGTCGGCGAGCCCGCGCCGTTGAGCGCGAGCTTCCGGGCCATCTCGAGGTTCCGCATGCGCCGTTCGCCATCCTTTGCCACAGTCTCCTGGTAGACTTGCTCCCCGTACATGACGCGCTCCTTCTTCGCGATGCGCCGCAGCTCCTCGATCGTGCCCGTGCCGTTCGCCGGGCCGACGTAGCTCGCCAGGACCGTCAGGTGGCCCAGGTCACGCTGCACCGCCCTGGTCGCGGCGGCGACGCCTGCCGCCAGAGCCTGCTCGCGAGCCTTCTGCGCGGTCCACTGCGCCAGGACCAGCGCGGGGACCGCGCCGTCGCGGGAGCGCGCGAGCGCGGCCTCGGCGAGCTCGCGTCCGGACCCGAACGCCTGGCATGCCGCAGGCGACGCCAGGAGGAGGATCCCGGCTTTCGAGACCTCGCAGACCTTGGACGAGCACACCGCGCCGCTCGGAGGGTGCAGCTCGGTGATGCTGCGCGTGGCGAAGCAGCAGAAGAAGGCGCGGCAGCTGCCGCCAGCGCGCGCAACAACTGCCTCCTGCCTCGCACCGATGGCGACCGTCAACATGCCCATGGCAGCCTTCCGGTCCTGCGAGAGGAACCTCTCGTCCAGCTCTGCACGGGGGAGGAAGCAGGGCGGGGCCAGCGTGAGCGCCATCCCCCACACGGGCCCTGAAACAGATGCCCTTTGGAGACGGAAAGATGAAACGTGAAGACTCATGTGATGTGCCCTGGAACATCAAGGTAGGTGTGGGCAGGTGGGGATCGAGGCGGGGTGTGTTCGCAACGCGCGCTGCGGGCGCAGCGCACCTGCGGCGGTGTCCGTGAGGCCTTTGAGGTGCACTTCGGCCAGTTCGTTGGGGTCGGAGATGGCGGCGGTCCAGCGAATGTGATCCTGGACGCGGTCGGCGGCCTCGGCGACCATCTTGGGCGCGTTGGACCCGCTGCCGACGAAGATACCGTGGATGACGTACTTCTTGACGTGGGCGCAGCAGATCAGGTACCCGTCCTGCGACAAACGTGGCGGGATACGCAGCGGTGATGGCCGGGCACACACAGCGTCGGAGGGGGCACTCTGGAACGGAGCTCATCGCCCCGTGATGCACTGAAACCGTGCTTCGTGATCTCTGCATGCTATCGGGGGCAGTTTGAATGCGGCAGCGCGAGGGCCCGCGACGCGGCGCCGGCCGACGTGTGCACGCACCTCGAGGTGCTCAGCAGGCGCTGCTCCGGGCAGCACTTCGGTGACTGCGCCGGCCATGACCCGCCGTCGATCGATATGGTGTTCGAAGTTGCTGCTGATGGACCTTCCAGCTTGATTGGCCTTCGTTTGAGGGGCAGAGGAGCCCTCCTTCGAGGAGATGGACTGGCTCCGCTCGAGAAGCGTCGCCGGCATGTCGATTGCGCTCAGTAGTCCTGGAGGAAGTCCTGCAGGTCATGGCCCGAGATGGCGGTCGTATCAGCAGCGTTCGATCCGTGAGGAGCGATACGAGCATCGGCAGCGTGACTCGGCGGTGGGTCCTCTCTGGCGCCTCTCGCAGCCTCGGCGGCGCAGGGATGGACGGTTGACACCGTTGGGGATCGCATGCCGCAGGGCATGCATCGAGCGAACGGCGCAAGACGACGGAACATCTGGGCACATCAGGTACGCAACGTGTCGCACTCGGACACCCGAACACGATTCCTGTCGGTGTTGCTCGCGAGAGTCGATCGAGTGAAGCGTGCGAGCGCGGCGATTCGCTACATAAGGGCCACAATCGCCGTCCGAGCGGGGGCCACATCACGCCAGCTCGCAAAGCGTCGAATGCGGTCGATCACTCGAGTTGCGCGACGTCGCGATAGCCCACCTGTTAGTCGTGGATCGCCGATCGTCCACTTTCGCGCCAGGCCAAGCACAAGTAGTCGCGTGTGCAGCAGTAGAGAGCAGGCGTGCGCGACGGGGTGCGCCAGGGACGCGAAGGCGCCTATAGTGCGGTGGACGCCAACACTGAGGTCGTGTTTGTGCTCTCGACGCGCAGCGTGCGGCCACAACGACCTCCCACGGCGCCGGGGCTGAGACGATCCGCGGACCCTCCTAGGGCCCTTCCTCCGGCTGCTCCTCCGGGACGCGCTCCTCGGCGACGCGTGGCAGACCGCGGCCTTGGAGCGCTGCCCGGCAGCGTGGCGCGGCGGTTCGCGGCGATAGATCCGCCCGCTCGAGCAGCGCCCACTCACACCTACTCACATGGTGGTGCGGCGCCAGCGAGCACGGAAGCGGCCGCACATTGCCCGCGAATTCCAACCACCGGCCTTATCTCAGCGGTGGAGCCGGAATCTCACCCTCGGACGGCGCCGCAGGCGCGGCGCCGCGGACAGCGACTACCATTGGTGGTTGCGCAGCGCCCCCTCTCCCGAGCGGCGACACACAGGCAGTTCCCCGCGCCGCCGGCCCGCAGGCCACGGCGCGCGCCGCGAGGCCATGTATCCTGCTCGGAAGGCCGCGTCCCGCGCCCGCGGTCGTTGTTTCGCGTCACAACCCCGCACGATGTACTTGGTGGTTGCCGGATGCTCTCTGGCGCGTGAAAACGATGGCAGCGCCGCGCGAGGCCTCACATCTGCGACAGCAGGCGCTCCACGGCGGCGGACACGTTGCCTCCGGTGGCCTGCAGCGCGCGGATGTTCTGCTCTCGATCCCAGAAACCCATGTCCTGCAACTGCTCCAACTGACTCCCGTACGCCGCCTGCGCGGGAGAAAAGCACCGGGCGGGCGCGGGGTCGACGCGGGGCGGCGGGTGCGGCAGGGACACCGCTTCTCGCGTCGCAGCCGAGCGTGTGGACCGATGTGAAAGACTAGGGAAAGTAGAACGTGAGAGATGGCTGCAGAGGCCGTGGCGAAGCTGCGCGGCCTGCGCAGGCCGCAGAGCACGCGCTTGCCGGGCGGGCGGAGGGCACGCGGCGGGAATGAGAGCCAAACGAGGCTGCGGCGCGTGTTGTGTTGTCGACGTCGTCAGGCGGCGCGGCGCGCACCTCGGGGTCCGCGACCGGCGTCTGTCCGACGCCGCCGGTGCCGGCCATGAGCTGGAGGAAGTTCCGCATCCCCTCCGCCTGCGCGGCGCCGCCGCCCCCGAGCCCGCCCTCGCCCGCGCCCGCGTCGCCCAGGCCCTGGAACGCCGCGCTGAGGTCCAGCATCGCGCGCATCGTGTTCGGGTCGAACATCCGCCGCAGAACGTTCGGGTCCCGCAGGTGCGGGTGCGCCTCCATCAGCGCACGCATGTTGGGGTCGGACTCCGCCATCGACGCCAGCATCTCCGGATTCCTATTGATCTGCTCCATGAACGTGGCCATCATGGGGCTGTCCAGCATCCGGCGCAGCGTCTGCGGCCTCATGTCCGCGCCGCCCTCGGCGCCCCCGAACAGGTCGGGCAGCCCGCCGCCCGCTGCGCCGCCCCCGAGGAGCGAGGCGAAGGGGTTGGCGGCCGCGTCCGCGTCGCCGCCGCCCGCGGCGGCGCCGCCGAGGCCGGCGAAGGGGTTGGGCAGCGGCGTGGGCTCGCTGGGCGCCGTGGTGCCGGCGTTGTTGGCGCCGGTGGCGGCGTTTGGGGTGTCGGTGTTGGCGTTGGCGTTGGTGCCGTCGGCGGCGTTCGCGCCGCCCATGGCGTCGCGGAGGGGGGCCTCGATCTCCTCGTACGCGCGGCGGAGGTGGTCGAAGCCGCCGGGGAGCGACTCGAGGTTCGCGAGGGACCGGTCCGTCTGCAGCGGCGCAAAAACACAAGGGAAATCCCAACTGAGATTCCCCGCGTCACTCATACGTACACGTACACACGCGCACCCATGCCCACGACAATGCACGCGCCCCTTGGACGAATTCACGCTCATCCCCAAAACCCCCCCCCTCTTCCCGGCCTCACCTGACGCATGTGCTCGCGCTGCAGCGCGGGATTGCTCTGCATGCGCATGATCGAGCGCAGCGTCTCCGGGTCCGTCATCGCGGCGGCGAGCTGCGGGTTCCGCTCCATCATCTGCCGCAGCGCCGGGTGCGCGTTCAGCGCCGACCGCACCACCTCCGGGTCGGACATCAGCTGCTGCATCATGGGCGACTGCATCAGCCGCTGCATCATGTCAGGGCTCGGCATGCCGCCCCCGGCCATGCCGCCGAGGCCCCCGAGCCCCGCGGCGCCCCCGCCGGCGCCAAACATGTCGAACGGGTTGGCAGGCTGCTGCGCCGCGCCCGCCGCGCCCGCCGCGCCCGTTGTGCCTGTGCGCTGGTCCTGTGCTGGCGCGGCGGCGGCGGCGGCGGGCTGCTGGTTGGCGGGGCGGCCCTTGACGAGGTGCATCGTGTCGCCGTCCTCCATGTTGTAGTCCCTGGCGGTCTTGTCGTCCTTCATGATTTGGCCTTTGAAGATCAGGCGCTGCTCGGCGGCCGGGAACCCCGAAAGGTCGTCTGCGCGCGCTTGGGGGCGTGAGGATCGCGGTCGGGGTGGAAATACCGCGCTGGGCGGGCGGCGGGGGCCGCGGGAGGGCGCGCGGAGGCAGGAGCGGTGCTCAGCGCGCGCGCGCGCGGAGGAGCGCGCGAGCGAGCGTCGAGGGAGGCTGATGCGTAGACTGAGGGAGGAAGGCCGCGCGGAACGCAGCGGGGCGCTGCGTCGCGGCCCCGCGGCCGTGCGACGGTCCGAGGCTTCCAGCGGACAGCAGGCCTAGGCGGTCGCGCCGGGGCGCAGCGGGCAAGCTGGGCGCCGTGCTGAGCCGATCGGATCGGTACGCTATGCATGCGTCGAGAGCCGCGGCGCGGACCCCGCTTTAGGCGCGACGGGGCCGCGGGGCTGCCAGAGCATCGCCCAACACAACACGCCCTGCGGGGGCGCACAGGCGGCCCCGAGGCGCGGGTCCGCGCGGTACTTGAGGCCTCGAGGTCGCTGTGCGTCGGGGCCGCGAGCGGGCGCCGGGGCCCGCACCTGCCGAGAGCTGTTCCTTCATTCCCAGCACCGTGGTTTCCGGTGCGACTTCTATGGCTAGCTTCTTGTTGCCAATGGCCATTTTCACGTTGATCTGCATCGTGGCGGGCCTCCTCTCTCCCGTGCGAGCCTCTCGCTGGCGTGGGGTGGGCGAAGCGGTCTGCGCGGCCCTCTCAGGCGTGCCCGCTCGCTGCGGGGATCGTCACCTCGTCGTGCGTGCGCGCAGAACACACGCAAGGGGCGAAGAGCAACGTCCAGCGCGCCAGTGGTCAACACTGGCGCCCGGCGCCTCGGCGGCCCCCTCAACGCCACGGTGGCGGCAGCGGCGCAGTCCGTCATGGGGACTCTACAGGGTGGTCGAGCAGCGTCCGTCACGGCGGCTCGTTGGGTGGGCCGCGGGGGCGCGCGGCGCATTCCGTCTGTTGCAGGTCGTGTCGTTGCGCGAGCTCAGGCGATGAGGGCCGTCGCTGCCGCGCAGTGCGGGCCCCGGCAGCACAGGCCGCATGGGCCCGCACGCGCCCGGGTGGTCGTGAGGGGGTTCGGGGACGGCAAGCGGCCAGACTACATCCCGAACAGGCGAGCCGCGCCCCCCCTGCAGCCCTACCTCGGGCGCAGCCTGAGCTCGTGCACCCACCGCGGCCGCCCGCCGGCAGCGCCCCGCGCGAGTCGCGCCGCCTTCTCCGCGGCCCCTGCGCCGGCCCGCCCGCATGAGAGCCTCACGGGCTCCGCGTGCACCCTCGCGCGCCGATCCTGAGGCGACGGGCGGCGCCGGGAAGCACCGCGCCTGCCGCCGCAAGAGGAGCGTCCGCCTGCGCCCTGCGCCCGCGCGCGGATCTCCGCACTCGAAAGCACCCGCCCTAGTTACTCGCGATCCCCAGGCCCCCCTCGCAGCCCTCCCGCGCTGCATACGCAGCCGAATCTCGCCCTGGTTCTCCGCGAACAACACCCGCCCCCTCCCACGTCGCGCTGCCGCGTCGCCGCGACCCGCATTCCCCACCTCCGCCCCGCACTCTGGACGCCCATCCTGCCGCGGCGTCGTCTCGGCCCTTTGGCCCGCTCACCCGGCCGCGCTCCCGGCTCCCCCGCGCGCATCCCCCGCCCGCGACGCCTCCCGCGGCGCCACTGAGCGAGCCGCGACCTCGTCCGGCCCACGCCCGCCCGTCCGCGCAGGATCGACGACCCCAACTATGTCCGCATTTTCGACACGACGCTCCGTGACGGGGAGCAGTCCCCGGGCGCGACCCTCACGTCGCGGGAGAAGCTCCAGATCGCCACGCAGCTCGCGAAGCTCGGCGTCGACATCATCGAGGCCGGGTTCCCCGTCGCCTCCCCGGACGACTTCAACGCCGTCAAGCAGGCACGCCCCGCGCCCGCCGATCGCAACCCCCCCCCCGCCCCGCGACCGCCCGCTCACGCCCCGGCCCCGCCCGGCGCCCGCAGATCGCGGTCGAGGTCGGCAACATGGTCGAGGACGACGGGTACAGCCCCGTCATCTGCGGCCTCTCCCGCGCCAACCGCAAGGACATAGAGGTCGCGTGGGACGCCGTTCGGCTGGCGCGGCGGCCGCGCGTGCACACGTTCATCGCGACGTCGGAGATCCACATGAAGCACAAGCTCAAGATGACGCCGGACCAGGTCGTCGAGAAGGCCGTCACCGCCGTCAAGGCCCTGCGCGACATGGGGTGCGAGGACGTGGAGTTCTCCCCCGAGGACGCGGGGCGGTCGGACCCGGAGTTCCTGTACCGGATCCTGGGCGAGGTGATCGAGGCCGGCGCGACGACGCTGAACATCCCGGACACGACGGGGTGGAACTTGCCGCACGAGTTCGGACGCCTGATTGCGGGGATCAAAGAAAACACCCCCGGGATCGAGAAGGCGATCATCTCGACGCACTGCCAGAACGACCTCGGGCTGTCGACGGCGAACTCGCTCGCGGGCGCGATGGCGGGCGCGCGGCAGATCGAGTGCACCATCAACGGCATCGGGGAGCGCGCGGGCAACGCCAGCCTCGAGGAGGTGGTCATGGCGATCGCGCTGCGCGGCGGCGCGGAGATGGGCGGGCTGTACACGGGCATCCGGCCGGTGCACATCTCGGCGACGTCCCGGATGGTCAGCGACTTTTCCGGCATGATGGTGCAGCCGCACAAGGCGATTGTTGGGGCGAACGCGTTCGCGCACGAGTCCGGGATCCACCAGGACGGCATGCTCAAGTCGCGGGAGACGTACGAGATCATGACGCCCGAGACGATCGGGCTCCTGCGGCAGGATGAGGCGGGAATCGTGCTGGGGAAGCACTCGGGGCGGCACGCTGTCAAGACGCGCCTGAAGCAGCTCGGGTTCGACCTGTCGCCCGAGGATCTCGACAAGGTGCGTCCGCGCGAGGGTGCGTGCGCCGCGCAGCGGCGACAGACGCCCGTGTGTTGGCGTGACGACGTTGCGCGTGTGCCCCGGCGTCGCGCGCAGGTGTTTGTGCGGTTCAAGGACGTCGCGGAGAAGAAGAAGGGCGGCGTCGTGGACGAGGACATGATCGCGCTCGTCGGCGACCAGGTGCACTCGCCGGCGGAGGTGTGGGTGCTCGAGGAGCTGCAGGTGGTGTGTGGCACTATGGGCCTGCCCACGGCGACGGTGAAGATGAAGGGCCCCGACGGGCTCTCGCGGTGCGCCACGGCCATGGGCACGGGGCCCGTGGACGCCGGGTTCACCGCGATCGACTCGCTCGTCAAGGTGCCGGCCAACCTGACGGACTACAAGTGAGCGGCCCGCCCGAACTCTTGTTTCCTCGATCTCGCGTGGCTCGCAGCGAACAGACTGGCAAACCCGCTCAACACATACGCCGCTCGCCCGGCGTCTGGCAGCACGCACGCTGGCGGACGGCCGGCCCTGCTGCGCGGTGCCGGGCTCGCAACGCAGTTGCTGCGTGTGTGGGTGTGCGCTTGCAGGGTGGAGGGCGTGACGGAGGGCATCGACGCGATGGCTCACACGCGGGTGACGATCAAGGCGGGCGACCGGTCCGCGATGGCGGTGTCGGCGCAGGGCGTGACCAAGGAGCGGTCGTTCTCGGGGCAGGGCGCGGACGAGGACATCGTGGTGTCGTCGGCGCGGGCCTACACGTCGGCGCTGAACAAGATGATCGGCTGGCTCGCCGCTCAGGTGCGCGGCCCGGCGAACCGGCCGTTGGAGGCGGCTCGGTCGACCGCGTGCGCGGGTTGATGCGTACGAGGCACCGCTGTCGCCATGAGGCGTTTTCGTGCTGCGGGTCGGCGCGCTCTGAGCGGGCGCGGTGGAGACGCTTGGTGCTTTTGTGGTGTGGTGCAGGCGAAGGCGAAGGAGGAGCAGGAGCGGGAGGAGCGGGAGCAGGCGGGCGGAGCAGTGGCGGCGTAGTAGAACATGTGATGCTCCGCCGTGACGCGAAGACGACGGAAATGTGGACTGGCCGGGCCGTGCAGTTCCCGCAATGAGCGGGCGTCACTGCGGTGCCTAGGAAGGGGAGGTCGGCGGCCCCGGGGTTCCAGCGGCGACGTGTTCCACATGACGGGACCCTGACCGGTGACGTGGCACTCAGAACCGGGCTCGCTCGGTACATGAGGCGCGGCGACGCGCGTCGCGGGAACTCAGAACGACCAGCTGGGCCCCGAGGTAGTCTCAGAGCGTCGGGACACGACGAAGACCGCGAGCCTTCCGGTTAGAAAACAGTGAACAGTGCTCGAATCCGCGCTTCATCCGGCACGCCGTAGCTCGTCTCGACCCGCGTTCGAACCAACAACACGTCGGCGAGGCGCAATCATGCTGCGTGGGGGCAAGAAAGGCGTCGACGATAGTGTGTTCGCCCCTGCAGAGCCATACGGCCTGCTCAGGACCGGAACACCCATGCCTTCTAGCTTCATTCAGGTCGATTCCCGCCGGAAGAAATGTCGAGTGCCTTCGCGCAGTGATCCCGGGGGATCTGAGCTCTCACACGGGCGGCAATGTCGACAAATATTTCTCGCTTTCAATCGCAGACTCTGCGCGGTCTCTCCGTCGCCGGCCTCCTCCTCTCGGCCGTCACGATCTGGGTCGCTATCCACGGGGAATACGACACGGCGCGGTGGGAGGGCATCGAGCTGGCCCTCTGCGCGGCTGCCGCCAACGTCTGCGGGCTCACGGCCGCCCTCCTCGGACCGAAGCGGCTCCGCAACGCCCTCATCTGCCAGCTCATCCTCTCTCTGATATCCGTGAATCTCGCGATCGAGTTCCGTGCCTCCGCCGCGCGCGGCCGAGTCGTCGACTGCGCCATCGCTGGTGCGGTCGACTGCGCACGCCGCCTGGTCCCCCTCGGCGCTCCGTCCCGTCGCGGAGCCTTCATAAAGCGACCTGTACCAACCGCTTCCACAATCATCGTCTCGAGGCCGCAGAATCGTTCGTCCGGCTGCACCACCTGGAACACGCCGTGCACAAGCACGACGAGAACGCGGTCACGATGGCGCTCTACACGCGGCTCGGGGAGCTCGACGACATGCTCGACCTCACGAAGCAGGCGAGCCCCCCGATCTCCCTCAAGAGCACCCGCCAGAGATTGAAAGCCACCTCTTTCAAAACGCACACAGTGGTGATTGACCACCCGCGCACGAAACGAAATGCGGGTGTGCTATCGTCCTGACACGCGCACGACTCCGCCCGCGCGGCTTTAGTACTTGCTGAAGCGCACGCCCATCGTCGCTGCGAGGAGGCTCGGAGAGCACTCTTTCTGCGCGCGGCCTCGACGCGCACCCCGAGGCAATGCGTCGCAGGCCGTAGGGGTTGGGAGCAAAGCCGATCGCCACATCGAATCGCTCCGCCACATGGACGAGCAGTACATCATGCGCAAGGCGAGTGACATCGCGAGCGACCCCCCCCTCCGTGCGTCATTACAAACCCCCCCCCCCTGACACAAGAATCGGTGCGCCCGGTGCGAACTCGCCAGGTGCAAGACCTGCACAAGCACGCCCTCGACGTCACCGAGCATCTTCGGCGCGTCGAGCTCGACAAGAACTCCACCGCGGTGCGCCCCCGCACCACGCCCTCGCGCCCCGCGCCACGCGAGTGCAGCAGCGCACGTACGCGCCGGTGCGCGCATGAACGTTCGCGCCGTGGCGGATGCGGCGCAGACGGACGCGGAGAACGCGCGCGAGGCCCGTGCGGAGGCGCAGGCCGTGTCCGAGTACGCGGACCGCCTTGCAGACATCACTGAGTGGCTCGGTGCGGCTGCGAAGGGCAAGGACACGGTTCCGAACACGGAGGAGTACCAGCAGATCCTCGACGTGCTCCTGGAGGCCGTGCAGCAGTACCCGCACGCGCACGCGCAGCAGCGGCTCGGCAGGGAGGCTGTTGAGGCCCCGTGGGTCAAGGCCTCCCTGGGGCGTGCCATCGAGAACAAATACTCCTCCCACCACACGCAGCACCAGCAGGTGCGCGGCGCGGCGCCGCCGTGGGTCCAAACAGGGCGTCCCTGCCCGCCGGGGCGAGAAAACGGCATCTGTGGGTTCACGTGTGTGTGTGTGCGTGCGTTGGGTGCAGGGGCTGCTGGAGACGCTGGACGGCATGCGCAAGGCGTCGCGGGAGGAGTTCGAGAGCTTCTTCGGGGCGCACATCGACGGGGACGCGGCGCTGCAGGGCCACCACGGCCGCATTATCGCTGACATGCCGGCGCGGTGCGTGCGCGAGACGCGGTCGGCGGGGTCCGCGTCGCTGGTGGCGTGGGCGTCGCTCGCCGCGTCCGCGCTCGAGATGTGGATCGTCGGCGCCGCGCTGCTCAACGCGGCCAAGTCTGACTGACTCAGCCGGGCGTCGGAGCAGTAGAAGCAGGAAGCGCCCGGAAAAGCGCAGGTCGGCGGCTGTCACGTGCGAGCCACGCCCGCCGCCCGAGCCGCACGGATCTGTGACCGATCTGTCGGCTCGCGGTCCGCGCTCGAGGCTGGGAGGGGCTGGTTTGAGCCTTCTTGGTCATCATGCAACTTTTGCGATTTTGCCGGTCACTGCTGCGTCGAGGTCACCGTCGATGGTGCCGATCCCTATCGCGGTAGCGCCTGTCGTCGTGCCGCGGCGACCGCGACCTGCGGTCCCGCCGAGACTCCCCCCCACCCCTCTGGCTGTCCCGCGGGGGGGTCCTGCTGCGCCGCCGCGCGCGGTCGTCCCGCACCGCGTCGCCCGCCCTCTCCCTGCCCCTCTCCCTCTCGCTCTCCCTCTGCGCCACCATCGCGAAGCAAGCAACCGCGTGTTCGATGCAGCGCGAGGCGGAGCTCATGTCGGTCGCGTTCCAAAGGGGGAGAACGACAGCGACCTGGGGCGGCCGACGAACCAACGGTAGGAGCCCGCGGCACCAGGAATGATCAATATCCTCGACGTGCGTCGGGGGGCTGAGAGGCTCCTGGGCCCCGGAGGGTCATTGTCATACCGTTGTTGTTGTTGTTGTTCGTTGCCCACTCGCGGGTTGGGGACACCAGGGCGCGCGGGCGACAGGGCAGCGAAGCGCGCACCTCCCTCCCGGCCAGCGACCGGTCCCTGCCGTCCCCGCGTGGATCCAGAGCACCCCCAACGCCACCTCCCTCAACCTCCTTTCCCCTCTTCTCTTTCTTGTCTTTCTTCTCCTTCTTTTCCTTCTTCTCTTTCTTCTCCTTCTTCTCCTTCTTCTCTTTCTTCTCCTTCTTCTCCTTGCCCTTCGCGCCGCCGTCGTCGAACGCACCGCGCAGCATCGCAAACACGCTGTTGCCTCCCGCCCACGGCTCGTCCCCGGCGACCCCCGCGCCCCCGCCGCGCCCGCTCCCCGCGCCGTCGTCGCCCGCGCGCTTCGCCTCCCGCGCGCCCTCTCCCGCCCGCTGGCCGTTGTCGACGCCCTCCATGCCCGGTGCTTCCATCCCGGGCTCAAACACGCCCTCTCCGTCCTCGAGCGCGTCCCCCATCTCCTGCAACGCTTCCTCGCACACTTCTCCAGGCTGTGAGTGCGCGTTCGTGACCGTGCGCCGCAGGAGCGGCCGCCAGCGGCGTGCAGTGTGCTCCAGCGAGCAGCAGGCGCGCGGCGCGGGAGCGCTCGGCGGCGGGGCGCTCGCACCTCGCGCTTCTTGCGGTAGTCGAGCACGTGCTCTACGCGCATGATGCGGCCCGCGACCTTCGAGCCGCTGAGGTTGTCGACGGCCAGGCGCGTCGAGCGCTGGTCGTAGTACGCCAGAAACGCGAACCCGCGCGACTTGCCCGTCTCCTTGTCGCGCACCAGATGCACATCGACGACCTCTCCATACTGGGCGAACACGGCCAGCAGGTCCCCCTCTGCGGACGCACGGCGCCCTCGCAAACACTCTCAGCACACAAGACGCCCGTACGCGCGGCCGGCGACGCCGCAGCGGCTCCGGCGGTTCGGCGCAGCGGGAGCGTAGCGTCACGCACCTGTGAGGTTGTACGGCAGTCCTCCTGCGAAGACATACGCGCTGTGGTTGTACTGATCGTGCCAGGACCCCTTCAGGCCGCTCTCGATCTCCTGGAACGACAACTTCTGCGTATTCTTGATCTGCGTGAGCGGATTCATCCTGAAAACCAACCCGCGACCCCGCGGGAGGTCCGCCACGCGCCGCCGCGCCCGCGCTGCCCTCTCCTCCTCCTATGCGGCACCGTGGCCTCGCCACCCGCGCACCCTCGCGGCCGAACTCGCCACGAACGTTCGCGACAGGCCCGTCCTCATGCAGCAGGACGCGGCCGCGGCGCCCCAACGGCGTGGCGGCGCCGGAGCTGGCGCGGGGGGGGTGTGGGGGCCGTCCCGCGGGCGCGCGCGTTTGTTAGGACAAGGGACAGCTGGAGCGCCGCAGCGCGACACACGCGCACGCAACGGTCGCCTGCGGTACCGTTTCTGGATCCTTGGTCGTCGGTCTTTCGCCGGAGGAAGAGAGAGAGCGCAAGATGGTTGCTACGCGGTCGGCGAGGAGCCGGACTGCAGCGAGTGGGGCAGTGGCAGGTGCGCTGCGGCGTGGCAGAAGCGACTGTTTCTGACGCGGTCTGCGTTGCTTGGAGTGGCTGCCTCCCGTTGCGGTTACGGGCGGTGCGGCTGCGCGTTGACCTGGGCGGCTCGAGGACTCAGCTGAGGATTGGCCTCCGCTCCGGGGCGCACCCAGCGATGCCTGCGCGAATTTTTCTCGCCCAAAGGGCTTCTTGGTATCTAGTCAACGGAGGTGCATGGCCGATGATCCTTCATCACGCCGGAACGGGCGGTCAGAGGCCGAGCGGCCGGACTGCCATGCCATCGTCCCCACCCCGCGCGGTTCCGCCGCGATGGCACGTATCTCGCTGTCGTTCCGGAAATCAATAGTCGTGAATTGCCAGGATAACGCAGCAAGTGTCGACGTGCCGCCGCACATCGGCCTCGTCGGCGGCAACATCGCTCGGAGGGGACCGAAGGCCGCCGCGCCCCCGCAGATGCCTTCTGCCGCATGATGTCGGGTCTTCTGACCTTTTCACATATAAATCGTACCGAGGAGCGCACAAACGATACCCAAAAAGCGGCAGGAGGCCCGCACGCCCCGCTGCCCTCGCCCAGGCAACATCCATGCCACCTCTTCCTCGCTCGTCCTCTCTCTCATTCCACTAAAACCCATTTCCCCGAACCACAGTACTCCCACAAAACACCATACGTTCTGAATCGCCGCCATTCGCAACGCTCTGCGCGCTCCGCTCGCCCCCGCGCTGCAGGTCAGCCGGCGACTGAGAACCTCCAGGAGCAGCCGACGCCCACGTCCCGCGCGACGCGGGCGAAACTCACCCGTTCCGCCGCCCTCCCGAAGCGCACGTTCGGCCGCAACCTCGCGAACAACGCCCCCGCCGCGCCGACGCCCTCCGCCCGGCAGGTGAGCCCATCGCCTACGTCGCATCGCGCACGGCCGCGGAAGCCCCGCCTCCGCGCGCCGCAGCCCGTCCGACGCGCCCCTCGTCCTCGCGTCCGTCGCGCGCAGGAGAAGCAGACCCCGGCGACGCGGCGGTCCACGCGCAATGCGCAGCGCACTCCTGTTGCCGCGCTGGCGGCCAAACAGGCCGACGGCGAGGCCCCGGAGACCCCCGCTGCGGTCGTCGCGGACACGGTGTCCCCGGCCTCGATCGGGGAGGCCGTGAACCTCGCGCCGGAGGCGTCGCTGGCCCCGCTGGAGCTCCCCGAGACGGGCAGCGACGCCGGCGACACGGGGAGCGTCCACGGGGCGTCCTCGCCGCTGTCGAGCTTCGGCGCCGCGGTGAGGGCTGCGGCCGTGGAGTTCGGCACCCCGGGCACGCCGAAGCTCGCCGCGAGCCCTGTGCAGGACGCTCCAACGCCAGTCCCCACCCTGACTCCGGGTAAACACCCCCCCCCCTGTCCTCGAGTCCCATCCCGCCGACGCGACGGACAGCTCGCTGATTCAGGACGATGAATTCGTGCGCTCGCAGGAACGCTCGGCGCCCTCGCGGACGGCTTCGCGGCGCAGCTCCGCGTGGGGTCGCCCGCGCCCCCCGTGGGCTCCTCGGAGGCCGCGGGCACTCCTGCCGCGCGCGGCGGCGGCAAGGCCCCTGCAAACACGCCCTGCGTGGCCCCGGCGGCCAACGCGCGGTTCCTGTCGATCACCCCGCTCGCCAAGGCCCTGCAGCACTGCGCCGACAAGGCCAGCGCCGGGGAGGGGGGGAGTCCCGTCCTGGTCCCCCCGGCAACGCCCGCAGGTGCGCCACCGGCCGCGCGAGCTCGGTCTGCGCCGCGTGTGCCGGCGACGGGCGCACAGAGCGCCACAACGTCGTTGCTTGTGTGCTGCGCGACGCAGGTGATGCCTTTGGGAACCTGATGGCCGGCGTGCACGAGACGCCCGTCCCCGCGGTGCTGCGCTCCGGGCTGGCGACGCTGTCGCCTGCGTCGGAGTGCGGGTCGACGCCCGCACGCCCCGGCGCCAACCCCCCCCCGCCGTCGCCGCTGCTCGCCGGCGTCCCCATCCCCGCGGGGACCAACGACGCGTTCCAGGGCTTCGACAAGGTCGTCAACGGCGTGAGCACGGTCCCGGACGCCGGATCCGTCGGCGGAAAGGCGCAGATGGACGCCTCCGGCCTCGCCGCGGCCCTGCGGGGCCTCCCGCGTGACCTGCACGCGACGCCGGTGGGGCCCACGCCGGAGCAGCCCCCGCGCTGCGACGACGAGGAGCTGCTCTGGGCGTCCGTCCCGAGGGGCACGCCGATCTTCGAGATGTCCCCGGAGCCGGGCGCGGCGCTCGCGGAGCACATCGCGGCGTGCCGCGACGGGACGGTGGCGCCGACGCCGAGCCCGGCGCCGGGTCTGGCGCGCGAGATGGACGTCGTGGTCCACGAGAGCTTCAAGGAGGCGGACGGCGAGGAGCGGCCGCGGCGCAGGGTCGCCTCGACGGTTGTGGTGAAGCCGGGGTCGTGCCTGTCGCCGGCGGACGACTCGCTGCGCACTCTGCGGCTCAAGGTGGCGCAGCTGAAGGAGCGGCGCAGGGCCGAGGAGAAGGCGGCTAGCGAGGCCGCGTGCGAGGAGGAGGAGGACGAGGAGGAGGTGTATTGCCACATCAAGGGGGATGTTGAAGAGCTGACCGGGGCTATGAGGCAGCTGGACGTGAACAGGCCGCAGAGGACGCTGCTGCGCGGCGTTCCGGTGCCCCGCGGCAACCACACCGTCTTTGACGCGGCGGAGAAGACGGACGCGAGCGCGCGCGGGGGCGTCGACGCGACCGACGAGACGGCCGTGCTCATGAGGGGCGAGGTCGTGGTGCGTCGCCACACGCGGTTCGCCGACGACGACGGGGCGCCTGCGTGAGCGTCAGTACGAAAGCGGCGCGGATCGGTGACCGCGACGTGATGTGTTGTCAGCGTACAGAATTCGGAGAATCGCCATCACACGCTCGGACATCGAGGTCTTTGGGTGCCGCCAGGCAGGACGAGCAGTCGATAAATGTAGCTGCGTCGTGGCCTGTGAAACGACATCGGCCGGGGCGTGAAAACGTTCGTTCGTTCGTGTGCTTCCGCGAGGCTGCGTGTTCGCGTGTGCGTAAATCTACGGTCGATGCGTGGCTGCTGGGCGGTCTCGCGACTGCCATGATTCTGGGGAGCCCTCGTATCCGGGTAGTATACTGGGCCCGTACTAAATATCGACTTAGTATACTAAGAATGCAGCATGTGAGGCGGATACTAGTCGTGTACGAGTCTCACACGGGGCGGGTACTAGAATGCAGGCGCCTTGCGCCCATGCCTGCGTCTTGTCATTCGGGTTCTCCAGACGGTGCATGACCGCCCACACGTGCGTCACGACTCCCGTCGGAACGTGAAAATCGTGATCGGCTGTGACCGCCTGCCCGCCCAAGAGGCGAGTGCGCGCACTGGTCCTTGCACTCAGGGATGCACTGCAGCGGCGCAACTCGGGCCACAACGGCCGCGCAAATGCCATGATACTGCTCCTTACCTCTCAACCTTGCCTATTGGCGCTTGCACTGTCCCGGACCTTTCGTTTCCTGCGCGTGGCAGGACAACATTTTCGAAGTAGCTGTGAGCAGACCGTTCACGCTGCACGCGATGTGCAGCCGCACAATCATGCATCTGGACATAGAAATCGCAACAGTGATCGTCAACATGCCCGTCACTCGCAGCGCTTCTCGGATGCGCACCTGTTTGCGGCGCTGCGGGGAGCGCGTCCCAGGCACGAGACACCGTGTTCGCTCCCGCATCCACGCGCGCTTTTCTCTCGCAAACACTCACCGCGCAGGCCAGATTGATTTGCTGTCTACCGAAATTGTCGCACAAATAGGCCCGAATCGCGGAAGTAGACCTGTTTTGGCCGTGCAAGTTGGCTGCCAAGTGCCCGTGCCGGAAACTTGCCTTCTGCCCCGACGCTGCGCAGACGCTAGCACTTGCGCACGAGACACGCTGTTTCCGGTCCCGACCTGCGCCAGAATGTCCTGGCGGGCACATTCGCGGCTGCAATGAGCTGCCCAGGACTTGCGCAAATTCACACCCCCACCTGACCTCAGGGGGGCGGGCTCCGCGGCAGGCAGCGGGTAGGCGCCTACCGGGTCGGCCTCCACCGCGCAGGCGTCTACCGGCTGCCCGCGTTCGTCGGCGCCTACCGGTTTGGGAAATCATGGCATCTGCCCTCACCCACCGCGACGACGCGTACTAAGTCCGTACGGTGAATTGTAGTACCCCGTTAGTACGCCCTTCGTCTTCCCGCGGGGAATACTAACTCCGTACGGAGAATTGTAGTATACTAAGGCTCCCCAGAATCATGGCAACTTGGCTGGGCACAGACCATTATATATATTTTACAATGTTCATCCGCACTAGAGGCGAAGAGCGGGCCACGTTGCGTCCTAGACAGCGCGGCGTCGGGCCAGCTGTTGTCCGCGCGCGGGAACGCCGCGCGAGCGCGACACGCCGTGCTTCCCACATGGTCAGGAAAGCACCGCCCGGGGTGGTCGCGGTCGCAGAAACGCGCCGCCCCGCGCCGGCCACGATGCGCTGCAAGCATCTAACGCGGCCGCACGCGGCGCCGCGCGGGCAAACGCCCGTCGTGGTGCGCACTGGCCGCGCAAGCACCGTCGGACCTGAACAAACACACCCCCTCCGTGCAGCCGCCGGGTCAGCACGCACGGCGCAGTGTGCTCCGAGGCCCCCTCGCTCTCCTCGCCCGCCCTGTATGTCCGTTCCGGCCCCGACAGCCCCGACCCGGCCAGCGCACGCCCCGACGCACACCCCTTGCGTCATCGCGGGACACGCCCTGCGCGCGTCGCGCACGCCGCTCCCGTCGTTCGCGGAGCGCCCTCACGACTTCAGATGGTCTTCCCCGCGCTCCGCGCTCGACTCCAGCCCGCTGACCTCCATGGGCAACACGAGCCCCGGCGACGTCACCAGAACCTCGGCAGGCTCGCTTCCCGGCATCAGCCGCGCGATCTCCTCGAATAACGCCTGCGCGCGGCGCGGCGTGGGCGGAGCCGACCGGCGTGGGTGGCCGCGGGCGGACGTCTGCCGCAACGACGCGGACTGACGCAATGAAGCGGCGGCGGCGGGGGGGGAGTTCGTTGTTTGGATGACGCGGGGGCCGGTGGCGTGTGGGGCGGACCGGAATGTCGGTGACGTTGAGAAGGCGGGGCTCCTTCGCGACGAGCGCGGGGATGTCGGTGTCGGGCAGCGCGTCACGCCACGCCTGCACGCGGTCGCGGACGCCGTCGGCGCCGAGGCGGGTCGCCGCGGCGGGGAGCCGCGCGACGAGGGAGTCGACGTCGCAGCCCGGGAGCTCCTGCTTGATGGCGAGGAGGGCGTCGGCCGTGGCGTCGGGGTCCCTGCAGGAAACGGCGTGGCGGTGGGGCCCAAATCTGGCTCTCCCGGGGGACTCTCGGATCCGGAAGAGTCCGGGGTTTTCGCTGCCGGGCACACGTGGCACGGGCTCCCCACGGGCGCGGGGTGCATGCGTGCGCTGGTGCTTGCGCGCTTCGTCATGTGAGGTTCGGGGCCGCGAAGGGAGGGCGCGTGCGTGGCGGCGTGCGGGCAGTGTGAGCCGTGGAGCCGCACCTGAGGAGGTCGCAGACGAGGTCGGCCTTCATGTTCTCGAGGCGCGACGCCAGCGACGGCAGCAGGGCGGCGAGGGTGCGGAGCTGCGCGTCAACGGTGGCGAGGTCGCGCTCGAGCCGCTGCGAAACGACCATGCGGAGCAGCTGGCGGCCGGCGCTCGCGTCCCACTCCAGGTACCTGCGGAAAGAAGACGCAGGCGTGCAACGACCTCCCGTGCTCTGGCCCAGGGATGGCGCTCGCGCAGTTTCCGCGAGTCTGGGCGGTCGGCTAGTACACGAGAGGTCCGAGGAAGGTCGCTAGGCGGGAGGCGGGGGTCCGTGCAGGCCGGTGCGGTGCGTTGCTTGCCTCTCGTTGAGCTGGAACCCGAAGTGCCAGGGCTTGGTGTGCTGGTCGAACCTCGTGTCGACGGGGTCTGGTAGATCTGCAGGCCGCTCCCATCCTCCTTCCGCGCCGGCACGCGCGACCAAGGGCCGGCGAGCGGCGCGCGGGCACCGCAGCAGTGAGTTGGGCGCTGGAGCGCGGCTCACGCGCGCCGCGTGCCACGCGTGCACCGTCATGGCTCCTAGGGCGGTCGCGACGGTCTCGCCCTTGCGTTCTGCGGCGGCGGCCTCACTCCCCCGGGCGCTGCGGAGTGGGAGTGGATCCTAGCAGAGGGCGATCGCGGGGGGGGTATAGCGCGAGCGACAGCAGACTCTTCGCGTCCGCAGAGGGAATGGAAGCCGGGAGCGCCGCGTCGCGGACAAGAGGCGCAGCGGGCCACCTGGCCTGACTCATGCAACGCGTGGAGGGGTCAGGTGGTCCCGATGGCCTGTCTGGCACAGGGGGCGGCGCGCGTCGGCACACGATGCCGCGCTGGCATGCCATGAGGGTACTCGTGGCTGCTGTCACAGCAGAGAGCGAAATTGCCTGCGCTTCGAGACGCTTCGCGCACTTGAACACGTACACCCAGGGGCGCGCAGCTGGGCCGTTGCTTGGCCAGTTTCGTCGTTTGGTAGCCCGCAGCGGCGCGCACGGCAACGCGTAGTGCATCGGCGATAAGGAGGTCGGCCAGGCCGCACCGGTGGCACCCTGCCGGTCCGCTTTTCCCGTGCGTAGCCAGGCAGGCGGGTCTGGGCGAGATTTGCGCCGCGGCGTGCGGGTAGGCGTGGAGCATGTGGAGGGCCACGCTGTCGAGGCTGGCACTGGTGGTATGGGTCGCGCTTGCCGTCGTCGCGAGGGCCTGGGCGGCCAGGGCGGGCATCTCTAAGGAACACGATGGCGAGGACGGCGCTGCGGAGGAAGGTGGACAGGTAACAAACCAACCACAGCGCTCAAACGATTTCGCTCCTGGCGAACGGCTCGCTCGCGGCCTGCGCGCAAGCGCGCCCCACGACGCAGGAAGCCTCGAGCCTCCCTGCCCCTTTCGGCGCCGTGGGGCTGCCAGCGCCCGCGAAGGCGCCCGTGCTGCCGCCTCGAGCATTCTCTGCGATCAGCGCCGTCCGCTGCGCGTGTCGCGTGGACGTGGCTGTCAGTGCTGCGCGAGCACAGCCTCTTTTCGCACTTTTCCCGCCGGCTTGACCATCTCGGCCCTCGCGCTGCCGCATCAGAGAACAGCGCGCCAGACGCGCCGCTGCGGAGCATGCGGCCCCCATGCCCTCTCCGCCAGCGCACCGCGAGCGCGTCCTTCCCTCCGCCGCGCGCCCGCAGCGCTGCCCTCTCCCACCCCCAGCACCCGTCCCGCGGGCTCCGCTCGGCGCTTTCCGCGACGCACACCCGCTGCACGCGCGCCTACCACCACGCCCCACGCCGCACGGACCGCGGCGCCGCAGCGCGTCACCCCGCGCCACCAACGCAGCCAGCCCCCTTTCGTTCCGTGTTACTCAGGGATTCGTGAATGCTTTTGCGCGCTCCTTCATGATGATTCTCGTGTCCGAGGCCGGCGACGAGACCTTCATCATCGCGGCGATCATGGCGATGCGGCATAAGAAGACGGTCATCTTCGCGGGCGCCATGGCCGCCCTAGCAGCTATGACTATCATCTCCACGGCTCTGGGCGTCGTGATCCCGAACCTCATCAGCAAGAAGACCACCACGCGGCTCGCGACGCTCCTCTATCTCGGCTTCGGCCTGCGGCTGTACTGGATCGCCTACAACGCGGACCCGCACGGCACCGAGGAGGAAATCGAGGAGGTGTGTTTTACAACACCCCCCCCCCCCGCGCCCGGCGAGGGACGGGCCCTCACGCCACAGAGCTGCACCGTCCGAGCGCGCCGCGTCGTGCAGCTCCTGCGGCACCGCCCGCGTCTCCTCCGCGCGCGTCGCCCGGCAAGTGCCGTGCGCGACGCGGGAAGTTGCACGTGGTGCATGCAGGTGGAGGGGAAGCTCAAAGCCGGGAGCGCGGGGCGGCCCGGCCCGGTGCAGGCGGTGCGCAAGTGGCTGACGCAGTACGTCACCGTCGTATTTGTCGAGTGCTGTATTTTGACCTTCCTAGCCGAGTGGGGGGACCGCAGCCAGATCGCGACGATCACGCTCGCGTCGCATATGGACCCCATCGGCGTGACGATCGGCGCCATCCTCGGACACTGCATCTGCACAGGTGCGCGCCCCTCCGTTCCCGCCCCCCCTGCGGCCCCCGCACCCCGGGACGGCACAACGCGCCCGCGCGTGACGCGGCGCCGGCGTCACGCGCCAGGCGCGCTGTGGGTGCGTGCAGGTGCGGCGTGTTTGGGCGGGGAGCTGCTGGCGAAGAGGATCAGTCAGAGGACTGTCGCTGTCACGGGGGGGTCTTTGTTCCTTTTGTTCGCGCTGGGGAACGCCGTGTCGAAGTGAGGCGCGGGCGGCGCTCCTGGCCGTGTGACGAACGTCCAGTGTGTCGAGCGTGGCAACTGGCGGTCACGCTGGTCACGAAGGGGGCGGCCGACGGCAACGGCGGCGGGAATGGCCGTGCGATTGGTGCGTGCATGCGGCCCCCGCTCGGTGCATGCGAGTCCGGGAACGCGCGGCGGGGCTGCTTGGCCGCAGCCGTGGATAAATGTCACAGGCGATCTTTGACTTTGATTCCAGGCCGATTTCGCACGGCACAATAGAGTCCTCGACGCTACTAGCAGAACGCGCCGCAACCGCGGCCAGGAGTCTTCAATGACGTGGCATGCAAGGTGCACTGCACCCGCAGGACAACAAATGCCTTGCTTGCCCTGCAGTCCTCAAACCAGCGCGGCCCGTGCCAGCGCCTACACGCGGTTCCCGTCGCCCGCGCCGTCCTTGCCGTCCTTGGCGCTCGGCGGCGAGCTCTCGCTGCTGTCCTTCACCTCCATGGCCGCCTGCTGCTCGGTCGCCCCCTCCGCGTGCTGCGTCGTCGGCGCGCCCTCCTCGAGCGTCCGCGGCAGCGCCGACCCCGTCGACCCCAGCTGCGCCCCGACCCACCGCGCCACGCGCGACCGCGCCCCGCGCGTGCGCAGACTCGGCCGCGACAAATTCGGCCGGTGCGCCCCGCCCTGCGCAGCTGCGTTCTGCAGCGAGTTCCCTGCCGTACCGGACGGGATCTGCCCGGGCGTGGACGTCGGCGGGACCACCTCTTCGTCCGCGGCGCTGCTCCGTCGCATATACGCTGTGTTGCGCATGCCTTGCGACATGCGCTTGATCGTCTGGCCCTTGCGCACGGGGCCCGCCATGTCGTTCATGCGGCGGTTCTCCCGCGCCGCGGCGTCCCTGCGCTCCTGCTCGCGGTTGCGCGCGTTCTGGTAGTACAGGTCCGCCGCGATGCGGTACGCCGTGCGCATGCCGTCTTGCCCCGCGGGGAGGTCCAGGAGCGCGCCGACGGCGTCCTGGTGGACCTGCGAGATCCCGGCGAGCGGCGCCGACATGCGCGACAGCTGCAGCGACGCGCGCGCGCCGGCGTCCTCGCCGCCCGGCGGCACGGGCGCCGCGCCCTGCCCCCCGCCCTCCTGCTCCGCCGTGAGCTGCCCGACCAGCGCCAGCGCGATCTCCTCCCACGGCTTGTCCTTCAGGTCCGCGGGCAGGTCCGGCGCGGCCGCCGGCTGCTTGCCCGACTTGGTGGCTGGGATCCCCAGTGTGCTGTGCTGCTGTGGCGGGGGAACCGGCTGCCGCGGGCCGTCCACCGACCGGCGGCCGTACCGCATGCTCGCGCGCCGCAGCAGCGACGTCGTGCTCGTCACCCCGTGCGCCTTGTCCGCCCCGGGGCCCGTTCCGTCACGCCGCGCGCCCGGCTCCCCGTGGACGTCGAACTCGTCGTCCTCCTCCTCGTCGTCCGGCAGCGGGAGCCAGCGGACGAGCGACACGCCGCGCAGGTCGACCAGCAGCTCGTCGAGCTCCACGTCGGACAGCGGGAGCGTCACCGGCCACGTGCCCCACGGCGCCTTCTTGCCGGCGGCCTCCGCCTCGGCGGTGAGCACGTTCAGCAGCGCGCGCTGTCGCTGCTCGGTGCGCAGCGCCGCGCTCGCGGTCCCGGCCTCGGCGCGCGGGTCGTGCGCGATCACGGCGGCGAACGACTCCAGCAGACCCTTGACGCGGCCGCCGAGCTGCGACGCCGCGGACTCGGGGTCGTTCCGGTCGATCAGGAGGCCGTCGTCCTGCGCGTACGCCTCCACGACCGTCAGAGCCCCCTCGTACTTGACGCGGACATCGAGGATCTCCATCTTCCACGCGTGCAGCTTCGACAGGACCGCGTCGAGCAGCGCCGGGCGCGAGACCACGCGCATGTTGAAGCGGTAGTACACGTGCTCGTTCGACGCGCCGCCGTCCTCGTCCACCGCCTTGGTCGCCTCCGCCAGCCGCGACGCCAGCTTGCGCTCGCTGCGCTGCAGGGCAAACGCCAGGATGACCGGCGGGAAGATGATCGCGAGGAGCGTCGCGAGGAGGATCTCGGCCTCCTGGTCCTCGCTGAGCAGGCCCAGCGAGCGCGCCTCCACGCCGATGACGAACGAAAACTCCCCCATGGCCATCATTGCCAGCCCGACCTTGTACCACTCCGTGCGCCGCGGCTTGGCCCAGATGCCCGTCAGGAGCTTCCCGAACACGCCGCCGAAGAAGGCGAGCCCCTTGAGGACCGTCGAGGCGTTCCCGAAGGCCCGGATGGGAATCTCGAAGCCCACGGTGGCGGCGAAGAAGATGGCGATGACCCAGTCGGCCACGGGCTTGACCTTGTGGTGCCAGATGTGCTCCATGGAGTCGAGGCTCGAGAAGGTCACGCCCGTCAGGAAGATCCCCAGGTACTGGCTGGCTTTGACGGCCTGGAGGAGTGTTGCGAGCCCGACAGCGGTGGAGAACATGAGGCAGATGGTGAACGACTCGACGTGCTGCTCCGGGATCCGCGGCAGCACGTACTTGGCCAGCCAGTGCGGCACCTTGAAGATCGCGAGGTAGCCCAGGACCGCCACGGCCACCGCCGCCGATACGATGGGCACCAGGATGGTCTCGACGTCCGGCTCGACGAGCGCGGCGAGCTCCGAGAGCAGCACGAGCGCGATCACGTCGTCGTACGCCGCCGCCGTCACGAGCTGCTGCCCGGTGGGGTTGTTCATCATGCCCGCGCCGCTGAGCACCGCCGACACCACCGCAAGCGAGGACGGCGCGATGACGATCGCGGCCGCCGTCGCCGCCGTCGCCTCCATCCCGAGCGCGAACCCGACCGCCATCGCGAACCCGACCGACCCGGCCACGCCCGTCACCGCAATCGCCAGCGCCGACCCGCCAATTTGGAGCAGCATGTGGGTGTCGATTTCGAGGCCGGCGTACAGGACGAGGAGCCAGAGGCCGAGTTCGCCTATCATGGCGATGACGCCCTGCCGCAGCGGCTCCTCGAAGACGTTGAGGACCTCGGGGCCCATGATGATGCCTACTAGGATGTGTCCGAGCAGGGGCGGCATGAACGTGCGTTTCAGGAGCGCCGTGACAGCCCAGATCGCGGAGAGGAATCCGACCTGCGCGGGCCGGCGCGCGGGGGGCGGCGGGGTCGGCCCGGGGCGCAGGAACGCGCGGGGCGCTCAGCGCCCTTGCATGTGGAGACAGGGGGGCGTGACGGCGCGGAGGGGGGGTGTGTGGGGCGGGGGCGCGCGCACCAGGATGAGCACTTGGTAGAACGTGAAGGGGTGCCCGCCCTCTCCGCCGGACAGGAGCGCGCGGGACGTCCGGGCGAGCAGCCCGCCAGAGTCCGCCTCCGCCTCCATCGCGGCCTGTGGCGTTGCAGGAGGCCTGTCAGGCGCTCACGACCTGCGAGGAGCGTGGACACGCGGGGGCGCGGTTGAGAGGCTCGGTGGGTGCTGCCCGCGGCCGTCGCAGTTCGAAGCACTGCCTGGCAACCGAATGCCGGCCCCGACGCACTGCGGCGCGCGCGGCGCGGGTTCCGCGGGCGAGGGCGTGTCTGCATGAAGTAGAAATATGAAATTTGCGTTCGCGTACCCGTCGGAACCCGCCTGCGCTCCCGCGGGCGAGATTCGCCGCCAACGCGTCGTCGTCGCAGAGCCGACCCGTTCGCGCTCGCCCGGTCGCTCCGTCCCGGCCTCTCTTCTACGCAACAGCGCACTTGCACGGGGGCCCCGACGGCGCCGCAAACGTCCCCGCGACGACGCAGCCCGCCACCAACAAGGTAGCAGTACCCTGCGTCAGCCGTCGCTCTGCGGCCGGGCATCGCACGCGCCTTCCGCGCGGCGCCGCAACGCGTCCCGGCACACGGTCCTCGAGCTGAGCACAGCGGTGAGCGAACGGACAACACAGGGCGTCAATCGCGCATTGAGTGCCACTGCGTCCCGCGCGGCGTCTCTGGAGGCGACAGCGATGGCGAGGACGGCGGCGGCGCTGCACCAGCAGGGTGCGGCTCTCCGCGGGACATCTGTACGGTGCGTGCGCGAGCACACCACGCCGCGATATCCGCCTGGCCGCGCCAGCCCTCAAGCGTCGCGTCCCATCCGAGCCTCCGCGCTCCCCGGGCGATTTCTCGCCGTTCCACCCGCTCCTATTCGCACCCTGACCATCACACGGGCCGCCTACGCCGGCGGCCGCGCGCCGTGGCGCAGCACCCGCGGCAGGAGCGCACGTACCCTGTGCTGCCAAGCACTGCCCTTCGCCTCCCTGCGCGCCCGCGGGCGCGCGCACAGGCCGAACGACCGCCCCGCCGCCGTTCTCCCACTGCTCTCGCTGCCGCGCCCCGGCCAGCACCCCACCTAGAAGCCCCGCGGACCGCAGCGCCTGCCTCACCTGGTGCTCGTTGTGTGCTGCTGGTGCGTCGCAGACGCGTGGCCGCGCGCCCGGCCGCGGCGCCCCGGAGCCGCCGGCATGTGGCCTGCACCGCGATGATGGAGGCCTCGCAGGTCCTCGCGGCGACGCAGCAGGGCGTCGCTTTCGCCGTGTGTAGCATCGCCGAGGCCTTCTATAGCTCCCAGAGCCTCGGAGACGGCCGCAAGGGCAGCCCGAACCTCCTCCTATCCGGCGCCCTCTCCGCAGGTGCGCGCCGACCCGAATCCCGCCCGCTGCGCACCCCGACGCACCGCACCACCGACCACTGCGCCGTCGTCGCCGCCAACCCCGCGCGCGCTCGTTCCCCCGCAGGCGTCGGCGTCGGCACGCTGCTGCTCAACGCGGGCGGCGACCAGATGCTCTTCGGGTCGCTGGCGGCGCTCGCGTGCTCCGGGATCCTGTGCTCGGTGAACCTGAGCCGCGCGCAAGTCGTAGAGGGGCGAAAGGACGACTGGCCCGGGCCCAAGGTGTGGCCGGCGACGATGCTGCTGATCAGCTTCTTCTCCGCGAACGTCTTCTTCCAGGCGTGCCGGGCGATCCTCGAAGTCTAGGGCGTTGGACGGGGGGGCGTGTGCGGGGCGTTCCGCCGCTGCGCCCGGGCGGGGTGGCACGGTGGGACGGCCCGGCGCGCGCCCGCACCTGCGCTTGCTCCGCGTGTAATGCTGGTACTCGTTGCGCAGCGGCCTCGCGGCCCGAACCGGGCGGCGCGATGCCCCTGTGTGGGCACTGGGGGTGCGACGATGATGATGCGTGCTTGGGGCGTCAGGGCGGGGCCGAGTTGAAGGCGGGCCGCGGCGCGGACGCTCGATGCCTGCTGCGGCCCGCCGGGCCGAGCCGGCGGTGCGGGGCGGAGGTGGGGGTGTTTTGAGGGGTGTGGGATCAGCGCGGCAGTGGGAACAACAGAGCGCGGGCTTGCGGCGGTTGTGCAGATCTCTGTGCTTGTACATTCCGGCGGCTGCGTAGGCTGGATCCTTTGCTTCAGGTCTGAATCGTCAGGGAGGGCCGCAGTCACGATGTTGGGCCTCGCTGCGCGCCCGAAGGCGGGCGGCGGGGCAGTGGGGCGCGGCCAGCGCGGGTCCCGGTGCGTCGTGCGCGCCGCGAACACGTGGGGCGAGCTCTTCAGGGTCACGACCTTCGGGGAGTCGCACGGGAAGGGCGTTGGCTGCGTGATTGACGGCGTTCCACCGCGTCTCGAGATCTCAGAGGAGGAGATTCAGTTTGAGCTCAACCGCCGCAAGTGAGGCCCCGCGCACACCCGCTTGCCGACGCCCGTGTGGATAAGCTGGCGCGGGGCGCGGAAGCAACGCCGCCCGTGCGCTCTCCTGCGCGCACGGGAGAGGCCTTGGGCAGGCTGGGCGGTGCGTGGCGCCGGCGGCGGCGTTGGAGCGCCTGGCCGCCGAACGCGCTCCCGGATCGCGCCCTGGGTATCACATGGTATCGGAGCGCTCCGGGAGAGGGCGGCGGGCCGCGTTGTCGGGCCGCTGAGAGCACGCCCGTGCAAGTCTGGCAGCGCACGCTCAGCGCCTCCCTGCCCTTCCGCGGCGCACAGATCCCTTTCCCGCACCGACAACCGCGCCACAATCATCCCTGCTGAACCATACGTCCGCCTCAGCGACGCCTCCGCTGCCTGCGCCCCTCACCGCCCACGCGCGGCCACCAAGAGCACCTACGTCAACAGCTCAGGGCCCGCGCCGCCCGGCCCCGCGCCCGCCGCGCCCCGCGCCCTCGCCCACGACACGCATCCCGATCCCCCCGCGCAGGCCCGGGCAGTCCATCATCACCACGCCGCGCAAGGAGGACGACGCGTGCGAGATCCTGTCGGGCGTAGTCGACGGCGTGACCCTCGGGACGCCGCTGGCCATCCTCGTGCGCAACGCGAACCAGCGCTCGAAGGACTACAAGGAGATGCAGGTCGCGTACCGGCCCAGCCACGCCGACGCGACATACGACATGAAGTACGGTATTCGCGCCATCGCTGGCGGCGGACGATCGTCGGCGCGCGAAACCATCGGGTGAGCCCGCATGCGTCCGACGCGCACACGCGGCTGTGCCGCCCCCGCGGCGGCGAGGCGGTTCCGTGTCGCACGGGGGTCTTGAGGAGGTGTTGGAGCGTGCGGGGTTGAAACTGACGAGCGAGCGCTGCGGTGCGTGTGCGGTGCAGGCGCGTGGCCGCGGGCGCGGTCGCGAAGAAGCTGATGTCAGTTCTGCACGGCACGGAGGTCCTCGCCTTCGTCAGCACCGTGCGCGACATCGACAGCGACGTAGACCTGAGCGCCTTCACCCTCGCCGACGTGGAGTCGAACATCGTGCGCTGCCCGGACCAGGAGGCCGCGGAGCGCATGATCGAGGCCATCAACGACGTCCGGACGCGCGGGGAGTCGTGCGGCGGCACCGTCACGTGCGTGGCGCGCAACGTGCCCCAGGGCCTCGGCGCCCCGGTCTTCGACAAGCTCGAGGCCGAGCTCGCGAAGGCGCTCATGAGCCTCCCGGCCACGAAGGGCTTCGAGATCGGCAGCGGGTTCGCGGGGTCGCGGATGCTCGGCTCGGAGCACAACGACCCGTTCTACATGGAGGGCGGGCGCGTGCGGACGCGGTCGAACCGGTCGGGCGGAATCCAGGGCGGGATCTCGAACGGCGAGGACATCGTCGTGCGCGTGGCGTTCAAGCCGACGTCGACGATCGGCCTCAAGCAGGTGCGGCCGGGCGCCGCGCACGCGGATGGCGTTTTCGCGGAAGCGGCGGCGCCCGCGCGGCGCTCGTCGTTTGCCTGTGTTGGCTTCGCGAGGGTGGTAGCTGTGCGTGCGTCGGGGACGACGCTGCGGCCGGGGATCGTTGCGTTTGGTCGTTGTTGTTGTACCTGCATGCGTGTGCAGTGTGGTTTTTTGACTGTGTCGGGCGCGGTTGGTGCTCTGTGCGCGCAGGAGACGGTGACGCGGGACGGCGAGGAGGTGGAGCTGCGTGCGCGCGGGCGGCACGACCCGTGCGTGGTGCCGCGCGCGGTGCCGATGGTCGAGAGCATGGTGGCGTGCGTGCTGGCGGACCACCTGATGCGGCACCTGGGGACCTGCGAGGTGCTCCCACGCACGGGCTCGTTCGAGGAGCAGAAGGAGGGCATGGACAAGGGCGAGGAGACTACCGTGATCAACCAGGTGTAGCCGCGCGGGGCGTGGTGCGGCTGCGTCGTTCGCGGTGCGTTGGCGCGCGGGGCGGAGACTGGCGGGCAAGCTGCGGGTGTGAGGGCTCGGAATCGCGCGAGTCGCGTCTTGCGCGCGGATCGCGTCTGTCGAGTCGTTTTATACTTTTGCTGTCTGACGGCGTCGGCGCCGCTGTGGGCGCGCGTCGGTGGGTCGGTGGCGCGGCCGGGGTGCGCAGTGCTTCGAGGGCGCAGAGAACGACGGCGGCTGTCGGATCGGTGTGACTGTCGTGTGTGGCGCGATGTTTGCGTAGAAGGGAGTGTTTCAGGCGGACGCGACGATGTTCTGGGAGGCTCCGCAGTCCCACATCATCCGCGCGGCCCAGAAGGACACCCTGTACAGGGAGGAGGTCGCGAACGCCCTGAATGAGGCCGCGTCAGCCGCGTTCGGCCCCAGGTTCTGTCTGGCCAACCGCAGGTGCTGCCCTGCGCGCCCAACAAGCACTTATTGGGGTTGAGAGCGGCCGTATCTGATAATTTTAGTGCGTTTTGCCGACCTCCGTGCGAGAAATACGTACAACACGCGCCCCCTACCGCGCGGCGGGCCTCTGCTTCACCGCATTCCTCTGTGCTCTTCCCAAGTCGCAGGGAGCTCGTTCTCGCGTCTGACATCGCGTACTCTGCGCTGACGACCGGAACGGGGCGCCAGACCCTCGGCGAGGAGTACTGCGACCTCCTCCAGGCCGCACACCCGTCCCTCGACCTTCCAGGCCCCTTGCGTCGCGGCGCCCTGGCCATCCTCGAGGCCGTCGGGCCGTACCTGTGGACGCGCTTCTCAGAGAGCCTCAGGAGAGCTGGCGAGACCGCGTCTCCAGGCACGAAACCCCCCAGGACGCTCGTAAAACCCGCACTTCTCCTTTCCCTTGTTGTTTTAGTCGTCTTCGCGCTCTCACGCGCGCCGCCCAGCCCCCGCCCTCCGCAGACGTCGCGGACAACGCCGCCGTCAGCACCGCGACGCCGCCGCAGCCCACCGCCGCGTCGCCGGACCCCCCCACCCCCCCCACAAACACATCCCCGCTCTGGCGCGTCCCGGCGCTGCGGAGCCTCGAGCCCGCGGTCGCCGCGGCGCGGATCCTCCTCGCCCGGCTCCTCGCCACGCTCGAACCGGTCGTCCTCGCGCCGCTGCTCGCCCTGCGCGCCCGCATCGCAGCGCACGTGCGCCGCGCCATCGCCCGCCTCGCGCCGTACGCGCCGGCGATCCTCGCGGCCGCGCCGGCGCTCGTCGACCTCCACGTCGCGTGGTTCTACCTCTACGGCGGCTTCTACAACCTCGCGCGGCGCCTCACCGGCACGCGGTTGTTGTTTTTCGGCCGCGTCTACGAGCCACTGGTGCACTACCGGCGCCTGGGCTGGATGGCCGTGGCGCGGCTCGGAATCCTCGGCGCGCGGTCCGCATGGCGCACCGTGCGCGCGGCCCGCCGCGCCATGCGCCGCTCGGCGTCCGTCGGCGCGCTGGCGCGCGCCAGCGCTGGGACTGACAGCGGGAAGGCGCCTGACGTGGTGCCGCGGAGCCGGGCGTCGCTCGACGCGACGGTCGCGGCGCGGCAAGGGGGCGCGGAGGGCCTCGCGGGGGCGTGGGGGCGGTGTCCGCTGTGCCTCGAGGCGCGATCGGACCCGGCGGTGGCGCCGTGCGGGCACGTGTTTTGCTGGGGGTGTATTACGGGGTGGTCGCACCGCGGGCGGCCGGAGTGCCCGATCTGCCGCGCGACGTACCGCCCGCAGGAGCTCGTGTGCATTCACAGCGCGGCGCCGTAATGGCGCGATGAAATGTGGTCAATTACTACTCTGAGTGTGCTGTTGTTCGTTGGTTACACGGCTGGTGGGCCTCGCCGCTGTCGCATCGCGGAGTATGCAGGGCTGGTGGTGTCCACGGAGGGTGCGGGTGCGCGCTGGGAGTGCCGAGCCGTGCCCGTCCGCCCCGGGGGCGGCGAGGGGGGTGTGAAGGTATGATCACCGTCGGGAGTCGCCCGGGCCGCGCCTCGGGGGCCGTTTGGCGCGGTGGATGCGGCGCGCTGTCGACTTCTTCGCTCGCAGTGCGCGAAACATGCGTGCGGCCGCGGTCACGTCCGCCAGTCGGGCGGGTCGCGGGCCCCTCAGCGCTGCGCTTGCGCCGAGGCCGGCGGTACTGCCTCGCACGCTGCTCAAACCGCGGGCGCCGCGGCGCGAGAGGCGCGGGATGCAGGTGAGCCAAGCATCGGGCGCGGCGTCGGGGGCGGAGGAGGGGCGCGCGGGGCTGGAGGTGGACCAGTCGGAGAGCGCAGGGCAGAGGGCATCGCTGCTGAATCTGCCGACGGCGCTGACGATCCTGCGCGTGGTCGCGGTGCCGGTCCTGACGGCGTGCTGGTTCTCGGCGGCCGCGTGGGCCCCGGCGGCGTGCACGGCCGTGTTCCTGGTCGCCAGCGTCACGGACTTCCTGGATGGCTATTTGGCGAGGAAAATGAACCTCACGAGTGCGTTCGGGGCCTTCCTGGACCCCGTCGCCGACAAACTCATGGTCACGGCCGTCCTCATCCTCTTCGCCACCACCCCCGTGTCAGGCACGACCCCTCCCGCCACAATCCACGTCGGTTCGTTGTGCCGTGGTGCCCGCGCCATCGCCCGCAACGCAGCGCGCTCGGCGCCGCAACCGCAACCACTTCCGACGCGACGCACTGCGGATCACTCGAGGACGCCATCCCTCGCCCGCCAGCGCCGCCCAATGCCTGTCCGTCCCGCATGCACGCCCCCATCACTGCACCTGCATCCTTGTAGCGCAACATGACCCCCCCCCGCGGCGCCCGCTCCGCCCTCGCGCAGGCGGGCTCCTCGCAGGCAACGAGTGGTTCTACCCGGTCTCCGCGCTCGTCATCATCTCGCGGGAGATCATCGTGTCGGCCCTGAGGGAGTGGGCGGCGGCGTCGGGGGGCGAGGCGCACAAGGCGGTGGCGGTGAACAACCTCGGCAAGTACAAGACGACCGCGCAGATGACGGCGCTGACGCTCATGCTGCTTGAGCGGTCGTGCCCGGGCACGACGGTGGCGGACATTGCCGCCGCCGCGGGCGCGCCGCTCCTCGCCGTGGCCGTGTTCCTGACGGGGTGGAGCATGGCCGTGTACATGAGCAACGCGATGAGGTACATGGCGTGAGCCTGGCCCGTCACGGCCCGCGTGTGACTCAACTCGAGGGGGGTCTTTATCTCAGCACGAAGGGGGTGTCTAACGGGCGCGGGAGCGCCCCCGGGTGGGGCGGAGCCGCCTCGCACGCCTCCGAGGGCGGATGGCTGCGCGATGGGTGGCACAGCGCGCGTCAGAGCTGGCGCGGGGCGAGGCGCGGTACTGACGCGCGCAGCGCGGGCGTTGATGAAGTGCTGTGATGCGGGAACGCGCGGCGCCCGGCCAGCGAATCCGCGAGCGTTGCCCGCTGCGGGCGGTTACAGGGGGGTGCGGCGCCGGCGGCGGCAAGGCGCGCGGCGCCTCGAGGGGGCGTGAAGGGGTAGAATCTAGAACGAGTCCCCCGGGGGCGTGCGCGGGCGCAGAATCGCGGTTTGAGGGTCCGGGGCGGCGCGGGGGTCGCGCAAGGTCGCACGAGCCCAGCACGATGGGTCGGCGCGGACGTGGCAGTGGCAGGAACGGAACCCTCAAGCGTCCGTCAGAATCGTCCGGGGAGATCGCGGACGGGGACATGCGGGACGCGAAGTGCGCGAAGTGCGACGAGGGGGTTCAGGTGCAGGACGGCGAGCCGTGCGCCGCGTGCGGGGCGGACGGCGCGGCCGGAGAGCCGATGGACTGTCAGGAGGGCCAGGGCGCGGAAGCGGGCGCGGGAGCGGCCGGGGGGGACTCCGACGAGGATCAGTTTGAGTACGACTACTCCGACGAGGACATGGAGTGCGACGACAGCGACGCCGAGGCCGAGGTGCGCGACGCGCGCCCGCGCGCCAGGGCGGGGAATGGGAACCGGCGTCACGCCGGCGCGGCGCCCACCCGCGCGCACGACACCGAGTGTGCCGCGCTTTCGCAAGCCTGATGCGCGAAGATGCGGGGGCGCGGAAACCCGCGCTTTGGTTCGATCTGTGCCCGCGGGTCCGCGGCGCGAGTGGCTGGGAGTCCCAGCGGGCTCGTGTGCACGCTCGCCGGCTCCGCTTGCGCCGCAGTCAGATTCAATTTCGTGCTCCATGGCCCGGTATGAGGGCGGAGGCGCACGTCGTTCGAAGCCTGAGCGGCCGTGCTGGGCGCGAGGGCCGCATGCTCGTTCTCTCGGGCGATGCGACCTGGTGTTTTCGCCCGCACTGCGCCTGCAGAGCGACGACGATTCCGCAGCGCCGCAGCGCAACAAGCCGACCAAGGACACGTTCGTCTGGAAGTGCGCGCACTGCAAGGAGGCCCAGGAGGGCAGGTCAGCGCCCCCTGCTAGGCCTCCGCTGTGCCCAACTGCTCGCGATCGCTCCCGCCCTGATCGCCCGCGGCCCCGAACGCCCCGCTCCGCGCTCTGGCACCGCTCATACCGGTACTCCCCGTTCGCGCTGACGCAGGAAGGACCTCGTCGCCCCGGACAACGCAGGGCTGGGGCTCCTGTGCAGGCCCTGCCTGCGTGCGGCCGTCTTGTCCGGATATGAGGTGTGCGCACGCGCCTGGTCCCCAGCGGTCCTGTCTGTATCGCCTCTGCGTCGCCCTGGCGCAGCAGCGCCCCGTCTGCCGCCCGCTGCGCATGCACAAGCGCGCTGGGCATCGTTGCGTGCGAGCGCGGACGCGTCCACCGCAGCCTCCGCTGCTCGGCGAGACTCATCGCGAGCTGAGCGCGCCTCGCTTCTGCACGCAGAGTCTGGGCGCCGGGACGCCCACGGACGCGGCTGCAGCTGGCAGCGGAGCAGGGCTTTCGGACGCCGTGGCAGCGGGCCTGACGATCCCGCTCGAGAACAGCCCGCTGGGACCGCGAGATGTGCTCGAGTCGAGCGGGTTCGGCGGCCTCGTCGCGCTGTGCGAGCGCCTGTGGGCCGTGCTGCACCCGCTGGCGAGCCGACGCGCCGCAGCGGCACAGAACGACCGCAACGCCAAGGTCGGCGCCGCAGCCAAGGCCGGCATCGACGCGCCGCAGCAGCCGATCGACTTCCCGTCCTCCGCGACGGACAGAATCCTCGTGCGCCCCCCACCCCGCCCCAGCATCATCCGCGCTGCACGACACCAACGCTGGCGACGGAGGGGCGCAGTGTCGTGGCAGAGCACACGTAGTGTACATTGCCAGTCCGGAGCTGCCGCGTCCGGCTGCGCGGCTGCTCCCTGGGCGCGAACTGCGCGTCTTTTTGCTAGCGTGGCCGCCTCCGTTTGCGCTCACACTTCCGGGCCGCTTCCGGTCCCCGTCTGCCCGCAGGTCGGCGCCGCAGAGGTCTCCCGCATCGTGACCTCGGCGCGGGAGGACGTCAAGCGGATCACGGCCACGCAGCGGGCTGCCGACACGGGTCGCAGCACCAGCGCGTGGGCCGCTGGCACGGGCTACGGCGGCTCGACGAGCCGCGCGCGTCTGACCAGTCGGCCGCGCGAGGACGACCCGGACCTCGCGCCCGCGCTCGGAGCCATCCTCGCGGGCCTGAAGGAGATCGCGTCCACGCAGCCCGAGCCGCCGACGTGGTGGTGCAGCGAACTCACGCCGCCGCTGCCGGCCTACGCAGGTGCGCAGCTAGGCGCTCTGCGCACAGACACGTCTCCTGGTGCTGCCTGTTCACTCGGAAATCGCACCGCCTCGCGCGGAGAAGCCGAATGCTTTCGGCCCTCGCAGAGTGCACACCTTCGCTCCGGTCCTGCTGCTTCCACCTGCCTGTGCTCGGCCGCGCGTGCTCCCACACGCCCACGCCCCAGCTGCGCTCACCCGCCCCCCTACCCTGCTCCCTGCTTCCCCCGCAGCGCTGCTCGCCACGCTCCCCGACGCGCTCCTCACGCTCCTCTGCACGTCCGTCCTCGAGATCTCCCAGCGCGTGGACGTCTTCCGCAAGGTCCTCGCGCTCGTGCGCACCTGCGCGCAGCACGAGCTCCTGCTGCCGCTCATCGCGCTGCCCGCGGACGTGCTCGCGGGGCAAGGCGCGCCGGGCGCCCCGCGCCGCGCCGTCATGGACCAGCTCGAGGACCTGTACGGCCAGGCGAAAATGCAGGCCCGGTTCGACGTGTCGGACCAGCGGGAGGACGTCGATCTCAAGGCGTGTGCGGTCGACATCACGGACACGTGCGTGCACGTGCGCGCGGCGTGCGCGAAGTACGTCGAGCTGTACGGCGAGCTCTTCGAGGCGCAGATCGCGGCGTGCCGGGACTCGCGCGACACGTTCGCGGCCGGCCTGCCTGACGTGGCGACGCTGCAGGCCGCGCTCGCCGACGGCGCCGCGCGCGCCGCGGCGGCCCCGGCGGTGGCCGCGGCGGCCGAGGACAAGGGGGCCGCGGAGGGCGACGGGGCGCCGGACGCCGCGGAGGCGAAGCGCGTCAGGTATAAAAAGGCGATGGCGAAGTTCTTGATGGTAGAAGCGGACCTCAAGTCGCACTACTACGCGTCGCAGGCGGACGCGGACCAGTCGACGCTGCAGGGCGAGACGCAGCGGAAGTGGGCGCGCCGCATCATGTCGGAGCTCTCCACCATGGAATCCGGACTCCCCCTCGAGTATGACGCCACGATCCTCCTCGCTTGGGACCCCAACAACCTCGCGCTGCTCCGGTGAGCTTCCCCCCCCGTCCCATCCCTGCCCTGTGCTTGTTAGCGCCGTCAAGAGCCTCGCGTCGTGCAGCCCGCCCCTGACGCCGTGGTTGTGATGTCGCGTCGTCGCAGGGCGGTGGTGTTCGGCACGTCGGGGCAGGACGAGACGCCGTACGCGCACGCGCCGTTCGTTTTCGACATCTTCCTGCCCCCGCTGTACCCCACGACCCAGCCCAAGGTGAAATTCCTGACCACGGGCGGCGGGCGCGTGCGCTTCAACCCCAACCTGTACGCCGAGGGCAAGGTGTGCCTGTCGCTGCTCGGCACGTGGCAGGGCCCCTCCTGGGACCCCGCGAGCAGCACGCTGACGCAGGTCCTCATCAGCATCCAGGCCATGGTCCTGTGCCGCGACCCATACCTGAACGAGCCGGGCTGGGAGGAGCAGCAAGGCGCGGGGCGGCGCAACGTGGTGGAGTACTCGCTGAAGCAGCGGTACCACACCGTCGCGTGGGCGCTGCTTCCGGCGATCACGCGGCTGCACCAGCAGGGGTCGTACGCGGAGCTGGCCGAGGGCATCGCGACGCACCTGGCGCTGCAGTGCGACGACATCTGCGCCACGCTGGACCGCTGGCAGAGGGAGGCGAGGTGCGAGGCGCGAGGGGCGGCCGCGATCCTGCGCGGGGCAGCACCCAGGGGGTGTGTTTTTACGTCGCGGGCCTGACGCGTGTTTTTGTGCCCGTGTCTGTGCGCGCAGCGAGTGGCTGACGGACCCCGGAAACTGTCCCGGATCCGGCATGGACGGCGTCATTTCGGACACGTGCGTGCTCATGTCGGACTCGCAGCTCCAGCGGACCCGTGCTGAGTTCCTCGGGGAGGCGGCGGCGGCGCCGACACGCACGGCGCCGACCGTCCGCCGCACGCGCTCCCAGACGGCAGCGGCGGCGGCGGGGGCTGCCGCCGCCCAGGCCCCGTCCTGGCAGGCCGCCGCCGCCGCCGTCGCAACCGACGCACCTGACGAGCCCCCGTCCGCGACGGTACGTCCTCGCGCCCGCGCGGAATGCAGCGCGAGCTGGGAGCGGTGGCGCTGTGCGGCCACACAGGGGCGAGCTTTGCTCTTGCGGTGTCTTGCAGGGCGCAGCGCGGCGGGCGGACAATGGATGGCGGACGCGGAAAGTGCAGGAGTTCCTGACGCGGATGGCGAGCGCGGTGGGCGTGGCGAAGGAGCTGCTGACTGTGCACAGGGACCGGTGGGAGCAGGGCGGCGCGCAGGCCCGGGCTGCCATGGAGTCCTGAGCAGGTTCTGTGGGGGAGTGTGGCAGGACGCAGGGGGTGTGTGAGCCGCTCGACAGCGTGCTGGCCCAGCACTGCTGGGGCCGATGGGCAGAGAAAACAGCCGCTCGCGTGGCCGTTGCGCGCCGGAGCAGGGGGTTCTGTTGTCTGGGATGTATTGATGCTTCGGTCAGTCGCACCACTGTTGCTGATGGTGGGGAGCGCGCAGGGGCATGCTCTGTTTCCGAGCAGCCGGTGGTGATTGCGTTGGTTGCGACGGCGACGACATGAGCACGCCGTGTCGAGCGTGCTTGCAGAGGGCGCAGGCTAGCTACCGCGATGCCCCGCCGCGACCGCTCATGCGCGTGAGGCTGGACGGGTCGAACGCATCGCGTCTGAGAACTCGTGCTGGAGCGGCTGCAGGCCACGGAAGACGCGCCCTCCTGACGTCAGCGCCGCTGCTGCTCACTGCACTGCACTTCAGCCAAGCCAACGCCGCCGAGGGGGAACCGGTTCCGGGCGCTAATCTGCCGAAAGGTGAGAGTCAATGCACCCCATTTGTCTGTTGTTATCGTGGTGGCCGTGGAATCCGCGAGCAGAGCGTTCAGGGCACAAACGTCGCAACCGCACCGGCAGCCAAGCTCCACGCGCGCCCCGAGCCACGCAGAATACGTGCGAAGCGCCAGGAAGGTCGTGACGGCAGTGTCGGAGGCCATCGAGGCGGAGAGAGAGGGCGCGAGCGAGACGGAGGTGCGCCATGAGGTCGAACTAGTCGTTGCTAGCTCATCTTTAGATAGGATACGTCGATCAATCCCGCGCCCGTCCGGTTCGGGTCCGGGCTGCAGGTGCGACGCAAGGCCGGGCCTGCGCAGGACTCGGTGAAGGCCTTCCTGGGCAGATACAGGGACGACAAGAGACTGCAAGACGAGGAAACCTATCTTCAGATCTCGTCCGTGCTCAAGTGCGCGCTCCCCCGAGCCAGCCGCGGAATCCGCGCCGCAGCCACCGCACCCGACTCGCTCGTTCCATCTACGCGAACGAGTCCTGATACGCTGCGATACGCCGAGCATGTTCCATGAGAAGCATCACCTGACACAAACCGTTGTTTTGCGACGCCCGCCCGGCGGCACGCGCGCCCCCGAGGCACCCGAGGGCACGTGCTCGGTGTCTGCTGGCCGCAGGGACATGGGGCAGTTCTATTTGAAGAACGGCCAGCGCGCCAAGTTCCCTCCGGAGCTGGCGCAGTCTATCCTGGACCGACTGGGAGCTGCAGGGCAGGGTCTGCCGCCCGAGGACAAGCTCCTCGATCCCATCGAGGCGCTGCTCGGCCGCTGATGGCTGGATGCGGGCGTGGCGTGCGGCTGCGGGGTCCCGGAGGGCGTGGGAGGCACCGGCGGTGCGTGTGGTCAGAGAGGGCGTCGCGGCGGCTGCGGGGCGAATGAGTCGCGCCGAGCAGGGCTGCGCTGTGACGGAGGCTTGATTGAACGCCGTTTCGGGCAGCGGTGGCGGTCGGTGCGTGGCTCAGCGAGGCGCGCGGACAGTCAGTGGTCTCTGTTCGGTGGCTCTTGTTTGGAAGGAGCGCAGTCGAGGAACCTCGAACTGTGGCCGTTCCCTCAAACTCTGCTGACGTGGGACCTGCAAGTCTCTGCCCGCCTGCAGGCCCTCGGGCGTGCTTGTAGGAGCGCGTTCGCGCGAGGACCTGCCACTCCACGGCTCCTACGTCACGTTGCGGACAGTCATCGATCGATCAGTGCCGCACTTCGCGGCGGATCAGCAACCAAGCTTGAGCCGTGCCCTGTGTTCGGCGGCGACGTCTGAGGGATCCCTCTCTGCGCAATTCTTGCCCGCACAACGGAGCGGACCCTACGAAGCCAAAGGTAAGCGAGCCAGACAGGAGCTTGCGGGCCGAACGCAGCCACGCATGCGGGTCACCTCTGCAAGTCACGCCTCCACGCGAAGCGGCGGTCGGGCCCGGGAACGCCCTCGCTCGCGCAGGGCTTCCCTCGTATGTGGATGACCACGGAGTCCTGCGCCTTGTCTTTCTCTTTCGAGGCACTCACGAACCAGGACGTCCTCACACCCTCCCACACCCATCTGCCCTCGCAGCGCTCTTTCCCGGCACGGTCACTCACGGAGCACAGCGCCAGCCAGTCAGTCGACCTCGCAGACGAGATGGGCTGCGGAGCCTCCACGGCCGCGCAGCCGTCTGAGCCCGAGCCCTCTGCAAGGTCGGGTGCAGCAGCTTCGGTGAGGAAGCAGAGCCAGACGGCATCTCCCAAGGCCCTCAAGCCCGCGAAGTCCCTCATGCAAACGACGCGCATGAACCGTCTCGAGACGATGCGCAAGTCCATGAAGGTCCCCCACACGGACCGCGCGAAGTCCCTGCACTACCACCGCCAAGGCACTATCACCACCACGAAATCGCCGCGCGAGAGCTCGAACGCGACTCTGGCGTCCAAGGCGAACTACGCGCGGTCCCGATCCAGCAAGCAGGGCGACGAGCGGGCCGTCTCCACCCCGAAGAGCCGCGCCGGCGACGCCCCCTCAGGGGTGCAGCTGCGGCCGGAGCTGAACGTGGTGATGGACCAGCACCGCGGGCCCGAAACGCCGCGGGGCGGGACGCCGCGGTCCGCCGCGGCGCTCGAGGGCCTGCTGCGCAACTTCGACGACGACTCGGACGACGAAGGGCTCAGCGCGGGGCGCTACGCCGGCCGCGGCGTGCAATTTAAGGACGGCAACGACATGGAGGCGGAGCGCATGATGATCATGGCGGCCGCGGCGAGGAGCGCGCGGTGAGGCCGGCCGCGGACGCGCCGACTGAACGCGCAGAGCGCAGCGACCTGCGCCAGGACACCCCCCCCCCTCCCCTACGGCGCCGACTTCTGTTCAGAGCCGTTGCTCGGCCAGAAACCCGGCCTCCTGTCCTCAGCAGTAGCATCGGGAGAAATGGAACGACCCAGCCGGCGCCGCTGGTCAAATCAATCACACTACGCGCGTCGCAAACGATACGGGCCCGAGCATGCAGCTGCCCGCAAACGTGCACGGCAACCATCCCCTTTCCCAACTACAGCCACACCCCCACACCCCTCCCCGCCCACGTCCCATCTCGTTCGTTCCCACACGCGGCGACTCGGGCCCTGCGCGCCCCTGCCACCGCTGCTCTGTCACCTTCAGGTCGTCGTGCACGTCCGACGGCCAGACAATTCAACGTCCGAGCTAACAGCACGCGCATGCGGTCCTTTCCGCGCGCCGATGCCCGCGCTCGCCCCGGCGACGGTGCAGTGTTCCGGCTGCTGCAAGAAGCATTGCCGCTGCCACACTCTGCGCCCCTGGTGCGCAGTACTATCCCCTTCTCCCCCCCCACCCCACCCGCATCCCGCCCCGCCCTCGAAACCGCTCCCCTTTCCGCCGGCGCACAACGACGCGGAGTCTTGTGTCTTTGATGAAAGTTTTTCACTCTCACTATCCTGCGCAAATTTTCAAACCCTGCCCAACGTTTGACAGCAACGGGTCGTGCCGGGAAACGTAGCTCAATTCACGACTCGCCGCTTCTCATCGCTTGAGCCCGCCGCCCGCGCGCGAGCTCGCGGGGCGCGCTCGGCTGTGCCAGACTGCACGAGAGACTGTGAGGCACCGAACTGAAGGTGCCGTTGGCTACCAGCGCAGCGCCGTCTCACGAATGCGTTCTCAGGGCGCAGGCGCGCCGCTGCAAAAGTTCTTTCTTCCGCCGTCTTCAGCGTCAGAAAATCAAGCAACCCAGGCGTCGGCTTCGGATCCTTGCTGCACCGCGGCGTTCACCTGCCTTCGCGTATTTGCAGTCTCGGCCCAGCAGACGCATGCAAGGGCTCACGCGTGCGGCACTCAAGCGGTCGTCGCTCAAGCTCCGGCGCGCCGTAACATCGTCCGAGACCATCACATGTGCGATGACATGTGCCGTGCCGTGCCTCTCGCGCCCAGCGACGCACGCCCTCACGCGTCCGCGGGGTCCGGCCCGCGCCCCTTCCCCGCCGCCTTCTTCTTCGCACGTTTCGCGGCGGTCTGCAGCTTCGCCATCCCAGGCATGCTCAGCTTGGCGTTTCCGACCATCGTCGCGACAAGCTCCGCGTCCGTGACCGCCTTGATCAGCTCCCTCTCGCGCGCCGTCACGCCGTCCACGCCCTTGGTCAGGAACTCCACCGCCTGCCGCCCAGCCTTGCCCTTCTTCTGCGTTCCCGGCGTAACCTTCAAACGGTATTTGTAGCCCTGCAGCGCCGAGTACGGCGCGCACACCGGGATCGCGTGCAGCAGCACGTCCGCCTCGCGCGGCACGCCCGTCAGCAGGTCCAACTGAGTCAGGCGCTCCCGCTCCGCGTCATGCAGGACCTCCTCCCCCTCGTTCTCCAGCACCTCGCGCATCGCCGCCGCCTCCCGGGCCTCCGACGCCCCCGCGCGGCTCCCGCCCTCCTCCGCCTGCGCCGTGGCATCGCCGTCGCCCGTCCCGGCCGCCCGTGCGCCGTGCCGCCGCGCCTCCGTGCCGTCCCGGAGCCCCGCCGCGCGTGCAGCCTCCAGAACCATCTCCGGCTTCGTTTCCGGGAGGGCGCGGCCCTCCGCGCGCTCCTTGGCGAGGGCGCGCTCGGTCATGCGCTGCTTGCGCTCCTCCTTGCGCTGCTTGCGGTCCTTCTTCTCGCCCTGCGACCGCAGGAGGGCCATGGCGAGGTTCCTGCAGGGGGAGTGACCGGGGGGGTTTGGCGTGAGGAGCCGAGGAACGATCGGTCTGCGTGCCGCGGAGGGTCTCTGGACGCGGGGGTCCGAGGCAGGCGCGCGGTTGGCGCAGCGCCTAGAATCAAGGAAGACTCGTATTTGCACAATTAGGAATTCAAGGCAATTCGAGCCTCTGGGCGGGAAGGGTCAGGGACGAAGAGTCGGATGGGTCGTCACGGGGCAGCATGAGGCGCAGCCGGGGAGCGCACCTCTCCTCCTCGTCCTGGTCGGCCCATTTCGCCGACTTCTTGGATTTCCCTTTCTGGCTGCGCTTGTTGCTCTCCTTCTGCTTCGCGTCCTCCTTCTTCTTCCGCCGCGCCCGCTCGGCGTCCAGCGCAGCCTTGAGCTCCGAATCCCCACCTCCGCCCGCGCCCGCCGCGGCGCCAGGCCCCTGCGCCCCTGCCGCACCCGACCCCCCCGCGCCCTCCCTCGCCCTCATCGCCTCCTCAACCTCCGGCGGCAACTCCTCCTCCCCGATCTCGTCCAGACCGTACCGCCCATCCAGCATCGCCGCCGCGAGCGGGTCGGCCGGCCGCGCCGCCCGGGACTCCCCCCTCCTCTCACCCCCCCCCGGGGACTCCTCCAGCAGCGCGTCAAGGGCCGACAGGTCGTCCGCGGCGCCCGCGATCATCTGGTCGACGTCTTCGGCGTCGCTGGCGCCGCCCGCGTCGGCGTCGGCGCCCTGCGGGGCCCCGTCTGTGGCGGTCGTTCGGGTCGCGGGGTCGGCGCGGGCCACCTTGCCGGCGGGCGCGAGGCTGGCGCCCATGGCGGCGGCGTCCTCGCCGCGGAGGGCGTCGAGGGTCTTGGGGGCGCGTTCGCCGAGGTGCGCCGCGACGCTGCTGTCGTCGAGGCGGAACAGGAAGCCGAACCCCAAGACGAGCGGGAAGGGCGGAAGGAAGTTCTTCTTTCCTCGAATGATGAACGAACCGGTCGTGAGGTACTCCCCCGTCGGCGCCGTCTTCGAGACCTGGTGCGGGTAGACCCACCACGCGGACGTCACGACCTTGCTGTCCCACGCGGCGGAGCGGCACACGCACTGGCAGCCGGCCTGTGCCAGCGTCAGGGGAGGAATAGGCTGGCTGGGATCTGGGTTCTTGACGATGGTCGAGGACGCGCCGTGCAGCTCTGCGTGCACGTAGACGTCCCCCGGGCCCATGTAGCGCTTCACGAGGAGCTCGTTCTGCTGCGCGTCGCGCCCCGACAGAACCAGGAAGTTTTCAGACGTGATGAACCAACTGAACTTCTCAAACCAAAAGGGCTTCCGCGCCGTCTTGATCGTCGCCTTCTCCCGCACCTGCAACGCAGCGATCCCGCCAACGCAGCCGTCGTCGCTCGCGACCGCACACGCCCTCGTCAGCACACCCCCCCGCCCTCGCTTGCCCCGCCCTTACCTGCGACAGCTGCTCCCTCGCCTTCTTCTCCGCCACTTCGAGCGCGCGTTCGTTCGCCTGCATCGTCTTCGCCGCCTTTTCTTCACGCAGCTTCCTGTTGCCGTGCTGCAGCGCGACGTTCGCAAACGCGCCGACCGACAGGTCGACGTCCACGGGCGGCCCCGCAGGCGCCACGCCCTCCTCGTCCACCTCGTCCCAGTCCGGCAGAAGAAGCGTGATCCTGTTGCGGTCCAAGTCGAGTTTCGATATCAACGCTGCCACCGGATTCCCGGCCTTTCGCTCGTCCTCGACCATCCGCTCCAGGTCCCGCCAGTCCATCCCCGCCGCCAGCGCCTCGTTCACCGCATTGATCGCCGCGTCCACCTTTTCCAGATTCGCCTCGACCAGCACTGCTCTCTTTTCCGCCATGGCAGCCTCGGCCTCGAGCGCCCGCGCCCGCGCGGCCTGGTCGGCCTTGATCTTCTCGAGCCGGCTCAGCACCGCCGCCTCCGCCTGCGCGCGCCGCTGCTCCTCGCGCACTTCCTCAACCTTGGAAAAGTATTCATCGAGCGCATCATCAAAGGTCTCGAACTCCTCGAACTCCCGCCCCTGCGCCTCGTGCTGCAGAAACCGTATCGGATCCACGTCCTCCCATGCTCCCGCCTTCCGCGACGATATCCACCCGGGCGGCGCCGCCCCCCCGCCGCGAGACCCCGTCTTGGGCCTGCCACCAGGGCAACCATCCGGGTGGTCGGAGGCGGCCGAGGACGCGTCGTCGTCCGCGGCGGCGTCGTCCTCGACGTCTGCGGGGTCCGCGCCGTCGTCGAACGGCCGCTGCGGCGTCGCGGCGAACCGGGCGTCGAGCCATGACTCAGCCCAGCGTATTGCTTCTACCAGAGCCTGGAACTCCCCCCCCGACAGCGGCGCCTCGTCCAGCCGGCGGGCCGGCTGCAGGCCCGCGAGGAGACACACGTGCTCCGCGAGCTGCGGGCCCCACGGGAGCGCGGCCGCCACCGCCTGTCGCGCCGCGAAGTGCGCTGGGTCGCGCCGCTTCTTTTTGCGACGCGCTTTCTTGCCGTCGTCGCCCGCGTCCGCCTCCGCCGCGTCCTCAGCCGCCTCGGGCTTCACGGGCGGAGGCACCAGCGCCGCGCGGACGCGCTCCGGGTCGAAGGGCTCCCGGAGTCGGCACGCGTGAATCGGGTACGGTCGATTGGGCATGATCACGAGGCCCTGGGCGTCGTCGCGGTGGCTCCGGAGCAGCGCGAGGACCTGCGCCGAGCAAGAGACGGTCGGTAGCGTTGTGCTCGCGGCGGCGGGAGGGTTCGGAGGCGCGCGGCGCGAAGCTACAGCACTGCGGCGTTTGCGATGATCGATGATCGTTGCTGTGATCGCCGGTGCCGACATCGAGCACCCAGCGCGCGAACGCACGGTGCTCTTCGTGCACGGCAGTCGCCCCGCTGAGTGCACGTGTGGCGGCGCGCAGCATGCGGCGGGAGTGCGATCGAGTTGAGCGAAGAATAATTGAAGTGTGACGGTTCAAGGGTCGCGCTGGATGTCAGCGGTGTGCAACACGTGGCGGATGGGAACGACGGGGGAAGTCGGGCTTGAAAGAGGCCGTGTTCAGCGGCACGCACGTGAGGGGGGGGTGTGAGGCCCACCTGATACTGGGCGTTGCACAGGACGACATTCCCGGAGGAGTATAACTCGAGGATGACGTGGTGCGTCATGTCGCCCTGCCCGAAGGTGAACACGACGATCCGGTCGACGCCGAGCTGCCGGATGTCCTCGAGGCGGCGGCCGCGCACGTGTTTCCGCAGCTTGAGCGCAAACGGCCCCGGGTGGCCTGGGGTCTCGCGGGCGTACTTGGTGGAGTGGAACCGCGTGCCGGACTCGAGGAGCACGACGGTTTTCTCCGTCTCCTTGTTGATGTCGCCGCCCGCGGACCGCGCGAGCTTCAGCAGGAAGGTTTTGGGGCCCAGGTCGTACACGTTCGCGAGACGCATCCCGACGACCTGCGGGGCCGGGGCGGCGGCGCGGCGACTGTGGGAGGCGCCGGGAGGGCGCGTGCGGCGGCGTTCAGGCGACCGATGCGGCGGGAGACTGGGTGCGCTGGCAAGTACGGCATTGCTGCACGTTCGCGTTTGCGGCGCCGAGGATGTTTTCGGGGGTCAGGGGAGGGAACTTGGTTGGATGTGCGAATGGTGGTGTGGAGGTTGTGTGATGTTGCGTGTTCCGGGGTCCGCAGGGCGTGCGAGCCGTGCTGGGATGCTACGCGTCCCGTTGGCGGCGCGTTGTGCCTCGCAGGCGGCGTTGTGCCGCGCAGGCGCACCTTCTCGCGCAGACACGCGACCTCGGCGGCCACATCGGCCGTGCTCATGCGTTGCTTCACCATGCTGGCGGCCTAGCACAACAGCAGGGCCAAGCTCTCAGGGCCTAGGAGCGGCAACAAATATCTGACGATCTCCACGCACGACACGTCAGATCAGACGCGGCATCGCCACGCAAGCTCGCGGAATCACCCCGCGCCGGGCTCGCCCGCTCAAAGCAACCCCTGGTGGCACAGTGTCCGAGCGGATGCGCTCTCCTGGAGGCGTTCGCAGGTCGTGTCGTTACGACCGCGTGTTCGGAGCAGCAGCTGTGACGATCGTGAGCGCGGCGGCCGCCCGAAAAGCGCTTGCACTAAGTCAGGCGAGACACCGCTAGTACAAGCTCAGATGGTGTCAGGCGCGCGGCGGCATGGTTCGTGCGCCTGCGCAGCAGATGGCCACGCGGGGCAGACGCCTGCGGTCAGTTCCATCCCCGCAGACCCAAAACAACGCCATGGGGCTGTGAGCGGCCTCGGCGGTCGACGTTGCACGGTGTGTTCCACTTGCTGCTGTTGCCGCGCCTGGGGGGCGGAGCGGGGCGATGTCGTGCCCGCAGCACACGAGCAGACTTATGACGACGCGGTTGCGCGCGAGCGCGTGCGTCTCCGCGCGTGCTCCTTGCCGGACGCGCAGCGTGTGTGTCACGGCACGGCTTGGCCAGTCTGCGCGCGTGCGTCGCTGCCCGCAGCGCTGCGTTGCCGCGCCCAGTTCCTCCATAGAGAGAGGCGTCAGCACGGGCGGCCCGCTTGAACGAGCCCCAGGGGGCGAGGAGCGCGGCGCCGAAGTTCCACCGGCGGTGGCTGTTTGTGCGGAAGCGTCGCGCCTGCTGCGCGAGAGGAAGCGAACTCAGAGTGTCCGAGTACTGGAGACCTTCCTCGAGGTGCGGCGCCGCGACGCCGCGGACGCACCCCCCTGGATTCGCAGTCAGACCTCGGCGGAGCCCCGTTCCCAGCGCAACTCGCTGCGTCCCGCGTCGTCCGGCTCCGCAGAAAGACGGCGGCAAAGCAGCGGACGCATATGTGTACTCTCTCCTCGTCAAGGCCTACAAGAGCGTACACAGATACAAGGATGCCGTCAAAACGCTGGATTTGGGACTCGACCGCCACCCAGATTCCGTGGCCCTCCGTCACCAGAGGTGCTGACCCACGCGCGGCAATCCCGCCAGCGCCGCAACTCTCCGCTGACCCCGTCCCGCGCTCCCACACCCGCGCAACCCCCCGTGCGCGTCGCCGCAAGCCGGGAAAACCTGCAACATTCATAGAGCTGCTCAACTGCCGCGAAACCCGGAGACCCCGACCACGGCCACCGCCGCTTCGCAGGTGCGTCCACGAGGCCCACAACGGATCCTTCGCGGCGGCGGACGCCATGTTCGCGGAGCTGCTCGACCTCAGCCCACGCAACGTACGTTCCCTCCACGCCTGGGCGGAGCTGCACCGCAAGCGCGGCCGCACCGCGCGCGCCGAGGAGCTCTACCGCGAGGCGCTGCGCGTCGACCCCGACCACGGCCAGTCTCTGGCCTCCCTCGCGAAGCTTCTCGTCGACACCGGCACCAGCGCAAGCGCGCGTGATGACGCGCGCGACCTCCTCCGGCGCGCGCTCGACGCGCGGCCGAGCGACACCGTCGCGCTCCAGGCCCTCGCGCGCCTCGAGTGGGCCGCGGGCAACCGCAGAGCTGCGCGGCAGATATACGCTCGCATCGCCATGCTGGGGCCGGCGGGCGGAGACGGAGACGGAGCGGGGGGGCAGAAGGACGCGGACGCGCGCGGGAGCCACGCGGCGACGCCGTCGCTGCTGTCGGGGTGGGGCGGGCTGGAGCAGAGCCGCAGACACAGCGCGCGTGCTGCGAGGTTGTATGAGGCGGCGTTGCAGCGGGATCCGGAGCACCTGCCGTCGCTGATGGGCCTCGGCGTGGTCGAGTCGAAGGCCGGGAACCATGCCGCGGCGGAGGCGCACTATCGTCGCGCGCTGGAGGTCTCTCCGGGCAACGTACGCATCCGCTGTGCGCTTGCGCAAGGCCTGCGCGCCGCGGGGCGCACCGCGGAGGCGCGCCGCGAGCTGGACGGCGTGCTCGAGGACGATCCGGGCTGCGCTCGCGCGTGGTACATCCTGGGCGTCCTGCTGCAGCAGATCGGCGAGGCTGGCGACGCGCGAGAGGCGTTCAAGAGAGGCGCCGGCACGGGGGGGCGGGACGGCAAACCGCGCGACGCGACGTCGCTGCTGCTGTGCTTCGAGGCGTGGGCGGAGGGCGAGGCCGGGCAGGGCCGGACGGCGCTGGCGGTGCGGTTGTTCGAGGAGGGGTGTATTGCTATTGCACCCCAGGAGCCTACAGCGCGCTACCTGCGCGCGTGGGCGCTGGCGGCGAAGCGCGAGGGCGACCTCGAGGGAGCTCTCGAGCTACTCGCGCGCGCGGCGCGGGCCGACCCGCACGACTACCGCATCTGGCTGTTGCGTGCCGTCCTGCAGCGTCGGTCAGGGGGGGTGTCAGCGGCCCGGTCGGACTACGCGCGCGCGGCCGCGGCGCGGCCCAGGGAGCCCGCGGTGTGGCTGTCGTGGTCGCAGCTCGAGCGCGCCGCCGGAGACGACGCACGCGCCAGGGAGCTGCTCGTGCGCGGGGTGCAGCGATGTCCGGGTTGCAACCCCCAGCTGCTGACGGAGATCGCTCTGATGGACATCGAGCGCGGCGGGAACGTAGACCCGGCGCGTAGGATGCTCGCTGTCGCGAGCCACGTGCAGCCGGGCGCGGGGCGGGGTACGGCGCAGGCAACGCGACAGCCCCACGTTCCGGCGCTGACTGCGTGGCATGCGATGGAGGTTCAGCGCGGCAACGCGGTGCTCGCGGCGCGACTGGAGGAGCTGGAGACGGCGGCGCTGACGGGCGGGCCGCGGGCGGCGCGGCACGTGGTGCAGGAGCTGGCGCAACTGGCGGCGACGGAGGTCGGGGCGTCGCCTGAGTCGGTGCTGCGGGAGCTGCACCGCAGGGCGCTCGGGGCCGCGGCTGAGGAGGACGATGGCGGCGTGGACGACGGGTGGCAGGCGGGCCTGCTGTCGAGCATTGGGGGTGTGGAAGACGAGGAGGGGGGGGGTGTCGATGAGGGCGCAGTGCGGCCGTGACGCGGATGATATGTAAATGGACGCGCTTCGAGGTGCAGGACGCGGGGGCCAGCCGCGAACGTCGTCGTAGCATCGGTGCTGCAACGGTCGGTGACGAAGAAGCCGCGCACCGCCGTGCGTCGCCCGCAGGCACCGTCGTGACCGCGTGAACGCACCTGCCGCCGCACACATGTCTATATCTGCTAGTAATTCGCTGACCTAAGTCAAACATAGAGTAGTAATTGACCACCCGCGCACGAAACGAAATGCGGGTGTGCTATCGTCCTGATCAAGGCGGCAGCGTGCTAGGAGTACTCGCGCCTCCAGCCACACCAGTCTCGCGCACCCTCCCGATACTGCGCAATCACATCGCCGAGGCAGGCACGGCGCTCCCAGTCCGGCCGAGCCTCCACTCAATACCCCCCCTCGGCGTGCTCGACCCAGTTGCCGTTCTCGTCGTAGTACCCCTGCTGGTCATACCCCGTCTCGTCATACCCCCCCCCGCCCTCCACCCAGTTCCCGTTCTCGTCGTAGTACCCCGCCGCGCCCTCCACCCAGTTCCCGTTCTCGTCGTAATACCCCCCCTCGTACTCCCCGCCCTCGTACCCCTGCGCAGCGCCCGCCGCGTCATACCCCTGCTCCTCGTACCCCTGTGTCCCGTCCGCCACTCCGTCGCTCGGCGTCACGCCCTCCGCGCCGCGCCCCTCCGGCCACGCCTGCTTCACGTCCTTGCTGTACGCGCGCGCCGGCTGGTGCGACGCGTGCTCGTTCGCCGCTTTCGCCGCCTTGGCCGACGCCCCGCGCGCCGCCGCCGTTGGCGGCACGGACATCTCGGACCGCCGCGAAGGGCGCGCCGTGCGGGCGACGCGGCCCGTGCGCGTGGCCCACATCCCAGCGCCCTGCCCCGTCGCCTGCTGCACCACCAGCGCGAGCGAGCACGCCAGCGGCACGAGCGCCCCGAGGAGCACGCCGACGGGAATGAGCGCGGTGTAAATGCCGCGGTCGTCCCGGTAGTACGAGCACACCCCCGCGTCGATGGCCTCGCAGGTCGAGGACGCAGTGTCGATGTCGTCGGCGGAGCAGGAGCCGTCGCCGCTGGCGCACGCGAGGCCCGAGCAGCCCACGAACGCGCTCTGCACGAGGTCGCACCGCAGCGCGATGACGTAGTAGTACGCCGCGGCGAACCCGGTCGATGCGGTGCACAGCAGCACCGTCACCGTGATGTGCAGCAGGTAGCACGCCGTGACGCCCGACGTGCCCGCGACGACGCCGAAGATGCCGGAGAGGACCGTCGCGGCGCCGACGGTGATCGCGGGCGCCCACACGCTCATCGACTCGTCCTGCAGGGGGGGGGGAGTCAGGTTGGACCGACACGTGTTGGTGGGGGTGCCGGGGGGGGTCCGCGGCGCCGCCGCTCCGCCGCCCCGGCGCGGGAGTGCGAGGTATGGCTGGTGGGGCGTGGGGGGGGGTGCGGGGGGCGTGTTGGGCGGTGCGGGCGTGCCTTGAGTTCGATTGCAATGTCTAGGACTGGGAGGGTGCAGCCCAGGAGGAGCTGGATCCACGACATGATGAGGAGCGTCATTTGGACGCGGTCCATCTGGGTTTCGGGGTAGTTCCCCGGAGCTGCGCGCAGGGAGCGGGGAGGGCCGGGTCGGGTCTTGACCAGGGGATGGTGCGACGCTGCGCGGGGAGAGTGGCGCCCCTCGCGGCCATCTGGGGCCCTGAGCGAGCTGTATCGAGTGGTTCCTGTGCGTGGGGGAGTCCGGGCGGACTGAAACGGCCGCGTGGGGCTGCGCGGGCCGCAGCAGGCTGGCTGTGGCCTTGCTCGAGCTAGCAGGCGCAGTGCAGCCCGGCGCGTGGGCCCTGCCGCCGACAAGGAGCGAAAAGAGACGCCACACACGCTGTCAAAGCCGGGGACGGCGTTCGCGTGGCCTGGGGACCGCCAGGGCCGCAGATATGAGCGTTGCTGGCTTGGACATCAACCAAACTCCAATGCGTCGTTTGTCTTTGGAGCAAGGCCTCGACGCCGGGCGCTGGGGAATTTCGGTCGTCCGATGTGCTTGTGGAGGCTCTCGTCGGCGCGAAATGGCGCGCGGTGGCCGCTGCGAGCGGCGTGCGCGAGGGATGCATGGCGAGCACAAGCGTGGCGCGTGCGAACGCGACGTACCGGCGTCAGGGTCGGCAAAGGTCAGGACCTTGCCGGACGGCTGCTCGTGCGCCTCGGGGTGCACCATCGCGGCCATCTTCGCCGCCGGCTACGGCGCGGTGCCAACGTGACCCGCTGCTCAGCTGTGCGCCGTCGACGGCCCGTCCGGCGCTTGGTTCCGGGAAACGGCGCTGTTGCACGGATACGCACGCTCGAATCGCCGTCCTGGACAACGGAAGTGCCGGAATGCGGCGCGAAGCGCCCGGCAACGGCGCCGCGGCCCGCTTTGGGCATGTTCTACCGGCCCGTGACACCCCCCCTGCCCCCGGCCCCGAGCAACGCCGTGCGCCCGGGAACGCGCGTGCTGCTCGGCGCACGCGGGCCGCGTCCGAAGCAACGACACGCGTATCTCGAACCGCAGCGCAGGATGACTCACAGTGCATTTGCACGACACGGGGGGGGTGTCCCGACGTCGGCCTGACGCGCGGAGCTAGGGGATGCCGGGGATGCAGGTCGGCGTGCGGTCGCGGTAGCGCGCGAACTCTTCCCCGAAGAATCTCAACAAATACCGTTCCTCGACTGGAATCCGCACTTTGAAGAACCGCCACGCCTGCGAGCCGCGCACACGCAGGCCGGGAGTCGGGCGCGCACGCGGCCAGCAGCGCCTGCGCGCTCGCGCGTGCTCCGCGGGCGCGTCGCGCGGGACGCACCAGGTACGTGAATCCCAGTGTGCTGACGGGATTGCACAGGAGAACCTGCGTCCCGGGCGCCCAGAGGAACCATCCGAAGTATGCGGGGTGGCGGATGTAGGCGTATACGTCGTTTGTCACGAGGCTGTGCTCGGGGCGCTTCGCCACGGCGATCCTGTGCGGCGTAGATGGCGGCGGTGGTGTTGGTGAGGCCTGTGCGCGGGCGTGACGAGACGTGAAAATGGGTGTGGGATGTGGGCTGGATGAGGGGGCGAGGCTGCGCGGGAACCAGTGCCTGTGTGTGAAGTTGCGGCCCGCCACGAGGATGGCTCTCTTGCGCACGGCTTCGCCCGCCAGCACCAGCCCCAGGCCCGAGACGCGAACGAAAAGGGGCCGAGAGAGCCCTTGCCATGTCCAGAAGGCGTACTCGGCGCACGCAAAGGCCATTGCGATCAAATACGCGTTGGAATCGAGGAGCAGACTCTCGCGGACAGGTGCGTTTGGGTGCAGGCTGTTGATGACGAGGAACTCGACGACGTGGAACGCCAGCAGGCAGGCGACGAAGAGGAGGAACTCGCCCATGACGGCGCGGCCCGCGTGCCCCTGCGGCGCAGCGCCGGGGCGGTGCGCGGAGGCTCAACCAAACACAGCAAAGTGCTGCGTCGATGCGGCGCTCGGAGCGGAAGTTCGCGCCCTTCCGTCATGGCGCTTCCGTGGGGAGCGCCGTGCTAGCCGCGGGGCTTGTGCTGGCGCCAGGCCACGGAGAGCGGCTGAATCAGGCCTGAGGGTACTTGGGGGACTTTTGAGCGCGGGCGTCGCGCCCTGGCGCTCCGGCCACGAGGCCAGCGGTCGGCAGCACGCCGGGGCACACCGCGCCGGTTCGCCAGCGCCGGAAAGCGCAGTCGGCCGCGAGCCAGTGCGGCAGCACGACCTGAGTGCGTTGAGAGGCTTGCGGCCCGCACGCGGCGACGCGAGCGCGTCATTCCCCGTTGTCTCCGCATTCGAGCGCCCTGAGCGGTCCCCGTCGTCATGGCGGAGGAGCCCTCAGCGGCCGTAGCGCCCCCCGCGGCCCCGGGCGGCCCCGAAGCGCCCACACATGGCAGCACCCTGTTGTTGCAGCCAGAGGCTGATGACGCTCCGCTCGGGCCGAACAGCGGCGGTCCGGTGTTCCTTTTGTCGGATATGCGCGAGTCTACGTCGTACTTCCTCAACCCGCGGCCCGCGCTGGCCGGATCGGCCGCTGGGTCCGCGCGCAGCGGCCGTAGAAAGGGAGCGCCCGGGAGCCCAGAACAAGCGGCCTCGCGGCCGACTACGCGGCACGGGGAGCGCGGGGGGGCGGCGGGGACGGAGGCGACGGATCCAGAGGGTGCGTGCGGTCGCTGGCGCCGTGTATGCGCGGCCCTGGCCGCCGGCGCGCGGCGCGGCAGGCTGGCTGGCGCGCCGGATGCGTCGCGCGGTTCCAGCGTCGCGCTGCTGCGCGCTATGTGCGCGTTTCGCACATCGGCTGCTTGATATGGTCGTGCGGAAGCCCCGCACGGCGCTGCCCACGCGAGCGCGGCCGCGGCGGTCCGTAGACCGGTGTCAGTTTCAGAGGCCTTTGTCGTCGATTTTCTCGCTCAGCTATCGCACAAACTTCTTTCCTTTCCCCTCTGCGCCTTCTTCCTTGCGTGTTTAATGAGTGGGATTGCCGGAAATCCCCGGAGCGACGCTCACGGCCGCGTGTCCCGCCCTTGTTGCAGGTGCCTCGCATCCTCCGCAAAAGACGACGTCGCGGAAGCGCGAGAGGCTGATGCAGGACATCGACAGCGCCGCCAAGGGCCTCGCAAACACCCTCGTCGGGCCCAAGGACCCCCGCTCCCCGCGGGCCTCCGTCAATCCCCGCCGGGGGGGCACAGCACCCGGCCCGCTCTACGCCACGGCCCCGCTCGACCTCTCGCGCGGCGGTCCGAGCCGCGCAGGCCCGCGCCCGGCCCGAGCGACGCGCAAGAAGGCCCCTCCGGCTGCGTTCGCGAACGCCGACGCGTCCTCGTGGCCCCCCAAGGTGTCGGTGGAGGACGACGGCGAGGCTGGGCGGGGCCCGGCCGCGGGCGGGCAGCGCCCGGCCACGCAGTCCGGCGGGATCACTGCCCGCGGGATCCACGGCGCGCGGCGCGGGCCGTTCGCGGAGCAGGACGCCGGCGACGGGCCTGCGCGCCCGGCGACGACAAACCACGCGCAGCGGCCCGAGACCGTCGCGCACGACGCGACGGGGCGCACGGACCTGCACGTGACGATCCGCGGCGGCGGCACGCCGGCGTCGCGGCCGTACACGGCGCCCCCGGAGGAGGCGGAGACCGCGCACAACAACCACGCAGGCAACTCCGCGGCGCCCAAGGAGGCGACGGTCCCGGAGGGCGGCGCGTCCGGCGACGGCTCGGAGGCGAAGACGGGCGAGCGGAACCAGTCCGGTTCGAACCGCGGCGACCGGACGGACGGCAGCGGGCGCGACGGCGAGAGGAGCGCGGAGGCGGCGGAGCGGGAGAGGGCCGAAGCGGACAAGAAGAAGAGGAGGCAGAGCGCGGTGAAGCGGCGCCGGACGGCGCGGAGGAAGCGGCTGCCGCTGGCGCAGAAGAGCCGGAAGGATGTCGGCGGCGACAACTCGGACGGAGAGGCGTCGTCGGGCCCGGATGAGGTGCGCGCTCGCCGGATGCGTTGCGTTCCGCCGCGCAGGACGCACTTCGTGCGTTGCCTGTCGGCGTGGCGCGGTAGGTAGGCGTGTCGCATGATTGAACGAGCGACGATGGTATATGCAATCACCGATATTGGCTTGTGTGTGTGTGTGTGGCGGTGCAGACGTCGTTGCTGCTGAGCGTGGCGGTGCCGAAGCCGCCGATGCCGACGGACGAGGACTACAAGCACCTGGCGCGGTCGATGATCTCGGTCACGGGCACGGAGCAGCTGGCGCTGATGCGGGCGCGGCTCAACGCGGTGGAGCAGCGGGCGCAGGCGCGGCAGCGGACGCTGGACGAGCTCAAGGCGGAGCTGACGCGCTGGAACGGCATCGAGTGGGAGAGCACGAACGGACCCGCGGCGATGCAGCTGCAGCGCCTCACGGTGCGCAGCCCCACCCTCGACACGTTGTACATCGACCGCGATCGCTCGCTGCGAGGTAGATGGGACGGATCGACCGCTGCGGGATCCCGGCGCTGTTGTACCGGCGCTGCATGCGCGGTCTCGACGTCTGGTTCCGTCGCCCGTCGTTCGTTCGTTGCGTCGTCTTTGTTCGTCGTGAGATATTTTTTCCTGTCTGGCTCGCTGCCTTCTGAGCCGTCGTTCCGCTCGGGCGCCCCCGCTCGCAGAAGAAGCTCGAGTCCGTGGAGCACATGATGGCGATGGAGGTCGACCGCCGCCGCACCGTCGCGCACCTCCTCTGGCGGTCCACGACGGAGCACGCCACCTCCCGCGAGCGCACGCGGAAAGTCGAGGTCGAGCTGCGGCAGCGCGAGCACGCGCTCAAGGCGGTCGAGCGCGAGACGCGCATCGTCGAGGACCAGAAGGTCGAGATGCAGGATCGCGCGTACCGCATGGCAGAGCGCGTGCGCTACCAGCAGCTGGAACAGGAGACGCTGGTGGCGCAGGTGGAGAAGGAGATGGAGGCGGAGGAGCTCGAGCAGCACGCGTACGAGGCGCTGCAGGCCGTGAAGGACGACGTGCGGCGGCGCGCGGCGCAGGAGCGGCGGCCGAGTGCGCGCAGCGCCGTGCGGCTGGCGCAGCAGCGGATGGCGGAGGCGCGCACGATGGAGCTCTGGGACCAGCACGCGCGGATCAAGCAGGACTTCGACGTCATCTGCAACGCGGTCGGCGAGTCGGACATCGACAAGGCCGTCGAGCGCGCGTGCACGGAGCTGGGCACGCGCAAGGCGCTGTCGCGGGACGTCGAGGACGCCGAGCACCGCAAGGCCGCGCTCCAGGCGCTCTCCACGCAGCTGCAGAGCGAGCTCGAGGTCGAGGTGACCAAGGCGCTCGAGCGGCAGGTGCCGGAGGCGCGGCTGCGCAAGCCCTTCATTCAGCCGATCCGGGACGCGGAGCAGCGGCTCTTCGAGAACAAGCAGAAGCTCGGGGCGTGTCTGCAGCAGGTGCTGCGCGCCAAGGCCGCGCTGCTGCACCTCGCGGATAAGCTGGTCAACTTCTCGGAACAGATGGGGATGCAGGGGCCGGTGGGGATCGGGCTTTCGAGGTCGATCAAGGTGGTCATGGACGAGGTGCTCGCGGGCACGGACGACATCGAGGAGGAGGACGACGACGTGCTGCTGCGAGGTGCGTACGTGCGTGGACGGGGGGGGGTGTGCAGAGTGTGTGTGTGTGTGCGCGTGGCGGAGCTGACCACGCGGGTGTTGTGGGTGCGTGCAGGTGGAGATATGTCGCGGTACACGTCGCGTGCGCCGTCGCGGGGCGCCCGCGGGTCGATGGGGTCGGACGACGCGGACGAGGTCGCGCCCAGCAGCCCCGAGCGGCTCGCGGCGGAGTCGTCGCGGCGCTCGGTGCTCTCGAACCCGAACTCGCTGCGCTCGATCACCGCGGGCCTCCGGTCGCCGTCGTTCGCGCGCCGCAACGACGGGGCGCAGGAGCTCAGCGCGTCCATGCCGCTCCCGCAGCGCGTGCCGTCGCGCACGGGCCGCCCGGGCGGCTCCTTCGTGTACCGCGACCTCTCCATGATCAAGGAGGACGAGATCCCGCGCGCCCTGAAGGCGGAGCCCAGCCGGGGCGCCCTCACGACCCGTGGCTCGCGACGTCAGATGCCCAAGACGGTCTCCGCGAAGGACCTCGCAAACCAGATCCTGGCGTTCGCGACGACGAAGAAGATCGGCGGCGGGCCCGCCACGGGCGGCCGCGACGCCCCGTCCGGCGCCGAACCCGGGTTCACCGCGCAACCCTCGCCGCTGCGCGGCGGCGAGTACCGGCCGCCGGTCTTGGACGAGGACGCGGCCCGGATGGACCGCGCGCGCGTGCGCGAGCAGCGCAGCCGCAAGCGCGCGGCGGGGATGCCGCCGGACGTCCGGCCGCCCCGGCGCGACCCTGGTCCTGCCATGTACCGGCGGCTCGAGAGCGAGATCATGTCGATGGTCGAGGTGCTCGGGATGGCCGCGCAGAGCCTCGCGCACTCCCCGCAGGTCAAGGGCGTGCTGGGGAAGAAGACGATATCTTCGCGTATCTTTGAGCACGCGATGGAGCAGGGAGAGGTCGGGCTGGTGTTGCGGCCCAAGGGCTCGCGCGGGCAGAAGGCGGCGCTGGCGCGCGCGGCGCAGGAGCAGGCGGCGCTGGCGCTGAAGGCGCGGCGGAAGTCGCGCGGCGGCGCGCTGCGCGGGCCGGGTATGGCGCTGATGGGGCGCGAGCCGGGAGAGTCGACGCGGGCGGGCGGGCCGCTGGCGGGCGGGGCGCGGGGGCCCGGGCGGGGATTCCGGGACTCGGACCGGGAGGAGTCGGACGAGGAGCGCATCGACCCGTACGCGCTGTACACGCAGCCGTCTGCCAACCTCAGGGTGCGTGCGTGCGGGCGGGCGTGCGTGCGGGCGGTCAGCCGCGTGCGTGCGAGGCGGCGTGGCGCGCAGGAGCCACGTGGCTCTTGCGCGCGTGACGCTTCGCTTTGCGTTGACGCAGGGGGTGCGAGCGCAGCTCCTCACCTCGAGCGGTTGCGGTTGCGTTTGTTCGCCGCAGGTGGACGATGCGCGGAAGACGTTCTTCGCGCAGCGCGCGGCGACGATGAAGAAGACGGCTGCGGACCCGGACCAGGCGCGCCACCTGCGGCCCTCCCAGACGACGACGGGCCGCAGCGCCCCCGTGATGGGCAGGACTCGCTCGAACACCGAGAGGACGGGCACACCGGGCGGGACGCCGCTCCCCGTGCCCCCTACCGTCAAGGAATGACGCGGGTGGCGCTGCGGACGCGCGCGCGCCGCCCGGCGAGGCCAGGTGCTGTGATGTTGCGTTTGCTACTTTGGAAGCAGGGATCGGGGGCAGTTAGGCCGCTAGGTCGCCAAGCGCAAGGTGATCGTGTCGGGAACGGAGGCAGGTAGTTGCGCGGGCTTTGGCTGAGTCGGGCGATCCGCCAGAGTCGGGTTTTATACTGCGTGGCGCACCGTGCGGCACGTTGCGCCGCTGTGCGTCGAGGGTGCGGCGTGCCGGCGGGCGCTGGCAGTTCCTGTCCGCGATCCGTTGGCGGGCAATGGCCGCGATGCGAGCCGTGGCCGCGGCGGTCGCTCGCAGCGCGGCCGCTGCGCAGGCTGCGTCACTGCACGGGGTGCCGTGCGCCGGGGCGCGCGCGTTCCGGACCGTCGGGGCGTGGTCGTGCTCCCCCGAGGCGGGAATGCTCGCGCGGAGCGCTCGGGGCGCGGTATTAGCTGAGAACCACTCGGCACGGCCGTCGGGACAGTGGCTATGGCGCAGGTTCAGGTGCGCGCTGGCCGCTCGCGAGGACGAGCTCGTTTGGCGGCGCGGAAACCCCGCCTGAGAGCTAGTCAGAGCGTCTGCGTGTGCCTGCGATGCTCTGGAGCCTTCGGGCGCGCTGTGGTGATATGTTCATCGGGGCTTCCAGCAACATAGCTACTGATGGAGTTCCGCAAACGCGTTTAGGCACCAGAACAATGCTCGCGTGTGTGGCCGGGCACGCTCGAGACCTCATGCTCCACGCCGCGCAAGGAAACATGGGTTTGTAGGTTCTGTTTGAACGCATAGAGCCGGAAGTAGGTCTGCGGGGTCGCCCAAGCCACTCACCTCGCCGAGCACGCCCGCTCCGCCCGCGGCGGCTCGTTGCCGGCTGGGCGCCCGCGCCAACCTGTCGCAGACCACACAAGGCGGACGGCTCCGCAGACACGTGGCCGCTGCGAGGCCGTCGGGCGGCGCTGCGAGCAGCGGCACCCAAGCCCTCTTCCCGCCCCACGACGCGTCTCCTGCGTCGATCGACCCGGCCGCACCGCTCCGCTCGATCCACCGCAGTCGGAAGAAGACGGGCAGGGGCGCTGAGGCGGAGTCGTCGGGGGCCGGGGAAGGCAGCGGCGCGAGCGCCGGCGACGGGGCAGGGAGGAGCAGCGCGCCCGCGGGCAAGGACCGCGAGGCGGCCGCGATGCGCAACCTGCACGTCATCGAGGCGGAGGCCCGGCCCCTCGTCCCGGACGTCGTCATGATGTCCCCGACGCCACACTCGAAGCTCTACAGAGACATTCTGCGGCAGGTCGAATCGTGAGTGCCCGCAACTCCGCGAAAACGCCCCAAACACGCACCAGCGAGCTGCTCGGACTCCCGCGAGCTGGCGGCACCTCGCGCGGCGTGAGACAGCTTTGGGAACGCGCAGCGCCGCATGTAGATGCGCGTGCGAGTGTGTGGACGTGTGTCTGAATTGGGGCGTGCGGGTTTGCGCCGTGACGGTCCCGCGCTTCGCGCCGAGCTCGTGTGCAGGAAGAAGAAGGGCGAGCAGGGTCCGCTGATCGCGGTGTTCACGCGGAAGGCCGCGAAGGACCGTCCCGCGACTGGCGCAGCCGCCGCAGCGGGCGAGGGCGGCAGCCAGGGCCCCGGCAGGGAGGAGGCGTCCGGCGAGGGCGAGCGCGGCGCGGGCGGGCCGGGCGGGTCCGACACGCACCGTCTCCTGCGGCACCTCGGCGGCAGGGGGGGGTCGGACCCGGACGACTCCCCTGACATTGTGCTGACGATGAAGGACGAGCACGAGGGCGGGGAGGAGAAGGAGGGGTCAGGGGAGGAAGAGGCGCTGCCCGTGCACGTCGTGGACCACGCTGCGGACGACCTATACGTGAGCATCGCCCGCCGCGCCTCGCATGCACGACGCACTGCCGCTCGCTGATGTCGTCGCTCGTTTCCGACGTTTCCTGCGGCCTGACGGGAACAGCGGCCGCGTTGCTGTGTTGCGACGGATCCGGCCGTCTTGTCCGGCCGTTGGCTTAGGAGCGGCAAGAGCTCTACGTTCAGGCTCAAACATGCCGTTGTGTTTGTTGCTCATCCAACGTCGTGCAGGAGGTCGGGACGCTCGCGGAGGTGGTCAACGTCTTCCCGGTCTCCGTCGCGCAGTCCCAGGTGGTCCTCAAGGGCCTGCAGCGCGTCCGTCGGACCCGCGTGGCTAGCTACTCTGGGGGCGTGCTGCGCGTGGACTGCGAGCCCCTGCCCGACGTGCCCCTCGACGAGGCCGACGAGCAGGCCACGAGCGAGGCCAAGGCGCGCGAGGTGCTTGTGCAGGAGATGGTCGACCGTCTCAAGGCCACGGCGCAGAGCCACGACTTGACTATGTATCTGGAAGTCTTCAACACACAAAAGTGGTTCCAAATGGCAGGGAACGCCGAGGTGCGCTTGGGGGGGCTGCTCGCTGTATTGCGGGCGTGTTGCGGAGCTGGTGGTGGGTGCGGGGGCAGGGATCCCCGAACACAGAGCGAGCAATCAACCAAAGAGTAATTGTTTTGTATTTGTTTTCTTCCGTGCAGGGTCTGTCGTACTACGGGGCGTGGCTGTGCCGCATCCGCGGGAACCTCGGTCGGCTGCAGGAGATCCTGGAGGAGCGGTCCGTGTCGCGCCGGCTCGAGAAGACGGCCGAGCTCCTGCGCTCGGAGCTGGCGGTCCTCGAACTGAATCTCTCGATGCGCCGGGAGCTCGAGGACCGCATGCGGAAGGACCACCAGCGGCACCTGATGATGGAGCAGCTCAAGCTGCTGCGGCGCGAGCTCGGGATGGAGAAGGACGACCGCCAGGAGCTCGTGGACAAGTTCACAAAGAAGTTGCAGAGTTTCAAGGACGACGTGCCGGAGAGCACGGCCAAGGTGCGCGCCCGCGCGACTTCCGCTGCACGTTTTTGATTGTTTGCGTGAGTGCCGGCCGTTGATGCTCGGGCGCGGCGCGTGCGCGTCGTCGCGGCGCGTGGGACAGAGGCTGTGCAAGCGCATGCGCCCCGCCTCGCAGGTGATCGAGGACGAAATCTCGCGGCTCCAGACGCTCGAGGCGTCGTCGCCGGAGTTCAACCTCGTGCGCAACTACCTCGAGTGGCTGACGGCGATCCCGTGGAACGTCACTACCCCGGAGACGTACGACGTCGACGACGGGCAGCGCGTGCTCGACGAGGACCACTGGGGGCTGCAGGACGTCAAGGACCGCATCCTCGAGTTCATCGCCGTGTCGTCCCTGCGCGGCCGCGCCACGGGGAAGATTCTGTGTCTCGTGGGCCCCCCGGGGGTTGGGAAGACCAGTATTGCTCGCAGCGTGGCGCGCGCCCTGGGGCGCAAGTACTACCGCGTGAGCGTGGGCGGGCTGAACGACGTGAGCGAGATCCGCGGGCACCGCCGGACGTACGTCGGCGCCATGCCGGGCAAGTTTATCCAGGCGCTCAAGGCGTCGGGATCCAGGAATCCCCTTGTGCTGATTGACGAAGTAGACAAGGTCGGAACGCACTGGCGCGGGGACCCGACGAGCGCGCTCCTCGAGGTGCTCGACCCGGAGCAGAACCGCTCGTTCACGGACTTGTACCTGGACGTCCCGGTCGACCTGGGGGGGGTGTTGTTCATGTGCACGGCGAACGTGCTCGACACGATCCCGGCGCCGCTGCTCGACCGCATGGAGGTCGTGCGGCTCTCGGGCTACCTCGCGGAGGAGAAGCTCGCGATCGCGCGGCAGTATCTGATTCCGCGGGCGTACGAGGAGTCGGGCATCAACCCTGGGAGGGTTGAGGTCACGGACGGCGCGATGCGCCGGCTGGCCGAGGAGTACTGCCGCGAGGCGGGCGTGCGCAACCTCAAGGCCCACATCGAGAAGGTGCTGCGGAAGGCGGCCCTGAAGATCGTGCGAGCGGTGAAGCCCGCGGGCGACGGCGCGTCGCTGCCGACCGCGACGAGCGACCTCACGGCGCCGGCGCCGCTCGAGGGCGAGGCCGGCGAGGGCAAGCAGGGCGGGAAGAGCGAGGAGGAGAAGCTGCCGCCGTGGGAGGGCGCGCCGGAGGTGACGATCGACGCCGGCGACTTGGTGCCTTACGTCGGGCAGCCGCCGTTCAGCAGCGACAAGATCTACTCGGACACGCAGCCCGCGGGCGTCGTGACGGGCCTGGCGTGGACGGCGATGGGCGGCAGCACGCTGTACATTGAGGCGGGGCGGGTGGAGAGGGGCGAGGGGCGCGGAGGGATTCAGACGACGGGGCAGCTGGGGTCGGTCATGCAGGTGCGACTCAGGGGGGTGTGTGTGCGTACGTTTGTGGGGCTCGGTGGTGGCGGCCGAGCGGCGGCCGGACGGCTGTTTGTCGGGTTGTGGTGTAGTTGGGAGTGCATGATGCTTGTGGGTGGCGCGCTGGTGCTGAATTGAAGTGTACTGCGTGGTCTGTGCTTGCAGGAGTCTGCCACGATCGCGCACACGCTCGCGCGCGGCATTCTCGGCAGCGCGCAGCCGGACAACGACTTTTTCGCGACAACGCGGGTGCACCTGCATGTCCCTGCGGGCGCGACGCCCAAGGACGGCCCGAGCGCAGGCATCACCATGGTGACGGCGCTGCTGTCTCTCGCACTCGACGCCCCTGTCAAGAAGGGCCTTGCGATGACTGGCGAGGTACGTACGCATGTCTACACTCATCCATGGTGGGGATCACCAGATTCCTCGACTGCTCGAAAGAGCCCTGGCAAGCTCTTTCGCGACGTTTGCTTCTATTGCAGCCGACCAGGCACCGTTCGCTCAGATGCCAACAAACGCTGCTGTGCGCCAAACATGTTGCGAGGTCCGATTGTGTCGGCGTCGCGCTGGCCGCCATTGCAGGTCTCACTGACTGGCAAGGTGCTGGCGGTGGGTGGGATCCGCGAGAAGTGCGTTGCGGCGCGGCGTTCGGGCTGCACGCACCTCCTCTTGCCCGACGCCAACCGCGGCGACTGGGACGAGCTCCCAGACTCCCTGAAAGAGGGTCTCGAGGCCACGTTCGTCAAAGACTACCAGGAAGTGCTCGCGGCGGCGCTCGGGCCCGTGCTGGAGGCGAAGCCACCGGCCGCGAAGGAAGCCAGCGGGGCCGAGCCTGCGGCAGCTGCGTGAATTTCCGCGTCAACAGGCAACGTGCCAACGTGTGACGAAAAAACGCCAGCTCGGACCGTACTGCACTGCAGCCCTGCTCATCCTTCACAGAGACTGCGGAGCCATGGCAGCCCCCTCGCCACGAGTGCCCTACGGCTGTGGTCGGCTCTGCACCAGGTAGATCGTACCGCCCACGACCGCGCCCTCCACGTCCTGCGCGCCGCCCAGCTCGCCCTCGAGCACCTCCCCGATCGCGCACAGCCGCGACCCGAGCTTCACGCGCGCCTCGGCATCCACGCTCACGCGCTGCTGCGAGTAATCGACGCGCGACACGTACGTCTTGCACTGCTCCGTCATGAGGTCCATGGCTTGCGGCGGCGTCTGCGGAGAGTATATGCTCTCCAGCGCGCTCTTCGGCGTCGGCCCGCCCCGGTTCGTCATGTGCGACGCTTCGCTGAAGTTGGCAAAGGCAAGCGTGACGACCTTCTTCGTCTGCTTGTCCGCCATCAGCCGCCACGGCGTCCCGCGCTTCCCGCTCGCGAGCGTCTCCCCGAGCCCGACCGCGAGCTCCGCGTACAAGTGCCGCGGGTTCCGGTCCAGCGGCGACGCCGTGTGCAGCACGAACGACAGGTCCGAGTCCACCATCTCCTGGATCAGGACGCCCATGCGCGCCGTGCGGGCGTCGATGCCCGCCGTATGCCGCGCGAGGATCGCCCGGCGCGAGAACAAGCTCGCCCACACCTGCGAGATGGCCGCGGCGAGCACGTCGCGGTGCGCGCAGGGCACGCCGAGCCGCGAGTCGTACAGCCCGGCCGCCGCCATGCCCGCGACGTCCTCCACGTTCGCCGACGACCGCACCACGAGCCGCGCCTCCTGCGGGAACGCCGCCTGTATGCTCTCCAGCATCTTGGCGTCGGGCCGGATGTGCGAAGTGATGATGGCCTTCATCTTGTGCGCGCACATCTCCGCCGCCTCCACGTCGAGCTCGCGGCGGTTGAGCGTCTCCAGGAGCTCCTCGAACGACTCCCGCACGTCCGCGGCGCTCTTCTCGAGCATGCGGTCGAAGGCGTCGTAGGGCAGCGCCACGCCGCGGGGCACCGAGAACTCCGAGAGCTCGTCGCCCACGGACGCGTTCGCGAGCCGCGCGAGCGCCGTGCAGCCGAACGCCTTGTGCCCCGCGACCTCCGGGCCGCCGAGGTTCTCGACCAGCACCGCCTCGTGGCCCGAGGGATCCGCGACGGCGGTGGCGGACTTCGAGGCCGGCTTCGCGCGCTGCGGCGCCGCGCCCGCGTCGGCGCGCGCGCTGGCGACGAGTTCCTCGACCTCCGGGGTCGTCACGTCGGAGAAGCTGACGGTGAGCTCCCCGCTGTCCGCCACCGACACCTGGTCGACCTTCACGGCCCGCTGCGGCTTCGCCGGCCCGTTGCCGCTCACCGCGGCCGCGTCCTCCTCGTCGAGGACCACCGCCGGCGCGGGCGGCGCGTCCTCGGACCCCAGAGGCCGCAGCGACACCCCCTCGGCTGACGCCATCAGCGTCACCTGCTTTCCGAGCAGCGGGTGGACCTTCTCCGCGACGAGCTCGGCGTCGTCGACGCAGATGAACGGCACGCCCTCTTGCCGCGCGCGCACGCCCAGGTGCGACAGGTGCGGCAGCGCCTGCGTGAGGATGATGCCCGCCAGGTGCGGCCCGGCGCTCGACAGCTCCTCGTCGCCCGTCGCGGCGTCCGCGACGAGAATCACGTCCTGCCCGTCCTTCCCGATCCCGTTCAGCTCCGCGTCGCCCAGCCCCGACACGCGCTCGAGGCGCCCCGCCGACCGCCCCGCCACAATGGCCTCCCACGCCTCCGACCCCGACGCGATCAGGCAGGCCTTCCGGACCACCTGGCAGATCTTCGAGAGCTGGAACACGAGCGACGCGCGGATCTCCGACTCGGCGAACTGCGACGAGAGCCGCACGTCGAGCCCCAGCGCGCTGGCGAGCGTCCCGGCGCGCTCAGGGTACAGGTGGATGAGGGCCTCGCAGTAGCCCTCGACGAGGCGCTGCGTGCGCTCGAGCGTGGCCTTGAGGCGCAGCGCGTTGTGGCGCTCCTGGAACTGCCCCTGCTGCTGCCACGTGGCCAGCTCGTGCTCCACCGCCAAGCACTCCCCCTGGTCGAGGCCCGAGAGGCCGAGCTGCCGCATGGCGATGACCATCGCGCCGATCGGGAGCGACCACTCCTTCTCGTGCGCGCCGCCGAGGAAGTCCGCGCCGCCGCGCACCTCGAGCGCGTTGATGAATCGTGAGAGCAGCACGTATGAGAAGTTCTCGCACTTGATCTCCGCGACGCGCCACCGCTGCCGCATGACCATCGCGCTGTTCGGCGCGTCGTTCCGCAGCCCGCTCGACAGCCCCGACAGCAGCAGAGCCCGCACCGTCGTCAGGCGGTGCAGCACGTCCATGATCTGCTGCACGCTGGCGCTGCCGTCGGCCTCCGCGGCGTCCATCGTCTCCTTCGCGCTGATGAACGCCTCGATCGTCGACACGTGGTTGCTGTCGAGCGACGGCACGATGTTCTCGAGCAGCGTCCGGAGGCTGCCCGCCCCGAAGAACTCGCGCAGCTCGTCGCGGAAGAGCGAGAACTCGGCGACGAAGCCCTCGGGGTAGTTCGCGCCGGGCGCCGTGATCCTTGCGAGCATCTCCTCGGTCGCGACGAGGTCCTCCGGCCCGGCGTTGCGGTGGAGCTTGTTCTGGATGGTGTGCTTGATCTCGCGCTTGAGGTCCTGGGGGATGTCGTTGCGGTGCGCGATGTCGCGGATGCGCGTCAGCGGCGTCGAGACGGTGAACTCGTCGGAGAAGGACGGGAGCATGCTGACGAGCTTGCGCGCGAGCAGCTTCGACGCGAAGCTCCGGCTGCCGTCCCCGATCACCCATTCGAGGGACCGAAAGACGACTTTCGATATCTCGGCGTGGCGATTGGGGCGGTGGTGCCCGCCGTCCTCGACGCACTCGATCGCGCCCGTCGACACCCAGCTCCAGTACACCGTCGCCCACGCCAGCGACGCCTCGTCCGGCCGCGCCATGGCCGCCTTGCGCACCAGAATCGACTGCATCAGCTCCAGCTTCTTGCGCCACGACCCGGCCTCCTTGTCGCCCACGACGATGTCCAGCGCGGGGCCCTCGAGGCCCTCCGTGTTCCACACGCCCTTGCGCTCGCGGCGGTGTTCGTTGCTCTGCATAAACACCGTGCTCTTCCCGCGCCAGTCCGGGAGGCCCTCGTCGTCCACGCTGAGCCCCACGTCCGACGACGTCAGCGCCGCGTCGTACCCGTCGCCCACGACCATCCGCTCCGGCGGGCCCGACCCCCCGCTGTCTTCGAGCCGCACCGCGACGCCGCCCTCGGCCTCCCGGTCGTTCTCCTCGCTGTCGCTGTTCAGGAACCCGTCCGGCGTCCGCTGCCCGAACACGCCCTCCTCGGGCCCGGGCGCCGTGAAGCCCTCCGCGCCCTGCTCGTTCCCGATGGACCCAGGGGCCTTGGGGCGCCCCGAGCCCTCCTCGAAGGTCTCGACGACGGTGCTCGTGGTGTCGTCCCACTCGCACGCGAGCTCCACGTACGACGCGGAGTCCGACAGCGACGCGGTGCGGTTGCCGCCCGACTCCCAGACCGCGCTGCCGTCGCCCTGCGTTGCCGGCGGGGGCAGTTGAGGCGGTTCGCGGGGCCGGGCCGCGGCGCGGGGGCGCGGGCGTCGCGGTGCGGGGAGGATGGGGGACAGAGGAGGCGCGGGGCAGCTCGGAGCGGGGGTTCGCGGCGCGGCGGCGCGCAGGGCGCCGCGTGTTGGGGGGCGTGGTGCGCACCATTAGGAGGACGAGCTTGAAGTCGGTTTCGGAGCCGCGGGGCAGCTCGACTTCCGCCCACCACACGTGTCCGTCGCTCCACTGCATCTTGGGCCCCTTGCTCACGTCCCAGCTCCCCAGCTGCGCGCCCTCGCCAACCAGGACGAGGGACTGCCCGAACTCCGTTTCCTTCCTGCGGGCCGAGGGCGGACGTGAGGTGGATGCGTGAGATGGGTGCGGGCGGGCGCGCCGGGATGACGCGTGGCGCGGCGGGGGGAGGCGCGCGGTGAGCCGAGGGTGCAACTGCGTAGCTAGAGCGCCCGCGGCGTCGCCGGGAGGGGCCGCGCGGGGCTCTGAAGCGGCTGCCCGCACTGCATTGAACTTCTGCATGGCGCGCGGAGCGAGGCCGCGGCGCGGGGCCGGCCACCGGGGCGCGCAACGCGCAGCCTCCAGGTGGAAGAGGCAGAGGTGCGTGCGAGCGCCGGCCCGCTGGCGAACAACGACGGAACGTTCCCTTGCAGGCTGACTGGCGCGGAGACGCGTGCCGGGGGCGCGTGGAGGGCCGGTATCAAGGCCGTGCGGCTCTGAACACCGCGGAACAACAGGCTCACCTGGCCGATATGCGGAGCTTTGCATTCTCCGCGGCTTTCGCGACGACGTTGCCGCGCGCCGTCGCCCTCCTCGCCACGCACGGCCCGGAAAGCCGCGCCGGCGCCGGCCTCGTGGGCCCCACGGCCCGCCGCGCCGCACCTGCACGCGGGTAGCTGCCGTCGAGGGCGTGACCCCGCCGCACGCGAATAGGGCAATGCATGGCCCGCGGGCGGCGCGGTCGCGTCCGCAGACGCCCTAGGAGCCCTGGGATCCGCGGACGGCCCGCAGGCCCGCCCAGGGACGCGATGGTGGACGCGTAGCTTCTTCCACCAGTGGTCGCCGGCTGGCCCGCACGGCCCGGCAGCGCGCGCCCTGGCGCCCAGGGGCGGCCGCGTGGGGCCGCGGGCGCGAGGGCAGGCCCGTCGGGGGCCCGGCGGGCGGCGTGGGGGCCGGGCGGGGCGAGCACCGCAGCGGCTGTTGGAGGGAGCGTGTGCTCGCTCGCACGACTGGGGGCCCGCGGGACGTACCTTGGACGGCGCGGCCGCGGCTTGCTACTCTAACATTTATTCCCGGCACTACGGTCCCTACGGCGGCCTTCATGCTGCTGAGACCCGCCCGCCAGGTGGTTGGGACGAGCGAAGCCACGCTAGGCTCGCCGCCTCCTTCTCGCCGGTCGGATCGATCTGCCCTGCGCGTGAATCTGCGCGTGTGCCGCGCGGGCCGCGGCGAAAGTCGGCCTCGCGCGCATCCACACGCTCCCACGAACAGGGAGGGGGTCTACTTTACGTTGCGGGCGCGCCGAAACCCCCCACGAACGTCGCGAGGCGGCGGGAGAGGCGTCGACCGGTCCTCGCGGCGCTGCGGGCCGCACCGCGCGCCGAGCCGACGCCCCGCGCGGCGGAAGCACGTCAGCGCACCCGAGCACGCCCCCGGCCCCGCAGCGGCGCAGCCGCGCGCCGAACTCCGCCGAAAACGCATCAAGCCGTCACACAAGCACCAACGCACACCCCGCGACGCATCCACGGCCACGAACCCCCACGACCGGCCCTCCCGGCCCACGTAAACGTCGTGCAGTCAGCACCAGCCCGCACCTCCGCCCCCGCGCCGCCCCTCCCCTCCACGCACCCCCACACCCCTCCTCAGTCCTGGTCCATGCTGCCCTCCGCGTACCGGTTCAGCCAGCTGCCCCGCCAGCTCCGCACGGCCCCGCGCCTGCGTGCGCTCGTGCCCACACGCTTGCGCGTGGCCGGCTTCGACTTCAGCTGCCGCCGCAAGCGCCGCTGGAAGCTCCGCCGCCGCCCGGCCTTCCGCACCGCGATCGACATCCCGTCCATGTGCTCCCGCTCCTCCCTGGAGGCCTCCTCGTCCAGCGTCGACTTCAGCGCCGGCGCCGCGCCCACCGCCACCGGCTCCGCCTCAGCCTCCTCCTCCTCCTCCTCCTCCTCCTCCTCCTCTGTCTCGACCTCGCTCTCAGGCGCCGCGCCCCCCTCGTCGTCGGACGACGACGACCCCGTCACGCGAAACACCTTCTGTCCGTCCGCGTCGTCCACAATGTCGATGTCCACCGACTTCAGCAGCTCCTCCGTGTACTCGAAGACGTCGTCGTCCTGCGACCCCGTCCGGTTGGTGACCTTGGGCGCAGGCACGCTCGGCTTCTTCAGCAACTCTTCCGTCTCCCGCAGGGCCGCGGCGGCGGCCGCGGCAGCGGACTCGGCCTTCGCGGCCGCCGCGCGGTGCTTCTGCAGCGCCGCGTCCGCGGAGGTGGCTTCGTCGTCCGAGTCCTCGTCGGCCGACGCGGTGCGGCCCGTGCGCTCGCGCACGCTGTCGAAGAACAAAAGCGACGCCGCCTTCGCTGCTTCCTCCGCCGTGACCTCCGCGTCCGAGTCGCTGTCGGAGTCGGCGCCGAACTGCTGCGCCGGCGCCCGCGCGCGCTCCCGCACCTGCCCAAAGAACAACGCCGCCCGCGCCTCCGCCTCCGCCGCCTCCGCCTCCGCCGCTTCGGCCGCCGCTGCCGCCTCCGCCGCTGCCGCCTCCGCCGCCGCCGCCTCCGCCGCCGCTGCCTCCGCCGCCGCGGCGGCCGCCTTCTCGTCGCTGTCCGCAGCAGCTGCGGGCGGGGGGCTCTGGGCGCGCTCGCGCACCCGCGCGAAGAACGCCTCCGCCCTGGACGCCTCCTCCGCCTCCACGTCGACGCCGGCCTCGCCCGCGGCCGCGTCGGACTCGAACGCGAGGTCCAGCGTCGCCGGGGCCCCCCCGGGGGCCTCCGCGTCCGACTCCCCCCCCTCGTCGGCCGAGGCCAGGCCGCCGAGCGGACCGTCCTCGACGTCGGACTCCGCGTCCGCGATCGCCGCCGCCGGCGCCGCCATGTCGCTCTCGGACTCTTCCGCAAGGAACGTCGCGCCTTCCAGGCTCTCCGGCTCCCGCGCCGCCACGGGCGCCTCGGCGGGCGCAGGAGCCGCGTCGACAGGCTCCTCGGCGGCCGCGGCCTCGGCCTCCGGCGCGGCGGCGTCGGGGACGGGGTCCTCCTCGGGGGAGTCGGCGGGGGAGTCTGCCTCGAAGTCCGACTCCGTCACGACGTCGACGAAGGGCGCCGCCGGCGCCGGAGCTTCCGCGGCGGGCGCGGGGGCCGCCGCTGCGTCTGCGCTGTCCTCGGCGTCGGGGGCGGTGGGCGTGGCGGTAGCGGTGTCGTCGGCGGCGCTGGGGGTCTCCGGCGCCGTGGGCTCGGCGGCCTCGGGGTCCGCCTCGAGGACCTCGTACTCCTCGACGGCGGTGGACGACGTGTCGTCCCAGTCGCAGTTGATCGCCATGCTCGCCACATCCTCCCCCAGCTCAGCCGAGCGGTTGTCGCCCTGCTCCCAGACGGCCGTCCCGTCGCCCTGCGTGGCGCAGAACAGCATTGCGAACGCACGTGAGGGCGCGTCGCGGCGCCTTAGGCGCGGGCTTCTCCGCGCGACGCGTCCACAACGCTGCTACCACACCCCGCGCGCCCGGCAAGTGTGCTGCGCGGCGTGCACAGTTATTTGCGCGTTTCTGCTGTACAACTACGGAGAAAACGGAGACGGGCCGCGCGACGGACGCGCGCAGCGCGCGCGCCGCGGCAGGAGCGGGCGAAGGCGGATTGTGAGCGGACCTCTAGGAGGACGAGCTTGAAGTCCGCAGTGGCCCCGCGGGGCAGCTCGACCGTCGTGCTCCACACGTGGCCCTCGCTCCACTCCATCTTGGCCGCGGCGTCGACGTTCCAGTTCCCCAGCGCCGGGCCGTCCCCGACTAGCACCAGGCTCTGACCCAGCGCCGTCTCGTACCTGCGGGAACAGGATCCGTGCGTCGCGGGCCCGGTGTGTTGCACGCGACGTGGACATGCCGGCTGCCGCGCGATCGCGGAACCGGAGCGCCTGGCGGGACCCGTGCGCCCCGGAATCCACACGAGGGCCTCGAAAGCGCGGATTGCAGCCGCGCGGGGCTCGCGTCGCGCCACTTGTCGCGCCCAGCCTCGCAACCAGTGCCTTGCCGTGCTGGAGAGCCGCCGTGGAGGCGCAATACAAGCGCCGGGCCGCCGTGCGGGCGGGCCTCGTTTCCTCCCACCTGGTAGAGACCCGGACCGTAGCGCTTCCCTCCGCATGCGCCACGATGCCTGCCCGCCTCTCGGCGCTGCGCGCGATCCTCGGCGCGGAGGGCCGCAGCGCCGCCGGTTTCACGCCCACCGCGGGCCGCAGCGCTGCTCCTGCAAACCGCAGCTTAGAACGCACGCCGTGAGGTCCGCCGCGGCCCCCAGGCGACGCTGTGCCGCACGACCTCGCATTACGCAGCGCGCATGCCGGCGGCGGCGCCGCACGCAGCCGAAGCCGCGAGGACCGGGCGCATGAGGGGCCCTGGCTGGTGCACAGAAAGCGTGGCTTCCACAGCCTGGTGGGGCTACACGTGCGCTGCCCGCGCGCCCAGCGAGGCTGGCTGGGCTGTTGCGTCGTGTCGGGGCGGCGTTCGTTCCGACAGCTGGGCACGAGGCTCAAACGCGGTGAAAGCACACACAGTGAGGGTGTGTGGGCCTCCGTTGCGCGTACCTGGCGCGGCGCGACTCCCTGCGCGCCTCGCCGTTCTAGCAGCGATCCCTCCCGGCACCGCTCTACCCACCGATGCCTTCATCCTGCCGTCCACGCGATGAGCGCGGGCGTCCGCCTGGTCCGGGTGGTTGCGGTCTGCCGCTCGCGTGCGAGGCTCACGATATCGGGCCTAACGCTCCGAATTCCGGCCCCTCTCAAAACGACTGCACGGCAGCGCCGCGGAACCCCGCACTTTACCCCCGCCACAGCCCCACGCAGCCGGTCGTCCCGACGCCCCCATCTGTCGCCAGTCGCACCATGCCGACCCCGCAGCGACGCAACGTTCCGCCCGGTCACCGACGTCCCGATCGCACGCCCCCCGGCACGCTCTCGTGCGCACCGCGACCGCGCCGGCCCTCGCGCACGCATCTGAGGAGCCATCCGCACAGCGACACACCCACGCGACCGTTCCGGCCCCTCAACGCGCTCGCGACGGGCGGCGGGCAGGACGGCACGCGTCACACAAGTCTCGCGGCGCCCCGCCGCGGCAAACACACCCCCCGGCGCAGCCGAGTTGCACGTTGATCAAACGCCGTGTTGCAACCCTGCACCGGACCCCGCCGGTCCCGGCGCGCGCGCCTAGTTGTCCTCGTCGCGGCTCTTCCGGAAGAAGCCGAGCGGGTTCGGGAGTTTCGGCAGCTTGCCGCCGGCCTTCTTCTTGTTGTCGCTGGCGGACGGCTCCGTCGCCGTTTCAGTCTTTCCGGTCGACTTCTTGCTGCCGAATGGCTTCGTCTTCGTGGGCTTCGTCTCGACCTCGACCGCGGTGGCCGCGGTGTTGTTCCACTCGCACTCGACCGCGACGGCCGACGCGCCCTCCGCGACGGCCACCACGCGGTTGTCGCCGCTCTCCCAAGTGGCCGAACCGTCGCCCTGCGCGCGCGGGACGGCGTGGGGACGCGCGTGAGGCCACGTGGTGGGCGCGGGGCGGCCGGCGCGCCCCGCTCTCGCGGTCACGAGCGCGCCGACCCGCCTGTCGTGCCCGCGCTGGCGCAGGGCCTAGCCCCCGGCACAGCGTCTGCGATGCCGCGCTGTTCGTCACGCGGCTCTCCACGGCGGCAGACTAGTTCGACAGCAACGCGGCGAGCGGGGCGGATGCGGAGAAGGGCGTCGATCCGGGCGCGGGCGCGCAGATGCTGTCCTGGGATAGTGCGCACGTTGATCATGACGAGCTTGAAGTACGCGTCCAGACCGCCAGGAACGTCGAGCTCAGTGCTCCACACGTGTCCCTCGCCCCACGTCATCTCGTGCGCCTGGCTCACGTCCCACTCCCCGAGCGCGGCGCCGTCGCCCACGACGACGAGGCTCTGCCCCGGCGTCGTCTCCTTCCTGCGCAGCGACGAAGGGTCACCGTGCGGCGTGGGCGCCGCGTCAGTTCGTAGATAACGCGCGCGGAGCGCCGGCGACGCATCACGGCCTGTGGCGGAACCGGGCCGCCCCGCTTGAGCTGTGTTGGAGCACTTTCGCCCGCCGCGCGTGGCCGCGCGTGTGGTTGTGGGTGCGGTGCTGGAGGCGCTCTGGAAGCATACAAGCGCGCAGGCGCGCGCATCCGGCGCGCTGGGGCGCAGGGAGGTCACGCAGCGGCCGCGTTGTTGTTGCTCGCACCGGCACGACAGCTTCATCTTGGTGCTTGTGCTGACGGCGACCGCGCGCGTCACGACGAAGTTGGCGCGGCGCGTCGTCCGAGACGCGGTGTGGAGGCGGAAGAGCCGCGCCGGAGACGGCCGCGCGGGCGCGCAGGCCCCCGCGACCGCGCCTGCGCAGGGGAGAGAGAGCACGAGCGTGCGCTCAGCGGACGAAGGGGTGCGTGGGCGCTGTCTGCGCCGTTGGGGAGCAGAAAGCTTGGTCTATCGCGATGCGTGCGCGGTGGCCGGCCAGATGCGCGGAGCTCGCGACGGCAGCCGGATCCCTATGGAGCAGCTACGCAGGGTGCTGTCGTCCGGCCCTGCCGCTCGTGCGAGCGCTATCCGGTCACCAGGCGTGAAACCCGAATGTATTGGTGGTTGTGGTCCAGGACGAGGCCGTTTGAAAGGTCCAGCGGCCCGCGTGCCGCGGCTGCGGCACCTGGAGTGCGAAATGCTTGGGCGGTGAGTGCGTGCGCGACGCGCACCTGCGGCGTTGCAGCTGCGCTGAGCGAGCCGGGGAGTTGCCATCGTGGCGGACGTGAGCGACGAAGCGTTCATTTTCGCGTCCTCGGAGAGCGCGCGCGGGACTCGTCTCTTGCCGGTGGCAGGGCGTCGGTCTCCGGGGACGCAGGACGGTCAGCCCTGGCAAACGATGCACCTCGCGGCTCCTGAATTCGAATGCGCCCATACCCGCACGCGCGACGCCTTGTGGGCCGCTCCCGCGCCGCGGGCGCCTGACGTCGCTTGCCCCTCACACACCCCCCCCCGCCGATCATGGCCCCCAGCTCTTCCCTCGCAACCCGCTCAGCACTCCAGGCATCCAGTCATCACCACTGCGGTCTGAAGTCACGAACAGCGCGCAACGCGGGGGAACCAAGCAGCGCCGCCCGCACACACACTGCCGCTGCTCTGCCTGACGCGCGTGCGACCGCCGCGGCCAGGCGTCGCGCCTGCACACAGCCGACAAGTCCCCGGCCCGCCGACGGGCACTGAAGGCCAATCGCGCTTCAGCCGACCAAGTAACATAGCACTGTTCGTACGCGTGGAAATGAAGTCTCTTTTCGAAGGTATTCGAGGCCGAACAAGTGCGACAGAAACAAGCAGACCCCACCGCGCTCACACGCGCCGCAGCGCCGCGTCCTAAACGTAGGCCCGCGCGTCCGTCTGCGCCGCCGTAAGCCCTACTCCCTCGCCAGTGTCCTATCATCAGTCAATTCGCTATTAGGGCTGAAGGACCTCTCTCCGCAGAGCTGCGTCTCTCTCAGTTCTTGGTTGGTCAGTCATGGCATGTCGTGGCGTCCTCGCTTGGGTTCGTTAGTCAGTGCATGCGACCCGAAGTGCCATCAGCCGTAGCACCCTGTCCCCCGTTCCCCGGCCTCCGTGCGCGAGCGACGTCCGGGCTGCGCACGATCCTGGCCAGGGAACTCCAAATGAGTTGGTTTGTCGTGGTGGTTCGTTTGTATAGTCGTAGTGGAAGCAGGGGAGGAGTGTGCAAACCCCCCCAAACCTACTCGTCGGCCTCCGCGTCCTTGCCCCCCAGGCCGAGAATCTTCATCCAGGTGCTCCGCGACGTCCTCCGCGCGCGGCGAGACCCCCCCTTCGCGTCGCCGGTCTCCGACCCAGAGCCCTCGCTGCCGCTGCTGCCGCTGCCGCCGCGGCGCGAGCGCTTCTCGCGGCGGCGCCCCGACAGCAGCTGCACCATCATGCTCGGGGACTCGTTCTTCGGCAGCTCGTCGTCGCTGTCCTCGTCGTCGCTGTTCCAGTCCTTGGCACGCAGGTCGGCGCCGGCGTCGCCGGTGCTCGCGAGCTCGCTGGTCGACGCCGACTTCAGGTCGGGCACGCCGGCAGCGGCGCCCGCGGTGTCGGCGGGCGTCGGTGCCGCCTCGGGCCAGGCGATGGCGTCGCTGGCCTCGACAGTGGACGCGGCGCGCCTCTCGATGGCGGACCGGCGGCGCTCCTCGACGCTGTTGCGGAGACGCGCCACGACGGCGACGGCGTCCTCCACTGCGGCGGTGTCGCTCGCGAGCTCGCTGGCCGACGCCGACTTCTTCAGGTCCGGCACGCCGTTTGTCGCGACATCACTGCTGGTGGACGCGCGCACGACGGCGCCGTTCGTCTCGGCGGTGGACGCCGCGCGCCTCTCGATGGCGGACCGGCGGCGCTCCTCGACGCTGCGACGGACGCGCGCCACGACGGACACGGCGTCATCGAGGACGGCGTCGGTGCGGCTCGCGAGGTCGCTGGACGACGCAGACTTCTTGAGCTCGGCCACTCCGTTCTCCGCAACGGCACCGGTCGCGGAGCTCGCGGTGTTCGTCTCGGGAGCGGGGGCCACGTCCGGCGCGAGGACCGTGTCCGTCGTCTCCGCCCCGGAAGACTTGCGCCTCTCGATGGCCGACCGGCGGCGCTCCTCGACGCTGTGGCGGAGGCGCGCAACGACAGCCTGGTCCGGCGCCTGCTTCGGGGTGCGGCTTGCGAGCTCGCTGGTCGATGCCGACCGGAGGTCGGGCATCCCGCTCGCAGCCGCACCGTACGCAGAGGCCGACGCCTCCGCGGCCGACTTCCGGGCCGCCGCGTCGGGCCAGGCGATGGCGTTGTTCGCCTCCACGGTCGACGACGCGCGCCTCTCGATGGCGGACCGGCGGCGCTCCTCGACGCTGTTGCGGAGCCGCGCCATGACGTTGGCGCGGTCGTCCTCCGCGAGCTCGCCGGTCGAAGCCGACTTCCACGTCTCGGGCTCGCTGCCGGGCGCCCAGGGCCCGGTGTACGCGCTGGTGGGCCTCGGGCGCTCGTCCGGCCACGCGATGGCGTGCTCGGGCTCGACGGCCGACGCGAGGTGCTCGATCGCGGACCGGCGGCGCGTCGCGACCTGCCGCCGCAGGCGCCCAAGGATGCCCGGGAGGTCGATCGACCCCGTGACCTCGGCCGAGCCCGTGAGCTTCTCGCCCTGAGGCCGCGCGTCCAGGTGCGTCGTGCTGTTCGTCGCCTTGAACGCCCTCTCGTCCGCGCTCCCGGACTTCGACCGGATGTCTGCCTGGTGCTTGAGACGAGACAGGATGTTCGGCAGGTCCACGGAGCCCGTGAGGTCGGCTGAGCCGCGCAGGTCCGCGCCCGCCGAGCCCACTGACGCCAGTGCGTCCTTGACCTGCGCCGGAGTGTACGCAGCCGACTTCTTCCTCGGCTGCGTCGGAGCGCTGCGCGCGTGCATCGCGGCGCTCGCCCTGCCGTCGTCAGACACCCGCGGCGTGTCTGGGAGCTCGAACGACACCGGACCGGCGCCCCTGCTGGCCTGAGCCTCGTCTGCGTCCTTGCCATCCGGATCCGCGGCGGTGGAGACCTCGCCGTCGTCGCTGGCGGTCTCCCCGAGGAGGCTCTCGCTGTCCGGGAGCTCGAACGCCTCCGGCATGGCGTCCACGTCTGCCTGCTTGGCGCCGCTCGGAAGCTCCACGTCCGCGACGGCTGCAGCGGCCGGCGGCTCGGGGACGTCCGCCACCTGCGCCACCTCGCCTAGCTCGGCCTCCGCCGGCACCGCGTCGATCTCCGGCTCCTCCTCGACGTCGGTCGCAGCCGGCGCGACGTCGCTCGCGAGGGCCGCGTCCACCGCAGGAGCTGCGGCGGCCTTGTCGACTGGCACCGCCTCCTCCGCCGCGGCCGCCTCCTCTGCCAGCGGGGTGTCCGCCAGCTCGGCGGCAGCCTCCTCCGCGAGGGGGGTGTCCGGAACCTCCGCGGCTGCCTCCTCGGCGAGGGGGGTGTCCGCCAGGGGAGTGTCCGCCAGCTCCGCGGCCGCCTCCTCCGCCGCGGCTGCCTCCTCGGCGAGGGGGGTGTCCGCCAGGGGAGTGTCCGCCAGCTCCGCGGCCGCCTCCTCCGCCGCGGCTGCCTCCTCGGCGGGGGGGGTGTCCGCCAGCTCCGCGACGCCCTGCGCCTGCTCGTTGTCGACTGCGACATCAGCGGCGGGCGCGTCGTCCGTCGCCACGGCGTCCTTGAACTCCAGAGCCTTGCTGTCAAGCACTGCCTCGACCGCGGGGGTGTCTTCGGTCGGCACAGCCGCCGCCGTCTCGACGCCGCTCGACGGCTGCTGCCGGAATCCCTTGGCGAGCTTCAGGTCGGCCGCCGGAGCCCTCGCGGCGTCGCTGCGCTTGGGTTTGGCGCTGGCCGCGGCTGCGGTGGTCTTGAACCCGTTGACGAGCGAAAAGAAGCCGGTCGCGAGTGACTTGAGGGCAGGCTCGACCGACGGCTTGGCCCGCGTCGCTGCGCGCCCCAAGGCCTCCACCGGCGCGCCAACGTTGATCGCCGGCATGGCGCGCCCCTTGGCAGCACCCTTCGCCTTCCCGGCCGCGTTCGAAGCGCCGGCGTTCGGCGTGGCCGCCTTCGCCTGCGACGCGCCACCGGCGGCAGTGCCTGCCGTCGGCGCGCCAGCCGCCGGCTTCTCGGGGAGAACGAACGTAGGGTCGTCGTACGGCGCGATGCCGTCGAGCACCTGTGCCTTCGGGGGCGGGGCGAACGTGGGGTCGTCGTACGGCGCGGTGCCGTCCAGGACCTGCTGCTCCGGCGTGGGCACCTGCGCCGCCGCGTCGACGGCTTCGGCCTCCGCCAGCACGTACGTGTCGTCGTCGGCCGAGTCCAGGGCGCTGGCGTCGCCGGCGAGCGCCCCGGACTTGCCGTTCAGGTCCAGGAAGGCTCGCGACTTGGCCACTTCGGCAGCGCTGTCGGTCTCGCCGCCGGCCGGCGCCTCCGACGTGCTGCTGCCCGCGTCGCCGACGTCCTCCATGTCCGCGGCCTCGGACGCGAGGGAAGAGGCGTACCCGCTGTCCATGTCCGCCATGAGCTCGCCAAACGGCGCCGCCTCGGGCTCGCTGGTCGCGGCCGCCGCGCCGACGTCCTCCGTGACAGCGGCCTCGATGGTGTCCGCGACGCTCGGCGCGTCGCCGCCCGCCTCGGAGACGGCCGCGTCGTCCGTCCCCGGCAAGACGTCGGCAGCGCTGGACGCCGAGACATCGAGGTTCGGTTCCGGTGCGCCTGCGAGGAGCTCTTCCGGAGTGCGCTCGTCGAGCGCCTCCTCATCAAGCTCCTCGGCCGCGTCCGTCGCAGCAAGCTGCTCAGCCGCAGCGGCCGAGGCTGCGTCGGCGACGGAAGCAGAAAGCTCGTCCGCGTCCGCGACGGGCCCTTCCGGGGTGCGCTCGTCGAGCGCCCCCTCATCAGGCCCGGTGATGGTCTCGCGCAGCTCCTCCGAGGCGTCCGCGACCTCGCCCTCAAGCTCAGCAAGCGAGGCATCCTGCGCGAAAGCACGATCTTGGAACTTGGTCTTCGCCGAAGCCACACCGTTGGACTTGGTGTCTTCGAGCTCGTCGTCCGACTCGGACGACGACATGTCGATCGAAATCCTTACCTGTGCGTCACTCAGACTCGCGGCGAACGCCGTCGCCTCCGCCAGCGCCGCCTCCGCCGACAACGTCTCCTCCTCCTCCGCAGCGGGTGCCGCGGCCGCCTCCTGCTGCGCAACAGTCTGCTCGGCGTCCAGCGCCGCCTCTTCGGCGTCCGCGCTGTCCACGTCAGCCGCAGCGTCAGCGACGCCGCTCGCGACCTCCGCGCCAGCCTGCACGACAGGCTTGACGTCGGCCGTGCGGGCCGCCTCGAGCAGCTCCGGCGGCGGGGGCGAGGGCCGGCGCAGGCGGGGCGCGGTGTCCTGCGCCTCCGCGACCGCGGCGTCGGTTCCCGCGGCCTCCGTGACGTCCGGCGTGCGCTCCGCCGTCTCCACCTCGTCGGCAACGTCCTCCTCCTCAACGACAGGAGCCTCGGCAGTCGCGGCCGCAGCCTCGACCGCTGCATCAACCTCCTGCGTCTGCCCCTTGCGAACGTCCTCCTCCCGAGACTGCGAAGCGGCGCCGAGCTCCTTGGTCGCTACCTCGGACCTCGCCGCCTCGACGAGCCTGCGCGGGGGCGGCGACGGCCGGCGCAGACGAGGCAGCGCCTCCTGCTCCCGCGCCAAGCCGTTCGTCCGCGCGCCGAAGGCCCGGCCGAAGAGCGACAGCCCGGAGCCCTCGCCTGTGGACTCAGCAGCCTGCGCCGCGCCGGACGCGCCCGAAGCCGCAGCTTCGCTGGTCTTCGCGGGTGCTTCCGCCCCGCGCGAGACAGCCGCGCCGCTGCCCACGTCAGCCCCGGCCTCCAGCACTGCTGCTCCCGCGTCCTCGGCCGCGTCGCTGACAACATCGGCGCTGTCCAGGCCAGCCACGGCCGAGTCGGCGACCTCCTCGACAGCCTCGACCTCCGCTGCCTCGAGCCCTGCTGCTGTGTCGGCATCCGCCGCAACGTCGGTCTCGGCAGCGGGCTTCAGGGCGTCGGCGAAGAGGTCCAAGCCCGCAGCCTTCTCCTCGTCAGCTGCCGGCGCCTCCGCGTCCGCTTGCGCCTTCAAGACATCCTCACTGGTCGTGTCGCCCGCCGCAGCGTCATCGCTGACCGCCGGCGCCGTCGCCTCCTCAGCCGCCACCTCGACATCGGCCTTCGCACCGTCGCCCACAGCGGCCTTGTCGCCATGCACGAAGCTGTCAGAGAGCTCCACGGCGTCCTCCGCAGCGCTCGTAACGTCGCCCACAGCCGAGTCGAACCCGTTCGCCGTGGCGGTATCGCCCTCCGCAACCTGCTCGCTGGCCGCCTGCGCCTCGGCCGCGGTCTCGGCGTCCGCCTCGACGACGTCGCCGACGGACGACTTGAACCCGTTGGCAAACGTGGCGGTGTCGCCCTCCGCAACCTGCTCGCTGGCCGCCTGCGCCTCCTCCGCCGCGGGCTCGACGTCGGCGCGCTCGTCGGCCTCGGGTGCGGCGTCCTTGAAGCCGTTCATGAAGGAAAAGGACCCCGCAGTCTTCCGCGCGCGGGCAGGCTCGACAGGCAGCGCCGCCGGCGCCGACGCGCTGTCCTGGGCCTTGACCGGCGCGTCACCGTCGATGTCGGCCTTCGTGAGCGCGTCCGCGGTGTCGTCGGCGACGTCGCGCTCGTCCGACGTTGCGACGCCATCGGTAGCAGCGAGCGCATCGGCCGACGTGGCTTCCGCGGCGCTCTCGTCCTCCGCGGCAGCCTCCTCCGCGTCCTCCGTCACCTCCACGTCCGCCGCGCTGAGCGAGCCGACCTCCAACGCCGCGCTCGCAGAAACACCCTCTGCCTCCTCCGCGGCCGCGACCTCGTCCTCCGCCTCGGCCTGCTTCGACGCGCTCTCCGCGTCCTCGCTCGCGCCCTCGAGAGCCGGCGTCGTGTCCTCCTCGAACCTGCTCTTCCACGACGACGTCGTGCCCCCGCCCGTCACGCTGACCTTAACGTCCAGCGAGGAGCGCCGCTCCTTCGGGGGAGCGTCGCTCGCGGGCGCGACGTCCACGACGCTCGCGGGTGCGGCGTCCGCGACGCTCGCGGTCGCCGCGGCCCCGTCCGCCGCGTCGGTGCCGGGAGAGAGGGCCATGAAGCCGGAGTCGTCGTCGTCCTCGTCCACCGAGGACATCAGGGACTCGAGGAACGTCTCGACGGTGGTCGACGCCGTGTTGTTCCACGGACAGGCCAGCTCGACGAAGGCCGCGAGCTCCGAGAGGGATGCCGTGCGGTTTTGACCCTCCTCCCACGTGGGCCATCCATCGGCCTGCGAGCGTCGACGGTGCACGGAGGGATGGCGTCAGGCGGCGACGCGGGACCAGGTGGTGACGCGCGGGACCGGCAGGCCACCGCTTGACGCACGCGTCGCGGGGGAGGCGTGCGCGTGTGGTCACGCAGCGCAGGTTGCTTGCGCGGTCGCACCTGGAGCAGGGCGAGCTTGAAGTCCGTCTCGGTGCCGCGCGGCAGCTCGATCTCGCCGTGCCACACGTGGCCCTCGCTCCACTGCATCTTCGGCGCCTTGGTCACGTCCCAGCCGCCCAGGCCCGGCCCCTCGCCAACCACGACCATGTTTTGCCCGAACGACGTCTCATACCTGCACCTCAGAGGTACAGAGGGCGACAGAATGTGAGCACTCTACGGCAGCGCACATGACCAGGCGTGCGTCGGGAGGGGGAGGGGGGGTGGGGGGGGGGAGTGTCTTGCCTGGTGGAGATGCGGAGCGTCGCAGTGCGCGGGGAGAGGATGCCCGGGCGTCCCGCGTCGGCGCGGATCGTGCACGCCTCTACCGCGGTGTACGTCGTGTTGTCCCACTCGCACAGGAGCTCCACGCACGACGACGACTTCGACAGCGTCGCGACGCGGTTGTTGCCCTGCTCCCACACCGGCGTTCCGTCCGCGGCGATCAGCACGAGCTTGAACTCCGTCGTCGAGCCGCGCGGCAGCTCCACCTCGGCCGACCACACGTTCCCGTCTTGCGCAGTCATCTGCGGCGCGCTGGCGACGTCCCAGTCGCCCAGCACATCGCCGCCGCCGACCAGTACGAGCGACTCGCCGGGCTGCGTGTCCTTCCTGCAAACCACACACCCAGCACGCCAGCCGATTCGTCAGTCTAGTTCGTTTGATAGCTCGCAGCGCAACACAAACACCCAAACACGTCAATCGCCAGTCCCGCGCGCCGCCGGGCGCGCGCGCGGGGGCGTCGGCGCACGCACTTGACGGAGATCCGCAGCTTGGCCATCTTCACCGCCGGCGACACCTTGGTCCTGTTGTCGTCCAGCGACTTCTTCACGTCGGGGTCCTCGGGGTCAATCGCGAAGGTCCGGACGTCCGTGGCCGCGGTGTTGTTCCACGCGCAGGCCAGCTCCACGAAGCCCGCGAGGTCCGAGAAGGACGCCGTGCGGTTCGGCCCCTGCTCCCAGATCGGCGCGCCGTCCGCGGTGATGAGAGCGAGCTTGAAGTCCGTCTCGGCGCCGCGCGGCAGCTCGATCTCGCCCTTCCAGACGTGCCCCGGCGTCCAGCGCATCCTGGGCGCCTTGCTGACGTCCCAGCCGCCCAGCACCGAGCCCTCCCCGACGACGACCAAGTGCTGGCCCAGCGATGTCTCGTAGATGGTCGAGACCCGAACCGTCGACGCGTTCTGCGGGATGACGCCCGGGGACCCCGCGTCGGCGCGGATCGCGCACGCCTCCACCGCGGTGTACGTCGTGTTGTTCCACTCGCACAGGAGCTCCACGCACGTCGCCGCCTCCGACAGCTCCAGCGTGCGGTCGATGCCCTCCTCCCACACCGGCGCGCCGTCGGCCTGGCGCAGCACGAGCTTGAAGTTCGCGCTGCTCCCGCGCGGCAGCGTCAGCTCCGTCTTCCAAATGTGCCCGGGGGTCCACTCCATCACCAGCCCCTCGGAGACCTCCCAGTCGCCGAGCGCGGGGCCGTCGCCGACCAGCACGAGGCGCTGCCCGACCGCGGTCTCATACCTGCAGCGAACAGCGCACGGCGTTCCTCGATCGTGAAAGAGCGCCGACGCGTGTGCGGTGCAACGCACGGCGTGCGTGCAGCTGCTACGCAGCGTGGGGCGCGAGAGCGGTGGGGATGCGTGCATACCGCGCGGACACTCGGACGACGGCGTCCTCGACGTCGCCCTTCGCCTTCGCCTGCCCCGCGCCTGCGTCGTTGCTGGAGGGAGAGACAGCCGCCGGGGACTCCTCCGGGTCGACGTCGATGGAGTCGGTGACCGAGTCGGTGACCGCCGCGATGTACGCGTTGACGATGGAGTCCCACGCGGCCGCGGACGCGCCGTCGGACTTGGCGTCGTCGCCCGCGGCATTCACCTCCTCCTCTGCCTCCGCGGCGTCGCTGCCGTCGCGGAACGCGGTGGCGGAGCCGTTCGCCTGCCCGTTTGCCTGCCCGTTGGCCTGGTGGGCGGGCGCGTAGCTCGCGGCGCCGTTGGACTGCCCGTTCACCTTGCCGTTCGCCTGGCCGTTCAGCTGGCCGTTGGCTTGCCCATTCGCCTGCCCATTCGCCTGCCCGTTCGCCTGCCCGTTCGCCTGCCCGCTCGTCTGGCCGTTCGCCTGGCCGTTTGCCCGGCCGTTCGTCCTGCGGCCGCGCTTGCCGTTGGCACCGCGCTTGGCCCGGCCGTTCGCGCCCGGCCGCGCCGGCAGCCCCGCGCTGCCGAGGCCCTCCGTGCCCTGTCCGCCCTCGACCGGCCCCGGCCGCGCTTCCTCCACGGCGTGCACCGTCGTCGCCTCCGTGTTGTCCCACTCGCAGCGCACCTCCACACACGACGCCGTCTCCGGGAGCGGCGCGGTGCGGTTGACGCCCGACTCCCAGATAGGCGTGCCGTCCGCCTGCACAGCAACGTCGACGCGGCACGGGCGCTCAGATGTCACGCGCGCGCGCGGCGCCGCGCGGCCACGCCCACTGGCCCCAGGGCCACGCGCGCCGATCGACGCCACGCAGCGGCCGTCATGACGCGATGGCCCGCGCCCCGCGCTCTCCGCGGCGAATACACGCCGGTCGCGCAGGCGGGCGATCGAGACGCGCGGCAGCGAGCTGCACGCGGGGGGCGAGGTTTGCACGCTAAGGCTGGGCCCTCGCACCGTCAAGAGGACGAGCTTGAACTCCGTGTGGGCGCCGCGCGGCACCACGACCTCCCCGCGCCACACGTGGCCGTCGCTCCATCGCGCGCGGGGCGCCTTGCTCACGTCCCAGGCCCCGAGCGCGGGCCCGTCGCCGACCAGCACGAGCTCCTGCCCCTCCTCCGTCTCCTTCCTGCGCGCGTGCGTCGGGGGCGCGGCCGGTCGGAGCGCGCTGGGGGGCGTCGGATCGGCCCGCCGGGATCGGAGCGGCGCGCGGAGCGGCCGCGGGCGCCGGGCGCGCGCGCGAATTCTGCCAGAGCGCGCCAAAGTGGGCCACGGGGCGGCGCGAGGCGCATCGTGGAGGAGAGCGCGGCGCTGGGGGGCAGAAACCGCGCGGACGTGGCGGAGAGCGCGCGAGAAGGGCGGTTTGGCCGCGGCGGGCGCCGGCGCCGCGCAGCAGCCTTGGATCTCGTTGGAGGCGCGAGGCGCGGCACGTGGGCGGGAACATTCGCGCGCTCGGCCGCCGCGGGACCTTCCGAAGGCGCGCTGTGCGAGTGCAGGCGGCGCGGATCTGCGCTGGAGGTCCGTGTGCGGCGGCACGAGCGGAAACGTGCAGGCCTACCTTGCAGACACGCGCAGCAGGGCCGTCTCGGACGCCTGCGCGGCGACCTGGTCGCGCTGGTTCGTTGCTCTCGTGCATTGTGGATCGGAGCGACCGGGGGGAGCCGGCGTGGTCCGCCCGATCGGCGGTCGCGCCGCACCTGCAGCCGTTGGGGAGAGCCTAGCCATGGAACTTGGGCGCGCATTGCGCAACGCGCCGCGAACGGGGGTCGCGAAGGGCGCGGGAAGCTGCCCCTGGGTCGTGGCATCGCACGGGCGCGGAGCACGCGCTCACGAGGAGCCGGTCAACGTGCCGCCGTGGCGCGTGCATCCGCAGTGCAGCTCGAGCTGGAGCCCGCAGATGTCGTACGGACGCTCCAGCGGTGGTATTTCGGCGGGGATAGCACGAGTATATCGAATGCGACTTGTTCCAGGCACTCGCGCGAGCTGGCGACGCGCAACGACGTGTCCCAGCGCTCAAGATGACCTTGAGAACGACCGGCCGGCATTCGTCCGCGGGGGCTCGGGGGAGCGGTACCTCGGCTCCGCCGCACTCTCAGTCCGATCTTCGACCCGATCCCTGACGGGAAATCGCCTCCGCGGGCCGCGCGCATCGTGGCGCAGCCGCTGAGGGTCGCTTGCGCGCGCGCTCGGCGAACGACGCTTCGCAGCGCCGGAAATATACAGTTGGACTCACCGGCGCGGGTCCATCGATTGAGTTGTGGCGCGAGCGACCCGCGGCGGCCGCTCTCGGCGCCCCGGGCCCACGCCGTGGGCCGCAGGCAGTCCCTACTGGAGTTGGGCTCCCACGGTCTGTCATGCAGGAGGGCGCGCGCGCGTCCGCGTGCCTGCACCATTCGGCGCGCAGCGACGCCCCACGGACGACCTCGCTGCGGGCATGCCTCGGAGCGGCCGCCGGGCGCCGGCTCCCTCGGAGCGCGCGGCGTGCGGGCGATGACCAACCGCTTCGACGTGCGGCGTTTCCGTCGCTCAGCGGGCGCGAGGCCCAGCGAACAGCCGCGTATCGGGCGTATACTGAGCGTCTGGTGCCGGGAACGTCGCTTTCGGGCGGAAATGATCAACCGGTTTGGCGCCACGCGGCATGGATCTCTGGGAGGGCTGGAGCCGTTCGGCGCTCAGGGCGCTTTCGTCCGCGCTGTGGACATAGTCCGAGCGGAACATTCTGGTCTGCGCTTGGAGAACGGGCGATGAAGCGGCCCGCTGCGGCTCGGCCCGCGGCGGCCGTCAGCGCGCACCGTGAACAAGCTGCACTAGGTCGCGCTGCACCGCAGCCGCGGCAACGGGCCGCGCACGGCCGCTCACGCCGCAAGCGGATGCTGTTGGCCAGCGGAGCGTGCACGGACCCCGCGCGACTTCACTTCTCGGCTCTATTTACACGCAAGTCATGCAAGGCTCAACACAGGTTTTTCCGCCGAGAATGGCAGCCGCCGCCGCTTGCGTCCGCAGCGGCGCCCCCGCCCGTCGCCCGCTCGGCTCCAGCGACGCCCCCGCGGCCGACGGCCCGAAGCGCCGCCTCCCACCGCGGGGCACCTCCACCAACAACATCGATGCTACAAAAACGATCTTCGGCCGCAGCCGCCTCTTGAACTGCGAGTCCAGGCCCGTCTGCGCCCCGCGCGGGCTCGTCGCGTCGCGCGCCGCCTCACTCCTCCTCCTCCTGGCTCAGGCCGCTCTGCGTGAGGAAGGACCTGCGCGAGATGCGGCGCCCGCGCCCGGCCTCCGGCCCGGCGACGGTCTCCGGCTGCGCCGTCGTCCGGCCGTTGCGCCGCGACCGCCGCGGGCGCCGCGACGTCGCGAGCACCGTCGTCCGGCGGATGCGCGACTTGTTGGCGCCGCTGTCCTGCCCGACGCCGCCCAGGTCGGGGAACGCGGCGTCTGCGAGCTGCGGGCTCTCCGTCCAGCCGTCCCAGCCGCCACCGCCGTTCGCCTCGCGCGCAGCCTGCTCGGCCTCGGCGCGCTCGCGCTCGATCGCCCTCTCGGCCGCCTCGTTCAGCGCCGACATCGGGACGATCAACGTGGCCTCCGTGTCGTTCCACAGGCACGCGAGGTCGACGAACTTCTCGGAAATGACCGCCGCGCGGTTGTCGCCGGCCTCCCAGATCTCGTCGCCGTTGTCCGAGCACAGGACGAGCTTGAAACGCGTCTCCCGGTTCAGCGGCACCTCGGCCTCGGCCTGCCACAGGTGCCCGTCGCACCACGTCATCTTCGGCGCCTTGCGGACGTTCCAGTTGCCCAGGCCCGGGCCGTCGCCGACCAGCACGAGGTACTGCCCCAGCGCGGTCTCGTGCAGCGTCGACACACGCATCGTCGCCATCTCCCCCGCGTACGCCGGCGCGGGCTCGTGGTGCTGCTCGTGGTGGTGGTGCTCGTGCTGCGGCTCGTTCCAGCGCGGCACGGCCTCCTCGGCCGCGGCGAGGATCGTGTACGCGGTGTTGTCGTACTCGCAGGACAACTCAATGAACGTCGACTTCTCCGAGGGCGACGCCACGCGGTTCGCGCCGGCCTCGAACGTGTACGACCCGTCGGGCTTCTCCATCGCGAGCTTGAAGTCGGTCCTCGCGCCGCGCGGCACGTCGACCTCGGCGTACCACAGGTTGTTGCCGTCGCCGATCGTCATGCGCGGGGCCTTAGTGACGTCCCAGTTGCCGAGCGTGGGGCCGTCGCCGACGAGGACGAGGGTGTACCCGCTCATCGTGGCCTTGCGCGTGGACACGCGGAGGCGCGTCATGTCCTCGGAGTAGCCCTGCGAGTAGCTGTTGCTGGCGTAGTGGTTGTCGTGCTGGCTGCCCTCGCGCTGGTGGAAGCTGTCGGGCTGGTGGTGCGTGACGTAGTGCGGCTGCGGCTGCTGGGGCCGCTGGTGCGGCTCCGGCTCGCGGAACGTCGCCACGCTCGTCGCGGCGGTGTAGTCCCAGTCGCACACCACCTCGACGCTCTCCGCGGAGTCCGACACCGGCGCGACGCGGTTGATGCCCTGCTCCCAGAGCTGCTCGCCGGCGTCCTGCAGCCGCACGGGGCGTGGGGGCCGGGCTCGGTGAGCAAGGGCGAAGCAGAGAAGGATGTCGAATGGTGTTGAAAAACGATTGGGAAATAGTGTCTGAAACTCACGTTCAGAAGGACGAGCTTGAACTCGGTCTCGGAGCTGCGCGGCACCTCGACCTCCTTCTTCCACACGTGCTCCTCGCTCCACTCCATCCTGGGCGCCTTGTTGATGTCCCAGTCGCCGAGCGCGGGGCCGTCGCCGATCAGCGCCAGGTACTGCCCGTAGGCCGTCTCGTACCTGCGCGCGGCGTAGCACGGGGCGATCCGCGGTCCGACGGAGCGAATACACCGCACGGGAAGGAGCCACGCGTGAGGAGCCACAGCGCGGTGGGTCTGGTCGGCGCGGAGAGGCAACGCCCCGCGGCTCGCAAGCCGCCTTTTTGGTGTTGTGCAAAACAATTATCAGGAGTCAGGGAGTAGGGAGCAGAAATGATTGCAACGAGGGATCCGGGTGTCGGAGGATGTTCCGCACGCGGTGCTCGTGTCTCGGGGTCCGCTCCAGCTCACCTGGTGTAGACCTTGAGCTTAGAGGGCGGCACGACGTGCGTGGAGTAGACGTCGCCCCAGTTGCACCACAGGTCGACGAACTGCGAGTCCTTCGCGGGCGACGCCATGCGGTTCTCGCCCTCCTCCCAGATCGCACCGCCACCGTCCTGCAAAACACCCCCACCGAGCGCGCGCCGTCAGACATCACGTGCCTAGCTGCAGCGCTGGCGCCCGGCCGAGGCGACGTCGAGACGCGGGCGCTCACGTTGACGACGACGAGCTTGAACTCGGTGTCGAAGCCGCGCGGCAGCTCGACCGTCGCGCGCCACACGTGCCCCTCGTGCCACTTCATGCGCGGCGCGCGGTCCACGTCCCAGTCGCCCAGCCACGGACCGTCGCCGACGATCGCCAGCGTCTGTCCGAAGCCCGTCTCGTAGCTGCACGCACACGCAGCGCAGCCGTACCCGCCGCGTCAGCACACGCGTCGCACCACGAGCAAGCCTGCATGCGTAGGTCTTTCGCAGCGCGGCGTGCGGCGGGGGCTCACTTGGTCGAGATGCGGATTTTGGCCTTCTCGGCGTTGCGCGCGAGGAACGCGCGCCGGCCCTGGCTCTGCGCCCAGTTGCGCTGCGCGTCCGTGCGCCGCACGAGCCCGTCGCAGAAGCGCACCATCGTCTCGGCCATGCCGCCGGCGATCGCGCGAACGTACTCGTCCGCGGCCTCCACGGGCCCGACGTTCGACCCCCGGAAGTGGTCCCCCGCGCGCGTGCCGTTCTTCGCCATCGGCCGGATCTCCGTCGAGTGTTCGTCGTCCCAGGTGCACAGCAGCTCGAGATTCGTGGCGCCGTCGGCAAGCTTCGCCGTGCGGTTGCCGACGTTCTCCCAGACCGTCGACCCGTCGGGCTGCGAAGCGGGGCGGCGCCGAGCGCGGGGGGTCAGCGGCGCGCCCGATTCGGGGATGCGATTCTGTCGCCGCCATGTGTGGGCCATGTGCGCGAGCGATGCCGCGGGGCTCGCCGCGGCGGACGCGGCCGCCGGGCGCGGCACGGTGCGGGCGGGGCGGGTGCGGCGGTTGCGGCCCGATCGGCCGCGCTGGGCGGCCGCGGAGCGCAGGCGTTGTGGCAGCGCGTTGTTGCATATGAGCTCACCCGGACGAGCGCGAGCTTGAATTCGGTGCGGGAGCCGCGCGGGAGCTCGACCTCGGTCCTCCAGACCCGTCCGTCGCTCGTCGCGGTCCTCAGGGCCTTGGTCACGTCCCACTGGCCGAGCGCGGGGCTGGAGCCAACCAGCACCAGCTGGCCGTCACCCTCCGACTCCTTCCTGCGCCCCGTCGGTCGCACCCAATGGCTACTATGAGTCGCTATGGAATGCCTGTGTTCTGGAGATGCTTGTGCGGGGATGTTGGACGCTAAAAACCCAGATCCGACTCCGGAAAAGCGGATGTAAAACTAGGGTTTTGGCAACAGCGAATGTGCCCGGACACGCCCGATGCGGGACCAAGAGCGGATCGGAGCGCGCGAGCGGCGATGGCGGAGCCCGTCGACACCGTAGCCGCGCTCCTCCGCCGCGTGCGCGCGCCGCCGGAGCCCCAGCGCGCGCCTGGGCCACAGGCTGGCTGCCGCTCTCCAGAGATTCGCCCAGCGCCAACGGCGGCGAGCACGGCGGCGCGCGCGCTCGGAACGCCGCCGGAACGCCGCCTCGACTCCCGCACGCCCCGTTTGCGATCGTCGGCGGCGCGAATCGAACCGCGATCGCGCGTGGTGGCCAGATCGTGCTTTGCTCACCTTGCTGAGACTGTGAGCTTCGTCTTCTGTTCCGCGCGCACGACGACCGCCGCGCGCCGGCGCGTCTGGCTCGCGGCGGCCGGCCTGCTCGCCAGCGCCGCAGCGGGCTTCGCGCGCGCGACGTGCGCCCGCATGGCGCCTGCAAGCAGGGCGGCACACACAGCGTGGGCGGGCGGGGCATTTCGCGGCCGACGCGCGGCGCTGAGGCGCCGAGGGCGCGAAGGCTGGCGCGCTCGCAGCCATGACAGAAGGACGCGCGGGCGGGAAAGCCCGTGGCGCGTGGCGTGACGCTTCGCGGGGGCATGGTGCATGCGGTGCGGGGGGAGGCTAGCGCGCTGCGGTCGTGCCGCGCAATGCGCGCGCCGCGCGGGCGGAATGCTGCGGCGCGGCGCTGCCACGAGGGCAATCATGGCGTCGGGGCGGGCGTTGGGGCCGCGGCCGCGCTCGATGCCGCGGCGGGATCGGGCTGCTGTGGCTTGGCGGGGGGGCCGCGTGCGGTCGCGCGGTGCGCACCTGGGGTCGCGGAGCGCCGCGATGCGGTTCTCGAAGGGGCACTTGCCGGCTGGCTGCCGAGGGCAACCTTCATCGTGAACGTCGAGACGCGGGCTCGAGAGCTCGCGAAAGCCGCTCGTCGTCGAACACCTCCTGCGCGGACGCTGGTCCCGCAAACGCTCGACGGTCGCTGCTTCGCGATCCTCACGGACGAACTAGCCCGGCGCGCCCGCGAATCTCGCCGAACACACCGCCCCCGGCACCGCCCTCCACTCCTGCCTAGCCAGCTCAGGCAGTACAACAGGCGGGTCCACTTTCCCGCCCCCAGCGCGCCGCCCGCCGCCATCCACGCCCGCCCGCGCCCCCGCGCGCCACTCCCGGGCACTCCCACGAGTTCCATCGGCGGCAGGCTCGCGTCGCCCGCACACCCCGGCAAACATTCCACCGCCGCCGCTGCCCCCCGTCCCGCCGTCGCCCGCCGTCGGGAGCCCGCAGCGTGGGGGCGCGCCGCTGGCTTCCTCCGCCTCACACGGGCCCTTCCGGACAGCCACAGCCATCCGCGAGTCCAACAGCCGCCTGCGCCTGGGACCCTACTCCAGAGCAGGCAGCGACGACCCTGAGGCGGGGATGTTCCGGCCACGCACCCCCTCGAACGCCCCCAAGGGGATGCTCTCGGCGAAGGCCGCCTCCGGGTGCGCTCCCGGCCCGACGACGCCCCGCGACGCGCGTCCTATGTGCAGTCAGAGCATTGTGTCGCTGGGCAGGGTGCGCGCGCGACGCGCGCCGCTTGGCCCGCGGGGGCGCACGCGCGGCACGCGGACGGCCGTGGGAGCGGGTGCGCGGGCCGCGGGCGCGATCCGCGTGGCGTGCGCGCCGTCGACGGGCAGCGCCGGGAGGGCGAGCGCCAGTATGGTGCGAGGGCGCGGGCGCTCGCGCGGTGCCGCAGGGGCCTCGATCGGCGCTGCGGCGCGTTGCTGGTGTAGCTGTGGCTGCTGTCGCCGCGTAGGGCGGCGCCGAGGCGCGCCGGGGCGGCGTTACACGCCGGAGGCGACCCGCAAAGACAGCACGCGCACTCACGGCGCGGGCGGGCGCACGTCGCTTGCGCGGCGTCTCGCGGGCGTCCGGCGGCGCGCACGGCCTTGGTCGGCAGCGAGGACCCACGCGGCGCGCTGCCGCGGGACGGGCGCGTCGCCAGGGCGCCCTGCAGCGGCGTTGTTTGAGCCTGCCAGCGCACGCGCGCTCACGACGCCGCGCCGCCGCCGTTCCTCGCAGGCTCTGGCGGCGGTCGTACTGGGCGCTTCTGCTGATCGCCGTCGCGCTCGCAGCCTACCTGTTCTTCCCGCAGAGCTACTCCGCGGGCCGCTCCAAGGTGCGCTGCCCTTGCTGCCCGCCCTGCGCACCGCGCGCTCGCGCACACCGCGTTCCGCGCGCAGCGCCCAGCCCCACTCGACTGCTCCCACGTGCCACGCGACCGCTCGCGCCACCCTACCGCACCCGCACTCCGGGCCGCTCCGCCCTGGGTCTCGCGACTGTCCCGCCCACGCAGCACGCGGGAGCCCGCCCTCGCGCCCCGCCACCCGGACGCAGGTCAAACCGCTGCCGTACGATGACGCCGCGGCCGCGTCCGGCGAGTACAAGTACGCGGTCGTGTTCGACGCGGGCTCGACTGGCTCTCGCGTGCACACGTACAAGTTCAAGGCCGGTGCCGGCGCGGCGACGCTCGACCTGATCAGCGACGACTACCACCACGTCAAGCCGGGTCTCAGCAGCTTCGCGGACAAGCCGAAGGACGCCACGACCTCCCTGGAGCCTCTCATGAAGGCTGCTCTCGAGGCGGTGCCGGCGAGCCTGCACGCGCAGACCCCCGTGGAGCTGCGCGCGACCGCGGGCCTCCGGCTGCTGCCCGGCGGGAAGGCGGACGCCATCCTGGACGCCGTCCGCGAGTACCTGCGGGCGCAGCCGTTCAAATTCGAGGATGATATGGTGTCGGTTCTGGACGGGATGGACGAGGGGGCGTACGCGTGGGTGTCGCTGAATTACCTCCTCGGGCGGCTCGGGAAGGGCCCGGAGGAGCTTGCGGCGTCGATCGACATGGGCGGGGGCTCGATGCAGATGGCCTACGCGGTGAGCGACGGCGACGCGGACAGCGCGCCGCCGGGGTACGTCTCGAAGCTGTCCGGCGGGGGCGTGACGTACAACGTGTACGTGCACTCGTACCTCGGGTACGGCCTCATGGCGGGGCGCGCAGGCGTGCTTGCCGTGTCGGACAAGGCCGCGGGACACCCCTGCATGCCGCACGGGCCGATTCCGGAGTACGAGTACGCCGGGGAGACGTACGACGTCGCGCCGGCGACGGACGGCCCGAGCGCGGAGGCGTGCTCGAAGGCCGCGGTGCAGTCGCTCAAGGTCGGCGAGACGTGCGAGGCGCGGTCGACCAGCGAGTGCTCGTTCAACGGCGCGTGGGGCGGGCCGGGGCTCGGGCGGCGCGACGTGTACGCGGCGTCGTACTTGTTCGACCGCGCGATCGACGTGGGCATCGTCGGCGCCGACGCGACGCTCGCGAAGATCACTCCCAGTATGTACGAGGACATGGCGGAGAAGGCGTGCCACGAGGACGACGCGGGGACGGTCAAGGGGCTCTTCCGGAACGTGCGCAAGGACAAGGACGCGCAGTTCCTGTGCTTGGACCTCGTGTTTTGCCATTCGGTGCTGACGGGGGGGTTCGGGATCCCGGGGGACCAGGAGGTGACGCTGGCGCGGCGGATTATGTACAACGGGGACGACGTGGAGGTGACGTGGACGCTCGGGGCCGCGATCAACACGATCGGGAAGGTCTGAGGCGTGCGGCGACGACGACGCCTTGGGGAGAGCGCGCGTGTGCGCGGGGGGGTGTTGGCGCTCCGTGCGGACGACTGACTCATCCGCACTGTGACTCCGTGAATGATGCGGCAGTTAATTGCTTTGCGTGTTGCGGCGTCGTCGATGATTGCTGCCCGCCGCCGGCGGTCGTGCAGGGCCTGTTGCAAGTGATGGTTTTCTTGCGGAGCGTTGCTTGATGGGGTGGCGTGCTCGGTGCCCGCGTCGTGTTTCTGCGCCGTGAGTGGCGTGACATCTATGGCGGAGCGCAGACGTGGTGCCGTCGCTGGCTCATGCGGGGTGTAATGTCCTCCAGTACGGATGGGGCTGTCAGTGTCTGACAGGCGACGCGCTGCGCTCTTGAATGGGAGCGCCGGCGCTTGCTTGTGCCACATGACTCCCTGGACTACCCGTCCTAGTGCCTGAATGTGAGGAGCGGACGCACCTGGGGCAGCAATGCGCCCGCTGCGCCCGACCTCTGGTGCCGCACCGATCGCCCCGGCCGACCACGACGAGTGCAAGCCACGCATCGTGGAGAATGGTCCGAGTGCGGGCATGGAGCTGAGAAGCGGTCGGCGCACGCGAGGACGACCGCCCGTGGATGGAACGCACCAGGTCCCAACCACCCACGACGAGTGCAAGCCGAGCGTGGCGAAGGACGAGGAGAATCCGATAGGATTGGTGGTGAGTGGTGATGAACATCGCTCCGCGGCGTGTCATAGGCATCAAGGATGTTCATACGTGCGGAAATTGCGGGAAATTCTGCTTGCCGCACAGGAGCAGTCGCACGGTGCTGGCATCGCGCCGATAGAGGGCGTCGTTCCACCTGCGACATGAACATGCACAGCGACCTTGTGACCGAGGCACTCCTCTCGCGTGCTGCAGGTCGCTGCGCCGGCCCGGGGAAAGCATGTCGGTGCGCGCAAGCCGTGTCCCTCGTGCGGAGTCGCCAACCCTAACGCAAGGCGGGCTTGCACAAAATGCAAGCACGTATTCTGCAAGCCTAGGCATCAAGGCCCGAGTCCCGCGGCGCGGCGACAGGGCACCACTGCGGGAGTGCGGAAGCGAATGATGGACAGCTCACTGTGGGCACAGATCCACGGCCCTCGTCCGCCGACGAACCCGTCTATGTTGGACGCGGTCAAGCCCATCCTCGTCGCCCGAGCCCTCATGCGGGCGCTGCTCGCCACAGACATGGCCTCGTTCACCCTGCGCAACGCCTGCCGGGCGATCGCGGACCTTCCGGGGGACGATGACGCGCACGTGTCCGGGGACCCGGGGGAGGTGCAGCGCTTCCTCGTGGCGCACGAGGGCACGGTGCGGGAGCTGTTCGACAAACACGCCGACATCGCCGTGCGGGAGTGTGCGGTGGTGCTGGCACTGAGGAGGCTGGCAGGCATGCGGATGCGTGCACACGGGCGGTGATGCTCACAGCGGCGCGGGGCTGCCCTGGTCAGTAGCCTGCGTTGCACGGCTGGGAGACTTGTACATAGGAGGCATCTGTAATGCATTTTGAGTGGGACGAATGCGATAGCCACACACCTGATCGGCCACGCCGCTGCCCGCGCAAGCGCCGAAGCTCCGGCATTCGCTTGGCCAGACCCCCCCAACCCCCCCCGAAAAACAGCGGACAATCCTTCATTAACATTCTGGACCGCACAGCGCGTCAAAGTGGGCATGTGCCATTTGTTTGACGCATGTCGTGGAGGCCTGCTGGGTGCCGGCGCCTTGGTTCTCTGCCGCGAGCGGCGCGGCATCCTCCGCGGGATGCAACTGTAGCGACCACGGGAGACGGCGGAGTGGCTTCGAGGGGGCTGCTGCAGGGTGTGCTGTACGTTCCTGGGGCCGTGCGATGCCCGTATGCTGTGTGCCGTGAGGGCCGCTGCTGTCGCCTGACGGTCATGCAGACGGTGGAGGGTCTCTGCTGGGCTCACTCGAAGGTGTGTCCCTTTGCACGGGGGTGTCTGGCTGAGCCAGACTGACCGTCGCTACGCTCAGCTCGTTAGTGCGCGTCGACGCGCCCTCGCGCCACATGAGATCGTACAGGAGCGGTCCTTGTGACTGAATGTGACCAGCGGGCGTCTCGGCAAGCTGCCATGCGCCCGCCGCGCTCAGCTATGGGCTCCTCACCGGGCGTTCCGGCCGAGCAGGACGAGTGCAAGCCGAACATCGTCGATCGGTGTACAGGCGTGAAGCTTGCAAGCGATCCACGGGTGCCGCAGGATGCGTCCGTGGCCGGACCAAGCCATGGCGCAGCCACCCAGGACGAGTGCAAGCCGGACGTGGTGAATAACGCAGAGAAACCGAAACAGTTCAAGGTGAGCAGTGACGGGCATTCTTCCGCGCCGCAGACCAGACACGGCATGATGTCGTTCGAGCAGAAATGCGGATGACTCCTGCACACGGTGCCTGCGCCGTGCGCCGGGGTCCGCGGGAGTCCCCCTGCCGTGTCGATGAAAGGGCGTCGTGTCGCGGTATCGACGGGAACATGACCAGGGCACCCCGCTGACGTTTGACGAGACTTGTCTTGCAGGCAGCTGGACCTGTGCGACGAGGCAAGAACGTTTCGTCCAGGAACTGTCCGGAGTGCGGGGCCACGAGCGCCATCAGCTTGCCGGACTGCGCCGAATGCAAGCACATCTTCTTGAGAACGGCGCGGCCTCAAAAGGAAGCAAGGCGTCACCCTCTGGCCATCATGCAGCTGAGAAGCGGTCGGCGCACTCTAGGAGGACGTCTGCCCGGGGCTCGAGCGCGCTCGAGCGAAGTCCCAATAACCCACGACGAGTGCAAGCCGCGGGCGGTAAAGGACGAGGAGAAGCCGATAGGAGTGCTGGTGAGTGGTGATGAATATTGCTCCGCGGCGTTTTACAGGCATCAAGGATGTTCATATGTGCGGGTGTGCGGGCGAATCCTTAGGCGGGCAGCAGTGGTCGCGAGGCCAGCATCGCACGCCTCCGACAGCGGGACCTCGCGCCGCACAATGAAGAGGGAAGACGACGTGTTCTTCGTGAGACCCCCCGTTGCTGTCCGTCGAGCAATGTGCTGCAGGCGGGGGTACCGAAGCGACCGTCAGTAAAGCGCGGGATCGTGCCGACGAGACCGTGTCCGAAGTGCCGGGTCAGCATCGCCATCAAGTGCCCTGTGTGCACCAACTGCCAACACACGTTGATACCCCAGAGGAAACCCTCGGTGCCCTCTCCAGCGGTGCTGCTCATGCGCACCAGAAAGGCTGCACAGAAACGGATGATGAACGCCTCGCTCTGGGGACAGATCCACGGCTTTCCCCATCGAGCGAACCCGTCTATGTTGGACGCGGTCAAGCCCATCCTCGTCGCCCGAGCCCTCATGCGGGCGCTGCTCGCCACAGACATGGCCTCGTTCACACTGCACGACGCCTGCCGGGCGATCGCGGACCTTCCGGGGGACGATGACGCGCACGTGTCCGGGGACCCGGCGGAGGTGCAGCGCTTCCTCGTGGCGCACGAGGGCACGGTGCGGGAGCTGTTCGACAAACACGCCGACAGCGCCGTGCGGGAGTGTGCGGTGGTGCTGGCACTGAGGAGGCTGGCAGGCATGCGGATGCGTGCACACGGGCCGTGATGCTCACAGCGGCGCGGGGCTGCCCTGGTCAGTAGCCTGCATTCCACGGCTTGGAGACTTGTACATATCAGGAGGCATCTGTAACGCACTTTGAGTGGGACGAATGCGATAGCCACGCATCTGATCGGCCACGCCGCTGCCCGCGCAAGCGCCGAAGCTCCGGCATTCGTGTGGCCAGACCGCCCCAACCCCCCCCAAAAAATGCACAATCCTTCACACAGACCTTCTGACCCGCACGGCGCGTCAACTGAACATCTGCGACGACCCCGACATCCGCCGCGCGCGCGCCGACTGCCCCCGCAGCCGCGTCACCTCCTCCGCCATCTCCGCGGCCTTCATCTTCGCCTCCACCAACAGCTCCGTCAGCTCCGCACTCTCCTTCGCCGCCGCCTCCTTCGCGCGCTCCGCCGCCTCCCTCGCCCGCGCCGCCTCCGCCCGCGCCGCCTCCGCCTCCCGCCGCGCCGCCTCCGCGCGCTGCGCGCCCTCGCGCTCCCGCCGCCGCGCCGCCTCGAGGTCGCTCCGCAGCGTTGCCGCCTCCGCCCCGCCGCCGCCCCTCCGCGCCGCGTCGAGCTCCTCCTGCAGCGCCCCGACGCGCGCCTCGATCTCGTCGACGTGCGCCTCGAGCTCCGAGACGTACTGCTCGCGGTCCGTGCACTCCGCGCTGAGCGCCGCCACTTTCTCCCGCAGCGTCGCGCCCTCCTGCGCCGCCCGCTCCGCCGCCGCAAGCCGCCCGCGGAGACCCTCCGCCTCCGCGGAGCGCTCCTCGAGCTCCGCCCGCAGCGCCTCCACCTCCGCCGCGCGCGCGTCCTCCGCGTCGTCGTCCTTGGCGGCCATCCGCGTCTCGAGACCGTCGCGCTGCGCCCGCAGCGACCGCGCCTCGGCCTCCGCCGTCGCCAGCGCGTCGCGCAGCCGCTCCGCCTCGCGCTCCAGCTCGCCCGCGCGCGACGCAGCCTCCGCGGCCCCAGCGCCCAGCTCGCGCTCGCGGGCCTCGAATGCCGCACGCGCAGCCTCCGCCCGCGCCGCAGACTCCGCCGCCGCCTTCGCGTCGCCCGCCAGCTTCTCGCGCTCGCTCTCCAGCGCCGCGACGCGCTCCGCGAGCCGCCCGTTCTCCTCCCTCAGCCCCGCCGCGGCATCCTTCGCCGCTGCCACGTCACCCTCCGCGCCCTCCGCCCTGCTCCGCAGCGCTGCGACCTCGCCCTCGAGCCGCGCGATGTCCCCTGCGAGCGCCGCGTTCTTCTCGCTGAGCTCCCGCGCCTCCGACAGCTCCGCCTGCGCCAGCGCGTCGAGGGACGCCTGCGAGACAGCGACAGTCTTCTCCGCGGCGCGCGCCCGCTCGTCCGCGGCCCGCACGGCCTTCTCCGCGTCCGCCCGCGCCGTAGCTGCCTCGCCCTTCGCCGCAGCGACGTCCTCCTTCGCCGACGCTAGCTCGCCGCGCACGGATTCGGCGTCCGCCTCCGCCGCCGCCAGCGCCTCCGTTGCCCTCTCGAGGTCCGTCCGCGCCGTAGCTGCCTCGCCCTTCGCCGCAGCGACGTCCTCCCTCGCCGATGCCAGCTCGCCACGCACGGATTCGGCGTCCGTCTGCGCTGCCGCCAACGCCTCTCGCGCACTCGCGAGGTCCGCCCGTGCGCGCTCCACGTCCGCCCGCGCAGCCCCCGCATCAGCCCTCGCCGCGTCGGCGTCGCGCCGCGCGCGCTCAGCACCCGCCTTCTCAGCCTCGACCTCGCGCTGCGCCGCACCCGCGTCGGCGCGCGCAGCCGCGGCGTCCGCCCTGGCGGCGTCTGCGTCGCGCTGCGCGGCAGCGAGGGCCTCCTGCGCGTCGCGGAGGTTGGCTTCGAGGCGCTGGACCTCCGCTTCGGCCGGGTGGGCCGCGGGGGGAGTATTCGACTGGAGGTCGCTGCTGCCAGGCTGCGTGCTCTTGAGCGGCGTGCCCGCCGTGCTGGCCGTCTGCGAAGCGCACCGTTGGGGCGACGCGAGTGACGCTAAAGCGGCAGGCGGGGGAGCGCGAGCGGGGGTGCTTCGGGGAAGGAGTGCGTGGGGCGTGCAAAACGGCTGCGGGGCGCGTTTTGGTGATGCAAGGAGGAAACATATGTTGTCCCATGGGGAAGGGAAGAGATGCAACTCACGTCTTGCATGCTGCGCAGGCGATCGAGTTCCTCCTCCTTCTCGCGCACCGCCTGCTCGAGCTCCGCGAGCCTGCTCCTGGCAGAGGGCGCAAGACGGGGGTTGCGTCAAGGCGACAACATGCCACGGCAACACGTTGCATTTGAAACACATTCCATCAATCGAGCGGTCATTCAGCGAGTCAATCAATCAAGAAGCGCCGTCGACAAGTATGCATTGATGAATAGGTTCTGATCGAACATCAACGCAAGCATCGGTCGAAGCCTAAAGCACAAGTGTGGGCGATTGAGGCTTGAGGGAGCTGCTCCGAGTGCGGCGGTTCACCTCTGCCGGACCCACGCGTCGTCCGCGGTGCGCTTCTGGTCCTGCGCCATCATCGTCGACGCCACCGAACCCCCGGGGTCCACAGACGACTGCCGCGACGCAGCGGTGGCAAAGCTGCCGCCGCGCTCCCACACGGGCGGGCTGCTCCCGGTCCTCGCCCCCTGCACGCCAGCCCACGGTCGCGAAACGCACGGTTCCCGCGTCACGCCCCGCAGAGCAGGAGGACCGCGATGCGGGCAAGGAGTCGGGTTGGGGGGTGTTTTGTCGTACCGTGGGGGACTTGAGGCGGTCAGCCTCCGCGGTGAGCTCCGCGACCTGCGCGCGCGACGCCTCGAGCTGCCGCTCCAGGCGCTCCGTGTTCCCCTTGGTCACCATGGCCTGTTGCTGCAGCGCCCGCACCTCGGCGCGCAGCGCCTCGACCTCCGCGCCGTCCCCCGCGTGCGCCCCGTCCCCGTTCGGCGTCGCCGCCCGCTCGCTCTCCTCCCTCTCCAGCGCCGCCTCCGCCTCCGCGGCCCGCCGGTTCGCCGCCGACAGGTGCTGCTGCGACGCATGCAGCTCGTCGGTCAAGTGGGCCACCCGCGCCAACAGCGCCGCGCTGCCGCCGCCGCCGCTCTCGCCGTCGCCGCGCCGCGCCTCCAGCTCGCGCACGCGCTCCTCGAGCTCCGCCACGCGCCGCTCCCCGGCCGCCACCCTCCCGCGAAGCTCATACGCCTCCTTCTCTGCTGCCGCGCTCTCGCGGCCGAGCTGCTCCGCGAGCCGGGCGGCCTCGCGCTCCGAGAACTCCGCGCGCTCGTGCGCGGCGGCGCGCTCGGCCTCGGCGTCGCCCAGGCGCGCCTCGGCGCGGTCGGCGCGAGCCTGCGCGTCCTCGAGGGCGCGCTCGCGAGCAAGCAACTCCTCCCGGGTGGTGTTCAGCGCCGCCTCCGCGCCCGCGAGCGCGAGCTCGGCGACCTCGAGGCGCGACGCGGCGTCCGCGGTCGCGTCGCGTGCGGCCTGTGCCGCGGCGAGGTCCTTTCGGAGCCGCTCAACCTCAGTCTTCAAGTCTCGAACGCGCTGCTCCGCGGCAGCCGAGGCGTCCGCCTGCGCCGCCTGCACGCGCTCGAGCTCCGCGCGCGCCTCCTCCAGCTGCGCCTTGACCTCCTCGGACGCCCCCCGGCCCTGCACGCCGACCGCGGTGGTGCTGACAGCAGGAGTTGGCACCAGCCCCGACGACTCCGCGAGCTGCCCCTCGAGCTCCTCGACGCGCGTCTCCGACGCGTACAGCTGCTCCTCCGCCGCCTCGAGCTCCGCCTGCAGCGCAGCGATCTTCGCCTGCGCCTCTTCGAGCCCCGCCGCGGCAGCGTCGCCGTGTTGCGCGCTGGCACCCGCGCCGGCCGCGCGCAGCGCCTCGAGCTCGAGCGCGGCGTCCTCTGCGCGCGCAGCGGCGATGTTGGCGTCCGCGACGCCCTCCTCGTGCTTCCAGCGCAGGTCCTCGACCTCGGCACGCGCCTGGGTCAACTCCCCCCGAACCTGCGTCAGCTCCGCCTCCAGGCGCGCGACGTCCGCGTCGCGCGCCCCGCCCTCCGCCTCCTCCGCCTTCGCGCGCAGCTCCTCCGCCTCCGCACGCGCCGAACTGAGGTCCCCCCTGACCTGCAGCAACTCCCCCCTGACTGACGTGAGCTCCGCCTCGAGGCGCGCGACGTCCGCGTTCGCCCCGCCCTCCGCATCCTGCAGCTTCGCGCGCAGCTCCTCCGCCTCCGCGCGTGCACGGCCCAGCTCGCCCTCCACCTCCCCGCGCGCGCCCTCCGCCGCCGCCCGCGCCTCCGCCAGCTCGCGCTCGAGCTCCTCCACGCGGTCCAGCCCCGCCTCCGCGTCCCGGAACATCTCGCTCGCCTCCCGCATCTCCTGCGTCAAGTCATCCACCTGCCGCTTCAACTTCGCGTTTTCCGCCCGCAGCGCCGCCGCCTCGGCTCCAATCGTCCCCGCGTCGCCCTCCGCGTCCACGTGCGACCCAAACGGATCCCCCGCCGCGTCGCCGACTTGACCCCCCCTCTCCTGCCGCAACTTGAAGGACGCCGACCGCGCCGACTCCAGCCCGCCGTCCCCTCGCGCCGGCGCCGACTCCGCGGCCAGCCGCGCGCCCGCGAGCTCGCGCTCGAGCTCCGCGACGCGCGCACGCAGCCGCGCCGCCTCCCCCTCGCCCGCCGGCGCCCCAGCGACCCCCGCCCAGCCTTGCATTCTGGTCCTCCAGCTCCTCGATGCGAACCTGCAGCGCCTCCATCTCCTCCGCGTTGAACTCCTCGACCGCGATCGCCTGCTCCTCGAGGTCCTTCACGCGCCGCCGCAGCCCGTCGCGCTCGTCCTCGACCTGCACGTACCGCCGCGCCGCCTCGGCCTCCGCCGCCGCCGCCTCGCGCCGCACGCGCTCGATCTCGGCCTGCAGCTCCGCGACGGCCTCCGCGCTCGCGCCGCCAGCGTCCGCCGGCCCGGACGCCCCGCTGCGGGCCGCCTCGAGCTCCTGCCGGAGCCGTGCTGCCTCTTCTTCCGCGTGGATCACTTGTGCACGCAGGTTGCTGGTGCCGCCGCCGTCGCCGTCGTCCTCGCTGTCGCTGGCCTCCTGCAGCAGCGCGACGTGCGCCTGCGCGCGCTCGGCGTCCGCCTTCGCCGCCTTCGCCGCCTGCTCGGCCTGCGTCAGCCGCTGCGTCAGATCCCGGATCTGCCCCTCCTGGCGACTGAGCTCCTCGTTCGCCTGCTCGAGCTCGCGCTCGTACTGGTCGAGGAGCTCCCTCGCGCCGCCGTCGTCGCCGCCGCCGCGGCTCCCCGGTGCGGGCACGATCTCTGTCTCCTCCACACCCCCCCAGGCCGGTTGCTGCGGCTGCGCGTCGGCCTGCGGCCGCTTCGGGCGCAGCGGCTGCGGGAACGTCGGCGGCGGCTGCGGGGCGCTCAGCGACGGGTCCGCGGGCGCGCGGAACGGCTCCGGAGCCGCGGACGACCCCGGCCGCGGCGGACGTGCGGCAGGACCGCCCGGGCCGGCACCGCGGAACGAACCGCCGCGCGAGCTGCCCGGATTGTACCCGAACAGCTCGTCGCGTGCCGCGTCGTCCACCGCGCGGCCGCCGAAGTTGGGACCCCCCCCGCCGACAGAGCCCGGTCCCGCCCCGAACGCCCCCCCGGCGCCCGTGACGCCCGTCATGCCGGAGAACTGCGACATCTGGTCGTACTCTTGGAAGCCCGGCTGCGCTGCGAAGTCCTCGGGCGCGCCGTGCGAGGGCGCGCCTTCTGCCCCAAGGCAGACGGCGGTGATGTTCAGCGACAGTGTCAGGTTCTCGTACCCGGCTTCGAGGAACGTTTCAGCCGTGAACGGGACCTGGACGTTGACCTGCGGTCCCGCACGGGCCCGGGGCGCCGTCCGTCACCCGAGCGAACGGCAGTCGCGATTTCTCGATCTTCGTTGCAACTTTGCAAACAGCGGGCAGGCGCGGGCCGTGGCGCGGCGCGGCGGCGGCGCGCAGGGCGCGGGAGTGGTCGCTGCGCCGGCGCGGAGGGCCGGGTGCGCACCGGCTGATCGGAGGTGTGGACGAACGCCGCCATGTCAACCGGGGTCAAGGCATAGGTCGACATCTTGCCGCCGACCTCCGTCTGCAGCGCTATCTGGTAGTCCTTGGAGTCGAAGTTGCCCTGCGCGGAACGGGGCGCGCGGGGTCGGGCCGGGCCGTGCTTGCGTGTTGCCCGTACGGAGCTGAAACGCCGCCCAGAGCGCGCCGTGCGGGGATGCGAGGCTCGTGGGCGGTATGGAGACGGTGCTGTGTGAGGTGGTGAATGTCCGCGGCGTGCTGGGTGTGCAGGGGCCGGTGAGCGGCCGGGACTGCGGGGGGTTCGCAGGAGGCGCGAGCTGCCAGCTGGCTGCGGCCGCGCGCGGCCGGTCCGCGCGGTGGCGCGCTCGCGGGGCGGCCGGGGCCTCACCTGCTCGTCGTAGTACATCGTGACGGTGTGCGAGAGCTTCTGCCGCCACGTCACCGTCCCGCCGAGCACCTGCAGCGTTGAACGGCGCCACAACAGGGAAGGCGTTTCGCCGCGCCGGGGGGGCGCGAAACGGCTGGAGGTCGGCGCCGCGCGGAGCTCTTGCGTAGGAGCACCCTGCTCGGCATCGACGGCGTCCACGCGCGGCGGATGCCGGCGGGTTCGCGGGTTGTGTGTGGTGCAAGCAAGGGCGAAGGCGCGTCGGCAGGCCGCGAACAGCGCGCAAGGCTTCGTCGCTGGGCTGTCACGGAGCGGAGGATACGCGGGCGCGGCTGTCCGTGGCCCTGGCGCGACGCGGCAGGCCCGTGCTGCGTCCCCGCGGTGCGCGCTGGGGGACAACAAACGGCCCCGTAGCGGCACGCCCGCGGCCTGCCGCGGGCGGCTGCTGGCGCGAGGGGCGAGTGCTCGAACTGTTCCTGACCTGGCGGACGTTCGTGGCCTCCTTCTTGCTCCCGCGGCCCCACAGCACGCGCGAGTTGAGGAGCTTGAGCGGCAGCCCCGACGCCTCGGAGACCACGACATCGAAGCGGTACTTGATGGGCTTGACCTTCGCGCCCTTGCGCTTGATCCCGCGCACGAGCTTCCCGAAGGACAGCTTCGGCATCGCGACTTGCGCGCGCACTCGCGTCCAGAGCGGGGAACCCCGCCCGCTACACGCGAAGGCGCTGCCCGGCGCGAGCTCACACGCGCTCCTGCCTGTCCGTTGCGCCACGAGCTCACTCTGGGCGGCGCGGGCGCCGGAACGGCCTCGAGTAGCGCGAGTGAGGCCAGGTGGGGTGTTTCGTAAGACATCTAGAGGTATTTCGCGGGCCGTATCGACCGGCCTCGCGCCCACGTTGGCCCCCGGTGCGGCCCCGGCGGGGCAGTGTCTGTCGCGATCACGACCTGCGAATCGCTCAACCACACGAGGCCGTGGAAGGCCTCCTTCGGTGTTTCCAAACCCCAGTCGCGCGGTTCCGCGCCGCAGAGCCGCCCAGTGCAGCGGCGCTGGCCGTATCCCGCCGTCCTCGTGTCCTCCCGGCGGTGGTCCCCCCTCAAGACCTCGCCCTGCGCTGCGCACGGGCCGAAGCAGGACCCAAGCCTGATGAACAAGCCGCGCCAGACGCCGGGGACCTTCTTTGACGTTCAATCGGCAGACTCGGGCATCCCTGACGATCCCGTCCGTCGGGTACGCCCATGTTTTTCCCCTTCCGCGCAGCACCAACCGCGCTGGACCGTAACCGCCTCGAACCTTGCAGCTCCAGCCGCGTAGCGGGCCTCGTCAGCGCCCCGCGGGCTGCGACTCGCGCCGTGCGCGTGCACATCCGTCGCGGCCAATCGCTCGCGCTGTCCTCACGCTGTGCGACTCGCGCCATCGCGTGCAGCCAAGGGGCGGAGGCGAGTCCGAGGAGAGCGCGTTCCTCGCGCAGTTCGGCCGGCAGACGCACCAGCGCAACCTCAGGGTCTTCTGGAAGCCGCTCCTCCTCGCAGGCTTCCTGACCATCACCGGTGCGATCCCGCCCTCCCAGAACCGCGCGCGGAGGCTCCCTTCCGGGCTCTCAAGCCCACTCCGTGCGCACCGCAGGCGCCTCCACCTCGCCCCCCCCGTCCGTCCGCGGCGCAGGCTCCATCCTGGTGATCGTTGCGCTCGTGGAGCTCGAGCTCAGCGCCGCCTCGGGCCTCGCTCTGCTCATCCTGGGCTGCCTCCTCCTCCTTCCGGGCGCCTACCACGCCCGCATCGCGTTCAAGGCGCTCCGCGGCACGGAGGGCTTCTCGCTCTCCGACATCCCGGAAGTCTAGCCCGCTCGACTGCCGCGGCGGAGCCCGCTGCACGGCACACTGGACCTCGAACCACATCACAAGTGGTGTCCAGCAACGTGGTGGCCAGCGCGATGGGATCCACGGAGGACATCGTGAAGCAGGTGCTCGAGGAGGACGCCGCGCGCAAGAAGCAAAAGCACGGCGGCGGGAAGGGCCGCGCCCGCCCCGCGGCTGGTGCGTACGACTCCGACCCGGACAGCGACGGCGAGGGCCCCGCGCCGCGCGCTGACGACGCCGCGGAGGCCGCGGACGTTCCGGAGTGGGACCAGAGCGCGAAGGCGGCGGCGATCAAGGGCCGGCGCGAGGAGCGGCGGCGCGAGATCGAGGCTGGGATTGACGACGTGCAGGATGGCGAGGAGGGGGGGGAGTATAAGAGGGGGGGCGTGGGGGACGTGGGCGGCAAGGCGGACGAGTACGAGTTCACGGCGTTCAATTTGAAGGAGGAGCGTGAGCGGGGGGAGTTCATGAAAGACGGGTGAGTGCCCCCGGGGTGTGTTGCTGGGTTGGTGCGGGCGTGCTGTGCAGGGGGCGCGAGGCGGCGTCCGTTTGAGGGCGCGTGCGGTGAGGGGTCCGCGGGCTGTGCTGCGGCTGGGTTGCGCAGAGATCGAGGATTCGTATTTGTTGGTGTGCGCAGGTCCTATGTGTTCCACAAGCGCGACGACGACACGGACCTCGAGAGCGAGGAGGACGAGGAGAAGGACGCGTGGGTGCACTCTGGCGCGAAGGAGTCCCTGATCGGCGACGAAGAGAAGCTGGCGCAAGTGAAACAACGGCTGCAGGAACAACAGGCGGCCATGGACCGGATGATGAGCGGCGAGGGCAAGGGCGGGACGAGGCTGTCGCTCGCGGACGTGATGACCAAGACACGCATGCTCGTCGGAATGCTCAAGCCCGAGGAGGTGCGTGCACGGCTGCCGCAGCGGCAGCGCTGCGTTTGCGTGCCCTGGCTGTCCGCGCGCGGGCTTACCCGAGCGGCGCGGCGTCGCATGGCCGTGGCTAGGTCGTGAGCGCTCTGGACAGACGGGACACCGGCAGCGGCGCCGCGCGCCGGCGTGAGCTTGAGGTGAGCATGCGGTGGACGGTGCGTGATCCATGGTGCTGCGCGTCTTGTGCTGCAGACTGTGGCGAAGGCTCTGAAGCGTCTCGGGGCGGGGCAGCAGCGGGGGCGCGGCGCGAAGGCGAAAGCTGCGGAGGGCGAGGACGCACGGGCCGCGGCGCTGCAGCGCGCGCAGGCGATGCAACGCGAGCGCCTGATGGACCTCGCGGAAGAGCTGGCCTCCACGGTACGGACGCGAGCTAGTTTCGGCCTGCGTTTGCGGTCCCGCGCTGTGCATTGTATCTGCTTTTGGTCGCGTTTTGACTTGCTGGTATGCGTTTCTCGGTGTTCGTTTCATCCTATTTGATTGCGCGTCGAGCAGGACTCGCTGGGTGCTCGCTGCCCTCGAGCACAGCAAGCAGCCCGCCTTGGGCGCTGCTCCGCGCGCCGACCTTGCCTGGAGCGCGCGCGATCCCTTGATCGACTGCTCAGTTTCTCCACAACAGTCTCTCTCCCTCAATCTCCGTTGCAGAACAACGAAGATATCTACCACTCCACGCGGGAGGCCCTGCTCGCGTCCGTTGACGCCTTCACCGCGAAGAAGCCCCCGGCCTCCGACGGCGCAGGCCCCTCGGGCGTCGCACAAGCCGCCGCCGACGACGACGGCGACATGTTCGCCGACGACTTCGACGCGAAGCCCGCGGCCGCCGCGAACGGCGCGAGCCGCAAGCGCGCGCGCGAGGACGACGACGGCGCTGCGCCGGCGGCCGCGAACGAACAAAACGCAGCCCCCGCGGCGAAGAAGAACAACCCCCCCTCCGAGATTGACACGGCGCAGTTCGAGGGGTGGCCGGTCGCGGAGGTGCGGCGGTTCATCGAGGAGCGCGGGGGGAGCGCGGAGGGGTGCGTGGAGCGCGCGGACCTGGTGCGGAAGGCCGCGGAGCTCGCGGCCGCCGGTCCCGACGGCCAGGACGAGGTGAGCAACAAATATCGTCTTGCAGTTATGCGTTGTGTGTTGATTGATCGGCTTGGTTTTTTTGGCTTGCCGGGGCCGGCGAGCACGGACGCGCAGTAGGCGAGGTTGTGCGGCAGTGTGCGCGCGTAGCACGACCCACGGCGCCAGAGTGCAACAAACAAACAAGCCGATGCCTTGTTCGTGTGGGCTCTTCGCAGGAGGTGGCGCCCGGGGTGCCGGCGGGGTACGTCCTGGACGCGTCGTCGGGGTACTATTGGTCGGCGGAGGCGCAGATGTACTACGACGCGGCGTCGCAGTCGTTCTTCGACCCCAAGAGTCAGAAGTGGTGTCGGTTCGACGGTCAGTCCATGGTCCCCATGTAACCCCCCCATGCGCACACGTATACCTACCAGGGAAGAGGATTCCTGAGCCGGTTCGACTAGTCAAGCATGTCGTCCTCACACCTCAAAACTTCGAGTTCAAGTTCAAGTTGGCATGACAAGCCTTCTGTCTTGGGCTCTGCGTTTCTTGCACAACAACACTGACTACTAGCTGCCTCCGAATCGGCATCATGGGCCGGGCTCTCGCGGCGGCGCGTCGCGCTCCCTGCGCGCGCTCGGCAGCAGCTCTGCCAGGCTGGCACTGTCCGGCTCGTCCACGGGCAGGTCCCGTGCCCGCCCGGAACGCGGCGCGCCCGGCGGCGGCCGGCGCACAGGCGGCGCGGCTGCGTCGTCCTCCTCGGGCATCGGCGCGGGCGCGGCGACGTCCTTGAACACGGGCGGCGGGAACAACAGCCTGCGTCCAACTCGACGCACACAACGCTGGTTGGTTGCAACGCAATCGAGAGGATTGCGCATTGCCGGCGAGGCGTATTCCGCGTCAGGGTCGAAGAGGATGCGCACTGCGCGACCGCTGCTGGGTGTGGGACGCAGCGCAAGAGGCAGAGGGTTGCGGGCGCACCGATCGACGGCGTGAACGACGCCGTTGGATGCCTGGACGTCTTGCAGGACGACGGTGCCGCAGGTGACGTCGGCCTCGCACGAACAGCGCCCGCAGGTCCGCTGGCAGTACCCGCCCTGCCACCCCGGGGCAGGTGCAACCATGAAGGGGTCCTGGCATTTGCCAAACTCCTTCTGAGAATTGCAGTCGAATCGGTCCGGCGTTGGGAAGTCCACGCAGGCTGCACGCGGGCAAACTCACGCGCGAGGAAAGGTCACGCGGATCTTGGGATGCGAGGACTACACGCCGCGAGGGTCTCTCTCCAGTGGCACATGTATGAATGTATCACGCACAGACGAGGGATTCGAGCGTGGTTTGTGCGTGGCGCGAGCGCGCGCGTACCGTCGTGCAGGAAGAACGGCGCGCGCCCGACGCGCAGCACGCCGAAGAGCTCCGAGAGCTGCGCGGTGACATACGCCGTGCCATTCCGGAGCGACGTCGAGTTGTAATTGCCCGGCAAGATATGGTACAAGACGATATCCGTCATCTCCGGGCTCTCGAACAGCGCCTGCCGCGGCAGAGGCCCGGCGAAGCCCCCGAGCGCCTGCAGCGTCTGCTCGAACGCCGCGTCCGTCGGACAAAACACCGTGAACGGCCCGAGATCGGCGACGCCCTTCGAGGTCGGGCGCTGCGCCGCAGCTGCAGCTTCGCGCCGAGCGCGCTCGAGCACCGGGCTGCGGGACCGTTCGAAACCGAACCACCACGGGAAGTTGGGCGTGGCCACGGGGGCGTCGTCCAGCAGAACTGGACCCGCGTAGTCGGGGTCGCTGGGGGCCGCGAGCGCCCCGTCGAGGCCCGTGAACTCCAGCGCCTCGAGGAAGGTGTTGCAGACGCCCATCTCGCGCATCGTGTCCAGGATGTTCCCGCCGCCCGCGATCTCGCGGAAGCGGCCGTCGGGCATCAGGTGGATGGTCGCTCCCTCGCGCACGGAGGCCCACGCGACCTTGCTGACCTCGTTGTTGCCGGCGTCGAAGAGGCGCACGCTGTCCCGGCCCGAGATAGAGAACTCAAAGCCGCACGGGTCGCGCGCAGAAGCCGTTGTTAGAGTTGTCGTCGCACCGGACTCCAATATCGCCTGCACGGGGCATCGACGGGACGTCTTCGAGGACGTTGGAGGCGCGGGAGTGAGCACGACAGCGGCACGGAGCATGGACGAAACAGGAGTGAGGCGACCTGTCGCTCGCAGCCGGGCCGCCCGAGCTCGTAGGGCTCCCTGACGGGGTTGGAGTCCGACAACTTCCAGCCCGTGAGGTTCGCGACGCGTTCGCCGAGGTTGCGCAGAACGATCTGCGCGGGCTGGCCGTCCGCGGGCCTCGGAGTGACGCTGCTGACAACAACGAGGTCCGGGCTCTCCGCTTGACGTGCGGGACCGGTCCGCGTCCGATTGCTGCCTAGGAGGTCGTCGAACGACGTTCCGTCCGGCAAGGTCACGTTCGGGACCTCCTGGGACACCGCACACGTCACTGCAGTGCAAACGAACAGGACGGTCGCCGCGGCGCGCGCGAGGCCGAGCTTCGAGGGCGCAGGCATCGCTCCGGGGCTTCCTTGAATAGTGATGCCGCGAGGACCGGTGAGGCGGCGCACTGGATGCGGGATCGCGCGCTCCGATGGCGACCTGCAGTAACACACACACATGGCGCAGCAGCGGCCGCTCGGTCAAGACCGCGTCCTCTGCGAGCGCTGTGAGGCCAGGCTCTCCAGCTGCGTGCACGTGCCGGGCGCTTGACCTTTCGAAACTCCACTGCGGCCCCGAACGCGACCCTTTTGTATCTCGGTGTTGTTGTCCTCGTCGCGCGATGCCCAGACCAGGTCAGTGGCGACACGAACGGTCTACGATCGACAACGGTCGCCCCCTGCCCGACATGCTGCGCGCCGCTGGCGCGATGCAGCCCCGTCGGACCACCAAGCAATACCCCTCCCCCTATACCACCTCGCTTTGCCGCGCACCGTCGCGGGACGGCGCCACTCGCGGCTCCCGCATGTTTCTGATCCGCCCCTGCGCGATGAGCAAATCCGTCGCGCTCAAGCCCACGGCGGCGAGCGAGTGCGGCACCGCGCCCGCTACGAGCCGCCTGCATGGTCCGTTGGTCGCAGAGGAGCCTTCGTCAGGGCTGGTGGCGTACTCCACGGGCCGCGAGCTCTTCGTCTGCGACCACCACATCCGCCACGCGCGCCAGGTCCTCATTTCCGGCCCGCTCGCGCCCTCCCCGATGAGCAGTCCCCCGGCCAAACACCAGCACCGCGCCGCGCGCCCCGCTGCCCCGCGCGGCGGCAACGACGCCGCAACGGCGGCCCCGAGCAAGTCCGACAACGCGAAGGACTCCAACGTCTACGATGCGCTCATGGCGCAGCTGTCGAAGCTCACGACCAGCGTAGCGCAGCCGCGCACCCCGCGAGCGGCGCCCGAGGAGGCCGCTCCGGCCGCGGACGACGACCGCGTGCAGATCTCTTCGATCTCGTGGGGCAAGGGCCACGGAGGCGCCGCCCTGCTCGCCGCAGCCACCTCGCTCGGGGTCGCCGTGTGGTCGCACGCGGCGGGGACTGGCACCAAGGCCGCCCTGGTGCCGTGCGCCAGCATGCCGGTGCTGGCGGCCGAGGGCGAGGAGCCCTGGTCCTGCACGGAGGTACGCGGCCGCCTGCCTCGCGTTCTCTGTTCTCTATTCTCCGCTTTCCCCGCATTCCTTGTCCTGGTATCTGATGTTCATTTCCTCCGTCGAACGCCCGCAGTTCCACCCCACGGCGCCCGGGGTCCTCTGCGTCGCGTCCCGCAGAGCGCTGCTGCTCGTCCGCGTCCTCCCGAACAGCGAACGCAGCGCCGCGCCCGAGCACCGCCGCGGAGTGCAGCACCTCGTGCACGTCACGCCCCCGGACGCCGGTCCGGGCACCTCCCGCGCGTTCCGGTGCTGCTGGGACCCCTCCGGCGAGACGCTGCTGGCCTCCTGGGGCGGAGAGCTCGAGGTCCTGCGCTGGGGGGGAGTTCCGGCCAGTAGAAGTGGTCCTGACAGCGGGGGGCACAACTGGGAGCTGAAGAGTCGCAGGTCGCTGCTGCTGGGCATGGGCACGTCCTCGGCCGTGCGCGCGATCGCGAGCGCGTCGGGGCCCGCGGGGGAGCCGGATCGCTTCGTGATCACGTACGACGCCCCCATGACGCTGCGCGCGGGCGACGCGGGAGCGAGCGAGGCGGCGGCGGCGGGCGTGGCGGCGGGCGGCGGGGACGCCGACGGGGTGATCGATCTGCGCGGGCAGACGGCGCCGGGCGCGCCGCAGCAGGGGCACGTGATCGTCGAGTCGGGCGCGGCGGTGCCGTCGATGTTCTTGCTGAGTCAGGGGGGGGGTGCTGGGTCCGCAGCGGCCGTGGCGGCGGGCGGGGCGCCACCGGCGGGGCTGCAGGCTACGGGGCACGTCTGCCTCGTGGACATCAGCGGCGGGGCGTCCGGGAACGCGGCGGGCGGGGGGCGTGGGAGGCCGCAGCGGCAGCCGTCAGGATCGGTCGTGTCGGTCGGCGTGGCGACGCCGGACGTGGTTGCGTGCGGCGGGGGGCTGCTGCTGGTCGGCAGCAGCCTGGCGCCGGCGAAGCTGGAGGTGTTTTTGGTCGGGGACGCCGCCGAGGGCTTGATGAAGGGGGGGAGTGTTTGGCTGTCGCTCGACGCGGGCGAGACGGACCCGCGCATGCGCCTGCGGTGTCTGTCTGCGTCGCAGTTCGTGTACAGCGGCGCCGGGGACGCGGGGACAGTCGAGGTTCTTTCGATGAGCGTGAAGAAGAGATCCGGAGACTCCCCGTTCTTTTCCAGCGCCCTTTCCAAGACGGACGACGGCACGCTGTGCGTCGCGAGGCACGCCGTGCCGCGCGGGGACTTCCTGCCCGCCCGCGACGACCGCCTCGACGTCAGCCTCGACGCAGAACGCGTTGCGAACCCCCCCCCCGCCCGTCAGCCCGCGGCACCCGACGCGCACTCCCCCGCATCGCCCGCCGCGGTGGGCCCGTCGCCGTCGTCAGCGCGGCCGCGTGAGGACGCGAGCGCGAGGTTCGCGCTCGACGTTGACGCGCAGGCCGTGCGATCGCGCGCAGCGGACGCTGGGCTTGCAGCGGACCTGCTGCGGCAGTCGGCGGCGTCGCAGCTGCTAGTGGCAGACGCGCTGCGGGGGCTGTCGAGGGACGTCGAGGCGCGCATGGGCAGGGTCGAGGCCGCGATGGCGGGCCTCGTGGAGCGCGTAGCCAACATGGAGGCGAAGCTGGCGCGCGCAGGGCTGTGACGACGCGCCACGCAACCCGCACCGGCTCGCACAAGGGCATGAGGTGACATGCGTGCGAGGGCTCCGCCGGTGTGGTTGCTCCCGGACGCCCCTGTTCCTGCTCGGTCATGCTTTGACGATTTTGGCTCTGAATGAATTTTCGCTGACCCACGGGCATCCCCGACGAGACGCGCGTACGTCATACTGAAAGCCAATTCATTTACAAGGGAAAAGAAAGTACATCCACGGATCTGCTGATGTGCGGTTTGCATCGCGCCGCCCCGCGCCCCTACACCTCCAGCGACAGCCCACACACCTCGACGGCAATCTCCGGGCCTGCGGGAGCCCAGTTCCGCCGCCGGGACCCCTCCTCCTCGTCCGAGTCCCCGCCCACGTCCACCACGTCGAACCCGCCTGACGTCGGCCGGCACTCCAAGTCGCCCGATGTGGCAGTCTCTGTGCGGTGCGCCACCTGGCGCTGCGCGCGTCCGCCCGTCCCGGTCGGCGTGACGGGGTGCCCGAGGATGCTGTCGCGGCCGCGGAACGGCCGCTCCCCGCCGACCGTGTCCGGGCGCGGGCGCTCCTGGCTCGCAGCCGGCGTGAGGATGGGCGGCGTGGACGGCGGATGCTCTGGGGTGCGCGGGCGGTCGGTGCCGCCCTGCAGGGCCGCGATGCGCGCGGCCACGCTGTCCTCGACGGCTGCGAGGCCCGCCCGGACGGGTTCGACGGCCTTCTGGTTCTTGGTCAGACGCAGGACCTCGAGCGCGTCTGACAGCGCCGACCAGTCCCCCCCGCCAGGCGCCGTCGCGCCGTGCGCGGCGAGGCCGTCCCGCGCCGCGACCTGCCTCTTGAGGTTCTCCACGCGGCTCTGGATGTCCGACTCCACCCCGGACATCTCCGAAACGATGTTGTTGTTTTCGTCATTGTTGTTGTTGCCATCTTCGACGTCGCCGGGCGCAAGGCGCACCTTCGCAGCTGGGTCCCCAAGCACGGGCCCAGACATCGTCCGCGGGCGCTCCTGCTGCGTCGACGCCGGGCGCACGCTCAGCCGCGTTGGCCCGTTCGCCGCCGCACCAGCCTGCTGCGACGTCGGCCGCGACGCCGGCTGGCTCCCCGCCTCCTTGGCTCCGTTCCACGGGGACGCGGGAGCGAGCTCGATCATCATGTTCGGCCGCGTCGGCTCCGTCGGTGCGGCCGCAATCGCCGCGGCGCGGCCCGCGTGCGCGCCCAAGCTGCGCGCGCCGGTGAGCGAGGTTCCGGGCGCGACAGCGCGCGCCGCCGGCTCCGGAGCGCCCGGTAGCGGCCCCGCGGATGCGCGCACGTTCATCGACGCGGACGCCGCGGGCCCGGGCGGGCCGTCGGGCGGAGCGCTGGGCACTAACAGCCGCTGGGAGGGGGGTTCGGGCAGGGACGACAGCGACTTGCGCGTGGACTCGCCGGCCGACAGAGGCACCACGCGCGACTGCTCCGTGCTGTGTGCGCCGCCCGTCGGCGGCCGCGAGCCGTGCGCTGGGCCTGCGGCGCCGACGGAGCCCGGACGCGACATCGTGGGCTCCGATGCTTGCTCCTGCGCGCTGCGCGGCGCCATGGCGTCGGGCCTCGCGACGCTTGGAATGTTGGCGGACAGCGGCCGCGGGTCATTCGCGGCGGGGACGTCGCTGCCGGGCGCGGGGACGGATGTCAGACTGACGCTGTTGCGGTCGTGCGGGGCGCCTGACGTCAGGGCCTGCTCGGGCACGCTCTCGGCGCCCGCCTGGATGACGCTCGACGCAGGGAGCGCCGCGACGCTCCCGTCGGGGGAGCGCACGCCGCGCAAGGGCAGCGCGGAGGGCTGGGGCGAGGTGGTCACCGACGCCGTCAGCGGGGAGCCAGGGGGGCGGAGCGGGGGAGTGCCCGGCGACGCCGTTGGTGCCGGCGCGCGGGCCGGCGCCGTGATGTCCATGCTGGGCGCGTGCTCCCCGGGCGGCGGCGACGGCGGCGCGTCCGGCCGCATCGCGAGACGCCCCCCCGCAGACCCGGGGGGGGTGTTCCCGGTCCCGCCAGCGTAGGGCGCCGCCGCGGTGGACGGAAGCGGCGCGGCGAGGTCCTCCTCGACGTCGTGCACCTCGAGGGTGTCTGCGGAAGAAGCAAGCTCGTTGGCGACAATTACTGGCCTGAGTCAGCGCGTCAGGACGCGTGCGTCGGGCGCGGCGGTACCCACCGCCGAGGCGGCCCCGACAGCGTGCACGGTGTGTGTATCGCGGCGCCGGGGGGGGTGTCGCACCGTTGTTGAGGGTTGCGCGCGGCCGCTTGCCCGTAGCACGCTCCTGCACGGTGGACAGCGCCGAGCACGCGCGGTGGACCTTCCGCGCCTTCTTCTTCGCGCTCGAAGCAGCCATGCCCACGAGGTCCGGCATCGACGACTCTGCGCACCACAACGCACCACGCACCATACGTCGCACGCAGCGCCACAAGATGCTCGCACGCGACGCCATGCGGCGTTGCAGGCGCCGCCGTGGGCGCCGCTGGCCTGCACGTACCTTCCAGGATCCCCGCTCCGTCGCTCGGGCGCGCCGAGCCCGCCACGTTCCAATCGGAGCTCTGTGCTTCCAACTGTGCAGACTGCACGCGCGCGTGCCCGCGGTTGCCCTTGCGCGCCGCGTCGCCGGGCGCGCCGATCGGGAACGCCCACTGCTGCGCGGGGTCCGCCGCCGCGGGGCCGAACGCCTGCCGAGGGACGGGCAGCGTGCCGGAGCACGGCACCTCTGCCGGTGCGACGCGCCGAGGCCCGCCGTAGACGTCGCTGTTTGCCGCGCGGAGCGCCGCGGCGCGCGAGGCCCACTCTGGGTGCTGCGCCCCGGCGGAGAACTCCCCGCCGGCCGGCGCCACGCGGGCGGAGGACACGTAGAGAGCGGCCCCGAGGTGGGCCTGCTGCGAGGACACGCGCGCGGGGCCGCCCCCGGGCGCGCTGAGGTCGATGCCCTGGCCGTTGAAGCCGGAGGGGAGCGAGACGGTGTCGTGCTTGAGCTTCTGGGCCGCGAGGAGGATCTTCTTGCGGTGGCCTGGGGGGATGGTGATGCCGGCAAAGTTCGCGATTTGGTCCAGGTCGCCGTGGTCGAGGTCCGCGAGCGTGTCCTCGTCCTCGAAGCCTGCAGGGACCGCGGCGCCGGAGGACGCGGGCGCGTCTCGCACGGGCGTGGCGCGGCAGGGTATGGCCAAGCGGAGAGCGGTGCTCGGACGTCGCGGGACTGCGCGCATCCCGCCCGAAATCGGTCGCGCTTGCGAGCTCGCGTCGCGCTGGACGCAGGAAGCCCCGCGTGCGGGGCGGGAGCCCCCCGGGCGCGTCGCGCGTCGGTTCGTGTTCAGGGAACATCAACGTGCCTGAAGTGAGGAACGCCTGGACGTATTTCGACATTCCGTTGGAGCGCAGCCACTCGACGGCGAAGTACTGCACGTCGTTCTTCGGCTCCAAGGCCCCCGCGGCCTCGTCGCCGCCCGCCGTGCCACCCTGCCCCCGCGCCTCTCCAGACCGCGCCCCGCGCGGCCCCCCGCCCTGACCGCGCGCCTTCTCCTTCCCGCTCACGCTGGCGGCGGACCCCGCATCGCTGAGCCGGTCCAGGACCGCCGCGGCGCCGCCGTCATTCTGCCGAGCGTGGCCCATGCTCTCACCGCCACCGATGGGCGCTCCGCCCGGCAAGTCGTCGAGCGTGACCGCGCCGTCGGTCCCATACTCCCCGTGGTCCCGCGCGCTCTCGAACTCGCTCCCGCCCTGCCGCGTCCCCGTCTGGCTCGTCTTCGCCCCGTCCCCCGTCCACCGCAGCTCCGCGCCAGTCGGTGTGGGCGCGCCCGGCGCCTGCCCGGCGTTGCCGACGCCGTCCGTGCGCCCCCCGTCGGCCTGGTTGGCGTACGGCGGCCCGTGCCACGCCTCGTTCATGCGGGCGCCCCCCTGCCCGCGCCCGGGCGCCTCCACGGGCTCATCGACCAGGGCAATCGCGCCGTTCAGCTTGCTGTTGCGGCACCCCATGTCTTCGCGCCTACAAACGACCGCAGAAACCTGCTCGCTGCCTGCTGGCCGCCGGCGGCGCCCTCTGCGTGCCGCTGGGCGCTCTGGGCGTGCGGGCTAGAGGTGCCGCGCTGGTGGAGAGGCCCGCGCTCCGTCGTCGCTCGCGGCGCGCAGGACGCTGGTCGGGGAATGCCGTGGCCGCTCTGCTGCGAGAGCGGCGACCCGATGTGGCGCGGAGGCGGCCGCGGGAGCGCCCATGGCCGGCGCGCGGCGCCCGCGGCAGGGCCGAAATGGACAGTCCACGGGGGGAGTCCGGACGCGAGACCCCCCCTGGACAGGACGTGGCGCGCCGCGTACAGTGCTGCGTGCCGAGGGAGCAGGCCGTCGTTCTAGATTAGCTGCTGCACGAAAGCCTGACCACAAATTCGTGCCAATCGCGACCATTGTTGGAGGTCCTCCGTGTCATCGACTTCTCGCCTTCTGCCTGACGCCGACACGGCAGTCGACGTCTCCGCTCTCCGCGCAACAGCGAGACCCCTCCTAGAAGTATCTCCGGGACGCGTCGTTGCGTCGCAGCAATGAGCACGATGCCGCGCACGCGAGGCTTTGTGTGCGCCGCACGTCTTGCCGCTCCGGCGCGCGTCCCGTGCGCACGTACGCACTCAACCGCGCCGGCGAGAGCGCTGTGGGCCGTCCAACTATGCCGGCGCACGCCCCTGCCATCGCGGCGCGACCGGTTTACGGGCGGGACTGCGCGGTGTGCTGCGAGCAAGAGGGATGAGCCGCTGGGGCCATCAAATGTCCCGGAGGTGGCGCCCATGGCGTTCGCGGTCAACAGCGGAATCGTGTATGTCGCGATGACCGCTGGATCGGAGTGGCTGTGCCGCGCCACAGGCCACGGCCAGGGGCCACTTGCGGCACTGTCACTGCTGCCTCTGGACGCCATGGGGCCCGCGCTGCTGTGGACGGTGAGCCGCCTCGTCACCGCACAGTCCAAGCACGCCGCACACAGCGCTCCGGCGCGCGACCGTCGTCTCTGCACTGCCAACCTCGTTTCGCGCACGTGGTCGCTGACACGAGAGCCCACGCCCCGCCCCTCGCGAGCCGGTGCGTTGCAGCTGCCCTTGCTCGCCAGTCTCGGCCTCGGCATCGCGCTGGAGGACAAGGTCGAGGCGATCAAGAAGACGAACGCCATGGTCAAGGTGACCCTGGGGCCCGTGGTGCGCGGGCTGTCGCCGCTGACGCTGCTGGCTGTCGCGGCGACGGTGGGCGTGGGCGAGGAGGCGCTGTTTCGCGGGTGCGCGCACGTCCCATGCTTGCGCAGCACCTCGATGATGCGAAAGGTCTATTTGCCATTTCCTTGCCCTGTGCTTCCTTTTCCAGCTCTGCGGCCGGTGTTACGCCTCACCCCTTGCTTGGGTCGGCTCGCACACGTGCAGCTGGGGGCAGAGCTGGATGGCCGACGCGCTCGCGGCGGGCCCGCTGCCTGCGACGGGCGACCTGGCGGGGGCAGCGCAGCCGGCGTCCGTGGCGATCGTGGGCGTGATCTTCGGGATGCTGCACGCCGTGACGCCGCTGTACTTGGCGTGGGCGAGCGCTGCGGGCGTCCTGTTCGGCCTGGAGTACCAACAGCACGGGCTGCAGGCTGCGATGATTACGCATGGGCTTTACGACTGGCTGGCGTTCATGGTGCTGCGGCAGGTGACGCAGAAGGAGCTGGACGACGCGCAGAGTGCGTGACGGCGGCGCGCGTCGCCGGGCAGGGCGTGACGGACTGTAACTCGGGAAATGACGATTGAAAAGCACAAGGTGGGGTTTGTTCGAGATTCGTGGCTGGCCAGCGCGCGAGGCGCGCTTGGTGCGTTGCGATGGAGGGTGGGTCGGTGCAGGAGCCGCGGGGAAGGGCGGCGGGGGCGGGTCTCCCCTCCACCGTCGCATGGCGGCGACAGCGTGGTCCGACTGATCGACGCGCGTGCGCGAGGGTTGGAAACGCACCGTTCAGACAGGAGTACTGGCGCGGCGGCGGTTGGACTGGGCCGAGGTGGCGACGGGTGTCATGGTGGGGCTTGACCGCTGTGACCCCCCCCGGGCCTAATGCAGTTGTGCTGAAGTGACGCGCGCCGACCATCGGTGCAGGTCGCCGCAGCGGCGTCGCAGAAGCCGGGCCGCGACGGCGTGGTCGTGGTCATCGACCAACTGCGTTCACTGCGTGTTGAAGTGACGACGTGCCGGCACTGGGGGTGAAATCAGTGCTCGTGCCAACATGACGCGAGCGTGTGGCACCGCAAAACTGCGCACGTGGCATGTGTAGATCGAGTGCGTCCTCGAAGGGGCGCATAATAGGCGTGAGAGGCCGCTGTGAGCCAGTCACGCCTCCAGTGGGCAGCCACGACAACTGCTGTGCCTGTTCCCGTGACGCGTGGAATCTTCTTACGCGTCCGAACGTGGGAGCCGGTATGTTCATGCAGCAAGGAGCCATATCAGTGCGCGTACGACGTTGTGGAGGCCCTGCGGGCGCCGCACTGGGGACAGCGCCACGAGCAGCAACAGGCGGGCAAGAAGCCACGTCCGCACTGCTGCGCCCCCCACGACCAGCCGCCGTCGGACAGGCGCCAAGGCCTGCCAAGTCCGGCGGCGCGTGGTCGGTCGGTCCATTGCGGCCTCGGCAGGTGCCGCTTCGAGCACACATATGTTGCCCAGCATCAGAGGAGAGGTGCACAACGACGTCGTCGCTGTCCATCCACTGGACGAGATTTGCAGCGTGCTGCGGCGCTGCCGACAGGCGAGGATGCGTGTGCGGCCGCGAGGACCCCGGCGCCTGCGTGGGACGAAGAGCGTGACGCAAGCAACAGCGTTCTCGAGGCGCGCTCCTGCACGGCGCGGTCAGTTCGCGGCCGGCCGCGCTCGCGGCCGGCGTCAAGCGACGCGTGGACAGAGCGTCGCGTTCAGTTCGAGCGTGCACCTCAAGTGCACGTGACATGTTGCGTGGCGTGCAGGCGGCGCGTGCAGGCGGGCTGGCGGCCGCTGCGGCACCGGGGCCCGCGTTCCTGAGACCTGCGAATCGAAGATGTGGTGTAGGGATGGCGGTCTGGAGGCCGGGGGCCCGGGGTGACCCTCGTCGCGACCAGGGGGGGTCCGCGTGCGCGCTGCCACAGGCGCGGCGATACCGGCACGGAGTCGAGCACCTGGCGCAGAACACGCGACCGCTGCACGGACGTATCACAGTGCGACGGGTTCGGCGCACGGAACCGGGCGCAGATCCACCATCCACGGCGTGGGCGCGGCCTAGCCTGCGCGGCACAAGTGCTCGCTTTTCGGCACATCACGGCGACGTTCCACTTGGAGATTGTCGGACACCGGCTATCCGGCGATCAAGAGGTGAGACCGCGCGCCGCGGGTCCTCGGAGCGCCCACCTTTACGTCGCGCTCGCCCGCACCCGTCCACGGAACCCTCTCCCCGCGCGCCGCGTCCCGTGCGCGGTTCTTTTCGGGGCGTGGATCTCTCGCGCCACGGCACGCAAGCGTACGAGCGAGCGTGTCCGGGCCGCGCGGACGGAGACCCTCCGCGCTTCCGGGACGCGGCCCAGCGCCCTGCCGGGTGCCGCGCACCGTACAACACAAACGGCCGCCTGACGCCCCGACGTCGCGTCTGGACGTGTGCTGAGCGCCACGATGGCCGCATCATGCATGAAGCATCTCGATACGTACACTTTATTCGTATATCATGCGCCCCATATTCGCAACGACGGCCCCGAAGAGCGCGCAACCCGCACAGGAATTCGGCCCGCCAGCGCCGCCCTCGCAGCGGCCACGTCCGTGCACCACAGCGGGGCACAACAGACCACCAGCTCGTCGCGTCGAATTCGCGGTCCGTGCAGGAGCCGCTATGCCGGACCCTGAAGCCTCTTCATCCACCGACCAGCCGGGCGACGGGCCCAGTGTCAGCGACGGTGCTCAGGGCGGCGCTACCGGGGCCGACGACACGCCGGATCGCACAGCCAGGGGCCGTCAGGCTGGTGCGACGACCACGAGCGGCGCAGGAGGACCCGCACCAGGAGCCGAACAGCGCAACCCGTTTTCACTCTTTGGGCCACCACGGGACGGTGGCGATGCTCAGGGCGGCAGCGCGCCGAGGTTCACGTTTGGGATGCCGTGGCCGCCGTCGTCACAGTCCACGAGGCGGACGGGCGCAGGAGGACCCGCACCAGGAGCCGAACAGCGCAACCCGTTTTCACTCTTTGGGCCACCACGGGACGGTGGCGATGCTCAGGGCGGCAGCGCGCCGAGGTTCACGTTTGGGATGCCGTGGCCGCCGTCGTCACAGTCCACGAGTCGGACGGGCGCGTCCAATGGCACATTTGGCATTGCGTTCGGCACTGGCGTGCAGGCCGCTGGTGCCGGTTCAGGGACTGACGGAGCGGCGACGGGCGTGGCGTTCGGGGCGGCAACGGGCGTGGCGTTCGGGGCGTCAACAGGCGGGGCGTTCGGAGCGTCAACGGGGGGCGTTCGGGTCAACGTTCGGGCGGAGCGTCGTCAACGGGCGGGGGGAGCGTCAACGGGCGGGCGTTCGGGGCGTCAACAGGCGGGGCGTTCGGAGCGTCAACGGCGTCAACAGGCGGGGCGTTCGGAGCGTCAACGGGCGGGGCGTTCGGAGCGTCAACGGGCGGGGCGTTCGGAGCGTCAACGGGCGGGGCGTTCGGAGTGCCAACGGGCGGGGCGTCCCGAGCGGGAACAAGTGGGCGCGAGGAGGCTGTGGTGCGCGCGTCTGCGACGAGCCGCCGGCTGCGGGGAGCGCTCGCCCGAGTGCGGGAACTGGAGGCGCACCTGAGTGCTACAAGGACGCAGCTGCAGAGCGCGGAAGCGCGCGCAGCGGCTGCGGAGGCCCGCGCCGAGGAGGCGGAGCGCGCCATCGCGGAGCGCGACGAGCAGATCGCGGACCGGAACGCCTTGGTAGCTGCAGCGGATGCCGCGCATGCCGAAGCCGCCAGCGACGCGGAGATATTGCGCGGGGAGCTTGCGGCGCTGCAGCTCCAGCCGCAGGGAGACTCCGGGGCGGCAGAGGACGCGCGACAGCGGGCGGAGAGGCGCGCGAGGCAGCTGGAGGGCGAGGCTGATGCGCTGGCGGAGTGCAGCGTGGACGAGCTCGAGCAGCTGATGGAGGTAGTGCACCAGGCAAGGCGACACCGGCCCGCAGATTGCATGACGACCGCTCATGCGCCGTCGCGCACGTGTGTATTCGAAATGACACACGCGATCCATTGCGCTTCTGTTTCGCGCTGCAGGCGGGCTCGCGGATGCGCAGTGCAGTGCGACAGGCGCGGCAGCGCGAGCAGGAGCAGCGCGAACAGCAGCAGCGCGGGCAGGAGGAGGCGCCATCGTGCTGCGTGTGCTGGTCGGCCCCGCGGACGATTATGCTCAACCCGTGCCGTCACGTCAACATGTGCGAGGGGTGCGCAGGCAGAGTGGACAAGTGCCCAGTGTGCCGCCAGACCATCAGGAGCCGCGAGCACGTGTACCTGTAGCGAACCAGGCGGGCTGTGAGTCCGTCGAAGAGTCCTGCCTCAGTCAAACGGTCTGCATTTGCGACATGCTGTTCTGCGAGAGGACGGCGTTGCGCACCGTGTATCGTTGCGCAGACGACGCCCGCCACCTCGCGCGAGGGCCCTTGCAAGGGCCGTCCGCGACGGTCGCGTTGCACCGTCCTGTGCCCCCGTGCATTGGTGTTGATTGCCATGGGTGCCCGAACCGCGCAACCTTGGCTCGACGCAAGCTACTTGCGTCCAACGAACCCGCAGCCGATTCGCGGTGGGTCGCGGGAACTGGCCGCAGGCGGGGGGGGAGTCACGCGGTAGGACAACACTCGCCTGGCCACTTTACGTCAGGCAGACAGCGGTGACGTGGTTGACAGCGTCCGTGGTGAGCTCTTGCGGCTACGCGAGCGCCTTCGTGCGCATAAACGCCCGATTCACCGCCGAGCTGCGCCCGCATTTCCGTCGCCGTCTGTTCGGTCCCAGAGCGATCAGAGATCGAGGGTGCGCAGAGGCCGCTACGCTCCGCCAGGCGCCACTATCTGGATTATGCGAGATGACTGGGACGCGGTGAGGGCTTGTTCTGCTCCGCAAGTACGCTGTGGCGGTCGGCAGCCCCTGTGCAACCCATCCACCTTCTACGTCCAAAATGCGGGCGACAGCGAAGCACTTCGCCTACTTTTGATTACATTTCGCCACAGTCACTATAGATGCGTGCCATAGTTGACATCAACACGCTCAAAACTCTCAGCTTGCCCTGAAATTGCAGAGTGCGTCGGGGGAGCAGAATCCCCCCACTGGCGTGTCCTTAGGCCTAGTGGCTCACGAAGTGACATCGAAGTGGACGGTTCATAACTCTGGCGACCATAAACCGGTGCTGAGTGCCGATCTACTTGCGAGCAGCGCGCACAAGGTGCGTGTCCCTGTGCTTGGGGTTCGATAGCGGCAGCTTCCGCCGAGCCCGCCGCACCCGCCCGTATGGTGATGTGCAGTGCGTGCTATACGTAAGCTTCTCGCCCATTGCTCAGAAAGGTGCCCGAACCCCACCTACAGGTCGGAGGCACCCCTCAATCACAGCACTGCGTCGCGGACGACAGTGACGGGGAGCTCGAGGTGTTCGACGTCCCGTCGCCGGCGCCGGCGGTGATCGAGAGACGATGCGTGACGCGCGGCCGAGCTCGCACCGCGGGGAAGATGCGAGGCTCCTTGAACGCACCACTCCTGCATGACGGTATGCGCACACAGGCTGACGCCGGCCACGGAGACGAATCATTTCGCACTGTCACGCCTGCCTTCCGCACGTCGACGAGCTCGCTGGAGCGCCGACAGACGGTGCAGCGCCCTCTCCCGGCCGCTGCAGACTCCAGCGATGACGAGGGCACCACGGACGAGAAACCAGCCAGTAGGACAACCGCACCGCCCGCTCCGGCACGCGACGGCAACACGCCGGCGCAGCCCGCCACCGTGCACTCCCAGCCGTTCACCGCAATCCCGCGCACGCCCGCACACAACGAACAACCAGCGTCTCCCACAAGACAGACGCAGCCTCACACACCGCCCGGCGTTGACGCTGGGCAAGCGCAAGCGCACGCGGCCGTGGTCGAGTCCTATGAGAGGCGGCTCGCGGCTGCCGAGGAACAGCTCCAGCAGCTCGAACGCGACAAAAACCGCGTTCAAGAGGATCTACGATGGCGACTCACCTGTGCGGAGAAGCAGCGCGAGAACGTAGCCGGGGAGCTCGCGGCGGCGCAGCGCGAGCGCGACGATGCCCTGGCGCGCGCCGCGGCGGCGGCGCGCGATCTCGATAAGGCAAGCATGCAGCTGGCGCAGGCAGGCGAGCGGGAAGCTGCCGCAGAGGCCCGCGCTGAGCAGGTCGCTGCGGAGCGAGACGCTGCCGTGACAGGTGCTGCGGCGGCGGCGCGCGATCTCGAGAAGGCAAGCACGCAGCTGGCGCATGCAGGCGTGCGGGCAGCTGCCGCAGAGGCCCGCGCTGAGCAAGCTGAGTCCCGCGCGGACGACGCGGAGCGTGCCATCGCGGAGCGCGACAGGCAGCTCGCGGTGCGGAGCGCCATGGTTGCGGCAGCAGATGCGGCGTACGCGGAGGCTGCCAGCGACGCGGACAACTTGCGCGCCGAGCTTGACTCCGAGCGTGCAGCGCGCGAGGCGGCCGAGGCGCTCAACGCCCAGCTGCAGCAAGCGCTGGAGGGTGCTGGGGCCGCGGACGCAGCGGCGCGCGCAGGCGCGGAGAGGCGCGCGAGGCAGCTGGAGGGCGAGGCTGACGCGCTGGCGGAGTGCAGCGTGGACGAACTTCGAGAGCTGATCAGCGTCGTGGAACAGGTGAGGCCACAGGCGCAGATGTTCGTTGATTGTATCGCATTTTGCGAAATCGTTTCTTGGTTTCATTTTCCGTAGGAAAACAAACGATGTTGGTATTCCGAATCCATCGTGCTCCCGCTGCAGGCAGGCTCGCGGATACGCGACGCAATCTGGCGGGCGGAGCGCGAGGGGGAGCTCGAGGCGGCCTCGCGGTGCACCGTGTGCTGGTCTGCGCCGCGCTCCGTGGCCCTGAACTGCGGCCACGTCATCATGTGCGAGGGATGCGCGGCTCGCGTGTCCACCTGTCCGACGTGCCGCCAGGCCATCACCAGCCGGCAACGCGTGTACATGTGACCCCGTCGGCTGCCGCCGTGCAGGCCCTGCGTCATCGTCATAGGCCTTGCATGCAGCGCCGACGAAGCCCCCGACCCTGCGCGCAGGACCTCGGCAGATACACGCAGGGGCGGTGCAGCGTCTCCCGGTGGCGCCCGCGCGCACCGGCGCCCCCTCAATTTCCCCACACCCCCCTGGGGGACTCCTAGGCTTGCCCCGTCAGGTTTTGCCGGGTGGGCTCGATGGCGCGCCGGGCTCCGCACTCGCGGCAGTGTCTCGCTGAAGCTCAGGGGGTCGCGGAAGGAAGCATGCCGCCGAAAGGCGATCGCAAGCGCTCGGCAGGGAGTGATGGGCGGAGGGCCTCTGGGGGCTCCGGGGGCGATGCGGGGGAGACGAAGCGACGAAAAGAGATGGCGGACCTCGCGAAGCGGCGCGCGGCGCACTTCGCGACGTTTGGCGGGGACGGCGAGGACGTGGACGCGGAGGGCGCTGCGGGAGGCAATGTGCACACGGGGGGGGACACGGCGCGGAGCCTGGGGCCGTGGTCTTCGGCGCGGGAGCTTGTAGAAGCACGGCAGAGGGCGGCGGAGGAGCGAGGCGAGAGGTGCGGCCCTGAGCAACGAGAATTTCCGGGTCCTGTATTGTGGCCGCGAAGCCAAAGAAGCGTTTTGAGCATATACCGCCGTTTTGATGAGATGTTGTGCTCGCTTGCTCGATCGACGTGCATTGAAGGAGACGCTGAGCGCTTCGACTGTACCGCCCGAATGGCACGCGGTGCGCGGCGGGCGTGTTTCCTTGCACGGTAGGGTGAGCGCTCTGAGCGCACGAAACGGACGCAGCCTCCGACGTTTCGCGCTCCGCAGGATCCTCGAGGAGAAGAGGCGGCTGCGCATGGCCGCTGAGGCCGGGGACGTGCTCAAGTGGGAGCCCAAGCGGGACCCGAGGACCCCGCGGCAAACAGGCGACATTCGGAGCCTCTTCTCGATGTGCCTCGACATCTGCGCCGGCTTCCTGGACTGTGTGGAGAGCCTGTACGGCATCCCCGACCCGGTCAAGGTCAAGATCGCTCGCGAGGCGGCGCGGCGGCGCATGCTGTCGCCCAGCTCCCTGCCCCTGTTCACTGCGGGCGCGCCTGCGGAGGTCGTGCTGCCGAACTGCACGGAGATCGACCCCGGGACGCTGATCGCCGCTCTCCCGGACTGCCTCACGCCGCGCCTGCGGAGGCTCGAGCTCGGATTCTGCGGCCGGCCGCTCACCGATAGAGCTGCGTCTGTGTTCCTCTCCGCCGCCGGCCTCGAGGTGCGCGACCCGACGCGAGGCTCACTCCGAGCGCACTTTGGCGTGGGCCGGCGGCCAGTGCGCGCTTGCCTCCGCAGCACTCGACCTTCGCGCCCACCATCGTTGCCTGGTGTTTTTCACATCCCCGCGGATGGGGGCGCTTCCAGTCAAGAAATTGATATTGCTCGATATGTGTGGATGTCGGCCATGCGGTTCGGCTGCGTCGGTGGTCCTCGCATCCCCAGTCGGTGATCAGAGACCTACATGCAGCTACAAACAACACACCACGACATGAATCACGACACGATCGTTTCCTCTCTGGTCTCCGCAGGACGAGGACAAGGACGGCAAGGAGGACGAGGCCCGGCGCGCGGCCTGGATGGACAACATCGACGACCAGCCAGCCAAGAAAGACTCGGACGACGACGACGACGAGTCAGTAGACCCTGATGAGCAACTGCTGCGAGAACAGGAGGCCGAGCGCCTCGCGGCCCTCCCGCCCCCCGGCACCTTCCCCTCGACCCCTACCCCGCTCGGCATCGAGGCGATCTGCCTCTCCGGCGCGTACAAGCTCACGGAAACGGGTTTGAAGCGCATCCTCCGCGCGTGTCCGAATTTGGTGGAGCTGCGCGCGACGGACTGCCCGCGGATCACGGGCGAGATCATGCGCGCGCTCCCGAGCCTCGTGCCGCGGCTGCGCGTGCTCGATGTCGCGGGCGCGGGCGGGATCGAGAACGAGGCACTCGTTGAGTGCCTGCGCGGCCTGACGCACCTGAAGCACCTGGGGCTCTCGCGCGTGCCGTCCACGGATGACTCTGCGCTGGCCGCGCTCGCGGAGGCCGCGCACGGACTGCAGGTGCGCCGCACCCTCGACCTCTCACCCGTGCGCCTGCGTACCTGAAGTTGTTGCCTTGCGCTGACGCCCGCCGTCCCGTGCGCCGCTCCGCTGCAGTCGCTCGACATCACGCGGTGCTCCGCGGTCACGGACACTGGCATCGCCGCCCTCGCGAAGTCGTGTCCGGGCCTGCGCGCCCTCACGCTCGACTACGTACACCAGGTGTCGGACGAAGGCCTGGACGCCCTCGCACGCAGCTGCCGCCAGCTCACGAGCCTCTCCCTGGGCCGCTGCGCGCGCATCACGGAGGTCGCGCTCGTCCGGTTCCTCAGCGAGGGCCCAGCGGGCATCGAGCGCCTGTCGCTGAACCACGTTGGGCCCGCTGCGGGGCACGCGTGCGCGCAGGCGCTCGTGGCGCGGCACGCGCGGACGCTCAGGGAGCTGGACGTGTCGTGGTGCCGCGGCATGGACGACGCGTGCCTCGGGACGATCGCGGACGCGTGCGGGAAGCTGGAGCATCTCAGGATGTTTGGATGCCCGCAGGTGACGCCGAGGATGTTGAACGGGCACTCGAACGACGGCCTGCGGATCACGGGCGTACAGGCTTGAGGGTGCGCGGTGCTGAGGTCTTGTGTGTTCGGACACTGACGGGGTTTTGATTGTTTCTTCGACATTGTAACGGACTGTCATAACGCGGCTGCCTGAGGGTCGAACGGCCAGGCCGGGGCTTGTTGATGAGTCGTCGCGCAAAGGCTGTCCGAGCCGACAACGTCAAGCACATCACAGCTCTTATTGAGTTCGGCATTTTGTTTATGATCGAGCACCGAATCGATGCCTCAACATGTTTTTCACTGCATGGGAGGGCTTTGCTGGTCCGCTCCCTCGCAAGCAACGTCATGCTTCGCCCCAGCGGCACGCGCGCATTCGTGCACGAACGCGGAGCACGAAGGATTCTGCAGGCCGCCGACGCAGGCCGCGCACAGCATCAGCGCGCATCATGGCGACGCATCCTTCAACGCAGCGACCTGCGCCTTCTCCGCGCCGCCGTGCGCCTCGGCCAGAATCGGGCTCGGCCCGAGCCAGCACAGCAGGCCAGGCAGCAGGAACAGCCCGCCGTACAGGCCAAACCCGAGGGTGGCGGAGATCAGTTTGAAGAAGGTCAGGAAGATCGTGGACCGCGATGCTGCGAGCGGGAGGATGCCCAGGAACGTCGAGAGCCCCGCGAGCGCCACGGCGAACCCGATCTCGTTCAGCGTCGCGGCCACGCGCGCCTTGCGGTCCCCGAACGGCTGTTCCAGGAACTTGTGCGCGATGTGCAGCGTCATGTCGACGCTGAGGCCGAGGCCGAGGATGAGGTTGATGCTCGAGACCGTGTTGAACCGCATGCCGCCCCACCAGATCGCGGCCAGCAGCGCACAGTCAATGAGGAAGACAACCGACGTGCACAGCAATGCAGACACCGGGTGGACGAGGAAGAGCAGCGACACGACGAACACGCCGACGAGGCCGAGGCCCATCGTGAGGAGCGTCATGTCCCACAGCACGAGGTCGCTCTCCGTGAAGATGAAGTCCAGCATGAACACGAACGCGCGGTCGTCGTCGCCAGTGCCGCCCATGACGGCGTTGAGCTTCCGCGAGAGCTCGCGCACGGAGTGGAACAGGTCGATCTCGCGCGACACGTCCTCGCCGACCGGCGCGAACGTGTAGGACGCCCGCGCCGCCACGACCGGCCCCCCCACAAGCCCGCTGTCGACGATCTCCGGATCAGGGTTGGTCTCCGACGCCCACGCTGCGCCGTTCGCGAAGCCCGGCGCGAAGACGAGGTCCTCGACGAACCGCTTGCCCGGCCCCGGCGCGTCCGGCGTCCCGATGAACGCGGCAAGCTCACCCTCGAACGCCGCCTGCGCTATCACCTCGCGCTGCACGGGCGCGGTGCTCGAGCCCTCGAACGTCCCCTCGGGCAACGCCAGCTCCGTCGCCGCCCCGCGCGCCTTCGCAAACGTAACGAGCTCCGCGACCCACGGCTTCGCGTTGCCGTTCGCATCCGGGTCCGCCCACTCGTGTTCGAGCGCGCGCTGGAACGTCTCGAGGACGCCGGCCTGCGCCGCCGGCGCGGAAAAGTCGACGTTGCGCCAGTACAGCTTGGCCGCGCTGCCCACGGTGACGTCGAACGAGCTCTCCTGGACCTCGAAGAACCGCCGCGTGGTCGTTCCGGTTCGCGCGAGGTCCTTGAGCGGCAGGCCTTGGTCGAGCTGCGTCGCGCCGTAGATGCCGCACGCGGCGAGCGCCAGGAGGACGAGCAGGACGGGGATCTGGCCCCACAGCGACGTGACCAGCGGCACGTGGACGCGGCGGATGTAGAACTGCACGGGATGCGCCTCGCGGTCGGCTTCGGACGACGTGGCGTCGACGCTGGGGCTGCCAGGGAGCCGTGGAGACACCTTGGCGCCGCCGGCGTCGTCCTTGGACGCCCGTGCGTCGGGCGCTGCGAGCACCGCCGTGACATTCGCCGTCGCAGCTGCGGGCTGCGAGGACGATGGCGCGGCGCGCTTGACGCAGCACAGGAGGTCGCAGCGGCTGGCGGCGCGGCGCCGGTCGTCGACGGCCATCATCGCGGTGAACAGCGTGAGCTGCAGCGCCCAGTCGAACGCGATGGCGACGGCGGCGTAGGCGCAGAACCAGCGCACCGCCGGAATCACCGTGGCGGTGCCGAGCGCGAACCCGAGGATGTTGGTCAGCGACGTCACCGTGATGCTCGTCCCGAACGTCTCGGCGTTGAGGCGGAAGAGCTCCTCCGCGGACGCCGAGGGGTGGCGCACGCGGACGACGTCGAGGCCGTTGACGAGCACGAACATGTCGTCCAGGCCGATGCCGACGAGGAGGAAGGGGAGCATCGCTTGGAGCGTGCTGAACTTGATTCCTGCGAGTAAACAAAGCGGCACGGCTCCGTGGGACACAACGTTGCAATAGTTTCTACCTGCGCTGCATCAGAACGCGGTCGTCGTCTCCCGACAGTGCAGCGTGCACTGGTGGCGGGCGCCGCACCGACCAGGGCGCAGAATCCGTATCCCGCCGCCATGGACACGGCGGTGGTCACGACGCCCCCCAGCGCGAGGGCGATGCGCGACTTGACGAAGTTCCGGACGTTGGACAGCGACAGCGACGCGAACAGCGTCATCGTGACGAACGACGTGATCACCAGCACGATGTCGCCCGAGACGGTCGCCTCGACCTCGTCGTCGATGCTGAACTCGTGGACCCACGTCAGCTTCACCGCGGTCAGGGTGCCGCGGACGCGATCCAGCGCAGCATCCGCGGCCTCCATGAACGTCTTCGAGGAGCTGTCCGTCAGAGCCTGCACGCACAAGGTTTAGCGCCACCACATCTGTCGGCCGTGGCGCTGGCGTGGGAGGAGCTGGGAGGGCGGTCGTCGCGCTACAAGCGCAGCGGATCGAGCGATCGAGGGGGCGCGCCTGTCTCAGCCTGAAGGTCGTCAGGCCCGTCGCGGCGCCCGTGACACCCCCGGATGCGTCACGGTCGACGGGACTGAGGTACGTCGTCGGCTCGTTCCTCCGGCCCGACGGGAACGTCGCGGCGTTGATGCGGGCGAGAAGGGCGGCCGTTGGATCGTTCGTGGCCGCGTCGTTCTCGAGCTGCGCCCGGTCGAAGCCCCAGGGTGCTAGCAGGCCGCCGCGGTCGCACCCTGTCGCGGTGGGCTCGCAGACGTCGGTGAAGGAGCGTCCCTGGGCGTCAACGGCGTCCAGGACCGCGGAGGCGGCGCGGAAGAGGTCGCTCAGGACAGGCACCTGCGAACGAGAGTGGTGTGGCAGCAGCCTGTTGTGTGTTTGCTCCTGCCGGCCGTTTCCGGGGCGTGACATCCAATGTGACGCGTTCTCTGTCTGGTTCAGCCATGTATCTGTCCACAGGTACAGTTCAATTATCGGAATTCATCTCACCGTGACGACATTGGAGCCAGATGCAGGCTCCACCTGGAGGACCAGCCTCGATCCACCTCCGGAGAAACGTGCCTCGGCGTAGTCCCTGTGCTCCATCGACTTGCTCCCCTGAGGCGTCCACAGCTTCTCCGACTCCGTGACGATCTCGAGGCGGAGGAATCCCACCGCGAGCACCAGAGCACTGATCAGGCCCGCTGCGATCGTGGTCCACGGGCGGCGGTACGAAAAGGCCGCCACGGACCCGAGCTTTCGCCCGAAAGCTCGCTGGGCGCCGCCCAATCCATCCGTGTAGGCCTGCAGCTCCGCGGCGGCTTATGTAAGGTCACCTAATGTGCAATCGATGGCTGCCCACTGCGCTGTCTGCACCTCCGGCGTTGGTTCGAAGCCGCGTGCTTTCCCTGCTTCCACAACATCGCTCCACGCGCAACGGTGCCGAGCGGCGATCACGGACCGCGCGCTACGCGCCCCCGACACTGATGCGTTGGAGCGCACGGAGCTGGTCGCCGACGAGCGCACCTGCCACGCAGACCTCCCTTGCCCTCCTCCCTCCATGATCGCCAGGACACTCTACGCCGCTCGAGGGGGGCGTCGTCCAAACGAACCCCCCCGTTTACCGCACTTTCAGTGCAGCGAAATTCGAGGGCTTCTAAGCCGCAGAGTGCATGGTCTGCGTGACGTGAGGTCGCTGCGGAGTGAGAAGGGCCCGGCGCGCGCTCGGGACATGACCTCGGCGGCCAGTGCCGCCTGCAACGAATGACACCACACCACCGATGGTATGAGCATGACGCAGCACGTGCCTCGCGGCCCGGGGGGCGACATGAGCGTCCCATACGATCGGCTAGCACACAAGCCACCACGTGGGCGCCTAACTGTCGACGCTTCCGTCCGCCTGCCGCTCCAGGCGCGCAGCCAGGGTCGAGGGCTCAAACGCGTCGGATCCCGCGGTGTGCGACCCGGGCTGCCGACGAGCACGCGCGCGCCCGGTCGCACGCACGGCGTTCGGTCCGCTGCGGCTGCGTGGGAGGATCGATCCGCGGCGTGTTCGGCAGGGTCGAGGTCTGGGCTGCTGCACAAAATGCCGTACGGTGGCTTCGAGACGGGGTGTTCCGCGCCATGTCTGCTGAGCTCGTCCGCTGCGAGCCAGAGGCATCGCAGCAATGAGCGCACCGGGGCCTGGGAGGCTTCGGTTGCGGCAGGCAGCGCGGAAACCCGGTGTGGTGCCGCGCCAGCGGCCATCCTGTTCCCCTCGTTCGAGCCGACGACGGGCAAGCGGCGCTTCTCGCACATCCCTCGGTTCGGCCGAGGGGGCGCGGATCCGCCAATAAAGCTCGTCGATGCCGACCCGAAGCCGACGAACGGAGGTGCGCACCAACCGACATGACCGTCGCGAGCGCTCGCGGCGACGCGTGCGGCCTTTCCTGGCGATTCTCGCGCGTCGCAGGGCTCTCTGACGCGCGAGAAGGAGACCACATCCGCCTGAATCTCTATCTCTGCTCCCCCGCGCGAGGACAACGCCTCGGCTGCCCCCGTTGCTGCAGGTTTTCGGCCGTGGCAGTGGTTCCGGCTCCCGGGGCAGCGGAAGAAGGACTTCGAGATCGACCTGTCGGGCCCCGGCGACCCGGCGCAGGGTCTGATGCAGTGGATGGCGCGGAACGTCCCGTTCATGGTCAACCTGACTCCGCACACGCCCAACAACAAGGCCAAGCTGATGGACGTGCGCCAGTTCTTCCAGTACGTGGAGAAGGAGACCGTGCGGCTGTTCCAGTCCCTCGACTCGGACGGCGACGGCGAGGTCACCATCGACGACCTCAAGTACGCTGCGTCCCGCAGAGGTGAGGCGCGGCGCACGTCGTCGGTGATGCAACGCGCGATCCTGGGGCCCGCCGCCACGCGCGGCCGACGCGCACGCGCGGCCGAGGGCCCCGAGGACGACCCGGCGCTGCTCCGCAAAACCCCCCTCCCCCCCTGACTCACGACGTGGAAAGCATGACGTGTTCAATAAACATTCAATGCAGCTGCTGCGGTCCTCCCGAGGAGCCTTTGAGGTCCTCAGGCGCCTCGACAGCGCGCTTTTGGTTCTGTCTCGTTCGCAGGTCTGCCGGAGGAGTACGCGCGGATCCTGATGCGTGCGGGGCGCAAGGGCCAGTGGTGGCGCACGTCGCTGACGTACGAGGACTTCCACGACGTCCTGCGCGAGCGCGAGCAGGCGTGCCTGTGCGCGTACACCGCGCTCGACGTGGACCAGGAGGGCAAGATCACGGCCGACCGCATCCGCGACATGCTCGAGACGGCGGGCGTGCGCGCCACCGAGGCAAACACGCGTGCCATGCTGCGCGTGGTCAACCCGGGCGCCGCGGACGCCGGCTCGGACGGGCTCGACGGCGAGGTGTCGTACGGGCGCTTCCGGGACCTGTTCATCTTCATGCCGACGGACGCGCTGCGCACGACGGAGCCGACGCAGCTGTGGTACGACGCGGCGACGACGGTGCCGCTGGGCCCGCCGGTGGAGGCGGACGACATCGAGAAGGACAAGGGCCCCGGGCGGACGCAGGGGCGGCTGCTGCTGCGGGCGGCGCTCGCGGGCGGCATCGCGTCGGGGAGCTCCACGCTGCTGATGCACCCGCTCGACACGCTGAAGACGCGGCTGCAGGCGACGGCGGGCGCGACGATCGGCGAGGTCGTGCGGTCGGCGCCGAAGATCGGGCCGCAGGGGCTGTACCGCGGGATCATTCCGGCGGTGACGGGCACGGCGCTCGGGCACGGGATGCGCACCTTCTCGTACGAGGCGGCGCTGGGGGTGCTGCTGAAGTGGACGCACGGGGCGGCGGAGCTGCAGATGCAGGGGCTCGCGTCAGGCCTCGGCACGGTGGTCGGGACCGCGATCCGGATCCCGTGCGAGGTCATGAAGCAGCGGCTGCAGGTCGCGCGGCACCAGAACGTGGTCGAGGCGGTGCGCGTGGCGCTGCAGACCGAGGGCCCGAGGGGGATGTTCCGCGGCACGCCCGCGCTGCTGGGGCGCGAGGTGCCGTTCTACGCGCTCGGCATGGTCGTGTACGAGCAGATGAAGGGCTTGTTCAACGGGCGACTGTTTACGGGGAATGCGAGGGAGCTGAAGCCCTGGGAGTGCATCGCGATCGGGGCGCTGAGCGGCGCGGCGACGAACTTCGTGACCATGCCCATGGACGTCCTCAAGACGCGGCTCATGACGGCGCCCGCGGGCGCCTCGGTGTCCGCGCTCCCGCTGCTGGTGCGCGCCCACGCCGGCGGAACGCGCGGACGTTGGCGTGAACCCACCCTTTGCGTCCGCAACGTTCGGCCTCGCCGGCCGCGGACGGATCGTCGCGTTGCATTCGCTCTCGTCATCATCATTCAATCATGACCTATGTTTTTGCTGTTTGTGCGTCGCAGGTGCACATCGTGAAGAACGAGGGCGTTCGCGCGCTGTGGAAGGGCTCGATCGCGCGTGCGATCTGGATCGCGCCCCAGGGCGCGATGAACTTCTCCGGCTACGAGCTCGCCAAGCGCGCGCTGGACAAGCGCGCATCGCAGAAGGCGGACGAGCAAGGCGGCGCCGCGGAGACCGCCGGGGAGGGCGCGAAGAGGGAGAAGCCGCGGGAGCGAGGCGCGGGCGCGGCCGAGGAGGGCGGCGGCGGCGGCGACGCGTTGGAGGGGGTGCGCAACGTTGCACGGTCGCTGGTGGTGGGCCTGAGCCGTCTGCGGAAGAGGCCGGACGAGAGCGGGGACGCCGTGCCGCAGGAGGGGGAGAAGGGCGGCGCGAAGGGTGCGCCGGGGAGCAAGGAGGAGGCAGCGGGGAAGGGCGACAAAGGTGGCCTGTCGCGGTCGGCGTCGGATCCGACGGGGCAGAGCTCGGGCGGAGATAAGGGCGGCAAGTGATTCGGTGGGAAGGCGGGGCGGTGCGGGACGCGTGCGGTGGGGAGTAGGCAGGGGGGTGTGGTGCCGATTGCCCTCGCGCGTGTGTGATGAGTCTCATCGCGCTCGGTGCAGGGAGGCGTCGGCGATGGTCGGTGCAGGTGCCGCGCACCCGCTTCGCGCTCGACCAAGAACTTGGCTTGTATTGTTGTTGACATGGAAAGCTCGGCCGAAACAGAGACCGGGGCGGCGTCGCTTGCGTCCGGTGCAAGGCACGCGCAGACGCCAACGATGAGTGCGTGCCTGCGATGCGAGGAAGGACGCAGCCAGGCTGGGTGTCGTCACGGGCGGACGTGTTCCTTGTGTTGCACACTGCTGAGCTAGGACGATCGAAATCAACTGCGAGGCGACTGTTGCTTCGCAACTGCGCGGCTGTGATGCTCGTGAGCGGGGAGTCCTACTCGTTGGCGTCGAAGCGCCTGGCGGCAGCCGCGAGGTCGACGACACACGCAGGTGCTACAGTTCTTTAAGTCTCAGGGGGAGCGCTCCCGCAGCCCCAGGCGGTGCGTCCGCTCCCCCGCATGCAGCCCGAGCACGGATCGATGAGGATCGTGCTGGTAGGCGAGCGTACCGGGCCGAGCCGGGCGTGCGGAGCGCCACACGCCGTCATTGCAGGTGATCTGCCGGTCGCAGGTTCGACACTTGTTTTCAGGTTATTTGCAAGTGGTTGCAAAAATCGAACGACGGCGGGCCGGCCGAACCGTGAGACCACGCCCGCCGCTGCATCGCTGACCCCACCGAGCACCCCGAGTTCGTCTTATTCGGGCGCTTCAGCGCTCGTGGACGCCGCGGGCGCGACCAGACACTCCGCGCGCGCGGCGTGCGCGGGCCAGCTCGCCAATGGAACCCAAACTCGACGATGTACGGATCAATGGGCTTGCGCTACGACGACCAGCATGCCAAATGAGAAATGTCCCGGAACCGATTCACCAAAAAACACGCCCATTCGCTACCTCCTGGTCACGGGTCCCGATCACACCAGCCCCTGCGATGCCATGCTGATGCGGGATCCACGCACCGCATCGGCCACATCGCGGCGCCACGCCCCAAGCTGCACCTCCGTCGTTCCCTCGCACGTTGAGCGCCTGCATCACTGCGATGGTACCCACCTGACAGAGTCACCGTATTGGACAACGAGTGCCGTCGCGCATGGGTTGCAATCACACGCATTCTCAGCGCTCTAGTCCTACCGCAGGCATCGCTCCGCTGGCCGCGAGAATGGTCGCCGCGCCGTGCCCAAGGCAGCGTACGCTACGCTCGCGCCGGCCGCGCCAGCCGTGGGCGATGCCGCCCTGGAAACGCTGTCTACTCGCACGTCACGCGTGCTCTCACTTGGCGAGCGACTTGAAGGTCTTCTCGATGATCTCCAGGCAGTCGGACAGCTGGCTGTCGTTGATGATCAGCGGCGGCGCCAGACTGCGCGGGGGGGGGGTATTGGGCGGCGGAGCGGTGAGGAAAACAGCGAGGGCGGTAGAAACGATCACTATCGCGGGCGATGGTGGTCGCGCTCGATCTCGATCGCGACCAGCTCGACCTCGCGCACGATGCCCTAACGCATGAGCACAGCATGTTTGCGCTGCGGGTCGTCCCGATGCGCAGGAGCTCCGCGGAGCCGCCCTCCTTGACGCGCGGCATCTCTGGTAGCTCTTGCGCCTCCTCGATCAGCCGTCACCGTCGTCGCGGTGCGGCGGCGGAGGCGCAAGTGCTGCAAGAGATGCCCCGCTGCAAGGAGGGCGGCTCCGCGGAGCTCCCGCGCATCGGGAACGACCGCGCGTCCAGTGGCGTCGTTGCTGCTTGCTGAAGAGAGAAAATGGAGAGTGGGCGGTCATTTTGGCCAGGTTGGCTTGTTGCGCTCACCGGATGATGTTGCCCTGCGTGGGCTTGGCGAGCAGGCCGTTCTCCTTCAGCCTGACGCAGATGTCCCACGCGGAGACGCCGTCGGCCTCGTCGATGACGATGGCGTTCAGGAGGCCCTTGCCGCGCACCATCTTCACCTTGGGGCTGATCTTCGACAGCGTGTCGCGCACGACGTGGCCCAGACGCTCGGCGTTCTCGGCCAGGTTCTCCTCGATCAGCACGTCCAGGGCCGCCATCGCCACCTTCGCGCCGAGCGGGTTGCCACCTGCGCGCACACACACACACCGACAAAGAGCATGAGCTCAGCACGCGCCCTACACGCCGTCGCACGCGCACGTCCAGACAGAACGGCGCGCACTTCCCGCGCAGGCCAGTTCGCGCGGACGCGGCGGGTGTGCGCACCGTAGGTCGACCCGTGCTGGCCCGGGCGGATGTTGAGCATGACCTCGTCGTTCGCGAGCGCCGCGCTGACGGGGTACACGCCGCCGGACAGCGCCTTGCCCAGCACGAGGATGTCGGGCTTGACGTTCTCGTGGTCGACGCACAGCATGCGGCCCGTGCGGCACAGCCCCGTCTGGACCTCGTCCGCGATCCACAGTGCGTTGTACTTCGAACACAGCTCCCGCACGCCGCGCAGGTACCCGTCGTGCGGCACCACGACGCCCGCCTCGCCCTGGATCGGCTCCACCATGAACGCCGCGACGTTCGGGTCCTGCAGCGCCTTCTCCAGCGCGGCGAGGTCGTCGTACGGAATGATCTCGAAGCCCGGCATGAACGGGCCGAACCCGCCCCGGGACTCGGGGTCCGTCGACGACGAAATGGCCGACATGGTGCGTCCCCAGAAGTTGCCCGCGGCGAACAGGATCTTGGCCTGGTTCTCCGGGACGCCCTTGACGTCGTAGGCCCAGCGGCGCGCGAGCTTGCAGGCGGTCTCGCCGCCCTCGACGCCCGTGTTCATCGCGAGGACCTTGTCGTAGCCGAAGAGCGCGGTGGTCTTCTCCTCGAAGTCGGCGAGCACGTTGTTGTAGAAGGCGCGCGACGTGAGCGTGAGCGTGCTCGCCTGCTTGTTCAGCGCCTCGATGATGCGCGGGTGGCAGTGGCCCTGCGAGCGTGGGCGGGGAGTCCGGGAAGCTGGGCGTGCGCGCGCAGCCGAGGGTGATGCCCGTAGAGCGGCGTGCCTTACGGCGGCATCCAAATGCAGTGGCGGTTGTTTGCTTATCACTCCTGGCTGCGGCACGACTGCGGGCTGCGGCATGGCATCATGACGAGGAGAAGACGGTGTGCGAGAGCGAATGCTCCGTCTTCTCGGCGTCATGATGCAATTGCCCAGCGCGCGGTTGTGCCGTAGCCAGGATGGGCGAACAACCGCCACTGCATGTGGATTCCATCGTTCAGGAGGTGAAGCAGGCAGGCTCGCCCGGGACGGGGTCCGCGGGCGTCCGGCGGGTCGCATGGGCGTGTGGGCAATGAAGACAGGGGGCGCGCGCCGACGTGCCTGGTTGACCGCGGAGTACGCGGAGAGGAAGTCGTAGTACTTCTTGCCCTCGACGTCCCACATGAAGACGCCCTTGCCGCGCGCCGCCACCATCGGGATCGGCGCGTAGTTGTGGGCACCAGCCTTGAGCTCACGCTCGATGAACTGCAGGGCGACAACAACGCCGGGAGACGCACGTTTGAGGACTGTTCCGTTCCAGACATTGCGTCTCGTTGCGGGAGGTGGCCGGAAAAGGGCCGTGCTCGCGGCGGGGCAGGTGGGCGGTTGACGCAGTGGAGGTGGATGGCCCGCCACGCGTGGAGCGCGCGGGGCCTGGTGTGCCCGGCGGAGGCGCGGACGGGCCGTCGCTGTGCGCGTTGTGGCCCGTGGCGGTGTCGAGGGGGTCGAGGGCGAATCGAGGGGCGCGTGCGGGGGCAGAAGAGCTGAGTGGGCAAGCCCTGCTGTTGGTCCGAAATGCAGCGTGGCGGAGGCGGATCGTGGACGACGTTGCGCGGGCCCGACTGTGGCGTGCCGGTGTCGCGCGACCAGCTGATCCGGCTTGCGTGTGTTCCCCGCGCCGCCGCCGTGCGCGGCGCCTGGGGGGCCAGCGGATCAGTTGCCGGCCCAACCGCGACGCACATGGGCTTTCACGACATCAAAGTGCGCTGAGGATCCCCTGATCAAGCGGGGTAGTCCTTCTCGAGGCGCGAAAACGCGAATTAGCCACAACGGAGGCCGAAAACGCCCCCGCGGACAGGGATAACTGAAGGCGCAAAAGACGCCGCCAGAACGAGCAGCAGGGGGGTCTCGTGGGCAAAACAGTGCAGAACGAGCTCGTCTCGCGTACGAGCTACACTCTGACGCCGTCGTCGGCGTCGCAGCGTCGACGTGCGGCGGATGCTGCGGTATCGGATGGGGAGGCGGAGCGCACCGATCGGGACTCCGTGGGCACCTCCTCGAGGGCCGGCGCGGCGCCGAAGCGACGCAGAAGCGCGGAGGAGCCCGCGAGGGCCATGCCCGCGGCCCCCGCGAGCTGCGGGGCCAGCTGCGCGGCCGCAGACGTGGCGGGAAGCATCGCGGATGACTTGCGAACGATCGAGGTTGCGCTGCGGCTGCGTCCTGTGCTTCGACACGTCCGGCCACGCGAGGATGATGCCCCGGGAGGCCCGGCGGGCGACGCAACGAGCTGGCGCGGGGGTTGGCCCCGAGTTGTACCACGCGGGGCTGACAGGAGTCAACCCTCGCACCGCGCGCAGCACCGGTGATCAACGCGGCCCATGTTGCGCGCGCGGCATGTCCGGTGTGCAGAGTACGCGTTGCAGAGGTAGACGTGCGGCGTCACGCTCGAATTGCGGACTTGTGGTGTCATTAGCAGACGCGCAGTGTTGCCAGGCATCGGGGGAGGCGCGTGTGGCGCGGGGCATGCGCCCTGGCTGAGCGGCGCGAGAGCGTTCTGCTGGGGTCGGCTGGGGGCGCCCTGCATCGGCGTCGAGCGGGCGCGATGCAAGGCGGGGGGGGCTCCACGGGGGTGGCGCGCCCAAGCACGCTCTGGAGCAGGCTGACGAGGTGCGTGTCCGGCTGGGGTCCGGTGCGAGCAGATTCACACAGAGCTGTACGAGCCGCCGGCGCCCGCATTCGTTCGGCGGGGGAATCAAGCAGGATGTGCGGTGCAACAGACCTTGGATCCCTTTCTGCGCGCCTCACGGGCGCATGTCTGGCCCAACCTCGCTGTCTGCGCTGGAAGCGTGCAGGAAGAAGACGTTGGCAGACGTCGTGCACGAGCACGAGCAGGAGGAGCTCGAAGGCACGGCCCTGGAGAAGAGCCTCTCTGCGGTAGATGTCATCGCGTTCGGCATCGGCAGCACCGTCGGCGCAGGCCTCTTCGTGATCACGGGCCGTGCAGCGAGCGAGTACGCAGGCAAGCCGCGCCCGCACGCGCCCCCGCTCACCCCGCGCCCCGGCGCGCGTGCGCAACAACACACCGCGCCCTCCGCCACCGCCCCCGCAGGCCCGGCGATCACGCTGTCCTTCCTCCTCGCCTCCATCGCGTGCCTCCTCTCCGCGCTGTGCTACGCGGAGCTCGCCGCCCGCATCCCCGTCGCCGGCAGCGCCTACAGCTACACATATGTGTCCCTCGGAGAAGGGGCTGCGTGGTTCATTGGGTGGAACATCACGCTCGAGTACGCCGTCGCGGCGTCCGCGGTCGCGCGGGGCTGGGCGGGCTACCTGGCCGCGTTCCTCGACTCGGTCGGCTATCCGCTGCCCTGGTGGCTATATTCGATTCCGTTGACGAAGAGTCCTTTTCTGGAGTCTGGCTGCCCGATCGCGGCGCTGCTGGTGCTGGCGTGCACGGGCGTGCTGCTGTGCGGCGTGCGGGAGAGCTCGCGGATGAACAAGGCCATGACTGCGGTGAACTTGGCCGTGATTATGTTCATCATATTCGTGGGGGTGCAGCACGTCTCGACTGACAACTGGGAGCCCTTCGCGCCGCGGGGCGTCGACGGCGTCGTCTCGGGCGCCGCGTACGCCTTCTTCTCCTACATCGGCTTCGACGCCGTCTGGTGCGCAGCCCAACCACCCCGCAAGTCGCCCCCCACCGACCTTATTCAACATCCCACACCAAGCAGCTTCTCTCGTGATGTCTGCCTTGCAACACCCCCGCCCGCCGTCACGCCCGCACCCCCGCACGCCCACGATGCAGCACCCTCGGCGAGGAGCTCCGGGACCCGCGCCGCGACCTGCCCGTCGGCATCATCGGCTCCCTAGCAGCGGTTACTGTTTTATACATTGCAGTGTCGGCGGTGCTCACGGGGATGGTCCCGGTGAGCCAGATCGACGCGGACGCGCCGCTCGCAGCCGCGTTCGTGTCTGCGGGGCTCCCCTGGGCCGCCCGGCTCGTCGCGTTCGGGTCTGTCACGATCCTGACAGCGACGACGTTCTGCTCGCTGTTCGGGCAGCCGCGCGTCCTGCTGTCGATGGCGAGGGACGGCCTGATCCCGCGCGCATTCGGAAACGTCACGCACGGCACGCACGTTCCAGCGTTCGGCACCGTCGTGTCCGGCGTCGCCAGCGCGGTCATGGCGCTGTTGTTTGGCATATCGGAACTCACGGACGTGATCTCGATCGGGACGCTGAGTGCGTTCATGGTGGTGTGCTTCTCCGTGCTCGTGCTGCGGTTCCGCGGCGCGGCCACGAAGGCGGAGCTGCTGGGCCCAGGGGTGGGTTCTGCTGCGGCGAGGAGGGGAGGGTGGTGGCTGCGCGTCAGGGCAGCGGCGGCACGGCGTACCGCGCCGTGGATGTGGATCGCGGGGTTCTTCGTCGCGGCCGTGCTCCTAAACGTCGCGGTCAGGACGGACATCGGGTCTGACGACGACTCAGGTTAGCGCCCCTGGGGGAACGATTGCATCGCCCTGACGCGCGAGATCGAGCCATCGCGCGATGCAACACCTCGTTCCACATGTGTGTATCGTGCCGCAGGAGAGGGCGTCCGGACGTGGCCTGTGTGGTCCCTGCTGCCGGTGTTGGCCTTGACGTTCCTCCCGCCGCTGGCGCTGTCGTCTCTGTACGAAATGAACACGGCCCAGATGGCCGACGACGGCGCGCAAAAGGTACGTGGCTCGCCGCACACCCTATGCCCGTGCGATCCTGGGCGAGCTGCGCGCTCAACAGGGTCGGAAACAGCAGACGCACCGCACACCCGCACACAGCTGCACGTGCCCGCCTTCTGCTTGCAGCCGCCCGGTAGATTCGCGTCCGGCGGAGGCGTCCAGCTCGCGCGGCCGAGCCTCGAGGCAGGCGCCGAGGTCGACGCGCTGCTGCCCGCGCACGGGCCACGATCAAGCGCCGACACGTCCACGGGCCGGAGGACACCAGAACCGGCGCCCCCGGCGCCGCACGCCGCAGCCGGCGCCGAACAGACGACGCGCGGGTTCTTGTGTCCCTGGGTAAGCAAGCCGCGACGTTCTGGGCAAGCAAGCACTCGATTGTCTGCCGTGGTGCCAGGGGGGGTGTCTCCTTCGTGGCAGTGATTGATGAGCACGGATGTCCTGCGGCTGACGAAACGCCCTGGCGCGCGCGTGCCGCAGGTGCCGTGGATCCCGTGTCTGGGGATCGTCGTGAACGTGCATTTGATAGCGGGTCTGACCGAGGGCGCGATGGTGCGGATGGTCGTTTGGACGGCAATGGGGGCGGCGATCTACGCGGCGTACGGTTACAAGTCCTCTGCGCTGGGCGCCCTACGCAGAGCGTGACGGGCGCGCCGCGTCGCTAGGTGCGTCGCATGCTGGCTATCAATACAGCGGGATCGGATTCACGAAAGATCGAATGCTGTCAAGTGGACGTGGAACGTCGCACAGCGCGGAGAGCAGGGCGCGGAGCTCGCTGTGATGCTCGAATGCAGCTACGTCGTGCCTGGATTGCCACACGGTGGGCATCCCTCGCACTGCGTTGTTGCGCCTCACCCGCGCGGGACCTCCGCCGTGACGCGCTGGTCCGGCTTGGTCGTGGGCGGCGACTTGTATGCGAGCTGCACGCGCAGCTTCACGAGCGGGATCGTGCCCCCGATCGCGTCCACCTCGACCTGGACTGAGTCAGGCATCGCGTGGTCAATGTTGGGATAGTACTCCTCCCGGGACCCGTCGACGACCTCCTTGGGCACCTTGAGCCACTTGCCGCACGCGCCGCACGCGATCGCGGGGCGGGCGTTGCCGTCGACGTCGCGCATGGCCGCAACGACCACTGCGGGAACCACCGTCATGTGGCGGCAGCGGCAGGCCGCGCCGATGCAGCGCGTGGCGATCGCGGGGTGGACGACGATGTAGTTCGGGTTCTCGGGGTCCGGCGGAACCGGGGTGGATGCGAGCGCGGCCAGCTCGTCGTGCTTCCTGCGCGTGCGTATCGGGGTAGGTCGGTGACGAGAGATGGGGGGTGTTGTTGAAGGCGACTTTGAAATGAAGCGGATCTGGTCGGCAGCACCCGGAAAGGCCATGTGTGGTGCCCAAAAGCGATGGAGTATCGCCTATCTCGAGGGACGCGAGCCAACCACAAGCTGTTGTGCTGCACATGTGCACAGTGCAGTTTGGGTCAGCACTGTGCACGTGTGAGATGTGCGCACCATATCTCCTTGTCGGGGCTCGCTGCGCGCACATCATCGACGGTGATGTCCGACGGCGCGGCCTGCGAGGGCAGCATGCCGCAGCGCAGGCACGCCAGCTCCCGCCGCTGCGTGACCACCGTGCGCTGCTTGCCCTGGGGCTTCGCGCCCGCCTCGGGGTCCTCCTTCATCGCCTTGGCGACGCAGCAGGCCGCGATGCACGGCGAGAACAGACACGCCCCGAGGCACACAACGCACGTGCACGGGCACAGCAGGCAGCCCACCCACTGGTTGACATTCTTTCGCTTTTCCAGCGTCTTGATGCAGACAGTGGCCGCGGACTCGCACGCCAGCGACACCGAGGCGTACGAGTGCCCGACGACCGCGCAGACGTCCCCAGCCGCCGCCACACGGTTCACCTTCGCGGCGCCTGCGAACACACGCACGCCCGTTGAGCCGTTCGGGGGACGCTGTGCATCGCGCTGCGAGGGCCGGGAGTGGATCGTGCGGCGTCGGAGGGCTGAAGCAACGATGTTGCGCCGGGTGCGTGCCTGTGCGAGTAATCGCGACTTTCTCTGCGCTCTTCACGAGCTGAGAGTCCGGGTGCGGCATCCTGTTGATGACGCGGATGCCCTCCGACACAAAGAAGTCGTGGGCCTCCGGGGCGTCCTCGTGCGGCGCGGTCAAGCTGACGACGTTGGCCAGACTCGGGAACAGCCGCTCCCTGCATCCCTCGTGCGGACAGTCGATCGCCAGGGCGCCCGGGTCGAGCACGGGGTCCTTCGGGCCGCCCAGGGCCGCCAGCATGGCGTGCCCGTTCGGGCACAGGAAGTGCGCGATTGGGATGTCTTCCTTGGGGTGGATGCCAGCCGCGGCCGCCCCCCACATCCTCCAGACCGCTGTGGGGCCCTGAAGGCCCACCAGTTCGGGCTTGCCCTCCTTGACGAGGCTGCGGGGCGCGCGGACGTACGGTACGATACAGCGGAATGGGCACCGTACGTGTGCGGCGTCGGAGCGCGCGCGCTGAGCTCAACTGAAAAGTGCACGAGGAGAGAGGCCGCGGGAGACGTTTCTGGCTGTGATGGAGCGGAAGTTTGCGGCCTGTGCGGACCGTTGGGGTTCGAAATACCTGGGGTGAACTTGAGTGAGGGCGCTGAGCGACATGAGGGCGTCTGCGTTGCTCATTCCCTTCTGAAGGAAACGAGTGACGCCCGGTGGGAGGTCGAGCTCCTGCAGCTCCGCCGCCATGTTGTGCTCGGGCGGAGGCCTGTCGGAGACGGGCATGGTGTGTGGGTCTGTTTGTCGCGGTCGCGCTGCGCCAAGGCCTCTGGCCCAGAGGCGGTTGCTCCTCCAACGGGGTCCGTACGTGGATGAGAGTCGGCTTACCGCAGGGGAATCGCTTCCTTCTGCACATGTGGCAGCATACGGGTTCCTGCGCCGCCTTCCTAGGCCGCAGCTCGGCGTCCTGGCCGCAGTACAACACAGCTGCTGACGGTGCTCGAGAGGCCGGGTTTCCTCCCCGCGCGAACGCTCGAATCGCACATTCATGCCAAAAGCGCACTGATGCGGGCATGTTGGCACTTCGGGGACGCGTTTGACTGGAAATAGTGACCTTCGCGCCGCACGGTGCCCAGCGCAGTGCCAACGTACACGCGTGCCGTCAAGGCCGCGCCGTCGCGATGAAGAAGCGGCCCGCAACGCGCGGGTACGGCCCACGGCGGTACGCTGGGTCGGAGGACGCAATCACCGCGTCCCGGCAGTCGGGACCTTCGAGTTCACAAGCAACCCTTCTTTCTCTATCTGTATTTCGCCTCACAGCTCGAATACCTCCGCGCCGTCCGCCGGCTCGCCGCCCCCGTGCCACATCCACGCCAGCCCCCCGCCCAGCGTCCCCACGGCCACCTCCCCCGTCCGCGGGTGCACCGCAGCGCACGTCGCTGGCGTCGACACGCGCACCCGCACGGGACCCCACCGGTGGCCCCTCCCGCGGCCCTGCACGCCGTCCCGATGCTGCCCCTGCATGTCCTGCCCGAGGCCCGCGCCGCCAGGCGCCGTGTCCGCCTCTGGCACCACGGCGTGGGCGCGCGGGTGGCGGTCGACGTTGACGACGTTGACAGCACGGCCGTCCGCGGAGCCGACGGCGACGACGGGGCCTGCGCCGGGCAGCACGGCGGCCCCGATGCGCCGGGGGCCTGCGCGCCACCACGCGGGGCACGACGTGCGCGGGTCCTCCCGAACCTGCACCGCGTGAGAGAGAGTCGTGGAGGTGCGAGTTGCAAGACGAGAACACAATATCTTCGATGATTCGCAGGGTGGTACTGCGAAACGACAGCGAGCGGAGCGTCGCCGCGCGACGCGCAGGGCCGCAGCGCACCACGCCGGTCTTGAGCTCCGTCGCAGCGTCGGCCTCCGCGTCCACCCGCCACGGAATCGGCGGGCAATGCGCCGCGACGGGCCGCCCGGTGTCGACATCCACCGCAGCCGTCCAGCCCGTCTCAAGATGGAACAGCAGCACCCCCGGCGCGCACGGATGCACCGCGATGTCGTGGACGGCCGCCTCGTCGATCTGCGCCTGCTCCGCGAGCCCAGGCACGGCCGCCAGCACCGCAGCGGCGTGTAGCACTTTCAGGGTGTCTGGGCGCCTCGGAGCCGACTGGGCGCCGAACGCGGAACCGGAGGACGTCTTGCGGAGGTCCCACACCGGCACGCGGCCCGCGAGCGTCCCCGCGGCGAGCGTGTGCCGCGCAGGGTCGACCGCGATGCTTGTGATTGGATCGACGCCCCAGCCCGCCGCGGAGCCGCGTGCGATCATCGCCGGCCTCGCCGGCGCGCGCACGTCCCACACGAGCACCGCGCCGGCAGCCCCGGCCGCCGCGCAGAGCGGCGCCGTCGCCGGGGAGGCTATTTTTGATGCTGCGTGCATGTCGAACATGGCGACTGCGGAGAGACCCGACGCCGCGAAGGCGGCGGCGGCGGCGCCCGTGGACGGCGGCGCAAGCCGCAGCGTCGGGTCGTGGTCGCAGACTTCGAGGTCGTACAAGTCCACCGCGGAACACGATTTCCCAACTGCCGCGATCATGGCCTGGTTGGCCGGGTTCCAGCACGCCGCGGCCAGCGGCCGTCCTGCGCGACGCGGGACAGCGGCAGCGGGCTCGAGGCGGGCCGGTCAGCGCAGCCCCCATGCAATGTGCACGTCGCGCAACGTCCCGCAGTGTGACGGTGTTCGTTGCGCGAAGGAGAGGTGGCTTGCCTGTCTCGATGTGCACGACGGGGTCGACTTGCACCATCGCGCCCGCCGACCGCTCCCGCCACGCCCTGTAGCGCAGCGTCAGCGCGTCATGCACCGCAATGCGCCCCCGGGCCCCGCACGACACGAGCAGCTCCCCCGCGTCGTCGAACCTCGCGCAGACCACAGGCACCCCCGCGTGGTCCACCGCGAGCCGCCGCCGGCGCGGCGCGTGGCCTGCGCCCGTGCCCCACCCCCCCCCTGAGTCAGTCTGGAACACATCAGCATGGGGGGTGTTCGGGTAGCACTGCTCCACCGTGGCGGCCTCGCGGAGCCGCCCGAGGCCCGTGCCCCACGCTGCGCGCTGCATCAGTCCGCGTGCGACCGCCGAAGACGCAGATGCGGCGCCGTGAAGGGATCGCGCGACGCCGCCGACGCTCGCACCGCGAGAGGGCAGCGCGGAGCCCGTTTGGCGGCCGGAGAGGACCGCGAAGGGCGGCGGGTCCGTCGAGGGGGCCATGACCGCCGCGGCGGCGCGCACGGCGTCGCTTGCTGAAAGGGGCGGGGGCTCCGAGCGCATTAGGAAATACTCGAGTGTTGGCTTCTCCGTTTCCCTATTCCTCGGTGCAGGGGCCGCGGGGGGCCGCGTCGGCCGCGCCGGGGGTTCCAGCGCGAGCGTGGTCGTCGCGCCGGCCCGCTTGGCGCCCACGGCGGGACCGCGCGCGGTCAGACACGGCCCCGGAGGGTTCGTAGGGATGTTTCTGAGCGACGTTGACTCAGGGGGGGGTCTTTTGGCTGCCCGGCGAGCGGTGGAGGCAGCCGTGGCCTGGGGACGCTCGCGCAGGGGCGCTGCGTTCTCGGGCGCGCCGGCGCCGCGCTGGTCGGCGGCGGCGGGCTTGGCAGCAGCGCGGGCAAAGAGATCCGCCACGGACGCCTGGCGGGGCTTGACCGGCGCCTTGGACTTGGCTGCCGTCATGGATGCCGTTGATTGAAGGTGTTCCTGCGGCGCAGTCTGCAGTAGAACGAGGCAGCGCCTGGTTGCGAGGGCCGTGGGAGCGCCCACTCGGAGCGGTGCTTTGGAGCGCGAGTGGGGCGAGAAAGCGATGATTGCGGTCCCCGGACGTCGAGCACAGCTATCGAGGGAGTCGTTGCGGCGGGAGCGTGCGCTGGAAAACACGCGTCACCGAGAACGGTTCGAAACACGATTGTGGTGCAACTCATGGGGCGATGCGTGCCTCGTGGGCGCCACTTCCGGTCCCGCGCGAATACAAACAACGCCAGGTCTGGCCGCCAGGCGCGCGCCTCGTCCCGAATGCCGGCGAAACCGCCGAAGCAGGGCCCCAGACGGAATCGCAACAAGACAGCTGCCCCTCTGAACCCAGCGCCGTGGATACATGGCGTGATTTTCGGCCCAAAAGTGTTTAGAGTGCAAGAACATAGCTATGGCTATCAACAGCGATCCAAGCGAGACGCACCAAGCCCACCTCGGCGGCTCCTCACGCGCGCCTCCTCCCAGCGCCCACCTCTCAGGGCGCCACGCACCCTCAGCAGCTCATATACCAGAGTTATCACTTCCTCCACACAGCTACGAGACGCGTGGACTCAGTGACATGCTCACGGGCTGCTCGGACGCATCATACGGCTCGGTAGACGGTATAATGTTCGCACCGTGCGCGCCGGGCGCGCCGACCCCCCCGCGCTTCCAGCGAGCGCTCAGGGGCTGCGCGCAGCGGGCCGAGCGACCACTCACATGCGTGTTGTTCGAACACGCCGCGCTCGGGCAGCAGCACTCGGTGACGACTGCACGCGGCGGCGTTGAAGGCCTGTGGTTTGCTTGCGGGCGCGACGCGCGATCGCACCTCAAGATAGCCGACCATGAGTCGCGAGGACATCGAGAATGAGGCCGTGCGCGTGTTCCAGGGCATTGGTCTCGCGGAATCGGTCGCAAAGTGCGTCGCCTCCCCGTGCTGTGCGTTGCCGGGCCTGTGCCGGCGCGCACACGCCGACATATTCCCTGCCTTGCTCGGGCCACACGCACCTTGATGCTAGGCACGCGAACGTGCAGCCAGGCACCTGCCTCGAGGGGCCTGTGCGGCGCTGCCCGATGAGAACCTGGGCCAATGCAAGTTCGTGCGCACGGTCGCGGGGGGGCAGCGACTGACCTGCGCAATGCGTTGCGAGCGGGCACGTATGCTTGCTCGACAGCAGCCGCACGCTCTCACGCCATGCGCGCGCTGCGCGCGACCTGGGCTGGCACTCACCACCCGCAAAGCCGCCTTCTGCAGGAATGCCGCGAAGAACAAGCAGTTCCGCGCGGCCCTGATGGAGGTCATCAAGGAGAGCGGCCTTGAGAATGGATGCCCGAAGAGCCAGGTGCGCCACGCGGACGCATCGCTGCCCTGCACTCACACCTGCAGCAGCCGCCCGCGTCCGGCGCCCCCCGCCCACGCAACCCTCCAGATCCACGCCCGACAATACACCATTCAACGACGCATCCCATTCTCCGCAACACCGAGCCCGATCACCCCCCCCCGCCATCGCAAGCCCCGCCCCACTGCTCACCGGCCCTCGCCCCGCCCGCCCGCGGCCCCGCAGGGCATGATGGTCTACACGATCGCGTCCAAGTTCCCCCCGAGCGTCCTCGTGCACCGCAAGTGGGTCGTCGACAACTACGTCCTCACCGACAAGATCTGCTCCAACAACCAGCTCGATGCCGCTATGGCGTATCTGAAAAAGGCCGGCGGCGAGGCCAAGATCGACGTCCCGGCCTTCGAGGAAGCCTCCGGCGTCGGCGTCGTCGTCACGCCCGAGCAGATCCGCGACGCCGTCGCCGGCGCCCTCCAGGGTGCCAACCTGACGAAGCTCACCACGGAGCGTTACCTGTGCAACACCAACGTGTTTCTGGGGCCGATCATGGCCAGCGTGAAGTGGGCGGCGCCGCAGGACGTCAAGGACGAGCTCGCAAAGCAGGTCGCGGCCATCCTGGGCCCGAAGACCGCCGCGGACGAGGCGGCGATCGCCGAGGCCAAGGCGGGGGGTAAGAAGGGGAAGAAGAAGGCGGTGGCGGCGGCGGCGGGCGCGCAGGACGCGCCGGGCGCGTCGCCGAAGGCGGCGAAGAAGAAGCCCGAGGAGCCCGTGAGCACCGAGGGCCTCGGCGACGCGGCGACGGGCGACCAGGACCCGTTTGCGTTCCTGCCGCCGCCGGCGGACAACCACTACGTGCACACTACGGTGAACTTCTCCGACGGGCGGCCGCCGCTGCGCGTGGCGAACACGCAGCAGGAGCTCGACGCGCACCTGAGGCGCACGGGCGGCAAGTACGTCACGCGGTTCCCCCCGGAACCCAACGGCTACCTGCACATCGGCCACGCCAAGGCCATGTTCATCGACTTCGGCGCCGCGGCGCGGTACGACGGGCACTGCTTCCTGCGCTTCGACGACACCAACCCCGAGGCCGAGAAGCAGGAGTTCATCGACCACATCCAAGACATCGTGCAGTGGATGGGCTGGAAGCCGTGGAAGGTGACGCACGCGTCGTACTACTTCCAGCAGCTCTACGAGCTCGCGGTGAAGCTGATCAAGGTCGGCAAGGCGTTCGTGTGCCACCAGACGGCGGAGCAGGTCAAGGAGTACCGCGAGAAGCGGCTGCCGTCGCCGTACCGCGAGCGCCCCGTGGAGGAGAACCTGCGGCTCTTCGAGGACATGCGCCGCGGGCTGTTCCCGGAGGGCGGCGCGGTGCTGCGGATGAAGCAGGACGTGGCCAACGAGAACTACAACATGTTTGACCTGATCGCGTATCGGATCAAGTACGTGGAGCATCCGATCGCGGGCGACGAGTGGTGCATCTACCCGTCGTACGACTTCACGCACTGCGTGTGCGACGCCATCGAGGACATCACGCACTCCCTCTGCACCCTCGAGTTCGAACCGCGCCGCGCGTCCTACTACTGGCTGCTCGACGTGCGCAACCCCACGCAACCCCGCGTCCGCGCCGCTCGCAACGCGCAGCCGAACGCGTGCTTCCGCCCCTCGCTCCGTGGGACGGGGCCGATCGCGCGAGGGCGCCCCGTGCGTGCTTCGCAGGCCCTGGACATGTACAAGCCGTGTGTGTGGGAGTATTCGAGGATGAATATCTCGAACACCGTGCTCTCGAAGCGGAAGCTGCACAAGCTGGTGCATGACAAGCACGTGCGCGGCTGGGACGACCCGCGCCTGTTCACGCTCGCCGGCCTGCGCCGCCGCGGCGCCACCGCTGACGGCATCAACGCCTTCTGCCGCGACGTCGGCTTCTCCCGGAACGGTGCGTCCCCAGCATCCCACCCCGTCACGGAGCATATGCTTTGGTAGTCGCAAGACCAGGGCGCATCCGCTTGTGCTTGGCTGACGACGCCCTGCGCGCCAGACTGACTACGATGCCTCCCACGCGCTGCACCGCGCCGTCAACCAGCACGCGAAGGACGTCCCCGACCTCCTGCGCGTGCTGTTAGAGTGCGCGGTGCAGCGCGTTGGAGTGCATCGCACTCAGTCTGGTGCGCAGGGCGTCATCAACCAATTCCATACCACAGCCCAACAGAACTTGCAAGTGCTATGTGGCAAGCGCCTGTTCACGAAGGCCAGCTGCGAGGCCGACCTGCGCGGCCGCCACGAGCTTTACGCTGACCGTTCCGGATGGGGTGGTGGAGCACGACCAGACTTGTCCCTTGCTGTGGGGGTGTGCGCTGCCTGGCGCGGGCACACGGATGTCTCCTGCCGCGCGCGAGACTCTCCTGCCGCTGCTGTGGCTCCGAGCCGAGCCGTGCAGACGCCAGAAGCAGTTCGCGCGCATCAGGAGTCGATTCCTCACCTCACATCGCGTTGTGTGTCTGCGTGCAGAGAACACCATCCACCAGCACCGCCTGGACCACTTCCTGCGCAACGACCTGGACCGCATCGCCCCGCGCCGCATGTGCGTCCTCGACCCCGTCAAGCTCGTCCTCGAGAACTCCCGCGAGCCCCTGCCCTGCGAGTGCCGTTGCTTCCCCCCGGGTCGCACGGGCCCGCACGCGCAGGACACCTACGCCCTGTCGCTCGGCCGCGAGGTCTGGATCGAGCGGAGCGACTTCAAGGAGGCCGACGTCAAGGGCTATTTCGGGCTGGCGCCCGGCAAGTCCGTCATGCTGCGCTACGGACACGTGGTCACGTGCACCGGGTTCGACCGCGCTCCGGACGGGAGCGTCGCGGCGATCCGCGCGGAGGTGCACGCGTCGTGGGAGGGCAAGCCGCCGAAGGGCGTGATCCACTGGGTGCCGTGCGAGGGCGCGGTGCCGCTCGAGGCGCGGTTGTACGACTCGCTGTTCAAGAGCGAGGACCCGAACGAGTGCGAGGACTGGATCGCGGACCTGAACCCGGAGTCGGAGGTGGTGAAGGTCGGGTGGGCGCCGGCGATGCTGGCGGACGCGCAGGTGGGGGACAAATTCCAGTTTGAGCGGGTGGGGTACTTTTGCATCGACCCCGACAGCAGCCGGCGGCGCGTCGTTGCGAACCGGACGGTCACGCTCAAGGACTCGTACAAGAAGTAGCGGGCGCGAGACGGGAGCGCGCGGCGCGGGAACCGCGATGTGATGCCCTCGGAACCAGCTCTGCAGGCGCTGGCAGGCCTGCGCCCTGGAACGCACGAGAGGCGAGCCTCAGCAGCTAGACCTCGGTTGCGATGGCGGGCCTGGGCAGCGCCGCGGCCGAAATACTTCGGCGCAGGAGTGCGTGCGTGCTTTCTTGTATTCATGGTGAGTTTGCACGCCTGCCCCCCCACCAACGCGTGCGCGTTCTCCAGGCCTCCGCGGTGGACGACGTCCTTGGACGTATCGCGGTCCTCAAGCCTCGCGTCGTGTGCCCGCACGCCTTCGGTGTCTTTGCGCGGGGGACGCGACACCGCCAAGGGCTTATCGGGTCTTGAAAGGACGGTGATCTCCCGTTTTCCTTCCATCGGGACGCCGAGAAGTACACGATCTTTGTTGTGCCGCCTCTCGGCGTCCCGATGGAGGGCAAGCAGGAGATCACCGTCCTCTCGACACCCGACAAGCCCTTGGCGGTGACACGGCCCCCGCGCGAGGGTGCCGAGGGTGCGCGGGTCCACGATGCGAGATGGGAAGACTGCGACACGTCCAAGGATGACGTAGACCGCGGAGGCCTGGAGGACGCGCACGCTTTGGTGGCTGCCGCTGCCGTGAAGACGCTGACAGCGGACCTCCCTTGGTATGCTGATTTGATGTCTCGGATCCCTGTGCGATTTCTGGATGCCACCACCGTCGGGCCTGGGCAGCGCCGCGGCCGAAATACTTCGGCGCAGGCGTGCAAACTCACCATTAACACAAGAAAACACGCGTGACAACTTGCAATTGAAAGACGGAGGTTCCAGCCCAGCGTCCTCGTCTTGACGCGCGGCCGGCGAAGCGCGTCGCGCTTGCCATTTTTCTCGCTCCCGCCCGGGCCCCGCTCGCCGGTCGATGAGGCCCCTGCTCGACGGCTGTGTTGCTTCTTGAATCAACCTCACTCGAGACGATTGCTCGATGATAGCAACTTACAGATCATGCGTACACGCGAAGGACGCGCGCCCCCCACAGGCCGCTACCGTCGCCCCTGCGAAACACCCCCCCGCGGCGCCTACGCGCCGGCGATGAGCGCGGCCGCGAGGCCGAGCGGCAGCGCGATGACAGCGATGGCCGCGGTCACGCCAAGCACGTCGAACTCCTCCTCCTCGGGCGCCACGGCCACGTAGCTCACGTCCCGCGACGCAAACCGCTGGAAATACCCCTCCCAGTCCTTACTGCTCGCCGCGTAAGATATGCTGCGCGCCTTGAGGTGGTCCATCGCCTTGTACCCGAACAGCATCCGCGACGCCTGCCGCGCGACCTCCGCGACGGGGTGCCCCTTGAGCGACTGGTACAGCTGCTGCGCCTGCTCCTCGCGCCCCATCGAGTCCAGGCAGATGGCCTGCTGCAGCGTCGCGCGCCCGCCGACCTCCGTGCGCTTCGGAATCAGCGCCGCCGCGGCCTCGAACTTCTCCGCCGCCTCGGTCAGGTTCCCGTCCCTGCGCGAGCGTGCCACGCAACTGTGTCGCCATGCGCACACGTGGCTGTCGGCGTGGTGGCGGCGTGGCGCGGCGCGTGTGCGTACCTGAAGATGTCCATGCCCTCGTTGAACAGCGCCCACGCCTTGGTCTCGTCCGCGGGGTCGTACACGAGCCCCGACGCCACTCGGTAATTCTGCATGAGCTGCCGGGTGCGCTCGAGGCGCTTCTTCGCGGCATCCTCGTCCTCGTACTCGCCGGGCTTGATCACGCGCCCGCCGCCGTACGCCTCGCTGATGTTGCGCGGCCGCGGAAACACCCCCCAGGTAGTCACCGTGGGGTTGTATTCCTTGCTGGCTGACACCACCTCGACGCGCGTCGTCTCGGCCTGCCACCGCGCGTACGCCTCGTTGTACTCCTCCGCCCGCAGCGCCTTCACGTCGATGTCCTCCCGCTCGCACCACTCCTTCCAGCTGACCACACCGGCCTCAGACACCCCCCCCCCGCGCAGCGCAGGGCCCGCACCGTCCCCCGCGGCCGCGCCCGCGCCGGCCTCGTCCCCGCGCAGCCGCGCCATCTGCTTGTCGATGCGCTCCTGGCGCGTGCCGCGGCGGGAGGGGTCTCTGACGCCCAGGTCTGACTCGTCGATGCCCGACACCTGGTTCCCCATCACGTCGAACGAGCCCGTGCCGGACACGACCTGCTCGCGGCGCTTGCTGTACTCCGCGGCGGTCGCGACCCCGCCCAGGCGCGTCCCGGGCGGCTTCGGAGTCCCGGGCGAGGCGGGCGCAGCGGGCGCAGGTGCTGCCTCCCGGGCCTTCGTCTGCTCGGCCTTCGCGGAGAGGAACGCGTCCTCCTCGGGCTTCGCAGCCAGAGAGACCTGCGGGGCGTGCGGGGGCGGGGAGCTGAGCGCGGGGGCGCTGGCCGTGAGCCTGCGCACGGCTGCTTGCGCTTTGGCGGGGGGCAGTCGACGTCGCACGAACCTGCTCCATGAACTTCCGCTCGATGTCGCTCTTGTCGGAGCTGTCGGGCCTCGCGGGCGCGCCGCCCTGGGCGGTCGCGGGGGCTCCGGGGGCCGGTGTCGCGGCGCCTGCGGTGCTCCCGGACGCTCGATCGCCGCCCTGGTCGTCCGCGCCGATCGAGGGCCGCGCCTTGCCGCTAGCCACCTGGCTCTTGTACTTCAGGGCGGCGGCCAGACGTGCTTTGGCGTCTGTGGGCGCGTCCGTCGACGCATCCCTGTTTTTTGGGGCATCGTCCGCGGACGCACTCCCCGCGCTCTCCTGTCGCGTCCCCTCCTCACCCCCAAACAAGCTATCCTCTACGCTCTGCATCAGGCTGTTCGCGCGCGGCTGCCCGTCCGCAGGCGGCTCCTCGACGCCGTTGGATGCATTGCTCCCGTCCCCTCGCGTCGCGGCGACGACGACGGCCCCGCGCCTGCGAAAGCGGCGCAACGGCTCCCTCGCGCCTGCCGCTTCCGGGACGTGCCGGCCGCGACGGACCGGGGCTGCGCAGGCCCTGGGGCACCCCAGCCCTGCCGGGAGTGCAACCCCCATGCCGGGCCGCGTCAACGGGTTGCTCCGAAAGAACGGCGAGACGGTAGAATGAGAGTGGGCGACGTCCTCGGGTGCGGCTGCTGCGCAATGTGGCCGTTGGTGTGCCCGCGCGCGCCCTTGCAGCCCCAACTGCCCTCCTGTTCGGTAGAAGCGACGATGAGTCGGCGTTCCATATGTGGCGATGAGCCCCCGCCGTGGTCTGTCACCGGCGAGCGGCGTGCGGCAGGTCCGACCTGGTCGCATCCCGAGCCGGCTTCTTTGGGCGAGGACCGGCTGCAGCCGTCACCACTCTCTTCGTGCGGCCGTGCTCGGTGCTTCTACAGCGCACACGGACCGGCTGCGAGCCACTCTGTAGTTGCACCTCCTCTCCCCTCGCGGCCTGCCTCAGCACTGCGCACGCCCTCGCTGCATCGCGCCAGACATGGACGGAGACATTCTGGGCTCCGTTGGCACTACACCTTCGCGCGGCAGCGGCGGCGGGCAGTGGTTTGGCTCCTGGGCCGTGTCCGGTGCGTGACAAGTGCCCGAAACCTCCCTCCCACGCTGTTCCCGCGCTCCCTCGGGCCCCGCGAGCAACGCTTCTATCCCTTGCGGCCAGGAAGCGCCGAGAACTGCGTGTGAGGGCGTCCCTCGCGCACGTCGCGGGGGAGACATCTTTGAACCGCCGGCAGTCAGCTGCGTGGCACGGACGGCGCAAGCTCGTCCAGGCCAAGAGATGCCCTTCCAACGGCTGCGCTCTCTCGGCTGGAGTGCAGAGACTGCAGGAGAGAAGGAGGGCGGCGTGGCGTTCGCGATGTCACCGCTCGCGGCCGCGGGGCCACCGCAGCCGCTGGCAGAGCTCTCCGCGAACGACGCGGGGGCCGTGGCGCGCGCGGGGGCGGCGGCAGCAGCCAAGACGAGCGGCCAGGGCCTCAGGTCGCGCATCCCTGCGCCCGCTCCCGCCCAGGAGCGCGCGGGCGCGGGGGAACAGGGCGCAGCGTCGTTGGCGCGGCCGAGCGCGAGCATGACCGCCGCGTGCGACCCGTCACAAGGCTCGAACGGATCCTTCTCGTTCCCCTCCGCGCCGGCGCCCAGCGCGGCAGCGGCGTCGAGCGGCGCGCCGGTGCCGGCGCCACCACGCGCGTCATCTACGACATCCGAACAACGGGGCGCCCGCTCCTCCGGCGTGCCGTCCCAGCACGCGCCAGACGTCTCTCCGACCACGCAGCTGCTCCGGGCCGCGGCCGCCTCGCCCGACGACGCCGGCGCGGCGGAGGCCGGGGCCAAGGCAGCGTTTGCGACGCACGCAGCCGCCACGGGCGTGGACGGCCCCGCGGTCGTCCTGGGGCACACCTCTCTGACGCCGCTGTTGCAGGAGGCCGGCGTGGACGGCGCTGCGCTGCCGACGCCCGCGCGCGGCTGCCTCGGGCGCTTGTTTGAAGCCGCTGGCGACGGCGCTCGTGCGCAGGGCGCGCTGGTCGACGTGCGCGAGGCCGCGGCGCAGCTCGCGGCGAAGGAGAGCGAGGAGACTGCGGCGCGCGTGCAGGCGCTGGCGTCGCGCGTGCAGGCGCTCCGCAGCGAGAACGAACAGCTGCGCGCTGACGTGGCGGGTCTGACGGCCGAGGGGGGAGTCGCTGCCCCGGGGGGGGTCGCTGCCGCGGAGGGAGCGGCCGGTGCGACGCCGGAGCGCGAGGGCCTCCGGGCGAAGCTCAGGCAGATGGAGGAGATGTATCAGTCGGCGATCAAAGGTGCGCGGTGGTTGTTGTTGTTGCGTTGTTTGTGCCATTGCAGCCGCTCCTGCCCTCGGCTCGAATCGAGAGAGCCACGTCGGGCGTTGAGTCCATGCGAGGGGTGCCGCCGGCGCTGCCGGGCAGCGACGGCGCGCCGCACGAGCTCCTGGTTCGCGTGATACAGTGAGCGGCATGTTTCGACATATGGTTTTCCCATCTGCCACTCCTCGCCGCTCGCTGCTGCTTCAAATCCGTGTCCGTTGCCCCCGTGCGGTGTGCCCGCAGACGGCCTGGACATGCAGGGCGAGATCGACGCCCTGCGCGAGCGCCTCGAGGCCGTCGCCACGCCGGGGAAGCACCGCGGCTCCCCCGCGCCCGCCTGCCCCGTCGCCCTGCCCTGCGACCTAGCGGCCGAACTGCGGGACCTCCGCGCGGCCATGGACCGCCGCAGCGCGGCGCTGGACGCGGCGCTCGAGGACCTCGCGGGCGCGCGCAGGTCCGCCGCGGCCGACGGGGCCGGCGCGGCCGCGCAGCAGCTCGGCAGCCGCGCTATCGCGTCAATGCAGGTGAGGCACCCCCGGGGCGTGTCGCTCTCCGCTTTGCCTCTTGCCGCTCCGCTGCGCGCCCTCGGCGATCGATCGCGGCCACGACGGCACCGCGCTGACGTGCCTTGCGTGCCGCGGCGCGTCGCAGGCGATCTGCGAGGGTCTGCATGACGCGGGGCGCCGCGTGGGCCTCCTGCGCGCGTCCGCCGCGGCGCAGACGCCGTCGCCGCACGCGCAGGCCGCCGCCGCGCCCGCGCACCGCAGAGCGCCAGCGCACGCGGGCTCCTCCGACGACGAGAGCGACGCAGGCGGTGACGCTGCGCTTGCGATGGGGTGTTCAGAGCCGGCGACGCCGTGCGGGGTGCGTGGCGCGCGTAGCGGGCGGCGAGGGGACCGTGCGAGTCCCTGGGGGGCAGGTGCGCGGGGCGCGGCGGCCGGACACGACGGTGATGCGGTCAGCGAGGCGTCGTGCGACACGGAGAGCTCTTTCGAGGGCGCTCCCGTGGCGTGGCGGGCGAGGGCGTCGCGGGGCCGCGCGGGCGACGCGGAGCTGCTGCGCAAGGCGCGCGCGCTCAACATCAACATCCTGCCGTACTTGAGACCGTACATGCGGCGGAGGTGACTGCGCGTGGCGGCGCGCAACGCTGAGGATGGGTGTCGGCCCGGCGCGCGGGGGCGCGTCGCGAGGGGCTGCTGCGATGCGCCTCTGGCGCCGGAGGGCTCGCGGCCGGTCGGAATGGTGGTTGTGAGGTGTGTGAGGGCGCGGGCGAGCGAGGATCCGAACACAGCCTCACGTGACGCCTCTCGTGCGGCGGGGTCGAGCTTCTGCCATGCTGAGCAGAAACCGGCGTATGAATGTTGGATATGTCGTGCGGAGCGCGCAAATCGGGCGGCCTTCCGCGTTCCGGGAGTAAAGCGATGGTTCTCCGCCGAATCTTCCGCGCCGCTGTTCGCACGGGTCTTGGCACGCGAGCGGCAGCGGCAACAAAGCACAAGGTCAATTGAAGGAAGGAAGGAACGCCGCCCGCCTCGTCGCTTGCGCTGCGCGTGCCGAGCGCCTGACGAGCTGCTAGACGCCTCCGTGCGGGCACTGGTGGCCTCGAGCTGCTCGTTGCTGCGCGCCCGGCGCCGCGCACGCCATCTCGGCTCTCAAACGTCATTCGTACGACATGTTCCGCGTTGCTGCGTAAATTATCGCGCATGCAGTACGTTCGCCTGTAGAGGCTGAGCGCCCAATGGCCTCATCACCGCAGTCCACAGCCCGGGAGGCGGGCGGGCCCCTCAGAGTTGCATTGCCACTGCATCTGGTGCGTCGCACGCCCTTTCTGTCGCTATTCGTCCACCAGAGCAGTCCTGCGAGCGCGTGCTCTTCCCCCTGGGTCTTCTCGAACTCGCTGCGCCGCCCCGGCGCCCCCCCCGCGTGACGCGTCGCGGCCTTCCTGGTCCCCGTACGTCCGTGGACCCCGCGGCGCAGCGTCGCCGCGTCAGCAGGCCCGTGTGCGCGCGGCCCGGCCCCTCACGCAACGGGGCCACGCGACTCTCCCGGCGCTTTGGAGCGCTCGTTCCGCACGCCCGCGGCCGCCCCGGCTTCGCATGCCCGCCTGGCCGCGAACCGCGCGGTTCGCCGCTCACGAGCCGCGCCCGTCGTCGCTGTGCCGCAGGCTGCCTCTGCTACGGCCCACTTTTGCACGCGCGAGGCCAGCTGCCGCGTGCTCGGCACCGTTCTCGGCGCCCCAGGCGTGGACTGGTTCCTCACGCAGGGAGCCCACGAGGCAAAACACAACGATGGCGTCGCCAAGCGCGACGGTGAGCTGCCCCCCTCCAACCACCCGACCCCCGCCCCCTCGCAGCGCAAGCAGCCCACGGCGAGGACTCCCCGCGACCCGCCGTATTCCACCTGCGCCTGTCCGCGGAAGCCGCGTGCTCGCCTCACGCACGCCACGCGGCGCGCAGGCATTGCACGCCAAGCCCACTCGGCACCTCGCGCCGCTCCCGCGTCGCCCCGCGCGCCGCAGACCGCGCCCGACCGCCACCTTCCGCCCCCCTTCGGCGCAAGCGACCGCCCCGTCCGCACCACGCGGCCGCTTCCGCCCCCCCCCCGCGGCCCTATGCACCCAGCCCGGCCCCCAGTGCCACACCGCGCAAGTTCCGACCCTCGCGTGCAGCGTCCGGCGAACCGGACAAGCGGCTCCTCATCGAGCTCACCGGCGACGACGTCCCGCGCGCGCTGCGGAGCGTCGTCTTCGAGAACGAGCTCCCGAACCGTTGGCAGTACCTGGACCCGCAGGGCAGCGTGCAGGGGCCGTTCGACATGGACAGGTGCGCGCGCTCCCGCCCGACCACGGCCCCTCTATGCCCAGCGCGCACTCTCCCGCGCGGCACCGGTGCCCCGGGGTGCCCCGGCGGCGCGCCGCCACCGCGTGTGGCCCACGTGTGCGAGTCCCGGAGGTGGTGCGCAGGTTGATCCGGTGGCGCGAGCGGTCCTTCTTCGGGCCCGAGCTCGCGGTCTGCTCGGAGAAGCACGGCGTGTGGATGCCGCTGCACCTCGCGGAGGCCATCGCGAAGCCCGCGTCGGGCGCGGTTTCGCAATGCGCGCCCAGCAAGGCGTCGAGCGGCGACGCGCAGACCGCGCACGTGCACCCGGAGTCCAGCGACGTCGAGATGACCGAAGTCGAGCTCGGCGTCCTCGAGGAGCTCGCGCAGGCCCGCAGCAGCGGCGAGCTCAGCGCGGACGCGCTCGCCGCGGCGCAGTGCGAGCTGCAGCTCCCGGTGCCCATGGAGATCGACACCGCGCCCCGGCGGCTGCTCTTCGTCGTGGACACGAACGTCCTGCTCTCGAACCTCTCGCTCGTCACGACCATCGCGAGCGGCCGCCCCGCGGAGGAGAACCTCAGCGACGCCCCCGCGGTGTCGGTGATCGTCCCGTGGACGGCGCTGCAGGAGCTCGACCGCCTGAAGACCGAGTCCGGCGTCGGCGGGTCGTGCGACACGCGGAAGCGCGAGGTCTCGGCGCTGGCGCGCGCCGCGATCCGCACGCTGAGCGATTCGATGACGCACGGCGCAGGCCACGCGAGCAACGGCGCGAGCGGCATCTTCGGGCAGTCGATGGCCGACTACGCCGCGGCGGAGCGCATCGTCGGTGGCAGCGTGGCGCGCGCCACCACGAACGACGACCGCATCCTGCAGTGCGCCGTCTACATGCGGCTGCGGGGCGCGCGCGCCGCCCTCGAGGCGCAACTCATGGTGCGCCGCGCAACGCGCCCCGCCGCGCCGCCTGCGTGCACGCACGGGCTGCCGAGAGCGATCCCGCGTCTGCCAGTCTCAACCAAACACCCCCCCCCCCCCCTGCTTCTTGGGTTTGTGCAGGGCGGCCATGCGCACCAGGTGGCGGTGCTGCTGGTGACGAACGACCGCGCGCTGTCGCTCAAGTGCACGGTGAACAACGTGGCGTCTGCGCCGGCGTCGGTCCTCCAGCAAGCCGTGGACACGATGCCGTGGAGCCAGACGATGGAGACGCTCTTCCGCGCTGCCGTGGCCACCAGCTCCGCCAACTCGTCGGTCTCGGGCAAGTCGAGCGACGTGACCGGCACGTGCGACACCTCGGTGTGGGCCGCGGGCGCCCCCGCCGCGCACAACGCCCTCGGCGGCGCCGGCGCGGTGGGGAACATGGCGCAGGACGTCATGGGCATGTTCGGCGCGCTGCCGACGTCCGCGGGCCTCGGCGGGGCCGGAGGTGCTCAGCAGCAGCTGTCCGCAGACTTCGCGGGCCACCTCGGCGGCGCGCAGGCCGCGATGTTCGGCGTGGGCGGCGGCGGGAACGGTCACGGCGCCGCGGGGGTGCCGCACGGCATGCAGCACGCGGGCGGCCAGCAGGGTTTCGGGTTCGACGCCTTCGCGCTGCCGCAGGCGCAGGCCGGGGCGCAGGCGCCCGAGATGAGTCCGGCGGGCGCGGGCCCCGGCACGGAAGCCGCGCACAAGTACCTCATGAGTCTGCTGACTCAGGGGGTGGACTCCGGCCTCCTCGCAAGCCTCGACGCGCAGCAGCAGCAGGCGATCGTCGCGGCGCTGTCCGCGGCGGGCATGTCGCAGCCCGCGCGCCAGCAGCAGCGCGCTGCCGCGCCTGCGGGGTCGCAGTGGATGGCGTCGGCCGCCCCGGGCGCGTCGCTCCCGCCCACGTCCGCCGCGGGCGCACTCGGCATGTCGGGCCTCGGCCTCGGCGCCGGCGGCGACGCGCAGGTCCAGATCGAACAGCACCGCCAGCAGCTCCAGGCCATGGCTCGGCAGGCGGCGCTCTCGGTGCCGCACACCGCGCAGGCGCCCGTGGGCGCCGCGGACCTGATGCAGCAGTGCATGTACGTCCTCGGGCGCGCCCTCGCGCCCGTGATCAAGCACGCCTCGGCCCGGCTCGTCAGCCCCGAGTGGAAGGACCTCCTGATCGCGAAGAACCCGGGGCGCTGGGACGGCCCGAAGGCGATCAACGTGATGAACAAGCAGTGGATGCCGGTGTTCCGCGACCTGCTGCCGCGGCACGGCGAGATGCTGCTGCGGTCGCTGCAGGACCGCGCGCACTCGCTGCGGCGCGGGAACCGGACGTACCTGAGCAAGGCGCACGTGCACCAGACGGTGAGCGAGGCGATCGAGCTGGTGAGCATGCTGCAGCCCGTGCTGCAGGGCGTGCCGTCGCCGGACGCGTCGCCCGAGCACGTGGCCATCGTGCAGGACCTGCGCCTGGCCGAGGCGATGGGCAACGCCGTCGCGGAGCTGCGCGTGCTCCTCGCGCAGTGCGCAGAGAATTGAACGCGGCGCAGGCAACGCCGTAGTCAGCAACGGCTGGCTGTTGACTGAACCAATCAACCAACACAACAGCAGCCAACCAACCAACACAACACACCTCCCCCCTTCAACCCCGCCCCCTCGCCCCTTTGGCCCCCCCCCAACGCGAGCGGACGTACACCGCAACGTCTGTGGCCGCGCGCTGCAGGAGCATCAGTCCCACGCGCGTGCCACGTAGCCATCGTTTCCGGACCGACCCCCCCGGCCCTTCGCGGGGGGGGTCGCCAGCAACCCTCCGCCCATCACGGCACCCTGTCGACCGAAGCCTCACTCCCGGCTCCCGCCCCACGTAGTGACCCGACCCCCTCCCCCGACCCCCCCTCCTCGACCCTGACCCTTCTCGTTCCCTGCGAACCCCCCCCCCCTGGGGGCCTCCTTCCCTCCGACCGATCCTCATCCGCTCGGCACTCTTCAGTCTCGTGCGGCTCGAGGAATGCCCTCTTCAGCAACCACACCTCAACGACGACCCCCCCCCCATAGAACTGCCCTGTACCAGGTACCCCCCCCGCCTCCCTTTTCGACCCGACCTCCTGGGACCCCTCGGTCCCAGGTGCCCGCCCGCCCAGGCTCACGAAATGTCATGAATGGTCACGTCAAGACCGTTCGTGACATTGGGACATGTATGTCGCGCACAGCGCAGGATATGAACCAGCTAACCCCCCCCCCCTCCCCTCTTCATTCATATCCGCCGCCCTTCCTTCGACCCGCCACCCGCCCTTCTCGTAGGATCCCCGCCCTCCCCTTCGTTCCCGTCCTTCGCTCCCGTTTCCTGACGAATTTTCGACCCAAGCGAACGACTCGCGCGCTGCGTGTGCTCCCATCTGGCACGCACTCGCGATTCGTTCGGCGGTTGGACGCGCCTGGCTGAAGAACCAACCCGGCAGGAACTCTCTCACTCCCTCTCTCGGAACGGGCGCTCTGCCAGCTCTCGCGTGCCGCCAATCACGACACTCCTCCGGCCGCCGCCGGAGGATCACGCCAGCTGACACCCCGGGAGGCCATGTCTCACGATTCCAGCTCCAAGCTTGCGTAGTTCACCCCGTGCCCACCCGCCGCATCCGTACCCGCGGCTCCACCGACCCCGCCCCCCCCCACACGGACCGGACGGAACATGTTCCCCTCTTGTTCTGGAGCTCGAGCCGCCAGGTGCCGCGGCTCGATCATCCGTCAACTTGACCGACAGAATGACGCTCATCCAGACACCTTCGTGGTGGGATGATGCGGCATGAGAGGAAGCCGCTCCCCCTCCGGCCGTCGTTCCGGGATCCGCCTTTCGATGTATCCAGGCTTCTGTCTTTGTGCCGAACCATCCAATCAGCGCAAGCGATCTGAACCACCATGAAGCAGTCCCCCGTGCGCCGCCTCGTGCCCCCGAGCCCGCAAAGCGCAGCTCCTGTAGCGGCTCGGAGAAGCGCACCACAGTGCGGCGCGGCGACTGGTTAGAAGCTCGAATGGATCCCCTCGCCATGTGACACGCCCTCTCGAGCGACGCACCGTCCCAGTCAAACACGAGGAGCCTAGCTGCGCCCTTACCTGCGGAGATCGTCCTCGGCCAGGGAGGTTTGCGTCTTGTTTTTGTCTGTCAAGTCGCTCTGTCATTTGGGGTGCGAAAAGGTTGGGAATCGCCCCAGCATTTCGTCTGCTCTTCGGCGGCGGTCCAGGGAGTGTTGCCGGCGCAAAGCTGCGGCCGTGGGCTCCTCTGGCCCCGGCCATGACGCAGTCTGACTGGACGGGTGCCGTCCTGACAACGCGGGCGGGACTGCTCCTCCTCACAAGGGCAGCGCGGCTCGCTTGCTCGGTCCCGTTTGGTGTCGCTGGGCAGCAGAATCGCGCTCCTCCCACGGGGCAGAACACGTGGTGCGCTGCAGTGATGACGCCGCTTTTAGGCATGCAGCTAAGGGTGGGGTCGGTGAGGCGGTCCTCTGGGATTGCTGGATGTCAAGACGGCGATTTCGACGTGGCGTTGAAGACGCCGGGTGCTCACGTGCGTCGCCTGCGCTCTTCTGCACGTGGTGTTGCTTGTTGCGTAGCTGCACGTTGGCCTGGCCGGTCCACGTGCGGCGGCCGAGACGTTGCGATCTTGTGATCCCCGTGAAATACTTCGTTCAGGAATACGGGCCAACTTTCAACTCCGAGGACGATCGCAAGACGCCGGTGTGGGCGCGAAACAATGGCAGCAGTGAGGAGAGCGCTCCGCGCAAGCGGGCCCGCTTCGGGAGCCTGACGAACGGCAACGGCCCGGACCCGATATTGCGGGACTGCTGCATACTTCCGTCGCGCGTGCGCCGCGAGCACTCGGCAGACTGCGGGGCTGCAGTAGCTCTGACTGGCAACTGCACGACAACCGACCGGCAGGTGGAGATTTTCGAGCACCAGGTGCAGTCAATCCCCGATCACACTCTCCAGGGCCGTATGTTTCTGTGCGGTCGCCACCTGGTTCAATGTGTCGGTGCAGTGCCGTGGCTCCTGCCTGCTTGTTTTCGCCCCCGCGGGGCTTCTTCGAACGTCGCTCCTTGCGTCCCGTGCCCCACCACGCAAGCACCAAAGGCAGTGCGCCTGCTCGACCCCTACATCGTTCTCTCTGGCCCGCTGCGGGCGCGGAAACAGGCACGCTCACAACGTGCACATCCGCTCCGTGACCGCAGGCACAGATCATCAGGCTCGCAGGCAGTGACGCGTCACGCCTTCTCCTCGGCAAGGTTCTCGGGCGGGGAACGTTCGGGAAGGTGTACGGCGGGGTCCTGTGCGCGGGCGACACGCAGGACGCCGTAGCTGTCAAGGTGCAGCGCCGCGCTCTGGACGCTCGCGACTACGACGCGGTGCAGACCGGCGACCTCCGCGTACTGCACGACTGCACGACCGACCTGGAGCCGCTCGCTGACTGGGTTCCGTACGACCCCCTCCTGGGAGAGTACACGTTGATGGTTCACGCGGGGAGCAGCGGGGCCCTCGACGCGATCGCCGCGCCGATCTGCGCCGGAATCATCAGAATGAACGATCAGCTGCAGAGCTGCATGGTCATGCAGCGCGTCGGGCCGTCCCTCGATGACGCTTTCCCGAGAGGCATTGCAGACTGGAGCGAGTGGAGGGACCTCGCGCTCGCCTCGCTCCGGGCGCTGCGAAGGTACGCCCGACCCTTTGCCATATTTGATGCACCTCTTGCGCGGTCTTGCGTTCCCGACCGCGGCAGTGCGCGCCCGGAACGCAGGCTACACGAGTGCTCGGTGTTCCACGGCGACATCAAGCCCGCGAACATCTGCCTCGCGGCGCCCGGGAGCAGGGAAATCAAGCTGATCGACTTCGGGTTCGCCGGGACCGTCGACGAGGACCCCGACAGCGGCAGCATGACCTTCTTTGGGACGCCCGCCTTCAGTGCCATCGACTACCTGCTCGGAGGGGCGCCGTACAGGCTGCTTTACGACGTCGAGTCGCTCGCGTACGCTCTCTTGGACGTCCAACAGAGCCGCGGGCTTCCCTGGGACATGGACGACATGCTGCGCAGCTTCGACAGGAGGGGCTGCCCTTGGACGATCGACGACCTCGCGCAGGTGACGGCGACAGCTGGAAAACTCACCAGATATTCGAAGATGCCCGGGCTGCACCTGCAAGGCCGTCACACCCTTTTCCTGCGCCGCGTTGCGTCCCTGAAAGCTTCTGCGTGGCACACTCACACGCCGTCGCCCCGCGAGCCGGTGCGACGCAGGCGGCGGACGCAAAGCAGGAGGTGCTCGACGACCCGTGTTCGCGTGCGGAGCTCCCGGCGTGGTTCATTGCCTTTACTGACATGGTGCGGGCGGCAGCCTGCCTCCAGGGGAAGAAGCCGCTCACCAGGACGCAGATCAACGCGCTCTACGCGAACCTGGCGGACATAGTGTCGGACAACAGGCTCAATACAACGTGAGTGCCCGCTGCGACGGCACTGCGGGCTGGACGCAGGCATCATGTGTGCGCGCTGCGATGACGGCGCCGCACACCCCTCATCGGGCTTGCATGCAGGTTCTACAACGTGTCTCCGTGGGCGAAGGACGCCGCGAACCGGGGGGTGAGGGCGATGTTTGGCGTGGGCGAGCAGGTGGGGTGGTCCGCCTGACGCCACGAGTCCACAGCCGCAGAGACCGGGCGAAGATGTCTTACGCGCGGTGTAGAATCATCCAGCGGCGGTGCGAGGAGCGGCAAATCAAGAGAGCGCACCACGAGCGCATGCCTTGAACGAAGCAAACAGAGCAGCAAGAAGAAGATGCGCACACTGCACCCGTGATCCATTCCTGCACGTGTGACGCACCGCCCCGCCACGGTCCCGCGTCGTCCTGCGCCGTTACACTCCTGCGCTCGCCTGCCGCATGTGCGCGGTCAGGGCGTCAACTCCGGAGACAAAAGCAAAGCAAAGCGAGCCAGCTGGCAGCCGTGGGCGCGTCAGGCCGCGAACTGGATGTCGCAGCTGAACACGGACGGCGGCAGCTTCTTCGCCATGTCCGGCGGGTAGCACGCCGACGGCACGGCCTTGGCCTCGCACCACGCGCAGCCCGCCTGCTCGCACGCAGCCTTGTCCGACCAGGGCTTGCACTCCCCGTCCTGCGCGCGGTTCAGGTACCGCTCGAAGGAGCCCTCCCACTTCACGAGCACCTCGTTGTGGCGGTGCCGGAGCTGGAACGGGGGGTTGAATCCGAGACTCTGGAACTCGTCCATCTCGGCCTCGATGCCCTGGGACATGAGGAGAGCGTACAGCGACCGCGCCTGCTCGTACGTCTTGCCCTTCCACGCCCAGCCGCCGAAGCCCACGACGCTCGCCACGAAGCCGTCGCGCCGGTCGATGTACAGGTCGTCGTTCAGGGGCGCGGGGGGGTTGTCCTGGAACTCCGCCGGGAGGACAAAGGCCATCGTGTACGGGCCGTCGCGCGTGCCCTCGAAGCCGTCCTTCGCAGGGATCGTCACCGACACCGGGGCCGTCATCTCGATCTTCGTCCCCATCTCGTTCTCCCCTGCAAGCAGTCGCGCCCACGTCAGTCAGTCTGGAGTTCCAACAACCCCCTTGCGACGTGGCCCGCGAGATCGGTGACCCCGCGGGCCGCATTCGCGATTGCCTGCGCGGCCTCCAGCAGCTGCGTCACGAACCACGCTACCCGCGCGGGCGATACAAGGCCAGGGGTGCTCACCTCCGATGTATTTGTACAGGCGCCTGAAGCCACGCGCCTGGGCGTTGTAGTAGCCCGTGTCGATCTGCGTCGCGACCCACACCGTCGGCGGGTACTCCCGCACCTCCACGCCATCCTCACTCTTGTTCAACAGCCTGCGAGGCCGGACCGCAATCACCGCCGTCAAGGCGCGTCATCCTTGACCGCTCGGTCCCAGTATCAGTGGCTGAGGCATCGGCGCCGCTGGACGGGCTGCGTCGACGGAGCGCCGCGGGGGGCAAGCCCGGAGGTTGTTCGCCGAGCGCAGAGGCAGTGGGTGCTCACTTGTACGGTGCGCACTCGAGGTTTGGCGGGCAGTAGTCGTTCTCGTCTCCGCGGATCGTCGGGATCGGGCGTGGGTGGGCACGCAGGGAGCCAGAGAGAGTGCCGGACCCTGGTCTGCCCAAGCTGGCCGGGTGGATGCCCTGCGGCGCGTGAAGGGGTCGGGCTCGCGGTCGCGTGAGTACAAGGTGTCGCGGCAGTCGGGTCGCGCGGTGGCGAGATAGTGAGCCCGGTCTGTGAGGAGCAACGCGAGCTGGCTGGTTGCACGCGGCCTCCTGCCCGCACGGCCGTCGTGGCGGCGACTTGACAGCATGGAGGCGGTCGAAGCGTGGAACGGACCATGGAGACTCCGCACAGCGTAGAGAAGACGGCGGCGAGAGCCAGAAGGCGCACGACCGGGCCCATCATCGTGGCGCGTCCACGAGCCCGGAGAATGCGTGGCACGGCGATCAAGCGAGGCGAACTTGCGAGCCCCGAGATTGACAGCTGCTCTGCCACCGTGGTGCGCGATCGCACGACCAGAACCCCGCAGGCAAGGGCCTGTGTGCGAGAGGTCCCGCGCTGACCAAGGCTGCCCGTTTCGGCCGATCCTTTTGTGGTTCGGAGACAAACGGCACTTCAGGGCACGGATATCTCACACGAGACCTGAGATAACACGGAATATCGGAACATCCGAGGCTGCTCTGTGGCGCGCTTTCTTTTGCACCAACCATCATCCACTTGCGCGCTCCTCATTCGCTCTTGTACACGATCCTCACCTCCGGCAGCCCGTCGATCTTCCCGCACACGCTATCGCCCGGCAGGACCGGCCCTACGCCCTCCGGCGTCCCTGCAAGCATGCACTCTTACTACCAACTCTGACTACCAACCAAGCATGAGTCAGTCAGTAAGCACCTGCACGCCGCGCGCTCCGCGGCCGGTCGGTCGGCCCCCCTCTCGCGCACCGGTCATGATGAGGTCCCCGGGCCGGAGCTCGGTGAGTTCACTCAGGTAGTGGATGATGTCGGGCACGCGCCAGACCATCTCGCCCAGAACCCCCTCCTGCCTGTGCTCGCCGTTGACGTCGCACGTGACTCGCAGCCCCGCCATCGCCGCGACCGGGTCGATGTCCCAGTCGTCCCGCGGCCACTCCGAGGCCGGCACGACCTCCGAGCATGGCGCTGCGTACGGAAACGATTTCGACATGTCCCACGGCCCGCCCGTGCGCCGAGCTTCGTTCTGGATGTCTCTGCGGGTCATGTCGAGGCCCGTGCACCAGCCGCCGACGTATGCCATGGCCTCGGAGCGCGGGATGGGTCCCGAACCTGCACGGGGAATGATCATATGAATTATTGATACGAATGTCACTTGGAATCGAGTCACTGGGGGTCTGGCGGGGGCTGAGCAAGGCGCGGGAGCGGCTGCTGATCCAGGGCGACGGACTGCGCGAGGATGGAGCGCTGAGACGAAGCTGCGACGGACAGGCAGCTTTGACGCGCCGTGCGTGGAGGTCGCTCACCAGCCGGCTGTTCGCGGCCGATGATCGCGCAGAGCTCGACTTCGTGGTGCAGTACTTCCGTCGACAGCGGGAAGGGGACGGACTCTCTCGCACCGCGCGCGTGGAAGACGTCCTCGGCCTGCGCAGGCATGAACAAGACAAGGGGGCGGACGGAACGTTCGTCGCCGGGAAGTGCGAATGTTTCATCTCAAGCGCACATTTGTGGCAGGAAGTCTGCATCGAAACCACGGGAACCCGAGATGAAGCCCCAGGCTCGCGTCGCCCGGGGCGTTGAAGCAGCGTGCTCCCCTACCCACCGGGGCGTCACCTGCTTGCAGAAGAAGACTGGAGGCTCCTTGTCTGGATCGCAGCCGAGCTCACGAGCGTGCTTGGCGTAGTTCTTTCCGACGCAGAAGCACCGGCGGATGTACACGCGCTGGTCCCCCTTGCCGCGCACTGGCAGCGACGGCCTCACGCCGTCAGTGGACAACGCGCCCGCGAGATTCGCCATCCTGCGTCCCCGTCCTGCGTACACTCGCGCAGCGCACGCCACCAACAACGCCCTCCTCCGCCACTCACCCCGCTGTCACACCCCCCTTCCACAACACCCCCGCGCACAAGCCAAGACACCGAGCCGCCCACGCGCCCCTGAGAGCCCCCTCGGCGCCGGACCGCGACTCACCCGCCGCGCCAGTCGGCACACTATTCCTGCCGATCACACATAGAGAGCACGCATCGCACATCGTGCGTCACCCCGTCTCGAAGCTCCGCTCCTTCCGGATGAAGTGGATGTCCGTCTCGATCCAGTACGAGTCCGTGCACGCCGCCACGGGGTCCGTCTTCGCGATGTCCCGGTGCTTGTCGCACAGCTCCTCGCGCTTGCCCTCCTTGCACATGTCCGCGAACGGGAACGCGTCCTCGTCCGACTCGTAGCAGCACACCGCGTCCGGCATCCCGTCCTTGATCGCCCCGACCGACATGCGGAACCCGCGCGACTCCATGTACCGCACCATGTCGGAGCAGCTCTTTTGGCCCTCATAGAAAAAGGGGCCCTGGTCGCGGATGACCTCGGCCGTGACCGTGCGGACGCGGTCGAGGTGCTCGCCCGCGCTCATGATGACCTCGAGGTCCAGCCCCTGCGCGTCCACCTGCGGCCAGTCGGGCCACGCAACGCAAACGCTTGTTTGCAAGAGCGTGGGAGGGAGGGCAACCCTACTGCGCGCACAACGCTGCGTCAGAGTGGTGCCGGGTGGTCTGGCGTGGACTAGCACAGCCTCGCGGCCTGAGTAGCGTGCCTTCCCGGCGCACGCTGCGATGCTAGATGAAATAATGGATCAACATTCGAAACAATCGAGAAATTCCCTACCTTGAGGTTGTCGATGGGAAGGTCGAACCAGCTCATGATGGTGTGCAGCGGCAGCGTCGGGACGGTCCGGTGCTGCTTGACCTCTTCGCACCCGGACCACCCCAGCGCCGACATGCCCTCGGCATCGGGCTTGGCGAGACTGCTGCACCCGTCGACCTGCGACACGGTGAAGTCCGCGGACGACCCGAACCCCTGGCCCTGCTGCGCCTCGGGCGGCCCGGGCTGCGCCGCTACCGGCAGAATCACGGCCCGCGGGTGCATGAAACCCAGAGGAGCGAAAATGTCGTGGTGGACGCCGATCCGATTGAGCAGGTGCGCGTACCTGCGCGGATTAGACGGAGACGGGCGGTTGCGGCAGCGAGCGCAGAGCGCACCGTCGCGGGCGGCGATAGCCCGCATGATGCGGACTTTGTAGTCGTGCGTCAGGCGCAAGAGCGACCATGCCGTGCTGTGGCCCGGCGTGGGTGGCGCACGCCCTGCTTCCGACGTCCGGGGGTGCACTGTGCAGGCGCTGGGCGGGAGCCGCGGCGTGAGGCCCGCTCGCACTGCGGCCGCTCCGCCGGCGCGAAACGCGGCACCAGTTGTGTGGCAGAGGTGTGTTGACGCTGCTGCGCGGTGAGTGCGGGGGCGGCCGGGCCGCGTACTTGTCCATGAGAGGCTCGAGGATGATTGCGAACGCCTCGGGGTCGTACGGGAGGTACTCTTGGTCCATGGTGTTGCGTACGTTCGAGCCGACCTCGATGACGACGCGCTTGATGCCGGCCGGGATGGGGAGCTTGCCCTCGGGTGTGAGCTCGAGGACCTGCGCGGCGATCGGGTGTGCCGCGTCGATGCGTGCGGGGGCGCGAAGCGGGCGAGGAGGCATTGAGCGCAAGCAGGCCTGCCTTCGAGGCCGCTCGCGGTCAGTCCTGAAGATGCACGCGCTACGTATGAATCTTTGGGACTACTGGAGCTCCCTGTCGTGCTGGGTGACACGCTGCTGCGCCCTCGACGCCAGAAAGTCGCCGAGCGTTCTAGGTGTGGTGCAAAGGGCGCTGGGAAGGCGCAGGGCGGCGGAACGTTTCGACAGCAAGGTGCCGCACGAGCGCACCTCGACGTCAGCCATCAACCTGTTGTTGAGCAACCGAACGCCCGCTCCACGCATCGCCTCTGCCCCTCCAGGCGCACTAGGGCCCGCGCGCCCTGGGGCGCCGCTGCTCCCGCTCTTCCATATGATGTACAGCACCAGCACGATGTTGAGTATGAGCGACACCTTGAGCGCAGAGCGCGCCCTGTCTAGCGTTTTCCGCATCGTTCCCGCCCTGCCCTCGTTCAGTTGCTTGGCCGCCGCGTCATGTGCGTGTAGCTGACTCAATTCCCTTTCTTCGCCCCCCAGTCCGATCTCTGCGCCATTGCCACGCGGCGGCGGCCCCTGCACCGTCATGAAGCGCCCCACGGTGCGGGAGGCCACCACTTCGTATGAACAAAAGGCCCCCGCGCCTCTCAACGACCCCCGGCGCGGACACTCGGTCCTCCGAGCCCCGCCCGAGCAGTCCCCGCAGCCGCGCGCCCCTGAGGCTGTCCGCCCAAGTCCCTGAGCCCGATGACTTTGAGATGATTGGTCAGCACGGCGTGCTTCGCATGCCAGTCTCACACTGCGACAGCGGGTCCTACCCCGCACGTGGACGCGACCACTTCATCGCCGCGCCGGAGGCTCGAAGCTCCAGCGCGGCCACCTGCTCGGCGCAAAAGCAAAACCCCCCCCCCGCCACATCAGGCACTCTCCTCCTCCGCGACGGGGTGGCTCCGCAGCGACCGCCGCTGCTCGCGTTCCCGCAGCATCTTGTCGAACTCCTCCAGCTCGATGTCCCGCTTCTTCCCGCCCGACCCGGGCTGCTCCGACACCGCGCTGTCTGTCCGGTAGATCACGTCGTCGCCCGACACCAGCTTCTTCTCCGCGCGGGACCCCGCGGCCTCGAGCGCCCGTTGCACGGAGGGGTCGCTGAGGACGCGCTTCATCGCCCACATCCGCGCCTCGTTGCGCTGCGCGATCGCGGCGTTGCGCTGCACATTCAGCAGTGCACGCACCGCGGGGATCGCGGCGTAGGACAGCGCGTACAGCTGGAGGTAGGGAAGCAGCGGTCCGACGTAGCCCATGCCGTTGGCGGCCAGCTGGGCCATCGCGGCGGGGTTGGCCATCATGGAGCTGAGGGTTGCCACCAGGAAGAAGTTGAAGGCGCCCAGGGCGACGACGAGGACCTTGCTCCCCGTGGGCGCCCGGGTGAGGCGGTACTTGGCCTCGGCGGGGGCCGCCGCGGTCGTCGGGCGCCTGATCGACGCTGCAGGGGGCACGGAGGACACGCAAGAGAGCAGCGTTGTGCCTTTGCGATGTATGTCCGTCGTGCACCAGAACGGAGCTCGGTCCGCGGCACCGGGGCGATGTTGGCGGGTCGCTGGGGCGTGGTCGCGGGCGCACCTTTGCTGCCGGTGGTCTGCAGCTCCGGGAAGACGTATAAAATAGCACCTGTGTCAGGGTCCACTTCGGGGGTGCCCTTGAAGCGCAGGAGCGCGGGGAGGACGTGGGGGCCCCCGGGCTCCTCCGCGGCGATCCGCGCCTCCCGGGGCGTGAGGTCCGAGAACGCGATGAGCTCGTCCGACGTCAAGACCCCCCCCCGGGACTGAATGTACTCCCCCAGCGCCGCGAAGCGCTTGCGGTCGTAGTCCCGGTTCGGGTCGCCGTCGCCGAACACGAACGACGTGATCGTCTCGAACAGCCCCATCTCCTCCGGGTCCCTGTAGTAGGACCGACCGTACGGCCAAAAGGGGTCCCAGAGGTAGTAGAAGTCAAACATCGACGGACGGAAGAACCCCCCGCCGCCGCCGCCGAACGTGATGCCGCCGCCGCCTCCCCGCCCGCGTTCGCGGTCGCGGTCCGACCCACTGCAGCGCGACGCCGGCTCCGCGGGGACGAAGTGAGCGGCGCACGCGGCAAAAACGGCGCGGTGCGGCCCCCGGGTGCCGCGGGACGGTGCGTGCAGCCGCGGCGCGACGATCGAAGCGAGGCCGCGCGTGGCGGCGGCGACGAGCCGCCGTGGCGCACCTGGACATGAGCACGACGATGGCGGCAGACGCGACAGCGATCGATGCGAACAGCGCGACGCCGAAGGAGAGCCGCGCGATGTAGACGAGGGCGCGGCCGCTGAACTCAAGGGCGGGCTCGACGACGCGGATGCGGAAGGACTTGCCGCGGATCGCCGACGAGAAATCAGGAGAGAAGGAGTACGCGATGTCGCCGCTGGCCGACACCTGCAGCGGGGCGCGGGCGAGGGCGGGCGTGGGCGTGGCTGCTGCTGCGGAGCGGGGCGACGTGCTCTGACAAGGGGGCGCGCGAGACGTGCGGGTTCTCGGACTGGAGCGAGCTGTGTGCTGGTAGTTGAGGAGTTGCGATTGTTGTTGGAAATGGAGGTCTTGCTCACCTCGAGGGTCGCTGCGCTGTCGGCGGCGAGCTTGTTCAGGGCCGCCTGTACCTCTCCGGGCGGGAGGCCTGTCCGCGCAGCGACGTCGCCCACTGCAGTCACCGCGCTCGGTCGAGGACCAGCGTTGGGGCAGCGGGGCGCGACGGGGGCGCAGCACGCGCTCGAGGGGGTCGCAAGGAATACTTGGCAGCCGCAGAAAAGGCAGGGGGCGTGGGATGGAGCAGAGCGGCGCCGGAAGACCTGTAGTCGCGGCAAAGACAGCTCGGACACCAGCCAGGCGCGGTCCCCAGGTTTCCACGGCACAGGAGTTCCTCATACTGCCCGAATCGGAACGTCCGAGCACGGCAGTGCGCGTGCGCGCCCGTTCGGGGCCAGCCGCGGCCGTGCGGCCTCGCAGCGCCCACGCACTGGGCAGAAGAGGAAGCGGTTCGAGGCCGTCGCGCACCCGTCACCCTGCCGCCCTGGTCCCTCACGGCCTCCTCCACCAGTTTCCTGTCCTCGGGCTGCATGTCTTCGGATTCCAGCTTCCTGCGCGCCCGGCACGCGACCCGCGGCCGGTTGCCCTGAGCCCACACACCATAGGGTTCCCGCACGGCCCTTCGCCGGACCCGCGCGGCTGCCAGACACGGCCGGCACGGCGCGGACAGATGCGCTGCTGCCTGCATGGTTGCGACCTGTCGCCGGCGTGGTCGCGGCGGTGCGGTCGCGGGTCGTTTCCAGAGGCCTGCGTTGCACGCGTCGTGCTGCGCCGAGAACGAATGGTGCGGCGTTATACACCCCCTGGGACGCGGGTCCGGTGATGGACTGCGGTTCTGGCCGCGGCGAGGCGTGCCTCGCGCCCAGGAACGGAAAGCTGCGTGCGTTTTTTACTGTGCTGACCTCTGGGGGGGAGCCCCGGGCGTCACCGGGGCATGAGGGGCGGTCGCGGCGCGACGACGCCACACGCGACGTGGACATCCCTGTTCGAAGGTTGCGGACGCGGACACTGCGGGGAACGTGCCGCGGAAGGCCCATCACTAGCAGCGGAGCGGCCTCTTGGGGCGCGGCCACGTTGGGATCCGGTCGAGATTGCGCTGCCCAGGGACGCGCGTAATGTCGTCGCTGTGAGGGCACGAGCGAGGCGAGCACGAGGCGGGACGCGCTGATAGAACCATGAGCAAGCGCCCAGCCGAGGACTCCGCCACTCCAGGTGCGAACACCCCGCGAATCCACTGCGCATCGACGCTATATTCTCGATGGAATGCCGTGGAACCGCAACACAGGACGTTGCTGCACTCCACAGGCGGCGCGCCCGCTTATAGAGCAACGCGCTGGCTCTTGGCCTCAGTGCGCCCCTGTCCCGGGTCCGGCCATGCAGGCTCCGAGCCAGGGCCGGCACGGTTCAAGCTCAAGCTCGGCAACAATGCCGCCGCGCCCAGAAGCGGCGACGGGGCTGCGGGAGCGGGCCAGGATCCGACCGGCACTCCTGCGGCCCCGCTCGCGACACCCGCAGCTGTACCGGGCCCCACAGCCGCCCCGTCCGATACTGCAAACGTTCAAGCACGCAGCGCGAGGAACCCCATCGTCCTTCTGGACTCGGACGACGACGACGCGCCCCCTGCGGCAGCGCGCAAGCCCACGGCCGGGCCCACGGCGGGCGACGACGACGATGACGACGACGACGACGTCGTGGTGGCTCCGCGGCGGAAGGGCGCCGTCGCGGTGAAGGACGAGGACGACGAGGACGACGATGATGTGCTGCGGGAACACGCAGTGCCTCAGATCGGCAAGAGCATCAAGGACGTGGCGCGGGAGCGCAAGGCGGAGGCGGGGGGGCGCAAGGGGCGGATTGCGGCGGCGGCGCAGGAGGCGCGGCGGGCGGCGGCGGCGGCGGCGGCGGGTGGCGGGCGGCGCGCGGCACGGGCGCTGCGGGGGGACGCGGGCGCGGGGGAGGGCGGCGGGAAGGCGAGGAAGAAGAAGAAAAAGAAGAAGAGGGGGAAAGGGAAGGAGGGGGGCAAGGCGGGCTCGGATGAGGAGTTCGCACCTGACAGCGGGTCGGACGACGACGACCTCGAGCTTGACGACGGTGCGGGCACGCCTCAGTCAGTCAGACGGCCTGTCTGCCGTGGACGGGCGCATGTTCTGCTCTGTGCCGGCCGTGCGACGCGTTGCCTTGGTGCTGTCGCGCACCGGTGATCGGCGTTTTGTGTTCGTTTGTGCGCAGAAGCGGAGGTGTCGGATTTCGTGCCGTCCGACGACATCGACGACCAGGAGGCCATCGACGGCATCGTGTACGACGACGACGAGGCCATGGAGGTCAGCGACGAGAGCGACGGCGGGCGCGCGCGCGGCGTGGCGCGGCGGCGTGGGCGCGGGCGCGGCGGGCGCGGCAGGAAGCGCAGTGCGGTCTCCGTGGGCTACTCCGACTTGGACAACGACGTGTCGCTCAGCGACGACGACGACGACGGCTTCGAGATCGGCGGCCGCCTGGCGGACTTCCGCGATCTGTCCCTCAAGGGCGATCACTCGAACCGGCCGCTGTGGGTGCTCAAGGACGGCCGCGTGCTGCTCGAGGCGCACTCTCCGATCTACAACCAGGCGTACGACTTCCTGATCGCGGTCGCGGAGCCGATTTCGCGGCCGCAGCTCATGCACGAGTACCGCCTGACGCCGCACTCGCTGTACGCCGCGGTGTCGGTCGGGCTGACGACGGAGACGATCCTGCGCGTGCTCGCGCGGCTGTCGAAGTGCGACGTGCACCACCGCGTCGCCCGCTTCGTCGTCGACAGCACCAAGAACTACGGCAAGGTCAAGGTCGTGCTCAAGGCCACGCGGTTCTTCGTGGAGTCGCCGCACCGCGAGATCCTCGAGCGGCTGATCGCGGACGCGCGGATCAAGGAGGCCGTGGTGTCGAAGGACGCGTCCGGGCGCCCGGAGATCGTGGACATGGGTCGCGCGCTGAAAGAGCACGCGGCGCTCGACCTGACGAAGGACACGTTCGAGGCGGCCGACACCGCCGCGGAGCCGAAGAAGGAGGACGCGGGCGCGGTCGGGCCGGACGGCCCCGCGAAGGACGCGCCGGGCGAGCGCGTGGACACGGCGGCGGCGGCGCTGGCCGCGGGCGCGCACGGGCGGTACGAGGGGTACGAGGAGGAGGAGGACACGACGCGGGCGGGGCGCATCATGGGGTTCGAGGTGGATCCGGCGCAGGTGGACGCGGTGAAGGCGCGGTGTCTGCCCGAGGGCCTCAACTACCCTATGCTGGAGGAGTACGACTTTCGGAACGACCGCACGAACCCCGCGGTGGCGTTCGAGCTGCAGCACGACGTCAAGCTCCGTCCGTACCAGGAGAAGTCGCTTTCGAAGATGTTCGGCAACGGGCGCGCGCGCTCGGGCATCATCGTGCTGCCGTGCGGCGCGGGCAAGTCGCTGACGGGCATCGCGGCGGCGTCGCGGATCAAGAAGTCGTGCGTGGTGCTGTGCACGAACAACGTGTCGGTGGACCAGTGGTACGACGAGTTCTGCCGCTGGACGACGCTCAAGGGCACGCAGGGGCTCATTGCCAAGTTCACGTCCGACGAGAAGCAGTTCTTCCCGGGGCGCGCGGGCGTGCTGGTGACGACGTACTCGATGCTGACGGGCGCCGAGGGCCGCCGCGGCGAGGACACGCAGCGCATCATCGACAGGATCCGCGGCGTCGAGTGGGGGCTGCTGCTCATGGACGAGGTGCACGTGGCGCCGGCGAAGATGTTCCGGCGGGCGTTCGGGATCGTCAAGGCGCACTGCAAGCTCGGGCTGACGGCGACGCTGGTCCGCGAGGACGAGCACATCCGAGACCTGCACTTCCTAATTGGTCCGAAACTGTACGAGGCCAACTGGATGGACCTGGCCAGCGCGGGCCACATCGCGGACGTGGCGTGCATTGAGGTGTGGTGTCCGATGTCGAAGAGCTTCATGCGCGAGTACCTCAAGGCCCAGGGCAACAACGACCTGCGCAAGCTCCTCACAGGTGCGCAGTGCCATCGCTTGCGCAGACGACGCGCGCGCGTCCCCCGTCGCGGGCGAGCGCGGTGCACTGCCCGCGCGCACGACGGGACCGCTTGCCCCCGCGCGTGTACGGTGGTTCGTCGGACCGAACGTTGCGCGTCGTTGTTGTTGAGATAATAACTGCAGTGTTGAATCCGAACAAGTACAAGGTCGCGGAGTTCCTCAAGGTGTACCACTGCCAGCACGGGGACCGCGTGATCGTGTTCTGCGACGACCTCTTCGCGGTCAAGCACATGGCGCGCCTCCTGGGGATCCCCGCGGTCACCGGCGACACCTCCAACGCCGACCGCACGCGCATCCTGGGCCAGTTCCGCGCGGGGACGATCAACGTGGTGATCCTCTCGCGCGTCGGCGACAACTCGATCGACATCCCCGACGCGAACGTCATCGTGCAGGTCGCGTCGCACGGCGCGTCGCGCCGCCAGGAGGCGCAGCGTCTGGGGCGCATCCTGCGCCGTAAGGGAGGGTCGAGCAACAAGGCGTACTTCTACACGCTCGTGTCGCGGGACACGCGCGAGATGTTCTTCGCCGTCAAGCGCCAGCGGTTCCTCGTCAACCAGGGCTACGCGTACCAGGTCCTTCACCAAAATGACTTTGAGAAGTGGATCCAAAAGGAAATGGGAGAGAGGGCCAAGGAGACGCTGAAGACGCAGGAAATGGGCTTCGAGGACGAGCTGCTCAGGGAGGTCGTCGCGCCGTTCGTCGGGACGGCGCAGGGCGGCGAGGCCGGCGCGGGCGGCGTCAAGGCAAGTGTCGCTGCTGTGTCTCGCTCCGGCGACGCCCGCACGCGTCTCGCGAGCCGCGCGCTTGCTGACGGTGCTGATGGGTACAACGCTGTGTGCCGCAGGCGTCGCGGGCGGGCGGGGCCGCGGGGCGGCGGGAGGGGCGCACGATGGGCGCGCTCACGGGCGCCGACGACATGCACTACGCGGAGTTCAGCGGGGAGGGGCGCGGGCGCGGGCGCGGGCGCGGGCGGGGCCGCGGGCGCGGGGCGGAGAAGCCGAAGAAGAACACGTTCGAGGCCGCGATGCAGAAGCGCATGAACCAATACAAGCGCAAGATGTACGGGTGACTGTGCTGCGAGGGGCGCGACGGCGGTGGCGCGGCTGCGGACGTGTGATAGTTCGTAGGCGTGGCTCATTCCTCGCGCGATTCGGGACATCGCGGGGGCTGGCGCGGTGCGGTCGGGGGGCGGGTCAGCCCTCTCGGTGGACAGAGTGCGGTATTGCGCCAAGCAGCATCTGGGGACGGGATGCGGACATCCGCTTGCCACAGGGCGGCGAGATCGTCGTGCGAGCGACCGGCCACGGGGGTCGACCAGTTCCCCGATCCGCACCGCTCGCGTGTGCGGTGCCACGCGTGGGATAATGCTTGCTGTGTCACCCCCCCCGGCAACTCGCAGCGGAGGCGCTTCCGATGGCGAGTCAACACACCGCCCTGCCAAGCTGCGCCCTCACCACCGCAGTGCCCGCACAGCACTGCCGCCACGAGCTCTCCGCACCCCCACACCGCCGGCCCTCCTGTGGAAGGCTACCTGCAGATTGGTCCAGGCGCGCACGCCCGAATGACGCCGACGCACGTCGCGCGGGCCACCTTGTTCCACAGTGTTGTAACGTGACATGCTGTCGACGCCGCTGTTGTGAGCAATGCATCCGCCGTTTGCCGCAGCGGGGGCACGTCGAGCTGGCATGCGTACGAGCCCCGCGGCGGCGCAGCGAGGCGTCGATCTGACGTGGACGTGCATTGGAGGGGATGTGCTGTGCAGGTGCATCCGGGTCCGCGCTGACTCACTCGGTTCAAGAGCATGTCGAAGCCGGGCAGCTATGTGCCACCCTGGAAGCGCAAACAGCAGGAGAACCTCGAGCGCACGGCTGGGTACGCCGCCGATGGCCAGCGCGACCAGGCCGGCCCCTCCGACCTCGATCAGGTGCGCGCATCCCCGCACGCACACCGTCGAGCGACCCCATGCCGCGTCGCAGCTCGTCTGGTCACTGGATGCATGCAAGGAGCCCACGGGGGCGTCTGTGCACCCTGTGGACGACGTCTCTCGCTTGCCGCTGGCGGGGCCTGCGAGTCGCTGGCTGTAGGTACGGGCGAGGCGGCCAGGAACCGCACGTTCGTGTCGTTCATGACCGCGACGACGTGGGCGTTATGTGTGCAGACAATACCGGTCGGCGGCCCGGCCACGCCGGCCGAGCTGACCGAGCTGCTGCGTGTCGTGACAGAGGCGGCGGAGTCGCGCAGCCTGGACGAGCAGCTGCTGGGCACGGCGAAAGACGCAGTGTCCTCGTTCTTCGGAGATAAGAATAAGAATAAGAGCCTGCCCAACTCATTCGACCGCGAGGTCCGTCCCTGTGGCCCGAGCAGCGACGCACACAGCGGAGAGCCGCAGCACGCGGCTCGACCGGTCGCGTCAGTCTGCGCGCGACCGCAATTCACTGTGCGGTAGGTGCGTGCGAAGAATGTGGTGTTCGTCGTGGCTGGCCATGCAGGTGGAACGGGCCCTCGACGTCATGAACAGCGCGACGGGCGTTTCTGTGCAGCTGTGGAGCACGATGCTGTGGCTGCTCGGGTCCGCAGTGAAAAAGGAGTCGAAGGCTCTGTCGCTGGCGACGGTGCGGAAGGCGTCGATGGCGCTGACGAAGTTCGCTGCGCGCGCGGGCGACGCCAGCATGCAGCAGATGCATGACGCGGTCTACGGCATCAGGCGGCTGCTAGAGAGGGCAGAGATCCAGGACAGACGGGGCTTCATTTGGCAGGAGAACCAGGAGGACGCCGCAGCTGCGCTGGGGCGGGTCGCTGAGGTGTGTGCTGAACGGGCGGGTGAGACTTCGCTGATGATCGTCGAGGCTGCGCTCCGGCTGGTGACCAGGGTGCTGGAGAAGGGCGGCGAGGAGCTGCGGCTCAGCGCACAGCTGCAGAGTGCTTTCGGTGACCTGCTGGCGCACCTTGTCGAGCACGAGCAAGCGGGCGCGGAGCAGTACGTGGCGGCGATCTGGGCTGCCGGCACGGCCAGTGCAGCGGGCGCTACTCTACCTCCGGGCACAACAGAGACCGTGAAAAGGCTTGTGCAGAACATCAGGAACACGATCGGCACGTTCACGGACAGGAACGTCTCGGAGACGGTGATGGGCATCGGGAAGGTGTTTCGGTTCGCGGAGATTGACGAAGACACCGCCAGGGCCGTACGCGACATCACCGGCTGTCTGAAAGACACACAGTTTCGACGTCACAAGCAATACGGAATTTCCGTGTCCGGGAACGTTGTGGACTACCTCGATCCCGGGATCCTCTCACAGGCCATCTGGTCCATCGGCCGCATCGCCTCGACGCAAGAGGACGCTGCGGCCGCGCTGTGGTGGGAGCACGGACCAACACCGGAGATGGTGTTTGACCTGTTCGAGGCTCTCGGGGAGCGGCGGATGGACTTGGAGGCGCCGAAGCCCATCGTCGATGCCGTTTGGGCGATCGGCATCATCGCAGAGTGCGGGCTCGCATACGCCCCGAACGGCGACGGCTGGGTGCCGCCTCACAGGGTGGTGCGGGCTCTGAGGAACCTTCTGGACCGCTTCCTGGCCTTGGTCGCCCAGGCCAGAGAGAGTCAGCCGGCGTCAAGCGGTAGCATCCTGCTGGACGGCATCGCGATGTTCTGCTCCACTGGTGCGTGGACACTGGGGAAGGACGACTGCGCGGCGGTGTGCGGGGTCTTCAAGCTCTTGTCTCGGGATGCGGTGAGAGGCGGAGGGCCAAAGGAGTGGCAGATAACGCTGAGATCCGCAGGACGTCTGTGGGAAGATGCTGGGCACGCCTTCCAGCAAGCATCGAGCGGCAAGCTTCCCGACTGCGCTGACCTTGCGACGCATGTGCATGACATTGCGCAGCGCCTCCTGGCCTCGATCGATGTTGCGGACGTCGGCGAAAGATGGGGCCAGCTACATAGAACTTTCGTGAACAGCCGTGGGCTGCATCCGGAGGTCCTGGCTCAAGCTTTCGGGGAACCCATCAGGGAGACTGTCGAGGAGTGCATCCGAAAGATCAAAATCCGATCCCTTGGCGGGAACGTGCCCCCTCACTGAGCGCAATAGCTCGGCTCACGACGGTGGTGCGTTACCCGGATTCGCAAGCAATGCTGGGTCTATCAAGGGCCGTGAGCAGCTGGGAATACAATATATTGTTCAGCGCCCTGTGAGTCATGCCACTCTGGCTGGTAAGCAGGGATGCCGCCTGCCACGATCATTGCCTTGCGCTTTCGCCCGGCAACCTGTCAATTGTCCCAGCCCTGCCAACAACGCCCCCCTCGATGCCGCATGCGGTTGCGTGTCGCACCTGCTTGCTGCTCGCGGCCCCGCCGAAGGTACGAGCCCCTGCCGCCGCCAGTGGCCGAGCGGCTCGCACGACCGGCGTCTCCGGCACCGTGGCCGCGGTGCCGCGCTCTCAGGCGCCAATGTCGTGACAGGCGCACCCTGACTATGGCCGCAGAGGGCTCCTCGGGCCCCCGATCGCTTCACGGGGGCGCGCAGCGACTCCTCGGTGGCACGTCAGAGTCCTCAGCTCATCCACACCGTGAGTTTATATCCTCAGCCCCCTCCTCGGCCACGCCAGGACCTGTCACTTTTCTATAGCGACTGTTTCTCACGCGCAGCACCGGCGCTGTACATCCGGGAGCTGTCGGGGGAAGGCGTATAACGCAAGGAAGGATTCGTCGGGCCTTGAACCGTCATTGGCGCGCGGGGCTGTGCGTGGCAGGAACGAACCTAGTGGCTCTGGGCGGAGGCGAGGCCCGTGGCCACGGTCGCTCGCGCGGCGGCGGGACGAGATGTTGCATCTAGCCTATTACATCGTGATGTTCGCGTGCCATCTAGGACTGATCGGCATGAACATGTGGGCCTTGTTCCAGGTGCGCGCCCGGTCTCTGCCCTGGGCTCCCAAACAGCGCCCTGCCATGCAGCGGAGCCCCGAGTCCCGCATACAAAGCCCGCTCCCGCCATCCAACACTATCAGCGGTGCCGGAGCGCCCGAGACATCACGTCGTGAAGGCCGTGGGAAGCGGCCCAGGACCCAGCGCACAAACTGCGCCCAGCTTGTCGCCGTCTGCATGCATCCGGGCCGCGTAAGACGATCCCCTGCGACGCGCACGCGTACCTTACGTACCCATGCCTCACGCGCGCTGCTGCTACGGTCCGTGCGTGCAGGCACGGCGGCTGCAGCAGGACCGGATCAACCCGCACGACTTTGCGTCGAAACTGAACGCCCTCGTCGTCCCGGAGCACATGTTCCAGCTCGCGACGACGATCATGCTGTGGGCGAAGGGCCACTACTTGCTCGCCATCCCCGCCTGCTTCGTCACCTGGACGCACGTCCGACAACACATGCGCGGCGACGCGTGGCTCTCCCCGACAGGCACGCGCCCGCGGCCCGACGCGCACGCACGCGCAGCACGCACCTCGCGTGTGTCGGCGCCGTCCCCGCGCCAGCCGATCGCAGAACGCACAAATAGTGCCCATGCGTTGCCGCTCATGCGTCGCGGCGTGTCGCTGCCGTCCGACCGCGTCCCTGCTCTCCCCGCCGCCCCCGCGCAGACGCCTTCACGCGCACGAAGCCCATCCAGGCCGGCCGGGGCATCAAGCAGCTGCTGTACGTCTGGTCGATGGTGGCTGTGTTATACCTCCTCGCCGAGGACGGCGTCAAGGACCTGGTCGGGTGGATGCACGGGTACCGCGAGAAAGTACCGTACCGCTTCAGCCCAGACTTCCAGCACCTCTAGCAGGCAGCCCCGCACCACCCGTGACACCCCCTTCGTCACCGTGTTACACCACACACCGCTGTCGCACCCATCGAAAGTCTGCCGCTTCTGCGTGGACGTGGCGGCATCGCCCGCCCCGGAGGACCTCCGCCACCTGCTGCTGGACTGCTGCGCCCCGGCGGTATGCTCTCTCCGGGAACGAGCGGGCCTGGCCATGGACTCGTCTGGGCAGCTCACGCTACCACCTCCGCCCGCTGCCGATGCGCCCCTGTCGTCCACGGCAACTGTTGGACAGCGCCGCCGCTTCGCTCTCAACCGCCGGCTACGCCAGCACCTCGAGGACCTGCACGGCGCTGCAACACTCGACTCGGAAGCCGCTGCCAACGCTGCAGTGCGTTATCTTCTGAACCTGCCGAATCAGCGAGGCGTGGCGATCTTTGCTCGTGGCATCGAGGATCTGTTCCAGGCTGACTCTGTCACAGCTGCCGAACCTGTTGCTACCATAACGGTGGGGGGTTAGCATGACTCGCCACCTAGTCGAATGATCTTTTCAGGTCCCAAAGCCTTGGCTGACGACGCGAAGAATGTGACACCTCACCTCACCTCACCCCCTAGCTCTTCTTGGGCCGTGCCGGCGGCGGCGGCATGTCAACGCCCGAGTGGGGCTGCGGCGGCGCCTGCGTCTGCGCCAGCTCGCAGCCGGGGCAGTTGTGCCCCTTGTCGTGAATCAGCTCGTCGCAGTCCATGCAGAACCGCTGTCGGCATTCTGGGCACTCTGCGGCCACGTCAGTCGTGATGCCGAGCCCCGCCGCCCGCCCGGCCCCGTCGGCCTCCGTGCGGAACAGCCGCTGCTCGCAGCCGAAGCACCGAGGGGGGGTGTCGCCGCCAGTCCCCCCCTCGACAGCGTCGCGCGGAACGTCCCGGAACGGCTGGACGGGGAAAAGGTGGTGGTAGGACTTGGCGAGGTGCGGCGAGGACATGAGCGTGATGCCGCAGACGTGGCACTGGCACGGCAGCGACTGGACCCGCGCGCAGCACTGTGGGCACTTGCACCCCCCCGGGGCAATGATGCACTCCGGGCCGAGGAACGAGACGGCGCTGAGCCCGAGGCGCTGCGAGGGGAAGCCCATCTGGACGAGCGAGGCCGGGGCCTGGCGCTGCGTCGCGGCGGGCGGCTGGCAGTGCGACAGGACCGCATCGGTGAGCTGCGCCTCGGAGGCGTGGACGGTGTAGGTGCCGCTGGTGGCGTCCGCGATCTTGCGCAGGACGCGGACCTCGCCGCCGACGCCGACGACGCTGACGCGGATCTTCTCGCGCTTCACGACCTCCAGGGTCTCGAAAATGTCGCCTGCGAGGCAGTCGAGAATCCAGGGTTGTCGAATCACGCCAGTCCCATGGCTGACCGCCCTGCCCGCGGCGCGAGGCTGCTGCTTGGAGGCCTGCGCGTACCTGCGTCCTGCGTCCCGAGCGACGACAGCAGCAGCAGGCACTCGCGCAGCCCGTACACGGGCATCGACGACAGCGCAGCGACAGTCGCGTCGAGCGCGGTCTGCGCCGACAAGCGCCCCCCTGGCCGGTCCGACAGCGCCTTCTGCAGCGCCGCTTCCAACGCCGACGGGCTGCTGCTCAGCTCCAGCACCCTGCGCTCCAAAAAAACCACAACGCCACAAACCACCATTCTGTCCCTGTCCCGCGCGGTCGGCGGCCCCGCGCGGGCGGCCGGGCACAGCGCAACGCGGCCGCACCTCTTCGTCTCCCGGTCCCGCGCGATCATCAGTCCGAGCTGCGACAGGGGGTTGAGCTCGAAGAACTGCCGCGCAAAGCGCGTGAGCGCCTCCTTGAAGATCTGCGCGCGCGGCTGCCGCATGTCGGTCTGCGTCGCGGCCTCCGAGAGGTCGAAGACCACGACGACGTACCGGATCATGCCGCGCCGGACGCGAGACAGGCGCTGCTGGTGCGCGAGGCGCTGCCGCTTGGCCTGCCGCTCCGCGGTGGCGGAGGTCAACACGAGGTTGCCGTGCGCGTCCTCCGCGAGCTCCTCATACGCATGGTGCTGGTCGTACCGCCGCTCCCACGCCCGGATCTGCTCCAGGGCCTCTTCGGCCTCGACTTCGTTGCCGTCGTCGGACCCGCCGTCGTCGCCGTCCCAGGGCTTCTTCCTGCGCGGCATCCGGCCGGGATACAGCGCGTGGACGTGAGACAGGGTGGCGTCCTGCGAGGTGCGTGGTCGTCGTGGCGACGGAGGCCGCGGTGGAGGCGGTGCGCGCGTGCAAAGAGGGGTGCTCTTGATCCATCCCCGCGGCTTGCAGACCGGGAATGACGGGATGATTCGATTTGCTTGGTGATGCGCACCCGTTCTTCGTCGAGTCAATCTCCATGTTGGCGCCCCTCCTCTTCCAGCTGACTCGGCAGCCCCGCCTTCTAAGCTAACAGAAGCCTCCGCATGCGCCCACCGCGCCCCTAGCCGTCACCTGGGCTTCCCCGTGCGAGACACCCCGCTACTGGTGGTGGTGAAGGCAGTGCTTATCTCCTTTGCGAGCGCGCACTTCGGCTGCCTCCGTGGTTCCCTGCTATCGAGTCTAGCACTTGCTTCGCCTCGCGGTCACTATTCCAGGCCACAATTCGGGACGCGAAGGGACTGGAGCGTGGTGCTGCGCGTCGCGGGCCTCGCCCTGCGCTCACGAGGCCCCTGGGCCCGCCCTCACGCACCGCGACGCCCCTCACTCCCCGGAGCACTCCCAGCGGACCCTGCACGGCCGCCGCCGTCTCGACCGGCCCGCGTGCGTGCCGCGGTCAGTTCCCAGCAGCACGATGAGCGCCTCCATGACGACGTTGCGCCCCCACACGCCCGCACGGGCAGCGTGCCGAGCCCCCATCAAGCTCTCCAGAGCCTCGCCAGCCACGCACAGTGCCGCAGTCGCGCGCGTGGCTGTGCGCCCGCGCCCAGGCGCATCACATCGTGCTCACCGGTGTCGCGCGTCCAGCAGCAGCGACCGTCCCGTCTACCAGGGCAGGCAAGCTGCGCTTCAACCCAGACAGTGCATCGCCGTCCTTGGCAATCGAAGCCGCACTCCGTCACATCGAACCTCGGTTCCATTCCTTTGGAAGCGCTCTCTGCGCTCCGCGGCGCGTTCGGAGCGCCCGGCCGCGCCTCACAACACCAGGGGCGACGCCCGTGTGCTGCAGGTTTGGGGAGTGGAGCGTCGACAGCACGGACGTCCTCGAGGTCAACGGCTACAGGGCCAGCCTCAACCTAGCCTGCGCGTGCGCCATCGTCCAGGCGCTGCGGCCCTTCGTTCCCGAAGGTTCGGGCCTTGCGCAGTTCCTCGCAAACACGCAGGACATTGAGGCCTTCGTGGGGACCTCAGGTGCGCGGCACAGCCAGCAACTCACGCAGCACACGCACCGCCTCCCAGGCAACGTTCGGACCACGTGGTTTCTGCGCCGAAGAGCCGCGGACCGTCCTGCGTTGCAGCGAGGCGTTTCTCATCATTGTTTTCCGTCTCTGCTCGTCACCGCAGCCCTGGGCGTCGCGCTGCTCCTCATCCACGTCTACGTCACGCCGCTGAAGCGCGCCATCCAAGTCATGTGCCTCGCGGGCCTCGCGGGCGGCGCCTACCTGGCAGCCACGCACGAGGGGCACGTGGTCGACTTTGTCGCGTCACACCCCTGGGGGGTCTGGTTCGTCGGCCCGGCGTTCGCCGCCTTCACGGGCGTCGCGCTGAAGGAAGGATTCTGCTACGGCAAGGCGGAGTGCGGCGCCCTGACTCTCCTGACTCCGGTCCTCCTCCTCGGACACCTGTCAGGCCTCGCGCCCGCGAACGTGGAGTCCGCGGAGCTGGCGCTGTGGGCGGGGCTGCTCGCGGTGTTCGCGGGGCGCAAGTGGACGCAGCGGATCGAGGACGACATTGGCGACAAGAGCATTTTTGAGTTCATGAAGTTGCCGGAGGAGGAGCAGGAGCGGCGGCTGCGGGGGTCCGGGGCGGACGACTGGTGAGCGAGGGCGCGCGGCGCTGCGGCGGCACGTGGCGGTGCTGTGGACGTGAGGCGGGGTGGGTGGGAGGCTGTATGTAGGGGGAGTTGGTGGGGGGAGTGGTGCCATGTGTGAGACACGTGTTCGAGGTTGGGTGGGGGGCGGACGGGGTGATTGGCGGAGCTGAGCGGCTGCTGCCGAGGCATTGGCTCGGAACGGCGGCTCGTTGCTGGGCTCGGCGGGCAGAATGAATAGAAGCAAGGTTTGGTGGCCGGTGTTGGTGTTGGTGGTGGGGATGTGGCGACCGGTGGCGGGGCAGCCGTGGGGGCGGACGACGTACGCGTACCAGGAGCCGCGCGGGGTCAGGGGGAGTAGTTTCGGTCTCGGCGCGGAGCAGGGTGCGGGCACAGGACCACGTGCTGCTTCTGGGCCGCTTGTCCTGCATGTGGAAGCTCGCAACGCCGATCGAGCGCGATCCTGGACGTCCTGCAGTCTCGAATCCGGGGTACTACGGCCCGTGGCTGCCGTCCTGGTACGGATTCGACGGCTACATTGACGAGCGATGTGCAGCGGGCGGCAGGTGGTGGCCGTACGGAGCGGGAGGCTGCGTTGCGGTGCGAACTGCCCTGGCGCGCCTCACACTGCGAGCGCAAGGCACCTGCTCAACGACCTATGCACAAATCACGAGAATCTTTTCGTCGTTTGCATCTCCTATTTCAGACGGGACGCAACACGGTGGAGAAGTCGCGCAGGACGTGCCTGAGCACGCGCTGCTGCCGCTTCGTGCGCGGCGTCACGGGCCTGAACTTCAACCTCGTGTGCGGCACCGGCCGCGGGGCCACGATCGAGGCCCAGCGCGACGCCCGCGCCGCCATCCTGGACGACGCCCTCGGGCTGTCGAACGACGAGCAGTTCATCCGCATCGCCGCCGACCGCGTCCTGGTGTGACGCGTGCTCGCCTCGCGGCGTCGCAGCGCATTCGGCGCTGCGGCGCGCCGTGTGACGTGGCGGTGCGCGCTCCTCCTATGTACAAGCATTTGCCACGTCACGTCTCCTGTTGCGGCGCGGCACGGCACGCTCCGTCCGCCTCGCTCCGCCGGTTAAGCAGCCGCCGCTTCAGCGGCCGACGCAGCCGGCTTGGGTTCGCGGCAAGATATGACGAACGCCCCGCGTTCGTAGTCACCCTCAACTGATCACCACCCACTTGCCTCGCGGAGACACGAGCAGGCCGAGGACGCCCCACACCAGCGCGGCGGCGAGGACGAGCAGCGCCAGCGTCGACACCCCCAGCGACGCTCCGGAGAACGTCAGTCCTCCCAGGGTAACTGACGACTCGAAGAACGACTCGAACGCATTCAACTCCGGGTCCGCGTCCGAGTCCCCCTCCGCCTGCGCCGCGGGCGGCGTCGTCGCCGTCGGCGCCGGGAACGGCTCGGCGTCCTGCGGCAGCGCCGTGCTGTTGGCTGCAGCGTCGATCGCGGCCGACGTCGACGCCGCGGTCAGCGCCGACCCGTCCGACGACCCGCTCGCCGTCGACGTCACGAGCGGGTTGTACTGCTGCGTCGACGCGACGGACCACCGCGCGAGCCTGTCCAGGAGGCCCTCCCCCGTCTGCCCGCGCTCCTCGTCAGGCTGGTTCAGCGCCGCGGCACGTGCGGCAACCACCGCAGCTTGCTGCGCCGCCGAGGTCTGCGCCGCCGTCGCCGCGAGCTGTCGGCTCCCCTGCGTCTTCTGGGCCGCCTGCGCCATGCGCCGCGCCGCGCTGGCCGCCGCGGTGGCAACGCCTGTCAGGCCGGAGTCGGATGTGAGCTCCGCGGAGCCCGAGGCCGGCGCGCAGATCTCCGCCCACGCGCTGACGACGATCGCGCCGGCCTGGTCCGAGCGGAGCGGGTCCGTGAGGGCCAGCGCGATCAGCGTGATCGCGTTGTGGGCGGATGCCTCGGCCCAGGCATGCCACTCGTATTGCGCGTTGCCGGAGCCGGCCTGCGCGATGACGTCCTGCCCCGCAGCTGCAGGAACAGAGAGCCGGCTCGCTCCGGGGTCACGGCGGGAGGTGTGCGTGGGCAGGGATCAATTCGTGCGCGCTGGAGATCATGAAACAATACGTGCGCTCCAGCGAATCGTGCATCTGGCGGACCTTGCAGAATGTCGAATGTGAACCTCCGTGCGAGCTTCCCCAGCGGCTTGTCGAGCCCCAGGCAGGCCACGACGCGTGTGGCGGCGGCGGTGTCCGACACAGTGGGGTTGGAACCCGGGCCCGCCGCGATAGCGACCAGGAGCGTCGTCAGCGGAGAAACGATCGGCGTCGAGCCCGAGCTCGGCAGCGGGGCGCGGAGGTGGTACGTAGGGGAGGTGCGGGAGAACGCCCCCACGCAAGGCGTGCAGAACGACGCCGCCGCCACGCCGTTCGGGCACGGCATCGCCACCGTGCTCACGGCACGCGTCTGCAACGCACCGATAGAACTCGCAGTCAGTATGAATTGGGATACGATCCAGCTACAACCCTCAAAAGAGTGGAGCGACATGCAGGGCCTGCGAACACATGACGCTGTCGAGCGTCAGCAAGATGCACGCGCATGCGCACCGCAGCCGCATGCGCGTGGTTCATCGCCATCACGTACCCTGTCGTTGATGGTGAAGTCGAAGCTGCCCGTCTGGCGGTTCGACACCGACAGCGCCCCGCTCTCCTCCGTCTCGGTGAACCCCAGAGTGCCGTCGCCGTCGGTGTCCGCGTACACGGGGCAGCGCGAACCGTAGTCCACGCCCATGAGGACCGTCCCCGTCGCGGACCCCCCCGCCGGCAGCGTCGTCGCCGCCGCGGGGGTGTTCGTTGGCGTCGACGCAGCCAAACAGATCCCCGAGACCGGGCTGCAGGAGAAGAACCCGTCCGACGCGCAGGAGACCTCGTTGCACGCGTCCAGCGAGCAGTCGTCCCCGCGCTTCCCCGCGAAGCACCCGCACTTGCCGTCCACGCACACCCCGTTGCCGCTGCAGTCCCCAGGGCAGTTGAGCGAGTTGCACACGTCGTCGGGGTTCGGACACGGCCCGAACGTGCCGCTCTCGAAGCCGAGGTTCAGCGACTGGAGATCCACGACGCTCCCGGCCGGACACGTGAACTCGGTGCCGAGCATCGACACAAGAAGCGTCCAGGGCTGCGTGCCCGACGTCCGCGTGCACCGGACGTTCACGCACTCCGCGCCGTCGTACTCGAGCGTGAACCGCACGTTCGAGCCGCCCTGCTGAACCACGCGCTGGAACGTGCCAGACCGCGGGATGCAGCGCGCCCCGGGACCGTACGCGGCGCCCATGACGACGGCGACGTCGGACGCGGCGAGGTTGGACGCGACCTGGCACTGCCGGTTGGTGAAGGGCTGCACTGCCGCGCAGGGCGCGCCGAGCGAGAGCTCCGTGCAGGACCCGAACCCTCGTCCGTCGAACTCGCACTGTGCCTGCGCCGGGAGGAGGGCAACACACAAGGAGAGCTTGAGAGCGGGGCGGGAGAAACCATGGTTGGAAAGAGAGCGTTCGCTGATGACTGCCTTGGCCCGACGCTCCGTGATCTCTGAGTCGTGGCCTGTGAGCAATTGTTCTTTGTTTGATGTCTCAACGTAGCACACCTGTGTATTTGAAGCGTCGCAGAACTCGGCGCTTCCGCCCCCGCAGCTCTGCGACAGGAACGTGCAGCCCCTGAAGCGGCCCCACGCTATCCGCGGGACGTTGTCGAACTCAACCGCGTACCACCCCGTGTCCTCGAGCAACGCCCCCGTCAACCGCGACAGCAGCTGCCGGTGCACCGTCGTCACGCCGGCCATGAGCTCCCCGCGCGCGAGCGTCTGCTCCCAGTGCGACCCCGCCGTCCCGGTGCCCCCCGAGTTCTCCAGGTCCATCGCGTCCAGCTGCGCGCGCGCAATCCACACGTTGCGTCATACCATGTCGAGTCAACAAAAACACCCCCGCTCAGGTCGGCGCGCGGCAGCGCTCTGCGCAGAGCGTATGTGTCGCACCTGGTCGCACCCGTAGTGCTCGCGTGCCTCCTGCACCACGCGCGGAGTGATGATGGCGGACACCGTCCCCGACCCGACAGTGCGGTCCGCGACCACGCCCGCCCGCCCGCGCGGCTGGCCAGTCGCGGGGTCCACGAAGTGCTCGAAGAGCGAGGGGCTCATCGCGAGCCCGTGGAGCAGCTCGTGCACCGTCGTGTCGATCGTTTGCTCCACATTCTGCACCCACCACACAAACAACACCAGGACAAAGGTGATTGTTTTCCGAACGACCTGCACGGGCACAACCGTTCAGGAACCACGCGCAGGTGTGGTCCCGGCCGCCGAGATGCGTCGGGGGGGAGTCCGCACGTTGCTAATGGTAGAAACTTGTCCCGGACAGTAATTCGCGAACCCGCACAGCGGCCGGCCGTTGCCCGCGAGGTCGCGCTCGCACCAGCCGCCGACGGCGACGGTCGCGGCGGACGAGCACAGCGTGTTGCCTTCCAAGTCGTCATTCCTCGATGTCACGTACAAAATAAAGTCCGCATTCGGGACCCCGGGGCCGCCCTGCAGCGTCGTGCACGTGCCGAGGCCGTCGCAGGTCGTGGAGTCCCCGAAGAAGGTCGCGTTGTGCGCCGCGACCACGCAGTCGCCGATCGGGAACGCCTCGCGGCACGTGCCGTCGCCGACGTTGGTGGTACGGCACTTGCGCTGGAGCTTCAGGTTGCCCTCGACGGGGCTGCGGACCGCCACGACGCGCCGCAGGGCCGCGATCGCGGACGGGATGACGCGGGTCTCGAGCAGCTGCGGAGGGCACGGGCGCACGTGCGCGGTGCATGACGGCGAGCGCTGAGCACGTGCCGCTACAGGGGCGCCAGGAACCGCGCAAATCGGGGCAGCGGCACGAGGACCATGAAGCGCGCTGGCAAGTCGCATCCACGGCGTCGACATTGCTCTTCCAAAGGAGTGGAGCCCGTGGATGGATCCCTGCTGTTGTTGCAGCACTGTTCACGGCCTTGTGCGGGCGCGTCGGGCGCTTCTCGAGTGAGGCCTTTTGCGAGCGGTTGGTTTGCCATTGCTGAGTGCTCACCTGCTGGACGCTTGCCGCGAGGCCCGACGTCTGGTGCTCGACGTGGACGCGGAGGGGCGCGCTCTGGGCGGTCTGGGCGCGCCGCTCCTTGACGGGGGCCGCGGGGACGCCGTTGAGGGACGCCTCGACCTCTCTCGTCGCGGGAGGCCTGTCGCGCTCCCGTTGTGCAATGAGCGACTCGACGCGGTCATGCGCGCATGAGTGCGCTACGCTGCCAGCATGCCCCGCAGCGCCTGCACACGAGCTCCGGGCCGCAACGAGGTGTTCCACGTCGAAGCATGCGAGATGGACAGCGGTGCTGGCCGAATGCACGCGGATGGAAGGGGGATTTCGGGGCCGTGGAGGGCCGAGAACGTGTCATTCAGCGCTGTGGAGTGGAAGTGCCTCTCACCTGGCACGGTGCTGAGGAGGAGCGACACCGCAAGGAAGAGCAGCATGTATGAAACGCTGCATGCTCGCCCCGCGCTTCCTTCCATCCTACCCTCGAGACGAGCCGAAGGCTCAAGTTGGACCAGGGGCCGCTAACGGTGCAGCGCGTCGCCCATGGCGGGAAGGTAAAGGTAAACTAGATCGCTATTGAACGCCAAGCCGTGTCAGCTTCGTCGTTGCCGCGGGAAAGTTCGAAGTGACGCGGGTGTGAGGTGCTTGCTAGTTCCAAGGCCCCTCCGGCGACTGGCAATCAGGCAAGCGGCCTAGTATTGCACGCGGCTCTCGTGTCAGTGGCGTGGTAATGCGGACGCGACTGCCGCGGGGCCCCGGGCGCCGCGTCCCATCGCCCCGCTGGTGACACCCTGGCGGCGTGTCACAGCACACCCCGGGTGCCAGCCAGGCTGAGCCTGCGCGGCGAGCCCGCCTTCAGAGCGCTGTGCTGCGTCGCAGACAGGGCACGTTCGCATGTCCGCGCACCGATAAGTCGAGACGGCGACCGTGACCGAGGGCTCGGGGTCATTTCTTCCTGTCTTGCTTCCCTGGACGCGTCTGGTTGGGCGCTGCGGCAATACGAAGCGCCAACGCTCCCTCGGCGATACGATGAGCTTCGTCAGGCCGCGCTGAGTGGCGTTTGTCTGTCGAGCGTCAGCTTCACACGGGGCTCGGAGCATCAGTGCCTGCACCAGCGGCGAAATGGACGTTGTAGAGGAGCAGTTCCGGAAGGACGCGCTTGGAGAAGGCAGGCATCAGGATAAAGAACGCGTCAGGAAGGCGGCTTACCTGCAGGAGCAGGAGGACAGGGCGGTACGTGCGCTTGCAGCTGCCAAGGTCCGCGAGCTCTCCGACGACGACGAAGCGCAGCGCTGCGACGGCCAGCAGGTCCACGCGAGCCTCGACACCAGCCCAGAGGTCCAGCGCCGTGTCGCCGACGAAGCAGCGGCCGCCGTCGCCACCCTGTCAGACGGGGAACTCCTCACGTCCGCTGCGGGCTTGCTGCAAGTCCAGCTCGGGCCAACTCCGTGGCGCACGGTCCGCCTCCGTCTCACGTTCCCCCCCGGCTACCCGGTGAGCCCGGGCAGCTGCCTGGCGGTGGACCTGGCGTCCGCGGAGGGCTGCGTGCACCCAGCGCCGCTGGCGCGGTTGCGGGAGGCGGTGGCGAGGGACTGCCGCGGCCGTCCGCCGGGGGAGCAGGCCGTGCCGGCGATCGCGCTCGTCCGCAAGTTCGTCGAGAAGAACACGCTGCTACCGGCCTTTGAAGACATCGATGCAATCAAGAAGTTGTTGAGGCGAGTTATACTCATATACTCCCCCCCTGCTGGCTGCCTGCGCGTGGGCCCAAGCGTGCGCCGGTCTCTTCCTCGTCGCAGGCCCGCGCCTCCGTGCCCTGGTTCTAGTCGCTCTCCCCCTTTCGATCGCTCGGCACCAACGAACGCAGCGCGTGGTGATCACCACGCAGGGAGAAGGGCGTCGGGGAGGTCGTCGAGACCTCGGACCGGAAGGGAACGGTGCGAATACGCTTCGCGTCCGGGCGGTACTCGGCCCACCTCGTGTGCCGCGTCGGCGAGCGCTACCCCGAGGGCGCGCCGAGCCTGGAGTTCACTAATGACGGCAACTTTCCCGCGGGCCTCGCCGACGCCGCGATCGTCGCGGCGCGGGAGCAGGCGAAGCGGCTCGCGGAGCCGCCCTCGGCCGCCGCCGGGGGGCCGCTGCTGGCGGCGCGCGAGGGCGCGGGCACAGGCAACAAGGAGCGCTCGAGACACGCGCGACAACAAACCTTCCACAGCGCGCAGACCGCGAACAAGCTCGCGGAGACCGCCGCGGAAGCGGCGGCGCGCCTCGAAGCTGAACGCAAGCGGAAGATCGCGGAATTCAAGCCAGCGCGGAGCCTATTCCCGGCAGTACACCGCCTGGTCGAATGCTTCGTCGAACCGCTCGCGAAAGGTGCGGGCTGCGCTGCAAGTGGTCCGCGGAGGCGGGCGCCCGGGCGTGCGCGTTTGCCGCAGCGGCTGAGCGGTGGTGGCGGTGCGCGGTGTGGTGCGCAGGTTGCTGCGAGATCTGCGGAAAGCGGCTGCTCCCGGAGGACCCCGCGAAGGCCAAGGCGGCGCGCGCGGAGCGGCTGATGTGCGGGCACCACTTCCACTTTGGCTGCCTCGAGAAGTACGTCTCTGAGCCTCCGTTCGACAAGGTGAGGCGCGCCCGACACCGCTACGTAGAAATCATCACCCCCCCTCGCTCAGGAGGCTGCCGAGACGAGGAGCGAGCCTCTGCGTGTCTGTCTGCATTCCTCGTTCTCTGTGTCGAGGCTCGGCGTCAGGGCTGACGGCGCGCGTCGGTGTTGCGGCGGCGCAGGGGTGCAAGGTGTGCGGGGAGCAGGTGGTGCACGCGAGGCTGACGACGAACAAAAAGGTGCTCGAGGAGCGCTGGGCCGCGAAGAAGATGCGGGAGCGAGAGATCTCCGACGTCATGGACATGTTCTAGGCGCAGGAGCGTGTGAGGCTGGGACGGTTCAAACACGAGCATTGTTTTGATACACTTGTCTGTTGGATGGTGCATAGGTGGTGCGCGCGTGACATGCGCGACCAGCCTCGGTGCGGCTGCTGTGCGCACGAGCCAGCGCCGGAGTGGCAAGCAACGATTGCGCTCAGCGCCAGGCTGGCGCGGGGGGGGGAGGGGTTGTCGCTCGTGTGAGACGCGCTCCGCCTGACCAGGTCAGGAACGTGGTCCGCGCCCTCACTGGCGCTCGGGAGCCTGCACCGCGTGCATTCGGCGTAGCTCGCGCGCGAACTGGCAGGCAGGCCGACGACTTCGGAACGCGCGCGAACGTCAGTGCGGCGCTGCAAGGTCCGTTGCGGGCCCGGGCGACGCGCAGCCGGTCGCAGACGGCGCGGGACGCGTTTCCAGCGTCGTACAGGGACGCGCGTCCTCTGCCTGCGCGGGCAAGACCAACAGGCGCTCGAGCGCCAGCGAGCGGTAAGGCCCGCACGCAGCACGCTGCTGAGAGAGAGCGCTGGGGGGCTGAGCGCGGCGACGGAACCGCCGCTTGCCGGCTCCGCTCGCCCACGAATGGCCTTGATAGCAGTGACGCCAGCGGAGCCCGCCATGTTGGCTGATACGCCGCGAGGTCTGCGAGGTCGCGCGACTCGGTTGAATCCAAGGCAGGGGCGCTTTTCGCTCTGTTTCCCCGCAGGTGCACGACAGGCGGCCCGCCTTGCATCCGGCGCGGTCTCTTCATCATGTCGGACTCTGACGACGTTCAGCTCGCCGGAAACGCGGCGGGGGCTGCCGGGGAGGGCGCTGGAGACGGCTGCCTGAACGCGAAGAGCCGCAACGGCGGCACGGGCGCCGGAGGTGGCCATGCGGACGACGCCCCGGCGCCGTCGAAGGCGCATGCGGCCGGAGATCAGGTGCGTGCGGCGTCGGTGCGCCCACATGGCCAGATCTGTGTTGACCTGGAGGGACGTTGGCAGCCGCCCGGCGAAGTTCCCGCCGTACATTTCGCGCGCTTCCGCGCGCCGTAGACGCACCTCCTGCGGACTTCGCGCCACGACGTTCGGCCTCTGGTCCGTTCGGGCCCCTCAGCACACCGCACCGCTACCTCTATTGCCCGCTCAGCAGTCCCCGATTTCAACCTCCATGGCGCCCGCGATGCCATGCGTCAGCTGCACGCCACGCAGCACCACCACGCAGCCCTCTCCCATTGCCGGCCCGGCCGCCCCGCCTCCGCCCCGCGGCGCCGCAGCGGGGCGCCGGACCAGCGCTCGCACACACATTGCCCGCGCCCCGCGCGCCCCGGCACGATTCCGCGCCGCATTTCCGCCCGCGCGCCGCAGACTCGCCCAAGGCCCGCCCGGCGCCCTCCGTCCCACGACGACAACAGCGACGGCGGGACGTCCTCTGAGGACGACTTTGGCGTCATACGCCCCGGCGACTCCCCCGGCCGGGGCGGGGGCCGCGGCCGCGGCCGCGGCCGGGGTCGCGGCCGGGGTCGCGGCTCGCAGGCGGACCGGCTGCGCGAGGCAGCGGGCGAGATCGTGTCGGGGTCGCGTCTGCGGCAGCGCAACCAGCGCGTGCAGTACTACTTGGACGAGGACGAGATCGATTTCTCGGATACCTCGGAGGAGCGGCCGAAGCCGAAGAAGCGGCGGACGGCGTTCGGCGAGGGCCCGCCCCGGCCGGCCACGAAGTCGAAGGGGCCGACGCTGATGACGGTGGTCACGGACGACGGCAAGGTGATCAAGGCGAAGAAGGACACGGGGAAGAACAAGCTGCTCTTCCTCGACGGCGGCCTCCAGGACGGCCTCGAGGTCTGCATCAAGCAATCCAAGGCTCTGGTGAGTGGAGGGGTTGCTGTTGCAAGTCGCACTCGTGGCGTGCCACGCACCGGCGCGAGGCTCCGCTTCTTGTTCGCGCTGCGCCACCAGCGCGGCGCCGTGACCCCGTGCGCGCCGCGCGTGCGTCGCAGGGCGGGGGCATCCTGAACGGCGTGGTGCGCAACTCCGGGGAGCTGCGCGGGATCCTGTGCGCTCACTGCAACGAGGTGATCTCGCCCTCGCTGTTCGAGGAGCACGCGGGGCGCGGCTCGTGCCGGCAGCCGTACATGAACATCCGCGACAAGCAGGGCAACACGCTTTCCAAGCTCGGCGAGATGCTCAACGTCAACCAGGGCACGGAGATCGAGGGCCAGACGTTCGGGTGCGCGCTGTGCCCGCCGACGAGCGAGGAGCGCATGAGCTTCACCGCGGCCGATGACGGCTTCGACGAGAAGACCGCGCTGCTCTGCGACATGTGCGACCGGTAAGAGCCCAACACACCCCCCCCCTCCTCCCTCCTGAGCCGCCGCAACGTCACGACGGCGCCGAGTGGGGTTCGCGCGGCCGCGGGTTCCGACTGCGTGCGTCGGCGTCGCGTTGCCGCGCAGGGAGTTCCACGTCGGGTGTTTGGCCCGGGAGCACGGGCTGCACTACACGGCGCTGCCGGAGGGGGAGTGGTTTTGTCCCGCCACGTGCCGCGAGGTGGCGAAGAAGATGGCCGCGCTGGTCGCGCAGGGCGAGCAGTTCGTCAAGGTCAAGGGCCCGAAGGACGCCGACGGCGAGGAGTTCGTGGAGACGCTCGACGGGTACACGTGCCGCGTGTTGCAGGGGCGGGGCGAGGGCGGCACGGAGGGGGAGCTGGAGGAGGCGGAGAACGTGCTGGAGGAGGCGTTCGGGGACCTGGCGCTCATGCGCGGCCACGGAGGCCTCCTGCGGCTCGTGGTGCGCGCCGAGAGCCTCGGCGACGGCGCGGACTCGAACCTGCCGATGAACGGGGACTACCGGGCGGTGTACACGTACGTCCTGAAGCACGAGGGCGAGCCCGGACGCCGCCACCCCGTGGGCGTGGCGGCGTTCCGGCTGCGCGGCAACGCGCAGGCCGAGATGTCGATCCTCACGGTGCCCGCTTCGATGCGCGGGAACGGCCACGGCAGGTGCGGAACGCACGCGCACGTTCGCGGCGTGCGCGCTGTTCGCCATCGTTTTCGCGGGCGCTGCTGAGCGTTCGGGCGTGTGTTTGCGAGCGAACGCAGGGTGCTGCTGCGAGCCTTGGAGGAGCTGATGCTGACGGTGGGCGTGCGGCGCATGCTGGTGCCGACGGAGTTCGACAAGATCGCGAAGTGGGTCATTTCGTACGGGTTCGACTGCGTGTCGAACGAGGAGCTCAAGCAGATGCTGGGCAAGTACGAGATATACTTTCCGTTCGACAACATGCACTGGATGTTCCGGGAGCCGGTCCCGGGCGGGTACGTCCCGGGCCACCGCGACGACACGGACGTGCGGCTGAGCATCTCGCGCGTGGTGGACAACAAGCCGCCCGTGTTCGGGCGCAAGCGCAAGGGCGACGACGAGGACGACATCTTCGCCGACGTGGAGTACGGGTGCTGCCTGTGCCCGACGAAGGAGGAGGCCGCGCGGTTCTCGTCCGAGGGCTTCACCGACGACACGGTGCTCATCTGCGACGAGTGCGACCGCGAGTTCCACGTGGGCTGTCTGCGCACCAAGCACGGGGAGCACATCAACAAGGAGCCGAAGGGTGAGTGGGTGTGCCCGTGCGGGTGCCGGCAGGTCAAGGCGGTGATGGAGGGCATCGTGAAGCGCGGCGAGCGGCCCGTGGGCAACCCGTGGACGCTCCGGCAGTGGCGCGTGATGCGGCCGCGCGGCGAGGGCGCGGACGGGTGCGGGTGGGACGTCGACGAGGCGCTGGCGATCATCGAGGACGGGTTCGGGAACATCGAGCTCGGGAGCAAGAAGAAGAACCGCGTCAGCATCCTCGAGAGCCTGGTGCGCGGGGAGCACAGCGAGGAGGCCGACGTCAGCTTCAAGAGCTTCTACACGGCGCTGCTGCGGCACGACGGCGACCCCGTGGCCGCGGCGTCCTTCCGGCTCTTCTCCAAGGACCTCGCGGAGATCGTGGCGCTCGCCGTGCCGCGCGACTGCCGCAAGATGGGCCACGGCAAGGCGCTGCTCGGCGCGCTCGAGGAGCTCTTCGCCAGCCTGGAGATCAAGGACGTCGTGCTGCCCGTGCCGGGCAAGTCGCGGAGGAAGATGGTCAAGCACTTTGGCATGAAGGAGCTTGGAATCGAGGACTTCAAGAGCCAGTATTTGTCGCGGTTCCGCTTCCTGCCGGTCAGCAACGCGTGCTGGATGCACTTCCACCCCGAGGGCGCGGCCGCGGGCGGCGCGGGCGGCGACGACAACGCGATGGACGTCGACGGCGCCGCCGCCGCGCCGGAGCACGCGGACGCCGCCGCCACGCAGCTGCAGACGTACTACTACGAGGAGGACGAGGCGGACTTGGATCCGGAGGTGACAGGCGGGCACTGGCCGCTGATTCCGTTCGTGCCGCGCCCCCCGAAGGAGGCCCCCGAGGTGGCGCTGGCGGACAGCCACGTGCGCACCAACATGACGATCCTCCTCAAGGGGGCGCCGCACTACATCAACCTGAAGGCGCTGTTCCCGCAGATGGTGTGGGTGCTCCAGCGCGTGCTCACCGCGCACATGGGCATCCCCGCGGAGCTCCTGCGCGCCCCGCGGCTGTACCTGCTGCGGCACGTGCTGCTGTACTTCACCAGGGAGGTCGACGAGGGCGAGCTGCTGGGCAACTGGCGGCGCCGCCTGGCCTACATCGAGGACCTGCGGCGGAACGACCGCCCGCTGACGGAGGCCGAGTTCAGTCGCACCTTCCAGCGCGTGGGCGCCAACTACGACATCTGCGACGCGCTGAAGGAGGTGCGTGCGCGACGGGCAGCGACGCGCCGTGCATTTTGGGCTCGTGGGCGCGTTGGGGAGCCCGCACGCGTGTCGCGGCGCCGCCGCGTGCTTGCGTACTGCCACGCTGCGTGCAATCCGCTTTTCTGTGTCCCTGCAGTCGCCCTACGCGTTCGCGCTGAGGCTCACGGCTGTGCGTGCTGTGTGTGTGCTTCTGCAGATCGTCGTGCGTCGCGGGAAGGACCCGTGGCCGGGCGTGCGGTTCTGCAACGCAGCAGACACGCAGGCGCGCAGCATGCTGCGCTTCGTGGGCGACATCCTCCGGCCCGACGGCCACAAGAACAACCGCACCAACGCCTGCGGCAACGACGTCGACAAGCTCGAGGCCCTCGTCACCGAGGTCGCCGCCGAGCACAACATCACTCCCCTCCAGGACGGGGAAGAGGCCGCCGTGCCGCCGCCGTTCGTCCTGCGGGACTGGGCACAGGTCGCGCGCGAAGCAGACGAGCGCATGGCGGGGCTCGGGGAACTCGCCGACCAGTGGTACGGGTCAGACATGAGCGAGTATGACTCAGAAGAGGACGCCGACGACGACGACGACAACAACGACGGATTCGAAATGGTCCCGCGCGCAGCACCGCCGCAGCCGCCGCCGCCCGCCGCCGCGCCGCAACCGCGCCCGCCGCAGCCCGCGGCCGCCCCAGCGGCCGTCGCAGCGCCAAGCGCCCCGCGACCGCAGCCCGTCGCGCCCCCTGCGCGATCGCTGGCGCCGGCGCCGGCGCCCCCCGCGCCGGTGAAGCTCGGGGACATCCCGCCTGCCGGCTACAACGAGGACGTGATGGCGAAGGACACGGCGGTGATCAAGGCGCTGAATGACCTCATTTCCTTGGGCAAGTGCGTGCCACGTGGCGTGGAGGAACTCCGGAACCACCTGAAGGAGCGCGTGATGGCACACCTTGCGCGCCTGTGACGGCGGCGCGACGTGTGCGCCGGGATCGCCGGCGGAGGTGCGCCGGTGGACAGGGATGGAAAGTCGGAATAGGATGTGACTGTGAGTCTGTGCAGGGCGTTGTGACTGTCTCGGTGCCTTGCGGGTCGCCCCGTGGTGCTGCAGTCCGCGGCGCGCGGCTGGCGCAGCTCGCCTAGTCGGACAGGGGGAGGGGGGAGTTTTGCGATGGCAGTCGGACACAGGTCTCGCGCCGCGGTGCGATGGTCCGGGGCATCAGGTGCTCGCGGCGGCGCGTCGGTGCATGCTGCCTTGTCGCTTCGCTCGACTCTGCGCACGCGAGCGCCGCGGCGGACGCGTCGAAAGTGCGTCGTAGGCAGAGTGTGCGAACGTCGCGCCCCGCAGCGAGCGGTCGCGGAGCAGCTCTCTAGATGTACCGTGGACGCTTGATACGGTAGCGATGCCATCGCCCGCGGACGCACCGGGCGCATGGTCTCCGTTCGGGGACGCGGGGGCGACGCGCACGCCTGCACCCCCGCCCCCGCACTCACCGCCCGAGGCGAAGTCGCAGGGCCGCGCGGGGAGGCCGCGGTTCGGCTCGAAGCTGTTCTCGAAGGCGTCCGGGGAGAACACGCCGAGGGCGTCCCCGAAACATGGCAGGAGCACGTCGCTTCTCCCGGGAGGGAAGGAGCCCGAGGCGCGCACAGCGACGCGGGGAAAGCACGTACGTCACGTCACGATGGATGTCATCAACACGCCGGGCCCCTCGAGCGTCTCCGCCGAAGAAAAAGACAAAGGTGCGTGCAAGGGCCGCTGGTCCAGCTCTGCAAAAAAGTCACCTCGCGCAGCGCACCGCGACGCCCGCGTGCGCCTGCGCCAACGCGCCCGGTTAGGCAATCCTCGCATCTTTCCTGTAAGCGCCGTCCGGAGCTCCGTCCGCGTACGCTGACGACGTGCACCGCGACGCGCGCCGTGCGCCGCAGGGGAGCAGAGAAGCGTGCTCGCGAAGCTCAAGATGCTCGCTTCGACGAAGTCCGCGCGCCACTTCAAACGCTCACATACCGGTGGCGACACCCCGCTCCGCGCGACCGCGGTTGAGCCCCAGGACGCCCCGCGCAGCGACCACCCGGCTGCACCCGACGCGTCTGCGCGCCTCCACGCCACAGCGGGGCACGCCAGGCGCGGGCGGCAGCTCTTCCAGGACGACGGTCCCGCCCCGGCCATCGTCGCGGACAAGTCCGGCAAAATGGTCGGCTCGACTTCGTCGCAGGTGGAGGTCTTTGAATCTCGATCTCTGGATGCACCGTCCTTCGTGGAAGCGCACGTGTCGCAGATGGACGAGGCGGCGGTGCGGCGCTGGGTTGCGGAGCTGGACAAGCTCCGCGAGCACTGCGCGGCCGAAATGCACCGCACGACGCGCAGCCACTACACTGCTTTCATGGAACTGTCCTCGCGGGTGGCGTCGATGGAGGCGGGCACGAAGACGCTGCGGACGCTGCTGCGGTCGACCACGGACGTCGTGCAGCGCCTGCACGACCTCGCGCGGTCGGTGCCGAGCGAGGGCGGCGCGCACACGAGGCGGGCGGAGGCGTTGCATGCGTCGGTGGGGGGGTCGGTGCATGAGACCACCCCGGACCCGAGGGAACAACGAGTGCGCGCGGAGCTCAACGAGTCCGAGAACGCCGTCATCGAGGGGCGCATCACGGACGCAGCAGCGCACGTGGCGGCCGCGCAGCGCGAGCTTGACGTTGCCGCAGTGGGTCGGGGGGCGCCGCCAGGAGGGCGCGCGAGCCGCGGCGAGGCGCAGGAGCCCGCGGACGACCTCGGCGCAGAAGTGGAGAAGGCTGCGGCGGAGCTGCAGCGGCTTTTGCGCGCGGAGTTCTCCTACACGCTCGCGACAGATGACCAGCTCATTGAAATGCTGCTGGCGCTGTCCTCGCTGCGGGGGAAGGCCGAGGCGCTGCAGGACTTCCTGGCTGCGCTCCAGGAGAAGATGATGGTGCGGGCCCGGCGTCGAAAACACGCTCGGTCTCCATGCGCGCACGCCCTCTGTCTTCCGACGTGTCCCGCAACCCCATCCTCCCTGCCTGCCCCCGCAGGCGCGAAAGGGTCCGCTCATGACGAAGAATGCTGGGCTTCTGCCCGACGAGCAGGCCATGTCGGTCTGCCACCTGCACTTTTGCACGATCGCGCGCTGCGTGGACATCACGTTCGAGGCGTTCGGGGACGACGTGGTCGCGTCGGCCGTGCTCGTCGCGTGGGCCGAGGAGCTCGCGCGGTCCCTCGGCCGCACCGTCGAGACCGACGTCATCGTGCAGTTCGGTCAGCCGGTGACGCTCCCCCAAGCCGGCACGTGCGCGGCGGTGGTGCGCGAGTACTGCCGCCTGCTCGAGCACTCCCGCTCGCTCGCGGTCGCGCACACCGCGATGCCCCCCGTGCGCGCGGGCCTCCTCGGCGCCGTCGAGGCGCACCGGGCGTCGCTCCAGCAAGCGATGTCAGCTGCCACGTCAGGGCTGCCGTTCGCGAAGCGCCTGGGGGTGATCGCGGAGGAGGCGCGCAGGGAGGGTCCGCCGGAGGAAGGAGCGGCGGCGGTCGCTCCGCTGACCGTCGCTGCGCAGTGGTTCCTGGTCGAATGTAGAAAAATTATCAACGCGTAAGTGTCCCTCGTGCAATACGTCCATCATGGCGGCTGCGTTGATGTGCTTTGCGATTCGGGCACCGCACAGCGCGGATCGGTCACTCCTCGCAAGCTTCCGCCGCGTTGCGCAGGTGTGCGTGGACTGCCGACGCCAACATGGCCCGACGCATCGGGGGGGTACTCGGAGACCTTTTTGCAAGTTACGCCGAGACGCTCGTCGCGGCGCTGTGCCCCGCGGGCTCGGATCAGAAGCCCGAGGACGCGGCGGCCGGCCGGCCCGCCGAGCGATCGCCGCTGTCGGTCAGACAGACCGAGTACAACGCCGCCGAGGCCCTGGTGTGGGACGCGCTGCCGACGGCGTTCCTGCCGCTCGACGACCTCTCCGTCGGCGCGATCGGCGAGGCCCGCCTGCTGGACGTCGTGGACCACTTGGCCGAGTGTCTCGAGGTCGTGACGACCAGCGAGGGGCCGTACAACAGCGGGCGGTCGTGAAAAGGCCGCGTGTTGTTGTTGCGGTCGCGACGGTGCGAGCTCGCGGCTCACAGCAAGTCGATGACGACGTGGACGATACGCCGTGCTTGTGTTGGCGACTTCTAGTGTGACAACTTTAGATAAGGTTTCACGAGTGAGAGAAACAACCATAAGTTCGCGTCTCAAGCCAAATTTAGCTACCGGCCAAGCAGCTCTCCGACCCACGTGCGCGAGCACACCGCCTCGAGCGCCGCCTCCCCCTCCCCGACCCCCGTGCTCCCCCCCACCACGCGTCCCCGCACCATGAGCGCGTGCATCGCAACTCGTGGCGATCCCCGGGCCCCTTCGTGATCCCAAGCGAGCTCTCCGGGGACGTTCTTCCACCACTGCACGATCCACACGCCCGGTCCGAGCGGCCTGACGAACCCGGCGCAGCCGCCGAACAGCGGGGGGGGGTGTGACGGCGGACCCGGCCACCGCCCACGCACCATCTGTGGGAGGTCCTCGGCCGACATCGCGCCGTGCCCCGGCACCGGTTCGACGTCGAGTCTGCGGACCATGCGACGGTGTGAAATTGCGGTTGAACGCGCCGTTGGCTCCCCAGAGGGGCGGTTGTGCATGTTGAGAGAGAGACGCGGGGGGGGGCGGCGCGCACCTTGCTTCCGCCAGCGCGCCGCTGACCGGGTTGGCCGCCGGCTCGAGGTCTACGGAGAAGTACGCGGGCAGGCATGCGTCCCCCACGGCCCCGAACCTCGTCGCAATTCGCCCGAAGGACTGTCCGCTCTGCGGGCTGCTGAACATCGCCACCTGCGCACGGGACGCGGCGCGCGCGCGAACGTGACGGCAGCAGCCGGCTTCCACTTCCACGGGCAGGCGTGCTCCACGACGCGGGTGCGGCCGGCGCTACGTGCCACAAACAAGATTGCACACCTGGAAGCGGCCACGCGCCGGCATGAGCGCCAGGGGCGTAGGGGAGCCGGCCAGGCACTCCCAGAGCACGATTCCGTCGTCTTCTGTCCAGGGAAGGTCGTCGCCGACGCCACCCCACGTGCCCAGCACGGCGATCTGCTCCGAGGGGGGGGCGTCACGCAACTCCCCCGCGAGCCGCCAGAGCACGCCCAGGTCCTTCGCCGACAGGTACTGCGCCATCAGCTGCCTCTCCTCCGCCGAGAGCGCGGCGATGCGCTTCCACCCCTCGATGGCCCTGCGTGATGTCCGCACACGCACTCTGGCTCGTGTGGCTGGCGCCGCAAACGGGACGACGACTCGGCGGCACGCGTGACTGGGACGAGGCTGCAGTGCACAGGCATCTTGATCCATCGCGCGACGCGGGAACACGCTTGGTGGCGCGGGGGGGCTGCAAGCTGCTTCTCCGCGCTCACCTGTTCGCGTCTTCGGTCAGGATGGCCTCGAACGACGTGGCGAGGAAGTTCGCAGCATGTTGCGCTCGCCGGCCGGAGTCGGCGGCGCTGAGCAAGCCCGAGGCCAGCTCCCGGACGGCTCTCGTCAGTGGTGCAACTGCCTCGCTCGCGGGCGGCTCGGGGTCGCCTGGCGCGGCGGTCCCCGAGCCAGTGGCACTCCGCCTCGAGAAGACCGCGTGGGCCCGCCGGGCGCTCTGTCTCCCAGGCCTGCCGCGCGACGTCCTCACAGGGGACGCCGGCAACAGGCAGCCGACACAGCCGGCACGCGCGCCCGTCATCGCGAATATCCACACCGGGCCGCAGCTCGCGAGCTAGACGGTGCAACGCCGTACAGATACGCCGGTATCAGCCGCGCTCAACGCCTCGCGGGAGCACTGGTGCATCTTGTACGTCGCGGATCGCCGCTTTCAATCAATAACTGCAGGGCTTGAGCGGCTGGGGGTGCCCGCGGCGGTCCCCGGGAATCTCGCAGGAGGGACTTGCTGCCCTCAGACGCGCAACATCGCGAGCGGGCCGATTAGAATACAATAGGATGGAGGAGACGGCGACGGGGGCGTTCGACGTGTACGTTCGCGGAGCCCCTCTGAGCTGCGGTTTCTCGCCCCGAACAAAGTGTCGCGCACTCGGGGGCCAGATTTGCATCGTGCGGCGCAGCGCGGACCCGACTCTGAAGAGACCTCCGAGGCCTCGTGCGCAGCGCAGTCGTTCTCGTCGCGTGCGTTTGTCCGCGCGTGCGCTCACCCGCGCCATTCGAGAACAGGCAGCGACCTCGTCCGGGTTGCCACTGCGACGACGACTGCACCCGAGCTGCCGAGGCACGCGGGCACTACCCGATAGTACCGTGTCTCGACGAGGGGCAGGACACCTGCGTGCGAGATAATGAATCGAATCTCCCACTAGTTCGCTCGCATTGAGTGATAACACATCTCCTGCGCGCGCCGCGCCGCGCCGCTCGGACTAGAGCGATGGGAGGAAGGCTCGTACGCGGCAGCGTGATTGGGGCGGCCTGGCCCGCGCTCCTGCTACTGCACGTCCTCCTGTTCGCCTCGAGGGTCTCAGGTGAGCGGCCACCGCGCCAAACACGGTTCCTTCAACGTCACACGCGCCTGCCAACACTGCGGCTAGGCACCATGCCTCTCCGTCGTGATGGCGGGAAGATTGCCCTGCGTGCGGAGCCGGAGCGAACCGGCGTGAAGTGGATGGCTCGCGAGCGACGGCCGCGTCGTCTGAAGCGCACGGAAAGGCTCTTGCGCCAGAGGGGCAGGGCAAGATTCGCCGTGCCTGCACGAGCGCCAGGCCCCGAAGGCCCCGACGCGCAGCCGCGCTCGCGTGTTGAACTGCAGGTCAAGACAGCGTCACGGCCGGGCTGCAGACGGGCGACCCCGATGCGTGCGAGGTGCGCATCGACCCTGCCCCTGGCTCACACCCAGCTGCCTGCCCCACGGATCCGCCGGAGCGGCTTGATGCCGGGAAATTAAGCGTCTACGACCTCTATCGCGCGTAACGAGAGCATGCATCTCCCTCTCGGGTCCACATACGCGACGCGATAGCGTGCGTGGCACCTCTGTGGGTTCTCCGGGCTGCCCCGCGTAACCAGCCGGCGAGTTCGCTATCTTCGCGCGCAGGTGTTCCTTGCATCAACTGGAGTCGCGACTTTGGGCCTCCCCAGCACCGCCCTGCCCCCCGGGACCCCGCAGTGGGACCCACTGAGCATCATTCGGGCCTGGTACCAACAAAACCTCGCGGTACGCAACCATCCCTGCCGCACTGACTTCCTCCGTGACCAACGGTGCTCGCCGCGAGCACCGCCCACGCCGCACGCCCTCCGATCCGCCCTGCGTCGCCACCCTAGCCAGCACGCACCACTGCTGGTGCCCCGTGCGACAGTCTGTCGCGGGCATCCCGCGGCGCCGGTCCCCGCCGTGCCTCTACGCGACCCACCAGGGCGCATCGCGACCGACGAGCGCCCTCCTGAGCGCAGGGCAAGGAGTACGTGATCTTTGGCAACCGGCAGTTCCCGGGCGCCGAGAACGCCGTCCTGAAGACCACCTTGGACGACCTCGTGGTGCAGCTCGACCGCACGCTGCAGCAGAACGCGCAGGTCTGCGACCAGGCCTGCCAGGCGTCCCAGCGCGCGGCCCTGCAGTCGCTCTATGTGGCGACCAACGGCCCCGCGTGGGGCAACCAGGTCATGAGCCGCATCTGGGCCTCCGACGTCCACCACTGCTGCTGGCCCGGCGTCCTCTGCTGCTCGGCGTCGCAAACCATCCCCGCCTTCGAGCTCGACGGTGAGACCCCCCCCCGCAAGACACCGCCTCGCAGGAAGTCTGGGTGATTCTGCGCACGGTGACGACCTGTTTCCGCGTGCCTTGCCCCGCAGCGGACGGCAACGTCGTGGGCGTCGGGGACTCGCGCGACCGTGGCTTCGCGTGCGTGCAGCGCGGGGGCGTCGTGGGCCTGGACGTGTCGCGGGCGCGCTTCGGCCCGGGGACCACGGCGCAGCCCGGCGGGACGATCCCGCCCGGCGTCTTCTCGGCCCTGAAGTCGTCGCTCGAGTACGTGGCCCTCCAAGGCCTTGGCCTCGAGGGCCCCGTGCCCGACGACATTATTTCCGCGCGCCTGTTGCGGTCCGTGTTTCTGGGCCAGAACAGGCTGACGGGGCAGCTCCCGGACTCGGCGGGCCAGGGCGCCGTCCTCGACACCGGCGACCCCGGCTGGGGGCTGCACGCGCTCCTCACGCGCTTTGACGTCAGCGGCAACCTGCTGTCGGGGCCAATGCCCAACAGCTTCAACGTGAGTTCCCGGCCAGCCCTGTCTGATCACCTCAAGTGTCCACGCTCGCTGTAGCTTCGCGCTGGCCGCATGCGCTGCTGTGCCGGCCTGTTCCTTGACGCGTGCGTCGACTCCTGGTGTGGATGGCTGCGCAGTTCTTGATCAGCGCCGTGCGGATCGCGGCGAAGGGCAACGCCTTCACGAGCCTCCCGAGCCTGATCGTGCTGCTCCCGAACCTCCTCTCCCTCGACGTCGACAGCAACAGGCTGTCGGGCTCCTTCTACAACCCCCCCTTCACACTAGACACGTACGCCTCCGCGGGCTCCGTCGGAGACGGCTTCCGCAGCATCGAACGCATTGACCTCCGCGGCAACCAGCTCGGCGGGACCATCCCGATCCAGGTCGCCGAGCTGCGCTTCCGCAACATTGACCTGGGCAACAACCTGCTCGAGGGGTCGCTCCCAGCGGCCATCGGCGCCGCGCCGACGGTCCGCGTCATCCGCGTGGACCGCAACCGCCTCTCCGGCAGCCTCCCGGACCCGCTCACGGAGTGGCCTCTCGAGGAGATAGACATCGGGTTCAACCAAGGAATCCTAGGAACCTTTCCTCTGTCGCTCACGGCGATCGAGACGCTCGAGGTGATCCGCGTGCCCAGCACGAACCTCTTCGGGCCGCTCCCGGCGTCCCTCGGGCGCCTGGGCCGCCTCAGGGTGCTCGACATTCGCGGCACGTTGATGACCCACAACTTGACGGACCGCAACTCGCGCGGAGAGCTGCTGCCGGAGTACATGCGGTTCTCGACGGCCGACGTGGACTTGGTGCCGGCGCCGCTCGGGGTCCCGGGGGCGTCGCTGAGCATCTGCCCGAAGGTGGAGTGGATCGCGGCCCGCACGGCGCAGGACCGCAACGACACGTGCTCGCCGGAGGGGCTGTTCGGGAACCGCCGGTCGCTGTGCAGCGGCTCGGCCGAGGCCACCGTGTCGCCGCTGTACTTCCACTTCGAAGGCTGCTTCTGCCCACCGGGCACTGAAGTGCGCACGATGCCCTTTCCGGAAATCGAGCGGGTCAGGTTCAACGAAGCACGCGACGCGCCAGGTACACATCACGCGCCCGCGCAAGTCAGCAGATGTCGCGCGCTCGCTGCTGTGCTGCGCGACGCGACAGGAGCGCTGAGCGCCCTGCGATGCTGTGTTCTACGTGCGCAGAGTGGGGGGACAGCGAGCGCTTCGAGCGCGACTTCGTGCCGGCGACTGTCCCGGTGTGCTTCCCGGAGTCGGCAGGGGGGGGCTTCCCGACCTGGGCCATCGTGCTCGTCAGCTGCATGGCCCCGGCGCTCGTCATCCTGGCGGCCCTGATCCTCGGTGCGCTCCTGGAACCAACGACGCAACGCTGCAGCCCCGTGTCCCGTGCCTGAGCTCGCAAGCGTGATGCAGCACGTCCAGGGTGTACTCGCAGCTCTCTCTCACCCCCCCCCCTCCACGGCACACTGCCGTCGATGGTCCGTGGGCGCCTGCGCCCGGTTCGTGTCCGCTCACGCCCCCGCGCCTCCTCGCTGTCCATCTCTCCGCAGTTGTGGGCTTCTTCATGCGCAAGACCATCGCGCGCGCGCTCCTCGACTATCGCAAGCGCCAGGGCCCCCCCTCGAGCGGGAAGGACGTCACCCTCGTGCTCACCGACGTCGCGGACTCGACCAACCTCTGGGAGGAGAAGCCGATCGAGATGTCGCGCGCGAACGCCCTCCACGACGCCATCTTCCGCAAGAACATGCCGCACTGGCACGGCTACGAAGTCACCACCGAGGGTGACGCCTTCCTCGTGGCCTTCCACGAACCGGCGGACGCGATCGGGTGGTGCATCTGCGTGCAGCAGGAGCTGCAGGCCGCGGACTGGCCGGCGCTCATCGCCCCGAAGGTCGTTCCGCGCCCCCGGCGGCCTGCGCGCAAGACGATCCTGGTCGGGCAGGGGGGGTCGTCGACGACCCTCACCACGTTCGGCATGGCGGCCAAGTCGCAGGCCGGCGACGACGGCTCGCGCGGGAAGGAGTCCAGGGCCGCGCGGAAGATGCGGGAGAGCTCGCCCGGGTTCGGCGCGAGCAACAACGCCCCCCGAGAGCCCCTGCAGCGCGGGCTCCAGACCCCCCGCAGCGCGTGCCAGGGCGAGTCGCCGGAAGGCACGCCCGCGAACTCCGCCCGCCCGGACTTCGACCCGAGCGCGAACACCGCCCCCGGCGAGTACAGCCGCAGCAACAACGTCTCGATGTCTCAGAGCGCCGTCCACGACAGCGGCACGGGCTCAGAGCTCATGGACGAGCCCCCGGACGACGGCAAGCGGTTCTTCCGCGGGCTGCTGGTCCGCATGGCCGTCGCGACGGGCCCCGTGGAGCGCACGCGCGTGCACCGCGTGACGCGGCGGCTGAAGTACTCGGGGCCGTGCATGGAGCTGGTCACTGCCCTGCAGGACGAGGCGCAGGGCGGGCAGATCCTGATCGACACGCGCTCGCGCGAGATCCTCCAGCGCGGGTCCGACCAGCACCTGTTCAAGCAGCTGAAGAACACGAAGCCGTCGAAGCTGCTCTGGTCCTTCTTCGAACACCTGCGCGCCGGCGTGCTGCAGCTCCCGGCCGGGCCGCTCGCAAGTGCGCTGACGTCGGGCGGGAAGAGGCGCAACCGCCGCACGAGCGCCGCGGTGAGCCGGCCCCCGATCGCCCCCGGGGCGCGCGTCAACGCCAAGGGGGGGGGTCTCTACCCAGAACAGAGCCACTTCTCCATTTCGGGCATGGCCCCCGTGCGCGAGGTCGTCGGCACCGGGAACTCGGACGTCCGCATCTCCCTGGACCTCACCGAGCTGCAGAAAGCGCGCGCGAGCCAGCCTGTCGACCCAGTGCGGGACATGGGCGCGAGCAACGACGTCGCGTCGCGAACGGCGTCGCAGGCCTTCGTCCCGGACCTCAACGACCTCGGCGACGAGCGCTTCCTCGCGAACGGCCGCGCGGTGCCCGGCATCATCGCCGCCATCACCGGCCGCGCGAAGAAGGACGCATGGTCCGCACCGGGGCAGTGGCTCGACGTGTGCGGGGGCACCATCATGCTCCTCGACATGGGCGTGTCGCGGCTGAAGCCGACGATCAAGCCGAACCACGTGTTCCAGGTCCTGCCCCCCGGCCTCGAGGAGCGCTCGAGGTACTTCAAGCCTCTCGGCAACATCCTCTCGCCAGGCTTCTTCCAGGCTCCCGGGACGACGCACGCGCCGCTCGTGCCGGACCAGAGCCTCTGCCCGCACCACATCACGTATAGCGAGTGCACGTCCGGCTGCGCGCCCGAGATCAAGCCCCTCCCTGACGTGACGATTGTCTTTTGCACCCCCACGAAAGTCGACGAGCTCTTCGCGGACTGCCGCGGCGCAATGAACTCCGCGCTGCGCCTCTACGAGTCCGCCGTGCGCCGCACGCTGCCCCGCTTCAACGGCTACGAGTGCCAGGAGCTCGACGGCGCCTTTATGATCGCCTTTCACACGCTGGCTGATGCGTACCTGTGGGCGCTGTCCCTCCAGGCGCTGCTGCCGTCGATGCCGTGGCCGCAGAAGCTGCTGCAGAGCAAGTGGGCTGCGCCCATGCCCCCGCGCACCCTCGGCGGCAGCGCGCTGCCGGGCGGCCTGCGGGTCAAGGTCGGCGTGTGCGAGGGCAAGCCCATCAAGGTGACGCCGCACCCCGGGACGGGCCGCGCGGACTACTTCGGGCCGCTCGTCAACCGCGCGGCGCGGCTGTGCTTCGCGGCGGCGCGGCCCGGGCAGATCGTCGGGCCCATTGACCAGATGAGTCGGGCGCTGGCGACGCTGGCGCTGACCTGCGACCACGGCGGGAACTTCGCCAGCATGGAGCGGCCGGTGGTCCCGGCGCACGCCGCGGCGAGTGCCCTTCGGCCGTCGCGGTCGCGCGCGAGCAGCCGGGCGGACGTGTGGCCGGACATGCCGTCGCTGCTGCGCATGCACACGTCGCAGGATGACGAACTGCTGGCGATGTGCGGGCCCGAGCTTCGCAGCGCCGTCGACGCGCAGATGGAGCTCTACACAGCCGCGGTCGCCTCCGAGATCCGCCAGACGTCGGCCTCGGCCTTCGCGGCGCGTCAAACGGCTCTGTCGCAGCGAATGGACCTCCCGGGGTCATCCTTCCACGGCAGCGCGCACGTGCCTTCGGCCCCAGGGGCGCGCGAGAGCATGTGCGGTGCGTCGCACCGCGAGGCGCCACTCCGCGACGCGTCCTCGTCGCCGGGGGAGAAGCAGGCGGAGGCGGGGCAGCACGTGTCCTTCGCGGGCGACCACCCCCCGCCGTCTTCGATCGGCCCGCCGCGCAAGACGCGTTCGTCCGCGGCGCAGGCCCTGGCCCACCGACAGGTGCACAGCAAGCGACAGCGCGGCGCGAGTATCGACGTCCACGGCAGCTTCCGCCACAGGCTGCCTTTCGCGATCACAGAGGAGTCCAACGAGGGGGAGTCCGGGGACTTCGAGCCGCTGGAGGGGGCTGGTTCTGGTCCTCGGTCGCCGCTGCGGGTCCTGGTCGCTGGTGCGAGCGAGAAGCGTGCGCGGCGAGCCATGGCGCTGTCGCCGGTGCAAAAGAGCCCCAGCCGCCTGTCTGCCCGACAGGGCATCGCCGCCAGGGCTGCCCCGAGCCCCGCGACCCCGACTGGCACGCCCAAGCCCGGACAGTCGTCTGCGGTGGAGCCCCATGCACCATCCAATCGAGACGACCATGAGCTGGTGCGCGCCCCCGTGCTCAACTCAGTAATGAGCGGCAGCGAGTCGGACGACGAGGTCGGCAGCGTGATCGACAGGCGCGTGCTGCGGCGGATGGGCAGGGTCAGACGCCAGGTGTGGAAGTGGGGCTTCATTCGCCGCACCGTGCGGGTGGACCACATCGGCCGCTACCGCCTGAAGGGCGTGCAGGGCGAGTTTGAGCTCGCTTCGCTGTGCCAGGAACGGTACAACTACGAGGATGCCAGCACGGCGCAAGGCGCAGCGGGGCGCAAGGGCACCATGCTGGCGCCGCCGCTGGGGCTCATCCTCGCGGCAACGGCGAACATGCCGTGCGCGACGATGATCCAAGACGGGCGCGGGAGCAACGGCCATGACCGCGAGTCCAGGACGTCGGACGTGCTGTCGGACTCGGAGGCGGAACAGCCGGAGACACCCCGCGGTGTCGACACCGACGGGATTCCCCCCCAGGATCCTCTGCGGTCCGGGGCATCCGCGGACTCGCTGAAGTTCGTGGAGTGAGGTGTCTTTGTGCGCGCGACTGCCAGCGCATGGCACGTCACCGGCGCCGTATTCGTCATTTCGATCTTCGGGGCACCAAGCTTCGAGCACGATCGTCCCCCTGTGGTGCGGTAGCCGTGTCATAGGACAACGGCTCCTCACCTGCCTCTCTATTAGCCACTCTGCCCGTGCCTTGCCCGCGAGGGCAGGTCTCGGAGCATAGATGGCGTTGTGGGCACGTCGACTGTTGTGCGTTGCCGATGTCGCACAGGCAGGCACAGACAATGGTCGGCGCATCCAACCGCGCGATTTCACTGCGATCGTGCACGCGCACAGGCCTGAGTCCTCTCCCGACCCCCTGGGAAAGTGCTCGAGCATCACCCAATTATTGACAACTAGCTACTTTCGTCGATGCGTCGGTCACGCGACCCCGCCCTCCTGCTCTTGCCCTTGCTCTCGCTCCCCCCTCCCCCCCTCCCCCCCTCACGCCGGCCTGTCCAGACCGTAGCCCAGTTGCTCCCTGCAGGCCAGGCCAGGCCTTGCTCCCTCACGCTTGTCATGCAATCCTTTCTACAGATCTCGGTCTCAGGTTCCAGGATCTCGTACACCACAGATAGACTACCCCGCGCTCCCCCTGGGTGAGTGCATCATGGAAAGAACTATTAGCATGACCAAAGGTCATGTGAAGCAATCGTGACTTTCGATTCGTCCGGAATCGCCTACTGTCATGGAATCGAGCGACGCGTCCGCGGGACGGCAAGTTTCTCTCGGCTTCATTTCACTGATTACACGTCACCTCACCTCAGTTCACTCCTCAACAGCAGTGATAGGCGTGGTGCGCCATCTGACTCTTTCTGTCTCCCCCCTCGCACCAGTCTCACTCCCTCCCGGCGTCGTCGCGGACCTCAGAAACGAGCCGCGCGAGCCCGTCCGCGTGCACCGCCTCGACCACCGCACACACCTTGCCCACCAGATACGACACCTCCAGCAGGGGCCGCAGCAGCGCGGACGACTTCACGCGCTCCAGCAGGCCCGCCGCTGCCGTGACCGCCTTGTGCGTCGCCTCCCGCTGGGCCTGGCTCAGGACCGTCCGCGGCTGAGCGGCAGACCCCCCCACCCCTGGCCCGCGCACCCCGCTCCGCAGCTCCATCGGGACCTCGCGCAGCGAGTCCGGCAGGGACGCTCCGGAAAGGTCGAGTCCGGCGGCAACGACAGCTGCGAGTGCGGCGCGCACGTTGTCAGACACGGCCCTGACCATGCTGTCTGACCGGAGACGTCCCATCAGATCCGAAGCCGCCTGGACCTCGTCGACGCCAGCCGCTGCCTGGCCAGGGGCCACGGCGACGACCAGACGCGCCAGGTCGACGTCGGCGGCGTCCGGGGAGTCAGACAGGTACGCCATGACGCGGTCGGCGACGTTGAACTGAGCTGCTGCCGCCTCGGCAACCCCCACCTGGCGTCCCGCGGCGACCCGCTGCGCGGCGAGCAGCGCGACGACCGTCCTCTCCAGCCGTGCGTACTTCTCGCGGACGCCGCGAAGCACTTCCGCGTCCATACGCAGCACTTCCGGCACCACGGCAGCGTCGCTTTGTTCTTTGGTGACGTGTGCAACGACGCCCACCCTCGCAAAGAGCCGCCAGTCGTCCACAGGCGCAGTCGGCAGCGCTGTGATGACGCCAACGGGCTCAGCCTTCACCTCGGGCAAGGAGTCGAGGCTGAGAGGGGCATCGTTGACCTGCGCAGCACGCTCGAGCAGCGCGCCGGCCGTCCCGACCCCTGCCTTCATCATCGCACGGGTCCGCTCCGTGGCCTTCGCGTCGTCGCCGCTCCACAGCGGCTCAGCGAAGTGCTGCTTCGCGTACACCACGGCAGCGCCGCCGGAGCTGCCCTCCTGCAGGCTAGATGCCGCAGCGAGCATCCCCAGGTGCGCGTTCGCGCCGTCGAGCTTCAGCAGCTGGACCTGGGCCCGCAGCGCCCGCAGCGCCTGCACCGTTGCGGACGCAGCTCCCTGCGCGGCCGCTTCGTTCGCGCCCGACGACCCGAGCTGCTCACGCGCCTGCGACAGTGTGGCCTGCATCCGCTGCAGCGCGGCGTCGTACTCGGCGTCGCGCGCGGGCGAGATCAGCCTGCGCAGACACGTCGCCGCCGCGCCGATCGCCGCAGCCAGCGCGTTGAGCGAGATTCGGCCCTTTGCTGCCGTCAACAGACCCGGAATCAGGTCTTCCGCGCTCTGGAAGCCGACGTTCTGCCCCGACGCCACCTCGGTCGCGTCCTGCCCGAGCTCCGCAATCAGCGCCGCCAGGCGCCCCGCCACGCGTCGCGCAGTGCCCTCGTCGTCCCCGGAAACACCGAGCACAATGTCACCCTTGACCATCTCCCAAAACGCGCGGATCGCCGACAGCCGCACGCGCTCCTGCATGTTCGTCTCCGTCGCCTCGGGCACCGCGATCGGCTCCCCCGCCGCCGCAGCCGCCCACTCCGCCTCCGCGGCCTCCGTCGGAAGTTTGAAGCCCCTGTCATGCAAGATCCGCCACATCATCTCCGCGTTCGCGCTCACCGGCGGGCCGTTGCGCTCCTCCGCGGCGCGACGCGCCTCTGCCGCAGCACGGGCCTCCGCGCGGCGCTGCGCCTCCGCGACGCCCGCGTCGACAGCGCCTGACACCGCTTGGTCGAACTCCTCCCCTGCCGCGGGGCCGGCGAGCTGGACGACGCGGCCACGGAGCATGTCGACGTCCTCCTTCCAGCCGGAGATCATCGCAGCGACGTCGGGGGATCGGCCCGCGAGCGGCGAAGAGGGCTCGCCGTCGGCGGGCGGAGGGATGGGGGCGCGGGCCAGGTCGTCGGCCGACACCGAGCGCGGATCGGCACCGAGCTTCAGCGCGCACGAGGCCGTGAGGTCCGACGCCATGAGAACCATGTCGTGCACGAGCTGCATGGCAGCGGAGGTTTTCGGGGCCATACACGTCACGACGAGCAACGAGAAACAGCGCAGCGCATGCGTACCGAGGGTTCCAGGGCCGAGCGAGCGTCGGTCGCGCAGCCCGCACCTTCTTCGCGTCCCCGCGCTTCCACGCCACGAAGCACGTCAGATACCTCCCCCACGCGGAATCAAACTCGCACAGCAGCTGGCGCAGCGTGGGCGCGTCCCCCGCGTCGCCGTCTTCCGTTCCACGCTGCGAGCTGCGGAAACGCGACAGCAGCTTGCTCGGCGCAATCAGCCCCAGGTCGCCCACGGCCGGCGACGGAGAGGCCCCCGGGATCTCAACGGCCCCGGGCGTTCCGGCGTCCTCCGGTTCCTCCCCCGCGGGGACGTAGTGCCGCAGGAGCTTCGCGAGCGCGCAGTGCAGGCTCTTGACGGCCTCGAGCATCTCGGCCTCGAGCGGGTCGTTGCCACGCGCAGCGTTCAGTACGACCTCGGGGTGCTCCATCATCATGAAGGTGGACAGGAGCAGGCGCGCGGGGTAGCGCGCTTGCGGCGCAGGTGGCCGGGCTGGCGCGCCCGGGCGCCGCTGCTTCGGCGGCGGAGCGAGCGCGTGCAGTGCGCGCTGGACGGGGTCGGTGTCGGATCCGAGCGCCGGGACGACGATCGCGGCGCGCTGCTGGACGCGCGCGAGCAGCGCCGTGGTCGCCGCGAGCGTCTGGGGGCCGCGCAGCTTCCTCGCCAGCTCGTCGAAGGAACGGCGCTGCTCCATGGACGACGCGAGCGATGCCACGTCATCGTCCGTCGTGGCCTCTTCGGTGGCAGCGACGGACCGCGCGCGGTGCGTCGCAGCGTCGGCGTGCCCGGGGGAGCTCGGGCTGGACCCCACCGGCGCGTCCGTGTCCGCCACAGCGGCATCGATGTCCAACAACCGCAGCCCCAGGAAGCGCTTGCAGAGGCCGCGTGTGGTGCGTCCGCGAGCCTTGAGCTCGCGCCACGCGCGCTGGGCGCGGCGGAGCAGCCGGTGCTCGCGCGCGACCTCGGCGCGCTGCTCGGGGGGCAGCTGCTCGCGCATGCGTCGCGTAGTAGCCATAGCCAAGCGGTCGTCGAGGCTCGAGCGGCCCTGCGCGGGGGCGGTCGCGTCGCCGGGCTTGTCGAGTGACTTGCGGTCCTTCGAGGGGAAGGCGAGGCGGCGGCGCGCGGTGGCGGCCGCGCGCTGCACGCGCGTGGCCAGAATGAGGTCCCGCTTCTCAGAGGCGCGGTCGAGCTTGTCATCGATCTGACGACGGCCCTCGTGCGCCCTGGCGGTGTCCGAGGAAGGCGAGGGCTCGCTGCGCGCGGGAATCCGGGGGGCGGGTGCTCGGTCGGCGGCAGACGGGCCCGCTGAGGTGTTGCTCAGCGGAGATTCCCTCACCGTCGAGGCGGGCGAATGCGGGCGTGAACGTACAGCGCGAGTGCAGGGAAGGCGCGTATGGAGTCAGTGTGGGCCAAGGAAGGCGGTGGCAGGGTCGGAGATCGCGGAAATCGGCGCTCTGACCGGGCGGAGAGAACAAGCGGTGGATAGCGCGCGGCGCCCCTCCGTGCGTGGATCTCGTTCGGATTTGCGGGCGGAACGCGCACCTCTCGTCCTGGGAGGGCGACGTCGAGCGACTCGCGTCCCGGTGCGCGCCGTCGCCGCGGCGGAACTGGCCGCGGCCCCTGGTGCGCTTGTGCCGACGGTGGAACCCTGACACCCAGCGCTCGAACTCCAGCCTCTTGCGCTCGCGCGCAGCACGGATGCGCGCCTCGATGCGGTGGATCTCGGACTCGGCGGACTTCGCGTCCGGGTGCGCGGCCCCCTCGTCCCTCTGGATGCGGCGCCGAAACTCGGCGACCTGCTCGCGGATGCGGGGCGGCAGCGGCGCGACGTCGCCGAAGTCCGCCTTCATGAACTTGATGATGCCGGGGTAGTGCCCGCCGGCCTGCCCGGAGCCCGCTGCGTCGCTGGCGCCCATGATGGTTGCTCAGATCACCTCTGAGGAATTAGCGGTGGCGAGGCGGACTGGCGACCGCAGAGCACCTCGTCTGCGGCGCGAGCGAATACTTGCTACTGACTACACCGATGTGCGCCGTCGGGGGATCGCCTCGAGCGAGGATCGAGGACGACGAGGGGAGAGACCGAGCGTCGAGTGCTCGTGCGGGGCCGATGGCGCGTCCACGGACCCTTCGAGGCGCGTCGCTTCGCCAAGAATGTCGTCAGCGGGCTGCCTCGTCGACGAGACGCGCGAGTTGTGCGGACGCGAGGCGCAGCGGAGGCCTAACCAGGAAGGCCGCGTCACACGCCCCAAGGATCGCTTCTACCGTCATCCGCGTCCACGGGGCACGCGCTGCGGCGCCAGGCGCCCTGCTCTGCACCGGTCGCACCCACCGGACACCGGCAGCCACTGACGAGGCCCTCGCGTCGAGCTGACGCGCCACATCGACAGCACGCCTGTGCAACAGCCAGCGCGGAGCAAAGCTGCCCCGCTGCGGCACAGTCCGCGACGAGTGCGCGGAAACGAGCCTGCAGGTGGAACCAACCGAAGGTGCTCCCCCAGGCGAACGATGTTGCTGGGAAATTCGTCGCCCGGTGACTCCGCGTTGCTCTGTGTGGGGAGGAACCACTCTCACACGGCATCATGGCGCCCCCGCTCGCGCTGCGACGACGCCGACGCTGCGCCCCTACTCCCCGCTGCTCTCCCGTCACGCGATCGTCGACGCGAAGCCCCGCGCGGCGTCACCGTTCCTGGGAACCAGCGCCGCGAGCTCCTCGGGCGCAAACGCGACCTGCGGGGTCTGCCGCAAGAATGTCGCGAACTTCGAGCGCCCCTTGACGCTGGTCGCGAGGCGCTCCACGTCTGGGGGCGCCTGCGCGAACCCGATGCTCCCCGAAGAGACGTCGCGCAGCAGCGCACCCTCGAACGCTGCGGTGATGGCCGCCGGGGCGTGCACGAGGTCGTTGCGGAGCGCGCCGCGGCCCCACGCCGGCGCGCCCGTGCGGCCCGGTCCGGCGAGCACCCGCGCCTGCTCGCGCTCGTCGTGCCCTGGCCCCCGCGGGGACGCTACCGGCGACACCACCGCGGCCGTGTGCTCCGCGTCCTGCGCGCCGACGGGCTCGAGCTTGCGCGTCGGCGGGCGCGTGCGAACGGGCCGGATCGGCGTGTCTACAACCAGCTGCGCCATCAGCGGCAGGTGCACGGCGGCGTCCCCCTTCTTGGGCATGGAGCATCGCAGGAGCGACACGGCGCTGGTGTCGACGATGCGGCCGGGGAACCCGTCCCGCAGCTGCGCCGTCGGATGGCGGGTGAACTCGTCGAGGTCGACCCACAGCTGCGGCGGCCGACGGCGCGTCCGCCGCCGCGCTGCAGCTGCAGCTGGCGCATCCTTGCCCGGGTACTGCTGGCCGCCGGGCGACCGCGTCGGCGACGACCCACGCACCATGCGGGGTGCTGTGGCGCCCTCGAGCGAGGGCTGCGTCGCCAGCGGACGTTCGTGCTTCGAGGGCGCCGGCGACGGGACCTGCGAGACCGACGGTGCGAGCGGCGCGTTCTGCCGGAACGATCGCTTCGAGCTGCTCTTCCAGATCGGTGCCCTGTCCGACGATTCTTGCACCACCGTGGCCGCGGTCGCCCGCTGCCGGGGCGACGAGGGCTGTTCAGTGATGCCGGTCGCATCGGGCTGCAAAGGCCGCGCCGCGGCTCGTGCCTCCGCGTCCTCCTCGTCGTGCGACTCCGCAGCGAGCGTCGCAAAGTGTCCGGGGGTGCCAGCCTGGCCGGCACCCCTCACCCCGGGTAGCGCCGTCGGGACGGACACTGCGGCCTGGTTGGGCCGCTTGCCGCCCACGCCGGCCACGAGGAACGGCAGCTTGTCGAGCGACGCCTGCGCGCTCGCCTCGCTCGCCGCGATCCGGGTCCGCACTTTGTCCCTCGATTGCTTCGTGCGCTTGTTCTGTATGGCCGCCGCGTCCAGGATGCCGCCGATGCCCGTCGGCGGACTGAGCAGCGTGCGGCGTGGCAGTGCGTCCTCGGCCGTGCCGGACCCGGGCCGCCCCGGCCCGAAGTGCCACTTCCCGCCGCGCCCCACTGTGTGTGCTGCCTGCGACGCAAGGCGCTTCGCGACCGGCCCGCCCGGAGCATTCTGAGCGAGCTGTCCCGAGGAGAAGTCATCGGAGAACTCGGGCGCGTCCGGGCGGCCTCGGCGCCCCGCCGCCGCCAGCTTTTTCGATCGCTTGCCCTCAGCACGTGCCAGCGAGCTGGGGCTGGGGTTGCGTTGCACGCGCGGAGCGCTCACTCCGAAGTGCTCGGACGCCGACTCGCGGATCGCCGACGCACCGGGGGACGCGATGTAGGATCCACTTTCGGTCTTCACGCGCGGCGTTTTCATGACGGGGCCCGTTCTGGGCTTCTCTCGGTCGCTTGGGAGCTTCCTGTCGTCGGGCTGCTCGTCGTCCGACGCGATGAACAGCATCGGGCCCCGCAGGGTCCCCGGCGGGGTCGCCGACCGTGAGCGCGCAGACGCCTGCCCCGCCTCGCTCTGCGAGCGCGTCGAGCGTGTGTGCTCGCCATCCTGTCGCGGACCCTTGCGCAGCTCTCCGCCGTCCGAGTAAGCCGCGACACGGCGCAGCTCGTCCTCCTCTTGGATTCCCGCGGGCAGTTGCGTCCGTGGCGCCCGGGTGACGCCCGACTTGGCCCTTTGAGACCCAACCAGCACCGACGACTGCCGGGGACGCGAATCCCGGCTGCCGCGAGGGGGCACGAAGCCCGGCAATCCGAACTGCGAGTCCTGCCTCGCCGCAGCCTGCTCCAGGAAGGGGTTGACGCTCAGGCGCTTGCGGCCTCCCGCACCGCCTGGCTCCGATCTGCGGACGGCCGCACCCGTCCCGATCTGTAGCCCGTCCTGCGCCGAACGGACACATCACGCGGCCCAGATCACGCACGGAAGCAACAGACCAGTCAGGGCGTCGTGCGCACGCAAAGTCCGCAGCACGCAGGGTCGCGGGCATGCAGGGCTCGGGCTCGGGCTCACCGTGAGTCCTGCGATCGGGACGCTGTCCTGCGGCGCCACAGACGGCGTCCCCTCCTCCGTCTCGCTGCGCGGACCCTGCGACAGCGTCTTCCCCTGCGACCGCATCATGCGCATCAGGAACCGCTCCTTCGCGACCTTCTCGCGCTCGGCCAGCTCGAGGGCCACCGCGCGGCGCTTCGCCTCCCTCTCCGCGCGCGCCCTGATCGCGTCCTCGCGCCGGATCTCGTCGAGCATCGCGTCCTCGAACTCGCGGAGCTGCGTCATCATTGCCTCGCGGCGGAGGCGCTTCAGGAGCGTCTTGCGCGTCCAGAAGCCGCGCCAGTACCGCTGAATCACCACCGCGGCCTCGTCCTTCTGGAAGTAGTGCGCGAGGCTGTGCGAGCGCGTCTCAATCCTCTTCTTCGACTTCTCTTGCATGATCTTGATGCTCTTCTGCAACAACAACAGTCTTGCACGTGATCCAAGGACACCGTGAGCGACGCACGCCCCCGGAACGTGCTCACGGATAGACAGCAGCACAGCAGGGGCCACGGGACGCCCGTCGCACCTCGAACCGCTCCATCTCTTTCACCGCGGCGCGTGTCGCCGCCCACTTGACCTCCGATTCCTCCGCGTGGTTCTCGTGCGACGTGATCAGGTGGAACCGCTCCTCCGCGCGCCCGCGCCCCGAGCTCGCGACCGACGCCGCGTCTCCGAACCCCGAATGCCGCCCCAGACTCTTGGCGTAAGTAGCCCGCTTGTAGCCCGCCCTCACCGCCGCCGTCGCGAACGCCACGTCCGCGTCGTCCCCGTCCTCCAGCCCGCCCGCCGAGCTCTTCGCACGCTCGAACTCCCTCTCGAACTCAGCGAAGCGCTGCGCGCCGGCCAAATACCCCCCCATCCTCCCCCGGGGGGCTTCCTCCTGCGGCTCCCCCCCCCACTCCGCGTTGTTGCGCGACGACAGGGACAGGGCGCGCTGCCGAATCTCGCGCTTCCGCTCCAGCTTGGCCTTGTCGTGCGCCAGCTGCTTCGCGAACTTCCGCACGAGCTGCTTGTTGTCCGTCGACGTGATCACCTTTCGGATGACGTCCCGCGTCTCCGACAGCCCCATGTCGTACAGGATCTGGTCGACCATCTCCCAGTCGCCCGCCTTGGCCGCCTCCACGCTGATCTCCAGCGCCGTCTGGAACTGACGCACGTACTCCGTGGGCGCGTACCCGGTAGCGCCGCTCTTCATGCTCGACGCATACGAGCCGCCGGAGCTGTCCGACGCGTCGTCGCGCCCCTCGCGCTCGTACTCGCGCACCTCGTCGACCCCGAACTTGAGCGTGCGTGGCCCGGGCAGGTCACGCTCTGCAGCGTTGCTCGTCGGGACCATCTCCGTGGCCGCGCGGGGCCTCCGGAGGCCGCCGCGACGCGGCTCGGAGGGCCGCGGAGAGTCCAGCAACTGTCCCTGAGCGCCCTCCCGCACCAGCACGGACGCGGACGACTGCATCGTCTCGAGGTCCGGCTCCGATGATGCCGGCGACAGAGGCGCCTCGCTGATATGTGGCATGCGCGGCGACCCGGCGGCTGGATCCAGCGGCACGTCCGTTCTGAGGGGGTCGAGCTGCCGGGACGACGCCGCGGACGCCGCGAGCCACGCCCGCGACAGCATCCCGCTGTCGTGGTCGCTGCTGGCGGGCCCCGGAGCCCCCTCGCGCGCATCGAGCCGCCCCGCGGCGGACTCCGCGTGCGCGGAGGGCGATCCTTCGTCGTCGTCGACGCCCCAGCGGGGCCTGCCGCCCGTTTTTGGCCGGTCGCCGGGGCGAGGCAGCACCGGCACGGGCGCCTTGCGCACCGCGTGCCCTGTCTGCTGGGTGTCCGCGCCGGGTGCGGCGCTCCTCCGCATGAGAGACGACTTGCCTAAGAGACTCCGGTCCATCGTGTTCGGACGTTCCGACGACCCTCCGGCGGCAGCAGGTGTGGGGTTGGCCCGCTCGCCCCGCGCGTCTCCGCGCCGCGCGGGGTCGCGCTCACCGCGATCGAGCACCTCAGATGAGGATAAGGTCCTGCGCGAGCACGCGGGTTATGGCGGGTCAGCGGCGCAGAACAGAGCCATGGGCTAGGCAACAAGGTCGGCGCGCTCCGCATGGGCTGCGATGGGCGACGTGCGCTGCTGAAACGGGCCCCTACGTCCGCGTGGGGGGAAGCGGCGGCTGCCGATAGATGCCTGGGCTCGCGCTCATAGCGCTGCGGCGACGCTGTCAGCAAGGCGTCGCTGTGATGTGCTGCATGGACGGCGTCCAGGTGCAGCCCCGCTGCCCAGCGCCGCTCCCACGCCACCCTGACTCTATAATCTCGCGACAGGGCGCCTCCAGAGCGGACCTGGCGCCCGGTCTAGGACGTCGGGGCGAGCAGGAAGTGGCTGCATGCAGGTGGCCCCCGCCCGTCCGCCTCGTGGGGTTTCGAGCTCACCTTTCCCCCCTCGTGTGTCTCACTCACGCATGGAATTCACTGCGAGGCGACGGATCCCAGGAGGGGCGCCACGTTCCGCAGCGTCCAGGCACCAACGAACCACCTCCTATGACAACGTGGTTGCCGTCGTCTCTGGACACGTCGGACTACGCCGCCGTCCGCTATCGCTGCCTTCGCTCAGACCATCGCTGCGCAGCCGACGACGCTCGATCGCCCCCGTGCTGTGGGGCTGCAGGCAGAGGAGAGCCCCCGGGAGGGGAATGTAGCGCCCTCTACGACGGTCCTGCGCGCCTCGCGCCCCCTTTCCTGCCTAGACACGTACAGCCGTACAACTGCGAGCGTTCCGGTCACGGTTGACAACTTGACCCCGCCGCCAGCGCCACCACGTCACGTCGTGGGGGCCTGCCTTGTGCTACCGAGGGTACCCCACGAGCGCCTCGACCTGCGCGCGTAGCCAGCAACCGCGCCACTTCCACGCGCCTGTCGCACCTCGTTGCACGCGCGACGCCTCGGCACCCAAATTCGCCCCCATGAGGCCACACCGCCACACAGTGCGTCGCATGTGACCTCCCGGGACCCGCGGCGCGTGGGCACGGTCCTGCGGAACGGCGTCGGCCATGGCTGTGCGCCGCTGGCGGGGCGCGTTCGTCGGCTGCTGCGTCGCGGCGGTGACGATCCACGGGGCGCTCACATGGCTGTTGTTGCTGGCGCGATTGAGGCCCGGGGGTGCGCGGCGCGGCGGAACGTGGGCGCACACTGACCGAGCGCTGCGCGAGGGCGCGCGTGCCGCGACAGAGGCAGTCATATCGTCCGCGGCGAACGTGAGTGCTTCGGAACGTCATTGGCAAAGCTTGGGGGGACTGCGGGCGCGAGATGCGGTGGGCAGGGACGTAGTGGACGCCTACGATCTGAAGCAGCTGCTGGACGGCCTCGATCCCGCGCGGGCGCGCGTCGCCAGGGACTGGGATGCCTCCCCGGAGGCCCCCCGTCAGGATCTCCCAGAATCTTCCGTCTGCTCGGTCCTCGCCGACCGCTCCTCGAACCTCACGTGCGTGGCCGAGACGCTTCTGTCGTGGAGCCGGTCGGCCGCAGGGCGCGGCGGGCCGCGGTGCGCGATCGTCACGACGTGGGCGGCGCGTCTGGACGGCGTGTGGGAGGACATCGTGCCGTGGGCGGCGTACCATGCGCGCACCGGGGTGGAGAAGATCTATGTCTTTTACGACGGAGCCGACCCAGCGGCAGCGTCGGCCCTGAGATCCCTGCAGCCTCTGGTCGACGTGCTCTCGGCGCGTGTTGTTGCGCCGAGCAGAGATGGCAGCGTGTCGCGGCTCTCTTGGGATATCGACCGCCTGTACGGGACCGGCGATGATCGGTGGGCGGAGCGCGCCCACGTCGGACTCGAGCGGATCGCCGAGGGGGAGCTGCGCGAGGCGTTGGTGCGTTGGCCGGCGTGGGCCATGCACGGGGGGGCGCGGCGGCACATGATCCTCCAGTCCTGCGCAGTCGACACAGCGTTGCGTCGGGCACGGCAGGCATGGCACGCAGACATCGACGACAGACCGTCATGGCGTAATTTGAGTCGTGAACATTTGTTCAAGCATATTTCGTTGCTTCCAGCCCGTGCAATCCCTGAATCACGTCCTTCCCCACGTCCACATATCGCGATCGCAGGACGGCATCGACTGGCTCATCCACATCGACCCGGACGAGCTCCTCTCCCACCGGTCCCCCCCCGACGCCACTCTACACTCCCCCCCTCCGAACCTCCCGGCCTACCTCGCGGCGCTCCCTCGCAGCACCAGCACGGTGCGCTTCCTCAACAGAGAGGGCCAGGCCGAGCACCTCGTCCGCGGCTGCGACCGCCTCGTCAACGTCTCGCTTTTCCGCGAGGCACCCGACCTCACGCACGCTGCGTCGCGGCCGCTGCGGTCGCGCGCGGCGCTCGGCGGGGCGCCTACGCTGCACCAGCTGTACACGCAGGGCAAGAGCGCAGCGCGCGTGACCGCCGCGGGGATACACAGCCACGGCCCCCATGAGTTTTTTTCTGATGAGGTGTCTGGGAGTGTCTTCCGCGAGGTTGTGTCCAAGGAGATCGTGCTCTTGCACTACGCGTACGCGACGGTCGAGGACGTGCGCGGGCGCGCGGCCCGCGCGCGCAGGCAGTGCGCGGGGGGGGTGTCCCGGGGTTGTTTTGTGCTTGAGACGGACTACGAGGCGGCGAGCGCGGACGACCGCGGCGAGGCCGACAGGTTCTGGTGGACCAGGATGGCGCTGACAGACATGAGCTACGTGCGGTGCGCTGCGGCGCCGAACGCAACGACAGCTGCCCCGCACAGCGACAGGGCCCTCCCCCGCGGGACGGGCGGTGACTCCTCCTCCCTGAGGCGCGCTACGACGTACTGCAGGATACCTTCGGCGGTCGAATTTCGGGACGCGATGTTGCGGGCAGGGCTGTACGTGCGAGACGAGGGGCCCGCGAGGGTCGTGCGCGACAGCGTGAACACCCTGCTGGATGTGTGCGGACAGGGCAGGGGATGACTGGTTCCGCCGCAAGGGGGCGGCGAGGCAGCGCTGCATCACAGTGCTGCGCGTGTGTGCAGCGGTCCCTGTGCCGAGGAAAGCGATCGGAGCGGGTACGCAGCAACTTACGATGTGAGAGTCAAAGTCCAAGCTAGGCGTGGTTACGCTTGAGGCCGCGCTGAGAGGAGCGCCGTGGTCCCTTGGGAGCGAGGCGTGCGCCGCAGCCGCGCCCCTACCGGCTGTCGCTGTCCCCTGCCCTCAGCCGCGCCATCGCTGCGCGCCGGCGCTGGGAGAAGGCGCTCGGGAGCCAGGCGTCGTCCTTCCCGGGGAAGCACGCGCGGAGCAGCGGCACGATGAGGAACGTCAGCGGCACGGTGTTGAGCACGAGGAAGCTGAACAACACCAGCTGTTTGGGACCCGGTGCCTTCTTTTCGGCCAAGGCGAGCGCCTGCTGCAGCGCTGGGTCCTCCGCGCTGCCGAGGAGCGACTTGGTCCGCAGGGTCGCAACCCGCGACAAGTCTCGTGCCAACACCGTCCCCCCGTCCCGCGTCCATTCCCAGCCCTGCGTCCACCGTGCAGGGACGCACCGTCACGGCCACGCGTAGCGATGCGCTGAACGTGCTGTACGAGGGCCATAGGTGGTCAAGGAGATCGCGGGTGCGGCGCTGGGCTGTGTTCGCGCATCGCACGTGCCCTGCCGCGGGCGCAATAGCCTCTGGTGATGAGCCCGCCGCGGGCCCTGCGTGGGGGGAGACAGGACGCACCTGCTTGAAATTCTCAACCTTGGTGTACGAGCTCACTAGATCCTTGCCGAGCTTCATCGTCTGCAGCAGGTTTCTGCGGGCAGCCTTCAGGTCCCTCTTCCCTGCTTCCGACTCCGAGAGCGCCGCCGCGGTGGAGCGCACGGCGGCGACGAGCTCCGCTTCGAGCGAGTTCTCCGCGAACTGCTCGCTCTGCTCAGCAACTGCGACGCCCGTGGCCGTGTCAGTCGCACGCCCCGCATCCGCTGCACGGCACCGCCACAGATCCCGAGTAGTAGTAGCGCCCTGGCGGGCCGCGACAGCGCGACCCACGCACGTCCGGGGCTGGGCGACACTAACTCTCATCTCTTCGTCAGCACAGAATGGACACCTCGCCGCCGCACGCCCCAATAGAGCCGCGGAAGGCTGTCAGACACACACCTCGCACACTCCCCCCGACTCACTCCACCACACCGTTCGACGCGAGCCCGCCCTCCAGCCCCGCAGCGCACACACGCATGCCACTCCCCACCACCGCGGCGCCTCCAGCACGTGCATCACACCCCCCGCGCCCTACGGCGTCAGCCGCTTGGGGTCGCGCGGGAACATCGACGTCTTCCGGATGTTGTTGAGCCCCAGGAAGAGCATCACGACGCGCTCGAGGCCCACGCCCACGCCGCCGTGCGGGTACGCCCCGAACTTCATGGCATCGATGTAGTCCTGGATGCTGGCCACCTCGATGCCGCACTCCGCCGCGCGCTTCGCGAGGAGCTCGGGCTCGTGGATACGCTGCGCGCCGGAGATGATCTCCTCGCCGCGGATGAAGATGTCGAACGAGTTCGTCCGCGTCGGGTCGTCCGGCGCCGGCATGGTGTAGAACGGGCGCGCCGCCAGCGGGAAGCGCGTCAGGAAGTAGAAGTCCGTGTTGTACTTCTCGGCGACGAGGCGGCCCAGCTCGCGCTCGAGCTCGGTGGACAGGTCCGCGTCCGGGTCCGCGTCGGCGAACCCGGCGTCCTGCAGCATCTTGATGCCCTCCACAAAGGGGATGCGGGGGGCCTTGCGGAGGTACCGGAGGGGGGTGAAGGGGTACTGCTTGGCGATCGTCTCGAGCTCGTGCGCGCACCGCTCGTTCAGCCCGTCGAAGATGCGCAGGAACAGCTCGTCGATCACGTCGAGCACCTGCGGCGCGGCGGGCGCGAGCGCAGTTGCACATCAGAGCTGTGATGGGTGTGTGTGTGTGTTGTTGTGGCTGTGCTGGACGTCGGCCCGGGCGTGGTGTCATGGCAAGCTCGTCAAAAATGGAAGAAGACCCGAAGCGGCGTCAGGACCACGCGGTGCATGTGCGCGTGTGTGTTGGCGGGGCGCCGCACCTCGTGGTAGTGTTCCTTGATGGCCATCTCGAAGTCGAGGCCGGTGAACTCGCAGAGGTGCCGGTGCGTGAAGGACTGCTCCGCGCGGAACACGGGTCCGATCTCGAACACCCCCGGGAAGTCCGACATGACGCACATCTGCTTGTACAGCTGCGGGCTCTGCGCGAGGCACGCGGAGGTGCCCATGTAGTCCAGCTTGAACACCGCCGCGCCGCCCTCGGACGACCCCGCGATGATCTTCGGCGTGTGCACCTCCACGAACCCGTTCTTCAGCATCGACTCGCGGAACAGCTGGCACACCTGCAACAACACAGACTCGCCCGCAAGCGACGCGAGTGAGAGGTGGGACGAAGCCGGACGACGACGTGGCGCCTGTCGGTCCTCGGCGCCGCGCGCGACGACGCCAGCGCGCTGACGCGCGCGCAGGCCGCCGTTTGCGCGTGACACCGGCGGAGGATGGCGGGGTGCGCGGCGCCGTACCTGGGACTGCACGCGGAAGATGGCCTGGTTGGCGGGCGTGCGGAGGTCGATGTACCGCTTGTTGAGGCGCACGTCCTGCGAGACCGTGGGCATCACCTCGCCCTTGGCCTGCAGCTCCGCGACCTCCACGTCCGAGCGCGCCGCGTCCACCACCTCGAACGGCAGCGCCGCCGCGCGCCTGCACGCCGCAGCACGACCCACCGCGCACGCGTTCGGGCACACCACGCGACATGCAACAACACATCGCGGCACGAAAGCGCGGCGCCAGGCGCGGGCGCGGGCGGCGCGGCGGGGTCGCGTACGTGATGGCGCGGATGGAGGTGACGGCGAGCTCGACGTCGGACTGGCTGCAGGCCTCGACCTTGGCGTCCTTCGCGACGCCGGTGACCTCGATGATGCTCTCGCGGGGCAGCGCCATGGCGTACTTGATCATGTGCTTGGACACGGTCTTGTCGTCCGCGAACATCACGAGCTGGACGGTCGCGGTGTTCTGCCGCAGGACGAGGAAGGCGCTCTTGCCCTTGCCGCGCGACGTGTGCAGGCGGCCGCGCAGGAGGACCTCCTTGCCGGCGTCGGCCGCGGTGAGGTCCGCGACCGTGGTCCAGACGCGGTCGGTCCTCTCCGCGGACTGGATGAGCGGGAGGTCGCCGTAGCGGTCCTTGAGCGGGTCGTCCGGGTCCGGGCGGTCCACGGGCGCCTCCTTCTGGCCTCGCTGCTGCGCGCGCTGGGCCTTGGCGGCCTCCTTCGCGGCCTGCGCGTGACGAATGTGTGGTCGTTGTGTAGAGGTGAGAAGGAGCGGTGAAATGAGGGCCGGGTGACGCGCGTTGGAGGGCCGGGAGAGCGCGGGTGATGGGAGGGCGGTGGAGGGTTGGAGGGTCACCTTCTCGGCTGCCTTGGCGGCCTTCTTGGCCTCCTTGCGGGCCTGCTTCTCCTCCTCGGTCAGCTCGGCGTTCGACACGGCCGCATCCGCCCCGCTCGGGGTGGCCAGCTGCTCCATCTTGGCCTCCAGGGGCGCCTCGCCAGACATCGTGATCGGAAGTTTCTGGACAGACGGAGGAGTCCCACGAGCACAGAGGCTCTTCGAGGTCGTGGACTGGATCAAGGCAGCGCTGGGCCGTTCCTGCGACACATGAACACCAGCGGAAGAGAGCCTCCGTATTAAGCACAGGTTCGCCCGTGAAACGCGCCAGCGCAGCACGCGAGCGGCTTTCCGTGCGTGAGCGGTGCTCGCAGTGCGAGGCTGTCATCCCACGTCGATGCAGGCGCCCACGGCGTGCGGAGAGCAGCCAGAGCACAGCCGCCCCGCTGGAAGGCATCGCAAGAGGCCTCGGGGTGGGAAAGAGGAGCCCCATCGATGAGCCGTTGCGAGAAGCACGGCGCGCGCAATGCCAGCGTGGGCATCGATCGAGACCGAGCCGCACGGGGCCGGGCGCAAGGCGCTGCTTTGAGGTGCGGGCACTCACCTCGGTGGTGTCACAGACGCACCGTTCAGGGTACGACCGCGTCAGGTGCCGTGGCCAGGCGCGCTGGCCGGGCGTTGAGAGCCATCGCGGCTGTGAACGCGCGTCACGCCCACATCAGGCACCACGCCCCAGGGACGTGCCCGCGTCGGCCACAGGGGCGCGCTCGGGGCACTGGAAGGCTTCGAGCGAAGAGCACGCGGCACTTGCTCTGCGCCGGGGTTCGAAATTGTTGTCGTTCGAGCCCGTGGACCGCGCACCGGACCGGTTGCTCATTTGCGTGGCTGGCCGCGCCCGGGGTGCTGTGGAACGCCGCCCAGGGCCCGGGTGTCGACGCCTCGCTGTCAGGCATCTGTTCGGGCATTCACGAGCTCGTCCGCGCGGGTATCGCGTCAAACAGATCGCGGAGGAGGCCTTGGAGGGTCCCGAGGGAAAGCGGCGAGGTTGGTGGGGCTGGTAGATATGGGCGGCCGGCGGTCGTTGTGGAAGGGACCCTTCTGCTTAGTGAAGCCGGGGATGGAGATGGTGCGTCTGTCCCGGACGCGATGAGCGCAGGGGGCGGAAGCTCTCTCTCTGGCGCTGCCAGGCATCGTCGTTTCTGCACTGTTCCCGTCCCTATTCACGGATCCCGACGCTCGACTGGCGCGTCACAGCGAACTCCCTGCTAGGTGGGCGTAGGAGTACACTGACGGGGCCCCCGTCGCCACGTCCCGCGTCGTTGATGCAGGTCATGAGCCGGGCGTCGATGATCCTCCCAGACTTCGTGGGGCGCAAGTTCAACGTCCACAACGGAAACAAGTTCGTCCCGGTCAGGATCACGGCAGGTCCGCAGCACGTCCCGTACCAACCCTCCAGTCGAGCTTTCACGTCACCATCACGTGTTGCCAACAGCGCGCGTCGATGCGCCCGGCTTCCCTGCCGACATCACGCGAGCTGCCACGGCTCGCCTAATGATGGCAGCTGCGGGCCGCTTGATGCCGATTGTGCCGGGACAGCCACCTCGGCAGCTTTGAAGGTTGTTTTCGTTCAACATGTGTTTTGTCGTTCGACTGTCCGCAGAGATGGTGGGGCACAAGTTCGGGGAGTTTGCGCTCACGCGGAACGCGGGGATGCACAAGGGCGTGGCGGAGAAGCTGAAGCGCGCCGGGCGCCGGTGACGCTGCGGGCGCCGTTGCGAGCGCCCCTGACGTCAGCGTGCTCTTCGCGCCGCAGTGTCTTACAGGAAGGCGGACGTCCCGCTGTGAGGCGGGCTGTGGCGGACGTGCGGTCTCGCGCGGAGTCATCTGGCTCTCTGAGGCGGGTTATCGGCCTTGCAGCGCCCGTCGCTGTCTATGAATGGGCCGATCTTCGCTTCTCGCCCGACATTCGTGGCTATATTCTGTTCCTGTGGTTGCTGTGTTGACTGTGCGTGGTCCTACTGGTCCCGACAGACTGACCCGGAGGTCAGCTGCGGACTACTCAGGCGCTGGCGCATGGGCTGCTGGAGCAGGGGTGTCCTGGAGGACGATCCGGGGCAGGGGCCCGCCGACGTTCTTGATGCTGTCGCCGAAGGACAACCCGTAGACGCGCGTCTCTGCGTGCAGCAGCCTCCCCACGCACAGGCGTTGCAGCGTGGTGTTCTCCCTCAGGGCCTGCACCATCATCTGCTTGGCCTCGGAGCCGGCGTCGCTGCCGTAGCCGAGCTCGACGCTGCGCAGGCCGCGGTTGTGGCGCAGCGCTCCCGCCAGCGTGTGCATGCCATCCTGCGTAGCTACAGCGCCCTGGCTGAGGCAGAGTTGCTTGATCGACAGGGACCGGAGCGCGGTGTTGGTGCGCAGCGCCTCGGCGAGCGCTCCGAAGCCGTCAGCCTCCGCGAAGCCGGTGAACTCGTCCAGGGCCAGGATACGCAGGACGTTGTTGTGTGCGAGGCCGGCCGCGAAGTCCCTGACGCCCGCGAGCAGCTGAGAGCCCTTTCCGTACTCGACACCGTGCCAGCCCCACGTCTCCTCGGCTTCGAGGTAGATGTGGATGCGTCGCAGGGTGCTGCTCCTCGACAGGTCTGCGATGTTGATGGTGGTGTCCGTTGGAAACGTTGTGCGCGGCATCTCGAAGACCTCGAGCCTGCTGCTGGCGACGGCGGGCGCGAGCTTGGCGAAGGTGTCGGCGTCCCTCATGACGGCGCCGTCGATCGTCAGCTCGCGGAGCGTGATGTTCTGCGCCAGTGCCTCCGCGATGTGGACGTAGCCAGCGTCGGTGAGAACGCTGCCGGTCAAGGTGAGCGCCCGCAGCGTGGTGCCGCTTGCCAGCAACGTCGCGATCGCCTCGGCGCTGTGCTTCGTGAGGTGCCCTCTCAGCACCAAGGTCTCCAAACGCGATGATGGGTTGCTCACCACTGCAGCGCACAGCTCCTTCACCACCACGTCACGGCCGCCGTCGGGTAGTCTCAGCGTCAAGTCGCGCAGCAGTGATCCCGGCTGTACGAGCTGCTTGATGACCCCAGTAGTTGCCGTGGTGATGGGGTACTGAAATGCCACGTTGAGACTCGAGAGGTTCGTTGCGCAAGCGGCCAGCTTGCCCGCCGACTCGGCAGAGAGGCTGGATTTGATATACAGAGTTTCCAGGCCGCCGCATCCGTGTCGCGCGAGCTCGTCCACGACACCGTCAATGTGTTGAGAGACAACAAGCTTTCTGATGTGTCCTGACCTGACCACCGCCTCCGCCACGGTCGTTGCGCCCCGCGGCGAGTGGCCGACCCCGTCAAGGTCGAGCGCGCGCAGCTTCGTCGACATCCTCACGACCTTCGCGAGGGCACGTGCCCCCGTCAGACTCAGCGTGTTGCCACGCACGTTCAGCGTCTCCAGCGCTTGGCCCGTCGACAAGGCGCCCAGGATCTCCGCAGCCATGGTCTCGCCCATCTTGATATGTGCGATGTCGATGTGGCGGGTGTGCTCGCGCACCGCCGGCGTGGACAGCACCCTGCACAGCGCTGACACACGCTCCTCCCGCACGTCCGGCGCGACTGTGTAGCTGCTGAGCAGGTTCCGCTGCACCGCGAGCCTCGTGACGCGCAGCCGCGCCGCTCGCGGCCTGCCCGCCGCCTCCAGCACCGCAGCCAGCTCCCCCACCCCGTGCCCCGACAGCGACGTGCTGTCCACACCCGCCGCGACGACCGCGGCCAGCAGCGCCGCCGCGTCCTGCACCGGCACGCGCGCGCCGGCGTACTGCAGCTCGCCGACGTACTGCGACCCGGCACTGACGCGGAGGGCCAGCCCTCCCAGGAGCGTGATGTTGCCCAGCTGGAGCATTGGGACGGTGCGCTGCTCGGACTTGAGGTCGAGCTCATAAAAGAAGCAAGTGCCATAGTAGTAATAATCATAGGAGACGTGCCACGTCCACTCGCACTCGCCCTCCTCGATGCGCCGCCCGTATTGAAGGAGAGGGAGCAGAGCCGCCCAGCACGTGCAAGCCACGCTGAGAGCGTCGCCGGGCGGTACGAGATCAAGTATGTGAGGGACGTGGTGGAGTACCTCGGTGAACAGCGACGCGGAGGAAGCCTGCGGGGGCGAGGAAACGGAGACCAGAAGCTTTCAACCAGGCTGCCGGTTACCGCGGGAGCAGCGGCGCGAGGCCAGCTGCGTCCGTCGCCTCGCCGGACACGTGATGATATCGATCTGACGTCTCAAGGCACGGCGCGTCGACCACGGCGTCCCTGGGCCCGCAATGGGTACTCGCGCCTCCTGCCCCTCAACACACGACGCACCGCCTCGCCGGGCCCACGCACGCGATGCGAGGACGAAGGCCCACGCAGCCGCGCATCACTGCGAACCGTGCCGTGCGACCGTCCCCGCGCGACACAGTCCCCCCCCGCGCGTCACGATGCATCATGTGCAGGGCCTCACCTCCCCGCACGACGGCCCCGGGTCGTGGACCGGCATCTTGGTCGTGTTGTGGCGTACGCGACGCCCGTGGTGTGTCTGGTGCTCCCCGCGCTCGTCTCGCGCGTATCTGCGCCCCTGCAGCCTGACGTGTGGGCGCCTGACTGCGGCGGGGGGGAGTCGAGTCATGCGATCGGGAGCCGGGCTCAACGCCGCCCGCTCGCGCCGCGAGCCGGCAGTGCGTGGCACGGCGGTGGTTGCGACAGCGCCGGGCTGCCTGTCGCCAGGCGGTGGAGCCGTCATGAGCGTGCAGCGGCCCGTGCGCAGCCATCAGGGAGAGGTGGGGCGTAGCTGGGGCGGAAGCAGGAGTGTTGTGCGCGCCAGCGGGCCGCGGTGTAGATATGTATGCGTATGCGTGGTGCGTCAGGCGCTGTGGCGGGGCGTGTGCGACGCAAGGCGCAACGCAGCTGTACTGGTGCTTGGAGCGAGCCACGGGGCGGCGGAGAGGCCGCGACCTGACGCTGGTCGGGCTGGAAGCGATCGTTGCTGACTGTGGAGCAGAGAGCGTGTGCGGGATGGCGTCGGTAGGCCGGTCAGACGCGCGCACGAGGCCAATGGCGATGATCGTGTGAGGTGCGCTGCCAGTGGAGGCGTGTCACCGGCGCGGGAGCGGGGTGCGGGGCGGTGCGGCGTGCAGCGGCGAGGTGCATGGTATGCGGTATGATGCCGGGAGGGTCGCCCGGGGCCGATCACGCGTGTCGGGCCCCCGGGAACGTGTCGTGGTGCAACGCGCAGCAACAGCTGCCGCCAGAGCGAAACAGCGGGGCGAGGCGGGCGAGGCCGACACGGCAGGCGGGGGAAGCAGGAGCAGGCGCGGGATGCGGTCTACAGGGGCCGCTCGGCTGAGGACCTGACTGGTGCGTGCGTGTTGTTCAGGGGTGTGTTACATCGGCACCCGGGGGAGCTGCCATGGGGGCAAGCGTCGCCACCACAGAGCTCGACGCTCCTCGCGAGGGCCGCTCCTGGCAGGTACAGGGTGGTGTTGTTTGTCATGCTGCGTGTCTGCTGCCGGGCCGGCGTGCACTGGCGTCGCGGCTGCTCAGGGGGTGTCCTGCAGGACGATCCGGGGGAAGGGCCCGTCGACGTTCTTCATGGCGTCCCTCCAGGCCCCTCCGTCGCCGTAGCGCGTCCGTTCGCACAGAAGATCCCCTAGGTGCAGGCATTGCAGCGTGGTGTTCTCCCTCAGGGCCTCCACCATCATCTGCTTGGCATCGTCGCCAGTGTCTTCGTCGTAGTAGTCGAAGAAGTCGAAGAGCTCGACGCAGCGCAGGCCGCGGTTGTGCCGCAGCGCTTGCGCGAGCGCCCGCACGGCCTTTCCAATGTCGCATTCGAACTCGACATCCGGAATCGACAGGGTCCGGAGCGCGGTGTTGGTGCGCAGCGCGTCGGCGAGTGCTCCGAAGCCGTCAGGCTCCGCGAAGCCGGTGAACTCGTCCAGGGCCAGGATACGCAGGACGTTGTTGTGTGCGAGGCCGGTCGCGAAGTCCCTGACGCCCGCGAGGAGCTGGGAGCCCTTTCCTTGCTCGACACCGTCCGCGTCCCACATGCCCTCGTCTCCGAGGCCGATGTCGATGCGTCGCAGGGTGCTGCTCCTTGACAGGTCGGCGATGTTGATGGTGGTGTCCGTTGGAAACGTTGTGCGCGGCATCTCGAAGACCTCGAGCCTGCTGCTGGCGACGGCGCGCGCGAGCTTGGCGAAGGCGTCGGCGGTCGTAATGTCTGCGCTGTCGATCGTCAGCTCGCGGAGCGTGGTGTTCTGCGCCAGCGCCTCCGTGATGTGGACATACCCAACATCGGGAAGAACGTTGCCCCACAAGGTGAGCGCCCGCAGCGTGCTGCCGCTTGTCACCAACGTCGCGATCGCCTCGGTACCATCACGACCGAGGTCTCCTTTCGGCCCCAAGCTCTCCAGGCGCGATGACGGGTTGCTCACCACTGCAGCGCACAGCTCCTTCACCACCACGTCGTTGTCGTCGTAGGGTAGTTCCAGATCTAAGACGCGTAGCAGTGATCCTGGCTGTACGAGCTGCTTGACGAAGCCCGCAATCATCGTCGTGGTCCAACCGGGATGAAAACCGTCGAACCGCAGGTCCAGCAGGTTCTTTGCGCAAGCGGCCAGCTTGCCCGCCGACTCGGCAGGGATGGAGCAGTAGAGGCGCAGAGTCTCCAGGCCGCCGCCTCCGTGTCGCGCGAGCTCGTCCACGACACCGTCAATGTGTCGAGAGACAGCAAGCTTTCTGATGTGCCCTGTCTCAAGCACCGCCTCCGCCACAATAGTGGCGCCCCGCGGCGAGAGATCGACCCCATCAAGGTTGAGCTCGCGCAGCTTCGTCGACGTCCTCACGACCTTCGCGAGGGCACGTGCCCCCGTCAGACCCAGCGTGTTGTTCCCGCGTATGTCGAGGGTCTCCAGCGCGTGGCCCGTCGACAAGGCGCCCAGGACCTCCGCGGCCGCGGTCTCGCCCATCCCGATATATGCGATGTCGATGTGGCGGGTGTGCTCGCGCACCGCCGAGCTGGACAGCACCCGGCACAGCGCTGACACACGCTTTGCCAGCACGTCCGGCGTGACTGTCTTGCTGCTGAGCAGCTCGCGCTGCACCGCGAGCCTCGTCACGCGCAGCTGCGCCGCTCCTGGCCTGCCCGCCGCCTCCAGCACCGCAGCCAGCTCCCCCACCCCGTGCCCCGACAACGATGCCACGCTGACCCCCGCCGCGACGACCGCCCCCAGCAGCGCCGCCGCGTCCTGCACCGGCACGCGCGCGCCGACGTACTCCATCTCGCCGACGTACTGCGACCCGGCACTGACGCGGAGGGCCAGCCCTTGCAGGAGCGCGATGTTGCCCAGCCTCAGCACGGGGACGGTGCGCTGCTCGGACTTGAGGTCGAGCTCATATAAGACGCGGACGGTGCGGCCGGTGTGATGGTGTTCCTCGATATAGTATCCATGGTACACACCGTCTAAGACGTGCCGCGTCCACTCGCACTCGCCCTCCTCGATGCGCCGTCCGTGTTGCAACAGGGTGAGGAGCGCGGGCCAGCACGTGCACGCCACGCTGTATGCGGTGCCTGCCGGTACGAGATCGAGTATGTGAGGGACGTGGTGGAGGACCTCGGCGAACAGCGACGCGGAGGAAGCCTGCGGGGGCGAAGAAACGGAGGCAGGGAGGTTTGAAGGGCGCACGCGGCATCACCAGGGCGGCACAAGCGCAATGAGGTCGTTGACGCCGACTCCACCACCTGACCGGCCGTTGAGGCTCGCTTAGTGGCAACATCCCCGTCCGAGCGCACGCGCTCCTTTGAAAACCTCAAGAGAGCGAACACAACGGCTTCGCACGGGCTCCTCTTTCCCGGGCTCGAAGCACCGTGGCCGCCAACGTCGCCACACAGACGTCACGCGTGCGTGGATTTGAAGCCCCGCGGAGCGCGGCGCCAGCGGCGACGCGACCAACACATACGATGCGACTCGAACGTACCTCTCCGGCGGGGGGCTCAGGCCCGGGGAAATTCGTGTGCCTCGTCCTCATGGCGGTACCCTGGTCGCGATCACGGCGTGACTGACGCGCACCGCGCGCGTCGCGGGCTGTTCAGCGCGCCACGAATGCGTGTCTGCCTGACAGCAGGGGGGGACTCGAGCCGGCATTGTCAGGGCACTGGACGCGTTGATGGCGACCTCGCGCGGCGCGCTGTGGTCAGTCTCGGCGCAACGGGCGCCCACACGGCCCCGTCCTAGCAGCCCTCAGGGCGTGAGTGAGTGCTGGTGGGCGCGCAGCATCACCCGAGGCGTGCGCGTACCGTCGAGGCCTGGGAGGACGGTCACGCGCGCGAGCGGCAGATCTAGAGCAGCTGTCGCCGCCTCGTGGGTACTGTAGGAGGTCTCGTGGATCTGGCGCGACGGACGGCGCCCTGCGCCCCTCGTAGAGCTGGAGGTCCGTCAGTGGGCGCTGGGAAGGCGGAGACCTGCCGCTTCGAAGGGACGCGGCGGTACAGGGACAGATGAGTAGAGACGGGGACCGCAGAAGCGGCAGGAGGCTCTCGATCGGCTGAACGAGGCCTCCGTGTGAGGTCAGCGGGGCCTCCAGCCGTCTCACGGTCGCGGCTGCTGGCTTTCGTGGCGTGTATCTGTCACGAGGCGACGGACATGTCTGCGAACATTCGTCCAGGGTGACGTTTGGTGCCAGGGCTGCGCACCAGACCGCTGGGGAGCATGTGTAGCTCCCCTACATGTTGCAGCTGAAGCAGCGCAGGCGTATTCAGGCGCACCGAGGTGGTAGCGAGGCACAGGCGAGCCGGGCGAAGCTGCGGCCGCGGCCCGTGCGGTGGCGCTCGGAGGTCGGCCGCGTGAGTGTCTCTTCCTGGTGCGTCGCGACGATCCAAGGTCACACGGGCTTCTGGTGCGGGATCCTGCTACTCCGGCACGTCTCGTCACTGCAGGCCCTCGGTATCATGCACGCACCGTGATGGTATCACCGTCAAGTCACCAATCACCACGTGAGTATAGCAGTGACGCAGACGTCGTCGCGCTTCACTCATTCCCCGCGGGGCGCTGACGGCTCAGATCCTGCCGTCGAGCTCGACTGGAAGACCTGCTGGCTCCACCTGTGTCGTCCCCGGTGAGGAAGAGCCGGGGGAACGGCCCTGGGACCTGCCCGATGCTCATGTTCCAGTGGGCTGACTCAGGGGGTCGTTCAGACAGCCGTTGATGTTGACCCTCTGCAGCGTGCGGTTGACGCGCAGCGCCTCGATCATCCTTCGCTTCGTCTTTTGGCCGGCGGCGACTCCGCGATTGCGTAGATCGAGGAAGCGCAGGCTGCGGTTGTCGCACAGGGCGTCAGCCAGCTGTGCGCCGCGGTCGTCAGAGAAGACAGCCTTGACCGTCAGCGACCTGAGGGCGGCGTTTGTGCGCAGAGCACGAGCGAGCGCGCCCATGCCGCTATCGAAGAACGAGAACAGGTCCAACGTCAGAATGCGCAGGACGGTGTTCGTGGCCAGGGCTTCGGCGACATCGTCGATTTCAGGCGGGTCTTCGGGATCGAATCCCAGACAGCCAGCCGCGTCGCCCAGCTCGATGCATCGCAGGGTCGTGCTCGCGAAGAGGTTCCCGAGGACGTCGAGTTCTACGAACACGTCATGCATGTAGATGTCCAGCATTCGAAACTCCGTCAGTTTGCAGCTCGCGACCGCTTTCGTCAGCTCGCGGAGGATCTCGTTCGTGGTTGCGATTTCGCACACGTCCAGCCTCCGCAGCGTTGTGTTGCCGTTGAGTGCGGCCGCAAGCTCGAGTTGGTGTGGTCCGATCTCTTGAGCGCGGGGCGCGGGCGAGCACAGGACGAGCTCGAGCAGCGTGCTACTGTGCCGGACCACAAGGCGCGCGATCGCTCTGTATGAGGCGTCGCAGTCGATCATGTCATCGAGGACGAGGCGCTCGAGGTGCAGAAGTGGGTTTGTGGCTGCAGCCTCGAGCAGCTTCGTGCATTCCTCAGTGCCCGCTGCTCGAGATGGCAAGGAACGATTCCGAGCCTCGAGGGAGCGGAGAGTCGAGGTTGACCCGAGCAGATTGGTCAGAGCTTGCATGTGAGCTTCCGACGCTTGATCGTTCAGCGTCAGGTGCAGCAGCTTGTCTCCGTTCGCAGCCAGGCCCAGCATCGGCAGGCCCTCCACATGCTCGAGCGCTCCGGTGCCGTGTCGCGCGAGCATGTCGGCGACGACGTCCACGTGGGTGCAATTGCGGAGGCAGGTGCAGCCCGATTTGAAAACCTTGACCGCGCCCGTTTCCAGCACCGCCTGGAGGATCGGCGCCAGCGTGCCGGCGTGCAGGCAATAGCCGATGTCAAGCTCGCGCAGGCCCGTCAGCGTCTCGACGGCCCCCGCGACGGCACGTGCTCCAGGCACTGCGAGTCCGCTGAACGGCGACAGATTGTCGCTCAAGTCGAGAACCTCGAGACAAGGTGCGCCGTGCAGCTTCTCGAGCACCTCGGACGCCAGCGCGTCTGTCATGCAGAGTCCGCGGAGGCCCAGGCGCCGAACGTGCTCGTGCACGGCCGGGGACGACAGAACTGAGGCCAAAGCTGACGCGCGCTCATCGGCCGTCTCGAAGAAGTACATGGGAACGTCCAGCTGCAGAACGTGCAGCGGCAGTGCCCCTGGCTGCCCGGACGCGTCGAGCATCTGCGCGAGCGCCGCGACCCGACCGACGGGTGTTCTGAAGTTGTCGGCGCTGGCTTTTGAGGCCGCGTGGTGGAGCGCCACGGCGTCCTGGAGGGCGAACCGCGCCCCCGCGAACTCCAGCTGCCCGACATACCGCGATCCGATGCTGATGCGGAGGGCGAGGCCGCGCAGAAGGGCGCCTCGAGGCGCTATGCTGAGCACTGGGGTGGTGGCGCGCTGCTCAGTCGTCAGCTTGAGGGTGTAGCTGGGCGTTGTCGGACGTTGAGCCCTCTGGCTGCGGTAAGCGACGCGATCCCGCACCCACTCGCACTCGCCCTCCTCGATGCGCCGCCCGTTTTGAAGGAGAGGGAGCAGAGCCGCCCAGCACGTGCAAGCCACGCTGAGAGCGTCGCCGGGCGGTACGAGATCAAGTACGTGAGGGACGTGGTGGAGGACCTCGGTGAAGAGCGACGCGGAGGAGGAGGCCTGCGGGGGCGAAGAAACGGAGACCAGAAGCTTTCAACCAGGCTGCCGGTCACCGCGGGAGCAGCGGCGCGACGCCAGCTGCGTCTGCCGCCCCGCCGGACACGTGGCAGTACTCATCATACACCCCGAGACACGGCGCGTCGACCACGGCGTCCCTGGGCCCGCAATCACCACTCGCGCCCTTTTGCCCCCCAACTCAAATACACGCCGCACCGCCTCGCCGGGCCATCGCACGCGATGCGAGCCCCACGCGGCCGCGCATTACTGCGGTCAATGCCGTGCGACCGTCCCCTCGCGCGACACAGTCCCCCCCAGCGCGTCACGATGCAACGTGTGCAGGGTCTCACCTCCCCGCACGACGGCCCCGGGCCGTGGACCGGCATGTTGGTCGTGGCGTGGCGTACGCGACGCCCGTGGCGTGTCTGGTGCTCCCCTTGCTCGTCTCGCTCGTATCTGCGCCCCTGCAGCCTGACGTGTGTGCGCTGACAGCGGCAGGGGGGAGTCGAGTCATGCGACCGGGAGCAGGGCTCAAGGCCGCCCGCTCGCGTGGCGAGCCGACAGTGCGCGCAGGGCACGCTGGTGGCGAGAGCGCCGGGCTGTCCGTCGCCAGGCGGTGGAGCCGTCATGAGCGTGCAGCCGCCCGCGTGCAGCCATCAGGGAGAGGTGGGGCGTAGCTGGGGCGGCAGCAGGAGTGTTGTGCGCGCCAGTGGGCTACGGTGTAGATATGTATGCGTGAGCGGGGTGCGTGGGGCGCTGTGGCGGGGCGTGTGCGACGCAAGGCGCGACGCAGCTGTACTGGTGCTTGGAGCGAGCCACGGGGCGCTGGAGGGGCGACCTGACGTATGTCGGGCTGGACGCGATCGTTGCTGACCGAAGGAGCAGGGAGCGCGTGCGGGGTCGCGTCGGTAGGACCGTCAGACGCGCGCACGAGGCCATCGTGTGAGGTGCGCTGCCAGTGGAGGCGTGTCACCGTCGCGGGAGCGGGGTGCGGGGCGGTATGGAGTGCAGCGGCGAGATGGATGGTATGCGATATGATGCCGGGGGGGTCGCTCGGGGCCGATCACGCGTGTCAGGCCCCCCTGGAAGGGTCGTGGTGCAGCACATAGCAATGGCAGCCGCCAGAGAGCGCAGGGGGGCGAGGCGGGCGAGGCCGGCACGGCAGGCGGGGGAAGCAGGAGCGGGCGCGCGATGCGCGGTCTGCGGGGCCCGCTCGGCTGAGGACCTGACAGGTGTGCATGTGCGCGGGGGGTGTTACATCGGCACCCGGGGGGGCTGCCATGGGGGCAAGCGCCGCCACCACAGAGCCCGGTGCTCCTCGCGAGGGCTGCTCCTGGCAGGTACAGGGCGGTGGTGTTTGTCATGCTGCGTGTCTGTTGTCGGGCCGGCGAGCACTGGCGCTGCAGCTGCTCAGGGGGTGTCGTGCAGGACGATCCGGGGGATGTCCCGCCGACGTTCTCGATGCTGTCGATCCAGACTCCTCCGTTGCCGTAGCGCGTCCGTTCGCACAGCACAAAGTACAAACGTCCCCCCAGGCACAGGCGTTGCAGCGTGGTGTTCTCCCTCAGGGCCTGCACCATCATCCGCTTGGTCTCGGAGCCGGCGTCGTTGCCGTAGCCGAGGCTCACGCTGCGCAGGCCGCGGTTGTGCCGCAGCGCTTGCGCCAGCACGCGCGTTGCCCCCCGGCTGTCATGGAAGCCGGCTTCCTTGATCGACAGGGACCGGAGCGCGGTGTTGGTGCGCAGCGCGTCGGCGAGGGCCCCGAAGGCGTCAGGCTCCGCGAAGCCGGTGAAGTCGTCCAAGGCGAGCATGCGCAGGACGGTGTTGTGTGCGAGACCTGCTGCGAAGTCCCTGACGCCCGCGAGCCGCTGAGAGCCCTTTCTGTGCTCGACACCGTCCGCGACGGCCCACGTGCGCTTGTCTGCGAGGTAGATGTGGATGCGTCGCAGGGTGCTGCTCGTCGACAGGTCTGCGATGTTGATGGTGGTGTCAGTCGGGAACGTGGCGTACGGCATCTCGAAGACCTCGAGGCTGCTGCTGGCGACGGCGCGCGTGAGCTTGGCGAAAGCGCTGGCCGTCATGTACGCCGTGCAGAGGCTGATCTTGCGGAGCGTGGTGTTCTGCGCCAGTGCCTCAGCGATGTGGACGTAGCCGGCGTCGGTGAGATCGCGGCCGGTCAAGGTGAGCGCCCGCAGCGTGGTGCAACTTGCCAGCAACGTCGCGATCGCCTCGGCGCTGTCCTTCGTGAGGTCTCCTGTCAGCACCAAGCTCTCCAGACGCGATGACGGGCTGCTCGTTATTGCTGCGCACAGCTCCTTCACCTCGCCACGTTCGATGGAGGGGAGACGCAGATCCAGGATGCGCAGCAGTGAGGCCGACTGCACGAGCTGCTTGATGACCCCAGTAGTTGCCGTGGTGATGGGGCACCAAAGTCCCATCTTGAGACTCGAGAGGTTCGTTGCGCAAGCGGCCAGCTTGACCGCCGTCTCGGCGGAGATGCATCTAGTGAGGTGCAGAGTCTGCAGGCCGCCGCATCCGTGTCGCGCGAGCTCGTCCAAGACACCGTCGATGTGCTCGGAAACAACAAGCTTTCTGATGTGTCCTGACCTGGCCACCGCCTCCGCCACGGTCGTGGCGCCCCGCGGCGAGAGATCGACCTCGTCAATATCGAGCTCGCGCAGCTTCGTCGACGTCTCCACGACCTTCGCGAGGGCGCGTGCCCCCGTCAGACCCAGCGTGCTGCCGCGCACGATCAGCGTCTCCAGCGCGTGGCCCGTCGCCAAGGCGCCCAGGATCTCCGCAGCCGCAGTCGCATTCGTTCCGATCTGTGTCACGTCGATGTGGCGGGTGTGCTCGCGCACCGCCGGCGTGGACAGCACCCGGCACAGCAACGACACACGCTCCTCCCGCACGTCCGGCGTGACTGTGTCGCTGCTGAGCAGGTAACGCTGCACCGCGAGCCTCGTCACGTGCAGCCGCGTCGCTCGCGGCCTGCCCGCCGCCTCCAGCACCGCAGCCAGCTCCCTCACCCCGTGCGCCAACAACGACGTGCTGTCCACACCCGCCGCGACGACCGCGCCCAGCAGCGCCGCCGCGTCCTGCACCGGCACGCGCGCGCCGGCGTACTCCAGCTCGCCGACGTACTGCGACCCGGCACTGACGCGGCGGGCCAGCCCTTGCAGGAGCGTGATGGTGCCCAGCTGGAACACCGGGACGGTGCGCTGCTCGGACTTGAGCTCGAGCTCATATCTGACGGGGCGAGGACCCAAAAAGGATATGCTCGGATAGCGCGTGACTTGCCGCGTCCACTCGCACTCGCCCTCCTCGATGCGTCGCCCGTATTGCAACAGGGCGAGTAGCGCGGGCCAGGACGTGCACGCCACGCTGTATGCGTCGCCGGGCGGTACGAGATCGAGTATGTGAGGGATCTGGTGGAGGACCTCGGCGAACAGCGACGCGGAGGAGGCCTGCGGGGGCGGAGAAACGGAGACAGGGAGGTTTCAATCAGGCTGCCGGTCACCGCGGGAGCAGCGGCGCGACTCCAGCTGCGGTCGTCGCCTCGCCGGACACGTGGCAGTGTTCACCATACACCTCGAGGCACGGCGCGTCGACCACGGCGTCCCTGGGCCCGCAATCACCACTCGTGCCTCAACGCAACACACGCCGCACCGGCAACCTCGCCGGGCCCACGCACGCGGTGCGAGGAAGCCCGACGCGCATCACTGCGGTCAATGCCGTGCGACCGTCCCCGCGCGACACAGCCCCCCCCCGCGCGTCACGATGCACCATGTGCAGGGCCTCACCTCCCCACACGACGGGCCCGGGCCGTGGACCGGCATCTTGGGTGTGGTACACGTACGCGACGCTCGCGGCGTGTCTGGTGGTCCCCGCGCTCGTCTCGCGCGTATCTGCGCCCCTGCAGCCTGACGTGTGTGCGCCTGACAGCGGCGGGGGGGAGTCGAGTCATGCGACCGGGAGCCGGGCTCAACGCCGCCCGCTCGCGCGGCGGGCCAGCAGTGCGCCGAACACGGCGGTGGTGGCGAGAGCGCCGTGCTGCCTGTCGCCAGGCGGTGGAGCCGTCATGAGCGTGTAACGGCGCGCGTGCAGCCGTTAGGGAGAGGTGGGGCGTAGCTGGGGCGGCAGCAGGAGTGTTGTGCGCGCCAGTGGGCTGCGGTGTAGATGTGTATGCGTGAGCGGGATGCGTGGGGCGCTGTGCCGGGGCGCGCGCGACGCAAAGCGCGACGCACCTGTACTGGTGCTTGGAGCGAGCCACGGGGCGGCGGGGAGGCCGCGACCTGACGCATGTCGGGCTGGACGCGATCGCTGCGGACTGACGGAGCAGGGAGCACGTGCGGGATGGCGTCGGTAGGCCGGTCAGACGCGCGCACGAGGCCATCGTGTGAGGTGCGCTGCCAGTGGAGGCGTGTCACTGGCGCGGGAGCGGGGTGCGGGGCGGTGCGGCGTGCAGCGGCGAGATGGACGGTATGCGATATGATGCCGGGAGGGTCGCCCGGGGCCGATCACGCGTGTCAGCCCTCCGGGAACGTGTCCTGGTGCAGCGCGCAGCAACAGCTGTCGCCAGAGCGAACAAGTGGGGCGAGGCCGGCACGGCAGGCGGGGGAAGCAGGAGCGGGCGCGCGATGCGCGGTCTACGGGGGCCGCTCGGCTGAGGACCTGACAGGTATGAGGTGAGGTATGTGCGTGGCGCTGCATGCAGGGACGTGTTACAGCGGCACCCGTGGGAGCTGCCATGGGGGCAAGCGTCGCCACCACAGAGCTCGACGCTCCTCGCGAGGGCTGCTCCTGGCAGGTAGAGGGTGGTGTTGTTTGTCATGCTGCGTGTCTGTTGTAGTCGGGCCGGTGCACTGGCGTCGCGGCTGCTCAGGGGGTGTCGTGCAGGACGATCCGGGGGAAGAGCCCGTCGACGTTCTGGATGGTGTCGATCCAGTCCCCTCCGTCGCCGTAACGCGTCCGTTCGCACAGAAGATCCCCCAGGTGCAGGCGTTGCAGCGTGGTGTTCTCCCTCAGGGCCTGCACCATCATCCGCTTGGCATCGTCGCCAGTGTCGCTGCCGTAGCCGAGCTCGACGCTGCGCAGGCCGCGGTTGTGCCGCAGCGCTTGCGCGAGCACGCGCGTTGCCCCCCGGCTGTCATGGAAGCCGGCTTCCTTGATGGACAGGGACCGGAGGGCGGTGTTGGTGCGCAGCGCGTCGGCGAGGGCCCCGAAGGCGTCAGGCTCCGCGAAGCCGGTGAACTCGTCCAGGGCGAGCATGCGCAGGACGGTGTTGTGTGCGAGACCTGCTGCGAAGTCCCTGACGCCCACGAGGAGCTGACGGCCCTTACGTTCTTCCTCATCGAGACCGACCGTGCAGCCCCATGTGTCCACGTCTGCGAGATGGATGTTGATGTGTCGCAGGGTGCTGCTCTTCGACAGGTCTGCGATGTTGATGGTGGTGTCTTCCCGAAATGTTGCGTACCGCATTCTGAAGACCTCGAGCCTGCTGCTGGCGACGGCGCGCGCGAGCATGGCGAAGGAGTCGGCGTCCCTCATGAGCCCCCTGCCGAGGTTGATCTTGCGGAGCGTGGTGTTGCCCGACAGTGCCTCCGCGATGTGGAGGTAGCCAGCGTCGGTGAGATCGCTGCCGCCGAGGTCGATCTCTCTCTCGCGGAGCGTGGCGTTGCTCTGGAGCATCGCAGCGACGGCCCGCGCTCCGTCGTTCTCGATCCCGTTGCGGCCCAGCACCAGGCGCTCCAGCGGCAGCGCAGCGTTGTTGGTGATGGCCTCGCAGAGCTCCCGTGCGTGGGCTGGACGCATGCCGATATTTGACAGAATGAGGGTGCGGAGGCTCGTGGTCGACTGGACGAGGGACGTGAGTGCGTGCATCATATCGGCCGCGCGGTATCTTGAGTTGGCGTGGTCCAAATCAAGGTGAGCAAGACGCGCTGCGTTGGCCAGCAGCTTGCACAGCGCCTCGTTGGATATGTCGGTGTTCCGAATGGTCAGGCTGTCAAGTGCGCCGCCGTGGGTACGACCGAACTCCTCCGCAAACACGATCGCGGCGCGCATCTCGTTGCACACCAGCTGCTTGATCGTCCCTGACTCAAGCACCGCCTCCGACACGATCATGGCGCCTCCCCCCGAGAGGCCGACCCCGGCAAGATCGAGCTCGCGCAGCTTTGTCGACGTCCTCACGACCTTCGCGAGGGCACGTGCCCCCGTCAGACCCAGCCTGTTGCTGCACACGATCAGCGTCTCCAGCGCGTGGCCCGTCGACAAGGCACCCAGGACCTCCGCAGCCGCGGTCTCGCCCATGCCGATCTTTGTCATGTCGATGTGGCGGGTGTGCTCGCGCACCGCCGGCGTGGACAGCACCCGGCACAGTGCGGACACAAGCTCCTCCCGCACGTCCGGCGTGACTGTGTCGCTGTCCAGCAGCTTGCGCTGCACTGTGAGCCTCGTCACGCGCAGCCGCGTCGCTCCCGGCCTGCCCGCCGCCTCCAGCACCGCAGCCAGCGCCCCCACCCCGTGCCCCGACAACGACGCCGTGTCGACCCCCGCCGCGACGACCGCGGCCAGCAGCGCCGCCGCGTCCTGCACCGGCACGCGCGCGCCGGCGTACTCCAGCTCGCCGACGTACTGCGACCTGGCACTGACGCGGCGGGCCAGTCCTCCCAGGAGCGTGATGTTGCGCAGCCTGAGCACTGGAACGGTGCGCTGCTCGGACTTGAGGTCGAGCTCATGTCTGACGTGGACGGTGTCGCTGTACTCACTGTCATAGACGTGCCGCGTCCACTCGCACTCGCCCTCCTCGATGCGCCGCCCGTGTTGTAGCAGCGTCGCCAGGGCGGGCCAGCACGTGCACGCTACGCTGAGAGCGTCGCCTGCCGGTACGAGATCGAGTACGCGAGGGACCTGGTGGAGGGCCTCGGTGAAGAGCGACGCGGAGGAAGCCTGCGGGGGCGGAGAGACCGAGGCAGGGAGGTTTGAAGGGGGGGCGCGCGGCATCACCAGGGCGGCACAAGCGCAATGAGGTCGTTGACGCCGACTCTGTCACCAATATGTCCGTCGAAGCACGCTTAGTGCGCAAGACCCCGGCACGAGCGCACGTGGTTACTTTGAAACCTCAAGAGCGAACATAGCGGCTTCCAACGGGCTCCTTTTTCCCGGGCTCGAAGCACCGTGGCCGCCAACGTCACCATATAGATGCCGTGCGTCTCGTGCGTGGATTTGAAGCCCCACGGTGCGCGGCTTCAGCGGCGACGCGACCAACACATGCTTGCGACTTGCGAACGTACCTCTCCGGCGGGGGGCTCAGGCCCGGGGAAATTCGTGTGCCTCGTCCTCATGGCGGTACCCTGGTCGCGATCACGGCGTGACTGACGCGCACCGCGCACGTCGCGGGCTGTTCAGCGCGCCACGGATCACCCAGGGGGGAGTCTGACTCAGTCATGCAACCGGGAGCAGGGCTCAACGCTGCCCGCTCGCGTTGCGGGCCGGCAGTGCGCGCAGGGCGCGGCGATGGCGACAGCGCCGGGCTGCCTGTCGCCAGGCGGTGGAGCCGTCACGAGCGTGTAGCCGCCCGCGTGCAGCCATCAGGGAGAGGTGGGGCGTAGCTGGGGCGGCAGCAGGAGTGTTGTGCGCGCCAGTGGGCTGCGGTGTAGATGTGTAGGCGTGAGCGGGGTGCGTGGGGCGCTGTGGCGGGGCGCGCGCGACGCAAAGCGCGACGCAGCTGTACTGGTGCGTGAAGCGAGCCACGGGGCGCTGGAGGGGCCGCGACCTGACGCTGGTCGGGCTGAACGCGATCTTTGCCGACTATGGAGCAGAGAGCGCGTGCGGGGTCGCGTCGGTAGGCCGGTCAGACGCGCGCACGAGGCCATCGTGTGAGGTGCGCTGCTAGTGGAGGCGTGTTACCGGCGCGGGAGCGGGGTGCGGGGCGGTGCGGCGTGCAGCGGCGAGGTGGATGGTATGCGGTATGATGCCGGGGGGGTCGCCCGGGGCCGATCACGCGTGTCAGGCCCCCCGGGAACGTGTCGTGGTGCAACGCGAAGCAACAGCTGCCGCCAGAGCGAAAAAGTGGGGCGAGGCGGGCGAGGCCGGCACGGCAGGCGGGGAGAGCAGGAGCAGGCGCGGAATGCGCGGTCTACAGGGGCCGCTCGGCTGAGGACCTGACAGGTGTGCGTGTGCGATGCGCTGCACCTCGGGGGGGGTGTTACATCGGCACCCGGGGGAGCTGCCATGGGGGCAAGCGTCGCCACCACAGAGCTCGACGCTGCTCGCGAGGGCTGCTCCTGGCAGGTACAGGGTGGTGGTTGTTTGTCATGCTGCGTGTCTGTTGTCGGGCTGGCGTGCACTGGCGTCGCGGCTGCTCAGGGGGTGTCGTGCAGGACGATCCGGGGGAAGGGCCCGTCGACGTTCTCGATGCTGTCGCCGAAGGACAACCCGTAGACGCGCGTCTCTTCGCGCAGCAGCCTCCCCACGCACAGGCGTTGCAGCGTGGTGTTCTCCCTGAGGGCCTGCACCATCATCCGCTTGGCATCGTCGCCAGTGTCGCTGCCGTAGCCGAGCTCGATGCAGCGCAGGCCGCGGTTGTGCCGCAGCGCTTGCACGAGCACGTGCATTGCCCCCCCGCAGTCGCGGCTGAACTCGGCTTCCTTGATGGACAGAGACCGGAGCGCGGTGTTGGTGCGCAGCGCGTCGGCGAGCGCTACGAAGCCGCCAGGCTCCGCGAAGCCGGTGAACTCGTCCAGGGCGAGCATGCGCAGGACGGTGTTGTGTGCGAGACCGGCTGCGAAGTCGTGGACGCCCGCCAGCTCCTGGGAGCCCTTACCGTCCTCGACCATGAGATTGTACGTGGCCTCGTCTACGAGACGAATGTGGATGCGTCGCAGGGCTGAACGCGATCTTTGCCGACTATGGAGCAGAGAGCGCGTGCGGGGTCGCGTCGGTAGGCCGGTCAGACGCGCGCACGAGGCCATCGTGTGAGGTGCGCTGCTAGTGGAGGCGTGTTACCGGCGCGGGAGCGGGGTGCGGGGCGGTGCGGCGTGCAGCGGCGAGGTGGATGGTATGCGGTATGATGCCGGGGGGGTCGCCCGGGGCCGATCACGCGTGTCAGGCCCCCCGGGAACGTGTCGTGGTGCAACGCGAAGCAACAGCTGCCGCCAGAGCGAAAAAGTGGGGCGAGGCGGGCGAGGCCGGCACGGCAGGCGGGGAGAGCAGGAGCAGGCGCGGAATGCGCGGTCTACAGGGGCCGCTCGGCTGAGGACCTGACAGGTGTGCGTGTGCGATGCGCTGCACCTCGGGGGTGTTACATCGGCACCCGGGGGAGCTGCCATGGGGGCAAGCGTCGCCACCACAGAGCTCGACGCTGCTCGCGAGGGCTGCTCCTGGCAGGTACAGGGTGGTGGTTGTTTGTCATGCTGCGTGTCTGTTGTCGGGCTGGCGTGCACTGGCGTCGCGGCTGCTCAGGGGGTGTCGTGCAGGACGATCCGGGGGAAGGGCCCGTCGACGTTCTCGATGCTGTCGCCGAAGGACAACCCGTAGACGCGCGTCTCTTCGCGCAGCAGCCTCCCCACGCACAGGCGTTGCAGCGTGGTGTTCTCCCTGAGGGCCTGCACCATCATCCGCTTGGCATCGTCGCCAGTGTCGCTGCCGTAGCCGAGCTCGATGCAGCGCAGGCCGCGGTTGTGCCGCAGCGCTTGCACGAGCACGTGCATTGCCCCCCCGCAGTCGCGGCTGAACTCGGCTTCCTTGATGGACAGAGACCGGAGCGCGGTGTTGGTGCGCAGCGCGTCGGCGAGCGCTACGAAGCCGCCAGGCTCCGCGAAGCCGGTGAACTCGTCCAGGGCGAGCATGCGCAGGACGGTGTTGTGTGCGAGACCGGCTGCGAAGTCGTGGACGCCCGCCAGCTCCTGGGAGCCCTTACCGTCCTCGACCATGAGATTGTACGTGGCCTCGTCTACGAGACGAATGTGGATGCGTCGCAGGGTGCTGCTCTTCGACAGGTCGGCGATGTTGATGGTGGTGTCCGTTGGAAACCTTGCGTTGGGCATTTCGAACACCTCGAGCCTGCTGCTGGCGACGGCGCGCGCGAGCTTGGCGAAGGTGTCAGCGATCGTTATGAAGGCGAAGTCGATCGTGAGCTCGCGGAGCGTGGTGTTCTGCGCCAGCGCCTCCGTGATGTGGACGTAGCCAGCGTCGGGAAGATCTCCACCCCACAAGGTGAGCGCCCGCAGCGTGGTGCCGCTGGTGAGCAACGTCGCGATCGCCTCGGCGCTGTCCTTCTTCTTCTGGAGGTATCCTTTCAGCTCCAAGCTCTCCAGACGCAATGACGGGTTGCTCGCCACTGCAGCACACAGCGCCCTCACGACCACGTCGCTGTCGTCGTAGAGTAGTCCCAGATTCAAGCTGCGCAGCAGTGATCCTGGCTGTACGAGCTGCTTGACGAAGCCCGCAATCATCGTCGCGGTCAAACCGGGAAGAAAACCGTCGAACCGCAGGTCCAGGTCCAGCAGGTTCGTTGCGCAAGCGGCCAGCTTGCCCGCCGACTCGGCAGAGATGGAGCAGTTGAGGTACAGAGTCTCCAGGCCGCCGCACCCGTGTCGCGCGAGCTCGTCCACGACACCGTCAATGTGTTGAGAGACAACAAGCTTTCTGATGTGCCTTGCCTCGAGCACCGCCTCCGCCACGATCGTGGCGCCCCGCGGCGAGAGATCGACCCCATTAAGGTCGAGCTCACGCAGCTTCGTCGACGTCCTCACGACCTTCGCGAGGGCACGTGCCCCCGTCAGACCCAGCGTGTTGTTCCCGTGTATGTCGAGGGTCTCCAGCGCGTGGCCCGTCGACAAGGCGCCCAGGATCCCCGCAGCCGCGGTCTCGCCCATGCCGATCTTTGTCATGGCGATGTGGCGGGCGTGCTCGCGCACCGCCGAGCTGGACAGCACCCGGCACAGCGCTGACACGAGCTCCTCCCGCACGTCCGGCGTGACTGTGTCGCTGCGGAGCAGCTTGCGCTGCACTGTGAGCCTCGTCACGCGCAGCCGCGTCGCTCCCGACCTGCCCGCCGCCTCCAGCACCGCAGCCAGCTCGCCCACGTTGTGCGGCAACAGCGACGTGCTGTCCACACCCGCCGCGACGACCGCGCCCAGCAGCGCCGCCGCGTCCTGCACCGGCACGCGCGCGCCGGCGTACTCCACCTCGCCGACGTACTGCGACCCGGCACTGACGCGGCGGGCCAGTCCTTGCAGGAGCGCGATGCTGCCCAGCTGTAGCACGGGGACGGTGCGCTGCTCGCGCTTGAGGTGGAGCTCATGTGTGGCGTGGACGGTATCGATGTAGGAGTATGCCGCGTACTCACTGTCATAGACGTAAAGCGCCCACTCGCACTCGCCCTCCTCGATGCGCCGTCCATATTGCAATAGCGTCAGGAGCGCGGGCCAGCACGTGCACGCTACGCTGAGAGCGTCACCGGACGGTACGAGATCGAGGATGTGAGGGACGTGGTGGAGGACCTCGGCGAAGAGCGACGCGGAGCAGGCCTGCGAAGACAGCGAAAAGGAGGCAGGGAGGTTTGAAGGCAGCTCACGGCATCAGCAGCGGAGCGCAAGCTCTGTGCGCCGCGTATTTGGCGCTGCACTGATCGTCACTGCATACCGCGAGGGCCCAAACGTCAGGGAAGCCACCACCAAGCGGCGCAAATATGCGCGGGCTCTCTTTCACCCAAAAGAGCCTGCGCGAACGGACCCGCCGCGCGGTCACGCGCAGTGCCACGGGTCCTGCGACGAGGCAGTCATATTGGTGGCGAGCCCGGCGTGCGACTGTCATCCTCCAGCGCCTCCCGAGCGCGACCTGGTGCATGATGTTGAACGAACTCACCTCCCCGCACGACGGCCCCGGTCCGGCGTCGTCGATCAGCATGTCGCTCGTGGCGGAGACGGGTGGTGCTCGCGGCGTGTCTGGTGCTCCCCGCGCTCGTCTCGCGCGTATCTGCGCCCCTGTAGCCTGACGTGTGTGCGCCTGACAGCGGCAGGGGGGAGTCGAGTCATGCGACCGGGAGCAGGGCTCAACGCCGCCCGCTCGCATGGCGGGCCGGCAGTGCGTGGCACGGCGGTGGCGGCGAGAGCGCCGTGCTGCCTGTCGCCAGGCGGTGGACCCGTCATGAGCGTGCAGCGGCGCGCGTGTAGCCATTAGGGAGAGGTGGGGCGTAGCTGGGGCGGAGATTGGGGAGGCGAGCTTGGTGGTAGACGGTGGTATGTAGCGGCTGCGAGGAGCGGGATGCGTGGGGCGCTGTGGCAGGGCGTGTGCAGCGCACGGCGGCGCGAGGCACCTGTACTGGTGCTTGGAGCCAGCTACGGGGCGCCGGAGGGGCCGCGACCTGACGTATGTCGGGCTGAACGCGATCGTTGCTGACTGACGGAGCAGGGAGCGCGTGCGGGATGGCGTCGGTAGGCCGGTCAGACGCGCGCACGAGGCCATCGTGTGAGGTGCGCTGCCAGTGGAGGCGTGTCACCGTCGCGGGAGCGGGGTGCGGGGCGGTGCGGAGAGCAGCGGCGAGATGGATGGTATGCGGTATGATGCCGGGGGGGTCGCTCGGGGCCGATCACGCGTGTCGGGCCACCGGGAACGTGTCGTGGTGCAGCGCGTAGCAGCCACCAGAGAGCGCAGAGGCGGCGAGGCGGGCGCGGCCGGCACGGCAGGCGGAGAAAGCAGGAGCGGGCGCGCGGTGCGCGGTCTGCGGGGGCCGCTCGGCTGAGGACCTGACAGGTGTGCATGTGCGTGGCGTGGCACGTACTCGGGGGGGTGTTACATCGGCACCCGGGGGAGCTGCCATGGGGGCAAGCGTCGCCACCACAGAGCCCGGTGCTGCTCACGAGGGCTGCTCCCGGCAGGCTGTTGGTGGTGTCGTTTGTCATGCTGCGTGTCTGTTGTCGGGCCGGCGTGCACTGGCGTTGCAGCTGCTCAGGGGGTGTCCTGCAGGACGATCCGGGGGAAGGGCCCGGGGACGTTCTGGATGGTGTCGCTCCAGCGCCCTCCGTCGCCATAGCGCCCCAGTTCGCACGGCAGCCCCCCCAGGTACAGGCATTGCAGCGTGGTGTTCTCCCTCAGGGCATGCACCACCATCTGCTTGGCATCGTCGCCAGTGTCGCTGCCGTAGCCGAGCTCGACGCTGCGCAGGCCGCGGTTGTGCCGCAGTGCTTGCGCGAGCACACGGAAGTCCACTGCACCCGCCCAGCTGTGTTCGAAGCAGGCTTCCTTGATCGTCAGGGACCGGAGGGCGGTGTTGGTGCGCAGCGCGTCGGCCAGGGCCCCGAAGGCGTCAGGCTCCGCGAAGCCGGTGAACTTCTCCAAGGCGAGCATGCGTAGGACGTTGTTGTTGTGTGCGAGGCCGGCCGCGAAGTCGTGGACGCCCGCGAGGAGCTGAAAGCCCTTTCTGTGCTCGAAGCCGGCCATGATCATGTCGGCGGGGTCGTCTATGAGATGGATGTTGATGCGTCGCAGGGTGCTGCTCTTCGACAGGTCTGCGATGTTGATGGTGGTGTCTTCCGGGAACGTGGCGTACCGCATTTCGAACACCTCGAGCCTGCTGCTGGCGACGGCGCGCGCGAGCTTGGCGAAGGTGTTGGCCGTCATGTACGCCGTGCAGAGGCTGATCTCGCGCAGGGTGGTGTTGCCCGACAGTGCCTCTGCCAGGTGGGCGTAGCCAGCGTCGGTGAGCTCGCTGCCGCCGAGGGCGATCTCGCGGAGCGTGGCGTTGCTCGCGAGCATCGCAGCGACGGCCCGCGCTCCGTCGTTGTCGATCTCGTTGTAGCTCAGCACCAGGCGCTCCAGCGGCAGCGCAGCGTTGCTGGTGATGGCCTCGCAGAGATCCTTTGCTTGGGCTGGACCTATGCCGATCCCTGACAGACTGAGGGTGCGGAGGCTCGTGGTCGACTGGACGAGGGACGTGAGTGCGTGCGTCGTCTTGACCGCCCAGGAACAC